TAAAGGCAGTAAACATGAAAAAATTGATTTTTTTTTTAAATTTCAAGATTAGTGGTTTTTCGGTAAGCGGAACATCGTGGTAATACCCATTTGACCTAAAAATGACTTTTAAAGGTACAGTCCGACCAAAAAATATTTTTTATGGAAACTAGGTTTTTTGATATGCTATTGTACTAAAATCAATTCGGTTCGAAAATGGTTTTCAAAGGCATATTTCAGGTTATAAAAATTTTTATCAAACAATATTCAAAATAACTGATTTGGACCATTTATGTTTAAAAAAAACTCAAAAATTTTTATAACCTGAAATATGCCTTTGAAAACCATTTTCGAACCGAATTTATGTCAGCAAAATGATCACCATATCAAAAAAGCTAGTTTCCATAAAAAATATTTTTTGGTCGGACTGTACCTTTAAAAGTCATTTTTAGGTCAAATGGGTATTACCACGATGTTCCGCTTACCGAAAACCACTAATCTTGAAATTTAAAAAAAAATCAATTTTTTCATGTTTACTGCCTTTAAAAACAAGTTTTGAGCCGATTGATCAGCCCCACATGACTCCCCGTACCGAAGAACCCCGAAACATAATTTTTCCAAAAAAATTTTTTTGAGTGATGGGGTCCTTTAAGAATGGTTTTCAGACAAAATGATTATCAGCACACGATTCCCCATACTCGAAAACCCAAAAATCCCGATTTTCAGCCTTATCAGATGATATTGATAATTTAGTGATAACAGGTGATAAGAGCTTTTGAGATGAAGCTTGATGTATAAAGTTATCAAAAATAGTCTCTACTAACTCCAGACATCATTTTCTGCAAGTTTGAGCTCAATCTGAGCATATTGATAATTTAGTGATAAGAACTGATAAGAGCTTCTGGGATGAAGCTGGAGCTATAAACTTATCAAAAATGTCATCTATTATCACCAAACATCATTTTCTCCAACTACCAGCTCATTCTGATAATTTTGAAATTTCACTGATAATCACTGATAACAGCTTCTGGGTTGAAGCTTAAGCTTAAAGTTATAGCAGAAGCTGAAATTCACGCTTCACCCTACTCAAAAACTCATTTTCAGACGATTTACACAAATTTCAACTTCAATGCGAAATTTCAGCAATGGGTTTCATTAGGGGTGTCATTCAACAAGGATAGGTTTCACTCGGGTGTCGTTTAACGACACCCTAATGAAACCGACACCGTGTGAGGTGTCGGTATAAAACGGTTTCAAGGTGTTGCAAATTCGGAACTCTGACTTTGATCGCTTTGATATTTCACAAAACGCTCAAAAATTCTCTAGTCAAAAATCAGGAGACATTGTTCGGGTTGTAAATATTTTTCCGTAAATATATATCATACTCATTTTTTGATACGACTTTTTATAAATGTCTAGTCATTTTGATAATTCTATTCAAATGCATGAACTTAAATTATAAAAACCAGATTTTGTGTTTAAGAGACGTTATTTGTAAAAGTGAAAAAGCTGTCGGACAAAAAAAAAGTCAAAATTTTCAAATGGGCTGAATTTTTTATTTGACAGCTACAGTACTCAGGACAAAATTCCACACAAAATTTTGACCTAAAAAAATTTCGGGGGGTACTGTATGCGCCTTTGAATGCACACATTCAAATTTCTTAGATCAATCGGAACTTATGTTAAAGTTAAGCTTTTTTTCATGATTAAAAAAGCAAATATGATTGTTTTTACGAGAGAAAAACGATGGAAGCGTCGAAAAATCATGAAAATGAACGTGGAAAATTTTTTTGAAAAATCGATTTTTTCACTTCCTTTAGGAAAATTTTTCGCCCATCCAGACCGCAACCATTCGATTCCTCGTGCGATTTTACCTATATTTCGATAATAAAATCAAAAAATCATGTCGACCCCGGTAGTCTTTTTTACAACCGAAAACTTCCCATAAGCGCGCGCACCTACACACACATGTGTGCGCACACATAAATACACATAAAAGAGCGAGAAACTTTTTTTTTTTCATCTGAAAATAAACTAAATTACGAAAAAATCATAATTTAAGATCACAGTGTGACAATAACAATGTTTTTGGATAAATTCTGAACGTATGAGTGAAGTGTTCTTTTCGCTGTAAGAAATACAAGTTTGTGTGGTTGATTTCATCCCCTGGACAAACTTTTTCAACTTTCGAGATGATATCTGTTCGATTTTCGATGTTTTTAATAATATTTTTCGAGAAACGTGAAAAATTCGACTTTTTCCAAAAAAAATGTATAGAAATCATGTCATTTTAGTTATAGATTTTTCTGTAATTCGTTGAGACTTATACATATTTCCAAACGCCGTATATTTCTTCAGAAAACAGGAGAATTAAAAATTTAGCGTGGTATACACATGGAAGCTACTCTATATACCACCAAAAATTAAAATTGATAAGCATAACTTTTTTTTAGACCACAAGTCAAAAAATTCTCTAAAATCGTTCTAAATTGTTGGAAATAATTATGTTTGAGCTATAATTTCTCATAGAATATAGGGTTCTTGGACATATATTTGGTATAAAATGTTATCTATCGATATTTAAAAAGAAATAAGATACAAAAAACAAATTTCAATGCGCTCTTGTGAGTTTAATGACACACAAATGTGTGTATGTGCGCGCGCTTATGGGAAGTTTTCGGTTGTAAAAAAGACTACCGGGGTCGACATGATTTTTTGATTTTATTATCGAAATATAGGTAAAATCGCACGAGGAATCGAATGGTTGCGGTCTGGATGGGCGAAAAATTTTCCTAAAGGAAGTGAAAAAATCGATTTTTCAAAAAAATTTTCCACGTTCACTTTCATGATTTTTCGACGCTTCCATCGTTTTTCTCTCGTAAAAACAATCATTTTTGCTTTTTTAATCATGAAAAAAGCTTAACTTTAACATAAGTTCCGACTGATCTAAGAAATTTGACTGTGTAAATTCAAAGGCGCATACAGTACTCCCGAAATTTTTTTAGGTCAAAATTTTGTGTGGAATTTTGTCCTGGGTACTGTAGCTGTCAAATAAAATTCAGCCCATTTGAAGACCTAAAATTTTTTGTCCGAGATGCGTAGCAAACATTTTCGCCTACAAAAAACGTCTCAAGAGACGTTATTTGTAAAAGTGAAAAAGCTGTCGGACAAAAAAAAGTCAAAATTTTCAAATGGGCTGAATTTTTTATTTGACAGCTACAGTACTCAGACAAAATTCCACACAAAATTTTGACCTAAAAAAAATTTCGGGGGTACTGTATGCGCCTTTGAATGCACACATTCAAATTTCTTAGATCAATCGGAACTTATGTTAAAGCGTTTTTTTTTTCATGATTAAAAAGCAAATATGATTGTTTTTACGAGAGAAAAACGATGGAAGCGTCGAAAAATCATGAAAATGAACGTGGAAAATTTTTTGAAAAATCGATTTTTTCACTTTAGGAAAATTTTTCGCCCATCCAGACCGCAACCATTCGATTCCTCGTGCGATTTTACCTATATTTCGATAATAAAATCAAAAAATCATGTCGACCCCGGTAGTCTTTTTGCAACCGAAAACTTCCCATAAGCGCGCGCACCTACACACACATGTGTGCGCACACATAAATACACATAAAAGAGCGAGAAACTTTTTTTTCATCTGAAAATAAACTAAATTACGAAAAAATCATAATTTAAGATCACAGTGTGACAATAACAATGTTTTTGGATAAATTTGAACGTATGAGTGAAGTGTTCTTTTCTTGCTGTAAGAAATACAAGTTTGTGTGGTTGATTTCATCCCTGGACAAACTTTTTCAACTTTCGAGATGATATCTGTTCGATTTTCGATGTTTTCTAATAATATTTTTCGAGAAACGTGAAAAATTCGACTTTTTCCAAAAAAAAATGTATAGAAATCATGTCATTTTAGTTATAGATTTTTCTGTAATTCGTTGAGACTTATACATATTTCCAAACGCCGTATATTTCTTCAGAAAACAGGAGAATTAAAAATTTAGCGTGGTATACACATGGAAGCCATACTCTATATACCACCAAAAATTAAAATTGATAAGCATAACTTTTTTTTAGACCACAAGTCAAAAAATTCTCTAAAATCGTTCTAAATTGTTGGAAATAATTATGTTTGAGCTATAATTTCTCATAGAATATAGGGTTCTTGGACATATATTTGGTATAAAATGTTATCTATCGATATTTAAAAAGAAATAAGATACAAAAAAAACAAATTTCAATGCGCTCTTGTGAGTTTAATGACACACAAATGTGTGTATGTGCGCGCGCTTATGGGAAGTTTTCGGTTGTAAAAAAGACTACCGGGGTCGACATGATTTTTTGATTTTATTATCGAAATATAGGTAAAATCGCACGAGGAATCGGAATGGTTGCGGTCTGGATGGGCGAAAAATTTTCCTAAAGGAAGTGAAAAAATCGATTTTTCAAAAAAAATTTTCCACGTTCACTTTCATGATTTTTCGACGCTTCCATCGTTTTTCTCTCGTAAAAACAATCATTTTTGCTTTTTTAATCATGAAAAAAGCTTAACTTTAACATAAGTTCCGACTGATCTAAGAAATTTGACTGTGTGCATTCAAAGGCGCATACAGTACTCCCGAAATTTTTTTAGGTCAAAATTTTGTGTGGAATTTTGTCCTGGGTACTGTAGCTGTCAAATAAAAAAAAATTCAGCCCATTTGAAGACCTAAAATTTTTTGTCCGAGATGCGTAGCAAACATTTTCGCTCTTACAAAAAACGTCTCTTAAGCTCTTTACTTTTAACGCCAAGATTATACTCCAAGAAAACAACCTAAAAACCTTTATAAAGGATTCAATCTGGCATAATCCTCCATATTTTTGCAGTGAGATAACGATGCTTACGCTTTTTGTCCGAGTGGTTCAAATTACCGGCTTCATATTGGCCCAAATAACCAACATGTTTCTAATATTTCTAATAGTTTACAAAGCCTCCAAAAAATTAGGTGCTTACAAAAAATCTGATGTTAGCTTATGCTCTTTACTCAATGTTTTATTCTTTTGTTGAAATTTTAACACAGCCGGTGAGTATTTATAAATTTCCGAATTTCATTTTTTTGTTCTGAAGATAACTCATACAAAAGGCTCCGGATTCATTTTATATGTTGACAGTTTTCTGAAGTATGAATTTGAAATCGGTGTAATTCTGGCTGGTGAGTGTTTCTTGAATAATATTTTCGAATAAAATGTTTCAGTTTTGTTTTGTGGATCATTTGCGTTTTGTATTTCTCTGCTGGCTGTTCATTTTCTATATCGATACATTGTTATTTGTAAACCCAACAATGCGCAAGACCTAGAAGGAAATAAAATCTTCAAACTATTCATTCCCCCAGTTGTTCTATCAACTATTTGGTTTCTGGCCTCTTTCATTTGTCTGACGCCATCGGAATATAAAACTGAATATATGAGGTGAGGTTCACCAAATTTTTCATAATCAAATTATTTTGTTTTCCAGAGATCAAGTTATGCAACTTTACAATGATGATACTCGTTTGCTTGCTTATATTGAAGTTTTGTACTTTTTTGAAGATGAAAATGGCAAGAAAACTATAAACATTGGTGATTGGATAGCTGGACTTGGAATTTGTGTTCAGATCATGAGTCTATGCCTTTTCACAATAATTTATTGCGGTTTCAAGACATATCAAAAAATGAATAATTCGGAGTTAACTTCATCAATGAGCAAAAACACAAGAAATCTAAACAGACAATTATTCCGAACACTCATAATCCAAACATTATTCCCAGTTTGTACAATGTTCATACCAGTTGGATTACTCATTGTTTTACCAGTGTTTTCAATTGAACTCGGATCATTTTCAAATGCTCCAAGTATGTATGCTGGAATGTATCCCGCAATCGACGCTATTATTGTTATTCTAATGATCAATGATTTTCGAAATGTCTTATTTTGTCGGAAAAGGAAAGTAGTGCGTGGCCAACTATCAACAATTGGATCAAATAATGATTCGTAATAAATCGTTCTCAGAACCTAAATATATATTTCCTCTAACTCAATAAACCAAAAAACACATAACAATAAAAAATTCAACAATAACATAATCAAGATAGTACATATTACCTATAGTAAATACCCACTCACTTCCGAGTTGATTGAATTCATTTTTTTGTCGAGAAATGGTCGCACCGATTTTTCTTCGTGTTTTTCAATATTTTGGCTTCATAGCATCTGAAATCTTTAACATGTTTTTAATTTGGTTGATATTAACAAAAATCAACAGAAAGATTGGATCGTATAAAAATGTGATGTTATTATTCGCAATTTATTCGATGATTTATGCAGTTATCGAAATTTGTGCTCAACCAGTGATGCATTCAAAAGGAACTATTTTTATTCTGTTTGTTGATGGTTTTTTCAAAGATTACATGAACTTTGGGATTTTTCTCTGCTGTAAGTCTAGAAGAATATGTATACAATTAATGGGAATGTTGTTTTCAGGTTTATACATCGGCACATTTGGTCTTTGTATTTCCCTCCTCGCTTGTCATTTTGTCTATCGTTTTCTGGCAGTCTGCCATCCATCTGCTCTAACTTATCTCGAAGGACCAAAACTTATCTTGTTGTTCATTCCAAGTTTTATTCTTGCTTGCACATGGTCTATATCTGGTTATATATTTGCATATCCTACGGATCTCAAGTCAAGTTTATTGAAGTAATTATTTGATAATTTCAATTTCAAAAAACGTGATATTTTTCAGTGAATCAATTTCTGAGAACTACGGTGTCAATTTGTTTGAAACTCCACATCTATCACTTCTTTACTATGTTTGTTGAAATCTGAAATTATGTTTTCAAAATTAAATTTTTTTGTTTCAGCTCATCGATGAACATGGAGGTATTGAAATCTATCCAGACTGTGCTCTGTTTCTCGTAGCTCAATCAATTATGTCCACTTGTTTGATCACAATGGTTTTCTGTGGCATAAAATGTCATAAAGCTCTTCAAGGCGTTTCAAATATGAGCAAACGGACAAAAAACCTCAATAAACAACTTCTCCTAACTCTTGTGGTTCAAACTCTCGTTCCACTTTGCACAATGTTCACACCAGTTGGAATTTTATTCTTTCTTCCTATTTTTTCGATTGATCTTGGAACTTGGGCAAATGCTCCAGGAATATTTGCTGGATTGTATCCAGCTTTGGATGCTCTCATTGTGATATTTATGATTCGAGATTTTAGAAACGTGATTTTATGTGAGTTCTTGAAATGAACCATAAATGAATTATTGAATATTTTCAGGCAATTCTCGAAAAAGAAAAATCAACATCTCATCGAGTGACGGTAGATCTCAAAACACCAGTTTCCAATAAAAATGTTCACATTTCTTTTTAATTTATTAGAAGTCAACTTCAAATTACAATAAATTCTATTTGTCAAACTCTTATCAAATTATATTTCTTTGTGAAACGACACGTTTTGCATTTCTAGTGTATTTGCAAAAATGAATAGAATCTTTGTACTTTTTGTAACTTTATTTTATTCTTCAAATTCAATAAATATTCCACAACGTTATTTGGAACAATGTGAAAACACAAACTCAACAGAAATTGGAAAATGCTTGAATTCTACTGATAATTGCGAAATATTTCTTGGTTGTATGGCTGAAATTCAATGTAAACCAATCGATGAAGATTATAAAAATCAATTGGATTCTTGTTGGAAATCTGTATTTATGGAGAAATTTGGAGAGTGTCGAAAAAAATTAATCGAGGCAAAAGCAAATTGTCAGAAAGATAAATTGAAAAACATGACACAGGTAAGTCACATTTTTCTTGGCCGTTTTGGTGGAAAACAAATTTCAGAATCCCGAACTCCGAGCATGTAACAATATTCGAGATTCTAAAACCTGTATGAAACAAAAAATCGGAAAATTTTGCGGTGCAGAAGATGAAAAAGAATATGTTCGATACAGCAAAATTATTTATGAAGGAAGTAATTGTTACAATTTGACAGGATTAGAGTTTTGAAGAATCAAATTGCAAACCAGTCAACTTCAAACAATCATTTGAAGTATATAATTCACTTGAATATCTCAGCCAATCATTTGATTTATTTTTTCCACATTGTTTTTCAGTGTTTGTCAGCATACATGTTTTTGATTCGCGTAACCAATTACATCGTTCAGTTTGAGTTACCTAAAAATTTCTGATCCAAGTATTTTTTTAAATATAATTCACAATAATATTACCTCTCCTTTGATATTTGTTCTGGCTTTTTGTTTCAAACACGATCCTTCTTCTGAATTTTCAATCGATCTTAATTTCTGACGGCATTCTGCAAAATGCTGTTCGAAATTAGCTCTCCAACAAAAATTAATCGTATCTTTATGATCTTCTTCCGCTGGACGACATTTGAGATCTTGTAAACAGGATACCGTAGATTTGCATGCTTCCTGTAGTTTTGATAGATCATGTTTCTTGGACGCCGCGATCTTTTTGCTCTCTGATTTTATCTTTCGACTTGCCTATAACTCAACAAGATTTATAACAAATTTTCACAGTAGAAAAACAAACCAAAACACATTTCGTTGTTTTTAATGAGTTCAAAAATCCACACTGTTTCAAATAACTCGTAATTCGAGTATCCATTTCCGTTTCATCTTCTTCAGTCGACACAAAAATCAATAAAATGATAAAGACAAATAATGAAATCAAAAACTTCATTGAAAAATGATAGACAATAAATAATGTTTGGGAAATTTGATACGGACTGACTGATCGCTGAAAAAAATGATCACTTTTGAAAATGTTTATTTGTATTCTATTACAACAAAAAAATGCTTTGACAATAAAATTTTCAGGTATTTCACTTAAAATTCTTTTCCAGTCAATTTTGGGCAGCTGCTCGATGCATAGGCTTCTTTGACGAATCTCGAATATTCCGCTGCTTTTTCAGCTCCACAGTGTGTTTTAACATTTGTGTTCATGCATTCTTTGCTTTCTTTGAGGATCTTACAATTCTCCACAATTGATTTCTAGAAAAAAAGTTATCATTTAATGAAACAATTTTGTGATAAAAAAATGAACAAATCACCCACATTTTTGGTATCAGCTGAACAACCTTTAGTTGCTGCAAGTTTTTTGCGACAATCAGTAAATCGTGTTTCAAAAGTTGCCGTCCAACAAAGATTCAACATGTCTTTGTTATCATCTTCCGCTGGTTTACACTTCAAACCATAAATGCAATCCATTGTTTTTTGACAAGCATCTCTTACTTTGCTATAATCTTGATCTTTTCTTTTGGCTAATTCTCTCAACTCTTCCTTGATTTTCTTGCTATCCTGAAAAATTTTTACTGATAATCTAGATACTTGATAATAATTTCTAAAAATAAAATAAAAACATACGTAGACGCATTTCGCAGTTTTGACCGAATTCAAAAATCCACATTGCTTCAAATATTTGGAAACTCTCGAATCAGATTCTGAATTCGAGTTCGAGTCTGGATTGGAAGTTGCAAAAACAATCGCAGCCAAAAATACGAGAAACAGAACGGCAATCTTCATGTTTGAAAGAATGGGGTGACATTTAGGTCTTCGATTTTATCAATCAGAGACAACTGTTCGGAACAACCAGGAAGTTCACATTTGTGTGCGACTCGAAAAAAAAGTTTTTGGGTGATGATTAAGAAGACCAGGATGATCACTTTTTAATATGGAATCGAACCACCAAAGATTAATCTTTAAATGTGGAGTACGAGATAAAAATAAGTTAGGCTTATTTGAGAGAAAAAGTTATGGCATTGGAAACTATGGCATTGGAAAACCGATTTTCATTTAAAAATAACCTTGTACTTGTAACTTTCTGCCTAACTTATTTCTATCTCGCACACCACCTTTAATATTAGTCCATTTTGTCGGGTACGATTGAGAAGATTCCTGACTTGATACCTCTGGTATGATTCATAACCCGCCAAATACCACATCTTTTATTGTTCCACAAAAAAAGATCTGTAATTAATCTGACGTGAGAGTATAATTCAACATTGATTCTAATCCAAATCTCATCAACAAGAAAAAATAAAAATAATTCTTTATTCAAATTCAATTTTTCAAAATCTTATTCATCTTTGACCTTCAATCTCCCATCACACCGTCTATTGTACATTCTGTAGTCATGATTTTGTTCGAATAATTTCAAAATTCTTGGATCGCAATACTTCTTGATCTCTGGCAAAACACAAGCTGCGTTCGATTTCAATGTTTCACAATCTGTCGCATTCATGCTATCCAAATATGTTGCCAAGCATTTTGGAACATTTTGTGGTTCTTTTTTGTTTTTGCGATACAACTGAAAATAATATGAGAGATTATTTCAATTAAATCAGTATGACTTACTTCAGTTTTACAACTCGCGTATGGTCCAGTGAAAAATCTTGAATTGACACAGTCATCCAAAGTATCATAAAGATGAAATTCTTTATAGCAGTCGGTTCGATTCATGCAATCAATATTTTCTTGACAAACAGTTTTCAAATCTTCAAATTTCAAATCTTTGGCTGCTTCGGTAGCAAAAAGATATTTGAAATTCAACCACATATTTTCAATGATATTTGGAGTGCACAATCTGGCCTTAAGTTTTCCGAAGATCCCACATGAGTCTTTCATATAATCAGGACGAGTCAATGTATATTTGCGAGAATCGGTAAAGTCAAACGAAATAATCAATAGAAATAGCAAAAATATGGTCTTGTTGAACATTTTGAAAGTGGAACACAGAAGAGAAATGAAATGAAGAACACTTGAAACAACTGTTAAGGTTGAAACAAGGAAGTATAATGATAAGATCTCTCCAATGATCTTTCCTCTTTTTATCGAGATCTAAAACTTTTGAGAGACAGCTAATGGATTGAAAAAGAGCTGGGAAAGATTTATTATCTGTTCGAAGGAAATAAAAGATCCCGTAGCAAGCTCAAATATTTTTTTGAATTATATAAGTTCTCTGTAGAAGTCCTGAAAAATGGTCTAAAAAACGTCCAAATCAATTCAATTTTCGAAAAGCTAGTTGTGTATCAAAAGTTTATTTTTTTGTTTTTCTGTGAATCTGTAATTTCTTGAATTATTTTTTGTTGGTTATCACCAGGATTTGATTTTTGAGATCTAGAAACAAGGAAGTCATGAGATAACCCAAATAAAACAGAACGTAAACACAAAGATAAAGTATTAATCTCAAAATAAAAACCGTTCCCCTGAAGGTCAGTTATCACAAAAATGATCATCGTCTTATTTCTCGCGTATTTTTTCTCATTTTCTGATGCTGCTCCTGACAAAAGTTGTTTGACTCCAGAATTTAAGAAACTTGCTGCTACTTGTGTTGAGGTAACATTTTTCAGGATTAAAATTTACATTTTAAAAAAAAACTTTATTTATACAGGGTCTGAATCCATTGTTCGCCGAACTTCAAAAACCTCAAAACAACGAGGCTGAAAAAATCAAATTGATAAATCTCTGTGAGAATTCATTGAATTGTTTCAAATCAATCGAAAAATGCGCGGAAATTCCAAAAGAAATAATCGATAGTGCTGAAAATATATGCAGTTTGACGAAATTCCTGAACAGTCCTCAATTTTCGCCGTGCGTGGAAATCATTGATTCGAAAAAGGACAAATGTTCCAGAAAACTTTTCATTGGTTCAGAACAAATAAAGGGTGATCGAAAAGAGAAATGCGAGATTTACAAAACGAATGGAGACTGTGCCAGAAAATTCATCTCAAGTTCGTGTAGCAAAGAAGCGTTAAAAGCTTTTGAAACTTTCAGAACTGAAAGAACCAAAAGACTCAAATGTTAAACATTTTTAGTAATATAAAAACTTTATTATTTGGTTCAAATTTATGGTATTATAAATAAATATACCAATATATGATAATTATGACAAATTCAACGAAGAGGTTAACAACCAAATGCCCTTCTATATTTCTTATAGAATTTTCTGTAGGGTTGAATATAATTATTTCCACAGAGTGTGTAAACACTACTTTCCTCAGCGCCGGCTTGAAGTTCCAATAGGTTACAATCATTGATAGATCGATTCACCTAAACAAAAATTTAATTATAAATTTCAATTGTTTTTTTTTTAGCTCACATATGGGAACAATGATTTGACCGTCTTATGTTGTTCAAAGACGTTGTAACAGGGTTCAAAATCTTCGCTCTTTCTAAATTTGAATGTAATGCAGTTGGATTCTGCAACAGCATAATGCCAATCTCTAATGGAAAAATTAAAGCCCCTTTTGAAGCATTCGGTTAAACTATCACACAATTTGATGGTTTCAATATACCAAGCAGTTTTGTTCGTAGCTCCATCAATAATACTATTATGGAAATAAGACAAATCCTTCATTGCCTGCAAAAAAAATGTTGAAACTTAAGTATATTTTTATGTTTATTGTGAATGGACAAAAACAGTATTACCGGATGACAAATGGCGTTTGTTTCTTTTTCAGTAGGTCTCGATGCCACTGCCAAAATGAAGAGAAAACCAAAAATCAGGGAATACATTTTTCGACTCTGACGAAAAAATAATATCTTTGAATAAACAAAAGAAAAAAATGAGTTACTTTTTTTTTTGGAAAAATGATATTCTTTTCTCAAGCATATGTTTGTGCTTAGGGGTGGTCCGTTTGACGCATTTCCGGTTTTTGTTACTTTTTTTGCGAGATTTTTTTTTCATCTGACGAAGGGATGTTCAAATTGACGGAATGTGAGAAATAAACAATAATTTACAGTTTAACGAGAGAAAAAAGATTTCAAACATTTTTGAAAATTTCTGTAATTTCTTTGTTGGAACAGATAATATTGAATTCAACATTTCAAAGTTCGAAAGGTCTTTTAAGCGCTATACTATCTATATATACAATTTTTCTACTTTGCACAGTGAAAAAATTTATTGTAACAAAAGTCACATATTAAAAACACAATAACATTTGAAACAACATTTTATCACCATTTTTAAAAGTTTCTAACATGCCGTTCCTGATAACTGCGCATCATAATACTTCTTGAAAACTGAAACATATTCTACTCCGCAAACTTCAGCGATATGTTTCGACTCGCATTCTTCAACTTGTTGCGAAGTGCTGCAAACCTCGTCGAGGTGATTTGGCTGAAAAAAAGTTTTTTTTTAATTTTTAGAAAAAGTAAAACAAACCAGTGGAATATGACCGCACGAATTTCTTCCTCCCGTCAACTCAAAGTTCTTGAGAAGAATCGAGCAATCGATGAAATCATCTTGAGCCAAAAATCGTTGATTCTGGCATCGGATTGCAACATCCATTATTTTTGAAGCATGTTTTGGACATTTTCCGAGCGATTTCATACATTCATCAGCTTCATCACACAAAACGGAAGTTTGTTTATACCAGGTAGCAACACTTGGTGGATTGCGAATCCATATAAATTCATTCAGATCGACGATTTTCTAAAATGTTACATAAGATCATGTGAATAATTTTTGTAATATTTCTGATTTCTATTTCTTACTTTAGCGCACAGAGAAATATGAGAAAATTCGCAAGAATTTCCTTGAGCCATTTGGAATGACGAAAAAAGACAGAATATAGCAAGAAATACAAACATTTTAAAAACGATTCGAAAATCTTGATCTAGAGAAAATCGAATACTAATATATTTCCCTTTTGATGTTTTTATCAAAAGAGAAATGCAACATATAAGAGGCGCGTCCTCGCTCCCTCCCGCTCCTCATTCAATTCAAAGGCAGCTGTGGCAGCTGTCCATTTTCATCGTGGGTGGTCAAAAAGGATTACAAGAACTGGGAATTTTAACGGAATTCTGAATCAATTTACAATTTGTATGAGAAGCTATTGGAAATCAATTAATTCACAGTTTTAGTTTGATTGATCCGTTTTGGATTAGCGAAACATCTCAAAGTTTTGGAACTTGGCGCAATATGTATGAACTCTCTGGTAAAAACAAACACCTTCATTGTAACAACATAAAGTTTATCAATCATAAAAGTATAAAAAAAAACTAAAAACTGTTCAACATCCATCATTAGCTTTTGCTGCTTCATACTTCTGCATGAAAAGTGGAACATATTTTTCCCCGCAAATTTTAGCAACATGTTCAGATTCGCATTCAACAACCATCTTCCAAGTGTCACAATCCTTGTTTTTTGCCTGAAAAACACAGATATATGGAATTAAAAAAAACAAAACAAAACAAAACAAACCAATGGAGCCATACAATGATTTGGTTTTCCCTTGAGAAGAACCGAACAATCGATGAAATCATCTTGAGCCAATGATCGTTGTGTCTTGCATCTAATAATAACTTTCATTGTTTTTTCAGCATATTTTGGACAATCAATAAGCGTATACATACAGTCTTCAGCTTCTTCACACAACAACGCAGTTTGTTTATACCAGCTGGCAACATCTGTTGGATTGCGATTTCTCAGAAGTTCTTCAAGATCCATTATTTTCTAAAATTTTGAAATTCAGAAGAATTGTTTCATATGTATATCCCAAAAATTGTGATAGTATCTATTATTTTTTTTTATGTTTACTTCTCTTACCTTAGGACATGGATCAAAATTAGAAACTATGCCAGAATCTGCTTGAGCCATTTGGAGTGAAGAAAAAAGACAGAATATAGCCAAAAATACAAACATTGTCGAAATTATTTGAAAATCTCTAACAAATTATATAAGAACGCAACAACGACTGTCGTTTTCTTTTTAAATCAGAGAAATGCAACAAAATAAGAGGCGCGTCCTTGCTCCCTCCTGCTCCTCATTGAATTCAAACGCATCTGCGGCAGCTGCCCATTTTCATCGTGGGTGGCCATCAAGAAAATAGCCGTGTTTCATTGAAGAAGAAGAAGAAGAAACTAACGAGTATAATTAACGGTACATTGATATTCTTGTTGGCACGTTTCCAAAAAATTTGAATAGATTTATTTTCTTTGCATTTTATTTCAAAGAGGGACATAATTTTCTTTGAATTCCACATAAAAACACAAAAAAGATTGATGATTTGTCTAAAGAGATATTGTGAAAAAATTTTACGACGGAGACAAAAAAGTTGTTGACCTGAGAAATGTTGCAGAAAGAACAGTTGTGAAAGTTCTCAAATGTTTCAGATACTACAGGGGGTAGCCATAAACGCTATTGTTTAAATGAAACATATACTTCTGGAACATATTTAGATATCAAAGATGAGTTTTGTAGACATCAATAGCTATTTCATGTTGCAATTTAAACGATCACGATCATTCTTTTGAATACACAGCGGGGCGAAAACTTTAATATTAACAAATCTCCTGTTGATCTATTCATCTCGATTGTTATAAAAGCAATGCTCTGATCTATAATTCTCATCATCATTTCAACAATGATTTTCCGTATTCTTCTTGTCCTTGCTCTTGTAGCTGGAACTGGTGCTGTGACCAAAGCAGTTTGCGAAGCCTTCTGTTCATCTGTCAATGGTGGAGCATCGTATGATTATTGTTCACCATGGATCAGTTTCTCTCAACAAACTAACAAAACTTGCTACAATCTCTGTGTCAACAATTGTTATAATGTTTATGATGGAAGTTGTATGACTGATAGTAACTTCAGATGTTGTTTGAATACTAAACCAGCTAAAACTCAAGAATTCAAAGTTTCTGGATGCAATATTCTTTACAACAACTTGATTGATGACTATTGGAATTAATTTTTCACATTTTAATTCATCATAATAAAATTTTCATTCAAATTTTGAAACACAGTTTATATTCTAAAGTTTTCATTTTAATAATCAATTCGATTTTTTCCTGAATAAATAAGTGTGACACCATGTGTTTTGAACTTTTAAATAAATTTGTTTTGAAAACTAAATGATTTTCACTTTCAATTCTTGTGAATTATTGTTTATTAACATTTAGAAAAAAACAAGAAATGATAACTAGTTTGATTGTCCAATCATTTCCCTCACCGCCTTTTTTTCTCCTCATTTTCAAACTTTTCGCCAATTCAAGATGGTGACCACTGTTCTTATTCTAGTTCTCATTTCACTTTCACAAATTGATTCTGCCCCAAAATGCACTTCAAGTGAAATTCGAAAAGCCGCTGAAACTTGTATTCAAAAAATTGGAGAAGTTTTCTTGCAATTGTCTGAACAAAGTTTTAATGATTCGAAAAGTTTTGAATACGTCAATGATTTATGTGAAACTTCAATGGATTGTTTTGAAAATCTTGAAGATTGTGCAGATTTTGAAGAAAGTTTCATAAATAATATTGAAGATATGTGTGCGATGTCAAAATTTGCGAATGGTGAAGTTTTCTTCGAATGTGGAAAAATTATTGATGAACACCCTGGAGCAAAATGTGTCACTGAATTCTTAACATATCCAGCGAATGTGAACGTGAGTTCTGATTCTCTTTTTTTTCATGAAATTATTATTTTTTTCAGACAACTCGCGGTGATAAGTGTGATAACTTGAATGAACGTGGAAGATGTGCAAAAGAACAAGTATCAGCTCTTTGTAGTCCAGAAGCCGTTGAAGAACTTGAAAATCACATCAACGAGCAAACTGAGAGATATAATTGTTGATTGAGGAATATCTGGAAATAAAAAAAGTTTTGAAAAATGTGTTGTTTTTGAATCACCTGGTTAGAAAAGCAGTTGTCTTTTTGTTATTTCTTGGGTTTTTTTCCCTCACTTCTTGAGGTTTTTGAGAAATCTTAAAAATGCTCATCAAACTTCTGATAATTATTGTATTTGCTTCTGCTTCTTTGGGTTTTCCGAATCCGAACAATGACAATAATCCATTTGGATGTTCGACTGAAGATTTGCAATTGACAAGCACTTGTAGACCGGTGAGAGTGTTTTTCAATCTTCAAAAATAATTTAAAAATTCTAGAAACTCACCAAATTGACTGATGAAATGAAAAAATTCCCAGCTGGAAAAGGACTTCCAGATTCAGCATCTTTGAAAGTTATGTTAAATCACTGTGAAGATGCAATGAAATGTATTGACAAAGCACAATGTTCAGCGATTAGAGATCGAACAAAAAATTTCAAAACAATGTGTGAGACTATCAAATTTCTTGGAGAATCGTATGGGCAATGTTCGAAAACGGTTAGTTCTTATAATCTAATTATTAAATATCTCTTCATAACTGAAAAATCAGTTTTTTACAGTTGAAAGAATCAACATCAAAATCAGAATGTTCAACTTGGTTTTATTCGGACAAAAGTCATATGTCAAACAAAGAAAATTGTGATGGTTTCAAACAACGAAAAGATTGTATTCAGAAAGATGTTCGAAAAACTTGTGGAGCTGAAGTTGAACAAAACTTCAACCAAAATCTTGGATTCATTATGAAACAAGTTGGATGTGTGTAAATGTTTTTATGTTTGAAAAATTTTGACAAAATTGTGTAGCAAATAAAAGTCGTTGGAAAAAACAAAAGAAAATATGTACCATGCTCAAGCAAACTTTTTGCAACCATTAATTAGATTAGAGTAGAATTCTAGTACATTTATTATATTCAATTGAAAAATATGGAAATTGTAGGAACGAAAATTATAGGTTAAACTTGTGAGTTGCGCGTGATTGGTAAATCAATGCTCACTGGGATAATGGCGTGAACTCCAAGTAATTGTTTGAAAGCATATCTGGAAAATATATAAGTGTTCATTCAACGTTTTGTTTCTCAATACCGATATGGAGCAATATAGTAAATTGTAAACATTGGAGTGGCTGATGCTAATAAAATCAGAGGAAGCCCGACTGAATTTTCTACTAAAGGACTTTGAAAATCATTTTGAAATGTTGAAACAATGTGAAGAATGAAGCCAAGAATTTGAAACAATGGAGATGTGATTTGGATCAAAAGAATCTGAATTATATTCATAATCTATATTTAGTTAACAGTGTTTCTCACTTTCATCAAAGATTTCTGCATAGTTTTTAATCCTTCACTCATTGTAAGTGATGCTAGTTTTTTATTGATTCGGGATCGACAAACCAAGCCGAAAATTATTGTGACAAAATTCAAAATCAACATTAATCCTTCTGAAATAACATCAGGGAACTTCGAAACATTGAGAATAGCATAATATATCCAACCAGATCCATATAATTCTGGTTTTACACGCATTATTAATTCATCAATTTGTTCTAGTGGAACGATATTAGAAACAGCAAGATAAATTGTGAATAGTAATGCAATACAGCAAAAAGTATAGCAAATCCAATTAACTTTGGATGCTGTAATCGGGTTTTCAGGGTTTACAACAATTCTTTCTCGATAATACAATGAAAAAATGATAACGAACAGACTAAACAGATAACCATGAGCTCCAAATGTGTAAACTGAAAGAAATAACATAATCGGATGAAATGGAAATAAAACTCTTACTGAAAAAGCAGACATAAGGCTTGAGATTTTGGTTGATTGGGAAATATTTTGCAAATCCGTGGAACATTAAGACAATTGAAGTACCAGTTGAAAATATTCGTGAACTTTTGAGAATTGCACAGAGAGAAATTGTGAGGTCACAAATTGCACCAAGCCGAATAACAGTTCTGAATTAATTTCAAAAATTATTTTATTAAGTATTTTGATAAGTATACCTGTAGACGTTCATAAAATCAGGAGTATGTTTATGAATGATATACATCAAAAAAATGTTAAAAGTGACTCCTGTCAATCCAAAAAAAGAGTTCCACGATAGCGATAAAACATCAGACCAATGCTCCAACATTTGTTCTCTTCAAATATGAAAATAATTTCTACTATGCTCGAACATAATTTTTGTACCCATTAATTAGGCCAAAGTTTGATGGAGGAAGTTGGTAATGTCACCCTCGCACATCCCCCTATAATTATTGCCCTTTATTTCATGTATGTAGTGCAATATTGCAAACATCTTTGAATATTTTTGACTACATTAAAATCGTAATAAATCAAAGCAGAGCATTTGAAAAAAAATTAATTTCAAATTTTATTTTCAAAAAAAAATAGGAACGCAACAATTATTTTTTATTGTTCAAATTTGATTAATTGTACTTGAACCGATGCTTACTGGAAATACACTAGTTGCTCGACAATAACGCTTGAAAGAATTTCTGAAAAATATAATGTTTGTAAATTTATATTTAAAACTGAATGGTGACTAAATTTAAAATTTTCACTTCTTGGATCCGAAAATAGTTTTGAATAAGGATTGCAGGTCAAATTTGTGAGTTACGCGAATTTACTGAATCGATGCTAACTGGGATAATGGCGTGAACTCCGAGTAATTGTTTGAAAGCATATCTAAAAGGTATAAAAGTGTTTATTCAACTTTGTATTTCTCAATACCGATATGGAGCGATATAGTAAATTGTAAAAATTGGAGTGATTGATGCTACTGAAATCAAAGGAAGCTCGATCAAATTTTCCACTAAAGGACTTTGAAAATCATTTTGAAATGTTGAAACAATGTGAAGAATCAAACCAATAATTTGAAACAATGGAGATGTGATTTGGATCAAAAGAATCTGGAATGAGAATATTTTTGGGATTCAAGTGAAATTCTTTCTCACTTTCATCAATGATTTTTGCATATTTTTCATTCCTTCACTCATTGGAAGAGATGATAGTTTTTGATTGATTCGGGATCGACAAATCAATCCGAAAATTATTGTGATGAAATTCAAAACCAACATCAATCCTTCTGAAATAACATCAGGGAACTTCGAAACATTGAGAATAGCATAATATATCCAACCAGATCCATATAATTCTGGTTTAACACGCATTATTAATTCATCAATTTGTTCTAGTGGAACGATATTAGAAACAGCAAGAAAAATAATATACGGTATTGCAATACAGCAAAAACTATAGCAAATCCAATTAACTTTGGATGCTGTCAATGGATTTCCATAGTTTGTGACAATTCTTTCTCGATAATACAATGAAAAAATAATAACGAACAGACTGAACAGATAACCATGAGCACCAAATGTGTAAACTAAAAAAAATGACACAATTGGATGTAACGAAAAAAACTTACTGAAAAAGCAGACATAAGGCTTGAGATTTTGGTTGATCAAAAAATATTTTGAAAATCCGTGAAACATTATAACAAGTGAAACACCAGTTGAATAAACTCGCACACTAATTAAAAATGCGCAAAGAGAAATTATGAGATCACAAATTGCTCCAATTCGAATAACAGTTCTGAATGAAAGTTTGAAAATGTATCATTGTTTCTGATAAACACTTACCTGTAGACTTTCATGAATTCAGGAGTATATTTGTGAAATAAGTACAGAAGAAAAATATTAAAAATAATACCAGTTATTCCGAAAAAAGAATTCCATAATAATGATAGCACATTAGACCAATGCTCCAACATTTTTTTTTGTTCAGTTCAGTTTCAAACATGTTTTTTCCTCAAACTTTCGTAACCAATAATTAAATTCAGAATCGATGGAACAAATCAGAAATGTCATTTCAGTATTTTGACATTTACATTGCCAGTGACTAGGGGCGGTGCTCCTAGGCGGAAACAGTTAGAAAATTATAAAAATTAATTTTTATCTTATGCGGCTATTCAACTCTTTTCTCAAACGCTTTCTTTGAATATTACTCGAATGATGCCCACTAAATGAATTCCAATCAATTTAAGACTGAAATCGTGAAACTTGGCTCGAAAATAATGAATTTGTAGAAATGGAAGCTCTTCTAGAATTACAAATTTTTAAACGAAAAAAAGTTGATCAAAAAATATTATTTTTCGAAGACAGTATTCAACAAAAACCGATTATCGTTGAAAGAATTCAACAAAAACCCTCTCCATAAAAATGATTATAATCTTGAAAAATTGATTAATTTTATCAGTTACAAATTGGAATTTCAGCGGAGAGAAAAAGTGATTGAGATATCAAAAATTGAAATATTTATGGATAATTTGGATATTTGGTGCTGAAAATCTTTGAGAAACTCGAGCTTTTCAATTTCTGATCATTTTTATGGAGAGTAATTCAACTAAATATTTTGATGAAGAACAACCCAATAAATGAGTAGAAAAAGTGATCGAGATATCAAAAATTGAAATATTTATGGATAATTTGGATATTTGATGCTGAAAATCTTTGAGAAACTCGAGCTTTTCAATTTCTGATCATTTTTATGGAGAGTAATTCAACTAAATATTTTGATGAAGAACAACCCAATAAATGAGTAGAAAAAGTGATCGAGATATCAAAAATTGAAATATTTATGGATAATTTGGATATTTGATGCTGAAAATCTTTGAGAAACTCGAGCTTTTCAATTTCTGATCATTTTTATGGAGAGTAATTCAACTAAATATTTTGATGAAGAACAACCCAATAAATGAGTAGAAAAAGTGATCGAGATATCAAAAATTGAAATATTTATGGATAATTTGGATATTTGATGCTGAAAATCTTTGAGAAACTCGAGCTTTTCAATTTCTGATCATTTTTATGGAGAGTAATTCAACTAAATATTTTGATGAAGAACAACCCAATAAATGAGTAGAAAAAGTGATCGAGATATCAAAAATTGAAATATTTATGGATAATTTGGATATTTGATGCTGAAAATCTTTGAGAAACTCGAGCTTTTCAATTTCTGATCATTTTTATGGAGAGTAATTCAACTAAATATTTTGATGAAGAACAACCCAATAAATGAGTAGAAAAAGTGATCGAGATATCAAAAATTGAAATATTTATGGATAATTTGGATATTTGATGCTGAAAATCTTTGAGACACTCAAGCTTTTCAATTTCTGAATTTTCTTGTAAACAAATCTATATTTTTTTGATCAACTTTTTTTTGGTCAAAAATTTGTAAATCTGGAAGGTCTTCCAGTTTTACAAATGCATAATTATCGATCCAAATTTCAAGATTTTAGGCTTAAAATTTTTTTAGGCTTAAAAAACACTCGAGGTCGTATAATTCGTGGATCCATGATATCTAAATCATTAATTTTTCAAAATTCATGAAAAAAAATGATATCTAAAAGTTTTGAATCACAAAAAAATTTTTTTGATGTTTGAAAAAGTGCCACATAGACTTTGCCCGTCAAAATTTGTTTGGCTCAAAATATTTTCCACAATTTTTATACAACAAAACGCAGTAAGACCACTCTCTAACTTGTAAGGTTCTCAAAACTTATTCTAGAAATTTTCAAACAGTGAGTTTTTAATATTTTTTGTGCTCTAATCTCACCTGTTAGTTTTGCACGCCCCCCCGCCCAAACTTCAAAATAAACTAACTTGACTGGCCGCTCGTTCCGTGAGAAGTTGTTGATATCTTTGAATGTTCTGTCCAAACGAAACATCTTCTTTTTCGGAAGCCTGAAACTTCTACATTCATTTTCTCAAAATTTTCGCCTATTCTTAAACTTACATCAGAAAATGACAATTGTGGATTTGATGGGAACGCTGCATTCTGTGATGGTTGTCTCTAAAAAATAAGAAACACTTTCTGCACTGAAAAAAACCACTCAAAAACCAGAAAAAAAGCAAAAAAAAAACGTTCAATCAATAATTTCTTTTCAAATAAAAAATACATATCTATCTCTCTCTCTCTCTAACCCTCTCCCCATTTTCCACACTCTCTCGTCTGCCCTGCACAAAAAAACACGCTAAACAACGCGCACGCGGAGTATCGTTGTTTCGCTTTTATTTTTTTCCCCACGACATTTTTATGTTTTTTTTTCTGGTTTTTGAGTGGTTTTTTTCAGTGCAGAAAGTGTTTCTTATTTTTTTAGAGACAACCATCACAGAATGCAGAAGTCCCATCAATTCCACATTTGTTATTTTCTAATGTGAGTTTAAGAATAGGCGAAAATTTTGAGAAACAGAATGTAGAAGTTTCAGGCTTCCGAAAAAGAAGATGTTTCGTTTGGACAAAACATTCACAGATATCAACAACTTCTCACGGAACGGGCCAGACAAGTTAGTTTATTTTGAGGTTTCGGGGGGGGGGGACAAAACTAACAGGTGAGATTAGAGCACAAAAAATATTAAAAATTCACTGTTTCAAAATTTCTAGAATAAGTTTTGAGAACCTTACAAGTTAGAGAGTGGTCTTACTGCGTTTTGTTGTATAAAAATTGTGGAAAATATTTTGAGCCAAACAAATTTTGACGGGCAAAGTCTATGTGGCACTTTTTCAGACATCAAAAAAAAATTTTGTGATTCAAAACTTTTAGATATCATTTTTCATGACTTTTGAAAAATTAATAATTTAAAAAAATTCAACAAAAACAGAAATTGTGATTTTCGTTGAAAAAATCAAAATATTTAGTTGAATTACTCTCCATAAAAATTATCAGAAATTGAAAAGCTCGAGTTTCTCAAAGATTTTCAGCATCAATTTGAATTGAATTTTTATTTAGAATGTTATAAATTAACCGGCACATAAAAATAGTGAGATCAAAGGGAGAGAGAAAAAAAGGGGTAATTCACATTGTTGTGAAGCGCAGTCTTTTAATTATAAATTTATTGAGAAAAATAATATTAGAATAAAAGACAACCACAATACTTTAAAACGCAAGACAAAAAAAACCTAGTAATTTGACCCTTTGATTACCTAAAACAACCGCTAGAAATAAACACACAAAAATCTCACTTCTAAAAAACGCGCAACGACACACACAAAACAAAAACATCAAAACAAAGATGGGCGGTTGTGTGCTGTCTCCCAAACCACGTCACACGTTCACGTGCAATTATTATTTAATAAAGAGAAAAAGGTCAATTCTTTTTCCTCTTTTATTGTTTATTTTTTTAACCATTCTAACACCTCCCCCGTAAGTGTAGCCTTCGCAATAAAAATAATGATGATGATAACGTGGGTGACGATATAAGGAGATTGGTTGAGATGAAGTTGGAACAGCGACACATAATAATTTAAGAGCGATTGAAGAGTACATGGTGTAACGCATTCACATGGCACAAGGGTCAAAACGCACGACTGGTCGGCGGATTCGAGTTGAACGGCGGACAGCTTCAGATTTGACCATAGATCTTCCACGACGTTGATGACTGCCGGCGGGTGGGTTCGGCGTAGAATTTTGTGGGGAATTTTTGAGAATTGACCTTGGGTTTGAGTTTGAATTTACACCGTGTTTGGGTTCAGATAGTTTGGGAGAATCAGCCCTAGCACTAGATCGGGGAAAAAAACATGGGAGGGGGATCTTACTGGGTCTCAAACAATTTTCATTCAAACTTGCGGGAACATTTTCAACAGCTACTGGACAATTTGACGAAGACGGTGAACTTTTTGACGAGGACAGGGTGGTTGGCATGGGACTTTGGACAATTTCAGAACTGGATGGGTTGTTTCCAGAGATGCTGACAGAAGTGGTGTTTCCAAAATGGTTAACAGAAGGACGACGAGGAACTGAAATTTCGGAATTTTTTATTGGCAATGCAAAAATATCAGAGATCTTTTCCAACCATAAATTTGAATCTGAAGATTCTCTGGTTATACTCTGATCCAAAAATAATTGATTAAAATGAACTTTCCTCAATAATCCGTTATGTCTCACTAGACATATCACTCGACCAAGCAATTTTTCCACCACCGCCTTCTCCCACTTAAACCCATTTTGATGATACTTCTTGATGAAAACCGTATCACCAACTTTAATCACTTTCTCCCTGACTCCATTCTTTTTATCAAAAAGCCTCTTCATATTAATTTTGTCAAAATTTCGGCCACCCGACTTACTCTTGGTTGGATGCAACAAGTCCAACCTGGTCCGAATTTTTCTTCCCATCAATTTCTCCGCTGGCGATAACCCATCAACTCCAGGTGTCGCACGATAACTCAGCAAAAATTTATCCAAGACTTCTTGTGACACCTTCTCCTCCCCCCTCAGCTTTCTTAGTCCTCTCTTCAACGTGTCCACAAATCTCTCGGCTTGTCCATTTGATTGTGGGTGGAAAGGTGGGGTTCGGATGTGCTCAACTCCATTTTCCGCACAAAAATCCGCAAACAATTTGGATGTGAACTGGGTTCCATTGTCTGACACAATGGTTTCCGGAATTCCATTCCTTGCAAAAATGGAACTTAGTAAACTTACGGTGGAACTAGCTGAAATAGATTTAGTCAACTTAACTTCAGGCCATTTAGTTTTGGCATCAACAACAACTAAATAATAATAACCAAATTCAGGCCCAGCGTAATCGATATGAATACGCTGCCATGGCTGATCTGGCGTTGGCCAAGGTTCCAGTGGCGCTTTTGGTGTGGTTTTCCGATTTTCCTGACAATTTCGGCAACCATTCACATAACTAATAATGTCCTTATCTAGTCCCGGCCAATATACACAAGTCCTTGACAATCTTTTCATCCTTTCAATACCAGGATGATTTTCGTGGAGTTCCTTGATCACTCGACTTCTCAACACTGACGGAATAACTACCCGATTGGAAACAAGCAAACATCCTTCCAAAATCGATAATTGTTCCACTTTATTGTAATACAGTCTCATTTCCGGTTCCATATCTTTCGATTTTGGCCATTTCCCATGAATCAGTTGTTCCATTATGATTGAGATGTTCTCATCATTTTTAGACGCGTTAGCAATTTCGTGTGCTAATAATGGTAACTTCCGGATACATTCATTCACTACATTCATTTCCGAGTTTGTCTCCTCAATGCTCGCAATGACTCGATCTTCTTCCTCGGTCGGAAACTGTTGGATCATTCTTGACAATGCATCCGCTTGACCAAATTTGGTGGTTTGGACATACTCTATCTGGAAATTGTAGCCCAACAAAATAGTAGCCCACCGTAACAACCGATTTTGAGAGTAAACTGGAAGGTTCCTATTTTCAGAAAAAATAGCTAGGAGTGGCTTGTGGTCGGTGCGTAACAAGAACTGACGGCCAAACAAATATTGATGAAACTTCTTGACTGCAAATATTAAGCCCAGTGCTTCTTTCTCAATTTGCGAGTAATTCTTCTCGGCTGACGATAAAGATTTTGTTGCATGATGAATCGGCTTCTCGGAACCATCGGGCATTCGATGTGAAATAACCGCTCCTATTCCATAATCACATGCATCCGCAGCTACAATGATTGGCAGGTCTGGGTTATAATGTGTCAAATTTAGATCTGATGCCAGCGTGTTTTTCAGCTCTTCGAATGCTTGATGTTCCACGTCACCCCAATTCCATTCGACATCTTTTTGAATCAACCGATCCAGCGGGCCTCTCTTGACCTTCATTTCTGGAATGAATGCACCATAATACGTAATCATACCCATAAATGATTGTAACGTTTTGACGTTGGTTGGCGGCGCCATATTTCTGATTGGATCGGTTTTTGCTGGATTTGGTCTTCGTCCGTTTGCATCAATCTTGAAGCCCAAAAATTCGATTTCTGTCTGCCCGAATCTACATTTTTCCAACTTCACACGAAATCCGTACTCCGCAATCCTTTCAAACAGCTTCAACAAATTCTTCCGATGTTCCAACTCATCACGACCCATCACTATAATGTCGTCCAAATACGCTGCACATCCAGTCAATCCTGATAACATTTTGTCCATAATATTCTGAAAAATCGCCGGTGCCACTTTCAATCCAAACGATAATCTCTCATACTCATACAATCCTTGATGAGTGTTGATAACACACAATTCTGACGAAGCCTTATCCAATTCAAGCTGTAAATATGCATCGGCCAGATCAATTGTTGAAAAAATTACCCCACCGTTTAGTTTGGCAAAAATATCTTGTGGTCGGGGCAGCGGATGTTCATTTGGTGCTAGTACCGCATTCAGCCCAGTTTTGAAATCCGCACATAATCGAGTTGCACCATTCGATTTTTTGACATAGACTACTGGAGCCGCCCATTTTGCATATGATACTTTCTTGATCACACCAAGCTTCAATAGTCGTTCAATTTCCGCTGACGCGGCTTCAAGTGATCCATATGGTACAGGTCTGGCTTTCCGAAAAACTGGTTCGGCTTCCGGCAACAATTTGAGAGATACTTTTTCTTTGGTACAAGTTCCCAACCCTTTCTCAAACACGGCAGGATACTTTCCACTCAACTCCACCGAAATATCCGAAACTTGACTCGCAATGACATTCACCATTCTCCGTAATAATTCGTGCATTTTTGGGGATGACAACAGTATATCGAGTCCTAATAAGTTCCCACCATTCTCCCGAACGTGGATGTTTCCTTTTCCCAAGTCTCCTTTGATGTTAACCTCACAATCGAAACAGCCAATCAGATCCAAATCACTGCCATTAGCACATACAACTCGGTTTGATACCATGTTCAGTTTTGGTGAACCCAATTTCACCCATTCAGCTCGATTGATAATTGTCAAATCACTTCCAGTATCCAATTGGAAATTTACGCATTTGCCGTTAATCTCCATATCCAAAAACTGCCGAATCGAATTAACCACATTACATTGTTCAATTGATTGAATTTCAGCTTTTGGCGCATTTTGACAATTCGTTGAAATATGACCCATCATACCACAATTCCAACATTCGACTTGTGACCAATCTCGTTTCACACGTGTTCTGCTTTTGCTCCGGTCATAACGTCCCGAAAAATTTCGTTGGGGATTAGAGTGGGGGTGGAGAACGGAATGTTTACCTTTATCCGGCTTTTTTGGATTCTTTTGTGCCGAAATCTGTTGGACTTTACCTGGATTACTTATCTTCTCTGAGTCAGCCTTGAGACTCAATCTGCGCATCCATTCTTCATATAAATCCTTGATAGTCTTCTTCTCCGAAGTCTTATCATAATCCATAAAATCCAACAAATGATTCCGCATAACAATATCTTCAGCTTCTTCTAATCCGCGAATAAAGAAAAAGCATTTCCAATCCTCCATTTCGATGTCTGCGAGCTTTGCCTTTTCGCAAGTTTCATTTACTCGATTTGTGAAGGCCATTGGTGATTCATTCACTTTTTTCAGATTCATACACTCAAATCTTTTCCGAAACAACGATTGCTGAACATCGAATAGTCTTTTTCAAATTACTCACGATTTCATCAAATTCCAACTCGCTCGGGTGTTTTGGTGAAACCGAAGCTGCCAACTGATCATATACATCGTCTTCGAGTTTTCCCAACAACACTTGACATTTCGATTCTTCTGATGCTTCCGATTTTTCAAATATGTTTCCATAACGCGACCAATATTTTTCAAAAGTTCTGCCATCCTCCAAATTAAATTCGAATTTTGGTGTCCGATTTGATAAGCTATTCACACGGTGAGATTCTCCTCTACTATCTCCACCAGCAGAAGCCCTTTGTTGATTCGTCACGACTTCCAATGTCGCACGAAACTGCTCTGACAATTGTTGGAATTGCTCCATAATCCTCGCGACATCCGCATTTCCTTGACCGTTTGCCATATTACAATAATCACGGCTCCTCAAGCTCTCAATCTAAACGCTGCAGCAACTACTAGAATTTGGTCTTGAAGAATGAAAGTCAGTTTATACTAGGTTCGCTTGCGCAATTTTCCTATTTTGAGTTCGAAAAATGATCGCCACTGTTGTGAGGCGCAGTCTTTTAATTATAAATTTATTGAGAAAAATAATATTAGAATAAAAGACAACCACAATACTTTAAAACGCAAGACAAAAAAAACCTAGTAATTTGACCCTTTGATTACCTAAAACAACCGCTAGAAATAAACACACAAAAATCTCACTTCTAAAAAACGCGCAACGACACACACAAAACAAAAACATCAAAACAAAGATGGGCGGTTGTGTGCTGTCTCCCAAACCACGTCACACGTTCACGTGCAATTATTATTTAATAAAGAGAAAAAGGTCAATTCTTTTTCCTCTTTTATTGTTTATTTTTTTAACCATTCTAACACACATGAAATCGAAAAATAAATAGGGTGAATAAAATAACTTCCCAAATTTTTAAAAGACCTAAATCCCGCAAGAGACCTGGTCAGTTGGAGGTTTTGACAAAGAGATAAGAAAGAGTGTGCGAGAATCTGGCCGTAAGGGTTCATGATAAAATCGATGCGTTCAAACCATTAATCAATATTCTGAACGATTGCACTGAAGAATTCATTTCAATGAGGTGCGATAAAGAGTTCCACTTGGGAACTGTATGTGAGAAAAAAGAATTGTGGCATTTTTGAGTTAAAACTAGGCGGGCTGGGTGACGTGGAAGTGTTGAGAAGCTGATGAAGTCAAATATTTCTGGCTGGTGAGAAAATCCATTAAGGGCTTTGAAAAGATGAATAATATTGGCTCTGGATCTACGAGTATGGGTTGACACCATGTTGATCTGTTTGAGGCGATCCTCATAAGATTCAAATGGCATATTACAACGATTGAAGACTTTACGAGTGAATTGACGTAATGGATTTTCTAGGTTATTTGATAGATTTTTAGTTAGGAAGGGGTCTTAAACTTCGCTACAATATTCTAGAATGGGGAGGACATACATTTTGAAGAGAAATGCGTAGGGTTTTATTGTGCTAAAATGGAAGTTACGGAGAATTTGATTTGATCTAAGATTGGCGATATTAACAATACTGGTAGTATTTTTCTCAAACGTTAGGTTATTGTCAATTATTACCCCGAGATCCCGAACATGTTCTTTGTGCGGTATTATGATGTTGTTAGCCACGTAATTTGCTCTCTTATTTTTCCTACCGAAGTACATGACAGAAGATTTTTCCGGTGCTAATTCCATGGAATTATCCATAAATTGTCAAAATTATCCATAAATATTTCAATTTTTGATATTAATATTTCAATTTTTGCAATTGCGACATTTCGAAAATGAGAACAGGGGTGACCCCATTGAAAAATCCTTGTTCCATCGAGACACCGCCCACATACCACGCCCAGCTTCGTGCAAATTAACTTTTCAAATTGGCGGTGTGGGTTTTGAAAATTTTTGGCGAGGTGAAAACAACCTTTTTGACTGAAAAATACGACTTTTTTACGGAAAAACAAGCGAAAATTTGCTGTTTTTGAAGAAAATCTCAATTTGGCGAGGTGAATTGCCGTATTTTTCTATTGGTGCCGTGCAAATGCCTCACCCTGGGCGTGATATGACCGCCCAATCGGGATTTTTTTAAAAAGGTAGATTATTAAAAAGGTAGATTTTTCGAACACTTCAAAATGTTTTTCAGAACACATAAAAACGAGACACATAAAAACCAAAACAACTGTCTCAAAAACATTATTTCTTCAGAACGATGATTTTTCGAACTCTTTTCATTTTCTTCTTGATTTTCTACACATCTCAAGCTCTCAGCTCAGAATGTATGAAGAAAATTCGGCAATCTCGGTCGAAGCCAAATTGTCTAGAAGAATTGTTTTTTGATGAAACAAAAGTGAGTTAATTTTTTTTAATTGTTGCATTAAATAAGTACTTTTAGTATGGCTTGGCAAATAAATGTAACCTGATCAATAATTTCGAATGTTTGCAAAATGGTGTGACATCAATTTGTGGAGAAAAATCTGGAAAAGACTTCAAATCTGAAAAATCAGAACTTCTCAAAAAATATGACTGCTAAATCATTTTTTTTCCAAAAAATATAAATGATGTAATAAAATATTTCTGTGCAAGCAAGTTGATTAAAAACACGTTGCATTTTTCAATGAGTTAATGAATTATTCATTTTATCGTTTCTTCAAAAACTTTTCTATTTTTCTAATATCTAAAATGGTGTGTTCAAAGCTCACGAGCACTTTTCAATTTATCTCAAGCACTCTTCTCTGTTCTTTTTTACATCGTTTTGTGGATTAGAAGAAAAATCATTGCTGTTTGAAATATAAAAATGTAAAAAATGCCGTTTTTCACACACCAGATTTCTCCTCATTTTTTCTCGTTTGATTTATGATGCCTTTTTTCTGAATCGCATTTATACATGTTATGTATGTTTCATATAAAAAATGTATGTGCATAACTTATAATTATCAACCATGATTTGTAAGATTAATTCTGAGGAACAGGTGAAATTCTGCGTCATTTTTTTCCGGATCTGAATTGAAGTGAGTTTGTTCCAAATAATTTTTTGCTTTCAATTTCGACTAATCCTAGGTTTCAAAAAAAACCACAATTTTTTTTCGAAAATTTCGTGCTTTGCTTCCGTCAAGTGTCACTGATCTTTTATACAACAATACCTTTTTCTTGCAACATTCTTTTTCCAACTTCCGCCATTTTTTCTTTGTTATAGTTTTCTTGACCAAAACTCTGCTCTGTTACTCTACAAATTCTAAAAAAAAATGAGAAAAATTCTTCGGCACAGGTATTTTCTACTCGAGCATAAAAAGAAGGCGAAAAAGAGAACAAAAGAAATGAATATTGGAGAAGAGCAAGATGCTCTCCTAGAATCGTTGATAAATACAAAACCAGTGGTGCGGAGAAGTTCAGAGCCGCCAGTTTCAGTTTCGGCGCAACAAATACAAGCGGCATTGAATAAGGTGGGTTGGTGTTTTTTTGGGTTTGGAAATGATTGAACCACGATTTTCAGAAATGTGAAGTTTTAAATGTATTTTTTGATTAAATACATTATTTAATATTTAGGAATTTAGAAATTCGTGTAGTTTTCGAGGCGCGGGCTCTAGACAATTTCTAGATTAGAATTTTTTCCAGTACATAATTTGTAATCTGAAAGTTGTAGATTTGAAGTCACACATAAAATTAAAATTACACCCTTCGATGATTTTTTTTGAGAATTTTATGTCTTCATATTAAAATCTCGGTGTTCAAACATTTCCCACACTTTCGTACTTTATTCTTTTATTATTATTACTTGCTCTTTTTGAAAAAAAAAAAAATTTAATGGTTTTTTCAAATTGTTTTTTAAATGTAATGAAAAAGTCAGCTGGTTTCCGGCCATAAATCCAGATTGAATCATCGAATAAAAGTGTCGTAAAATTTTGAGATTTGAACTTTTTCTCTAGTTTCCCCACTCAAATTGGATTTGTTTGGTTTCAGAAAATCTGTGGCTCTTGCCAGACTGAAAAGAGGAAAAACAACAAAATTGTTGTTTTTGAGCCAAACTTTTTTCAATGTTTTATTAGATCTCTGGGTTTTTGTTTTCAATGGGCAAAAAATTTTGGGGGCAGAAAAAAAATGTAAATTTATTCAAAAAAAAATGTCTGTTATCCCACGCCCCGAAAATTAGGTGCCAAAAACCAATTGAATTTTTAATTAGAAATTTTTCGTGCATTTTTCAAACATTTTTTAGCTTTTGTCGAAAAAATTATGTGGTTGGTTTTGGTAAGTGCTGACTTTTAGTCTTCGGGACTCCGATATGAAACAAAAAATTTTTATATAAATAAATAGGAATATTTTTTGCAGGAGCGAAACGAAAGACGAAGAAGACGAGCAGAACAAAGAAGTTATTCGGTGACGAGAAAAACTGTGAGCCGATTTCGAAGCAAATTAATTTTATTCGATCCAGAGGTTTGTATTTTCAATAATTAGTTGTTGTTTGAAATTTGAAACCTGGATGAACACTCTCTCCGGAAATGACGATGTTCCTTTTTATCCTAAATATTTGTTGAGAGTTCCAAAAAAAGTGTTGTTTTGTTCTTTTAGAGGAAATTTCGCCTTAATTATCCATCGCCATCCCCATTCTTGACAAAAACAACTTTTTTCTTGATTGAATTTTTTGTCCACTATAAGAAAAATAAGAAGGAAAAGGAACTAGTACCTGACTAAAAGTGTTCCAGACAAGCACTTTTGGTTTGTGAATTAGACTAATTTTTTGTGTTCCTTTGACTTGCAGAAAAAGTGTTTTTCTCACATGATTTCTGATTTGTCAGCTTGTGATTAATTTTTTTGAATACTCGACTGGAGTTATAATTATGCTCACATAGGCTCATTTCTAGTTTTCTAGACATATGATTCATTTTCTGGAAGTTTTTATTTACTTTTGCAAAAACTTTTTTGTTGGACTTTTTTATGAGAAGCAAGATTGGAAACATCTAGTTTATTCGATTTTTTTACATTTTGAAAATTTGGTCAGAAATTCCCAGAATCTAAAGATTGAAACTTTCAACAACACATGACTTTTGCAATTTTGTAACTTGATCCCTTTTTCTTCCAAAAAAATTAGCCCTTTTATCTTTAAGCTTTTCTTCTTCTTCTTCTTGTTCTTCTCACGTCCTTTATACTTTCAAGTGTTTTTTTTCTCCCGCTTATTTTCCATGTGTTCTTTCTCGTTTTCAAACCTTGTCAAAAAATGTTTTGTTATCCAAAATTGGATTCCATTTTTTTTCATTCTTCGTTTTTGATGACAACACAAAAAAGTGCGGATTTTTCTCACTCGTTTTTTTTCAAAAAAAAAAGTTTTTATGAGCTTTTTTTGGTTCGAAAAAATGTCATTTTCATGTGGAAGAAGAATATATTGAGAGAAAGAATAGCGGATTATGAATCTGTTTTCTTTGATCATTTTTATTAATTTTTTCAGGAAATGTGCCTTTGCGGTTTGTTGAGCATAACACATTCGGTACATTTAATTGTTTGTATTGAGGTTAGTTTCAACATTTTTAATTTCAAATTTTGAATGAAAACTGGCCAAATATCGTAGATCAGTTTGTGAAAAACATCTCCAACTAAACTAGAAAAATTAGGAAATATCTTTCAGATTTTCTTCGCATTAGTTCTCCTTATTCAAGCTCCTGATCTTCTCACGATGGATGGAACTTATTTTTATTTTCTCGGACTTTTTGATGGAACCGGTGTATTCTTTTTCAGCTTGCATGTCTCAGGTAACATTTTTATACCGTTTTTTTCGAATCTAGGATTTTTTCTCGAGAAAAAAATTATAACATTTTTGCAAATAAAACTTGTTAGAGCATGTTTGCTCTTTTCTCAAATCATTTTTCTTTTTTCCAGTTTGCGTCACGTGTATTATATCATCTGGAATTCTATATTTAGGATCGCGTAAACAAATCGCCTCTTTAATCCTTCCCCATTTATTATGGCAATTTTCATTCATATTGATATCACTTTCAGCAATAATCAGTGAGTTCTTGTAAATATGAATCGAGAAAAATAAGCTGACTAAAGATGTGGGGGTATAGCTCAGGGGTAGAGCGCTCGCTTCGCATGTGAGAAGTCTGGGGTTCAATTCCCCATACCTCCAAATTTATTTTTTTTTTCAAATTTCTCACCAAGTTCAAGAATTTCAGCACTAATGACCCTCGGACTCAAAGGTAAAATGCTGCTACCGGCGAGCATAGTATTGAGCTCAATGATGGGTGTTGCTGGTGGATGTGAAGTTTGGTGGTGTTTATTATCATTGGCGTATTATAGATTTATTCGAGATGGAAAAAACCATTGGATTGATGATAACTCAAGGCATAACTTGGTTTGATTTATATTTTTTAAGCTTTTTATGATTTATGAGTATTAGTTTACGGGTCGAAAATTCATATTGTTGTGATTTTATATGTATGAATTTGTTGTTTTTTTCTAGTGCGGCTAGAAATAAATAAATACATTCTATTTTATTTTTGGTTTCAAGAATTCTTTTAATAGTTTTGATGTTTTTGAGAGATAACAACAAAATGGAAAACAAGTTTGTTAGCTGGATACCATAAAATTGAACCCAATTGCTCTTCCTCTTTTTCTTCTTCTCTCGTATTTTGTGGCACAGATTGTGTTCCTCGAAATAAAAAATCCCACTTCAAGTTCTGAAGATGTTTAGATGAACATACATATTTTGTTTTCTTCCTGCAGACAAAAAATCGAATTATTCATATTATTAGTTGTGGTTTTCCACACTCTCCTATTTATTTTTGCCAGTATTTTTTTGATGAAGATGAAGAAGAAGATGAAGAAAAAACAACATTCATGGGTTTCTTATTATTTTTTTTTGGCCTCTTGTTTTTTTAAAGGAAAGAAATCCTATTTCAGTTTCAATTGTGTTTTGTTCCTCGTCGTTTTTTGTTAAACGATGTTTTGCCTACCAGTGAAAGGTAACTCGATTTGTATTCAGTTTCTTCTTCGTTTTTTTTTCAATCTACGGATTTCCGGTTTGATTTTGGTTTCTTTTTTTTTGTTTGAAAAAACTAAGCCGGATGTCTGATGTGAATTTAGATTATCACGCAATTTCAGTCAGAACTTTTTTGTAAGTGAATTTTTTTCACAGAAAAAATGAAGAGTGTGTGAGAAATCGTATAGCCAAAAGAAAAAATACAAATTTCTATTTTTCACCTAACATAAAATAGTCTAAATTTGTAGCTAGTTGTACGATTTCCCACGAAGTCTTATCTTGTTTTCTTTTTCATTTTCTCCTTTTTTTTCTTCTCGAGTGTTCCTGAACTTGTCGTTTTTTCTGTTAAAACTAAAAAAACGCCATTAATTTTGAAAAAAAGGATGCGCTCCATTCATAAATGATCAGTTTTGTGTCCTCTCTTTTTATTCTCATTTTGCTTATCTTTTCTCCATTTTTTTCTGAAATAAAATGTTTTTTTGAAAAAATAATTACCTCCTGACAATTTTTTGCTCACACACAATATAAATCAAAAAATTTTTTGTTTGAAAAAATAATTTTTCAGAGGGTGTTACAGCAGCAATTATCATCGGTTTTCTCACCGAATCACTCACAATTTTATCTCAGCTCAACGAGTATCGAGAGACACTTTACATTATTTTTGGAATTGTTTGTTTGGTTTCATGGTTGTGTTTTAATTTGTGGGCATTGAGGTGAGCTCTGAAATATTTGGTAGATCACAAAAAAAAGTCCAAAATATGGCTTCCGGAAATTTTTTGTTCAAAAATACTATGTAGGTCAAAAAATTTTTTCAAAGAAGCAGAATAGTGGGTGTAGTTATTTTTAAAATTCAACTCAAATCATTTCCTGTAATGAAAAAATGACGAAAAAAAATTGTGATCAATTCATTTTCCCCAATTTTTCTCCCGAATGTTTAATCGCCGAAAACGGAAGTATTTTTCGAAAAAGTATCCTTATTAGGAGTTCAGGACACAAGTCATTATGAAGATTTTGACAACTGGGAGATGACAGCTTTTTTTATACTCATTTCAAAAATCCAAATATGTTTCTATGATGAGAATTAGGACTAACAATAATAATTGTGACATTTTTAAACAGAAGAAACGGAAATGATGTCCCTTAATCTAAAGTTCGAAACAAAAAATAATGGTTTCCGGAAGTTCGTGGGAAAATTATTTTTGTTTTTTTTTTCAGAATTTAAAATGTTTTAAATGAAACACGAGATGATTAATGCTAAATAATTAATGCCAAATAATTTTTTTCCAGAGAATTTTTCTGCCCAGCAATATTTGGAAGACGACCAAATCCGAGTGAAGATAGACTCGCATTTATCAAACTGAAATATGTGTCGAGGTAACTTTTTAGCGTTTCTTGAAATTCCACCAAACAAAACTGTTTTCCAGTGGCAAATTCTTAATCAATCTAACCAACCAAAATCGACGCGAAGAAATTGAGATGAATAATTTGCAAATTTTTGTTGTCTGAAAATTTTCTTTGTCTTCTTTTATTTTCTTCTTTCATTTGAAATTTCATTTTATTTTTATTCTTTGTTTTTATCCACATCAAAATGAATATTTTTATTCTCAACTTTTCGATTTCCGCTTGCCCGCCAGCCCGTCACGCGTAATTTTTCATATGAAACAAATTCTTTTCATTTGAAATACACCCCCGACTCAACCAAAAAAAGGGAGGTACTTTCAGGAGTATATTTTTTGCTCCACTCGTTTTTATTTGACATTTTTTGGTGAAGTGTCTGTCTGAAAATACTTCTTTTCGTTTTCAAAGAAACCTGAAAAATTGTTATTTTGATGGTTGTTTTTGTCGGAGATTTTTTCTTCATGAGCAAAATTAATTGGTTCTCTTTTTATTATTTGTATTTGGTGTTCCGTTTTCATTTTTTCATTTTTCATTTTTGAAGAATTTCAGAATGTTCAACAAAATCTTCTCAATTTTTGTGGTCCTCCTTGTTTTCCTCCATATTTCTGATTCTCAACGTGTTTTTGATATGATGGATCAACAGACCAATTTTATGAAGCCAAGGTTTTTCAAAAAGTTTTTCTTTGCCTCAAAATCATTTTGAATTTTTCAGCACTCGATTTTTCAACAAAATCCCATTGCAAACCATCTATCAACGTCGTAATTATTTTTCTGGTCCTTTCAGATTTTCAATGCGTAAAGATTTTCAAAAATGAATAAATAAATATTAAGTGTTGACCTTCACGTGTTCTTTTTTTTTCAGCGGGGGCAAAAATTTTCAGTATGGGTATTTCAGAATAACTCGGTTCTTGGAAAATGCAGAAAAATTTGTTCTACTCGACTATTAGTGCTAGATTCAGGTACTGTAGAATTTTGAAACAAATTCCTGAAAAAAATTAAAATTGTTTCAGTTTGTCATCTCGACGTGAATTCAACAAAACATTCTATCACAAAGATTTGATTGTCAAAAAATCGCCAACATCTTGCCTTGATCAAATACCAAAAGATGTTGGTAAACTCGGATTCGGTCAAAACTTCAGTGATCATATGGTTGATGTTGTTTATACTGATGACAAAGGATGGGGTGCCCCAAAAATTCAACCCATTTCTGATTTCCGAATTCATCCAGCAGCCAGAGCTTTGCATTATGGTGTTCAGTTGTTTGAGGGAATGAAAGCTTATCATGGAGTTGATGGGAAAATCAGATTATTCCGCCCTGAAATGAATATGTTGCGAATGAAAAGAAGTGCAGAAAGAGCTTGTTTACCAGATTTTGATGTTGAAGAAGCCCTCAAAGTTATTGATAGTATTGTGAGACTCGAACACAAATTCATTCCAAAATCAAGAAATGGTGCACTTTATGTAAGACCATTTATGCTAAGTGCCGAACCAACGATGAAAGTTGCAGCTGGAGGAGAAGCTAGATGGGCGGTTTTGACAAATCCAGTTGGATCGTATTTCAAACCAAATGATAAAGGAGTCACATTGCTTGCTGATCCAGGGTATGTTAGATCGTGGAAAGGTGGAGTTGGTGAATTTAAAATGGGATGTAATTATGCGCCAACAATCTTTGTTAACAAGTAAGTAAGGCCTTCTTATTCTCAACAAACAACAAACTCCAGGGCTGCTATGAAAATGGGATGTGATCAAGTAATGTGGTTATCTGGAGAGAATCGACTTGTCACCGAAGCTGGAGCTATGAATCTATTTGTTTTCTGGAAAAATGAGCAAGGAGAAGATGAGTTGATAACTGCTCCAGTCAGTTCTGGTCTCCTTTTACCTGGTGTCACTCGTGATTCTGTTATTGAACTCGCCAAAGAATGGAATGAATTCAAAGTTACTGAAAGAAATTTCACAATGGATGAATTGAGTAGAGCAATCAAAGAGAAACGTGTTCATGAATTCTTTGTATCTGGAACAGCTGCTACAGTACTTCCAGCTCAGAAAATTATTCACAAAGATCAAGAAAAGGGAATCGATGATGTTTTGCATATTGATACAACTGGAAGCAAATTCAAACTTCATGAAAGAATTTTCAAAACAATCACTGGAATTCAATATGGCGAAATTGAACGCGAAAAATGGCAAAGAATTGTGACTATTTGATGAATTTGTGTAATTAGTTGTACAATGTCAATTTTTGGTGTATTCAAAATTGGTTCAAATTATTCTTATTTTCTTTTTTTGATGCCTCGCATATTTTTCATACTGTTCAATTGTGCGCGCGCGTTTTATTTTTAAGAAAATGGAAAAATTTCGAAGTTGTCTATTGATTAAATTCGATTAATTCCTTTGTTACACTTTTTTTGAAAAAAAAAGAAAAATTCTGGCGAAATTTCAAAATTCCAAGTTTGGAAGATCTTAAAAACCAGTTCAAAACAATAAAGTCCAAACGCCACCCAAAAAAGAATTGACCTCATGTATGATTTTGTTGTGCGCCCCTTTTTTGTTGCCCCGCTATCAATAAAATGTGCCTCATCAGAACAAAAAGTGAGGAGCGCGCGCACATGAAGTTCTGTTCTTTCTCGTTCCCACACACTATTTCCTCAACGTCAACTATATTTTTTTGTTGCCCGTCTTCTTTTTCTGCTTGCTGCGCTTGTTGCCAGAAGCAAACACAACCATATATGTGGCATATATGCCCCGCGCGCCCTAACTTTTTTCCGAAAAAAAAATTGAAAAAAAAACTATAATTTTTGTGGGAAACAGGAGACGGGTTGTTTTTGGTTAGTTGGTTGGACGAAATTTTCAGCCTTTGTTGTCTTTTTTGACCAACCATAGGAGACGGGTTTTTGATTCTCACATAACTGTATTTTTTGTAACTTGAAGACGATGAACTTGTTTTGTTTTTTTGTGTTTTTTCTTTCGCTTGGTTTTTGTTCGAAAAAAAATGTTGCGAGAATTTGTTGCGCACAACAGTTGTTCTCGCGCATTTTTGCGCCCCCGGAAAAGTTTACAATTCTCCATCTCTATTTCTCTTCTCTCCTATTTTACATTTTTCATTTTTAAACAATTTTCGCGCATATGATTTTCATTTGGTTGACTCAAAAAAAAGATGGGCTGCGAGACGAGCGAAAAATCAAATATTTTGTGCCAAAAAATTATAGCTCCGCGCACCCTTTTTGTCCTGGCTGCCCATCTCCATCCATCCAATTTTATTCAACGTCTCCTCTGTTTTTTCATTTATTTTAATTTCAATTGTTTCTTCTACTCGCAAGAGGACGTCTCAAAAAAAGTCGTGATTTTTTCTTCATTTTTCGTGGAAGAAGAGGAACCTCTTCAATAAAAAAAGATGAAGGTTCCAAAAGGTCACGTGAAAATTAAAGTCTTACGTGACCTTTGCTTGAACCTGACACGTTGAACATTTCAGCATTTTTAGTGTTTATATTTTTGCGAGTTGCTTTTTACTACTGCCAGATGTTTGAAAGCTTGTGGGTTTTTTTGAAAATTGGGTTTCTTGGGGATAAGAAATGAGAGAGTGTGGGTCACGTTTTGACGTTTAGAAATTTTTCTAATTTTTGTGATTTTGATTTTGTTCCCAAAGAAATTTTGAGAAAACTTGACTTTCTTTGGGAAATCTCAAAAAGCTGTTTTCCTGATTGTTAAAGTGTATTTTTCACAAGTAAGTAGTCTTTAAGTTTCAAATTTCTTTGACCTCTCCATTTTCATACTGTAGATTATTCCAATTTTTCTTCAAATCAAAATCCCTCTATCCAAATTTTCGAACACTTTCGTACTACCCCCGCTCCTCTCCCAGCAAGCTTTTTCTGTGTTGCTTATCAATTTTCAGTGTTGTCAAAATCACATGCGCGCCTCTTCTTCTCGCTCACTTTATATTGTTTTTCTTCGTCGCCTTCATCGATCCCATTTGATTTCATGTTTTGAACAGTTGTCTTTTTTCCCATCTTTTTTTTCTTGAGCTTCTTCTTCTTCTTCTCGGAGATTTTTCACATCTCCCTATCCCGAGAGCAGATGCGCCCAAAGCAATAATAGATGTGAGTTGCGCGCGTCGTATGTTAGTCCCAACTCGCGCGACTTCTCGTTCTCTCTCGATGTGTGTTTTCATTTTCCCGTGTGTCTTCTCATCTCTATCTCGATATCCCGCGGTGTAATATTATTTTCAGCGAGCGCGAGAGGGCCCCTTTCACAATGCACACTTTTCCACCCCAATTCTATATAGTTTTCATCGCATTAGTTCATTTTTTCCTAGAAAAGGGGACGACGAAGCTTGTCGTTCGCTACAAATTTGTTCTCGACGCCGCTTTTTTTTGCGCCGGTGAACAATACAATTTTTGCGCGGAGTCAATCGGCCCTTTTTTCCCAATAATAATATTAATAATAAAAAATGTATATAATATTGAACAAAATCGATTGATGTTAATAATGATATTTTTTGCATGCGCAGGCGAACAGAACTACTAAAAATATGCATATTTTGTTACGTGTGCGCAAAAAAGGAGCGAGACAGCGCCAAACAGAAAAGAGAGACGAGACAAACAGTTGATTTTATTTTATTTTATTTATCATTCTTCTTCATACATAAATATTATCAACAATTTTTTTATAATGGTGCTGCGCAAAACTGTTTTATTTTGTGCGGCTGTTGTTTCGTCTTCTGCTCCTCTCGCTTTCCTCTATCATTCCTTTTTTTTTGAATATTCTTATCTTTTATCGGCTGGTTGGTCGAGGCAAACGACGCTTTCTGCGCTGGTTGTACATTTTTCCATTTTGTCTCGCTCGCTTTTGTTTTTTTTTCCATCACCACTTTTAGTATACTTTGAGGAAGTTTTTAGAGGACAATTGGATTACGGTAGGAAATATTTCGTAATTTTTGAAACTTCGTCGAAAAAGATTTTGGTCCGATAGTAGTTAGAAAAGTTTCGCAATTGGGCTCATTTTCAGAATTTAACTTTAGATTCTGTGAACTCAGGTGATTAAAAAAACCAAGGCTAAAACGAAATGTAATTAATATTAGGAGTACTGTAAGTTTAGCTCAAAATTAAACAAAACAAAAAATGATGACAGCCTGTGTGAGACCATTCGATAAAACTTCGCGCGCCTTTAATTCCCTACAGTAACCCACCTTCATTCTCTTTTCTTTCTTTTTTATCAGAGAATTCTCCAAAATATGTCATATTTCCAGCAATTCAAAAATGTCGGCTGAAACTGTGGGTATTTCAGCAATGATTATTCCACCAGATCAAATGAAACCAAAATCACGAAAACGGAAGAATAGTGGAGATGGCGAAGGAGCAACAACATCAACTGGAAGTGGAAGAACGTTGAAGGTAGGTTCAACAGTTTTCAGAAAAATTCCATAGAAAATCATTCCAGCAGTATTCTGTCGATGAAAAGCTGAGCATTATTGAGTATGCGAAATTGAGTGGAAATCGAGCGGCTGGAAGAGAATATAATGTGGCTGAAAGTAGTATTCGAGAATGGCGGAAGAATGAGCAGAAGTTAATGTAAGTCAAGGTTTTCTAAAAAAAAATTGGAACAAATCCAAATTTCTTGCAGAAACACTCGGAATGCTTCGGCTGGAATAATTTTCAATAACAATCACATGAAATCGAAAGAAGAAAAACTACAAGCTGAAAGATTTGCTGCACAATTCAATCTTTTCAACATCGGCTATCCAACAATGTTACCAATGTTTTCTCAACATTTTCCACCGATTCTCACTGCACCAACAACTTCGGAATCTGTTGGAACTCCAAGTTCATCCAGTTCACATTCATCATCATCCACTCCACCTCCCTTGGTCTCAAGTTCACCAACTCCTTCTGGTGCGGGACGTCGGAAATCTCGCGCACCTCAAAAAGTTCTACAAGAACCATAAATTGTATTTTTTTTTCCTTTTTCTACTGTAGAAATGTCATATTAGTTTTTTTTTTTCATTTACTGATTTCCTTCGACGAACCGGTGTGCCTTTAAATGTTTTGTTGCCTTGACTCCCCCCCTGTACTGTATCTTGCCATTTCAATATTTTCGGTTTTTTTTTTGCTTTAAAAGATATCACAAATGTTTTTCGATTTTTAAATCTAGTCGGATGATTTTCGAAATCTATGTCAAATTTTGCAATAATAAAAATTTACAATTTTTTTTAAATTTCTAAACTTCTTTTAAAAAACAAATGCTTCATGTTCACGAGTATTTCCAAGTATTCTCTTTCTCTCAAATCTTCTTCACAATTTCCTCCAAATCCTCATTCAAATCATCCTGAACTCTCAAAAAACAAGATAATGATTTCAAAGCTGAGAATCCCAGTAAATCACTTCTTCCAGTCAAAAAATTCGAGAGAACTGAGTTTTCAGGTTCTAATTTTGGTGATATTTTTGCAATAGAATCTAGATTTTCTACAACCTCATTTCCTGCTTGCGATCTTCTTGATGGTGATTTACCTGACTTGTTCGAAAATGAAGATGCTGTCGAAACATTTCCAACTGATGTTGCTGATTTTGATCGTGAACTTGATGGTTTCGATTGCATAGAAACATTTGATGGCACTTTTGGTGGAATAACCATTTTATGAATCACTGGTTCTCCTGCTTTCCGTTCATTTCGATGAATATGTACATCTTGAAACCATTCCCATCGTGGTTTTTTCGAATGCATAATTTGTTGAATAAATTCCAAAATTGCAGTTCTGCTATACACATTTTCAGCAGGCTGTTGTCCTCGAGCAATATCAATAACAGCTCCAATTGCTCGATATCCACATGAGAAATCATCTTGTTGTTGATCATAATTTTGAGCAATGCCAACTTGAAGAGCTTCTCCTGGGAAATGATGAGAATAGAGGCATCGAAGATATTCAACGATTTCATTAGATATCAGAGGAACACCAGTTGTTTGATCCCAAAGTTGAAGACTATCATAAATCATTACAAGATTCACCTTGGGATTGTAGCTGAAAGATAGAACTTGGTTGTGAAAATAAAATCAATAGGTTGTAAAACTCACTGTGACAATACATAATGAACTCTTCCTCGATCGAACAATATTTGAATGGCTTCATTTTTGCCAGTTATATGTTTTTTGACATTTTCTGGATCACACATCAAAAATTGAATCGCCAAAAATCCATCAATTTTCTTTGGACAAATTGATTGAAGTTTGTCGCAAAACGAATTCATAACATCATCTTGAAGTTGTTCTCCGAATTTCAGCTGAATTACACACGTTATTTATCACAATTTTTCGAAATAATCGATGAAACTTGCCTTTTCAACAGGTTTAGTTTCTATTTCGGCTTGTGAATTTGAACTTGATGACGACGATGATGATTTTTCAGTTTTCTGATTATTTTTGATTTTAATTAGCATATTTCTTATTCTCCCATTTATCGAAAATACATTATTTTTGGCTGGATTTTTTCTTCGACGTGGAAACTAAATAGGTTATCACGTAGCAATTTTCCATGACTGAAATTCTCTATATTTTTTGACAGTGATTCAGCCCGGCTAAACGCAATATTTTAGTCATATTATAGCTTCCAACGCACGTAAGAATTCTGACGGCCATTGAAAAACCTGAAATATATAATTAATATTTGGAAATCGAGAAAACTTCACAAAAAACTATTTTTCAAACACCCTCGCGAGGCCTCCACACGATTTTCTGCATTTGCGCGTCAAATAACGCGCCGTTGCGTACTCTCATATTTTATTTTTTTCTTTTTCTGTTTTTTCCTCCTCACTGCCTCCCCAAATCTACGTGTGTGTGGAAAAACGAAAAATGTCTGGCACGCTCTCGCAAACACACACTCTCTCGCACACAACTTTTTACTTTTAATTCGCGAAAACAGTGCATATTAGGAGCTGATTTTTATGTGTTTTTCATCGGAACCACAATATGTGTTATACATAGTTCGAAAGAGAATTTCTTCGGCTACAAACACATATGAAATGTTATAAATGAAACCGAGATAAAAAAATAAAAATTTCATGCAAACATGACATGGTTTTTTGAATTGTGTGAAAAACGCATGTGTTTTTTGATGACCTGGCTTATTTTTTGAATATCGAATATATGTATAATCGAGTCGTAGTTTTGTTCAGAATCTCAAGGGCTTTCAGATGATGTAAATCAATATTTATGAAATTGTGAAATCATGGAGGAGTAGGGATTTTTCGTTTGTCAATTTTTAAAACGAAATTTTCATTTTCATTTGAAAGGAACTCGAATGAAGTTTACATACGTTTTGAAGAGAATTTCTCGGGCTTCAAAATCATATATATTTCTATATACAAAAATGGAAATTGAAAGCACCACTTTCGGTTGAAAACTTGTTGGGTTTGCACCAAACAAACAAACCGCGTTCAGTAGCGTTGCGAAAAACAGCGTTGAGTTTTCAACCGAAAGCGGTGCTTTCAATTTCCATTTTTGTATATAGAAATATATATGATTTTGAAGCCCGAAATTCTCTTCAAAACGTATGTAAACTTCATTCGAGTTCCTTTCAAATGAAAATGAAAATTTCGTTTTAAAAATTGACAAACGAAAAATCCCTACTCCTCCATGATTTCACAATTTCATAAATATTGATTTACATCATCTGAAAGCCCTTGAGATTCTGAACAAAACTACGACTCGATTATACATATATTCGATATTCAAAAAATAAGCCAGGTCATCAAAAAACACATGCGTTTTTCACACAATTCAAAAAAACCATGTCATGTTTGCATGAAATTTTTATTTTTTCATCTCGGTTTCATTTATAACATTTCATATGTGTTTGTAGCCGAAGAAATTCTCTTTCGAACTATGTATAACACATATTGTGGTTCCGATGAAAAACACATAAAAATCAGCTCCTAATATGCACTGTTTTCGCGAAATAAAAGTAAAAAGTTGTGTGCGAGAGAGTGTGTGTTTGCGAGAGCGTGCCAGACATTTTTCGTTTTTCCACACACACGTAGATTTGGGGAGGCAGTGCTCCTCAGGCAAACGAGCCGACTAATCGGTGACTAACTTTACGTGGAGCGACTAATCGTTGACCAACTTCTCCTGGGGCGACTAATCGCCGACTAACTTTTTGTGGGCCGACAAATCGACGACCAACTTTTTTTGTCGGCCGACCAACTTTTCTGCTCATTTATATGTAGGCCGATTAATCGCCGACTAATGTGCGACCAACTACTAGTTGACAGGCGATTTATCGCCAGTTGGTCGCCGATTAGTCGGCTCGTTTGCCTGAGTCACCACTCCACCAGAAGGTTTTCTTGTTTTTGCGCGTGACGTATGACTTGCCAAGTGCAGAATTTTAATCTTGATGAAAATATCTTCCGATTTCCTCATATAGTTTATCGATTTTTCCTGTTTTATGCCTGAATTATGTGTTTTAATGATATTCCGAATAATTGTTTTCTATTTTTTGCAAGAATTACTCGTGAATCAAATTAACTAGATAATCTCTAGTAGAGAAATTTGTGTTTTTTTTTCTATAAAAAATTACCGATCACATGATTTTCAACGAAAACTATGTTCAAATATAACTACGAATTGTTTATAGATTTTGAATGTGTATAAACATTTTTAGTTTCTATATATTTTATTTTAGTAAAATAGTACATTCTTTCATAAGAATAGAAAAAAAAAATTCCATAAAATATTCTGCCGATTCATTTCCTTAATTAGTTCAGCGAATCTCGAATTTCCACTTCCACGAAAAAGAACAATTAGATGCATTTTTCTAGTTTTTGACATAAAAATAATTAAATCTGTGGAAAATGTCAATGAGCATTGGAATTTCTCTACATATTTCATTATGATGCGATCAGAAAAAAATTGAACGACGTTCGACTTTGTAGACAATTTGCATATTTTGCACTTTTTGAATAACTTAGAGAAAGTCTCAAAGTTCATCTTATTTTTCTAGATATATTTTTCTTATTTTGAACAAGCAAAAGCATTTTGTTTGTATGTGATAATCGTCCGTTTTTCCCGATCTTGAAGAAATCAAGACTTTTTAGTCATAAATCTCTAGACTTGGTTCTGAGAAGAACTACAGCTTTTGACAGATTATCCCAAATAATCTAGATTTTTTTCTTCCCATTTCTTCAGTTTTTTCGATTTCTTCATTCTTGTTGCCCCCTGATATTTCATTCCTGTCAAATAAATACAAGTTTCTATTTCGTGTCAGTTGGAAAAAATCTGATGAAATTCAAGCTATACACACACACACACACACACACACACACAAGTTTGTTTCCGATAGTTGACATACAAAAGGCAAAGTTGACATTGTGCACACAGACCGAGAAAATTCCTGAGCCGAATGCTCGCGCTCCCGTGGCCTTTCTACTTGATTTTCCAACATTATCATCTGCGTCTCCGTATATCTTTTTGAGTAGTGTGTGCTCGTCTCTCTTTCTTTTGATTCTCTCCACATTTTCCCTTGTCTCTCATCATTTTGCGTCGATTCGGCGTTTCCGGTGTGTGTGGGGTTCAACAGTTTCTCCTCCACATGAGATTCAAAGTTTTCATTTTTTTTCAAATAAAACGTTTTGTTTTTTCTTTCAGTTTTTATTATGGCAGGCGAGATATGAGTCATAGTTTTCTCGCCTTTTTGTATTATTTTCCATCTTCGAAAGTTATATAGTGAATCGAATCGTACATATGTTTTGTTTTTCTTCCTTTGTTTTGGCAAACAAGCATGTTTCTTCATTTTTTTGAAAGAAATGAATCTTGCTTGCCACGTCGGAATAATTTCACGTTTTTCAGTATCAAAAAATTATTGCATTTCTTTCAAATTATAGAAAAAGTATGAATGTTCCAAGAAATCTCCTGAAGATGACACTTTCTGATGTTCGATTTCCGAAGGACAACTGACATCACATCATTTCGTTTTTTGATCATGTGTCATTTTCAGTAAGATTGATCATCCTTGTTTTTGTGTTCATAGGTGAAAAACACCCAATTATCTCCGTCCAAAAAGTCGCTCATTTTTCAAAAAAAAGAGAGTATTCTCGATTTTTCATTCATTCAACCATTCACATATTTATTGTTTCCGCCTGACTTTACGAGTTCTTTTTTCTCTCCCACGAACGAACGTTTAACAATCTTCAGCTTATATGAAAAATGAAATACTGTGTCAACCATCTGTGTTTGTTTGTTTTTTCGTTCTGCTTCTTGTTCTTCTCTTGTTGTTGTGATTCTCTCTATCATTCAACCCGACAGGAAAATAATAATAATAAAAATGAAAATAAAAACAATCTGGAATTTGTTTTCAACCAATCGCACTAATTGCTTTTCGATGAAAATTTGAGCAAAATTAGTGATTGCTAAAATAGAAATCTTTGAATTCCCTAAAGGCTTAATCTTTTTGCCCCTCCTTTTCCTTCTCTATTTCATCATTCGATTCGTTTAGTTACTTCCCCTTTTCAGTGGGGTTTCTTTACTTTTTTCACGGAAAAGAAATGTTAGAGAAGGATAAGTTTCTAAACATCTGGACATGTCTCAAAATTGAAAAACATCTGCGTTGCAGCGATTCGATATTATTCGAATCCCCTGGTTTGACCCAGCTCTTCTCTAATTTTATTTATTTTCTGAGCTGTTTTCTCGTTTTCTTCGACCCAGACACTCTTTTCGTTTCTTTTTTTTTTTGACAAAAGAAATCTTGCAAACATTCTACCCCTATATTTTCTCTTTATTTATGTTTTTTTTTTGAAATTTTGCATATTTGCCTACATCAGAAATGTTTTCTCCATTGTTCGCCTATTTCCCCGTTTTTATCGAATCACACAAAAAATTGTTTTCACACAATCATTTTCTCATACGTTTCGCAATTTTGCAGTTTTTTTTCTTCGTGAAAGATGAGTCCGCATTCTTACTCATAGAATATTTAATGATTTCGAAATCTGAACTTTTGTCGTTTCTTCAGACATTGACGTAAGAAAAAGTAGTAAAAATGGGTCAGGGACCATTTTTAAAAATGTATTGCATACTTCAACATTCCTTCTTCCTCCCTCCTATTGTCTTCTTTTTTTCGCCTTCTGTCTGTGTTCATGATCCAGTTTCTTCTTTACTTTCTTTGCCATCCATTTTTTTTCGCAACCTTGGATGCCACCTGGCTTTTGGGGTGCGCGTGTGTGCGGAAAAATGATGAAAACGTGAAGCTTTTGTCAATATTTGTTCAGCGCCGCTTGCAAAACTGGAAAATTGGTTGACAAGGTTGGGGTTTCCGCGCGGAAATAGGCGGAGTTAACCCTCTGGTATGTGCGGTTCAAAGGTGATTTCATATAATCTTTTGTACATTATGTTTTTGGCTTCAGACTTCTGGCTTCGAATTGTTATTTTGTTTGTTTGCAATACAATTTAAATGATCTCATTTCTCAAATTGCGAACATCACATTTAATTTTTGTGTGTTCTGAATCAAAATTTCTGACTTGCGTATAATTCAATTTTCCAACATTTTCTCAAAAAAAATCGCTCAATTTCCTTCACACTTTGTTTTTTTCCTTTCTCTTTGACTGAAATAAAACTGGTTCTCTCAATCAATGTTGTAACAATAATCTTACTTTTATTCGCTATTATTTTGTCGGCTTCGATTTTTTGTTGAGTAACAAATACAGGTTTTCCATATGTTTTTCATCCGGAAGAAAAGTTTTGGTATTCGAACTTTTTTCGAATACTCAAATACGAAATGGTACTTGAAAAATGTGTATACGTTTTCCCATATTCTTCATCGATTTTCCATATTTTTTATTCGCCTCGAGACCTTTTTTCGGCACTTCAGAAGAAAAATGAGAAGAAAATATTTTTGAAATCGTCGTCTTTTTTTTCTTCTCCTCAAAATTTTCGCTTTTTTTCACTCGTTCATCGGATTATCTGTTTTCTTTTTTTTCATATAATGTTCTCTTTTTTTTCGTTTCATTTATTTTTGGAATGAAAAAGCTAAAGATTTTGGATTTTGCAAAAAAATTGCACGTATTTTTCAGATTCGCCACATTAGTTTTCTACTCACTACTCGGACTGATTCTGGTTTTTCATTGTGATTTATTTATTGAATAAAATGGATGGGAAAGGAAATGTGAGAAAGAAAACGCCGGTTCGGCTCAATGTTTATGATATGGTTAGTTTTTGAATTTTTGGTTTCAAATTCGTAAAATAAAAAAAATTTGTTAGAAAAATTTATAATTTTTTTTCATGAAACTCTACAATATTCAGTTACAAAATAGAATTAAAAATAATTTATTTTATATTCATCATATGTAGAACCCGATTCTTTCAGTATTGGTTAAACGATTATGCGTCAAACATCGGGTTCGGCATTTTTCATTCGGGTATCGAAGTTTTCGGCGTTGAATACGCTTATGGAGGACATCCATATCAATTCTCAGGTGTTTTCGAAAATTCGCCGCAAGATGCCGAAGAACTTGGAGAAAATTTCAAGTTCAAAGAATCGATTATTGTTGGCGAAACTGATTTCACATCAACTGATATTCGCAAATTTATCAAAGCGATGGGAGAAGAGTTTAGAGGAGATCGGTTCGTTTTTTAAAAATCTTTGAAATTTGTGAAGTTACCATGCGATTTTCATTTCAAATTCATCATTCAAAAATTTTGCAGGTATCACTTAATATCGCGAAATTGCAATCATTTTAGTGCAGTATTTGCACGAGCTTTAACTGGAAAAGATATTCCGGGATGGATCAATCGATTGGCGAATTTGAGTGGAAGTATTCCATTTTTGGAGAAATGTATACCGCAAGAATGGCTGACACCAATTGTTTTACAAGCATCTGTTGACGAGAAAAAACGAGGAAGTATTGATTCGGCTGAAGAAGCAACTGAAACAATGACATCGAGAGCAGCGTTGAATGGTTAGTTGGTTTTGTGAAAAATCATCATTGTAAAGTTATTGATTTTTTCAAAATCTACATGGTAATTCACAAAAAATCATGATCTAGAATAGATCTCTGTTGATAATTTTTTAATTTTATTCTGAAGTTTTCGTATCACATGATTTAAACCTAATCTCATGAAGCTTGAGGAAATCCTATTTTTAAATTGTAAATTTAATAATGATACGTTTTTATCTGGTCCCTAGAATCGCCATCTCCATCTGTTTCAAAAAATAGTGATTCACTGAAATTTGATCATTTCCGGAAATTATCATGAACGTTCACTTTTGAAATCCAAATTTCCGTTCGATTTCTCACATCACTTTCAGTAAATAAGGAAGTTTTAAAAATCATATTTGTTTTTCAGATTCACGAACAACAATTCTCGAAAATCGCACAGCCAGTGGAACTGCAATAATGTCAACATCAACCTCATCTTCTTCGAATGTTGATCGACTTCTTCGAATGTCTCCATCTTCATCTTCAGCATCATCTTGTGATATTTCAGACTATGAAGATGGTTTCGCTTCGCGGAAATCATCGACAGAGAAAAATCGGAGTAATTCTCCACCAATTTTTCGATTCTGGAACACAATAAAAGCAACAATCAATGGAAGTACACAATCAATGCCACCACCAACAACAACACCAGCAGCAGTTATTCCACAATCAGTTGCTTCAACAGTTGGAAGAGCGACTGTGTCAGCAAGAGAATCGACAAGTCAAACAGCACAACTTGTTAAACCGACATATTCCGAATGTTAGAAGGTAGCCTTTTGATGGATTATAAGTTATTATTAAAAATGTTGATATTTTCAGAAATCTCAACAATCAATCATAAAATGCTCAATTGTTTCTAAATCCTTCAAAACTTATGTATTATAAAAAAAGAGAGATTTTTTGTATATTTCAAATTTTCATTCTTTTTGTATCCCATTTCTTGCCCCTCCCTCTAGAATTTTTCACTTTTTTTCCGTTTTTCAATTCTGCGCCTTAAAATATTCGTGTTCAATATTTTCTATTTTTAATATAATTATTATTGTGAGCAGTTCGAAAAATTCAATTTCTTTTTTGCACATTTTTGTTATGTATCTATTTTATTTTATTCAGAAAAAATGTTTGAAAAACAAGAAAAAGAGCATCTTCAATCAAATTTTCTATGGAAACTGTTCTTGGATGTTTATTTCGGCTTTTTTGAATCGGTGATCTTACTATCGGCTAAAAAATTCCAATTTTCAAAAATGTTAGATTTAGAGCCCACTTACATTTCATTGTAACACATGGAAAACTTTCATCATCAGGCATTTCCATTTTTTCTTGCATTCTTTGACAAATTTCAGTCATTGTCTCATAATATGCCAAAAGTTTGTCAATTTCTTCACCAAGTTTTTCGCTGACCATTGGACGAATCTGAAAAAAAGGAATACTGTAGTTATTTCAGTTGAGCAAAATAAATACGAAAATAATTATATTTTTTACGATGTGAAAGCTTTATTATTTTTTTTTTCATCATCATCGAGAAAAAATTGAAATTGAAATTGTACTTTACTTTCTTTTCACTTATTTTCTGTTAATGAAAAAAATAAGATTTTTCCTGGAATACTCACAATTTTCAATGATTCAAGAGCTGGTTTGCAATGCGATTCAAGGCTATTAACATTTTCTCGAACTTCTAGAGAACCATAAATTGAACCGATTGATTCCATCCATCCTTCTACGATTTCCGATTTATTCACTGAAAATTTTAAATTCAAAAATAAGTTGAGAATTTTGAATAGAAACATTTTTTGTTTATTTGCTCCAAAATCCCGTGGCTACATTAAAAGTACAAAAATGAACTCCATTTTTTAATCAGTTTAGTTTTCATTTATTTTTCATATTTTTTTCAGAGAGCAAAAATGTGTTTTCCTCACAATCTGGCTCACATTTTTTTTGAAAAATTTCAAAAATCATACAATTTTTATGGTCCCGATGAGAATTCATATTTTGTTTTCGATTAAATATGGACTCGAAAATAAAACCCCTTCTTCCTCAATTCTTTTCACAACTCATTTTGTTTCGCATTTTTATCTCACTCAATCTATTATCTCGTCAAACTTTATGAGATTCCATTTTCCAGCCAACCAACAAGAAAAAACCCCAGCTTTTCCTCGTTTTTTTTTTCGAAATTAAGTAAGAAGATTTTGTTCTTCTCACACTTACTTGAATCCAATGTTGTTGATTTGTCTTTAAGTGTCTCTCTGAAAAAATATTCGGAAAAAAAAAATAAAGACAATGAACAACTTTTTCATTTTCTCACTCTTTTTTCGTTGACATTTCCAGGTTTCGAATTAGAAGAAAAATTTAGTATAGTAATTCTGGATTCTAAGAAATTGAAAATAAGAAATTTTTTTTTTTCAAATTTGAAATCTGGATTTCTGCGTGGCTGAAATAGGTCACGTATGAAAAAATTTGAATCAGTTCTTTTTTTAAAGAAATGCCACGTGGAATTCAATTATTCACAGACAAAAATTTTAAAACCATCCAAAAATTCAGAATTTTCTCAAAACATCAGACCTGGTTCGATTCCTATTCAGATATTCTCAAAATCTACGTTTTCTCGTGTCCGATTCAAAATTTTCCAAATTTCCTTTATAAATTTTTCTTTTCCCTCGTAAAAAATACGAAATTGACTCGATATTGTTGAACTCAACAATAAAAACATCATTCCTTCCTTCATTTTTTTTTTCGCTTTCCAATTTTTTTCCCAGCCTCCCCTACATTTCCTGATTTTTCAGTTCACTAATCTTTGACGCTTTTACTAACGAAAATTCCACTTTTATTTTTATGAATCTTCTCTATTTTTCATACTTGACCGCCCTCGAACATATTTTTGATCATCTATTTGATTTTAAAATGTTTTTTCGGATTTTTGGGGAACCCCTTTGAGATTTTTTCGAAAAATACCTTTTTTGAACTTCGGTTCGTTTTTCTTCTTCTTCAAAAAAAAGTGTCACACTTTTTCGTTCCCAAATCGAATTATGTCACACACAAACACAAAAAAATAACAATATTCGGTTTCTTTATTTTTAGATAGATCGCCTCGGGCGCGCACTAATCTACAGTAACCCAAAACATCTGCATATCTAATTTTTTTCTTCACACGGATATTTTTCTATATTTTTATTTCACAAAAAAATGGATTTCGATAATAGGACACTTGAAGAGGTGAGTTTTTTTTTCGATTTGTTTTTTTTTCGCCATTTTTTTCGACAAGAAAAAAAGGTTTGCACTTTTTTCTTGTCTCATTTTCAAAAGGAAGTTCGAAGTAATCGAATTTTGGTACTCCATTTTTTGTTTTGTTTTTTTTCTTTGAAAAGGAATCTTCTCAAGATTACTGTAGTTCATTTCATTTCATTGCTTTTCAAGACTTCCTTTCCAGATAATTCGGAATCCAAATTCGGAAATGGAATATTTTACCAACGATTGGGATAATTGCACTTTCGGAAATTACACAAACAATGAAACATATTATTGTTCACCAGATAATGGTACAGCGGTTATGTTTGAAACGCATCCAGTGAGTTTTTTCCCTATCTTTTCACTAAAATTTTCTGATCGTTTCTCGTCACCGTCGATAGCTCAGTTGGTAGAGCGGAGGACTGTAGAGTCAGTGGGTATCCTTAGGTCGCTGGTTCGAATCCGGCTCGACGGAATGTTTTTTGTTTTTTTTTTCATTTTCTTTTTTTTTCCTTCGTCATTCATCTGAAAACCCTCTTATGTAAAATAAATGTACATCCCTAACCCATCCATTTGGGGATCAACAGCACACATCGGCCCGTAATAGGATTTCAGGACATATAACCCCTCTTTTTGTTATATGTGAGTGACAACAAAAAAAAACGACACTCTATACATTTTTTTGGGGTTCTCTTTTTCAGTAAAAGAAAAAAGTAAGTATTTTGTTTTTGCGCTTCAATTTTTTCGGTTGTGAATATATTTGGAAAAAACACACCCACATTTGCATATTCTTTTTTTCTTCTTTACTCATCTCTAAACCGGAAATAAGGGAAAACAACTTGTTGAGTTTTTATCCAGATTTCTTTTTTCTGCAAGTTCAAAAAATTCTAGTTTTTTTCACTTTCCAAACAAAATATGGGCGTGCCAGTTCCAGATTGTTTTTCAACCAGAAAGGAAAAACGAATCTAACCTTTTTCGTATCCCGGAAACGGAAACACGAGTTCAAAAATGCGTGAAATATTATTTGGTGGTATTTTTCTTCTGTTTTTCGTTCGGGCTAATCCGGTTAGATCTGGAAATTTAATAATCTGAAAATAATAATAATAATAGCTAAAGTTGTTTTTTTCATGGTTTTTCGGATTCAAAGCATAGAGATTAAATTTTTCTCAAGTGTTCTATGAAATGAACATTTTTGAAACTTCCCAGAATTCTATGAATTGGGTAGAGGATTTTCTCTAAGCTTGGCTACTAGAAATAGCAGTTGACAAGGCGCCTTACATAGCTACAGTAGCTCTGTTGCTTGTTTGAAATTCGACTACTTGAAAATCAATAAATTCGTGATTTAGTTTAGCCCACATGCAAACTCTTTTTTCATTTTCCAAAAAAAATCATTTTTCCAAAAACGCTACAATTTTTCGTGTGAACTATTTACTTTCTGAGAATTCTTATGTCAGAAAATAACAGAACAGCATTCCAAAATTCCAGTGGATTAGAAAAATCCGCATTTCTTCCGGATTTCGATTGTGATTTATTTTTTCTATTTTTTTCCAGTGAACATGACCGTGGAGCACGAGAAAAATCTCATTTTCACGATGTTTTTTGTCTTTTTTTGTGTCGTTGCTTTCTTATTCGAAGAGCATCATCATCACAAATCAAATTTCATTCTCATTCCTTTTTTTCACTGACAAAAAAACACGAAGAACAAAAAAAGTTATCCTTCAAAGCAAAAAAAAATGAATCTCGTGCGTAGTTTCAGAAAAGCTGAAAAATAATGAAACGTGTCGTTTTCTTATAGCCCCGGGCAAATATTTCCATTATTATTAGTATTCTTATTTATTTTTTCTTGTTTCTTGTTTCGCCCACTAAAAATCACAAGTTGAGAGAAAGAGAAAGAGTTATACATCATATAAGTAAGTATTTGTGGAACGAATCATTGAATATTTATATGTAACCCACCAGTTTTCCTAAAAACTTAAGTTGTCATACATTTCCGCTCGATATTTTTTCTTTTTTTTATCCTATTCTCAATTGCTTTGATTTTATTGAACTCTTATTTTCGTCTTTATCTGTTTACTGTAAGGAATTTGGCCTAGAAAACCACTGCACTTGATTTCCTCTTCCACGGGTCTACTTTGAAAAAGTTTATTGACAATTATAAAAAAAAATAAAAATACAATTCATAAATGTTCCAATCACTTCAGTTTTCTTTCAGACAGACTGAAAAATCATAAATAATTTGTTGTTATTTTTATGATATTACATACATATTCGTTTTCTCCTAGCTTATTCCTTTTTCAACATCAGATCAAAAAACTTTTTTCCTTTCGTATTTTTTCTGGCCTTAATAAGCTTTATAAATAATTCAAACAGAAGATCAGATTTCTACTACTCCGCAACATTTTTTTGTTCAAAATGTCCTTTTTCTATCATCTTTTTTCTGGTTTCCTATCAAATTTACCTTGGCAAAAAACCAAGCGGAATCACGCGCCTCATTGGCTCAGTGGCAGAGCGTCTGTCTAGTAAACAGAAGGTCGCTGGTTCGATTCCAGCATGAGGCACCGAAATTTTTTGGAAAATTGTTCCATCATTTTTGAACCCTTTTCAATTTTCAGATGGCGATAACGGTGCAAATAATTTGCGCCAATCTTGGGTTCATTTCGGTGTTTCTCAATTTATTCGTCATCGCTGCTTTACTCAGATACAGACATCGTGTATTATCTAATGTATTCTATGTGATTGTATTACACTGCGCAATTCTTGACGTTGTCCGTGGATGCTGTTTAATAGTCTATGGTCTTCCACACATTGTTCAATCATTCATTTTGATAACAATTCGAACAAATATAATGCTCATAAAATCATCCTTATTTGCATTATTCCTATTGAAAATTTGTAACCTATTGACGATTTTTAATCTTCTCGTTTTCACAACAAATGAATTCATTGTGATTCGATATCCATTACATTATAGAAGATATTTCCGAAGAAAAGCTGTTTTTGTTATTTTGGGCTGTTGGTAAGTTCTGAAACTCTTTAATTTTTCTTCGTCTCAATTCATTTCAATTCAATTTTCCAGTTGGTTGATCAGTGGAATCATTGGTTTCGGATTTATTTCCAAGGGAAATGATGATGCAGCAACTTCGAGTTTATTATTTGTTTCATTCTTCAGTCTTCTTGTTCTTGGAATTGTCGTGGTTTGCTATTCTTTTATTCTTCGAACAATTCGTCGTTTCAAAGAAGAAGGTTGTTTGAATAATGATGAAAATCATCGAGTTCATAATCGATCAGTTCATCGACCAATTAACAGTCAATCTTCAAATTGTTCGAATGGTAGTAGGTAAGAAGAATTTTTGCTCTTTGAACTTCCAAAAAAAAAACAAGCAAAATTGAATTTTCAGATGGCGAGGAGTTCAAGCAATGTCACGTCATAAATACATTTATGTGATTGGTTCAGTTTTGGTTAGTTTCAGTTCAATTTGTTAGAAAGGGAAACGGTCGTAAAAAAGTTTGTTCAAAAAACATTTGAGGCTGAAATTTTTTGGAAAAAGCCTGAATATTTTTTAAATGGCGTCATCAAAAACAAGTTTTCCTCAATTCTAATTTCCTGTCTATTCAAATTAATTTCAGATTGTTGACCTACTCTTCCTATTTCCATATTCCGGAATTCAAGTTGTCTCATTTCTTCACATCAAACAATACATTGAAGTTTCACATTATACAACAGTTTTAAAATGGTGGCTTCAAGTTCTAATTGGAATTCATTCAGTTTGTCAACCACTTTGTTATTTTCGAATGACTGAATTCAGAAGACTCGCTTGTTGTGATCCAAGAAGACCGTGGAATCGAACAAAGAGTTTTTCACAAATGAATAAAAGTTTTGGTAAGTTTCAGAAATTATAATTCTTTTGAAAAAAAAATATTTGTTTCTAATTTCAGCTAATACAAGATCACAAATGAAAGACGATGATAATTGTGTTGTTTATGCTGCTCCTTTAAATGAGCCACTTTTAAAAGATGGAGAAATAACACCAGCAAGAAGTGAGAGATCAATTCAAAATGCTTGGACTCGAGGAGAATCTGTTCGATTTCGAACTTATGGATCAGAACATGCAGATCGAGATATTGAATTAGAATCGGTTTGTGCAAACACAATTGCACCATTGGACCCAAATCAAAATTCACCACTTTTATGAAATGATTTTTTATTGTTTTTATTGCTGATCTTATTAATAATATCAATATTATTGATTATTGACTAACGGGTTATAAATTAATTACTTATGAATATTTTTTAAAGTTTTTTTTATAACTTGTCTTTCAAAATTGAAAAATTACTTGGTCAATTCAAAACCTTTTCTCGCGCTTGATTTCAATACGATGACTTCTTTCGAAGGTTTTTCTGCGTAGCTTGATTTTCTGCAAATTTTGAGTACTGACGCAAACTTGAAAACATTCAACTCAAAAGTGAGAAATTAGGAAACAATTATTCGAAACATAAGAATAATTTGTGCAAGACTATTTCCAGAAAAATATCGCAATTTTTTAAATGAAATGTTTTATTATATCATCTTCATAGCTTATTATTATGCCAATTAATATTATTAATTATTAATAAACAGGTCATAAATTAAATAATCAAAGATTTTGAAAAAAATCATAATTCAAACTAGTCTGTAATTCTCTTCCAGTTGTTGTATGATATGGCAACCAAGACCATCTCGAAGCATCCAAATCATTTTGCAAATCAGCATCTTGACTCATATAAATTTCGTTAGCTTCATCAACGCTCACCAATTGTTTTTTAGTATCTAAAAATAAGAACAGTTTTGGTAATTATAATTTTTCAAGAAAACCTACAGTAATTATGATATGGCATAATTCCTTGTTCGATTTTATCATTTTCTCTTTTATTCACATAATTTATAACATCATCAATGTATCGAGCAGAAAAAGTGACATAAAAAAGACTATCGAGATGATGAATCGCATTCATTTCCTGGAAATAAATTAATTTTGTATATTTCTTGTGTCTGGAAAAAACCTACAGTAACCGCCTGAATAGCTTCTTCTTTATCGAGAAACCGCAAAAAGCATGAATTTCTATTTGAATACTCATCTTTATGCATTCTTCCAGATGATCCAATCATTGATTTATATTTCGAAAATGCAAATTCAATATCATCAGTTGTCATTCTGTAGTTAGCACATGTTATATAAACAGTAACTTCTCCCAAACATTTAGTGAAATCAAGGCGAACTTTAAAATTTTCTGACAATCCAGGAATTGTTTGACCATTCAAATTTCGACGAACAATCATTCCTTCTTCATAACTTCGATATTGGAAAAATATATTGATAGCTCTCTGAACAAAAGAAAAATTCATTTTTGAAATTATCTAATCACCTAGGCAAAACTTACCGAATCTCTGGTTGTTCCAAATCGAACTTCAACTGGTTTCACAGCGCATTTATTCTGAAATATTTTCATAATTGAGAAAATGAACAAAATAGATTTCACTTACACAAACAAAATCGACGAGCAAATCGAAATTCAAAGATGGATTCAAATCGCCAGCCAACAAAGTCGGTTCGTTGTTATTTTTAAACATTTTTGCGTAATGATCGTTATTTTGAAATGTGTCTCATTTATTTTTTTTGTTGGAATTTGTTGGAATCAATTTGGGTCACGTGAATAATTCACGACTTCAATTTTTTTAATACGAATTTTTTTTGTCAAAAATTTGTTTATCTGGAAGCGCTTCCAGTATTGCAAATCCTTCTTTTTCGAGCCAAAATTCATGATTTTAGTCTGAAATAATTGATATCAATTATTTTGATTACTATCTTCAAATATACTGTATCGAAAAAAAACGACACGCTCAGTACGATATGAAAAAAATCTACAAATTATTTTCACTTGATGTATTTTTTCCGGTTGAGATTATCAAGATAATATTATAGGTTTTTAATAGACAAAGAATTATTGTGTATGTCTTTCTATCAAAATTTCTAACTGAATTCTGGAAAACAAAAAAATGTTAATTTTTCAAAACAGGTCTGATAAATTGTACTTTTGTTTTTTTTTTGAATATCTTCTAACATATCCAATATTTTCTTTTTATCAAATAGTTTGTATTTGGTCACAATGTGGTTTGTAGTATATCAAATTCAGGAGAAAAGGAAAGAAAATCGAAAAATTCCAAAAATAGTCAATGACGTCCTAAATTAATTACAATTTTGAGATTGCTCACTTAAATGATGTTTGATTGTGGTCATGAGATCAGGAAAAAAAAAAAAAAAAAAAAAAGATTTTCTTGCAATGGGAAAAGGAGAAGGTCGCGGACTCAAAGAATGATTCTTTGTGATTTTGAACTTTGAAACTGTTTTCGTTGAATTGCGAAAAAAGTACTTGAAATAAATATTTCCGGAATTTGAAATCTCCAGAGTAACATGTCCGAAAAATATTTTTTTCTGAAATTCCGCACAGAAAAACACAAACTTCAGGGAAAAATGGCAAATTTGCAACGTCATAGACTTTTTTCTGAATCCACATGCGCATCTGATATGCCTATATTTTCCCTATTTAGACCCTCAAAGTTTTTTTCAAACCTCGTTCAAACAACTATTTTGTTTCATTTTATCAATGACCTCTTCCTCTTCTTGTCACAAACAAATCATGTTTCTTTGTCATTTTACACCTCTCATTCATTTTTCTACAATTCGTTTTAAAACCCTCCTTTTGTTCTTCTCCTCTCGTCTTTTTTTTGGCCAAGAAGGCGTACCCATTTTCTCCTCCTCGTTCAAAAAACATTTGTGATTGTTGCACACCTTCGAATTCTTCTCAAACACACTCTCACAAGTGGGTGGATCTTCAATCTTTCGAGACTTTCTTCTGTATATAAAAACAGAACAACAAACTGTGTGAGATAAGAAGAAAAATGATGATGATGATTGTGATTTTGTTGGGATATTTTGCGATTGGTGGAATCAGTGGGTTTGATGTTGAACAAACACATCGATTGGATCCAGCTATTCCAACTGTTGCGTAAGTTTCAACCCTTTCTTTAAGTTTTCATAAATATTTTCCAATGGCCTTCACAATAACAAAATGTTTTTCTCGCAAAGTCCATTATTTTGACCTTCCAAAATAAAAAAAACACTAATCGAATCAAAACAATTATTTATTCCTCTTCCATTTTCAGACCTCATGAATCGGCTTCTGCTGATTCTTGCATCGGACAATGTTCTTTCAATTTCATGGATGATATCAGAAATCAAATTGGACAAGAAAAAGCCAGCTCATTGCTTCAACTCAACTTCAACGATTTTCTGAACTCATTTTCGAATACCACATTCTTCGAGAAATTCTGCAATATTTATCATAACTTCCAACATTGTTCTTCGAAATGTCAACCCGGATTTTTGCATCAGCTTTTGATGAGAAGTTCCGAAATTATGGATCAATATTGTGTGTATAACTTTGAGGGTGAGTGAACTCTTCTGCTTCATATATTCTTCAACGTGATTTCATTTCAGCGATTCGTGCAAAATTCCCCTGCCTTGCAAATATGCATCCAGACAAACAATGTGTCAAAACTTGCACTCCTCATCATAGCGCAGTCACTTCAATGGCGAATAACTTCAAAAATCTTGCATTGGGAGGTGATACAACTAGCGCTGAAAAATATTTGGCCGAAGGTTGTGAATATATCACATGTACACTTCATTGTGATATTCCAAGTATTGTTCAAACTTGTGATTATGAAACAGCACAATTGGTTGTGGATTTGACGAGAAACTCATTCAATAGTATGGAAAAATTGGCATTGGATACAAATGTGGTTTCGAAATGGCCACAAGTTTGCTCGGACATCAAAACTTATCGCCTTCCAAAACCTTCAACTCCACCAGAGTCGAATAATGATGTGATTGCTCAAAATTCGATTCAAGAAAATCAAAATCCTCAACATCCAAAAATGGTTCAAGCTCCATTGATCAACTCATCTTCAGGAGTTTTGTATTTCCTCGGATCAATCTTCACAATGTTCGTCTTAACATTTTAAAAATCTCTGTAATTTTTCTGTACATAATTTCACGTGTAGATTCTAGAATTGCTGAAAGCGGGTAAAATAAATTTGTTCATAAAAACTCTGATGCTCATATAAATAACAAGAAAAAACAAAAGAAGAAGAAATACCCATGTAACAAAACAAAAAAAACAAGATAAGGCGAAAAATTGCAAGAAGTTTGAGTTCAGATGCTGAACAAATAAAAAAAAGCGAACCTGGATTAATCCAAATCTAATGCTTTTGCTTTCAAAACTGCTGGAGCTGCGGTTGGCGCAAGAATTCGAATATCAGTTACAATTGCGGTGACCAAAGTTGAGGGAAGAAGTTCGATATTTTCACGTCCAAGTAAAGCCATTCGAGTGTATGATTGGACCTGCAAAAAATAATAGTTTGATCTGAATGGTCCAATTTCAAGGTCAAATTCTCGAAACCATCGAAACAAACAAAATTGTTCCTTCTTTCACATTCATCAACAAAGAACAATTTTGTTGGAATTCAAAACCGTGCGCGCGCGATAATAATCTTATCAACCATGTGATTCAAACATGTGCAAAGAAGGTTTCTCTTCCCAAATCGAACCAATTAGTTACCTTATCAACGAATTTGAAATATTGCGAGACTACAAGGACTGGCACGTTGTATGCCTTGGCTGTTAGAGCGATTTGTATCGATCCTTTTGTTGTCGCCACACAACCATTTGATAAGATTGCTGAACATCCAAGAACTATCATTGAACACTGTAAAATTAAAAGTTGGCGTTTGGATAGAGGGGTTTTATATGGAAAAATGTTAGAATTTCCGATTTTTGAATTTATTTTGAAATGTTGAAGGATTCCCCCTTTATTCTAAATTATTTGGGATATAAAATTTTTCACCCAAGACCTGAAATTCCAGGTGAGAGATTTTCAGAAAATAGTGGCTAATAGAAAATTTCCGAAATTTTCTTACAATTTTATTTTAGAGTTAGAGAAAAACTGACAAATTTTCGAGAAAAATACTAAATTTTCGTCATTCCTCAAAAACTGTAAATGAAAAATTAAAAAAAAAACATTTTTCACAAAAAAACGTACGTTAGAACGTTGTAACTAGTCCACGTCAATTTTTCCCTATTTAATTTTTTTTTCAAATACTTTCATTTCGATGTTATTCCCATACATAAAATGGGTCCCCAGAATCGGGGTGAGGGGCTTAACTTTTTTCAAAAATCTGAAAGGAAGGGTGCCTAACTTGGCCAATTTTCTGCTGATAATTTACCAAAATTCCCAGATTTGTCCAAAATTCGCTCAAAAATGTGAGGAAGGTGTTTAACTTTGGAAAATTTTCAAGGAGGGACCCTAACTTTGAAAACTGACTCGAGGGACCTATTTTATGTATGGTTATTCCCCAAGTCAGAAATATCAAAAAACTCACTTGTTTAATCGCATATCCTACAGATTTCAAATCAGTATATTGGCATTTATAACCTTTATCAACAAAACTATTAACATGTTTCACAGCTCGACCATTCAATTCTGGATCAACAAAACAAACTCGAAGATCTGGTCGTTTTTCCACAGATTCTAGTAAAACATGATTCACAACTGGACACCAATCATAAGTCAAAACACATTTTGTTTTTGCAAGTTTTGGTTCAATACTCGCGAAAATTCCTCTATAAGCATCTTCAAAATTCACAGATTCAGCATCTTCCAACCATTGATGAATATCTTCGATTTGTTGAGAAATTGGTGATGTTGAATCAAGTTTTAATACTTCTCTTTTTAATTGTCGAACAATATTTCCAAGTGCATATGGAAGTGGCCAACGTCCGCCATGTGTTAAATATGTTAACTGTGGGCGAATTGCTTGATCAAACTCTTTTGAAAACGTTGATGGCTCAGAATGTGAAGCAAATCCCGATAAAAACTGAAATTTAAAAAATATTTTTTTTCAGCAATCATAAAAATCCACTTACCAATTTGAAAGATCTAATGAATTCTTGACAAAGTTGTTCTAAATCAAAAATAAGTTCTTTATCACATCTCGAATATAATGTCAAAAATGCTGGATGAATATTTGCTAACGATTGAGCATCTTCTAATGGAACAATTGGTGGATCTGGAGTTACAACAACTTCTTCAGATTCAGATGTCCTTAATACGTTTGTTGTATTGGATTGAAGATCGAATTGAACTTCACGATTTGGTGCGCCATTCGATTGATTTTTTGTTGATTTAAGAGCCGATTTTGGCTCTTTTTTCCTTTGAAATCGTTAAATTTTTGATTTCATTAACGATTTTCTCTTCTTTTGGTTTCGCGGATTGTTGTTGTTGCTGAGATTTTGGTTGATTTTGTTCTTTAGCTGGTTTAGCGACTTGTTCCTTCTTTGGAGCGGGTTCCTTTGCTTTTTGTTGATTTTGTTGTGGAGCAGCAGCACCTCCCGCTTTTTTGGCTGCAGCCGCTTCTGCTCTTGCTTTCTTTTCAGCAGCTTTGGCTGCGCGTTGTTTTTGTTTCTCTTCTTGTGTCATATCTTTCTAAAAATACCAATTTCTTTGAGATTCAATGAAAATTTAACTTACAGCAAACTCATTTTTCGGTGGCTCCGGTTGACTAACTTGTCCTTGTTCACCTTCTTTCACTCCTAAAACCATTCCTAGCTGTTTGACCTCGTTGGAGAGTTTTTGAAACGCTTCCTGAAAATTTCACAATAATTATCGTTTCATAAAGCATTGGACAACATAAAAAGCGTGTTAGTCACAGAGAGCATACCAACCTACCTTTAAATTATCAGCGGGATTCTTTTTACTACTCTCGCTCATAGTTTTTAGACGAGAAACAAGAAAATGCGCGAAAAACAAAAAAAAACACAAAAAAAAATAGAATGCGCCAACACACATGCGCGTCAGTTCTTATCGTGTTGGCACACTTTTTGCAGGCGGTGATTTTTGAAGAGCTATTATAATTTCTAACTTTTTCCCAAAAATTATTTTAAACCGGGCTTGTGGCCATTCTTATGGCCACAATGGAATGTATTTGGGCTTGGAGATATTTTATAACCTGAACTCTAGACGAGAATAGAAATTCCAAGCTTGTCAAATTTTAATTTTTTGCTCAAATACCCGCGATTCAAGAAATTAATTTTGTAGTCCTTTCAATTCAGCAATCAGAGTTATGTTTTCGAATCGCGGGTATTTGAGCAAAAAATTAAAATTTGACAAGCTTGGAATTTCTATTCTCGTCTAGAGTTCAGGTTATAAAATATCTCCAAGCCCAAATACATTCCATTGTGGCCATAAGAATGGCCACAAGCCCGGTTTAAAATAATTTTTGGGAAAAAGTTAGAAATTGATTATGATGAAAAAATGAGAGATCAAAATGGTCAGAATTATAACACCGTCGTCGATTTCAAGTTGAAGAGACATTTTGAGTTCCGTCTTAATGTTTAAAGAGCTTTAGGAATTTTTATAAAATTCACTTTCAGATATTCTGAAGGTCTCAGTAAAGTTCGGGACGATGAAAATAAAAAATGCATAGATTTTTATATGAAAATAATACTTTTCGAGTTATCTTATGAATTTCAAGAAGTTTTGAGATGTAAAAATAATTAAATGTTTTCAGTAATACCTTCAGATTTCCGAAGGTCTTACTGAAGTTTCAGAACTCAGAAAACCATAAAAAATATGTTTCCAATGTAGTCTTTTTTCTTATGATTTTTAACAAAATTTGAGATTTTTCAAAAAATTCAATCTTTCTGATGCTCCGAAGATCTTGCTGAAGTCCAGGATGATTAAAAATGAAAAATTCAATGATTTCCGTGTAAAAATGAAAAATTTCGAATTTTCATCAAGTTTTGAGATTTTTCAAAAAAATCGATCTTTCCAGTGTCACCTTCTGATGCTTCGAAGATCTTACTAAAATCCAGGATGGTTAAACATCGGAAACTAACAAAAAAACATGTTTCCAAAACAGTCTCATCATTTTCCAAAACTTTCAAAAAATTTGCACTCGGCAGGGGTCGAACTCGAGACTAACCAGTGTCAACGTTGCTCAACCTGCCAGATGGGACAAAGCCATGCGTTATAACAAACCTATTATTTCTTGATTGCGCAAAAGCTTGCGCGGCTGAAAATTTCTGTAAATTGAGCTTATTCGACGCGGGAAAAAGATTTTCGGTCTATTTTTCGATTCTGAAGACACTGGTTATATCGAAACACCACTAAAATGCCTTTAAAACGGACTTTTCTCGGCAATATAGATGTCAAAAGAATCTACCTCGAATTCCAAAAAATCCAGTCGAACAATTTTTTTGTAAAAGTGTCCTAAGGGGTATTTTTAGGTGCTCTTTCATATTTTATTGTCAAAATAATAGGTTGCAGGCCTGGTTTTCTCGGAAAAGCCGATTTTTTAAATTTCAAATTATCTTCCAGATGTCATATCATATCATAACTCATCTTAAAAGTGGATATGCGACTTCTAGTATTTTTCGTTGATTTTCTACACGCCAAACGCTACATTTTGAAAAAAAATCATTTCGCTGCGTTCATTTTGAACCAAATTACGGTTCCGTGGAGTTTCAAAAAATCGAAAAAACTAAAATTAAAAATTTTCAGCTTCTCCTTCATCAATTTACAATGTCTTTTTTTGAAAAACGCGAAATTATGTGCTGCGTCTTACTGAATCAAGTGATTTTCAAAATTAAGACAACCTAGAGTAGAAACTTGCGTTCAAAAATCGTCATTTTTTCAATGGTCCCGCATTCGACGCAGATATCACAAATTGACGTAACTCGAAAAACACCTCGAGGTATTCACATTATCTATCTTTTAAAAAAAAAAAGAGCTTGAAATTTCATGAAGTACAAATTGCTTTACGGTGGTACATGCGAAGGGTCTTTTTTGACTTCTCGGCGAGTTAGCGTAAGTCAGATGCAATTTCAGAAAAATCCCATGATAGGTTTTCCTCATTTGGGGTGTAGATCAAACTGGAAAAGCGTTGACCCGAACAAAAATTTCGAAAAACTATCCCAAGCCCAAATAGGCGCAGTCTGAAAGCCTGCGCCTAAACTATACACAAAGTTACTGTATTTCTGAAATAAATTCTGCGACCACTGATGATTTCAAAAATGGAAATAATTCTAATTTTTTTCAGTTTTAAAATGAGAGGTTCACGTGTCTACGTCGCTTTCTCTTTTTTCAAATATTATACTTTTGTCTAGCAAACACTTTATTCACATTCACAAAAATCTACTCCACAATAATTACATAAGAAAGAAAAAAAAACATGATAGAAAAGTTTTAAAGTTTAGCAGTTGATCGTTCTCTCAAGAAACGGCGAAGGATTTTTCCAGCCGCAGATTTTGGAATTTCTTCAATGAATTCGACACCTCCTTCGAGTTGTTTGTAAGACGAAACTTTTGCTGAAAATTAAAAAATTAAAAAATATGTTACTTCAATCATAATAACGGAAAGTTTAATGAAACATACGTTTTACAAAATCTTTAACTTCCTGTTCACTCAATGAATCATCAGCTCGAACAACAAATGCTTTTGGTAATTCTCCAGCTTTCGCATCTGGAACTCCAATAACAGCGCAATCGCGAATTTTTGGATGAGAGAGAAGAAGATCTTCGAGTTCAGCTGGTGGAACTTGTAATCCTTTGACTTTAATGAGTTCTTTCAGTCTGTCAACAATGAATAAATTTCCTTCTTGTGAAATATATCCAATATCTCCAGTATGCAACCATCCATCAATAATTGTACTTGCTGTAGCTTCAGGTCTTCCCAAATATCCCATCATAACAGTTGGCCCACGAACACAGATCTCTCCTCTTTCATTTACTGGTTGCTCTTTATCAGTTCCTGGCTCAACAATTTTCATAACCAAATTTGGTGCCAATTTTCCAACACTTCCATAAGGTTGTTGATTTCTCAAATCAGGTAAATGACTAGCCATCGAACATTCCGTCATACCATATCCTTGTTGAATATGTCTCAAATTTGGATATTTTTTCATAAGTTCCTCAATGAGATCTTTTCCAGCTGGCGCAGCTCCAGCCATAATCATTTGAACTGAAGAGAGATCATATTTTGCGCAAATTGGATGTTTTGCAAGGAAAACCATGATTGGTGGAACTAGACAAAGAATTCGAATTTTGTAGTTTTGAACAGCGGTGAGGAAATTGTTTGGTTCGAAATGGCTCATAACAATTCCAGTCATTCCTTTCATAATACAATGATTCAATAAACCAAATCCATAAACATGATAAAATGGCAAGAATAAAAGAGTTTTCTCTTTGTTTGTATCCCAATTTGGATCCAAAACATCCAAATTATTCTCTTTTTCACTTCTATAAAAACATTATTCGGAAATGGTTTCGCTTTTTAAATGAAAATAAAATTCAAAAACTAACGAAAGATACATGCTCATCATACTCGAAAAATTATAATGTGACAACATAACACCTTTTGGTGGCCCAGTTGTTCCACTCGAATACGGCAAAACCATCATATCATTATGAACATCAATTGTGACTTGTGGAAGTGTTGTCACTTTTGTCGAGACAACTTCTTGCCAAGAGACAACTGAATCAGGAAGTGATGATTTGATTGGATTTGGGATCACAATGATTTTTTGAACTGTTGGTGATTGTTTGACTGCGAGCAATACTTTTGGAAGAAAATCTTCATAAGTTAGAACAACTTTGGCGCGAGAATCCACGAATTGACGTTGGAGTTCGTCTGAAAAATTATGTAATTTAATTTGATTTTATTGATGTGAACCAGAACACTTCGTTCTAGAAAAACTCACAATCAGTAAAAAGAGCACTGGCTCCAGAAATAGCTCCACCGCTCAAAGAAACTCCAATATAAAAAGTGGCATAATGGAAAACATTTGGCAAAACAACAGCGGCCACATCTTTTTTGAATCCAATGTTATGTAAATACGTGGCAACCGCGTAGGCATCTTTTCTCAATTGCTCATATGAAAGTGTAAATTTGGCATTGTCTCCACTGATCTGAAAAAATTAGAATTTGTTGGCGCGATGTTCAAACCTCTGAATCGGATGATCAGAACTGGATTGATTGTAATTCTTGTTCTTAAAATCTTTCGAGAACGCAGACCGTTAATTGCAGACCGTTAAATGCAGACCGTTAAATGCAGACCGTTAAATGCAGACCGTTAAAAGCAGACCGTTGGTTGACGACCGTTAAATGCAGACCGTTAAATGCAGACCGTTGGTTGCAAAACACAATTTGCAGACCGTTGGTTGCAGACCGCTATTTGCAGACTGCTCTTCACAGATATTTTTCTGCAGACCGTTTTTCTTACGGAATGGATTTGCAGACCACTATTTTTCTACAACTAAAAGTCTTCTGAAGCAATGCAAATTTCAAGAGGAAAATGTCAGAAGTACATCCCAAACAAAAAAAGAGATTCCATAAGTTTTTCTTGAAAAATTGACCGATGACGTCATCCATGGCAAAATTAGAAACCATTCCTGATTTTGCCACGAGTCATTTTTTGAACGAAAAACTTGAAATTTTCTATGAACCCCCGAAGTTTTAAAATCAAAATAAACTCACAAATGCGATTTTGTTCTTGCCCTCGGCAATTGTTTTATCGATCGAATCAAGAAGTTGCTCGTGGAATGGACGAGTTGGAAGACGAACTGGCGCATAAGTCGATGGATGAGGCATAATTCTAGAAAGTTACGATAACTTCAACAATCTTCTAATGAGAAAAAGAGAATGAAGAAAAACAAAATGGCTGGCCACATTGTAGTTGATCAAAATAAATTAGGGGAAACAAAAAAAGGTTGATAAAAAATATATTGATTAGGGCGAAGGGTCACAGGTTACAATGTAGTCGGTCATTCTTTATAGAATGAGAAAATATGGAAGAGGGGATGGAGTTTTGGGAAATTAAAAAATTTAGATCATAAAATATTTTTGATCTACTCGAAATTTTTTAGCGAATAAGATAGAAAATTGTTGTGTTTTTTTTTTGAACCAGTTTTTTTTCAAAGCACAAAAAATCAGAAATTTCAATACTACAGTAATTGAGAAAAGCTGCAACTTTTCCATTAAAAAATTTGAAGAAATAGTATTTTCAACTGCTTTTATCATTTAAAACCGGAAAATTTTGAAAAAAGAAACCTTGCACTAAACCCACGTTTTTTATCAGTGAACAGATTAATCTTCTTTTTTTCTGTCATATGAAACAAAAATTAGACTTTTTCTTGTTCCAATCACGCTCGCAGTCAAATACATAAATTATCAACATTTTCGAATGAATGAATGGCAATGATAACGTCAAGCACATGCCAATAAACGGACACACACTCAAAAAACAAAAAGCTAAAAAAGTTTTATGACTTTTCAACATTCACAACATTCTAATTGTTATTACAAAACCTCCTTTGATATTCAAAAGTGATCGAGTATTTGGTTTTATCCTGACAATTGTTTCAGATTTCAATGCATATGTGAAACCATTCTCTTCAATCACAGCAAATGTGCTTTCTTGTAGCCAAATGAGCAATTCAACTGCTCCACTTTCCAAATCATATGATCCTTCACCCAATAACATTACTTCGGTTTTATATTCAGGTGCTCCATAAATCTTCACTGGGCCATTTCTAAAAATATTCATCAAAAATTGAGTAACCTGTGTAATTCAAAACTAACTTGACTTCGCTGATATGATCATAAATGAATTCTTTTCGATTAATTGGTTGTGGAAGATCTACCCATTTCGCCTCATATGGAGCTGTTACTGTGAAAGAACCCTTTCCTGGTTTCCCTGTCTTGAATTCATTTGAATTGTAGAATTCTTTGATCAAAGGAGGAAGATCTTTCACAACATCTTTCAAATAAAACCAACGTTCGAAAAGTGTGATATTCGAACTTCCGACCAAAAATCGAACACAATCGAATTCAGTGTTTCTTCTCTCTCTTTCAACAACGAGTCCAATTGAATTGGCAAATCTTTGTGGAGAATGTTCGACTCTCGATGGAAGCATAAACATTTCTCCTTGTTTGATAACCAAATCACGAACTTGTCCTTTTTCGATCACTTTCAGAATCATATCTCCTTTTCGTTGAAAAAAAGAATTCCTCTCCTTCTTCGAGATGAAAATCTTTGCGTTGATTTGGTCCACCAACAAAAAACACTTTCAGCTGGTCAGAGAACCTGAAAAAATGGTTTTCAATTCTTTGAATTCTTGAAGTTTGAATATCTTCTTTTTGAAATTGAACTAACATTATCGGAACAAAAAATCAAGTGTATTTTTGAAAATTATAAAACCAAAAACCTGATTCTGATTTAACCGGATTCTATATTCTTAGTACATACAAACCGCGATCCCAAAACTCACATGCATTTATTACAAACTGGTGGCACAAAATCTTCTTGATTATCCTGAATCCATGTTGGAATCTCATAAGCAGTTACATTACTCATAGCTGATTTCTTATTGGTAACTGCTTTTGAATCGTCACGCTGATTTTCTTTCGTCGTTGTCAATTTTCGACAATGATCGAAACAAAAGTGTCGAGAAAGCGATAAAATGAAGAATTGCCCATTTTCTTGACCGCGCGAAATACTTTTCTTACCCATATCACATTCTATTTCTCTTCAATCCAATTCTTATCATCTCTTCGTGGTGGAAATTCGTTTTGACATGTATAACCCCAAAATTTTTTGGTATAACAAAAAAGATACATCTTTGATTTTTTCTAGCGAAAAAGTGTAATAACCCGTTTATTCCTAACATGACATAAAAAGAAAAAAGAGAAGAAAATGTTGAAGAAAACCCTGAGAAACTTTGGTCATATTAGTGTGTTATGATCTTTTTTTACATCGTTGTTATTGTAGGAATTGGCGATTTCAATTCTTTTTTGAGTTTTTCCGTTGGATAAATGAAGAACATCGATAAAAGTGATCCATCCATGCAGAAAAAAATCGTGTTTGCCAAAAGCATATAAAAATCATCAATTCCAATACTATAAACAATTGCGTGAAATTCCATAACCCATGTGAAAACAACTGGGGCCAATGGCACAAAATCAATACATTTCGAAGAAACTGCCTTGTACTAAAAAAAAAATAAAAAGAGATTTGGAGGTATGGGGAATTGAACCCCAGACTTCTCACATGCGAAGCGAGCGCTCTACCCCTGAGCTATACCCCCACACGAGAGAACACTTCTCGATAGTGTAGACAAAACACTCACAATAAGATAGGGGCAGACGAGAGAACCAGCAATTTGTGCGCCAGATGCAAAGCGTCCAGTGAACTAGAGAAAAATGAAAGAGTAAGTATGGGAGAGGAAGAGACGCAGACTTACTTCTTTTCCATCTTCCTCGTTCATATTTCCAATGTATAAAAATAAAAGAAACATTACAGCTCCAATTGTTGAAACTATTCGAAGAAGTTTTCTCTGAAAATTTTTGGAATATTTTAAAAAAGAAAAAATAGCCAACCTTTTTAGATCTGAAAAATATCAAAGCAAACACAAAAAACGATTGCATCGAAACAGCATAAGTTTGCAAAAGGATCAGTTTTGTGTCTTGCAAAAATATCGAATACCGTAACCATAATGATGATCTAAACATTCAAGGAATATTGACAAGATTACTGTAGTAACTAACCCAATAACTGCACAAATATATGGAATAGGTGTGTCACTATCACTGCTTTGTCTTCGAATCCATTTGTAAACTGCTTGTCTGAAAAACAAAGAACTTATTCGAAAACAAGCTGCCAAGTTTTTATAGCCTACACATATTTTTCGAAAAAATCATTTGACACGATCTATCGACGAAATATGTATTCGAGTTTTTTGAAGAACATCAGGTGAAATGTTTTAATTTAAAAAAAAACAGTATCTGAGTTTTCAAAAGATTTCTGGGAAAATTAGTTCAAGAGTTGTAAGACTCGCACAAAAAATTAAAAATTTGTTTTTACATAAAGTGCACACCTAAGAAAAAATACTATAATTTTCCCAGGTGAATTTCCGAAATTCAGAGTTTCCAGTTATGTTATAATGTGTTCAATTATTTTTTCTGCAAACTTTTCGGGAAATATTTTTTACAGCCTGGTTCTAATTATCGGAATTTTTTCAGAGCTAAATCAATTATGGAAAAGGTCGTCTCAGAGACAATTTGAATTTTGATACTTGACTCTAAAAGTTGTTACTTACTGTTTAAAAAAAATTACCAATTTTTCGAATAGCCATTAAAAAAACTCACACAGGACTTGTGATCAAAGCGATTGCGTGTAATGCAGTTGAAGTCAAAAATAAAGACCACATAAGATTCGAAGTATACATAGCAAATAGCCTCGATGGACTAACTGTGCTCAAATCAACATCCATGACTTCCTCCTAATGAATCCGAAAACCTTTCAATCAATAGAGAATATCGGAAAGTGAAAAAATAGTGAAATTTACGCGATTCGGTTATCTGAATTTAGAATCTTCTAAACTAAACGAAGAGGTGGAAAGCTGTTGATGAAATGAAAATGAAATTGAAAAATCTTGGAGGAGGAGAAAGGGAAGAAAAAGAAAATGCAGGTAAGGTCGAGATTATTGTAAGAATGAGTTACCGGTTTTGATGACAACAAAGCAATAAATATTCAAATTCATGGCCAGATCTTTATCAGCTCTAGCTTCTCTTTCTTTTATTATTCTTTTTTTATTATTAATGTTCGCTATTTTATACCCTGCAAATTTGTTAAACTAATCTGAATTGTAGTTTGGAAGTTTTGGAAAATAAATTATTTATTTTAATTTTTGAAATTCAAATGTGAAAAATTAATTCCAGTAGTCATCGATCAAGTTGTTGTAAAGAATATTGCATCCAGAAACTTTGAATTCTTGAGTTTTAGCTGGTTTAGTATTCAAACAACATCTGAAGTTACTATCAGTCATACAACTTCCATCATAAACATTATAACAATTGTTGACACAGAGATTGTAGCAAGTTTTGTTGGTTTGTTGAGAGAAACTGATCCATGGTGAACAATAATCATACGATGCTCCACCATTGACAGATGAACAGAAGGCTTGGCAAACTGCTTTGGTGACAGCACCAGTTCCAGCTACAAGAGCGAATACAAGGAGAACACGGAAAATCATTGTTGAAATGATGATGAGAATTATAGATCAGAGCATTGCTTTTATAACAATCGAGATGAATAGATCAACAGGAGATCGAGACGAGCACTTGGTTATATTAAAATTTTGTATCAAGCTGTGTAGCAAAAGTTTTGCAAGAAAGAAAATCGCGAACATTCTGAAAATTGAAAATTAGATTTGTTGGAAAATATTTAATATTTGAAGGAAAAAACACTTTGCAACTAACATTTGTAAAAAAAAAAAGCAAGATCATAATATTTTCGAAACAAAAGAAAAAAGTAATTTAAAATATCAAAAAACAAATAACTTAGGAAGTTTTTTAATGTACAAAACTCTACAGTCTTTCTGGATACAAATTTGGTTGATTGCAACATTCACAGTACTTTTTCCTATGTTCATTTTATTTTTTATTAATAAAACCTAGCATTCCCAGCATCTTGAAAACTATTTTTTTTCAATTGGTGGTGTTGGTTGTGAAATTTTTCAAGAGATTGTGACTTGTCTACGAAAAAAACCGTGTTTGTTGTTGTTTTGGTTCCTGATCTTCTTTCTTGCAAAACTTTGTTACATAAACCACAGCTTGATACAAAATTTTAATATAACCAAGTGCTCGTCTCGATCTCCTGTTGATCTATTCATCTCGATTGTTATAAAAGCAATGCTCTGATCTATAATTCTCATCATCATTTCAACAATGATTTTCCGTATTCTTCTTGTCCTTGCTCTTGTAGCTGGAACAGGTGCTGTCACCAAAGCAGTTTGCGAAGCCTTCTGTTCATCTGTCAATGGTGGAGCATCGTATGATTATTGTTCACCATGGATCAGTTTCTCTCAACAAGCCAACAAAACTTGCTACAATCTCTGTGTCAACAATTGTTATAATGTTTATGATGGAAGTTGTATGACTGATAGTAACTTCAGATGTTGTTTGAATACTAAACCAGCTAAAACTCAAGAATTCAAAGTTTCTGGATGCAATATTCTTTACAACAACTTGATCGATGACTACTGGAACTAATTTTTTTTGAATTTCAAAACTCGAAATAAACAATTCAAATAAAAATTTTACAAAACATTCAAAAAAGCTCATTATTTATTGATTCGTGTTCCGTTTTCCCAAACACATGAATCCCCATCCATTTTCAAGTTCTGCAGTTTTGTCTCAGCCGCGTCCTCACATTTCATTTCTTTCTGGTTATAAATATTATCAACTGCCAGGAGTACTCTATTTTTCAAATCCTCAGCAAATTCTTTATCCAGCGGTTCGTCGTGCATTTTGAAACTTTCCAACCAATCTGAGGCTGTTGTGTTTGCCACAATTGTTCGATAATGTCTGAACTATACATAAAAGTAATATATATATATCATATACAACAAACCTGATGTATCCAATTTTTGGTAGCATAATGAAAACTTTGGTTCCAGGATCCCGTAAATATGCAAAATGATAAAATAATGAATGAACCAGATTTGGATTAAATAAACCTTTCGGAACACCCCACCCTCGATCACTTGTTTCATTATATTTCAAAAACAATAAATTTTCTTCAAGTTGTGTTTGATTATTTTCATATGTTACCATATTATTTTCCCTTTTCACTACTCGAGCAACAGAAAATGTTATTTCTCCAGTGTTTTCTGGAAGTGTCCTCAAAAACTTGATAAATGAATTCTTTTTGTTGAACATCAAGCGTTCATCTAAAATTAAAAGTTGTTTTGATGACTAATACAATCTTATTATAAATATACCTAAATCTACGTTTAGAACCCATTTTGAATGTTGACGACTACGGTAATAACATTCCTAAAAAACGAAAGAACTGTCTCAAATGAAAAGAAAGATATTTGAGGTTTTTGTCTAACAACATACATTTTGTTGAAACTCGTGAAATTGATAATTAGGTTTATGATCCATGAGAATATGAACAGTTTCTGATAATCCTAAACGATCATAATATGTAAAAACTTGACTATCATACATTGTCACTTCGATGCTTACAAAATAAAACATTGTTGCGCCCTGAAATATTCATTTGTTAAGAGACGTTTTTTGTAAGAAGAAAAATCCTGTGGTACAAAAAATTTTCAAATTTGCTAACATTTGCCTGGTTGGTAGCCCCCAAGCTATAGATAATAAATGGTGATAATCTACCTTTTTTATAAAATTCCGATTGGATGATGTCTCGATGGAAGCTGGATTTTTCAATGGGGTTACCCCTGTTCTCGTTTTTTGGATGTCGAAATTTTGGACATTTTTGATTTTTGCCCCTTTTTTTCCGAAAATCATACCTTCGAGAAAAAGATTCGATCCTGGACGTTGTGAACAAAAAAAACGTGATCTAACCACTTGACCATTTCTGACGCAAGAAATGACTGTAGCTCGAAGAAAATTTTGACGTGAGAAAAAAAAGATTTCTTCTAAAAAAGTTACGCCTGGGAATACAAATTGTGAAGTTCAATGAGCCATAGATTATAAAACAAAAGAGAAAAAAAAATTCAAAACAAACTGAAAATCGCGTGCATAAAACTATTAAAAAATTAATCCACCTATGAAATATTTCATAGTTTGTTTTTCAATAAAATTTAGAAGCTATCCTATACCATCAAGTGTAATTCAAAGCTTCATCTAATGATTTAAACATAGTAATGTATAAACAGCTTTCCTTTAACATCAATAGTAATTATGAATAAAAACTTTACCCAATATTTTTCAATGAAGCTCAAATTTTACCTGTTAGTTTTGTTCCTCCCCCCCCCCAAACCTCAAATTAAACTAACTTGATTGGCCCGTTCCGTGAGAAGTTGTTGATCTCTTTGAATGTCCTGTCCAAACGAAACATCTTGTTTCACGAAAGCCTGAAACTTCTACATTCTTTTTCTCAAAATGTTCGCCTATTCTTAAACTTACATCAGAAAATGACAATTGTGGATTTGATGAGACCGCTGCATTCTGTGACTGTTGTCTCTAAAAAATAAGAAAATTAAAAAATGTACCAAATCACCCCACTAATAACAATTTCTGCGCTGAAAAAAACCACTCAAAAAAAAAGAAAAAAAACAAAAAATAAAAATGTCGTACAAAAAAAAGAAAAAAAAACGATACTCCGCGTGCGCGTTGTTTATCGTATTTATTTTATTGTTTTTTGCAGGATAGATGAGAGAGTGTGGGAAATGGAGAGAGGGTTAGAGAGAGAGAGATGTTTTTTATTTGAAAAGAAATAATCGATTGAACGTTTTTTTGTTTTTTTTCGAACTGAATCATTTTTCTGATTTTTGAGTGTTTTTTTTCAGCGTAGAAAATGTTATTAATGGGGTGATTTGGTACATTTTTTAATTTTCTTATTTTTTTAGAGACAACAGTCATAAAATGCAGCGGTCTCATAAAATCCACAATTGTCATTTTCTGATGTAAGTTTAAGAATAGGCGAACATTTTGAGAAAACGAATGTAGAAGTTTCAGGCTTAAAAACTAACAGGTGAGAGAGAAAAACTAACAGGTGAGATTTAAGCTTCATAGAAAAATTGGGTAAAGTTTTTTACTCATAATTACTATTGATCAAAGGAAAATTGTTTATGAATTACTATGTTTTAATCATTAGATGAAGCTTTGATTTACACTTGATGGTATTGGATCAGCTTCCAGATTTTATTGAAAAACATACTATGAAATTTGTCATAGTTTTATGCACGCTATTTCCAGTTTGTTTTGAATTTATTTATTTTTTCTTTTTTTTTATAATCTATGGATTTTCTTACTATTTCGCCTGAGGACACCGCCCCTGGAAGGGTTCCGAGGAATTCGATAAATCCGAATTCAGCGTGGAACAAATTCCCTCCAGAATCGATTTTTGACTTTCAAAATTTTGTTCAATTTTCAGAAGTTAGGGTGAGTCGAATTTTTTTCTTTTGTAATTCTAAATCCAAGCCCTTCAAATTCTGAGCAAAATGACGTTTAAACTTCGAAAAACTATTGACGGAGAATAAAGGTGAGTGATTTATTGAAGTTTTGACATACATTGGTGGTCACCATCCATCAAAAACATTTTTTTGTTATTTTACTCCGGGAATATGTTTTATAGCTGGGGGCTACCAACCAGGAAAATTTTAGAAAATTTGAAAATTTTTTGTACCACGCATACTATAGGAATTCGCATTTTTATAAATAATGTCTCTTAAATTATTGCAAATATTCTCACCAGAATTCGATGACTTTCGACTGATTCAACAATTTCCAACCACTTTGCAGTATCTCCATAAAATTGTCCTAAACAAACTCCAAATTCATGAGGTGGTTTTGCAAAAGCACGGAATGTCAACGGAACTGGCTCCATTGATGTTTGAATTTGTTCATCGGGAAGCATTAATGTAATATATTTAGCATGTGCTCTGCGTGCACAATTAACAACCGCAAATGGAAAAATAATTGACTCGAATTCAGTGTTTGGTATTTCTTCACGATTACAATCATAATAACTACATATTACTTTTCGCCTTAAAACAGATTATAATGATACCAAGAAATACTTTAACGGAAATCTCAAATTGCCGATTCTCATAAATATTTTCTAGACTTACCCAACTCTTTTATATCCTATAAACGTAGTTGTAACCGAAATTGAATCATTATAAACAAACGCTGATATTATTTTCAGACTAACTGGTGAGAGAGCTTCATTTAACTGCAATATTTTTGAACGACCCCATTCTCTATAGATTGATTCGTTTCGAAAAGTATTTTGAGTTATATCATTCCAAGCTTCATATGTGCAATTCCCAGGTGCTTTTCTTCTGAAAAATATCGAAGTTTTGAAAAATGTTGAAATGAACGGGTAAATCTGCGTTTCACGCCCCCACCCTGTTTTTCACCCCCACCCAGTTGTTTCGCGCACCCACCTATGCCCCCACCCATTTATTGATGTGGGCACAAAAAAGGGTGGGAGCACGAAACAACCAGTGGGGGCGTAAAATTTAGGGGGCATAAAACAGGTCACTTTTTTTATTGTGGGGGCGCAAAACGCGTGAAAATGTATTGCGCCGGGTGCACGAAACGTCCCACTGTGGAACAAGTGTTTTTCAAGCCCCCACCACTTGTTTTTCATGCACCCACAGGAGCAGAATGTTTTGTGCCCCCACAGGGTTTTTTTTCCACTCTGAGCCGATGTCACAACAACTACCCAAGATACTGTAGATTAGTAACCCGACTACTGTAGATTAGCAACCCGACTACTGTAGATTAGCAACCCGACTACTGTAGATTAGCAACCCGACTACTGTAGATTAGCAACCCGACTACTGTAGATTAGCAACCCGACTACTGTAGATTAGCAACCCGACTACTGTAGATTAGCAACCCGACTACTGTAGATTAGCAACCCGACTACTGTAGATTAGCAACCCGACTACTGTAGATTAGCAACCCAGGTACTGTAGATTGGCAACCCAAGTAATGTAGATTAGGGAACCAACTACTGTAGATTAGGGACCCAACTACTGTAGATTGGCAACCCAACTACTGTAGATTGGCAACCCAACTACTGTAGATTGGCAACCAGATTACTGTAGAAGATCGACCCAAGTACTGTAGATTAGCAACCCAAGTACTGTAGATTAGGGACCCAACTACTGTAGATTGGCAACCCAACTACTGTAGATTGGCTACCCAAGTACTGTAGATTAGGGAACCAACTACTGTAGATTAGCAACCCAAGTACTGTAGATCAGCGACCCAGTTACTGTAGATTAGCAACCAGATTACTGTAGAAGATCGACCCGGGTACTGTAGATTAGTGACCCAACTACTGTAGATTAGCAACCCAAGTACTGTAGATTATCGACCCGAATAATGTATTATTTGTGAATGATCAAAACTATTGACGACTCAGTTTTCCCAATGAAACTCACATCACTCGAACTCCAACCATTTTTTCGAATTCATAAAATTTGAAATGATTCATTTTTGTTGGATTTTTCACGGAAACGTGCCAACATTTTATTAAATGTCACCATTTATATTTTTTTTTAAATGAAGCCAAAAAAATAGAATTTGATAAAAATTAACCCAACTACTGTAGATAAGTGACCCGACTACTATATATTAGACCCCCGACTACTGTAGTTTAGCGACCCAGGTACTGTAGATTAGCAACCCAGATACTGTAGATTAGCAACCAGATTACTGTAGATTATCAACCCAGATAGTTGGGTCACTAATCTACAGTACTTGGGTAGCAGATCTACAGTAGTTGGGTCGCTGATCTACAGTACTTGGGTTGCTATTTTACAGTACCTGGGTCGCTGATCTACAGCAGTTGGGTTGCTGATCTACAGTACCTGGGTGGCTGATCTACAGCAGTTGGGTCACTAATCTACAGTACTTGGGTAGCAGATCTACAGTCGCTGATCTACAGTACTTGGGTTGCTATTTTACAGTACCTGGGTCGCTGATCTACAGCAGTTGGGTTGCTGATCTACAGTACCTGGGTGGCTGATCTACAGCAGTTGGGTCACTAATCTACAGTACTTGGGTTCCCATTCTACAGTACCTAGGTAGCTGATCTACAGTACTTGGGTTGCTATTTTACAGTACCTGGGTCGCTGATCTACAGCAGTTGGGTTGCTGATCTACAGTACCTGGGTGGCTGATCTACAGCAGTTGGGTCACTAATCTACAGTACTTGGGTAGCTGATCTATAGTACTTGGGTTGCTAATCTACAGTACTTGGGTTGCTAATCTACAGTAGTTGGGTCGCTCTTCTACAGTAATCTGGTTGCTAATCTACAGTAGTCGGTTTGCTAATCCACAATACCTGGGTAGCTGAACTACACTACGCTCAGTGATGGGTAGGGGCATAAGTCATAATGATTGGGGGCATGAAACCATAAATGACCGTGGGGGCACGTAATAAAAAAGATGGGGGCGTAAAACATTCATATACCAATTCCCAGGTGCTTTTTTTCTGAAAAATATCGAAGTTTTGAAAAATGTTGAAATGAACGTGGTAACGCTTTTTGGTCTCACCTAGGATGAGTTTGAATTGGCTCGATTGAAAAAATCGAAACATGAATGAAGAAACATCCTATCAGAATAGAGCTAAAAATCAGAGAAAAACGAGAATCCATATTTGATGAGAACAATGTTCCCGAACTGAGATTTATATATCATCGGCTTTTCTCGTTTTCTCAAACTTTTTTTTCTGATTGAAATCGTTTCAAATCGTCGTTGGAAGTTTTTGATCGTAAATTGCGATTGAAGATAAAGTGAGAAGCACGTTTTGAGATTTTATATTGTGATGAAAGCTTTTTAAAAATTGGCTGAACGCTTCTTTTCCAAAGAAAAAACGTCTGTTCTCTTGTAAGAGAAAAAATAACTGCTCTTGTGATAAATAAGTATTTTTATCAACGATGTATCAACATGGCTAATTTTTAATTAACAATAAAATTAAGTTTAAAAATTCATTAAAAACAATTCTTCGAAACTTTAACAATTGAGAAAAAAGTTTAACGATTACAGAGTTATCTAATTGTTTTTGTTCTGTTAAGTTGACAAGTACGCGATGATTCATTGTATTTTGGAGCAAGTTTTAATAATTCTGGTTCACGGTAAGGATAAGCTGTATACACAATAATCGAAAAAATGACAAGCGATGTTCCAAGCAAAAAAAGACCTCCTGGTGTAAAATCAAAGAGAATCCACGAACCCACAGCAGCACCAATTATTGCCATGCTCTGTAAACAGCAAATTATGTTCAGAAAGATGTTTGAAACTCTTGAAAACAAACCTGCGCATATGCTTTGAGAATATTGTCAGCATACTTGATAACAACAGAAATAAGAATCCCACCAACTGAATTTGTCAATGTCATACAAACCACAATAATATCCCACCCACGGAAATATCCATTGTTTTGAATTGTCTCCCAATCATAATACCACATGGAAAATGTTGAAATTGGTAATCCAATCAAAGATAATCTAATGTTTTGCATAAATATCGATGTATTGCTTGATTTCAAAACTTTTTCCAAATAAACTCCAGCAAAAGCAGATGTGAAACACATGGTTATTACCGCAAAGAGTCCCAATTGTGGATTTTGTACAATATCAGCACTTGTTGGAGGAGGAGCGTAGATATATTGTATATCAGCCACACCTTCAAAAAATCATTAATTTGTTTTTGGATGTATTTTCTCACCTAGAACTAGTAATATGAGAGCAATCCATTGTTGTTTGGATAGTTTTTTCCCAAAAAGAAAAACATGAAAATCGCAGTCGTGAAAATTTTCATTTGATAAGTTATCTGGAAATGAGATGAAGCTTGACATTGCTAGAATAAAATAACAACTTACACAAAAAGTGGTTGCTTCTAAATGACTCAAAGCAATGTAATACAAATTATTTTGAAGAGTGTATATTAACGCAGGAACGCACACTTTGAAAGTTTCGATTTGATTATCGAAAATTGCAGATTTTACATCTTTCAAGAATCTGGAAACGTTGTTTTAGAAACACAAATCCTGAAAGCACTTTAATACCTGAAAACACTTCTATTTGTCCAAATTAAAATCGCACTGCAGACAACAACTTTGATTATTTCCATTGAGAATACATTCACGGTGGTCAAAAAAACTTGATCACTTTGTCTGGCTCTCGAATATCTAACCATCAATGGCATTGAAGCTTGTTGTAAGGTTAACAAAACGATTCCAAAATATTTGAAATTAGCATCTGACATGTTTTGTTGCAGAGTTGTGAAAAAGCTGACTTCACATCTTTATAGGCAAATATTTATCTGAAAATCGTGTTCCGAACGTGTTTCAGAATATTCCTCTTTGTGCATGCAGATTTTATCAGAAAATTTATTTCATAGTTTTTATGGTTATCGAGTTTTTATCTAATCCAGGATCAGATTGTTTTTCCTAAATGTTTTAATTTAAAATAATGATTTCAATTCTACTTGGAGCGAATTCTTCCGTTGATAATGTACATTTGTGATAGGATTCTACGTTCTTTTTTCTCTAAAGCCTTTCCAGAGGTGAAAATTCTCGTTTAGCCCAACTTCTAAATTTTTGGGCTCAATAAAACAAATTAAACGATTTCACCAAAATCTTATTTCAAATCAAGATCTTGAAACGTGCTTTTCGCTTTATCTCCATTCGCAATTCACGATCAAAAACTTCCAACGACGATTTGATTTCAATCAGAAAAAAAGATTTTTAAAAAACGAGACAATCCGATGATATATTTCTAGTTCGGGAACATTATTCTCATCAAAATGGATTCTCGTATCTCTCTGGTGTTCAGTTCTCTTCTATTAGTATGCTTCTTGATTCATGTTTCTGTTTATTCAATCGAACCAATTCCAACTCTTTCTATGTGAGTGAAAATAGTAAACCTAGCAACATTTTGAAAACTTTTGAAAATACTTTTCAATAGAAAAGCACCTGGGAATTGCACTTATGAAGCATGGAATGATGTAACTCAACATACTTTCCGAAATGAGACAAAATACAGAAAATGGGGGTTATCCAAAAAATGGCAGCTGAAACAATCTGTTTCACCAGTTGGTTTGACACTTATATCAGCTTTTGTTTATAATGATTCAATTTCGGTTACAACTACGTTTATAGGATATAAAAGAGTTGGGTAAGTCTAGAAATATTTATCAAAATCGGAAACAATTACTCTTCCGCAGCTGAATTTTTTTTTAATTTTCAATAGCTGGAATTGTTCAAAAATTTTGGAGCAAAATCGTCACGGCGAACTGAAAAATGTTGTCTTGTCAACCCTTTCATTGTTTTTATACAACAACATACTAAAATCATGAAATTTGAGGCGTAAAGTTATATGTCGATATTTTGATTGCAATCGTGAAGAAATACCAAATACTGAATTCGAGTCAATTATTTTTCCATTTGCGGTTGTTAATTGTGCACGTAGAGCACATGCTAAATATATTTCATTAATGCTTCCCGATGAACAAAGTTCAAAATCAATTCAACCAATTCCGATGACATTCCGTGCTTTCGCAGAACCACTTCATGAATTTGGAGTTTGTTTAGGACAATTCTATGGAGATACTGCAAAGTGGTTAGAAATTGTTGAATCAGTCGAAAGTCATCGAATTCTGGTGAGAATATTTAAAAGAATTCAACGAATGAATATTTCAGGGTGCAACCATGTTTTATTTTGTAAGCATCGAAGTGACAATGTATGATAGTCAAGTTTTTACATATTATGATCGTTTAGGATTATCAGAAACTGTACATATTCTCATGGATCATAAACCTAATTATCAATTTCATGAGCTTCAACAAAATGTACGCATTTTTTGTTTGAAATTTGAAATTAAAAAATCTCTCTAAAAAAAGACGAAATTATTATATTTTTTGAGTTTTTCAGGAATGTTATTACCGTAGTCGTCAACATTCAAAATGGGTTCTGAACGTGGATCTAGGTATTTTTATAGTCAAAGACTGTTCATAAAACTAAATTCCAGATGAACGCCTGATGTTCAACAAAAAGTATTCATTTGTCAACTTCCTGAGAACACTTCCAGCAAACACTGGAGAAATAACATTTTCTGTTGCTCGAGTAGTGAAAAGGGAAAATAATATGGAGAAATATGAAAATAATCAAACACAACTTGAAGAAAATTTATTGTTTTTGAAATATAATGAAACAAGTGATCGAGGGTGGGGTGTTCCTAAAGGTGTATTCAATCCAAATCTGGTTCACTCATTATTTTACCATTTTGCACGTCTTCGCGATCCCAGTGCCATAGTTTTGAATGTTTTACCAAACATCGGATATATCAGGTTTGTCTAATAATTTTATATTCGTTAAATTTATTGTTATTGTTATTAGACATTATCGAACAGTAGTGGCAAATACTGTTGCATCAAATTGGCTGGAAGGATACAAAGTACACAATGAGCCTTTAGATCACGATTTTGCTGAAGAATTGAAACGAAGAGTTTTTCTGGAAGTTGCTAATATTTATAACAAAAAAGAAATGAAGTGTGAGGATGCAGCAGTTGAAAAACTAGAAAACTTGAAAATGGATGGAGATTCATGTGTTTGGAAAAACGGAACACGAATCAATAAATGATCACCATTTTCGAATATTTTTTTTGAAAAGTCTCGAAAATAATACAATTTTGAGAATTGAAGCAATTATTTTTTATTGACAAAACATTTTTTATTATTTCCACTGCGTGTTTAACATATCAAAATATACTGTAGTTTCTTCTTTTCTCACAGTTTTCTTCTCCATTTTCTGGGTAAAACTGTTTGTTGAAGGAGTTATTCGTTTTGAAGAACATCGACTCTGAAACAAATTATTTTTGATTCATCCAATATTTATTAAAAGTTATTACCATTAAAACATAAACTTGTTTCATCCATGATTCTTGCTGTAAACCAGTGATCAATGGAACAATAAAACCATAAATAAGAATTGAAAAATCACACAAAACGCTGGACAAATTTTTAAATTTGATTGAGTATTCATAGTTATCCAAAATCATACAAGTATTAACAATCACATTGAAAAAGCTAGTGCTATAAACAATGCGTTCAAACATTTTCGAAGATCGAAGATTTTCAGTTATTTGAAATCTTTCAGATAATGAATACGATAAATGTTCAGTATTATAATATTTTTTGTTGATATGAGCAATATAAAAATTCGTAGCCACTGCCATACTATTTATCATCAATGCAACAAAAATATGAGGAATTGTATTTGAAGCTATACTAAAATGACTTCCAAAACCCAAAGAAACGCAAGATTGAACAATTACAATAATATTTCCAATTTTTGGATAAGGATTATGCTCATAATCTTGAACAGTCCATGTTGCAAAACTACGTTCAACAATAAAACCTGGCAAACTATAAAATGCTGAAAACTTGAGAGGAGAATTAGATGAGTGAAATTTCTAAAACTTACCATACGTCAAGCCAATATGTCTGAAAAGATTTGTAACTTTGAAAATTTTTGTGTGAGCTAGAGTAGTATCTGAAAATGTTTCTTCAGTTACAATAAGGTTTTTATAGCTCACCATCGATGATACCCAATAAAATCGATATTGGTTGAATGATCCAAAAAAATGTCTGTGTACAGTATTGCCCATAATAAACTGTGTACAAAAATCGAACATTTCTATGAACACTTTGAGCAGTATTTATAACATAAATCCAAAATAGCATAAAAATTGTGGTCATAAAAATGAAAAGGGCTTCAATGATAAAAAGAGGAGCATAATATTTCCAAGTTCCCTGAAGTTCCGAATAAGTTCGATTGAAATAGCCAAGCATTTCTTACAGTGAAAAATAGAATTTCTACCAGAAATTCTGTTGGAAAAGCAAGCGTAGATCAAATTATGAATTTTGTTTTTCGATTTGATATTTTTTACAACAATAAAGGGATAATTGGTTTCAAGAATCATTTCCATTGCGAATTCAACATATCGAAATAAATAGTGGTTTCTTTGTAAACATTTTTCCTTTCAATGTTATGACCAAAACTATTTGTCAATGGAGCAATTCGGCGGGAAACAAATCGACTCTGAAAATAATTGAAAATCGAAGAAAAAAATGTGAAAGTATCGTGTTAGTCTCAAAAAATCCTTCAAAAATGTCACCATCAGAACATTGATTCGTTTCATCCACGATTCTTGTTGTAATGCAGTAACAATCGGAACGATAAAACCATAACAAAGAATTGAATAATCACACATAACACTAGTCAGGTTTTTATATTTGATTGGAATGTTATAATTATCCAAGATGAAACAAGTATTGACAACAAGATTGAAGAAACTGATACTGTAGACAATTCGATTGAACATCAATGAAGTTCGAAGATTTTCTGCTATTTGAAAACGTTGTGAAAGTGAATAAGTTGTGCATTCTGAATAATAGTATTGTTTGTTAATATGAGCAATATAGAAGTTGAGTAGAACTGCGATGATATTCATGATTATTGCAAGTACGGTATGAGGAATTGTGTTGGAAGCTGAGAAAATATAAGTGTTCATGTTTTTACTACTTTTTTCTATTACCGATATTAAAATGACTTCCGAAGGCCAATGCCACGATTGCCTGTACAAAAACAATGAGATTTCCAACTTTCGGATATGGATCATTCTCATAATCCCGAATCATCCACGTTGCAAAACTTCGCTCGATGACAAGTCCCGGAAGAGTATAAAACGCTGTAAAATCCCAAAAATGTTGCACTTTTTATGAACAAAAAGTGCATTCGCAAAAACAGGAAAACCTACCGTACATCAAACCGACAATTCGGACAATGCTGATGAAATTGAAAAAACTTGAGAGAGAACGATTGATGTCTGAAAATAGCGTTGGATTACAAGAATTCTTGTTGATACGCCTTAACTAATTTCCTTCGTACTTCCCAGTTTTGAGAAAATTATAAGTAACGCAAAGGGGACACTGTTTTCTATAATTAAAAATATCCCAAGTGGACTTTTTTGTTAGAAATGGGAAAAATAGAAAAATAATAAAGGGGGAAGTGACGTGACCTATGATGTGGCATCTCAAAAGTCATTTAAAAAAGAAATGTTTGGAATTTGTCAAGTAATCTAGACTCTTGAAAGCAAAGATTGACGCGAAATTGTTTTTTGAATATTTATTACTTGCCATCAACAAGACCCAACAAAATCGAAATCGGTTGGACCACCCAAAAAACAGTCTGCACCAGATATTGCCCATAAAAAACACTATGAAGAAGACGAATATTTCGATGACAACTTCTTGATGTGTTTATAACATAAACCCAGAAGAGAATATAGAAAGTGCTCAATAAAATGAGCAATGCTTCCAATACAAATAGTGGTTTATAATACTTCCAAGATCCACGAATTTCAGCATCGGTTCGATTGAAATAGCCAAGCATTCGTAGATTTTTGAATTATGAAAATAAAATCTGAGAAAAACTGAGCGAAGGAAATTGATGGAGGCGTCGCTATAGAGATTGTACTTTTGTAAATACAATATAATTAGAATCAAATGACGAAATACCAGATATGTGTGGAAAAGACAGTGGAGTTATTTTTCGAAGAGTTGCAGATATAAAATGTTATAAAAAAGAAAAGTGGAGTTAATTGATCTATTCAATTTCTAGTTTGAAAAGAGTGTAGTGAATCAAAAATCTATGATTTTTCTGGGAAAATACAAATTTTCAAACCTATGAAAAATAGAAAACCCTTTGCAGATAAATGTTTAATGAACTTTTTACAATCTGAAATTGTTGGACTCAAAACTCTTCTCATGAAATTGTTGCTTCATTGTTTGTTCTGAAATTAGCCTCTCCTTTTTCAAACCAGTCCTCATATAAATTCATAAATATTTTTGACCCTATGGGCCATATCCATTTTATGACTATCAAAAACCAATCCCATCTCGTTTTTTTCCATCTTTTTTTCATCATTTCATCCTCCCATTAATTTCATTCATTTTTCGTAACACAAACAAGTCGTAGTTGTTTCTTGCGAAAAACGAGAAAATAGACATTTGATTAGCCGAAATAGCCCCCCTTCCATCATCATTTTTGACCTTAATGTACATTTTTCCCTATTTTATAAGTCTATTATTATCATTTTTGATCTTTGTTGATTGTTATCAAATTCGAGTTCAGAAACAATGGTTCAGATATCCAGGTTTACACAAATTTAATTTATTTCAATAAAAACTTTTAATGTTTTTTTTAGGAAACCCGGGTGTAAAAATTCGACTAACAAAAAAAGGTGCAAATCACGTGAAAAGTATGGGAGTTCATGTTTTCAATGAATATATTTCCAAACTTCGAGATTATTCAACAAGTTTGCCATTTCCACAAATTGGTTTAAATGGTGTGGTGAATTTGAAGAAATTAAGAGTCACCAATTATCATCCGCCACATTTGTCTGTGCTCAATTTTTTGCCACCTAGACATATTGTCCTCGGGCTGGAGAATTTAGATGTTTCGTGAGTTATTTTTCGAAAAAAAAATTTCTGGGAAAAAATCAGGAGCACGGAAAATTAGAAAAAAATATATTTTTCAGACTATCTTCAGATTTTGTTGCAAATGTTCCACCTTTGACATTCGAGGGAAGTCTTGATGGTTCAATAATTGGAATGACAATTGCAGTCACAACTGAACTTTTAACTGATACAAATGGCAGAATGAATGCAATTGTTCGAAATTGCTCAGCTTTAGTTGATCGCAGTCATGTTACTCTGAATCCAACTGGACCAATGGGACTTCTCGTCAAAACATTTGAGAACAGTTTGAATGATTCGGTGAAAAAGAGGATTCCTGAAATATTTTGTGCAAGACTACAGAATTTATTAGAAAAAAATGTGGCGAAACTCTTCGATAATTTGATAAAAATCGATCTCAAGGAATATTTTCCGAAAATACATGACAATTTAGTGGTTCGCGATGTTTTTAGCAGTTTTATGTCGCAATTTTCGCACGGCATGTTTATTGATAACAAAATGATATCACAACCGTTTATCACTATGGATTATATTGAGACAAATCATCTAGGTATGGTGAGTTTTTATAAATTATTATGGGAATAAAAAATATATTCTTTAGTTCATTTTTAGGTGAAACCCGTTTTCCCTCATCTTCCCATTCTACACCATTTTATCCGCGACCAATGGAACTTCCTGAATCTTCTGGTGATAGTATGGTTCATTTTTATATATCCGATCATATATTCAATACAATGTTATATCAAGCATATCAAGATAATCGACTTTCGATGAAAATTGATGAAACAAATTTGCCAAGTGAAATGTCGAGTTTTGTTGCGACAAGTTGTCCGACACGAAAAAATCCAACTATTTTATGCGTGGGACATTTGATAAGTCAGATTGGAAAAAGTTATCCAAACTCGACTGCAAGTTTTGTGATCCTTCCACATGGATTACCGTATGTTATGATTAATCCTAATGCGGTTTCAATAGATCTTTCGAGTGAGTTTTATTTTCTGGGAAATTTTCAAAATCAAAATTACCTCAAAAATTCGAACATTTTTGTAAAGTGATTTATTTTCAGATAGAATTCTGACTTATGTCCAACCCGAATCTGATCGATTATCTCAAAATAAAACTCAAATTCTTGTATTTTCAATAAATGGACAAGCTGACATCATTTTCGACACAAACGAAAAAGATCTTAATGCTAAACTAAACATGAATCGATTCAATATTCGACTTCATCGATCTTCAGTTCGTGGAATTGATGAATCTTCCATCGCAAGACTCTCACCACTTTCAAAATCATTTATAACTCCAAGATTGAATGCAGCAATTCAAAAAGCGGTCAAATTTCCAGCACAGGATACTATCAAATTCATAAATCCAAAATTGAAGAACTTTGAGGGTTTTATGGCGCTATCTTCAGATTTTGAATTGAATCGAGAAAAAATTATGAATTATGTTATGAAAACCTTAATTTAGATTTTCAACTTGAATTTAGAACAAAAATAAATACTTTTTAAAAAATTGAGTTTTTGTGAAAACATTTCTTTAAAAGTTCATTTTAAACATAATCCCGGGATGCATCAATTTTTCCAAAATTCGGAGACTCTTTGAATTTTGGAAAAAAAACAACGAGCTCATCAATTTTTCCAAAATTCGGAGACTCTTTGAATTTTGGAAAAAAAACAACGAGCTCATCAATTTTTCCAAAATTCGGAGACTCTTTGAATTTTGGAAAAAAAAACAACGAGCTCATCAATTTTTCCAAAATTCGGAGACTCTTTGAATTTTGGAAAAAAAAACAACGAGCTCCTCAATTTTTCCAAAATTCGGAGATTCTTTGAATTTTGGAAAAAAAACAACGAGCTCCTCAATTTTTCCAAAATTCGGAGACTCTTTGAATTTTGGAAAAAAAACAACGAGCTCATCAATTTTTCCAAAATTCGGAGACTCTTTGAATTTTGGAAAAAAACAACGAGCTCATCAATTTTTCCAAAATTCGGAGACTCTTTGAAATTATAGATAAATTTAGGCCAAGAAAAAGAAGAAAATGAAAATAAAAATGAAAATAAACTGCGGGCAGGCGGAGTGTCGTTTGTGAAAACTTGGAAAATCAAGGCGTATACGCAGCGTGTGCGCGGCGTAAGCGCCATTGTGATCTCTGACCGCCGCATACACGCCGAACGTCTCTAAACGCGGCGTTCTACGCCGACGATTACCCGAGCCATTAGACTAAAACATCAAATTCAGTGCTATATGCAAAAGGAAAAAAATTAATAGTATATTTCAAACCCGTCATTTACTCAAAACATTTAGATAATTCACCTGCATCAACTTTTTGTCTTCTTATTATTTCCGGTAACATTTTTATTTTTTTCTAAATGCTTTCTCGATAATCATGATTTATCATCTAACCCACTTAAATCAATTAATTTGGGTTCCACTTTTTTATCCCAACAGTTATCGAGAATCCTGGATTATAGTTTCAATATTTATATTCCTAATTTTGATTTGCGCATATATGACGAATATTTTTCTTTATATAATGTGGAAAATTCAAAAATTTCACCTGAACAATCGAATCATTTGGACAATTGTTTTCGGCAGTTGGTATTTTTTGATGATTGGGTTCTTGATGGTTGAACTTTATGAATATGGTGTACTTCAAGTTGATGGTAAATTCTTTTGTTCTGAAATCCATGATGAAAATTTGACTAAGATAAAAATAAAAAATTCAGATCGAAATCAAACTGACGCAAAATATCCATTCTTGGAATTGGAGGAAAACATAACAAATTTTCCTCTGATTTTTGGAACTTTTTTTATTTGCATTTGGTTAAGCTTAGTATATTTTTCCACATTTTTCTTCATTTTCGAAAGAAGTATTGCAACTTTTTGGTTTTGGAATTATGAAAATGTTAAAAGACCTTGGCTAACATTTTCGATTATTTTCCTTATTTTTCTATTTTCATCAATCGAAGTTTTTGTTATGACATTTAGTTATATTGATATATTAGGAGGATTAATTCAATCAACTTTTGCTCACATTGTTTTACTTCCGGCAAGTCAAAAAATTTCCTTTTTTTTTGCAAAAAAAAACCAAAAAATAATTTCAGATGTTTTTCTTTCTCAAATTCTACAATCGTCGTTTACAAAAACTTTTAAAAACTGGAAAACTGACAGTCTCAAATAGTTTGACAGCAAGATATCAAATCGAAGAAAACATCAAATTTTTGAATATTGCCACAACTGTTGTCATTTGTATAGCTATTCTCTCAACTTCTTTTTTATTCCTGAGATTTGCAGAATTTTTAAGACTCATTGATCAGAGAACTATTCATATTTTTCTTAAAATTATTTGTCTTCTGTAAGTTTCTGAGGCCTTTCGTTCGATTAATATTAATACACACTTCTAGAAATCCACTATTTCTCATACCAGCTGTGCTATCCTCAATTTCCGAATGGCGTTATCCATTTCTCCAATTATTTTTCCCGTTTATGAAAAAAGCACGAAAAACTACTGGGAAAGTCAATACAATCGCCACTGGAGTTTTGTATTTTCAACAATTGGATGCCTCGTGGCAATGAGTATTTTTTGATCTACAAAATATTTGTTCAATGATTATTTGGTTGGGTTTTTCTTAAATAGAATTTAGATTTAAAAAATATTTTTTTTTTCTAGTAGTATATAAATTGGGTTCTATTTTGGTTAGTTCAAATTTTTGGGAACATTTAATAAACATTTAAAAAAAATAGTTACGTGACCGGAAAATTTTTAAAAATTCATTTCAGATTTTTTTAGAAAAAAAAGGTAAAATGCACCATTGGAATTATGAAAAACCTAACGAAACTTAACAAAAATTACTTCATTTCTTTATTTTCACCGTAATACATTTTGTGGGAATCGCCTGTTTTCTAACTCTTTCCCAACATCGAAAAGCCGACATTTTATCATCCAACCATTGTTGTCCAACAAGAGCAAATATCAAAAATAGATTATCCCGTGAAACATCATCGACCAATTTTGTTATTGGAACCTGCATAAAAAATGTATGATACTGTAGATTACCAAATAAACATCAAAAATACCGTAGTCTGATTTCCTGGTTTCAAAATATCTGCACATTCTTCAATTTTGATGCGAGAATTGCTGCTGGTTTTAACCTTGAAAAGCACACCATATTTTTTCGAGTGATTCAGAATTGTCAACTCCTTGACGCTTGAAATCTGAAAAATATTTTTTATTTTTTTTATTTTTGGATGAACTTATTTACATCAAAGGGTGATGGTTCGACTACAACATCATCAAAATCCTTGGGAAATTTTGGAAATTCTTCATCAGCTGACATTTTTTGATTTTTATTTTAGATAGAAATGAAAGAAAAATTGAGGTATCTACTTCCTCGTGGATTTAATAAAAGTGCACGTCAATTATTTTCTAAAAATATTTGTTTTTTGTTACGTAAGAGACAGAATGGTCTCTGGTGATTTGAGAACAGTTCTAGACTGTTCGAATTCTATGGAACCTAATTTGCATTGTTCCCAAGAGATAAAACAGCTATAAAATAAGTTCACTTCCCATTTGCTGATAATTTCTCTCATTAAAAATGAACTTTCAAAAATGGGACAATATTATATACCTCAGCCAAATCGTCACTGCAATCGTTTCAATTTTTCTAAACACATTTCTCATCTATTTGATCTCTACAAAATCCCCAATGAAACTTGGAACGTATAAATATTTGATGTACACCATTTCAGTTTTTGAGATATTCTATTCGATTTTAGATATTTTGGTATCTCCAATAATTCATTCTTATGGTTCAGCTTTTCTAGTTTTGGCAAAAGATTCGGAATATATTTCCAAAGATATTCTTCTGATTCTAGATGCAATATATTGTGGATCATTTGGTTCCTCAATGGGATTTTTTGCTATTCATTTCGTTTATCGATATTTTGTTGCAAGCGGTAGTAAACTAATCAAATCATTCAATGATTTTCAAGCAATTTTCTGGTTTTCAATTCCAATTAGTTTTGGTATTATTTGGGGAAGTGTTTCATATTTTCTTTGTGGCCCAAATATTACAACCGACCAATATATAAGAAACAACATATTGGAAGCTTTTGATTTACAAATCTCGGATATTATTTACATCGGACCATATTTCTACCCAAAAGATGAAAATGGTGTGCATTATATTGATTTGAATCATGTGTCCGCGGTATTAATTAATTGGGCCCTGTTAACTATTTCATTTATAACAATTATAACTTTCGGTTTGAAATGTTATTTCAAAATCACAAAGCTTGTGAGAAACTCTCGACTATCCTGTAAATATCAAAAAATCCAAACTCAATTATTTTATGCTTTGGTGACCCAAACAATGATTCCTATAATTCTAATGCATCTTCCCGTATCAACAATGTTTCTTTTCACATTTTTCAGTAAAGATATTGGAATGTTAAGTGACATTGTTACTATTACAATTTCTCTTTTTCCGGCAATCGATCCTCTTCCAACTCTTTTCATAGTTCAGGAATATCGGAAAACAATTTTTGGATTTTTTCGAAACCTAATTTGGCGAGTTTTGGAACCTCAAAATTGGTTTTTTGTATCAAGAACATCACAACAATTATCTAATAATGATATTAATTTTTAAGAATTTTTTTCAATTTTTATTTTTTTACCACAAATAAATCTAGACATCCATAATTCTCGCACCATCATCACAATAAGCTTCCATTAATTTCAGAAATTGTTTAGCTGTTGAATTGTATACTTCAACAGAAGCCTTATTGAACTTTGCCAATGTTGCCAATGTTTCCTCGGTGCACTTTTTCAGACTTTCTTGTGATGCATCAACAAGATAATTATTATTCGCATCTTTATCGGCTTTCTTTTTGTTGTTCTCGAGTTCCTTGCAAACTTTAGCATATTGTTTCATTTGTTGATCAATATCACGACATTCGACCTACAAAAATGATGTTTCCCTGATCCACAAACTAAAATATCTAGAAAGATACCTCCTTGTAACTCAAACATTTAGCCATAATATCATTCGAGATATTTCTCCCAATATTTGTTGTTTTCTCGTTCATCTTATCCACAGCATCACCAGCTTTATCGACTTTTGCAGCCAAGGATTTAACAACCATTCCCTCTTTATAACCACGAATTCCAGTGCTACATTTCACATATGGATGTTTATCCGCAGTCAAATCTTTTACATGTTTTTGAAGAGCAGGAATCATTTTAGCAATCTGATCATGATACAATGTCGCCTCATTTGACAATTCCACAACTTTTTCATCCATACTACCTGTGTTTCTGAACAAATCAAAGATTTGGGAGAGCATTTCGAGATAACTTACTTCAACCATTTGTTTACGCGATCTTTAGAAAACATTTTATCTATTCTATTTTGTTCGAAGTCAGCAATAAGTGAGTTTTGGAAAACTTGTCCTTTTATAAAGTGAAATTTTATTAGGGGGTCACGTGAATAATTTTTATATTTAAAAATTGTTTTAATTTTATTTTTTGAAAAAATTTCATTGATGCATTAATTTTCACGTCTAACCCAGCCCATTGTTCTGGTTTCTGCTACAGTATGTCATAAAATTGCGACCTCTCGTTATCCATCAGCGTTTGATAGCATTGCCAAGCATCAATTCTGATAAGAAATGCTCTCTGCTTTATCTCGAGATCGCGTAAATAAATGGTTGAAGTGAGTTAACCCAAGTTATGCATATTCTACACACAAAATGTTTTTTGTTTTTTTATAGAAAAACTCCTGATTTGGATGATAAGGTTGTGGAAATGTCGAATGAAGCGACAACTTATCACGATCAAATAACTAAACTTGTTAACGCCATTCAAAAACAGGCAAAAGATTGCGGTTCGGAGAAACATCCATTTGGAAAAGCAGCAAATGGTATACGAAATTATAAAGATGGTATGGTCACCAAAAGTTTGGCTGGAAAATATGATAAAATGGCAGAAGCGATGGATAAATTGATGGAGGCAAATGCTGAATTCGGAAGAAAGATTTCGAGTGGATGTTTATCAAAATGTCTCAGTTTCAGAGATGTTGATTGTCGTGATGTTGATCAACAAATGAAACAACTTGCAAAAGTTTGTAAAGATCTTGAAAGTAATCGAAAGAAAGCGGAAAAAGATCAAAATAAGAATTACCTTGTTGATGCTTCTTTGGAGAGTTTGAAAAAATTGACTGAGGATTCATTGATTACTTTGGAGAAATTCAACAAAGCATCTGTTGTTCTTCTCAATGCAACATCCAGTGAATACAAAAAACAACTTGAAGCATATAATGCCGAAGCGGCCAAGATCATCAATTTTTGAATCTTACTCGATAACCACTTATTTTGTTCATCTATCGATGCTGAAACAGATAAACTTGTTGAATTTTCCCGTTTTTATGCAAAAAATAAAAAAAAATGTATGAAAAAAAGTGAGGAGAGGAAGTGCGCTCCATCGCACTTTTTTGAAAATTTCTTTTTCTTTTTTTTCCCGTTTTCGCGAATTTTCGTCCCGTTCCGCGCAGGCAGGTGGCTCTTTCTTGTGTAATTACACATACATAGTCTATTTATAAATGCATGAACGCCCTTTTTCTTTCTTCTTTCAAGAGTCCGAAAATATTTCGTAATTCATCATTTTTCAGTTAGAAAATAACAAGGATGAGTGAGGTATATGAAGTTGAAATCACTACGAATGCCACGGAAATGCCGCTGGAAAAGAAGTTTGCAGCTTTGCTAACCCTCAAGGAGTTAAAAGTGAGTTATTTGTTTATATAGAATTAATAATTTTATTCGAAATTTCTAGAGAAAACTTGAACTTGTTGTTGGAACCGAAGCATCTTCAATGAAGATCCAATTATTCACCTCAGAAGGAGAATCAAAAGGAGAAATTGCTGATGAAACCAAAACGTTGAAAGATTTGGGAGTTCGAGATGGATATCGGATACATGCAATCGATATCACTGGAAGAAATGAAGATTTTAAAGATGATAGTATGGTTGAAAAATATGAAATGGCTGATTCAGAATATGATAAAAGAACTGATAGTGTGAGAGCATGGAAGAAGAAAATGCAAGAAAATGGGGGAAATAGTTCGCCGAGTGTGAATAATGTTGAAAATGCGAATGAAGAAGCTGCGAAATCGATTAATGTTGGAGAAAGATGTGAAGTTCGAGTTGGAGGAGTTAGAAGAGGAGAAATTGCATATGTTGGGAAAACACAGTTCAAGGTAGGTTTTCATAGAGGGAAAATGTGAAAAATGTTTGGCGAAAAGCATATTTTGAACTGCGAGTATTCGCTGTCAAATCAAAAATCTAAAAAATACTAGTCGTGAACAACACAATACACAAAAAATGGCAATTTTTTTCAAAATGAAAAATATTTTAAAAATATTCCGAATCTCCTACGTGACCTTTGACGTGAACGGTTATCCAAAATTGTTCATTTTCAAATCTAGAATTTTATTTTGTCAGGAGGGAGTTTGGATTGGTATTCGGTACGATGAACCGGTCGGAAAAAATGATGGATCGGTTGGCGGTGTTCGCTATTTTGACTGCGATCCAAAATATGGTGGATTTGTTCGACCAGTTGATGTTGTAACTGGCGATTTTCCCGAACTTTCAATTGATGAAATTTGATTTTTTTAATTTGCATGCATACAAAATCGCTTATTCATCTCATGTCGAAAAAATAAAACAATTATCGAATACGTTTTCACTTGATAACTTTTTACTGATAAAAAACAAGAAAACAAGTTGAACTGGAAATTGAAAGCCAATCTCGAGGGCGTCCGCGATTATATCTTTTTTCGCTTTTTGCTTCTTTTCCTTATTCAAAAACAACAAAGTATAATAGCAGAAATCAAGAAGGATTTCCCTTTTTTTCAATCGCTAAGTGGTCAAGCTTATTATTCATAGTAATTATTATTTGTTTGTTTGTTGGTTTTTTCTGCTTTCTTTCTTGCCATTTTTTAATAGCTGCTAGATTACAACAACTATGGGTTGGATATGTATTCTACTTTTGGCAATTTTATTGAAAGGTAATTTTTTTTTGAAAAAAGTTTTGGAGAAAATCTGAGCTGCTGTCTTTCCAGATTCCTATGGATGTTCTGAAAATCCAACTTTATGTATGATGGATTTATTGAAACAATGGGAAGAATTTCGAGTAAAGGAAAAAGATGCAGCGAATGTTTTGGTGCCAGTTCTCTATTATTCACATACTTCACTTGATATTCTTTGCAATACCTACAACATTCTTCATAATAAATGTGGAATTGAAAAATGTGAAAATGATCCGGTGGCAAGTTTTGTTCAAAGGAATTTCGGATATACTTGTGCTAACAGTTTGAAACATCAAGAATGTATTGTGAAAGCGTTGGTAGGGTCAAATTGCACTGGATTGATTGAAGAGGCACCGAAAATTGGAGGCGATTGTAAGTTATATATCTTTTTCATGGCTCTGAAAAATTCCAACAATTCCGATATTTTCTAGTACACTGCGACAAAATAAATCAGTTTGTACCATGCGCTGAACAAATTGTAAAATCGGAATGTGGCCAAATATCGTATGCCATGGTTATGAAGACTCTTCAAATGTACGGTTGTGATGAAAAAATTGATATAGAGAAAGTCGATGAGTTTTTGAATATCAGCGAAGAGCACTTTGTTGAAACAACAACTATTCTTGCTGAAATTCGAGTGACTAGTGAAGATCCTGCAACTTCTACAGTAGAAGTTACTACTGAAGGAACATCTCAAGAACCATCTAGTTCCATAACTGAAGTTTCTCCAACAACAACAATTGTTGAAGAAACTACTTCAGAATCTTTGAAAAGTTCGACAGAACTTATTAATGAAGTTGAAGGATCTGGTGAAGAGGTGATAATAAAGACCACGACAACAACGCAATCAGCTATCAGAACTAGAAAACCGAAAAGATTCCGCGCTGAAAATATGACTGATTGTTACAGTAGTATTTTGAGGTATTTATTATTTTTTTAAAGTTTCAGTCATCATTGATTTTTCAGTGATTTCGGTAGATTTTTGAAAGCAACCCCATCATCTTCTTTTATTCGATTCCCACTTTTTGGCCTCAAACCAATGGAAGTCGATGTTCTTTGTTCGAAAAGAGAGATTAGTCAAGAATGTGTAGATCATTTTTGCGTCGGAAATTGTCGACATCCACCAATTAAAAGTTTTGTCGATGCGCAATTAAATGAAGTTTGCCGCTTGAAAACTTCCGATGATTTTGAGCTCGAATTCACATGTCTGCAGAATGTACTAGTTGATACTCCGGTAATTTCCAAATTTTTCGATTGGTTTTAAAAATCAATGTTTAGGAATGTTTAACTTTTATCAATACTACATCTCCGAATCGCTGCGATGGTCACGGTCATTTCAGAAATTGTATTGGCGAAAAAATTGTTGCTGAATGTTCTGGAGACACTTTGATGCTTCTTGATAAACTTCAGAAAGGGTTTTGGATGTCGTTTGATCACAGGCTTTGAAGTTGAAGAAATTGAATCGTCTGGGGATGAAGGTTCTGGAAGTGAGATTGAGAATGGAGAGAAGAATTCCACAGAAGTTGTTGAGAAATTGAATCAAGAAGATTTTTTGTTGACTAGTATCAATGAAACGAGAAATTGTACTGGGGATGTGAAATCAATTGTAAGTTTCATTCCAGATTGAATTTCTCATCATTCATCGAAAACTATTCAGGCATTAGGATGTTTAGCTCCACTTCTTAGACTTTGGACTGGTATCAAGGCAAATCGAAAAGATACAGAAGGAGTTTTCCCGATTTTCCAGTTTTCCAAAATTGAACTATTAGAAATTTGTGATTCTTTTATCAACTATCGGAATTGTTTCCAAAGAACGAATTCAGCAATTTGTAATTCTCAACCAGTTGTCTTATTCGCAGAAGAACATTTTGGACAAGTTTGTACAACTCAAACAATTGAAGCATCAATTCGAACACATGATTGTATAAACGCATTGAGTCATCGAGATGTCACAAATTGTAATCGATTCTCATTTGGTGAAACATTACCAGGAAAAAGAAAATGTACAAAAGTTCGAAGGTATACAAAATGTTTACGAAAACTTGTGAAAGAATCATGTGGACATTTGATGTTAGCGCATTATGATAATATTGTTGATCGATTTGGTTGCTAATCGTTTTCTTTTTTTTTGTATGTATATTCAAGTTATAATAACTTACAGTTTAATAAATATATCTGAAGTGTAGGTATTTTAATTTAAATTAAAAAAACCGGAAGAATTCCGAAATTTCCATAATTCAAGAATTCTTTATATTCAAAACAAATAAATATGAGCAAAATCTTATATACAATCAAAAAAGGAGACTACTTTTAAAATTTAGAATTTTGTGAATTAGAACGATCTGATAAGCCGATTGCTCTTGAAGATCACTGGAGGCGGAGTGTCGCTGAAAATCTGAAATTGTTGAATCGTGCAAAACAAAGGGAAATTCCCCACCGAAATATAAAATATTTACAAAAAGTTGGTGTTAGTTAGTAACGAGTGGTAGTCACAGCGTATGTTTCAACCACTTCCCTGCAAAGACAAAATAGAAAAAAAACAAAGATAGAAAGACATAACTAAAAATCAAACAAAATTAGATCAAGACTTTGAATTACAGTAACTCACTTGTCACGAGAAATGAATACCAACGCAATGTCTAGGACATAAAGAAGAGCTGCAAGGAAAAAGAAGGCGGCTGCAACAGCCCAACCTTTGACAACAAATTGAATTTGACAGCCAGGAAGTCCAGCACAACCGGAGAAAACACCATTTCCGACGGCTTGGATGAAGAATTCCATGTGATCGAAACCTGTGGCATACCAGGTTTCAACTCCGCCGGAAACAATGAAAGCGATCAGAGCAATTAGGGAAATTGCAATTTGCTGAAAAATTTTGTCAAAATGATTTTTCGAATTGACTTTGAATCAATGTCAAAACTCACCGGATAAGTTAGCACATTTCCAGTCGCTAAAGCAACACAGCTTAGTCCAACTGTAATCAACGCAAATGCCAAAGTGATACAAATCAACGCGACTTGACCGTAAACACTGAAAGAAATTCCAAAATAACCTGGAAACATCAGTATTCACTCACTTTTGACCTCTTCCTTGAAAATGCAATGCATTGCTCCAACGATCGGCATTCATTGGGAATATACTATTTTGTCCCGGACAGATTTCACGACTTATTGATTGACCATTGATATATCTTGAGAAGCAAGCACCAGGTGCTGTTAGAATTAAAATCATTGAGACGATTGCGAGAACCTGGAATATTTATGTTTCAAGGAAGAAGGATAACGAATTTTTGATAGTTTGGCTCGATTTGTTTTTGATGAATTGACAAAACCAAATTTGGATAAATCATGAGTCATGATTTAAAATTTATAAACAAAAACTGACCAATATAAAAATCCTGATACAGAAAACAATTCCGCTGAAAGTTCTTGCCGACAACATATTCCACTTTTTCTTGTCTCTCAAAATAATCGGCGATTCAGCAGGCGCCACCAAAATATTCGATCTAATCGGCACTTGGGTTTGTAATGGTAACGGTGAATGTAAAATTGGCGATGTTGTAGTTGTATTATTTATTATCCTATAATGCCTACTTTGTTCAACACGCACAATTCGATTCACTTGATCGCTTTCAGTCATAGCAGAATATTATTATTTGGGGAGAAAAATAGCGAAACCGGATAGGTATAACAACCGAGAGTTAATAATGATGTTTAGTTGGGTTGGCAACTATGAATGTTTGAGTTTTTAAAATGAAATGAACTATCTATCTATTTATGTAGTTTGAAGTGGTAATAATAATATAAATATTAATAGGGGAGGAAGTTCCATACAAAAAGTTGTTTATATTTACACATTATTTTGATGATGGATGGAAATTCGGGAAACAGTTAGTTCAAGGTTATTTTTAGGATTGCTACAGAGTTTGTAGGTAGTTTTGGAAAATAATCTGGAATTGAGGGATCTTGAAAGATTCAGAATTCGCCGGATAATTATTCTTTGTGGCGCTGCAGATAAGATTTTTGACAGAATTTTTTTAAATGTTCTGTAATTCAGAACTTTAGATCTGCAAACCTCAAACCTCAGACCTCAAACCCGACCTACATACTTCATACCTACAGTAACCGGTGTCTCGTATTCTCTCCTCGACACTCAAGATTCAAGAAAAATTGAAACCCCAGAAAGCCAGAAAATTCCTGAATACGAAAAAAAAAACAAGAAGAATAGTTTTTTCTCGTTCGTGTGCCAAACACCATGTCGAAAAAAAAATAAAACTTTCGATTTTCGCCCAAAAAAAGTTAATATTGCATCACCGCGAACAATAGCGACAACTAGTTGGATTATAATCGATGATTCAATGAAAAAAAAGTTTTATTCAATTTTTATTTAAAAATCAGCATCTAAACATTGTGAAAGTAAAAGCTCGAAAGTGAAAAAATATTTCGTTGTATATACAATTTTGGGGGGCAATTTGATTAGAAAATAGTGGTCATATCATACTGTAGATCATACCACATGAGAGTAGCACCATATAAAGTGAAGAATAGGAAAAATGAGAGGAAATAGACGAGTGGTGGAAGAGTTCCAGTTGTTGAGCAATAAAGAAGAAGTCCAGAGACGAAAAGAATTGAGATATTTGTAACAATCACTTTTTGTGTGGCATAGCGGAAATATTCGTCCTGAAAGAATTTTGATTGAAAATTCACATTTTCTGCATATTTGCGTAACACAGGTGTTTTTCAATTTTCAATAAATATCTTACCGTAGTTCCTCTCTTCTTATGTTTTCTAATTCTACACTGTCGATTCTTCAATGGTTTTTTGACACGATCTGACACTTTCCAAACAGCTTGTTCAGCTCCTTCCCAAGAATTTGGTCCAACCAATCGATAAACATATGGAACATTTGGACCCATAAAAAGTTTCATCCAAAATCGGATATTTGAAAAGAAATATTTTTGCATTGGTGGAACACATCCAATTAAACTAGCAATTTCATCCATATAAGTCATATAATCAACTTGAATTGTATGTTTTATACTATCGAAATATCGTTTCTTCATCGATTCTTTTTTCTGTGTCATATCCAAAATCTGCTCTTCAACACTGGCTAATTTTGTTTTTCCAGCAAATACTCTCGCCGCCCATCTTGATTGAATTTCTGAAATTGGAGCGATACTTCCAATTGGTTGAATCAATCCGATCACAGCAACAGAATCACTATTTGGTGGGAAGACATATTTGTAAAGTGGAACTTGTTGATTTTTAATATCGATAATGTCTGAATCAACGAATGGGAAACCAAAAGTATAACCAGTGCAAGTCAAGAAAACATCACATGGAAATTCACGACCACCTTTGACGATCACACTATTTTCAGTGAAAGTATCAATGTCTTCCTGAAAAAAATATAAAAATTCTAAAAAATCAATCAGAAATTAAATGAAACTTACAGTAATCGTGATATATCCAGCACATAATAAATTAGCTAAAGCATCATTAACAGTTGGATGTTGTTGGAAGAATCGATGATCTGGACGCAAACCATACAAATCGTGATCCATTCTTTGTTGAAGTCTATGCTCCATAAAATCATTTGCCAAAACATGTGGAACTGTTTTGAGAAGTGTATCATAATATCGAGAGAAAAGCAAAACATCATAAGGCATTCCACCTTGACTAACTCTATTGAATATCCAAGTTCCTCTTCGAGTTGAAATTGTCACAGATTTTGCGAGTTTTGCAATATCAACAGCGATATCGAGTGCTGAGTTTCCGATTCCAAGAAGAAAAACATCTTTTCCCTCGTAACCTTTCGTATTAGTGTAATTATAAGCATGCGATACTGTGCCTTTGAATTTATCGAGATCTAAAAAAATTAAAGTTATGAATAATCAGAAAATTTCAAATTGCTTACCTTTTAATTGTGGATAAGATGGTTGTGCATGATGTCCTGTGCAAAGCATAAGTTTATCAAAAATCTCCACATTCCCATTATCCAATTGAACTACATATTTATTCTCTTCGTTGCGAGATATCCTTTTGACAATTGTGTTAAATTGAATTTTCTCCAAAAGTTGGAATTTTTCAGCATAGGCTTGAATATATTCAATAACTTTTTGAGTGATGCATAAAATTTGCAAAATTTTCTGGCGGCGGAAAATCCGAATATGCCATCATTTCTTTTGATGTGTTCACTACAGTACTCTCCATGACTGTGCCACCAATCTAGAGAAAAATAGGTATAGTTTGGGAGTAAAGATAGAGTAATACTAACATTTTTCTGGCCTGGTCGATAATTCCAGAGTCCTCCGATTCCTGAAGTTTTCTCATAGCACACAACATCGAGACCTTCTTCGATGCATGATTTGATGGCTGGCAGGCCAGATGCACCTGCGCCAACCACACAAACTCGCATTATTTTCTAGAAATGAGTTGAAGATTGAAGATAAAAATTGTTGAAACGTTGGAAAAGTTCACGCAAAAATTAATAATTTATGGGAAAAAAACATTTGTCTCGAAATTTAATTAAAGAATCGTGGATTTTAGATTCGAAAAGAGATTTCAAAAAAATTGCTGTAGAGAAATCAAAAAATAATTATTGATCTGCAATTTCAGAATTTCACAGTAACCTGAAATTTGTATGCTCCAGAAAGTCGAAAACTCGACGATTTTTTAAGGAAAATCCAGACCTACAGTAACCCAAAAACTAACAACGCCAAAAATATCTTGGAAATGTATTACATTCTGATCTTATATATTGTCTGGTTGCAGACCACCAGGTCAAATGCAAAAAGGGTTCCACCGCAGGATGATTGATAGAAAAAAGTTTGCAAAATATTGAAACCTAATATTTTCCTGGAACAGAAATCAACTTCAAGTTCCACATTTAATTTTTTTTTGGAAAAACACACACTTGAATTTTTTTTTTTTGAAATAGGAGGAATTGAAATCAAAACAAAACAACAACACAATTTGGTCACACAAACAGAAGAAAAAAGTGATTACGTGATGATGAAAATGTTATAAAAAAGGAAGGAGAAGATTGAGAAGAAAGAAAAAAGGAGAAGCTGAATCGAATCGGGTTCGAGGAGTGAATGATCGGACGAACGGGTTTATTAAAGAGGAGGAAGAATGAAAATGTATATGTGAAAAAGAACAAATTTCGAAAAATCGAATGATAAGGGATCAAAAAAGACAGAGAGGGTACAATGATAGATACAGATTATCTAGAATGATGTGATTGAATTGGCTGAATAGATCAAGTTCTCAGCGTGGATTTGTTAAGAAGGTGTTTCAAAAGATAACTTGGATTTAGGATATGAAAAGCTTCGAAGATCATCTTGAGAAATTTTCTTTCTGAAGTTGTTTTCATGAAGATTCTTGAGTGAGGTAATTATTTTTTTTGTTGAGAAGAATACGAGTTTTCCTGACATTTCAGGAATTACATGAACTTTGACTCTTTTTAACTTAAGCCAGACAATGATTGATAAGATCACAAGATTTCGACACCAAAATATCACAAGGGCAAACTTCACAATCACAACAACCAGGAAGGAACGCTCTTGGTTCAAAAAATATCATTAGCCACGTGGATGTCTGCCGCATTTTTAGACATAGCCAGCGATAAACCTGATATTTTCAGACCTACTATTTATCACCGAAATTTGTTAGCTTTAAAGCAGCGCGTTGATAAGAAATATTTATAAAACTGGAAAAATTCTGGAAAAAAAAAACTTTTTAGATACTAGTTGTTTGTTTGGCGAAAATTGAACGAAAAATCACAAGGTTTTTATGAAATTAAATTTTTATCGAAGAAATCTTTCCAGAAAATTATTCCAAATTTTGGTCAAACTTTGTACTTTTTACCAACATAAAGATCAGTTTCGTGCTGTTTTTTTTCCGAAAATAAAAATTTTTGCAATCAAATGATATGATTGGATGATGGGAAAAAGTGTAACCAAATCGAAAATAAAAAAAAAATCATAGAAAATGTCAAAAATCACGAAATCTTTTGGCCTCCCAGCTGGTATAAGACGATTAAAATGTATCCTTGAAGAAAAAAGGAAAACTTGATCAAAAATAGAAAAATAATAGGATTAGAAGTCATACTGAAAAGTTTTGTTTGGAAAAAATATTTTAAAAATCAATAGGAAAAGCTGGATTTGGAAAAAGACTGTATAAAATGAAGAGAGTGAATGACCTGAATGCGAAAGATCTAGCCGGATTTTTATGTCTGCGTCTCTTTTTGCGCGGGATCTCTCGAATCTCTTTTGGTGTTATTATATAAAATGACATTTGAATGAAATACAAAAACTTTGTCAAAAGGTCGTTTTGTGGTCAAGTATTTCTCTAGTTTGATTTGAACAACTTTTTTTATGAGGTCGAGAAAAAATCACATTAAATACGCAGCAAGAGATCTCATTGAACTTGACAAGTTTTACGATTTTTGATTCAAGTTTTACGATTGGAAAGGTACTCGGAAGTGTTTTTTCAAAAGAAAATTTAGAGAGGCTAAAGTTTCATCGAAAAATTCAACGTAATTTTTTGGATTTCTAAAAGATTTCATCTTCGGATTCTTTCAAAAAAGTTTCATCCGATCCCAGAAAAAGAAACGGATGCGATTACTGATAAATTTTGAAAGAGCTTCCAAATGCAAAAAAATCAGCCAGACATTCATCCGTTCAAAAAACCAAAATGAAGAAAAAGCTGGAAATCTCGAACATTTTCTTATCACCAGTCGGCATTTTTCTTATCTTCCCCGCCTTTTTTTAAAAATCGTTTTTCATCCCACACAAAATATCAATTTCAAATACCAAAATCCAAAACCTCACGAGTCTTAAAATCAAACAGCTAACAAATATTGCAGATTTTGAACACAGAACATCCTAGAAGCATGAATTAAATTTTAAAAAACCTTCAAAAAATAAAATAAAATAATTTATTTACGTGAATAATCAACGTGGCCTCTTTCTGTCTTATTTCACATTTTTCATCAGTTCGAAAAATTTCAAGCGACAAAATGACATAAGATAAGATTTTCCTATTTCTTGAATTTGCCTGGAAAGAAAAGATAGAAGATATCAGAAGTTATATGCACAAAAAGGTTAGTTAGGCGATCGCCTCTTCGAAGAGTTTGAGGGAAAACAAAGTTGTGACAAATTGAAGTAATTCAAATTTTTAAGTGAGAATTTTCCAGGTTTGGTTCGTTTCTACGGATGGAGAATCAACGAAATTCATATATTCTCATCCAAACTCCACAATTCTTCGTATTATGTGTGAAATATGTGAGTTTCAGCTTCAAAGGTCGAGTTGCTACAAAAATCTGCAAATGTTCGTCGTTGTGTTTGCACATTTGTACAGCCTACAGTACCAATTCACACATTTTTGAAAATTTTTCGTTTGCCACAGAGCACATTTGTTCACGTGGCCGAGGAAATCTGCAATTATCTAGGCCGTAATAATGTGTTGCGCGAAATTTTATTTTTATTTTTTGCAGGAAAGTTTAGCGATTTTCGCCTGACACTTCTTTCTAGTTTTTGGAAGATGAATATTTGAAGCTATCATTTAGACGTATTTCTGGTTACTGGCTCTAGTTCACAATAAGTTAGCCTTTTGTGAATCCAAAAAAAAAATGTTCAGGTGCAAGTTCAAAACTTTTTTCATTCGATTTCCTCGCTCAAATCTAATCAGATTTGACGGCCGACCTTGCAAAAAAACTTTTTTTCACAAATCGTTTCATTTTTATTTATTTTATCATTTCGCGCATCCTTTTCTCTTCTTTTCTTCAGTTTTTTATATATTCATTGCATTCTTTCTTGTCATGTATACTAGTAGTATTAAGCGAAAAGCGAAAAGAACAACTGCATTACGAAGAGACGAAAAGAGAGACGAGAATCAATAGAGAAATGTTTTTGCGCGCGACGTTTTTTTTTTCTTTTATTTTTTCGCTCGTTCATGGCTCCAGGCTTCTTTCTTCTTCTTCTATTGGTTGCAGCTTCTCAAAAGGATTCTCTAACTTCCTTTTCCCTTTTTTATGTTTTTTTAGTGGTCCGAAAACACTCTTTTCTCACACTCTTTTAGTGATTCGAACATTTTTATGATTTACTCGAGAATAAGAAATTCTCTCCTCCCCCACTTGAATTTTTTCTTTCGTTTTTTTCGAGCAATTTTTTGCCCTCCGGAAATGTCTATTTGTTCTGCTGCCCTTTTACTGAAAAGCATTTTAGATTTTCTATTCAACAAAAATCCTTCTTTTTTTCAGAGAACAAAAAACTGTGATGATTGATTGATACATTGCTCATATTATAATCAAACAAAATTTGTCACACGGTGAGTCATTTTGGGGAGAGAATTGATGGAAAATGGAAAATATATTGATTTTGTTTATGTTGGCGAGCCAGAGATGATTTTTTTGTTGGCCAGTTTATGAAAAATGTACCAGATTTTTTTCTGAGGCCATCTGGCAGAATTTTCTTTTTTTTTTTGGAAAAAATTCGGATTTGAATACAAAATCACTTTTCTAAAAGTACAAATTCTCAAAATTTCCAAACTAACAAATTACTTTTTGCCGGCTTATGAGAAATTAACCGAATTTTTCTAGAAATTCTCACAGAAAGTTTTGAAGCTAACAAAATCCTCATTATTTTTCTCCTTGTTAACAACCAAAACACATTTTCTAATATTTACCCAAAGTATAACATCACATTGTCTTCTCGCCGAGAAAAAAAGTCGGTATTTCCTTAGCCAACAATAGTCTTTTTTGATTCAGATGTCATTACTGCCATTAAACACCTTGTCCGAGGCAGGATGTCTTTTCATCGAAGCACGAGTTTTGGGAAATCCGGGTCATGTTATATCACAAATTGGATTGACAATGGATGCTCCAAACACATCGATTGCTGTTTTTTGTGAGTTTTTTTGGGGGGATTTCGAAATTTTCAAAAAATATTGTGAAAAACAAAAAGTAAGCCTAAAGTTTAAAAGTGATATCTGAAAAATAATTTTTTACAACATGGCTCGTTGGAAAACTAGAATTTCTCTCTGAAAATCACAGTTCTGAAATAATAATTTTTTAGAACTGTGTTTCAGGTCCATTCTAAAATCTCAGCATAATATTTTTTTTTTGAAAATAAAACTAGAAATCAAATTTTTTGCAACGTGACCCATTGGAGAAATTTAATTTCCAACCAAATAGATCAAATTATTTCTTTTTTCCTTCAAACGTCACGAAAAATCCCAAAAAGTACAAAAGAATATTCAAATGTTGCATCAAATCCATCTGCTACAAGAACCCAGATGTTTGATATTCTTCTTCATCTTCCCATATCTTCTTTCGTTTTCATTTTTCTCAAATATGTCAAAACTCTTGGGAACACTTTAGTTTCCATCAGTTTTTCTTCTTACAACTAGTATACTCCATTGCAAAAGCAGCAAAGTAAAAAATAAAGATAAACAACACGGGAAAAATCAATTTTCGTTTCCGCAAGAAAAACTGAAACCTGACACTATCTACAAACAAAAACCAGAAGAAATTTTTTCTATTTTCATTCTACCCCCAAAAAAACTGGAGAAGACAATAATGGAAGAGAAATTCAATTCGATTTCTCCCGGAAAACGCACTTTTTTTCTGTTTTCGTTGTTGTTGGAAAATAATTGATGAAGCTTAGGCCTGGGGGTGAAAATAAAAATATACTTGTCAACTGTTTTTTTGTGGAGCCCAAGAGAAACGCGAAAGGAAGGAAAGAGTAATTATTTGCGACCTCGAATTTTCTCGTTGACGACACTTTTTTGAGGAGAAATGAATTATTGATGTGGCAAAAAGTATTAGGAGAGTCGTTTAGTAGTTTTTTTTTGAGGCATGAGGAAATTGAGGGGAAAGGAATGTTTTTTTTTCAGAAAATACATTAAGAATATAAAAACATTTTAGGGTTAGAAAAGATTTTAAAACTTTTTGGACACCGGTGATTTGATTTCGAGATTCAGACAAAGTTAGAGAACCAAAATATTAACAAAAAAACTGAAATTCATGAAGGTGGAACAACAAAAACTTTGGAGGCTCTAGGTACAGCTACTTGAGAACTAGCCGCCCTGGGCGCTGATCCTTGACCATACATAAAATGGGTCCCCTGAATCGGGGTGAGGGGCTTAACTTTTTTCATAAATCTGAAGGGAAGGGGTGCCTAACTTGGCCAATTTTCTGCTGATAATTTACCAAAATTCCCAGATTTGTCCAAAATTCGCTCAAAAATGTGAGGCAGGTGTTTAACTTTGGAAAATTTTCTAGGCGCGGTTACTTAGTGTTGAAGTTCTCGGGGAACCTATTTTATGTATGTCCTTGACAATTCAACTTTCTTGGCGCGACTACTTGAAAACTATGATTTCTAGGCTCGGCTTCTTCGCTTATAAGCTTCACAATTTTTAATTTTAGAACCAAGATTTCAGCCGAGATGTGTTGATTTTTTATTTGATTTTTCTCTAAATATTGTTGCAAAATCTCAAAAACTGCCCTTTCTTTAGGAAAAGGGCCTTTTTTATACCGTGTACTTTTCGGGCATCCTTGTTTAAATATTTTTTCTAAAGATAGATACATCCAGAATCCTAACTGCAAAATTCCCCCATTTTGAAAAACATGTCATAGTTTCAGCCGATTATGCAAAACTGTGCGACCACTCAAAGTCCAACGAAAAAAAACAACAACAATAAAATAATAGAGAAAAAGAGAGTGTAGAGAAATATGACCGGCGGCAATAGTAATAATAATTACGGTAGTGTGTATGTAAATCATATTCAAAACAAACATCCATCATTCACACCTCTCAATTTCATGTACCTCTCAATTTCATGTACTCTCTATTCTAGTTTACCTGTATGCATATTTATTTCATTTCTCTCTCTCGGAAAAACCATCTTCTTCTATGTCTCTTCATTTTCTCCGAGAACAACATATGCCTGTCGGGCGTTTTTGACTGTCTGCGTCTGCGATTCTCTCGTCTTTGTATCATTGCTAAAGAGTAGGAGAGAAGAGAACACATTTTCGCTCTTCTTCTTCTTTTTTTTAATTCCCGGCACCCATGGATGCTGCTGAAATCGAGCTTGTTTTCAACTCGAATTCAGATATTGTTCTATCTTTATTCTCGCCTTTTTCACCGACAAGAGCAACACTAAAAGGTGATTTTTCTTTCTTATTTTTTTCTCAAAAAGGTTTTTTTTCCTGAAAATTCTCAACTTTTTATGTGATTTCGTATATATCAAACATCTGGGATGTGCCAGCTGTTAGTTGAGTTGATGAAAACATCACCGACGAAAAAAATAAGAACAAAAAAACTTCCAATTCTTCTTTGAAGCTATTAAATGTTACCTCGTTTTTGTGTATTTACCTAGAGTGGAAAAAGAGTGGAGATAAGAAGAACAGCCGAAATACAAAAAAAATGATAAATAAATATTTGAGCGCATAATATTTGGAAAATAGTAAAAATTGCACGGAGTTTGATGAAAAACTTGGATTTTTAAAATTAGAGTGAACGGGGCCGAAAAACACAGTGTTACTACCTAAATTTTCTGGGTCTCTAATTTTTTCAAATCTTTTCTGGTAGATCAAAAATATATTTCTTCAGACCTCTAAAATATATAAAATATTGTTTTTTTTCATCACTGAAAATATTTAAATTCAAAAGTTTTCAAAAAAAACAAAAAAGAATTCACCAGTCTTCCTCAAACCTCAACATTCTGAAATTTTTTCAGCTCGAACAAGTGGTGTTCTCCTCGTCGCCGGTGTTGGTTCATTTTTTGCATACCGTGTTGCCACTAACTTCCTCCACAATCGCATTTTTTGGGAATGTATGGAAACACGACATTTTGATCGGATACCAACTGCCGATCGACGATTATTGTATTCTTTTGTGAGTTTTTTTTTGATTTTTGTTTATCACTCACGGAAAAAATATCAAATTAGTGAGATCTGTTCTGATCTGAGATGAGATGTCAAGTTGATTTACGTTTGTTGCAAATTGACTGACAATGATCAGAAAACTTTTTGTTCTCAAGTATGTGCGTTTTGCTAAAAGAAAAAATGGGGAAAAGATAATGTTTGTGGTTTGACGTGCTTTTTTTGATTTTTGAGTTAGGAGAGTTTTTTGAACCGGATTATTGTTTTCGAAAATAAGAAGTTGGGAAATTTGGAAAAAAATATTAGTTCAGAAGAATCATAGAGACTGAAAGCTTGAAAACCTTGCATCAATTTTGAAAAAAAACAAACGTTTCTCTTCACAATTTTTAAAAATGGTTTATCCAAAAAGTACTCAAATTTTGACATCAGAATTTCAGATTCATGTTAAATATTGTATTTTTTCTTAAAATTCAAAAAGTTCTTCTACATTTCTGACCAATATCATCATTTTTGACTCAAATTTCATATCTTCTTGTCGCAACTTTTGTCTAGTCAGGTGTCCTCTTTTCACCCGCTTTCAAAACCAAAAGGTGTCAGTTTTCCACAATTGATTAATTGTTACACCGTTCCGTTCATTATTATTTGAATAAATTCATCATTTTCCAGAATGTTGAAGAAGATGAAGAAGAGAATAAAGAAGAAGAACAAGAACAAGGGGTTACGAAATCAGAAAATGATGAGCAGAAAAGTGGAAAAGATGATGATTCGAGAAGTATTCGATCGTTTTCAATGAGTCAGGTAAGAAGATCGGATGTCAAAAACGGGGTTAAAAATATATTGAGTAAAAATGCACGTAGAATTTATGTAGTTGAAGAAATGAAAAATATTCGTTATGGATCCGGATTGGATTTTGAGATAACTGAGTTCGAAAAACAAGCTTTTCTTTAATTCAATTTAGAAAACCAGGATTTATTTTGGAAAAAAACTATTAAAGCTACGTTGGTTTTTCGATGTTTTTTCTCCGAATTTAGAAACTAAACAATTTAAGTTTAGGTTCACCGTCAAGTTTTCTTTGCTTGTGAGAAATTCGGGTTTTTTTCAATGTAGGCTATATGTTTTAAAATCATCTCTATCTCTCTCTTAAATTTCAGTTCATCTTCAACCTTCTTACATATTTTTTCCCAACAAAAAAACTGGATTTCTTTTCTCTGATTTATCACCTCCCGAAATAACAATCGAAAAAAATAAAAACAAACCCATTAAATCGAAGGTCAATCACCCAATTTCAGCATTCTCTATCTCGTCTAAATCGTGTCCGAAAATCGACAAAACAACTTCGCGGACTCTTAGGAAGTCTCAACGAAAAACCGACGTCGAGAAATGCTGGAATTTTGAGCCGACAAAGTTCAAGATCAATCAAATCGGCAACATCGAATCTTTCAATTGTATCAGCCTCATCAACAAAATCAGCATCGCTTCGAATTGTTTGGGAAGGAAGTCAACCAACTTGGGATGATTCGGATATGATTGCTGGAACATCAACGAATTCAATTGTCCAACGTGTTCCACCAACTGTTTTGTCAAGATTGGGACACGTGGCATCAACAAGTTCCCTGAGAAATGTTGAAGGATCAGTTGGTGATTTGTGTAGCGTATTCAATGATGTGAGTTTTTTTTCTTCTTTGAATTTTAGAATAAATTAAATCATGTTTCCGGATTAGTTATAGCGTGGGAAAGATTAAATAAATAAATAAATCACGTTATTTCACGAGATTTCTTAAAATTGTAGTCTGCAATTCATTTCATTTCCGGATTATGACTGAGAGATCAAAAAATTGATTTTCCTACTCCCTGAAGTTCAAACTTTTTTGAAAAAAATATCAAAATTTCTGGTTTCAGGTAATGTCTGTTACTTCAATGGTTGAAGAAGATTATCTGCCTGATGTTGATGAAGAAGAACCAGAAACATCGGAAGGAATTTGGCAGAAATGTCAAGTTGATAATAATAAATATATGTATCAAAGTTTTGCCGATGAAACGGAATCCGAAAAAGAATCACCTGGATCTAGAATATATAACGGACATCCTAAGCATCCAGAAGAACATCAAGATGTTGAAGATCTTCTAACTCCACAAGATCCAATGATTCGAAGTAATAATTCGAAAAGAAGTCGATCGATGTATGATAGCGCGATTGGTGGAGAAATATCATCGGAAGAAGGATCGACATGTCCGACAAGATTATATGCATTGATGGAGGGAGATAATTTATCGATTATTGCACCAAGTTGTGCAAGTTTGGAATGGTGTGATGATTTAGATCGACAGAATCATCGATTGGATTGGGATTATGAGGAAGAAGAAGTAGAAGAAGAGGAATATCGAGTTGCTTCAAGTTCGGTAGGTTTTTTAATCCTATAGAATTTATGGCCAAATGTTTCGATTCTAGTTTTTGGTATAATTTTGTATAAAAAAAGTTTTTAAATCGTACCAAAATTTTTTTCGAATAATACGATTCTCAAAACTTTGATGCAAAATCTGAGCCCCTCGAGCTTTTTTTGAGCCGAATATCTGCTAGTCAATGACATTTGGCCAGGAAATTATATTTTTCCGAACTTCAGAAATATCAGAACATCAAAAATTAAAAAAAAAATTCAGAAGTTCTATTTTTAACTATAAAACCAGCCTGTTATGGGCCAGCAGAAAACAATTTTGAAAAAAAAATAAAATTTGAATTTTTTGATCTCAAAAATCCTCCAATGATCCTAAAAACCTTGATTTTTTTCCAAAAAATAAGATAAATATATATTTCAGCTGATCGAAATCAACTCTCAATATGCTCCAAAATCATCTCGAGATCTAATGGTTATGGCATGTGAAATGTTCCAACCCTATTCTCCACCTTTCAAAGTAAGTTTTATTTTTTTCATTTCTGCCAAGAACCCCTCAAAAGTTGTGTTGTTTTTATCAATTATTCATTCATTCCGATTTGCGACGCATATTTATTTTTCCTATATACATATTTAATAATTCCTCAAAATGACGTTTGATCGTTTCAAATACCACCGTGATTAATTTTGCAGCCTGAATTTTTGATAGTTTGAAATACTTTGAACTTTGAAAAAATACGGGAAATTTGGAGGAAATTAAACTTTTGCAACATTTTCTTGGTTTGAAAACAATGACGCTTTCGAAATTTTCGTAGAGACTAAATCCTAGAGATTACTAGGTCGATTTGTCATTTTTGAAGTTTTTTTTTTGGGACAGAAACCACTTTTGAATGATGGAAATCAAAATTTTACAAACAAAAAACGTTTCAAGAAATCTGAAAAATCTGAAAAAAATTATGACGTGGAAAATGGAAATCTAGGCGCGGCTTCTGATCAGGCTGATTCTCTAGGCTCGGGTTCTTAACAAATAGGTTTTTAAGGCTTGGCTGCTAAACACACAATAAACCAAGAATCTATTATTCAATAATATTCTGAAAACATCACAAACTTTGCCACATACAATCTAACTTTATTTTTTCCAGCAAATTCAAAATCTCTATCACAAACATCGTTTAAAACGCATTGGCCTTATCAATCCCTCAAACTCTTCGGAATCGCTATTCTCATTGTTCATCCGCTCCTGTCTCTACCACAAATGCTCACTATTGCGTGACGTGTCATGGAGCTCTCTTTCAAAGGTTAGTTCATTTTCTTCCTCCTAATTAAAAGCAAAAAAAGTGACGTTTTTCCCATTTTCTCTTTGCTGACCAAAGCAACAATTGTGATAGATATTTAGAAGAAAAAAAGGCCGAAACAAAAAAGGAGAGTTACAGTACCCAAGGGAGTACGAGATTTCTTCGGTTGAATAAGCTTTGAGTAGGAGGTTTTGTTAGGGCGGTTAAAAATAGAGTCATTTCATTATTTATTTATAATTCGGGTCAACTACTAATCGAAAACTTTATTCATTTCATTTCATTTATTCTCTGTCGAGGAAAACCCGCGCATTTTGCTGGAAACACACTCAATAAAAAAAAACAAAAATGATATTTAGTAGAATTAGATGAAATTCGTCGCATACAGAAGAGAGAACAAACAAGAACTGATTTATAATTAATATCGAATTTGAACTGACTTAAAGCGAATGTTGTTTTTGTTTTTGAAGGAATTGTGGGAAATTGGTCGGCGTGTTGCATAGATTGAAATTACAAACACAACGGAACATGTATTCTGATGTTTTTATACTTCGCATGAAATGATAGTCGTATTTCTAAAAATGTATCAAATGTTTTTGTTTCGATTTAATTTTTCGTTGGTACTTACCTCGTAAAGACAAACTGTGAGCACGCTGTAATTCTTGACCGATGATTTGAATGTAGCATCATATGCTTGAACTGAATCGATTTCGGGTCCCACACCGAACACTCTACCCGGACCATCGTTTTTTGGAACAAGTGAACAATAAGTGTAATCATCGCTTGTCACTTCGATTATTTCATCAGTCTGAAAACTTAACATTTTCTGAAATCATTGAGATTTTGTTTAACTTACCACTGGATGGTTTTCGTAACATGTTAGTGCTACAGTACTAGAAACAAAGCCTAGTAGAAGCAAAAAGTGGATCGAGTTTGAGAACATCGACATTCGAAGTGAAGAGCTGGAAATTGTAAGCATGCCTTTTATAAACGAAAATGGGCGGAGCTTATGAGCAGGCAGAGCTAAGTAGCATTTCATTTTTTGTGTCGTGTTGATCAGAGGAAAAGGGGGATTTCAGAAAGATATTAGAATAAGGAGAATATTCATGCAGACTGGAAAATGTTGAGGAGTTCAAAAACTATGTGATAGATATATTCATCTTACGTTTTTCTTGCACAAAATAATGTTTTCCTAGAATGAACCGTCATTAAGAAACAAAGTCTCGTGACTATTTTGAAACATCTTTTTACTTACTTTGGTCTCTTGGGAATTTGATTGAACTCGACAATTGTTTGCAAACTAGAAAAACACATTCAGGAACTTTATAGTGAGAAATTCGGAAACGAATTCGAAAATTATCGATTTTAGAGATAATGTGAATTTTTCAAATGTATTGGGAAAAAATTCTCAAAAATTTATATGCAAGATTTTTCGCACCAGAATATCCCCTTCTAGGTTACATGGTAAATCTTATGAAAATTCTACTGAAAATGTCTTGAGATCGTCAATCTTTCAGACTTTTTTCAATTTCTTGAAGTGCAAAAGTTTTCTCAAAAATCTCAAGCCAGCCGACATTTTTATTTGTTCCAGACCACACAAAAAATTTGAAAAAAAAATTCCCATTCCAGATCCCAAGAGACTCTGAATCACATTTTAATAAAAAAAAAGTTCTAGAGATCCGAAATAGACATCTTATGAATACTGTAATTACGTAGTTGTCCAATTTCCCGATCACTGATTTCATAGATAATTTAAATTAACTCGACTTGAATGAACTCTTCAATTTTTTCAAAAGTACGTCATATTATTTGTCCTTTTTGATGTGCGCGAAAAAAAGGGAAGAGGGATATTTTAAAATTGACCTTTTTGGAGTCGAAAAAATGAAAAGAGAAGTGCATTTTGAATCTTTGAACTTAATAATAATAATGTTATTTCCGGTTTGAACCTAAATATTGCAACAAATGGAAATGAACAAAAAAAACAAAAATACATCGTTTAATGACGCAAATATTTTCGAAATGTTTCGTGATTACGAAAAAAAGGAAGGGGGAAGAAAGGTGCTTGCATCATGTTTGGCGCAACGCCAAAAAGTACTGTAGGTGGGAAAACATGTTTCTTTTTCTGTTTCGAAATTCATGCGAAAGTTTGAAGGGTGATGTTTTTTTGTGAAATAACAGGTCCGCAATTATGCGTCAGTATTTTCAATGAACTATAAAAATACTTAAAAGTTAGCTTGCGAATTCCGAGAGAATTACACAGAAATCAATTATTAGTGCGATAGAGCAAACTTTATTTTAAAAAATAGTTTCGAAAAGTGGAACCTTTTTGGGGCGCCTTGTTCTTATTAAAGTTTTAAGTGAGAAGGTTCCTTGAAGAAATACAAATCATTGTTTGGTTATACATAGTGAAAAGGTCATAGGTTGAATTTCTTATGCATTTTTGATTTTTCAATTTTCACGTCATTCATTTATTCATTGTTCAAAAGTTCAATCCTAAATTTAGAAGACGTGGGCCAACAAAAGCTGAAAATTAAAACAACAAAAGCGTAGAATGAGATTTAATTAAAAAACCAAAAAATAAAACGTTTACGTAAATAAATTATTCCAGAGACTCGAAAATGCAATTTTGGAATGTGATTTTATGCGAAAATGGCCGGGATTGTCGATGGAAACAATGCGACAAGAATTGAAACAATTATTTGATTTGGTGAGCGAAAATGAAGGGGGATTACCGTTTTTTGTTTTTGACATCCTTGAGACGAAATGGAAAAAACACAAATCTGGGAATTTTTTTCTGGATGAACAGAACGGAGAAAACATCAGGGAACAGGATTTGGATTTGGATTTAGATTTGATTCAAGATTAAGCTTAAGCCTAACATAAGATGTCTGTAGTTCTTTTGATCGGATGATTTGATTGGTTTTGAAATCAAGAAATTTTTTCGTACGCTTACAATTAGGATAATGAATTTTTATTTTTAAAAAATAGAGCAAAAATAGATTCATTTCAAAATTTAAAAAAAACAATTTTTTTAGTCATCAAATTCTTGCTCAACAATATCTGATTCTCATACACGTGCCTTTGAAGTGATGTTGGTTCTCGAAGCGAAAAGAGCCTATGATGAACGACTTGCTGGATTATTTTGTGGTGATTGGTTTAATGTTGATAGCCCAAGAGATGTTATGACAAATTTAACTGAACCCGGAAGATATTTGGAGCCTACTGTAAGTATAATCCTTTTTTTCTATTCTTACGAAAAATGATGTGATATTTATGATATCAGCTGTCTCTTTCTTTTTTTTTTTGGAAAAAAATCAGAAACAAATTTCAGCTTATGTGGAATTTGATCTCTCGAATCAGCGCGGTTTCAATTGATCTTCTCGATTGTCGACAATTATCTGAAGCTCCTGAAGTTTATCGATTTTCATCGTCGAAAAACTCTCCGACAATTACGTGGCTTCAACTTGGCGCAACTTCACCTCTTCCACTTTTTTATATCCCAGATGATATTGAATAACCTAATAGAACCTAATCATTTTTATTTAATTTTTTTTCGAAATTTTACGGGTACTCATCAATATTTTTTTATTCAATTAGATTCCTTTTCAGTTTTTTTCCGGGTTTCTCAAAATTCTTTTCATCCCATTTTCATTATGGGAGATCTTCCAATCGTCGATTTGAAGAAAATGTAATTTTTTCCCGGTGTAGTTTTTCAATGTGCTCTCACAACAGGTTTAGAAGTTAGGCGAAATAAATGTGTTATTTTTTTTGCGATGTCAGAATATTCAGGAAAAGTTGCAGGTGTTTGAAAATGCCTGGGTGGTGAGGACGTCAGAATTCGTCGAAATAATTAATTAGAAAAATTTTGGAAAGGGTGGGAATTTTTTTTTTGATTTTGTGGACTTACAAGGGAGATTTAAGATTTTTTTTAGAAAACAAGATGATCTTTAAAAATATTATGATAGAAAACTTTGACGTCATTAGAGATTTTGCAGAAATTTTCAGAATAAAAATAAATGTGTTATGAGTCACAAATTTTACTGAAAGTACTGTATTTCAAGTGTTTGTTTTTGGAGAAAAACATATCAAATTTCAATAATTACTTGTGAAAATGTCTGAATAAGTAAAGCTTCAAATTGAACATTTTCAATAAAAAAAGTAATCCGGTTTTTCAGTTTTTCAAAATATAGAACTTGGCCCGATCCAGAAATTGTGAAAATAGAGACCGATTTAAAAAAAAGGGAAAAAATTAGAAACCATTCAATTATAGTCCATAGTGTCGCGAAAATTTAAAGAATACAAAAACAAACAAAAATTTATTCAATTCAATTTCTTCAATTTATAAGCCTCAATTATTGGTTTTTTGAATTCATATGGTTCAAAAATCCGATCATTTTTCTTCAAATTTCCATAAACTTTCAAAAATTCTTCGCGGTTTTCTCGATTTTCAAATTCAATGTAGATTTCGCCAGCTTTACAATCAGCATTTTGCAAGTGAAAATTGATATTTTCACATTTCAAAACTCGACAAATCGTTTTCATAAAATCCAAATCCTGTTTATTGATTAAATCAGCAATCAATTCATAAGTATCGTTCTCCAAAATTGTTCGATCTTTGATTACCAGAAAATTTTCAGGATTTCCTCGTCTTTTTTCAGGTTTTCCTAATTTTTTCGACTGGAATTCCGTTATTTCGAAATATCGAGGGTCGCCTTTGATTGATATCAGCTTCTAGAATCTTCAAATCCCATTTTGTTGAAGTGAAGTTTAAAATTCCTAGAACTTTTCCAGGGAACTTCTGAATCTCCTCGATGAGTATTTTTGTTTCCACTAAATCCAGATTTTTCGGACGTGAAATCAATAAAAAATCGAAAGAGTTTCCAGTTTGATCTTTGAAGTTTACAGTCAAAAAATATCGATTGAATTCGAAAATATAGTCATCCGGATCTTCATATATATATCCATCCTGCTTTTTTGCCAAACACAACAATCCAGCATGAATATTGATTTTCACAATTTTATAGTTTTCAAACTCGCATCTCCCGTTAAAATTGTAGTTATCATCAACGATTATAAATATTAGATCGACTGAATTAGTTGGTTCCAAAAAATCAAATATAGTCGACACGTGGATTAGACAACATTTCAAAGGCGCTGGCATTTTTGAATGAAAATATAGGTTTTTTGAGAAATTGAAAAATATTGACTAAACAAATAGTATTTCGCAATATAAAGGAGGAAAAAAGAAAAGCGTTTGATAAGATTTTATTTGCCAAATGAAACAATTTTGAAAATGATGTGATGTATCCACGTTATAGTTCCTGGTTTTGAAGGTAAATGTGTAGATTTCGAAATTTTTCACTATTTCCTAGATTTCGGAAATCTGCGCAAATCAAATTTCTCACAGATCTAAAAATCAAACAAAAAACCGGAACTCTTTGGATCTACCTTGCTCAATGAAAAATCGGACTTCCATAATTGCGTTGTCCCGAAAAATTCTTTAAACCGGCAAACAATTTATTTCACAGGAGAAACGAAAAGTGAAGTGAGATCCGTTATTTAGAGGAGGTACATAGACGCAATTTTTGATTTAGTAAAATTCAAACTTTTTTGAAAAACGACATGATTGACGCGTTCTTCTTTCCAGTTGTTTTTTGTTGTCCTGGTGGTGGAGCAGAAATTTTTGGTTTTGGCTGAAAACTCGAGATTTCTATAACGACACTGGAATATCGAAAAATGGTTACCTTCTCTGGACTTTTTTCGGGAGAACATTCGATGGTTTTGTTGACTTCTTTGGATACTGGAAAAATTTTTGTATTTTATAATACTTGCGCAATTTTCATTCAAAAAATCTTGCCTAAAAATCCATCTTCATCAACAAAAGTTTCAACAACTTTTTCAATTTTGGTAGTTCTTCTTCGTTCTTCTGATGGTTTTTTCGATCCAAACTTTTTGGGTGAATTCTCAACTTCCATTTTTTCCTCCTCATCTTTCACTTGTTCTAATTCATCATCCGATTCTTCTCTAATCAATGGCTTCTTTTTCGCCGAACTTTTACCATTTTCTTCATTCAAAGCTCGTTTTCTTTTTGGTTTCTTCTCTTCTTTTTCTTTTTCCGGTGATTTTTCTTTTTTAGGTGTTGGAAGTTTTGGTTCAGTGTCAGCTTTGTCAAAAATATCATCATCTTCATCAATTTCAACTCTCACTCGTTTCTTTCTGAAAAATAATCCAAATTATTATCTCACAGAAAATACTGAAAAACCTACTTAAAAACTGGAGAAGGTGACTTCTCAACAACTTTTTCTTCCACTTTTTTCACTGGAGTCGTTTTCTTTTTCTCAATTGTTTCCTCTTTTGGTTTTTTCGTAAACATGCTCATCAAACCATTCGATTTCTTTTCAACTGGTTTTGATTTCGGTTCAGGTGTTTTTTCTTTAACTTCTTCTTTGACGACTTCGGGTTTTGACACTTTTTTTGTAATCACAGTAGGCACTTTAACATTGGCTAAGTCATCATTATTATCCCATTGTCTACCATAGATCCGAGTTTCTTTTGGGTTAGTCCGTTGAATACTGTAGATTTTTGTAGAAATCACATTTTTAAATTTAGCTTTCGCAATTTCCAATTCTTTCTGTGGGACTATGAGATTCTTTCTAATTTCACAGCTAGGATTCGAAATGAAAGGAACATCTGAAGAATCAATAACACCACAAATTTCATAAAGTGCCCAAAGTTGACCATTTGATTCATTTTTCTGCAGATATTCTTCAAGAAGTTCTCTTGACTTCTCAATTGAAACATTTTCTTCTTTTGCATACTTTGATGCTGTCAACGGATCACAAACATCTTGCAAAGAAGTCATATCTAAAAATATTGTTTTAATGAGATAACTTTGTATAATAATCTTTATAAATAATTATTTATGGTTAATCAACCATTGAAATAACACATTTTTTTCAAATTAAATAACAATTTTTAATTATTTATGTATCTATTCATTCTTCTAAAAAAGCTAAAAACAAAAAAACCTAATTATCATCGGGTAATAAATTGATTTCATCCGTATTAATATCATAATCAACAAATGCGGAATCCAGGTTATGCCATCTTCCAAGATAACCAACATCAACAATACTATTGTAAAATTCTGTCCATGGCCAATCTTTTAAATTAGGATCTTGGGAGGAATATACACGCAGCTGAAAAAATAATTATATTCGTGATTTGTTCGAATCAAAGAACAACTTACATTGTCATTTTGTTTCGTTGATAATAGAAGTGAGAAAAACCACAGATTATAATGATGTAGACGATTTTGAGCGATCAGGAAATTTCGATTTGTTAACGTCGACGCAGTTGTCGGATTATGTTCACTTTGTGGCACCAAAACCATACGTTGCCTCAGTTCGCATAAATGTTGTTTTAGTGAAATTTCAGAAGGATTTGTTTTATAAGCATATCCAATGAATCCAAGTCCACTAAATACCACCGCTGCTTTTAACGGACGTTCTTTACATCCTGTCACTGTATCCATTGCAACCGTTTTATAATCGTTTGCCATATTTTTGATATATTCCTTGAATTTCTGCCCGCATCGTTGAAAAAACCCGCGAACTTTTACTGCGGCCATATTCTATATTCTACTGACTCTGGAAAAATTGATTGAAAATATTACAACTGGTTTTTTGAGGTGAAAAACAACAAAAACAAAGTATTTTTCAAAAAAATAAAAATAAAATGCAGTACGACACTCCGTTATGACTTTGCGCTTCTTTGAGTCTCACAGCGCGTTTCAAAGTACGGTGGCACTCTATTTATCTGTGTCAATAGGCGGTGTGTCGATTTACGTTGCAGTTTATTTTTTGTTTTCTGTTTTTTCACGGGAAAACGTGATTTATTCCATTTCTTATTTTTCTCACTTGAGACATGACGTTTTTGTTAGTTATTCATCTAATTTCAGTTGAATTTAATTTTTATTCGGAAAAATAGGATTTTTTAAAGTGGAGAACTTCCAATTTGCGATTTTTGAACGTTAGTTGTTTTCCTAGATCCATCATCTTTCTTGAACATAGGATGAGTTAGGTAGAAATACCAAGAAATCACATTAACTCTGAAATCGATAAAAAATGGTCGAATAATCATTATATAGGGATAAATCGGAGATCTAAGAAGATCGGTTCCCTGTAAATAGTTTTATTGATTAAGTTATATTCTATCAACTTCAACGAACTCTCATTGCCATTGAAACCAGTAATGGGACCAATATTAGCAGCATGGTTACTGTAAGTGTTTTCTCAGCTTTTGATATTCGATTACTTTGCATATTTGATGCTCTGAAATCTACCACGTTATGTTTATTCGAAATATCATAACTTACATCTGAATTTTCGAATTCATCTTAATCTTGATCAGCATATAAATATTTAAAACTATGATTATAACCATAATCAAAACTGAGAAAACAAGATGTAGAACGTTCGGAACTTGGTTATCGTGCAAAAATGTTGAGCTAATGATTGCTGCTCCAAACTGAAATGGCTCATCGAGTTGTACACAGTAGCCTGTGCTCAATATAAATGGAACCATTATCAAAGCTCCGAATAAAAGTGCTAATGGTGATCCTATATTCATTGAGAGCGAACATAACTTCAAAAAAAATGCTGATTCACTTAAAAATGTGTTTTTTCTCACCCGTTCATGATCTCTAGGCGAGTAAAGTACAAGAACTCGTATGAAACAAAAAAGTAGAGTGTAAAACTGAGAAATATAATAGGCTGAAAAATGTGCTCCGAAAAGATGATGAAGAATATTATCGTCTTGTAAATATGCACAATAATGGGTCATATAAGAAGTCGAAGGAATTCGAATTGTTGCAAAATCTGAGAAAACATAAATACAATTCCAGATTTGTGACAATAGAAAAGCATTCAATACATGTATTCCTAGATTCTGAATTTTCTTCTTATTGCAATAGTAGAAAATATACATTTTCATTGTCACACAAAATGATGGAAGAAGGCATATTGCAGTAATAATAGTTATTATTGAGATATAGTCGAATTTATAGTAGAAATCTTTGTATTCCGAATATTCTCCGATTATTTTATAATTATAAAATGAACGGGGTTTCGTTCCGTCCATGACTGGGATTAGTGACAAATAAGTTCAGAAAAAATCACCTGCCTATGAGTTAGAGTACATTTTGATTTCCCCTTAAATAGGCACCAATCTTTGTTTTCTCACACACACGCGCTTTTCGTAGACTTTATCTTTTTGGTCGTAGTTTGTATATAATTTTTGCAAATCATTCAGATGTCGGCTCCACTCAGACACCCAAACACTGTGGTTCTTCAACCACCAACCGTTACCGTCTCTCCACTTATTCGTTTCGGACGTTACGCGGCTCTCTCACTTGGTGTTGTATATGGTTAGTTTTTTTAATAATGAAAATATCGTAATATAGTTTTTAAAATTATTATTACGTGTGCTTCAATATTTTGAATTCGACAGTTTTAATCAGAAATATCTATTTTCAAGCAAAATTATTTTGTCACAGAATGATAAATCTTTTTTTTTGATTTTTGAGTAAAACGTGATCTATCATTCAAAAATTAATTTTACAAATTTTCCTCTTCAATTGTTTTTAGACGTATCAGAAGAAATCAGAAGATCTTTGATCTAAAAAATTTACGTGTGATGTAATTTTTGAAATTTTCTGAAAAAATTTAATCACATATTCCCAGGTTTCTTCCGTCTCCGTCAAATCCGTGAATATCATGCTGATATTAGAGAGTGGGAACACGAGAAGGCTGTTGCTGCTGCTCAAGAAGCCGCCAAACAAAAGAAATGGCTCGCCAAGGACGAAATGAGATACCTTATGCAAGTAAGTTCATTTTTAATTTTCACTAAATTATATTTTTCATTCGTAATTTGAATTTTTCACTAATTATTTGAATTCAGGTTGTCAACCTTCCATTCGACGAAGGAGTCAAGCAATTCGGAGTCGCCGATCTCTACAAGGAAGACTAAAAGGTACATTTTCGAAAAACAAACGTCATCGTCCAATTTTTCGAATTTCATGCTAATTAAAAGTGTATTTTTAATTTTCTCGTCGTCGTCGTTTTTTCATTGTTTTAGAGCAGATATAAAGCCGATTCTAAACTAAATTTTGGAAACGAAAAAATGTTATGAGCCAGTCAAAAAATCACATAATCTTTTGGTCAATTAGGAAAGGAAGGGATTTCGGGTGAAATTCAATAATTTAGAATGTAAAAATATGTGATATGAAAAAATCAAAAGACGGCTAGAAAATAGGTTCCAACAAACATAGAATTGAAAATACAGAAAAAAAAGAAATCCTAGAAAATTGGAAAGACCGGATAAGTTGACAAAGTGAATATGAAAAACATTATGGCTAGAATGCAAAAAAAAAACATAAAAGGGACCGTATTTGAGAGTGCAAATAAAATTTTAATTATCAATATCAGCTATTGGTTCTTCAGTTGGTTGTAACTGTTTACAATACTGGAATAGAATCTTCTGATAATATTCTCGAGGCGTCAAAGTTCGCGCAGTCGAACATCTACTTGTATTCAAATCGAGACTTTCCATACTTTGTAAAACTCGATCTGATGCAAAAGATAATGTTCGAGGATGTTCAATCCATTTGAAATAATAAATATCCGGTGGAACATAAGGTCGACCACCAATCCAATTCAAATCTGGTTGTCGACCATTTATTAGACAATCAAGCAGATATTCTTCGGGTAATTGAGCAAGTTTATTGAGTTGCTCTGGTGTCAAACCATAATTCTTTTGAAGGAACGCGACATATCCAAAGACTTCACCAAGATGAACAACCTACAAGTTTTGTTTATTTTATGAATGAAAAATGTGACTCACTTTTCCACCAATTGTCATGAATGATCTACCAAGACTTCGACCATAGAAATGAATATCTCGAATATATTCAGAACCAACGAGATCTACAAGTTGTTGAATTTCTCAAGATAATTTCTTATATTCAGTCTAAAACTCACCAATACACATTGTTGTGATAATCAATCCAAGAACAATATAGGCTAAAGTAGCTGGGAAGAACTCAACATTCAACGGAACAATATCACCAAACCCTGTAAAGACATGGGTTTTGAGAAATAAGAACTATTCTAGAATAAAACATACCGATTGTTGTAACCGTAACAAAACAAAAATAGAATGCTTCGAAAAACGTCCAAGTCTCCCAATATCGGATGAAATAGGCACCACCCGCAACGTAACCTAAAAATGAGTGATCCTTTTCTCGAACTTGTGCTCAACTCAGACGAAAACTTACCTAACATAATAAAAAGAATAAATACGACTGATACCCGTCTTTCATGATGTGGCGGTTCGATGATTTCTACATCGTTTTCTCGACCCTCCTCATTATCACCATTTTCACTATTTTGAATATCGCTAATGTCTGAAATGATTTCATATTTCAGTTTGAAATTGAAATTCAAAAACTAACCATCAAAAGTTCCAGCTTCACTAATATTATCTCTTGCTGATTTCTTTTTTCGTCCAGTTCCACCACCAGCACTCGCAGCAGTTGCAGCAATCGGTGCATTGTTGTTATTGTTATTGTACATCTTTTGCTGACGTTGGAGAAGTTCAATTGTTGGCATCTGTAAGAATTTTGGTAAGCAAATGTGTTAAACATTTTTGAATTGAGCGTTTTTGGATTTTAAACCAAAAGTTCTGCGAAAATAGTCTTTTTCGGCTAATGTAACGGACTTAGCTCAACTTGGGAAATTAGTTATGACGTGGCAAAAGTTGAGAATTTTAACAAAACACCACTTGATCACAAAACCTTTCCCAAATCGCTCACCTGTATATTAGTCCTCCTTCTTAGCCTAACTCGACAACATAACCATTTAAAACACTTCCAACAATGCGCACAACACATATCCATCGCATTTCGATAAACATTATGCACCCAAATAATTCCACCAGATAGAAATCGACCCATGTCAGCAATTGTGACAAGAATCAATGGAATACCAAGAAGTGCATAAAATATGATGGCTACTCGACCAGCAGTTGTTCGAGGAACAATATGACCATATCCTACAAAAACACTGATTTTTTGTTTTGTTTTTTCCCTCTCTCCGATTTCATTGTCAAAAAAAATGATGTCAAAAAAACTGAAATGAGATTAGGTTCCAAATGAATGGGCCCTAATCTTGTCAATCAAAGTGCTTTTGGATTACTACTGTACCTATAGTTGTAATTGCTGTCCAAGAGAAGAAAATACTTGAAGCAAATGACCATTTAACTGGACCTGTTCCTGTTATAATATCATCTGGTGTCATATAATTTTTTGTATAATCGAGAAACACATCACGTATCAGACGATTCATTCTGAAAAATTGAGTAGAAATTAGAGAAGCTCATTTTTTTTTTGCCCAAAAAAAAATAAAAAAAATTACCCCTCATCAGCTGTCTGATTCCATAATTCAATACTTGTATTATTCCTAAACATATTGATCAATGTTGTTCGAACCTCTGTTTTTGTGTGATTTATTCTTTCTGATGTTTCGGTCCGAAGTAGTTCTTCGAATGGTTTTTCATACTGTAAGGATGTACATATTTTATTAGTAACTATTATTCTCTGAATCTCGGTGAATTTTGTCAACTTTAGTCCCACTTCTAGAATTGTGTGAACATTGTGGAGAATTTTGAGGTTTTGCAAGTTCGAGAAATTAGAATTTAAATTTAAAATAAGGTATCTCACAACGTTAAATTTTAAAAAAATTTCAAAAATCAGTTCAATCAGTTTTTTTAAAAACTCACATAATGAAATATAGTTGCTCCTAATAATGTATAAACCATGGATAATGCAACAAGTCCAATATGAGGTAGAGCTATCCGAAGATTCTGCAAAAAATCTCGTTTTTCCAAAGATCCCTTCAAATTTTTTCAATACATAATATCAAATAAAATGCACCCATTTACCCCTTCTTTGTTTCTATTTTTCTCTGCGATGTGCAAAAAAGTGTGGAAATGTTTGGATGGTCCCCGAGGAGGAAAACGAAAGCTCGCGCGTAGGGCGAGCACCAACCAAAAAAAAAGTTGACGTACTATGAAGATTTATATATTTTTTGGATCGAAAAATTGGTGGAGAGATAGAAATTGGGAACTTTTTGCGAATGGAAAACATATTTTATGACAACCTTTTGGGTTGTGAAATATTGAAGTTCGAAGGGAAAAGGTTAACATTTGATAGAAAGTCGGTTGAAAACTTTGAGAATGAGAGTTTGATATTTTTCAAAAAACCATATCCACAAATTTGCAAATTGAAAATCGGAACCAAAAAATTAGTTGATCCATTATTGATTTTTGGATTTTAATTTAAAAATGCCCTACACAGCTCCACAGGTATTTCAAAATGCACACACAGCTCCTCAAAAATTCGGTCATTTTTGACTATTCATCATAAAATTCATGAGAAGTCCCTAAAACTTTCCAAGAAGTTTCAAAAAATTTGACCATTTGCATTACAGTTTTCAACTGAAATCTCTAGAACCCTAACTTCTACAATGTAAAAATTTAATGTGAAATTTTTTGAGCCACATGTTTTTTATGTTTTCTGATTTTTATCCTGAACTTCTATTTCGACTTTTCAATTTATATTTGCGAAAATCAAAAACATTCAAAACTATTTCCACATCCCAAAAATAACCAACCCTTTTCCATCTAGCTTTCTTCTCCACCGGCTCATCAGGCTCATCATCCAAATTCTCGATCTCACCCTCATTTTTATCCAAATACAAGTTCAATCGTTCCGCGCTGAAAAAATTGGGGTTATGGAAATTGTATTGTTTTCAGTGTCTGAAAATTCAGCTTCGGATTTTTTTGTCAGATTGGAATTTTGAACTCCAAAACTCCTGGCAGCTTTTTTAATTTTAGAATTTTTTGATCAGATCGAAAAATAGTTTTGAAGGTCCCGCCCAAATTATTTCAACAGGCCTCCAAAAATTCTACAAACATTTTTTTTGCCCATTTTCCAGCAACCAACATGTGTTTGTTTGTGTGTCCGAAAAAAGATTAGAGTTCGCGCATCACTCACTTTCCGCAAAAATGAATGATTTCCCCCCATTTCCTATGTTTTTGTTTTGTTTTGTTTTGTTTCAAAATTGTTGTCCTAACAGGTGACATGTATACGTCAAAAAAGAGAATTGAAAGAACAAGACATGAAGTGTGTAATTCTCGAAATCAGTCAGCTTCATTTCATTTTATTTTATTTTATTTTATTTTAGTGGTCATTATTTGAAATGAAATGAGAAGAAATGGAGGAAGAAGAAAAAGAAAAGAACATTTCGGTTAATTGGGTAGTTTAACAGAGTTCATTTTATTGTTATACTTTGCGAATCACTTTGATGAATGAAGTGGTCTATTTTTAGAAGCTAGCTCCCCAAAAAACCTACAAATGTCTGCTTAATCTGAATCGACTACTTGGTGGAATCCAATCTGATCCATAAAATTGTGCAGATAATCTACCATGAACATTCATAATAGAAAAATAATAATATGAGAATTATTTTGCAAAAAAAAGGAGTGAACAAAACTAATACAAAGTCATGTAAGAGGAAAAGTAGTAGTTGTTCGTGTAAATTATTTATCATGTGGCACATAATGCATTTTTCGATTTTTTTCGATTTCAGGTTCGTGTAATTGACCGGAAACCCCCTTACTTTGTTATTCCACCGAATCCCTGAATTCTCAGAAAAAAAACTGTCGTAGTTCGCAGAAATGTTCCTTTGCCTACAACACACACACACATACTTCTTTCTTTCGTTTTTTTGTTGTTCACTAATTGCCCATCATCTATTATCTATCCTCGTCTGTCGTTTTTGCCTCGTTTTTCTCCTGTCTGTTTTTGTTGCGCGTTTATTTGGGCTCTCTGGACAGAGGAACCAAAAACGGAACGAAAAAAAACGAGGCGAAAAGATTTATGACAGACTGAAGGAGAAACTGAAGGAGATTGGAAGAGGAACAGAAAAGTTGGACTATTTTTGGATTACCTAATTTTTGAAAAGCAAGTGCGCTCTAATGAACTAGAATTTTAATTATGAAATAAAAATTCCAGAAGAAAACATTTACAAATAATACGTGATTTTTGAAACGTAAAATTTTTGAGAAATTAATTTTCAAATATTTTTCGAACAAAAATGATATATTTTGAAAGTAGTAGGAGTCCGTGGAGTTTTGACAAAACACTCAAAAAAAATTTTTTCGAACTTTGATAATTCAGTTATTAGACTAACACGAGGACTCTCGAATGAACGGAAAATTGAAAAAAATTAATTCAGAAATTCAAAAAAAAAAATGTTTAACTCGACTTTCAGAATTTTTCGCTTGCGGAAAACTCGAATTACATTTCAAAATTCACCGAAAAAACTCCAAATCACTCTACTTACCTCAATTCTTCAGCATCGTCTGCTAATGGAAGTACAACACTTCCACTCGCAATTTGTTGTAAATTAAAAAGTGAAGGTGGCGATGATGGCGGACCCATCGATAAACCCGGCGAACTCGGTCGATGTTGTCTTGAAGTAGAAGGTTGATGTGAAGATGGTGGACATGGTGTCGATGCTCGATGTTTCATATAAAGTGGGTTAAGCATTTTCAAATTGGTGTCGCCAAATTGGCGGCGACCACCACCTTCTCTAGTATTAGTTGTTCGTCTCGATGCCTATTTAAAATTTGTGAAATCGATTGATTTGTGTTGTCGATGATGTTGATGGTTTTGTTATTCCGCAGACACCACATTGATTCATGAATGAGTTGCGGAAAACTGGGAAGATAAAAATTCGGGTTGAGAATGATAATTAGAATGTGAGAATAACAAAACCTTTTGAATCGGACTAAAATTTTGGAAAATAAGTATTTGCTCAAAAAAAAGGCCGCCCTGATCCAATTCAAAAATTTCCAACAACAAAAAAAAACAAGATGAAGATTCATGTCAAAATTTTATTGTCTCTTCGCTCCTCCTTTTTTCTTTGTGTAAATTGGCGACAATTGGTGGGGTAAGAGAAAAAAGAACAGAGCATGAAGGGAAGAAAATGAAGAAAAAAAAAAGAATATAGGGATATTTTTTCTTAATTGAATATATACTATGAAGTGTGTATGTGAGCAATTATATGTCCGCAAAACTTTGAGCTGAACTTTTTTATTGGAAAAGAAAAAAATTATGTTTTCATTTTTTGAAAATGGGCCAGGCAGGGGTCTGAAGAAAAAAGATCAGGAAAATAGAAACCTATTAATCTAACCCGAACCCGAACCCAGTAAAAAGTACAGCTTTTTGCTTTTTTTCTTCCATAGCTCCTCTCGTCGGCCAACCATAATCAGATAAAAAAGTGGTGTGAGCTCACAAATGAGCACACCAACAAAAAAAGGAGAGGAAAGGGTAAAAGACAACGGATATATAAAAACAAGAAGAAGAAACTGAAGCTGAAGCTGAAGATGGAAAACAGAAAAAAAAGAAGGAGAAGAAACATATGCTAATCTGATTTATATAAATGTCTATGGGTATAAAATCTGACATGGATCCTCGAGGAGCGAAAAAATGGCAGAGGAACAGAATTTGCAAAAAATATATTGATAGGGCTGGACTGGGTTCTGATTGGAGAATACTAATGTTTTTAATTCTGGAAACGTGACTTTGAATTTTTGGAATTCATTTCTGATTTTTTTTTAATTTTTCAATTGAAAATCCACGTGGACTTACAAAATTTGAAGAGCTCAAAGTTCATAAAACTTCTAGAAAAAATCAGATAAAAAATTAATTTGAAAATTTTTTTGAAAAATCGAGGACTTTCAAATCATCGAAGGATCTGTAGAATTTAGAAATTGAAACAATCAGAGTTGAATTCTGAAAATATCGAGATTCAAACTTTTTTCGAAATTCTTGAACGTGAATTCTAGAAAGTCTATTCCTAACAGAACACGTGTCATGTGTTTTTTTTTCATTAAAAAATTAGGCAATTAAAAAATGAGTAGAAATTTCCGTGAAGATCCACGTTGATTTTGAAACTTCACATAAATCATTCTGAACTACAGATTTACTCAAAAATCCACGTGGATTCTCCAAATCTGACTTTACTAGTTTTCAATTGAAAAAATCTTTGCTAAACTCGAAAACAGCTGCAATCAGAAAACCCACGTCAACCCATGAAAAATCACACACAAAACTAGACAAAAAGTGGTTTTGAACCTTCTTGCTCCGCCTCTCAGATTTTTTGGTGAGAAAAACGCCAAAAAAGGGGAAGAAGAAGAAGAAAAGACGAGTTGGTGTGATTCTCAAAAAAATAGTGGTGGAAAAAGGCAAAGAAGAGGCAAAAAGTTGAAGAGGGGTCAGTGTTCCCCGGAGGGATTCATTTCCAACTCCAACTTTTTCAACTCTTCTTTTTTTCTCTTCGCTCCTTATTTTTCGACATATTTCCTTTTTTACAAACACTTGAAACAACAACCACAACAACACAAGAAAATGCAACAAAATAAATGACAGGGGTGTTTTTTCGGAGTTGGAAATTATTTTACTGAAGTTATGAGACAAAAAATCTAGTATTTCGCAAAAAAAATCAAATGATTCGATTACGGTATTTTGTGCAAACCAGTTTTTTCTAAAAATAATTGATTCAATTTTTGAAACGTATATTTTTCGGTGAATTTTTTGAAATGTAACTCGAGTTTCACCCTCCCTTCCTACTCCCGCAACTAAAACTTACAATTCCATTTTAGTCACCCACAAAAATGAGCCCATGTTTTTTTAGAACTTTTCCTGTTTTTTTCACTGTTCACAAACCTCGTCGGAAGCAGCGCATCCAGATAACAAACTGATTTTCGCATTTCAAACATTTTTAGAATTCCGAAAAGAGAGAATTCAGGAATACGAGTATGTACAAAATGACCTTTTTGCGCATAAAACTAATCCTTTTTACCCTGCGGCCATAAGACAAATGTGGCCCCAGAAAAAAAACTTCTTCCCATTCAACAAAAATTTTTCCAACAAAAAATTTCGCTCCCGGGTGGGCTCGAACCACCAACCTTTCGGTTAACAGCCGAACGCGCTGCCTATTGCGCCACGGAAGCAGACATTTTCCGCAGTGTTTTTTGAGAAGATAAGGCAGACGACCAGAGAGAATAACACAGAGAGACTTGTGTGTTATGAGGAGAAACTCACCGATAAATGCGATGGGCAAATTTGGCACGGGCAAACATTATCGGGCCGTGATCATAATCTTCCTAAATTTTATTTTTGATAAAAATTGATAGAGACGCAGAGAAAAGAAAAGAAATAGAGAAAGGGAGGAAGAGAGAGAGAGAGATAATGGAAGGAGAAGAGGATTAGAGAAAACATTCATATTTTCTCGAACTTTCCAAAAGAAAATGAAGCTAAAAACTGAGAGACTATGATTTTTTGGAAGTTAAACAAAATGGGAATTAATAGAATCCTAAATTTCTAAACATTTTTTTGCCCAAAAATCAAAAAAAAAAGATTTTTCTCTAAATATCTCACTTTTCCGTTGACTTTTTTGACGAAAAAAACATGTTTTCATTTTTCAAAACAAAAAAAAACGAAAGAATTTAGAAAATTGAGGGTTACTAATTTTGGGTAAAAAATTACACACTGTGTATTTTTGGTCAAACTAACAAACTTCAACTTCGAAATTCTGAAGCCTTTTTTTGGAAAATCCGCAATTTTGCAAGCTCTTCTCTTCGAAACAAAAAAAAATGAAGAACACCTTGAAGAAGCTGACATAAGAAGACGGGCGCGAAAAAAGGACAACTCCATCAATTATGCTCATGGTCTTGTTTCTAAGAAAGCTACAAGACAAAAAGTTTGACTTTTCAACTGCCAAAAGATTTCTTTCATCTTCTTTGATTTTCCATTAGAAGACTGAAAATGATACGTGCTTGAAAATGTCAAGAAAAAGAGGGCGGAAACGAAAAGGTACACCAAATAAAAAGTGGGGCAGCCAACACACATACCAAAAAAAAAGAGATATCGAAATAGTGTTGAAAATTGAAGATTGTTGCAGAAAATAAAGAAAAAACAGATTAGATTTCAATGAATCGCAGTCGCAGCTCCGAAAAAGCACAAAAAAGAGAATAAGAAGAAGAAACCAAGAAAAAATGAAAAATGAATTATATTTTATTTTTTGCGCTGTCGGCGACGAGAAAAATTCGTTTTTTCGAAACTCGAATAATTGAGCAGTTCAGAAGCGGTGAGGCAAAACAACAAAACCAATACGGCGTCAGAAAAAGAGACTTCTTTTTGGTTTTTTTTTGGGAAAGGTGCTTGCAAGAATGCCGAACAGACTCGAAAACAATTTTGATTCAGTAGTGCTCAACTCAAAAATATCAAATGTCAAGATCATGTTCAATCAAAAAATTACACGCAACTTTGAAATGTGATATGATTTCATTCCTCTTTCTTCTGCTCAATTTATTTTATCTCTTTCTTTTTTCACTCAACTCAAAATTGAAACAAAACCGAACATGAAAAAAAGAGAAAAACAAGTATCTATGAGCAGCAGAAGTGTTGGAAAAAATCAAATAAAAATTCGGAGACTTCCTCCGAAAAAAGAACAGCCGCGTGTTTTTCGAAATTGAATTTTGACCTTTTTTTATCTACTAAAATGAGATTTATTATCATTTTTCTGGATTCGTTTTTTGATTATTTTGAAAAACTTGAATTTCTCGGCAATATTTATCTATAGTAATGCAAGCATAAATCCTGGGTCAGCAAAAACTACAGTAATTTTACATAAAAAACGGTCCCTTGAAAAATTGGCCGAAAATTTCGGCAAAGCTCCAAGTCCCTCCTAAAACTTTAACGATCACATTTTATGCCTAGATACCAAAATACTTCTGTTTCTACGAATTTCCAATAATAACCTAACCTAATTTCCTAACAATTTCCTAACCTGCTCTCGTGGAAAAACAAAAACAATATGTACCAAAAATAGTATATGCTCTAAGAGTCAAAGTCAAAAAGAAGCGCCAAAAAGTAAGCAGAAAACGAGTTGTGAAAAGTGCGTTTCAATAGTTTATTCATAACTAGCACACATACCAAAAAAGGTCCGACCGAAACAAAAAAAAGAAGAAGAAATATAACAAAAAAGAGAAGTTGAGGAATTTTGGAAACATTGTTATTTCTGTTGTTTTTGTGGTGTAAATGAAACTGTTTGAGACTCTGGGAATTTATAACATCTATCCAACTATTGGCAAATCAGCTCTAATAGGTTCTTTAAAAGTTTAAAATGAGTAATGCTATGATTCTCTTGAAATATCATCATTTCTCATGTTAAATTTCTGAGTTTTCAACAAAATTTCTGAAATCTCAAAAGTTCTATCAAACCGGCTTTCGAAGATCTCTGAATTTCTGAAAGCTCTAAAAATTTTAGTCTCTTCAAAGTTCTCCACTCAAAAATCACTCAAAAAAATATCGCAACATTTTTTTCGAATCTAAAAATTTATTGACAAAAATCACCGTCCAGATGTATTTATTTATTTCTTTGAAATGAGAAAAAATCATCTGTCTTCAAAATCTCAAAAATCAAGCGAGCCTGAAACTCGTGGATTAATGTTGTCAAATCAAACACAACAAAATTCCTCGAAGCTTCTTCGCAGAAAAAAAGAAGATGAACACAGCAGAAAAATGAATAAAACAATGAGAGTACCCCAAAGGAAAAGCGGGAAGAAGGAGAAGAAGAAGAATTCAATTGTTTAGTGGTTCAAGTTTATCCGGCTCAAAAATGACCGAAAAAAACGGAGTTGAGAAAAAAAAGAAGGAAGAACGACAAGAAGATGATGGTGGTGTTGTGAGTAAACGGATTATTCAATAACCAACACAAAACTCGTTTTTTTGCACACAATTTCGAGTTTGTATATGTTTATGTTGCGAACTGGAATAGGATATTCAAATTCAGATTTTGATGAATCATAATACAAATTTGAAAATAATGAGAAACTATCTTTCATTGACTATATTCTCTGGTCGTCTGCGTATTTCGTCTGTGTATCATTAAAATTGTTGGGAACTTTTTTATATTGAACAAGGAGCTACTACTTGAAGACCTCTCTGTCAAGGAGTAGCAGCTTGTGAGCCAATCTGACAAGGCGCCACGTCTACACAAATCAACGTCGCTTGAATTTCTCCCAATATTTTTCAAACCCCTTGAAAAAATAACTTGAAACTCCTCGTTCACAATCTCATCATAGATTTTCCTTGAAATATTCACCGTAATCGAATTTCTCAAAATTCAAAAATGATTCCCTAATGTATTTTTTTCTTGAAAAACAAGAGCTCACGTTTATTTTTTTTGCTCTTGATTTTTTCATTAATGAAAATGATTTTTTCTACCCGGAAAAAGTTCACGCTAAAGAAATCCCCCAGTTTTCCCTCAAAACTAACTCTTCTAACTTTGTCGATCTTGCTGTATGCATTGAATTTCGCTGCGAGAATTCCGATTCACGATAAGATTGTGGAAGCGATCTGAAACACATCATCATCGTTTGAATGAAAAATTTCAGCATATTTATTTTTTCAGTGTTCTAAAGTCTAATTGCTGTTAATCACGCGATTTAGTTTAATTTTTCATAAAAGCTTTTTCGAATATTTGAATTAGATTTGGAGCTCGGAAGAGCACAAAAAGGACATTTCAAATAAATGAAAAACAAAAGAAAAACAACTCACTGATATCGATATTTTTCGAAATTTGGAATGACCAAATTGGTCAAATATCTGCTCATTAGATTTGCCATCGCTATTCTAGAATGTCTTTTTTCAGAATAAGAAAAATATATTAATAAATGAAGACGACGACGACGATTCTTCTGAACGAGAGGATCCTCTCAATTTTTTTTTCACCGCCGACCCATTTTATGTTATTATTTATTCGACTCTTCTCGTCCGTTTTTTTTTTCAGAGTGAAAATGAAAATGAAAATTGAAATAGCAAAAAAAAGAAGGATGGACACATTTATTTATTGACAACTATTAGTTGAGATGAAAATGAAGAATGTTCGCGAAAAAAGTGAGAAAAATATTTGCGGTGTGAATGAAAAAATGAATGAAAAAATATGAGTTATTATATATATATATTGCGTTGATTTATAATTTTGAAATATTTATGAAATTTTTTGATTTTCAGGGTTTGAATCTTGAAGTTCGGTAATTCAAAATTATTTTTCAACAGAGAATCATCATTTTTTTTAAAGATACAGTAATCCACGAATTTCAAAAAAAGCCTTTTGGTTTATTGAAAAAATGTCAATAAACCAAAGGGCTTTTTTTCTTAAATCTCTAATTTATTCTGAAAATTGAATCTTAAAACAATTCGAAAATTTTTTTTACAACTTTCTATTTCAAAAAGAATTATCTGAAAATTCCACACTAGATCTAATTTTTCTCACACTTTTACACACACTCATATGCCCACCAACTACAAATCGTTGATTTGAGTTAATCTTCAAACTTCCCCCCTTCCCCTCATAATTCTGGACTTACGGTGGAATTGGCGGTGGTTCACCATTCATTGTGAATATTTGTCCAATCAGTGGTTGCTTCATAATATTCCCATTTTGTCGACTCGTCGATGGAATCGCAACAAATTGTTTCATTTTCAAATTTCGATCGATCGATTGAATAGTTCCTCTAAACCACCATTCTAACTAATTCTCGCACTTTATTCCTGAAAAGAAAAAAATCTCATTTTTCTGCACCACAATAACAAACACTTGACATTTTCCCCCCAGAAAAAAAGAAAAAAGAAAATTCAACAAAAATTGGATATGGAAGCGACAAGTTTCAGAGATTATTATTATTATTCTGCTTTGTTTTGCGTGGAATAGAAAAAATAAAAAAATGTCAAAAATCAATCGGTGAGAGTGAAAGAGACGAAAAGATATTGTAATCGCGCGTGATCTACACCAAATTAAATTTGTGGGTCTAGGATTTGTGAAATTCAGAAATAGGCTTCAGCTTGATTTTTAAGAATTCATTCTCGAACTTTCACTGTGCCAAACGAATAAAAGTCATCCTAAATGTTTTCGAAACAAAATATGCTCACCAACCGCCATTTCAAAAATTATGGATTTTCAGACCCACAATTTTCAATGTACCGTTGATCTATGTTATGTAAATACGCGAAAAAGCCATCGGAACTTCAGCCAGCAACAATTATTTTTGAAAATATAGCGTCCGGAGAAATTTTCGGAAAATGACAAATTGCAAAATATTTCAGTGAACGTAATCAAGCAAAGACAGAAAAACGAATGTCTGTGTTCCTTTTTTAGTGAATAAGAAAAACAAAACAACATGGAGGGCTAGATGATTTTCGAAAAGACAAAAAATAAGAAACGAAGAAACGAAGAAAAAATAAAAATGTTAATTATTTATTATGATTTCTATTGTTTTTTCCGTGTGGAGTAATACAATTCTTTGTAGTTTTTCGGTTGCAAATTCGGAAAATGATCTGATTTTTAGCTATTCTGGTCTTGGGAACATCTGGTTTCTGAACTCCAAAAAAAGTTCCAAGAATCAGAAACCATTGTTCACAGAAAACTTGACACATCATCTGGAAGAAAATTATGGCGTGGAAATTTTTTAACGGAAAGATAAAGTGTAACTTTGAAAATCCTAGTTTTGATCCTAGAAGGACATGGCCCGATTATTGTTCAAAATTTTCTCTTTGGGATGCCTCAGAACTCAGAAATACAATTTTCAGAAAATGAGTCGAGCCAAGAAATTTTCAGAGAATCTAACCCGAAAAAGGGTGAGCTTCTACTTTTTCTACGAAATTCGGAAAAAAAACAAAAAGAATAAAAATCACATAATAACATGTGAGGAAACTTGAACCTTTTTTCTGCTCTTTCTTTTTTTCAAATAAGTAAGTGGATATATCTAGGTGTACTTCTCTTTTTTCGAAGGGAGACCAATTTATTCTTCTTCTCCATATTTTTATTCTTCTACCTACACCGAAGACTTATTATTTGTCTAGTTTCTAGATTTTTTGACGAAATTCAGATTGAAAGGTGAAAAAGCATGAGAGACAAATAAAAATGAAAAATTTCGAAGAAGCTTGAAAAATATGCATAGTTATTTTTTATGTGAAACGAAAAATATGTTGGACTTTTTTTGTTAAAAAAAAGTTCGAAATGAAAAAAAATTGGAGGAAATTCGAAAATTGGCACAACAATACAATGAAAAAAGTGAAAAGCGGCGAAAATTATAAATAAGAAGGGACAAAAAACGTGAAACATGTGTGAAGACCACATTTTAATTTCGTTTGATTTCTAAATAATTTTTTTTTTTGCTTGAGCTCAGGAAATCTGAAAAAGTTTATTTATTTTTTAGTGCAGAAAACTTGATCAAGGTCAAAGTTTATGCTGTTTCATTGGAAAAATTACAAGAAAAAATGTGAGAAATTTTTTTGGAGGCGCCGCCGAAAATGGGAAGAGCAGAAGAAGGAGAAAAATGAATATGAAATTCAATCCGATGGGTTGATGTTTCATCCTGAAGAGCAAAAGAACTGAAACTTGAATATTTATGTATTCTTCTTGTTCTTTTTAGAGTCAAGTAGACATAATAAAATGAACATTTCTCATTTTTACACCCCCTTGGAAACCCGGTCGAAACCTTGGAAACCGTAATCCCAAAATTGAAAATGATGGGGTTGGACAAGGTTGAAACTAAAAAAACATACAAGCACACCTGCGCTACTTGTTAAAAGGAACAATTTTATTTATTTGGGAGCCTAGAAAAACTATGAGAAAAAAACGAAAACAGAAAACAAGGTAAAATAATAATAAGAATAATTAATCAGCTTTTTCTTTATTCCAAATCATCAGTATCGTCGATAAGTTCTTGGATCTGAAAAAAAAAACAGAATTTTTTGGTCACTGAAAAAGAAAAAGGCGGGAAATATTAGTGAATAAAATAAAATTGGAGGCTTTTAAAAGTGCACGGGTTTTTTCTCACTGCAATTTTCACCTTTCAAAAAAAGTTTAATCGAGAAGCTCTTCGGACTGAAATAGTTTGTTTCTTGAACTTTTGATTTGTAAAATTATATTCTTTTTTCAAAAAAATGGGTTACCTGGGCTGGTGGTGGTCCATCTCCTATATATTGCATCATTGGTGGTTCGTCTTCAGCTTCTTCAGCGGCTTGTCCAAACATATTGGCGAGTCTCTGAAATTTTTATGTCTTTAACGTTTTTTTCCAAAAATTAAAAAGAATATTTGTATTTCTACTTTTGAAGATTTTCAGTGGCATTTTCTTTCCGTTAAAAAAGATCATAAAATTTTGGATTAACTGTTTTTTAACATCAACTATTCCCAATTTTGTAGCATGATGCAATTTTTCACTCACAGTGCGGGTTTGTGGCAATTGTTGAACAACGGCGTGGAATTGTTCTTCGGACAGCGTTTGTTGGAAAATCGCCAATAATTGTTGAGCTTCTCCGCAAAGCGCGACTGCATTTGCAATATGAATTGCACCTTCTTCAACATTTCCAGCAGCCATCAATTCTTCTCCTAATTGAACTTCTTGCAAGAAGAATCTTTGCATATAACTTGGATCAGCGAGATCTGCGGCAGCTGGAACTCCGCCACCTCCACTTGGGACAACTACTGGACCGGCTCCGCGACCACCAGCTCGTCCGGCTTGAGCACGTCGTTCTGAATTATATTTTATAGAAATGTTTTTTTTCAGAAAGATCCGACTACCGTGCAAAGTCTAGAAGTAATAAAACACTTACTCTGTCTGATTTTATCTTTGTAATCTGGTGCATTGATTCGCTTGTGATCGAAATATACGCAATATCCCAAAAATGCGGCTCCGGCGAGTCCTGCGCACAAAACAACGTTAGATCTTTGAAAACCGAATAGTGTATCGGACATTATTCTCTGAAAATAATATAATTTTAGTAATTTTGCCCTCAAGGAAACGGTTTGCCCGCCGAAAAAAGTCGAAAAAAAGAAAAGAAAAAATAAGAAATGCGCCAGCTTCCCTTCATAAAACGCGTCAGTGAAGCAAACAGCTGACGCATGAAAATGAAGAAGAGGGAATTCAAATTCTCGTTTTTTGCCTACAAAAGTTCAAACATTATTTGTTTTTCATTTCTTCTCGAGATGCGATTCGACAATGTATTTCCACACCCTGCTAACGCTTCACAACACAAACTAAACTGAAAAAAATGGAAAATACAAATAGAACTGCGTTGTTGGGCAATATTTGTTCAATTGATTGTGTTGGTTGGCTCTTTTTTTACATTTCGCAGTAGCTCGACTAAAAAAATCTTTATTTATTATTTCAGTAAGTATTCCAATGTAAGTTTAAATTTGTAGTTAAAGAAAATATATGTTATTACAATTATTATGTAGCGAAGTGTTTCTTTTCTAATTTAATTTCTTGTTAAATAGATGGGACTCGGTTGGGTTGGGGTATAAAAATAAGTTTAGGTAAGTAAGTAGATACAAAGTGTTATTGGATTAAAATATGGGGAGAAGAGAGAATAAGTTAATAATTTCGAAGTTTTAATGGGCGATCCAGAGGATGATCATACCAATGAAGACGAGTGCAATGAGTCCGAGAATGATCATCATCTGAAAAATCCGAATTATTTTTGTTCTAGCTTTGTAAAACCCTTACTCTCATATTTTGCCACCAATATTTTTGTCTCAAGTTTCTCGAGCTTTGTTGAAATTGCGAAGCGCCAGCTTGAAGAATATCAGCGCGATGATCCAAGTTTGACAATTGTTGTTCGCGCTCCATAACTTTGTTCACGTTGTTCTTCATAACATCGATGACTTCGTCGACTTGCGCTTGCGCCATCTTCATGCGTTTTGACCCATAAGTTGGGTTGCTTCTTTGGCTTTCGACGGTATTAGCATCCAATGGTGGAGTAGTTCCAGTTGAAGACATTCCTTATTCCTAAAATATATAGATTAATTATTTTTTAGAAAGATGATGCGAGAATCTACTAATCAAGAAGATCAAAATCAGGATTTCCTAATGGTCCCAGTTTCAAGGCCACTTCATTTGGATACAACTGCTTTATCAAGACCTCAGAGCCCATATCATATGGTAAGTTAGGAGCCCAAAAAAAGAGAGAGAAAAAATAGAAAAATCTAAAAAGTATAATGAAAATTTCCGCTCAATCTGAGCATTTTATGTATACGCATTTTCGAGATATTGTACTTTCCAGCCCCTTTTCTACAAAATTCTATACAATTTCCTATTTCTCCTCCCCTTTTTCAATTTTCTGAAAATGTTTTGAAAAAAAAATGAATAATAACAAAACAACGACGGAAACATAAGAAGAACAATATGGAAAAAATCAATCATTTTGTCAAAAATTATATATTTTCTTATAAGAAGGCGGTGCTCTCTTCTAATTGAAAAAGAAAGGTAAAAATAGTTAGAATAAGTTAGGCTAAGTACAAGAAATCCATTGCTTGCGTAGACGGAAATTGTCTAGAAAAAAACAAATTGGGCGAATTTTTTATGGGGGAAAGTAAATAATGAAATAGGTGCCAGCATCATGACTGGAAAATTGATAAGAATCGATTTATTCCCAAAATTTAGTTTTTTGGCTAGTCATTTACATATTTATTTATTTATTTATTAGTCATCGAGTTTTCGTTCAAAATTTTCACTGAAAAATGTCCGGCATTTATTTAAGACCACCAAGTCGAACGATTGATGTGAGTTTTGAGTTTTTACAAATGATCAAAATGAGAAAAATGTTGGTCTTTTAACCAAAAAAGTGACGAGATCTTGGAATTTTGAAAAGTGTCACGCAAAAAATTAATCTACTTGTACGTTTGTCGCGCATTTTAAATTTTGAAATTTGAATTTTTGTTTCGCAAAAATATTGAAATTAAAAACGTCATACGAAATGAGTATTTTTAGAATTTTCCAGTAATCGGGCCAGGTTCAAAGTTTTCACTCAAGCTTGGAATTCTTGAATTTCATTCATATTTCATTTTTTTTTAATTTTCCCAGGTTCATCCTAATTTTCTGCAAAAACGAAACCAAAGTCCATAAAATCTGTTGGTATACTTTGTTTTTCATGCGCTTGAACTATTGGAAACTCCAATTTTTTCCCGGAAAATTGTATTTTTATTAATTAATAAGCACAAAAAATTTCGAGAAAAACATGTTTACAAGATAGTATAGTAATAACCAAAAAACTAATGATCAAGCTCAAAAATATTCCAGGATCATTCACCAGCTCTTTCACAAAAGATCAAAGTTCCAAAACGGCAATATTCTCAAGGAGAAGATCCACTTCGTCGAATGGCAACACCAGTTTTTGATAAACATGAACAAGAAACTCGAAAAAAGGGACCATCATCTGCAGCTACAGTACTCGCAATGTCTGGACTTTTTGTTGTTGGAACAACTTTGATTTTGAGTGGAATTATTGTTTTGATTGTGGTAAGGAGGAGAAATGAGATACTGGGAGCAATATTGAACTATACAGAGATTTGACATAGTCAAGTAGTCCGAGTTTATCAGAGTTGTCAAATAATTGTATGCTTTCACTGTTTTTGTGATCCGATTTTCTTTCAATATTTACCCAAGAATCCAAATCCCTATATTTTACATTTCAAATCGGGAAGAAGAAGAAGAACATTTTGAATTGAAACAAACAATCCACTAGTATCATTGGGATTTATCCTTCTTGCAAAAATAGTTTGAAAATAGAAGAGAGTGTTCGAGAAAGAGAACAATGATAAAAAGTGAAAATCTCTTTTATGAATTTCGATTTTTCCCCATCGAACACGGTTTTTTTCTTCATCTCATCCGGTTTGAGATTTTCGGTGATCAAAATTTTTGCTTTTCTTGAAAAAAAAACTTTGATAAATATGTCTGGAATTTTTGAGTGAGATGAAAACTTGATTTTCCCCCAAATATTTTAGTGGGAGATAGAAAAAGAGAGAGAGAGAGGAAGTTGCAATCAAAGTTGATAAGAAATTTGCCTAATCTCAAAATTTTATTCATTTTTTTCTGCATTTATCATTTACGGCTAATTGAATCGAATTAGGTTGTGATGAAAAGGAAGACTGGTTTGGATTTCAGATAATTTTGAGCTTTTTAAAAAGTTTGTGTCTTGAAGTTTGGTCTATATTTTATAGATTTCGGAAAATAATAAAAAAGAAAAACCTGTTGGAAGATGGGATTTGCGAAGATACAAAAAGTTGTACTAATTTTGATATTCAGAAAATGTTATGGAATTTTTTCAGAACTGCAAAATAGATTGAACAAAAAAATTGAGGGGTTTTTTATTCCGAAGATAAATTTGAGAAAATAAAGTTGAGGAACGATCTAATTTTCTAGTACCTGGAAATGTTGTTGTGAACCGTTCAGCTTTGTGAAAAAAATGCGAAAAAAGAGATTCCTGACTCCCAAATTTTCGAAGTACTATAAAACCAGGGTTCCAAAAAAAAATCAGAAAAACTTTATGACCCCAAAAATTATTTCCGAAAACACAAATCCTGCAGAAATCACAACATCATTTCAAAAAAAAACTCCAGAATTTCAGAAACTCTATTGTAAACAATCTGACATCATTTTCCACTTCTGATTCAATAAAAACAGAAAACTAATATCCAAAACTACAATTTGATGTTTTTTTCCAGCAAACCGAAACTCCATTCGTCATCACCGGTTGTCTTTTTCTTGGCGTCGGCGTTTCAATGCTTCTCGTCTGCGTCATCCTCCAACGCAAAAATTTGGTGAAATTCGTCTTGGATCTCAACCGCGATTTGTATTTCTTAAATATGAGCAAATCTGTGATGTGGAAATTAATGTTTGAAATGGGAAATGGATTACCATTGTCGCAAGATGATGACTAACTGTTTTGTTGGATTTGTAAATAAAACGGGTTAATTTGTATGGTTGTAGTATTTTTGTTGTACAAGATATCAATGAATGTCTGCAAAAAGTGTGAAGGGGGGGGGAGAGAGAAAACAGGAAAAGCCATATTCGAAGATAGATAAATCAATTCGGCGGCGATTTGAACAAACAGTGAAATATTGTGGATCAAAAATGTATAGTAACCTTTTTTTTGAAAAAAAATCCGTCAATATATTTTCTCTAGTCACCAATGATTATGAAAATGATTTTTTCAACTTCATTTTATTTCGTTTCACTTATTTAATTATCACTCACTTGCGGAAAAATTAAGATTGCGAAAAAAAGAGATGATGGGTGAAAAAGACCTGTCCAGGTGTGGCTATCTATTTTTGCCAGGCCAGAAGCATTTTTTGGAATACCATTTTTGGAATTTTTCGCTTCGAAATCAAAACTTACATATATAAATAAGTGGATGTAGATAACGAAAACCAAACAAATTGAAAACTGTTGTCGCCATTTGAAAATAATTTGAAACGTATTTTTTGAAGAAATCAAAATACACCTCAGCCGACCCATTTCAGCTGTGCACCTTGAAAGTTGTCTACTTGTTAAGATAGATTCCGAGGTTCAGCTACATTTTATGGAAGCTCTCAAGACATTTGCAGATGTTGTAGATTTTCAAACATCGAAATTCAATTTTCACTAAAATTTTCCGTAGATCAAACTTCAAAACCTATTTTCTCCCATTCATCGCATCCATAAAAATTCCCATTTATCAAATCAAAAATCGGTGCGACAAAATCTAAATGATCAAATCGCGTGGTGTTCCATAAAAATATTATTGTTATTATTTCTACAGTAATCCCCCGCGATTTTTTCTATCAGATGACCTTTTTTCTCTTCTTCAATATTTTATGAATAATATAATATTATAATAAATCGATGTTCACCTCTTGTCATATGATTTTGTTATCTGATTTTGCTTGGTGTGTGTTTTTTCCTTGATCCACTCCGGCTTGGTGGATTATTGGGTGAAGGTCAAACTAGACTCAAGTGATCAACGTCATTTTTTCCTGGAAAAAATTGTAAACCAACTAAAAAAATTCCCCAGTCAGCCAGGAAAAGCAATCGAAAGCGGATTCAATCAAGATTTTGGGAACACCTCGATATTTCAAGATGGCTATCAAGCCGGAGAAAGTTTTTTCGTGTGTCTCGCAAAAATATACACGGATATGAGTGAGACAAAGTGTTTTTTGTGGAATTTTGTTAGAAGTTTTTTTTGAGAATTGAGGGAGGTGTGAAATTTTTGGAGAGTAAGATGGGAATAAGAAAAATCAGATGTTGATCTTGATGCTCTTTGGAAGGAAGATTTTGTTTGAGGAATGAAGTTTGTAAAATATTAAAATGAACACACCGAAACGAAGTCATAGTTTGAGATAAAAAAATCACTCAAAAAAATTGTATGAGGAAAATTCAAAATTTATTCACAGAAGAAAGTTGTAACAGTCATGTTTTTGTCAGTTTTAAGTTATACCCGAAATTTGAACGTATTGTTCAATTAGTTCGGTTTCGCCATTTAAGATATTGAAATTTCAAAATTCTCAGATGCTGTTCGAGATTTTTCAGCAGTCTGATTCAGACAAAAATTAGCATATATCTTCTAGATAAGTTCTAGATTGCTTCCAGATCAGTTCTACACATACATGAACTAGTAGCTCCGGGGACTCTCGAGTTAACCCCCCTTCCAGGAGAAATTTTTGAAAAGTTAACTCCCCCTAACCCATTTTTTGCTAATTTTCTATCCCAAAAAGCATAAAATACTTATATTTCAAAAGTTAAGCCTAAATTTTCAAAAGTTAACCCCCCTACCTCTAAAAATCCACCAGAACTTAACCCCCCTCCCTCTGAATTCGGAGTCTCAGTTCATGTATGGTTCTATATCGGACCAATCAGATGTTCTTGAGAAGTTTTAACAAAAAGAGTATGTATGTATATGTGTTGATCAACATGTCCTTTATTGCTTATCTCCATCTTCCTTTTCTCTTCCCGTTATTCCCAGAAAAATGTCCCTATGGAAAAGAGGAGTGGGCGTGTCTCCGTCCCCCGCTTCCCTCCCCCCAAATCTATCCCTTCCTTTTTCTCCGCAAATCCGTTAGTCGTATAAAAGGTGCGCACGTCTCACAAATCGAATTATTATTCATCGAATAATGGAGTCGGACGGTAGGCTGAAAGCCTACAAATTTGTGGCCTATGCCGCAGTCACTTTTTCGATTGTCGCTGTTGCTTCAGTCGTTTTGACTTTGCCAATGGTTTACAATTATGTGTCACATGTTCGACAACAAATGCACCACGAGATCTCTTTCTGCAAGGTTCGTTTTATTCCTTTTTTGTTTCTAAACAACCTATTTTTCGATTTTCTCATTCAATTTTGATTTTCCTCTTTCATCAATCTATTTTTCTAGGGATCCGCTAAGGACATCTTCACTGAAGTCAACTTCATGAAGGCCAACGCTGGACCAGTTCCACCACGTAACCGTACCGCCCGTCAAGCTTACGGAGGACCAGAAGTCAACCCAGCACCAAATCTTCAATGCGAAGGATGTTGCTTGCCAGGACCACCAGGACCAGCTGGAGCCCCAGGAAAGCCAGGAAAGCCAGGACGTCCAGGAGCACCAGGAACCCCAGGAACCCCAGGAAAACCACCAGTTGCCCCTTGCGAGCCAACCACTCCACCTCCATGCAAACCATGCCCACAAGGACCACCCGGACCACCAGGACCACCAGGAGCCCCAGGAGATCCGGGAGAGGCTGGAACTCCAGGAAGACCAGGAACTGACGCCGCCCCAGGATCACCAGGTCCACGTGGACCACCAGGACCAGCTGGAGAGCCAGGAGCACCAGGACCAGCCGGAGAACCAGGAACCCCAGCCATCTCTGAACCACTCACCCCAGGAGCTCCAGGAGAACCAGGAGATGCCGGACCACCAGGACCACCTGGACCACCAGGAGCACCAGGAAACGACGGACCACCAGGACCAGCTGGACCAAAGGGAGCCCCAGGACCAGACGGACCACCAGGAGTTGACGGACAATCTGGACCACCAGGACCACCAGGACCAGCTGGAACTCCAGGAGAGAAGGGAATCTGTCCAAAGTGAGTTTAACAAATAACATTTGCCTTGAACTTGTAAAATAATTCATTTTTTTTCAGATACTGCGCTTTGGACGGAGGAGTTTTCTTCGAAGACGGAACACGTCGTTAAATCTTCGAAACTTTTCTCATTCGAAGGTAGACGATGTTTTCTTCGCGTCGCACCTTCTCAAAAGTCACCACCTCATCATCATCTCGTTTTGTATTATAGTCAAAATAAATTATTTATTATTAATAATTTTTCGTTTTTTTCTTCTTCTATCGCGTTTCACAATCTGACCTGGTTGCATTGAGGAAGGGAATCCAGTTTTTCTCACCACATACAGATGAGATTTTGAATGTGTTGTGGGAAATGCAAAAAACTCGATAATTTCCAGGTGTTATCAAGTTTTTCCTATGTCCGAAAATGTTTCAAAAAACCGGTCAAGTGAAGTTTTTGTGGATGGAATTTGGGAAAAAAAAAAACTTACATACACTTGATATCGGATTTTCAGTTTTATCCTTGTTTGAAATGACAAATTTTGTGTCAAGAAGGTTTGGGAAAAATTAGACACATAAAATTGTTGGCCTACAAATCATGGTCACAATCAATACACATTTTCTTATCACACAATAGGTACAATTGAGCACAAGTCATATGTCTGCCCATTTTCATTTTACTCCAAAATGTCAGCAAAAATTGAGAATTGTTGTTCGATTTGCGATGATTCGGCACACGGAACTCATTTTGGAGTGCTTTCTTGCCGAGCATGTGCTGCATTTTTCAGGTAAAATATTTGTGTTTCTATTGTTGGGAAAAAATGATCAATTTTAGGAGAACAATCGTGATGAAGAAAAAATATATCTGCAAAAAGAATCATAGTTTGAAACAACAATGCAAGTTCTGCAGATTTCAGAAATGTTTGAAACTTGGAATGACCGATGATAGTGAGTTTTTTAGAAGATAACTTTTATCCTTAAATTAATTAGCCCAGATTCTCAAACTTTTTCAAGAAAATGTTTCCGCCGGTCTTCATTCTTGTTGCTGAAGTCTGTGTCCTACAGTGATTTCTCATAAAATTTTATAAAATGATAATAGTGAAATTGGGTTTTTTTTTGAAAACTGAACTTTGTCAGTTTATGGAAAATTTCCAACATTGAAAATCTTCTGTGAATTATATAGGGCGATTTTTGAGCAAACAATTGAAATTTATTTATCAAATTCATTATATATCTTGTAATTAACATAGTTTGAGTATAATTACCACAAAAAACTAGAGATTCTGTAAATTATTTCGAAAAATTGGGTGATGACCTCATCCAGTGCAAGATTCCAATCGATTTGTATTTTAAACCGTTTGAGAACAACTCAAGTCACAAAAAATCACATAACAAAAAACAAACTTCAAAAAACGATAAAAAAATAAATAAAAATATAAAACATAATTTCGGCTTTATTATTACTATCATCAAGCGACTTATTGATGAAATAACTTTTTTTTCATTTTTAAATCATTTTTTCACCAAGATACTTGTCCATTTCCACAAAAAACCCAATCCCCCAAAGATAACCATTATTGTCTCAAACAACACATGCCTAATTCATATTTCAAAAAAAAAAAAGAAATATTATTTCTCCCGACCTCCAAATTTTTAATTAAAAGATTCTAAAAACTTCCTTTCAAAAGCATCCTCAAATGCAAATCAGTTTTATAAATTTCGAACTCTACAGAACTCCCTCCGACTAAAACTTCACTTCTCAATGGAACCCAAAAAAAAGAACTAACCTTTGAAATTTCGATCGTTCCTCGATCGTCTCATCGCTCAAAATTGATGTATTCCCTCGTGTTTTCCAACAAAAATCATCTCGATAATTTTCATCCACGAATAATCTGAAAAAAATTTTAAATTTAATGAAACTTTTGGTTATTTTTTTATTGATTCAAAACGCTTGTTCAAAATATTGGCGTCCATACGAGAGAGAGAGAGAAGAGACAAAAAGATAGTGAAATCGCGCGTGATCTACAATGCATAATTTAAAAACTTGCGGGACTAGGTTAGGATTTTTTTAAATTTAACAAAAAAAAATAATTTTGCGGTGTTTTAGTCGAAAAATAAAAAATAATCGTGAGTTTACTTAAAGAAAGGTGTTTGGGAAGCTCTGCAGATAATTGTAAGCTTGTAGTGAAATGATTATTTTTGGTTTCAGTTTTGGGATAAGATTTAAAATCTATATAATCTCTAGTTTTTTTGTGATTTGATATTTATTTTATCCCACATTCGATCATTTATTTTGAAAAATAATTCGGTAAACTTTTGCTAGCCCACCTTTTTTTCACCCATTCCACATATAATTTTCAGATGTAAAGCTCAATTATGACACCGTCATCCACACAACAAAAGCTCCAGCAAACACCAAAAAAGAAGTGACTTATGAATTGGAAACTAACAAAAAAGGCGAAACTCGTGTCAAACTCGATATTTCCGAACTTCTCAAACGAGTTCAAAAACTTTTGTATTCCTATAAACCACCAGAATTTCCAAAAGAATTCACGAGTTTGCAAAAAATGAATTTGGCTTTGATTGAATATCGAAGAATCCACTCGAGTAATATTATTACTGTAAGTTACTGTAAAATCGGTTGTTCTTTTTTTTTGAATTTCAAAAACCAAAAAAAATTTTATTCAGTTTGTCAGCGAGATTAGTATGCGTGAAATTTTGGGAACTTCAAATGACCAACTCAAATCAATCGCAAAGTTTTTGATAATATCCGAGCCTTATAATCATCTATCAGTAAATGACAAGGTAGGCTGTGTTCAGGCAGTCAGTTAATTTTTTGAAAATTAAATTTTCAGATGAAAATGCTGAAATGTATTTGGGTACAGTTCAAGCGTTTGGAAAGATACTGTAGCACCGCTCATATTTTTGGAAAACGAATGTATACGGAAAGGGTGAGATTTTTCTGGAAGATTTTTGTTTTAAAATTTTAATTTATTTTAGAAATATTGAAAATGCTGTGACTCGTATTTTCATTCCTCAAAATATAGGTTTTTTTGAATAATTTTCAAAAAACCCAAACTTCGACGTCATAGTTCGTTTGGACTAATTTTCAGAAAATACATGAAAATGTGTAGGAAAATAACTATGACTAATATTCACGCATGGATTGGTTAAAAGGAGATTTTTCAAACTAGACATTTTTCAAGTTAATTTCAAAATAGCCTACAATGAAGTACAACAATCACATCTAGCTTAACCCCGCAATCTCTTCCCTCTCCAAAAATTTGCTTTTTCCAGATTGTCACAATAATTCCGGGTGTCGCCGCATGCATCGATGATCTAAAAATTGAAGCGGCACATTTCATTTATCGTCGGGCCGAAAGTATGAAATTCCAAATGCGTGACTATAATGAAAAAATGATGGAAGAAGTGGCAAAACCAATTGTTGAACTCGAATTGACGCCAACGGAAATTGCTTTTATGCTGACGAGAATGTCGTGGCAAGTTGCTGGTTTGTTTTCTTCTCTTCTAAACGTTTTTCAATCAATCGAAATTCGATCAAAAATTTTCTAACGAAAAAAAGTTCAAAAACAAATTCGATCAGGTGAATTGAATTATTTACCGCGTTATGTTTCTTATGATATCACAAATGACATTTATGACATATAAACAACATTGAAAAAATGATTATTCTTTGAGCCAATAAATAAAGTTTTCAGGCAAGCAATTGCAAGGTGATGTTCTCGAGAAATCAGAAATTGCCCTCGAAAAACTTGACAACGATTTGCATTTTTATTATATGAATGAGGTGAAAGTTGTGAATTATGCATCGAGATTGATCAAAATTATGAATGTTTTAAGTTCTCTTCAGGTATGCTCGTGAGAAGCTTATCTTTTCATTTTTTTGGAAAGGAAAAGAAAAAAAAAAGAAAAAAAGTTGTTATTGAGAAATTTGAAATTCCAGATAAGAAAGAAACGCGATGGCGTTGAAACGAATGTCTGAAAATCGTTTTTTTTTTCTTTGGTTGGTTGGAATTTGAACTTCAAGATAAGAAACGTGGCTTTTTATTTCTAGAAGAAAGAAATAAGTTTGATTCTGAATTTGAAAAAAAAATTGTGATTTGGACCTCAATTTTGAAAACCTGGATTCAAATTCGAAAGCTACAGTAACCAAAATCAAATTTCTCCCTTGAAACATCAAGCATTTATAAAATATGTTTATGTTTACCCGGAAAATCTCGTGTCTGATTTTTCATTCCAAAAAAACAAGACCACGTTTTTCTCTGTCTATTGTTCAGTTTTTCAAACATTAAAGTCCAACCATGTGACCTTTTTATTATTGAACAAAACAAAACTCAAGTTTTGCCGGCATCTTCGATTTTTTCGTAATCTTGCGCAATTCCCAAGTCATAGACAATAACAATACCAGCAATAATTTCACAAGTGTTTTCAGAAAATCCACTATGATCGTCAAAACTTCATGGATTTGATTCGGATTTTCGATGCAATAAGTGTTGATGTTTCGGATCCAGAATTATATAAATCATATTTCTAATTTCCATAACATGACTAATGACTGATCATCGTCCAAAAGTGCACTCTGCGTCTCGAATCAGTCGCGCAACGTATTTTTCGAAGTAAACAACATTCTGCGACTCCTCACATCTTATACTCTCTGACATCTGCACTTTTTCTGGCAAAATGCGAGAGAAAACGAGACGCAGAGATAGACATTTTGATCAGCCGCGTCGTTGTCTTTCTCTATTTTTTCCTTCTTCTTTTTTTCGCCTCTTTATGTGTATATTGTTGTACTTTTCTTTTCGTTTCGTTTTTTTGTCTCCATTTTTGTCTACGTTTTTTTGCTGTTTCGTGTTTCTATTATTATCAAATATTCAATTGTATCATTTGAAGAAAATATGAATTTTTGTGTTGTCGTCAAATAATTTTCGAAAACAACAAAATAATATCTAAATTGTTGATCAAAACAGCACATTCTCAGAACTCCGCCCACTGAAAATTGTGGGCGGAGTTTGAGAACCAAAACTGAAATTCAGATTTTTGTGCTCGCTCAATTATATGTTTTTCCGCGGCTGCGAAAAAAGTTCTTTGAGATCGTTTCACACGTCCTTTTTCTATACCGACAACTATCCCACGGTAACTCATAAAATATTTTTGTACGATTTTCGGCGAGTTTGAAAACAAAAAAAACCTGAATTCTCTGTGAACTTTCTAAAAATTATAAAAATTAGCTGATCAAACTTCGAAAAACTCTCTAGGCTTCTATTATTGTTACAGGTAAACTTATACTTTTGTTTACGGCTTGATTCCCCTCTCCCACCCACATTATAATTAAAAAATATACACAATAACAATCAAAGTTCTAAGCTTCTGCCTCATGACCATCTACAGTATCTACATAGTACTACTCGCAGACAAAAATAACAAGTTTTCTGCTTTTCTTTTTCTGACTGGCTGCTGCTGCTAAATATTTTTGTGCACTTTTTATTTTTGTTGTTGTTATGTGTCTTTCTATCTATCAATCTACTGTGTATTTGTATCTGGCCAATGTTTTTCCTCTTGAAAGTGCGCACCCCATGGGCATGGGCTGCGGTAAACACGTCTCTGTTTTCTCTCGTTCATGTTTTTCACAGTTCCCAACATACCTGATAATTCTCTCATTCTATTGTTGTTCCTTTTCATTTTTTTTTGTTTTCCTGAAATAACAATGACAAAAATAAATCCCTGATTCAGATTTCCTTCAATCATGTCAATGCAAAGTTTGACATCGAAATCACGACGGGTCGAAGATGTTGTTGTTGAAGGATGGTTGCACAAAAAAGGAGAACACATCAAAAATTGGAGACCAAGGTGAGAGTTTTATTTTATTTTTCCAAATTAAAAAAATCAAAATTCAATTAGAAATGACTAATATTCTATAAATCAATCAAAAAAAAATTGTTTTTCATAAAAATTCAACTACCGTAGTCTTGATCCTATAAGATTTCTTCTACTTAATCCGGATATACTAATCCGCTTTACGAATTTATCATCCGGAAAACAAAAAAAATCTAATCGGAAATGCGAAAACAACTTTGAAAAATTCACATTTCGCACTATTTTTATAATCACAAGAGTACTGTAGTTCGCACGTGAACTCCAAACACGGCGACGCGAAAATGCACATAATTTTTTTTTCAATTTTCATTTCGGGGTTTTTTCACGCAAAAAAGCAGAAACTCATCTATTGCTTCTAAAATAATTATTTCCAGGTATTTTGTACTTTTCTACGATGGTGCTCTACTTGGATTCCGAGCAAAACCAAAAGATCCTGGAACATTCCCCGAACCACTGAATGATTTTATAATCAAGGATGCACAAACTATTGCTTATGACAAACCACGACCAAATATGTTTATGATTCGATGTCTTCAATGGACAACAGTTATTGAAAGAACATTTTATGCAGAAACTTCAGAAGTTCGACAAACGTGGATGAATGCGATTGATGCAATTTCTGCGCGTTATAAAAAATCACAGAATGAAGATACTATGGATACGGTATGTTGAACTTTATAAAAGTTTACTCGGCCTCTCCGGTTAACGTGCCCACCTGTGCCTATTCAAATTCATTTTTATTATATAAAAAACAGATACACCCAGACTCAAAAGTACAAATTGATCTACCCAAAAAACACTTTATTCTCATTTTATCTTCTCATAAACCCGCTAATTTTTGCAGATCTCTCTAAGCCAAGAACCATCGACAGTTGACGAATCAAGTGAATATTCGGGAGCTGCGCATGCAATAATTGGACAACCATCAAATAGTCACGGTGAAGGAGCAGTTGATTTACGTGCTTCAATGATGAGTATTGCCGATACAAGTGATGCTGCCAGGCGAGATCGAATTGTGAGTTGATTTTTTATGAGAATTTAAATTTTGATAAATTACTGAATTTCAGACAATGGATGATTTCGATTTCTTGAAAGTTTTGGGAAAAGGAACCTTTGGAAAGGTAATTCTTTGTGTTGAGAAACGAACATCCAAACTTTATGCAATAAAAATTCTACGAAAAGAAGTCATCATTGCTCGAGAAGAAGTTGCTCATACTCTCACTGAAAATCGAGTTCTTCAACGATGCAAACATCCATTCCTCACGGTTCGTCCACTTTCTCACTTTTTCTCACCTAAAAACTCCTTTCTAAAATGTCCCTCCCTCACCATCCACGCTTCCTATCTGTAAACATTTGTGTTATGCATGTGATCTATATTTTCTCATTGTTGTTTCGTCACGCACTTTCAGAATATTCTTGCAGCAACTGATATATAGTTTTCAAACTGTTCATCATTTGTGTTTTGTGATGCAATTTGCGAATGGCGGAGAACTGTTTTCGCATTTACAAAGGTGTGGAACATTCAGTGAATCGAGGACACGATTCTATGCAGCTGAAATTGTTTTGGCACTCGGTTATTTACACAGTTTGGCGATTGTTTATCGTGATATGAAGGTTAACCATTTTATTTGATCGTATGGTGAAACACATCACTTAAAAATAGTTCGAAATACTTATTTAGTATTAGCACATCATTTTTTCCTATCTTCTACCTCCTTCAACCTTTTATTTCTTTCACTATCAATTGCTCGCCAGAAATTATGTATTTATTTATTTTTAGAAATAGATTTGTTTGATGTTGTCCAGTTTTAGTTCAACTTCTTTTTTTTCCACTTGGGTCCTGAAAAGCTTAGAAATCGGGAGTTTTTGGAGTTCTTGAATCGGACTATTTTCAAACGAGGAAAAACAGTTTGTTTTCTGAAAAGGGACAAATCAAGATCCGGCCTGATTCAAAATTCCACGGATTCAGTATTCCTATCCCAATTTGTCAGCTTCCACCCAAAAAACCTTTCGTTTTTTCTTTGCTGCCTGCATAGAATCAACCCTAGATTATCCTACGCTTTCCATTTTTATCCAATAACCAATTATTCCATAGCTTTTGAAACCCTGTTTAAATAGAATTTACCCAAGTTAGAGCATAAATCTCTACAGGAGCTCAAATATTCGTTCCAAACTGACGATCGATTGTGCTTTGTAATGGAATTCGCCATCGGCGGTGATTTGTATTATCATTTGAATAAAGAAGTTCAATTGCATAAAGAGGGATTCAGCGAATCTCGCACAAGATTTTATGCATCTGAAATTGTATTGGCTCTTGGCTATTTACATGCTAACAGTATTGTTTATCGAGATCTCAAGGTTTGATTAGAAAAAAATATATATATGTAGATAGTTGGTTAGATAGGAAAAAAGTCATGTGCTAATTGATATTTGAAAAGTGATGTGTTTTATCGATATTTTCCGGTAGAATTTGAATTAAAGAAACATAATATTTTAAGCTCGAAAATCTGTTGCTCGACAAAGATGGTCATATTAAAATCGCCGATTTCGGTCTCTGCAAAGAGCAAATCGATTTCGGCGACAAAACCAGTACATTTTGCGGAACTCCCGAATATCTTGCACCCGAAGTTTTGGAAGACAACGACTATGGAAGATGTGTTGATTGGTGGGGTGTTGGAGTTGTGATGTATGAAATGATGTGCGGAAGATTGCCATTCTATTCAAAAGATCATAAGAAATTGTTCGAATTGATTATGGCAAGCGATTTGCGTTTCCCGAGCAAATTGAGTAATGAGGCAAAACAATTGTTGGCTGGGTTATTGGTCAAGGATCCAACACAAAGATTGGGCGGTGGAAGTGAAGACGCTTTGGAGATTTGTCGAACTGATTTCTTTAAAAATGTTGATTGGGAAGCGGTTTATCGAAAAGAGGTTACACCACCATATAAACCAAATGTTCAATCGGAAACTGACACAAGCTATTTCGATGCTGTAAGTTATTTTTAAACTGAAGAATCGGAATACAACGGGAAAAAGGTTCTTTTCCAAAAGTTCCCATGTTTTGAAGTTTATTCGATTACGTGTTTCTTTCTAACCCAACCAATCATTATATTCTTCCAGGAATTCACATCTCAACCAGTTCATTTGACTCCTCCACCAGCCTATCATGGTCCACTTGCGACAGTTGAAGAACTCGACGAAATGCAATCAAATTTCACCCACTTTTCATTCCACAAACAAGACAACAATAGTATTCAAGAAAATAGTGAACCAATGGAAGCCTAAACCCGCTTCATTTTTATCCCTTAATACTTGTAAAAAAACCGTAGTTCTTTCCTATTTAATTCGATTCGAGAAAAAACCTGTACCCGTAAAACTTTGTTAAAATTCCCAAAAAATTGTGTTTGTGCGATAAGTTTTCTGATTTTGTGTTGTTCTGACTAATAAAAGATTTTGAAATGTAAATTGAGGTTCAACCCTGGTATCAAAAATTGGTTTATAAAAATCAACGGAAAAAAAACATTGCTACATGTCAAAATAATCAGAAAAATACACGGAATGAAAAAAGTATAAATATATATATATATGAAAAATACAACCCGGGTTATGGAATTTAAATATTTCCCATAACAAATTCGGCAACAATTGATGGAACAGATGAATCGAAACCGCTGATGTCAAGCATTCCGCGATCACGTGGATCGGCAATTGTGAATGGTGTTGCTGTCATTCCCATTACAATCAGTTTCGCATCGTGGATACCCGATTTTTCACGATATTGTTGAAGAGCTTCGAATGGATGAACCTGCAGATTTTAATTTCAAATTTCGACGTGATTTTTTCTAGAAAAAAACTTACATGTCCAGCCCAGGTATCATTATCAGTGTAGACGATGAAACAATCGAATTTGAGCCCTTTTTCAGCAGCCCATAACATTGGAAGACCACAATCAGTCGCTCCGAACTGCAAAAATAATCATAATTCATAATCATATTTCTCTTGAGATATGTCAACTTACTCTCAATTGATCAATGTGATTTTGAACCTTTTGCATAGTCCATTCTTTTGTGAACGGCAATTCGGTTAATTCATCGCAGAATGCAACACATTTGACTTCTGGCTCGTTGTGCAAATGTACAAGTGACATAGCTGTTGATGCATTTCGGCAAGAGATTGCTGAACCAGCCACAGAGCAACACATACTTCCTGAAACATCCAATGCCAAACAATATCGTTTATTGGTGACTGGCGCATTTGAGAATGATTTGTAGAATCCAGCTTCCATTGCTTTGAGAATTTCTTTGTTTGGATTCCATGTGAGACTTCCTTTGTCACCTCTTCCACGTCCATAGATTTCTTTAGCAATGAGAAGAGTCAATGGATGGATACGAGTTCTACGCAATTCTTCTGGATCAGTTAGACGTTGACAGATTTGAGCAACTCGAGCACTGTAAGAATATATTAGGATTAAAAACGTTCACAAGTTCAAATTTTCTTGGAACTTACTCATCAAGGCATTCAACAAGTGACATTTTTCCGAGATTTCTAATCAAGGCTGTCATTGGCATTCGAACATCGAATAATGTTTCCCAAACAAGTTTGCTATTCAATGAATCAGTTGGAAGATGTTCACGAACAAGTCCGTGTTTTTTGATGGCTGCAACAATTACTTCTTCGCTTTTTTCGTGTTTCAATTTGAGATACGCTTCGATGAGATCAAGATTTCTGTAAGAAAAAACAACGTTATTATCATTTTATTGATAATCTTCTCAATAAAGGTCAAAAATACGGACCTGCTATTGAGTTCAGTATCAAGTTGAACATCGGTATATTGTTTAATATCACCTCTAGCTGCATCATCAGCTGCCAATAGACGTTTACGTGGAAGAAGATCTCCTTTTACAGCATATCGGAAGATTTGTTCGAGTTCCAATCGTTCTACCGAATTTCTTGCGTTAAGAACTGGATGAGCCAATCGGAACAAATCGCGATGAGACCATCCTTCTCTTTGTGGATATTTTGTCAAAAACATCGCAAGTTTTTCGGCAGTTTTTGTGGTATACCACGAGGAAATTGCAGTTCTCATACGACGTCCCCAACCGGTTGATGTTTTTGCATCGGCGTTGTTTGTTGACTTTGAGATGACTTCACAATATCCGACGAATTCGAAAAGATGTGTTGGAATACGGCAGACTTCTGGGATAAGGGCGAATGCGGCACGATGCATTTCACTGATATATTTCGAATATTTATTTATTGTTTCATCGGCGCCCGCTTTCTTTGGATCGTGAACATGATAACGAGCAGTGATTGCGAGAACGAAAAGAAGTGGAGACATTTTTGGATTTCTATTAGCTGCATTGATTTCTCCCAATTCTTTGAGAATTGTATGCGCGTTTCCTGCATTGATAATATCAATCATAGCTTTTGCATTTTCCAATGTCAACTCTTTTGAACTTTGATAATAAGTTCCACTTGCAGTTCCAAGAATCAAGAATCTTCTGATTCTAGTTTCATCCGAAACAGTAAACACAAATCCACCAGCTTTATTTTGAACTTGATCTTCTCGAACTTGTTCCATTTGTCTTGGCAATTTAACCAATTCTCCTTCAACCAAATCAATTTTTTCGAAGCTATCAGCAAGTTTTGCATCAAGGAAAGCAGTTTGAGCTCTGAAAATATTGCGAAATATTGCACATGTTTATTGCGAAATTAGAGTAACTTACTCTTGAAGTCTTGTCAAAACTGCGCTATCGAAAGCTCGTGTAACGACTGGGACATCGGTTTCTTGATCAGCGCTCATTTTCAATTAAGTTGTCTTACTGAAAGAAAACAAGGAAGTTTTAATAAATTCTTTGGGAAAAAAATGACCACGGGGAAGAGAGAACACAAGTGCAACAAAAAACCAAGAGAATGAAAAAAAAAGAACATATTCGTTTCAAGGACAGGGAAAAAAAGCAAATGTGTTGATAAATAAATAAAGAGAGGTTTATATAGGCACCCCGTTGTGAAAAGTTACGAAATCTTTGTTTTAACGAAATCGCCATGGATACAAGTTGCGAAAAATGTCGAAATTCCATCTGTCGAAAAATGTCGAAATTCCAAAAAATCAAAATGACGAATGAGCGTTGTATACAAACCAAAATGTCAAAAGTTTAATGGTTTATTTCTTTTTATACAACTCGATAAGTTTGTTTGAATAATGACAAATGTTCGATAGGAAAATCGGAGGAAAGAGGTAAGTTGAAAATTTATGGGGGAAACGCGACAAAAAAATAAAAAGTGGGATACGCGCTCTAATGTAAAATGTACGGTAGCTCATTTACTGTGCATACACCACACATTTGATTTGACGATAAATTTTCCCAGAAATTTTTTCATTTTTGTTCCAAAGTTCACTCCAGTACTCTACAGGGTGGCTGATAAGTATACAACGTTTTTCAAGCCTTTCCCAGAAAGTCCCCGATTGTCATTTTTCTTATGTTAAGTGTTGATCGGATAGTCCAATGAGTCTAGAAAGCTAATGTAAGAGTGTTTTAAGAAAAGTTCATTTTTGGGTGTGTATTGGTGATTTCAGCTGAAAAAGGACCATTTTACATTGATTTTAGGTCAACTTTCCTCTATCAGAACTTTGTGAAAAATGAAGAAATCAGTTATATACAACCAGACACACTTTTTAGACATCATTATGTTCAAATTGCAGCATTCATAAACATTATTCAAAAAAAATTCAGTTCAAGAGCACCTTTTCAGAAAATCGGAATTTGTGTGCGGCGCGAAACTGTTGTTTTTTGAGTGTTGACAGTTTAGCGTACTGTGATATGAGCTAGAGCTTAAAATGAGATCTCAACTCTCTGAATATGAACAAATATGATGTTCTCAACCCATTACAATCATCACATCACGTTTTGAAAATTCTGACCGTCATAACTATCGAAATTTGCTAGACATCTTCATTTTTCGAAAAATGTCACATTTTACCCGAAAATTTCGAATTAACAATTGAAATCGTTAGTTTATTTTTCTGAAAAATCTACTTCTATCCTATCCAACAGGAAAATATTTTGAAAATCCGCAGAATTTCAAGTATTTTGAAAAAAAAAATTTTTCGGAAAAATTGGGAAAAAGTGATTTTTTGAGTTTTGACTTCGAAGGTTCTCCAGGAATTCAAAATGATGGATTTTTATCAGATGTGTACTGGAACATTAAAATTGAACCTCTGACATTTCAAAAAAAAATTTCCATCTATATTGGCCCATTTTGAGTCCGTTTAGAACACCCCGAACCTTACTAACTAGGGCGCCGCACCCCCTCAATTTTTGTTCGCTAAATCGGAATCAGAAATTGGGACCAATTGAAACATCAATTAAACTATTATCAAACAGTGTTCGTTAGGTCTCTAGTAACACGAGAAAAAATATCCTGAGAAAAATTTCACGCCAAATCATTAGTTACTACTTAAAACACAGCGTTGTATACTTATCAGCCACCCTGTATAGTGGGTAGATTCAAGTCTAACAAAATATTATACGACGTCCAAGTGAAAAAGAATCGTACGCAAAAAAAAACCTTAAAAAAGGTTTTTGACACTTGCTGAATCGAAATTTTTGATCTTTTTTAAAATGTTCTCCAACATGTTTTGTTCTACTTCAATCAGAAATATTCTTGTCTTTGTTCGGAAATGAACGGTTTTCGAAAAAATTTAAATTTTCCAGACCTGATAAAAAATACATCCATATTTATTATTTACCATGCTTTTCATATTTAATTCATAAGTACATATTCGTATTGTGCCTAAAAATTGGATTTCTTCAAAAATTGATAAACTACTCCAAAATCTTTTGCTTGATAATGTGGATCGCGAGCGAGAATTCGATAAATTTGATGAGCTAATGAGCCGAGTGGAGTTGGAGCTTGTGTATTTGTCGAGGCATTTTGAGCCAACGACAAATCTTTAGCCATCAAAGAGGTTCCGAATCCTCCAGCGTATCCTTTTCCGGATGGAATGCCTTCAATAACTCCGGGTACCGGATTGTAGGTATCTGATGACCAGCATCGACCAGATGATGTATTGATGATTCCGGCTAGAGCTTTGGCGTCAAGACCCATGCTGAAAATATTTTTGGGTGAAAATCAGAATAAGCTTTTTTCTTTGTTTTACTTTCGGATTTTTCAAAAATTTGATTTTTTTGAAACAGTAAATTTTTATAGAATGAGAAAAATGAATTTTAAAATTAAAATCAATTGATTTCAGAAAAAAATATCTCAACAAACCTCACCCAAGTAGGACTGTCAAAATGGAGCCCGGGGCGGGCGGGCGTAAGAAGAGAAGAGAACTGTCTCGCCCGCTCGCCTTGACGCCCTATGGTCGTAAACTAACCATGCCCACACACCCGCCCTTTTTCAACTCAAGGCCCTCTCACCCGCTCGCCCTACCGCCTGTAGCTCACACCCGCCCGCCCGTCTTCCCTTTTTCTGACGTCCGCTCGCTCAATCGACAATATTATTTGAAAGATGAAAGGGTTCCGATTACTTTTTGATTGAACCTGTCACTTTTCGTGCCATTTTTGACATGATTTTACAAGGTGTGAAAAAAGGTAGGCGATGGGTGCGTTAGAGAGAAGGATGAATGACAGATCGGGCGGGCGGCTAGTTGAAAATAAAGCGGGCGGGCGGGCGGGCGTCGTTTTGGGAAAAATAAGAGGCAGGCGGGCGAGACACCACCGAAACAACAGGGTGAAACGGGCGACCCACATGACAGCCCTACACCCAAGAACCTGGAGAAGTGGGTAAAAAATTGCCCACCTGGGTTTATTTACCAAATTTGCCCACCTAGTAAAAAAATTTTGCCCAGCTGAGGCTGGCCTTAAAGACCCTAAAAAATTTTGCCCACCTGAGGCTCGCCTTAAAGACCCTAAAAAATGTTGCCCAGCTGAGGCTGGCCTTAAAGACCCTAAAAAATTTTGCCCACCTGAGGCTCGCCTTAAAGACCCTAAAAAATTTTGCCCAGCTGAGGCTGGCCTTAAAGACCCTAAAAAATTTTGCCCACCTGAGGCTCGCCTTAAAGACCCTAAAAAATTTTGCCCGCCTGAGGGTCGCCTTAAAGACCCTAAAAAATTTTGCCCGCCTGAGGCTCGCCTTAAAGATCCTAAAAAATTTTTTGCCCACCTAGGTTTTTCGAAAAAAATTGCCCACCTGGAATTCCAGGGGTTGGGTGAGGTTTGATATCTCAACGTTCCGAGTGATTTCAGAGTTGAAAAATCGATCGAAAGTTTAAAAACAGCTCTGTACCACATTTTTTTCAAATTTTTTTCAATTTATTTCGTCAGATCTCGTTTCATTTTAATTCTTAAAAATTTAAAATTTCAGAAATCTCGCTTACTTGATTCCTAGATTCATAGCCTCCGAAACCGCAATCATTTGAATTCCAAGAAGCATATTATTACAGATTTTCGCCGCTTGTCCATTTCCAACCGCTCCAAGATTCACAATATTTTTTCCCATCAAATCCAAAATCGCCTTGGCTCTCTCAAAAGTTCTATCGTTTCCAGCGCCAACCATAAAAGTCAACGTAGCATTTTGCGCTCCAGTCACACCACCAGAAATTGGTGCATCAATGTATTCGGCTTTCTTTTTTTGCGCTAATTGGGCGACTTCCAGTGAGACGATTTGATCAATGGTCGAAGAATCCATGCAAAGAGTTCCCGGTTGGATGGTTCTAGAAAAATGGATTTTTGAAATAAATTTTGGAACTCTTAAAAACGCACTTTAAAAGTCCATTATCGTTTGTGTAAACTTGTTTAACATGTGGCGAACTTGGCAAAACTGTGATAATTTCCTTGGAAGCAGCCGCAATATCAGCCGGATGTTGAGCAACTTCACATCCTTCTGCGCGAAATTGTTCAGTGACAGTCTTGTTCACATCATAGACGATCAATTTTTTGCCATTTTTCAACAAATTTCGCGCCATGTGGCCGCCCATATTTCCGAGTCCGATAAATCCAATCACCGACATTTTTCAAGCTGAAAACTAAAATTTACTGACAGGGAAAAGGAGTTCAAACAAATCGCCACGTGACAGATAGCAAAACAGACAAGTTCAAAGGTGCAAAAATAAGAAGAAATGAAATGAACAAAAAAGAAAATAAATTGAAGAAAGAACAGCAGCGAGAAATAGTTTGGTGGGAAGAGAAACGAAAGAGATGGAAACATTTTTTCTGGTGAAAACTGATGATAAAGTGATGTTGGATGTACCAAAAAACATTATGAAAAATGATAGGTAATGGAGAATCAATCGTTTATTTTTTCTTGTTTATCAAAAATTGATAAATACTTGTAAAATCTTTGCTAGAATATTCAGGGTTTTGAGCGAGGATTGTGTAGATTTGATGAGTCAGCGAGCCCAAAGGTGTTGCAGCGTGACAATCGGTTGAAGCGATTTGAGCATGCGAAAGATCACGAGCCATCAAAGAAACAGTAAATCCATCTTTATATTCATTCGAAGCTGGAGCTTTTGGATGAACTCCAGGAACTGGATTAGCGCTTTTTGAAATATAACTATAACCAGTTGAAGTGTTGATACTTTTATTGAGGACCACTGGATCAATTCCCATCTCAATTCCAAGGTTCATGGCTTCAGACAGAGCTAAAGCATTGATCCCAGCAACCATCATATTGCAAACTTTTACAGCTTGACCATCGCCAACTTTTCCAACGTGATATACTTTTTTCGCCATTTTACTCAAGACTTCTTCTTTGGCTCTTTCGAAGACCTGCTCACTTTCAGCTCCAACCATTATTTTTAAAGTTCCCTCTTTTGCATGCTCAATTCCTCCAGAAACCGGAGCATCCATAAATTCAGCGTTATGTTCGCGAACAAGTTTTGCTAAAGTGGTTGACATGTGTCGATCAATTGTAGAGCAATCAATACAAAGAGTTCCTCGTTGAATAGTTCTATAAATACGTTTTTGAAGATTTTTCAAAACATTATGCAAGAACTTCTCACTTCAAAATCCCAGAAGATCCTGTATAAACTTCATTAACATGTGCAGTTCTTGGTAACATTGTTATAATATGTCGCGAAGCTGCTGCAATATCAGAAGGATGTTCAGCGACTTCACAACCTTCGGCTTTGAATTCATCAACCACTGCTTTATTCGTATCCAAAATAATCAACTTTTTTCCGTTTCTCATCAAACTTCTCGCCATTCCACTTCCCATATTTCCAAGTCCAATAAACCCGATCATCTTCTTTCTTGATAATTAGTTTTTGTAATTCAAATATTGAAAAATAAATCCTCTTTCATTATTTTTTATTGCTGGATCAAATGACGTGTTCACGTTCAAAAAATAATAATTTTTTGCAACTCCATTTGGTTTTTTGAAAGGTTTTGAATTATGGAAATCTGATCCGGTTTGTTAAAAAAAATTAGCATCAGCAAGGTTCAATAGAACATTTCTGTTCAAATGAACAAGAAGAATTTGCGTGTTGTTTTTGCTCGAAGTCCGCCCGATGTTTATGATAATTGCCCGCGATTTCCAACTATGGAACCTACATTTCAATGTCCGCGTCCAGGTTATAGTTTAGAGGTGAGCAGAGAAACAAAAAAAACCAAGACAATTAATAAACTTTGAAGATTCTGAAAATGCTGACAGATGCTTTGAATTGGAATCTAATTCCGATTTTTGACAATTCGCCTGTGGGAAAAGCAGATTGGGGAACAAAAATAAATGGAAAATGGACTGGAATGTTAGGATATTTGATGAATGGTACAGCTGATACTGTATGTATGACTTATCAGTGGACAAATACAAAAAGTGAGGAGTTTGATTTTTCCTATCCGATTACGAATGTCCAACCGATTTTTGTTGCTCGCACGAAAAATGAAACTATCAATTCGGTTTTATGGAACGCTTTCAGGCCTTTTAGTTGGCCAGTCTGGGGAACTCTTTTTGCTAGTTTGATTTTCAATATTTTTGTGATTATTTTCATCTCAAAAATTGAATTTATGATTGCACTACGACAAAACCTCCGGTCCTTACTAATGGCGTGGGACCTTGTTCAATTACAACTTGATAAAAAATCGGAAGATCTAATTTTCTATACAATATCAGGTATACTCTGAGAGTACAATATCAGATCAACTCAACCAATTACAGGAAATATTATTTTATTTACATTTGCTGTACTACAATCTGGCTTAATGAATAGTTTATACAAAGGATTACTTCTCGCATCTCTAGTGACTTCAAGTGGCGAAAATCCATTTCAGGTATATTACTTTCAATTTAAATATCATAAAAAAGCAAACCTTAGAACGCAGATGAGATGATAAAACTTATCGCCGACAAAAAATACCATCTGACAACTGATTATTTTGATTGGTATTTTGACGATTTGGAGCATTCCAATGCTTCGCATTTTGTGAAACTTCGTGCGGCTGTCAAGAATAATCCGGCGGTAAGTTGTAAAAATGAAAATAAACGGATATAATCCCGTTTTTACAAAGAGAGCTTTAGCGCGCAAACAAAAACAAAAGCAAAAAAATGTGTTCTAACACGGTGACGCAAAATTACACACATCGCCACGAGACCAAACAGAAAAATACGGTGTTCCTTGAAAACTACTGTAGTAATTTTTCAATATTCAAAAATTTATTTTCATGATTTTTTTAAGGTTAACGCTGGAAGTGTAGAAAAAGCTCTTGATCTGATTGACACTGGAAAATACGTTTACCCAATGCAACAAGATTCATTAGCACTGCGAATGTCAAAAGAACGATGTGATTATTTTTATATCAGTCAAGGTATTAGTTAAAATATTGTGGTTACTGGGGATATAAATAGTTTTAAGGGATGCCGCAAGTATCTTCATATTTCATATTTCCGAAAAATTCAAGTATGACTTCTGAATTAAATCAACAAATTGTTATGAGTTATGATTTTATTCAAAGAACTTTCGACAAGTATTTCAACAATGATTATAAATTATCTAAATTAGTTCCAAAATGTAGATCATCGAATGGTGATTCCTCAGGTTCAAATTTGGAAGATTCAGATGAGACAACACATACTGAAACTACAGAAACCCAAAAATCATCAGATATTGATTCAGTAATTGGTGTATTTATAATTGCTGCGATGGGAATTGGTGTTAGTATGATTGCATTTATTTTCGAACTCGGATATTATTGGTATTCGAAATTTTCAGAAAAACAATGTGGATTGAATGTTCGACATTTGGTAAAACTTGCAAGATCACATTTTACTACAGAAGACAACCAGAAAATTATTAATGTTATGAAATTAGTCAATGTTCTTCCCAGTAGACAACCCATCTCTTTTCATTCTTTGCTCTAGAGTCTAGAGTACTAATAAATTATTCATTGAAAAGTTATTGTTTACTTTGAGGATATCGGATACGAATGATGAGATTTTTGAAAAAAAAAATAAACTCGGGTCCAATTTATTATGTAGAAATCTTATTTTTCAGAAGTTTTGGAACATTCACGAATTCTGAAATTATTGAACATTTTGATAGATTTTTTATTGTTGACTTGATCTTCGACGAGTTGACAAAAGATCAGAAATTTACAAAACCTCCTGCAAAAGTTAACATCAAGTGATGAAACGCAGAAAGTTCTCAGTTCTCAATTCAATCAGCTCAAATGACGTGTTTTTGTTCAAAAACTACTAGATGTAAACTCATCCAAGTTGTAAAAAGTTATTATTTGCATTATAGAAATCGGATACATATTTTTAAAAATTGGCTCAGTGAGTACAAAAAGGTTCAATAGACAATTTTCAAAAAACTTATGGCCAAGAATAATCTACGTGTAGTATTTTCTCGCAGTCCACCAGATGCATACGATAATTGCCCGCATTTTCCAACTCTGGAACCTACATTTCAATGTCCGTTTCCAGGTTATACTTTAGAGGTTAGCAACAAAGAAAAAGATGGGAGTTTAAAAAAACGTTTTCTTAAAGATTCTGAAAATGCTGACAGATGCTTTGAAATGGAATCTGATTCCTATCATCGATGATTCTCCAGTTGGAAACGCAGATTGGGGAACAAAATTGGAAAATGGATCATGGACTGGTATGTTGGGATATTTGATGAATGGTACATCTGATACTGTATGTATGACTTATCAATGGACAAATACGAGAAGTCAAGATTTTGATTATTCTTATCCTATTACAAATGTAGGTCTTTATAATGCCTGAACAATTCTTTGAACAGATCCGTTTTAGGTCCAACCAATTTTTGGTGCTCGCATAAAAAATGAAACAGTGTCTTCAGTGTTATGGAGTGCTTTCAAACCATTCAGCTGGACAGTTTGGGGAACTCTTTTTGCTAGTTTGATTTTCAATATTTTTGTGATGATTTTCATTTCAAAAATTGAATGTATGGTTTCACTTCGTGAAAAATTTCAACCTTTCGAGATGGTTTGGAATGTTGTTCAATTACAGCTCAATGAAAAATCGGAAAAGTTTATGTTCTACATGTTTTCAGGTTGAAAATATTGTTTTCATTTATTTCAACATGTTTTTTTCAGGAAATGTTGTCTTATTTCTGTTTGCACTTCTACAATCTGGTTTGATGATAAATTTATATAAAGGATTACTATTGACATCATTGCTCACTTCAGGCGATGGAACACCGTTTCAGGTTTCAATTTTAAATTCTTTAAAATTGAAATTTCGTTAAATCTCAATTTTTACAGGACGCTGATGAGATGATAAAACTAATATCCGAGAAAAAATATCATCTAACAACTGATTATTTTGACTGGTATTTTGATGACATAAAAACTTCCAATGCTTCGTATTTTAGCAAGCTCCGTGCAGCTGTCAAGAATAATCCAGTGGTTTGTTGAGATATTTTCTATTGTCAGTTATCTCCAATTCCAGGTAAATGCAGAAAGTGTGGAAAATGCTCTAGATTTAGTGGACACTGGAAGTTATGTGTATCCAATGCAGCAAGACTCATTGGCACTGCAAAAATCGAAAGAGCGCTGTGATTATTTTTATATCACTGAAGGTATTGTCAAAACTTTTGAAAATGTTCAACTTTAAAATATTCGCTTTTAGGAATGCCGCAGGTATCTGCATACCTTTTATTTCCGAAAAATTCAAGTTATTTGTCTGAGATCAATAAACAAATCATCATGAACTATAACTTCATCCAAAGAACTTTTGACAAATATTTTAATAGTGGATATAAATTGACAGACATACCCAAATGTAGATTGTCAAACACCGATTCGTCAACTCTAAATCCTGAAGAGTCCGACGGACAAACTTCAACAACTACAGTAGCTCGGAGACCGTTAGATTTGGAATCAGTGATTGGTGTTTTTATGATTGGTGCATTAGGAATTGCTATAAGTTTCCTCGTGTTTTTTTCAGAAATTTATCATTATTGGCATATGAGAATATTAGAAAGACATATTCGGTTAAATAATCATTTGAATGTCGGACATTTGGTGAGAATCGCTCAGTTACATTTAACTACGAAAAAACACTATAACGATATTGATGTTATGAAATTGGTGGATGTTTTATCTGGAAAACAGAAAAAAGACATTTCCACCCAATAATTTTTTTCCAGTCTTTGTTCAGTTAATTTCAATAAAGTCTGGAATATAAATTTTTGTTTACTTTGAGGAAATTGGATACAATTAATTAGATTTTTTGCAAACGAACTGAGTTCGGTTTATTTCTGCAAACTTTATCCGAACGATGCAGAAGAGAGACTTCCGTGTGGTTTTCGCTCGAAGTCCGCCAGATGCTTATTCAGACTGTCCGATGTTTCCAACTCTGGAACCATCATTCAATTGTCCGTTTCCAGGATACACTTTAGAGGTAACTCACAAATTTAACGATAGCTATTCAAGAACCATTTTAGATATTGAAAATGCTGGCCGATTCCCTTCATTGGAACCTGATACCGATTGTGGATCAGACACCGTTGGGTCAAGCGAATTGGGGATCGAAAGTGAATGGAACATGGACCGGAATGTTGACATATTTATTGAATGGTTCAGCAGACACCGTGTGTTATACATATCAAAACACATCTGTAAGAGATGCTGACTTTGAATATTCTTATCCAATAACGAATGTATGTTTCCAAAAATTTTGAGAAACTACAAAAGTTTTATTATAGGTTCAACCTATTTTCGCAGCTCGTGCAAAAAATGAGACAGTAGTTTCAGTTCTTTGGAATGCTTTCAAACCATTCAGCTGGACAGTTTGGGGAACTCTTTTTGCTAGTTTGATTTTCAATATTTTTGTGATGATTTTCATTTCAAAAATTGAATGTATGGTTACACTTCGTAAAAAATTCCAACCTTTTGAAATGATTTGGCATGCTATCCAGTTACAACTAAACGAAAAAGCTGAACATTTTTATTCTTCACACTGTCAGGTAAACTTGAAATTTACTGGATCATCAGGATTTTCTGATTTTTCAGGAAATGCTGTTTTGTTTCTTTTTGCTCTTTTACAATCTGGTCTAATGATTGATTTATACAAAGGATTACTTCTGTCATCTTTGTTAACCTCCAATGGAGCAACACCATTTCAAGTTTTTTTTTTCATTTTTCCAACAAAAAAACTAATACAAAAAATAAATTTCAGAACGCTGACGAGATGATTCAACTGATTGCCGAGAATAAATATCATCTAACAACTGATTGGTTGACCTGGTATTTTGACGATTTGGAACATTCAAATGTCTCGCATTTTGCTAAACTTCGTGCAGCAATGAAAGATAATCCACTCGTATGTTTTAATTGACTTTTTGAACAATTTTTATTTTTTTTAGGTAGATGCAGAAAGCGTAGAAGCAGCTCTTGATTTAGTTGACACTGGAAGATATGTGTATCCACTTCAGCAAGATTCATTATCGTTTCAATTATCCAAAGAACGTTGCGATTATATTTACATATTGTCATTCCGAAAATAAAAGAACCCCCGTTTGAATTGGCGGTCACGTACAGTAGACTAAAAATGACGTGACACATGCACATCAAACTGGTTGGCAAATAGCCAACGTGTAAATTTCGCATTTTATTTTTCAAATAGACTCCAAAATTTTGCGAAGTCTACTGTAGTCTTGGTGTCCTAGGCCATTTCGGTTCTCTTCCAAGTTCTTATTTTTTCGGAATGACAATAACTCAAGGGATGCCGCAAGTATCTGCATATTTATTGTTCCCTAAAAACTTCAGTTTAATGCCTGAAGTCAATCGACAAATAATAATGAACTATGATTTCATTCAAAGAACTTTCAAAAAGTATTTCGAGAGTGGATATAAACTCACAAAAATACCAAGATGTACTTCTAAAAGCAAAGAAACCGATTCAGATGATTCTTCAAGCTCAGATGATCAAAATTCAGAATCCGATACAACTACAACAGTTCAGAAACCTTTGGATTTAGAATCAGTAGTTGGTGTATTTATGATTGGTGCATTAGGTCTTGCTATAAGTTTTATTGTATTTTTCTCCGAGATTTATTACTATTGGCATATGAGAATTGTGGAGAGACATATTCGAATGAAAAATCATATAAATGTTCCCCATTTGGTGAAAATTGCACAGTTACATTTACCAACCAAAGAAAATTATAACGATATTGATGTTATGAAATTGATAGATGTTTTGCCAGAAAAACAGAAATAACCTATTTTGTGGAATTGAAGTGCCCTTGTTAATTCAACATAAAGTTTTTTGAAAAAAAAATTGTTATTTACTTTTTGTTTTCGGAAATCCGATCCGAATAAAATGGATCCTAGAATTTAATGTTGAGTTGGAAAATATCCCTTTACAAATCTCAATAATCAAAAAACACAATTTCTATTTAACGGTAAATGAAATGTGGAGTAAATTCGGATAAGACGTTTACAGAAAATGAGATAAAAATTCGAATAAACAAAAATGTTTCAAGTATCATTGGAATAAATAAAGTGGAAATAGAATAAAGAAATAGAACATTTTGAGAAAAATATCCAAAACTCCCGCAACATTTGAAATTTATTTTACTTTTTTATAACAGGTATTTTAAATTCGAATTTGAATTTAGTTTGCTCTCATAGTAAAAGTTATTATTTGCTTTGTAGAAATCGGATCTGAAAATCAGAGTACACAGGTATAAATTTTGCACTCAACTTTGAGAATATTTTCCTTTCTACGAAAATGAAGAAAAGAGATTTTCGAGTGATTTTTACTCGAAATCCTCCAGATTCTTTCACAAACTGTCCTCATTTTCCAACTTTGGAACCGACCATCAATTGTCCATTTCCAGGCTATGCGGCCGAGGTGAGATAAACATTCAAAAAATATTGAGTAGAAATTTTCTCAAGATTCTAAAAATGCTATCCGATTCCTTGAATTGGAATTTGGTCCAGATTGTGGATAATTCACCAACTGGTCAAGTGAAATGGGGATCGAAAGCAAATGGAACTTGGACTGGTCTTTTATCTCATTTGATAAACGGTACTGCAGATACAATTTGCACAACATATCAATATACTACAGTAAGAAGTCAAGATTTTGATTTCTCTTATCCATTAACTAATGTGAGTTATTTTATCGAATCAAGACAATAAAAAAAGACATTTCTAGGTACAACCATTTTTTGTGGCCCGAGCCAAGAATGAAACAATAAATTCAGTTCTTTGGAATGCTTTCAAACCTTTTAGTTGGGCAGTTTGGGGAACTTTATTCGCTAGTTTGATTTTTAATATTTTTGTGATGATTTTCATTTCAAAAATTGAATGTATGATTGCACTTCGACAAAAATTCCAACCTTTCGAGATGATTTGGAATATTGTTCAATTACAGCTCAATGAAAAATCTGATGCATTTATTTTCTTCACAATATCTGGTATAATAAAATAATTCTCGGGAAAAGAACCGCATCTTACCGCAACTGTGGCAGCATTTGTCGCAGCGCTGCGGCAATTTGTCGCAGCGCTGCGGCACCGCAACACATGCGCCGGAGTTGCGCCCATTTCCGCAACAGTTCACGCAACAGTTGCGAGTTTTGTCGCAACTCCGGCGCATGTGTTGCAGCAAAAAAATGCTGCAGCGCTGCGACAAATTGCCGCAGCGCTGCGACAAATGCTGCCACAATTGCGGTTCTTTTCCCGAGAAACGCTATCAAAAATTGTGGATAGAAAACTTTTTTCAGGAAACATTGTTCTGTTTCTATTTGCATTATTGCAGTCTGGATTGATGGTTGATTTATACAAAGGATTACTTTTGACATCATTGTTGACTTCAAATAGAGCGACACCATTTCAGGTTTTATTCTATACTAAAAAGTTTATCATAGCTTGTTATTTTTCAGAACTCAGATGAAATGATCCAACTGATTGCAGAGAATAAATATCACATAGTTACAGATTGGTTGAGTTGGTATTATGATGATTTGGAACATTCCAACGTTTCACATTTTGTCAAACTTCGAGCAGCTGTGAAAAACAATCCAGTTGTATGTCGTTAAATGAAATCAGGTACCATCAAAATTCCAAATATTTTTTCTTCAGGTTCAAGTTCGGAGTGTCGATGAAGCTTTAGATCTCGTAGATACTGGAAAATATGTGTATCCAATGCAGCAAGATACGTTATCATTCCATATGTCAAAAGAACGATGTGGCTATATTTATATTGGACAAGGTTAGTTATTTTTGAGTTTCTTAAGATTCACGTGAAAAAAAAAACAATTTATAGGAATGCCGCAAGTTTTCTCATATTTCTTATTTCCAAAAAACTCAAGTTATATTTCGGAATTCAATCAACACATTATCAAGAATTATGAATTCATTCAAAGAACAATCAACAAATACTTCATTAGTGGCTATGAACTAGGAAAGGGTTCCTGTGGATCAGATTCCGAAGATTCGCATGAATATTCAAACAATCTAGATTCCAAAATCAAAAATAGTGTATCCCAAAAACCTTTGGATTTAGAATCAGTAATTGGTGTATTTATGATTGGTGCATTAGGAATTGGAATAAGTTTCATCGCATTTTTCACAGAAATTTATCATTATTGGCATATGAGAATATTAGAAAGACACATTCGATTGAAAAATCATATAAACGTTCCCCATTTGGTGAAAATTGCACAGTTTCATTTGAGTTCCAAAGAAAATCATAAAAACATAGATGTTATGAAATTGGTGGATGTTTTACCAAAAAAACAGATTTGAATTACATTTTTTCATGTTTTTTTGTTTCATTGCTCGGTGTTTAATAAAAGTTATTATTTGCTTTGTAAAAATTAGGCTTGAAGTTTTACTCGAGTTTAACTCGATATTATTTCGAAAAAATGTTGAAGAAAAAAGATTTTCGTGTTGTTTTTGCTCGAAATCCTCCTGATGCCTATCCAAATTGCCCGCAATTCCCAACATTGCAACCAACTTTTCAATGTCCATTTCCAGGATACACTTTGGAGGTTAGTCTAAAACTTGAATATAGAATTCTGGAAAAAATTTGTAGATTTTGAAAATGTTAGCCGATTCTCTTCACTGGAATTTGATACCAATTGTGGAAAATGCGCCCGTTGGTGAAGCAAATTGGGGTTTGAAAGTGAATGAAACATGGACTGGAATGTTGGGATATTTGACAAATGGAACAGCGGATACAGTTTGTATGACTTATCAATGGACTGATTCAAGAGATCAAGCATTTGATTATTCGTATCCAATTACCAATATTCAACCGATATTTGTAGCTCGTGCAAAAAATGAGACAGCAGCTTCGGTATTGTGGAATGCTTTTAAACCTTTTAGTTGGCCAGTTTGGGGAACTTTATTCGCTAGTTTGATTTTCAATATTTTTGTGATGATTTTCATCTCAAAAATTGAATGTATGATTTCACTTCGTAAAAAATTCCAACCTTTTGAAATGATTTGGCATGCTATACAGTTACAACTAAACGAAAAAGCTGAACATTTTCTTTTTTTCACATTGTCAGGTAAATTTGAAATTTACTAGATCATCAGGATTTTCTAAGTTCTCAGGAAACATTGTTTTGTTTTTGTTTGCTCTTATACAATCTGGTCTAATGATTGATTTATACAAAGGATTACTTTTGTCATCTTTGCTAACTTCAAATGGAGAAAATCCTTTTCAGGTTAGTTCCAAAAAATATTTTAAATAGAATTCTATATAAGTTTCATATTTAGAACTCTGATGAGATGATCCAATTGATTGCGGAAAAGGAATATCACTTGACAACAGATTTTTACAACTGGTACTTTGATGATCTTCAGAATTCAAATGCTACACATTTCGTTAAACTTCGAGCGGCTGTCAAAGACAATCCAGTTGTAAATTTTTTTTTTAAATAAGATTAAACCTTATCTTTTTCAATTAGGTCAAAGTGGACAACCCTGACGAAGCTCTAAATTTAGTTGATACTGGAAAATATGTTTATCCAATTCAACAAGATTCACTGTCATTTCAACAATCAAAAGAACGTTGTAATTATATTTATATAAGCCAAGGTATAATAATAGCAAAACTCCTACAAAAACTCCTTTTTCAGGGATGCCGCAGGTTTCTGAGTATCTTCTGTTTCCAAAAAACTCGAGTTTTATGTCTGAAATGAATCGGCAAATTATAATGAATTATGATTTTATTCAGAGAACATTTTATAAATATTTCGAGAGTGGTTATAAATTAACAACAATTCCAAGATGTACAACAACAAGTTCATATTCAAATTCAGATGATTCTTCAAGTTCCGATGATCAAAATTCGGATACTGATACAACTAAAACAACCCAAAAACCTTTGGATTTAGAATCAGTAATTGGTGTTTTTATGATTGGTGCATTAGGAATTGGAATAAGTATAATTGCATTTTTTTCGGAAATTTATTATTATTGGCATATGAGAATTTTGGAAAGACATGTTCGAATGCGAAATCATTTGAATGTCGGCCACTTGGTGAGAATCGCACAAATACATTTGAGCACCAAAGAAAACTATAACAAAATCGATGTTATGAAACTAGTCGATGCTTTAAACGATAAACAAAATTGAATATTTTTGTATTTTCTTAATATTTATTCTCATTGTTTGGACTTCAATGAATAAAGTTTGAACTCCATGTAAAAATTACTATTTACTTTTTGGAAATCGGATACAAATAATGAGATTTTTCAAAATGGAATACGCATAAAATCATTGTTCAGAGAATGAGCAGGAAAAACCTACGCGTTGTTTTTGCACCGAATCCACCAGATGTTTATCCAAACTGTCCGAAATTTCCAACATTAGAGCCAGATTTCAAATGCCCTTTTCCAGGATATACTGTAGAGGTGAGTCCAAAAATATAAATGAAGGTCGCTAGAAAAATTGTGTGTAGATTCTAAAAATGCTCGCCGATTCTCTTCATTGGAACCTGATTCCGATTGTTGATCAAACACCAATGGGTCAAGCAAATTGGGGATCGAAAGTGAATGGAACATGGATTGGAATGTTAGGATATTTAGCTAATAACACAGCTGACACTGTTTGTATGACTTATCAATGGACAAATGCAAGAGATAGAGATTTTGATTATACTTATCCAATTAATAATGTGAGTATGGGTTAAGAATTCAAGAAGAAAACAAAAATATTTTCCTAGGTTCAACCAATTTTTGTGGCTCGTGTCAAAAATGAAAGTGTTTCCTCGGTTTTATGGAGTGCTTTTGCGCCATTTAGTTGGTCTGTTTGGGGAACTCTTTTTGCTAGTTTGATTTTCAATATTTTTGTGCTGATTTTTATCTCTAAAATTGAATGTATGATTGCACTTCGACAAAAATTCCGACCATTTGAGATGGTTTGGAATGTTGTTCAATTACAACTCAGCGAAACATCAAACGAATTTGTTTTCTATACAATATCTGGTATTCAAATGAAATTAGTTGTATCAAAAAAATTCTAGAATTTTACAGGAAACACTGTTTTATTTTTGTTTGCACTTTTGCAGTCAGGATTGATGGTTGACTTGTATAAAGGACTACTCTTAACATCATTACTGACTTCAGATAGTGGAACTCCCTTCCAGGTTAAATCATTCTAACAATAAGTTCAAGTATAAAATCAAAACGATTTTCAGAATTCTGATGAGATGATCAAATTAATTGCTGCAAAGAAATATCACATAGCATCAGGAATTGTGAATTGGTACTTTGAAGATTTACAGAACTCAAACGCTTCACATTTTGTAAAACTTCGAGATGCTATCAAAAATAACCCGATTGTTCACGCAGGTAATGTTGCCAACGCTCTTGATTTAGTTGACACTGGTAATTATGTCTATCCAATGCAGCAAGATTCTCTCGCATTTCAAAGATCGAAGGAAAGATGTGACTATGTTTATATAAGTAAAGGTAAACCCAATTTCTACAGGGTGACCAGAAATTATCCGTGCAAACTAAACCGGTCATAAAAACTTCAAAATTGGATATTTTTCAAAGAAATTTTTTGTTAACAATAATAAATGCATAATAATTCCAAAATTATCACGAATGTTGATTTTAGGATTTTTTCAGGGCTTTCTGCGCCTTTAACCAGATTTCAAAAATAGTGAGAAAGGCCGCGTGGAGTTTTGACTTTGTTAAGTACGTGGAAAACTCCAATTGTATTTTTACAACTATGAAATGAGTAAGATATCTTCTAATGATGTTATTTTTCAAAAATTACCACTCCAAGTAACCTTGCGGACTGAGATTCGATGAGCTTCAAAGGCCCAAATAAATTGAAAAAAAAAGAAAAAATTTTTTTCGCGAAAGTTAATTTTTGGTTTTGGTTCAAATGTTAGGTCTTCATCAGCTTTAATGGTCTTATGAATATTTTTAAGTTAGATTAGACTGAGAAAACATGAAAATGTTCAAATATGATCGTTTGTTGTGAATCGTTGTTGGTTTTGACACTTTTATCAGTAAAAAACAAGGGGCCGAGGGAGTCATGACCGCCCAAACCATCCCCAAAGTCGGAAAATTTAATTTCATTTTGGCAAAGGCAGAAGAAGTCGTCTAAGATCCTTTTAGGAACATGTGAAAATAGTTTTGAGAATTTACACAGTTGTTGAAGCGAAAAATGGGGCAACATTGTTAACACCACTAGCCGCGACTCTTTGCCCAATTTTTGACACATCAACATTAGGCGCTCAAGGTCCAAGTAAGATTTCAATTTTATCACGATTTTTGTGATAATTTTAAAATAGTTGTCTATTGATTGGTGCTCAATCAAAACATTTGTGGAAAATATCATGTTTTTGAATATTTTACGGCCGGTTGAGTTTGCACGGATAATTTCTGGTCACCCTGTAAATGTTGTATGAAATGAAATATTTTCAGGAATGCCGCAAGTATCGTCATACCTCATTTTCCAGAAAAATTCACCTATGACCTCTCAAATTAATCAGCAAATAATTATGAATTATGGTTTTATTCAAAGAACATTCAACAAATATTTCAACAATGGTTATAAGCTCACAAAAATACCAAAATGTGATTCAACTTCCAACACAAAAGATCCAGATGACAAACTTGAAAAAACTACTATAACTAAAAAACCACTAGATCTTGAATCAATGGTTGGTGTTTTCATGATTGGTGCACTAGGAATTGGTGTGAGTGTAATTGCATTTTTCTCGGAAATATATTACTATTGGCATATGAGAATCTTGCAAAGGCAACTTCAAATGAGAGATCCTTGGAATGTTCGTCATTTGGCTAAAATCGCTCAACTTCATTTCACCACAAATCAAAGTTATGATAACATTGATGTTATGAAATTATTTGATAATTTTTCTGATAAACAAAACTAAACTATTTTTGATTCAAAAATGTTTAGTTTATAATAAATGTGGTATCTTTTTTTCCAAAAACAAAATTGATGAGCAACTGCTCGCATACATCAGTCATTCATTCTGTTTAGAGAAATTGTGAGAATGCGACTTTTTCTATTTGTTTCATTGCTGCCATTAGCGATCTTTGGTGGAACAATTTCAAGAAAAGTTGATGGCGTTGAATGTAAACTCGATGAAGGATTTGAAGCAATCACTTGCGGTATTGTGAGTTTCACGATTTTCTAATAAAACTATTGAGAAATTTGAGAATTTCAGAGACTTGCCAACTTACAAAAAGTTCTAGACAAATGGGAAAATCTTGGAAACCTTGATGGAATTAAAGAAGCTTGTGAAAACGTAGCCCAATGTTTGACATATCTTCAATGCGTTGATGAAGAAAATCGAGATCTTACTAGAATTCTATCGAATCATTGTACAACTATGATCTTCCTGACTGAAAGGTTTGGAGATTGTTATGAGAAAATCGAGAAAACGAATACAACTTGCTTCAATTCATGGGACCCTTTCCCAGGACTTGATGAGGTGAAACATAATTTTTTTTTCTAATTTCCAACAAATAAAACATTTTCTTTCAGACCGGTGATGTTTACACTCCCCCAGACAACAAAGTTTATTGTGAAAATTTTTTCGGATCGAAAAATTGTATCAAGCAAGAAATCTTCGATAAATGCGATAACACATTGTGGAAAGATTTGAAGGCTTCATTACTTTTAAATGAGAAAATTTGCGATTTCAAGGATTTATAATTTATCAAAACAATGTTTACTTTGTTTTCGCATGAATGATACAGTTTTCTTCATTTTTTTGAAATAATCTTTTCCACAAATTTTGTCGAATTCACTTTTCATACATCCATTTTTTCCAACAATTTCAGCGCATTCATCGTTCGATTTGTTCATGTTATTGAAACATTTCGAAGAGTAGTTTTCGAATTTCTTTTCGCAAATCAGGTTGTCCGTTGTCAAAAATTCTAAGGCCTCAAAGATATTTGCATTTATGTGATCTTCCAATTCCTTTACTTTCGGGTGAGACTTTGCGAACTCTGCTACGCAATTCTGAATGATGAACAAAAAAAATAATATTCATTGTATGTAGATTCTCACCTTGATATAATCCTTCGCTTTTGTTAATTGTGCTTCAGTAAATGGCTCTCCAATCGTATTCACACTGGTTTTTGGATCTTTCGAATTTGCGAATGCCTTCTCATTACATTCTTGCAATGAATTCTGCTCATTTTCATCGCTATAATCAGCGAGAGATCCGAGAATAATTTTGGAAAATCCAATGGAAAACAGGCAAAATAACAGGAACACTTTTATCATTGCAAATTTTAGGCAAATGTTCGAAATTGCGACGAAGGGATCTTCTTTTATACTTATCGCAGTGTAAAAATTGAAAAAAAATCAACTTCCGGGTTCAAAATTTTTGATTTTTCTTACGTGAAACGTGTTTCAGAAAAATTATTTCCATTTCATTTCGAAAACAAAAATGAGATTAAAATATCGATTACTCAACAGTTATGACAACAATCATTTTTCGCACCAATTTTGGGGTTTGTTTCTCCTTTTTGTCTCTCAAAAGCGACACAACAAAAAAATATATATTAACATTTTTCCACAAATAAAAAAAATCGCCTTTTCCATCATCGATTTTTTTCCTATATATTTATTTTTTACAAAATAACATACAATTGAAAATATTTTCCCTACAAAAAAAACATGCAATATTTTCAAGATGCTGAATCTGGCACTGGCGATAAATACAGTTTCCTTTTCACGTAAGTTATTCTAACTCTTGAATTGATTGATTATATGATTTTTATAGGAATGAAAGTGTTCGAGCTGGATTTGTTCGAAAAGTTTTCTCACTGGTCACTTTGATGTTTACAGTGGTTGCTGGATTTTGTGTTATTCCATTTGTTTGGGCGGATTTTTCCATTTTTCTTCACCATCATCCAGAGATTCATATTATCTCGTTGTAAGTTGGTCAATTATTCTTCGCGTGAAAATTTCCTCTAGTTTGATTATCGAGCATCTTGGAAGAGGAACAGAAACCGGTACTAAGTACTTCTGAAATTTGTTTTCAGCATAATATTCTTCGCAATTTCCATCGCTTTATCATGTTTTGAAAGTGTTCGTCGAAGTTTCCCAACAAATATCATACTTTTGGCGGTTTTCGTAAGTCTCTTCATTTACTTCAACAACAAAAAAAAACTCACCCTAACTTCAGACAATCGCTGCGAGTGTTATGACAATGTGTGTAACTGCTCATTATGAATTGGGCTCAGTTTTGATAGCTCTTCTAATCACAACAGTCTGCTGCGGAAGTATCATCGTTTTTTCGATGAAAACAAAACATGACTTGACAAGGTAAATCCAGAAAGTATTGAGAAACTCACTAAATCCATTTTTTGCAGCAAAATCGGAATTGTTTTCATTTTGAGTATGGTCGTTTTTTCGTTTGGTATATTTGCGATGATTTTTTCGTTGATTTTGAAATGGAAATTTTTGTTGTCGATTTATGCGGGAGTTGCTGCACTTTTGACAATGTTTTATTTGGCTATTGATATTCAGGTTGGTGAATAGAAAAAAAAAGGAAAAATGAAAAAAAAACTTGAAAACAAATAATTAGGCTTCGAGCCAGAAATCATAAATTCTGAATTTTCAACCAATATTGAAAATACGAGTTCATTATTACTTCATATTTTTAACTGAAATCCAGACCCAAAAAGCATCCATGCCAAAAAATACCTTGAGGTAACCTCAAATCAAGATTCTGCCAAAAATTGAAATTTTCCAACTTGGAACAAAAACTAATACCCTAATCGATTCAAAGGAAAACTCTATCAGAAAAATTATGAACCTTAGAGAACTGTAATATTTTCAATAAAATTTTGCATGCGAACAGTTTTTGCAGATGCTAATGGGAGGTCGTCAATTCGAACTCTCACCTGAAGACTACATTTTCGCTGCCATGCAAATCTTCCTCGATATTCTTAATATTTTCCTCTTATTGTTAAGCCTCTTCGGAAAATCTAAGTAAGACTTTTTTGTTTTCACAATAAAACATTCATTCATGTTTTCAAAGAAAGCAAAAATAGAAGTACTTACAAAAATAAAAACAAAGTTTGTGTGGTCAAAAAAGTTTTGTAAAAGAGTAGAACTACACGTGGAAAACTACAATTTCGAATATTTGGAAATTCGGCAAAGTATTGTGTTATAAGAAGAGAAGAGCAATGAAAAGTGTACAAAAATTCAAGAAAGAAGAAATTCGTTTCGTCTATCGGCTGAAAAAAAAACGAGATTTTTTGAAATGGACAATTTTTTGTAGCTAAATCTAAATCCCAAGCTGGGGAGAAAAGTGTTAGGAAGAAGTGGAGTGCTTCACAAAAAAACCAACATTTTGATGAGAAATTTTTTGAATCTGATGGGAATCTGATGTAATTTTCAGAATGTCTAAATATTTTCGTTGAGGAAACCTCTGAACCAGGTCCAATTCAGAAATCCTGAAAATTCTTCAGGTCCGATCCAAAATTTACCCATTTTGATCTAGAAATTTTCAGAATCTTACCAATTATTTCAGTAGAAATTCAGTTTAGTCGCTGAAAATCTCTTCCGTTTTGTTTTCATTATTGTTTTTTTTTTGCAAATGTTTTCAAAAAACCCTACCTGTTTCCGAACAACGACAAAAGATACCAGAACATTTGAACAATGTCCATGAAGATTTGAACGGCCGCAAAAATGTAGTCTTCTGGCGAGAGTTCGTATTTTCTGCCTCCCATCAACATTTGAATATCAAACATCAAATAAACCATCATCAACAATGATCCAAAGAATGCATAGAGAAGCATTATGAATTTGATTTGGAAGAATAACGAGCAGATTACTGCGACCATTGCTAAACCCAAGAAACAGAATGAGGCGATTGCGATGTAACCGATGTGACTGCAAAAATTTGAGCTTTGAAAAATTTTGTAAATTTTCAGTAGAACAATTTCATGCTTCAGCATTTCAGTCCCTAAATTTTCGAATGATTCCTAAATTTTCACGTAATACATAAAAAATTCAAATGTTTCTGTTTTTTTCTAGCAGGGTTCCTTGTCAGATTGTACATATCTCTAGATGTAGGTTCTAGACAGCTCTGAGATTTGTCCGAGCTCAAAAAAAAAACTAAAAACTCACGCAGTGATGTCAAATTTGGTTTGACTGGCGAAAACAATAATTCCCAAAGTGCAAATGACACAAATCCCCAACGCCATCAAAATCGAATCCAAATTGTGATGAGCACACAAAACCATTGTCATTACAGATGTTGACAAGGTCTGAATCAGGTTTCAAATTATATTATGAAAATATTTTAAAAAAACTCACAAAGATTGCAGTGACGACCAAATTCAACGGGAACTTTCTGCGAGTTCCTTCACAACACATCAATGACAAATAAGTGATGAGGAAGACGGCGCTGAAAATGTTTTGTTGAGAATACATGAAATATTTTTGGATGTGACTTACTATCCACCAAAATATATGCCCATATTGTATCTGACAGCTTTCATTGTTGGTGGATGGAGCCATGGAATTGCGGTGACAGCGGTAACGACTGTGAGCTGAAAATAAAAATGATTTTTAGACCATACATGGCACTGCTCCCAAAACTGTGAGGGGGAGATCATGAAATTTGGAAAAATTTTTCGAGGTGGGGGGGGGGATCATTTTGGAAATTTTGAATTCACGCTCGAATCAAAATTTCGATTTGGGCGGGTAGTTTTTTTTGTAAGCCTAATATTTCTTCAAAATTTGGAAATTTTCATAGAAATAAGATAATTCGATCAAACTTTCCGAGAATTCGTGTTTTTTGAATAAAAAAATCAGGATTAAAAATGATCAAATTCATAATTCTGACTTTTTTGAGAGTTCAGGGATTATTGGAAAACTCGGAGGATTATGAATCGAAAATCGGAATTCTGTAGAAATTATAATATAAACCAAAAGAACTGTTAGATCTGAAAAGGCATCTTTTGAAATTCCAGAATCAAACTTTGCCGAAAATTGATTTTTAATTAACATTTTTCAAATTTTTAACGTGATCTTTTTGAAATTCATTCGCCATTTCTTTCTTCAAAGTTCAAATTCTTTCAAAACCCCTCCAATTTTCTGTAAGTATTTCTACATCTATTGTACTTTTTATTATTTTTCCTATGATTCATCTCTTTTTCATTTTCTCAAAAATCAGACAAGGAACAAGAAAACCGTTCGAAAAATCTAATCTTATCATCTTTTAATGATTTTTCTTCAGTTTTTTTAGTGATGAATTGTTCTAGTTTTCCAAGAAAGCAGATTAAAAAGTGTGACCTTTAACCAATTTTTTTCATATAAAAATAGCAAAAGCTTACCATAATAAAGACCAAAGAGAAGACTTTTTTGACAAATGCAGCTCTGATAGTTTGATCACTGAATTGGAATGAATATTTCGAATCTCCATTTCCTTGCTGTCCACCTTGTCCATTTTCCATCATTTGTGGTGTAAAATGTGGCATTGGTGGTGGCGGCGGGAAAAAGGCAGTGTTTCCGCCTTGCCCACCTTGTTGGCCTTGTTGTTGATTGTTATATGGATTTTGATAGGCTGGATTGTAGCCCGGTTGCTGAGGATAAGACATGCCTAGAAAAATCAAAAAATAACCGGAAATCCTCCAACGAAAAAGCATGAAAATAAGGAATAATAACAAAGGAGGCGAATGACAAAGGAAGGTAATAGGGGGAACACAGAAAGAAAAGCAAATCAAAAATAAAAGCGGATTGTTTTTGCATTTATCAGTTAGATATAGAGAAGTTCTAGAAGCGCCTGATTGTTGTCAAGGAAACGAGCAAATATCGTCACTAAAAATCAAATAATATTTTGATTTGAGTTATTGCGAAATCATATGAGTTGTGTTTTGTTAAGTTGGGAGGAGTAAATGAGAAGAAGATCGAAAAGTTTACGCGAACGTATAAATTCTGAAATTCTTTGACCGTTTGATCATGGTATAATAGTAGTAAAAACTTCTTCTAAACATAAAGCAAAACATTGAAAGTTTCAAAAAAGTTTTGATACCGAAAACCTATGAATCGCTTCAGAATAATTTCAGCAAAGCATTATTTATTTGACCATGGTCAAAGTAATAACACGTATTTCAAAATGCATTTCGTCAGAAAATAAAAATGAAAGCTCGAAAATGTTCCTTTGACAGCGTTTTCAATCATTTTTGAATAGAATATTTTTGAATAAAACTTATATAAAGCAATTAGACATCGCGATGACTAACAAAAGAAAAAACGAAAACTTTCTTCAAAATCGATAAGTTTGTTTCGCAATAAACACTTTGAGTAAAAGCCAAAAGGACATTTCTAGAAGAAAATTATCCATCAGCCACACAGAAAGGAGAGGGAAAATTCAGCGAAGATTATGAAATCGTCCAAATAGCAACGCCTTCTGTTTTCTCTCGTCCTCTCTTCAATCTTCTTTATCCCTTTTCATCTTTTTTTCTTTCTCTCTTTCTCGACATTCGAAAAAAAACAACAACAACCAAAACACGAGGAGAAAAAAAGAAGAGAGAATCGATAGTTTTACCTTGTTGAACAGGATAGCCAGGTTGTAATGGTTGTTCTTCTGTAAACTTGTAATTTTGGCTGAAATTTTATTTGGATTGTTTACATACCTGGCCTTGACATTTTTGGAGAATGGAAACTATATGGAATAAAATAAACAATTCGAGTGCAAAAGAGAAAAAAGAGAAATGTTATCGCTGATTTTTTTCTTCTAGAGGCGGGAAAAACGAACGACGAAATAAAAAAATTTGTTTCGAAGAAAAAAAAGAAAAGCAAACAACGATGCTCCGTTGTTTACACGTGTTTCGAAACACGCTCGAAATTCAAAAACAGTTATTTTGCACTTCAATTTTTATGTTTTCGCTCACTTCCTGAATGCGTTGGTGGATCTTTCGCTTCTTTCTTCATCCGCTCGCCAATTTCAACAATCAGCATTTTCGATTTTGGGATTTGTAATGATGAAAGTTTCGCATTCACATTATCCACAGAAATCAGCATCTAAAAAGAGGATTAGAAATTTCAAAAAATCCAAATTTCAATATTCCAAACTTTACCGGTTCATGTGATTGATGATCTGCTGACGAAGAACTTGAAGATGGTTGCATTTTCAAGTTGATCTCATGCGTTTCCAAGTTGACATTTAAAATCAGAGCGAGTTTTTTAATAAGATCTTGAAATGTGGCATCATGTGATAAAAGCACGGCAATCGGTTGACCATTGTGTATAAAAGAGTACCATTCTCTTGTCAAATTCTCCGATTTTCCTCGTTTCTTCTTTTTCGCGGGTGGTTTGGTCAGCTGAGCAACAACATCGAGATTAATTTGAACTTGTTGAGGCGAATCCACTTTATTGCATTTAGTCTTGCTTCTATCTGATTCCATAACTCTTGCTGATAATCGACTAAGCGATGCTTCAACATTCCCGATATCTGATATAATATCAGACTCGGTCTTCTTTATACTCTTATTCGAACTTGGTTTCAATTTTGTTGGACACGCTTCTTTTGTATGCTCCTCTTTCTTGATTTCAGCCAGACATTTTTGACAAAAAATATGTTCGCATTCGATTTGTTGTAACTCGCCGATTTCTAGCATCAAATCACATTTTCCATCGCATCTTTGAGCTTCACCCATCTCATTTCCAACATCATCTTCTGTTTTGTCACCGGCTCCATTTTTTGACACTGCGCTACTAAAACGATTGATAATTAGACTAGCTAATTACCCAATTAGTTGACTCACAGCTCATTATTATTATTTTCTTTTTGATTATCATTTTTCATGATTTTAGATAGCTTATTTTTTAATGTCCACTTCTTCCTTTGATCAAATAAATAAATAAAGAAAATTGCCAAAAATTATATTTTTATATGCCAAATTTTTTCTAGAATGTAGACCACGTTCTTATTATTTCGATAAATATTTATTTTTGAATAAAAAATACATAAAATGATGACGGGGGGATTTTGTTACATGTAATTCTTTTGTGTGAAAATGACCTCGGCTGAGGAAATTGTGAGGATCTCTGATAGAATTTCATGACATCAAACGAAGGGGATTTTGAGGTTGGGTTGGGAAAACATGTTGTGATGAATTCAGATTCTTGAATCTGAAATTCTATGACGACTCTTTGCGAATCAAGGAAGTATGTCCAATTAGGTTGGAATCATTTGAGAATTTGGGTAAATGTGATAAATAATTAGTGAAATGCGGTTATAAACAAAGATAAAAATAACGATGAAAATATGTGTAGATTCAGGGGGTTGAGGTGTAGTTGCAGTATTCGGAGAAATCGAGAACTTGAACTGAGAAACCGTTTTGGCGCATTTTGAGACAATTGTGGAAGCACTGAAAATTTAATATTAGGGGTTTGGAAATCAATACATACTTTTATTTTTCATGAAATAGTAAATCTCTGGATCAAAATCGAGTCAGGTAAGAATATCTTCAAAAATTCAATCTGGAATTAATTTCAGACAAAATACAATATAAGGTTAAGTTCATGATTCAAATTGTTTTCGAAGCTAGAATGAGAAATCTGGTTTGAAATTTTTTGGAACCAGTTTGTTTTCGTTCAAAGTCTCAGAATTGTGATCATTTGTACAAAAATCTGACACTGTTTTCATAAAAAATGAAAGCTCTAAAAAATTTTTCAGAGAACTTTGACCCCTCCTTAAATTTAGTAAAAAAAAAAACCAACCTTATCCAGCGGATTCTCGAGCATCGAACATTTCTTGATCTTCTCAAATCTTTCAGTTTTGTTCAGAGATGGTGAATGCATCGCAATTTTGCAGGTATTCTCACAATGTTTACTAGAATCAGAAGTGTCGTGAGCAAACACCTGACAGCAAAGACCATCTGAAAATATCTAGAAATACTATGGGATCTGAACAGCTCTGGAGATTCCCAGCCCAATAAGAATACTCACCAAACCGTATAATCTACATTGAATACAACTAACTTATGGTCCCTCCTGCCTCCTCCTATTAGCATTCAATGGGCGGAGCCTAAGTGGGATAGTTGTTGCTCGAAGGAAGGTCGTAGGGCATACGAAAAGAGGAAAAGAGTATGAGAAAATGGAGAGAGTTAGAGAGAGGGATGAAAAAAAGAGGATGGCGTGGCGTGGAGTGATCTATTGTATTTATTATGTAAGTTTTTGTGGCGTTGGAGGAGAGATACTTGGAAAACACGTGGAAAATGAGAGAGGGCTCAGGGGGTACTGTAGATGTTTTGGAGCTATTGAACTCGAAATCTCTTGAAAATAATTTATAGTTCAGGCTTGGTATTTGGGCCTTAAAATTTTATCAAAATCTATGGGTACTGTACATAAATATGATAAGTTTCATAGTCTCGAAAATTCAGTTTCCATTTTTATAATTTGATAATCTAGAACTCCTAAAATTACAGGCATTGCAAATCTAGATTTACGTCTGAAAATTGATCAGAACTTTCTAGAAATGCATCTTCTTCTAAAAATCTTATGGAAAGTTGTGCTAACTTCCGCAAAGTTCTCAAAACTGTCGAATCATCAAAATCCCAGATTATCCCCATAATCTTCTTTCCAAATCCAAAAGATCTTCAATCTTCTATCTAACCAAAAATTGTACTGTCATACCATCAACAAAAACCAAGTGCATACAATAACTCTGTTTCTCTCCTGACTCATTTCCCAAAATGTGCGAACATAGCGTATCTCAACATCAACAGATGGTGAAAACAACTCATAAACTCAATTAATTGTTATTGTGATGAGTCGGTAGATGCGCATGCCTTTGGGAAGTTAGACTAACTCACCATCCAAACTCATTCTTTGATCCTCGGCCAAAAGTCCACGTTGGATACAGTTGTAGAAGATTTCAGCCCATTCAGCGTTGTTCTCGTAGCCACATTTTGCGGGGCGGCTGCAAATATTTTGGATTTTCAGATATTTTTTCTAGAAGTTGCTGACGGGCCCTGAGAATTTTGAAAAATAAAGGTTTTTTGAGATCGTGTAAATTTTTGATATATCATTTTCCTAGTTCCAAATCTCAATCTTCAAGTTGTCGAGTTTTCCCAAAATCCAACGCCTCCTTTTTTGTCTCCAAACAATACCAATTGTCTCTCTTCTCCTCACCGACCAAAAAGGTAAGAGTTAGGATAAATTTCCTCGGAGCAACTAGTATACAAGTATGTGGTTAGCACAATTTATTGGAGGTTGGATTTTCACTGAGTTCGAAAATTGGTTTGAAAAAAAATTAGAAAATGAGAAAAAAAGGTGACGTGAAAATTTGAATTAGAGCGTGAACATTTTGTCGTGAAATTTATTTTTTCATTTTATAAATTGGATTTTTTAGGAGCACGAACTCGACTTCCAGAACTTATCTAATTTCCAGATTTCTTGAAAACTTCGAAGCAGTTTTGTTAGGAACTTAAAAAATAATAGTTTCCAATGTCTGCACACAGATTTTGTTTTTATTTTGAAACAGTAAACTTTTTGGAGCGTATTGTCTCAATCTCATGATAACTTTGAAATATCAAACTTTGAACAATGTGTTTTTCGATTCTGAAAACGGATTTTTTGCAGGCCAAAAAACTTACCCGAACTTCATAACCTCAATACAACATTGTCTTCTCGAAACTGTACAACATTCCTTTGCCGTTTTCTCAATTTCCATCATTCCAAATCCATCCGCAATTTCCACATTCACCAAACAAAATACAGTAACCAAGAAGAGGATAAATAAAGAATGGCTGCGCATGATAAACAGAATTAGCAATAATCGAATGATAACAGACAAAGAGGTCGACCGAGGCACAAAAAAGATGGGAAAATGGCAAAAATATCTGGTGAGCGAAGGAAGAAAAGACATGTGTTGCCGATTAGCCAGAAGACCACCCAGTTAGAAAATGTGAGTGAAATGAGACGGATACATCAATCTAGACTACGGTATTTGTATTCATTTTTGTTGAAAATTGAACTTGAGTTTCCAATCTCGAATTCGAAAATTTTGGAATTTTTTAGCTTGTGTTTATCTGATTTTTTGGTAAAAATTTTTTCAAAATTTTGTGATTTGAATTTTTGAAATGTTGAAAAAATGTTACCTTATTTCAATTAATTTATTTCTGCAATTTTATATTTCAAAATTTCAATTCCTGTGCTCGTATTTCATCTGGTTCTTCTTTCCTCGCTTCGAATTTTTTGAAAGCTCTAAAAAGTCCCAAAAGATGGAGCATTTTTATAAAATGAGCCGGTGGTTTGCAAGCTGCCACAATTTCTTGATCATTTGAAGCATCTTCAAAAACCTATGAAAATTCCTTTTTTCTTCAAAACCTCCTGAATTCTTCAAAACCTACAGTTTTATAAACATGGCAATAAATAGGCAAACTAGTCAAAATTTCTCGAGAGTCTTGAATTTTCAGAATCTGCCCGAGTTTCGGTGGAATATATATTTGATGTTCGCGTTTTCCAGCTTCAACAAGTTCAGGAGATCCATCGATATCAGCTAATCTTCTCCAATAAATTGTGTCGCCTAGAATTGGAGAGACGAGGCGAGTTAGCATAAGTCGAGGAAGATGGCGAGCCCCTGGAAAATTGCTTGTTGAAGTTTTTGGGATTTTTTCGAGGGCTTGAATTTCATAGATACGTTTTCACAGACTTTCACGAAATCCATTTTTGACGTTATTTATTTTTTTTTTAATGTTCGCACTCCGCGTGATAACTCATATTAGAAGTTTTTTTTTTTATTTTTGCTATTTCGGGTGAATGAATCGTTATTCGGAGGTTCGAAAAACTCACACTTATTTACAGAAAACTCGACCAGCGAACATCCATTTTTGGTATCCAAAACCTCATAACTCATAGTTCCCTCAACCGCAAATTTTCCAGTCTTTGCTCGTTTTGAAATCTTTCTCTCCTCAAAAATATATTCCTTATGTTTTCCAACATTTCGAAAAGTCGCAAATCCCGAAATGTCTCCTTTTTGCTTATCAGGTCGACCAATTGTAATAGCCAGCGCATTATAAATAAAAGGAGGTTCTGACTCGCTCGACGTTTGTCTAATCGAATTTTTAAGATTTGATAACTCCTTTTCATTACATGGTAATACAATAGCTCCTGATAAATATCGTTTTAATCCTGTGCAAAATGTGAGTTGCGGTTCTTTGAAACTTTTTCTCAAATCTTTAATACAATCCACCAAATTTGCACCTTCATCCACATGTTTTTTCGATTTTTGATCTTCTCGAAGTTGTATTTTTCGTTTCTCTCGTTTCTCTTTATCATGCACACTATTTCCAAAAATCCCTCCATTTTCTTGCAAATGTCCAACACATGAAACTCCATACGGTTTTGGTATAATTATAAATCTTCCAGGTGCATGTGCCAACACATTTTTCTCCAAATATTTCGATAATTGAGCAGTTTTCAGGAATGCTGACGGGACAAAAGATGTTGTTGCTTTTTCGGTGTGCAAAAATCGAACCACGTGGAAACGTGACATCATTTTTTGTTTTTGTTCTGGAAAACCGTCATTTTTATCAAAATAATTAATCAGAAACCTATGCTTTAAAATTATAAAATAAAAATGTCGAATACGTCTACAGTTTCAACCAGAGAACCCTATAGTCATGTAAGTTATGAAAAATTAGCCCTTTTTGTTTTGAGTTTGAGCAAAAAAGCCCCATGAGGAGACAAGGAAATTACTTTGCTCCAAAAATAATATTATTTGTTAGTATTCTGATTTGGAATATTCTAATAAAGTGTCTAGAATACCATTTATGAGGTCTGGGCTTCCAGGGCACCTGTCGAATTAAGGAATCGTGAGGTGTACTCGAATCCGCTACCTCAAAATGGTCACTTTTTAATTGTTTCTGTGAATTGTAACAGGATGGCCACAAAGGGGAATTGGACCAGATCCAATTTTTTGAGAAAAATTATGATTTGGGCATATTCTCAACAAATCTAACATGGTCTATATATTCCTAGATTCAGACTTTTCACAATGTTTCTAACCCAAATATTTATAGGATTGTGAAGGTGACAACCACGACTATAGTTTTTATGTTTGGCTCGTCGCTTTGGTGATTTGCTTTCTGGCCTTTCTATCACTCATTTATGTCGTTTTTCGATATTATAAAATTCATACACTGGTTTTGGAATTCGAAAATGGTTTGATGGAGATGTTAGACGAGGCATTGCAGATATTACTACCGCTTGGGATTTGTAAAATGATCAGTCTACCCAATACCGCAGCCATAAACCCATTAGGAAGACAATTGTCTCGTAAGTTCTTCAATTTTCAGATAAAAATTTTCAAAAAATGATTTTCAGAAGACGTTAAAACTCGTCAGCGAGAGAATCGTTATCCGGAAGATGTGACTTGGCCACATTCTAACATTGAACATCTTTACGATATGTTTGGTGATGATGAGACTCGAATGCAGAGAACTCTAAATCTCTCAATTTCTATGCCACCAGTAGCACCAACGGATCCTCTCATAACTGCGCATTCTGTTGAAGTTTGTAAAACTCAGGATGAGAAAGAAAAAGATAAAACACCAAAGAAGTTGAATATAAGTAACAATCGAGTTGGATATTCACCAAGGCTTCCGTCAGCCGAATCTAAAAAGCCTTTATTGAGCGATAAGACGAGAAGTGAAAAGACTGCGATTGAACATAAGAAACCAGCGTTTTCAATGGAAATTGCACAAGGAAGTAAGGATAAGATTCCAGAAAAACCATTGTTTTGAATAAATTATTGTTCGGGAAAATTTGAACGAAAAATGAATAAAATGAAACCACATACATTTTCTCATCGACAATATCCCGCAGCGAACAATTGGTTACTGTTGCCACTTTTTTAACAGAAAAAATTACCGCACTAATTTCTCACCAAAATCAAATCCTAAAATAACCGCTCCTCCCTTTCTCCCCTTTTCCCCCAATCATTCTTATTTTTCTCTAACTCTCTTCTCTTTTCATTTTCTGTTTCCTCTTCCTCTTTTCTCGTCTCTTTTTTCTTTTCATCATCAAATCGAAAAAAGAGAAGAAGAAGAGAGAAAAGGAGGAAGGACGCTTTCTTTTTCTTTTCCCTATCCCACTTTTTCTTTTATTTTCCTTCCTATTTTCTTCATTTATTTTTCTTTCTAGAAAAAAAACAAAAATGAATTCGTTTTTCTGTTTGGATTGTATCAGCGAATCAACAGGATTTTCAAATGTTCATGAACTCGAAGCTCATATTGCAAGTGATCATTTGAATTTGTGCCCTTACGAATGTGAGAAATGTAGATTTGCCAAATTTCCAACCGAATATACTTTAGTTAGCCATTGTAAAGCTGATCATGGAATGTTTGAATTCACTGTAAGTTAAGAGAGCTTCCCAAAAGTGTTTCATTATAACTTTTTACAGATCAAATATCGCTACACCCCAGAAATCGAACAAAAACGCAGTCAACTTTCCGATCGTCTTCAAAAATGTTTGAATTACCGTGCAGCTGATATCAGAAATCGATCATCTGCTGCAACTCCAACTTCAACATTCGTAGCGGTAAAAACTGAAGAACATCCTCAAACCATAGTGGATAATCCACCGATTCCGATGTCTCCTCATGATTTATTGGGATTTGCAAACTATCAACATTATGAGGAGCCAATGTTAATGAGATGCCCTCAAGAAGAAGGAAATGGAGGAGGTTCTGAGCGAAAGGTATGTTTAAAATTAACATCCAAATATGTTATCAAAATATTATTTTTTAGAAGAGATCTTCAACAATGCCTTGCACAATGTGTGGCGATCACATTTCTCAACAAAGATCTTCTATGCTTTATCATGTGAATACTAGACATAGTAAATTCGATATGTATGAATGTGGAATTTGTCATAAAACTTGGCAGACAATCGCGAAATCTGATGTTTTGAAGCATTTGAAAACACACCACGAAAACCCAGATGGATCTATAAATCCTGAAACAATTATCGATAATCGAAGAGCGTTATCTGATAAATTGAAAGAAGCTACAATGCGATGTTTTCCGGGAAGAAAATCAAGAAGACAACCACTTTGTCGAGGAACCTCTCCAGTTTCAGTCAGAGCTTTTATAGAGAATAATAAGACAGAAACCGATGACCTTGATTTTGTAAGCGATGGAGAGGATTAATTTTTGTTTTTGTTGTTTCTGCTTGTATTTTTCAATATTTCAATAAACTCTCACCTCGAAATTTGTCCAAAGCAATGAAATAATCGTAGAATTTAGGTGAATAGAAATTTTTTTTGAAAAAATAGAAAATTGTCCGAGAGAACTACACGAACCCCTAGTCTGCAATTGCGCGTCAAATGTGGTGTGCCGCTGCGTACGTTTGAAAATTGATGATGACTTTCGCACTTTTTTTCTGTTTCTCATCTTAAAACTCGCGTGTTTTTATAAGGTTCTTGTTTTGTAGAATGGATCCAAAAGAAGACGAAGTTGCACAAGAAGCACCAATGGATGTTGAAGAATCTTCATCTGGTCAAGCTGTCAAAAAACGTTTTGAGGTGAGGAAAACTGAAAAGTATTTTTTTTGGAAACAGCGTCCTAAAACTGATAGTTTATTGATTTTTGTAAAAGTGATTGTTTTGTTTTGAAAAATATATAGCTTTTAATTATCAAGTTATCGATTTCCCAATAGCTCTCTGTAAAATCAATATTTTCTATCTCATGAAGAAAGTGCATGAGAACCCGGAGTAAACTCTAAATGAAATCGAGGAGAAAACTTATTATAAACTTCCGAATGTGGTCAACAGCATCTTCTGTAAAAATTTTACCCAAACTTGAAAACTTGATTTACGAAATAAATTTTCAGGTGAAAAAATGGAGTGCTGTGGCTTTGTGGGCTTGGGATATTCAAGTAGACAATTGTGCAATTTGCCGGAATCACATTATGGATTTGTGTATTGAATGTCAAGCTAATCAGGTGAATGACTAATTCCATATTTTTATTTGACCAGATGTATTTATAAAATATTTGCATGATCAACATAACAATTGAATATTTTGCAGGCTTCCGGATTGAAAGACGAATGCACAGTTGCGTGGGGAAACTGCAATCACGCATTCCATTTCCATTGCATTTCTCGCTGGTTGAAAACTCGTCAAGTTTGCCCATTGGACAACAGAGAATGGGAATTCCAAAAATACGGTCACTAATCTAATCTCTCATACATTTTTTATTTGAGTATCAAGCATCATCTGTAAATATCAATATTTCGGAATATTCTTAACCATTTTTTCTTCATTTTCCCTTCTCCCCCTTATTTTCTTGATTGGTTATTGTTTCGGTGCGTGTTTGAATAAATAAATTATCGTACTATTTAAATACCCGCTCCTGGAATCGTTATTGCGCAGTGTGTTTGCAAAACGGATTTTGAGGGTCTGTGTCCCAAACCAAATTTAGTGAAATTTTATTATGATTTGATGATGCTGAAGATCATTTTCAAAACGACACGATTTTTTGTTGAAATTGATTATTTCTATTTTTAGATGAACTTCTTTCGATAGTTATCTTCAAAATTTAAAATTCTGAGAAAATCTTATTTATAAAAAAAACTTTTCAAAAATCATTTGGCTCAACATGTTGCTCTTTTCGAAAATCTAGCGAGCTCAAACAATTCAACTTAATTCTATAGTTTGACCTCTTATAGACTTCGTGTTTTGTCCTCCAAACGAAATTCAAAACCATCGCCGCCTGCGATCATTCACTTCAAAGCGCGACAAAACTTTTCATATCTTCGGGAAGATGAGCTTCTTCTTCTTCTTCTCCTCCTTTTATTATAATATTATTGTTATGTGGTGTAGTATTATTTTTTGATGCTGCCTACTTCTCAAGTGCATTTCGTTTTATTTGTATGTTTTTATTGGTATTTGTTGAACGTGTTCAACCCCACAAATCTATTGTCTTCTTGTTCTTATATGTTTTTTTATATCCGATCCGAAGATCTGATCTGGCCTGATCCATTCGAAATCTAGATTTATTTTTTGTATGCGAGACTTTTTCAGACGACACATTTTAGCGAGAAGATATGCAATTATGAGATTACTTGCTTTGATTACTTTTATCAGTTTCGTCGAATTGAAGTTGGTGAGTTTTCAAAATCAAGATTGGGGAGGGTAAGGGAGGGGGGTTGAAGGGATACAATATCTCTAATTCGGACCAGGTTCCGAGTTCTGAAAACATTTTGAATGGCAACTGGAACACTTCGGAATTAAAACACGTATGAGTAATCCTTTTTTGCCACCAAAGTTTTAAATGATATTGGATACATTATTTACCGATAATACTGTACATAGATAATGTACATAGATTACCACCCAGATACTTCAGTATACACCACACATTACGCGCAAAAACCTACAGTACTTCTCGGTAATTGTGTTACATACTATAGCGATTTTGTAGATCTTAATTTTTACATAAGTCACAGATTTTTGAACATTCGTGCGTGATTTATCACAACATGTCAGCCCAATGAAACTTGGCAATCGGTGAGAGTGAAGAAGACTTAGAGAAAAATAGATCAAAGGAACATTGAAAATTGTGGGTCTGAAATTCCATAATTTTTGAAATTGCGGATGCTAAACATGTTTTGTTTCAAAACAAAATTGAGGATAACTTTTATTAGCTTGGCACAGTGAAAGTTCAACAATGAATTTTCAAAAATCAAGCTGAAGCCTAATTCTAGATTTAAAAATTCCTAGACCCACAAATGTAACTCGATGTAGATCACGTAGGATCTCAATATCTTTTTGTCTCTTTCACTCTCACCGATTGCTTTTTGACATGTTGTGGATTTGGGTTTTTCGAGGTTTTATCCAAACATTTTGTTTTTTTTTCGTAAAATGGGGTTCGATTCGAAAATTCCTCAAGCTCTCTTTAGAAGAGACTTTTGTTTTCAGAAAAAATAACACTATTTTTCAGCTAAAAAGTCAAATTGGTAGTAATTTATTCCATGTAAAAGTACATCCACCACCTGCACAGGACAGATCTTTGAGAGGACAACATCGAATTGAGAATACAGTTTATGGTGGGTTATTTTTTTTTTGGGAAAGTAAAATTTATCACTTTTCACTTTGATACTGGAGATGATCTTAACTTTGAGAACTTCTGTTGATTTTTTTGAACTGTTGGCATTTTTTTGTATGTAAAAATTGATAAGGTTGATAATTTTCTAGACAATTTCTGAAATATCTTCATTTTCTATTCAATACCGTTTTGGTTTCAAATATTTTTTGTGAAATGTTCTTTTCAGAAAAAAATGTTCTCTGTGAATTTTCCTAATTTCAAAAGTTTACTGTAGAATTATCTTTCTCCATTTTACTTCTATTTTGTTTACTCAAACATTGAAAATATATAGATTTACATCTGAATTCAGTTATCATGAACAAGAAACAGTAACACACGAACAAAACACTCATTTTATCGATAAGTTTTGAAACGTATCATTTTGAATTTTGGATTATTAAAAAGGTTTTCAATTGTGCAATTATTTTCTACTGAAGCTCTGTAAAAAATATCTCTGAGGTTTAGGAAAAATTTGATTTTTGAATTCAGAAAAAAACTATAATTTATTTTTTAGAAAATGACCTTTTTCATTCAGTAACTCCTTAGAATTATTTTCCAAAAACTACAGTTTAGTTTACTGCTAGTTGAACTGTCTCCCTCGCCACGTGCTCTTCTTTTTTTCTCCCTCCTCAAGCTCATTTGTCTGAACCCTCAACTAAACAGAGAAAGACAGAGGAGATATATCCATATCTCGAAAATCGTGAAATTGAATGAGAGGTGGTTTGATATAATATGGAGTGATAATCAAACAAAACACCAATACAAAAAATAGAAGGTGAGAAGAAGAGAGAAGTTAGAGAAAAATAAAAACAAAAAACAACAAAAACAGAAGAGAGAGAAAGAGTGAAAGAGACACATTTTGGAAATTCGGAAACAAAGATAGAGCTCACAGAAATGGATATATCATATCATTTTGTATTTTTGTATGCACAATTTTCAAAGTTTGGAAGTTTTATAACATTTTTTGTTGAATTTTTACGTTGTTAGGATTTCTAAAATATCTGTTTTTTTTCCAAAAATTTTTTCTGAACTGCAGTTTTTATGTTTATCAAAAATCTCTTCATTCATTATAAATTGAAACGTTCTCAGTTTTGAGTTTATCCAAAATTATTTCAGTTTTGAAAATTAGAAAAATTCAATTTTTTTCTAAAAATTTATGTTTTTTGGACATTTTGAGAGCAGTTTTTTTAAGTAGGAAAACGTTCAGAAACAATTTTTTCAAATTGAAAAATAGAAAATTCGAAAAAAAAACTTTTTTTTCCGAAGAAGTTCAGAATTTCAAAATGTTGAACTCAAAAAGAGAGAAACACAGAATTTTTCGAGAGAAAGTCACAGAATCAAACCGATTTGTAGTCCTCCTTGTTTCAAGATCTACCTAGATTTCTCTCGAAGAATTTTTTTTTGTAAAATTATGAATTATTTCAAATTCAAGATTTTTATATGAAAAATAATTATTAAAAATCATTGAATTTCTGAGAATCCGCAAATGTATATCACCAAAAATCCTCCCATTCTTCAAACATCTATTTTCCATCTCTATCTCCATCTCCAGCTCTCAGCTCAATCTATTTACCCTCATCATATTTTCTCTCCCCAAAACATCATAAAACAATCGAAAGTGTCTTTTTTTCCTTCCAAATTCGGTGTGTCAAAAACAAACAAATCTTATTATTTTCATCTTTTTTTTCCAGAAAAATAAATGGTGGTGATCTGAAAAATATGAGGATTCAGATCATATTTCTATTTCTATTTCTATTTCTAATTCAGTTTCAAATAGTGAAAAGTGATAAAATTGTCAAGAGTCAAATTGTGAAAAGTGTCAATTATGATGGTAGATTTTTTCACCAAAAAGTTTCCGCAAATGCGGAAGCTTGCCAGAAATCAAAAAACACCCTGAATTTGTTTTTTCAGATTTTTCATTACTATGTGGTGATGGAATTCCACTGCTAATGGAAGATCATAAACCTCGTCCATGTCAACCTCGGCCATGGTTACCTGAACAAAAATGTCCGACTGGTTTTTGGTGTCACGAAGGACAGTCGGATTCTAGTTTTTATTGTTGCCCGAACAGCAGGAAATGTAAGTTTTTTTTTGTTTTTCCTATTGAGCTGAGAAAATTTCGAAAATCTCGAATTACCACAATTTCTAGCGGGTTAATGTGTGCAAACACTTTTGTATATGTACAGTAGGGTTCTATCTTTTGGATCAGATAAATTGAAATTAGCAGCTTCGTGGGTGGTCCCGGTGGAAAAATAGAAACCTATGAGCAAATGTTATTTTTGACTAATCTTCTCAAAATCTACAGTATTCAGGAGTACTGTAGCTTTGAATCTGATTGAACGAAATTTCCTTTTGAAATTGAAACAATAATATCTTCAACTTTTCAATCAAAATTTTATCTGATTTTTGAAACGTATATTTTTCCTGCAAAATATTCACATTTCATAGCTTACAACCAAATTTTTACAGTCGCAAATCGATGTCATCTTCCTCCAGCTGTTGGCTACGGTAAACAACGAATGCGTCGATTTTATTTCGACTGGAAAACCGATGCGTGTCACGAGTTACAGTACTCTGGAATCGGTGGAAATGAGAACAGTTTTATGGATTATGAAAAATGCGAAAGTGTTTGTCGTGGAGCTGGCGAACCGCCAATCTCACTTCCAAGTAATATGAAAATGTTGAAGACTGGAAGTGAAACCACGGAAGATTTATCTGGATTAGGAGGAACAACAACAACACAACCAGAGATTTTTGAGTTTACCGTGGAACCGAAGAAAACGAGAAAAACTACGAGAAAACCGATTGATACACAAGTCAGAACTGAAGCGGTAACTGAATCAAAAGTTCAAACTGAAACAAGCACGATGAAATCGCGAACAACGACACCTTCTACAACAATCCGAACAACCACGATTGAAGTTGTTGATCCGAATCCATGTGCACTTGCACCAGATCAAGGAAGTGCCGGAGAAATGGCTATGACTATGTGAGTTTCGGGAAGGATAAGGGAAAAGGGGAATTTGGAGGGGATGTTTTAAAAGTCAGTAAAGTTAGAAGAACTTATTTTAAAACTATTTATAGTATCTAGATTTCTGAACTGAAAAGTTCCTTATTCAGAAACTTAGAATAGTTCATGATGAATATTAGTTTTGTAACAAGAAAAGATTGTTCTGTGAGGAATCTGAAAACCGAAAAATTTAAATAAAAATTTCAATCACATTTTCCGCAGGTGGTACTTTGATCAAACCTCCTCCACATGCAGTCCATTTTTATACCAAGGCGCCGAAGGAAACTCGAATCGCTTCGAATCCTCTGACGCTTGTTTCGAAGCCTGTGGAATCGGAAAACCAACTCGAAAATCTTGCGATCTTCCACCATCAATTGGAAACGGCAAATTCAACATTCCTCGATATTATTTCGACACAGTTACAAGAAAATGTGAACAATTTTATTATAGTGGCAAAGATGGAAATGATAATCGATTTTTCAAGAAAACCAAGTGCGAGAAATTGTGTCTAAAAAGTGAGTTCGTGAATTAAAAAAAGAGTAGAATCAGCCTAGCATGTTTTGTATTGATTGTAAGTAAAATTGAAAAATTCCACAACTGGGAGATTTTTTTCAGAACGACCAAAGAAAAAAGAGCACACATTCGAATACACAACTCCATTGACATCAACACCAATGAGAATTGTCCAAAATTTGGTGGCTAGCGAAACATCAACACCAGTCACTGATTTCACAACGAGTTCATCACAATTGACAGATTATTATACAAGTCCGTATGATCTTTATGAATCGACTGCTACGCCACATCCAACATTGATTTTTGAACCGAGAGGAGGTGAGAGTGTATTGTCGGATTTTTTACGTTTTAAAAACTTTATTTAATTTTTTTTGATTTCTTCAATTTGTTATTGATAGAAAACATATTTTGTTACAGAAACTCTTCCAACAATTTCTGCACCAACGACCAATAATATTGTTGATGATGTTTTTGCAAATTTAATGAATTCAAGGCAGCAACAAATACTTACTGAATTGGTGCAAACTACGGCGACACCCAAGATTCGATTTTCTTCGCATGAAAGGATCAAGGTAATTTTTAGTCTTCAGTTTTCTAGAAAAAAAGTTTTGGGATTATTTGGAATATTTTGGAATTTCCTATATTTTTCTTGATTTTCCTTAACTCAAAAGCTCCACCTTAAGAAGCGTTAGCTAAATTTTGCAGGCTCAACCAGCTCCAGCTCCATTGCCAATCCCAGCTCAACTTCCTCAACATATTCTACATGTAAAATCATCATCTTCTCCTCCTTCTCCACCAAAACAATCCACCACAATTCCTATCACAACATCCACCCAAGCACCACCCTTAAGTTATACTCTTCCCTCACCAATCAACACAATTGAAACACCCTTAGTTACATCGCCCGCACCAATGGTGACACAAATCAATGGTGAACCTGAAATTGAAATTCAGGGATCCGTCAAATCTACAATCACACAAAAGCCAAAAATATTGGAAGTTGGGCCAATTCCGACAAGACCGGTTCCATTCCCGAAATCTATGGAAAAGATTCCGGAGTCAACGAAGATCCAGGTTTCCGGCGAATCTGAAATTCCTGGACCGATTCCAGCTTCAGTTTCAACTCAGCAAAAAGTTTCGAGCACATCTACCCAGATCCCAACATTGGTCCCTGATTCAGGACTAGATTCAAGCGAACAATTAGGCCAGGCTCTAGGTCAAGCTATTGGCCCGGCCCTCGGACAAACCAAACAACCACATTTTCTTTTTCCTGGATTTTTGCCTATTCAGATATCTGGGAATCAACAAGAGCAACGAACTGGAGATAATTCGGTTTGGTTTTTTTTGAGTTTTTTTTTAGTTGGAAACCTAGAATGGATTATTTTGAGCACTATTTCAGAACGAAAACACTCCTTTCTCCAACCTAACCAAAATCTTCCAATTTTCCAGTACACGTTGGCTCCTCCACCAATTCCATCTCACCAAATCGCTCCCTCTCAAAGCGAATCGCCATGTGCTCTTCCAATGTTTGGCGACGCCACAATTATGTGTGAGCATCGTCAAGAGATTTGTCCGATCGGCACATTTTGTCAAATCGGGCAAGGCCAAAGTATTTGCTGTCCAATTCTTGATTCTCCACCCTGTGATCAGGAAATCAATGAGGGATTCGGACCATCAGGAATTCGAAGATGGTCTTTTGATCCGGCTACAAGATTGTGTCAACCATTTCAATTTAAAGGATTCAAGGTAGGGAATTTGTTGTCACAATAGCTGCATTCTCCCTTTTATTTTATTTTAAAATCAATGTTTTCCAGGGAAATCAAAACAATTTCCAAACCTTCGAAGATTGCAACCGTGCTTGCGGTGCAACAAACATTTGTCAAGTCGGTGTTCCAAAACTCTCAATCCACACACATCTTCTCTCATGTCAATCAGATGCAGATTGTCCATTGGCTCATAATTGTCTTCAATCTACACCTCATAATTTATGTTGTCAAATGACAGTAATTTCTGAACCTGAACTCGAACCATATCCTTCTCCATACCAGCCACAACTTCCACCATCAAACATCCAAGAATCATCTCAAAATCTGATTCTCAATTTCATTCCGCCTCTCTGTTCTCAACCGATCGATATTGGATTTGGGCAAATGTCTGAACATCGCTGGAGTTTCCAAAATGGTCAATGTCATTCATTCCTTTTCCGTGGATCTGGTGGAAATATGAACAATTTTTTGACAAGAAGTGATTGTTTGAGAAGTTGTCAACCTGGAACTGAAGTTTCGACAGTTACACAAATTCAGGAAATTGATCGATGTAAGCAAGCAGCCTTGAGTGGACATGGAGATTCTTATCTATCAAGATATTTTTATTCGCCGGTGAGTTTGGAAAATATTTTTGAAGTTTCAAAATAGCCAGGGAAAAACGTTTGAATGAGAAATCTTAGTATTTCATTAAAAAACCCTTTTTCAGGAATACCATCAATGTCTTCACTTTATTTATTCTGGCGAAGGTGGAAATGCAAATATCTTTGAAACGTTGGCACAATGTCTTGAAACTTGTGTCGTCAACAAAATGCAATTCAATTGTGAGCACTTATTTTTTACAAACCTCCAGAATTTTTTTCTTTGATTCTGAAAACTTTAGTTTCTAACCAGCTCTCAAACCTTCCAAAATCAATAAAAATTCAGCATTCGCTACGACAACTTTGCCACCATTCACCCAACGGCCCCACAAATTTACATTCAATTTCTACCCGAAGAAAAATGTTTGTCCAAAGGGTGATGCTTTGATGACAGTTGATGGTGAACCGATTCAATGTGATTCTTCGAAAGCTGCAAAATGTCCAACCGATCATGTTTGTACACCAGTTGGAAACACGGCGTATTGTTGCCCGTCGCCTAGTGAGTTTTTTTTGATTTTGCAGTTAATTTTAAAATTTAAAAATGGTAAAACAAGAAAATGATTGATCCAAAGCTTCATTTAAATTAATTCCAAAGCTTCATTTAAAAAAAGAGTTCCACCAATCTCATGCAAGTTATTTTCTGAATTGAAATATTTTTGAAACGTATTTTTTTCGATGTTTTTATTTTGGAGAATGAAACGTAGAATTATTATTCCACACATTTTTTTAACTTTTTGAAAAATCTCCATCCCTAGCAATAGATTTCTCTCAATTTCCCACCAAAGAAGCTAGAAAAATCACAATTTTCCAAACTCCCAATTATCTCTTTTTTCTACAAAACATTGAGGCCCCGCAATTTTCCAAAAATAAATTTAAATTCCCGAATTTTCCAGTGAATTATTGCCTACAAAATCGTCCAGCTTTATCCGTATGCAGTGGCCCAGATTTCAAACCAGCTCGAGAAATTCGATTCACCTATGATCCGATGGCGGATAGATGTATTAGATTCAGTTATCAAGAATGTCGAGATCAACTTCCGACAAGTCTAAACACTTTCAAATCAAATTCACAGTGCAATCGATTATGTTGTAATCAGGTAATTTTGAAACAGAGAAAATTCGGAATCGGAACTTATTATTAGAGATTTTCAATACAAAGAACTCGGATTATTCAAATATATCCCTGATTCTGAGATTCTAAAAATGAGATTCAATTGATCAGGACTGTCCCAATTCTCTCTTCAAAATATTTTTTCAGGGCTACAACCTGGTTTACAAACGTCGTTTATTAATGGCGATGAATGATTCACCAATCGAAGAAGAAGATGAATAACAATCAAAACTTCTTAAATCATTTTTTTTTTTTGAAAATTGCTCAATTAATTTATTGCACTTTCCCCTCGCACAAATTGTAAAAAGTATTACTAATTTATTTTTGAAATATTCTAATTATTGTTGTTGACCAAAAATGTTATAATTGATAATAAAATGAAAATTGAAAAGAATTTAGACATGAGATATTCTGGAGATGAGTTACAAAGGTTTTTGTTGCAGCAACACCATTTTTCGATTTGTCCATTTAGTAGTTCGGTTTCAGGATAGCAACTGAAAAAAACAATTAATTAAGATTTTTTTAAATTCTGATTGGAGAAAACAGGAAAAAAAGTTACCCTTCATCTTCATCAACACAGTAATCATAAACATTCGCGCATCCGCGAGTTATATTTGATCCACTTATCATTTTTATACACCATAGATCAATAGCTTCACATTCTTTTGTCTGAAAAATATTGAGATTCCACGTGGCAGGAATTTCAGGGGTTTTTTTTTTTGAATTTTGAATATTTTAAATTCACGTAACAAAATTTGAAATTTTAGGTTGAAAAAGAAATAGTTCTCTTTTTCAGTTAATCGATTCTACAGTAAGCTATACCACGTGGCAAAAATTCTCAACCCATATTTTTAACCTCAGCGATTAATAAATTGTTTTTTTTTTTTTGAATTAGCTACCAGGAAATTGAAAAAAGTCCCAAATGGAATTAATTTATTTACATGCTAATTTTTTATTTGAAAGTTGGCGTTCATGAAAATTTGATTGCAACACTTCTATATCCACGTTGCAAAATCATGGTTTTAATCTAACATTTTTTTCATTTGGAAATGCCACGTGGCAATTAGGATTTCACTTTTTTTTTAAATTTTGTTAAGCTGTGGCTGGAACGAAGTCTTAAATATTTTCAACTAAATGTTTTTCTCAAAAAAAAAACAAACACAAAAATATAAGTTGTGACGTGGCAAATCTGGATATCAACAAAATTTCAGAGTCTTTATCCACTATAATCTGAAAATGCGTAGTTTTCCAGATAGAAATCACACGGGTTTCCTAGAAATTTTCGAATAGCCACGTCATAACATTTTTGATCTACGAAAAATTGGATTCTTATCACTGAAAAATTAATTCTGCAATAAAAAAATGTTGCCGGTTTCTTTTTCTAATTATAATTTTAATTGATTAATGGGAAGGTGTCATCATATGAGAGATATATATTTTTTTGGAGATACATTTTGGAAGAGCTCAAAAATCTTTGAGATTATAAAAATGAATGAATGAAATACAAATTATCTGTGATCTGAGGTATCAAATTAACATTGATGTAACAAAAAAATTGGGTGCAAATTTTGAGATGGGAAACTCGGGATTGAAAGGCTGTTAGACAATTGTTTCGGTTTTGCTCGCACATTTTTGTGAAAACGGTTCAATATGAAAGAAGCCAGTAAAACAATTCCGAGAATATGAAAATTCATATGAGCTGAGATATCTCTATGTTTCAAACATTTCATACAAACCTGTAAATCAGATCCTTCACCTTCATAACATTGAAGAGCGTTAGAGATTCCGAAAAATATTCCAAAAATAATTAGACCTTTCATAATTTTACTGATCGAAAAAAGTAGCTCAAAATTGATAAGCGACCCAAAAAAAAGCCATAAAAACAGTTCTATAAAATTTATTGTCATCGAGAAATTTGGTTGGCAAAAAAAACGAAAAAAAGCAAAAAGCAGAGAGAGAAAATTGGGATCTTATTTTATATTTTTGAAATATTAAAATTTGAATTCAAGTTAACAGATTTATTCATCGTCTTCCAGGTCCGGCAAAACTGCTCAAACGATTATTGATTGATCGAGAATTGATGACGTCATACAAATCGCAACCTTGCGAAAGTCCTGCGTTTAGCAAACATTGCGGATTGCGTTTTGTTGGATGTAAAGCTTTTTGAATTCTGAAAAAAACGGATATATATCAAAAATACAATTTTTTGTTGTTATTTTCTTTTAGCCAAAAAAATCCACTAAAAATGCACACATTTTTCCATAACTCACTGTTCCGGATTTGCCATTCTTTCGAGCTCAAAATCATAGAAAATCCTTGAGTCCACCAAAATCATCACCAATGACAACAGAAACATCACAAAAACCAACTTCATATTTTTGTTACCTGAAATTTGGAAAAAAAATTAAAAAAAAAAGTTGGGCGTTGAAAAATTTATTCAGTTTTTCAGGGAAGGAAAAAATGAGGAAAAGATATTTTAAATAGCTCTACCTGAAGTCCCACCCCCTTCACTACAAAAAATTTGTGAAATATTTTTCAGAAAATAATAAATTTTTTGCGCTGAATTACAAGGTTGCGAAGAAACGCGTGTCGCTTTTTTGATGGATGATTTTTCCTTCAGAATTATTTCAGCCGGAAATTCAGAGGTTCCAGGAAACCCCTTCTCAATTCAAATTAGGTTAGAATTTTCAGTCAAATCAAACACCAAAAAATAAAAACACAACAGAAAAAGACTTGGTCAGAAATGAGAGCTGGATACATTTTGGTCTGAAAATTCCTTCTTTTTTTCTTCCTTTTTTTGCCAATGCTCCGCCCATTTTTGCTTCCTCCATTAGTATAATGGACAATATTTGCTTGTTCTTCTTCTTCTTCGCTGCTGAAATGAATAATTGAAGAAAATCCTGAGAAGGGCTGAAAATCCCATTTCTTGCAACCTATCCACTTAACATCGCAAGGGCGGCCAACCCACTCAAAAAATGAGCAAAAAAATAAGAGAGCCGGGAAAAAAAAAAGGATTTTTGAGAATACAGATACAAAAAAGAGGTGAACTATGACGTGATTTTGGAGTTGGAAGAATTCTGCCTGAACTTTGGGTGCGAGTTAAGAAAGCCATGACAAAAAGTTCAAATGTGCTCTGATGAAAACCTGGGCGGGGGTAATTTAAAATCAATTTTTTTGTGAAAGTTTATTGAAAATTGTAATCAAACTTTTTGAGAACTTATTTTAGTATGAATAAATCTGAAATTGTTTAAATTCTTTTCACCAAACCCACACGTGCTTAATTGATAATTTTAGTTGATTTAATGATTTTTCAAAAAGTATTTCTTTCTTTACCGTTAAATTCCAAATGCTCTAAAAATTATAAAATTTACTGAAAAATTAAAATGCGCTCCACTGATAAATTCCAATCATCTCATTTTTTTCAAAAATTGTTTTTCCTAAATCGATTTGAGTTTGAATAACTGAGCTCTACTGCTAACTTTTAAAACATCAGTTTAACTTGAATTGAATTTCAAACTTTTGTTAGTTCGCTCCATTGACAAGAAAATATTTCTTCTCGAATATTGTAGCGAATTTCAAAACTTCTAACACGGCTTTCAAAATTTCTCCGTGAGACCCAAAATTTGAATGAACTTCAGAATTTTGCGAAATTTTTAAAGGCACACAAAGGTCTCACAACTCTCAGTTCCATGTTTCTTTTTTTCCTCTCGCCACTTCCACTTTTCTTCATTTTTAATTTTCTTCTTCTTCAAAAATCATTGCTGGTTTGGAACGTCGAAAATGAGTAAGCCGGCCAACTAATTGAAACAGCGCTTTTTCATTTTCTGTTTTTTTGACGAGCGAGAAAATTGGCTTCGAAAAAATCGCATCATTCAAGATTTATGGAAATTTCGGTGGTGTGTGTATGTGAATCATTAGAAGAAAATGACAAATTTGATCGTTTTTATCCTTCATATTTTTCAGAGAAAATCGAGAAAAATATGTGATTAATCCCTGGTTTTGTTGATTTTTGCAATACTTATATTCTCTTATGTTATGCTAAATAATAATAAAAGGGGGTTTATAAATAAGAATAAGAATACAAATAAAAATGAATCAATCACCACAACGCATATTTTAATTAATTAACAGTTTTTAATCAATACCTCTAGTTTTTGACGAATGAAGAAATTGCGTCAATTCCGAAATCGTCGCTTCTTGATGATGTCAATTTGAACGAGATGTTTTGTCTGGAAATTCTCATTTTTGAGAGGAAAATAAGAGGGTAACTTTGAAAATACTCTAAAAATAATTCGAAATTGTATTGTGCTTTTTAAAGGACATGTATGGAATACGGTATTTGCGTAGGGTTTTTGTTGTTTTGTTTTTGTGAAAAATCACGAATATTCATATTCATATTTGAAAATAAAAAATTCAAAACGAATGAAAAAAGCACTCAAAAATAGGCTCACAGAAATTTGGGATCGTATTTAAAATCATTCTAAATTTCATAGTACTTTATCGGAAATTCGGAAAAATTATGAAATTCAAGGGGTGCCAAATTTTTTATTTTAGTTTTAGTTATTTCAAAAAGTTCACTGTTTCAAAAGCTATACAATATATGTTTTAATTTTTTTTACAAATAATACTCACAGGGTGTAATTTACTACCTCAAATCGGTAGACCTCAAATTTTTCATTAATTTTTGGCTAGATCAAAAATATTTTTTCTCTAAATCTCTCGGTTTTGCGCTGAATTTCGTCGATTTTAGTCCCACCCCTAAGATCGTGTTAGGTCTCAAAAAATGCGCGAAATTTTTCGGGTAGTAAATTACACTCTGTGTACTCCAAAGGTTATTTTACCAAGACTTGAAAAAATCGGAAAAATACGTTTCAAAAATATTTCAATTCGAAAAATAGTATCCGTAATGTTGCTAGTTCATTTCAAAATAAGAAATAAAACCCACTGAGAATCAAGAAAGAAACGTTCAATTTTTGTTTGTCAATTCAAAAATTCACTGTTCCAAAATTTTCTAACATTGACTAGTTTTGAAAAATAAAAATAAAATTCTCAATCCCTTGTATCATTCTGGAACCCAAAAATCTACCTTTTCAAATCGTCCCACTTAAAATCAGTTCCAGTGTTTGTCAAAGTCGATCTTCTTGCTTCACTTCCATCAGTTCCAATCAAAGCAGCTGATCTTGATTTATTGATCAATCCAATCTCTTTTTCCAAACTATTTTGAATAACTTTGTCGGTTTTTGAAAGAGAATGATCTTGTTTGTGACAGGCGACAAGAATTGGAACATGATTCTTTTGATTTTCGAGTAAAATATCGTATAATAATTCTGCAACATCACGAGATTCTTTTGAAAATGTTGCCGCATCGATGACGTAGACAATTTTGCGAATGGAGGATTGACGGATTGTTGAGAGGAGTTTTTGGCGAAGACGATCATTCCCTGGGTAATCGGTGATCTGGAAAATGTTTTTTCAAATCTAAAATTGAAATTTGACCTGAATATTGTCTAAAAATAAAAGTTGCTCACCTTCAAAACATTTCCCTTAATATTCAAATGAATCGTATTTTCTTGCATCGATGTATAAGTTTGTGGAATATTATTCGATTTGCTAACAAGTTGTGTAAAAATAGTCGTTTTTCCCGAATTCGACAAACCGGCCAATAAAACAGTGTCTTTTTTTGCAGAAAAAAATTTCAAAAATAAAAACACTGCGATGGTAACAAGACCTAAAGATAGAGAGATTATTATGGCAACTGTTGATGAATCAAGATTATCCATCTGTAAAAACTTGGAATTTAGGTTAACTTCTTTTTCTGATTCGTAGATATTTTGTCAAGGTTTATAACCTTTTCAATGAGAAAAAATATTGAAGAAAAAATAGCAAAAGCATTTTTTGTGAAAAAAAAAAACAAACAACAATAAAAACGAGATCGCCTAAACCTAAAAAATTTGTTTTTCTAATTTTGAACATTGTACATTCCTTTGATTCGTTTTGGGAGCTCAGTTTTTCCCTTGATTCGTTTCACTTCTTCGAATAAACAATCTTTCCCGTCTGAAAATCGGATTTTACAAATTTTTTAGATTTAAAGGCAAAAATAATCTTGGAAAATTATGAACCTACAAGCTGGATCGAAGAAAATTCCTGCAAATTTATCGGCTGCTCTTTCACGAACCCAAACTCTCGTTGAACCGGTGATTACACTGGCGAGTTGAACAATCACATATCTAAAAGAAAAATTATATAATTTTCTCTCTAAAAAAAGTTGCCCTTGATTATTACTCACTTTGATTTGGCTCCCATGCTTCAGGACCTGCGAAAATCCAACAAACTGCAAAGATCTCGTGAATTTGCGGCAAAAAACTGAAAAAATTGGGTCGAGTTGGATTTTTTGGCAATTTGCCAGTGTGCAAACACCGCACGACTGCGGTCGCCGCATTTTATTTGACGCGCATGTTATTTCAATCCATTTTGAAAATTTACAAATTTGTTTACTTGTTTTTTCGCATGTTTTTGCTTTCGTGTGACATTTTTTGCTATACGAAAAATTATCTGAGTTTCGTTCCACTGATAAGAATACTTTCCCCGCTGTCTGACCTTTGAAAAGCTAGATTTTTTGAAATTTTCGAAAATACCCAAAATATGCAAATTTTTCAGGGTATAAACCAAGAATTGTATCAGTGGGAGTTAAATGTCATCATCAAGTGATCTTCAGGTATTTATAATTGAATATTTTTCTTGTCAACAAAAACTTTCATGACATTTATAGAGTTCGCCTGAACATGTTGTTGCAAAACGAGCGAGGATAAGTCAATGGCCAGCGGTTCCAATGACTCGGGCATTTGAAGCAATCGACAGAATAGCAGATAAATTTCCACCAGAATCCAAGGGTTATCCAACTGTTGCACTTACAAACGGACGAGTTATAGCCGAAGATATTCGCGCACCAGAAAATGTGCCAAAAGCGAGAACTTCGGTAAAAGATGGATATGCTGTAATTGCAGCGGATAATTTGATGATCAGAAGAGTTGCTGGAGTCGCAACAGCTGGACAACCTTGGGATGGAATATTGCAACCTGGAGAATGTATTCGAATTAGCACGGGAGCTGTGATACCAGAAGGGGCTGATGCTGTTGTTCAAGTCGAAGATACTACTTTAGCTGGATATGATGGTGATGTCGAAGTTGCGATCAATATTTTAATAGCACCAGAAGTCGGAAAAGATATTCGAGAAAAAGGTTCAGACATAAAAGAGAATGATGTTCTTCTTGAAAATGGTTGTGAACTTGGTCCTGCTGAAATTGGTCTTCTTCATATGTTCGGAATCCAAAATATTGAAATCTACAGAAAACCAAAGGTTTGCGTGATGTCAACTGGAAATGAACTTGTCGAATCGTATCACATTTGTCCACCGCAAGGATTTATTCGAGATTCGAATCGCCCACAACTTTTGTCGCTTTTTAGAAGTCAAGGATTTAAGCCAATTGATGCTGGAATTGCATCGGATAATATTGATTCAATTGAAGCTGCAATTCGACAAGCATCTGAATTTGCATCAGTTATCGTAACTTCTGGCGGTGTTAGTATGGGCGAAAAAGATTATTTGAAAGAAGTTCTTCGCAATCGTCTCGGCTTTGAAATCAGTTTCGGAAGAGTTTGGATGAAACCAGGTCTTCCTTGCACAGTTGCACATGGAAAAATCAACAATCTCCCAGTTGTTGTTTTCGCATTGCCTGGAAATCCAGTCTCTTCGTATGTTTGTGCCAATCTTTTTGTCACACCATTTCTTCGCGCAATGGCTGGATGTAATCGACCAAAACAACCAGTTATTAAAGTGAAATTGGCAGCTGAAATGAGACTTGGACCACGGCCAGAATATTGTCGAGCATGGCTAGAAAGTCGATGTGGTGAAACATTTCCAATTGCAAATGTGACAGGAAATCAAATCTCATCCAGGTAGAATTTTCATACAATATTGTCTATTTAGAAATGATTATTTAGGAATGTCTTATTCACACGTTCAAAATAAAAAAACCAAAAATGTTAACCTAAAACGCGAATTAAAATTTCATTTTTATTCTTAAAACTAAAATAAAATAAATCAAGAGGATTTTTCGAAGCCTAACTTCCGGTAAGAACTTTTTCAATTTCCCATGAAATAATTATATGTTTCCCGTCTTGAAATAGTGCACTGCATACTAGTTTCTCGGAAAAAGTAGAGATTTTTATAAAAGCGATTTTTGGAATTGTAAACTATATTTTAAAATTTAGATGGTCTTCATTTGAAAATTTTGGAATCAGGAGACAAAAAAATTGTTTGATCCCAAAAACCTGTTCACATCCCCTCATGAAAAAAACATCTGCTCCACGGTATACCAAATACGTATTTCACCTTCCCAAAGGGAAAGTATCATTATTATTATAACTAGCGTCCCTTTCCCCCAAACATTCTTGTTTTTTTTCCAGACTTCCAAGCCTTGTCGGCGCTCATGTTCTTCTCGTTATCCCCCAATCTTCGACCGAAAAAACGCAACTCGAAAAAGGCGAACTCGTCGACGCAATCATTATTTCTTCACTATTTTAACCACATTATCTTTCAACTTTTTCTTCTTCTTTAACTATTCACTTATATCAGGAGTCTTTTTCAACTACTACCTTTAACCGCCTTATTTTTTGCATCCCGATGTGTTGTTTTTTAGCATAATTATGTACTTTAATTGCCTCAAAACTTATTGAATCTTGCCTTATGATTTTTTTTATTTTATGTTGAGTTGGATTTGAATTTGAAAGACGTTTTGAACGTTGAAAATATCTTTATGTATTTGCAGAGAAGCAGCTACAAATTTTTCAGCATTTTGAGATCTATTAAGCCTGGAATCACATCACAAGCTCGATCAGATCTTAAAAATTCAAACCGCAATCCATTTTTTCCAGATTTTAAGAAATCATGGATCAAATGGTGATTGAAGATCTGACATCTGATATAAATGATGTCAAAGATAAATTGAGAGAATTTGATGATAAAATCGGAACTCTCGAAGGCCGTGTTCCAAAACATCAACGAATTTCATACGACATCGAAGAACCACTGAATTCAAATGTTGATCGAAGTTCTTTTGGGCTGAACGACGAAGGAAATTCATTCAATAAAGATTATCGAAAAGATAGTAATACTGGTGGAGCTATTCGAAAGAGAATGTAAGTGGGATTCTAAGAAAAAGAACAAATAATTAGTTTTTTTTTCAGAATTTCTGATCGTCGAAGAAGCTCGGAAAACGCAAATTTTGCTCAAAAACGGGGAAGAATTTCATATGATAATGATGACGAAGAAGTGGCAAAACGCCCAAAAAAGTGAGTTTTTTCTAGAAATTATCTGAAATTTATACTGAAAACTGATATTCAGTTCAGTCACAAAAATATCTATTTTTCCAGAACCGTTCAATCAACCATAATAATGCCCGCTTTGGACAGCAAAGGCCGTGAAGAGAAAATCGAAAAACTGAAAGAAGAAAACAAAGATTCGAATACCAGAAATCGTCGAATGTTTTCAAATCTTTTAATGGGAACTCTCAACAATTTCAAAAAAACTGAAAGAAAAACAGCACAACAATTGAAACAAGAAGAAGTCGAAAAGAAATTAGAGGAAACCAGAAAACAAGAAGAGGTTAAAAGAAATCAGGAAAAATCGGAATTGGTTCAAAAAAGAAGAGAACAAGAAAGAGAGTTGCAAGGATTGCAGAGAAAGAAGGCTATTTTTCAATATGTAAGTTGAGAAAAAGTCCGAGTGGTTTATAAAAAATCAATACATTTTTTTCAGGCTGAATTGACGATTAATCAACTGAAATTGAGAAAAGGATCGATCGAAACAACAACAAGTCCGACTATTTATTGGCAACCTGTTAAACATACAGTAAGATCTATGGAGTTATTGCAAGTTACCGAAAGAAAATTGGATGGTAAGGTTTTTGTTTTTGAAACAAGATCTTTTTGGTTTTTCAGACTTTTAAACCGAAAAATTTATACCAATATCATACAACATTCAGAACCTGAAATTCCAGGGCGAAATTTTTCAAACTGTCCACTCCCCTCATTTTTATTCGAAATCAGGGCGAAATTTTTCTGTATCAGATTCCTGGATGACCAAAATATTTTTTTTTCTAAAAAAATCTCATTTAAATCTAAATTTCCCGTGACCTCTACTTGAAAAAAATCTTCACATTTCTCAATTTTTCAGATTTGATCCGCGAACGCGAAGAAAAAATGAAAAATGATCTCGAAGCTGGTGGTTTCAACAAAAGCAACAATAATGAGGGTTCAGATTCGGGTTCAGACTCAGATTCTGATTCAGAAGGAGCAAAAGGAGAAGATGAATATGATAAACAAGAGGATAATTCGGAAAATGAGGAAGAAGAAGAGATTAAAGTGGTTATTAAGGCTGAAAACGATGAGGATGAAGCGGAAAATGATGGTGGTGCTGAAGATGATGAAGTTCGTGTTGAACTTGATTGAGATCTCGATTTTTGTTATTGGCCCAAAATCTTGGGTTTTTATATGGTAAGTGAGCGTGTGCGCGAGTTTTAAATTTTCTTAATTTTATCTTTTCTTTTTTTCTAAACTTTCAAATAATTTTTCACCACTCTGTTTTTTTTTCAAATAATCACTGTTAATTAATTTTGAAAAAATCGATAAATAATTCAAGAAAAATGTATTTATTACATATAAGTTTGGAGATCAAAAGAGTTACTCGTAGACAAAAATGAAAATGAAGAAAATTGAGGACTATTTGGGGTTTTGCCTAGCGGGGAGATTTTATTGGGAAAATGATTGGAAAATTTAGATAAAATGTAGGTAGGAGCGGAATGAACGCGGTAAAATAATTTGTCAAATTTTTTCTTGAAAGCATGAATTCTTTCAAAAGAAGTTCATAAAAAAGTTAAACAAAATTAAAAATTTTTGACAAAAATCGAATTTTCTCACGAATTTTTCGATAATTTTACGAACTTCTCAAAAATCATTTTTCGGTCCTACACGTACATTCATCATTCAAAGATTTTTCCAAACCGGCCCTTTAAAAATTCCCGTTTACAAGGCCTAAATCAAAGTGTGGGGCGGTGAATGATTGTGATTAGTGTGATTGTTGACCAGCGGAGTTTGTTCATGATTTTTTCGTTGATGCGGACCGTTTGAATTTCGAATAGGCGCGTTTTTGACCTGAAAATTTGAAAAAAAAACTCAAGAATTTCATAAATTCCATAAAGTTTACATCACAAAGTTTTTGGTGTAATAAAATGGTCTGATGAATAAATAAAGTAAATTGGTGGCTCGAAAAAAGCGTTATGACGTGGCAAAATTTGCTTTTTAAAGTTACTAATTAGTTTTATCAACATTTCAAATTTCAGAAAAAAACTTTCATGAAAATTTTGAAACAGTTACTTTTTTAAATTTTTGGTTCAATCAAACTCACATGTTGTGCGACTTGATCCATCGACAATACTCCCCTCCTTTTCTTCGGCATTTTAGATCTTGCTTGAGTATGCGAATAGAACATTGCAAAATTTGAAACAATAACTGGAACTGGAAGAGCAATTGTGAGCACACCAGCCAATGCACAAATTGAACCAATTAGACGACCCAAATATGTATGAGGTGTGATATCTCCGTAGCCGATTGTTGTCATTGTTACAATCTGTAGATAATGGGGAATAGGAAGTTGGAGGTGGAGGAAAATCAAGATTTATTTAGGCTGCTAACTTAAAGTTTTGAGAACAACTATTTTTTTCTTAATAGCTTGAGCTTGCGAAGCTCCGCATTCTTCCGCGAACGCGGCAAAATCGTGTGGCTCAAAGTTACCCTCTTATAAATCTTTCCTCTTTCTCAAAAATACTAGCTAACTTTTTCCTTTCCCTAAAAACAATCAAAAAGCCCCTAATTAATTCAATTTTCTCTGACCTTCTAGAACAACATTTCCTATATTTTTAGAGCTTTACTCCTATAAATCTAGAAAACCAGAGATGCTTAAAGATGAAAATAGACTTACCGCCCACCACAATCCAATCGGAATACTTTGAAATTGATTATCCTCATTACTCTCCACTCTTTCTGCATAATAAACCAGAGACGCAAAAACAACAACACCCAAAACTAGGAAAAATACGAGCAACATCAATTCTTTGGCCGATGCTCGAAATGTGTGCATTAGAATTTTGAGACCCGCATTGTGATGGGTTAATTTGAATAGACGCATAATTCGAATAATCGAGAAGAATTCGAGATCAGCCGCTGTTCCGATGTATGCAGAAATGACATCGATGTAGAAGGTGAGCGTGGCGATTATGTCGATTATGTTGACCGGGGGCCTAGAAATTCGGAATTGAATTTTAGAATTGAGAAATTATAGAAAGGCATTTCTCCGACAACTAAACACTTGTCAAGCATCCTTTTCTACTATGTATATTTAAATTTCTAGCAGCCACCCCTAGATGACTACAGTAAAGACTAATCGATCTGCTGTTCTGAACTTTTCTTTTTCAAGCAACTATCCCTAGGCAGCTACAGTATCTTCCAGGTGCAATTATCTTGACACTTTTTGGTTAATTAGAAGTCATCAGAGCTACAGTATCCCATTCTTTTCTTAGCTAGTTTCTTAACAATTTGAAATAAAATTCTGAACTCTGAAAATCCACGTGGAAATTTTTGGACCTACAAACCTTTAAATATTCCAATCTCGATGGGCACGAAAAGAATCGTGCTAAAATCTCAATCGTAAACCAAACATTACAAATCGCCTCGATTTTCTGGAAATATGGATTCGGTTTCGACGCTAATTTTTCGATATGTCTTTGTTCTGGATGAAGAGACGGATGAATATTGATGCTTCTGCAAAAAAACAAAACTTTTTTTTTGAAAACTAACGTAAATTAAATTAAATTATATTTTGAAAAATTGTGAAAAACAAAGCTGTTTATGTTTTGTTGTTGGAGAACTCACCGCTTCGAAGTATAATTTTTATCGGATATAAATTCGTGTATTCGAAAACCTGGATGTGTTTTGAGACAAAATACAATTATAGCGGTGATTAGAAAAAATACAGAAATTGAGGCGATGAATTGAGCACTTCGAGAACTCGATGGTTCGTCGAATAATCGCCAGATTCTAGGTTTTAGTTTTTGCCAACTTGAAAGACTGTCATTATGATAATCATCTTCCCAACCAAAACGTTTGTAGAGTTCCTGCAATTGAATTATGGGATTTTTTTAGATCAAATTAATTGCAGGTTAAAAAGTATTACACATTTACAGTAATCTGAAAAGAAGGCACAGTAATATTTTTAGAGAGATTTTTATTCTGCCACATCATAAGAAAATTTCATGACGTGGAATGGAATTTCGGAAATTTCTTGCAAAAAAATCTGTGTCTCAAATTTCAAAAAAAAACAATTTTTTTTGAACCCCTTCGAATTACAAAAAATGAAAACTCAATTAATTTTCTGCACTATTTTTTGAGTAATTAAAAAATTATTTTTAAAAAGTTCTGAAACATCGATATTCAGAAATTCCAGACCCCGAATCCGTTCCCAAAAACTAACCGGTCCTTCAGTCTGATCAACTTCAATATCCAATTCATCCAAAGTCTTCAAAACATCCTGTGTATCTCTAGTTCCAGATAATGTCATCCAACAACAAGGTTCACATTCATTCGAATCCAAACCCCAATATTTTAATTCTTCTTCAAAAAGTGGACCACAAACATCGAGAGGATAATGAAGTTTACCAGTTCTAAAACACAAATTAGTACTCCCTAGATGGAATTTTTGAGGGATTAGGACATTCAGTTCCGGAAATTAGAGAGCTTCAAAATAATACCTGTAGTAATTTAGAATTTGCGCAAAAACACCGGGATGTCGATCAAAAAAATATTCATTCAGCACTGGATCATAATTTGCTAAATTTGTTGTTAGTCGAGATAGCCTAAAATAATTTTGATATTTTTTCAGAGTTCCAGGAACTTATGAGGTTACCTTGTAGCTGGAATTTTCTTCAAAGTATGTTTATAGGTCTCGTGGCGAACTCCTCCAACATTCAAAATAATCCGATACTCGCTATCCATAACCGTTTGCCTGCAAAAATCTCAAAATAAATGAGGAAAACGAAATACTGAACACATTGAAAATTGCTGAAAAATGTGTGCAGCGATGTCCGAGTGGTTAAGGAGATAGACTTGAAATCTATTGGGCATTGCCCGCGTAGGTTCGATCCCTGCTCGCTGCGAAATTTTTTGTTTTTATTTTTTGGAAAAATTTTAGAATTTTGGGATGTGTTTTTTTTTCGGATGAATAGGTATTATTAACAACAAAGCTCTGGAGAAAGCAAGGCGGCTGCGAAAAATAAGAAAAAGTGTTATCCGTATGTCGTGTAATTCGATATGTTTTGTCCGTTTTACTCAAAAAAGTAGCTCACTCTGGAAAAAAGAGGCGGCGCGCGAAAAAAGCAAAAAAGAAAAGAAGAGAGAAAGCTCTAAACTAAACTAAAATAGAATAAAATAAAGCTTAATGTAAGTAATTATAGCGAAGAAGAGTCAGTGGCTGAAAAATAGGGAAAAGGCAGGAGGAGGCAGGAGCAACAGCAAAAAAAGGCAATTAGTTTTTTGTGTCGCCGCGCTCTGTAGAAAAAATAGTAGTTAGAATAACTCGAAGAAGATTTCGAAAAAATAAATCGGATTTTTGTCTTTGTGTTGCGAAAAGTAGAAGAGGAAAGAAGAAGCTGAAGCAAGCAAGAATGGAAAAAATGGAATATCATATTTCAGGGCAAATTTCTTTGATTTTGAGGGCGCGCGGGCGGATTGCTGAAGAGTTGGAAAATGAATGAGTGACTAAAGTGTTGTTTGTATTAGTATGAAGAATCTTCATTGAAGATACTGTAGATTTGAGGGGGTTGAAAGATCAGATATCTACATATAGGTAGAACAGGTTTGGTAGAACTTGAGTTTTGGAAACACTAGTTATAGACTAAGATGAGATTTCAACATAAGGATCGAAAAACCTTGTCGCCTAGATTCCGATTTTTGGTCGTGGCCTAGAATCCGACTTTTCTAGATCTTCTAATACAGTTTCGCAAGAGAATAGACATGGCCTAGATTCCGACTGGGCAACCAATTTTCAAAAGATTCCTACTCAATTCTGAAAACTCAAACTAAAAACAATTTTTCTCCTTCACAAAACAAAAAAAAACAAAATGCGAAAAGCTAGCAATAAAATTGAAATTGCATGTTTCGGGGCCCAAAAAATTAATAAGCCTAGTCTCAAACTCATTTCATTTTTTGCTTCGACACTGAAAAAAAAACAAATTCATAATAAATATACTTATTTAGTTTCCGTGTCAGAAATTAATTATATTTCTTTTTTTTGCGCATACAAATTCATCATTTTCATTTTTTTTGCATGATATTTATTTTTTTCTATGAAAAAAATTATTTTTCCGAATAATTATACTTTTTCCGGGGGACTTGGAAAGTGCAGGAACTTTGTGTCAATCAATCAAATAAAAATGAGAAAAAAAACACCGTGGCACAGATTTGCAGAAATAATAATTTGAAAATTGTTATCTAACTAGAATTTTCTCGCACAATTTTTCAAGCATTCCGAAGAATATTGTTATTTTCAAAGTCTATAGAAACTATAGTTTTCGAGAATGAAAACCCGAAAAAAACTGTGGCGCAGCGCTTGCTTCAAAAATTAAATGAAAAGTGCATTGAGCATTTTTGAAAATTGAAAAAATGAAAAAAAACCAATCCCATAAATGCACAGAAAAAGCAGCAGACGAGCCAGCCAAAAATCCTTTTCTCCTTGGATTTTCGCATTCATTTTTTGACCTACCCAAAAGCAGTTGATGAATTTGTTCCATTATTATTTCGTCGACGAATTGACATTCAACCCCGGAAAAAAAACAAGAAATTTTGAATTTTTGAGATGTGACACAAAAAGTGCAAAAAGTTGGACCTAGCAACAAACATTTCATTTTTTGGAGGGGGAAAAATGGGACCAAAAAATTCTTTTCATTTTCTTTTTGTTATTTTTTTTCTTTTTGAAAAAATGAAAGGTGTCCAAAAGGAGCGAAAAGAAAAAAAAAGAAAAAATTAATTTTTAATCCTCCCAAAAAAAAAAATGGGACCCGGATTTTGTTTGGAAATTCTTTGGGGGCCCCATATTTGCACTTGAAATTTGATTAGTCTCGATCGGTTTAGAAAAAAAAGCAGAAACACAAAAAACCAATTGAATCTTTGTCTAGGCCTTTTTTCAGCCAGAAGAAGGAAAAAATCAAAAATGAATAAAAAAAAAACATTTTCCCATGGATTCAATTATTCGGGCGGCGGGAAACCATGGAATCACTTTCATTTTTGTTGAAAATTCTCCCGACTGAAAAGAAATACAATTTGAAAAATACACGTTTCTGAACCTATTTAGAATATTGGAAATTTGATATATGGTGCCACAAATTTTTTCAACGCATTTTTGAATGCAAAATATTTGGCGCAAAAAATGTGTGCTTTGATTTGGTGATTTATAGAGACTGAGAAAATTTTTTGATTGAACTTTTGAACCTTTTGAAAAAAAGTGTGCGGAACTTGCAATTTTTTTTGTGCACGGTCTGTTTTCTTTAAGATAAAATTTCCAGAAATTTGAACTTGCCTTCTGAAAATTACTAAATTTCGCATAAAAGAATTCGTTTTCTGTCATGAAAATTAATTAATAAATTTGCAAAATTCTGGAATTGAAGATTTTTGATTAAAAAAAAATTTCAATTAAAAAATATTTGTCTTCAAAACATCAGACAAAAATTAGCCACGTCATAACTTGTTTTTGCGAAAAATTAGCTAATTTTCTCTAAAAGTCCCCAAAGGATTTCCAAACACAGAAAAAAAACAATCGAAATTTTTAAAATTTTTATTTTCTAGAAAAAAAGTTCAAAAAATAATTAAATCATCATTTTTTGCAAATTTTTCCAAGAAAAATCTCAAAAAAAAAAGATGACAAGCCAAAAAAGGTGAGTTATGCTAACTAACCCCACGTTTTTTTCTCAGAAAGTACAAAATGTGTGAAAATGAGCTCAGGAAAGGCTAAACCGATTAGATGGTGTGAAAAAGGTGCATTTTAAATTTGGCACATTTCCGAAACCAGTTTCTCTGTTCGGGTTTTTTGTGAACATCTTTCAGAAAAAAAATACACACAAATGAAAATGAGCAAAAAATGAAAAATAAAAAAAAATCGCAAAAAAATGGCGAAGCTATTTAATTGAGTAGAAATGGGATGAAGAAAAGTTGGGTTTTCCGGCACAGAAAAAATGGAGATTTTTTTGAATTTGTTTTTTTTTCTGCTTTGCAAGTGCAATTAGGGAGGGTGGTCTCTGGGAGACAAAAACACGCTGCGCCACAGTTTTTAAATAAAAAATTTGAAATTTGAAAACTCTAGAAATATTATTAATCGGAATCAATGATTCGGCCCAACTCCAGACAACCCATTTTTATTTGGAAAAAACCAGATTCAAACTCACCTTGAAAACTATATAAATATATTTATTTATAAAATCAGCCAAATTTTTGATGAAGTCTAAGTCGACGAACGAAAAAAGTGCCAAAAATTAGGGTTAAATATAAAAAGGTCGTGATGAAAAATGAGCGAGAAACGAGGAGCTGACGAAAATTAAATCAACTTTTTCTTTTCCGCAAAAATGTGTGTGTTTCGCTAATTTCAAAGTCTGTGAAAAATGAAATGAACAGAACAGATGTGTTGAAAGATTCAAACATTTTTTTGTTTTCAAAGTTCAAATTTATTTGGGGAAAAAACGATTAGAAATTGTCGGGAACATTTAAAAAATGTTAGCATATTACTAATATTCAAATTTTCAGATTACAGAATTTTTTTAAATTTTGACGCTAAAACTATTGATTGTATCTCTCATGACAAAACGCTTTAATAAAAATTCATAAAAATTAAAATAATTTTGAAACGTATTTTTTCAGACTTACATATATGTTTCCTATCAAGACCAATTTCTAATTTTCAAAATAGATTAATAAATTTTTTAACTAAAAAATAACTGAAATTTCTGACTTAATTTTCATGTGAAAAAATTTATATTGATACAATAATTTTTCGAAATATACTTACCAATTCAATCACTCAAAACACCCACTAAATAATTTCAAATATCCCTCAAACCTATTTTTCGCTTGATTTTTCAAATTTTTTGTTGTTGAAAAACGCACCTTTTTCTAAAAATAAGTATCAATATTCAATCCGAAAAATTCTTGTTCTTCACAGAAAAAATCTGAAACTGACACACAATATTTTGAAGGCCCCTTTCCAAAATTCTTATGCATTTTACATTGTTGTTTTTCTCACGATCAGCGCAATTTTTGCTTGGGAAGATATTTGTGTACTTTTTCTTATCAATGGCAGAAACTTGACAAGTCCAAGTTTTCACAGACGAAATTTCGGTTTCGTGGATTTTTTTCGAAATAAAACAGGTTTTTAACAGCATTCGAGGATGATTCAATTATCTCCCTGATTTTTTTTTTGAAAATTTACTTATTGGAAAATTTTGAAATCGAAACCGAAGAAAAAAGCGGACCTTGAATGTTAAGGTGTGATTCCCCCAGACAGTCTAAGCCCTTTTTTATAGGCTTAGGGCCCAGAAACCTTCAGATTAGAATTTTTCAGATTAGAACCAAGATTCCATGAAAAAAATTGCGACACTCAGAAATGAACTGAAAATGTGCCCGCCCTAGTCTATTCTGAAATCTTAACTTCACTCACCTATGGCTTTCCGAACCTCCACCATTATTACTGATCTTGTCACCGATTGTCATCTGAAAAAAAAACAATTTTGATTTTGAAAAAAAAATTCAGACAAAATACAAGTATACACATAACACGAATAAGGAATAAAAATGTTGCAAAAAAACAAAACACCCTCCAATTTTCGATAAATATTTCCGGGAAAAATATGAAGTTTTTTCTGGGGGGAAAACAGTATTTTTCAGAAGCAGCTGAATTTCAGCTGATATTAGAATACGGCTAAAAATATGTTGATTTTCAGCTGCCCTTCTGCTTTATTTTCAGAGAAGAAGAAACGGAGACAATAATCAACAGGGGAATTTATCAAAATTGATTAAATTTAGACAACATTTGGGAGGAAGTTTGGATTTTAATATCAGTTTTGAAAAAACTTCACGAATGGCTTGTGAAACAAAATGAATCAATTTGAAAAAAATTGAAACTTTATCAAAAAATTTTGAAACAGTATATTTTTCATTTGAAGACTATAATTATTATTTCCAAAGCAAATTTGAATTTGAAAATTGAAATGTAAACTTTTTTGGATTTTTGGCATCTATAGTCTGAATTTCTAGAAAATTCCACATTTCACAATATTTTCTAGAAAATATCTGATGTCACTTTACAATTTTCATCTAAATTCCAACAAAACCAGTTTCAGCTTCGTCAGCCATATTTAAAGTTTCTAGATATTCCATGTCCAAATTTTTCACATATATGATTTTCTAGTCTTCGCCTAAGAAATTCTAGATTTCATCCAGATGTTCCTGGAGAAAAACCAGTTCCAAGGAAGCTTCCTTAAATCCAAAGGCGAAGTTTCCCTCCACCTTTACCAAACTGTATTTTTAATCGTTCTACAAATATCATTCCAAACATTTTTACATATGAAATGAATCGGCCCCCGCCGTTAACCCACAAAAAATCCAGAAAAACCCGATTTTTTTGTTGCATTTTTGCGGCCGCCCTCCCTTGATTATTTCTTCTTCTTTTTCGACAATATCCTAGAAGAAAAAGAAAATCTGTTTTCGTCTTTTATTTTTCATAATAATACAGATTACTATACGATAATAATAATAATAATTATTATTATATTATATTATATTATATTTATATCTTTTATGCGTACAACAAAAATTTTTGCGCGCAGATCAGTGAAAACTTATTATCTTCCCATCCCATTTGCGTACTTTTTCTTGGAAAAATTTGTACAATTTTTATTTTTACAGAAATAATGCAATCCTCTCTAGTTCTTCTAATTTCATCCCTAGCCTTTTGCACAGCTGGTTAGTTTTTTCTCTCTAAAGTTTCAAAATTAATTAATTTTTTTGAAAATTTTAGGTCCACTTGCTGTGAATTTGAATGATCAAGCTGTAAGTTGAATTAAATTTTTTTCAAATATTCAATTATTCAAAATATTTTAGGCTGTGGATTTGGGATCGTATGATCGTGCCAGATTTGAACTTGTTGAAACTTTCCACCCACTTCAAATCGCATCTGCTGTTTCAAGTGAGTTAGGGATACTGTAGTTTGATCTACGTCAGGTTTCAAAATAGAAATATTTGGATTTTGAAGATTTGAAATCAAAATGTTAGTATTAAAATCTCAGAGTTTCCAGAAATTTTTGAAACTTTCGAGCAAAAAAAAAAATGTAATGGGACGATGCGCGAAGAAAAAAAACGTCAAAAAACGTGTTTTGAAACATAAAAATACAATGCACGAAATGTCGCAAAACGTCGCGAAACTCGAGTTTTTCGACATTGAAATGTCGCGAAACAAGCATGTTTTTTTGTATCGTAATGAAACCACAGACACTGGAGATCGCATCTTACAATGTTTTTACTTGTTTATAACGGTTTTCACCACTATTTTCTCCGGAAACATGAGACGTGGCAAATGCATTTCACATATAATATTTTCATTTGACGAAGATTCCTTTTCAGAAGTTTTTATTGCCAATTTTCGTAAATTAATGTCCTTTTTCAACCCCTGATATGTTTTTTCTACAAAAACAATCTATATTTTTTCCACATTTTGAGAAAAATAATACTTGTTTCGCGACATTTCAATGTCGAAAAACTCGAGTTTCGCGACGTTTTGCGTCATTTCGTGCATTGTATTTTTATGTTTCGAAACACGTTTTTTGACGTTTTTTTTCTTCGCGCATCGTCCCATCAAGAAAGTATTCACATCAGAGAAAAATTTGAACTAAAAATCTCTGTAAAACCAGATAATCCCTAAACTTTAGTGGGATTCTTTTTTCTAGGAAATTTTGAAATCAGGATGTTGAGGTCATAAAGAAGTTCGAAAAAAATTCCATTTTGAAGAAAAAAGCTCTAATAATAAAAATAATTATGCAATTTCAAAACTTTGTGGCAAAAAATATGACAATCTTTTCAGATAAAAATTGTAGTCTTCAGTTTCAGATAAAATGTTGAAACTCAAAATTTCTGGAAGACAAAAGCAAAAGCTCGAGTTTCAAAATTCACCCAAAAAATGAATGACATCAATTAACACAATCAAAAACGTAAAAAAGGAAGAAGCCTATGCCAAAAATAAGAAAAAGGATTAACCAAAGAAAAACACTCTTTACATCCAAACTGAAAAAGAAGAAAATACGAAAAGAAATTCGATACTTTAGCAATTAAAAAAGTTGTCAGGTGCAAAATGAAAATAATACTTACTTACCAGTCAACATAACGTGGAAGAGAGAAAAAAAGTTGGAGAAAAACATCTCAGAAGGAATGATCCCCGATTTACCCCCTGGATTTTGATGATTATTTTTTTAAAAGAAGTATATTTGGGAGTTATGAAATCACATAGTAGCATTTTGCAAACTTCGGCCTATTTCATGAGTTATGGGAAGTCCGTGATTTTTGAGTTAAAAACTGGTCTTGAAACTTCTCGGGGTCGGAACTTTGTTATTTTTCATCGAAAAACGTCCACCAAAAAATCATTTTGAAGCTAAAAATGCGAAGATTTCAAAATTTTTGGTCCCCGGAATCATTCGATAACGTTATCATATGATAATTGTGAAATTTCAAAAATTCGAAATTTTCAAAAAATCAAAATATAAAACAAATAGTATTCAGAGGGCTTGGGGAGAGTGGACACCGATTGCATCGTGTTCCTCATCAAAAATTAGGTCTACGAGGATGGTCGAAAATATCTGTAATCAGCCTTTTACAAGAAAGAAAAATTGATTTTTACGTTTTTTCACTATTTCAGATGAGCATTTTCACTGTTTATTGACAAAACTAGGATTCTATTGTTTGCATAATTTTTTAAACAATGTTTTTTATTATCAAAACGTTGATTTTTAACAATTCTATCATTTTCCGATCATTTCCAATTTTTCTCAAAGTCTCCCAACACCCAAACAATTAAATTTACAAATTAATTGTTTCAAAAATCTTTTGTCAATAGTTAGATCATATTTGAGTTCTGAAACCTGGATTAGCTTTTTCTACGTCAAAAATTGATCCAGAAAAAATATATGAAAATATCACTATCCGATAAAATAAAAGCAAATCGATATTGAAAATAAAGCTCTCTGATGTTCTTTATCAAAAAAAAAATAGATTTTTTGTTTTATGTGAATAACTCATTTGTAACTCTTTGAATACGCCGGTTCGAAGTATTTTAGAAAATTATTTCTGGATCAATTTTTGACGTAGAAAAAGCTAATCCAGGTTTCAGAACTCAAATATGATCTAACTATTGACAAAAAGATTTTTGAAACAATTAATTTGTAAATTTAATTGTTTGGGTGTTGGGAGACTTTGAGAAAAATTGGAAATGATCGGAAAATGATAGAATTGTTAAAAATCAACGTTTTAATAATAAAAAACATTGTTTAAAAAATTATGCAAACAATAGAATCCTAGTTTTGTCAATAAACAGTGAAAATGCTCATCTGAAATAGTGAAAAAACGTAAAAATCAATTTTTCTTTCTTGTAAAAGGCTGATTACAGATATTTTCGACCATCCTCGTAGACCTAATTTTTGATGAGGAACACGATGCAATCGGTGTCCACTCTCCCCCAAGCCCTCTGAATACTATTTGTTTTATATTTTGATTTTTTGAAAATTTCGAATTTTTGAAATTTCACAATTATCATATGATAACGTTATCGAATGATTCCGGGGACCAAAAATTTTGAAATCTTCGCATTTTTAGCTTCAAAATGATTTTTTGGTGGACGTTTTTCGATGAAAAATAACAAAGTTCCGACCCCGAAGTTTCAAGACCAGTTTTTAACTCAAAAATCACGGACTTCCCATAACTCATGAAATAGGCCGAAGTTTGCAAAATGCTACTATGTGATTTCATAACTCCCAAATATACTTCTTTTAAAAAAATAATCATCAAAATCCAGGGGGGTAAATCGGGGATCATTCCTTCTCAGAAAAAAGTATATGTAGTATTAATTGTATGTAAATAGATATTGTATACCTAACCTAACACATGAATGTATGTACTTGAGAGATTTTGTGGATTTTTGAACTTTAAGACGAGGATAAGGTGAGAAAGAAGGCTACTGTAGAATACGTGGATTTTATGTGCGAAAATTTTGATCTCGAAACTTTTAAGACCAAATTCAAAGGTTTTGAGAATTTCAGTGTGTTTCTAGCACCAAAAATTGCGATCTCATATTGAAAAGGTTTTCATCGAGTACTGTAGATTACGTCGATTTTCATCGTCTAATCTTGTTATAAAATTTTCGAGTCTAAATTTAAAGTCTTAGTATTTGCAGTCTGAAATCAATCAAAATCATTATTCTTCAAGCTGAAAAAAGTCCAGGTGAAAATGGGAACTCAACAAAACATTATGTTTTTTTCTCATTTTCTAAATGAAAGTTTTTATGATTTTTTTCTTAGAAAAAAGTTCGGGGGAAATTTAGAATTTTATAAGAAAAAAGATCAAGATCTAGCTCAAAAGAAGATCAAATTAAAATCTCAGATAATATTGAGAGCTTTTCAAAATCTAAAAAAAAAAACTTAGCCTAACCCTAAATTTTGCAGATGATCAAATCGCCGAAGCAATTCGCGCCAAAGCCGCCGGCGTTCGCCAACAAACCGATCAACAAGTCGCAATCTCAATCGAAACTCCAACTGAGTTCACAAGCCCAAACAGACCAGAACGTAAGATTTGCATTCAAAATCAGAAAAAACTATGTACATAGAAATATTCCGAGACCGGATATAATAATCAAGCAGCTCTTAAAAATTCATCGGCGAAGAAAATTTTAAACATTTTTTTTTGATGCGATTAAAAAATCTTCGGGGGAGGGACAGAAAAAACAAAAAGAATGTGCCGAGCAAAAAAAGATTCAGAGATGAATAATTTAGAATAAATTTTCTCGAATTGACTATGTTACAAGCAGCGGCAAGTTGCGCTCTTCTTTATTTCATATTCTTTTCTTTTGGATTTTTTGTGACACACACAAAAAAAGAGACCAGAGGACCAACCGACCCAAAATTGGATTTGTTGTGTCAAAAGGAAAAAATATAGATGGATATATATATGAGAATATACTTATAAGTAGATCTTTTTTGCTCAATGAGCCTTATGAATCTGAGGGCAAAAAAAGTTGAGCTAAAAAGTGGAAGCAGAAAAAAATCTTTTTGTTTGAGTAAAATGAGAAGAAAAGAATATTTGATGAGGTGACCTTTTGCATTCGAAAAAAAGTAATCATATGATTGAAGAAGAGAAAATAGAGAAGCAGAAGAAGTACTTCTTACAGTAGGTCAAAAATATATCGGTAGATCAAAAAATTATGGAAGAGAACTTTAGAAATTCTGCATTGAAATTAGACATTATACTTTATTTATAGAAAAAAATCAGTACTGTAGTTTGTTCAGATCAGTCAGCTTTAGAAGTACTGTAAACCGACTGGAAAAATCCAGAATTACTATATCTGATAGATCAACAGATATTGGGAGTACTGTAGCGCGTTTGAATTTCATAAATTTAAAAAAAAACCCCTAACTCACTTGATTTTTATTCTTTTAAATTTTCGAATACGATAGTTTATGACGTGACAATATTTCACAAGTTCTGAAAATTAGAAATGAGAAGATTTTTTGTCACGTGATTTTTTAAAACTAAAAATACATAGGTCACGTTTTTAAGAGTCGGTAACTTTTGAAGACACAACTTATTTTTTATTCGAAAAATAGACAAACTCAAACAAAACTGAATTTCTCACAGTCCAAAAGTCCATCTAAACTTTTTCAAAAAAATTTCATTATTTTTCCATAAGGAAGTTTCCGCGTTCCACTTTCGGCTTAAATTCGATTTATGTCTCTCTCTATTTCATATTTTTGATAGGTTTGAAAAAATTTTCGAATCGAAGCCGGCAGATGGAACTTTCCCCACTCCTTTATAATGGTCCGAGTTCTAGGAACAGATTCAAAAACTCTCAAATAATTTGCTCATATGTTTCAGGTCTCGCCTTTGGTGAATGGACCGAATGGACAGCTTGGTCAATTTGCCAAAACGGAGAAAAATCACGTGTCAGAACTTGTGTTTCACGTAGACCAGCTCTCAAAGTTGTTTGTCACGGAGAATCAATCGAAATCGCAAAATGTTTTGTGAATGCGGCTGAAGGACACGTGGCTGTTGCTTCTGATCCGTGGTCGATTGAACGAGAAATCAGCGGAGATTTCAAAGCATAAACTGATTTCATTATTTTTTGTCGTTAATAATTTCAAGTTTTTAATAAAAATTATTTATTTTTTTATTTAATTGAGCAGTTTCTTGACAATTTGTTAGGAGTTATCTTCTTATCATTTGTTTGAGCTGAAAATGTATTGATCAAATTTTCAGCCAAATATCTGAAAACAAACTCACCAGAAATGTTTCTTTGCTCCAATTCGTTTTCCAATACAACATTCATAAAATATATAGGAAAAATAGAAAACAACTGGAATCGTAATAATCAAGAAGGCTAGAATAACCCATTCTCCAATTCCATCATATTCATAAATTTCAGATGGAACTGGATAACCTGAAACAGAAACTACTAGAAATGCTAGAAATAATAGTAGGAATGAAGAGCGCATTTTTTCAGAAAACAACAGAGACACAAGATGAAATGAAAATATTTGGTGCTCTCAAAACATAAATATTTGTTCAAACTTACAATAAGAGATAGTTATGAAATCATTAAGAAAGTTTTTTTTGCGAAAAATAAACATTTCTAACAAGAAAAAAATTGGTCAAGGAAAATTAAATTTAAGATTTCAAAATAATGTTTTTTTCACAATCACAAAGATTTCTGATACTTTTTTTTTGAAAAGTCCGAACAAAATGTGAATGTCAAAAGTATGGTTCAACAAAAAATTTATTTTAATCAAAAATCACGGCCCGGCTAAACGGACGCCCCGCCCACTTTTTTTTTCGTTTGTGTTTTTTCGTTTCCCACACAAAAATGTGCAACAGCGAAAACACGCTGTACGAGTGGTTAACACACGCGCCGAACAAACGCACAGTGCGAGTTCGACTCCCCATTGGCGCACACATTTTTTTCTTCTTTTTTTTCTTTTTATTTTTGCGCGCGCTTTCTTTTCAACGATAAAATACTTCATGAATAAAAATTATTTGGAAGTATATAAATATTCATTTCCAGCAAATCGATGACGATAAAAAATATTATTTTGTTTTCGGGTGTTTTTTCGGCTTTCAAAAACAAGAAAACATCGAAAAACCAAAATTATCCATATTTTCATAGGGTTTTCAAGTTCAAAAATTAATTTTGAGAAAACCGCTTGTACAATTTTTATATAAATTTTTTCTTGACTAATAAGGTCTAAAGGAAAGATAATAGCTCACAAACAAAAAATTTTACGATGGAATTTGAAAGTAATGGGCTTGTGACCACATTTTGCTTCGTTTTTCAGTGATTTTCAAAGAGTTTGAATATTTGAAATTTTTCTGTAAAGTCTGAAATTTTTGAAAAAAAAACAATATTTCCGAAAAATTCAAATACGAAAAGGTTAACTATTTTTGCTTGAAAAATCTTTATACATTGTTATTAACCAAGCCTAGAAGTTGTTAATCCTACACGTAACAGTCTCCTTCATTAAGATACATTTCTCTCTCACGTTACTTTTAAATTCCATCGTAAAATTTTTTGTTTGTGAGCTATTATCTTTCCTTTAGACCTTATTAGTCAAGAAAAAAATTTATATAAAAATTGTACAAGCGGTTTTCTCAAAATTAATTTTTACTTTTGAAAATCACCGAAAAATAAGGCTAAATCTGATCACAAGCCCATTACTTTCAAATTCCAACATAAAATTTTTTGTTTGTGAGCTATTATCTTTCCTTTAGACCTTATTAGTCAAGAAAAAAATTTATATAAAAATTGTACAAGCGGTTTTCTCAAAATTAATTTTTACTTTTGAAAATCACCGAAAAATAAGGCGAAATCTGGTCACAAGCCCATTACTTTCAAATTCCATCGTAAAATTTTTTGTTTGTGAGCTATTATCTTTCCTTTAGACCTTATTAGTCAAGAAAAAAATTTATATAAAAATTGTACAAGCGGTTTTCTCAAAATTAATTTTTGAACTTGAAAACCCTATGAAAATATGGATAATTTTGGTTTTTCGATGTTTTCTTGTTTTTGAAAGCCGAAAAACACCCGAAAACAAAATAATATTTTTTATCGTCATCGATTTGCTGGAAATGAATATTTATATACTTCCAAATAATTTTTATTCATGAAGTATTTTATCGTTGAAAAGAAAGCGCGCGCAAAAATAAAAAGAAAAAAAAAGAAGAAAAAAATGTGTGCGCCAATGGGGAGTCGAACTCGCACTGTGCGTTTGTTCGGCGCGTGTGTTAACCACTCGTACAGCGTGTTTTCGCTGTTGCACATTTTTGTGTGGGAAACGAAAAAACACAAACGAAAAAAAAAGTGGGCGGGGCGTCCGTTTAGCCGGGCCGTGAAAATCATCAAACTAATCTTTTCGAAAAATCCAAAAGAAAAAGTGCAAAAAATAATTTTACGATATCGATACCAGTAGGTTGTCATCTTATATTCAATTTGAAATGTATCACCATCTTCTGGATTCAGTTGATGCAAAGTAATTTACCGTATCATCTGAAAATTGGAAAAAGTTGTAGGTTTTCTGAGAAAAAATCCACTAGGAGTTTTACTATTCAGAAGATACCCTAACTCTGGAGACAAACCCCCTTTTTTTACTTACAATCAAAAACATGACTTCAATTATATTTTGTGATACACTTATAACAAAACACACAACACAGCCATAAAGTTGGAACCAATAAAATAAATAATCCAATTAGAGCCCATCCTTGGATTAGAATTGAACCGTCATACTTATTTTGCAATTGCTTGGATAAATTAGGAAAGTTTGGAAACAAAGCTTGAGAGCCCAAACGGGAAGAATGCATTTTTTTGAACGTTTGGAATTAATATGAAGATCGTAGTTGTATAGGACTGAGTTGATACAATGTTTGTTTAGGTTTTAACATGTGTTAACTCAATGTAATGAAAAAAAAATTGTTTTTTGTTTCTCATACTAAAAATGTTCATTTGAATCAACTTTTTTTTACAAAAAAAGTATGTATACTGTCTATTTCAATGAATGAAAATAATTTTGAAAGGATTAAACAAAACCATATTTTTAATATTCTAAACTTGAGAATTTGATACAAATTATGCTAATCACTGCAGTAACCCAAAATCAAAATGGGGCGTCAATGTTTCCCCGGGTTACTGTAGGTTTTCAACGTACAAAGAGATTTTATCAAAAATCCGGAAATTTTGAAAATATTTCAATGCCCCGCCCCAAAAATTCATAATTTCAAAACATTTCCAAAAAAAAAGTATTATTCGAAAAAATCATAGAATATCTCAAATTATCCAGATTTTCAGCCACAAAATCTGAAATTTTCGGAGAAGATGTCAAAAAAAGGACATTTGCAGGGAATTCGTGCAATTGCTATTATTTCAGTTTTGGCTTTTCATTTTTTTCCCAAATATTTTCCCAATGGATTTTTGGGTGTTGATCAGTGAGTTCTTTTGAATTTTTGGCGCGAAGTCTACTGTAGATTCATATTAGCGCTAACTTTTTGATCTACAATTTTTTCAATTACAATAATAATTTTATATTTCTCGATGATTTTTCTCTGATTTTTCCGTAATTATCTCAATTTTCAATCAAAAATCAAGGTATATCCAAAAATTTTGCATAAAAATTGAAAATTTGGATGATTTTTTGAATTCTGACGGAGATGTTATCCCAATTTTCATTGTCGGAAAAATATTCTGATTTAATCCGCGAAAAATCAAAAAATTTTGATGTGAAAATTAAGATGAGCGCATATTCTGTATTCAAAAATTGAGATTGGGTTACTGTAGATCTTCTCTATTTAAAAAAAACAATGAAAAAAATACATCACACTTGCTTTTTGCCAAGTGCAGCAAATTTGCTCTATTCAACAATAATTTTTCTTTTGGATACCCGGATCAAGTTTTCTAACCTAAACAGTTATTACTTTGTCAAGGACCATGAAGTAGGTTCGTTTTATCTGGGGACTTCTCTCCATAAAAGTTATTTTTAAAGGGACACGCTTTCTGTTCAGATTCCCCTAGTTGGTTAAAATTGGGAAATTTGTAGATAACAATTTTTCGCACCTAAACCTACAGTAATCATGGCCCAAGAATCAATACTATTTTTTTTAGATTCTTCGTATTATCTGGTTATCTAATGTGTATCATTCTATCAAAAAATGCTTCAAATAAAAATCAATCAATAATTTCAAAAATCTTCTCATTTTATCAAAGAAGACTTTGTCGAATTCTACCAAATTATTATTTTCTAATTTTAATCAATATGAGTTTATTGATTTTTTGCTCGATTTTTCCCGAAACATTCATAGAAACCAATCAAAAATCAGCAAAACAATCAATTTTTTTCGTCTCAAATGATTACTCAAATTTAGAAGATGATTATTATATTTTACTGAAAATTGCTGAAAATCTATTCACTCATACTTGGTCACTTTCTGTTGAAATTCAATTTTATTTCATTATTCCTATCGTATTCTATGCAATTTTCTCGATTTTTTCCGGGAAAAATCGATTCTTCAGCATCTACCTCGGCTTTTCTATGATGTCTCTGATCTTTTATTTGATATCCCCGAAGAGCACGGCATTCTACAGTGTTTTTTCGAGAATATGGCAATTTTTAGCAGGCTTTTTGGTGTATTTTTGGGCTGATAATGAGCCAAAAAATGAGAATGAAGATGAAGAAAATCAAACAGAATTATTGATTTCTGAGAAATCTGAAAATCTGGCAAACGAGCAAATGAGCTATGAAAATACACAAACCTGGCTGTTATTAGTTACAATTTTTATGCTTTTTGTGGGGTTCGAATATCCGGAGAGAATAGTCAGAATATTTGTTACAATAATAACCGCATTGCTCATATCAATCTCTGAGAATAATGCAATTTTATCAAATCGAAAAATGATTTATATTGGAAATATATCATATTCATTATATTTAATTCATTGGCCAATTTATTGTTATTCAAAATTCTATGAGTTACCTAAACTTCCATTTTTATGCTTATCTATTTTCTTGGGAATTCTAATTTATGAAACATATGAGAAATGGTATACAACTAAACTTACAAGAACTTCTCAATGCATTTTATCCACAATTTTGCTGGCTTTTTGTATTTCAGCAATTTGGAGAGAAGATATTCATGAAAAATATAGTCGTTTGACAGGAAAAATTGAAATTTTTGACAAAGATTCAATATTTTTGGCTGGAAATTCGAAAAATTTGAGTCTAGAAGAAATCATGAATTTGAATACTGTGTGGACAAAGAAAGAACTGGATTTTTTAACATATGAAGTATGCGATTATAAGAAACCAAGACTTGCGCCATTTGGATTATGTGAATTTAAGGTGAGGATTTTTCAAATTCAAAAGAGTATCTTGAATTTCGGAAATTTCTAGAATCTATCCTCAACTGCCCCTCTCAAAATTCTTATCATTGGAAATAGTTATGCCACCAATATGGCTCCAATTCTACTCAAATCATGTGCAAAAAAATCGAATCAAATCTGGTTGGCCTCACTTCCTGGTTGTCAATTTTTGCACACGGAATACGATCGGAAAGGATGCTCCAAAATTCTTGACATTCCGGATGAAACAGTTGAAAAAATGCAATTCGATTATATTTTTCTGATTTCAAAGTGTGGACAACTTTGTGATCCAATCAAAGAACCGATGGAAATTGATGTGCAAATTGAATTCGGTAAATCACAAATTGAGAAATTCAAAAAATTTGTGAAGCGCAAAATCTTCATTTTAAATGCTATAGTACATCCGAAACATATGGTGTTGCTCAACAATTATCTTGCAAATCATACAAGTTTTGATGAAATTGATGTGAGTATTTCAACATTTCAAAATAAGTTTTGACCCCAAAAAAATTCAAATAATATTTTAGAAAATCTATTCAAAAGAAATATCTGGTGATAAGAAACTCGGAATAGAACGGCTTCGAAAAATTGGCGAATTTTGTGGCGAAAAATGCGAATTTTTTGACGCATTGTCGAATTTTCCCAAGAATCCATATTCACCTGATAAATCTGTACGATTTTTTGATGAACGTGGTTTGTATTATGTGAATGGTGCCGGACATTTTCCACCGTATTCTTGGCCGAAAATTCAACCTGTTTTTGATGCGATTTGTGAGAAATTGTGATTTTAATGAAAAACTGAATTGGTTTTGAATTTACTTCTTTGGTGATAAATTTGGGAAACCCTCGCTATTTTTTTTTTTAAAACAATTACCTTTTTCTTTACGAAAAAAGTATTTATTAGCAGAATCAAATTATTAGAAAAAATACAAGAAATCAGAAAATGGTGGTTTCGCCCGTTACAGATTATATAATTCACTAAAGAAAAATGTTCTAACAAAAGCAGATTTGGGTTCATTTTTTGGTACATCAAAAGGCCAGGCTTCTCAAGCCCAACTTCCACCGCCTCCACGATCTTTAACTTCTCTCGATGGATACAATCCACCTCCGCCTTGTCCATTATTATCATCATAAACCGGGCTATCAGGATAAGCATTTCCCCCGCCTCCTCCATTATAACCATATCCACGATTTCCACCGCCACCCATTGCGAATCCTTGATTTCCTCCTCCACCCATTCCTCCTCCGCCACGATTTCCACCACCACTCAAAAGTCGACCAAGCATCGAACCGACTCCAGCACCTCCAGCAGATGAAAGGATATTTGAGAACATACTGGAACCACCGCCGCCACGTGGTTGTTGTGGAACACCGCCGCCGCCCATTCCAGCTGTAACAATTTTGGGATTTTTTTCAAATTTTATTCTGTGAAATGTAATTTTTTCAACATAAAACTCAACTAATTTCAGCAATATTTGACTTAAATTTCAGATTTTCACTAAATAATCTAAAACTTGGACCCAAAAAAACTCCATAGCTTAAAAATTTTCTAAATTTTTTGGTATTTCTAGAGGCTTACAATTAGAGATTCTGGAATGCATCTATTCATTTGCGAAAAAAACCGAAAAAAATGTATTTTTTTACAATATTTTTCTATTCACCAAAATGCACGAAATAAATGTCAATCGTGACGAGACCCACACACATTTCAAAGAGAAAAAGATGCGAGAAAAAACAAGAAATGAAATTTTCGAAAGCATGCATTTTTCACACTCGTTGCCTTGAAATGAGTGTGGGTCTCGTCACGATTGCATGTATTTCGCGACAATTTGTGATTTTGATGAATAGAAAAATATTGTAAAAAAATACATTTTTTTCGTGTTTTTTTGCAAATGAATAGATGCAGAAGTCTTAAATTTCTAGAACATTTTCTCACTAAAACAACTAATTTTTGTGCTTCAGAAAATTTAAGACTGTGAAATTATAATATCCAAATTCACTTGTCAAGACGCCCAGAACAAAATATGTTTCAAAAATAATTGAAAATCTTCAGAGATTTCAAATAGTGTTCAATTCATATATCCAAAACCATTTTTAAAAAACTCACGATCAGTCGGAACCTGATTTCTTTGCTGATTCCTAGCTCCACCTTTTCCACGACAACAACAACAATACAAACAACAACAACAGCACAAAAGTGGAATGACGAGACCAAATAAGGCAAGCCAGAACCATCCGGGAATTTTGAATGATGGCATACTCATTCCTTTTCCACCTCCACCCTGTCCACCGCCACCTTGTCCTCCAAATCCACCTTGTCCTTGTCCACCTTGTGGATTATTTCCACCACGATTTGGTTGACGAGGAGAGCCAGCTTTTGAAAGAGCTTTTTCCCTGAAAATGTTCACATTCAGTGTCAAAAATCACATTACTCTTCGAAATTTAAGAGAAAAAACTACATTTGAGCTAAGTCTAAAATAGAATAACTTCAATACTTAGTTTAAGTCCTAGTCTAAATTGAAACCTTGAAGCTCCAGAATACTCCGAAAATTCGAGCATTCTGAACTCGACAAAATACGTTTCAAAAAATATAAAATTGATATGACTTCGCATAACTTCAAAAAAAAAATTCACCATGTTCCTTGAATAATTCCAGCCAACGCGGCTTGATAATTGCTGTGTTGGAAATTTGATTTTTGTGCCTGGAAGAGTTGCGTGAACTCATTCGCATATACCGGAACTTTGTCATCTCGTGCAACCCAGAATTTTTGATCATCAGTTGAAACCACAAAAACAACAGCTTTTTTGCATTGCGAATCCAGCGTCCATTTTTGAAGCATATCATTTGCCATTTGCTCAACAGCCTTCAATATATCAATTAATATGAGCAATTCTTCAAAAATATGTTACCAACCTGTTCTGATCCTCCTCTAACATGCCGTGCAATTGCCATCGCTGCTGTTACACCTTTTTTGTCGCAAAAACTACCGTAATTTTGGCGGGTTCGAGATTCGAGTTGCTTCAATTCGTGATCTAATCTGTATCTAGTTTGCTCGTCGAGAACTCCGTCTGGATCACAAATGTTGGCCGTTGTTCGCATGTTACATCTGGAATTTTTTTTGGGAATTTTTGGGGGAAAATCGGAAAATTTCATTTTAAAAATCCAGAAAGTTTTCTCGGAAAAATTTGTTTTGAATTAAAAAATTTACATTTTTCCTGAAAATCAGAAAAGGTTTTCCCTTTTTTGTGAACAATTTCAGCGCCAAAAATTACAATATTTTTTATCCAAAAAAATTCGATTTGGTTTTTGTTTTCGAATCAAAACTCACTGTTTAAATTGTCCAGCAGTCGGATTGGGAAAATTCGAAGCATCCCATTCAGCCGCCAAACTTGGTTGTGTTAAAAAATCCAAAAATATTAGTGAAAATAGGGTTAAATAACCCCACATGGTTGAAAAACCCTGGAAAAAATAAATGAAAAAAACTGAACAAAAACAAAAAGAATCTTTTTGTAAGTAAGTAAATCTAATTTCCTCTCAAGAAAAGAATAGAAAACAATATTTGTTTTGTACTAAAAATAAATAAATAAATAAATGAGAATTCTTTGTGCTAACTGAAAAAATATCAAAAATTATTTATGTTGGAAAAATATCAGAAAAACAAGTTTCTGAAACAAAAAAAAACCATTTTCCTTTGAAAAAGCTGGTGTTTTTTAGTGGTAAACAACTCTTTTTGAAGATCAATAGGAGTGACGAGAGAGTTGAAAATATTAGAGACGCAGGCCGTGTAACTGACATAAGATAGTATGGAAAATGAAGAGAACTTTGAGAGAAAGAGAGAGAAAATAATTGTAACAAACAGAAAAAAAAACATTTGAAAACGTGAAATAAACAAATAAAAATGAAAGAATGAAAATGATTGAAGAAAGTTGCGGTTGATACCAGAAAAAAGTCATTTCTCAAAAAAAAGGGAATTTGTTTTGACGAAAAAGGGCACTAGTTTTCTGGTTGTCATGTGAGGAAAAAACAAAAAATTCGGATAAAAATGGCAAAAACAGAAGAAAGTTAGTTTGTGGAGCAAGTGTGCTCTAATGAGAAATATGCATTTTTCGAGGGTTTTTGAAGTTTTTGCTGGGAATCTTTGAGAATTTCTTGTTTGAGTTTTCGGGTATGAAATTAACGTTTAATATCGAAATTCGAGTTTTTAGAAAGAAAATTGATGGATTTCAAAGAAATTTCTAGAAATATGACTAACCGTTTTTTCCCAATAAAATCCTAGTTTTATGGATGAATCATTGAAAATGCCTAGGCGCCTCGTCACAAATGTGTTTTTTTTTTTGGAAAAAAAAAAGAAAAATTGAAAATGCATAAAAACAGGCATTTGCGCTCCATTGCACATATCCCGCGTGTCACGTTAATTTTTCCATTTTCAAAATTCTTTTTTTTTTCCATTTTTTTTCGTTCTTGGTGATATTTATAGAAGTAAATGTTAGGTTTCCATTTTAAAAATCAGGAAAATTTATTTACATATTGTTTTTCACAAAAAAGTTGTTCATCTCAAAAAATTAATCATCCTTCTCGATTTGAACTTCTTCCAAATCTGGAAGTGGAGTAGCAACGCTCTTTGGATGATAATTGTTCTCCAATCTATCATTAATATCCTTTCCCAATTTGTTGATTTTGTTGACAGCAATCACAAAGAATCTTTGAATTTGTTGAAGAGTCTCCTGAAAACAAAAAATGAAGACAACTGTTATATAACCCCTGAAAGTAAGAAAACTCACGTCAAGATCAAAGTTCTCATATTTTTCCTTCAAAATTTCCCAAAGGCTCAACACATATTTGTGCAATTTGGCATAGTGTCTTTCAGCTTGACATCCGATGTCACAGTCTTTTGTTGGACGGAAAAGTTTGGGGACCTTGGAGATTTCAGTGACGTTTTTGAAGCAATCAGAAACGATTTTGATTTCATTGTATTCTTCCAAAGAATTGCAATCAAAGTCAGGATTTCTTTCGACGTCGATGACTGAAAATGGAAATGTTTTTGATGGAGAAAGGGGCTATATTTAAGGGTTAGTAACCCTGGGTTACAATAAAAATATTCTAAGGCTTCGGAAAAGTATAAGTGTCTTTCGAAAACAACCTCTTTGTTGTCTATAAAGCCCTTCTTCTCCGAACAACGCTTTAAAAGCTACCAACCTTTAAGATCTGGGAACTTTGCCAAAAGTGATTTCTCATCCGGAAGTCTTACAATTTTATTATAAGTCAATCCAATAACGGGGAATCCACGAAGTCTTTGGCCTTGTGGAAGCTTTAATTCAGTTCTTTCTCCATTATGACAATGAACAACTTCATCATCTGTATCGCATTCACATTGATCCAAACAATCGAAAACGTAGGCTAGAAAATAACTTCAAAATTGAAACACATTAAGGGAAATCTCTGAACTTACCACTGGAAACTGCGAACACAGCAAAGAAAACTAGAAAAGATCTCATGATGGTTAGAAAAATGAGAAATCCTGAAAGTTTTGAAGTTTCGAGCTCACTTTTATAAGTAAAATCTTTGGAGCAACTGTTCGTTTATTACAATGTGACGTGTGAGTCATGTTTTTTCGATAGAATTAACGAAAAATAGGCGGAAAACTTTGATCGATAGAAAGAACAAGAAACAATGGTTTATGTTTTTTGATGATTCATTTAAAAAGTTTTAAAATCCACGGAATCGGCTAAAAGTATCTGTGAAAAATTGTTGAATGTGTTGAAGAGTGTCCTGAAAAATTAAAATTGTTCCAAAAAAATACCTGGGAACCTTTTTTGAATCGTGAAAATATACTGAATGAAAATATTGCTGGAAATAACATTCAAGTATTTTCGGAGTCAATTGTATTTAAAAGTTTTTTTTTATTAAAATTTCACAGATCATTTTCTACATAAATATCCGGATTTTTTGTTTTCTCAAAAATAAATGTTCTCCAATTTGTTAACTTGTGAAATAGAACTCGAAACAGTGATTTTTTCCAAAAAAAGTCTTCAAATTTTTAGGAATGAATCAAATTATCCAGTTTTTCATTTTCAGATAAGTGTATCTATGTTCCACTGATTTCAAAAAAGGTTCGTAATTTCGATTTTTCCTCACATTCAAGTTGAAATTTCGATATTTCTCCTTCATAGTCTCCCAAAGATTCACAAGATATTTTTGGAAGTTCCCAAAACCATTTCTGACTCGACAACCAAAATCACATTCTCTAGTTGGACGCAAAATCTTCGGAACTCTCAGAATGTCCTCAAGGCTTTTAGAGCAATCTGATAAAATTTCGATTTTTTCATAATTTTTCAATGATGCGCAATCGAAACCAGGATTTCTTTCAACATCAATCTCTGGAAAAGTTTAGCGTGAAAAATAAAGATTTTTGAAAAAAAATTACTTTCAACATCCGGAAATTTGTCCAAAATCGATTTCTCATCCGGAAGTCTGATAATATTATTGAAACTCAAGCTGATAACTGAAAAACCTCGAAGTCGTTCATTGTTTGGAAATACTAATTTAGTTCTTCCTTCGTCATCACAATGAATAACTTCTTTATTTGTATCACATTCACATTTGTCCAAACAATCGAAAACATAGGCTAAATTAATTTGAATAGGTAAAAAAACTTTTTGAAAAAAATAACAGAAAAATTACCGTTTGCTACAGCAAAAAATATGAAAATAACTAGAAAAGGTTTCATTGGAGTTGACTTGTGAAAATAGGTTTATTTATAAAAAGCAATATTTTGCAACAACAGATAAATCTAACATGAGCAACTGTTCAATTTAGTTTAATACTGCACTATTTCTGGGATAAACAAGGAGGTTTCAAAAATAATTGGAAAGTACAGTATGATTTGAACATATATATTTCATTATTATCTTTTGATATGTTTATACTTCATGTGGTAAATTAGCTTGTGCCTTTAGCATGAGTCATGTATGATCAGAAGTTTTTTTGCGGATGAATTAGGCAGAAACGGAAAAACTTTGATCAAAATGTGGGATGGAATAAAGATTATAGAAATTTATGCACATTAGCTGAAAATTTTAAAGATTTTTCTCTTCTAACTTCAATTTGCAATCCCTCTCTTCTTTCAAACTTTTTACTAGAAAAAAGATGAAAAATTATAATTTGTATGAATAATAAATGAGCTTTTTTGCAATTTACTAGTTCACGTGTTATTTTTTTCTAGTAACAACTTTAGTTTAGCTTCTCTTTTTTTCTTGAGATTGAGCCGAATCAAAATCATGAGAAATAATTGGAAAAACGAGAAAGTGTCAATTTCATATAGATTTACGTCATTTCCCTTTCGTTTATTTGAAGTTTATTTTTCCTAAATTTGAAAAAAATACATTTCACTATCGAAAACTGATAAATACTGATGCTTACTCAGGGAAAACGAGGCGAAATCTGGGCGAATCGCTTGCCTAAGCGCAGGCATGGCTGAAGCAGCTTGTTATAAGCGAACCGCCTAAAATACGCTAGAATACGCTTGTTTTCGTTAGGTTTTCGCTTGATTCACTCCAGCGTCTTTCAGTCAGGCTGAAGTTGGCGGAATCAGCTTACTTGAAAAACGTCAGTCTTTTGCTGGGAGAGCGCTTTGTCAATAAAATTTCGAAATTTATTTTTGTTTTTCGAGTTTTCCTATTTTAGAGCTTTTTCAGCTTATTTCCAACCTATTTCCTGAAATTTCTTGTTAAGGTTATCGTCGATATCGTCGTGGAGGAATACAATCGCTCGTATAAATTGTATCGGTGGGTTCTTTCATATTTTTACCTAACAATAAGATTACTGTGTTTTCAGGATTTTCGTCCCAATTTGTTTTCAAACATGAGATGCATTTTTTGAGGGTTTCGAATACAAATGTATGTGAGTTTGAGCATCTGAATGTCAAAATTAAAAAAAATTTCAGGGCCGCCGCGTTCAAATCAGACAATGTAGGAAAGTAGACGTTTTGAAGTGTGTTGTAGTTGTTGAACCGACGACGATATTTGAGGTATGTAATTTTTGTGACCCTTTTGATGAAAATTTTTCTTTCAATACAAAATATCAAGAGCCGACCAGGCCTACTGTAGTTTGGTTCTCTCTTCAACGGCTCTTATATTTTCGGATTCAAAGAATAACTACAAAATTGTGTCAAATTTAGAAAAAAAATTCATAAATTTTCAAGCTGGGAAATTTGGCCGAAAAGTGCTTTTTTTGAAAACATATACATTAATTAATTAATTAATTAATTGTAATTAGGGGTTTCCTATGAAATTTCATTCCAAAAATATTTCTAAAAATTATAGAATTCCCATAAGTAAGAAAAACCCAAGGAAAATTCGTTGTTTTTAAAATTCAAAATTTTACAGGAAAATCATATCGCGAAACTGGATGAAAACGCTTGGGCGGCTCATAATGCAAAATCGACATGCCCAGTCAACGATCAAAGTTAACAATGATGGGGAAAATATCTAATTTAGTAATTTTTCGATTTTCATTGTATCCATTCATCCTTTTTTTTTTCCTATTTCTTTTCTTTTTATTTTAAATCTTTTATTGTTATTGATTACTTTCATTTTTTCAACATAAATATTCCTCATTCTGGCAACCTAAATTTTGACCAAGCGTAATATAAGCGAAATTCGCCATCTAAAATTCCCAATACGCTTAACTGCAAAGCGCAAACCAAGCGAAAACAAGCGACAATAGGCTGAAACAGCTTTTCAAAAAAAGCTAATTCGACGCGGCTCAGCGCCTAATTAGCTTAAATTCGTCCGCTGATTTCGCCTGGCGTTCCCTGAGTATCAAAACGGACGCCAAACATGCAGGGATGGCCGAGCGGTCTAAGGCGCCAGACTCAAGCTATTCGCTTGCCTCAAGTTCGAGGTCGCATGGGTGTTCTGGTACTCGTATGGGTGCGTGGGTTCGAATCCCACTTCCTGCAGAAATTTTTTTCTTTTCGTGTTTTGAAGAAAAATTCAAAATTTTTGAAAAAAGATTGTGGGCGGAGCTTAGTCAAATTAAATGACGTTCTTCATCTTAAAGTTTGTGGCCAAAATTAATCCGCTCCCCACACACATTTTCTGTCACATGTGTGTACTTATTGCCACAACAATAATAAACAAAATCCACGTTGTTTCAAAATGTCAGCGGCTTTTCCCAATTGTTGTTGATTTTGAATATTATGTCGTTAAGCCGTGACGCATTTATTATCAATCATGTAAAAGTGAGAGAGAGAAAAAAGATTTGATTATAATCCCGAAGAGAAGAGAGGCGAGAGCTGTGCCCATATTTATGTTTTTTTTTTCATGATATTTTTATAATGTGTATAGATTTGATATTCAGATGAGAATCATATTTTTCTATCAAATTTAAAAGCTTTTTTTGTTTCAGGCATGAAGTAGGATGAGAATCCTATCTGCATTTTTTGCTGTACTTTTCACATTCATCAATCCTACGATGATTGTCAATGGTGAGTTCTCAGTTTGTTTTAAATTTTTAAATTTCAAAATTTTCTAGAAAATCATGTCGCCTTGAAACTAAAATCAGTGAAGCATTTTAATTCAAGTGAAGAATACTTGATTTTTTGAACCAAAAGTTTTAGTTGTTTTTCGGTTGCAAAACAAAAATTGAGGGATTTCAGAGTCGAAAAAACAAGATTTTTTTCTGAATGTTTTGATCTGAAATGCTTTTTGACAGTCAGAAAAATATTTTCAACTAAAAACATGTTTGAATAGTTTGTCGAAAATTGAAAAGTTCCAAAATTTTGATCCACAAAATAGTTGGAAAATTTTTTACCGGAATACTTTAAAAATATAGAACTTCTCAATTTTTGAATATAAATTTCGAAAGTTCTGAAAAAAATTTCCACATATCGAAAACACGAAATTTTGGAAAAATTTTTTTTAGAAAATTACTTTTGAAATTTTGATAAGCAACTACTTTTGAATTTTTTGTTGTTTCAAAAACTCAAATTACTCAAATTTGATCCCCTTCTCTCAAAAAGAATTCATGATTCTTGAACATTCTCAACTTGAAAAGCCTTAATCTCCCTGAGCTTTATTTCAAAGAAAAATCACAAATCTTCAAAGATCCTGATCTCTAATTCTAATGTGAAAACCTTTCAGTTATTACTCAATACGAATCATTTTTCAACGCCGATTTTCCGGAAAAAGTCAAAATCACATTTTTGGCCAACATAGTGGATGCGATAAAAAATAGTGATATTCGAATCAAATCATATGTCTACGGTTTTATGATAATAATTACTTGTGTTCATATTGGTTTCACATGTTGTAATTTATATGGAATTTATTCGTGTAAAGTGAAATTTATGAAACCGTTGATTGTCGACATTTTTGCGAGTCTGGTGAGTTTTGCGATTTGGGAAAAGCTTGGTTACTGGGGAAAACAGAGAACCGCTGATCAAAGCGATTCTTGAGTCGAAAATTCAAGAATCCTTTTGTTTTCAGATATTTCTGCTTATTTTCGTCTTATTTTCCCTTTTCACATATTGGCGATTAAACACATTTGGAGGACAAAGTGAGAAAGAAATGACAAAAATTCAGCTCAAAAATTTGTATGTTGGTGTCGGATTCCTGATAGTTTATATTTTATGGACTGTTATTACATGTATGGCACATCACGATACAAGAAAATTACGAGCTGATTTTATGTATTGGATTGAAGAAGAGAGGCAATCAATGAGGAGTCGACATAATGTTTCGATTGATAATCGGTTAGATTTTTTTATTTTTTGAAGGCTGTAATGAAATAACTATTTTGATAGGAACTTCCACAAAGTCTCTCAACAAATCAAAAAAATAGAAAAAAATTTACTGGTTCTTCAAACTTTATTTCAAAGAAAGTTAGGAAAATCGAAAGCTAAACATTAAAATAATTTCCGGTGCAACAAATTGCTTTTAGCATTGTTTTTGTGATCTTTCTGATTAATTCGAGAAACAAGTTTGTTCATTTTCAAAAAAAATTGCAAGAAATCTGGATTTTTTCGAACTTTAGTCTAGTTTCATTTGACTAGGGAAATGTCAGAGAACTGGAAATAATTCCAAGAGAATTTCCGGTGAAACAAATTGCAATTTTTCTTTTGCAAAAAATATTGAGCTCGAAGTTGCAGGGATTTCAGAGGGAATTTGGAGAAAAACATTACTTTGACAATTAGTTTTGGAATAAATGAAAAATCGCAACTACATTAAATACTTGAGATTGTGAGAATAAATTATATGAAAAATGAAACTTGAAGGTCCATGTGGCAAATTGTACTTTGAAAGCTTCAATGTCAAGAATCCGAGTCTAGAAATCCTAGTTCAATTATCCCTTGATCTGTTAATTTCCAGTTTACAAAAAAAATTCCCTGAAAAATTAATTCCAGAAATTCTGCAAAACCTACATCATTATAATCATATTTTTTTACGAAATTAAATTCCAATTTCCAAAAAAATGTCACGCGATTATTATTAAATTTTTATCCACCCCCTCCTCCCCCATTTCTAAAAAAAAGACCTCCGGGATAAGCCTAACAAAGAGAAAAAAGCATAGACAATCCTATTTTCCAGCTCTGATCGCTCTTCCAAAGGCTCAAAAGCTTCTCGAGCTTCAAAAGGATCAGCTCGAAGTGCAAAATCGGAAATAGTTCAATCATCAAATCAACGAAAAAAATCGGTAGAAGAAACACCAATTGGCGCGACGCCAGCAGCTCCTTTTGATAAAAAACGAACAAAAGGCGATTATTCATCAGTTCCCACGTGTAATACACCAACTCAAAGAGAGAAAAAGGTGTCAGTTGTCAATGCCAGATTGTCAGTTCCTTTGTGAAAACAACATTTGAATTTAAAATTGAATGTATTTAAATTTCAAATCACAATTTGTATTGTTTTCTCAGCCTCAGCTAGAAAAACAAACAATTTCCCCCATATTTTTGCTCATTGGAATAAGCGTGTATTTATTGTATTATGGTTTCGATTCCTCCCTCCATTCCTCCACAGATTTTTTTTTCAATTTATTTGTAATTTCTCTCGTCTCATATTTCAATTTCAATTATATATTTATTCTGTTTATAATTAGTGCAATGAAGAGTTTTTTTGACATCAAGATGAAAAATTCAATTCGTCTCATTTCAGTTCAATTTATCTTCTTCTCTTCGTCTCCAATGAGTCTCGCTAGCGAAAAAAAAAGAAAATAAAAAACGTGACATGCCAGGTGATTGCAGCGAGAGATGTGTCAATTGCACACAATACGGCGAGAGACGCAGACACTCTTCACTGACGCGTTTTGTGTGGCACGCGAAACGCGCCAACTCCTCTGCCACATTTTTATTTCCTAAAATTTTCGTGTTTCAAACTTTGGCGCGCGAAAACGTGGCGAGCTTTTCATTCGAAAATTTTGGTGAAATTTTAGAAACAGTTTTTGGTTAGGGAAGACTTGCGGATCAATAGTTTGAGAGCGAGAGAGAGGAAGAATATTTAATTATTTTTTTGTTGTTGTTTTCTCTTTTTTTGCGCTGGAAAAAGAGAAGACTATTAATGTGTTATATGCTGATTTATTCAAAATCGATTTTCTCATCTCTTCTTTTTACTTTGCATTTTTGAGCCTTGATGAAAAGATGATAAGATCTTTTGTCTAGTCATAAGACCAGACGACAACAGTCACGTGTAAATATTTATTTCAATTCAACCTGATTTTAAAATATTTTTTCACAAATATTGTGATGTATGTTATCTATTTATGAAAACAAGGTCTCCCAAAAGGGCTTTTTTACTTGACAACCGAAAATCTGTCAGTAACCAAAAATCTATCTATTTTGGGATGAAAATCTGTTCGATGTTCTCGTAAAATTGTTATTGTTCCCAATATTTTATTATCGTTTTATTCAAACAAATATTTTGCAGCTAGCGTTTCTCCCCACAAGGATAAGCGATCGCCCAAATTTGGCCCCCAAACTGCGTGATGTCCAGTGAAGAGGCGCAAGGCGGTGGCGGTGTCCTTAACAAAGACATCGCCAACGTCAACGAGTCTCTTTCCAAAGCGGAAGGCAGCCCAACACCACCAGCAACAAGAACGCCCAACAATTCGGAGAACACTTCGCCGACCAATGGAAAAGGAGGAAATCGTCATCGTAGACGATCGACAACAAAAGGCGATGGTGCGATCAAGAATGACGGCGAAAATGAACAACAACCGAACTCCAGAAATGGAAGTCGACACAATAGTAAGACGCATACCAATAGGAAGGATTGGTCCGAAAGAAAGAGTTTGAGTCAAGGTGGAGCCAATGCGAAAAATGGTCAGAACAAGAGTGATGATCATAAGAGAACAAGAAGCACCAACTGTGAGTTTACCCCTGGGAGTTGTTTCAGGAATTTATTGAGAAATCGTGATTTTTACAGCTACCAGCGGCAAACGTAACAACCAACGCGACTCAACTCGAACTATTTCGCAAGGCAGCAATGGAGAGGGTTATGATTACAGCGATGAGTGTAAGTTATTTCCAACTATAGGATCAAATTTCCATTGAAATGTTTTCAGACGAGCTCGAAGAACCATTCTCCGACTCGGAAGACGAAGATACCCGCCCAAAGAAGCCGCAAAAAATGAGTTTGACAATCGCTCGCGGTCGAATTCGCACATTGTCGGGAACTGTTCCAGTCGTCGGTTATTCGCCACACTGGGGTGGACCAACAATGTGTTTGAGTTGTTTGCAATTCTTCGACCTTCCCGATCAAGTTTCACAATTCACCGATCATTTGCTCAAAGAGCACAAGATTGTGGTTTCCGAGATGAATTTGATTGTCGACCCGAAGCGATACATCGAACATTGGCGACAACGTTTCGCCAAAGAATCGATCGATAAAGTTTTCCCAAAAATCGAACCGGCTGTCGAAGGAGATCGTCATTTTGGCGAGACCGATTACTATTATTTGATGTCAGAGAATATTGCGGAAGATCGAACATTGAGACAAAGATTGGCGATGCGAAGATTGGAAGAAGCCTTGTCCTGTCAACAAAGAGAACGGTAAGATATAGCAATAATTATCTAGAGTAACTTATGTTAAGATGAGCAATGATAGAAATTTTGTACAGCGGCCGAGGGGTTGGTAGTAACGTGGCCTGAGAAGGCCTAACCCAACGTTACGCCAACCATCAGAAGATGGATGTTTTGTGCAATGTCTGAGCTTAAAATCACTCATAAAATTCCGAAAATCTTCGAAACTCCCTTCAAAAATTTTTTTATTTTTCAGTGACGACACTTCATTCCAACTTCAATGCATCTTCTGTCGCTACAATGCTCGTGGAAACCGTTCAAAGATCATCCATCATCTTTACATGATTCATCATCTCAATCTCGGATCTCCAGACAATCTTGTATTCGTCACCGAATACATAGAGCATTTGAAAGAGAAACTTCATCGAAACGAATGTATATATTGTGAGAAGATATTCCCGGATCGCAACACGCTTATGGATCATATGCGTAAGCGTAATCATCGAGAAGTCAATCCGAAAAACCATTATTATGACAAGTTTTACATTATCAACTACTTGGAATTGGGAAAACGTTGGTTGGATGTTTTGGCCGAAGATTTCGAGGACACTATGCCAACTTTCGTTGATTCGGATGAAGAAGAGGAAGAGTAAGGATTTATCGGAAAATCCCCAAGATTATTTTTTAAATCTTTTTTTTCAGCCAAGAATGGTGCGAATGGCAAGAAGATAATCTCGACGCAGATGAAACTCGCGTCGTTTGTCTTCTTTGCGAGCACAGCGAAGACAATGGTCCATCACTTTTGGAGCACATGAAAACAGCTCATGAATTCGATTTGCTCAAACAAATCGAGGACAACAAGTTGAACAACTACGAGCGCTCAAAATTGATCAATTTCATCCGCAAACAAAACTATCATGCGAATTGTTGGGTTTGTCAAAGAGAGGATTTCGAGAATCCACTTGCTCTTCAAAAACACATCGTCGAGCACAAACCATTGACTGTAAGCTTTTATTAATCTTCTTTATGGGGTTTAATAATTTGAAGGGGGATTGAAAAACAAAAAAATTTCAAGAAAATGTTGTTATCTCTTTGTTTAATCAATAATTCAATTCATTTAAAGCCACACAAAAATAATTTCAGAGTACAATAAAACGCTAAAATAGTGACCCATTCCAAGCAAAAGTTTCCAAAACCAACATTTTTATTTTCAGGAACTCCCAGAAGCATCAGTCTACGATAACGAAGAGAATTTGGTTCCACTTTTCGGAAACGACCACTTCTTGTGGATGTTGGAATCGATTCTTGATGACATCGAAGACTCCAGTGATGCTGACGAAATTGAAGATGCTAAAGTCAAATTGGATAAACTCGTCCTCGAAAGCAAGAAGAACACCGTCGATGGAGTTATTGCTGAAGATTTGCCGGAACTTCACGAACTCAACGACGATGATTTGAATGAATTGATGTAATTTGTGCCCCTCTTTTTTTCTCATTTCCCCCCTCCAACTCCTTTCTCTATCTTCCCTTTCCTAGGTAATTCCATATATATTAATCAACTATCTCCTTTTCTCTTTCTTTCTTTCTTTGGTTTTATAATTTCTCAAGACCAATTTCGTGTTGTGCGCTTTTCATCTAGCGCCTTCACCACTGTTTTTCCTTGTTTGTTATTATTTTCCACGTTGTTTTGTGAGTATGTCCTTTACTTTACTTCTACGCACATCGTGGAATCGATGAATTCCTGAACTTTTCAGATATTTATTCGGTCTCCACAACGTGCGCATTTTCCCTCTCCTTTTCTTTTCTTCCCCCGGACATATCCATTTTGTTGAATGAAAAATAAAGTTTTGTAGATGGAAAATTTTTGTACTTTTTCTTGGATTTGCTTTCATTTGGTAGATAGTTCTAGAGTTGTCTTTACTTTTCAGAAGCCCTCTTTTTTGGCCAAAAAAGAGGAGAAAAGAAACAAAAAAACATGAATTATCAATGGAGCGCACATTCTTCATTGACCAATTTTATTTTTTCTTTTTGTTTGTGTGTCGAAAAATTTCGGATTTTCAGGTGAAATGCGATGGCGGCTAGATTTTTGAGATGTTTGCAGATTTCCAGCACGTTTAGAGGTAATTGACTTGTTTTTGTTAGATTAAATAATCTGAGGACTTTGAAGCTTCATCGCTTTGTCAATGCAGACATTTTGCATCAGAAGGAAAACGTGGAAAAAGAAAATATGTGGAGGCAGCGATTGTAAAATCGACAAAAAGCAAAAAAGAGATTGTGGATGTTTGGAAGAAGATGAATGCGAGGTAAGTGACAGGTCTCGGAGCGAAGGGGATATCAAGAAATGTAATTTCAGCGAACTCGCCGCTGCGTTGAAAACCGATTACGATGATGTTGTGGAGATCTTGGAGAACTTGGATAAACGAAATGTGAATGCGATTGTTAACGAGACTCCGCTTGATGATAATAGCATTTTGATGGTAAGCAGGGATTTTTTTTTTTGAAAAATAAGGGGAAATTAGGCAAAGCTTGATGATTTCATAGAAATTACCCAAAAATTTTGGGGCCAAAATACATATTGATTTTCCAAAGGTTGTAGGAAACATAATATTTTCAGGCAGTTTCTGCTCTCAACTTCAAGCCAAGATTTATCAACGGACCAGCGAGAAAAGCCGAAAAAGAAGACGATGATCTCCATCCGCAACCTCCGCCACAAGAATCCGCCAAATCAAAACGTCCTCCAATTGTCACAATTATGGGACACGTTGATCATGGAAAAACCACACTTCTAGACGCGCTTCGAAATTCACAAATTGCCGCCGGCGAATTTGGCGGAATCACTCAACACATTGGTGCATTTTCAGTTGATTTGGGCAAAAAAGGGCAGAAAGTGACGTTTTTGGATACGCCGGGACATGCGGCTTTTAGTTCAATGAGAGCGAGAGGAGCGAAAGGAGCTGATATTGTTGTTTTGGTTGTGGCAGCAGATGATGGAGTGAAAGAGCAAACTGTTCAAAGTATACAGTTAGTAGAAGGGGAAATACTTAAATATATTCCGAAAAATCAGCAATTTTCTATTATCACAAAATTCCGGGGAGAGGTTTTTGGATAAAAATAAACTAAAATCGATGCCCCTTTAATGTCTAGGTCTTGCAACGATTTTCAGTTTTGAATCCATTGCTCATCATAAGAAACTACCTTAAAACAGGAGTTTGGAAAAGTTTCGGTTCCAAATTTCATGTTTTTGGTCTTGTAGCTCACAATCTCAAAGTTGATCGACTCCCACAGAAAAATCTAACAAAAAAAGACTAACCTAATTGCCAATTAATAAGATGGGAGTTATTAGACTAGGAAAATAAATAAATGAGCGAAATACACAAGAAGTCTCGTGGCATTTTCGCACACGTCATTCAGAACACGTAAAATAATTTTTCCTCTCCAACCATTGGTCATTTCTAGATTTGCTCGATCTGCAAATGTTCCTCTTGTTGTCGCTGTCAACAAAATCGATAAACCGAATGCGGATCCAGTGAGTTTTGTACATATTTTCTATTTGCCACCAAAATCAACTCATTTTCAGATGCGTGCAATGCGATCTCTACTAGAACACGATGTTGTTGTTGAACAATTGGGTGGAGATGTTCAATGTATTCATGTTTCTGCACTTCAATCAAGGAATCTACCGGCTCTTCAAGATGCATTGATTTTGCAAGCGGATTTAGCGGAACTCAAATCGACTAAAGATGGAAAAGTTGAGGCGGTTATTGTGGAATCGTCGGTTGTTCATGGTAAGAGATTCTAGGGATTTGGGTAACATCTGAGAGACTCATCAGAATACGTTGTTCTCTCAAAGAAATTTCTAAAATTGATTTTTTTAAAAACCAACTTTTCTTTTCTGTGAAAATTCCATTTTTTTCAGGAATTGGCAAAGTCTGCACATTGATTGTCTCTCGTGGAACTCTCAAAAAAGGATGTGTTCTAGTCGCAGGAAATTCTTGGTGTCGCGTCAAAACTATGCAAGATGAACACGGTAAAAATGTGACAATAGCTCTGCCATCTCAACCAGTTCGAGTTAGCGGATGGCGAGATGATTTGCCAACTCCTGGAGATCTAGTATTAGAAGCTGAAACTGTTGATAGAGCACAAAAAGTTGTGAATTTGAGAATATCGAAAAGTATGCAAGAAAAAGCGGAAAGAGATTGGGAAGAAACAGCTGAACAACGGGAAAAAGATCGGGAAACTTATTTGAAGAATCGGCAGTTTTTGTTGAATCGAGGACAAAGATTTGGAAGTACGTTGAGATGTGTGGTACACAAGAATCAGAGAATCGAAAAAGATCAAGATGATACACATCCCAAATTTCGAATTATTGTGAGTTTATTGATTTTTTGGATGGAGATGACAATTTATTTATGGCTTTTTTGATTCTTTTATTTGCGAAAAAAAATACTATACATTTTTTGATTTTTTTTAGATAAACTTAGACCCCTAAAACCCTAAGATTTCAAGTCTTTTAGGCTCAACTTCAAGCCCAGGCTTGAATTCTGTTTCAGCCAAATTTCGATCCCAATGTCAGGTTCAACCAGGCCTAATTTCAATTCCCCAGATTTACGTGCATTTTTCAAACCCCATCTCAATTTTTCCAGCTTCGAACTGATGTTGAAGGAACCCTCGAAGCAATTTTGGAAATCCTCTCCACCTATAAATCTGAAATGTGTTCACTCCAAATTGTTGATTTTGAAGTTGGTTCTCCCACTGAAAAAGATATTGAATTGGCAAAAGAAACTGGTGCAACAATCTACGCTTTCAATTTACCAATTTCAAATCAAATTCGACAAAAAGCTGAAGCTTCTGGTTGTCAAATTGATCAATTCAATGTGATATATCGATTAGTTGAAGCACTCAAAACTGAAATTGAATCAAGATTACCGAAATTGGAAGAGCTGGTTTTGGTTGGAGAAGGACATGTTTTGAAAGAATTTATGATTTCGGATAGAGGAAGAAAAAGACAACCAATTGCTGGAACATTGATTGAATGGGGAAATTTTGAGAAATCGAGTTATTATAAGTTTTTGAGAAATGGAAATGTGATTTTTGAAGGGGGATTGGAGACGATGAAAGCGGGAATGGAAGTTGTGACAAGTGCAAAGACTAATACTGAGGTGAGAGCATTTTGGGACTGGTATTTTCATTTGAAATTAGAAAATAGAAGAAAAGTTTTCTGAATTTATAGTGTCTGGATTATAAATTCAAAATTTTCAATTCAACGTTTACTCAAAAAAAATCCTGAGTTTTGAGAATTCGATTCCCTTGTAAATTTATTTTCCAAAATTTGTTTTTTTTTTTTTGAAAATAACGAAACTCAGAAAGTGTCCTGACAGCCGTCGGCGAGAAAATCTCGCCAGCTAGCACGCGAGCCGGCAGACGGCCGTCCATTTCTCGCATTTTTCTGGCGAGACCTCGCCAGTTCTCGCTGCTAGCTAGCGCTTGTCTGTTGTTTTTGCAGTTCATAGAGCTTGTTTTGAAAGAATTTATTAAACAAAAAACACTTCATTTATCGGAATCCTGTGGAAGTCGAAGTTTGGAGGGTGATGTGTTGTTTTCCAGGCTGCGAAGAGTTGGTTGATGATTGTAGAATCTGAAATGTTCAATCATGTTTAAAACTTCGTTTGAAAAATATAGGGCATTGGGAAATGAGAAATAATCTAGTCATTCTCGAAGTTTTTCAAGTTTCATATTCAGGTATATCCCATTATCTGCAAAATGAAAAAAACTGCAGAGGGAGCGTTCAATGTCTAGAAAACTCAACGAGCCAAAATTACAAGGTTTTCGTAGAAAGTGAGTCAGTGCTAACAAGCGATTTAGGAGCTTGACTTGACAATGACATGGCAATTACTTGGCAACTACCTATTCCTATCACTATCAATTTTCTAAAAGTAAGGATTTTCTAATTTATCAAGCACTGATGGAAAAATACAATCAAATACATTTCTAGATGAATATGAGTAACAAACATGAATATAGAATTTTTCATTCGAATTTTTGATAGAATGAGTTCTTTTCTCACGAAATTGATTTGTTCCTACACTAGAGCATGATTTTAAAACTACTGGGACTTAGGAATCAAAGCTTTCATTCAAACCACCTTACCTTACAAATTTTATCAAAAATATTGTTGTGCTGCTCGTCCATCCCGCCATTTCAGTCGAAAACATCGCTTCAAACATCGAGAGCCCTGTAAAATAGGTTTACACTAATTTACTGAATTAACAATCATCTGCACTCACCAAAAACACGTTTTTATATCATGAAGGTGCCTGGCGATGTGCACCGTCTCCATTCCAACACTTTGCATCGTCGATTGCGTGTTTTCTGTGAACATTTTCGATGAAAAAGGCATAAAAAGATTTTAGGCCAAAAATTTCGAAAAAAAAATGAAAAAGGAAATAGACGAGCAAATCTGCTCCAGTCGCAATTTTTTCTGTCCGCTAGCTGGCGGCGAGGAGATGCGCTCGATCCTCCCCTTTTTATGAGAATGCGAGCTGGCGGACAGCCTCTGCTAGCTTTCGACAGCTCGCAACCTCGCGGACGGCTGTCAGGACACTTTCTGAGTAACTTTCAATTACTGAAAAATCCCTCGAGAACGCCCTAATTTTTGTTTTTCATTATTTTTTCTGAAATATTATTCTGAGAAGAAAAAATTTAGAAAATGAATTATACTATTTTTTTCACGTGACCTAATTTATTTTTCACGTGAATTATTTTTTTTCAATATTCTCATTTCCAATTTCATTTTTTTTCTCACAGGTTGGTTTATGTTTATTGGACAAAAATATTCGATTCAAAGAAGATGATCAAGTTGAAGCATATGAAAAGAAGCAAAAATCTCAACAAATTGACTGGTTTCCACCTGGATTTTAGGGTATCTTTCATAAAGCGTTAGGTAGGTACTGTTCTTCCACGAAAATGAAGAGCGGCGGTGTTTGCACACTTTTCGCAGCTACCGTATACAAATTGGAGGGAGTTTAAAAACAATTTTTTTTCTTTTCTTTTTTTCAATTTTTTTCGCGGATTTTGTTTGTTCGTAGTTTATGAGTCAGAACGCCAATTTCATCAGGATGTCTTGTGCTCATCTGAAAGCCCGTCTAAAACTGGTCATTTCGCTGTGAATAGATAGTCATGAAAATGAGAAACCGGCGAGGCACAGACGTCGAAAAGGAAAATGCACACAACGCGGCAAACACACATTTTCAAGTTGAGAATTGGCGTTTTTTTGGATCGATCGTTTTCAGCTCATTCTCAACCAATTTCATTGATCAATATATCAATAGAAGCAGAATTTCACAGAGAACAATCTAATATTTATGAATTTCAACATTTCGAATGCTTTCAACAATCTTTAGGGCTGAAATTCGGGTTTTCAGGATTTTTGAGGGTTTTGGGAGATTTTTTCAAAATTTTCGATGAAATAAGTGCTGGAAATTGCTCTACAATATAGTTTAACCAAAATCGAACCATTCAATTCAATCTCCAACTCTGGAATACACAATTTTTGGCTGAAATTCGGGTTTTCAAGATTTTTGAGGGTTTTGGGGGATTTTTTTCAGATTTTTTCGGAATTTTCAGTCAATTCAGTTCTGGAAATTGCTCTACAATATAGTTTAACCAAAATCGAACCATCCAATTCAATCTCCAACTCTGGAACACACAATTTTTGGCTGAAATTCGGGTTTTCAAGATTTTTGAGGGTTTTGGGGGATTTTTTTCAGTTTTTTTCGGAATTTTCAGTCAATTCAGTTCTGGAAGTCGCTCTACAATATAGTTTAACCAAAATCGAACCATCCAATTCAATCTCCAACTCTGGAATACACAATTTTTGGCTGAAATTCGGGTTTTCAAGATTTTTGAGGGTTTTGGGCGATTTTTTTTTAGATTTTTTCAAAATTTTCAATGAAATAAGTGCTGGAAATTGCTCTACAATATAGTTTAACCAAAATCGAACCATTCAATTCAATCTCCAACTCTGGAATACACAATTTTTGGCTGAAATTCGGGTTTTCAGGATTTTTGAGGGTTTTGGGCGATTTTTTTTTAGATTTTTTTCAAAATTATATTATATTTTCACGAAAATCGACCATCCAATTCAATCTCAAACTCCGGATCACACGATTTTGGGCTGAAATTCGGGTTTTCAAGATTTTTGAGGGTTTTCTGAGATTTTTTTCCGATTTTTTCGGAATTTTCTGTCAATTCAGTTCTGGAAGTCGCTCTACAATATAGTTTAACCAAAATCGAACCATCCAATTCAATCTCCAACTCTGGAATACACAATTTTTGGCTGAAATTCGGGTTTTCAAGATTTTTGAGGGTTTTCTGAGATTTTTTCCGATTTTTTCGGAATTTTCTGTCAATTCAGTTCTGGAAGTCGCTCTACAATATAGTTTAACCAAAATCGAACCATCCAATTCAATCTCCAACTCTGGAATACACAATTTTTGGCTGAAATTCGGGTTTTCAAGATTTTTGAGGGTTTTCTGAGATTTTTTTCCGATTTTTTCGGAATTTTCTGTCAATTCAGTTCTGGAAGTCGCTCTACAATATAGTTTAACCAAAATCGAACCATCCAATTCAATCTCCAACTCTGGAATACACAATTTTTGGCTGAAATTCGGGTTTTCAAGATTTTTGAGGGTTTTCTGAGATTTTTTTCCGATTTTTTCGGAATTTTCTGTCAATTCAGTTCTGGAAGACGCCCGACAATCCAAGTTCACGGAATTCGACCATCCCATTTGATTTCGAACTCTGGAGCACACAATTTTGGGCTGAAATTCGGGTTTTCAGGATTTTTTTTCAAAATTTTCGACGAATGAAGTGCTGGAAATTGCTCTGCAATCTATCTTCCCCAAATTCAACCATTCACTTCGATTTTAAACTCTGGAGCACACAATTTTTGGGTGAAATTTTACTTCGAACTCTCGAAGCGAAAATGTCGCACCCAGGATTACTGTACTGAAAATTTCCATTTGTTTTGTTGGAAGAGTTGCTCCAAATATTTTCGCATTCTGTGTTCAAAATGGTACGTGTATTTAAATCGCTTGCGGAAGATGGCACAAAATATTTATTAGCCGATAAAAATGAATGTCAAGTTTTGAAAAATGTGAGTATTTTCATTCGATAATTATGAAAATATAACAAATAATTCAGACGTTGCATGATTCGACAGTTGCGGGATGTTTATTTTCAGATACAGAAAAAGTAATTTTTATTTTGATGTCCGATACCAGCGAAGGAATTAATGATTTATATGTTAGTTTTAAAAAATTAAAGGAAAGAAGTTCACAAAAATAACATATTTTCAGAAGAACGAAGCGGCTCAAATCTTACTAAACGATGAAATCCCACTTGATGGATTTTTCCATTTTGATGATATGAGATCAGTAAGATCGAGAAATCCCGCCGCCAAACTCAACGTAAATAAATTAATTACGTTCTCCTGATTTTGAGTTTTTTTTCAGAAGTTTTCACTACGGCAGCTTCACCCTATTCCGAGAAAAAACAAGAACTGTTATGAAGCGCTTCTGCATACTATGCAAATTTCTGTGCTGGTTTCAAGTTTCAACAAAAACCCCCAAGAGAGTGAGTATTTTGATACAATTCTTGAAACACGACGTGACAAAATTTCAGGAAAGTTCAGTCTTGATTTGGTAAATGAAAAATATTCGACCTATTCAGCCAGCAGCAAGACAAGGTAAAATTAAAAAAAAAAAACTCACGGACATTTTTTGTTTATGCAGATCAAAAAAGAGAAGACTACAAGATCCAAATGATGTTGACTCTGATGAAGCCGAAATTCAAACAAAACCGGAAGATTTACCATCAACATCAACATCTACACAGCCATCTCCTTTTGATTTCACAACAAAGAATCGGATGAGCTCGAAAACGCACGAATCACAACAAATTGATGTAACTGAATCAGATGAACCAGATTCTGGCGATGATAGTGAAATGGAAGATGAAGTAACTGTAACATATGAAGTTTTACCAGAAGGTAAGCTTGATGAAACATGGAAATTTTCAGGAATTGTTTTTCTAATTTCTTAAGATTATCAATTTTTGTTTTTTGAAAATATTTCTTATTAACAAATTTCGAAATGAGATTTTTTTAAATAATTGGAACAACGAAATGTTTCATATTTTAGAACAAAAATGATTAAATGTTATTTTTTTAGGAAAAGTTGGCGATAGTACCAGAAAGCGATCAAAAAAGAAGGTATTTATTTTTAGAAAGCTTATCGATAAAAAACTCACAATTTCAGGAAGAAAGGGAGTTGATTGCATTGGGTAGAGCGGTCAAGGCGATGGCAGCGGGTAGAGGATCGATGCAGTCATTGCGTGGACAAAGTGTAGAGCATAGTGGAGTTAAATTGTTGCAACATTGTTTAGCCAGGAGCAGAGAATTGAAAATGGAATTGGGTGAAAATTCGAAAGGAACAATTTTCGATAATCCTATTGAATTCACAGAATATATGATCGGAGTCGGCAAAACGGCGATCAGGAAAATTAGAGATGATCCACCAGAAGGAATTCAGAAAAGAGCGATCAGTCGTAAAAACAGATGGAAAAAAAGAGCTGAAAAAATTCCTGAATTCATGAAAGAAGCTATTCGTGATTGGCTAGATACTTGTTGGGAGAAAAATAAACACGTCACAGTATCAACCCTTCTTGATTGGCTAAAAAATGTTTTTCATTTTCAACTAGGGCGTTCATTTTTAAACGATGCGCTTCATGGCATGGGTCTCACTTGGAGAAAAAAATCTGGCCAACCATTGATTCAAGAACGAATTGATCTAATTGTTGCCCGGAAACGCTATCTAGAGCGTAAATTGAAATTATTGAAAAGAGAAGGAAAACAAGTATTTTTTGGATATCTCGATGAGACTTGGTTTTTCGAAGGGATGTCAACTATGAAAGGATGGGAACACAAAGATAGTAACATGTATAAGCTCGCGCGAGAAGTTAGAATTGAGGAGAGAAGAAGTGGACCTCCCAAAGGAAAAGACAAAGGGCGAAGGGCGATTGTGTTGGGAGTTCTCACTTCTGAGGGAATTTTAAAAGGATCTGAAAATATTCTTATTTCCGGTCTCAAAGAAAAAGATCAACTAATGGATTTCCACAAAGAAATGAATTTTGAGAGTTATATGGAATATATGGAACTCGTATTACCGTTGATGGCTGAAGAAGCTAGAAAACGCGACATGGTCGCGGCGCTTGTTGTGGACAACGCGCCCTATCACTGCGAAGTAGTAGAAAAGGTGAGTATTCAAGTCAATATTATTAGAAGAAAACTTTCTTGCAGATTCCAACGAAATCGAGCTCAAAAACAGTAATTAAAGAATATTTGGAAACACATAATGTTCCATTTGATCAAAAATCACTTAAAAAGGACTTAGTTGTTATTTTGGAAGATTTCTTGCGACAAAATGGAGGACGGCAAGCCATGAAAAAATATGTTGTTGACGAGGAGGCCAAAAAACTAGGAGTCGAAATTTTAAGATTGCCTCCTTACCATTGTCAATATAACCCAATCGAACTAACATGGGCTGCTTTGAAAACATATTTGCGACAAAAATACGAAGAAGGTGATACTCTTAAAGATGTGAGTGAAGATGCGAAAAATCCAATATTTTTGAGTACACAAAGAAATAGTGGAATTTTCAATGTCTAAATAACTGGTTAATATTGATTTTCAGACAAGACAATTAGCTTTGGATTGGATGCGAGCATATTCTCCGCAAGAAGCTCAAGCATGTATTCGCCACGTCGAAGAATTGGAAGAGGCTACAAGAGCAAAAATCAATGAGAGAGAAATTCAGGAAGAATTAGATAGAGAAAGAATTCGCGATCAGGAAAGGGTTGATGGTTTGAACGAAGAAGATTATAATGTAGAAGAAGATGATAATGTAGAAGAATATGATGAAGAATATATTGATGAAGAAAATGTGTATGATAGTTTCGATGACAGTTTATTAGGCGATGCTGAATCGGATTATGAAAAACTATATTCAGACTAGGAAGGATAAGTTTTTTTTTAAAATTAAATTTCACTATACTTTGTCTTGAACACATTAATAATCTGAATAAATCAACGAAATCTGAATGAACGAAGTTTGATAAATGATTGACACACAAGAAAATATTTGCTAAACTATTAAGAATTCATAAAATCCTTTTGAAAAGAAAAAATAATCTTCGTCTTGAAAACAAAAAAAAATTTCGATGGTCGAAGTTTCTGAGGTGTTCGGCCATTAGGCCATTCCTTTTTTCTCTGCGTCTCGCAAGTGTTTCATGATAAATTTTGCGTTTTTATCGAATCTAGTTATTATTAAATACTTGAGTCACGCATGCATAGCAGTTTTTTGTAGAGGATTGAATTTATTATTAAAAATTCAGTTAATCAGTGTACTTGTGGGATTGCAGAGGACAGGTTGCACGAAAAATTTGAGAAAAACAGAATTTCAGCCCAAAGTCGTGTGATCCGGAGTTTGAGATTGAATGGGATGGTCGATTTTCGTGGAACTATAATGTAGAGAAATTTCCAGCACTTATTTCATTGAAAATTTTGAAAAAATCTAAAAAAAATCGCCCAAAACCCTCAAAAATCCTGAAAACCCGAATTTCAGCCCAAAGTCGTGTGATCCGGAGTTTGAGATTGAATGGGATGGTCGATTTTCGTGGAACTATAATGTAGAGAAATTTCCAGCACTTATTTCATTGAAAATTTTGAAAAAATCTAAAAAAAATCGCCCAAAACCCTCAAAAATCTTGAAAACCCGAATTTCAGCCAAAAATTGTGTATTCCAGAGTTGGAGATTGAATTGGATGGTTCGATTTTGGTTAAACTATATTGTAGAGCGACTTCCAGAACTGAATTGACAGAAAATTCCGAAAAAATCGGAAAAAAATCTCAGAAAACCCTCAAAAATCTTGAAAACCCGAATTTCAGCCAAAAATTGTGTATTCCAGAGTTGGAGATTGAATTGGATGGTTCGATTTTGGTTAAACTATATTGTAGAGCGACTTCCAGAACTGAATTGACAGAAAATTCCGAAAAAATCGGAAAAAAATCTCAGAAAACCCTCAAAAATCTTGAAAACCCGAATTTCAGCCCAAAATCGTGTGATCCGGAGTTTGAGATTGAATTGGATGGTCGATTTTCGTGAAAATATAATATAATTTTGAAAAAATCTAAAAAAAAAATCGCCCAAAACCCTCAAAAATCCTGAAAACCCGAATTTCAGCCAAAAATTGTGTATTCCAGAGTTGGAGATTGAATTGAATGGTTCGATTTTGGTTAAACTATATTGTAGAGCAATTTCCAGCACTTATTTCATTGAAAATTTTGAAAAAATCTAAAAAAAAATCGCCCAAAACCCTCAAAAATCTTGAAAACCCGAATTTCAGCCAAAAATTGTGTATTCCAGAGTTGGAGATTGAATTGGATGGTTCGATTTTGGTTAAACTATATTGTAGAGCGACTTCCAGAACTGAATTGACTGAAAATTCCGAAAAAATCTGAAAAAATCCCCCAAAACCCTCAAAAATCTTGAAAACCCGAATTTCAGCCAAAAATTGTGTGTTCCAGAGTTGGAGATTGAATTGGATGGTTCGATTTTGGTTAAACTATATTGTAGAGCAATTTCCAGAACTGAATTGACTGAAAATTCCGAAAAAATCTGAAAAAATCCCCCAAAACCCTCAAAAATCTTGAAAACCCGAATTTCAGCCAAAAATTGTGTATTCCAGAGTTGGAGATTGAATTGAATGGTTCGATTTTGGTTAAACTATATTGTAGAGCAATTTCCAGCACTTATTTCATCGAAAATTTTGAAAAAATCTCCCAAAACCCTCAAAAATCCTGAAAACCCGAATTTCAGCCCTAAAGATTGTTGAAAGCATTCGAAATGTTGAAATTCATAAATATTAGATTGTTCTCTGTGAAATTCTGCTTCTATTGATATATTGATCAATGAAATTGGTTGAGAATGAGCTGAAAACGATCGATCCAAAAAACGCCAATTCTCAACTTGAAAATGTGTGTTTGCCGCGTTGTGTGCATTTTCCTTTTCGACGTCTGTGCCTCGCCGGTTTCTCATTTTCATGACTATCTATTCACAGCGAAATGACCAGTTTTAGACGGGCTTTCAGATGAGCACAAGACATCCTGATGAAATTGGCGTTCTGACTCATAAACTACGAACAAACAAAATCCGCGAAAAAATTGAAAAAAAGAAAAGAAAAAAATTGTTTTTAAACTCCCTCCAATTTGTATACGGTAGCTGCGAAAAGTGTGCAAACACCGCCGCTCTTCATTTTCGTGGAAGAACAGTAGATTTGTAGGAATTTATTTATTTTTTGTTAATAAAGTTGTTTTTTTTTCACACAAAAATTTCTATTTGGTCAAATTTCAAGAAAAGTTCTGATGACTTTTAAATATCTAAATTTAATTGATTGAAAAATTATGGAGATTTTTAGAGTATGAAAAATGCAAAAGAGTGTTCAAGATAGGTGTGTTGAACTATGCTTCGGGTTTTTTCAAAGAATTGGGGTGAGTTGTTTTTTTTTGATACGAAGACATTTTTTTAAATCACCATTTTTTGTAGTATCATAAAACCGCGAATTGTATGTTAGAAGAATCAGAATCGCTATCAAAATCCGAGCGAAAAATAGTTCGGGTGACAAATGACGGGAAAAATGAGTATATACTGAGTATACATGATCGGGTTCATGAGAAAACACTCGAAGAAATTGTTGAACTTTTCATTCAAGATGGAAGATTTGATGTGAGTCCAGAAATGTTGCAATTTGGTGAGGAATTGAGACAAATGGCGATGAGATTTACGACGATGACTTCTCATACAAATAGTAGTAAAAGGTGGGGTTTGGTGAACGATTTTGGTTGAAAATTTGTAAAGTTCATTTTTGGTACCGGAAATTCAAAATTAGAAAGCATTCAGTTTCGGCGCAACAATTGAAAATTGAAATTTTCAGGTTTCAGCGCCAAATCGTGAAAATTTTAAATTTCAAAGAAATGTTTTTGAAGGTAATGATAAATATTCTAACAAATACATCAAGAAAAGCATTAAAAAATTTAAATCATCTAGAATTCTGTTCTAACATAAGATTTTTTATGGCCCCTCTAAAATCTCAGAATGAAATCCAGAATGTGGAGCCCTAAACCGTTTTTGGTCACATATTCTTCCCCAAAACTCAATTTCCCCATTTTGCAGCAGCATCCAACAACGTCTCTACGGTCGGCCAACTCATTCTCGAAGTCATCAACCATCAATATTCGTTCCCACATCTCCATATAATTTGGCAAATCGAACAAACTCGAATTTCGCCGCTTATACCATTCAACAATCTCCGCACGCAAGAACCCAATTAGATAATCAAATGATAGTTCAACAAGCTGAAATGAGATATCGACAACAATTATATCAACAACAAGTTGTTGCTCAACAACTACAGCAGAAAATGAGTGGACAGGGGGGACAAGGAGATGCAACACCAGTAGCAGCAGCAACAACATCTGCAGCCATTGCTCAGACTAGTGAAGAATCAGTTTGTAGTGGAGGATCAGCGAGACGGAAAACACATCAACCGCAAAGTTTGAATACAATGGCGAAAGAGCATTTGATTGATCCGTTGGTTGGAATTATTAATGAGAAACCTTGGGAAAGTATGTCCGATGTGAGTTTATTTTTATTAGGGGGACTTCAACATTTTCCGATTATTTCGGAAGATAGCCTGAATTTTTAAATATCTCATCAAAAGTTGGAAAAAAATCAAGAAAAATTTTCTAAATCTAAAACCTTTTTTATTATTGTTTGAAAATTGATAAGTTTCTAGATTAGAAATAAATTAATTAATTTCATAAGCTTTGGAACCTGAAAAAATATTCGGTTTTACGATAATTTCTGATTTTCTTGAAGTTTTAATCGTAAATATTAGCTTTTAATATTGTTTATCCAAAAAGTACCTTCTTCTGAATTTTCAACATTTTTTTCCCAACAATATCTTATTTTTCCAGATCGCTTTGGATGATTCTGCCATTTTTCAAAGTCTTGATTGTATAGGAAAAGATGTGAGTTCATTTTTCCCATGATTTCTTCCCCCTCAAAACAACCAAGATTTTTGAATTTTTCCAGTTTTTGGCCACTTTTGACTACCAACACAGTGGTTTCCCGCAAGATTTTGGAATGGAAGAAGAGCCCTTCGAAAATGGCAATTTGATTCCGCCGATCGACAATGAAGTTGTGATTGAAAATGAAGAGCAAATGGAACAGGAAGCAGAGGTTGTGTTAGGATCTGAGCATAATTTGAATATTGAACAAGCTCCGCCGATTTTGAGCCCGGTTGAAATGGAAAAAGTTGTGACGCCAGTTGAAAAGAAAAAGCAGCAGAGTTCGAAATATGAAAGAGAATCGACGCCGATGAGACACAAAGAATCGAATTCGAATTCATCTTTGACTTCATCTTCATCTTCAAAACGAGAAAAAGAGAGAAGTGATGATCGGAGGAAATCAAGGAATTATGAAGAATCTAGAAGATCACATTCACCACAATCGAGAAATCGAAAAGATGAAAGAAATCGAGGAGAAAATAATGGAGGAGGATCGAAAGAGAGAAAAGATTTGAAGAGAAAAGAACAATTGAGAGATGAGAGGAAAACATCAACTGGAAATACGAATTCGAGTTATCAACCTAAAAAGAGACCTTATGTAAGAAGGGTTTTTGAGGAGGGTTTGGAATGAAGTTGAGATCAGAGTGATTCATTTTTAAATTTATTTTTATATATTCCAATTCATACTTCTCTCAATCCGAATACAATTTGATGAATCTTTCAATGATACATTTAAAATTTACGTTTTTCAAAAGAGTCTGAAATTATTTTTCAAAAAAAAAAAGTTTATTTCATCGGCCTCCTCTATATCCATTCTCCATTATTCCAGCCATCCGAAGAGCGTCCATCATCTCGCCACGAACCTTTCTTTTCCACATCATCATCTTCGTCATCGAATTTGCCAAGCAGAAAACAATCCAACGAAAAACCGTCAACCACTTCGAAAAAGAGCAACACAGATGGACCAATTCATGAGCCAAAACGAGTTGCTCCAACTCCAACTCCTCCTCCTTCTCTTCCACAAGCTGTTCCTGAAAAGTTGACGAAAAATAAAATGACGTCGAATTTGTTGAACAAGTTGAGAACTTCTAAGGTATGATTTTGGATTTTTCAAAAACTGTATTTTATTTATGAGCAAAAAATCGAAGTTTTTTAATCTGAAAGTATTTTGTTCAACACCCTCAAAATATTTCCAGTCTTCTACACCTCCTCCAACAACAGCTCCTGTCAAAGATATTTTCGGAGATATTGATCGAGAAATGACGAAATTCGAAAAGAAAACACCCGACGAGCTGCAAGCAAAAAGCAGTTGGAAAATCCCGAAAAAATCGCAAGTTATCGCGAATTCTCCGAAAGCCACGACTCCACAACCAACTTCGAGTAATTCTGGAAATTCAAATGAGAAGAAGCCATCTTCAGCATCTTCAAAATCATTGGAAATCTCCTCGAAAAATTCGAAACAGAAAGAAAAGGAGCAAGAAAAGCCGAAAAATTTCGACGAGATTCCAATTTGTGAAGGAGACGGTGCACCGATCAGACACGATGATTTTATAACGTGCAAAATGAACACAATTCGATTGGCCTCGGTTTTGGTGAATGTGGATGAGAGATTTAAGGAAAAACGCAGAAAAATGGCTGAAATTGAAGCAGAAAAGGAAAAAGAAAAAGAAAAAGTGAACACACAGCCGAAAACTGTTGGATTTGCACCACAAAAAGGAGATTTGTTTGCGAAACAGATGTTGGAGAATAGTAGGGTAAGCGGGGTTTTGCGGAAAAAAATTCAAATTTTATTTTTCAACAAAAATTTATAAACTTCTGATTAAGACCGTAAAAAATAATCTGATTCCAATGCAATTTCTAATTTCAAAATAATATTTTTTTCAATGTTTCAAAGAATTCAAAAAGTTTCAAAATGATTTCTATTTTTAGTAACAGAGAGTTAGATGAATTTTTTGTTATAGAAAATCCCAAAAAATAATAATTTTACAACCAAAATTTCCCAAATTTCCAGGCTGTTTTATGTTCTGATGAAGAAGATGAAGATGAAGACGATGAAGATGGAAAATGATAATTTATCGCAAGCTTCTCCAATTGAACGAGAACCTTCATCTTCCTCAGATTCAAATTCTGTGCCAAAAACTGTCGATCTTTCAAAAGCCTCGGATTTTCTTGATAGAATTCATGGTTCATCTTCCTCTTCCCAATTTTAATTTCAATTGGCTAGAATTTTAATTATCTTGTTTTATTTAATTATTTTTTATTATAAGTACCCACTTCTATTTTTAGCACAACATATTTTTATTTATCACTTTCTCGGTTAAAAAGTACATTCCCTTCCCCTTTTTTTTTGGTTTTCCCTGTGATTTTTTTTCAGAAACCATCTCATTTTTGTATTTTTTTGTCATTTCAAAATTTTATTTTCCGGTTTCTTATTATTTTTTTTTGTTCATTTTATAGAGCATAATACCTGTTTTTGTTTGTAATGTTTTAATTTCATTTTTTTAGAGGTTCTAATGGTCCTCAAGAATTTCTTAAAGCAAATTTTGACCCCAAAAATTATTGGTTCAGATGTTGCGATTTCGGCAGACCGTGCGATTTTTCTCCTCGGCCGAATTCGCCACGAACTTGGCGTCGACATCGACGGTCAATAAAAGTTGGCAGGTTTTGGTGGTGCATCCGAAGGTGAGCACATTTTTTCGGGAAATTGGCGATTTTTTATCAAGAAAATTTCGAGGAATGTTTGATTTTGAAAAATCTTGGGAGCACGAGGTTTTCCAGAAATTTTTAAAATCTTAATTTCGATTTGTAACCGGAAAAATGAAAATCTTTCATGAAAAAGAAAATTGTAATTTTCAGACTATAGCTCCAAACTATTGGGAAAATTATAAACCTCTGAAATATACTAAATTTTTGAAACAGTTGAATTTTTCAAGACGTTTTTTTTGTTGAAAAAAAGGAGTGTACTGAAAATGTAAGATTATTGAAAAATCTAGATTTTTTAAAACACTGAAAAATATTTTTAAATTATGAGTAAATGTTTTCAGGTCAGATGGGGTTCCGGATCAGCATCAATTCTGAAAAATGCCGATCGACAACTTGAAGAAGCCGTTTCACTGGTCAATAATTTGTCAAATATGATTGCAGTTGAGTAAGGGTTTTATGGAAGGGAATTGAAAAATTCAATATGTTTTGAAAAAATCTCCATTAAAAATCTCACTATTTTTCAGTAGCCTAATTATGCCCGTCGATTACAATACAAAACGAAAATCAATCTGGGCGACAGGAAATCTCGAAAAATTGGTAGAAAAACGAGAAGAAGCTCGAGCCACCGCTTTGATGGTTAATGTTGATGTTTTGAGCCCAATGCAACAAGAGGAATTATTCCGAATTTTTGAAGTTCCAATCTTCGACAGATACAATATTGTTTTAAGTATTTTCAAAGAATATGCAATGACCGAAGAAGCTCGATTACAAATTGCATTGGCTGAATTACCGTATATTCGAAGTCGAATTCAATCGCTGAATTCGAAAAGATTATCGGGAAAGTCGGAAATTCTACACGTTTCGGAACAATATGTGGAATATGATGGGGATTTGGCGGAAAATTTGAGAAAAAAAGAACAGGAATTGAGGAAACAATTGAGAGAATTGAAAGATGATGAACATATTTCACAAGGTAGGGAAAAACATTTGATTGGCACTTAAGTATGAGCAATCCACGATGTTCCAGATTCTGGAACAGCCACAGTTGCTGTTGTTGGCTATACAAATGCTGGAAAAACGAGTTTGGTTAAAAAACTAACTGGAGCTGCAAATTTGGACCCGAAAGATCGACTTTTCGCAACTCTCGATACCACGCGACATTTTGCAAAATTACCATCGGGAAGACGAGTTTTGTTCGCAGACACTATTGGATTTTTGAGCGATTTACCGATTCATTTGATCTCGGCTTTTGAGGCAACTTTGGCGCATGTCAAATTTGCTGATGTCATAATTCATTTGCGCGATATTTCGAATCCGGATTGGAAAGCGCAAGAGGAAGATGTGATAAATACGTTGAAATCGATTGGAGTTGAAGAGGAAATTATGGGAAAACGAATGATTATGGTGGATAATAAAGTAAGATATTTTTTTTAAAGCAATATTTTTAGCCTGACTCTTTGCAGATTGATAAATGCTCATTTGTGCCATTACCTTCTGAATCTTTTCATATTTCTTGTAAAACTGGAAATGGATTTCAAGAACTCATTTTGAAAATTGATGAAAAAGTGATTGAAACAACAAAATGTAAAAGGATTCGAATCAAATTAGATGTTCGATCACCGATTGTTGAATGGCTTTACAGGTAAGGAACTCTCAAGAAATCTGGATGTTTCCACGTCATAACTCAATCTCAGCTTCTACGTTTTTTCAGGAATCAATTTGTTATCACTGAACCAATTGCTGATGGAAATATTTTGAATTTTGATGTGGTTTTGAACGAATCCGAGTTGGGAAAATTGAAGAAACAATTTAAAAATTTGAAGAAAAAATGATGTATTTATTATTTATTTTTTATTTGAAGAAAACAATTTTTTCCACATTTTTATTGGTTTTTTGATTCGCAAATTAATGGTTTTCTACCATTTTTCTATATATTTATTTTTTTTTTTGAAATCTAGATTGCGAAATATTTCCCATTATAAACCCTCTTCTCAATTCCCAAATTTTCTTAAAAATATTTATTTTGCAGATGACTGAAAATGTGAAAATTGTGATGCGACACTTGCCCAGATTTATCACCGAGACCGAAGTTTTGCAAATTATTGGTGAATTTCCCCCGGAAGTTTTGAGCTATTATTTCTCGCCGGCGGATATTTCGTGAGTTTTTTCTTGAAAAATTAAACGAATTTTAATTTATTTATTTCTAGATTTGAACCATTGGCATTTGCCTCGATGTATATTGTATTTTCTTCTTTTTGCGATTCGTTGTTCGAATTTGAGAAACGGTTTGAGGGATATATTTTCGTGGATTCAAAGGTAAGTTAATTTTAAGGGTAATAGATTTTTCAGTTGAATAGCGCTTACGAAATTCATTTTTATGAAAAAATTCTCGTAATTTATATTCACTTCTTGCAGGGAATCGATTCAATGTGCAACATTGAAGTTGCAACCTATCAATCGCACGCAAAATGCAATCGTGATGAAATGAAAAAAGATTCGAAATGCGGAAAAATTACCGAGGAATCGTATTTCAAGAAATTCATGAAAAAATTGGAGGAAACTGAAAGCACTCCGATTATTACACTCGAACAACAAATTTTGAGACTTGGAAGAGGAGATGATGCAAAAACACGTAGGTTGAACCCGGCTGGGAAAATTGATGGGGTCTTGTTTAAAAATACTAATTCATTTCAGAATTGGAAAGATTGGATACTCCACTTGTCAAATTCATCTACAATGAACAAATCGAAAAACAACAGGCAAAACTCTATCGAAATATTCAAAGAGAAGCGAAAAGATCGACGAGAATTGCGATGGATTCGGCTGGAACATCTGAAGAAAATGGAAGAAGAATTAGTGGAGCTGCTGTAATAAGAAGAGAAAGAAAAGCTGAAAATATTGGAAGTGGAAGAGGAGATGAGAAAAAAGGAGAACCTCGAATTAGAGATAAGGAAAAAGAAAAGGAGAAGAAAAAGGAAAAGAAATTGTTGGATCCAGTCAAATTGGAAAAGGTTTGATTTTTGAGAAGGGTTTTGTTAGATAAATTCATCGAAATTGTAAGTTTTTCGAAAATAGTTTATTTTGAAACAGTGAAAGTGTTTCGGGATTTTTTTTAATGAAAAATTTGTTGGGTTGTACTCGCTAAAAAAGTTCATTTTGAAACCTTCAAAAATGTTTACGGATTTTTTTTGTAACAAAATAGTATCTTTTATCAATTTTTGGAATCATTTAAAAATAATATGGGAATTTTGAAACAGTGAAAAATTTCCCAAATTGTATGAGTTCGAAGACTTTACAATCAAATTCCGAAAAAAAAGACAGAAAGAGTGATTTTATTTTTGAAACAGCAAAAAATATTGTAAGTTGTAAAGCTGATGATTTTAATTGTGAGATTCATAGAAAATTTGAAACATTTCAATTTTACAGAAACGTGAACGCGACGCAATTCGAAAACAAAAATTCCTCGAGAAAAAATGGATGAATGATCATGGAATTAAACCAACACCGCCAGAAGTTCTCAAAGAAGCGGTGAGCTTTAAAAAAATTAATATTGATCAATTAACATATTTTTTTTCAGCGTGAAGTCAAGAAAAAAGAATATCCAAAAACATCGCGAAACTATCGAGCAATTCGAGAAACCCCAAAAAATCTGGGCGATCATGTTGGAGAAGATTGGATCAAACGATTGACTGATCCGAAATCGAATCTCCGAAAATCGTCGGAAAGTTGAATTTGATTCTTAATTGTCTGTGATAATATTTTTCATAAATTTGTTATTTATCCTTGTTTTTTAAAGAAAAAAATGGGATTTCATATGGACCCCTGACTAAAATTTCTATTTTGTTTTCTCCTAAAAACCCCACAATTTTCAGATGCCTTTCGTTGGTTTGGAGATCAAATGTCAATTGGCTGGAATTACAGATTTGAGACCGAATGATCCGAACGGTTTCAGATTTCATCTGAAATTGAAATGCACAAATTGTGGAGAGCAACCTGACACGTGGCAATATGTCGTGCAAAATGTGGGTTTTTTTTCTGAAAATATTGAGATGATCAAAAATTACCAAAAATATTGAAAATGTGAGATTTTCGAAACAGCAAATTTTTTTCTCATAAATAATTTTTACTGTTTCAGAATTTTCATATAGTTTTTCTTAATTTGTTATAATTGTTTTAGCGGAATTGAGATTTTTAAAACAGAAATGTTTTCCACAAATGATTCAAATAAATTTTCACTGTTTCAGAATTTCTATGAATTAGTTTGTGGTGTTTGGAAATTCAATTATTCCTTTCAATAATTTATTACCTAAACTCTCTGTTTCAAAAATTTCGCAGACATAGAAATTTTGCTTGAAATTTTATCTCAATCAAAAAATTATTTCTTGATAAACTTTAACTGTTTCAAATTCCTCATGATAATATTTTCAAAACTCCACACTTTGATAAGTACTCGAAATATTTTGCAATATCTCCAGGAACTGCAAGAAATCCCCGGAAGTCGCGGCGAAGCAAACATCGTCGAAAAATGTAAACTATGTGGAAGATCAAACACTTTGACAATTTTGCCGGAAACTTTCAAAACCTACAAATTGGAAAATAATGAGAAATGGCAATTTTTGGTCGTTTTTGATTGTCGAGGAATTGAACCAGTCGATTTTGATCCAAGAGTGAGTTTGAATTGAGAGAAAATTCAAGATTTCAATTTTAAAAATTGATTTTCAGAATGACTGGCTTGCCACTGGTTCAGAATCTGGAACTGCATTTGAAGACATTGATTTGACCGAAAAATCATGGGCGGATTATGATGAAAAAGCTGGAGAATCTGTTGAAATTCAGGATTTTGAATGTCGATTTACTCATGTTAAAGATTTGAAAAAGTTGAAATGATTATATCATTTATTTGTTAATAGTAAAGATATTGGGATTTTGTTGAAAATGCAGATTTCATTGAAAAGGCGAATTGAAAACATGTGAGGATGAAGAGAAGAATTTGGATTGTTATCTGCAAAAATAAGTTATGACGTGGCAATTTCGAAAATCGACAATGTAAGCGAAATTTGAAAAATTCGATTTAGAAACCTAAATTTTATGAAAATAATTTTTTATTCTAAAATTTTGACGTGGAAGTTGAGAAATTTAATTTTTGAAAAATAATCTAGAAAATCACATTTTTTAAAAATAAATTTGAAGTTTGAAAAAAAAAGTCAGATTTTTTTTCCAAAATCTTATGACGCAGAAAAAAAATTATAATTTTGAAATTGTTAGCTGAAAATTTTAAACTACTTATTTTTACACAACGTGGCAATTCAGAATTTCCGAAATATATTTTCTTTTAACCACTGATTTTTCAAGCTCAAAAATTCCAAATATCTCTAGAATTTCCCAATCTCTAGAATTTCCCACCTGTACAGCCGCAATTTCCCTATCAGTTTCTTGTGGCAACCAATCAATATATGGATTTGTGAAATGAACAACTCTCAAACAATATTCTTCTCTTTCGGGAAACCAATGACAATGTCGAGTTAACATATGTGGAATTGTATTTCGATTCAACCAACAGAAGATTCCGAAACTTGTGATCGCATTCAATAAAACACTAAAACCTGCTCCGATTATGTTTATTCCGCGAGTTGTTGAACCGTGGCATTTTGTACGCCATGTTACGATTCCTGCAAAAAATTGCCACCTGATTGCTCATGTTATTTAATTTTAAAAAAAAAGTTTTCAGAAAACTTCTGAACTCCAAAAATGTTTTTTCAGATCCCCCTGAAAAACATTTTTCTGAGCTCGGAAAAGTTCTCACAAGTCAGTACTATTAAATCTTCCATCGTAAATTCCTCACCCCCTCCTGAAATGCGCGAAACATCTTCTTCACGTTACGTAACCCCCTCCCTCCCCTCTCCCAATTCCCTCTTCCTCCCCAATCTGTCAATTATCTCGAAAACCAACAATTAAACTATTAGCAGCACCACCTTTTCTAATCCTCTTACTATTGTTTTCTTTTTTTTATTCTATTCACTGTTTCACAACCAAATGTTTATGCCTTCTGTGATTCTTCTTCCAAAAATAAAACCAACCTTGTAACAATGAAAATAGTCCGATTGCTAATGGTAGATATAAAAAGAAAAATGTGCAACAATATCTCAAATGCACAAAACTCGCCAAAATTATCAATATTGATATGACAACTTGATAGTGGTAGGAATATAATCGAATTCTGGAAAAAATATTCGAATTTTAGACTTCAGGGATTTCTTTGATTGTAAGGAGCTTGGAAAAATAGCGAAAAAAATTCAAAAATTCATTGTTTCATGCCAATCCTGAAAGTTCAAAATTTTTAACTCAACCGGTATTCCAGAGATTTTATTTTAGAAAAAAATATCTGAGGGCTCCAGAACTTCAAGGACTTACTTTGTCTCAATTCCACTGTAAACTGTTAACAATACACAAATCAATAAATGTAGGCCCGATAAAATTGTTAAACTAATCGATGTGAAAAATCGAATATTTTCAGAACTTGTTGTTGGATCGTAGCCAAGTTTTGATAGAATTGATGTTTGCAAATTTCCCAATATCGAGTTGCACGAGTTCATCATTCCGATTGCACGATATTTCAGACCGTGGCAAATTCCGTCTTTTATTTCTTGGTCCGAGTCTGAAAAGAGATAATCGGGAGTGGGAAAGATTTCCTGGTCCCCAATAGAAAATTTGAAAAAAACTAAAATTATGATTTTTTTTGGTTTCATAAAAATTCACTGTTTCAAAATTTTGTCATAATTTTTGTGCGTTGTTATATTTTCGATGTTGTGAGAGAAAATGGGAATATTTTTTTGCCGATACTTTATGATGCTCCTGTAATTTTTGAGCTATAAATTCACGTTGAAAAATTCACAAAAATGTTACTGTTTCAAACAATTTTGAAATTGTTCGCTATATTTTTGTTTTTTGATAGATTTTTACTTTTAAATTTAATTTAAAAAAAACTCACTTTTGAATTCGTCAATACAATAAGATTCCATCAATGAAAAAAAGAAGAAAATAGTTCCCAAAACCGAACAAGTTAATTGCAAATAAAAATCACAACTGCAAAATAATCTTTTTGTTTTGAGAAAACATTTCAAAAGCAAGAAAAATTACCGATTGGGATATCTGAGAAAAATGGCATGAAATGAGGCGACCAATCCAAAAACTGCATTGATAAATGGAAAATAGAGGAAAAATAATGGAGAACAGTAGAAAATATGAGTGCCGCCGAAAAGGAATTCGAACTGAAAAAAATATATTTCAAAAAAAAATTCCAATAATTTTCTACTGTTTCAAAAATATCTTAAAATCATTTTTGTGTTTGATTTTCAATGATAAATGCCTATTTTAGAAAAAAAAAACTTTTAAAAATTTGCAATAAATATTTTCAACTCAATGTTTTTTTGTTTCAGATCTCAACTATTGGTAAATATTTCTACAGATAATTTTTAAAAACATCCTGAAATATTTAATGTTTAAAAATTTTCCTAAAATTTGAATTTTTTCTAAATATTCGGTCAGCTACTGTTGACAAAAAAAATTCCAAAAAAAACTTACAAAAGCGATAATTCCTAAAATTGGATAAAGACTCCATTTTGGACCTGTTGCAGCCATTGTCCTTTCTCTATTTATTTTTCGACCACAAAAAATGCAGACAAAAAATTTGAACAAAGTGTCTTCTAACGAGTTTCCTGGAACGAAGAGTTCAAGAAAAAAAGACGATTTTTTGGCGCAGAAAAAAAAAGAAGTTGCATGGCTGGGCAGGCGGGAAAATTAGATTTAAACAGAAAAATAAAATAGAGAAGAAAATCTGATGAGGATCATTATTTTTGTTGTGTCACACTGATTTTTGAGAGGAAATAAGTATTCGAAAATATTTTTGATGTACGATACGATTTTGAATTCGAGAAAAACAGGGAATAATATCCGAAAGATCACTTCTGGAAGAGTTTTGAAACAGTAAAAATTTGTGTTGAATTGTATTACTATGAAGCAAAATACAAAATGTATTTCGAAAACAAATTTTCTTGTAAAAATCTTGAAACAGTGAAAAATGTTTGAAAATAAAAACATTCGAATAAGACTTTTTCAAGAATTCAGGTTTTTTCGAGATTAAAAATAGAAAAATTTCGACTTTTTTTTGGGATCAACTCTTTTTGAAGATTTCTTCAAAAATTTTTCAATCTAAACTCAGAAGTGAAAATATATTTTTTCAAGAATAAATTTCAATTTCAGAGTTGAGAGAAAAAAGATTGAAATACAAAATAGTAACTCAAAACAGTTACATTGTAACTGCAAAGATCTCAAATATCAGATTCAGCTAATTTTTCCAGACATCAGTCATTTCCTCTTGGTCTCTTCCAACACCAAAAATATGATTGCTCCACGTCATAACTCGACTGCAGAGTTGGGCCAATGAATATTAGATTACGGTATCAGCTAAAACTCGGGCAATTTTCACAATATATATTTTTTCCAGATTTTTCGACTTCACGGGTAAAACTTCCAACCCACGAATGATATATTTCATATTGCCACGTCATAAACCGAATTCAGAATTAAGCTGGTTCAGTTCAAGAAAGCTTCATTCTCGAGGTTTTCAATGGAATTTAATGATATTAAAGCTTCCTGATATTTTAAAAATCACCACATTTTCAGTTTTTCAACATTTTTTCAGATTTTCCGATTCCCTTCTTCTTCTCCAACACACACACAAAAATATATATGATATTGACAACAACGGGCGCGTTTTCTTCGCTTCAGCCTAATTCAATTTACCTCCTTCTTCTTCTTCTTCTTTTCTCTATTCCTTTTTCTTCTTAAAAAGTGGGCGTGTCCGACCATCTGGCACACCAAAATCGCGCTCGCTCACGGATTACTGTAATCGTGTTCTCTTTCTTTCTCTATTTTATTCGTAAGAAGAAGAAGAAGGTTCATATATGCACACAAATATAATCATGATGAGCGGTGGCGGCGACAATTTATTGGGTTCTGCGGCGACGGCGACTTCTGTCTCGCAGGTAAGTGATGTTGATGATGATGATGTTCCTTTAATATTATTTATTTACTGTAATTGTGTTTGTCGAGAGAGAGAAGGAAAAGAAGGATCGTAATAGAATTTGTGCAGCCAGATAATTAACTTTTCTGGCCGTGGATCTTTTCTCTGTGAGCCTGAGCCTGAGCCATGGAGCACCCATAAATTCATTATGGAAATTTGATTGTTAGATGCGAGTATATCGAGAAGACACAACACAACACAGACTAACAATTCCCCCACTTTTTTCACCAACAAACTCAACTGAAAATGATAGCTCTTAGTTTTTCCCAACTTTTTTTTAAATTCAGGACTTTAGTTGTAGGTTTTCACAAAAGTCAAACATTTTGTAGAAACTACAAACATTTTGTAGAAAGTAAATCAATTCGAATACTTTTTCCAGCAGAACGTTTTCTTTCGATAACATTCACAACTTCAGTGAAAATATCTTATTCAGAAATAAGAGTTGTCTTTTGGTTTTTTAGAATTCGCCTAATTTGAAATTTGGTTAAATTTTTATCACTTCTTCACTCAAATTATAAATACTGATTTATTTCGATGTTTTCAGAATATTTTTTCATCTGACAATTAACTATTGCATAACAAAATCTATAAATTGATCGAATCATTTTTCAATAAATTTGGAGAGCCTGAAAATGAAAATTCAATGTATCATAAAAATTTAAAATAAATCTTTTCAAAAACAAACCATTACAGTTTTGAGTTATTTTTCAGTCGAAAAAATTTTTTCCCGATATTTTTTCACCGCATTTGAATATTCAATCAATTTTCTGAATATTCAAATGATTGAGAATTTTTCACAGTTCGCACAAATTTTGACAAAAATTCTTGAGGGCCCACGGTCAATTTTTTCACTGTTTCACCAAATTTTTAACTCGAAAAAAGTGTTTGGTAGTTAATGTTTTTTTGGTTTTATGACGGAACATTTAGATATTTTTTTCAAAAAAAAATCTGCGGAACTTCTGTGAAGATTATCTAAATTTTGAAAAAAAAATCAGATTTTTCTCGAAAACTGATTCTTATTGTTCAAAAAAAATTATTCAAAAATCCTCTGCCCAAAGTTGAATGATAATTTTCGAAAATTCAAAAAAAAACTTCTCTTTGCCCTTGAAATTTCCTGAAAATCCAACTCAATATGTTTTTTTACAGTTCCAAGAAAAAGTCAAAGACCTCGGAGTCTCTCTTCACGACTTCACTGCCTATTATCCATCATCATTGGACACTGTTTCAGCAAGTCTTCGACCACTCGCTGATCCAACTTCAGGTAACTTCAGATCTTCAGAATTATCTATAGAAGTTCTGACTTTTGAATTAGAAAAATCTTTTTTGAGAATTCAAGATTCAAAAAGTGAACAAAATATTTTCTGGATCCAGAAAAATAGAGAATAGGAATTCTTGTAAAGTAGAAAATGTTGGTTGGGAGAAAAACTGGAGAAATGAAATTTTTTGCTGTGCGAGAGTTGCTGTGCGCACAAAATTACATCAGAATATATCAGATTTGCGGAATCATATTTGTTCAACACATTTTCCTCCTTTTTCTTTAAGCTTCTCCTCACTTTTCTTTTTTTTCCTCCACCATTTTCTTCTAAATCCAGAAATTAGTATTCTGGAGCAATTCTGGAGCGAAATCTTCTATCCAGATTGTGTTGAGTCTGAGCCAAGACAAAACAAGACAAGAAAAAGTCAAGCTGTCAATTATATCAAGCAATTATGTATTGTGTGAAGGGGAGGACTCTTTAAGAAGACCACACTTCCTAATAATCCTATTGTGTTCACTTTTTTTCTATGAGAGGAACGGGAAAGAATGAATTATAATAATAACAACAACAACTGCTCATTTTGTTGGGGTACTGTAGGAGTTAGGCAAATTTTGAGAGAGTCAGATTTTGTGGAAAACTTTATTGAGCTTTGAAAATTTTGAAACTAAACTTTTTAGTTGGACCTTTGAATTATAGTTCTTGAAATTATTTACAACGTGAACTACGACACTCCGCGATTCCTTTCAAATTCAAAAAGCTTTTTATTCATATTTTGTCTCAACAAGAATTCCAACCTACCGTACCCTTTCTCCCTCGTTTTTCGCCCTTCCGGCTGACCCGTTCTCTTCTCACTTTTTATTGGAAAATTATAGGGATTACTGTAGAGGGATTACGCAATAGATTTTTTGGCCAAAACATGACTACACCTGAAAAATGTATCATCTGTCAAGGCTCTGCGGGAAGCCGTGAAGAGCCGCCAAGAGGAAATTGGAAAGAGATACCGGCTTTTCGAGTGCGCTTCAAGATCATGTTATTTTTTATTAATTTTTGGAGCGGGTTTCAAATTCGGTTGAAAATAGGGAATTGGGGTTATTAAGGAATGTTTTTTTTTAAAAAGTTTCAAGATTTTTTTCATAATTTATCCTCCCGAAAAATTGACCCACAAAAACTAGGGTTCACAAAAATTTCCAAAATCAATATCACCTTTGAACTGTTCTCTTCAAAAAAAAATACAGTAACCTTGAAATGGTGGCTAATCTGTTCTGTTGATGAAAAACTAAATTGAAACATCTGCATATTCATTTTTGTTCGAAACACAAAACAATGTTTTCTTTGTTGCAGATGGTGCATTCAAGAAGATTAAGTCTGAAGGAAGCTCCTCTTCGGTTTTTGGATCCTCGTTGGCTGGAGTCGCTAATACGCCAGCAAGGTTTGTTCGGGTGAATTGAAAGATAGGAAAGATTGGAGAATTCGGGTTGTGGATATGAGATTTTCACAGGAAAATTTTTCGGGGAAATTTGGGAATTTTAAAGATGGTTTGATCAGTAAAATTAATATTTTAGACGTCGTCATCGCACAACATTCACTCAAGAACAGTTAGCCGAACTCGACGCCGCATTTCAAAAATCGCATTATCCGGATATTTATGTACGCGAAGAATTGGCGCGAATCACCAAATTGAATGAGGCGCGAATTCAGGTAAATTTAGAATTTTCCTAACTTTGGAAAATTCGGATTAATTGATTGAGTAAACATCTAATTAACTAATTATCCACGCTCACTTTGACTGATACCCTCTGGTTTAGCCCACGCACACACATACAAAACCAATTCTTCTATGCAGATGTTTCGCGCACCCGAGCGAGCGGATTATACTCACTAATTAGTGTAATTAGTTCGATTCCACTGAATGACCAAAAGTGTTTACCAACAACTTTTTTTCTTGCGAGAGAAAGAGTTTTATTGATTTTTTTTCGCTGGCTCTCGGGTAAATACCGTAGTTCATTTTTTTCTTGGCGACAGCCAGCGCGACTAAATTCAATTAGGCTGCTTTTGAGGAGGCAGCGAAAAGAGGGAAAAGAGCCAATATCCGAAGGGGGCGCGAGAAGAAACACACTTCTTATTGATCAGAAATAAAAAATCATGGTTGGGAGTGGGGATTGAAAAAGTTATACACTAACTAGCTGAGCTACGTGGGAGAGTGGTTTCGAACATTTTGAAAAATCACTGGATTTGGAATTTTTATTTCAAGAAATCAGCCACATGGCAAATTTTTTCACAACAAATCAATAATTTGTCAGTTTCACTTTTTTAAATGCAAAAATCTCGTGATTTTAAAATCAAAAATTAAATAATAAATTTCTCAATTTGACACAGAAAAAATCAATAATTTCAAGTTTTTATTAATTTCCCACGTGAACTGTTTAATTTCCCATTTAAAAACCCACCCAACTCATTACCATACTTTCCATCTCCAATAATCAACATTTCAATTCCAGGTTTGGTTCCAAAATCGTCGCGCAAAACATCGAAAACAGGAAAAACAGTTGAATAAGGCGATCAATCCACAACACGCATTTTTAACAAATCAAGCCGGAAATCTAATGAGACAGGGAATGTATTCAAGTGCTTTGAATCGAGACGGCGGATTCTGGTATCCATCATATCCGAGACAAATGCCATATCCAACAACAAGTCCGAGTTATTCGAATTCGTTCACAAATCCTATTGCAAAGTGAGTCATTTTTTGTTATCCTTTTTTTTTTCATTTATATAAATTAAATGTGTTTCCAGTTTCGGTCAATCGATAGGTCCATTTTCAACCGATGATGAATTCTATCAAAAAAGTCTTGCACTTCGAATGACTGCAGCTCCATCTTCGACCTCAACAACTGCCTCGAATATAGCCAATTATCAACAACAACAAAATTCGGACTCCTCCGCTGATACTCCATCAATCTGAAAATGGAAACAATAATTATCTAGTCGAACATGCTCACTAGTCTTCTTTTTAAACATTTATTTTCCCCCCAATATTTTACCGGTTTTATTGGTAAAATTTTATGATTTTTTTGAATTCCGAACAATAATTTTTTGATATTATATTTATTTTTGAAATGAAGTTGATTTTATTATTTCAATGTAGAAAACTCACCAAAAACCGTTGCCGAACTTCAGCGCGTTGCTGCCAAAAAAAACTTTTTTTTTCGAAAAAAGAAATCCTCCCCTTATAAAAAACGAAATCACTGAAAATTTGGCGTCACATTAAATGTTTCTTTTTGTGCAAACACCGCTTCGTTTTTTGAAAAATCAACGCGCGTTGTGAGACACGGGAGAAAATTTGTGTGCGCCTTTGATGAGGGGTACGGTAGAAGTATTCGTGATTTAAAAAAAATTAAATGATCCTCCCCTTATAAAAAACGAAATCACTGAAAATTTGGCGTCACATTAAATGTTTCTTTTTGTGCAAACACCGCTTCGTTTTTTGAAAAATCAACGCGCGTTGTGAGACACGGGAGAAAATTTGTGTGCGCCTTTGATGAGGGGTACGGTAGAAGTATTCGTGATTTAAAAAAAATTAAATGAAAGTAAAAAATTTAAACACCTTCGTTGTAAGACCACTTAATGTTTTGCAATGTTCCTTTGAAAAAAAAAATACTGTATATGAGGCGCACATTTTTTTCGAACTGCAAGGTCTCGGAACGTACGGTGCGTTACAGTAGCCATACAAACCGCCTAAAATTTAATTTCCACTAATTTCAGTTTTTCTCTTTTTGCACGCAACATTCTCCGTCAGTTTGAGCGTATTTTTCTCATTTTTTGTTGCTCTCATCATGCTTTATGAATGAAATCGTCAATTGTTTAGTGAGAAAACATGATAAACGAGCTCGTAACTATTATTTAAAGAAATATATTTTTTTTACCGTTTCTAACCTCTAAATTGATTTTCAGATATCCAATCCAAACAATGGGTGATCTGTTGGACGGTATTATGTCCTCAATGGACAAAGACAAACCAAAGTCGAGTCAAACATCGGCATCAACATCAACATCGTTTCGAATTCCAAGAAGAAACAAAGACGACCAACAAGATGTTCAAATGGACAATCGTGAACGCATGGACATTCCATCAAGATCACATCCACCCAGTGTCTTCAAACGAAACCGTTCACCAGACAATGAGTTGAATCCAGATGTCAAAAGTTAGTTTGTGCTTTACAGAATTCGAATGAAACATGATTTTTTCAGGAGGCAAATGTATGGACACATTCAACACCATAAACTGCATTCCAGTTCAAACAAATGGCTATTCGCTTATTATTGATAATATGGTGGAAAAAATCGAAAGATTCCAAGTCGACATCTACGCTGTTTTGAAAAGCAGAAATGAAACTCGCGAACCAAAAGTAATTCAAGTGAATGGAGAAATTTTGGTTCATGGAGAGTAAGTTTTGAATGAGCTAATTGTTAGCATTTCAATGGCTTATTCATTTTCAGTCTTGCAATTCAATATCGAAAATGGGGATTGTGGAATAGTTGGAAGTTGGCTGTTGCAGAAAAACCAAACTTGTTTTCGGGAAAAACATACAAAGGCGCAGCATATGATTGTGGTGCATCTTTCTGGGTTCCTGCAGGCACATATGTTGGTGGCGATGAGGAAATTGTGACATTGAAACGGGAAAAGTTCGACGATAAGGCATGGAGCCCTATTGCAAAGCTTTCCAAATCTGAAATTTCGTGCCTCAATGTGATGATTACTCGACAAAAACAAGGATGTGTAAGTTTTTAACAGTAATTTTGCGCAACTTCTTGCTTTATTTTTTCAGATTTACACCCGCGGTCCTCATTCAACTAGTGCAGAAAATGCTTTTGAATTGAACCGATTTCTCGAAACATTGACGTCACAAGTAACCATGAGTCGTGAATTCTTCCAATTTGGAAATGCAACATTCAACAGAAAAAGTGACAGAGATCAAAATGGTGATGTCGATCGTTTTTGCCAATTGGACTCCGATGGAAAGGAAATCAAAACTGGCTTCGAAAAAAGCATGAGAATGGTTATGGGTGTTGATGGAAAACAAGAGTTTGTTATGACAATCGACACTCGTCGTTCTCCATTCTATCAAGAAATGGATGTTATTGATATGGTCCGAGTCTTGTATGATAGTGGAAGAGGACATCAAGGCGGTGGATTCCGCGGTGGCCGGGGCGGACATGGTGGAAGAGGTGGATATAATGATAGAGGAGGACGAGGAGGATACAACGATCGACCAGTTGAAAGAATCTCGATTCGCGATGTCAACGATCAAATGAGAAGAGATGGCGCTTCCCAAACTAGAAAGAGACTTTCTGAATTGAGAAGTCTCGCCGTTTGCCCCACTCACTTGCCACATACAAAATTGAATTTGTTTTTCATTCACGATTTTGCCGAACAAAATGCGCATGAGTATGTTTTATTTTGAAAAGTATTTTTTAACAGTTCTTCGTTATAGATTGAAGTTTGCTGACGATTCCGGAAGTGAAATCTCAGTTTACGAGTACTTCTTGAAAAAATACAGCATCCGCTTGAGATATCCTGAGTTGCCACTCGCCATTCACAAACTCGGCCAAAGGGTAAATTGTTATCCGATGGAAGTTTTGAAAATTGAAAGAGGACAACGAGTCAAACAAAACAACATCACACCATCAATCGTGAGTTCATTAATGCTTTCAAAACGATAATTTTAATATTTCCAGCAACAAATCATGACGGGAAAAATGTCGATGTTGCCTGAGAAACATATCAATCTCGCAGCCAAAATTCTTTACGATTATTTGCAAATCGACAATAATCTTTTTTTGCAAGCTTTTGGATTGGAAATCAACAGAAAACCAGTTCAAATGATTGCAAAGATCCTTCCTGCGCCAGTCATTCATTTTGCGAAAAACCGCTCAGTTGAAATTCAAACCGGAACCAATAAGCGCCCAAATTTCAATCCGGCCGGCACGTTTTTCAGAGCAGCTGAATTGCGGGACATTTGGATTATCAACTTTGATCAAGCGATGCGCCGTGATGGTTGCGAGTCAGTTTCTCAAAAATAGTTTTCAATTTTAACACAAACATTTTTCAGTCGTTTGTGCGATGCAATTTCCAATGCATGCAAAGATCAAAATGTTCGTATTTCAAAACGATCCAGAGATTGGAAAATTGTCGATTGTAATGAATCGGATCATCGGAAATTGGAGGACATCATGAGAGATGCGAAAAGCAGAGAAGTTTCGATGGTCTTCGCAGTCACTCGGGATCAACGCCCAGATGTTCACGATTTTTTGAAAATGTATGAAAGTCAAATTGGAATCCAAACCCAGCATATTTCGTTCAATACATTCAAAAAAATGACTGAAAATACTGGTGGAAGACAAGTGAGTTTTATGGCGATTATTTCCGAGCAATATCGATTTTATTTCAGACAACGGATAATGTGATTCGCAAGTTCAATTTGAAAGGTGGCGGTTTGAACTTCACATTCTCAATTCCACGAACTGTTCATTCCAAACAATTGTGCGAAAACGAGAAAACGTAATTTCCTATTTTCGGTTTAGATGAAAAAATGAATTTACACATTTCAGAGTTCAAAATATGTTGATGGAAAACACATTGTTTATTGGTTTCGAATTGTCACACGCGGGTGCCACTTGCCTTTTCGACAGACAAAACAACATTGCTTGTGGAGAACCATCGGTTGTTGGATATTCGTATAGTTTGAGAAATCCTTGTGATTTGGGTGGATATTCATATCTTCAAAAACCACGTGAACACACCCTCCAGAACATTCAAAAGCACATGGCCAAGATTCTGACAAACTACGAATTGGTCAATAAGAATTTGCCAGAAAAGGTTGTCATCTATAGAAGTGGAATGGGAGAAGGAGATTTTGAGCGCGTCGAAGAAGAAGTGCGACAAATGAAGTTGATCTTTGAATCGAAGAAGGAATTCGTCGGAAAGAAGATCCCGGAATTTGTTATGATTGTTGTGTCCAAAACGTCTCATATTCGAATTTATCCTCAAAAGTTTGATCCAAGAGGAAAATCATTCGACCAAAATGTCCCATCTGGAACATGCATCTCGGGAGGAATCACAGGATATGGTCGAGAAGAATTTATTCTGGCCAGCCAGAGCGCTCTTATCGTAAGTTATTATTCAAATTTTTCGAATACACGTTGTTTGTTGCAGGGAACCATTCGACCAGCTCGTTACACGATCGTTGTCAATGATCCAAAATGGTCGGTCAATGAGATTTCGCATTTGACCTACTTCTTGGCATTTGGTCATCAAGTCAGCTTTCAACCACCTGGAGTTCCCAATGTTTTGTATGCCGCTGAAAATATGGCGAAACGAGGACGAAATACCTTCGTCGCTCATCAGTGAGTTATTTAATCTTGAAAGCGTTGAACAATCAATTAAATTTTGCAGAAAATCGTTGAAACTCGAGAGAGCTGTCAACAAAAACGATGCTCAAGAAGATGAAAGCGGAGAGCTCATCGACCAATTGTCGCAAATGCTCAACGCTTGCGCAATTCAAAACAAGAATTATTGGGCTTAAATATCAACCAGCCTTCTCCTGCTCCAACCAGCCTTTCTCCATTTTTTTCAATCTGTAACATCTCCCCATCCATATTTTTAACTCGGTCTGTAGGTTTTTTTGTAATTAATTATAATAATCTAATATTTGTACCTAGCCGATTCGTTTTATCATTTTTTTCTTTCTCTTTTGTTTTATTGTATCCATTGCTCCATTTGAGTAATAAATGCTCTTTCTAAAACCATTTATGAAACACCATCATATAAAGTTAGGCGAAACAGAAACCCGTAAAAATTTTGATTTTCGAAAATCCAGGGAAAACTTGGGAAGATGGGAAAAGTGAGAGATTGTGGGAAAGGGAATGAAAAACGGACTAGGAAAAGTTGAAGGTGAATAGGAAAAGAAAGAAGATGGGAAAAATGAGGAGAATCGGTGAAATTGGCGGCGACACGGATGAATTACAAAGATTGTTATGACAAACACAAATCGAAAGACGAGATGGTTCGAGTTCGCCACGTTGGCTGGTTGGAAGAAATAGATCTTTGAGACTGGTTTCTGCAACAAAAAAAAACGGTGGGATTTTATTTTTGGAAAGTATATTTTCAGATTAAAATTCGAGTTTTTTTTTCAGAATTCCAACTCACCCAAACATCCCGGTCTTTCAGCCAATTGTTTTATCAGCGAATGATTGTAACCATTGAGATCGGACAAACAACCGCGAACATATCCGTGTCGCCGCCGGCCTGAAATTGACAAGACTCAGAGAAATGGGCTGGAGAACCGGCGGAGAAAACGACCTGTCGGCGAACTTTCGGACAACCGGTGGACAAAAGTTTTGGCGAAATAGTGTAGGTGAGACACTCCGCCGGTTGTCCGAGAGTTCGCCGACATGTCGTTTTCTCCGCCGGTTCTCCAGCTTGTTTCTCTGAGGATTAACATTTGGAGAGGTTTTCGAGGATATTTTGAAAAGTGAGCATTTTTTTGTTGAAAGTTTTTTTTTAAGAGACTGAAAATTTAAAAAATTGGGAGATTTTTGGTAAAACTGAAACAATCCTTCAAACTATGTTTTTCAAATTAAAAGCAAAATATGAGAATTTTTCATTAAATTTTGAAAATTTCTCATTGAAAAAAATCATTTTTCAAAAAATCTACAGTAGCTAAATAGAAATGCGAGACTTTCAAAGTCAAAAGTTCTTGTAATTTGCAAAAGTGGATAGGTTTTCACGAAAGTTTGAATTTTTTTCAAAAAGTGAATTTTGAAATTTGAAAAAACCTATAACTTTTCATGCAAATATTGATTAAAATCTAGAAAAATTCGAAATTTTTGTTCAAAAATTGAAGTCCTGTTTAGAATTGTTCGAAGTTACAGTAACTCGAACTACAGAGCTCCCTTTTCCCTTCAAAATACTAAAATATGCCCAATCCTTACCTCCAACAACATCATTGATTCTAAGAGTGACACACATATCGGAGCAATTTTTCGAATACAAGTAACTTTGATCTAGGCTGGAAAAAATCAAAATTTATGGAAATTTTCAAATAAGTTTTTCAGATAAAACAAAAAATTTTCGAACTTACCTATGTTTATCGCAATGTGTATCAAATGAAAGTGGTTTTCGGTATAAATGTGATATGTATGGATAATGATCTTCGAGATACGGACTCATACAACTGTAGCATGGTAATCGGAGAGCTGCAAAAATTTGATGTCAGTGGATTTGGGAAGGTATGAATTTTGGGGAATATTTGTGAAAATTCTTTAAAATTTTGAAAATGAAGAAAAATTTAAAATTTCAAGTTTTTAGCAAATTTTTAGGCTTGAAAATTAAAAAAAAAAGTTACGGAAAGATTTTGTTAAAAAATATTTAAACTACAGTAATCCATAACTTTCATAAATTTCAACAATATTTCGAACACTTTACTTTATACTCTCGAATTACAGTAACTTTATTCTTTCAAAAATTCTAAAGCTACAGTAATATTGCTGTATATTTTTAAATATCAACACAGTACTCTCATTCTCTACAGTACCCTTGGACTACTGTACATAGATCCCCAAATGCTCCCCGTAACTGCCATTTTCTCCAATTTTTCGCACTTTTGCATACAAATTAAATAGATTTTCATCTCTCGAATCGAATTTTTTATGGTCATTTCAATTTTATTGGAATGTGTGATGTGAAAATTCGGAATTTGCTCACTTTTTTTGCACTTTCAAATTTCCCCAGCTCTTCTCGAAAAAAAGAAGAAGATGACTCAAAGATATATAAATTTCCGGCTAATTTCCATTTTCCCATAAATCTTCCCGGAGATAATGAGGAATTTTTCGAAATTCTAGATTTTTTCTAAATCTAAAAATGTTCGAAAATCCAGTGGTCTTTTACCAAAAAATTTCTTTCCCTAGGGTCCAATTCCTCTTGACACGACACAAGAAATTGTCATCATAAAAATTGGTTTTTTTTGAAACAGAACAAAAAAGTTCCCTTTTTGTTTTTAGCTCACGAGAAAAATTTGCGTTTTTTTTCCGGCGGCAACAGAAAAAAAAACGAGCAAATTTGGCTTGGGACTGAGTGACATTTGTGTAATAGTTTTATTTTTATTTCTACGAGGCGACTTCTTGATTAAATTCCCTGAAGAATTCGAACATGTTTCTCGATTTTTAGCTTGGCTCAGGCTCTAACAGAAAAACCAACAAATGTCATTCAAAAAATAGTTTTTTTTGTTGGAAGAGGAAAAGGAAAAAAAGAAGAAATGAAGAAACATAGATTTTTTCTGAGACATTCTCGAGTTTTTAAATAAAGAAAGGTGTAAAGGTGGAGTATTGTTGGAAAAATCGAAGGAAACAACTATTTTTGAAAAGTACAATCAACTCTGAGTGATTGCGTAGTATTGTTGAACATTTGGAAATTTTAAGCTTTGTGTAAAATCGAAGACAGTGTAACGACAGAGCCGTGTTCTCTATAATATGATTTCATTACACGTAAACCTGGAGCGTCGTTCCCTTTTTCTCCAACGTTTCAAAACTTTTTCCTTGTCTATCTAAAAAGCAACGTTGAAAGTTCAATTCAATTTTTTGCACTAGCAAAAAAATTGAATTTTAAATTTCCACATCACTTTCTTTTTCAATCAAATTATCCAAAAGACAAAAAGTAGTGTAGTCTTCTTCTTTTTTGTTTTTTTGACTCCAAAAACTAACCCGTATTATAATCCGAAACATTTGCAAGCAAATATGAAACTATTTGCAAAACATCAGCCGCCATCCACCATTTAAAAATTGCTGACTTTTTTTTTTTGAATTTTTTTTTTCGGTGTAAATGGAATCTGGAGATGACGAGAGTTAGGATAAATCAGAGAAAAAACAAGATTCGAGAAAAAGTTGAGTAAATTTTTTAAAAAGTTTGGGGTGTCCTTGGGGATTTTGAAGTGAAAAAAAACGAAGTTCCAAATCAAATTTTTTCGAGGTCAGGAAAGAAGTTTGCACACTTTTCCGAACTTTTTTTTGGAGCTTCAGGGATTTTGAAAATTTTGAGAAATTGATATTCAGGTTTGAAATTATCTGAATTTCTAATTTGAATATTCTCAAATATTTTGAGTTTCCTCTTTTAGAACTTAATATTTGGATACTAGACGGAATTCAACTCGGAAAATATTAGAAAAATATTTTGAAACAGTGAGATTTTTCTAATGCAATTTTTTTTTAACTTGGAAATCCACACAGAAAATTCTAGATTTCCCGGGGCATTTTTTCTCAAGCTTTCTCCGAAAGTTCAAAAATTTTCAAATAAAAATTTTTCAACTCAAGGTAATTCTGAAGATTTCTACTAATTTCATCCAATTCAGTGAATTCAAGATACTTCGAAAGTTAGTTTTCAAAAGATTGTAAAACTCTTGATTCTAAATGAACTTGAAGATCTCAAAATCCACAAGCTTCCCAAAAATCTCCAAAAAAAATAAAAGTTCATGTTTTTGTCAAGATTCGGAAGCGAGGCGGGAGAAAAATCAAGAAAACGATAAAAATAAACTAGTTTTTGTGGTGTGTGTTGAATAGGCTTCAACCAACATCTTCTTTTTTTCTTCCAAAAATGCTCCTCCTCCTTCTACTTTTTTTGATGTTTTGCTTTGGTGCATCTTTTTTGGTGTATAAAATGACATAGAATAAATAAAACAGAATAAAATAAAATACACCAAGTCAAGTCAAAAAATAGAAGAAGCGAGTTGATTGTTCGAAATTTCCGGTAAGATAAATCGACGCGGGAAACGGCAAATTTATTAGAAGAAAAAGAAGAAAATAAAATGAATTGAGCCAAAGCTAAAGCTCCGCGAAAAAAATCGAACAATTTTTTTTTCATTTTTTTCAAAGTGAAATAGATCAAAAAGGAAGTTGAGGAACTTCCGGATTTTTTGAGAGAAAAAATGAGAAAAAATGAGAAAAATGAAAAAGTTTGAGCGAAATCTGAAAAACGCTAATTATGGAAATTTATGGATGAAAAAAAAACTAGCAACTTTTTTTGGGATTAAGCGGGATGAGGAGACAACTGAGTGGAATTTTGTGGAGCGAATTGTGAAGTTCGGAAAAAAATTTGGCTGGGGAAAATGCTGTTCTCTGGCAACTGAAATTCAGTTCTGTTCTCAAAACTTAGAAAAATTCAAAACTTATGGATCAAAATTGATCATTAAAAAATTTAAATTTTTTGAACTTCTGCAATAATTTTTTACGAACACTGCATTTCAGCGCAAAAATAGTTTCCGAAACTAAAGTTAGCAAAAATCAAATTGTTTAAAAAAAAGTTTTAGATAAATTTTTCAAGCTTCTATTCACAACTCAAAAAGAATATCTCAAAACCTCCCAGAAAAATTTCGTAAAACCTTCGTCTCCACTTCTTTTTCAGTAGTAAAAACAAACAAAAAACCTCTGTTCCTCAAGCAATTTTCTTTTTATTTTTTCCAAAAGGTGTAATAATAATGACAACAAAAAAAAAACAAAAAAGAACTCATTTTTCTGTGTTGTCAAAATATTTATAACATGTTCTCATTTTATTTTTTCGAGAAAAAACACATGATTGATGGAATTTGCGATTTTCAGATAGGAGAGATTATTTTCAGATTTTTTTGAGAAAAGGGGATTATTATTTATACATATATTTTTTTCTTTAATATAAAAAGATGAAAATAGTAATTTGTGAGCTGAAAATGAACATTTTTTTCATTTCAGCAAAAAAAAAATTGGGATATGAAAAAAAAACTTGAAAATAAATATTTTTTTCATTAAAACTTTTCATGAACTAAAAATAAATATTCTTCCGAACGATTTCAAAATTAATTCGAACCGGAAAATCCATTAAATATGAGAATATTTGGAAAAAGGGGATTTTTGAACAGCAGAAAATTTTAATAAAAAAATAAAAGTTTTTCAGGCAGAGTAGGTTAAATGAGGTCAGAAGTGTGACCAAAAAAGGTTGAAGTGGATGAGTTTTTTTTTTCAAGATCAAAAGAAAAGAATGGTTATCTGCGTCTCTAACTACCTGGAAAGACTCTGGATGTCTGAATCTAACATTATATTCATTCTCTACGTCTCTGACCAAATTTGAGAACTGTCAGTTTGGATCTTACAGATTCTTGCTTTTGTATCTATGCCTGAGCATCTAAAAACTTAAATATTCGAATACTCTGGTGTTCTGCCTCTAACTCTCTAGATTTCTGGATTTTTCTGCGTGTTTAACTGTAAAAAATCCAGTAAATTCTGAGATCCTTAAAATATCAAAAGTTCACTGAAGTATATGTGCTGCAAAGTTTGTTCAACTTCCTGCTCAATTTTTTATTGATATAAAAATGAGAAGAACGCCTGAATCATAATTTTGCGTAGATTCAGATTCATATTTTCAGATTCATAAAAATAGTTTTGACGTGGCGAAATTTCAATTTTTCTGGAAAAATATGGTGAGAAAATCGAATCGAAACTAACTGAAAAGATTCAGTGAATTAAAAAAATGTGTTTTTTTCATATTTCTATGATGTTTTCTAGATGAAGGTCTATGATGTGACAAAGATTCAAATGAAAATCCTTAAATCTCAATCCCTATGAAGTTGTTTATGTTTCAAAAAAATCCACGTCATAATTCATTTTCAGATCTCCAAATTTAACATATATTTTTTGTATTTTCTTCAAGCTTGTCTAAAATTCAAAAATTCAACCCAAAATCGTGGCAAAATTAGGATCCCTAAACAACACACGTCATAGTTATGTATTTCCAGACTTCCCGTAAATCCCCCGGCCGTAGATAATTTCCTCCACAATTTTTCGAAAGTGGTTCATTTCCTGTTTTTTTCTTTTTCTCATCCTTTTTTTTTTTGCTCGCATCGCATCCCATTCGCAATAAAATTGATGACATTTTTGCACCTGTTTTTCAGTTTCCCCTCGAATTTTCAATTTTCCAAATTGGCCAGAAAAAAGTTGTTATCTATTTTTTTATTTGATTCAATTCTCAATTTCATCTTGCTCAGAAAAAAGAGAAAAATAAGAAAGAAGGAAGAGAAGAGAGTAAGGTGTAAAATAAATGTTTCCTTTATTTGGACACGAAAACTACGAGGAGAAATGATTCCTCAAGGGACATTTTAGAGTTTTTCTCCGACGTTTTTCTACGTTTACATGAAAAATTACGAAGAAGAATCCTATCCCTGAACTTTTTTTGAACTGGGAGCAGAGCACTTGGAGCACATATTTTTTGCTCCAGAGAAAAATAGTAAATTTTGAATCGTTAAACTAGATTTTCCGAATATTCGATGGAGCCAATCTATGAGGTTTCAAAAAAAACAATGCCACGTGACACAGCCTAAAAACTATTTCACGTGGCTAGTTGAGTTCAAGTTTCAGGCTGATTTCAAGGCCTAAGGTCTGTACTTGGTCTGTACAAGAATTATCCCTGAACTTGTTCTCCTCAAAGCTTCAAGAAAAATAAAATGGGAAGCAAAAACTTTGTAATTGAATTATATACTTTTTGCTCTGTTCGTTCGTTCCAAACTCCTCTTTTTTTGTTTGACGAAACAATATGGCTATTTTTGAGAGGAGAAAAAAGTTCCTCGATTTTCAGAGAAATAAGAGGTACTGTGTAATACATATTTAAAGGCGCATACGAGAAAAATTCTGGAAAGTGTACAGTCTGACAAATTTCAAATAAGATTTTCAAGTTACTGTTGTTTATACAGATTATATACAAAAATAACTAGGATACTGTAGACTCTTGAAGGAACATACCATTTTTGGGATCTATAGTAATTATTCCCAATTCGAATTGTTTGCACATTTGCAACAAAAAATTTTCTTGTACCAGGTTACTGTGGAGCAAAGTTAAGTCTCGAGAATATTGCGATCTACAGTAGTCACTTAAAGGATTGGATTTAATTTGCAGACAAAAAATTTGCTCTATGAGAATGAGAATAAGCGGAAATTGAAAAAATCTTGCAAAAAATGAGTCAGAATATTTCACACAAGTAAATTTTCTCACGGAACTTTGTGAATTTCAAAGATATCTACAGTACAACTCTAAATAAAAATACCGTATCTTCAAGTTTCCCATCAAGATAACCGTAGCAACAGGTCACAAAAACACATTTTAAAAATTACCAATTTTTGAAACGTAAAATTGTCTATGCAAAAAATTTCAGAAACACAATTTTTTCATGTCAATCAACATTCAATCTTCTCTCGCCTCTTCGAGAAAAATGTCTAAGAGAAGCGAGAAATAAATACACATTGATAATAAATAAATAATTTAGAAGTGTCCACTTGCAGTTTTTTTGCTCGGGGAAAAAATGCTACAAACCTGATTTTCAGAATGTTCGAATCAGTTTTATTTCGAGTGAAAAAAACAAGTCAGATTCGAAACATTAGGAATCAAAAAAGTAATAAAAAATGCGAGAGGTCTAATTCTCAAAATTTTGAAAAATCGGTTTGTTTTCTTTTGATGGTTCAAGTCTACGTCAAAATATGGCTATAGTAGTCCATTTCGAAAATCTTGAGAATAGAATCCGATTAAAAAACAACGCTTCGACTGTGAGAAGTCGAACAATGTGAGATTTTTTTTGTGAAAAATCGGACAAGATTTGAATCTAACCCATCGTGGTTCGAAAAAAATCCCCAAGTACTTCGCTCACCTGAAATATCAGCGGAATCAGTGGCCGCCGGATCATGAACATTTGCCAAAATGAACGAGAACAATTTGGTGAATTGTGATGTCATATTAGCACTGCATTAGCAATAAAATGAGCAATGCCATTTCATATCACATTCCAGCCCTTCTGATCTATCTTGGCTCTCCAAAAATTAAAAATGTTGGAAATTCCAAAATAAAGAGCAAAAAATGTCTGTGAAAATGAATGAGAAAAATGCAAAAAGATGAAAAAAAAGTGGGCGGAGTCAGGTGGTGGCCGAAAGCAGAATATACACGAAATAGGCAAGGAGAAAATGCGAAACGCCGCGAAAACGAGGGCAGATTTGTTTAGGATGAAAAAAAGGAGTAGAAGAAGAAGAAGACTACTTGAATAAATAAAAAAAGAAGACGAAGAATCAAATACTACTTAAATTTGATAAAACAAAAAGGAAGATTTTTATTCTTTTGTGTTTGAGAGAAATTTTGTTGTTTTTTTTTCGAGAGCAGCCAGGGATTTTTGTTGGGGGAAATTTGGGAATTGAAAAACATATAATTTTTTTGAAACTGTAATTTGGGATGTGAAGTGGGCCAATAAATCAAGAATTAAATTTTCTGATTATTTATTATTGAGTTTTCGAAACAGTGAAATTTTCAAGTTGACTAAAAAAAAATTTCGTTCACAATTTTTTTACAGAGCAAAACATCATTTGATCAAAGCTTCAATTCGAAAGATCTTGCAACTCACAATCAATTCTAAACTTTTTGAAACAGTTAATTCTTCAGAAAATTTTCACAAAAAAAAAACGATATGTAGAATCCCAAAGTTAGCAAATTAATTTTTTTTGTTTCAAGATTTTTATAGAGAAAAATCCAAACATTGTTTCTGTTTCCAAATGATTGTAAAATAGGAATAAATTTGGAATTGTGTTCTAGGTTTATCTCAGAAATAAAAACGAACAATTCCCAAAAATAATAAGCTTCCCATTCAGAATCTGTTCCTCTGTCACCTTCAATCAAAAAATTAGTCAATTCTCAACGATATAATTGTTTTAACTGCCTTTTCCTCTATTTTTCTGTCTACTCCCACTACTAAATACTACGATTATAAATAAATAAAAACAAAATTGGAATTGGAATTGAGCTGCTCTAGCTCTACAGCATAAATTAAATGACTGGTATTATCAGATTTATTTTTATTTTTATTTTCATTCAATCAAAACAACAACAACAAAATTGGAGTTAAGTTAAATAACTAGAAGAAAATGGGAAAAAAGAAAGGTGGCTCCAGATATGTAAATTAGATTTCGGCGGCGTGGAAAAAATACGTTTTGAGTTTCGAAAAGTGCGAAAAATCTTGTGAATAGAATAGGGATATAATTTTTGTTTTGCAGAAAGATCAAGTTTTACTCATGTCAGCTCGGAACAAAAATTTCAAAAAAATAAAATGCAACGATTTTATTCAACGAAAAAATGTTCTTGAAAATTTTGGGCACACCACTTCAAGATTTTTTGAAGAATGTACTTCTTCGGAACTTTTTTGGAGAATTAGATTTTTGATTTTTGATCGAGGACTTTTAGAAAATTAACATCAGTATTAATTATACACTTGAGAAAAATTATTGGATAATTTTTGAAACAGTGAAAAAATGGAAAATTTCCGAAAATATTACTGTTTCAAAATTTTCATATTTTTCGTACAATGAAAAAAGTTCGACTTCTCAATCAATTTGATTTTAAATTTATCCAGAATGTTTCGAAAATTCCATTTATGGAAAAACCTACTGTTTCAAAACATTTGTTAATTTTTTATAGTCATTGATGATACATCAATTAGAAAATTTTTTTGTAAGAAAAATGTTGATTCTGCGAAAATCAGACAATTTTATTCCACTGTTTCAAAAACCTAATATTTTGTTTCGAGCTATCCAAATTCAGCGGAAAAACTGCTTCCAAATTCTCTAGATCAAAAAATCAAATCCTCTTTAAAATCTCAAACATCAAGAAAGCAGAAAACAAAGTTAATGAAAAAACTTAACCTAACTCAACATTTTGTTATTCTCTGAAAAATGAAAATTTCTCATCTAACAAAATGAAAAATCCCATCTAAATGAGAAAAAGTAATAAAAAATCGAAAACAACAAAAAAAACTTTTTTTTTTCAGGAATAGAAAAAACTTTCAGCAATTTTCAGCGGGGAGAAACTTCAAAAAAAACTTGCTGAAAATTTTTCAGAATCTATCTACCGTATCCAAAATGAGAAAAAACTGGAGAAGAAAAAAGTCGAAAAAAATGAGAAGGAAAAAGTTGGGTGAGAATATATGATTACACGGAGTCCGCCAAAAATTTACGCAAAAATGCGGAATAAACCAATTTTGGAAGATGTGTGGCGAAAAAAGAGGAGCACGCAAAACAAGGAAAAGCCTTTTCGATACACTTCGATGAAGCTAATCAGAATGAGAAGAAAAATGTGGCGGGACTAAAAATCATCGCAACAGATTGAGAAGAAGTTCATGAATTTTTGAAACTTCTATTTCTTCGGAAAAAAATCTGATTTAATATTCATTTTTTAATACTTTTCACTTTTTGAAAATCTGTGAGATTTTTCAAAGATTAAAATAAGGAGTGAAACACTTCTTATATCTTTGAGAATTATTTTACGAAAATTTGAAACAGTGAAATAATTTCTGAATAAATGTTTCTGATGCAGCCAATTAATAATTTCACACATAATGACAAATAAAGGGCTTTTCACGCGTGATGAGCTAATGAGCAAAGTAAAATCTCATTAATTTTTCATTTTCATTTTCGAAAATTTAAATTTATGAATTCAGGTGAAAAAAAGTGAAATGAGGGGGATTTTTCAGAAAAAAACTATATAAAAATAGGGAAAAAGTGTTCGATGTGTTTTAAATCGGATTTTTGAAAATAAGTAGAAATAAAATCCTTGACAACAGAAATGAGAAGATTGATCGGTCTGGATTTTTTTCTTGACAAAAAAGTTATATATTATTTTTGAAGGATATGAAACAATCTCATCAAATTCATTATTCAAAATCGAAAATTTAGTGAAAATTTAAAACAGTAAGATTTTTTGAAAATAATCATTTCCAATTTAAGATTATCACTTTCAGATATTGAAACAGTGGAAATTTTTACAAAAAAAAATTTTTTTTCCTTATTTTCCATCGAATACCGGATTTCAACACATGATTTGACAATTCAAAACAATTTTTATGTACATACATGAACCTTTTTTTTATTTAGAAATTCTCTGAAACTGCGAATATTTTTCAACGCAAAAACGACAATTACTCAGAATTCAACTATTATACGAAAAATTTCCACAGTTTTAAAATATCCCCACAAAACCTCTACAGTAACCTGGTACCATTTCGAATGTTTTTCCCTTTTCTGATTTCAGGTCCATTTTCATGGAAAACCCACCATTTTTCTAAATTCACAGTACTATTTTGACCCAAGAACTCCCACAAACCCACCCCAAAAAACCCACCATCGAATCTCCATCTTTGCTGCGGATGCTGATCTTTCCAACTCTCCTTTTGTCGACTAACTGCAAAATCGGACAGGAATGCAAAAATTGTCAGACAAGTCAGAAATTGCATTTTTGTTCGGTTGAAGTTCTGTAAAAAAAATTTGAAAAGTTTTAGAAGAGAAAATTTTGAAAGTAATGAGGTAAGAAATAATATGAAAAATAATAATAACTTAATCCATATTTTTTGTGACTTGTAAGAAAAACAGCTCCAAAAAGCATAAAAAATAAAAACAGATGATTCAATTTGGCGCCGAGTTTTGTTTTTGATTGACACCCAAAACAAAAACGTATTTCTTTTCTGTCTCAATTTTGGAAAAAAACTGAAAGAAAAATCACAAGTTAGGCTAAATCGAACAAAACGTTATAAATTGTAAATAAAATTATGATACAATTGCGTGACCAAAATTGTCTAATTTGAAGAATGAAAAAATCACAACTAAAAATATTAGTAGGCAGAGTATTTAGTAAAGTAATTTTTCAATCTGGGAAAATTGAATTAAAAATATTTCAAATCGGAAAAATCGAAAAAGGTATGAAAATGTTCAGGATGAAATTCAGCAAGAAACTACTGTATGCTGGATTATTGTTCTGATAAAAATAGGCTTGAACTTGACTTTAAATTCTGGTGCCAAAAACAGGTTCAAATTTTTTTGTATTTGATTATTCGCAAAGAAAATGGTTGTGACCCTGATCACAAGTTAGGCTAACAAAAATCAAACACAGAAAAAAAGTACAACAATTTAGGAGCTAGGGTGCGATAATTGTTTTCCGGAGCATCAGGCAAAGAAATTTGGGTGTGAAAAAGAGGGGCGGAAAATGTGTGCGTGGAAAATAAAATAGAGGGAAATAATTTGATTTAATGACACATATCCTTGACTTTTTCCCTATTTTTCTCAGATTTTTCCTTGTTTTCTTCTGAATAATAAATTCTATCTTATTCTACCCTATTTTACCCTATCCTACTATATAAACAAAGAAAAATGAAAACAAAACAAAACAAGAAATCTTTGCCTAACGACATTTGGGTCTTAACCTATAATTAATTAATTAATCTGTTTATTTAAGGAGTGTTCTTAATTGGTTAAGGTCAAAAAGAGAGCAAAAAAGTAGAATAAAATATAGAAAATAGTGGTTTGTGCTTATCTATTTTCAGAATCAATTAATGAGATTTTCGTAGTAAAAAAAGAAAAAATGAGAGAGTATATCAATTAGAGAGACTCAGACAGAATATCATTAAATGACACGAGAAAAAGGTTGAATCTTGTAAATGTTGAGAAAAAGTTAGGAAATTCTCTGATGGGCTCAATATTTTCCACCAAAAAAAATCACTGGACTTCATTTTTCAAAATTCAAGTTTACGAAAGAACTGAGAACCTCAAAAATAAAAAAAAACTTTCAATCCAAAAAAAATCGAAGAAAAAAGTAACAAGCCATCAAAAAGCGCGCATTATAACAAACAAATTGAAGGTGACCAACACAAAGAGCCAAAAGTAATTTTTCCATGTTTTTTTTCAGCTCGCAAAAAACATTTCAGATTTTTTTGCTCTGCTGTGAAGAGAGATTCGAATTTCCGGCTTTTAGAGAGCATTTTTCCTAGGTTTCTATGTTTTCTAAAACAAACCAAAAAAAAATGAATAATGTTTGGGACCATCAAAAAAGTGCAAAAAATTAAGCAATTAGTGAGAGAAAAAAGCAAGTTAAAAGGTTTTTCTAGAAAAAAAAGTTGGGAAAAACATATGTTATTGTTTTTATATATTATTTGATAATCGGCGAAAAATATGAGATATTTTAGAAAATATTATGATTGATTGGACAAATTATTATATTTTGAGCAAATTTTTATTGTGTAAAACAAAGCAAAAACAGGTGACATGAAAAATCTAAGAAAATTATGACAACACTCAAAATTTTTCGGAATTTTATAATCTAAAATTTATGGGGAAATACAAAATTCAGGCTTTCTTTTAATAAGTATAAACAAATTTTAACGTAAAAATGTTCAATTAATTTTGAAAAAAAGCGTTTCAAGAACAATTCCCAGATTTTTTCAGACAAAAATTATCGAATTTCTAAAAACCTCCCAGTCAAAATAAAAATAGAACTAATCTCACAAAAATCTCAAAAAAACTCGAACTTCTAACAAAATTAAACTCGTTCAAATTCCGAAAAAAAAACAAAGAGAACATCCCTAGCCATTGTCAAAAATTCCCGAGAGTCGAATTAAAACAGACACGCTTTTTGCTTTTTTTTTGGAAAAAGGTCAAGATTAAATAGTTTTTTCGGCTCGGACACCCAAAACAAACCCAAAAATGTGTAGAAAAAAAGGGAGAGAAGAGAAATGTGAGTATAAATTTTATACCTGGGGCCCCCAAATCCATTGGGACCAAAAACACATACTCAAATGAAAAATTGATATACGCGCAAAAATGTTTTATTTCGCAGAAAAAGAGAAAGAGCGGAATTTTGGCGCCAAAATTTCTGAAAATTTTTTGGAGTTAAATTTTGGTGTACCAAAAAACTATGTCGATGCACGAGAACTTTATCAATTTTCAAGATTTTTTTGAAACAGTAATTTTTTTCAAAAGTTATTCTTTTTTTTTTTGGAAAAAAACTTCAATATGGGGCTGAGGATTCACGTTATAAACATTTTTCAAACATATTGAAATTCGAAATTCGGAATTCAACTTCAATTGAATTAGTGATCGGAAAATTAGTCAAAAGAAACATTTTTTCACAATTTTTGAAACAGTGCATTTTTTTTCAAAAAACCTAGTTTCAAATTCGATAGTTGAAAATTCTATGTATAAATAAATCGAGAAGGCAATTTTGGCTTCTGAATAGACTAAATTCTCGCGCCAAAAGGCAGAAATCGCACCAAACACCTATCAAATAATTCCCCCGCCAACAAAAAAAAAATCAAAAATTCATGAAATAAAAAGTGAAATCAGAGAGTTCTTTTTTTGCGACCAGAAGAAAACGAGCCAAATTAGGCCCATAAAAATCCATGTATACAACAAACAAAAATTGCCTCTTGTCACGAAATAACCTCTGATTTTTTTGAAGCCACAAAAATGGAACAAGGAAAAGAAAATCAGGGCAATTTCCGTTAGCTCAAAATCTAGAAGGACAAGAAAAGAAAAAGGCGTGAAAAATCAAATTTAATCAAGTGTGTGGCGAAAAAGATGAGAGCCAATAATCAGAGAAAGAATCCATGCTTGCTTTGTTTTTGATTTGATTTATTTAATTTAGTCAGCAAAAAATGTTGAGAGAAAGTAAGTATACTTTTTTCCATTAAAACTTATTTGGCCGGGGGAAATATAAATATACATATTCGTTTTCAGAGTCATCGGATTCATCGGAAATTGAGAAAAAAAGTAGTCATGCACTTTTTGAGTTAACAAAAGTGGAAAAATTTAATGAACTACTAGATTTTTTAGCAAAATTTAGAATTTGGTTTTGTACAATATAGTGGTTGGAAAAAGTTAGGTTTAGTACTAATATTGGAAACCCGTTTTGGGAAATCAAAAAAAACTGCAATTTACAGGTTTCAGAAAGAATTTTCTGAAAATAAACATGAATTTTGAAATTGGTCAATTTTAGAACGAAAATTTTCAAAAACACAAAAAAAGTTACTGATGTGATAAATTCCAGAAAAAAGTTTCAAGGTTATGCGAAAATCAAGAAAAACTTTGAAAATGTCAAACTTTGTAAAAAGAGCTGTGGTCCCATGCTTAAAGCGGATAGAACTTCAAAAACTTTTGGATCTCACATTCTACAGGAACTTCAAAATCTTCTAATACAGATATACAGGTTTACCGTGAAAGAAAATAAAGTGAACTTCGAACGTTCCTTTTTCTTCTGAAAGTGTTTCTCCCTGAAAAATCACCGGAAATTCACAATGTTCCTTCTAAACTCCTTTCAATTTTAATGTAATTTTTTTTGAGTTCCTCCCAATCTTTAATCAAAAAATCCAAATGCCCTTACAAAAAAAATCACAAGACTAATTCGTACCCATCAACAAATAAGGGCATTTCCTTCCTTCTATACTCAAAATAGCGAAATATATATATTTTCATTTCACAAATCATGTCCAAGTGGAATGAATTCCTCTCGCTGATCCAACAAAGTTCCGGATCTCTCTCCCTAATTCTAAACTTTCTTCTAATTTTCCTAATCCTAAAATACTCTCCTAAACACATGGGAACCTATAAATATCTGTTGATCTACATTGCTCTTTTTGAGATTATCTATTCAATTGTGGATATGATAATTTCACCAATTTTATTTTCTCATGACTCAATTTATATGGTGATCGTTAATGTGAAAACAAATATGCTTTCTGGGGAAGTTCTTCTGATTCTAGATGCAGTTTATTGTGGATGTTATGGTAGTTTTATGGGGTTATTTGCTCTCAATTTCATTTATCGATATTTTGTCGCCTCTGGTTCAAAATATCTGGCAACTTTCAACAATTCCAAATTCTTCCTCTGGTTATCAATTCCTCTAATTTATGGGATAATTTGGGGGATGATATGTTACTTTCTAATCTCTCCAACTTCTCAAATTGACAATGTTATGAGAAACGAAGTTATGCTAAATTTTGGTTGGGAAATGGAAGATATCACCTACATCGGACCATATTGCTATCAGAAACAACAAAATGAAACATATATTATTGATCTCAATTCAATAATCGCTCTAATTCTAATGTCTACTATAATAATCTCATCAATTTCAGCACTTATATTTTTTGGTGTTCGCTGCTATTTGAAGATCAATCAACTTTTTAAAGGGGGTATACCCTATTGTCTCTCGTGCAAAGTGTGATACATCATTCGATTCAGAATTTTGTGTTATATATGCACAAAAAATTTTAGCTCCCAAAACGGATTTTAAGTACACGTTTTTTGGGTCCAAACAGGACCAAAATCTGCTCGAAATAAAAAAAGAACACACAAGAAAGAGAGACGCAGACTCTCGCTGTCTGCCAGCCAGCCAGCATGTGTATTGTTTTTTTTTTCGAATTTTGTGTTCAACAACTACGGTAAGTCTGAATATACTGTAACAAACTTATAAAAATTTAAAAAAAGAAGAAAAAACAACACACATGTTGGCTGGCTGGCAGACAGCGAGAGTCTGCGTCTCTCTTTCTTGCGTGTTCTTTTTTTTATTTCGAGCAGATTTTGGTCCTGTTTGGACCCAAAAAACGTGTACTTAGAATCCGTTTTGGGAGCTAAAATTTTTTGTGCATATAAAACACAAAATTCTGAATTGAATGATGTATCACACTTTGCACGAGAGACAATAGGGTATACCCCCTTTAAAGACAAAACAAAAACCTCTCAAAAATTCCGCTTCCATCAATCTCAATTATTTTGGGCACTTGTTACTCAAACACTTATTCCAGTTATTTTGATGCATACACCGTGCTCGTGTATTTTCATTTTCACACTTCTCGATTTAGATTTGGGAACTTTAAGTGGTATCTCCACATTGACAGTTGCTTTATTTCCAGCATTGGATCCACTTCCAACTATGTTTTTAATTGAGAACTATCGAAATGTGATAATTAATTGTTTTTCCGAGCCAGTGAAAAAATTGAGAACAAGTTCAGAGCTGAAGATGATTGCGACTTGAGTGGATTTTTGTTGGAATAAAAACGTTTTGTTGATCTGTTTGACACTAATACACAGAAAACTTAAAACTATACTCAAAACAGATGAATTTCAAAAGAAAAAATCAACAATTCTTCAAAATTCTCATTTTCATATAACAATAGATACAACTTTGCTACTTTTTCGTTTTTCACATCTTCGAAAAGTATATTCTCGATACGGTTTGTGAGTGACAATCAAAGCGAGATTTGACGAAAGGCCGTGAAATGAAATTGCCAGAAGAAGAAAATTATTTGCAATTTGGCTATAAACTGATTGAATTACAGAATAACATAGATAAAAGAGTGGAATCAACAAAGCTAGAACTGGAATAACAACTTGAATCGAAGCGGAAATCAAAAAACTGAGTTGAAGTTGTTTTGTTCGTTCAGAAACAGCTGCCGATTTGAATACTAAACAATAAGTTGATGTGAGGAAAAAATAGAAACCACTGATCACGATGATTATAACCAAAGAGAGCATTCCAAAACCAGTTAAATATAATTGATCAGTTATCAAATGTGTATTTGAATTGAAAAACAAAATATGCGGGCATGGATATTTTGAAAGAAATTCGAGTTTTCTCAGTTCAATATCAACATCTCCCAAATGATATGATAAAATGACAAGAAACCCACAAATATAAAGAAGAGCATAATAAATGATAAATGTCGATTTTTTGGTAATTCTATATTTTATAGTGACAATTACACTGTGTCGACTTTGAAAAATTGATACAAGCGAAATACCGAAGGCTGGAAATGTTTTTTTGAAGTCGGGCCTGAGAATTTGGACCAAATTTTTTGTAGGTCAGAAAGGATCCTATCATAAATCAACAAACTCATCTACCATGAACCGAAAATTGTCCAATAAAAGTCACAATTTTGAATGGAATGAAAGTGTTCTTTAAAACACCCATAAAATAAACAGATGCAAGTGGCAAAAATAAATACGGTGTCACCAAAACATTCATAAGAAAGTCAAGTAAAAATATGCTGAAAACAAGTTTATTATTTATGTTAAATTACAAGAATGTCCAACCAAAACTGTGAATGAAGTAAAATATATTTAGTGCCTTCCAGACGTTTTGGAGTTACTCGAAGTATCAAGTAAACGCCATAAACGGACAAAGGAAAAGTGAGAATCGAAAAAATATGAACACCATTGAATAGGAATTCAGGAGATTCTAGATAAGTTAATTGCTGAGTGCAGTGAGTATAATTTGTTAGAAGATATTGTTCCATGTGAAAAAATAAGAAATGAAAAATGAAAAACACGGAAGCAGGTGAAAATTTTGTTTGTTTTCCGACAAATCAAACATAGTCAGGTTGGTTTTGTTGAAACTTGATTCGAAAAAAGCTATCGATGAAAAAAGGAAAAACATCTCATTGTCAGATCTAAAACCAGATTTCCAGACTGTTTTCGAATCTCAGATTTTTATGCTTTTTTCGTAAAATCAATCCCCTAATATGTCAAAGATCTCAAGAAATCACATCAGTTTTTGAGCCCATAATTTTCATCTGTTTATAAAACATGACTCACAAAAACACACTCCTGCCAATTTTCTGAAAAACAGATGATTTTGAGAGCATGAATCAGTGAAATCAAAAAACAGTACTACTTTTGAAGTATTACCAGTGTTGAAAAATTTGACAATAGGCCGTTTGGAGATATCGCCAAAACTACAAAAGTATTAGCAGTTAGGCTATGATGGAAAAGCACACTTTTTTGAGACAAAATTCAGAGTGACCTTTTTTAATCCCCACAAACCACAGAAAAATGATGAATGTTCTAGGAATGAAGTGTTCATCATGGGATTCTATAGCAATCCTAGAAAATTCAAAAAAAAAAAATGAATATTGAAAAAAGCAGAAGAACCAATAAAAATTGTGTTTTTAATTCCGGAGACCGAAGAAGAAAAAGGAAAGGATTAAGGGGCGAGTCAAGGAATAAAACGAAAGGAAGAGCAAGAAGAAATGCAAGCAAAAGCTGTGGAATAGGTGTGATGAGCGGGAAAAAAAAGAAAGAAAAAAGAAAGATGAGAGCGGATAAATTATATAAATAAATATCTAGATGGAAAAGTTCAAGCGGATTTTCGAATATTTTTGAGAATTTTGTTGTCTTGTTTTTGGGTGGTAGATAGCCTGGATACCACTAGAAATAATGGACAATCAGAGTTTATGTCAACACCAACTCCGAACCCTACGCACCTTTCACGGGTCAAAAGTTGGGAACCAGTACAATCCCTAACTTAAATTTTGACAAGGAAGGAGAACACTAATAAACCCGTGACACCTGAATTCAGATTCATGAACCTAGAGCCCTCAAAAAACTCACGAGATTCATTTGACTCCTTCCTGATCGATATTTTCCCGATAGATCGAATCATCTTCGCATTTTCCGGTATCCATACACTTTTGTCGATCTGAAAATAAAAAAACTCATTGAAGTTCAAAAGTGAAATAGATGAGCTAACTCACTTTGTATCAATATTTCTGACAATTATTTTTGATCAGCCGATTTTGGAACAGCAAATTTCGAGAAATGATCTTTCCTGCAAAAAAAATAAAATAAAAAAATAAACCACGTGTTCTAATTTTCGTTGATTCATTTTTCAAAAATCAAAACGTGAGTTGTTCGAATTTTTCATCGACAGAAAAAAAAAACTGACCTCAAAAAAATGGAAATGAGAAGAGAAACAATACAATTATTTTTTTCGCGCACAAGTTTTAGGTAGATCAAAATATAATTTGGATAGTATTTATGAAGTGAATAAAATATTTTTTTGTTTTTTCTAGCCTGTGATTTTTTATTGTTCACATGTATACCGTATCCCCCATCAAAGGCGCACAAAATTTTTCTAATTTTTCAGAAATTGATAAGTCAACTCACTTTTCTCATAGTTGGTCATCGCCTGATTTTGAAATAGCTTATTTTGAGAAATAGTCATTTCTGAAATAAAAATATGAACCACGTGTCCCGATTTACGTGGAAATCGTTTTCCTCAAATCAAAACGTGAAATTCCTTTTTTTGCTAATAATGTGTTCGATCAATAATTTCTCAATCCTCAATTTTTGTGCCATTTCTCTGAAACCTCTTGATCTCTAATCCATGACTCATATCGAAAATTTGAAACAAAACAGTTTCATTTATCTATTTGTATCATTCACAAATACACGCGTTGTATTTTTGTCGCGAAAATGAGAAATATTGCTCAGATTTTACCAATTCTTGCAATTTTTGGTTGTGCTAATGCTAGCAATCTCCTCGATCCACAGTTCAAGGTAAACTTATTCTAATATAGATTTTTGAATTAACATAATATGTATCATTTAGGAATCGGAACCGGAATTGGAATCAGAAACTGGTCAAGAAACTCATGAAAAAATATATTGGATTCTTGTTGGAATTTTGGGCATTGGCTTGATTGCAGCTATCAAATTTAGTCAATGGGCCAAGCAACCCAAGAGGTAATAAAGAATCCTGAAATTCAATTTCAAAAATATCGATTTTTCAGAGTCCCACGCCGTTACCCAATTCAAGGACCATATGTAAATCTCGAAATGCCTTCTTTGTAAACTTGTTTCGATCTATCTTTTTTCAAAAGTTAAAAACAAGTTTTTGCTAACATTTCTTGCTTTCCCAATATTTTATTCAAATCAAAACCCATTTTGAAATTAAGTTATTATGTCAATGGTTTTTTTTCCAACCATTGTTTTTGAAAGGCGAATTCTCGCATGTCCTTTTTTCTAAATGTTTCTCTAATATAATCGCACATTGATCATTTACATTTTTCTTAATTTTCAAAATAAACTTGTTTTCTGAAACCCAACCTTTTTAGTTGTGCTGAATTTCGCGGTGCACTCAATTTTCTAAACAGTCTACATTGTTTTTCCTTTTCCAATTGAATTCGAGTTTTGGCTTTCTGCTGGCGTAATTTAAAAAGCATAGTGGGCCAAAAATGAATAACAAATTTCTTTTTTAACTATTGAAATGTTCTTTATAAAATCGTGCTGACCTTTTGAAAATTTTCAAACTTTCTAGTCATATTTTTTCAATATCTCTCAACCAGTTTTATATATTTGTTTACCCCTGCGTCTCTTTCTCTTATCAACTTAAAATAATTATTGATTTTTCAATTATTTTTTCGCCATTCAATTTTCCAAAACCTTTTTATATTTTTCTTGTTATCTCATTTCATTTCTCTAAAACAATGACACATTGCTCGATTTGCCAAGCCCCAGCTCAAGATCAACATTTCGGTTCAACAGTTCCAGTTTGTCGCGCATGTTCCGCATTTTTTCGAAGATTTGTTTTGTCACCAAAATTAGTTATAAAATGTAAGGAGATAGAGAATTGCGAAGTGAATTATAGTAAGTCGAAAAGTGAAATTTTAATTCAAAAATACATGGAATTTTTTCAGAGAACACAAAAAACTGTCGAGCTTGCAGAATGAAGAAGTGTCTAGAAGCTGGGATGAGAAAAACAGGACAGTGGGGAATTGGGAAGAACTCTTGAAAAATCCTTATGACATGGAAAAGTTCCCAAATTTTCTGACAATATTTTTTATCATATTAATTTTTAATTCAGAAATTTTGATTTCAAATTTTCAATTTTAAAAAAAATTTTCAGATTTTCTATTTTTGCGAAATTCGATTGAAATCAATGTCAAAAAATTTTGAAACGTAAACTTTTTGGGGTTTTTTGTTTCCATTGAATCTTGAAAGATCAGCCTCACTTTTGAACTCACCCCCACTTTTCCCACCTCAAAAAAAAACCGTGAGAAAATTTTGCAGCAGTTCAACCGCCACGTGACAAATACAGAAACAATCCATCGCCACCAATTCCTCCTGCCCCATTGGACCCATTCCCTTCCACATCATTCCCACCTCCTCCGCCACGCCTACAAATTTTATACAACAATTATTCGAGACTCAAAAAATCGAGAGAAGAAGTCTTCAAATCATCCGAACATTCTCCAAGATCTCGAAATATGCATGAAATGATTGAAATTTTGAGGCAGGATATGAAATTGGTTGCAAAATTTGTTGATGATTCTTATGAGAGTAATTTGAATGGTTTTACAAAATTTGAAAGAAAAACACTGTTTCAAAATTTCTTCATAAAATATATGATTTTTGAACCTCCATTTCTCGGAATGCAAAAAGGAGTTCGAGATTTCATTCTTCCAAATGGCGATTTTTATGATAAAGACATCGGAAGATTCTACACCGCACACATTAAAAAATCCTCAAAAGTTTCCAAAGAATCTGCAAACGTCTTATTCAAACCATATTGGGATGAATATCAAAGAACTGTGGTTAGCGATATCGAATTCTTAAAACTCGATATATTTGAATTTCTCACAATTTCTGCGTTATTTTTCTGGGATACTGGGTTGGATGATTTTAGCGCGGGAAGTGTGGAAATGTGTCATAGAATGAGGAGCGAAATAATTTCGGAGATTGAGAAATATTATTTGGAAGTTAAAAGTTTGCCAGATCCATGTGTTCGGATTGGACAAATTATGATGTTATTATCATCGCTGCAGGTTTGTATAATTTGAAATCAAAAAAGTACAGTTAATTTTTCAAACCAAAAATTGTTTTCCTTATTTCATTTATTTTTTGAAAATTGAAAAAAAACCTAGTCAATTTATTGGTATCATTAAAAATTACTGTTTCAAAATTCTATTATTATCTGAACTCGAGTTCCAATTTTTTCAGAAATCATTCGTTAAATGTCAAGAAGAACTTCAAATGTGCGGTTTCTACGACATTTATCAGCAAATTCACGTCGATTCCTATCAAATGATCAACGACAGTCTGAACCTCTAATGATTTTTGATTTAGCCGAAAACAAAAGTGCACTACATCAAAGGCAGTCTAGTCGGCTGAAAATCACATGACTTTGTTCTTTTTTCGAGTCTACTTAAACCCCAGCCACAATTTTTGAAAGTACATCTGCATCTGGCAAGCGTGTGAATAAATATTATTATAATAGCAGACGTTTTTTGTTCTCTCATTTTTATTCGGTCATTTGTTTTAAATTCACACCTTCAGATTAAAAAAATAAAAAAAACATTATGCAAATAAATCAAAATTGCAGATGAAAATATTCATGAAAATGTTGTGCCCCGTTTGTTTTGGCACTGCTTCTGAACCTCATTTCGGAGCATTAGTATGTCGAGCATGTGCCGCATTTTTTCGGAGAAGAGTTATGTCAAAAAGAGCAGCGAGATGCACGAATAATGGAAACTGTGAGATTTCGGATAATCGAGAGAACTTTAATTGCAAATTTTGTCGGATGGAGAAATGTTTGAGAGCTGGAATGAGGATTGAACGTGAGTTAGGCGAACTTGTAGATGGTAGGATGTTTGAGAAACTGGTTTTTGAGAATTTTAAAGCTGCTTCTGATACTAAAAAGATTTTCAGTGCATAATAATTTATGGAAAAATATTTTTCGCTGCAAGCTTTTTTCAAAAAAAAACCGTGATCTTAAAACTGAAAGTTTTCTGAAGTTTTCTGGAAACTACAGTAATCCTATACTAGTTTGCATCAAAAAATCTTTTATTTCAGATGTTCAAGGACACCGTGATCGTCATGATAATTCAAAACCAGCTCGTGACAAGACCGTCTATCCCTGGTGTTATCAAACTCTCAACATCTCACCAACTCCTTTCCCAAATTTCCGACTCGCTCTCCTCCAGACGAATTTCAGTCAACTTCTCAAATCGCGCACAAAATTCTTCCCCAAAAAGAAACAAAATCGAGGACTTCATTTAGCCGAAGCTTTGCCAATTTTCCAAAAAGACGTGGTCTTTGCTGCCACGTGGATTCGAAATACATTTCCAGAATTGAAACTTTTGGATGATTCTCAACAAAATATTTTGTTTCGCAATTTTTATATGAAATTCACTATTTTCGAGCCCGCATTTCTCGCAATTTTATTGGGAAAACCGAAAACATATCATTTGCCAACTGGGGATACGGTAGATGAAGTTAGCAGATATTATACAAAGCATTTGATAAATCCCCCAAAGATTGATCTAAACGAGGTGTCAAGGTAACAACACAACTAGAGTCTAGTTTTCATTTATGTTTTTGCAGATTATTCAACCCATATTGGAGTGATTTCCGAGCAACACTAATTGATCCAGTTATTCGAGCAAATATCACAATTAACGAGTTTCTTTTACTTTGCGCAGTTTCTTTATGGGATATTGGATTAGTCGGACAAAACAAAAAATGTGAACTTTTATGTGATTCAATGCGTCAGAAAATATATAAAGAGTTAGCCGAACTTTGTCAACATTCACCCTTTCGAATGGCTGAAATAATGTTGCTACTTCCTGCAATTCAAAGAGGTGTAGATGTTTATGAAGAAGAACTTCGAATGGGTGGATTATATCGATTTTTAGTTACTGAAAATACAGATGATTGGTATAAAATGGTCGGTGGACCGATTTGAAAAATAATTAATAAATATTTTTACTTGTGATGGCCTAAAAATTTGAAATTTCTTAACAAAAATGTCATACTCGCATTTTATCGAATTACAGAAATATTCGTAATTCTCTAAAAACCCAAAAAACTTCAATTTTTCCACGCTTCCCGTTATTTTAAGTGTCCAAGTTGGGCAGTAACCAAATTTAAACCTGGTCTCATTTCCTTTCAACCTTATCATCATATACACACCTCGGCCAAAATCGTGGTTTCCACAATAAAAAATTGTACGCTAACTTTTTACAGTACAAAAATTGTGAATTTTTCAGTTTTTGTCCTCTAAAAATTGTGATTTTTCAATTTTTGACCTCTAAAAACTTGAATTAAGATTTTTCAAAAAATTGTACTCTGGCCAGCCACGGCTTGGCCGAGGTGTGATCATATAATTCAAGGACACCTGAACTATGACGTGGCAATTTAGAATTTTCCAAAGAACAAAAAACAAAAAACACTACCAACATTTTTTGTTCCAAGCTAAAAATATGTTATGGTGTGAGTGACAATTGAATTTTCTCTCGTTTTTGCAAGCAAAAATGATTGTTTTTCGTCTGACTCATTGAGTTTTCCAATTTCATCTCACCTAAAACAGCTTTTCCTTTTTCTTCAAAATTAAAGTCCGCCTCCCAACTCTTCTTTATTATTTCATTTTGGCAACACCAAACAACACATTATTAAGTAGGCTTCTGGAAAAAATCTCAAAACTACGTTGCACTTTTGTCCGTAATCTCTTGGGACAATTTAGTGTGGTGAAAACACAACAAACAGAAAAAAATTGAAAAGGAAAGGAAAATATTTTTTTGATGATTGAAGTCGTGCTCGTTCGAGCATGTTTCTTTGATTTTCGTCATTTTTTTTGCTGTGTGTTTTGTTTTTTCTTTTGCTCTCACAAAATCAAATTAGAAGTACACTTTCATTTTTCTAACTGAATATGGCGAATCTTTGATTCCTAAACTCTATTTCTTCTCTCGTGACGAAGTAGAAAAATGTTGCGAAGCGGCAAAAAAGATACTTCACTCAAGATAATGAAATTACAAAGTGTGTGTGAGACGAGGGGGAAATTTTTGAATTCATTTTCCAGTTTTTCTTTTTTTTTCATTTATACATACGTTGATGTATAAATTTTTTGTTCTTCTATTGTTAGATTTGTCTGAAGTTATGACGTGGCAAAGCTTTTTTTCAAGATATTTCACAAAGCATGTCAAAAATTACTAGAAAACATGAATTTTACAAAATTTTTCCTCGAAAATATCTGGATTTTCAGTTTCAAAATTTCAAAAAAATTTTTTCGATTTCGTGAATACAAGAAAAGGACCCAAAACAATCTGAAAAAGTTCCTTGTTCGCTCATTTTTTTCTCCAAAAAAAACCGCCTGCTCGCCGGAAATTCAAAATAAATTTAAATTTCAGATTTAATTGTGTTTCAACATGCACTTTTCCATCATTTGGTGAGTTGTTTTTCTGGGCAGCAATTTTAAATTTCTCTATCTCAATCAACCATAAATCTAATGCACTTCGTCATTTTTTTTACTTTCGAAAAAAAATAAAATAACAAAGCTAATCACATCTCAAAAATGATGAGTAACATTAAATTTTATGGCATTGTGTTAAAAAGCTCTCAGCTTTCAGCTTTTACGACTTATTTTATCTTGGTATTTTTCAGCTCCCAAAAATATTTTAGTATAGTAGTCTATTCAGGTTCTTGGAATATTTTTGAATTATTCAATTTTTTTCCTTTTTTCATAGAAAGTAACCGAAGAAACCATGTGAAAAATGAAAATGAGAAAAAATCCAGAGATTAACTGGAATTAAATTTTTCATTTATTTTCATTTTCTAATTTCTAATTTTGTGTTTCAGACATGTCTAAAATTCTTCTCGCCGTTCTTTTCACATTAATGTTAGTTACTGTGGATGGATATTCGAGATTCGGGTCAAACAGAGTTCAAAAGTGAGTTTATATTGGGAAATCAGAGAAATTATGGACCGCACTTTAAAAATCGTAAATTTGAATCGGACTATTTCAAAGTCTTCCAAATTTTTCTCAAAACATCGGAGTTGGTCGCGATTCAGAATAAATTGAGTGTAGCTTGATCGTATTCCTGATTTCATTGCTCTCTCTCTCTCTCTCTCTCTCTCTCTACGGCTTCTCTCGCCGCCTTATTTTCTCTATCTGTCTAGCATTGCTGCACTTCTATACAAGCTGACTTCTCTATGTCTATCACTTTCTAACAATATCCAAATTCCTAGTTTCTCTGCGCCTAAAAAATTCTTGTTTCAGAGTTCAAGCCGTAGAAGAGGCTCCAAAAAGTATCAATGATCAAATTCTCCAAGGATCTCCAGTCAGATATTACGGTCGATTCAGGTTAGCCTAACTCTTGAGTTCTATTTTTGTTCAAAACGAATCACAAATATACGTTTTTGCAGAGGTGGAAACGACGACGTCCTCAATCGCTATTTCAATCGACTTCTCTGACAAAAACTAGTTAATTTCATTGAAAAATGTGATTTCTTGTACACAAACAGAAAAAAATTGAATAAAAACTTATGAAAGTGTGTGGTGTTTGGGGGTTTTATCTGTGAACAAATCACAAAAACCATTTATTTTTCATGATAATAACAAAACTGATAAAAATTATTATTATTGTTGAGTGAGAGAGCATCGAGAAAATTCTCGGGCGGCTTGAGGCAACAACACTTTAATTCTATGATGGTCAATAAATTGGTCATCGCCATTTTCTTAGTGGCGTTGGCAGTTGGGGTAAGTTATCAAAACTTATTCTTGAATTAGCCTACGTGATCTTTGAAAAAAATAATTTCGAAATGTCTAGCCATAGAAATTGCGTCATGTTTTTATGAATAATGAAAATTTAACGGTGTTTTGAATCGAAAATTATATACTTAACAATATTTGAAAATACCCATGAAAATAGTTAATTTGATATTTTGAACCGGAAAGAAGTGTTTAAAAATAGTTTTGAAATTTTTTTATCAAAAAATTTTGAAAAAATCAAAAACAGTTCTGTGTCTATAAGCAGATAACAATTTGATCAAAACATAGATATAACTAGTGACACTAGCAAACTTTCTATGGTGTGATAATTTTTCTTACAAGTCTGAACAAGACTATGAGTAGGGTCCGATAATTTCTACAAACCTAAACTCAAGTTTTCAGTCAATCGAAGGAAGACATCGTCGTCATCTTGATTCCTGGCTGACCGCTGAACAAAAAGAACAATTGAAAGATTTGTCTCACTCCTCACAAGAATACAAGACAAAAGTCAGCGAATTCTATGCGGTTTTACCTGAGGATCAAAAACTCAAATGGGACAAAGTTTATGAGGATAAATGTTTCGATTGGACTTCCCGAGTTCAAAGTCAAGACAAAGAAAGCGATTTCAGAGAACTGTTGGCATCAAAAAATGTTGAAGCTGTTGAAGAACGAATCAATGAATTGAAACAGGAATTGGGAAGTGAACATAGACAATTGGTTGATTTGTGGATGAAAGAATGTTTGGAATTGGTGAAAAAAGGAGTTTCTGCAAGAAATAGAAGAAATGTTAATGCTGATAATGTTGTTAAAGATTTTATTGGATGGATGAGTCCCGAACAATTGTTAAAGATCAAAGATTTGAAAGCTGCTGGAACTGCAGAAGATGAAATTAAAGCAACTGTGAAAGGATTCTTCAATGAACTTCCAGCTGAACAACAAGCTACACTCAAAGAAGAATTCAAAGGAAAATGCAGAGTAAGCTTACTTCAACAATATCAGAAGATGAAATCAATCTTATTTCAGACCTACTTCAAACCACTTCTCACTGATGAAGAATCAGAGAAAATCAAATCCTTGGCTGGATCTGATAAAGCCGCTGCAGGAGCTCTCATCAAAGGAGTTGTTGATCGTCAAACTGGTGATGTAAAAGTAACAGCTACCAAAATGTTCTCACTTTGTGGAGAAGTTTATAAAGATGCATCGAGAAAACGCAGAGAGATTGATAATACTATCAAAGAATTTTTGGGATGGTTAAAAGCAGATCAATTGGCTAAAATTGGAGAATTGAAAGCTGCAGGAAAATCTGAAGAAGAAATCAAAACAACAGTCAAAGGGTTTTTCAACGAACTTCCAGCTGAACAACAAACATCACTCAAGGAGGAATTCAAAGGAAAATGCAAGGTAATTTCATCAGTCAGATTGTTGAAACTAAATAAAGTAATCATTTGCAGGTTTTCTTCGGACCACTTTTGAATGAAGACGAAAAGGCTAAAATCGAAACCTTGAAAAATGATAAACCAGCTGCCGGAGCTCTAATCCAAGGAGTTGTTGAGAGACAAACTGGAGATGCTAAAGTTACCGCTCAAAAAATGTTCACATTTTGCGGAGAAGTATTCAAAGATGCTTCAAGAAAACGAAGAGAAATCGACAGTGCTTTCAAAGATTTCTTAGGATGGTTGAAACCAGAACAAGTTGCAAAGATCGGAGAATTGAAAGCTGCAGGAAAATCTGAAGAAGAAATCAAAACCACAGTTAAAGGGTTTTTCAACGAACTTCCAGCTGAACAACAAACATCACTCAAAGAGGAATTCAAAGGAAAATGCAAGGTAATCTAATCAGCCAGATTGTTTAAAGATGAAATCAATCTTATTTCAGACCTACTTCAAACCACTTCTCACTGATGAAGAATCAGAAAAAATCAAATTATTGGCTGGATCTGATAAAGCCGCTGCTGGAGCTCTCATCAAAGGAGTTGTTGATCGTCAAACTGGTGATGTAAAAGTAACAGCTCAACTAAAATGTTCTCACTTTGTGGAGAAGTTTATAAAGATGCATCAAGAAAAAGAAGAGAAATCGACAGTGCTTTCAAAGATTTCTTGGGATGGTTGAAACCAGAACAAGTTGCAAAGATCGGAGAATTAAAATCTGCAGGAAAATCAGAAGAAGAAATCAAAACTACAGTTAAAGGATTCTTCAACGAACTTCCAGCCGAACAACAATCTACACTCAAAGAAGAATTCAAAGGAAAATGCAAGGTAATATAGTCAGTCAAGATTGTTAAAACTAAGTCATGATAACTTTCAGGTTTTCTTCGGACCACTTCTGAATGAAGACGAAAAAGCTAAAATCGAAACCTTGAAAAATGATAAGCCAGCTGCCGGAGCTCTAATCCAAGGAGTTGTCGAGAGACAAACTGGAGATGCTAAAGTTACCGCTCAAAAAATGTTCACATTTTGTGGAGAAGTATTCAAAGATGCTTCAAGAAAACGAAGAGAAATCGACAGTGCTTTCAAAGATTTCTTGGGATGGTTGAAACCAGAACAAGTTGCACAGATCGGAGAATTGAAAGCTGCAGGAAAATCTGAAGAAGAAATCAAAACTACAGTTAAAGGATTCTTCAACGAACTTCCAGCTCAACAACAATCTACACTCAAAGAAGAATTCAAAGGAAAATGCAGAGTAGGTTTTAATTTAAAGATATTTATGATAGAATTCTGATTATAGACATATTTCAAACCACTTCTCACTGATGAAGAATCAGAAAAAATCAAATCCTTGGCTGGATCTGATAAAGCCGCTGCTGGAGCTCTCATCAAAGGAGTTGTTGATCGTCAAACTGGTGATGTAAAAGTAACAGCAACTAAAATGTTCTCACTTTGTGGAGAAGTTTATAAAGATGCATCAAGAAAAAGAAGAGAAATCGACAGTGCTTTCAAAGATTTCTTGGGATGGTTGAAACCAGAACAAGTTGCAAAGATCGGAGAATTAAAATCTGCAGGAAAATCAGAAGAAGAAATCAAAACTACAGTCAAAGGATTTTTCAACGAACTTCCAGCCGAACAACAATCTACACTCAAAGAAGAATTCAAAGGAAAATGCAAGGTAATTTCATCAGTCAAGATTGTTGAAACTAAATAAAGTAAAATTCAGGTTTTCTTCGGACCATTTTTGAATGAAGACGAAAAAGCTAAAATCGAAACGTTGAAAAATGATAAACCAGCTGCCGGAGCTCTAATCCAAGGAGTTGTCGAGAGACAAACTGGAGATGCTAAAGTTACCGCTCAAAAAATGTTCACACTTTGCGGAGAAGTATTCAAAGATGCTTCAAGAAAACGAAGAGAAATCGACAGTGCTTTCAAAGATTTCTTGGGATGGTTGAAACCAGAACAAGTTGCAAAGATCGGAGAATTGAAAGCTGCAGGAAAATCTGAAGAAGAAATCAAAACTACAGTTAAAGGATTCTTCAACGAACTTCCAGCTGAACAACAAACTACACTCAAAGAAGAATTCAAAGGAAAATGCAGAGTAAGCTTACTCAAAAATGTCAGAAGATAAAACCAATCTTATTTCAGACCTACTTCAAACCACTTCTCACTGATGAAGAATCAGAGAAAATCAAATTATTGGCTGGATCTGATAAAGCCGCTGCTGGAGCTCTCATCAAAGGAGTTGTTGATCGTCAAACTGGTGATGTAAAAGTAACAGCAACTAAAATGTTCTCACTTTGTGGAGAAGTTTATAAAGATGCATCGAGAAAAAGAAGAGAAATCGACAGTGCTTTCAAAGATTTCTTGGGATGGTTGAAACCAGAACAAGTTGCAAAGATCGGAGAATTGAAATATGCAGGAAAATCTGAAGAAGAAATCAAGACAGTAGTCAAGGGATATTTTAATGAACTACCAACTGAACAACAATCTACACTCAAAGAAGAATTCAAGGGAAAATGCAAGGTAATTTAATCAGTCAAGATTGTTGAAACTAAATATAGTAAAATTCAGGTTTTCTTCGGACCACTTCTGAATGAAGACGAGAAAGCTAAAATCGAAACTTTGAAAAATGATAAACCAGCTGCCGGGGCTCTAATCCAAGGAGTTGTTGAGAGACAAACTGGAGATGCTAAAGTTACCGCTCAAAAAATGTTTACACTTTGTGGAGAAGTATTCAAAGATGCTTCAAGAAAACGAAGAGAAATCGACAGTGCTTTCAAAGATTTCTTGGGATGGTTGAAACCAGAACAAGTTGCAAAGATCGGAGAATTAAAATCTGCAGGAAAATCAGAAGAAGAAATCAAAACTACAGTTAAAGGATTCTTCAACGAACTTCCAGCTGAACAGCAATCTACACTCAAAGAAGAATTCAAAGGAAAATGCAAGGTACACTAGACAACAATAACTAACAGTCTGAATCATAATCATTTGCAGGTTTTCTTCGGCCCACTTCTGAATGAAGACGAAAAGGCTAAAATCGAGACTTTAAAAAACGACAAGCCAGCTGCCGGAGCATTGATCAAAGGAGTTGTTGATCGTCAAACTGGTGATGTAAAAGTAACAGCTAACAAAATGTTCTCACTTTGTGGAGAAGTTTACAAAGATTCTTCAAGAAAAATGAGAAGAGATGTTCGCCAAAAAATCGAGAAACATTTGGCTTGGCTCAGACCAGAGGAAAAGGAGGTAGGCTATTTTTTCTTACTTACTCCAAATTCTGAGTGAATCCAATTCGATTTCAATTTCAGACTATCATTCAAATGACAAATGAGGGAAAGAGCAAAGAAGAAATCAAAAGCAAATTGTATGAATTCATCACAGCACACGAAAAAGATAGTTCACAGAAAGAGAAGACAATTAAAAACTGTTATGCCTGGATGGATGAAGTTGCGACAAAAGAAGAAATCGAGAATTTGCATAAACTTCATCATATTGATCATGGAGCTTGTAAAGGAAAAGTTAGAGAATTCATCTCAAGATTATCAGTCGAAAAACAAAAAGCTGTAGAAGCATCTTTGCCATTCTGCGAAAAACTTTGGTATGGTTCACACGATGAACATACTGGACACAATCACGATTCTGGAGATAATCACGAAGGACATCAACATCACGGGCATCATCATAGAAAACGCAGACATTTGACAGTTCTCAGTAAATATATTGAATGGATGAGTGAAAAACAACAAAGAGAGATTCAAAAGATGGAAAAAGAGGGAATCGAATTCACTCAAATCTCCGAAAAGATTCGCGAATATTTCAAACAATTACCAGAAGATCGACAAAATCAATTGAAAGCAACATTCAAAGACCGTTGTTTGACATGGGCAAAAGAAGTCTCGTTGCCAAAAGAATGGGCAGAAATCAAGAAATATTACAGTGAAAAAGAGTGGAAATTGTTGAAAGAAAAATTGGTGGAATTGGAGGAACGTTTGACTGAAAATCAAAAACATACAATTGAACATGTTCGTGGAGTTTGTTATCGTCTTTGGTCAATTCCACATGAGAAATTGTTTTGAATTGACTGACTAACGCTCTGTCGTAGAAATATTTATGTATTTATTTTTAACTCTTGTAATTTTCACATCACAAAAATAAACTCTTTGCAATCATGCGTTTCTTATCAAAGTGTTAGTTACACGTCCTCCGAAAAAAAGCTCATTGAAAAATGTAAACAAGCAGGAATTTTGGTCAAATGATGAACTGTGAATTTAATTTGATACTTTGATTCCACTGAGAAAACGTTTGTTTTCTCCCTGTTGTGAAACCAAAATTATAACCAATAATTTATGAGTTTTCATCAGAACTAGTTTTGAAAAAAACACTCAAAATTATTCTTTAATTGAAAGTTGTTGAGCTTTCGATAATCCAACCAACGCTGTCATGAAAACAATCTGATTATCGGTGGCTTTCCACCATTGTTTGAAATCATTAAAAGTTGTACCATTAACCTTTTCTTGAACAAAACTAGTAAATGATTGAACTTGGTCTTCGCGAAGATTTTGGTATAATTGAAAAGCATTTTTATAATCTTTGGCTTGTTTATATCCGATAATTCCACCTGTGACTGTACCAATGAGTCCACCAATTGGCCCAGCCAAAATTCCACCAGCAACTCCGCCAGCCGCTCCATAACTAACCTGCTTCAAGACTTCAAGAAATGTATTTTGAGCATCCTGAAACCATTTTTCGAAATGTGTGCTTTTTGAGAGGGAAAAAGAGATTTTACCTGATTTTCTTCAATATATTCAAAAATTTTATCCAAATATTCACTCGACATTCTAGAAAACTTCGAAAGTGACTTTATCAGTTTTTTTCTTTCTCATTTTATAGGAATTATCGATGCAAAAATTAAGGCAAGAAATATTTCGTATTTCCTTGGGAAAATGTCTTGCAGTCTTTGAATATATCGGAGAAAATCAGGTGAATTAATCTCTCTCAAGAAGACACATCATTTAAAACATGGTTCGGAAAAAATAAATTTTTAAATATTTTTTCAAAGAGCAGGTGAGCTTTGGAGCACCTGGAGGATAAACTGATGAATTTTTGATTATTGGTGAACTCTTTAGAAACGCGTGGAATTCAGGCTTACAATTAGCTGTGAGATTGAATTTTCTTAAAAATCAAATGATACATTTGTACAATTTTTCAAGTTTTGCCACGTCATAACTCCCTCCCAGGATTGCCTTTTTTACGTTTTCCCATGTTCGGAATCGACCGTAGCTCATAAGTTTCAACCCTCTCCGCATAATTTTTCTGATTTTTTTCAAATTTTCATATCTAAAAATTTGCCTACAAAAACTTTCTCTGAAACTCCCCAAAAACTCACATTTTCTCCATTTTCTCATCATTCATTTTCAATTATTATACAAAAAATAGGCAAAACATATATTATAGTACATGCGGTTGATAAAAAATACCCGTTGTTGTTTAAAAAATACTTTGAGTCTGGAAAAATAATAAATATATTGGATATATATATAGGAAAAAACAAAAAACGTACCCTCTTTTTTCCAAACTCTTTGGGTTTCCATTGCAAAGCGGCCGGATTAATGCGCAACTTCTTCTTCGAATCCTGAATTCGTTTCTCGTAAACTTGTCGTTTTTCATCGCTGATTACTATCACATATTGACCTTTGTAGTATTTGTATAAATCGAGTTGCTGAAACAAAAAGTAGATTTTCTAGAGAAAAATCTTGAATTTTCTCACATTTTCAGGCAATTGCGAATATCAAAAATGCTCACATCAGATTTAAAAAAAAATTAGTTATTTGATAATAAAAATATGTGGAAAAAATGAGGTCACGCTTTGAATTTAAAAAAATGAAAATTGTTGTTCATAAATATTTTTTAGGATCAGGTTCCGAAAATTCCTAGTATTCCCTTTATGTTTTCCTTAGATTCCACGCCATAACTCACCTGCAACGTGGATACAACATCTTCACGTTTAATAGCTGTTGCCTGACTCAAATCCTGAACTGTAATTTCTCGATCAAATCCGAAATTTCGCTTAAAAGCGAATAGTTCCTTCATAATTGCCATTGACCAATAAGATCGATATGATAGCTGTAAAAATATTGGGCTTTCGAATTTTGGCATCAAAGCTTTATTTTCTTAATTTTGAAAATAGGGTGCTAAATTCAGATGTTTTCAAAAAACTTACCAATCCCAAATCAGATAGCGGTTTCTCTGGAGATCCCGTTTTCTGCTCAATCTTCGACAATTCATAACTAAACTCAATCAACAAACTTCCATATCCTTTTTTCTGAAATGGTGGCAACACCAAAATACACGCCACATTATATTCTTCAGCCGATTCTTTTTCCTTCGAAAAATATCCAACAATATGATGTCCTTTTTCATCTTCTTCAGTCAAAACATAGAATAGAAATGGATCAGTGTCATAATAAAGGGTTTTGTGATCCAAAAATAATTTGGCAATCAGGCAAAGATTTTGGGCATAGGATTTGTTTTTTCGGCCGTCGATTTCGAAGAAAGACAATTTATCGTGGCTATAAATTTGATTTCCAGGCGGATGACACAATTGACATTTTTGCTGCAAAAAATAAGGTTTTGTGATAATTTTATGCAGAATTTAAGATTTTCGGCCGCCAAAAATCCATTCAAATTTTCTCACCATGTGCCTCTTCAAACACGTCTGACTTTTCAAATATTTCAAACAAAATTCGCAAATATAAATGCAATCGAGATGTGTAAGTTGTTGTGGATACGGAGAGAAATACCAGGGTTGAATTCGAGATCTGCCAAGTTCGATACAATCAATGTTTCGGATTCGAGTCATTGCGTCTTCAGAATGACCGACCATTGACATTGAACCGCGAAGACTTGGGGCTGAAAATATATATTAGAAGATTGAAAATGTTTAGTCAGGTAAATGGTTTTCAAGCAAACTTTAGATAAGAAAAGTTTCCAGGTTTTCAAAATGAGAAATTTAATTCAGTTTGGGAAGAAAAAATTTCTATGACGCATGTTTCTAAATTTTTGTTTGATGATCGAAACTACAAATAATTTCCAGACTTTTTTAAAAATTAATCTTTCAGCCAAAAAATAGAAGTTCTATGAATATTACAGAAAACAGATGTGAAGATTTCAATTAAAATACTGAAGCTCATTGCTTTTTTAAAACAGATTTCGAAAAATGAGAACACCACATTTTCTTTGCCAATTATTTGAGGGCGCTCTAAAAGCTTTTGCTTTTCACTCCAAAATGGGCTTAATGTTTTTTATGATATTCTTGTTTAAAAGGGAAGACTATCTATGTTTGAATTCAACATGTTCGGCTTGAAAACACTCACTAGATCCACTGGGAACTGCAGGAGTTGGCAAAGCATCGGGGGCTGTTTCAGGCTTCGTTTCAACTTCCACAGGTAGTAGGGGAATTTTTCGTTTTCGTCCTTGCGATTTTTTCGAATCGTGTGCATCGGGAGCATCATCGCCTCCTTTATGTCCACCAGCGCCGCCTTTTTTGCCGCCTCTTTGAGGCATTTTTAGTGATGATAAATCGATCAAATCTTCTGTCACCCATTCGTCAAGTCTGAAAAATACAGAATGTTTTGGATCTTTCAACGCCTAACTTTTAAATTTTTAATTCATTTAAAATGCTTAATTTCGGCATCAAAACTATTATTTTGAAGTTTCAAATCTGTGTATTCGTCTACGCGAATATACTGTTTTTACAATTCTAGTTGGAGCTGAATATCAATTTATTTTGAATTTGAATTGTAGAAAAAAGTTGGGGCAAAATTTCCACGTCACAACTTTTTCACAAAAACGTTCTGATCAGCGGGAAAATCAATCACTAATCAGTCTCAAATTTCGTCACGTTTTGCACCGATTATTTTTTCAGTTCATTGAATAATTTGTCTTACTCATTCATCTCATTAGCTCATAATAATTATTTTTCATTTTATCTCAACGTGCAAAAAATGTTCTATGATTTAATCCTACTTCTCCACATAACAGTTTGTTCGATTGGATTCATCTCCCATTTTTATTTCATCAAGCTTTTTGTTTGTCCGAAAAAAGTCAATCAATATGCTCGACTTCTTTTATTTCTTCTATCAATAAGTTACACATTGATTATGTTTTGTTTTTTGACTTCAACAACAATTTGTTATTATTTAACTGGTTCATATTTTGAAAATCAAAACTGTGCGGAACAACGGAAATTTATCACGGATATGCATAGATTCAGTGTTATGAGTGCTTCATATTTTCATATTCTTTTGAATATCAGTGAGTTTTTAATTTGTGACATAGATAATTAATATATCACTCTTATCTAGATCGTCTCAATTTTCTTGTCAATATTGATAGTGACAGAAACGAAATTAACAGTAAAAGTTTTTCAAAAATAAGATGGGTTTCTCTTATTGGATCTGTAATTCCAGTCGGACTGTTTTATGCCTATGCAATCAATAGTTCTTATTTGAAACCACTTGGTCTATTTTTTATAGTTCTAGTAAACGTTGCCAATACAGTTCTCGAGATCAAACTCTATTCAATATCTCAAAAATGGTTCAGGAAAACACGTGGATCAATTTGCCTGAATCGAAGATATGAACTGTTTTCAAGTTTGAAATTAATGAAGTCATTTATACCAGCTTCAGTTACTGGAATTATTTTCAAGTTTATTATTTTTGGAGCGATTTCTGTCAAAGCATGGATAATACCGTTTGAAATGACACAATTTTATTTTCTATATAATTTGGTGAGTTGGTGAATAAAGTGAGATTGAAACTTTTAATGTTTTGCAGTTATGGAACTTCGATTCTACTTTATTTCCGTGGTTTTTCCTAATAACTTGTTGGAGATTCAAAAATCAAATTATAACGGAGAAAAATCCAAAACAAATTGATCATTTTGAAGAACTCAAACGATCTTGGAGTTAAATTTAATTTTTTTGTTGATTTTCAATAATAAACTCTTGATAAACCCCTACTCTCTGCAAAAATCCCTAACCTCCTGTTACAATCAATATAATGCACATAAAACTTCATCATTCCATTCTGCGCCCGACTTCTCGATATAATTTCCGCCTGTCGCCATTCGTTTTGTGATACCATTTTCACCATTATCCGACATCCTTCTACAACTCTCTCCACATTTTCCTTCGGTTTTTCTTCGCCGATTTCAGACATATTTCTGTAAACTTATATGTTTTGCGTGGTATTTTCTGCGAGCGTAAAGAAATGCGCGAAATTTCGCGAAAAATAAAAAAAAATGCGTGGCCTAGAAACACACCGAATCCTAGGCCACGGCCATATTTTTATTATTTTTTCGTTTTTTCACGTTGTTTTTTTCCGGGAAAAATCGTGTCTTGGTGTTTGCTTGAACAATTTAAAAACGAACTTCTGAACCTGAAGAGTTACAGTAATTCAAATATCAGTTTTTTTCTTCAAAATGTCTCAAGTTGTCACTCAAAATTCGCAACATCAGTTGTTCGTTCAAAAAATTCCGCTGAAATTCTCGAAAATCTTAAAACCTTTGGTCGACGCAAATACAAAGAAGATGGTGGAGACGCAGAGAATGATAATCAATCATTCTCTATTACCGTTTACCTATTGATTCTATTCTCTCATTCTCATTCATTGTTTAATATGATATGATGATTACTAAAAACATGAAAATATTTTGTGTACTTCTATTTTTAATTTGCGAACTTAAGGTATCTATTATTTACATCAGATCTTTCTCCGAAAAAAAATATCAAAAGAAAATATTTTCTAGGCTTATCAAGTTTCGGAGAAAGATCTTATCACACTTCGCTCAAAAGTTTTCATCAAATTAGATAAATGTACAAAATGGAGGGAAGGATTGGAAAATTCAAAAATTCTAGATTATCTTCTATACAACTCGAAATTCGATGAGTTCAGGTAAATTCATAGCGATTTGATATTAGGAATCGGGAGTTTTCTAGAATTGCAGCCACTGAAATTGCGGCTGATAATTATCCAGAAAGTATTGATTGTTTGGATAGTTCTTCAAAAGAGATTCGAGAGTTACAGGAAGTCAGATTGAATCAGGATTCACAAGGAAGAACTCATGATTTAGAGCTCGAGCATTTTTTGGATCCTCATCAAATTAGAGAGATTCACGGAGTGTTGGAGAAGACTGGAAGAGCTGATCTGATTGAAAAAGCGGTAGGAAATTTTGAGCAGCAAAATATAAAATTGAAACACTTTCAGCTCCATCAACATTTCTCGCTTCTTTCTGAAAAACGTCGAGCTCAATTAGTCAACGAGTTTTTCGAAACTTCGAAAATACGCTCAAAAAGAGGACTTGTTGAAGTTGCGCAATCTCGTGAACCAGAACCGTTAAAGCCTGAATTGTTGAGTTGGCAAACATCCAGACAACGTGGATTGGTTAGAAATATGGAGGCGAAGAAATCATCGAAATGGGCTATTATGTTGCTTATTGGAAGACAGTTTTATCATTTGAGAAAGAGCTCAAGGGTTAAATATGAACCGTGAGTTTTTCTCTAACAATTGTAAAATTAAAACTGAACATTCTACCAAAAAAAAGTTGAAGAACCTAGATACCTGCAGAACTGGAAGGGCAATTATCGAATAAAAATGTTAAATCAGGCCAAATCCTGATATTCAGGGCGTCTAAATGGGGTCATCTCGAATCCCGAATTAAACTCACGCTTTTTTTAGTTCAAATGGTCCCAGATTGCAACATTTTATTTTTCAATAATAAAATTCCTCACAATTTTTTTTCCAAAAAAAAAACAATTTACAGCGTGAACTAGAAAACTTATAAACGTGTATTAGCACCCTCAATTTTTAAAATTTCTAGAAAACTCATCGAATACTGCACGTCAAACATCCAAACCATAATCGGCAATGAGAGTTTCACAGAACTTCAATCAATGTTCCAAGACAGTGATGAAATCGAGCACATCAGCACAAAATATCAACAAATAATTGCAAATCTACCAGATGAGGAAGATCGGCTAACTGCAGATCATTACGGACAATTCTGTCGAAAAATCTATCGATTAGTCAAATTCGAACAAACTGATCTATTTTCTTGGATGAATGCAAGACAAAAGATTCAATTAGCTGAAATGATCAAAGATAGTGGAATTGAGGATGAACAAGTTTATGAAAAATTATATGAAATATTCAATCAGACAAAAGGAGAAGCGAGAGAAGAAGCTGATGAGATTATTACTTTGGGTTGTAGACAATTTATTGGAAATATTTTGGGAGATGAAATTGCTGAAGAAATTGAGGATATGAGATGGTCCAGAAATGTTTCATCACAATATATTGCAGCTGTACTAATGATGAAGAATCAAGAATTGGAGAATTCGGCAGACGAGCAACGAAAAGAAAAACAAGAAGAAGAAGAAGATCATACAACTCGCGTAAGGTCAGTTAGAAAACACAAGTAAATGAATAAATAAATTCGTATAAATTTTCAGAGAATCTCTCTCAATTTGCAAACGAATTTACTTGGATTACAATGGAAGTTGTAGTTGCAATGGTTTTTCAGACACCTGCGATTCAACAACTCATACTTGTCAAATGTGCTCGGAAAATCGAGCTGGGCATCAATGTGAAAGTTGTGCAAAAGATTTTGAGATGATAAATTCAACGTGTGTTCGAAGAAGTTGTCAATGCAATAATCATTCGGAAAAATGTAGTGGATTGATTTGTCAAGAATGTCAACATAATACGGTTGGGGAACAATGTGAATTATGCGCTGATGGATTTTATGGAGATGCGACACAAGGGGAATGCAAACAATGTCCTTGTCCGTGAGTTGAGATTTAGGGAAATTGAAAAAACAATGACCAATTTCCGTTGAAAAATTGAAATCCTGATGTTTGAGTTTTAGAAAAATTCCGGGAATTCAGCCACGTGGCAACAGATTTAGAAAAAAAGATGTGAAAATTTTTATGAACGAACCAATTTCCAGAAAATCTGGCGAGTGTTCGATCAACTCTGAAAATATTCTAGAATGCTCAGATTGTCCAGTTGGATTTGTTGGAATATCGTGTGATATCGATAGTAAAACCTATTCACTAAATCTCTCAACTACAACAATTTTCCAACAAACAACAACTCCAATGAATAATATCAATAATTCTATTGAGGATAATGATGTTTGAGCTCGCGAGCTATAATGAAATATTAAAATATTAAAATATGCAAATTCAGGCTTCAAACCTGTTTACAAAAATAACAACTGATTCAAATTTAAAAATTTATATTCTGGAAATACTTAAAACATTCCAAAATTTCCAACACATAATTCCTTCTTCACTCAACCATACATATCTCGCTAAACATAAAAGTACATCAGTTTTTTGAAGAAAATCCACACCCTTTTGATGAGATTTAAGCCGTAGAAGTGAAGAATTTAGATCGGTTTTTGAGATGTGAATCTTGTTGACTGACGCATCTTTAATATAAAATTCATCGAATTTCAATAAATCATAGTTATTTTCTGAATTTAGATTGAATTCGAATTCGATTTCAAATATTTCTTCAGTCGTCGTTTCGAATTTTTCAATTTCGATTTGTCCTCTTTGATGAATTTCCAATACTTTTTTAGCAAATGCTCGATCTGATTTCATACCAAGTTGAATTGTTTTGTGATATTCAATCCATTGTCCAATTTTGACACCAGCTGAATTTGCTAAAATTGGTATACTTTTTCCATCTTGAGTTGTCACAAAATGACAAGTGTTTTCTTCTACAACTTTCACTCTATGGACAAATCCGATTTTTGGTTGATTGTTTTCTTTTTCGACTTTCAGATTTTGAGTACCGATATTCCATGGAGCACGGAGCATTTGAAAATGTGAATTGCTATCAAAACAATTGAAAATTTCGACAACTTCCCATAAATAATCTGTTTGTGGGTGAACTGGTTGTCTTCCACGGTTGAAAATGAGGCGAACATTGAATATTTTATCCTTCGAAAAGCGATTGAAAAGTAGATGAGGATCTCCAATCACCTGAAATTCGGGGTTTTCCATATACAAAAAATAGCCTAACAAAAAACTCACATCCCATTCCGTTGACCACGCTAAAAATTTCCAATCTTGTGCGAGCAAATTCAAATGACAATTTGAATTTGGCGCGGCGGCTTGTGACATTACAGTCACTATATTTTTATGTACATGAGCTTGAGGAAATTTTTCTTGATTTTTTCTTCGTTTACTTCCTGAACCAATCCATTTATGTCATGTTTAAACGAGATCCAGGAACCTTGAGGAAAAGGCAATCTTCGACTCAAATTGTAAAGAGTTTTGCCATGACAAATCTGAAAAACGTTAATTTTGCAAATATGAAAAATCAACCATTTTTGAATTTACCTTTATTTCATCATCGGTATTTTCGACAACAAGACCATAGAGTTTGTCAGATGTCAAAATACGCTTATTTCTATATACAGCATCTTTGAAAGTGGTTGAAATATCCATAAACCTCAAAAAAAACCTTTAGTTGCGATGGGAAATGGGAAAAAAAGAAATTCAAAAATAATTTCTGCAAACACCGCGACGCACAATTTCGGACTGGCATTTTCTATTTTCACGTTTTCCGTGATTTTCAGAGTTTTAAAGTTGTTAAATCTGAAATGTTTGATGTTTTCTGAATTCTCCAAAATGAGACAAACAAAATGATACCAAAACGTTCAATATACACAACCTTCATTCAATACATCAGTAAACCCGTAGACATAAAAACCCGGAAATAAAGAAAAAAACAAGGAAATCGGCCAATTAATTCTCGGAAGATTTGCAGAATTCCAGGCATTCTTTTCGAGCAATAAATTGATTTTGATTTCCTCCACATTTTTGGACACCAAATGGATAACAATCTTGAGTGGCGACGTCGAAATAATAGCGAGTTAGAAGTTCCATTTCGGATGAGTTGGCCGAGTTGTCGCAAAGCGCAGAGTCTGAAAAATTGAGGAAATTTTTTTTTAAGTTTTAGAAAAATGCAGATTTTGTTAGAGTTTTTTTTTTTGAAAAGTGGAAATTTTAAATATTTTTGTAAAGTGGTTGTTTCAATAACAAAAAAATTCGAGAAAAATTCCCCATGAAAATACATTTAACCCGTTTCCAAATTTTCGTGAATAAGGAAATTGAAAGCCTACATTTAATTTAAATCAATTTTTCTAGGAAATGGGAAACTTTAGATTTACAGATAACAATTTTTGAGTTCAGAAAACTCACATTTTTTAGTAAAAAATATTCTTGAAAATCATAAAAATTGATCCCAATCCATTTTTCCATTTCGAACCTATTTTTTTTCTCAATTCAAAATGTGTTACAGTAGGAAATCTCTTCTTACGAATTCAACGTAGAAAAAAGTAAGTTCCAAAAAATAATTCAATTTTCATTTCCAAATTCTCGTTCCCCAAAAAAAATCCCGCCTCACAAACCTGGTGGCAAATAACAAACACTTGGATACGTAACCGGCGACGCAAAGACTGGCGGATCAGGAAATCTCGATTTCCCTTGAACTCCAGCCAAAACAATCAGAAAGAATAACACGAAGGCAACCTGCCTCTTGTAAAGCACCATGTTTTTTCAACAAACAATCTAAACACAGAAAATTATTATGTTTGATTGAACAAACAGAAAAAATGAAAGAATAATAATATGATCCGGTATACTCATCGAGAAAGAAAAAAGGAAAAACATTGGTGATAACAATAGAAAAAACTGTGTTTTTACACAAAGTAAGTTTCTATAACTTCTTCAATATTACAAGAAGACATGACAAAAAGTAGATGAAAACAGAAGAAAAAGACAAATTAATACGATAATTACCTTGTGCGCGAGGAAATTGAAAGTTTGCGGTAAGTATAGATTTCCTCTACTTTGTAGGTCAAATCATCTCTCGCTAATTTTTTTTGAATTTTTATGGGAATTTATGATCTGCAAATTTTAGAGTTTTCAAGAAACATATTTTTGCAAGAATTTTGAAACAGTAAATTTTTCAATTGGCGGGAATTTGAAGTATTACCTATTTTCAAGTGAAAAATTTTTTTGAAACAGTGAGAAAATTTGAGAATTTTTACCACTCCCAAAAATATCATACATATTTTTGTGTAAAGTTAGAACAGGTTTGGCACTTTTTTTCGATTTCATATGAAATTGAAAAAAAGATTCTTGATGAACTTCCAAAATAAAATTTATTTGCAATGATATTTTTTTTTAATCACAATTTCTCTCAAAATAAACTGTTCTGTTTCAAAAATTTCCCATCTTCTATTCTAGACTAAAAAAAAACAATTTCTCAAAAAAATTTCAAGTGAGAAAGAAAGTGAGTAAAAATAAAAATGAGATGGCATTTTCTTGGAGAAGCGCACAGCGCAGGAAAAAGAGTAAATATGTCTACAAATATTTATTTGTACGAACATACAAAAACTCGTGTCTCTATTTTTCTAGCTATGAAAAATCAAAGATTCATATTTATTATTCACAATTAGAAAAATGTGTGTAAAATCTTATTATTAAAAGCTGAAAAAGTGAGTGAGGAATAAAAACGAGTTCTTCTTCTCGTGTATAAATTTAATAATTTTTTGTAATTTCCCATGAGCATTCTTAACACAAAATAGAGAATAAAAATGATTCGATTACAGGTCCAAGAGAAACTGTGTGAAAATAAATAGTGAAAACATTTGAATAAAAATAAATAATATAATAATTATTTGTCCTCGCTTCACAGGAAATGACCTATTTTTTTTCTTTGAAAACATATGTTCTAATTTTGGCACTCGTCAAAAATCAGAGAATTTTGGTGCAAAAAAACGGATTTCCACGTGGGTTCCCAAACCTTTTTGGTTCATTCAAGAAACTTTTATCATATCAAAGTTTGTAGTTCTCAAGGAGAAAAACTTTATAAAATCAATATTTATAATGCCACGTTAACACAGGGTGTAATTCACTACCTCAAATCGCTAGACCTCAAATTTTTCATTAATTTTTGGGTAGATCAAAAATAATTTTTCTCTAAATCTCTCGTTTTTGCGTTGAATTTCGTCGATTTTAGTCCCACCCCTAAGATCGTGTCAGGTCTCAAAAAATGCGCGAAATTTTTTGGGTAGTAAATTACACTCTGTGGTTAACCTTTGACCTTACAATTTGAAGCTTAAAATATTTTTAAAAAAAGTGCCACGTGAATTTTGAACCCCAACAGCTTAATCCAAATTTTTTTGTTCACAACAAAGTGTGTAGTTTTCGAGATGGATTTGAATAAATCGATATTTTTGATTCCACGTGGGTTTTCGGCATCAATACTTGGAATCGAACCAAAAAAATGAAAGCTTGGTGAAACTTAAGTTTTACTACTACATTAAATTCGAAAACGTGGGCTGCTGACTCGAGAATATCACCAAATCATCAGGGAACAAATCTTGATTACCTATCTATTTTTATAGAAAAAATACTGCACAAAAAATGGTGACCGAAAAGTACATGTTTTCCTTAAAAAAATTTTAAGCAAAAAATATGACAATCCAATAACTTACTTCTTATTTTTAAAATTAAAATTCATTATGAACTTTTAGAACTTTGCGCCAAAAACTACCACAAAACCCACAAATCTCATCATTCACTTCCTCCCAAAAAACTCAACAAAAACGTGATTTCTCTACAAAGTGTGACGATTCACCCAATCTTTAAAAACATGAGAAAAAGAAGTCATTAGGTTATTAAAAAACTGGATAAAATACATCAAAAGATAGATTTACTAAAAGGAAAAAAAGAAGAAAGAATAAATGTTCTTTTTGGAAAAGTATTAAAAAGTAAAAGGTATCCAGCTGTGTAAAAAGAAAAGTCAAACAAAAATAACTTGTAGTTATTTTATATTTCTTTATTATGAAAAAGAAGAAAATCTTTATTTATCTGATCAAGTTAGAAAAAGGAAAGGAAAAACTGTTATTGTGACAATTATTGATTGATTTTTCGGGATTTATCTGGGCTTCAGATCTTTTGGGAATTGTTTTTGTTATGACTAATTTAGGGTTTAATTTCAATTGAATTTTGGGCGCAAAACTCTCAGAGAAATGTGCTACAGAACTGGCGGAGTAAACGACATGTCGGTAAACTCTCGGAATAATTGCAAATCTACCAGATGAGGAAGATCGGCTAACTGCAGATCATTACGGACAATTCTGTCGAAAAATCTATCGATTAGTCAAATTCGAACAAACTGATCTATTTTCTTGGATGAATGCAAGACAAAAGATTCAATTAGCTGAAATGATCAAAGATAGTGGAATTGAGGATGAACAAGTTTATGAAAAATTATATGAAATATTCAATCAGACAAAAGGAGAAGCGAGAGAAGAAGCTGATGAGATTATTACTTTGGGTTGTAGACAATTTATTGGAAATATTTTGGGAGATGAAATTGCTGAAGAAATTGAGGATATGAGATGGTCCAGAAATGTTTCATCACAATATATTGCAGCTGTACTAATGATGAAGAATCAAGAATTGGAGAATTCGGCAGACGAGCAACGAAAAGAAAAACAAGAAGAAGAAGAAGATCATACAACTCGCGTAAGGTCAGTTAGAAAACACAAGTAAATGAATAAATAAATTCGTATAAATTTTCAGAGAATCTCTCTCAATTTGCAAACGAATTTACTTGGATTACAATGGAAGTTGTAGTTGCAATGGTTTTTCAGACACCTGCGATTCAACAACTCATACTTGTCAAATGTGCTCGGAAAATCGAGCTGGGCATCAATGTGAAAGTTGTGCAAAAGATTTTGAGATGATAAATTCAACGTGTGTTCGAAGAAGTTGTCAATGCAATAATCATTCGGAAAAATGTAGTGGATTGATTTGTCAAGAATGTCAACATAATACGGTTGGCGAGCAATGTGAATTATGCGCTGATGGATTTTATGGAGATGCGACACAAGGGGAATGCAAACAATGTCCTTGTCCGTGAGTTGAGATTTAGGGAAATTGAAAAAACAATGACCAATTTCCGTTGAAAAATTGAAATCCTGATGTTTGAGTTTTAGAAAAATTCCGGGATTCAGCCACGTGGCAACAGATTTAGAAAAAAAGATGTGAAAATTTTTATGAACGAACCAATTTCCAGAAAATCTGGCGAGTGTTCGATCAACTCTGAAAATATTCTAGAATGCTCAGATTGTCCAGTTGGATTTGTTGGAATATCGTGTGATATCGATAGTAAAACCTATTCACTAAATCTCTCAACTACAACAATTTTCCAACAAACAACAACTCCAATGAATAATATCAATAATTCTATTGAGGATAATGATGTTTGAGCTCGCGAGCTATAATGAAATATTAAAATATTAAAATATGCAAATTCAGGCTTCAAACCTGTTTACAAAAATAACAACTGATTCAAATTTAAAAATTTATATTCTGGAAATACTTAAAACATTCCAAAATTTCCAACACATAATTCCTTCTTCACTCAACCATACATATCTCGCTAAACATAAAAGTACATCAGTTTTTTGAAGAAAATCCACACCCTTTTGATGAGATTTAAGCCGTAGAAGTGAAGAATTTAGATCGGTTTTTGAGATGTGAATCTTGTTGACTGACGCATCTTTAATATAAAATTCATCGAATTTCAATAAATCATAGTTATTTTCTGAATTTAGATTGAATTCGAATTCGATTTCAAATATTTCTTCAGTCGTCGTTTCGAATTTTTCAATTTCGATTTGTCCTCTTTGATGAATTTCCAATACTTTTTTAGCAAATGCTCGATCTGATTTCATACCAAGTTGAATTGTTTTGTGATATTCAATCCATTGTCCAATTTTGACACCAGCTGAATTTGCTAAAATTGGTATACTTTTTCCATCTTGAGTTGTCACAAAATGACAAGTGTTTTCTTCTACAACTTTCACTCTATGGACAAATCCGATTTTTGGTTGATTGTTTTCTTTTTCGACTTTCAGATTTTGAGTACCGATATTCCATGGAGCACGGAGCATTTGAAAATGTGAATTGCTATCAAAACAATTGAAAATTTCGACAACTTCCCATAAATAATCTGTTTGTGGGTGAACTGGTTGTCTTCCACGGTTGAAAATGAGGCGAACATTGAATATTTTATCCTTCGAAAAGCGATTGAAAAGTAGATGAGGATCTCCAATCACCTGAAATTCGGGGTTTTCCATATACAAAAAATAGCCTAACAAAAAACTCACATCCCATTCCGTTGACCACGCTAAAAATTTCCAATCTTGTGCGAGCAAATTCAAATGACAATTTGAATTTGGCGCGGCGGCTTGTGACATTACAGTCACTATATTTTTATGTACATGAGCTTGAGGAAATTTTTCTTGATTTTTTTCTTCGTTTACTTCCTGAACCAATCCATTTATGTCATGTTTAAACGAGATCCAGGAACCTTGAGGAAAAGGCAATCTTCGACTCAAATTGTAAAGAGTTTTGCCATGACAAATCTGAAAAACGTTAATTTTGCAAATATGAAAAATCAACCATTTTTGAATTTACCTTTATTTCATCATCGGTATTTTCGACAACAAGACCATAGAGTTTGTCAGATGTCAAAATACGCTTATTTCTATATACAGCATCTTTGAAAGTGGTTGAAATATCCATAAACCTCAAAAAAACCTTTTGTTGCGATGGGAAATGGGAAAAAAAGAAATTCAAAAATAATTTCTGCAAACACCGCGACGCACAATTTCGGACTGGCATTTTCTATTTTCACGTTTTCCGTGATTTTCAGAGTTTTAAAGTTGTTAAATCTGAAATGTTTGATGTTTTCTGAATTCTCCAAAATGAGACAAACAAAATGATACCAAAACGTTCAATATACACAACCTTCATTCAATACATCAGTAAACCCGTAGACATAAAAACCCGGAAATAAAGAAAAAAACAAGGAAATCGGCCAATTAATTCTCGGAAGATTTGCAGAATTCCAGGCATTCTTTTCGAGCAATAAATTGATTTTGATTTCCTCCACATTTTTGGACACCAAATGGATAACAATCTTGAGTGGCGACGTCGAAATAATAGCGAGTTAGAAGTTCCATTTCGGATGAGTTGGCCGAGTTGTCGCAAAGCGCAGAGTCTGAAAAATTGAGGAAATTTTTTTTTAAGTTTTAGAAAAATGCAAATTTTGTTAGAGTTTTTTTTTGAAAAGTGGAAATTTTAAATATTTTTGTAAAGTGGTTGTTTCAATAACAAAAAAATTCGAGAAAAATTCCCCATGAAAATACATTTAACCCGTTTCCAAATTTTCGTGAATAAGGAAATTGAAAGCCTACATTTAATTTAAATCAATTTTTCTAGGAAATGGAAAACTTTAGATTTACAGATAACAATTTTTGAGTTCAGAAAACTCACATTTTTTAGTAAAAAATATTCTTGAAAATCATAAAAATTGATCCCAATCCATTTTTCCACTTCGAACCTATTTTTTTTCTCAATTCAAAATGTGTTACAGTAGGAAAATTCTTCTTACGAATTCAACGTAGAAAAAAGTAAATTCCAAAAAATAATTCAATTTTCATTTCCAGATTCTCGTTCCCCAAAAAAAAATCCCGCCTCACAAACCTGGTGGCAAATAACAAACACTTGGATACGTAACCGGCGACGCAAAGACTGGCGGATCAGGAAATCTCGATTTCCCTTGAACTCCAGCCAAAACAATCAGAAAGAATAACACGAACACAATCTGCCTCTTGTAAAGCACCATGTTTTTTCAACAAACAATCTAAACACAGAAAATTATTATGTTTGATTGAACAAATAGAAAAATGAAAGAATAATAATATGATCCGGTATACTCATCGAGAAAGAAAAAGGAAAAACATTGGTGATAACAATAGAAAAAACTGTGTTTTTACACAAAGTAAGTTTCTATAACTTCTTCAATATTACAAGAAGACATGACAAAAAGTAGATGAAAACAGAAGAAAAAGACAAATTAATACGATAATTACCTTGTGCGCGAGGAAATTGAAAGTTTGCGGTAAGTATAGATTTCCTCTACTTTGTAGGTCAAATCATCTCTCGCTAATTTTTTTTGAATTTTTATGGGAATTTATGATCTGCAAATTTTAGAGTTTTCAAGAAACATATTTTTGCAAGAATTTTGAAACAGTAAATTTTTCAATTGGCGGGAATTTGAAGTATTACCTATTTTCAAGTAAAAATTTTTTTGAAACAGTGAGAAAATTTGAGAATTTTTACCACTCCCAAAAATATCATACATATTTTTGTGTAAAGTTAGAACAGGTTTGGCACTTTTTTTTCGATTTCATATGAAATTGAAAAAAAGATTCTTGATGAACTTCCAAAATAAAATTTATTTGCAATGATATTTTTTTTAATCACAATTTCTCTCAAAATAAACTGTTCTGTTTCAAAAATTTCCCATCTTCTATTCTAGACTAAAAAACAATTTCTCAAAAAAATTTCAAGTGAGAAAGAAAGTGAGTAAAAATAAAAATGAGATGGCATTTTCTTGGAGAAGCGCACAGCGCAGGAAAAAGAGTAAATATGTCTACAAATATTTATTTGTACGAACATACAAAAACTCGTGTCTCTATTTTTCTAGCTATGAAAAATCAAAGATTCATATTTATTATTCACAATTAGAAAAATGTGTGTAAAATCTTATTATTAAAAGCTGAAAAAAGTGAGTGAGGAATAAAAACGAGTTCTTCTTCTCGTGTATAAATTTAATAATTTTTTGTAATTTCCCATGAGAATTCTTAACACAAAATAGAGAATAAAAATGATTCGATTACAGGTCCAAGAGAAACTGTGTGAAAATAAATAGTGAAAACATTTGAATAAAAATAAATAATATAATAATTATTTGTCCTCGCTTCACAGGAAATGACCTATTTTTTTTCTTTGAAAACATATGTTCTAATTTTGGCACTCGTCAAAAATCAGAGAATTTTGGTGCAAAAAAAACGGATTTCCACGTGGGTTCCCAAACCTTTTTGGTTCATTCAAGAAACTTTTATCATATCAAAGTTTGTAGTTCTCAAGGAGAAAAACTTTATAAAATCAATATTTATAATGCCACGTTAACACAGGGTGTAATTCACTACCTCAAATCGCTAGACCTCAAATTTTTCATTAATTTTTGGGTAGATCAAAAATAATTTTTCTCTAAATCTCTCGTTTTTGCGTTGAATTTCGTCGATTTTAGTCCCACCCCTAAGATCGTGTCAGGTCTCAAAAAATGCGCGAAATTTTTTGGGTAGTAAATTACACTCTGTGGTTAACCTTTGACCTTACAATTTGAAGCTTAAAATATTTTTAAAAAAAGTGCCACGTGAATTTTGAACCCCAACAGCTTAATCCAAATTTTTTTGTTCACAACAAAGTGTGTAGTTTTCGAGATGGATTTGAATAAATCGATATTTTTGATTCCACGTGGGTTTTCGGCATCAATACTTGGAATCGAACCAAAAAAATGAAAGCTTGGTGAAACTTAAGTTTTACTACTACATTAAATTCGAAAACGTGGGCTGCTGACTCGAGAATATCACCAAATCATCAGGGAACAAATCTTGATTACCTATCTATTTTTATAGAAAAAAACTGCACAAAAAATGGTGACCGAAAAGTACATGTTTTCCTTAAAAAAATTTTAAGCAAAAAATATGACAATCCAATAACTTACTTCTTATTTTTAAAATTAAAATTCATTATGAACTTTTAGAACTTTGCGCCAAAAACTACCACAAAACCCACAAATCTCATCACCTCCCAAAAAAAACTCAACAAAAACGTGATTTCTCTACAAAGTGTGACGATTCACCCAATCTTTAAAAACATGAGAAAAAGAAGTCATTAGGTTATTAAAAAACTGGATAAAATACATCAAAAGATAGATTTACTAAAAGGAAAAAAAGAAGAAAGAATAAATGTTCTTTTTGGAAAAGTATTAAAAAGTAAAAGGTATCCAGCTGTGTAAAAAGAAAAGTCAAACAAAAATAACTTGTAGTTATTTTATATTTCTTTATTATGAAAAAGAAGAAAATCTTTATTTATCTGATCAAGTTAGAAAAAGGAAAGGAAAAACTGTTATTGTGACAATTATTGATTGATTTTTCGGGATTTATCTGGGCTTCAGATCTTTTGGGAATTGTTTTTGTTATGACTAATTTAGGGTTTAATTTCAATTGAATTTTGGGCGCAAAACTCTCAGAGAAATGTGCTACAGAACTGGCGGAGTAAACGACATGTCGGTAAACTCTCGGATAACCGTTTTTCTTGTCCGAAAATTCGCCATCAGATAAAAATTTCAAAATTGAAATTTATAATGATTTTCCCATGAAAAATGCGTTTCAAAACATTTATGAGATTTGGATTTTTGTGTTCGTACCTAAATTTTTATTAAAGATGAAACGAGTGTAGATTGAGAGAAAATTTCGAATTTCTGTTAAGTTTTTAAAATTAAGAATAATAAATCATCTAGAAAAACGTACGTTTCAAATTTTTCCAAGGTTTTTATTGGATTCTTGTGATTATACATTACTGAATTTTTTCAGCTCTCTGAAAATTTTACGCTTCAATTTTTAATTGTTTTTTTTTTCATGCGCGCAGAAAATCGAAAATGAAGAAAAATAAGCATAGCCTAGGGGTACAAAGGAATTTTAATTGGAATTTTATTTGAGCAAAAAAATTCGAAATGAATTGAAAAATGAGAGGGATTTTTGAAATGAAATTTCGAACCAAACAATTTTCAAGAATGTTCAAAAAAATGTCACCTCAAAAGAAAAAAGCCACTTTTTATTTGCTCTTTTCTCACAAACACCAAAATAAATACATAAGCTGGTCAGGAAAAATTGTGAAAACAAAGAAAAATAAAAACCGGATTAGGTTGGGCCGAAGTTTGAACTCGAAAACTTGAACATTTTTTCGGTTTGAAAAATTGAAGAGAAAAATTTGAACAATCAGATTGATACTCCAAAGAAATATTCAAAAATGGATATTTTCACACAACAATTTACTGTTTCAAAAATTTCCTAATTTCGAATCTCAAAAATTCTACATTCTTCGACTTTTAACCTAGGAAAAATCAGTGAAAGTCTCAACCTCAAGTGCATTGTTATTTATCTATAGTTATTATCAATAAAAATTCCCACAAGATAAAATTAAAAAGTAAAACGTCGCACCAAGTGAGAATCGAACACTTGACGCGGAACAAACAAAAAATAGGCGCAAAATTAAATAAACATTAAACCCTCACGGTCCAAATTAAGTAAATACATACTTACTTTGAATTTAGGCTAACTCATAAATTCATTTTTGTTTGATGGAGAAAAAAGAATATCCGGAGAGAGATGAAAATGAAACTAATTAAGATTTCTCGAAAAAATTAGAAATTCTTTTTTGAGAAAAATGAATTTTTAATCGGAGCACACAAAAGAAGCCTTTCTTTTCCACTTAGAAGCTCACATGATTTTCAAAAAAAATTTTCAAAAATCACTGGAATATTTACTTTCAAATTTATTTTACGCTAATAACGTGATCATTTTAAATTTTTAATTCTTCAAAAATCCATATGGGATTTCAAGTGTTTCATAAAACAATGTTTCAAAAACATTCAAAACGTTTTGAAAATTTTCCCGGGGAACTCACAAATATTTTCCAATGAAATTTGAAATGTTGCATAGCGTGTAGAAATATGGATTGTTGCTTGAGTCAAAAAATTGGCTCAAAACAGCTAGAATATAGCTCTACAATAAAATACAGTAATCATGAATTCGGTATGCAAAGAATTTAAAAAAAACATGCACATACTCGGGAAAAAAGTAGCAAGTCTGGCGACAAAAGATAGACTTTTAGCCAGCTTGCGACCATTTAGCAAGCTTGCTACAATTTTTATAATGGGAAAAAATGTAGCAAGCTTGCTAAAATGGTCGCAAGCTGGCTAAAAGTCTATCTTTTGTCGCCAGACTTGCTACTTTTTCTCCGAGTCACTGCCTCCCCAAATCTACGTGTGTGTGGAAAAACGAAAAATGTCTGGCACGCTCTCACAAACACACACTCTCTCGCACACAACTTTTTACTTTTATTTCGCGAAAACGGTGCATATTAGGAGCTGATTTTTATATTTTTTCGTCGGAACCACAATATGTGTTATACATAGTTCGAAAGAGAATTTCTTCGGCTACAAACACATATGAAATGTTATAAATAAAAACGAGGTAAAAAAATTAAAATTTCATGCAAACATGACATGGTTTTTTTGAATTGTGTGAAAAACGCATGTGTTTTTTGATGACCTGGCTTATTTTTTGAATATCGAATATATGTATAATCGAGTCGTAGTTTTGTTCAGAATCTCAAGGGCTTTCAGATGATGTAAATCAATATTTATGAAATTGTGAAATCATAGAGGAGTAGGGATTTTTCGTTTGTCAATTTTTAAAACGAAATTTTCATTTTCATTTGAAAGGAACTCGAATGAAGTTTACATACGTTTTGTAGAGAATTTGTCGGGCTTCAAAATCATATATATTTCTATACACAAAAATGAAAATTGAAAGCACCGCTTTCGGTTGAAAACTCACCGCTGTTTTTCGCAACGCTACTAAACGCGATTTGTTTGTTTGGTGCAAACCCAACAAGTTTTCAACCGAAAGCGGTGCTTTCAATTTTCATTTTTGTGTATAGAAATATATATGATTTTGAAGCCCGAGAAATTCTCTACAAAACGTATGTAAACTTCATTCGAGTTCCTTTCAAATGAAAATGAAAATTTCGTTTTAAAAATTGACAAACGAAAAATCCCTACTCCTCCATGATTTCACACTTTCATAAATATCGATTTACATCATCTGAAAGCCCTTGATATTCTGAACAAAACTACGACTCGATTATACATATATTCGATATTCAAAAAATAAGCCAGGTCATCAAAAAACACATGCGTTTTTCACACAATTCAAAAAAACCATGTCATGTTTGCATGAAATTTTTATTTTTTTACCTCGTTTTCATTTATAACATTTCATATGTGTTTGTAGCCGAAGAAATTCTCTTTCGAACTATGTATAACACATATTGTGGTTCCGACGAAAAAAATATAAAAATCAGCTCCTAATATGCACTGTTTTCGCGAAATAAAAGTAAAAAGTTGTGTGCGAGAGAGTGTGTGTTTGTGAGAGCGTGCCAGACATTTTTCGTTTTTCCACACACACGTAGATTTGGGGAGGCAGTGCGAGTACACACACAAAACAAACATATAAGTTCAAAGACCAATAAACAGGAAGCGAGAGAGTATGGAAAAATAAGAGAGCAGGCAGAGAGATTGCCACCTTGTTGGTGATTGGCTGGTTTAAAAAATGGCGTCGGTTTTTTTTGCGGCAAAAAAATATCACAACACAAATAATTTTTTGTAATTTTTTTTAATTTCACAACGATAAAAGCGGAATTTCTACTTTTTTTTGAATTTTTCAAAATGTAAGATTTCTAAAAACTTATCTGAAATTTTGAGTTATTTTTCTCTAGACTCTTGGCTGAAATTTCAAATTTTTTTGAAAATATGTAATTTGAGATTTTTATCTGAATTTTTGAAAAAATTTACCTGAAATCTGGATTTATTTTTTTCTAGAATTTCAGAGTTTTTCGAGATTTTTTGAAATTTTTAAACTAAATGGAATTATCTCGAATTTTTCTGAATCTGAATTTATCTTTCTCTAGAATTTTTTGGCAGCAGTTTTAGATTTTTTTTTTGAATTTTTTGAAATCTGGATTTTTTTGTAATTTATCTGATTGTGAGGTTTGAATTGATCTGATTTGACTGATAAACAAAGATACACTTTTCTGGAATTATTATTTTTAGAAAATCAAAATGTTTTCTTTTAAAAATATATGATTTTAACCAAAAAATATCAGGTCTTACAATTCATTATACTTTTGTTGGATTTATAAAAAAAATATAAGTGTATATGTCTTGGATAAAAGTATTACTTTTAACTTTTTGCGATGATTTTCTTTCTTTTTTTATAATTGTTGTTCCAAACCGGCAACGTTTCAAATTAAACCTATCTTATACAGAAATTTGGAAATTTGTTCTGAAATTTCAGACTTTTCTTGAAGTCAAGGTTTAATTTTTGAAACAAACGGTTTTATCAAATCTAAAGCAAATAAAAAATTCTAAAGCTTTTTCGAAATATCTGCAATTTTTTTGCTTCTGAAAAATACCTTCCGATTAGTCACAGAATGCTTAATGAAATTATATTTTTTTTCAGTATCTCAACTTTGGTATCTATTATTGCTTCTGCAAAAAAAAATGTATTTCATAAAATCTTCATTCTTCCGAAAATCAATCAATTCTAAATGCAGTCGGTGCTTTTGTTCCTTTATATCCACGTGGCAATTTTGCACCATTTTGTTCAACATCATCCATCAAATGTTCCGATAAGTCCAGATTTTCATTACTTGGCAATTTTTTCTTGGCTGCAAATTTTGGTGGTATAAGTGGATCTTCTGGTTTTGCTTGATTTTCAATTTGTGGAGTAACAAAAGGATATGAGACAAGTTGAGGAGCTGGAATTGGAGGAGTTGGAGCTGGGGCAAGTTGATCGAGCTGAAAAAAAATATTTATTGAAATTTCAGGAAAATTTGAAACAGTAAAAAAAAACTTCAAAAAATAACGCACCTCTGCAACATTATCAACTATTGGCTCGATCTTCGGCGGAGCATTTTCCTTTTTCGGTGGACTTATTGATTTCGAATCACTTCCAGAAACACTCTTCCGATTTTTCCGCTTGTTTTTCTCGTTCGATCTCCAAATACAACACCAACACAAAAAACACAAAAGAATAATCAATAAAAGAAGCAAAATAATGGAAACTGTTGCAATTACCATAATTCTTTGCTGATCACTTTCATCGTCCATATTTAGAGCAGCTTTCGATATTGTGGCATTTTTCTGGAGCACAAAAATTACAATAAAATTTTTGAGACAAACTCACTGGTGTTGTGGTTTCTGGTGAATTTGATGTAGTTCTTATGGTGGCAATTGTGCTGGTGACAGTTGTTGAAGTAGTTGTTCTTGAAACTGTGGTTGAGCTTGATGTAGATGTTGAAGGAGTAGAAGTTGATGTTGTTTCTTCATTGCGAGTCGTGATGTCCAGGCTGGAAATTTTGAGAATTTTTAGATTCTTCGAATTGCGACACTCGAAAAATAGAATTCAAAACTCAAAAATTTTTTGAAACACTATGTATGTTCTGAAATTCATTTTTGATTTATAGAAATTTTGTTGGCGGAACTTTTTTTGGTTCACTCTAAAGATCTTAAGAAAAATTCACAAACTCATTTTTCAATCAAACAAAAAATCTTACAATTTCTGCAACTGATCAACAATTGGTGCCAACTTTCTTGTATACTCTGTTTCAGGTGGTCCAACCATATATTTCTCTTGCGGATTCATAACTTTAACATCCGGAATATTCATAAAAATCCCTTCTTTCTTCATTGTTTCTTCATCTGCATCACCATTTATATTAATTCCATTGAAATGCAAATTCAATAAACTTGCATTATTTCCAGCTTGGATTCTTTCATCAAAAACTATTTTCATCGAACAACTATTCACATCAACTGCATTCGAATAAATCGGAACAATAAATTGAACATTTTGAATTGGTTTTCGAAGTGAAAAATTGACAAGTTCATCTAACTTGCTAGTCAATGCTTCATTAAATCGTGTACAATGATCATCATTATAATAATCTTGCTCATATCCAGTTGCATAAATTGTTCCAGAAATTGTATCACTTCTTTGAGGAGCTTCTAGGAAAACTTCGTTCGTTGTATATTGCAGGAATATTAATTTTATCGAGTCATCAATTGGGATCATACATGACAACTGTTTGTATAGGTACAACACTCGGATGTACTGTAAAATCAATAATAAAAATCCGAAAACACCTTATCCTACCCGCAAAAACATCTACAGTACTGCTCGAGATAAAAAGGTAACTCACCGATTCCCAATCAGCTGCTCGATCCAGAACAAAAACAAAAGTTGTGTCTTTTGTATATCCAGATTTTGAAGGAGAACCGAAACAATTTGGAAATCCCGTGTAAACCGGTTGACTTGATTTGAGCGATTGAGCAGTTTTGAAATATAGAGCAGCGAATAAAATGAATAGATTTTCTTTTTTCATTTAATTGCGATCGTGTGGTTTTCGTGAAAAAAGACAAGAAAATGAGGCAAATTGGATTGTTTTTTTTTTTTGAAAAAAAAGTGGAACACGTTTAGGTCAAGTAAAAATAATTTATTTTTATTTTTAGACAATTTCTTTGCTTTTGCTGATTGGGGATTTCGAACGGGATGGAGTTCCAGAAGTTGGAGTTCGAGAATTTGGAGTTTGTTCTCTCGATGGATCAATCTGAAAGTTGAAAGGTTCATAATTAAATTCAATAATAAAATTACAATATCTAATTTTTGAAACAGTAAAATTTCTCAAAACTTGAAAATTAAGAACATGTTTCGTCTTTTCACAAATATTAATCAAAATAAAGTTTACATTATTTTCCTAACAAAAATTTTGAAACAGTGAAATTCTCCGCTCCCTCAAAACCCACATAAAATTCATCAATACTATCCGGTCCGGACAACGAAACTCTCGGCGGTGATCTTCCAGGTGTTCCAGATTTCGGTGTTTTTGCAGTCGGACTTTTTGATCGACTCTCAGTCCGCTCTTTTCTTCGATCCGCCGATTTTTTCCACATAAAAAACCAGCAACAAATACAAATCACAATCATAATTACAGCCAGAACAACCAATCCAATAATGATAATAGTTAGAAAATCGGTGTTTTCTTCTTTGATTTGCTGATTTTGATTGTGAAGATCAGAAGAAATGTTAGAATTTGTGGGTTTTCTGGTGGATTTTTGAGGTGTGATTTGAATGTTTGTTGAGTTGTCAGGTATTTCAGTGATGTTCTGATAGCTGTAAAAAATCAAAGAAATTGATTTTTTAAAAATCAAAGAAATTGAAGCATATGCCAAGAAAATAAGAGTTAATTTTAGATCAGAACTTTTTTGAAAAACTTACAGAACTTCAAGATTTTTCACAATATCCTTAACTTTCTCATAATATGGATTTTTTCTAACTCCACTCATTAATGGTTCATCAATTTTTATAATTTCCGAATCTTCAATTCCAAATGCAATTCTCTCAAGTTCTTTGGTTTGTTTATCAGGTTTTCCATCAAATTGAATTCCATGAAAACTGAAATTTTGTCCAATATTAAATGTATGAATTGTTTGATCGAAAATTTGAAACATTGAACAATCATCTCGATCAGAAGCATGGTTAAAAATTGGAACTATGAAATGAACATTTTCGATGGATTCGGAATAATTGACGATTTCACGGAGTTTGGAAGTTAGAGCGGATTTGAATCTTGGACAGTGATAATAGTTCAGTAGGTCTGGAAAATTCAAAAATGTAAGAGGAGAGGTGTTTGATTCTAATAACCTTGATCAAACCCGCCAGCAAAAATAGTATTCGGAACATCTTCAATATTCAATGGTCCTTCCAAATAATATTCATTCGCTGTATATTCCAAGATCAACACTTTGAATTGTTCATCGTGAGGAATTGAACATGTGAATTGTTTCAGAATGTACAAAACCTCTTCAGACTGAAACGAAAAAAATTCCTGGGAGTTTTTGACAGCTGAATTTAGACTGTTTCGGGAAAAAGATATAATTTGTCTGCTTTGGGTAAGAATCAGACTATGCCCGATTTTTGAGATAACATTTGAATGTGTCCACAAAAATTCTGAATGAACTTCTTTAGAGTAATAAGCAAATATGTGTTCTTCAAAAATGACCCGAATTTTGGGTCCGTTTTAAAACCTGCTATTTTTCTCTAGACACTTTCGTCTCAAAATTGTCATAACTCACAGGTTTTGCAGCTGTCCGATCTATAACATACACAAAATAAGTTGGCTTGGTTTCAAAAATTGGGCGATTTGAGTTCACGCATTTCGGATATTGTTTATTCAATCCAGTGGCACCGCAAAAAGTTATAAATTGTAAAACGAGAATGTAGAATAGAAGTTTGTTTTTCATTGAAAAATATTTATTGAGATACTCTTGGTTTTGTGTATTTTTTTGATAGATTGATAGAAAAATAAGAGAAGAAATGATTGATTTTTTGGAGGACATCTGGATGGACTCGTTTTTTATTGTGTCACGTTCAAAAAATGATACAAAATTAAATTTTACATTCGTATATTGAATTTGAAAAAAATCAATAAAGCAAATAAATTAATCCAGAAAAAGTTTGGCGAATTCGAAGTTGAAGTTGTTGTTCTGTTTTGCAACGAGTTTTCCAGGCTGAAAATTATAAATTTTTTTCGAAACATATTAGAAAAACTATTCATAAAAACTAATTGATTTGCGGACTTCCAGAGAATTGCAGTTAGAAATTAGGTGGATAATGTTATTCTCTAAATTTCTTTGGACGTTCTAGATGATTTTGTGACAGCTATCGAAAAATATGGGAATACTTTTAGGTAGAGAATTACTCTGGGAGTAGGTTTGAGAATAGGAATTTGAGGAAATCAATAAAACAATGTTCTGTAGAATATTTTTCAAACTCACAATCTTTGCAATTCCTTCACAATTGGTGTCAGCTTTCTTGTATATTCAGTTTCTGGTGGTCCAACCATAAATGTTTCATTAGGATTTATAATTCTAACATCTGGAATATTCATAAAAATCCCTTCCTTTTTCATTGTTTTCCCATCTGCGGTGCAATTTATATTAATTCCATTAAAATGCAAATTCAATAAACTTGCATTATTTCCAGCTTGGATTTTTTCATCAAAAACTTTTTTCATTGAACAACTTTTTGCATCAACTGCATTTGAATAAATCGGAACAATAAATTGAACATTTTGAATTGGTTTTCGTAGTGAAAAATTGACAAGTTCATCTAACTTGCTAGTCAACGATTCATTAAATCGTGTACAATGATCATCATTATAATAATCTTGCTCATATCCAGTCGCATAAATTGTTCCAGAAATTGTATCACTTCTTTGAGGAGGTTCAAGAAAAACTTCGTTCGTTGTATATTGCAGGAATATTATTTTTATCGAGTCATCAATTGGGATCATACATGAGAACTGTTTGTATAGGTATAAGACTCGGATGTACTGTAAGGAGTTCTGATTTGAAAGATGGGAAAATCCGCTAACTTCTGACAAATTTGACTTTTTGCTCAAAATTTAAAAAATTTGAAAAACGACCATCAAATTTGAAATTGTTTGTGTTCATGTGTAAATATTTCTGCCCAAAAGTTTTTAAATTTTATGCTAACTCTAAACTCTTGGCCATCGTTTCAAAACTCACTGATTCCCAATCCGCTGCTCGATCAAGAACGAAAACAAAAGTTGTATTTTCGATATTCTCAAAATTTATTGAATAATTTGTGCAATTTGGAAATCCAGTGTAAATCGCTTTATTTTCTGCAATCGATTGAGAATATTTGAAAAATACAGCAACGAATGCAATAAATAACACTTTTTTCATTTTCATTTCAATTTCAAATTGTTTTCAAAGCGCTTGCTTTATATTTCAAATTTTTTTGTTTTGATAAATTTTTCGTAACATGTTTTTCATTTTTTTAGTCAATTGTTTAATAAAAAATGTTCTCCGAACGTGACCTAGTTTCAAATATTCAACAACAAAAAAACTAGATAATGTTGGCATTTCTTTTTACAGTCTCTTTAAAACCCAAACTCAAAAAATAATTGCTAATGAGAGGCATACTTTTTCTATTCCTAATATTTATTCAACTACCATTTCTAACAAAATCAATAATTATTAACCAATATCCCGAATGTAAACCTCCCAAATATTCTTCCGCAAATTTTCTACCAACAACTTTCGTATTTGTGATTGATAGAACAATGTTTTGGAATACGGTATGTTAAATTGCAGATGCGCTTCACTTCTCTTTTGCGTCTCTAAAAAAATTTTTAAAAATGTTTGCAGTATGAATGTTATTTATATCTTCTCAAAGCATTTTCTTGTGAAATTCCTGTCGATGAAAAATTGAAAATAATAATTTTTCATTATTCTGAAACTGAAAATTATATCGAAGGACCTTTGGATAGTGAGCAAATTGTCAAACATATTTATCCAGTTGAAAATGAACAAAGTGAGTATTTTTCCGGGGAGGTGACTGAATAGAAAAATATATATGATCTGTGAAAAAGAAAATGCTATGACTACTGTAGATTTAATACAAATTAGAAGCTATTTTGAAGCCAAAAGTTCAAGCTACTGTAGATCAATTTCATAAATTTTGAGGGCGAAATTCGGGGCCTAAAAACTACAATAACCCAATTTTTTGCAGATCAATACAATTATGGCTACTGTAACCGCTTCCATGATGCATTAGATGAACAAAAATCGAATTTTTCCGATATTTTCTCAAAATACCAGAAAAATATTCAAATAATAGTTCCATTAATTGAAGATTCAGATGATTCAGATGATACTCAAGATTGTTCAATGATCAAAATTTTCAAAAAAACTTTCCAAAATGTTTCAAATGAAAATGTGATTTTCAATGGAATTAGTATAAAAAAAATGAAACATGAGAAGGTTAATGACGAAGATAATGTATTTTTGAGAATCGATGATATTTCTGTATTGGATCCGAGAGAGAAATTGATCAAGGATGATGAAGCCGGAAATCAATATGTGGGGAATGTCAGGTTTATTGTGCAAGCATTGGCGAATTTGTGAGTTCTTTTTCGGGAATTTTTAAAATATTTGAAAGTTTGTTTTAGCGTTGCTAGCAAAATTTCGGACAGTGAAAATTTTATCGAAGAATTGGCGCTGAATTCTACAGTAAGTTGAAGGGTTTTTTGGAAAAATCAAAATTTGAAGAATTAAAAATTTAGTTTCACAAGGAATGGTTTTCAATGTTCCCCCAAGGAAAAAATCGAGAGTATGTGGAATGTTGAGGGTTCCCGTGGGTAAGAAAAACCCTAACGGGAATAAGGAGAAAAATGCCTTATTCTCGAGAAAAAATGTATTTTAGGTCGATTTTTACACCATTTTTTGATTTTTAGAGCATCTGTAACTCGATTTTGAATCTATTTCATGAACTTTTCAGTCGTGGAAGTTGTTCAGAATGGTCGATTACGTGTTTGTGAAACTTTTTATCAAAAAATTAGACATTTTTTGAAATTTGGTTTTTTTAGTCGGGGTTTTTCTGATCAAATGGTCACCAAAAAACACAAAAAATAATTTTTTTCCATTTTCAAATGAACGGAACTTGAAAAATTTATGACGGTCAACAGACGTAATTTGGTCCGTAGAATCCAAAAATCATAGTCTCGATTCACACAAACTTCTCCTTCACAACGAAAACGTTGATTTTCTATGAATTTTTCAAACTGGATTTTTGATTTAGTGGACTTTTGGGACCAAAATTATTTTATTCCTAATTTTAGTCGGAGTAATACTAAAGTACGCCGTTTGCGCTACAAATGGATTTTTTAGACTGACATTTTTCATTAATTTTGAAAAAAGTTTCGATTTTTCTAAAAAAATTTCATCGCAAAAATCAATAACACCAAAATTTTATAAAACAAGGCATTTTTCTCCTTATTCCCGTTAGGGTTTTCTACCCATGGGAACCTTCAACATTCCATATACTCTCGATTTTTTCCTTGGGGGAACATTGAAAACCTTTCCTTGTCAGAAAAATTCAGCGAGAGAATTGAAAATTTTAGGTTTTTAAAAATACTGTTGAACTTCTAGAAAATTCTGTTTTTCAGAAAAATCTGAGAATCTTATTAAAGAATTTTTAATTCAAAAAAACTCCCTAACATTTTTTTAAAAAGTTTGTATCCCATTTTCTTCCAGGATTCCTCAATTTCCCTAGAACAACAGACCGAAAACGATGAAAACAAGGCAAATCTCATATTTATCGTAGTTTTAATTCTTGGAATTCTCGCAGTTATCATGATTGTAGTTTGTCTAATTTGCTGGTTTTTCATGTGGAAAAAATCAAAAGACAAAAAGAAGACTCGAAAATTGAAAAGCAGCGAGCCATCAAAAGAAAATGCTCAAAAAACTCCACCAAATGTTTCATTGTCTGGAATTGATAGTATTGATGAGTATTATGTAAGTTATCTGAAATATAAATATCATATTTTTGTTATTTTTATAGATTTCTCAATCTGCCGAGCCCACAACTGGTTCAAAAAGCCGTGAGCCAATTTTCGCATCTGGAAGTCGTGAACCAATCCAGCCTTCAAGAAGCCGTGAGCCAGTCTAATCAGCCTTCCAAACTTAAAACTTCATTCATAAGATTTCCCGGATATAAATAAAACCATTCGATTTTTAACAAGAATAAATTAATAACTTTGAACATAACTTAATTTAGATATCACAAATTCCAAGTTCTAGTTTTGCTGTTTAAACATAGATTCCCACCCACAACAAAAGGAAAAGTGATCCGAAGCCAAGGAAAAATGAGGCAAGAGTGGCGACGGTGACATCTTTGACAAGGCTACGGCTCGCTTTGGTGGCTGTGACCTGCAAAATTGGATAGGTGAGATTTGGGTGGATGTTTGGAGAGGGAGGGGTGGTGGATTTGAGTTTTCAGAAAATTTAAAACTTGAATTTTTTATCAAATTTTTAGTTCCCTTTCGAATTTGAGATTAACTTTGTTTAAATAAAAAATTATTCAACATTGTGGAAATTTCAAAAACGCCGTAGTTTCTTCAAATTCTCTCACTAACCTGAGCAACGGTGAAATAGGCGATCAAAAGCAATCCAATTCCACACAATGTGATTGTCAAATGTGGGAAGCTCGAGAAGTGAACCTGAAATAATCCAATTTTTGATTTTTCAACAAAAATATTCAAATAAAAACTCACCGGTGCGTGGTATTTGTTCATTTTCGAAACATCCATGGCTGAAAACCTGAAATCAATTTTGGATTGAAAATTGGAGATAAAAATAAAAAATATTCCGATATTCGAAATCCGCTTGAAACGGTGAAAAATTTAAAAAAAAACGGATTTTCAGCAACTTTTATAGACAGAAAAATGAAAAAAAGTAAGTATGGTACAATGGGGAATGGCGGGAACTAGAATCGTTTTGAAAAGTCAAATTTCTACACAGGTTTTGGACATTCGTATATACATTAGAGTTTGATAATTATGATATGATTTTGTTCAATATTTGATTAGAAATCTCGATCTGGGAAGACGATTGGAGCAACAAGGGTCCATGAATAGAGAGCAACACAAACCCATGATGAAACCATTTTTACCCAAACTGATGCCATGTTTGAATTCAAGTGTGTCAAATCGTTGTCAGGTCTGCAAAAAAAACAAAATTTTATTTTTGAGAACAATTTCGACTCGTGGATCAGGTAGAAAAATAGTTCTTGAAATTTTTCCTAGACTATTTATTACGTGTAAGTCATAGTTCATTGAACACAATGTAATGTGTTGTTTTTGATCTCCACGTGGTTTTTCCAAAAGTACAAAACATCAAAACCCCTCTACCGATAATCGGTATTAATCTGTTTTGTTTTTACCCGAATCAATCGAACTAACTCCATATTTTTGTGTTTTGAACGATCATTTTTCCATTTTAATGTTTCTAGAAAAAAAACTCACTTATACCACGAAGTCAACGTCATCATCACATACAACGAAGCGAGAGCAAACATGAAATGGAAGAAACTGTATGAATAGGCAACACCTTCTTCTTCATTATCCCAAACTTGTCTTTCAGTGTCGTCAGCTGTAAGAAAAAATTTGGATTTAGGAGAATTATAATCAGGAAAAATTTGTCAAAAGTTCTTGAAGTTTCGAATAGATATAGATTTTTGAAAATTTGATGGAGTTGAGAAAAATGTTGTTGTTCAACAGAAAAAAATATTTTTCGAACTTTGCTGACACTCGAATATCTATGTATCTAGATTCAAATTTTCAGAGAATTCTGACACATTTGTTTGAAAAAGCCACCACAAAAAACACACAGGGATAAATCAAAAGGACGTGGAAAACAAAGGAAAAAACATGCACGAACCACTATTCAAAACATTTGACGAACTTAATTGAATATTTTCGTCGTTTCCACTTCCGCCAGTGATTTTTCCAAGAGAAGTATTCGAAGAATTTCTGATCGAAGCATAAAGAAGACAAGCAAACCACAAGAATAATGAGACAATTGATTGAGCTGGCAATGGAACTCCGAAATGTTTCTCATCATGACTTGGATCAGTTGAATTTTTGCTGCTAATAATACTAATCAACGATGGGTTGCATTGTTTATCTGGATTATTGATAAGAGCCGCCCATGTCAAATAAATAACATATCCGGTTATCATAACAGCTTGAATAAGACCACTTCTTGGATTGAATTCTTGAACAGCTGGAGAGAGTGAGAGACCTGTGATACCAATGCAAAGCAATGAATTGAAGATAATGAAGAATCTTGGGAGACCACATCCTTCACCGGTTGTATAGAAAATGAACATGAAAATGATTGCAACCAGAGCTAGAATGAATCCTCCAAAAGTGAAGCTGATCAAACCGGCGTAGCAATATCTAGAATCTGATTCTTCATATGATTCGATCAAAGAATCAGCAACACCGTGAGCGAAGTCAACGATCAAGATCAATTGAATTAGGATAAACAAAAAGCCTCCAATCATTCCAATCCACATCAATGCTGAAATGTTTCAAATTAATTTTAGGCACAACTTCTACTGATAAACTTACGAGTTGCCAAGCTTTCACTTCTGATGAAAAAGAACATGACGATCAAGGCGGTCAATAGAAGATATTTGAAAAACCAGAAACCATTTTGAATCTTTGATCTAGCATCTTTCGAATCCTTGACTCCCAACATCATCAACATGAAAATCAAGAAAAATGAGGCGGTGGCAGCACAAACACGATAAACTGCTTGGAATCCGGTGGCATGAGCGCAAGAGATTCCCAAACCTTTGCAAAACCAATCATTCTGAAAAAACACGGATTCTCTGGGACAATTCTGGAGATTATTCTTACCTCAGCCAGCTTATTTTGAATAGCTGGAATAAGCATGAGACATGAGAGGAATGTGCTGACGAATAACATCAAAGCATACATGATACGAGTTGTGGTTGAAGATTTGGACGATGGGCAGCAAGCGCAGAGCGAGCATGCTGTACTTCCAAAACAACAAGCGGCTGACTGAAAATTTTGAAATTATTTTGCGATTTTCAAATATCTACAAACGGATAAGATCTAATCTGAAATAGAATCAGATCCAATCCACAAAATATTAGGATTTCTGATCTCTATGTCCAATGAAGACATTTGAAGCACTAAAAATATTTTTAAAAATGTATTATGATATCTACGTTGCCTAAATTTGGAAAAATCGATATTTTTAAGTCACACTTTTTTTCAATCATTTTATCCACCTAACCCTCAAACTTACCGCCGCCAATGAGGGTATAGCGAGTAAGGCACCCATAGTTTTCTGGAATTAAAAAAATTATTGCAAAAATCACGCTGAAAATCGATTTACAGCCAAGACAAACAAAAGAAAAAATGAAAACTAGTCATTTGACGTAGTTGGCGCGTTTGTGGTAGCCTGCATAAAAACGCGTCAGTCTTCGGTTGTTTGGCACCAGAAATGTATGATGATTTTGAATTTCCATTTTTTCTTTTGGTTTTTCACTTCTTTCCTGTGGTTTCGGGTTTTCTTGATAGAGAATATGGTTTTTTGCAGATAATGGCGTTGTTGAAATTGTCAAAAACCAGAGATGAGGATATGCTCGCCCAGGAAACTGTTGAAGAGCAAGAAACTTTCCAACAAATGCCAACTGCTGAGAAACGGCTCATGGAAGCCCCGCAAATGGTAGGTTTTTTGGAATCATCTGAAAATTCTAGATCTCGTAATTTCAGCCGAACACAATTGTCGCTCACGAATTGTTGTCCGAAACTTCACGAATGAACCCAAAAATCGAGAACTATCTCAACGCGCAACGTTTGATCTCTGGAAATGCGCAATGCGAGCAACTTTTGTTGGAACTCAACTCGGCTTCTCAACTCAATCGTGGTCCAGAAGGTGTTTACGAGTCATCGCGCCTTCATTGGGACATGTTGCTCAATCGTGACGAGACCATCTTCCCATCCGATTATTTGAACTTTGACGCCAAAATGAAGCGCTAACTTATCTTCTTGTCTCATTTATTTATTTATTGATTGATTTTTTTCCCGGTTTTTATCCATAAACTCCTAATTTTCTTGGATGATATGAAATCGTGAATCAGGTTGTTTTTCCTGTAAATGTAATATTTATCGATTGTTCAAGCAGCTTTTTCCGGTTCCATAAAATATAGTTTTCAGCATAAAGAAAGCAAAGAAATGATGAATAGAATGACGACTGGAAAAGTCGAAAACCCATTGCATTTATCATTCAGAAATCCACATTGGCCGCCAAATATGATTACACCAGATAATGTGTTGGATTATTTTTGCATTCAAGCCAATCATTTTTACGATATGGGATCTTGTAATCAACAAATTCGAATGCAAAATATCAATCGACCAGTTGAAGAATGTCTAAGAACAATGGCCGGAATTCAATATATTCTTTGGCATGCACAACCTCCACTTTATATTATTTGTAAACAACGAAGAAATAATATCAATAATGTGACACCTCTCGCCTATTATTATGTTATCAATGGAAATATTCATCAAGCACCAGATATGTATTCTGTAGTTCAATCGAGACTGTTAGGATCTTTGGAACCTTTGAGAAATGCGTTTCAAGAAGTCACAAATTATTTGAGGTATAATACGGCGAAAGGTTATTATTGGGAATTCAAAGGGAGGCCGCAAGTTAAGAGAGAGAAAAAGGAGACAGAAGATGATGAAGAGGAGAAGCCGATAGAAGAAAGAAGCACGAATTTTCAAAAAACTAGGACTTTTATGCTTCTCGATCAACTTTTAGCTGAATTACCAGCAGATGAAGCAATCGAGCCACTTGAGGTATGTAATTCAAGATTGAAAAAAAATATCATAAAAAGCTCAATTTTCAGCTAAAACCTGCCACTGCAACAACATCCGTAAAAGAGAAAAAAGCTCCCGTTTTCGCTGAGCCAACTGGTAGAGGAAGTGGTAAATCTGCTGCCAATCACGAATAATTGGATATTGAAACTTCGTGGCTAATTGTTATTTCGTATGTTTTTTTTACGGGTTTGAATATTTATTTTATGAAAAGTTATACTGGATTTGTGCAAAAACCGCATGTTGATGCGCAAGTATATTCAGCGATCAGAGCATGATCCGATAAGCAACGACCACTTGATTTATAGGTAGAACAGCTGGAAATGTTTGAATTAAAAATCCTAATTTTAGGTCATTTTTTTAGTTTTGTATAATGATTTTTTATCAGAAATTCAAACCATATTAGTTAAAAAAAATCCTAAATTGATGTAAAAATGCTAAATTCAACTCACTCTTCTGGTGAAAATCTATCTGCACACGGTGTTATTGTAGAATTCCCGCACAATCCAAAAGTTGTCGCACACATAACTTTCAGTTCCGAATTTGAATAATTCGAACATCCCGAGTTTTTCAAATTTGTGCAAGTGTCCCTTAAAAATGTTCGACACATTCCGGGCAAAAACAAAAAAAACTCACAAATCTAGTAAATTTGCGCAAGCTGTGATGTTCAAGTCAACTGAAAAATTGAAGTTTTGTTGGCAAAATATGGGGAAAATTACGAACCATATCTGTATTGAAATGTAAAAGTTGTTGTGTAATAACGATTATAAGAGAAAACTGGCAGAAAATTCGAGTCGCTTTGAAGAATTTGATTATTGAATTCAGAACAGCAATATCTGAAAATCAATAGAAAATTGCTACAAATCTACAGTAATCCTATTGTTATTTTAAAATGATTTTCTCTGAAAATTGCACTTTTTAAATAATTTTTGATTACAAAATCTAGTTTCATCTGAATGTTATCAAGATATAAAACTGACAAAGAACCTCGAGCTCAGTTCAAATATAATCCATTCTTTTCTCACCTAGTCTGTGTCATTGTCTTATCAAATAACAGTTTTGGCTCAATTCCATTAAAAGTACAACCATAACCACATTGTGTATTATTCGCAAAAGTGATCCGAAATTGAATTTGTTTTTCATTTGGCGCTTTTATCCAATGATTACAATAAGTAAACGTGGAACGAGCTGTTGCTTTATTTGAAGCGTCGCCAAATGTATAGGTAACACTTTTCCATTCTGAACTTGCTTCTAGGATTTCACCACATGTGTAGTTTGCTTTTTTATCGCAAAGAGTGCCAGCAAAACTGTAGGGACAATTGCAAATTGAGCAGTTGGATGGGTTCGGATATCCTCCGTTTTTACAGTCGAGTTGAGGAGATGGGCCTAGAAAGCATGTGAAAGATGTTATGACGTGGAAAAGGTGAACATATATCTTTGGAAATTCTGGAGCCAGTTCAAAATCTCACTGTTTCAAATTTATTTTAAATTTTGGTTTTTGCATAACAAAGTTTGTAGTCTGAACTGGAAATTATTCATGAATATGAGAAGAATAGATTGTAAAGTTTCAATGATCACATCATCCTAGATTAACAATGCAGAACTCAAAAAGCGGATTTTTGCCACGTCATAACCTTTTTCTCAGAAAGTTCCCCTCTGGGCACATAGATTCTGAGTCTGGTAACTCACATGAGCAACTATAATGTTTGTTCAACATCTGAATATCCTTAAAAGTTACAATTCTTCCACCCATCGTATAAATCATCAAAGGCTCTTTCGGCACAATTGAATCAACTCCGCCAGTTGAAACAAATGCTCGACCACTATAATGCATAAAACTTCCATATTCATAATCTATTATATTTGTGCTGGTAAGCGCTGTGTATTTCACAAAGTTTTGCTGAAAAGCTTTGGGATGAGAAATATTTCATTGATGTTCAAAAGTACCTGCATATCTGTGTCTACATCTGTTAGATCAATAGTGACATATAAATCTCGATCAGATCTCATTTGTGAATGAAAAACTCCTAAACAATGGGATAATTCGTGAGCAGCAATACCTTGCAAATCACAACCTGATCCTAAAGATAATATTTGTTCGCCTCCAGTCATTCCAACATTTGAATAACATCCGACTCCATTTATTATTTTTACACGATTTGTTGCTGTTGAATTTTGAACGAAATTGATGCATGTTTGTTGCGAGATAAATTGCATTGCATTTATCACAATTGATTGCATTGTAGCTCCCAAACTTGAATCAAAATAATAATAAACAATATTATTCGGCCAATATGGAGCGGAATTCAAGATTTGTCTCTTTTTCCTTCCCGATGATGAGTTTGTCGAAAATTCGGCAATTTGCAACTCATTTAAATTTATATCACCTTGAAACAAATAATCATTCAAACCAGCTTGCTCATTGATCTCATAAAGATCTAAAGCTGGCGGATTGTTTGTTACTTTGACTTTCGGATAGCTTTTGTGTAGAATTTTTGAGTGATTTTTGGAGACACCGTCGATTTTTTGGGCTTTGCGAAGTTTGGCGAGTTGCTTCTTTCGTTTGTTGGGAGTGCAACCGCCGAGACTCTGGAAATTTGTTAGGGGAATATTTTTGTAAAAGTTTGGTCTGAGTATTTGGTTGGATATTTTTGATGAAAATGGAAAACTTGAAATAGTGAATCAGAAACTAAAGAATGGCTTCAGGGCTATTGGAAAAAATTTAAAATCGACCAAAAAATTCTAGTACAGTAACCAAATTTCTTTGAATACATATTTAATACCTCAACCAACCTTTTTCAAAATTTTCCTGGTTTCCGGAGCCAAAGTATACACTGGTTTCTCAGTTGTTGTAGTTATCGTTTCTGTAGTTGCCAATATTTTTGTTGTTGTACTTGGCCATCGAAACTTATACCTATCTTTCTAAAAAAAATGCATCAATAACTTTGGAAATTCATCTGAAGCTTCCCAGTCTCACCTCAAAATCTTCATCTCTCGAATCACATTCTACAAATCGATAAGACAAACAAAACAAAAAACTAATCGAAAACACCCACAAAAGTGTCATAAGTGAGTAAATTTTTGAAAAACCCCCTAAAAATTTGAAAATTCGTGTTATAATCCGATGATCTCACTAAACATTTTTATTGTGAAATGAATTGGTTTTTTAACTGTGGTGTTCCTTTGGAAAAGAACGGGACCATCGAAATTGAAACAGGCAAAAAAATTAAATCAAATTTTATTAGCTGTATTTGAGGTTAAAAGTGAGATATGAATTTCATCAGCGTTTTTGTTCTTCAAGAAATATTGATCCATTCCTTCGGTGATTCCCTGAAAATATAAAAATAGGATATTTCGAGAAAATTTTGAATCGGACCAAGGGATCTTATTTTTGAACCTGTTAGAATTTATCTGTGCCACCAATACACCAAAGAGTACTGTCGAGTGTAAACGCGGAGGGTCGTTGTTTTTCAGAATTTTTTTCCACAAGCATAACATTTTTGTCCTTATGTTAATCATAACACCTTCTTATTTCTTCGCCCTCAATCTTCTATTTTCTCAAAACTTCAAACTCCTACCTGAATACAAGTTATGATAAGTGTAACAATCGGTGCAATTTGATTTTCATGATAAGCGACTGAAATTGCAGCACTGATAAAAAGCGCGATCTTCACAGCAGCTTGCATAAAGTTGATAACATCTCTCAACCACCATCTTCTCTCAGTTTTCTTGTCGATATATTTTATCAAATTTTCGACCAAATCGAACGTTTTCGTGATTTTGTTCTTGAGACTTTCTTGATCAACTGGAGCGATTCCAGGATCGGAAGAGCTGCTTGTACCTTCTTCGTTTTTGGATGTGTCGGGATTTTTTGAGACAACGACGAGTTGGGTGAAGGAGTGGGAACGAGATCGGGGTTTTTCTTGAGCGATCACAGCGACCTGGAAAATTAGAAAATTTTTTTTCAAGTTCTTCAAAAATGAAGAAGTTCTTAATTTCAGTGTTCCTAAACTTAGTTCTAAAAAATTTCAATGTTTCAAAAATGTGACCTCCCACCAAAAATCAATATTTTTTTGGAAAAAATAATTTCAAGAACCCTTTTTTGCCACGTCATAATTTTTTTCATTCTAAATAAATCCTACCTCTTGAATAATTCTGGCTAACAATGATAATTCATAAGCGACAGCTCGAAGCATTTCATTTTCAGAAGGTGGAATGTTCAAATTACCGTGCACTGTAAATTTTATTTTGCTCTTTTTTTCTCCGAAATTCTGTTTGAACTCACTGCACAAATGATTTATTTCCAAAACACAATTTTTGACATGTTGATAACAATATTTTGATGATTGTTTGGTTTTGAGATCGCGTTCCAATTCGTATTGAAAGATTTTGAGAGCTTCTTGCATCTAAAAAACTAACAATTAGAATTTGAAAATGAAACTCCGTGAGCAAATACGAAAAAAATTCAGTTTCTTGAAACGAAGCTCTTATAAATGTAGCCCACAATTTTTATTTTAACTTGAGAACTTTCATTTTCAGAAATCCTTTCTTACCCTAATTAAATAAGATCTAATTGGCCTGAGTTGATTGATATACTCAGCTTGTCTGGTTCCAAAAACATCACAAGTTCGATTCCAACAATCTCTTGATTGCATTGTTGGCGGCTCGGATTCAATTATGACTTGAGTTGTTGAGGTTCCGATGTCGACTGATTTTTTTCGTGTTTCATTTGCAGCTTCAGTTGACTGAAATTTTTTAAAAATTTTTTGAAGAGTTTTTACTGCTTGAAAATTAGGAAAACTCCAGAAAGTCCACTGTTTCAAAATTTTAATATACTAGAAAATTGAAAAACTGCAACTTCTTGCAAGTATCTAGTGTCAAAATATTCCTATTTTTTCAAAATGGTCCGAACTGGCCACTTTTAAAATTTCCTTGACTAATTCAAAACTTTCCCAAAAATTACCTCTTCATGAACGAAACCTTGATTTTCTGTCATAGTTTTTTCTCAATTCGAAAAAAGTTGAATATAGCGAAATAAAAAAGTGAGGAACTGATAAGAAAAATAATAGTGTTTACATTGTTATGTAGCTAATAAAAAAATATTTCGAAACAAAGTTTTCTTTTGGAAAAAGTATGCAAGTAGTTCACATGTCAAGAAGAATTACAGTAACACAATAACTTGAGGAATTTATTATTGTTATTTTCGATTTTTTGTCCTTTCCATTTTGACAGATAAGATTTCAAGTGTTACGAAACATCAGAAAAAGTGATATAAAAACCGCGCTGAAAAGTTTTTATATAAAAATATTTTATTTTGCAAATGTCTAATATTTCACAATATTTTGGATTTGATAATCGATTTTTGGATTGTTTCAGGCCTATTTATAGGAGTATAAGAATGCCACTGGAAAGGTTAGCAGTTTTAATAACAGAAATATTTAACAATTTTTTTGCAGAGTTGAACCAGAATCCCAAACTCAATGGTATGTAAATTCTTTAGATAATGAAGAAAATTGTGAAGTTTCCGAAAAACGAATTGGCTGGGGAGCTCGAGGCGAAGTTTTCGAAGGAAAATTTAATGGGAAAATTGTGGCGGTAAAAAAATCAACAAATTGTGACGGTGGAGAAATCTCGAAAGAATTCGAAATTCTGAAAAAATTGAAACATCGAAATATTATTGAGTTTTTGTAAGTTAAATTTTTCTCAAAAATGGAAAAAAAACTAGCTGATTAGTTTCAGTTATTTTCAACAAAAATCTACGTTCTCTTTAATTTTTATGGAATACTGTGAGAAAGGTAATCTGTCAGATTATGTGCGAGCAAATGTTATCGATAAAACTATGTGGATGGAATGGATTCGTCAAATCACAGATGGAATGTTGTATTTGCATGAAAATAAAATTATTCATAGAGATTTGAAAGGACCGAAGTGAGTTACTGTTTTTTCACATAAACTGTCTTATTTCAGTAAAAATTTGAATTTTCCATGTTCCAAGAATTGTTTTCAGTATTTTAATAAATTCAAACGACATCTTGAGAATCTGTGACTTTGGAGAGTCACGTGGTTATATCGAAAGCATCAGTCAAAAAATGACATTTCGTGGAACTTTTAACTATATGGCACCAGAAGTATTGCAAGAAAAAAAATACAGCAAAAAAGTTGATGTTTATTCATTTGGTATGGTTTTGTGGGAAATGTTGACGGGGCACACACCTTTTTCAAAATGCAACCTACATCGAATCATTTATGCTGTTGGTAGAGGGTTGGTTAAATTTATTAAAAGTTTCTATAAAATTGATGGCTTGCAGGATTTTGACCTTGGCTTTCCCACCAAACTCCCCAAGAAACTTTGAACGTTTGATTAGACTTTGTGTATCTTACAATAGCAAACTTCGTCCATCTTTCAAATATATACAATCACAATTTGATATCTGGTTTATGGATATAATGGATATTGAAAATTGGGAGGGGCAATGTAATGAATGGCATGAATATTCAAAAGAAATTCAATACGGAAAGATTTGCAAAGAAGACCCAGATGAGAAATTGTATGTGAAAAAATCAACACCGAGGATATTGTTCAATCCGCAGAGTTTGTTTTTTTACTTGACATGATTTGTTACAAAATTTTCACGCTGGCAATCTGAAACAAATTCTTTGGTTTTTTCTTTTTCCGATCAAATTTCTGTTTTTTTCATTAAAAAAGAGTTCAATAAATCATTTGATAATTTATTATTTCAGGAAAATACGTGCGCTCTGCATTAGAACTCCGCCGAAGAGCAGTATTGTTCAGCAGTTCATCTTCTTCAGATTTAAACGAAACCTGTAATTCTTCCCCATCAGATTTCTGTCGTTACTGTCGAGCAAGATCTTCTGATACATTATTGCTCTACACGAGAAGAAGAAGAAGTGGGAGCCCATTTTCGAAATCAAGATCAAGGTCAAATTCAAGACCTCAATCTGAAGATGTAGGGATGAAAGTCTCAAATGAAAAACCAACAAAGGAGGATGGGAATATTTGATAGACATCCATAAAAAATATGTTCATTTTAATACATAGCTGTACATTTCATTTAATACATTTCATTTCTTGAACATTTTCAATGAAAATGTTGTTATTCTTAATTTTTCTTTTACCATTTGTTAAATGCGATGATAATTATTCTCATCTAAAAACTTTCAAAAATCTTACAAAATTTGTTGATTTCATATTTTGGTCGACCCGCGAAGAATACCCAGACAAATATATCCCACATTTTGCTGAAAACTTTGTGTATCATTTCGGTTGGTTCAAATTCAATAGAGATCAGTTTGCTTATGTGAATGCTCTGAGAAAAGTTGGATTGATTGGTGAACTTTTGAAAGTTAAGGGTGAAAGATTTGATTATGTTTTCGAAAATGGAGAGAAGAGAAGGTTTCTTTTATTATCAGTTATTGCGAATACAACTGATGGATATACAGAGCTCAAGATTTATAAATTGAATGAACATATGCATTTTAGAATGTTGTCTGGGAATCAATTACTTCCAAACTCTCAAAAAATACCAGGGAATGAAAAACAAAGTATTTAATTTATTTTTTTTAAATAATAAAGATGTTCATTTAGTTCTGATTCATCTTTCTCAGATCTTTCATTTCGATATCGTTGCTTTTTCCTTTTTCTTTCGCAAAATCACGACAATTATACTCGAAAACATAATACAAGACCAAACCATCCGAGTTTCTCAACAATCTCATTTCTACAGATTGATATATCACATCAAAGTTAACGACAACAAAGTAATTATCATAGATATTTCCAAAAGTACTGTCATGATGTAAAACTCTGTGAATTTTCAAATTCTTTTTGTTATTGAACAGAAATCTTTGATCAACAAATTGCTTGCGATTGAATCGATGTTTTTGACAATCAATATAGAGAAAGTCTTGATGAATGTAGTTTTGAACCAAATTTTTTGAATCTTTAAACTCTTTCAATGTTTCAAACATCTCTTCAACATCTTTTACATCGATGAACTTTTGTGAAGTTGTTCTATTCACTGGAGTTGCCTTGATGAGATAAATATAAATTGATAGGAGGAGAATTAATGTTCTCATTTTGACAAATGATGTGGTGGAATGAAAATCGAACGATATTTTGGAATCTCATCAGTGATAAAACATGAGAATATGTTTTTGGAAACTTTTTATTAGGTTTGTATTCAAATTTTTGAATAATCGTCACGATTGACATCAATTTCGGGCATTTTCATGAATAGAAAAAAATTGTAAAAAAAATACATTTTTACGCAAGTGAATAGATGCATTCAGTATAAAATTGCGCAATTAATCAGCGCCTTTGTGAAAACTGTATTTTTTAATTGAAGGTTGTTTTTCTCGAAAATATTCCTATCCAAATTGAATATTTCTAGACATTTTTCTCACCGTAATCTGTGATGGGAATTCTTTTGGTTTTACCTGTATACAGACAGTAACGCGCAAGTGTATAAAAACATCGCACAAATTTTCGCACACTAATCCAAAGCTCCGCCTAAATTCCACCGATTCTTGCATTCGTCTTCGATTCAATCATGAAAGTCGGTGCGCTTCTCTTTTTCTGTTGCGCAATATTTTTTGCTGTCCCAATCACCCCATCTTCTGCGATTGCCGATAGTTTTCTAGACGATTATTGGAAGACAACCGAAAACAGAATCAATCCAAAGGCTGAGGTTTCGGATTTGAATATTCTAGTTAAATATTCAGACAAATCCAAGACGTACACGGATTATGAAAAATCGAATGAAACATGTATCAGTGTGGTATTTGAAGAAGACCACTACGACAGATTGAAATTTACCTGCCAAACAAGATGGGAACCAATAAATATAAGCATACAGGACCGAATTCGACATATCCATTATACTGTTGATTGTGAATCATTTCAGATGGTTGAATATACAAAGAACAAATATTTGTTCATCCTCGCCATGATTTTGGTAATATTATTATCATTGATTGGGTGAGGTTTTTTTTTAATTTTTGAATAAAATACATTTTTATTTACAGTGTTCTCGTCTGGATAAAGAAGGATCATATCAAAAGATTTGTCACAGGTAGATATCAAAAATGGAGAAGTCCTGCTGTCCAGCAATTGTATGATTCTTCTGAAGAGAGACAACAACAGGAGATCACCGGTTTTTAAATCCAATAAGTACATTTGAACTTTGAAAAATTGTTGTTAAATTTATCCATAACTTTGTCAAATATACTTTTATTTCTGTATTTTATCTGATTGTGAATAAAGTTATTGGAAGTTAAAGACAGTTGAACCATTTGTTGATTACTCTTAAAAAATTTTGTGAAAAATAGTTGAAGACTAAAAAAAATTCCGCAGCTAATGAAAGTCAGCACAAGCTTAGATGATTTTATGTTTCTAAATTATCAAATTGTATTTCATTGCAAAGCGCTTCTGCATACAGTAGAATTTTAACTTACAATATAATACATTTTTTGAAAATATTTCGCAATAAAATCTACAATTTCCAGACAACTCTATTGTTTTTCACATTTTTTTCCCACAAAATTTAGGTTTTTTGTTGAAATTTGAGACACGTTTTGTTCACTTTTTTCGCACGATAATTTTTGTAACAACTTCGAAAATGAAGTTTTTTAATTTGTTTTTCTTTCAAAATTTTCTCACGCAAATATTGACAGACGATTTTACTTTTTTTACATGTAAAAGATTCAAGGTTTACAAAAAATCGATAACAATTCTACGGTGGATTTTGGTTAGTTTCTGAAGACGCAACTCCCAAATTTGAAACTTCTTGCTCATAATTGACACTATTTGAACTTGCTCCACAACAAATAGTCATCCAAGTTCTCAATTTTCTGAAATTCATAAAGAATTGCTCTCTCAGGACGAGTTTTCATAACTGTTGAAGAATGTCTGCTGATTTTCCGAACACTTATAAGTATGGGTATATAAAAAATTGAAGAAAATATCACAAGAATATTAAAGCCTATATATATAAGAGAATTTGTGATTGGCAAAAGTTTGCTGCAATTTAATGTTAGAACACATCGATATAAAAAATATTCGTAAAGAAGATTTGCGCCAATCACTAAAGAATATAAAAAGATTATTACATATTTGAAAGTTTTTTGAGAAGGACTGATATATTTCTCAGAATTCGGATAAAAATAAAGGAGAAATCTTTGAAAAGCCAAAAGGAATAATAGGAAATTGTGAACTGGCATAACAATTGAATTGAATGTATAAGCTATAAAACGTAGAAAAAAAGAAATATTAAATAGAACTTGTATAACATGACGATCATTTCCACTATAAACAAATGAAATTATGAAAGCGGATGCATTGATTAGTATAAAAAATTGCGAATAAACGGTGATTTTGTATAAATGATTAGTGATTGGGAAAATTGGAGATTCCTCATCTTTTTTCCGATTTATTTTTGAAAAATGAACGAATAATGGGAAAATAATAAAGACACTTGAAATATAGATAATTATTAGAATAAAAAAATATAGATAAAATAATCTATATAGAACAATTTGCTCGAAGGGTCTTGTTTCCATGATCGGGGAAATAAATAAGTAAATGCATCTGCTGATCTGAAAAAAAGATGGAAGCTTTTTCAGAAAGGACAAAGAATCACCTGGTGAAAAGAAGTTACGTGGAAAGGTCGTGATTTCGATGATTTTCGAAACAGTGAAGTTTGTTCAAAAATATTTATTGCTTGATCTCGCTACCCTTTTAGGTTTTTAGTCAGTCCTACTTTGTTGAAATTTTTCCAAATTCCAAAAAAAAAAAGTTTCAAATGTAATAAATCTTCACCCTTTCCCAAAAAATAATCCACCCGCATTTTTGCTTCCCTCAATTTCTGAAAAATTCTGATCCAATTTAACTCCATTGTAATCCTGCAATGTGTTTTTGCGAACGGAAAAGAGATGGCAAAACTTTTTGACTTTTTTTGTGTTGCAACTTTTTCTCTTCCTTCAAAAATGAGCCAAAGTCACGAGATATCTATATACTTATTTTAACTTCCCTTCGCTTTTCCCCAAAAAAAGGCGAGGGTGTCGTTTTTTCCACCCAAATTGACACCAATTTTTGGAAGAGGAAAAAACAAATTCCGGAAATGTCAGGCGGACTTTTTTTTATTTTATTTTGATTTTGTATAACTTGAACATTTTTTTATTTTCATTTTTTAAAAACAATTACACAAAGATGAAAAAAGAATACCTGGAATTTTTTCGCGAAGAGAAGAGATCAAAAATCTTCGGATTTCTCGTATTTCAATTGAACTTTTAATAGTTTTTTGAAGTGTAATCTTTTGTTGTTTGAAATTTTTTGGGTTTTATATTTCTATGAAGTTTCAGAATCTGAATATTACGCGAAATATTTTGCCAAAATTTCTATGATTTTTGGTGACTGGGTTTCGCAAGCTTTCAAGATTTATGACCCAATTTTGCACATTTTTCGCGTCAGTTTTTGTGGAATTTTTAACGCACAAAATTTCGGGCGTTAAAAATCATTTCTAAGAATTTTTTTTTTCAAAAATCAGAAAAACTTTAGTTGATTGACGATCTCATTTTGTCACATGTTACTCTTCTCAAAACTTTTCACTAATTTTTTTCACACTAAATCTTCCACAGAAAAAAAGTTCCAGAAACCTTCTCTTATTTTTCCCGTCTAGACAAATAAAAAACAAAAATCACCTAACTTATTATTTTCACTTTTTTTTCGAAAAAGATGATGTTGCTTTTTTCCTCATTTTTTTTGTGAAATATAACCTCTTTTCTCTTTTTTTTCTCACTCGCGGGTCACAACAGTTGCCAATTCTTTTTCCAACTATTTTTAAAAAATACATATCTATCTACGTTTCAACTTTTCATTTTTTGATTTTTTTTTCTCGTTGGAAAAAGTATAGAAGGTTTATTTTAAGAAAAATGATTTTCTAGCATAATTTTGAAAACTTAACATTTCTAGAAAAAATCTAAAAATATTTTTTTTTCTGATCTTGAAGTTTCTAGAAAATTTTCCTCGTTTCCATCATTTCTAATTCAAGTTTTCATGTTTTTTTCTGATTTTCAGAATTTCAAAAAAAAATGATTTTCATTAATACTCGGCCTGTTGATGAGAATGCACACTGTGAAGATCGGAGAGCCTCTAAAACTACGAATCATTCTGGAAATGGTGGAGGACATGGATCGAATTCGATGCAAGAAAATGGGGGAAGTGAACATGTTTTGGTGAGTTCTTTTGAAAATAATCTACAGAAAAAACCTAAATTAATAAGGAATTATGAATGAGACTTATAAAGTTCTAATTAATTTATCATTTTTGAATTGTTAAACGATTTGGAAAAAAAATATCATTTATAAAATAGATCATTTGCCGCTGAAAAATTATTCAAAAAACTTATCAAATTATCCTAACTCCCCTTCTCCTCGCAAAATCCTATTTTTCCAGCGTCTCTCCCTAATTCTAATGATTTTCTACGTGCTCGTCTCAATATTTCCCGCCATTTTATTCTATCCAGTTTCTTTATTAGCAATGGTTGTTCCAATTTTGGCACTATTTTTTGCTTTGTGCTCGATTCGACATTTACAGCACATTAATACACAGTGGCCAGTTTTGTTTATCGCTGTGAGTTTTTTTGTTGGAAAAGTTTGAAATAAAAAAAGTGGAGGTGATCTTTGGAACCATTAGATTATTTTTAATGAGTGTGTGGCACTTTGAAACAGAGAAAGTTTTTAAAGATGAAATGTGAGGAAAGAGAATAATTTTGATTTTAAAACAATGACGAAGAAGAGAAAATGGGATTTGAAATTTCAGATGATTTTTTTTCAAAAACTGAAATCGATACATTGAAATTGCCACGTCATTTCTAGTTCACGTGGCATCGAATTGAAAATTTTTACTTTTAACTGCTTCCAAAAAGAATATTTTTGACTTTTTATCATGACGTGAAAATTTAGAAGGTAAATAATGAAATTCCAAATATCAAAATTCATAAAATTTTCAAATTGAAAAAATTACTGTAGGTTCTGGCAATTTTTTTTAAATAAAAACATCAAATGTATATTTTTGAAGTCCTAAAATCCAAAAAAAATAGAATTCTTTAATTAATTTTTCACAAAAAATGTCTGAAATAATTCATATTAATTTCTCATTTCCAATAAAACTCCAAAAAACATGATATTTTGAAATTCCGAATTCAATCAGTTTTTCAATTTCAGGTCATCGGGATTCTCCTAAAAATCGCTGCAATTGTTCTCTACATCACTCTTTTCCCAATCAAAGACTCTCGTCGTCGCGGAATTTTCAACGCTAAATCCGAAAATGAACTTCATCATTATCGAACAGTTTTTTATGTGATTCTGACAGCCATCGAATTTTTCATAATGATGGTTGGAATTTGTCTGAAATCTCAACTTGTCGCGCTACAAAAGCGAGAAAATATTCAGAAGAGACGATCGATAAGTCGATCTTTGATGGGTGAAAATGATATACGTGCTCCATGAGCCTCCCCCGACTCAAAGGCCATGAGAATTTGTAAATATTTTTGAAACTTTTTTGCACAAAAAAAAACAATAATAAATATTTCATTACCTACAAGTTCTCACAGTTTCTTCCTGATCTTCTTCTTCCTTGGTCTCAAAATAACAAATGAGCATAAAAGATCTTCGCTAACAGTCATCGCAGCTGCCGCATTATCAAATTGTCCGCAATAATATGGCGCTGAAAATATTGTGACGAGTCTACGATTCGCAAAAAATTCGTAGCCATCTTGGACGACTTGATGTGCACGGCATACGAGATCCACGTTTAGCTCATCGCACGTTTTTCGGCAGGCTTCGGGACCGTACACAAACGACACTCCGCGTTGATTTGGAGCCCAGCCTTTGGAAAAAGTTGAGGGGTCGCTCCAGAGAATATCGATTTCAAGGGTTCCGTTTTCGGGTTGGTAGAGAGGACGTTTTAGTCGGCGAAGTTGTTCGACCGATTTCAGCTGGAAAAATGTGTCTTTGAAATTGTAAAAAGCAGAGAAGGGAAAGTGTGCTCTATTGATAACGTGGATTTTTTATTGAATTTCTAATTTTTTAGGAGAACTAACCTTTGGCGACAATCCACCATGCATGCATAAAATACGATCAGCCACCAATCCACTCAAAGGCATTGTCGCAAAAGTGTCTTGAAACGCATTCCAAACTTTGACATTTTTGAACCGCCGAACACATTCCTCAAGAAATCCATAAACTCGATTAATCGACGGACTTTCATGATTTCCGCGAAGTAGGAAAAAGTGATTCGGAAGAATCATTTTATATGAGAACAACAATAAAATCGTCTCAATGTTATGTTTACCGCGATCAACATAATCGCCCAAAAACAAGTAATTTGTTCGATGTGGAAATCCGATCTTATCGAAAATTCGAAGAAGATCACCATATTGACCGTGTAAATCGCCACAGATGTTGATTGGCGTCTCGAGTTCCACACAACTTGGTTGACTTAGAAAAATTGGTCGAAGATTGTCGAGCATTGTACAAATCTCGTCGATTTTCACAACTGATGATAGTGATTTTTCACCGCATTTCGTGCTTTCCAACACTTTCATCAACATTTCGTAGCCATTTTTTGCAATTGGATCTTCGATTTCTTTGACATCTTGCATCACTGAAACCCTCTCAGATCTCTGAACTTTCTGGGTTTTATCGATGTTCGACTCGATGTTTGATTCGACTTCTGCTGCGGTCGTCTGATCATTTTTCACTTCCTCACTGAAAATTGAATTTTTAGATGAAAACTTGATTTTTTGGGGACCCTAGAGCCCTTAAACATTAAACTAACTCTCTTTTCAATGGTACACTTTCGTCGCTCTCCGGTACTTTGTTTAACTCATCAGTCGTCTTGATAATTTCTGGAAAAAATATCCAAAATTATCTGAAAATTCGCCCTGAAAATTGTTGAGTTACCTTTGTTTCCGTCATCAGGTTTCATTTTAAATAATCGTTAAAATTCAGATTTGATGAAATTTAAAAATGGCGAGAGTCAACCATTTTTGTCACGCGTCTTGCTGGATTTTCATCGTGACCCAGTTATTTTTTTAGGTCGAAAAAAAACAACAAAAAATGAGGCAGTCCGTAAAATTTTTGGCATTTACATTTTTGTGCGATTCAAGAAACAAACTGAATATATTCGGGGAATTGAAAAATGCCGTAAGTTCGGAAAATCCAAAACATTTGGCTAACAAAAAAAACAAGAAAAAAATGCAAAATAGGTAACCGTCTGACCTAGGCCCACAAGGGGATACGATCCAGCGACGGCTCGCATGGAACGCACGGCAGCTTACCGCTAGGCCATCAGGCACCCGAGAAACTTTTGAGTTGATTATTTGATTATTCGATAAATCTCTTTTGTTTTCTCTGCGTCTCTCAATTTTGCGCAATGTTTTGCCCTTTTCCGATTGAAGGCGCATGTTTGGTCTTGCAACGAACTTGCCCGCGTAAATGAAATTTCAAAAATGTGCTTTCTTTTTTTTTGCAGATACGAAAAATTTGTGCTTTGCGGACCTTTAAAGTTGATTTTCACAGCAAGATTTTCATTCCGACATCAATTTAAAGTTTTTTTGCAGAAATTTCCAAACATATCCTCGTGACAAACATCTGATTCAACAATTAATCACGCATCGTCAACATTATTTGAATATAGTCGGAGCAATTTCCTGTATCGCCACCTTCCAAATCGTCTACACTTATTCATGGTTTATCTACGGATCTGAAGTCTTCTCGAATGTTCGAAATGATCTAATTTCCATCGTTGAAAACGTCCATGTAATTCTTCAATTCGCCGTTGTGTTCACAATATTTATGATAAGTTATGCGGAAAACAGTGTTGCAATTGTCTTTCTAGCCGCCATCAATTTGCTCTATTGTTTTGGAAAAATGGCCGAAATGATTTATTTCTATCAACCAATTCGTCAAGATATTTGTCGAAATGTAAATTGGTTTCAATGCTTCTCCAAATATGAGCAATACTCATTTATTTATGATACAACAATCTGTTTTACAAGTGCTTTAAGCTGTGTTATGTCTTTGATTGCTTATTATTTCCACGTGAAATTGGTTTGGATCAAGATTGAGAAAAATTCCAAAGCCAAGGAAAACTTCAAAAAACTTATAAATAATATGAAACGCTCTGATTTTGGTCTCTCATCAACTGTTCATTCAAAAGATCCTAACAGCAAAAGCCTCGTTGAATTTACCAAAAAAGGAGATCGCTTCGAAGCAGTAAGTGCGCCCCATTGATAACTTAAAATCAAAATGAAAATAATTTTCAGTCCGTCACCAGTCACAAAACCACGAGTGCAGTTGTCAGCGAATCAGCGGATATGATTGCTTCAACTCGCCAAAGTCAAACTCAAGCAGGAAGTGTTAAATCGGTCAATCATATGCCATTCACTTTCAGAAGAGTATTGAAGAAAATGAACCCGATGGGTTATTAGAAAAGAAAAGGAACTTGTGTGCAAAAAAACGTGAATAAAAATTGATTTTCTGACGTGATCTTTTTGACGAAACGTGGCTTGTTTTTCCACGAATATGTTTCTTTTATTGTTAGGACTTTGGGTAATTTCTTTTCGGAAGTTGGTGTTTTTTAATTTTATGCTAAATTCTCAGGAAGAAGGATGTAGACTAGCAGCGCAGTAAAATGCGAAAATGCGGGATTCCGCTATCGGACAGCGAGTCGCATGAAAAAGTGCTAGGTAGCAGCGCGGTTAAATGAAATTTGCGATTTTCTTGCGAAGTATAGTCAGGTAGCAGATGGGTTTTTCAAAAATGCTATGTAGCAGCGAACATATGACCACTAGCAGCAGAGTTTTTGCGAAGTAGCAGCAGATATAGCGCAGCTTGCTGCCAAGTAGCACGCTACCTCGCATCCTTCTTCCTGAGTAATATCTGAATTTGTAGCTTTCTAAAAGTTAGAACAAATTGCTATTTGAAAATTGGGTTCAGTAATTTATCTTTAAAAAATTTTGAAAATTAAAAAAAAATCCATGTTTCAAAATTACCATGGAAATCCACGTTTATATTCTTTCATTTGCTATTATTTTTTCGAGAAACCCCAATTTTTTAGGCTACAAAAATTACACACTTGTTTCAAGTCACGCCTGTTTTTTTGCGACGGTGAAAAATTTCACTACGGTACGCAATTTGTGCATTTGTGCGTCGCGGTGTTTACACACTAGATAGTGATTTCAGTCAGTTTTCAGCATGTTAGAGGCATTTTCAGAAAAAGCTGAATATACCATTTGATTCGTCTCGTCGAGATAAGCCAGGAAAACTATTTACTTGTTTCTGAAACGCATTCTCAAAAAAGTTATGGGCTGAAAATCAAATTCTGAGCAAATCAAAGGCGCACACATCTTTCGAAAGAGTGAGGTCTCGCAGCGATTCCAGTTTTTCACGTTTTTCTACGTGAAAACGCCATTTTTAAGGCTTCTACTATACTTATTCGAAGAGAAGAGATGAAATTACGTATGTATGAATGTTTTGAAATTTTTCTGGGGCCCCCAAGACATAAAACGCGGCGCCGCCAAATGGAGACCTATTTTTTGGCGTCATATTACTGTACCGACGAATTTTGTTCAGGCAAAACAGGCGTGAAGTAAGTTAAAACTTTTTTCATCATCATCTCTCTTTTTTCCAATTAGACTACACCTAACACTACACTGTAGTCAGCAAACATCAAAGTTCCCTTCATTTCGTCATTTCTTTTCCGTTCCCTTTTGTTATCTATCCAAATATAAATTACATCATCAAGCGTGTCTTCTTCTTCTTCTGCAAATCATATTCCCACTGATTTCGAACTCATAAGCATCTCGCGAAATCGAATCGGAAATAATCAGAAAAATGTTGATGCGAAAAACATTTGCAAATGTAAGTTTTCTGCCTCTCGGCGTCTCTCGAAAATCAATAATCTCTGCGCTTCTCCTCTTTTTGTGTCTAGAGTCTCTTTTACCTCAAGTGCTCTCTCTTTCATTTCTGCGCATGTTCTCTTTTTCTGTTTTCAAAGAACTATCAAAAAAACTTTTTTTTATTTTCAGGTTTCGAGGCTGATGAGTACGATCTCAGATATACCTGTGAGTTAAATATTAGAAATCAAAGTTTTGGCGGAAATTTTATCTCCAATTTTTTGCAGCGCGCCATGGATAATGTTCAATATCCGACTTTGTTGAATGTGACACATATTGATAACACTTCAAGAGCCAATGATATTCGAGCTGGAATGGTTGACACGTTTTTGAATTTGGAGCGAGTTGATAAGAATTTGTATTTGTGAGTGATTTTCGGGTAGAGAAAGAAAGTGTGGTTCTAGGACCGTTATACCAGGATAGTACTATCTACAGTTGTTAATTATATGGAATTTTCGAGCTCAAAACTCCAGACAAAACTGCTGAAAATTCATCAGATTCAAAAATTTTGGAAAATTTCTGGAAAGGTTCGAGTAATCAACATTTTTTAATTCAAAATTTATTTGAATTTTTAGAAAATAAAAATGTTACATTTGTTTTGAAAAAAATACTGCCTGAATGGTCTTTAAAAAATTCAGATGTGTTTTCAAACATGAATTTTCCCAGAAAAAATCGGTAACTCTTAAAAATTTGCAAGAATATTTAAAAAATATATACATGATATTTTTAACCAAAAAATTCTATTGGATTTCCGCATAAAAATCACCTAAATTCTCCATTTTTCCAGAGCCCGTCACTTGCTCAAAGGTCGCAACTCAATTCCAGTTGTCTACGGTGGTCAAGTAATTGGACAAGCTCTCTCAGCTGCCACCGCAACTGTAGATCAAGGATTCGTCCCAAATTCTCTTCACAGTTATTTTGTTCAAAGTGGCAATGTAGAACGACCAATTTTATATCAAGTTGATCGAATTCGTGATGGTCGCAGTTTTTGTACTCGATTAGTAAAAGCTCTTCAAGATGGCGAAGCTATTTTCACCGTTCAAATCTCATTTCATCGCCCGGAGCCGGATTCAATCATCCACCAACTTCCAATGCCAGAAGTTCCAGCTCCAGATAGTCTTGAAGATTTGTCAGAAACATTTGATAAACTGATAAATAATCCAACAACTCCACCAATTGCAATGGCAATGATTAAATTCAAACAAAAAGAGATTCCACCCGCATTCTTCAGAATGTTCTCTTTTCGACCTGTTGATATTGATGCGTATCTTTTGTTGAAAAAAGATGATCCAAATCAATCACATTCACATTCAACAGATGCATATCGAAGTTATGTTTGGATTAAGGCCAATGAAAATATTGGTGATGATCCAAGATTGCACGTTGCGGCTGCGGCTTACATTTCGGATGCGACTATGATTGAAACTGCCTTAAGACCACATTCAAAGTAAGTTTTTTTGTGGGAATTTTTGAGGTCTAGAAAAATGTTACACTGGAGGCGTCTAACAATATAAGAAATACGGAACTACCACGTTTTTCAGAAAAAATTTATTTTTTTTAATCAACTTTAAAATTTTCAAGTTTTCATTTTGAAGTTAAAGAAAGAGGATATTTGGGAGTAATATGTTAATTTTAAATTATTAGTTTCCATGGTAAAAACAGGACCAAACTACAGAAATTGTTCAAGAAATTTGAGTTCGAATAACTTTTTTAGCTTTGAAATAATAATTAAAAAAGAAGTCAAAAAATGTTGGAAAATGTAGGTCTCGTTACAATTGTTAAATTTTGTTTTCAGAATTGTTGGAATTATGCTTTAGCTCGATGTTTGCTTTGAAATTTAGAATTTTTACAAGGATTTTTCACACATAATAATGAAAACAAAAATAGGAAGTTTTTCGAAATAACGAAAATTCCGAAAAAAAATTTGTGAAAAAATCGGCCCGATTTTTTCTGTGAGTGAAAAAAATCGTCCCAATTTTTAATGGTGTTCAGATTGAAAAGATGAAGAACATCCGAATAAATGAGTAGAAAAAGTGATCGAGAGATCAAAAAATGAAATATAGCTGCAATATCTGGAAATTTTAGGCTGAATTGAAACTGTTTCTCTTGGGAAAACCATTTCCAAAAATTTTATCCCAATAATAATCTCCTCCAATTTTGCAGAAAAGGCTTTATTCCTGGCATGGCTTTGACACTCGATCATTCAATTTGGATGCATACCGACAATTTCCGTGTCGATGATTGGCTTCTCTACGAAAATCACAGTACAATTGCGAGCGGTGGTCGAAGTCTTATCGAAGGAAAATTGTGGACAAAAGATGGGCGCCTCATTTTCTCGACCACACAAGAAGCTTTGATTCGAGCTCGAAAACCTGCAGCTGCAAAACCAGAACCTCAAACGCAAACTAGTAATAATAATAAAAACTGAATTATTTTTTTAAACAGTAGTTGAGGGGAAACTTGAACGATCTCTGTTATTTAATAACATTTAATGAATGTCATAAATATTTATTGATTCATGGAAATTTTTTTCGTGTCAAAATAATAAGCATGAGAAAGAGGTACAGTAAAATGTACATTTTTATTAATGATTGATTAATTAGAGAATTAAGAAATTAATTAAATTTCAGGTGTGATGAATCCATTATTGTTTCCAGTGGTCCCATTAATTAACGAGCTAACTAGGCGAAGATAATCACCACTGCAGGTTTGAGAAATATCATGGTCCAAAGCGCGATGGTATTTTCGCTTGTATTCTTCGGCAATGTCATAGAGATCGATCTGGAATTATCATTAGATAATTAGTTGAAATTCCTCTTTATTAATTACCTCGCTTCGAGTCACGCAAATTCGAATAATCGCTGAATGATCCGGACGATCGACAGTCATTGTGTTGCGAAGTTTTTCGGCGAAATACAGTTGAGTATTTCGGCTGACTCGTACTGCAACAAAAATAATTATTCAGAAAAAACTCACAAAATTAAAAAAAATAAAAATTACCAATAGTTAGCAAGAGAAGTCTGATTTCTGAGTGAATATTTTTGTTGCGTCGAATTGTATTTTCAATATCATGTGATTCATGTCGAAGTTCATCAACTCTATCGAAAACTGTGCCAATGTGTTTCCAGGAATGACCAATGAAGAGTTCTTCGAAGAGTTGCACATTTTTGGCGAGTTCTTCAACAGGGGTCTGAAAAGTATGACTTTTCTAGAGAGAAGTTGGAAATATTTTAAAGATTTCGATTTTTCAAAAAAAAAAACCGAAATGATCATATCGAAACTTTCAAATTTCAGAAATCAGTTGATTGTATTTTTTGAAACAGTGGAATTTTAGAAACCGAAAAGCGTATCGGTATCAGAAAAATTTCAAAAATTCAATAATGAATATTTTTGAAACAGTAAAACTTTTTGCAATTTTTTTTCCTGAAATTTTGCAGATAATATCATTTTCCAACCAAGAAAAAATGATTTTCTGAATTTTTCACGGTTTTAAAAAATGAGTTTCAACAAATTTACGGATAAGATGATGCTTCAATATCATATCATCGTCAAAATTCAGAAAAATCGAGGGCATGTACATTGTACAGTCGATTCATTTTTTTTTAATTTTTAGAAACTGAAAATTCTAAGCTCTTCATAAAAATAAAAATTCCGAAACTGATAAACTTACAGTAGCAATAACCTGTGCATGTTTTTCCATCAATTCATCATTAATTTTTCTTCCCAATCCATCTTCTCGATTGCTACACAATAAAAGTGACAACATTTTTCCAATAACTCCCTCAACTTTCACAATAATCTCTTTCTCCAAACTTTTTCGATAATCAGTTTGATAAGCTTCTTTAATAACTCGAAGTTGTCTCGCTGATCTTGTACAAGCAATTTCAATTGCAACTGATCTGTCACCATATCGATTTGAGATTGATTTATATAGATTTTGTGCGTCGTAATTGTGAGCTGGTTTGAGAAGAGCTTGGCACATTTCCAAGAAATAGCCGCCAGTTTCTTCTTCGAGATCATCAACCAAGTTCTGAAAAATTCGGGACTTTTGAAAAAAAAATTATGGACATGTGAGCCGAAAATCGTTATCGAAAGAATGTTGAGGTTTTTTTGAACCAATAATTTTCTCATGGAATTTTTTTGAAAATGGTTTTTTTAAATTACAAAATCAGAAAAAAATGAGAAAACAAAAGGTTTAATATTTTTTGAAACATTGAATTTTTCAAGGCTAAATTTGCCTGATTTTCGGAACTCTATAGCTTTGGTTCAGAGCTATTTTTCAGAAAATTTTCATAACTTTTAACAAAATTTTTCTGCATCTCTTGTATATTTTCTATTTTCTTCCTGCTGCCCAGAAAGTTCTCTCCATAAATTTTTCAATATCATCACGTGCTTCATTTTTTCTTCTCTAGAGATATCTTATCTCCCTACCTTCTCCACTCATAAAATATTCATCCCAAAGTCTATTCTCAAAACTCACTCGATTATACATATCTTCATAAGCATTCAATATTTTTTGTCTTTGAAAATTATTGTGCAACAAAATCGTGTCGATAATCATTTGATCATTGGTTTCCAATCCGTGAAGAGATTTTCGCAAAATTTCCGATGCTTGAACTGGATGAAAATCTGGAGATGATGGTCCGTAAACAGTTCCACGTAGATCATCGTATTGACTTTCGTACATTTGGTACATCATTGGCATGTTCAGAGAACGAGAACGGCGGGTGCTCGATTCAGAATCGAGGGATGAACCGGTTGAGAGAACCTGCAGACATTTTGAATATTATTTTTAAATGTTTTTTTTTTCAAATGATTAAATTTTTGGGTCACGTGAAAATTAATTATTTGTCTATTTACCGATTGCTTGAAAAATGAGATTTTTCAGAAATGAGTAGAATAATAATTGCTCTAAAAACGAAAAAAAAAACATTGTTCGCGTGGTCAAGTGGATAAATGCTTGGAATCTTGTTGAAGAGACCACGGGGATCAATTCTTTATGCAAGCTGCGAATTCTCAGAAGTTTTGAAATTTAGAGAAGTTTGGAAAAAGTTAGAGATCGAAGGTTAGATAGTCGAGAAGTGAGAGAAATTAGAAAACTAGATAGATAATCAGAAGGTTAAGAAAAGTAAGAGACTCGGAGCAACCAGAAAACTAGAACATTAGAGAAACAGAGACAACTGGGAGGTTAGAGACGCAGAGCGAAATTAAACATCTGAAAATCGAAAGATTTACAGAAGTGAGAGACGCAAAGATTCTAGAAAATCAGATTTATAGAGATCATCCAAAAAAAATTTGGACGATTACTTTGATACAGAATTATTAGCCTAAATAATTTTCTAGTTCAAACATCCCAAATTTTCTGACTGACTAGAAAAAAAAAGACGGACCACAAAATATTATTTTATTCAGACAGACACGATGCTCAATTTATCACCCACGCTTTATACATAAACTTGTTTACACCTTTCTTTACACATTTTTTCGACTAAAAACCAATAAGGATAAAAAGAAGAAATTTGAAAAAAAGTGAAATATATGGAAAAAAATAAATATACTAAATAATCTCGTGATATGAATTTTTATGCTGTATAGATAGATATAAGTGTGTTTGAGGGTGGAATGATTAAGTGCAGCTGAGCTGGACAAAGTTTTTAGCACTTTAGATATTTCAATATTTCTCATACGACAAAGATCAAATTGAAAATTATATATGACCTTATTTTCAGCTCGTTTTAGATGAGAAAAGTTAAATCAGAAATACACTAAAATGAGCAATCCCTAGGAACCCTAAAAAATCAGTTTAAGATGAATTTGAAAATGAAATTTAATTTTTTTTAAATTATTGTCCTTAACTAGACTAAAATGAGCAATCCCTGGGAAGCCTGATAGTTTTTGTCTTTTTTTTGTCATCAAAAAATTATAAATCTGACTAATCCGATTTCATGATTTTTTTTTCAGAAAATTAAAATTTCAACAGATTTTTGATGCTTTCACGAAAAATTTTTAGTGATAAATTTTTCACTCGAAAAAAGCGTCGTCATAAATAGATATTTCTAGCGTATGTGTGTTTTTCTAAAAATAGCGAATAAAACTTTGAAAAGGTGTTATTTTTAGGGCGGCGCCCGGAAGTCGGGCTTTTAGCGAAAAAATGGCGGGAAAATGGGCCATCAATCAAATGAGGGAGGAAATTGAGAAAGAGTGAGACAGGGTACGGTATTAATGTATTTTTATTTTCTGTTTTGGTGCTTTTGGGGAGACAGAAGATTATCAGATGATTAATTTGAATTAATTTGTGGTCTAGGAATTTTTAGTCTGCGAAATTACAGTAAGTTTTGAATTTTTTAGCGCCAGAATTCGAATCAAATCTAAATTTGTTTTTAGGTGTCCTTGAAAATTGTCTCATTTATGAACCTCAAATTCAGGTTCAATCGAAAAATTTCAAGTTTCTTAAAGTTGAATTCAAGAGCAATTTTATAATTTTCCTCGATTCAATGAAAATATTTGAATTTCCGGTTTTTTGAATATTCATAATGTTCTAAAAGGGCAAAGAGAAAGTTTAAACTATAAATTTATGAATTTTAAGCTTGAAAAAATTATGAAATATAGATATAATCAAAGTTTTCAAAGACCAAATAATTTCAAGTCTAAGAAAAAATTTTGTCGTAGTTTTATATCTTAGATTTAGGAAGATTTTCAAAAGATTTGAAGATTAGTCTGAAGTCTTTCAAATCCAAACTAAATCTTTTTCAGATCATATTTTACAGTGAATCATAAGATTTTCCCGGAGTTCGGCTAATATTAAATTTTTCTCTGAAGAGTTCATCAATTTTTTGAAACTTTTCAATTTCCGGGGTCTAGAAAATAGGGAATTTGTGAACTTTCAAATCAAAAAATAAAAATTTGGTTGAATGATTTCAGGTTCATTTTGCTAGAATGAAATAATTGAAATTTTCTCAGAATTTCAGAAAAGATTTTCTCAAGAGAATAAAAATACCAGAAACTTTGTTTTAATGACCAGAACCTGGAATTACATGTCGAAATTTTTTCGCAAGCTAAATTACTTTGTTTAAATTTAAAAGTACGGTGCCTTGCGAGCTTTTATGTCAAGTGGCTGAATCTAGAAAGCCTAGTAATTATCTAAGTAGCTGAGCCTAGAAAACCACTCTGGCTAGGAGTCGCGCCTAAAAGCTCCATTTTACCTGCCAAAGCTAGTCCAGCTATTAAGATTTACCTCATGATTCATTTTCTCAGATCAAAAACTAGTGTCAAAAATTTTTATTGAAAAAAAAAACTAATAAATTTTCCGAAGGCTTCTTCAATATCAGAAAAATATGAGGAAAACTATACAAATTTGAAACCAATTTCTTGAAGGCTTCAAGTTCAAGCTCATAAAATTCTAAGAGTAGTAAATAATAGGTTTCATACCTAAAATAAGTATACCCTATATTATTCTCATATTTTTTTCTCGAAAAATGAACATACAGTATTTAAACTCTTCACTCACCATAGTAACACGTCGATTTGTTGGATGTTGTCCAAGTTTGGGAGCTCGTCTAGGTGGAGGCTTGTTAATTTTATCAGTTTGCATAGGGAAATATGGCGAGCACCGCCCTTCTTTTATAGCACACACTCAAATCTCACGAGATAAAAAAATCGGGAGAAAAAAGGAGGAGAAGGAGGATTTGGATAATAGATTATGTATAGAAGAATATTCGAAAATATTATAATAATTCTATTAGTTAGTATTATTTATTATCAAGGAATATTGAAAAAAGAGGGTGTTAGAGAAAAAAAGTGAGCTAGAAGCCTAAATTATGTGCACTTTAGAGAACCTGGCCTTTTTTCTAGCGGCGAAGAACTAGAATTTTCGTTTCTCTAGTTAATTAATTGATAATTGTAATTAGTGGGAGTTCTCAGGGGAGAGAATAATGAAATAAAATTTTCAGGTTTATTTTTGGATTTTCCTCTGACGAGCGAAGCCTATAATTAGAATTGAATGATATTTGAAAAAGGGTAGAGGTGTGTGACGAAAAAAATTGAGATTTCTAGAAGGGAATACTGTAGTTTATTTTTTAGCGGGAAAGTGGTTTTTGATCTTGTTTAGGGAAGCAGAATTAGTGAATAGTGGCTGATGGATTTTGGTCTAGAAATTTACTGATTTTTGGCTGGGAAAATTGAATTGGGTTTTCTGTCAGAAAATTTCGGGATCAGAAGATCTGGGGGATTTTTAAAAAGTAATTTTAATTTCAATTTCATCAATTAAAAAATTGTTCTCAGACAAAATTAAAGACACACAATCCACTAGAAATGAACAGAAAATGAGTTTGTTATTCTTTCATAACACCTTTCAAGTAATCGAAATTCATAAAAATCAAGAAAAAATTTTGAGTCTGGCAAAAGTGAAAAAAACAAAATAATTGTTTTTGAAATCGCTCAGCCGACGGGATTTTCGAAAGAGTTTGCACACAACGAAGCAATAGAGCGCACATGCTGTTTTTGTCATTTGAAAATAAATGCGGGAAATCTGTTTTTTTCCAGTGGCTGATGTGTCTTTAAAGATCTGAAAATTGTGACGCAGATCCTGCAAAACTGAAACCTGTACTTGAACAATCAAAACATAATCTTCTTTATCTGATTCATCGAGTACTTTTTTGCCTTTCTTTTGTCAGACAAATCCTATTTTGAAACCTCAAAAATCTATTCATCAGCTGATCTCTTTTCTTATATTCTATTCAAATTTTTGCGCCAGTTTCATCGAAATCTTAGTTGATTCTTGTACCCATCGTCTAATCCTAATATATATTTTTTTCATTATCTAATTTTTCACATGTCTAATCCATCAACAGATTTGCTTACGCAACAAATCTGTTCAAGTCAGCGATTTCAGATTATCTAGGAATTTGATGAAAATCGCGGATAATTTGGGGATAATCAGTTTCCAGCTACTGTATTCGAATTATTCGAGGCGCATGATTGAAAAATAATTTCAATAAGTATTGAATATTTTTGTTTTTGTTTTCAGTTTCAAAATTGAAAAAGGAAGGGTTTGAAAATTAAAAATAACTTTTTTTTTCGAAATATTTCTCAAATAATCGGAAAAAAACTCACTCTTTCAACACGTGGAACATTTATCGAAACTTCTCTTGACATTTCTGAAACAAATTTGATAAAAATGAAAGACTATTAAAACTAAATTTACCGGAATCTTCAGATGGGGAGCGAATTTTTATCTTTAGCGACATTATCATCAGTTATGGCAGTTTTCAAAGCGATATCGGGTGTTTTCCACAAAATCCTTGCAAATCCTCTTATCTTTGACGCATGCCGTCTGTCTTTACTTCGAGAATCGTACATTTTGCTCTGAAAAACACTTTGAAAAATTAAAAATTTTGAATTTTAAGTGAGAGATAAATTTTTGCACGCGAAATTGTGGAGGGTGGTAGAGAAATGTGCAAACACCGCGACGCACAAGTGCACATTTTCTCTTGAAATGTGTGCCGCAAATTTGCGAAAATGCGTGCCCGTGGGCGTGGCCTAGACCACATGGCTTTCAAATTTTTCATATTTATTGTTTTTTTCCAAGGTACACCGGTAATTCCTTGTTTTCAGAGTTTCATTGCATTAAATGAGTTATCCTGATGACAATAGACAGTATTACAATCCATCCGAGCCATCGATTCAGAATTTGAGGTAAGAAAAATTGTTTTCCTGTCAAAATTCAAATTTTTCTTTGAAGGTCATCTATTCATCGACCATTGACAACGAATCAGCAACAATTTGTACAGCAAGCAATTGAAAGACCACAGCAGCAGAATCCAGACGATACAAAAGAGTTTGTGAGACAACTTGGCGAATATCAACCAACAATTCCTGACTCGGTTTCGATGCATTTTTTGAAAAGTTGCGGGATTGATGGAACTGACGCAAGAGTGTCGCGACTAATCGCATTATCAGCTCAAAAACAAATATCGGATATTATTCTAGATGCGATGCAAAATGTGAGTCACATGTTGTTTTAATTTTTGGTTTCTTTATTTTATTGCTACGTGTGTGTGACAAAACGGAAATCATGGCTAATTTGATTATAGGCGAGAATGAAGGGCTTGGGCCAAACGAAAAAGGGAACAAAGGAGACGAAATTCACATTGACTGAAGAATTGCTGGATTCAGTTCTGGTCGAATATGGCATCAAAAATACACGTCCACCTTATCACACTTGAAAAAACCTCCTCATGCCTCAATCAAATACCTTTCTTTCGCATTCTATATTAAAACAGGTCAATTTGTATATTTTTGTTGATAATAATGATAAAGTTATGTGTTTTTTAATACTCGAACTTTTTTATGTTTGGAAACTGGTCTTATTCACCAGAAGCCTACCTTTTTTTCAATCGTTGGTTTTTCTTTTATTTTTTGCACATGTGTTCAGACATGTGACCCCATAGAAATATGTTTATGTGGTCGCTCGTTGTTCCAAATAATTCGTTTCCTTCAAAATTTTGATTTTTTGTTGTTGTTGACATTGTGTGCTTTGAATCACTGAATTAACATTTTTCAAGCAACTGGAAACCATCCAATCTCTCAATTAATGCCACTTCCAATTTCTCGCCACACGAACAACGATGACTATGACTCAGATCCGGAAATTCAGGCAGAGAAGGAATTGGCAAAGAAAGATCCAAACTTTCAGATCGACGAAAATTCGTTGATCTCACAAAAGAAGCGAGAAGCCGAGGCGGAAGTTTCATCAACTCCACCAAATGTTGTTGGTGGAAATCACCAATTTAACAAAATTAGAACTACTTGTAGGTTATTTCAAATACTAATATCAAAATACAAAAAAATTTGAAAATATTTTGGTTTTCTCAAAAATAATAATTAAAATTGTTTAGCGACAACTTCGGATGAGTTCGGAGCAAAAAAGCAGCCAAAGACTGGCAATCAAACCAAGGCTTTGAAAAAGCAAAGATCGCGCGGGATTTCGGGATGTTCGTCGAAGAAATTCGCCGGATATGATGACGAGGACTATGATATGGATGATTATGATGAGGACGAATTGTTCGATGAGTAAGTTTTTTCCTAGTAACTTTTTTATCGCGCACTCTTCAAATGTTTCACGAATTTTTTGAAGAAACTTGTGACTTTAAATTTTGAAATGCTCGGTTTTACCCGATTACACGTTTATTGAAACAAATGCCGTTTTGAAAATTTGAAAACTCTCGATCGTCTGTAACTGTCAGAAAATTTTTTTCAGCTACGAAGAAGACGAGCAAGATACTACCAAGACCGCCTAACTTCTCATTTTTCATCACAATCAATCTACATTCTTCTTTTTCGTTCCCCCTAAAGAAATCTCACCTTCTGTAAAAATTGAACAAAAAATTGTAACTTATGTATGTTTTCCACTCTGTTGTTTTCTCTCTCTAGCGATTTGTTGCCTGTTAAATTTCCATGATATTCGTAATTGTAAATACATACCTTAATTAATTAAATTAAGCTGTAAAAGTAAGTTGATGTGAGGAATAAATTTGTTTTAAACAAGATTTTTTCAAAAATTAATTCGAAGTGGAAAATGTTGAAATCTAGAAAATTTATCTCTTTCAAAATACATTCATTTAGCACAATAAAACATTTGGAAATATAGGAAAAATGATTCGAAGAGGAGTTGGGCAAGTTGCCAAAATGTCGCATTTGGCAGCGAGATTTGTTGGTGGTTCTGATGTTCATGTTGTAGATCCGAATGTTGACTTACGGTAAGTCATTTTGATTTTGCTCAAAATTAGAAATAAATTTACAAAACTAAAATTGGCGCATTTGATGATGATCTGAATGTGGATTACTTGCATGAGTCGATTTCACCAAAGTTCTCGAATTATCGATTTTTCCCTTTTTGAACATTGGATGAGTTAGGTAGAAATACCAGGAAACAATGTTCACTCGAAAATCGATGAAAAACGGGCGAATTATCATTACGTAAGGATACAAAGGGGAACGAAGCAAGTCTGTGCCCTAAAAAATCTCATGAGTTATCAGCCTAACTGTTTCTATAAGTAAACTCACTCTCATCGCCAGAGATACAAAAAGAGTGACTAACATGAGCAACATAGTTATAGTGACTGTTCTCTCGGCTCGAACAATTCTTGAACTTTTAGTCATCATAGTTGTAACATCATTCCGAGTTCGGAATTTCAGCTTGATTATCATGTAGACATTTAAGAAGATTATAAGGAATATTAAAATTGTTGATAGGATTAGGTGAATCATATTGGGAATGTCCTAAAAATTGGGATTTTTTAAAATTAAATTGTTGCGTTGATTTTGATTATTCGAAAAATTTAAGTTGAAAATATCAATTTTCTAAAATTCTAAGCTTACATTATCATGAAGAAGAGTTGAACTAATTTTGACTGCTCCAAATTGAAATGGTTCGTCGAGTTGAACACAATAACCGGTGCTTAAAGCAAAAGGAACACAAACTAGAATACCAAGGAAGATCAGAATCGGAGTTAGGATTGACATTGCTGTTTTACAGGCCTAGAAAAAATGGGATATTTGTCAGCTCATGGGACCTTCGATTTATCAAAATTTTCTTAGAATTTCTGACAGATCTTGTTTTAATGAATTTGTTTGATCACATGGCGTGAATAATTTTTGACCAGAGCTAAATTTAGAAATTAAAGAACATTTTGCAAAATTATTATGAAAACGTGGACTTTGACGTCAAAAGCATTTTTTTTTGAAGAAAATGCATTTTTCAATTTTGCATCTTCTTAAAACTCACGTTGTTATGATTTGTTGGTGAGTGCAAAACCAAAACTCGAATCGCGCAAAACAGAAATGTATAGAATTGAGAAATGTAATAAACAGAAAAATGGATCCCAAATAAGTATTGCAAAAAGTTATCCGAAGTTGATAAACTTGCACAATAAGATGTCATAATTGAAGTTGAAGGAACTCGAATTGTTGTAAAATCCCAGATTATATACAAACAGTTCCAGATTTGTGATAAAATGAAAGATCGAAATACTTGTGGTTGAAGAATTGTTTGTTTTTTGGAATCAAAGGTGTATGTATACATTTTTAGAGTTAGGATAAATGAAGGAATAAAACATAGAAATGTGAAGATATTAATTAGACTAATGTAGTCAAAGTTGTATGTAAAGTTTTGATAAATAAGAAGATCATTGATGATTATGTGATTGTAAGCACTTCGATTCTCCATTTTTCTAGGACTACTAAAAAATACGAAGCTTGCTGTATTTTATATAGAATAAGTCAGATGTCTGAGAAATAGGCGTAATTAATACTGAAAATTAATAAGAGCAGTGATCTGGAAATTGTATTTCTTTTTCTAACAAGTATACTAGATTTGGCAGACAAAGCACTTTATAGTACACGGAAAAATAACAGATTTTCAATTATCTTCGAAAAATTTTAATTTCCGTTAAAAAAAAACTTGAAATAGGATAACAATTCAGTTGATCGTTGAACGGCATGATTTCACTGAAGTTATAGAACTTTTCTGGGAAGGTTTTTTGAACATTGGATGAGTTAGGTAGAAATACCAAGAAATAATGTTTGCTTGAGAATCGATGAAAAACGGGCGAATAATCATTACGTAAGGATACAAAGGAGAACGAAGCAAGTCTGTTGTCTAGAAAAATCACTTTAGTTAGGCTAATTCTTCTCAAAATCACCCTTGCTGCCATTGATACAAGTAAAGGTATTAACATGAGCAACATAGTTATTGTTAGTGTTCGCTCGGCTCGTACAACTTTTCCACTATTTGTTGCATTTGAGACTTCGTTTTTTGAGCCAATTTTGATTTTTATTATCATGTAAACATTTAGAAGGATTATTAGACAGCTTATTAGGGTTGATAGGAAAATGTGGATCATATTTGGGATCGGCTGAAAAAAATCACAATTTTCCTCGAATATATAAGAATCTTATCTTACATTATCATGAAGAAGATTTGAACTGATTTTAACAGCTCCGAATTGAAAAGGTTCATCGAGTTGAACACAATAACCGATTCCGAGAGAAAAAGGAATACAGACTAGAAATCCCAGAATTAGAAGAATTGGTCGACAAATTGACATTGCTCTTTGACATGTCTGCAAAAATTAGGATGATTTTTGATTTCTTCTCAGTTTTGTTTTTAATCAAAAAGTTTATTTGTTTTTTCTGCGCCTTGCAGAAATCAGTGTTCACATTGCGTAATTAATTTTTCTTGTTCAAAAAACCAGAAAAAATTCATATTTCTAGCGTTATTTCAAAGATCTTCTTACGTATTCATGACTTTTCGGCGATGACAGAATCAAAACTCGAATTCCGCAAAACAGCAAAGTATAAAAATGAGCAATGTAGATCATAGAAAAATGAATTCCATAAAAATATTCCAAAATATTCCTCGAAATATCTAAAGTTGCACAATAAGATGTCATAATTGATGTAAATGGAATGCGAATTGTTGGAAAATCTGACAAAATATACAAGCAATTCCAAATTTGAGATAAAATGAATGAGCGAAACACTTGTGGTTGAAGAATTGTTTGTTTTTTATATTCAAATGTATAAGTATACATTTTTAGAGTTAGGATAAATGAAGGCATAAAACATAGAAATGTTAAAATTGTTATTGTCGTAATATAATCAAAATTGTACTTGAAATCCTCATAAATTCTAAGACCATTGATAATTTTATTATTGTAAAGGCTTCGGTTCCCCATAGAAAAATAGAAAATTGTCAGAAAAACTATGTAGATTAATCAGTTTTCAATTAAGAAGAAAAAACGTTTTCACATGGAAAATTAATTTTTTGTTCCTTTTTACAGATTTGTTTTCGAGCAACAGGAGCAACTGCAAACATCTGTTGAGTCGAGAAATCTGAAAATCGATTTACCTACAGTAAAATCTGAATATGAGCAATGGTTTGAAGTTTATGAACAATGGAAAAACGCAGGAGATAAAGAAACACAGACACAACTGAAAAAAGAATTGAGAGCTAAAAAGGATGGGCTCCTAAATGCATTATCACTTCCAAATATGATTCATCATGCCGGACACAAACAACCACCGATTTTGAAACCTTCGAGTTAGTGAAATTATTTTAAAATCATACTTGAAGTTCCTATTTTTCTTTTCTTCCAGATCATGCTCAATATTTGGCTCAACAAGGATTAATGCGAATCGATAAACAAAATCATGTGATTCATTTAGTTGGATTTCCAGTTGTTGTTCAGAAAATGATAAAGGATCAATTGACTGAACTTTTTGCTGAATCTCAATTGATTTCGGGATCGTTTTTTGCACGTGCGGCTGTTGTTGAAGCATTGAATCTGGACAAGGAATTGTTGACTGAATTTACCGATGGAAGTAATCATTTTCCGGTTACTTATTTGGGTGAGTTTTGAATGGAAAATTAGAATTTTGAAAATTCAAAGAATTTCAAGAATTATTGATCAGAATCAAAATGTTGGGATTTTTTTGATCGAAAAAAGAGGCATTCGAAAATTTCGAAAAAGTCCTATATTCCCCCTAAAAATCCTTTTTTTCAGTTGGTACCTCATTGGCTTCGCTGATTTCTCCATTCATCAAATCATCATTCAGTGAGAAAAACAACACGTGGCCAATAAGTGTTCAATCATCCGGTTCTGCATATTTCCCTGTCAAAAATGAAGTTGATTTGATAAATTCAAGACAACGTCTACGACACTCCGCATTGACGATGACGAAAACGGCGGAGGAACTTGATGTTTTAATAAATGAAACAAATGTTCGAATTGGTGCATATTTAGATGAAGGATTGAATTTAGAAGTAAAAGTTCGAGAAGTTCGAGGAAATGAATTGAGAAATTATGAATCGCAAGCATTTGTTGTCGAAAATCGAGGATTGATTTTGTCGAGAATTTCAAGATGCGATGATTATATTTCGAAAAGATTGAATATTGTGCAAGGCGAAAACAATGAATTCGTCCAAATGATTTATGTCGAAACTGATATTGATCGAATTATTGCGAGACTTGTTGATGATTTAATTGATGGAAAAGAACCACCCAAACATTTACGGGATGCTATTAAACGATCTTATTAGATAATTATCGATCGCTTTTTTGTACATTTGATAGGTTTTTTTTTAATTAAAATTTAGAAGAAACTGTATTGTTTTTGAAATCTGCAGAGAATAGTACAAAGGAAATAACAAAAAATTAATTTCCGATAGTTGAGCCGCGATTTGACTTGATAGAAATTATCGAATCTTTTTGCGACAGGTTTTTTGAACATTGGATGAGTTAGGTAGAAATACCAGGAAACAATGTTCACTCGAAAATCGATGAAAAACGGGCGAATTATCATTACGTAAGGATACAAAGGGGAACGAAGCAAGTCTGTGCCCTAAAAATCTCATCCATCCATAGAACTCGAAAAATTAATTACCCAAACTCACCCTCGTTGCCAATGACATGAATAAAGTGACTAACATGAGCAACATAGTTATCGTGAGTGTTCGCTCGGCTCGAACTAGTTTTCCACTATTATTTACAGTTGTCACCTCATTTTTTGAGCCAATTTTGATTTTTATTATCATGTAAACATTTAGCAGGATTATTAGACAGCTTATTAGGGTTGATAGGAAAATGTGGATCATATTTGGGATCGGCTGAAATTTCGAGAATATTGGAAGAAAATCGGGGCTCTCACATTATCACGAAGAAGATCGGAGCTGATTTTAACAGCTCCGAATTGAAATGGTTCGTCGAGTTGAACACAATAGCCAGTTCCTAAAGTGAAAGGAACGCAAACTAGAAATCCGAGAATTAGAAGAATTGGACGGAGAATTGACATTGCGGTTTCGCAAGCCTAGAAAAATTGGGAAGTGGAAGAATTGGGAGAACTATTTATTCCCATGAGAAATTAGGGCAAAAAATTGTTCTTCTTCAAAAAGTTTTCCAAATTTTTGAGAATTCGAAATTTCGGAATAATCTACTGAAAATTGGTCCAAAATTTGAGATTTTAAAAATGATCAAAGAATTGAAAATTCAAGTTATTAAAAAAAAATTTTTAATTCAAAAATCTGGATATTATTTGATTGAAATTTAAAAAAAAACGTATACGGAATCAGTATTTTTCTAAAAATCTGTTCTGACTTTCTTACCGCCTGAACCCAACTCACCTGCTCATTATTTTCCGGCGATGACAGAATCAGAACTCGAATTGCACAAAACAGTAAAGTATAGAAATGAGCTATGTAAATTACCGAAAAATGAATGCCATATAAGTATTCCAAAATATTTCCCGAAATATCTAAAGTTGCACAATAAGATGTCATAATTGAAGTGAATGGAATGCGAATTGTTGGAAAATCTGATAAAATATATAAACAGTTCCAGATTTGAGATAAAATGAAAGATCGAAACACTTGAGGTTGAAGAATTGTTTGTTTTTTATATTCAAATGTATAAGTATACATTTTAAGAGTTAGGATAAATGAAGGAATAAAACATAGAAATGTTAAAATTGTTATTGTCGTAATATAGTCAAAATTGTACCTGAAATCCTCATAAATTTTGAGACCATTGATAATTTTATTATTGTAAAGGCTTCGGTTCTCCATAGAAAAATTATGTCTGAAACTCTTATTACGTAATTATTTAATTAATTGTAAGTTTGACCAAGTATAAACAATTTTGATTTTCTGATCTGTTTTTTTTACATAAAACATAACCATGAGTAATGTTTTCCCACGGTTGAAATTAATCAAGCTTTTCCTTGATTAACATATTTATACATGTTTTGAGAAAAAAATTAAAAATCAGTTTTATTAGTCTTACGTGTGAGCTTTTGAAGCATGTTTTAAAAATAAACAAAATATACATAAATTACTTTTTTGAATATTTGAAAAGCTCATTCATCATTTTCTTCTTCTTTTTCTTCGGCTCCAGATCCAGAACCATCTTCCTCCGAACTCGAAGATCCTGCGCTTCTGACAAATCGAACCGAATCCGATTGCACCGCAAAAATGCCAGATCCTTCGATTTGCTCTCCATCTCCAGATCCATCCGAAACATCGCGAGCCACGCGTTTCAATGATTCGCCAGATCCAGAACCTTGCTCGATTTCAGCATCTTCTTCCGAACTTTTACTATCACTGCTGTCATCAGCTTTTTCAGTTTTTTCAGCAGCGCGAGCACGTCGAACACTCTGAAAATTAGTTCTACAGTAGATTTTGATGTGCTTCCGCGATCTTGTTTATAAAACCCAAAATTCAATTTTGAATATGAATTATGACGTGGCGATTTCCAGAAAATCGTAATGTTATAAAAATTGTTACCAGCTTTAAAATCCGGTGTTTTTGTTTTTCGAAATGATGGATAGCCTTGTAAAGTTACAATATTTGACAATTTAAAACATTGCCACGTCATACTTATAATGTATGTCTCAAAAACTTATGACGTGGGAAAATTTGAAAATTTTTAACCCCTTACAGGACCATCAATAGCTTCAAAAAACAAAAAAACCGGTTTTTGAAGCTGGTAAAATTTCAATAACATCACGATTTTTCGATCTTTTCAGTTTCTGAAAACAAGATCGTGATCAGCTCACAAGCTGAAAATCTAGAACTATCTCTCTGACTTACCAATAATTGTAAATCCTCTTCCTCTCTGAAAGCATTGAATGCAAGTGTTACGCTAACTAGAAGAGCGATCAAAACGACGGCGCGCATTTTTGTTTCTGGAAAAACTATCTATGGGTTTTTTATCGGAGAATATATTTCAAAATAAACAAGAAATAAATAAAAGTGACCAAGAACAAATAAATATGAAACATCATTTTTTTGGGTGGGGTCTCCCGTTGAGTCATATTCTCTAGGAATTTTCTCATTTTCCCTTAGAAAACAGAAAATTCTGGAAAATCATGAGGTCAAATCGAATCTTGTGATGATATGGAACACTAAAAAATCGACGAGGAGGAGGAGCGAGCATTTGTTGATTTTTTTGTTGCAAATAAAAAACCATGATAGAGAAAGATTGATGAGATCATGTTATATGTGTTGCACTTTGTGCATTTTTCTCGTGGGTTCAATGAAAATATGTGTCTCGTTGAAACTTTGACTGGCATAGGAGAAATGCAGAGATCACGGGGTTTTCTTGTTGAAAATAAATTTCTGATTGTGAGGAAAATGAAAATTTGGGCATAACTTCCGCATATCATAGCTCTAAAAATTTCAGATTTTAGACTTTTTGAACCCACAAAATCTGAAAGTTTCAGAACTAAATTCTGGATTTTAGATAACTTTGAACAATTGTTTTTAAATTTCGAAATTAGAGTGAAAGAAAGAAAGAACTTCAGAATGTGGATGATTATAAAACAAATAGGGAATCAAAACCTTTTAAAAATGAAGTAGACTTCATTAGAAAAGAGGTGTTCGACTAAGTGTGCAATCTTGAAATTAAATTTTTCTTCAAAAAATTATTTTTCAATTTGAGAAATTAAATTCTAAACGATCAAAAAAAGTCACGGAAAAACCCAGACATTATTTTTCATTTTCAACATTTCTGTGAGTTTCATTAATTTCTGGAAACAACGAAATTTCCGAGATCCTCCATTTTTCCGCTCAAAAATTTCAAGGTTTACACAGTTTCCTCGAAAATTTTCCAGGAAACTTATGACACATCATCCGTCTTAAATTTTCAGAAAATTTACAAAAAATTCATCCGTCCTGTCAAACTTTTTTCCTCCCAAACATTTCTTATCTTTTTTTCTTTCTTCCGGAGACGGATAGAAAAGATCTCGAAAATCCAGACATTTTTTGACAACAAAAAAGCAAAACTCAAAGAGAAACCAACATTTCTCAGTTCAGTTTAGATAAATGCGTATAAAAATGAAATGAAATGAGAAGAGGGATAAAATTTTCTCGAAAAGTGCAAAAATAGATAAAAATCTTGATGATTAATGAGCTTTTTTGGAAGCGGGTGTGGTTTTGGGTGAAAATGTTAATCTTTTACGAGAGATTTAGAGACGCAGATGGAAAATATGTTAATTACGCGGGTTGGCTCAGAAAACTCAAAAGCTAAGCATCAAGTAAAGCTTTCAGGGAAAAATGAAAAAATTGCGAAAAAAATTGGAAATCAAATCCCAAATTTGAAAAAAATTTGGCGCCGCTCTTTTTTATAGGTCATTTTTGTTTGTTTTTTTGGGAGTCTAAACAAATAATTTGTATCAAATTGTAAATAATATAATAATACAATTTAAATTTGGTCAACGGTCAGAAATTTGGGAGAATAGACCGAAAATGGGAAATTCTCAATTTTTTTTTCAAAATAAAAAAATGTTTGAATTACTGTAGTTCACAATGGGTGTTGCTTGCGTACTGTGGTGTTTGCACACAGTTTTTTTCTTTTTTTTCCGGCACTCTGAATTATCATCATTTTCAGTATTTTCCAAGTTAAAGTGTTTTTTCAGCATGTCGACGATAGATGCCAAAGATGAAGCAGTTCAATGGGATCGAATTATAGTGCAGGTATCGATTTTATTGAAATTTCTCGTAAAACAAGTGGAGCGAGACATATTTACAATTGTGATTAAAAAGTTTTTGTGTGTGGTCGAACAGAATATATGCTAAATTATTTCTACAACATGAATGAAAGAGTATAGTGTTGACTAAAATCATCCGCGGTTTCTTTTTGTATTTTATTGTTGGATTGGATTACCTATAGAAATCGATACACTCTTTGCTTTTTCGCATCGTTACGTCGTGATTGTGTTGAAAAAAAACATAGTTTTATGATTAGTTCACTTTCCAACTTTCCCAATTCCGAAACTTGATTTCATATTGTTTTCACTGAAAAATACAACAAAGAAGAATTAAGTGAGTCACTTAATCCCCCTTACTTTCGATTGAAAATTGTTTTGAACTTTTTTGTTATTGTTCTTTTCGCTAGAAAAAGTGACCAGTGGGTTCATTGCGCAATCTCATCCTAAATATTTACCAAGAAAGCTGTCATCAAACATAAAATTTATCACCTTTTTTGAGTAAAACTTTTCTTATCATTGGAATTTTTCTTTTTTTTTTCTTTTTTTATGATACATTTTATTTTATTTTATTTTTCAATTCGTTTCGTTTCAAAATTTCGTCATATTTTATTATTTTTTCGAATCGGTAAAACATGGAGGATCGATTTACTGATACGATTTTACGAGCAACTAATGTTCAATCAGCAATTGAAAGATTTGAAAAACGCCAACCTGTGCCACTTCCGCCAACAAATCCAAACAGATTTTATCATCAACCAAATTATCATCAAAAAGTTGAAGAAATACCTGATGAACCTCCAGAAGTTGCTACACCATTATTTATAAACACTATAACTCATCAGGAAAATGTTCAATATTTCCCAGCGATAACACCACCAAAAGAATCATCATCTCCACTACAGCCTGCTATTCCAATCGGAAGATTTGATAGTTTTCAACCTCTCAACTTCGGAAAAACAATTCAAGGGATCTACAACTCAACAGAAATGCCAAATGTACTCTCGCCAACATTTTCAGTTGATTTGAATGTGGTCTCACCACAACCGCCAATTGTTGCACCAAGGAAACTTTTCAACCAAAATGCTCCAGTGAATGTTGAAACAAAGAAAGTTTGGAATGTGAATGATAATCAGGTTTGTGTGCTAGTTTATTTTTCGCGATGAAGAAAAGTGACAATGAGGCAAGATTATTGAGTTATTTGATTTTTGATTCTTCAAAATACATATGATTTTTGAACTATCATCTGAAGAAATAAAAATTAAAAATAACACTGATATAATATTTTACGTGACACTTTTACGTGTTTTTTCCACACACCCGTTTTTTATTTTCAATCATTTCGATAACAACTAACTGTAAGAAATTGATGATTATAAGTGAGTCTTATTATTCGTCTACTTATGCGTTTTCCCACCCGGAATCGTCGTTTTTATCTATATTTTCACAGTTTTATTTTCTAGGCGTGGCTGATTTTTGAACATAGTTTTCATAAGCAAATCGGATTGCAATTTTTCCGTTTTTGTCGAACTCTATAATTTTTTATCGAAAGTTGGGAAAAACTTTGAGATTTTTCTAGGCTACAATATTTGTTTTTGGTTTCGCAGTGGATTTTTAGCCTCTAGGCTCTCATGGATTTTTTTGAAATCTAGAAAATATTGTCTTGTTCAGAATTTTGAGAACCGCCATTTTAAATTTTTGTTCAAAAATCTAATTTCACGCTCTTCGGTGATTTAAATTAGTACTCACAAGATGCACCATTTCATTTGAACCTCAATCAATCACTGCACCCTTTCTCCTTCTTTCTTCCACAAAACATTGTGTCATTGAAAATTTATGACTCTTGCCTTTCGCCCCTTTTCAAATAAAACAGGCGGGAAACCCTTTCAAATACGAAAAAAAAAACCAAAACTGCATCATTATAATATTTTTATGATTATTTACACATAATAAGGCATAGCATAGCATCCAACACATTTTTTTAATATATATTTATATTTACCATAAAAATTTGCGTCGTTATCTATTCTACATCGATACACGCCACCACTAACCTTTCTTCACCTCTCCATTATTATAATAATAATAAGATTCACAAAACCGCGATTTTATCACCAAGTTCTCAAACATTTCCGACATTCTCCTTTCTGCGTCTCTTCGTCTCACACACTCTTCCGCATTTGTTCGTCATTTTCGGTGTTTGCGTATTTTTTTTTCATCTGTGTGTTCCTCATCGCACTGTTTTTGGTTTGGCCTGTTGCGCACCAGATTGATTGTGCCTGTCCTCCTCCCGCTCTTTTTTTTGGCTGCTTGCTTCTATTTTGAGGCAGCAGCAAAAAGAGGAGGTGTCTAAATATTTGTTCATTTATTGATTGATTGATTGGAGGCGCTGATTGTACTATTCGCCTTTTTTCTCTGGTTGCTCAATTTTTAATTCATTTGTTATTATATTTTTGTTATCAGTGTTTTTATTTTTATTTTGCTCCCACACACAAAAAGTCAGTTAATGAATCATGGATTTAAGCGCTTTGAGTATGGATTGCGAGGTGAGTTTTTTATTTTAAATTATAAAAAATTGGGTGAATGACCGGTTTTGTTGGACTTGAGCTCAAATAATGTTCCTGGCTATAATTTCTCACCCGAAATTAGTTTTACTACGAGTTGTTCATGGGCTTTTCATGTGATTTTCGCCGGAAATTGAGTTTTCTGGCGATTTTTTGAACGGAATTCGAATAGAAACGTTCTAAATGAAGAAATGAGTTTGTTATTCTATAAGTCAGTTTTACAAGTGAGGTATGAAATTTTTTTCCGGATTTGTGATAACTTCTAACTTTTAGAAATTGATGATTTTAATTAGTATTATTCTATATTAACGGCACTGGATTCTGACCCTCGAATTTTTCATGAGTTACCACTTGAAATTATCTCGAATTTCTTATGGATTTTTTCATCTACCCATTTTAATTTTTTAAAATTAGAATAAGAAATTCAGTTTGGTTTTTCGCAAACATCTTTATTTTCCTCTAGGAAATTACTATTATCTTGGGTCAGTGGTTTTCTCAATCAAGAAAATGTTTCCCATGCCGCAGATAAAATTAACCTATAATTTATTCGAATTCCTCAATTCATTTTCTCGTTTCGTTTCCGCCAAATTGTTGTGTTGTTGTTGTGATCAATTCAAATTCTTTATGCATATAAATATATCAAATAAAAATTCTCTCTATCGGAATATACATAAATACAAAAAGAAGAAGACAATTTGGCCTCAATCTAACGCCTTCTTCTTTTTTCGTGTCTTTTTTCTTCTTGTTTCTGTCACTCGAGTGTTTCTCTCCGTACGTTAATCTGTCCGTATTTATCTTCGAATTATGTTTTTTTTTTGAAGATGGTTATTAGAAAATATCGAGAATTATTGATTTTTCTCAGAGTTTTGCCGGCCGATTTTTAATCTCCTCTTCAAGTCAACCACTTGAATTTGTACATAGTTCAGTTCGAATAAAAATTCTGGTCTAGTTATTTGTGTTTTTCTCAAAGCTACAATTATTATATAAATTTTATGATCGATAATTACTGTATAGTTTTCTTTCTTCACTTCAGCTGAAACAAGAATTTAGTTGGAGGCTGTGCCGAAATGTTTCTTTTAGTGGTGCTCGTTTAATGTTTGCATACACACTCAATCACACGAAAACACATTTATGACAGACTTGAGCTGCGCTTTTTTTATGAGATGTGTTTATTTTCGAAAAATTGATTTCGTTTGTGATGCGATTTTTATGTGCATCGGTTTTTCAGATTAAAACTTTCCGGGGTCTTTAATCGACTTCAGATTTCATAAAATTCCTCGAATAGTAAAAGTTAGCCGAAAAGTAAAATTTGACTGGACCTTTTGACAAATTTTTTCTGTCTGAAATTTATGTTTTAACCTAAAACCTAGACACACCTCGGCTAAAATCGTGGTTTCCGAAATAAAAAATTGTACGCTAACTTTTTACAGTACAAAAATTGTGCATTTTTCAATTTTTGTCCTCTAAAAACTGAAATTTAAATTTTTCCAAAAATTGTACTCTGGCCAGCCACGGCTTGGCCGAGGTGTGAACCTAGAGCTTTGACGAGATTTCGTGAGTTTTTTTTCGAAATTTCGAACCTGGAAAAAGTTTTCTGATAGAATTCTGTACAGACTTTCGTAGTCTAAATTTGGTATGCAGCTGCATTCTTTTACCCTCAGAAAATTTACATTTAAACATCTGTGCCAGGTTTTTTTTCGATTCAGCCATAGATTATTCTCTCCAAAAGTTCAAAATCGAGAACGATTGTTTTATTTCTCTCATTTTTTGTTGGAATTTCAATAAAAAGGCGTCAATATTATACTTGTTTGGTTTCTGACTCATAGCCTTTTTTTGTGATTTATCATCATCAATTCCGCATTGTGAAAAACTTGTTGGCCTGAAAAAAATGATAAAAAATGAAGTAAAAAATATTTGTCATGACGTGAACCCATACATAAAATGGGTCCCCAGAATCGGGGTGAGGGGCTTAACTTTTTTCAAAAATCTGAAGGGAAGGGTGCCTAACTTGGCCAATTTTCTGCTGATAATTTACCAAAATTCCCAGATTTGTCCAAAATTCGCTCAAAAATGTGAGGATGGTGTTTAACTTTGGAAAATTTTCAAGGAGGGACCCTAACTTTGAAAACTGGCTCGGGGGACTCATTTTATGTATGCGTGAACCTGATTTTTGAAAATAATAATTTTTTACAGAAGCTGGATCCAGAGCAGATATTCACAAAACAGGAGCGCATCGGACGCGGATCCTTTGGTGAAGTTTATAAAGGAATTGATAATCGGACGGGAAGAGTTAGTTTTTTCTTATTTTTCTCTGAAAATTGCTTTAGAACCTGATAGTTTTTTAGGTTGTTGCGATTAAAATTATCGATTTGGAACAAGCTGAAGATGAAATAGAAGATATTCAACAAGAGATTCAAGTGCTAAGTCAATGTGATTCGCCATATGTAACTAAATATTTCGGAAGTTTTCTGAAAGGCTCAAAATTATGGATTATAATGGAATATTTGGGTGGTGGATCTGCGCTGGATTTGACGAAATGCGGAAAATTGGATGAATCTCATATTGCTGTGATAATTCGTGAAATATTGAAAGGATTGGAGTATTTGCATGGAGAAAGGAAAATACATCGAGATATTAAGGGTGAGTAGTTTGGGAAGAATTGAGAAGAATTTAGAATATGATAAGGGGATGTGGGAAAATATTCCAATAATGTTGAAATGTATAATTTAAAAATTAAAAAAATGAGGGAAATTTTTGAAAATTCGAATTTTTCCATTATTTTGGTTTATAAAAATTGGAGACTTCTTACATTTGAGGTTTTACTGGTTTTCGAGAACGCAAAAAGCAAAAGTTCTTCGTTAGAACACATTTCTTGAAATCAGAAATTCTATAAGTCTCGACCCGAAGAAAATTAAACCCCTCCCCACTTTTTTTTTTCCGAAAATCTCGAAAAATATCTCAACCCTCCTAGGCGCCAATATTTTATTGGACTATCCAAGCGCGGCTGTCAAAATTTGCGACTGCGGTGTCGCCAAATCATTGATGACTCTCTCAAAAGCCAACACTTTTGTCGGAACACCATTTTTCATGGCACCCGAAGTCATAAAAGGAGATTATGGTTGTGAGGTACAAAATCACCCCAATAAATGTACTCCTTTTGTGTGTTGGAGAAATACCTATGTTCTCTGAAAATTCCCTTCTCTGTGAATTTCCCATTGTTTTTTTTCTTTAGCTGCAAATGTGCTTGTCAGCGAACATGGTGATGTGAAAGTGGCAGATTTTGGAGTTGCTGGACAATTGACCGAAACTGTTAAGAAACGCATCACATTTGTTGGCTCGCCTTTTTGGATGGCTCCAGAGCTCATCAAACAAGCCAGTTATGATTATAAAGTGAGCAATTTTGAACATTTTCCATATGTTTTTATCCTGAAAATTGTTGTCTTTTTCCACGCGAAATTGCATCTGAAAAGCCCTGTTCTAATTTTAGGCCGATATTTGGTCGCTTGGAATTACTGCAATTGAATTGGCGAATGGTGAACCACCGCATTCTGATCTCCATCCAATGAGAGTTCTATTCTTGATTCCTAAAAATCCACCGCCGGCTTTGGTTGGACCGCAATGGTCCAAGCCGTTCAAAGAGTTTGTTGAAATGTGTTTGAACAAAGATCCTGAGAATGTGAGTATTTTGGGGAGGGGTTGTGTGAAAATGGAAGAGTTTATAATGATCGATGAAACATTGAAATTAAGCTTGTTTCTTACATCCAAAATCAGGTTTTCCAAGCTTTTAGAAATTTAAAAAATTAGTTGTCAAATTCATGTCGAAGTTTATTGTTTCCATGATCATAAGAATTTTACCCCGGATTTCCTATCTTGAATTTAGATTCTTGAAAATTTGAAAATCGATCGAAGTATGAGCCAAAATGTTGATTTTTATGAAAAGTTTAGAATAAAGATTTCTTAACGCATTTGATCTGAAAATTCAAAGATTCTCAGCTCCTCCTACGTCTTTTTTCAATCCGATTTGTTTTCCAGCGACCCTCTGCGACAACTCTTCTGAAACATCCATTCATCAAACGAGCCAAGAAAAATAGTGTTCTGGTTGAACTTATCGAAAGAGCCGCCGAATATCGATCTCGAATGGGAGTTTCAAGTGACTCTGATTTGGATGAAGATTCGGATGGTGGAAGTGGAACAAGTAAATGGGATTATCCAACAGTTCGCGGGCCGAATAATATTGGAGAAATGGAACATGGTGGAACTGTTCGACAGGCAAAACCATCACAAATTATGAAAAGAAGATCGCCGAGTGGAAGTCCGGGTGGAACTATTGTTAGAGGCAATTCGCAAGTTGCTGCGGTTGCAGCTGAATTGCGCGGAAATCATAGTCAAAATGGATCTTCTTCGGCTTATGGAGCGACTACAATTACATTAGGAAGTCCGAACGGATCACCGAATGCATCACTTGCACGAACTCAAAGTATGATGTCACCAAAATGGTCGCAAGGATCGGGAGAATTGGAAAGAAGTTCGAGAGCATCGAGTGAGAGATTGCAATATTCATCGACTGCTAGTTCGAATAATCCGGCGACTAGTGGAATTGGAAATAATGGTGAGCGCTTTTTTGGAAAAGTAAAGAAGTCAAAACAGAAAAAATGAGAATTATTATCATATTTTTTTATTTAACAAAACATCAAAATTTTGTACCACGTTTGGACCTAAAATTTGAACCTAACAAAAAAGTTTAACGTTGCTCTGAAAAATCAAGGTGACACGTGTTTGCAGTTAAAGGGGTTGTCCTGCTACATGGAAACTTAGGCTTAATCGATAGAGCTAAGGTGCTCCTGAAACATTCCATATTTAATTTTGATTCTAGAGTGATTTTTCACCATTTTATTCATGTTTTTCTCAGGTTTTAAGGTTTTAGTGCATATAAAAAACATGTGTGCTCTTCACACACATAATTTGTTTGTGTGTATTTCTCGCAAAATGCATTTCCTAACATTTTTAAACAATGGAAGGCGATTTTAATCAACTTTAGGCTTGCTAATAGTTAGTCCAAAAATGTGACGCACAATTGCGGACTTGATTTTTCATGTAGAAGGACACCTCCTTTAAATTCGAATATATCCACTTAATGTTTAATTTTCAGGAATCCGTGGTGGAAGCGCTGGGCGTCGTGAATATAACTCACCTTCCAATGGATCTTCATCATCTTCTGGATATGTTTCGAATGGACATTCGGAATATCCTGATGTCAACACACTTCAAACTGATTTCCAACGAGATTTGAAGGTAAGTTTTTCCCGAAAAACTCGAGGTTCTATAACATTTTTCTTTTAGATTTCGTCAAGTCAACGTTCTGGCGGATCTGGTGGTCGAAATGATTATCATCAATCTGTTCCTCAAACTTCATCTTCGGATTATCCAACTGCAGCTCCTCCTCCTCCTTCTCAACAATCTCGATCGCTTTATGGATCTGGTGGATATTCAAGTAATTCCTCATCAAATAGCATGTCTTCATCGCGTAAAAAAGGAGCACTAGACTATAGTTTGCTACCCGCTTTGGAGCATTTATCGCGTACTCGACACGCCTCATCTGCATTAGATCATTTGAGACATGCGTTGAAAGAAGCTGAAGATGCTGCACCTGGTGTATGTAATCAAATGGTTGAGGAATTGTTGAGACGAATTGCTGTGCCACAGGTTGGTTGTTTTTAGGGGTTTGGTGGGATTTTTAGAAATTCTATAAAAACTTTTTATACATCTTTCAAACATATGTATTTTTATCAATCAAATATTCTCTAATAATCTACTGTTTCGCCGATTTTTTGTTAGAAAATTTGAAAACATAAAATTTTAAAAAAACAAGTTAAAAAAACAAGTAAGATTATGTTGAAAATATCCCTGAAAGTTTTTTCTTTGAAAAATCACTGTTTCAAGAAAAAACTGAAAAAGCAATATTTTCAAAATTTTTATATTTAAAATTCAATTCCAAATCATTCATTAAAAGTAAATAGTTTTTTCTTCAACCTTTCGAAATTTTTTAACTGAAAAATCTACTGGTTCAGACAATTTTTATTATTCTCAAAGTCTATTTTTTGTTATCAAAATGTTATCAATTTTTTTGCAGGTAAATCAAAGTGATCTTGCATCGGCAGTTCGACATCTCACAACTCCACCTTCTTAAATGCTTTCAAGTCATCCCAAAATACGTATTTTTCTCACCATTTTTTTCTCCTAGTTTTTTTTCTATTTTTCTTTACTCTTGTTTTTTCTCGTTCCAATCTACTTTTTTCGAACCTCGACTACTGTATGTGCCTACTGTATTATCGATTTCCCCCTTTTTTAATTATCATCGTTTCTATATCAGAAAAGTATGTATTTTTCTTCAGTTTTTTCGTCGGTCCCCTTTTTTCTGTGTTATTTGATTATTTCACTTTTCCCCCGATTCGTTGCCTTATTTTTTGCTGTAAATACCCCAAAACTCCCATATTTCTTCCCAAAAATCCCTTAAATTATGAAACGCGGTCAATTTTCTCTTCTTTTTTAATAGCTTTTTAGGTTTATTTGAATCATTTCCAGATGAATCTGTGAATATTTATTATCATATTTCTTTGGTCTATTTCCTCTTCTTTTATGTTTATTTCTTTTCTGCTAAATATTATTTTTCTCCGAGTAAAATAAAATATTATCGAAAATGAAATGGAACTTCCAAATATTGCAAATTGTTTAAAATTCAAATGTTTATTTTCCCCGCCTGCCACGTGGCTTTTTAGGCTTTATCAGATAACCTTGTCCTCAATTTTTTGACCAGCAAAATAAAAAAAAACCGAACTTTGCCTTTTTCTCTGTACTCTCCTCTTCTTGCGCACTATTTCCACTCACTCCTGGTTTTGCATCCCATCTTTTCTTATTATTGCCAAATTGACCGATTTATCGATTTTTCTTTTCCAAAAAAAACACTGTTTTCATTTAGGAAGTCATTTTTGGGCCGGCCCATCCATGAATCGGCGGGTGTTTTCATGGATTTTTACGTTTCTGATTTTGACCAATGATTTTGTATTGCCGGTTTATCATTGGAGAATTAGTGAGGATGGAAAGAAGATTGAAGCTGTTGTGAGTTTTTTTTTTGAGAATAAAATTTGAGGAAAATTGTAATTTCCGGAGTTTGTTACCCCAGAAATTACTATTTTAAAAATTTGTTTTTTTTTTCAAACGGCATTCACTTGAAAAATCACTGCTTTCAAAGTTTATTTATTTCAATGACTGGAATTTAGAAGATTATGAATTTTTGAAACTTGGAAAAATTTGAAACAGGTGAAACATTTTTTGTAGTTTTATTTTATTTTTCGAGTTTATTTTTTCACTGTTTCAAAGATTTGTTCAGAATAGTTTTGTGTAAAATTGAAATGCTATTTCAAGAATTTTTCCTATATAAGTTTTTCTCAGTAAAGTGCGTATTAAAAAAGTTTAATATATTTTTTTGTGAGAAATTAATCTGAGTTTCCTGTGAAATTCCCAAAGAAAATCACGATTGGAAAATTTACTGTTTCAAAGTTTGAAGTTTGAAATTCAAACAAAATTCAAACACCGTTTGCTTTAGTGCGCAACAAATAACTTATTTAATAAGTTTTTTCGAGAAAAATAATATAAAATTCAGCCTGAAAAATTTGAGAAAGAACTTTTGCTCAACATAAAATCTTATTGTTAGGCCATTCTGAAAACGATCTTGAAGTCGAAAATTGACAGAAAACTTTTCAGCCCGTTTTTGGATCTTCGAGATTTATCCAAAAAAGTCCTGTATTTTCCAGATCAACACTCCGTATCAACTTCGAATTCCCGGATCTTTGACCGATTTTTTGCAACAAGTTGAAAATGTTCGAAGAATTGATGTACATATGTCTGAAATGCAAAAAATGGTGGATAAAATCAGTATTCATGAGCAATTAGACAATCCACAATTTGAAGAAGATTTTCGGAAAAAAGAGCCAACTTGTATTGCATCAAAAGGTGTCACTTTAGAACCCGAAAGTTTTCATACTGTGTATTCGGCTGAACTTTGTCCGGAGTTTCATAAAAGCTATGAGGGATACACGGCATTTATCAAAGAGTATTTTGGAACACCGCCAGATAATGATAAACGATTTCCAAGATGTCAATATTGGTTCAAAGCTGTGAAGATAAAGGGAATCAATTTGGAGAAAGTGAAATTGTCGGATCGACCGATGCCAGCTGATCCGAGTTATTATAAAATTCTTCGAGGATACTTTGGGAATTTTGCGAAATTACCGAGATCGCCTGGCGGAGAACAGGAAAGTATAAAGAAATATGGACAAATGTTGGCGAGTATGTTATCGCATAGCGATGAACGAGTATCAAAAAATGCATATTTGCATATGGCGGCGGCGGCTTGGTGGAGGGCTCAAGGACATTTATCTGATGCTCTTGTTTGTTTGAATACTGCGAGTCAGTTTGTGTGAGTTTTTTGGGGTCGGAAATTCTGGAAATAAGGTAGAAAGTTGATAAATTTCATCCTTTTTAAAATTTTCAAACATAATTCCCGATTTTTTTGTCAAATTAAAACAAATACATAAAAAATTTACCCATTGAAAAATTTTTAGTGCTTGATTTTTAAATTTGAAAACCCAAAATTTCTAGAATTTTGAAATTTCGGCTCTGTTAATCCACGTGGAAAAAAAAGAAAAATGAAAAAAATCCCATATTCCAAAAAAATTACGTGAAATTTAATTTTACGTGAAAATGTTTTCCAAAATCTCATCATTTTCAATTTTTTTTTTGAATTAGAAATAGTGTGTGAGTTATTTTCATCAGAAATGCTCTAAATTCCATATCCTCCCATTTTTCCAGCGAAAATCCAGAAATTCCGAGTTTCAAAAGTGAAGCCGTCAAAGTCTCCATTGGAAATCTTCTAAATCGCGCTGGATATTCTCTAGATGCTTATAAATTCCTGAAATCAATCGAATTCAACAACCCCGATAAAATATTATGTTTGACTGCTATGACACATGCTGCAATTGCAGATTCTTCAGTTTTAACAGGACCAGATGACATACCAAATACGGAGCAAAATAATCAAAATGAGCAAGAAACTATACATTTCAAATTGACGAAGAAAGAGAGAAATGGTGTATTTAGTAAATCATTTGAAAATTATGAGAAAGCTATGTCTTATTTTGATGATGCGAAAAAAGAAAATGACCCGAAACATGAGCAATTTTTCATAAATAATTTGAAAAAATGCGAATCGAAAGCATATGTTTTATCATGTCATATGAGATTATATGAAGCATTGGAAAAACAAAAAGAGAATTTGGAGAAATTGGTGACTGAGAAAACAATGTATCAAGAAGTGCATTCGAAACGAATTGAAGCATCTATTCAATTGATGACACTTTTAGCGATTCCCGAAATGAGGCAGAGTGAGAGGTTGTTCTATGATCAAGTTAGATATGGCCCCAATCCTAGTGAGTGTTTTTTCTATTACAGCTTAAAATAAGTTAAATATTGCTTAACCGTTTTTTTCTCGTGAGTTAGTATTTTCAGAAAAAAACAGCAGATGTTTGTTCAAAAAACGAGAATTAGCGTTGTTGAACTCTTTTTGATTTATGGAAGTTTTGAAACACCAAATTTTTAAAACTAAAATTGTTATCATAAGATTCTGACATAAATATTAATCTGAAAGTTTGGAAAGTGAACAAATTTGATTTTATCATAAATTTCATGAAAGAAAGTTCAACATTATTTTATTTTGAAAATATTTCGACACAGTAATGGTTTTCATATTAGGAATCCAATGTTACAGAAAACTAAATTTCGGCGAAAATCAGTTTGAATTTGAAACAGTAGAATTTTTTCACCAATTTTCTATTAATATTTTATTTCAGACCGGGAATGTAAAGAAACGCGAATTAACAAATTTCCGCATTCAAAACGCGATGGATTTGCAGCAGATATAATGTTATGCAAACTTCGATCAACTGATGAAGAATATAATCAATCGATGGAAACACAAAGACAATCAACAATTCATAATCGGCCAGCTTTGAATGACACAAATTGGAAAGTTGTTGAAACATTTGCCAGGAATCGAATGTTCGAAAAAGGATTGAATGATTTGGGAAAATTAAGTCAAGACTATCCGGAGTATTTTAGAATGATTCAACCGAAATATGATGGAGTTAGGTGAGCGATTTTTTTTTGAGTTAGGAAAATGAGAAACTATCATGATTTCATGAATCAGTGAATTTTTTAAAATTGAATATTATTTCTAGAATAGTCCATTTTCTGAAAAAGTTTCTCAAAATCTATAAGGTTTATGAATATTCATTGTTTGAAACATTAAAATAAACCTTGTGACATATTTTCGAAAAATTTTAAATTCATAATTTATCAAACAGTCTCTACAGGTTTTTTGCACAAAATCCAGTTTATCAAGCAATCTCCATTAATTGTTCTAATATCTATCATTTTTCTGAAACAGTGAAAAATACATTAGACAATTTTTTGATTAAGATTTATTCACAGTTTATTTTATTTTTAACAAAGAATGAAATAGTTATTCCGTTTTTGAACCGATCTGCAAATTTGCTTTTGGAAACCTGAAAATGGTTTGTTTTCACTTAATTTCAATGTAAAATTCAATATTTGATTCACTTACATCGTGGAAGGCCTTTTGAACATAATAGAAAAATAGAAATTAATAGAAAAAGTACTGCAGTTTAGATGCAGTTTATGAAAATGAAAATTTCTTGAGATTTGAAGGAATTATCTCTAATTTCCTTGGTGATTTTTTGTAAACAAGTTTTTTTTTCAAAAAGGCTTGTCATACGTCAGAGAGATTAGGAGGATTTTTGAGATTTGATGGAAATTCATTTAAGAAATTGGAAAAACATGGTATTATCGAATTAAAATTTTCGTAACAGTGATTTTTGTTCAAACAAAAATTATTTTCAATATTAAAAAAATTTAAAACAAAACCAAACAAGTGTTTTTTTTGAAACAGTGAGTTTTCCCCAACAAAAAAGCATAACTAAAATAATTCAGATCCGATGAATCTCGAGATCGACCTTGGCGCCGCGCAGATTGGCCAAATTCAGTCGATTGTCAAGCTGTTGTTTCATCTTCAAATCCTTTCCGACTCGAAACTTTTCCCCAAATTTTTATCTCGCCAGAAAATCGAGGATGGATGTAAGCATTTTTAGATTACTGTCTCTCCAAAAACATCCAATTTTTTCAGAATTTCTGAACTCCTCACAAAACATCTAACATTGAGCCAATCAGATTCTTTGCCACTTCCATGGTTCGAACCAAGATGTGATTTTGTGGAAAGAGAAGAGATTTTGGTGTTCACTGGACATGAAGCAATTGAAAGATTATTGAATAAAAGATATGATCGAAATAATGAAAAATATGCGGAAAAACAATTGAAAACTGTTCTGGTTCGATTAGCTGATCGAGTTATGGAAGATCATGAAATTGGAGCAAGAATTCATCTTTTGATGAAATATAATATTGGTCCAAGATGGGTTTCATTGAATTTGGCTGGTTTATATTGGAGAGTTCAAGGAAATGCACATCAGGCTACGAAATGTTTGTTGGCTGCATTTTTAGATCAACCACAGGAATCGTTTATTGCGATAACACAGATGGCTCAGGTTATATTGCGAGCGACGGGAATGGTTAATGATGCACATAATTTTATAAATCAACAACTAAATCTTTTGGGTTATCGTGAGCCGATGTTTCATTTGGTTTTGGGAAGAATTAAATTGTTGTTACATGATGTTGATAAAGCAATACAACATTTGAAAGATGCGTTGGATAAAGAACCCGAAGATGAGATGATTGCCGAAGATTTGCTCAAAATTGCGTGTAGTGGGAAGAGTACGAAACCGGCGATTTCTTCGCAATTTCCTACGGTTTGTTGTTCGCCATTGGTGCAGAATGCGGTTTGTATTAAGGTTGGTGAATTTTTTGAAAGAATAGTTTTTGAATAAGTAAAGAATCAATGAGATTCTCAAAACAGTCAGAAAATTTCTTTAAACCAAGTTTTGAGTATGTTTTCATAGAAAATAGTGAGCTTAGATCTCAATTTTTTTAAAACTTTCCGGCACAAGTAATGGTTTTATTAAAGTTGCAATGTATCATTAAACTTAATGTGATTTTTGAAACAGTGAAATTTTGGTGTTCCAATTTTTGAAAAAATTGAAAATTACGATATTTTTGAACGGATCAATTTCAAAAAAATGTATTTTTACAAGTATAATTTTTGAAACGTATTTCATTATGCCAACAATTTTGGTTTAACAAACAAGATGAAAATACGTCAAATTATGTTTTTTTCTTGCAGCCAAATCGAGATCAATCTGAGCAATGTTACATAGTTGATTCATCTTCTCCAAACTCAAAACCTCATTTAATTTATCATCGCTGTAATGGAATTTATGACGGTCAAAGCAAAAAAACAGCGGATTTCGCGAATATCGTCTCACCATTTCTTCTCGTTTTCAACACAGTTACTCGAAGAGATGATGTTTCGAATTGGATTGATCAAGTTGATGGAATTCAAACTGTCGAAAGTCAAGAATTACCTCTTGATTATGGTGGAACTGAATTATTCTTTACTGAAAGACCAGTTGATTGGTGGCATAATTCGAAAAATGAAATGAAATATAAATTACCGGTCAAAGAAACATCGATAAATGATGAATGGGAAGAGGATGAAATTGAATCGGATTTGGCAAAGATTCCCGAGAAACCGTTGTCATTTTTATGGATTAAAGAGAAGAGTTTAATGATGCAATATGATTCAAAACTACCTGCGCTTTTACCAAAACCATCGATTCATCAAATTCGAAAAGGTGTTGCGATTTTCCCGAATCCGAAAGCATCAACAATGCAGTGTAATGGAGTTGCAAAGTTGGATGTTTTATTTGATAATGCGCCTTCAACTTGGGTTTCGGTTACGGCGAAAGGAGAAGATATTGAAAAATATGTTGATTTACGAACTATAATTCCAGGTAGATATTTTGGGCATACATAAAATAGGTCCCCCGAGTCAGTTTTCAAAGTTAAGGTCCCTCCTTCAAAATTTTCCAAAGTTAAACACCTTCCTCACATTTTTGAGCGAATTTTGGTAAATTATCAGCAGGAAATTGGCCAAGTTAGGCACCCTTCCCTTCAGATTTTTGAAAAAAGTTAAGCCCCTCACCCCGATTCTGGGGACCCATTTTATGTATGATTTTGGGGGCTGAAAATGAAAATTAGAGGGTTGCTGTAATTTTTGGCGTTAGAATATTCGAATTTTGAGAGGTTTTTTTGCATCAAAAATTTACTATTGCAGCAATGGCATCACTTCAACCAATTTGCCCTGGAACAGATAAATATGAGACATCTCCAATTCTGGGCCTCGATCATATTCCCGCATTTTCACTCAGCGATCAATTTTTATTCTATAAACCGGAAAAAGCATTGGCCGAAGCTTTGAAATCTTTGGGAAATGAGCGAGATACAATTGAACATGTTGCTGCGCGACTTCATGCAGCAATGTTGCATAATTCGGCAAAAGATGGACAAGTTAATTGGCTTTTATGTGTTTTGTCTTCGCTTTATTGGAGAGTTACTGGAGATGCGGAAAATGCAATGAGTTGTCTGAAATGTGCACTGCATACTGCGCCTCCACATATGAGAGATGTTGCACTGGTTTCGTTGGCCAATGTTTGTCATCAGGCGGGATTGTTGAATTCGGCATTGATTGCGGCTGGAGCTGCGTTGAGCACTTCTCCGAGATTGGTTGCGATTCATTTTACGCTAGCGAATATTTATGCGTCGATTGTGAGTTTTGGAGGAGGGTGGGAATTGAAATTGAAATTTTGGCTTGAGAAATTTAATTTTCTGATTCTGAAAAGAAACCAACCGGTATACAAAAAATCTACCTGAATTTAATTTTTGTTTGAAATTCTTTGAAATTCCAAGAAATTTCCTCCATTCTTCCATCCGAAAAAATCCTATTCTTTTTGCAGGGCGACTATCAAAGTGCTCTCAATTTCTACTATTCAACATTATCACTTCAATCCAATTTTCAACCAGCAAAAGATCGAATTCGAGCGATTTATTGTCATTCAAATCAAGAATTTGATTTTTCGTAATTTATTTATTTATTTATTTTTTCACGGGCAAGAAAAACATGTTTTTAAAATTTGATCTACCTAAAAATTTGCGCGCGAAAAATTCATGTTTTTTTTCGCCTGTGTTCATTTTCCCCTTTTTTCCTGATATTTTTTGTGTTGCCAAATCTTGTCTGTTTTTTTTTTGTTCAACGGGTTTTCTAACAGAAAATAATGAAATTCTAAATAAAATGTGATTTTTGACGTGAAATTAAAACGTGGATTTTATGCGATTTCCTCATTTTTGTATTTTTGAAAATTAGAAAAATTCAGGAATTTTTGGAAAATTGGGAGATTTCAAAGTTGTGGATCGTGTTTGGAAAATTTGTGGATCACACCTCGGCCAAAATCGTGGTTTCCGAAATAAAAAATTGTACGCTAACTTTTTACAGTACAAAAATTGTTAATTTTTCAGTTTTTGTCCTCTAAAAACTGTGATTTTTCAATTTTTGACCTCTAAAAACTGAAATTCATTTTTTTTCCAAAAATTGTACTCTGGCCAGCCACGGCTTGGCCGAGGTGTGTTGTGGATCGAGTTTGGCGAATTTTGGAGGTTAGTTATTTTTGAAGGTTTGGGATACGGTAGAAATCAAGGGTTGGATTACTGTATGTATCAGGAATTGTTTTAGTGGGGTAATGTTGAATATCGTTGGGCTACGAAATTTTCCATAAGTCTTGGAAAATTCTCCAAATCTCAGAATTAATTTGTATAATCTTTGAAGTAATTTTGAAACTAAGAGCGTAACTCGAACTAAAAAAAATAATTTCAAAAACTTTGGGCTCTAAAATTTCTATTTTGAGGTTATTAATGTTTTTGGGATACGGTAGATTGAATAAGAGTTTAGATTACTGTATTTATCAAGGCTGGCTTTAGTTGGGTACTGCTGCACTTCAAAAGAAAAATATTACGTGGAAATTTCGACCCGGCTACTAAATTATCTCTTGAATTTTTATTCTGAAGCTAGGAACATTTTTTGCCACTTGGATTTATGGTAACTCGATTTATTTCGAATCAGGGTTTTGAAAATTCAATGAAAAAGTTTTTAAAAATGGGTAAGTGTGGTGAAAAATCAGTGAATTTTTTATATCCCGCCCGGAAAAAAGTTCCCACGGCAACTGAACTTTTTCTCAAAATGTGTATTTTTTTGCTCTCAATTTTTTTTGTTTTTTTTTGGTTTCTTCCTTTTCAGCTGTCTTTTTCTGAACAAAAATCAATTCTCTGCTCAAATATTTGTCGAACTGAATCTCACGAAAAATCCAAAATCAATCGATAATAAAGTACATCGGATTAAATAAAGTAAGTCTATATAAATATATATCATTTTACACCTGACACAGACAAAAAAGAGACTGAGGTTTTGTATGTATTTTCTGCGCCTCTTTCAAATGTTTCACCACAAAACAAATAAATGGACTTGGTTAGAGAAATATAGAAAAACGAGGGAAAATGTTTGAGCAGAGATGAAAAATTCATTTTCTTTCTTTTGTTGACTCAGGTATGACTAAACCTTTTTTGTGTAAAGCTAAAATTATAGCTCTTGGTATTTTGAGCTACAATTTGCAATTGGAAATATGAAATCTTAAATTGTTATTTAATTTTCTGAAGAAAATGTTTGATGTAGAAAACACTTTCTAAGTTCAAAATATCACTGAATCAATTGTAATTGAGAATTCAATAATTCATGTGACATTTCATTTTCGTCTTTTAATTATTCATTTCTTTCTTATTCTTTATCAATTTTTCATCGATTTTTTTGTGATCAAAAGATCAAAAATTTTGTTAGCCGTGAAAAGATTATTAGCCTTTTAAACAAAATAAGTTTGAAGCCTTTTTTCTATGAAGCACTTTTAACAAAGCTGAAAATGTTCTTTTTCGGAAATTATTTTTTCTTTTTTATCATAATTTTCTTCGCACTTCCTTGATCTAAAATTCAACAATTTTGAGTAATTATTAGTTAACCAAAATCAATTCAAAATTATTATTTGAAAAAAATACAAATCTAAATGACGTTGACATCTCAGAAATTCTCCGAAGACATCGTGTTTTTTTGTATCCAGACTACAAAAAGCACGAGAAAACGCTGTTTTTTTTCAAGAATTTTTGATTCAGAAATCACCTGGAATCATCGAGATTATTATATTCTGTAGCTTTAATTTATTATACTTTTTCAATGGAAAACGTATGCATTTTTATTGATATTTAATTTTTGTAGAAAAAAGTTTCCTTATCAAAAGATCAATAATTTAATGTGTTTTGTTCAATTTATGAAGTTCAAATACTTTAACCAATAATCTGTTATTTCAATAAATTTTCAAATTTTGAAAATAGTTATGGGAAACTTTAGTTTGAAAGAGGAAATTATTATAGATTGTGCCAGTTCTTCTTGTCAAAGTTCGTTTTTTTAATAATACATTTTCTTGATCAAAAGATCATTTAAATTAAAATTATTCGAACTGATGTTTAATTGAAGTGTGTTTTTTTTTAAAGGGGGGTAAGACGACAAAATTTTTTTGTCGCAAAGTTAAAGGCTCCCCAAAAGTAGTAAAACCTCCAAGGGATTTTTTCTGGAAACGCTCAGAAAAAATGTTCCATAAACTACGTACCACGTATAGCTATACGTTGAAATTATTCCATAAACTTTCGGACAACGTATAGCTATACGTTGAAAAAAGTTCATGGAATATTTTTTTCGGACCTTTTTAGGCCTTTCGAGAAAAAATCCTCTGGGGCTTTTACTATTCAAAGGGAGCCCGGTTCATTGAGCAAATAAAATTTTGTCGTCTTACCCCCCCTTTAAATATTTTTCTTTTTTCTCATGTGTTATCTACTAAACTTTTTTGTTCAAAAGATCAATCAATTTTAAGACAGTAAATTTTTGAACTGATGTTTCACTAATTTTTCATCGTTAATTTGACCGTAGTTTGATTAGGAAATATGATGTCAAAATGATAGATTTAGACATCGGAACACCAAAAGTCCGAATGATCAATTTAACAGGGTACATTGTTTCTAATGTAGTCTATTTTATGATCTGACCATAAAAAATCACCAAAAATTCCGTTTTCTTTATGTCATTCACTCACAAGCTTCTCCTTATCAGTTTTTAGTTCAGTTCATTTTGCTCTTTTTTCTTCTTTCTCTACCATATAATATTTTTTACCATCAGCTTTTTTTTGATAAGCTACGAATTATGGACTCTTCTCCTTCTCCATCTACTTCTTCTTCTTCATCACCGCCAATGGAAATTTGCTCCACAAATAAATGTCAAGTTTGTTTTTATCAACCGGCGCATGGCAATCATTTTGGCGCGAATACGTGTCGCGCGTGTGCCGCGTTTTTAGGTGAGCTAAATACAACGAGATTACGTGATGACGCTAGGCTGATCTGTGTGATTAAATAATAATTGAACGTCTTTTGCAGAAGATCTAATGTCTCGAAGAATCCGAGTAGCAAATGTCGACTTTCGAATAATTTATGTGTTCCGAATGATGAAGGAAGGTGGTTTTGTAAAAAGTGTCGGATGAAGAGATGTTTGGACCTTGGAATGACACCAGATAGTGAGCTATTTTTTACTTATGCTTCAACTGAACTCAAGGATTTCTTAGAAAATTCAGAAGTCTACATGTAGTGTAACGTGGCAAAAGGCAAAAGGCTCCCACCACACGTCATAACTTTATTATTAGAATATTTTGATTCTTGTGAATTTTTGAGCACAACACCTTTATCAACGGGTCAATAATCAAAAGAAACAATAAAAAATAAACCGATTAATTGTGAGGCAGAATGAGTTATGACGTGGAAAACTATACTCTTTGAAAAGTTTGTTGGAATTCCCGAACAATCTTAGATTATTTAATTGATTGAAAAATCACAGACCTCTGTCTTGTTTTTGAAATATCAAACAAAAAACTAAATTGTAGATATTCAATATGATCGGGATCTATTTTCAACGTCGGAACAATTCTTACAAAGTCGAGTTAAACGGAAAATCACGGATACCATACCTATGGTTAGTTTCATTTCCACAAACCTCACTAAACATATATTGTTTCCAGTCAATGGAAGTTTGCCTTGGTCAGCCTCACTTCATTTTTTTACTTGATCGAGATCAAGTAAATACACAACGAACATGGGTTGATATGACTGATCTGATTATCAACTCTCAAAAAATTATGTTTCAAAATCCCCATTATGTCGATAAAAACCTTAATCAACTCGAGAAACTAACACTTGGTTATCAAGAAGTTAGAAAACTCCAAAAATCAGAAATGTCTGAAGTTCGAGTTATCACAAAAGAACAAACTTGTAAAATGTGGGAAAGAGAATTTGAAATGGCTGCGAGATGGTTGAAATACTGTGATGAGTTTCGAGAATTGTCACAAGAACTTCAAACTGATTTTTTGAAATGTATGTGGTCTTTATGGTCGAGGATTGAAAGATTAGCAACGACAGCTGAAATGCGGGCGAAAAGTGAGATTAAAAATCGTCAGTATGTTATATCACATGATAATTATATTGATTTCAATGAGGTTAAAGTTGATTTGAAATGGATGACGAATTGTCCAGCTGAACATTTAGCTTTGTAAGTGATGAGTCTTTAGTCTATTTTATTAAACTCATTAAAATCTTTAGCTTCTTTGACCCATTGAGCGGCTGGTTTTCCGAATCTTTGGTGGATACTTTGATCGAACTTTCTCCCACTGATATCGAAATCACTTATCTTCTTTTCCAACTTTGTTTCCAAATGACTGCTCAATTAAAAGGTGGAGAGGTTCAAAAATTAACGGACAAACTTGAAGATATTTTGGCAGATAATCTTCATCAATATTATATTTCAAATAATATACCAAGATATACTTTAAGGTTGACAAAACTATTGAATATTAATAATCAATTTAAACGGCAATTATTTATTAGAAAAGAGAGATTTGCGATTGGTGTGATTTTTGATGTTTTTAAGATTAAATTTTCGCATCCAGAAATGTTCAACTTTTCGTGTTGATTTGAATGTAAATAAAGATTTTATTTTTGTGTCTTGTATCTTATCTATTTTTTATGGAGCACAAAGCATAAGTAATTTTGATATCAAAATCGAAACAATAAAACAGGATTCCATAGTTGACATTGTTTCCGAAGAAGTTGGGACAATGTAAATTTTTTATCTTAATTCATAGCAACAATACATAACTATTGCAATCCACAAAACATATCGGGCTGCGAAAAGTCCACATAAAAAATATCAAAAAGTTTTGCAATTTCTGATTTTTCTATTCTTTGATTGAGATCTTTCTCAAATTCTCGACAAATTCTCAACATTTTTGCCATTCTTCCTGCATAATTCGAAATTTGCAAATCCTCAACATAATATTTGTGCAAATCATTTGCCAAATTTTCCATTATTTTTTCTCTGAATTTTTCCAAACCGTTTTGTTTTTTTGATGCGTGTCGGAAGGAGATAAGACAAAGCATATAAGTTATTTCTTGAATTGAGGGGCGAAATTCCATGAGAGGTTGGATTAAAGATTCAACAAAGAAATGTTCTGCTGGATCGATGAAGCTGAAACATTTCAATTAACTTTCGTTTTTCGTTTCGAAATCCGAAACTTACTATGCTAATTGATCCATTGTGTAATGTGTGAACCATGTTATATCCAATTCAACATTGAAAATATCAATCTCAATATCATTTGTCATTTGACAAATTTGTGTGTTCTTATTTTCCGGATTTTTTCGATTCTCTATTGAAGTTGCAAACTTCTCAAGTCTTATCCAAATCATCCAAATTGATTTCAGAAATTCAATTTTCAAATTAGTCGGAAGTTCTTGGAATTCGTCACAGAATGTGAGCCAATTTGCGACTAGCAAAAATTCTTTCTCCCAGAAAAATAACGTTTCTTCTTTTCCAATTTTCTGTAGAATTATAGGTTTTTCAAGTTTTGGTTTGCGAGATTGCTCCAAACCATAGCTCAATTTTTGCAAACTGTTCATTTTCAGCACATTGATTGTGTTGTTTTTTGTGAAAATCTCAAAGGCGTGTTCGATAAGATGATTTACATTGATGATTTTTTTCAGAGGACTTGATGATTCGGGTTCGCAGAATAGCAGGAAACTTGGTCTTCCGACAAAAACTTCCATTGAATCTGGGATTTTTGAAGTTATCATTTTTCGCTTCGTAATATTTTCTGTTGATGAAATCAAGTCCCGACCATGTTGTAGTTCTGAAATTGAAAATTTTTCCCTTTAATATCTGTGAATTCTTAGAATTCAACTCTACAAAAACTAACTATGTGGATTCATCCCAGCTTGTAAGCATCGATCAATTCTACATTTCTTACAAGCAAATCTTCCATCCATACTCGCTTGACATTTTCCATCTCCTCTTCTACACGGCAATCTAATCAATCCTCCAATAATTGCTCTTCGGAAAAATGCGGCACACGCTCGACAAGAAAATACTCCGAAATGATTTCCGTGCGCCGGTTGCCAACAAATTTGACATAATACAAAATCTTCAGATGATGATTGCATTTTTCACAAAAAAAAAATTGATTATTGAATAAAAATTTGATAAGAACTGTGGTCTCTAACATGTTTAAAGTTAACTAGAGAAATATTCGCATAAAAAGAAAAAAACTATCGAAACAAGCGATTATTGATCTTTTTTCAGTTAAAAGAAGATACAATGTTTATTTTGTGGAACATTGATCTTTCGATTTGAAAACTTTCAAATTTAGAAAATTTCGAATTGAAGAAACACAAAGCGACTTTTAAAATTTTCTCACAAATGTCACATATTTTTTATCACATCATCTGTTATCATATTATTGTTACATGAAAATCTAAAATCAATAATAATGTATATTTCGCCATCATTTTCAACAATAAACTGTCAAATTTGTTCAAAACCTTCACATGGAAATCATTTTGGAGCAATTTCTTGTAGAGCATGTTCTGCATTTTTTCGAAGAGCTGTTTTGAAAAATTATTCGATTTTGAGATGCAAAAATGGTGATGGAAAATGTAAAGGAGATATTTGTAAGAGATGTAGATTGGAAAAATGTCTGAAAGCTGGAATGAGTGATAAAAGTGAGTTGACTTTGATAAACATGGAGTTTTTCAAATGAAAATTTCAGAGTTTCAACTCGATCGAGATTTGATTTCGTCAACGCGTAAGAATATTCCACCATCTATGGAATATTTTCTTGGTCGACCTGTTTTTATAATATTTTGTGAAACAGATATTCCAGAATCCAACAGAAGTTTCATTGATTTCACGAAACTTATCGAAAAAGCTACAAACTTATTCAAAAATCGAGGAAATAAATTATATGTTGGAATGAACACATTGAATCAATTAACTTATGCATTAAACCAAAATCATGGAGAAACAGAACCTGGATTTTGTTGGGAAATCAGGAAAAATGACATCCTCAAATTCTGGGAAGCAAACTTCCTAAAAGTCGCTGATTGGTTGACATATTGTGATAAGTTTCAAGAACTTCCTTTGCAAATGAGAATTCAACTTTTGAAATCGATTTGGATGGCATGGATATGTTTACAAAGAAATTCGCTGACTGCAAATCGAAAAAGGCAATCAGGTGTTGAGGATAAAATTTGTTATTGGTCTGATGATTGTTTGATTGATTCGGAAAATGTGGAACTAGATATTTCTTGGATCACCAGATATAGTCGAGAACAGTTCGAATAGTTAGTTTTCTTCATTGCAATTTATAGAATTTGTTTTCAGTTTCATCATGCCTTCGGGAAATTTTCACATGGATTCGCTTATTGAACCTTTGCTTGATTTGCAACCAACAAATCAAGAATTGACGTATATGTTAACAATTTTCACATTTCGATATGCCGCAAAAATGTTTTCAGGAGAATTCGAGAATTTGAATGAAAAAATAATTGAGGTTCTAGCTGATGATTTGCACTCATTTTATTTGAACGAAATGAAAATGAAAAACTATGCTGGAAGAATGGCTAAAATGATGCAAATTGTGAACGTTTTGGAACGCGATTTTCACCAGAAAACTGAGAAAGTTCAATTGGCTCGAATTTTCAATGTAATTACTGTTGATTTTTCACATCCTGAAATGATATTTGCGGCAAAATAAACGTTGTTAGCTTTTATGGTCTTTTTTTGTCGTTTCAGTTTTGGTACCTTGAAGCTTTTATTGACTTATAGCTTGCTATAATAAATTACATTATCAGAAAACTCTCCTGGGTTTGCTTTTATAGAACACGATTGCTCTAAACAAAACTTTATTTCAAATCAAATACCATTTCTGGATGTGAAAAATCAACGAGAAATAAATTAAAAATTCGAGCCAAGTGGATTTTTTCAATTTTGTGAAGAACATCTTGTTCCAGATGGTTTATAATTTGAATCATCTTTGCGATTCTTCCAGCATAGTTTTTCATTTTCCTTTCGTTCATATAGTAAGAATGCAGATCATCAGCTAGAACTTCAACCATTTTATCATTCAAGTTTTTGAACTCTTCACCCAAAGTTCTTGCAGCATATCGAAATGATAATATTGCTAACATATAAGTCAATTCTTGTTTTGAAGGTTGAAATTCAACCAAAGGGTCAATGAATGAATTGATGTTGAAGCTTCCAAGCGGATTTATAAAACTGAAAATCATATTTGATAATTTTTCGAAACACTTTTCAGTATCTTACAATTTCAATTGTTCAGGTTTACACGTGGTTATCCAAGAAATATCGAAATCCACATTTTCCAAATCTATCAAACAACTATCGGAAAAATAAAGAATCCTATTTCCATCTTTTGATTGTCGTTTTCGATTTGCTGTCAATGAATTTTTATTCAACCTCATCCACGGAACCCAAATTGTTTTCAAAAATTGAATTCTCATTTGCATCGGGAGTTCTTGCAATTTGTCGCAATATGTTAACCAATTGGCAACTCTCAGAAAACTTGTTTCCCAAAATTTGAGAACATCGTTTTTCCTGATTTTCTGACACATTATTGGTTCATTTTTCTCTGCATTCTGAGTTAGTGCATAAGTTAATTGATTCAATGTGTTCATTCCAACATATAATTTATTTTCTTGATTTTTGAACAAATTTGTAGCATTTTCGATGAGCTCTGTGAAATCAATGAAATTCCTTTCAGATGTTGAGGTTTCTGTTTCACAAAATGATATGAAAACCGGTTTCCTGAGAAAATATTCTATTGATGGTGGAATATTCTTACAAGTTGATGAGACCAAATCTCGATCATGTTGAAAATCTAGAACATTTTTTTGTTTCAAAATCTTGTTCCAATGTAAATTACTCACTTTTATCAGTCATTCCAGCTCTCAAACATTTTTCCAATCTACACTTCTTACAAATATCACTTTCACATCTTCCACTCCCATTTCGACATCTCAAAATCAAATAATTTTTCAAAACAGCTCTTCGAAAAAATGCAGAACATGCTCTACAAGAAATTGCTCCAAAATGATTTCCATGTGAAGGTTTTGAACAAATTTGACAGTTTTTCAGAGAAAAAGACGGGGAAATATACATTTTTTTTTACAAATATTGATTTTGGACAAGACAAAAAGATAACAGGTGATGTGATAAGAGATGGAAAGTTTTTAAGAACAAATAAACTCTTTGGAATCAACGAAACAGATGATTGCGAAATATACGAATAAACAATACATTGTTCCAAATTCAACATTTATTTTTATTGAAACATTTCGGGATGTGAAAAATCAACAATAAATAAATTAAATATTCGAGCCAGCTGGGTTTTTTCAAATTTCAGACGAACATCTCGCTCTAAATAATTAACAATTTGACTCATTTGTGCCATTCTTCCAGCATAATTTATCAATTTCATCTCATTCGAATAATATGAGTGTAAATCATTGGCTAAAACTTCGATCATTTTTTCATACAATTTCTCAAACTCTCCGTTAAAACTTCTTGCGGAATGTCGAAATGAGAATACTGTTAACATATATGTCACTTCTTGATTTGTTGGTTGAAAATTGGCAAGAAGTTCAATTAGAGGACTCTTGGGGAAGTGTCCCAGAGGATCAGTGAAACTGAAAAAATGAACATTATGCTAAGTATCAGTGAACTATTACTCACAACTTCAATTGTTCTGGATTACATGTTGTTATCCAAGAATTATCGAATTCTACTTTAACAGGATCAATTAAACAATCATCAGACCAATAACGAATTCTATCTTGAGTTTGAGATTGTTTTCTGCGTTTTGCTGTCATTGAATGTTTCTTCAGTTTGGTCCAAGGAATCCAAATAGATTTCAAAATTTGAATTCTCATTTGCATTGGAAGTTCTTGAAATTTGTCACAATATGACAACCAATCGGCGACTTTTAGAAAACTTGTTTCCCAGAATGCGAGCATTTCATCTTTCCCGAATTTCTGACGCAATCTTGGTTTAACTGTTTTAACATTTTGAGTTAGTGCATAGGTTAATTGATTCAATGTGTTCATTCCAACATATAATTTTGTTTCTCGATTTTTGAATAAGTCTGTAGCTTTTTCGATAAGTTTTGTGAAATCAACGTAACTTCTTTCAGATTTTGGAAATTCTGTATTACAAAATATTATAAAAACAGGTCGTCCTAGAAAATATTCCATAGATGGAGGAATATTTTTACATGTGGAAGAAATCAGATCTCGATCATATTGAAACTCTAGAAAGTTTTTTGAATAGAAACATATCTCATGAATCAAAATAACTCACGTTTCTCACTCATTCCAGCTTTCAAACATTTTTCCAATCTACATTTCTTACAAATATCTCCCTTCTTACATTTTCCACTACACTTTAAATGCGAATAATTTTTCAAAACAGCTCGTCGAAAAAATATAGCACACGCTCTACAAGAAATTGCTCCAAAGTGATTTCCGTGCGAAGGTTTTGAACAAATTTGACAATTTTTTAGAGAAACAGACGAAGAAATATACATTTTTCTTACAAATATTGATTTTAGAAAAAAAGTGATAACAGATGATGCAAAAGAGAAAGAGACATTTTTTGAACAAATACAAATATAGGTTTTTAATTGGAGTTCAAAAAACATATCAGATTGCGAAATCTGATTGGAACTACTTGTGAACTTTGGAAAATCTTTTCATTCATGAATTAATAGAAAATTGTTGTACATTTAAAAACATTATTCAATTTTTTTTGGATTTTAAGATTTGAGGTTTCGGAGAAAAATTTCGAAAAAATTTCGAAACGAAAACAGCTCAAACTTCAATTGAAGTTTCAAAGTTCAAGGAACACAGTTTTATTCTTCTCAAATTCGAACTCAAAATCCAAATCCTCAATCAATAAAACGTATACCTCCAATCGAGACAGGTTTAATCGCATTTAATATTTGGCTATCTCCCTACATAAATATCTACATATGTATTTATTTATTATTTATAAAACAATTTTATTTTGCCAAAGTTCATGGGAATCGCTCTACAAGGTCAGGTGGCTTTGGTCACCGGCGCTTCGAGAGGAGTTGGTGAGCTCAAATTTTGCGAAATGAAAGTTTATTTCAAATTTGTTTGAGGTCGTGGAATTGCATTGCAACTTGGCGAAGCTGGAGCAACTGTTTATATCACTGGAAGGCGACCAGAACTGAGTGATAATTTAGGATATGGACTTCCCGGATTACAGGAAGTTGCAGAGGGTAAAAAACCTGTTTTGAAGTTTTTAAAAATGCCTCTCGTTCTAGAGATCACTGCGGCTGGTGGACAGGGAATTGCATTATATATTGATCATTCGAATATGTTTGAAGTTCAATATTTATTTGATAAGATCAACAAAGATCAAGATGGTCGGCTTGATATTCTAGTCAACAACGTGTTCAGTTCTATTGGAAAAGTGACTGATACATTTGGAAAAGCGTTTTATGAAATCGATCCTTCATTTTGGGACACAGTAAATGATGTTGGACTCAGGAATCATTATTATTGCTCAGTTTATGCGGCAAGGATTATGGTTCCAAGAAAAACTGGGATGATTGTGAATATTGCATCACTTGGTGGTTTACGATACGCATTCAATGTTGCGTATGGTGTAGGAAAAGATGCATTGGTTCGAATGGCAACTGATATGGCTGTTGAACTTGAAAAAGACAATATTTGTGTAATTACTTTGATGCCTGGACCAGTTCGAACTGAAGCCATTGAAATTGGTGTGTTTGGTGGGACGAGTAAAGCTGAGTCGGCAGAATTCACTGGAAAGGCATTGGCGAGATTTGCGATGGATCCTGGAAGAATGAAGAAAACTGGAAAAGCTTTGCTGACAGGAGATCTTGCTCAAAAATATGGATTCGGAGATCGTGATGGAATGGAACCGCAAAATATTCGAAGTGTGAAAACAATGTTGGAGACATTGGGAAAACCAGAGATTGCCAAGTTCATACCGAATCGTGTGAAAGTTCCGAAATGGATGATTTGGCAAACTTGTAATCGATTATAGATGATCGAAATAAAGTAGGGAACATTAAAGTTGGAATGAGCTTAATAAATCATTCGCATGTAATCCGAATTTTTCAAGCAAGACTAATTGTATTTTTCGCATAATTATTTTTTTTTACAAATTCAAAATGAGAGAGCACCGTGATCAACACACAACCATTGAGAACACTCACAAAAGAGTGAAAGCTCACTCACAACTACTGTAGAAAAAATTCCCATTTGGTCCAAATGGTTTGAAAAAACCTTCTTAAATAATTTTGTTTGAAGTGGAACATTTTTATTCATTTCCGAAAAACAATTGTGAAAGATCCACATGTTTTTTATTTGCTTGTTGGGAAAAAGTTTAGAGTAACTCCTGTGACTCCTGGATCAATATGAAGACCTGGTGGCAAAACCACTGGTTTCGGTGGGACAAGTGGAATATAATCATAATGAGCCTCATCGAGCGCCGAAACTTTTTTGATCAGCAAACTGCCAGGCGCTTTGAATTCGTAGTTCTTTGGATCTCCAACAGTTTTTCCTTTCTGAAATGCAATATTTTCAGAACTTGGTTGAGTCATATTAATTTACCTCATCGATCCATTTGTTTTTGTTTGGACCTTCAATATTGTAGGTTTGAAGACTTCCAAATCCTTTCGTTCTTGTGAACGCTTTGACTTTTTCTTCGGCGATTTGGATGATGGTTTTTTCTCCGATTTTTGTTCCATGGAAAGGAGGAACGGAAAAGACAACATGAAGCAAAACAAGCAGAAGTAAAAACTTCATTTTTAGTTATCTAACCAGGAAATATGTTCTGTTTATATAGAACAAAAAAGGAGGAGGAGTTAGGACGGGATCCAAGATTTATAAGGAAGTTGATGTTGTCTAGACTATAGTCTTGTTTTCTTAGCCTAGAAAAACTGTATTTTGCAATTTCTGACCTTTTGCATCAGCCAATGTATGTCCTTGATTGACCAGGAACTAGATCACAACAATAGAAAATGTACTTTAGTTATTTCGAATCGAGTATCAATTTTGGAAAATGGATTCAAAAATTGGCAAACTGTGTGACTTGAGGATAAGTTATAACTTTAGCGGACTTCTGCGGTTCGCGTTTCGCGCAGATCTCGCGGTCGTTCTCCTGAGTTCATTTTTATAATCGCACAATATTTAAAATGTGAACTCATTTATTCGACACAAATTTTGCACAAAAAACTTATGTAACAGTATTTGAAACTTCGTATAAAATGTGATTGGAGTGAGAAAGAGGATTTGGGTTTGATTTTGATACTGATTTTAAAAAGAAAGTACTGGAGTAAATAATGGAGGTAAAAATTCAAAGGGAGAGACCGACAAATCAGAGCAAGATTATTCAATTGAAGATCTAATAACAAAGTAACTTGAAAATTATTCTATGATCTGCATAGGAATTTCGATGTTCTCATCATTTTTCGCTTTCATACATAGATACCCATTATCACGAACATATAATTGCATTTCTCGATTTGCAACAAAAATGAAAAATGCGTGCATACTGCAATTCAAAACATGTATAACTGATAGACCAAAATACCAAACAGTCGAATTTTCACCAAAAATTGAGAACACTATTCTGAAAATGATCCAAGTGAGGGTGTGAGGCATCGCAATAGCGAAATAGATAGCAGCAAAGTTTATTTCGACATAAGCCTGTCTTTTTCGCATATTGTTGATCATTGTTACTGGTAAATTTCGAAGTGTGTTTTCTATGTAGATTTGCATCTGAATAAGTTATTAAGGTTGGTTATGTTTTCATGTAGAAAAATATTTTGATCAAATACCTTGTAATAACAAATCAAAGTGATTATAATTGTCAAGCCATCAAATGATAATTCACTAAAGTTCATGTAGTTAAATGTGTCGTTTTGAAGAATGAATGAGTAGGAATAGAAGTGTTGATCAATTATGAAGCTGCATTTATTTTAAATAGACTTTTTTCAAAAAAAACCTCACCTGCAACATGGGAGCCAATATTGAGAAACGTACGCATTGATAGCACAGAGAATCATTAGCAAAATGTAGATCAGACAAATATTCAGTTTTGTGAAAAAAGTAGAGTTGTAGCAGAGAACTAGGAAGCGATTGATTGAAATTAAGATTTGAGTAGCGTTTTTGATATTCCATAAAAACACAAATAATGTTCCAATTAAAATTGAGATAGAACTATCTTGAGAATTGGAGTAGATGTAACTCTGAAAAATGATTTCAATGAGTCAAGAAGAACACTTGATTTCTTACGTCGGTAATCATTCCAGGTGCCAAATATGAAATTGTTAAGAAATTATGGGAAATATCGAATAAAATACTGAAAGCTGACAAAACATAGATATTATTTCTATACTTATCAAATGCAAAACGAAAAACCAGTCCAGCCATTAATAAATTCAATATCAAACTCAGCGATGAAATGATCAGTAGAATAATTCCAAGAGCAAGTTTGAGAGTCATTATTCTAAAAAAAAAAAGAATCTACAGAAAAAATAAGAAAAATTGAACAAAAATAAGTAATATGCACTCTGAATAACAAAAATATAAATCTCGTGATGAATTGAGTAATTGTAAGCATGAGTGATAATTTTTGTTTTCGAGGAAAAATGTGCGTAATTTGAACTCCCTAGATATTTCCAACAAATTATTAATTATATGTTATGAATTCCTTAGTAACCAAATAAAGGTTTTTGGAAATAAGTTTAGTTTATTCACAGGTATATGGTTTATTTGGGAGAGTTTTGTCACCACGTTTGAAAAATCGAAAAAGTTCTAAAATTAATTTAATAAATGAAGCAGTGATAATTAAAGTTGGTATGAGTTAAAAAAATAATTTATTAGTTTCAAAAAAAACACACAAGAAGATCAATAATTTGTAATAAAATAGAACAAGCCACTATTTTTTGTCCTAAATTAAAAAATAAGAATACAAATACAAAACACTATGAATTTGGAGTTTGTCTTTTTTTCTATATAAATATTAATTGTTTATTATCCTAGTATCACTTAATATACACTTCGAAAAATTATTCAACGACTTCCATGGGAATTTCTTCGATTGTTTCAACATTTTCATTCTCATTCTGATTCGATTCCGGTTTTGATCCTGCAAAACATAGCAGCCCATTATTTTTGATATGTGATAACATTTCTCGACTATTCACACAAATAAAATGTGCGTTCACAGTGCAATTGAGAACATGTAATACTGTTAGAGGGAAATACCAGCCAGTCGCATTTTCACCGAAAATCAAAAAAACAAGTCTGAAAATAATCCACGTAAACATATGCGGGAAAGCCATTACGAGAAATCTGGTTGAAAATTCGATTTCGAATTGATCATAATATTTTTTCCACATTTGTGGCAAAGTTACTGGCATTGTTAGGATTATATCTTCTATCGGTTTTTGAATCTGTAAAATTCAAATTATTCAGCTAGACTATTAAATTGTTTTTTCCAATTACCTTGAAATAAAAAATGAAAAAAATCAGAGTTGTCAAAATATCAAATGACAATTCACTCAAATTCATGTAGTTAAAAGTGTTGTTTTGGTGTATAAAAGAGTAGGAATAAAATTGTTGATCAAGTGTGAAGCTGGAATAATTTGACTTCAGTTTATTGAAAAATATAAAATTTCTGCAAATAAAAAAACCAAAAATACCTGCAACACGGGAGCCAATATTGAGAAACGTAGGATTTGGCAGCTAAAAGGATTACACTTGGAATGTAGAGCAGACAAATGTTCCGTTTTGTGAAAAAAGTAGAGTTATAGCAGAGGACGAAATAACGATTAAAAGCAATCAGGATCTGAGTTATATTTTTCATGTTCCATAGAAACACAAATATTGCTCCGATTATAATTGAAACCGAACTCTCTCTAGAACCACTGTAGAGATAACTCTAAAAATAGATTCTTTCAGAAACACAAAAAAATTGAGTTACTCACTTCGGAAATCATCTCAGGTACTAGGTACAGAACTGTTAGAAGGAATGTGCAAAATATCGATGAGAATACTGATGGCTGATAGAACATATATATTATTTTTATTTTTGTCGAAAGCAAAACGGAAAACTAATCCAAATATCACACAGTTGAACAGCAACAGAATCAATGAAATAATGAGTAGAATAATTCCAAGCGCGAGTCTTAGAGCCATTTAAAAAAAAAGTGGGAGTTAGCTTGTTAGTAGTAGCGGTGGCGATCTCAAGGCCAATCCAGCGAGTAGTATTTCGCTACGCAAGGTGGTTCGGTCTCCTGCCACGTGTCGTGCCACTGAATTACTAGTCTCGCTTGAATAACTTTGTCTTCACCAGAAAAATGAAACGTTAGAGAGAAAATGATTGAAAAAGTAATTTGCACTTCTTCTGATTTGAATAACTAAAAATCTCGTGATTGTGAGTAATTGTAAGAAAGTAGTAGATGATAATAATTGTGTTTTTGAACAGAAAACGTGCGCAGGTTAAACTCCATAGAGATTTCCAATTATTTTAATTATATGTTATGCATTCCTTAGTAACCCATGAAGAGGTTTTTGGAAATAGAGTTATTCATAAATATAGAATTTATTTGAAGAGAGAAAAAAATATGAACTTTTATTCTCACGCTCTAAAAAAGAGAACAGCAATTATCATGCAAATATTTTTTGACTTCTGCATTTCCAGTTAAAAAGAAGAATGCGTTTCCAGTGCTGTTCAAAACATTTGACACTGCTAAAATGAAATACCACGCAGTGGGATTTACTCCAAAAATTATGGGAAAAATCCTGAAAAACATCCAGCTTATAGTATGTGGGATAGCAATGAAACAAAATTGAGCTGCATATGCAAATTCGAGATAATTCTGTTTTCTTTGTTCCATTTCTATCACAGTTACTGGCGATGTTCTCATTGTTCTATTTATTTTTTTATGGATCTGAAAAGTTACGTTAACTTTTTTCCAAAAAACAACTTTTTTACTTTGTAATAACAGATCACTGTTGTAAGAGATGTTGTAATATTCAAAGGCATTTCACTAATATCCATGTAATTTGAAATACCATTTTTAGGTATGAAAGAATACGAATAGAAATTATGATCTAAGATGAAACTGCAACATGGAAATAAATATTGTGAAGCATAAGCTTTGATAATCAAAGAAGTTATAATTAGGATGTATATAATGGATCAATTCATTTGAAGAAAAAATGAATTTCGCGACATTTTTTGTCGCGAAATTGCAATTCGTGAAACGACACGAAATAAACACAAAAATAAAGGAGAAATATTAAAGGGACACGTAATCGCTGCGAGACCCAACACACGAAAAAAGAATTTCCTCTTTTATTTTATTAATTTCGTGTCGTTTCGCGAATTGCAATTTCGCGACAAAAAATGTCGCGAAATTCATTTTTTCTTCAGATGAATTGATCCATAAGTAAAATATTACGTTTTGTAAAAACTTGATTTTTGTTATAGCAAATAACTGAAAAACGATTTATTGCAATTAGGATTTGGGTGATGTTTCCGATGTTCCATAAGAATACGAAAAATTGTTCCGATGATAATAGAAATTGAGGTATCTCGAAAATCGGCGTAGAGGTAACTCTAAAAACATCACTCCACGATTAGTGAGGAAAATAGTTATACTTACGTTGGTTATCATTGATGGTGCCAAGTATGAAACTGTTAATGAGTTATGTAAAATATCAATAAAAATATTAAAGGCTGATAGAACATAAATACTACTTTTACTTCTGTCAAAAGCAAATCGGAAAACTGGTGCAGCCACAAGTAAATTTAATAACAAACTCATGGATGAAATTATAGACAGAAAAATTCCGAGAAAAAGTTTGAGAGTCATTTGCAAAGTAATATGCAGTTGTCAAAACTCAAAATCAAATCTTGTGATATTTTTCTGACTGATTGCAAGGATTGATGATAATTAGATTGTTTTGCGAGGAAAAAATTTTGGATGCGTAGGTGGAGGGGTGGGGAAATTGGCCTGGCCTCATGTTGTCCTGTCCTTGAACATGGCCTAAACTTGTCCTGGCTTGAACATGGTTTGAACATGTCCTAAAGTCATATGCCCAACCTGTCCTCGCTTGAACAAAAATTAGCACAGATGTTTTTTTCCACCTTTATAAATTCAAAACAAACTGAAAATCGCGTGCATAAAACTAACATAAAATAATATAAAAAATTAATCTACCCATGAAATATTTCATAGTTTGTTTTTCAATAAAATCTGGAAGCTGATCCTATAGCTTCAAGTGTTATTCAAAGCTTCCAATCATTTAAACATAGTTATTTATAAACAACTTTCCTTTAACATCAATAGTAATTAAGAATAAAACACTCTACCCAATATTTTTCAATGACGCTCAAATCTCACCTGTTAGTTTTGTTCCTCCCCCCCAAACCTCAAAATAAACTAACTTGACTGGCCCGTTCTGTGAAAAATTGTTGATCTCTTTGAATGTCCTGTCCAAACGAAAAATCTTCTTTTTCGGAAGCCTGAAAATTCTACATTCTTTTTCTCAAACTTTTAGCCTATTCTTAACTTACATCAGAAAATTACAATTGTGGATTTTATGGGACCGCTGCATTCTCTGACGGTTGTCTCTGAAAAATTAAGAAAATAAAAAAATGTACCAAATCAACCCATTAATAACTTTTTCTGCGCTGAAAAACCACTCAAAAACCAAAAAATTATAATGTCGTGTAAAAAAAAAATAAAAGATAAACTACGATACTCCGCGTGCGCGTTGTTTAACGTGTTTATTTTGTTTGTTTTTTGCAGTGTAGATGAGAGAGTGTGGCAAATGGAGAGAGGGTTAGAGATATATGTTTTTTATTTGAAAAGACATTATTGATTGAACGCTTTTTTCGCACTGTTTTTTTTGCACGACATTTTTATTTTCTGCTTTTTTTCTGGTTTTTGAGTGGTTTTTTGAGCGCAGAAAATGTTATTAATGGGGTGTTTTGGCACATTTTTTAATTTTCTTATTTTTTTCAGAGACAACGGTCACAGAATGCAGCGGTCCAATCAAATCCACAATTATCATTTTCTGATGTAAGTTTAAGAATAGGCGAACATTTTGAGAAAAAGAATGTAGAATTTTCAGGCTTCCGAACAAAAAGATGTTTCGTTTGGACAGGACATTCAAAGAAATCAACAACATTTCACGGAATGAGCCAGTCAAGTTAGTTTATTTTGAGGTTTGGGGGGAGGAACAAAACTAACAGGTGAGATTTGAGCTTCATTGAAAAATATTGGGTAAAGTTTTTTATTCATAATTATTATTGAAAGTTGTTTATACATTACTATGTTTAAATGATTGGAAGCTTTGAATAACACTTGAAGCTATAGGATCAGCTTCCAGATTTTATTGAAAAACCAACTATGAAATATTTCATGGGTAGATTAATTTTTTATATTTAGTTTTATGCACGCGATTTTCAGTTTGTTTTGAATTTTTTTTTAAACTTCACAATTTTTATTCCCAGGCGTAATTTTTTAAAATAAATCTTTTTTTCTCACGTCAGCTTAGCTGCGAAAAATAGGGTTTTCTTCAAAATTTAGAATTTTTGAGGATTTTCTGACTGTTTCGCCTAGGGGCACCGCCCCAGTCTGCATTAAAAAAAAATAAAAATGCGATCTCCTATTTGTTCGGCGTGTTTTTCTCTCAACTAAAAAAAGAACCTGCCCAGAACAGGACAGGTAGCCAGGTTTTCACTTGGACCTGTCATGTTTCATGTTCTTACCACAAAAGCCAACATGAGGCCAGGTTCCCCAACTCTGCGTAGGTGAAACTCTCTGAAGATTTGTAAAAATATTTATTGACAATGGAAGAATTATGTTGGACTTGCAAAAGTAGTACCAGGATTAGATTTTGGCACCACAGAACTTCCACTGGCTGAAACAATCATCAGAAGGCTTTGCTTTCCAGCAACGCAGCAGATTCCTTTTTCTCTTATTTGTTTTTTGACTTCAGCATTCGAAACCAAGTAAATGAAGGCATTAGTAGTACAATTACAAATATAGGCAACTGCAATAATATAATACCATTCAACTGACTTTCCCTGGACGATTAAAGGAAAAATTCGGAAAAATATCCAACTCAGAGCATAAGGTATTGAGATGAAGAAAAACTGTAGAGCATATGAGAATTCACGATTTCTCCGCATTTTTTGATCAGTGGATTCAAAACTTGTTGCAATAGTTTTTCTCGTAACTCGAATGTGTTTGAAGATCTGTCAATTTCTATTTTTGTCAGAATTCTTTTGAAAAATTATTTTCTTACCAAAGAATAACAAATTATCGTAGTTAAGGATGTCACAATATTCAAGGGCATTTCACTGATATCCATATAATTTGTAGTGTTGTTTTTATAAACAAAAGAGCACGAATATACACTTTGATCAATGATGAAACTAGAATTATTTATAGCAGTTCATCTGCAAAATTATTCTTGAAATATTTACCTGCAACATGGGAAGATATATTGAGAGATGTATACTTTGATGATTGAAATAATAACAATCGGAATGTAAATCAAGATGAGGTTACGTTTTGTAAAAAATGTTGTTTGGCGATAGAATATTACTGTAACACGATTGATTGCAGTTAATATTTGTGTGATGTTTCCAACATTCCAACAAATTACAAAAATTGTTCCAAAGAATTTTGGAAGTTCACTTTCACGATCACCAGAGAAGAGATGACTCTAAAAATTTTCCTATGTATGAACATTTCAAAAAAATCCTAACGTCTGCAATGATGCTGGGTGCCAAGTATACAATAACTATCAATAGTTGAGTGACATCGTGAATAATGTTAACCGCTGCTAAGACATATATACTACTTTTATCTTTAGCAACCACGAAACTGAAAACAGGTCCTGCCACAATTAAATTAGTTATCAGACTGAGAATAGAGATAGCGAAAAGGAATATACCAAGAAATAACTTGATTGTGAGAACCATAAATTTTTTTAAATTATGAAAAGTATTTTCTGCGAAAAAAAGTGATTTATAAAAAGGAAAATGCTATCGTATTCTGTACTTTCCCTTTATCGTGAATTTTATATTCAAAATAATCAAAAATGCGATTCTATTGAACCATCCATATTGTCCAGCGATCCAGGTTGGTTGATCGAAATAAAATTGGACTTGCGAAAGTTTTTCTAAAGTATTATTGTGATGGGCTTTTTGGAAAAAAAAACATTTTATTACAGAATTATGTTATTTTTTTATTATCCCATGTTGTAATCGTTGTCAATATCGAAGATCAGGTGCCCATGATTGTTGGACTTGCGAAAGTTGTACCGATCGTTGATTTCGGGACCACAGAGTTACCGCTGGTTGATACAATTTTAAAGAAAATTTTCTTTCCAGGTAGACAACAAATACCTTTTTCTTTCAAATATTTTTTAACTTCGGCATTTGAAACCAAGTAGATGAACGCGTTTCCACTACAGTTACAAGTATTCGCAACTGCTGTCACATAATACCATTCAATTCCTCTTCCTTGAATCATTAAAGGAAATAATCGAAAGAGAATCCAGCCAAAAGTATAAGGAAATGAGATGAAAGAGAATTGAAGAGCATATGTGAATTCACGATTTCTCCGCATTTTTTGCTCGCTAGACCCCAAAGTTGTCTCGATGGTTTTTCTTGATTCACGAATATGTTTAAAAATCTACTGTTTAAAAATCTCTAGCAGCAAGTCTGAAACCTACTAAGGAATAACAAATGAATGTTGTTAAGGATGTCACAATATTCAAAGGCATTTCACTGCTATCCATGTAATTTGGAGTATCGTTTTTATACACGAAAGAATAAGAATAGACACCTTGATCTATTATGAAACTGAAAACACGAAATTTGGAAAATCTACTGAAAAAATGATACCTGCAACATGGGAATATATATTGAGAGATGTATACTTTGATGATTGATATAATTACAATCGGAATGTAAACAAGCATTAGATTACGTTTGGAGAAAAAATTGGTTTGACGATAGAAAATAACAGACACACGATTGATTGCAGTTAGAATTTGAGTCGCATTTCCAACATTCCAGCAAATTACGAAAATTGTTCCAAAGAATTTTGGAAGTGCGCTTTCTCGAGAATCAGAGAAGATATAACTCTGAAACGTTTTCTATTAACAGAAACAATACACTTATTTATAACTCACGTCAGTTATGATCCCTGGAGCTAGATAAGTTATTGTTATCATCATTTGAATAAAATCATGAATAATGTTAACCGCAGCCAATACGTAGATACTACTTTTGTCTTTAGCTATCACAAAACTAAAGACAGGTGTTGCCACAATTATATTTGCAATCAAACTAATGATTGAGATTGTGAGAAGAATAATACCAAGAGCACATTTAAGAGTTAAATCCAACATATCGCTTTTTGTCATATATGGGGAGTGGTTATTGCTCTCTACCGTTATTTATATGACAGATTCTAACTACACAAAGGAAATTGTATTATGTACTTTATATCAAAAAGAAAAATAACACACTATTCTAAGAATATGAAGAGGACTCATTAAAGCACGCAGAGATCATTTAGAAGTTCATTGCTCAAAAATGTGATTTTCTCTCTCTTTCCATTGAAGAGCCTAGATTCGTCACACTTTCACGGCGATTTTTCAGCATGTCCATGATCTGAAATTTGAGTATTTGAAAACAAAACAAAAAAACAAGGGTTGATATTACCTCTTTGTTGGAAACTAGGTAAATGAAAGCATTTGCACTGCTATTTATGATCACACAAAAGGCAATTAGAATGAACCATTCTAAATGTTGACCTCCACCAAGAAAAATTGGAAAAACTCGAAGAAAAACCCATGCAAAAGTATAGAATATTGATATTGAGAAAAATTGCATAGCATAAATAAATTCCTTGTTTTTTCGTTTTTTATGCGCATTTGATGAAACTATGTGAACCACTTTTTTATTGGATTTGTGAATTTTGTAGATGATCTTGAAAATCACATGTTTTTGTGATGTACTTTCACACTTCGTTGGTCATTTATTATGTCTAGAGGAAAGGTATTTTGTTTTTTTGATTTTGATGTGTTAGCTGATCAAATCATATGAATAGTAGAATTATTGCAAATTTTGAAGCATTCATTTCAAAGATCGCAATTTCGTCGAAAATAACTTACCAAAATATAACACGTAAAAGCTACAATTGTGGCAAAAGCATTCAATGGTAAATCACTAATATCACTGTAATTCGGAATTCCAGGCTTTCTAGCATAGTTATAGGATAATATTTGATAATCATATACAAATCTGTAAATTTTCCTCACAATCAGTTGGAATTGAGTTTTTGCGTGAGCTTACGCGCAACACGGTGTTATGTATTGAACAATATAGGCTTTGGTAATAGCAAAAATCAAAGTGATTCCGAAGAGTATTTTAATGTTCCGATGAGTAAAGATGTTATTATTGAGGTAACAGATAACAACAAATCTGAAATGAAAATTAACAAAAACTTGAAGTTATTACTCCAGTTTACCTGTTCGTCGCCATCACAATTTGTGTGATATTCCCGATATACCAAGTTACTAATGCCAAAGTTCCCAGAAGTTTTGGAATTCCCTCATCATTTTTCTCTCCGAAAATATAACTCTTGAAAATTATACATGGTGCTAGATAGAATGCGGATTGGCTCAGATTCACAAGATCTGTTAGAATGTTGAAAAATGAGATGAGATAAACTGATGATTTGTTGAGGTTTTTAGAAAGTTTATAAACTGGTTGTAAAACAATGAGATTCACAAGAATTCCGATTGCAGAAAATAGAAAAATCAAAAAACCGAGGAGTAGTCTCAATAACATTTTGGTTTTTCGTTGTGAGTTAGTATGAAATGGAAAATGATTGGTTTCATTCATTTGTTGTTGTTGTTGTTATTGTCGACTATTTTTTGGCGATTCTCTAAAATATTGCCTAGTACATATAAACTTTATTTCAGAAAAGCTCGCAATACATAGTTGTATGATTGGTTTTATTTCTTGATTTTCGAAAAAATTATGTGTCCGAACATTTATTAAAAATCAGAAATTATTAGATTTTCGTTCAATCGAAGATCCAGATATAATACTAGCTCGTCGATTTTTAATCATGTCGATTATCTGAATATGTTTTCTTTAAACTTCAACATTATTCTGAAAGTGTATCTACCTCATGATTGGAAATCAGATAAATAATAGCGTTTGCACTGCTATTGATAATCACACAAACCGTGACTAGAACAAACCATTGAACATTCTGATCTCCAAGCAAAACTGGGAATACACGAAGGAAAACCCATGCAAATGTATAGAAAATTGAGATTGAGAAGAATTGCATCGCATAAGTGAATTCTTTATTTCTCCGTAGTTTTTGAGCGGTAGGAGATACGATGTTAAGCACATTTTTGTTGGAATTATGAATTTTGTAGATGATCTGAAAAATATGATTTTTCGATAATGTCGGAAAGCGAATTGAACTTACCGACAAATAACAAAAGAATGCAATAATTGTGCTGGAAACGTTTAATGGTAAATCACTCAAACCACTATAATTCGGAAAATCTGGTTTTCTCGCATAGTTGAATGATATTATCTCATGATCAAACACAAATCTAAATTTTTATTTTTTTTCCAAAATATTTTTTTTAGAACAGTAAACTTACACACAGCATGGTAAAATGTATTGCACTATATATGCTTTTGCAAATGATAAAATAAAAGTTATCAGAAAAATTATATAGATATTACGATGTGTGAAGATGCTATTGTTTCGATAGCAGAATACTATGTATCTGAAAATCCCACGTTTCTCTCAAAAATCAAATAATTCCTTTGTACCTATTAGTCGCCATTACAATCTGTGTCATATTCACAGTATACCAAATCAATAATGCTAGAAATCCCATAAATTTGGGAATTCCTTCCTCGTTTATCTCTCCAACGATATAACTTTCAAAAATTATACATGGCGCTAAATAGAATGCGATTAGACACAAATTCACAATATCTGCGAGAATATTGAATAATGAGATGACATAAATTGATGATTTTTGGGGATTTTTTGCGAGTTTGAAAACCGGGCGAAAAACTAGGATGTTTGCAAGGATTCCGATAGAAGAAGTTAGGAGTATGAGAAATCCCAGACTTGTTTTCATTTGCATTTTTGTGGGGGAATGAGTGATTGCTGCTTATATATAGAATGTTATTGCTATTTTTGTTTGACTTTTTTGGTAAATTAGGGAATAGTACACATGTTCTATATGCTATATTTATTTTAGAAAATTAAAGAACATATATGTTGTCTATAATTTGAGAAAAATCTATATAATGAGGAAAACTTTATCGAATTTGCCAAATTTTCGATTGTTTTTGACTTGGTTTAATTATTTCGCTGATCTGTAATAAAAAACACTGCTAGAAAGAAATGAGATAAATTTACCTCTTGGTTGAAAATGAGATAAATAAACGCATTAGCACTGCTATTAATTATCACGCAAAATGCAATAAGTGAAAACCATTCTGCATTTTGGCCTCCGAACAGAACTGGGAACAATCGAAGAAAAACCCATGCAAAAGTATAGAAAAGCGAGATTGAGAAAAATTGCATAGCGTAGATGAATTCTTTGTTCCGACGTTGTTTTTGATCTTTGTAAGAAATGAGGTGAATGACAATTTTGTTGGATTTGTGGATTTTGTAGATAATCTTAACAATTTCAAATAGATACATGTTTGAAGCTGAAACTCACCGATGTGTAACAAATAACTGCTACAATTGTGCTTAATGCATTTAATGGTAAATCACTCAGATCTGTATAGTTCAGAATTTCTGACACTCGAATATAACTGTATGATAGAATTTCGTGATCAAATACAAACCTTAATTATAACAACTTATAAGGTTTTAAGAACAAAAGACTTACACGCAGCATGGAAACACATATTCAATTATGTATGCTTTTACTGTTGCAAAAACAAGAGTTACTACAAATATCAAGCAGATTTTTTGACGTGTGAAGATTTTATGATTGTTAGAACAAATCACTACGTATCTATGGAAACATTAGATTTTGAATCACAAAGTTTCAAAAAAATCAGTACCTATTTGTAGCCATTACAATTTGTGTTATGTTTCCGATATACCAAATGAGCATTATCAAAAATCCCATGAATTTAGGGATTCCCACATCATTTTCCGTCTCAAAAATATAGCTTTCGAAAATTATACATGGAGCTAAATAGAAAGCAGATTGACTCAAATTAACGATGTCTGCGAGAATATTGAAAAATGAGATAACATAAATCGATGATTTTTTAGGATTTATTGCAAGTTTGTAAACCGGGCGAAGAACAAAAATGTTTGCGAGGATTCCGACAAAAGATATCAGGAATATCAAAAATCCTAGACTTGTTTTCGATAACATTTGGTAAGATAAATACTCGTGGTTTTTTTAGTTTTCGATAGGAAATTAGATTTTTTTTTCAAATGCACAAGAACTTCATCTTACTGTAGAGCTGTTTTTTATAACGTCATGTTCTTTTTGAAAATAAAAAGGAAAAGTTGATAAAGTGTCAAAAATTATTAGAATTTCTTTCCATCGAAGATCCATAGGTGAGACTTCCACGTCGATGTTTGAGCATTTCGATTATCTGAAAAATTGTTTATTTTAGCGACCCTAAAACCTTTCTAAAACTCACTTCTCTATTGTAAATCAAATAAATGAACGCATTAGCCGCACTATTGATAATAACACAAAATGCAACGAGAGTATACCATTCCAAGTTCTGATCTTTTAGAAAAACTGGGAATAACCGGATGAAAACCCATGCAAAAGTATAGAAAATTGAAATTGAGAAGAATTCACGACCATTTACTCCAATAGAAAATTGCCCCTCGGGTCAGACGAGAGACGACGGGAGTCTGATGACGTCAATGGGACAGAGAAAGACATCGCTTCGAGATATTTGTGAGAAAATATGTGTCCCTTTGAAAAAATACCGTATTTTGTTTCAAGGAACACATGTTTTATTGAAAATATCTCGAAGCCGAATTCACTTTCGGGATATTTTTGCAAAATACTCTCGTCGTCTCGCGTCTGACTCGACGGGCGCCTTGTATGGTCGTGAATTGCATCGCATAGGTGAATTCTCTATTTTTTCGCATTTTTAGAGAAGTTGAGGACATTATGTGAATCACAGCTTTGTTGGACCTATGGATTTTGTAAATTATCTGAAAATATTTGAATATTTTTCTGGATTGGCTGAACAGATATAAAAAAGACTATTGGATAAGTAAATCTCTAATTGTAAGAGTTTTTTAATTGTTCATTACGTTATACTTTCTATTACTTTGAAAACTTAAAATAGTTTTTGGAACATTTTCTACAGAAATTCTGGGTATCTTTCGTGAGAGGGTTTAACTTTTTCCAAAAATTTCCAAAATTTTGAAATCAACAGTTTCACCTCACCGATATATAACAAAAGAAAGCTGTAATTGTACTCGAGAAATTCAATGGCAGATCACTCAAATCGCTATAGTTTGGAATATCTGGCCTTCTGGCATAATTGAATGACATTATTTTGTAATCAAACACAAATCTAAAAAGTGTTCACTGATTTGAACTCTCAAAATGATTCCCAACTTACACACAGCATGGTAACAAGTATTGAACGATGTAAGCTTTAGCCGATGAGAATATAAAAGTTATCAGAAAAAGTATATAGATATTACGATGTGTGAAGATTTTATGATTGCGATAGCAGATCACGATGTATCTGAAAAATATGTTTGATTCAGTATTTGCCACGTGGGATACTAACCTATTAGTAGCCATCACGATTTGTGTTATATTGATTATATACCAAATTAGTAGTGCTAAGAATCCCATGAATTTTGGAACTCCTTCCTCATTCCAATCTCCAATCAAATAACTTTCTAAAATAATACATGGTGCTAAATAAAATGAGGCGAGGCTCAAATTTGCAATATCTGCGAGAATATTGAATAATGAGATGACATAAATTGATGATTTTTTGGGATTTTTAGCAAGTGTGAAAACCGGGCGAAGAACTATAATGTTTGCGATAATTCCGATGAAAGAAGTTAGGAAAATCAGAAATCCAAGACCTGTTTTCAATAACATTTTGGTGTGGAATGAGTGATTGCTTTTGCTTTTATTTTTATTTATAATTTTATTGCTATTTCTGTCTACGAAAATTATGTTTTCCTAGAATAAGTGCATCTGGTGTTTATTGTTCAGAAGTTGTAGAACTTTTAAACAAGTAGAATCGTCGATTTTTGACTTTTCTGATAACCTGAAATTTTGTTTTCAAAAAAATATTTGTTGAATAATTGCATTTTACTCTTTTTACCTCTTGATTGAAAATTAGAAAAATAATAGCATTAGCGGAGTTATTAAATGTTACACAAAATACGATTAAAATATACCATTCACGATTCTGATCTCTGAAAAATATCGGGAATATTCGCATAAATAGCCAGGCAAATGTGTAGAATATTGAGATTATGAAAAATTGCATTGCATATGAAACATCTTTTTTTCGACGTATTTGTTTTTGATCTACAGATTTTATTGAGTCGGCTATTTTTGTTGTTGATTTTCGGACTTTGTAGATTATCTGAAACGCATGAATGTTGGTACAATTCATAGAAAAAACACATTTTTTTCGAAAGAAGAGTTCAGAATTTATAAAAAGTCTATTGTCCTAAATTTTACTGACCGATGTGTAACAAATAAAGGCTAAACTTGTAGTCATAATATCCAATGGTAAGCCAGTTATATCTGTATAATTTGGAATTCCTTCGATTATCACGTAGCCATAGGATAAATAAATGTGATCGAAGACAAGCCTTCAAAAGTTTCAGGTTTTATTATTCTGGAATTGAAGTGCTCTTACCGGCAACATGGTGAGAAAAATTGAAGAAAAACTGCTTTTGAAATTGCGATAACTAGAGTGATTCCAGAAAAAATGCAGATATTTCTGCGACTAAATATTGTATAATTTTGGCAGCAAATCACACAGAATCTGTTAAGCACCATTGAAATTTGTGAAATATTTCCAAAATACCAGCAAATCATATAAAAGGTTGACAAGAATACTGGAAAACCTTCGCTGTTATCATTTGATTCAGATAAAAAATACTTTTCAAAAATAATGCATGGAGCAAGATAGAAACTGGTTATTGATAATTGAAGAATATCACTTGCAATAATGAAAAATGAGATTGTGTAAATTGAAGATTGATTTGGATTTCTAGAAAGTTGATAAATTGGATGGAATATTACAATATTTAAAATTATTCCAATAAATGAAGTTAGAAAAAGAAGGAGACCAAGAAATTGTTTGAGCAACATTTTGGAAAATGACCTGGAAAATCTTGCCTGAAAAGTTTATAAAAATTATGCGGATGTGAAACAACTAATGAAATTCTGGTTCAAAACTATTTAGCGCAAAATTCCTAATAACGAAAAAAATTGAAGAAATTGTGAGTAGGATGATCTTTGGGGAATTGGTTGCGAGGTGATGAAACAGGATTTTTCAAAATCGGGCTATGAATAACTCGGAATGACTATTCTTTCCTCGGAAATGTTAATCAAGAGTTCAATTTGACCAGATAATAATTACTTAAAAACTGGTCGAATGCTTTCTTATTTTCATAATATATTTTTAATTTTATGTAAAAATAATGAAATTTTATTTAAAATGATTACATTCATCAATGGGTTACAGCAATAATCTTTGATCTTTTCTCCGAGCTTTGCGGAATTGTATCACTATGATGAATTGTACTTGAAGTTCCCCCGAAAACAAAATATCGACTGCGGCTGATCATTCGGATAATCTGAAATTTTATTTATTTTCAATTCCTCCCAGCAAATTTTCCTATTTTTACCTCTTTGTTTGAAATAAGATAAATGAAAGCGTTTGCACTGCTATTGACTGTAATACTAAATGCAATCAGGACAAACCATTCCAAGTTTTCACCACCAAACAACATTGGAAAAGTTCGAAGGAAAACCCATGCAAAAGTGTAGAAAAGTGAGATTGAGAAAAATTGCATAGCATAGATGTATTCTTTATGTCGACGTTGGCGTTGGGTTTGAGCTGTCATTGTTAAGGAGACGGTTTTTGTGGATTTTCGAATTGTGAAGATGATCTGAACACTTTGGAATTCTATTTCGGATATCATTTCAAATTCCTTTTTTCTTTTTTAAAACACACAAGCTTTGATCAAAACAAAATCTATGACGTGATTATTGTTTGATCTTTGTGAGCTCTAATATCTTATGATCTCTTAATTAATGAATTAACTCACTGATGTGTAACAGACGAAAGCTACAATTGTGCTCAAAGCATTTACTGGTATATCGCTCAAATCTGAATAATTTGTGATTCCTTCTTTAACCACATAATTATATGATAACACGTGATGATCGAAAATGAATCTAAACTCAGAATTTGGATTTGTCAGAATTTTCTCATTTGAAACTTACTCGCAACATGGAAAAACATATTGAATAATGAACGACTTTGCCGCTGCTCCAATTATTGTTAAAATAAAAATAATCGTAGTATTTCGCCTTGTGAAAAATGTATAATTTCTATAACAAATCACCGCAAATCGATTTGTAGCCATAACAATTTGTGAAACATTTCCAATATACCAACTGAACATACAACATGCTCCCAAAAAAACTGGAATCGGACTATTTATTTTATCTCCGAAGATATAGGTTTCGAAAATGATACATGGTGCCAAATAGAATGTTGATAGAAGAAGTTGGATGATATCATTCAAAATGTTGAAAAGGGAAATCACGTAGATGGTGGATTTCTCTGGGGACTTTGCGAATTTGTAGACTGGTCGGAGGACTATTAGATTTGCAAGAAGTCCGAGAAATGAGGAAATGAAGACTGTGAATCCTAAGATGGTTTTGACGGTTAGGATCAGCATCTAGAAAAAATGATTGAAAAGGGTCACTAAAAATAGATCTTTTTAAAGACTTTAAAACGTTTGATCTGAAGAATTTAGTAAACATCTTTCGAAATTCCAAAAAAATCATCATGTTAAAAATAACAAAAAAAAACGTCAAAAATAACTCATCAAAAATTAGTCAAAAATATGGTTTTTGTAGTTTGATTCTAAAAATCTTGATTGAGGTGAATATTCTGAAATTTTTAAAAACTATGTGATCTATGAGACATTTCAATAAAGTAAGGCGTACTTATAAACTTAAACTGAATATGGCAACATTCTAGTTACAACAAACTTCAAATATTTTTTATGTAGTTTAATTTCAAAAAGTATGATTTATTCAGGGATAATGTCAGTTTTGGAATAGGACAGTGATCATAGAATAGGAAATAGTTTTATGACAAAGTTTCTGATTCCCACATTACTAATAAGATCTTGTGAACTTAAATTTCTAAAGGCAGATTAAGCTAACAAGAAAAAAACATCATACACACAAAAAATGAATAATACTCTAGACAACCAAACTTCATATTTATCCCAATATTTGGTTGTTGTCTGATAATCAGAGCTATTCAAACACCAAAAGTACGAAAAATTTCACGCTTGATTGTCAAATATTTTCATTTTACTGACAACAAAAAATGATTAATGAAGTTTGAAAATGGTAGGCGGTGTATTTTTCACAGAATTGGAATTTTTGAGTGTTTTCAAAACATTGGAAACAAAAGATTTACACTTTTGAATATGATATAATTTGTTTTAAACTTCAGAAAATAGACCACAACAAAAAATTTATTCAATACATATCAATTCAAAATTAAAATGGAGCGTATCTTCCACAAGATGGAAATTGCACGTTTTCACAATCAAAATCATCAAATTGATTGGAATAAATCCTATATTGGAAACATGGGCCGGAACCATCGAAGTCAGCAGGCATCAAGGATTCGAAGATTGTTGAGTTGCGAGAAACATCGGGAAACCAAGTGAACTAAAAGTTTTGGGGTTGTTTTGTATGATACAGAAACTTCTCACCGATTGATATTTACAAGTAGCTCTCGAACCTGCATCACCCATCCCAGAACCAAGACACAAATTCCTGTCATCTCTCTCAGCTCCTAACAAGACAAAACTGTCAGTTGTATTTTCAGTGATGAAATTTGAAACACGATTTCGAAAATTATCCGCCTCTTCTTGCGATTCAAATCCGTTCAACACCGCGTTCTGATTTTCACAATAATTTCGACCTTCTGTATAGTTCATAGTTTCATTATGAATTGTAAAACACCATTTCAACCCGTTTGCTCTACGGAACCAAAGCCAATCTTTAGGACAATACGGAATTCTTGTCATATTCTCTATAAGATCTGCTGAGCAATCAGTTCTAGTATCAATCAATTTAACAATTGTTTCCTTCACGTATTGGTCTACTGTGAAGTTCATGCAAGTCGGATAATATGTGCAATTATTTTGAGCATCTAGTAATAATTGATACATCATGACACCCTCTGAGTTATTGAAAATGGCAAAATAGCAATTAATATCTGCACAGTATTCCAAGAAAATGTCACCAATTCCAGGCGAATCCATTCTTCCAATAACACTCGGAGTTCGGGTAAGTAGATAATTATAGTCAACGTTGTATTTGATAAATGAACTATTGGAAAACATAATGAATGAAAAAATAAAGAAGAATAGTAAGAACTTCATTTTTTGGATTTGAAAAGAATAAAAAAGGAAAAAAACGAGAAAACTAATGTTTGTCTCTATGGTTATTCAATGCAATGTTTTGCTGCGATGTTCTGTTGATGATGGTCCATGAGTGGATGAGTAGTTGACTGGCTTTCGGCTAAAGATCACGCTTGACAAATGACGTTTCACCTGGAAATTGAAATATTGTGCGGAGAGGAGAAGACAAAAAGAAATAATTCATCGTTTCATGGAAGTTTTTTTTTAGAAAATATCAAGAGAATAATCATTTCTGATTTTTTTTAAAGTTAAAGCTGTTTCGAAAATTGGTGAAACATAATTATAGCCAAAATGTTTGGTCAGAGAACAACATGAACAGGAAACAATTCAGGTGCTGAATATCAATTTTAATTAATTCAACACTTTTGAAAACAAATTGTTTATAATTTTCTTTTTTCTCTATTTGTACATAGTTCTAATAATAATTTCCCCAATAATAAAAAGTACAACTACCATACCTCTGCATTTCCGAAAAGATAAACAACCGCATTCGCACTACAATTACAAGTGTGAAATGAGGCCGTCAAAATATACCATTCAACTCCGCGATTTCCAACAACTAATGGAAAAACACGAAACAAAACCCAACCAGAAGTGTAGAAAATTGAGATAATCGAAAACTGAATAGCATACGCAAATTCACGTTTTCGACGGCGTTTTTGGTCATCACTGTTCATTGCAGATTGTACACATTTTCGAGAATTTTTAATGTTCCGGAAAACGAGGGAATAGCAAACAATGTTGGTGATTGAGGTCAGAGCATTCAGGGGAATATCACTTTTATCGGTGAGGTTTGGGAGATTGTCGATCTGAAGGTAGGAATACGAAAGAACAGCTTGATCCACGATGAAGCTGGAAAATATAAAATTATCCGCAGGCTTCCAGATTTTTTCTAGTTTTTAATTTTCAGTATATTTTATGATTAGCAAAAAGGTAGATTCTTATTTTCCGACTCAGATTACGGTTCGAACTGAACTTTATTAGAGTTTTTTTTTATTTTTTGGAGTTTTTCACTGTTTCAAAAAGCACAATACACAACAATAATTCAAAAAATTTGAAAAAAAGCTCACGCGCAACACGGAAAAACATATTGAATGATATAAGCCTTTCCGGCCGCGAAAATCACAGTCAACACAAAAATAATCGATAAATTTCTTCTGGTGAAAAACTCTCCATTTCGATAACAAATTACAGCCAAACGATTAAGAGCAATTACGATTAGAGTGATATTTGCAACATACCAACTGAACATGAAAATTGCGGAAATGAAGATTGAAGAAGCACTGGCTGGAGAATCGGAGAGAATGTAGTTCTGAAAATGAATCGTGGTGTTGTTTTTTATGCCTCCCAATTCGGAAATCAGAAAAATCTTTTCTCAAAAACAGTTTTCCACCTTAGATATAACAAAATCAATAGCTAAACTCACATCCATAATAATGCCTGGAGCCAAATAAAAACAAGTTATAATCAAATGAATCGTGTCATTACAAATATTAAAAGCCGACAAAAAATAAATAGTGCTTTTCTCTTTCATCAAAGCAAACTTGAAAACCGCCATAGCCACCAATAAATTGGCAAAAAGTCCCATCGAAGAGAAAATTAGAAAAATAAATCCCAAAAGGGATTTGAGTTGGAAAGACATTGTGATCATCATGATGATTTCTGGAATTTTTTGGGTTTTATAATTTTTTGCAGACAAACAGATAGTAAACAAAATCAAGAAAGTATTCAGAAAAAAATCTGGAAGATCGGTTTTCTGGTTTTTGTAAAGTTATTCCATGAATTTTACAAATCCCAAAAAAGTTTTGAAGCAGTAATTTTTTCAAATATGTTTTCCAATTTTTTTTCAGAATTTTGAAATTTTGAAACAATTATTATTAAAAAAATCATTTGAATTTTCAGTTCAAAAATGAGTTTTACACTTCTTTTCCGGTTGGATAAATATTTCAGAATTCTTTGATTTTTGGGCTGAATAGCCATTTTGTCAAAGTTATAATCACAAATACTTTTGTCTTATATCGTTAGATTTTTTTGAAAAATCACAAAATTAGGTTTTCTATAAACATCAAAAATCTATATAAACTGAAAATGAGAGTTCGACGCTTAATCTTCCCTTTTAAAAGATTAAAGTAACATGTGATCTTAGAGAATATTTGTATTTCCAAGAAAAGGGGTGTCTTAGACTGAATGCATTGTAGCGTGTAAGTACTTTGATCATAAGACATAACAGAATAATAAAATAATTTATTTTTAAGAAGCACTCGGATAATTCAAACAAGGTGATGTCGAATTGTCCATAGAGTACATTGATGGATTCGCGTAGACACTAGCAACGCATTTCACACGATTTGCCTCGTTCAATTCCACAAATTGCGCGGGATAATAACTCGGATCATAGTAATTTATCATTCCTCCATAACTCGCTGGCGCACAATCGCATGGTTGATCTTTCCAAGACGTTGACCAATCAGGTTCGTAGCTCAGATTATAATACATTGTGTCGAATTGTTGAGGCATTCCTTTGCAACTCAATGTGCTTTCTGAGCCATAAGGAACATCAAAATATCCGCAGAACCATTTGAATGCTTTGATTCTTCGATTTTCTCCACCTTGTCCTGGATCAGCTGAATCTTCTCCAGTACATTCGTTGTTAATAATAAGACTAGTTGGTCCAAAGATAGGGCCAGAGTATCCAGCAGCATCATTTTTCTCGCCAGCATTCCAATTTCCCATAACAATATCATGCATCGCGGGTTTTGGTGGTTGTGGTGTCATATAAAACCAAAGCGACGCCATAATAGCTAAAGGTGGATTCATTTTTGTCATCACCAAATTTGGATTTGCCAACAAATCCACATCAATTTCCTGTGTCTTTAACCAATCATTGAATTGTCCATAATTGTAATTATAAGATATTTGGATAGCACCTCTTCCAAAATAACAACCAGTATAAGGTGTAGATGTAGAATCACTGGTTCCATTGGAGCATTTGTAAAAATAATCAATTTGGCTGGATGAAGCGCAATAGAGTCCAGATTTAATGCAAGCATCTCCATCAGCTGGTTGATAACCAGGGCTTTCTGGATTGAGGAATGAGGAGACTGGACCACCTTCAAACCAATTATAGAGACCGCCACGATAGAAACAATTGTCAGCAGCTGTCGAATTCATTGTGCTGAAAATTAAGGTTTGAATTTTGAAAAAAAAAAGAAAAAAAAATCACTTGAATAAATAAATAAAATTCATTTTTCTGCCATTTCATAACTACAGACCTGTCGTTTTGCGGCTATTTGCGGCCCTCGGGCCAGCCATGTGAAGGGCCGGGCTAGCCAGCCCAAATAGGGAAAATGGGCTGGCTCAGCCCGGCCTTTCCAACAAATTTTATTGTGTAAATGCACTATTTTTCAATGGTGTTTCTTTCGAATTTTTTCATTTTGGCGGAAGAAACTTGGCGAATTTCGTGTTTCTAATGGTGGATTGATAATAAAAGTAAAATTTATTGAAATTCATGTGTTTCACCATTACGATCCTGCACCAAAAACAATACTTCGAAGAAATATTGGTGCACTAACACCAATATAACTTATTCTGATTTACGAAAGTCGCCCAAATGCAGAAAATTTGAGCAAAATCATCCATTTGTAAAAATCCCGAATTGTCATCAAAAAATTATGAAGGGCCGAAAAAAGGGCTGAAACAGCCTCCTATAAAAAAAGAAGGGCCGGAGGGCCGAAAAAGCCCGCATTTTTCGAATTTTGAAGGGCTGGCCCGGCCCGGCCGCCCAAAAACGACAGGTCTGCATAACTAATTTCCAAAAAAAAAACTCACTCATACAATGCGATATTATTCTCACCAGTTTCCTGAATCGCATGCGCAAAAAACGCCGAAACATCTCTTTTCCGGTTTTGTTCCGTAGAATAGACACTATTATTCACATTTAATCCAGTTCCAAAATTCGGAAAATATCTCGAGGCAATAATAAATGCTTCATACGAGTATGGCCAGCAACTATTTGGTCCCCAACCAATATTTGCTTTTGGGAAGAGTTCCTAGAAAATCATAACTAATCACGAGTTTTAGCACAGCGTGGGCACTTGGTCCACGTCACAGTCTAACTCACATTGAAAATCTCCTCAGTTAACCAAGATTCTAGTTCGGTTTTCGATTTATTATTGGGATCAGAAGGCTGTGTACATGGTGTTTCTGGGCCAGTTCCATATTTCGTTGCAGCCGGGCAATCTGAAGCACTTCCATAATTCGAAGCAGCCACGAATGAATTCAAAAACGTGAGAAGTATCAAATAATTAACACACATTTCGTTAATTAGTGAAGGCCATCTCGATTTATTTATATAGCAATTTTGTTATCTTGATCTCATCAGATATGCAAATTTCAATTTCAACATCATCACCAAAATAACAGGTTGATTGGGGGATTTGAAGAAACATCAGGTGAAATCAGAAGATGTTTTGCTGTTTGTGACATTTTTAGATTATTCAAAAATTTTATGTGGAAAATAAATAGAAATTTTACGTAATTTATGAATCGGGCCAATTTTTGATTTTTGTTTTGATGAACTTCATGATATCAGAAATCTAAATGAAAATAATTATTTTATTCATAACCGGTCTACAGTAATTTTCTAGATGCGGAATTCTTTTTTCTAGAATTAGAATTTTTCTTTTAAATAATGCTTCTTATGAAAATATCATCTTTCCAAATGTTCAACTTTGAAAATCCACGTCATTTATTGAATCATACAAGAAACAAAACAAACTTATAATTATTTCAGTCGAAGTTGCCTTTTCTCAGAATCCAAATCATTCTTTGCTGAGCAAAACTGAAAAGCTTACAATTGTCGAATATTCTGAATCGGCTGAATAGTAACTGTCGGTGATTTTTGTTGTTGCGATGTTTTGAATTGCCGCTTAACTTCTCGATCGAAAATCAAATAGACAAACGCATTTGCACTTGTATTACAAACATTGAAAAGTCCAATTAGAATAAACCAACCAAGATTCTGATTTTTGAAAAGAATATGAAACAATCGAAAAAGTATCCATCCAAAAGTATAAAAAAATGAAATAAAACAGAATTGAAAAGCGTATTTGATTTCTTGATTTCGTCGTTTCTTTTGAAGAAAAGATGTCATTGAAGATTGAATACTTCGACGAGTATCATGAATATTTTTAAATATCAAACTATAAAAAATAATTGTTGAAATTGAGGTCAAAGCGTTTAGTGGAATATCACTTATATCTGATAAATTATCACGACCATCTATTGTATAATATGAGTAAGAATAGACACCTTGATCTACAATAAATGCACAACATGGAAATATATATTGAACTAGATAACTCTTGACAGCGGCAAAGATTATGGTAAGAAAACAAGCGACTGATAACTTTTTCTTGGTGAAACATGAAGTTTGTGAATAAACTATAACTAGAAGTCTATTCGTTGCCATCATAATTTGAGTGATATTTCCTATATACCAGCAAAACATATAGATTGTTGAGACAAAAATTGATACAGGACCATTTATGGTGTTAGAGAAAAGATAGCGCTAGAATTTTGTGGCGGTTTTGTATTTTCAGGATGATTTTTTTAATTTTCGGAAAGTTATGAGTAATCATATGAAATTTTGCATGAAAAGTGCACCTGCTAAAAATTTGAATTCTATTTTGAAGCATTTTTTGGACTTCTTTCCGAAAAAAATATAACAAATATCGTTTTTTTTTGAAGGATGATTTGAGGTCTTGGAATTTTTTAGGAATTTTAGGAAATTGGAAATGAAATTATATTTTGGCATTTTGTGGCTCTGCACTGAAACCCACATTCAAAACAATTCCTGGTGCCAAATAAAAACAAGTAATCAACGAATGAATAATATCAAAAAATATATTAAAACTCGACAAAATATACACATCTTTCTTAGTCATCAATCGAAAAACCGGAATAACCACAATCAAATTGGCCAATAGTCCGATCCATGAGAAAATCAGAAAAAATAAGCCTATATAAAATTTGAGCATAGGGCTAATTGCAGTTTTTGAACCAAATGATATTACTTTGAAGAAATTTAATTATAAGGTGAGATTTTGTTAGCAGAAAAGTTCATTCTAGGAAAAACGTGCTATTTTCAGAAAACTTTCAGCTGTTCAACTTTGTTTTGTTTTTGTTATGGACTACATTTTTTTTGATAAAGGAATTCCCCAAAAAATATATTGATAAAAAGTGCAAAGAATATGTTTGTTTACGTATGTTGCGTAGCCATCCCAAACCTAAAGAAAGAACGGAAAAATTAAAAGTGTGTGTCAACACCAACTGGTCCGCAAACATTTAATCTTACGCGCTGACGCGAAAAGGCGCTGCAGAATAGAAAACACGCTGCTCGCCTATTGTATTTTTTGGGGATTTTTAAAAATGGGAACCCCCCCCCCGGATTTTAAAAGGGACACGTTAAATGTATGAACATTGGGAACCCTGAAAGTCTTTCAAGCTTTGCTTTTCCCAGGGAGAATACTAGTTTTTGATAAAAAAATAAACGATATATCGAAAAGTTACATACACCGTGACGTAAAAATGCACAACATTTGGTCAAAAACAATTTTGGCCTTGTGGAAGATGTGTACCGATAGCTCAGCCAGTTCTAACTAAAAGATTTCGTGTGTCGTGAAAGCTATGCTGATTAAAACCCTAATTTCTGTGATTTGTTTTCTATTTTTCAAATTTTACATTGTAGTTAAAAAACAATATATTTATCATTACTTATGTACATATAAAACTACAGATTATCAATACATGTATTATTGTAGTGTTGCGTAGCCATTTGATAATTGATAAGTATTCTGATCAACAATAATAGGTGATCCATTCGATTCAACAATATCCATAAGTTTGGATTTTTTTGTTTTCTCGAGGTAGAATTGATTTGAAGTATCGATAAATTTACAAGGTCTAATACCACTCTCAATTGCCATTTTCGCCGCGCCAATCTCCAATTTCTCACTCAAATTTTTGCCGCGATGATTGTCAGAAACGTATAAATGTGCAAGTGCTCCGTGTGAATTCGATGAGATAATTCCGGCCAATTCATCGCCTTTTTTCACACACAACGAAGGGAATCTACGCAATTTTTCAGTGATTAGCTCAGTTGTTTCAGTGGAAGTGCTTGAGATCATATCGGCGTGTTTTGTTGGATTTGGAATATCGATTGAATATCCATCGGGAAGATCAGAGGCTCCTTCGTAGTTTCGATATTTGAAGAGTTGACTCTCGTTCATGGCAAAAAAGTGGGTGGATTTGTTAGAGACTTTCGCGCCAATGTTCTTTTTTGACATATATTTTGAGATCTGGAAAATGGAATGATTGAATATTTTGAAGATTTGCAGGGTTATAAATTTCATTGGGGCTAACTTGCACACCCGCTTTAGAATTTTCGTCCAAATTTCGATCCCTTTCCGCACTCACCGCTTCCGTATAGCACTTTTCCGCAACAGTTGATGGCGTCTTCGTCGTACTCACAAACAATCCCAATTTCTTGCAAAACTCATCAAAAACCGTCAAAAAGTCCTCCTCTCGGAACTTTCCATCATGCGTGAATATCTGTTTATCCTTGTCCAAATCATTGCTCATATTAGCCAACCAATAAGTTGTTCCATTGATATTTTTCGAATACAATTCAGTTCGAGTAGTTGGGAAAGTTCCATTTATTTCAAATTTGATTGGATGATACATGAAAAGTTGGCGAGGTTTTCGGAAGTTTTCGACGACTGTTTTTAGAGCATTTCGAGTTGTATAAGCTTTCATATTTACTTCTAGTTAAAGTTGAAAAATGATAATACTAGAAGATACTTTGGCCTTTCTTTTATACTTGTTCCTTTGACAGATAAGCTCCGCCCACTTTTTTCAATTTATTTGATTTCCCACGGAGGCCACGTGGTAGAATTCTATTAGATGCAACGCAGAGAAAAACAGTTTTGTTGTCGATGAAATAAACATTTTGACAAAGTTTGATCTTAGAAGATTGGAAAAAAAAGAGAAGAGACTGTGAGAGATGGTATCTAATATATATTGTTTTGTTATATTTGCTGGTTGCGTCAGTTTTCGTTTCCCAGAAATATTGAGACGATTCAGGGAAACAGAAGAAGATCAGGCACGTAGGATGATAGCAGAATTAGATATTTGATAAGGAATTTCAGAGGTTTCGTTGAATTTAAAAAAAAAGTGTTGATCGCTTTGAGGTTAAAACAACTGTTCCGAATTTCAGAATTTAGCTATTATCGTGCATACCTTTGAAACAAATAATTTTAAGATTGAATTTTGTTGAAACTTCAATTTTCACCAAGAACAAAAGTCGATTTTTCAAAAACTCTTGAACTACAAATTTTAAGACAAACATTATATTCACGTAACATCCTTGGACTACAGAAAATGTTCTCAAAAAACCCAAGAATTCTTCCATATTTCCAACAAAAACCGCAAATTTCTTCTATCTCCAAAAACCTTCCCTTTCTTGTTTTTTCTTCAAATAACTGTTTTGTTATTTTGATTGCATCAGAATTTACATCAGATTCTTACCAAAAATACATACAAAAATGATGAAAATATAAAAATCTTCAACAATTATCATCATTTTTCGATTTCTCACAAATCAATATTTTTTTCAAAAAAGTCCAAAGTCTATGGGTCAAACATTACCAATTGAAACTTTTTTTTCATTTTTTCTCTCGCATCGAAAAATATTTGAGAAAACAAACAGATAATGAAAATTTTGGGAATCGTTCAAACATCACAAAATGAAAAAAGATTGTTGTTATGATTTTTTCAAAGATAAGGCAAAATGGAAGAATTTAGTTGGCACGTGGGGTACTTTTTATCACTTTTTTGGGTACAAAAAATACCTCTAACTGTTTAACACTGTTTAATCTAGGAGTTAAACAATTCTTCAGTGTCCGAGTTATAGAAATCTTGAAACAGTGAGAAATATTCAAGATAAACACCATGACGTGGCAATAACAAAATTTGAAACCAACATCAAAATTTCAAGCTTCACCCGAATATATTTTGCCCCCAAAACCCACATTAAATTTAGTTCAAAATACCTTCATTCATAAATATTCAGATCTCTTTTTCCAAGCTCGAACTATTTTTCGATGTTCCTTTCTTGGTTGTAGTTGTGCCGCTTTCAGTACTTACACTAGTTTTCTTCTTATTTTTCTTCTTGTTTTTCTTTCCAATTTGCATATTTTCATCAATTTTGTTGATTAGCGTCAAAAACTTTGGATAATCCACAAATTCGTCTTCTTTTCCAGCTTCGCTTGGAGCCTGGAAATATATCAAATTATTAATCATGTACAAATCAATATCATTTCAGAATTCTGAAAAAAATGATAGTTTACGGATACAAAACGTCCCGGAAAAAATTTCGTAGATTTTTTAAAACAGTAAGAATTTCTTGAAACAGTAAATTTTCGAGAGAAAAAATTTTAGATAACTCAATTTTTTTCAATTTTTCACATAAATTCACATCTTAATTTAAATTTTAGCTGGAAAAAGTTTATGGGGTGTCTGAAATCATGGTGTGTTTGCAGTTTAGGAAATTCAAAAACTTAAGCCAAAAAATTTTTGAAACAGTGAAAATTTTTCAAATTTTCGTAGATGCGAAATATATTTTTATTTCATATTTTTTTCTAATTTATCGTATAAAGTTTTGAAACATTTAAATTTTTATAACAATTTTTGGGTTAAAAATCACTTTTCTGGAACAAATTTTCAACCCCCCTTTCAATAAAACTCACCAAAAGTTTCGATTTTTCATCGGTAACTTCTTTTCTTGTCACCATACAAGCATAACATTTTCCAAAATTATCCTCAATACAATCATTACAAAACGACGATTGTGAATATATACAAGATATATTCACACAGTATTTCAGCTTCCTCGCATACAATTTCTCCTGGCACAAAAAGCATTTGCCGGTCTTGAAAATGCGCTCAAAAATTTGAGTTCGTAGAAAAGTTCCAGCTGTCAGGAAATTATTAGATTGTTGTGTTTGCACTTTTCTTCGATCGGTCAAAAATCGAACACGAGCACGGGCTTCTTTTCGATTCTTCTCGCGATTCATCAAAAGTTTGTTGTAAAAATGGACGAGGCGAGTTCGTGATCGACGTGGAAACATGAATGGAAAGAAGAAATTGATGATTAGGCGGCGAATTGCAAATGAGAATATAACCTGCAAAAAAATGAAACATTGGCCAATATTGGGGGATAGCTTTATATTCTTATACACATGCTTAGGTGGAATTCCTTATAAAACTTTGGGAAAACTAGAATATTTACGTTTTGAAAAAGTGAAACATTTTACGATAAAAGAACAAACAAACAGATCCAATTTTTTTTATTTGAAAATTATTTGAAACAGTGAAAATTTAAAAAATAATAGAAGACGAAAATTATGAAAATTGGTTTGAAATTGTTTAAATGTCATTTTCGAAAATTATTTTTTCCCGATTAAAAAATCTCCTACCTGAAAAACAAACGAAAAAACGAGCGGTAAAATGAGCCAACAAACAAGTAAGGTAACATTTGGTCGAGTTGGTTTCGTCAAACAATGCTCATTTGAAAGTGTTCGATCAATTTCCAATGTTTCATTCATAACTGACATTGTGCGCATGAATTCGGCAACAATTCCATCACCAGTCACAGTTATTCCCATTGGTGGACCACCTTTTTGTTTGACCTGGATTAAAAAAATCATATTTTAGGTAGATGTGAGGCGTTTTTGAGGGTAAAATTAGTAAGGTTCAGAATGAAGCTGAAGCTCTTGCCGAATTTTAAGGCACAAAAACTAGAACCCCGATAATTTTTCATCCGGGTTTTTATAGAAATTTCAAGAACGGCTAAAAATCCAGGAATTTTGAGCTGAACATATATTTTTGAGAAATAGTTCGTTTATTTGAATCTGGTTTGCACAAAAAAATAAATATTTTGAAACATATGTAGAATATTCCTAATTTTTACCAAAAGGCAATATTTACTCAATTTGTCAAGAATAAGAGAATTATGCATTTTCATAAAATTTGAAGCTCCATAACTTGACTAACAGATACATTCTCCAAAATCCTTTAAAATTCTCACCTGAGTAACCGAACTCTCAATAACTGAATCCAAAAACGAATACAAAAAATGATCAATAATAACAAGTATAACAACCGTAATCATCAAGCAAAACCATTTGAAAAACGGACGAATTGCACTTTTTCTTTCCATTCCTGTTGGAAATTTGAAAATTCCCATTATTTTTAGCTTCGTTTTTTCTTGCTTGGTAATTCTGGAGATATGAGTCTGGCCAAGTTCTTCGCGATGTTTATCGATCAGCCAAAATTCTCTATAAAAAATTATTCGCAAATTTATAAGACTCTGATTAGAATTACAAACTTTGTGATATAACAATTACTGAAATCCACATCATCCCGATATTTTCTAATCATTTTCACCGCATCGCGGAAAATCGTGTAGATGAAATAAATGAACAACGCTTGGAAAAGTTGCTTTGATATCCCAAAAACTCCTTTAATCATCAAACTCGCTGATTTCATTCGAACTTTCAAGTCAGATAATCGATATTCGATGGCAAGCCTCGAACCTTCGACTTTAACCTGATTTAGTGAGATTTTCGAATTCTTATCGAGTTCATCTGCGAGGCCAATGATGTCTTCGATGTCGTGTTCAATTGAAGGATCAGAATCGGTGTAGGCGAGTTGTGCGCGACATCTTTTAACTCCGTTTATTTTTCGGCTAGCTGTCTGAAATAAATAATTAATAATTTCTTGTCATTCATGTATTTTTTGGAAACAAAAATTTCAAATTTGTAGTTTTTGTAGTTTCCGGAATTAATTGTTTGTTATTTTTCATTAATTCAGCCGATTCTAACCCTTTCCCCTCCCCTGAAAACTCACATTGCACATATTCTCAATAGTCAATTTCGGACAAATAAACGAGCTGGCTGGCCACCAAATCGCATCTCTACATGCATCTTGAATACTCGTCGATGAATCCCTGCACACATCAATTCCTTTGTTAAACATCTCCTCGCATTTCTGTTGCAATTTCTTCGCAAATTTTTGCACGATTCCCCATTTTAAATCTCATCCAAGCTGGTTGATCATCAAAAGTCTCATTATAATATAAATGTTCCGGTGGTGAATTGTCCTTGAATAATTGATTATTCTCATTCAATTCTCTTCCCAATGATTTTTCATACATTTTCACGATTTGCTCACGTCGTTTCTCGATCTTCACCACCTGTTCTTTTGTCAATTCTTCAATTTTCTCATCTTCAGTCGCTCCTTCATCATCTTCATGAATAAGATCCATAAAAGGACCCAAAAGTGTTCGAGTTCCTCTCGCCAAATTTCTCATAGCTCGTGTTCCTTTCGTGGTCAATTGCTCTATTATTTTCTGAAGCGGACCTGTCATCAGAGCCACCCGATTTGCAACAATTTTTCCCTGCAAATCGATATGGCAAATCACGATATCAGCCGTAGTTTGATAATTATTCATCATATTCGTGATTGGCCCATCGTGTAGGTTGCTGGCGACAAGCATTGTGAATGGGTCTGAAAATCGACATTTTTGGAAGAACTATGGAAGAAGGAGGGGGTTCTTACATTGTCCCTGTTTTCCGAAGGCACCGATTAGCACGCAGAATAAAGCACATCGAAATATCTGGAAAACTTCGAAGATTTTAAGGGGAAACAAACAGAAAATTAATTTTCTCGGCGAAAAAAAATAAACTTTTTACAATGCTCCGCATTTACGGTCAGCCCGCGCATTCAAAACTGCATTTTTTTTGGAATATTTTTTAAAACCGATTTTCTCACCGAACTTGTTGCAAAAGCGTATGTGGACGATCCAATAATAATTGCCTGAATAACCCTCGAGTATGTTTCATTGAAACTTCCAAAATTCAACGAATTCCACGCCACATAATACAAAATCGTGGCAACTGCAAAACCAATCAAGGCATTGAAAACAATCCGAAGATAATGATAATCCGAACTCTCGCTGCGCACTAAAAAATCCGTCAAAAAACTTATATTTTTCCGCTCGCGGATTGCCGCCCTTCGCGGATCATCGAAAAATCGCATAAGCGAAACAAATTATGTTGGTCCCTCTTTCGGAAAAAATTTAAAAATAAGAAATGTTTAGAATGGCTCATCACGTTTGAAAAATTCATGGTTTCCAAGGACATCACGTTACGCTTTTATTTTTTGGTGAGTTAGTCTTTTTTGTTTGGCTTGGGACGCATTCTCATTTTTTCTTCAAAAAAAAAGTATGGCGGATAAAGTGTGTGGCTGTAATGTTGTTACATCAGCCGGAGTTGTGACAAGTCTTCAATTGGTCGTTTTGGTATTGACGCTCTCATCGAGTGGCCTGATTTTGGACAGGGATCATTTGTGGCAGGCGATTTATCCGAGAACACAGTATAATGCGACAGCGCAAGCTGCGGCGGTAGGTTTCGGGGAAAATCTGGAAGGGAAATGTTTAGGAATCAAAAAATGTAGAAATTTGCCCTTTTGCCCTCTGATCACGTTTTATGACTTTTCATACTTTCGAAATTACAAAATTTATAAAAATTCGTAAAAAATCACTGTTTTAAAATATTTCTAAATTTTAGGAAGGATTTTTGCGGAAATTTTTTACTTTTATAAAAATTTGAAGTTATGAAAAAATTCCAAACGTTTTGATTTACTTTAAAAAAATGAAACTCAAAAGTTTGTTCCATTTGATTTGTTTGTCTACAGTAACTTGAACTGATATACAGTATTCACATTTCACCTTTTCACTTCTTCTTTGTTTCAGAACGGAACTCTGAAATTCAACGCAACAAATTGGGCTCAAGCGTGGGTTGAATTGGGCCAAGCGTGGTACGTTGGATTTGGTTCCTATTGGCTCTTCTCAATTTTGATCTTGGTTTTATCTTTCAAATATTATCGACCAGTTTTTGTGATTCCCAATTTCACAGCTCTTGTTGTTGGATGCTTTATGAATCTTTTTGAGTTCGGTGAGTTTAAGGCCTGTGAAAAATAAAGATACATTTCTTATTCCAGCCGTTTTACTCGCTCGAATCCTTGTTGTCTCCAAAGACTATCGAACTGATGAATATGAAGAAGTTATTTATATTTATGTGATGGGTCTTTCGCTTTTCGCATTCATTTGCTGTATATTTTTTATTATTTTCATCTCAAAATATCACAAATTTCTTCGTAATCGATATGGCCATCAAGTTCCGAAATTTGTGCAATCAAGAGCAAGAACCGGTTATCACGATGAGGCATATTAATAAAAATGTTTTAATTAATAAAATGATTTACTGTTCACATTATTTTATACATTGACAAAATGATTAATCTAGAAATTATTTTTCAAACTAATGAGACGATAAGTTTATCGAAAAAAAAAGCAAAGCCAAAATACAACTTTTTTGAACAGATACCTTTTTTTTGAACAATACATTTTTAAGATTTTTTTTTAAAGTTCAATTAATCTAATGTTACCTCCACAAGTCATTTTTAACGCTTTAAGCTAGAAGAAGTTGTAATTTTTTTCTGATTTTCGCAGATCTCAAAAAACTTTTGTTAGGTAAATTTCACAAACCTTTCACAAAATGATTGTAGTTGATTTTTATCCATATTTGCTTGTTTGCTCAAGTATGTGCGTAGCTGTTACTTTGTTGCTCTTCTGATTTCACTCCCACATGGATTTTTTCCATTCATTCCACAAATACATATTTATTCTTTGTTTAGCCAATACACACAGTATACTAGACATGACAAAATTTAAACGTTTTGATCTACAAGGAATTCGTGGATTGGCCATTCTTGCAGTTTTGGGTTTTCATTTTTTTCCAGATATTTTTCCGAATGGATTTTTGGGAGTCGATCAGTGAGTTAAAAATGGGGCCTGTGGAATGGGAAAATGTCAGGTGTGACAACATTGCTCAGGTTAGGGTACTGTAGGGTTTTTGAGAAAAAAATTTCAAAATGTTTCTTGATAGTAATTTTGAGGATTGTTGTGTGGAACTTTTTTTTAATGATTCAGCTCTTCAAAAATATTTCAGATTCTTTGTATTGTCTGGATTTTTGATGTGCATGTTATTAACAAAATCCGAGAACGATTCGAAACTTCAAATTTTATTCATTTTCTATTCTCGACGATTTCGCAGAATTCTGCCACTTTATCAACTTGTTATCTTCATCTCTCTAATATTTCTTTATCTTTATTTTCCGGATAAAACAATCCAAGGAATTAATGAATCTTCAGCTCAAAATGCTATTATATTTATGTCAAATCAAATGAAAAGTGATGAAGAGAATTATTTTGAAAAGCTTGCGAATTCTGTGGATATTTTCACGCATACTTGGTCACTTTCGGTTGAAATCCAATTTTATTTGATTGCACCTTTCCTGTTTTTGCTGCCATTTCGGAATGTTACGTTTTATGTGATTTTGTTGAGCAGTTTGTGGTATTTTTTTACACTTCCGAAGAGTTTTGCGTTTTTCAATGTTTTTGCGAGGATTTGGCAATTTATGATCGGTTGGTTTTGGAAATGAGATTTTTTTCAAATTCTTGTATTTTTTTCCAGGAATGATAACCTTATAATTTGAGCCAAAAATATTCTAATAAATATCAGTTATTGAACAGCGAAGATTGTGAAAAACAGGAGCCTGAAAAAGAGAAAAACTATCAAATTGAAAAATCGAGCTGGATTTTACCATCAATTATATTATTCAACATTATCGTGGTATTCTTTCCGATCCCATTTACTGCGCACATTTCAAGGTAAACTTTTAAAAAAAAACAAAATAGGTAACCGTCTAACCTAGGCCCGCAAGGGGTCACGATACAGCGACGGCTCGCATGGAACGCACGGCAGCTAACCGCTAGGCCATCAGGCACCCGAGAAATTTGCTAAACTTTTGAGTTGATATTTCAACCTACAAGTTTTTGTATAAACTGCAAAAAATCGTGTTCAAAATATTAAAAGAATTTTTAGGGTTGATTTTTCCGATAAAGTATTTTTTTCTGAAACAGTTAACTTTTTTCGGAAAAGAAAAAAGAGAAAACTCATTTACCACGTGGAATTTTTTGAAATAAAAATTCACTCGATCGGAAATTTGAAAAATTAAATGAAACTATGGATTTTCCAGACCGCTTATCACCTTACTAACTGGAATTGTAATCCTTTCATCAACTGGAGATCAATATCTACTCTCAAATAAAACTCTCGTTTACACCGGAGATATTTCATATTCCCTATATCTAATTCATTGGCCCAATTTATTCCTATTGGAAACTTTACGGTGAACAGAAAGAGCTTCTACTAATTTGCTGTTTGCTTGCCTCGATTCTCATTTCAATTCTAGTTTATAATATTTTCGAAAAGTGGTATATCAAATTGGATAATTCTAGAGTTCTCCTTTTATCGATTCTTCTAATTGTTGCTAACTTATTAGTTTTGAACCGTGAATCAATATCAGATCATCTAAAATATACACAGACTGGTGGTAAATTTTCGATGAGCTTGGACAACGTTGAAAAACAAAATCGTGAATGGGATACTAATGACATCAAAAATCTAGCTGTAAAAACATGTTCTCAAGCAGTTGCTAAAAAATACTGTAACAATACTGGATTAGACCCACAAAATCCATATAAGATATTATTAATTGGAAATAGTTGGACAAAAAATCATGGAAATTTATTTTATCAAGAATGCAAAAATAAAATGAATACGATGGTTATTGGGTCGAATACAGGTGAATAATATAATAATGGTGCCAATTAAATCAACATTTTTGCAGCTTGCGAACCATTTCGTTTATCCAAAGAATGGAAATGTAAACAAGAAGATATTGATATAACTGAACAACAAGTTCAGAAAATGAAACCCGATTATCTATTTCATCTAACTCGACATATTTCATACGGGGAGAATTTTAATGAAAGTTTATCTTTCGAAAATGATGAAGTCTATCAGAAAATGTGGAATCAAGCAAAGAAATTGTTGAAATTTGTTAAGAAGAAGATGTATTTATTGAATGCCATTCCAACTGTGAAGAAAAATGAAATCGTGAAATTAGTGCAGTATATTAGAAATAATACGGATCGTGTGGAAATTGATGTGAGTTTTGGAAACTTGAAAAATACAAATCCTAGAAAAAAATGATGACGTGACAGAGTTTCAAAAAAATAAAATTGTTTTTTTTTCAGAAAAAAATCATCGACCTAAGAAATTATTCCGGAGCTCGAGCAAGATATGCACAATTATTGAAAGATTGCGGTGAAAAATGCGAACTTATCGATTATCACGATTTATTCTATCGAAAAGACTCAAAAACATTCAGGTTTTTTGATGAAAACGGATTCGAGTATTTGACAAAGATCTTGCATTTAAGTCCGTTAGGATTGGAAAAAGTTAGGCCGATTTGGAAGAAGATTTGTGATCATTTATAAATTATAAATTATTTATTTATGCACTAATGTACAAATATTATACCCCAAAATCACAGAAAATTCAGACATTTTTATCAACAACCAGTGAATATTGATCAGCAGCTGTCAATTCTTTGCTTTGCATATGCGTATATTTTTCAAACACAATTTTTGCGTCACTCATTGGAATCATTGACGTATTTCTGCCCCAAACATAATCTTGATTATTTATCAAATCATCCGCTCTGCTCCACATACTGAAAACGTATTTGGCGATTTTGGTGGGGAAGTTGTTCAAATCATTGAGATAACTTGAATATTTTGAAGAAGTGCAGTTCAGGTTGGAATTTCCACAATGACTTGAGACAGTTTGAGTTCCACAAGAGTCGCCTGGCCAAAATCCATTTTTTCTTGCTGCATGTTTGAGAGAAGCCTATAAAACGCTTGAAAGAGTGTTTTTTTCTAATTCAATTCGCAACATCCGAGAAAAAAAAATCCCAAAAATTACCGGAAAAAGTGCCAGTACAACTACAAAGTCCATAATTGGCGCCAGAAATTCCAATAAAAACATCAACATAATCACCCAAATAAACTCCAAGATCACAATTTCCATCAGTCGCATTCACAATTCCACCCTGAATGATTTTTCGAGATAAAGTAACTCCCATTGAATGTCCGATTATTGAGATTGATGTAGTTTTTGTGTATCGAATTACAGCTTCGACAAATTTTCGAAGTCTTTGAAGATCTGAACAATCATGTGTTCGGGTTCCAGCTTTTATTGCGAGATTATCTTGCCAAGAAGTTGCGTAAAGTTCGCCGGTTTGATAACCTTTTGATAGAAAATATGCAATCGAATTATCCCAACCAGTTGAAAATGAATCAGTTTTCAAAGCGCTGTCTGAATTTCCATGGAAGAAAATGACTGGAGGTCTTGTGATTTTTGATGTGCTATTTGGAAATCCTCCATAACTTCCATAATTACCGTAGTCTTTTCGGATAAAATCGTAGTGTGTGTAATTGTATCTGAAAAAATTTGGATTTGAAATGATCGAGGAAACATGGTTTTATTGAGAAATTTGATGATAAGAAATAGTCTGGCAGTAAAAATGAAAATGAAAATTTTTCAAAAAAAAAATGACGCCATGATGAGAAATAGTGAAATTGAATAGTACTATTTAACTTGGAGTTTTGATCTACATAATTCTGGGTCAGATTATTTTTCTCCAAAAAATCCACGTGGGTTCCGATTGTTTTTCGCAACATTCATGGCTCTTGTTCATTTTTTCTCCAGAATTACTCATCCAAACTCACTTCTGAAGCCACGATTGAAAATTGGCAGTAATCGGTCCTTGAATTCCACCACATTCCGAATCGAAAATGACTAAAGTAACCACGAAAAATACCAGAAGTTCTCGCATCATTTTATTCAAGAAAAAGTGTTTCTTCTCTTCTCATATCACAAAATTTCCCGGTCTTTTTATATCAGAAGAGTTTTCAAAAAAAATTTTATCAGCCATGTGTGTTGTGTGTGTTGAACTTGATTTACTTTCGATGGGAAAAAATCACCATATTTTCTTGCATTTATTGTTTTTTGTGGGTTGAAATTTTCTATAGACAACGATTTTTGATAATCAGAAAAAACACCAAAAAACTCTTTATGGATAAGAAACATACAGTGATGATGATTTTTATTGCGAGCAGAAGTTTGCTCGGAATCAGAACACACACAATATATTTTTAGAGATAAGCAGCCGATTTTAGAGGGTTTTTTGTTGAAAAAAAGAAAAGGTGATAAGTGGAACATAAAACACAGTGGAAACACATTTTGAAGTCTGGATAACATTTTTTGGAACGTATGATTTTTTGCTACGTCATAAGTAGCGGCTAGAGTTTTTTGAAATTTGAGCTGAAATTTCAGATAGGAAAGATTTAAATTCCCGAGTTAAAAACTACCACGTAATAGAATATTATTAGAATTATCCCCGAAATCAATTCTTTAAAACGTTTTCAAAGTTTTTCAGAGAAATGATTCCGAAAAAAATCAAAGTCCGCATTATTTGATTCCCAGAAATCCCACTTCTCATATTTTTCAAACGTATAATTTTCGGTTGAATTCTCATTTTTCTTAAACTTTTGTTTTCAAAATAATTTTCAGATTGAATTTAATTTTTACTTCAACAAAATTGAGCATAAAAACTGGAAACATTTCACAGTTTTTTCCAAACCAATCAAAGTTAAAACCACAACTAAATAATTTATTTTTTTCTCATTATTTTTTATACGGAAAAAATCACCTGGAAACAATTAAACCAAGCAATGCGAGAGCTCTTCACACGCCCAAACTCGTTCCATCGGAAACTCGTACATTTTCTTCGTATATTGATTACGATACTCCGAATGCTGTCTGAAACTTCCACCACTTATCAAGTTCATCAAACGCGGAATATTATTATTTATCTCCGGATACAACGTTATTAATGTCGTGAAATTCTGCAAATCCGGCATTGATTTCAACAAATTCGCGACCAATGAAATCGCAACTTCGTAGGTGTCAGCATAAAGTGGCGAAAGATAGATTTCACCATGAACGACCTTTTTGATCGCTCCGAATCCCAAAAGCTTTCCGGAAGAATTTTGACAGATTCGCGAGATTGTTGAGACATCTGTCAATGATTTTCTGATATAAGTTCTCTTCTTTCGATTTCACAAATTTGTTCATCATATTCATGAACATTTTGCCAATCTTCTTCCTCGATTTCTCGAATTTTCAAACCAGTTTGTTGTTGTTGGGGAATTATGATTTGAGAAATGTCAATTTCTCCAACATTATGCCAGATATTATTGGAAAGTGTAAAATTAAAACGAGATTCGTAAAGTGGAGCCATTTGAGAGGCACCGGATAATCCAATATTATCAGTTCCTGCTTGAGCAATCGCCATTTTGAATAATTTATTACTAATTCCTTTTCCACGCCATCTTGGGACACAATAATAATTTCCAATTGTATAAATTGGTTCATTTTTTAATGAAAGATGCCTAGCCAATGAAACAGCGTTGACTATTTCATTTGTCTCTTCCTCGATCGCAAGATAAAACCATAGTTTCTCAAAACTCGCATTCCATATGGCATATTCGTTCTTGCGATAGTTCCAGCGCTCAGTTTCAGAAATCTGTAATTCAGAAATTCAAAGTTCTCTTCCTTATACATTTATAAAAGTCTTACCCATTCTTGAAACTTGTCGAAAAGCTCTTTCGGTGGATTAATAAGGACTTTGATGCCTTTTTCAATATATACATTTTTGTCGGCGTTGACGTTTTTTTGAACAATCAGGGAGTCGCTGAAAAAACACTTTCAATCTTGGGGAACCTTCAAAAATTTATGAAGCACCTAGACAATCGGTGAAACTCACCAGAAATCGGATAATTTCGGAAGAATTTTCGAAAAACGAATTTGCGAAAAAGGGGCAGAGAGGGCGCGCGGACTAGATTTTTGAAAAACGTGGCCGAGAAAGTGTTGTGCTTCTCTCGGACAATTTTTCATTTTTTCGATTTTTTCACGAGACTTTGAACGCTGTTTTCTAGTAGTTATTTACCCGGTGATCACAATTCTATTGACAACAAAAGCTAATCTCAACTCTGAAATAAGTATTGACGTGGAACTCACAGATTTTTCGCTGCCATTTTCTAAAATTCAATTTCCGAAAACTAACGCGATGATTAGATAAACAAGATAAATAGGTCATTTGAAATAAACTCACGTCCTTCATTCATTCCATTTAAGTTATTAATTCATCCCATTTACACAAAAATTTCATCCCATTTGAGTATTTGCACAACGAAATAATTTATTTTTTATCTCAATATTTTTATACGGAAAACAATCACCAACAAACAGTTAAACTAAGCAATGAGAGAGCTCTTCACATGCCCAAACTCGTTCCATCGGAAACTCGTAGATCTTCTTCGTATATTGATTACGATACTCCGAGTGATATCTAAAACTTCCACCACTTATCAAATTCATCAAACGCGGAATATTATTGTTTATCTCCGGATATAACGTTATCAAAGTCGTGAAATTCTGCAAATCCGGCATTGATTTCAACAAATTCGCAACCAATGAAACCGCAACTTCGTAGGTGTCAGCATAAAGTGGCGAAAGATAGATTTCACCATCAACGACCTTTTTGATCGCTCCGAACCCCAAAAGCTTTCCGGAAGAATTTTGGCAGATTCGAGAGATTGTTGAGACATCTGTCAATGATTTTCTAATATATTTTCTTCTTTCGATTACACAAATTTGTTCATCATATTCATGTACATTTTGCCAATCTTCTTCCTCGATTTCTCGAACTTTCAAACCAGTTTGTTGTTGTTGGGGAATTATGATTTGAGAAATGTCAATTTCTCCAAAATTATGCCAAATAATTGTTATAAATTTTGAAATTGAAACGAGATGCGTAAAGGGGAGCCATTTGAGTTGCACCAAATAATCCGATATTATGAGTTCCTGCTTGAGCGATCGCCATTTTGAAGAGTTTATTGCTGACACCTCTTCCACGCCATTCTGGGACACAATAATAATTTCCAATTGTAAAAATCGGCTCGGTTTTCAAAGAATGTTGTTCTGCTAATGAAACAGCGCTGACTATTTCATTGGTTTCCTCATCGATCGCAAGATAAAACCAGAAATTATCCAAAGTCGATTTCCAGATTGAATATTCATTGCTTCGATAGTTCCAGCGTTCGGTTTCAGAAATCTATAATTTGGAATTCAAAATGTTCTTCCTTATACATTTATGAAAGTCTTACCCATTCTTGAAACTCGTCGAAAAGCTCTTTCGGTGGATTAATAAGGACTTTGATACCTTTTTCAATATATACATTTTTGTCGGCGTTGACAATTTTTTGGACCATTTCGGAGATGCTGAAAAACACTTTCGATCTTGGGGAACCTTCAAAAATTCATGGGGCACCTAAAAATGCTGAAACTCACCAGAATTCGAAGCATTTTGGATTGGAGCAAGGACGAAAAAGAAAATAATTTTCAAAATAGGCGGGGGACTAGATTTTCAAAAAACGTGGCCGAGAAAGTGTTGTACTTCTCTCGGACAATTTTTCATTTTTTTTTTCGAAAGTTTTTCAAGAGAGTTAGAACGCTGTTTTCTAGTAGTTATTTATCTGCTGTTCACTATCCTGCTGTCAAAAACAATAAATCTCTATCCTACATTGAGTTATGACGTGAGAAACTCACGGATGTTTTGCTGTCATTTCCTAAAATTCAATTTCCTAAAGCTAGTTTGTTCATTCTAGAAACAAGATAAATAGGTCATTTTGATTAAACTCACGTCATTCATGCTATTAAATTCACTAATTTCCAAAGTGAGTTATTTATAATTTCTAACCAGAGTGAAAGAAAAACGTTCTTAGCTCAACCCGACCCGAAACCCAAGAAAAAATTGAGATAAAACACCACGAACTATCTATTCAGTTTAAATAGTTTCGGGTCGTCGATCATGAGACCTTTCATGATTTGAAAAATTCGCTTTTTTATCTTATCAGTTTTTTTTTTCACAATTCCATTAAAATGTCGTGGATTTCTTGGAAAATCACCGCAAAGAACAACCTAGAAATCAAACAATTAGCTTTTTTTTGTGAACTTTGTCAATTTTTTAAGCAAAAATAATTATATAGCTGTTTTTCGATTATTTCTCATCTTTAGATGATTCAAGTTATTTTTGAAAATCATCATCATTTTTTATCATTAAGTCTACTCAAACTCAAGTTCAAACGTTTATTTACCCCAAAAAAAGAAGATAAAATTTTTCGATTATTCAGCAAACCCGAGGATACTCAAAATAAACATAAAGATCGACAAAAAGTCCATAAATAATTCGAGTGATGCATAAATCCAATCTTCTGGCGAACATTCATGCGATCTTCCACCCATAATCCATTGAATATCAATTGCCAAGTAGAACATAGCAAGTAATGCACCACAAATCGCATAAATTAGATATAGGAAGTACCAATGGAGGAAAACTACAAAAATTATGGCGAATAATCCGAAGAGTAGAAGACATACGCTGAGAATGAAGGCCACACCATAACAACTGGAAACAATTATGGATTTTGGTGGGATTCAGGTGAGTTCTTCAGTTGAAAATGTTTTTGTCAGAGACCTCGGAATCTTTTCTTTGTTATTGAAAATTCTATGCGGGAAAATTGTTCTATTTTTCTTTGAAAAAACGAGAGGGAGACCAGGGAGAAAGTTTTTTGATAACAGAAAAAAGCGAGTTGGGAAAGTTTTGCTTTTTTTTTTTAAATAAAGACATTTGGGAGGGGTTAGGTGCGTTTTTATTTTTTAAATTTGGAAATAATGCACACTTATTTGAAAATTAGTTTGAAAAACTATATAGAATTTGTAAGAAGCTGTGCCCAAATCTGTTACTTAAGTTGGGAGTTATACAGATGGATTTTTACGGCTAGATTTGGCTCCTTGTCAGAGTTGAATTCTGGATGCGAGTTCTAGTCAACTTAGTGCTTTCATTTTTTTCGGCTATTTTACAATTATGCCTTTAATCCTTGACAATTGAAATTTCTAGGCACGACAACTTGACAACTCGAATATCGAAAATCCTCCAACTCACGTAGTTAAATCCTTATTAGTAAACATGGCAAAAGCAACAATTGCCGCACTACAAAGTGTCGTAATTAACAAAGCCAAAAATACACTTTGTGTATTGAATTGAGCCGTGAAAAACATGCACATTATTGAAGCAGCTACTGTCTAAAATCACTTTTTTTGAATTGTGAAAGTCGAAAATTTCTAGAACTCACAAAAACACAAAGCATAATAATATTGCATGGATAATTTCGACGAACCGATCGGCAACACGCGAGAATCAAGTAGATCACCAGAAATACGATGCTGAAAAATTCAGGATTCTGGTTTTTTGGACAAAAGTGTTAGACTAACTAAGCCAAGTAGTATAGAAAAGCCCATCGTTGACACCATCTTTTGAAATCGGACCAGAAAATCGGAATAGCACAAAATGAGCCAACAACCATGAACTGGAATAGAAACATGAGAACAAGCGAAGTGATTTTTTAAATCAATATAGAAGCGACTTTTTGATCAATATATCTAGACCATCTCAAAAGATTTCTTGGATTTCTTGGTCATATTTTATATGCTACTCTACATCATAACTCCTTCCAAAACTTACCATAATTGTCACAACCAAAAAAACTTTCCTCACAAACGCGGCTCGAATCGATCCTTCACTAAACAACAATTTCGTTGGATTCAACTTTCCTCGCTCAACATCTTGCTCTGATGGTCCCGGATTTTGTGGTTGCGTTGGAACCGGTTGATATGATGGACCCTGTTGTGGTGGCGGATAGCTAGCGTATTGATATTGCGGAGGTGGATATTGTCCCTGCGCTGGCGGATGTTGTGCTTGTTGTTGTTGTTGTGAAGGTGAAGCCGAAGCTTGAGGCAGAGGCGGCCGCTTTGATTTCTCTGCGGATTTTGGTTTATCCGCGGATCCAGAAGGTTCCTTTTTCTCCTCTTCTTCTCCATCATTTTCACCCGATTTCGGTGTGTCGTCTTCTTTTTTAGACATCTTGTTAATAATTTCGTCGTCTTTTGATAGTTCTACGGGTAATTCCTAATACGTTCAATGTAAAAATGAGGACTAATTGGAGATTTTAGGGGAGATAAGGAATAGCGTGAGATGGGGGAGACAGGGTCACGTTTTGAAATTAGAAAAATGGATTATTGGGAATTTCCCGCTAAATTAAACCTTGTTGAATAACTCATGACAAATTCACGCGTTGCCACGTCATTACAATTCAATTTTTTCGACAAGAAAAACCAATATTTATTCATCGACTCCTCCATCCCAAAAAACTTAAAATGAAGAAAAATATATACAAAGAATCCAAAAACGAAGACAACGAGGCAAAAATCCAATCATTTGGTGGACATTCCTGTGATCTTCCACCAACTATCCATTGCAAATCAATCGCCAAATATAGCATTGATAAAAATGTTCCAATTATTGTGTATATCAAAAATGGCAGATACCATCTGAAGAAAAATACGAAGAAGAATGCGACACATGAGAATACCGCTGTGCAAACACCGATTATATATACAAGGCCAGTGATTCTGGAATTACTATGAGGTGTGTCCCTTTAACGGTAAATACTTACGTGGTCAGATCTTTCTCTGTTACAAATGCGAAAAATACAATTGTAGCACTACAAATCGAAGAGATCAACAAAGCTATGAAAACACTTCTCACGTCGTAAAATGCGATAGAAAACATGATCATAAAAGCAGCCGAGAAGGTCTGAAAATAATTTGGAATCTCTGAAAATTTTCGAGGATCAACTCACGAAAATCATCAGAATTATAATATTGATTGGATATTTTCGCCGGATTTGTTGGATGCCATAGAATAGAAAATAGATGATAAAGAAGAGCGAGCTGGAAATATACTGTGGAAGTTGGAGTGTTTTGATGTATGACAAGATAACTTACGTAGAGGCATAGTACAGCTGCCAATGAACTCGACAGAATGTTAAGAAATCTGGGAACATCATTGGAAACGCGGCGAATAAAGAGACGATGGCAAACTGGAAATACATAGAAGGAATTTGGTGGAAATTTGGACGAATTTCGAAAACCAAAAACTTAGTAACGCTAAAATCCAGGATAATGCAACTCGAAATTATGTCTAGTCCTGTTCTGGTTCCCGAAGTATATCAAAATTTCCTGTCAAAAGATTTACTCACCATGGCCGCCACCATTGTAAAAACCTTCTTCACAAATCTTTTCCTCACCAAAATCTTCCTCTCCATCTCATCTCTCCCATTTTCTTCCAAATCCCCGCTTCCTGTGATCGACACTGAACTTTTTTCGCCATTTGACGAAACCTCGGAATTCTCAGAATACGATATATTTTCACAATTGTTATCATTTTTGTTTACATTTGGTTCTACTGACATTTTTCGAAAAATTCGAAATATAAAAATGGCTGGATTTTCACGTGTTAGGTGAATTTTATTTTTGGCACGTTTTCAGTAACATCAATTTTTGATCAGAGGAAAAATTGATAATGTTTTCTTGATTGATATTTAGAGTTGTAAATTATATACGGTATGATAAAATGAACAGATAAGGGGAAAATTGGAAGTGGAGAAAATGTTGCAAAATTAAATTCACGGAGAAAATCTGGATCAGAAGATCGGCCTGAAAATCCCGTTCTGACTTCTAGACGTATGCTAAAAATTTTGGAATTCAAACTTTTGAGCTTACTAGCTGAAAAATATGGTACTAGATCAAGTGGCTCTAACCGGCTGAGATAGGCTCAAAAATTGAAAAAAATCGACCTCAAATCCCCGACCATACACCGCAAGATTGAATATCTTAGCACCTGATCCACATTTCCAGCCTAACTTCCGCCATTTTGAAAGTTAGGATTCCAGAATTTTTCAGCAATAATTTAGATATCTAGACTCTGGAATTTTTCTGGTTGATCTTCTGATCCAGGTTTTCGAGTGAATTCAATTTCGCAACATTTTCTCCACTTTCCCAATTTCCATCTCTTTCAAAACCCCTGATCCAAACTAAAATTCGTAACTCCAGAGTTCACATTTTCATCTCCCGATCTTTTTTCCGTCGATTCTACTCTGAACCTCAAAATTTGATCGCTTATCTCTAAATGTCCAATTTCTGTTTCGCCCCAAAAAATTTTTTCTTTCGGGGAAAAAAAACGATAAGCACTCGTGTATGAGCTCCTGAACAATTTGATTTTTTTAAAAGTTTTTTCGAAAAAAATCAGCTTTAAATGATTTACCCAGTTCAATAATATCCTACGTGTACGTTAGATCTTATCTCACTTTAAGGGACGGGGTGATAAAATATCAAAATATGACCTTTTTGGGTGGCCTGTCTTTTTTCCCCCGATTCATTTTGTTTTTGAAAACATGGAGGTCGATAGTTTATTGATTACTGAAAATCGTAAGTTTTCTCAATTATTGAAAAAAAAAAACATCCAGCCGACCTAGAGCCCCCTTTCTGAGCAATCTAGAGCTTTTCATTGTACCAATTTTTCATTTAAAAATTATTTTTAAAAGAAGAAAGTTGTTTTAATGGTCAATTTTTGATCTCAAACCAAACAGCAGAAAAGGAACACAAAAAAGTTCAAAATTTGATCTATTTCTCCCGCCCTCCCCTTTTTATTGTTATTTATGTTATTTTTTTTGTTATCGATCAATTTTTGATTTTCTTTTCGCAGATTCGCCTATAAAAATGGGAAAACTTCGGCAAATTGAATCGAAATTCAGCTTTGGCATCAATGTGTTCTACAACTTGTTTCGACTTTTTCCGCTGATTTTTTCGGATTTCTGGAAGACTATTGCATTGACTGTTATTACAATTGCTGCAGCTGTTGGGAGTGAGTTTTTGGGGCCCAAAAAAAGATAATCACTCCCGGGATACCTCTAACATATTACAGTTTTCATAGATATTTTTTGTAATACGTTGTGGTATTCTGTAAGTGTAAAATATCTACAAATTTTGTAATACTCCCAACTAGACTTATTTTCGGGATCAGACTAGATTCTAGTCGAGAAAGCTGAAATAGTCTAGTTTGATTTGAAAGCTTATTTCTCAATAATTATTTTCCGTGGTGACAAAAACTAAATGAGACACTGACACTATTTTTCGAAACAGTGATTTTTTTTGTAAATTTTTTTTGGATTTTCTGAAGTTGTTGCCGATCTTCGCAGCAAAGATCAAACTACACATTTTTCGCCTCAAAACCTTTTGTCGTTTTACTTTGTTTATAATTCCAAAAGATAACGGGTACATTTTTCTGATCTATTATCTAGACACCAGAAAAACACTAATCCCCTTCCTAAGCCCTACAGTAATCTGAAATAAGTTGTTTTTTCTTTTCCAGATGAGATAATCAATTATAAAACTGGTGTGATTCCGGGAAAATTCTATGTGGCACTCATTGAGCGAAATGAAAAAGAGTTTTGGAAAATTTTCTGGATTTGTTCGGGATGTTACATTGGTCTATGTTTGGTGAGAATTTTTTTAAATCTTAAAAACTTGAAAAAAAATTAATTTCAGGTCATGTCAATAATGAATTTCTTCTCCTGGCTTCTGTATATTCAACAAAGAAAAAATCTAGTTGAAACTTTGCATTGTTTATATTTTAACAGAAATACTTATTATAAATTGAACGCGATTGATGATCAAGGAATCGATAATCCGTATGAATTAGAAAAAATGACTAATTTAAATAAAAATTAATTTTTTTGCAGGGACCAGAGAATCACTCAAGATGTTGATAAATTCACCAAACTTTTTGCCACAAATATTATTCCGACAGTTTTGTTGTCACCTTTTATTATCACTTATTATTCCATCAAAGTTTGGCAGACGTTAGTTTTTTTTTAGAAAATTCGAAAAGAATGAGATCGTTTTTTCTCTTCAACTAAAAGTCAAAACATCCCTCATTTTTCAGAGCCGGTGGTTGGGGAGTTGGCCTAATTGTTGCCTATTTTCTAATTGGTGTCATAATCAATCGATTGCTAATTGGTCCCTTAACTCCATGGGCCGCAAGAGTCGAAAAAGCTGAAGGAGATTTCCGGTACAAACACGTTTCGGTTCGAACGAACGCGGAAGAATCCGCGTTTGCGCAAGCTTCCGGATTTGAACATGTTTTTTCGGACTTGAGTTTTGCTGTTTTGCTGAGAAGGTTGTGGATTTTTGTTTGCTGGAAATTCCCGTCGCAGTGTGAGTTCAAATCTTACGAAAAAAATAGAATTAATTTTTTCTATCATATTATAATCAATCATATTTATTTCAGTTTTCCAATCATTTTTCGATTATTATGGAGGTTGCATGTCGTATATTCTTCAACTTTTTCCACTTTTTTGTTTTTCATATGTATGATAATTTGACACCTGCACAATTGTCTGGACAAATTAGTAATGTTAGTTTTTCTTGGTGGGAAAAATAGCTGTGATGCGAACTGAAAAATAGGCTGCGATGCTGAAATGCTGCGATGCGAACTGAAAAATAGGCTGCGATGCTGAATAGCTGCGATGCGAGCTGAAAAAATAGGCTGCGATGCTGAATAGCTGCGATGCGCTCTGAAAAATAGGCTGCGATGCTGAAATGCTGCGATGCGAACTGAAAAAATAGGCTGCGATGCTGAAATGCTGCGATGCGAACTGAAAAAATAGGCTGCGATGCTGAAATGCTGCGATGCGAACTGAAAAAATAGGCTGCGATGCTGAATAGCTGCGATGCGAACTGAAAAATTGGCTGCGTTGCTGAATAGCTGCGATGCGGAGCGGGCTGCGATGCTGAATAGCTGCGATGCGAACTGAAAAAATAGGCTGCGATGCTGAATAGCTGCGATGCGAACTGAAAAATAGGCTGCGATGCTGAAACAAAAAATAGGCTGGGATGCTGAAACGAAAAATAGGCTGCGATGCTGAAATGCTGCGATGCGAACTGAAAAATAGGCTGCGATGCGAAGCGGGCTGCGTTGCTGAATAGCTGCGATGCGAAGCGGGCTGCGTTGCTGAATAGCTGCGATGCGAAGCGGGCTGCGTTGCTGAATAGCTGCGATGCGAACTGAAAAATAGGCTGGGATGCTGAAACGAAAAAATAGGCTGCGATGCTGAATAGCTGCGATGCGAACTGAAAAATAGGCTGCGATGCGAAGCGGGCTGCGTTGCTGAATAGCTGCGATGCGAAGCGGGCTGCGTTGCTGAATAGCTGCGATGCGAAGCGGGCTGCGTTGCTGAATAGCTGCGATGCGAAGCGGGCTGCGTTGCTGAATAGCTGCGATGCGGAGCGGGCTTCGTTGCTGAATAGCTGCGATGCGAACTGAAAAAATAGGCTGCGTTGCTGAATAGCTGCGATGCGAACTGAAAAATAGGCTGCGTTGCTGAATAGCTGCGATGCGAAACAAAAAAAAATAGAAAACACACAAAAACGCAAACGTAAACTAAAAATGCCGAAATGAACCCTAAATCAATAAAATAAACAAAAACCGGCGTCCTTGACCTTTTCAAACCTCAAAATTCAAAAAATTGGCGCAATTTGCAGTGGAGCGCACTAGCTTGTTTTCCAATTCAAACACGTGTATTCCGCGGATTTCTCCAATTTCTGCATTGTTTCGTCGCCGTGTTTGCACACAATTTTTTCATTTGAAAAAAAAAAATTAAAAATGGGCTGCGATGCGCTGAAATGAAAAATTGGCTGCGATGCGCTGAAATGAAAAATAGGCTGCGATGCTGAATAGCTGCGATGCGAAGCGGGCTGCGTTGCTGAATAGCTGCGATGCGAACTGAAAAATTGGCTGCGTTGCTGAATAGCTGCGATGCGAAGCGGGCTGCGTTGCTGAATAGCTGCGATGCGAACTGAAAAAATAGGCTGCGTTGCTGAATAGCTGCGATGCGAAGCGGGCTGCGTTGCTGAATAGCTGCGATGCGAACTGAAAAATTGGCTGCGTTGCTGAATAGCTGCGATGCGAAGCGGGCTGCGTTGCTGAATAGCTGCGATGCGAACTGAAAAATAGGCTGCGTTGCTGAATAGCTGCGATGCGAAGCGGGCTGCGATGCTGAATAGCTGCGATGCGAACTGAAAAATTGGCTGCGTTGCTGAATAGCTGCGATGCGAAGCGGGCTGCGTTGCTGAATAGCTGCGATGCGAAGCGGGCTGCGATGCTGAATAGCTGCGATGCGAACTGAAAAAATTGGCTGCGTTGCTGAATAGCTGCGATGCGAAGCGGGCTGCGTTGCTGAATAGCTGCGATGCGAACTGAAAAATAGGCTGCGTTGCTGAATAGCTGCGATGCGAAGCGGGCTGCGATGCTGAATAGCTGCGATGCGAACTGAAAAATTGGCTGCGTTGCTGAATAGCTGCGATGCGAAGCGGGCTGCGTTGCTGAATAGCTGCGATGCGAAGCGGGCTGCGATGCTGAATAGCTGCGATGCGAACTGAAAAATTGGCTGCGTTGCTGAATAGCTGCGATGCGAACTGAAAAATTGGCTGCGTTGCTGAATAGCTGCGATGCGAAGCGGGCTGCGTTGCTGAATAGCTGCGATGCGAACTGAAAAAATTGGCTGCGTTGCTGAATAGCTGCGATGCGAACTGAAAAATTGGCTGCGTTGCTGAATAGCTGCGATGCGGAGCGGGCTGCGTTGCTGAATAGCTGCGATGCGAAGCGGGCTGCGATGCTGAATAGCTGCGATGCGAACTGAAAAAATTGGCTGCGTTGCTGAATAGCTGCGATGCGAACTGAAAAATAGGCTGCGTTGCTGAATAGCTGCGATGCGAACTGAAAAATTGGCTGCGATGTTGAAATGCTGCGATGCGAACTGAAAAATAGGCTGCGTTGCTGAATAGCTGCGATGCGAACTGAAAAATTGGCTGCGTTGCTGAATAGCTGCGATGCGGAGCGGGCTGCGTTGCTGAATAGCTGCGATGCGAAGCGGGCTGCGATGCTGAATAGCTGCGATGCGAACTGAAAAATTGGCTGCATTGCTGAATAGCTGCGATGCGAACTGAAAAATTGGCTGCATTGCTGAATAGCTGCGATGCGAACTGAAAAAATTGGCTGCGTTGCTGAATAGCTGCGATGCGGAGCGGGCTGCGTTGCTGAATAGCTGCGATGCGAAGCGGGCTGCGATGCTGAATAGCTGCGATGCGAACTGAAAAATTGGCTGCATTGCTGAATAGCTGCGATGCGAACTGAAAAATAGGCTGCGTTGCTGAATAGCTGCGATGCGAACTGAAAAATTGGCTGCATTGCTGAATAGCTGCGATGCGAACTGAAAAAATAGGCTGCGTTGCTGAATAGCTGCGATGCGAACTGAAAAATTGGCTGCGTTGCTGAATAGCTGCGATGCGGAGCGGGCTGCGTTGCTGAATAGCTGCGATGCGAACTGAAAAATTGGCTGCATTGCTGAATAGCTGCGATGCGAACTGAAAAAATAGGCTGCGTTGCTGAATAGCTGCGATGCGAACTGAAAAATTGGCTGCGTTGCTGAATAGCTGCGATGCGGAGCGGGCTGCGTTGCTGAATAGCTGCGATGCGAAGCGGGCTGCGATGCTGAATAGCTGCGATGCGAACTGAAAAATTGGCTGCATTGCTGAATAGCTGCGATGCGAACTGAAAAATAGGCTGCGTTGCTGAATAGCTGCGATGCGAACTGAAAAATTGGCTGCGTTGCTGAATAGCTGCGATGCGGAGCGGGCTGCGTTGCTGAATAGCTGCGATGCGAAGCGGGCTGCGATGCTGAATAGCTGCGATGCGAACTGAAAAATTGGCTGCGTTGCTGAATAGCTGCGATGCGAACTGAAAAATTGGCTGCGTTGCTGAATAGCTGCGATGCGAAGCGGGCTGCGTTGCTGAATAGCTGCGATGCGAACTGAAAAATAGGCTGCGTTGCTGAATAGCTGCGATGCGAAGCGGGCTGCGATGCTGAATAGCTGCGATGCGAACTGAAAAATTGGCTGCGTTGCTGAATAGCTGCGATGCGAAGCGGGCTGCGTTGCTGAATAGCTGCGATGCGAAGCGGGCTGCGATGCTGAATAGCTGCGATGCGAACTGAAAAAATTGGCTGCGTTGCTGAATAGCTGCGATGCGAACTGAAAAATTGGCTGCGTTGCTGAATAGCTGCGATGCGAAGCGGGCTGCGTTGCTGGAATAGCTGCGATGCGAACTGAAAAATTGGCTGCGTTGCTGGAATAGCTGCGATGCGAACTGAAAAATTGGCTGCGTTGCTGAATAGCTGCGATGCGGAGCGGGCTGCGTTGCTGAATAGCTGCGATGCGAAGCGGGCTGCGATGCTGAATAGCTGCGATGCGAACTGAAAAATTGGCTGCGTTGCTGAATAGCTGCGATGCGAAGCGGGCTGCGTTGCTGAATAGCTGCGATGCGAACTGAAAAATAGGCTGCGTTGCTGAATAGCTGCGATGCGAAGCGGGCTGCGATGCTGAATAGCTGCGATGCGAACTGAAAAATTGGCTGCGTTGCTGAATAGCTGCGATGCGAACTGAAAAATTGGCTGCGTTGCTGAATAGCTGCGATGCGGAGCGGGCTGCGTTGCTGAATAGCTGCGATGCGAAGCGGGCTGCGATGCTGAATAGCTGCGATGCGAACTGAAAAAATTGGCTGCGTTGCTGAATAGCTGCGATGCGAACTGAAAAAATAGGCTGCGTTGCTGAATAGCTGCGATGCGAAGCGGGCTGCGATGCTGAATAGCTGCGATGCGAACTGAAAAATTGGCTGCGTTGCTGAATAGCTGCGATGCGAAGCGGGCTGCGTTGCTGAATAGCTGCGATGCGAACTGAAAAAATAGGCTGCGTTGCTGAATAGCTGCGATGCGAAGCGGGCTGCGTTGCTGAATAGCTGCGATGCGAACTGAAAAATTGGCTGCGTTGCTGAATAGCTGCGATGCGAACTGAAAAATTGGCTGCGTTGCTGAATAGCTGCGATGCGGAGCGGGCTGCGTTGCTGAATAGCTGCGATGCGAAGCGGGCTGCGATGCTGAATAGCTGCGATGCGAACTGAAAAATTGGCTGCGTTGCTGAATAGCTGCGATGCGAAGCGGGCTGCGTTGCTGAATAGCTGCGATGCGAACTGAAAAATAGGCTGCGTTGCTGAATAGCTGCGATGCGAAGCGGGCTGCGTTGCTGAATAGCTGCGATGCGAAGCGGGCTGCGTTGCTGAATAGCTGCGATGCGAACTGAAAAATTGGCTGCGTTGCTGAATAGCTGCGATGCGAACTGAAAAAATTGGCTGCGTTGCTGAATAGCTGCGATGCGAAGCGGGCTGCGATGCTGAATAGCTGCGATGCGAACTGAAAAATTGGCTGCGTTGCTGAATAGCTGCGATGCGAACTGAAAAATTGGCTGCGTTGCTGAATAGCTGCGATGCGAAGCGGGCTGCGATGCTGAATAGCTGCGATGCGAACTGAAAAATTGGCTGCGTTGCTGAATAGCTGCGATGCGAACTGAAAAATTGGCTGCGTTGCTGAATAGCTGCGATGCGGAGCGGGCTGCGTTGCTGAATAGCTGCGATGCGAAGCGGGCTGCGTTGCTGAATAGCTGCGATGCGAAGCGGGCTGCGATGCTGAATAGCTGCGATGCGAACTGAAAAATTGGCTGCGTTGCTGAATAGCTGCGATGCGAACTGAAAAATTGGCTGCGTTGCTGGAATAGCTGCGATGCGGAGCGGGCTGCGTTGCTGAATAGCTGCGATGCGAAGCGGGCTGCAATGCTGAATAGCTGCGATGCGAACTGAAAAATTGGCTGCGTTGCTGAATAGCTGCGATGCGAAGCGGGCTGCGTTGCTGAATAGCTGCGATGCGAACTGAAAAATAGGCTGCGTTGCTGAATAGCTGCGATGCGAAGCGGGCTGCGTTGCTGAATAGCTGCGATGCGAAGCGGGCTGCGTTGCTGAATAGCTGCGATGCGAACTGAAAAATTGGCTGCGTTGCTGAATAGCTGCGATGCGAACTGAAAAATTGGCTGCGTTGCTGAATAGCTGCGATGCGAAGCGGGCTGCGTTGCTGAATAGCTGCGATGCGAAGCGGGCTGCGATGCTGAATAGCTGCGATGCGAACTGAAAAATTGGCTGCGTTGCTGAATAGCTGCGATGCGAAGCGGGCTGCGTTGCTGAATAGCTGCGATGCGAACTGAAAAATAGGCTGCGTTGCTGAATAGCTGCGATGCGAAGCGGGCTGCGATGCTGAATAGCTGCGATGCGAACTGAAAAATTGTCTGCGTTGCTGAATAGCTGCGATGCGAAGCGGGCTGCGTTGCTGAATAGCTGCGATGCGAAGCGGGCTGCGATGCTGAATAGCTGCGATGCGAACTGAAAAATTGGCTGCGTTGCTGAATAGCTGCGATGCGAACTGAAAAATTGGCTGCGTTGCTGAATAGCTGCGATGCGGAGCGGGCTGCGTTGCTGAATAGCTGCGATGCGAAGCGGGCTGCGATGCTGAATAGCTGCGATGCGAACTGAAAAATTGGCTGCGTTGCTGAATAGCTGCGATGCGAACTGAAAAATTGGCTGCGTTGCTGAATAGCTGCGATGCGGAGCGGGCTGCGTTGCTGAATAGCTGCGATGCGAAGCGGGCTGCGATGCTGAATAGCTGCGATGCGAACTGAAAAATAGGCTGCGTTGCTGAATAGCTGCGATGCGAAGCGGGCTGCGTTGCTGAATAGCTGCGATGCGAAGCGGGCTGCGTTGCTGAATAGCTGCGATGCGAACTGAAAAATTGGCTGCGTTGCTGAATAGCTGCGATGCGAACTGAAAAATTGGCTGCGTTGCTGAATAGCTGCGATGCGAAGCGGGCTGCGATGCTGAATAGCTGCGATGCGAACTGAAAAATTGGCTGCGTTGCTGAATAGCTGCGATGCGAACTGAAAAATTGGCTGCGTTGCTGAATAGCTGCGATGCGAAGCGGGCTGCGTTGCTGAATAGCTGCGATGCGAACTGAAAAATTGGCTGCGTTGCTGGAATAGCTGCGATGCGAACTGAAAAAATTGGCTGCGTTGCTGAATAGCTGCGATGCGGAGCGGGCTGCGTTGCTGAATAGCTGCGATGCGAAGCGGGCTGCGATGCTGAATAGCTGCGATGCGAACTGAAAAATTGGCTGCGTTGCTGAATAGCTGCGATGCGGAGCGGGCTGCGTTGCTGAATAGCTGCGATGCGAAGCGGGCTGCGATGCTGAATAGCTGCGATGCGAACTGAAAAATTGGCTGCGTTGCTGAATAGCTGCGATGCGAAGCGGGCTGCGTTGCTGAATAGCTGCGATGCGAACTGAAAAAATAGGCTGCGTTGCTGAATAGCTGCGATGCGAAGCGGGCTGCGTTGCTGAATAGCTGCGATGCGAAGCGGGCTGCGTTGCTGAATAGCTGCGATGCGAACTGAAAAATTGGCTGCGTTGCTGAATAGCTGCGATGCGAACTGAAAAATTGGCTGCGTTGCTGAATAGCTGCGATGCGAAGCGGGCTGCGTTGCTGAATAGCTGCGATGCGAAGCGGGCTGCGATGCTGAATAGCTGCGATGCGAACTGAAAAAATTGGCTGCGTTGCTGAATAGCTGCGATGCGAAGCGGGCTGCGTTGCTGAATAGCTGCGATGCGAACTGAAAAAATAGGCTGCGTTGCTGAATAGCTGCGATGCGAAGCGGGCTGCGATGCTGAATAGCTGCGATGCGAACTGAAAAATTGGCTGCGTTGCTGAATAGCTGCGATGCGAAGCGGGCTGCGTTGCTGAATAGCTGCGATGCGAAGCGGGCTGCGATGCTGAATAGCTGCGATGCGAACTGAAAAATTGGCTGCGTTGCTGAATAGCTGCGATGCGAACTGAAAAATTGGCTGCGTTGCTGAATAGCTGCGATGCGAAGCGGGCTGCGTTGCTGAATAGCTGCGATGCGAACTGAAAAATTGGCTGCGTTGCTGAATAGCTGCGATGCGAACTGAAAAATTGGCTGCGTTGCTGAATAGCTGCGATGCGGAGCGGGCTGCGTTGCTGAATAGCTGCGATGCGAAGCGGGCTGCGATGCTGAATAGCTGCGATGCGAACTGAAAAATTGGCTGCGTTGCTGAATAGCTGCGATGCGAACTGAAAAAATAGGCTGCGTTGCTGAATAGCTGCGATGCGAACTGAAAAATTGGCTGCGATGTTGAAATGCTGCGATGCGAACTGAAAAATAGGCTGCGTTGCTGAATAGCTGCGATGCGAACTGAAAAATTGGCTGCGTTGCTGAATAGCTGCGATGCGGAGCGGGCTGCGTTGCTGAATAGCTGCGATGCGAAGCGGGCTGCGATGCTGAATAGCTGCGATGCGAACTGAAAAATTGGCTGCGTTGCTGAATAGCTGCGATGCGAAGCGGGCTGCGTTGCTGAATAGCTGCGATGCGAAGCGGGCTGCGATGCTGAATAGCTGCGATGCGAACTGAAAAATTGGCTGCGTTGCTGAATAGCTGCGATGCGAAGCGGGCTGCGTTGCTGAATAGCTGCGATGCGAACTGAAAAATAGGCTGCGTTGCTGAATAGCTGCGATGCGAAGCGGGCTGCGTTGCTGAATAGCTGCGATGCGAAGCGGGCTGCGTTGCTGAATAGCTGCGATGCGAACTGAAAAATTGGCTGCGTTGCTGAATAGCTGCGATGCGAACTGAAAAATTGGCTGCGTTGCTGAATAGCTGCGATGCGAAGCGGGCTGCGTTGCTGAATAGCTGCGATGCGAAGCGGGCTGCGATGCTGAATAGCTGCGATGCGAACTGAAAAATTGGCTGCGTTGCTGAATAGCTGCGATGCGAAGCGGGCTGCGTTGCTGAATAGCTGCGATGCGAACTGAAAAAATAGGCTGCGTTGCTGAATAGCTGCGATGCGAAGCGGGCTGCGTTGCTGAATAGCTGCGATGCGAACTGAAAAATTGGCTGCGTTGCTGAATAGCTGCGATGCGAAGCGGGCTGCGTTGCTGAATAGCTGCGATGCGAAGCGGGCTGCGATGCTGAATAGCTGCGATGCGAACTGAAAAATTGGCTGCGTTGCTGAATAGCTGCGATGCGAACTGAAAAATAGGCTGCGTTGCTGAATAGCTGCGATGCGAAGCGGGCTGCGTTGCTGAATAGCTGCGATGCGAACTGAAAAATTGGCTGCGTTGCTGAATAGCTGCGATGCGAACTGAAAAATTGGCTGCGTTGCTGAATAGCTGCGATGCGAAGCGGGCTGCGATGCTGAATAGCTGCGATGCGAACTGAAAAATTGGCTGCGTTGCTGGAATAGCTGCGATGCGAACTGAAAAATAGGCTGCGTTGCTGAATAGCTGCGATGCGAACTGAAAAATTGGCTGCGATGTTGAAATGCTGCGATGCGAACTGAAAAATAGGCTGCGTTGCTGAATAGCTGCGATGCGAACTGAAAAATTGGCTGCGTTGCTGAATAGCTGCGATGCGGAGCGGGCTGCGTTGCTGAATAGCTGCGATGCGAAGCGGGCTGCGATGCTGAAATAGCTGCGATGCGAACTGAAAAATTGGCTGCATTGCTGAATAGCTGCGATGCGAACTGAAAAATAGGCTGCGTTGCTGAATAGCTGCGATGCGAACTGAAAAATTGGCTGCGTTGCTGAATAGCTGCGGGCTGCGTTGCTGAATAGCTGCGATGCGAAGCGGGCTGCGATGCTGAATAGCTGCGATGCGAACTGAAAAATTGGCTGCATTGCTGAATAGCTGCGATGCGAAGCGGGCTGCGATGCTGAATAGCTGCGATGCGAACTGAAAAATTGGCTGCGTGCTGCTGAATAGCTGCGATGCGGGAATAGCTGCGATGCGAATGCGTTGCTGAATAGCTGCGATGCGAAGCGGGCTGCGATGCTGAACAGCTGCGATGCGAACTGAAAAATAGGCTGCGTTGCTGAACAGCTGCGATGCGAACTGGGCTGCGTTGCTGAATAGCTGCGATGCGAAGCGGGCTGCGATTGCTGAATAGCTGCGATGCGAACTGAAAAAATAGGCTGCGTTGCTGAATAGCTGCGATGCGAACTGAAAAATGGCTGCGTTGCTGAATAGCTGCGATGCGAAGCGGGCTGCGTTGCTGAATAGCTGCGATGCGAACTGAAAAAATAGGCTGCGATGCTGAATAGCTGCGATGCGAAGCGGGCTGCGATGCTGAATAGCTGCGATGCGAAGCGGGCTGCGATGCTGAATAGCTGCGATGCGAAGCGGGCTGCGTTGCTGAATAGCTGCGATGCGAAGCGGCTGCGATGCTGAATAGCTGCGATGCGAAGCTGAAAAAATAGGCTGCGATGCTGAATAGCTGCGATGCGAAGCGGGCTGCGATGCTGAATAGCTGCGATGCGAAGCGGGCTGCGATGCTGAATAGCTGCGATGCGAACTGAAAATTGGCTGCGATGCTGAATAGCTGCGATGCGAACTGAAAAATTGGCTGCGATGCTGAAATAGCTGCGATGCGAAGCGGGCTGCGATGCTGAATAGCTGCGATGCGAAGCGGCTGCGATTGCTGAATAGCTGCGATGCGAACTGAAAAAATAGGCTGCGATGCTGAATAGCTGCGATGCGAAGCGGGCTGCGATGCTGAATAGCTGCGATGCGAACTGAAAATGATGCTGAATAGCTGCGATGCTGAAGCGGGCTGCGATGCTGAATAGCTGCGATGCGAAGCGGGCTGCGATGCTGAATAGCTGCGATGCGAAGCGGGCTGCGATGCTGAATAGCTGCGATGCGAACTGAAAAATAGGCTGCGTTGCTGAATAGCTGCGATGCGAACTGAAAAAATTGGCTGCGTTGCTGAATAGCTGCGATGCGGAGCGGGCTGCGTTGCTGAATAGCTGCGATGCGAAGCGGGCTGCGATGCTGAATAGCTGCGATGCGAACTGAAAAATTGGCTGCGTTGCTGAATAGCTGCGATGCGAACTGAAAAATAGGCTGCGTTGCTGAATAGCTGCGATGCGAACTGAAAAAATTGGCTGCGTTGCTGAATAGCTGCGTTGCTGAATAGCTGCGATGCGAAGCGGGCTGCGATGCTGAATAGCTGCGATGCGAACTGAAAAATTGGCTGCATTGCTGAATAGCTGCGATGCGAACTGAAAAATTGGCTGCGTTGCTGAATAGCTGCGATGCGGAGCGGGCTGCGTTGCTGAATAGCTGCGATGCGAAGCGGGCTGCGATGCTGAATAGCTGCGATGCGAACTGAAAAATAGGCTGCGTTGCTGAATAGCTGCGATGCGAACTGAAAAATTGGCTGCGTTGCTGAATAGCTGCGATGCGAACTGAAAAATAGGCTGCGATGCTGAATAGCTGCGATGCGAACTGAAAAATAGGCTGCGTTGCTGAATAGCTGCGATGCGAACTGAAAAATTGGCTGCGTTGCTGAATAGCTGCAATGCGAAGCGGGCTGCGATGCTGAATAGCTGCGATGCGAACTGAAAAATAGGCTGCGTTGCTGAATAGCTGCGATGCGAACTGAAAAATTGGCTGCGATGTTGAAATGCTGCGATGCGAACTGAAAAATAGGCTGCGTTGCTGAATAGCTGCGATGCGAACTGAAAAATTGGCTGCGTTGCTGAAAAAGCTGCGATGCGGAGCGGGCTGCGTTGCTGAATAGCTGCGATGCGAAGCGGGCTGCGATGCTGAATAGCCGCGATGCGAACTGAAAAATTGGCTGCATTGCTGGAATAGCTGCGATGCGAACTGAAAAATAGGCTGCGTTGCTGAATAGCTGCGATGCGAACTGAAAAATTGGCTGCGTTGCTGAATAGCTGCGATGCGGAGCGGGCTGCGTTGCTGAATAGCTGCGATGCGAAGCGGGCTGCGATGCTGAATAGCTGCGATGCGAACTGAAAAATTGGCTGCATTGCTGAATAGCTGCGATGCGAACTGAAAAATTGGCTGCATTGCTGAATAGCTGCGATGCGAACTGAAAAAATTGGCTGCGTTGCTGAATAGCTGCGATGCGAACTGAAAAATTGGCTGCGTTGCTGAATAGCTGCGATGCGAAGCGGGCTGCGATGCTGAATAGCTGCGATGCGAACTGAAAAATTGGCTGCATTGCTGAATAGCTGCGATGCGAACTGAAAAAATAGGCTGCGTTGCTGGAATAGCTGCGATGCGAACTGAAAAATTGGCTGCATTGCTGGAATAGCTGCGATGCGAACTGAAAAAATAGGCTGCGTTGCTGAATAGCTGCGATGCGAACTGAAAAAATTGGCTGCGTTGCTGAATAGCTGCGATGCGGAGCGGGCTGCGTTGCTGAATAGCTGCGATGCGAACTGAAAAATTGGCTGCATTGCTGAATAGCTGCGATGCGAACTGAAAAAATAGGCTGCGTTGCTGAATAGCTGCGATGCGAACTGAAAAATTGGCTGCGTTGCTGAATAGCTGCGATGCGGAGCGGGCTGCGTTGCTGAATAGCTGCGATGCGAAGCGGGCTGCGATGCTGAATAGCTGCGATGCGAACTGAAAAATTGGCTGCATTGCTGGAATAGCTGCGATGCGAACTGAAAAAATAGGCTGCGTTGCTGAATAGCTGCGATGCGAACTGAAAAATTGGCTGCGTTGCTGAATAGCTGCGATGCGGAGCGGGCTGCGTTGCTGAATAGCTGCGATGCGAAGCGGGCTGCGATGCTGAATAGCTGCGATGCGAACTGAAAAATTGGCTGCATTGCTGAATAGCTGCGATGCGAACTGAAAAATTGGCTGCATTGCTGAATAGCTGCGATGCGAACTGAAAAAATAGGCTGCGTTGCTGAATAGCTGCGATGCGAACTGAAAAATTGGCTGCGTTGCTGAATAGCTGCGATGCGGAGCGGGCTGCGTTGCTGAATAGCTGCGATGCGAAGCGGGCTGCGATGCTGAATAGCTGCGATGCGAACTGAAAAATTGGCTGCATTGCTGAATAGCTGCGATGCGAACTGAAAAAATAGGCTGCGTTGCTGAATAGCTGCGATGCGAACTGAAAAATTGGCTGCGTTGCTGAATAGCTGCGGGCTGCGTTGCTGAATAGCTGCGATGCGAAGCGGGCTGCGATGCTGAATAGCTGCGATGCGAACTGAAAAATTGGCTGCATTGCTGAATAGCTGCGATGCGAACTGAAAAAATTGGCTGCGTTGCTGAATAGCTGCGATGCGGAGCGGGCTGCGTTGCTGAATAGCTGCGATGCGAAGCGGGCTGCGATGCTGAATAGCTGCGATGCGAACTGAAAAATTGGCTGCGTTGCTGAATAGCTGCGATGCGAACTGAAAAAATAGGCTGCGTTGCTGAATAGCTGCGATGCGAACTGAAAAATTGGCTGCGATGTTGAAATGCTGCGATGCGAACTGAAAAATAGGCTGCGTTGCTGAATAGCTGCGATGCGAACTGAAAAATTGGCTGCGTTGCTGAATAGCTGCGATGCGAAGCGGGCTGCGATGCTGAATAGCTGCGATGCGAACTGAAAAATTGGCTGCGTTGCTGAATAGCTGCGATGCGAACTGAAAAAATAGGCTGCGTTGCTGAATAGCTGCGATGCGAACTGAAAAATTGGCTGCGATGTTGAAATGCTGCGATGCGAACTGAAAAAATAGGCTGCGTTGCTGAATAGCTGCGATGCGAACTGAAAAATTGGCTGCGTTGCTGAAAAGCTGCGATGCGGAGCGGGCTGCGTTGCTGAATAGCTGCGATGCGAAGCGGGCTGCGATGCTGAATAGCTGCGATGCGAACTGAAAAATTGGCTGCATTGCTGGAATAGCTGCGATGCGAACTGAAAAAATAGGCTGCGTTGCTGAATAGCTGCGATGCGAACTGAAAAATTGGCTGCGTTGCTGAATAGCTGCGATGCGGAGCGGGCTGCGTTGCTGAATAGCTGCGATGCGAAGCGGGCTGCGATGCTGAATAGCTGCGATGCGAACTGAAAAATTGGCTGCATTGCTGAATAGCTGCGATGCGAACTGAAAAATTGGCTGCATTGCTGAATAGCTGCGATGCGAACTGAAAAATTGGCTGCGTTGCTGAATAGCTGCGATGCGGAGCGGGCTGCGTTGCTGAATAGCTGCGATGCGAAGCGGGCTGCGATGCTGAATAGCTGCGATGCGAACTGAAAAATTGGCTGCATTGCTGGAATAGCTGCGATGCGAACTGAAAAAATAGGCTGCGTTGCTGAATAGCTGCGATGCGAACTGAAAAATTGGCTGCATTGCTGAATAGCTGCGATGCGAACTGAAAAATAGGCTGCGTTGCTGAATAGCTGCGATGCGAACTGAAAAATTGGCTGCGTTGCTGAATAGCTGCGATGCGGAGCGGGCTGCGTTGCTGAATAGCTGCGATGCGAACTGAAAAATTGGCTGCATTGCTGGAATAGCTGCGATGCGAACTGAAAAATAGGCTGCGTTGCTGAATAGCTGCGATGCGAACTGAAAAATTGGCTGCGTTGCTGAATAGCTGCGATGCGGAGCGGGCTGCGTTGCTGAATAGCTGCGATGCGAAGCGGGCTGCGATGCTGAATAGCTGCGATGCGAACTGAAAAATTGGCTGCATTGCTGAATAGCTGCGATGCGAACTGAAAAAATAGGCTGCGTTGCTGAATAGCTGCGATGCGAACTGAAAAATTGGCTGCGTTGCTGAATAGCTGCGATGCGGAGCGGGCTGCGTTGCTGAATAGCTGCGATGCGAAGCGGGCTGCGATGCTGAATAGCTGCGATGCGAACTGAAAAATTGGCTGCATTGCTGGAATAGCTGCGATGCGAACTGAAAAATTGGCTGCATTGCTGGAATAGCTGCGATGCGAACTGAAAAATTGGCTGCGTTGCTGAATAGCTGCGATGCGAACTGAAAAAATTGGCTGCGTTGCTGAATAGCTGCGATGCGAACTGAAAAATTGGCTGCGTTGCTGAATAGCTGCGATGCGAAGCGGGCTGCGATGCTGAATAGCTGCGATGCGAACTGAAAAATTGGCTGCGTTGCTGAATAGCTGCGATGCGAACTGAAAAAATAGGCTGCGTTGCTGAATAGCTGCGATGCGAACTGAAAAATTGGCTGCGTTGCTGAATAGCTGCGATGCGAAGCGGGCTGCGTTGCTGAATAGCTGCGATGCGAAGCGGGCTGCGATGCTGAATAGCTGCGATGCGAACTGAAAAATTGGCTGCATTGCTGAATAGCTGCGATGCGAACTGAAAAATTGGCTGCGTTGCTGAATAGCTGCGATGCGAACTGAAAAATTGGCTGCGTTGCTGGAATAGCTGCGATGCGAACTGAAAAATAGGCTGCATTGCTGAATAGCTGCGATGCGAAGCGGGCTGCGTTGCTGAATAGCTGCGATGCGAAGCGGGCTGCGATGCTGAATAGCTGCGATGCGAACTGAAAAATTGGCTGCATTGCTGGAATAGCTGCGATGCGAACTGAAAAATTGGCTGCGTTGCTGAATAGCTGCGATGCGAACTGAAAAATTGGCTGCATTGCTGAATAGCTGCGATGCGAACTGAAAAATTGGCTGCATTGCTGGAATAGCTGCGATGCGAACTGAAAAATAGGCTGCGTTTCTGAATAGCTGCGATGCGGAGCGGGCTGCGTTGCTGAATAGCTGCGATGCGAACTGAAAAATTGGCTGCATTGCTGGAATAGCTGCGATGCGAACTGAAAAAATAGGCTGCGTTGCTGGAATAGCTGCGATGCGAACTGAAAAATTGGCTGCATTGCTGAATAGCTGCGATGCGAAGCGGGCTGCGATGCTGAATAGCTGCGATGCGCTCTGAAAAATAGGCTGCGATGCTGAATAGCTGCGATGCGAAGCGGGCTGCGATGCTGAATAGCTGCGATGCGCTCTGAAAAAATAGGCTGCGATGCTGAATAGCTGCGATGCGCTCTGAAAAATAGGCTGCGATGCTGAATAGCTGCGATGCGAAGCGGGCTGCGATGCTGAATAGCTGCGATGCGCTCTGAAAAATAGGCTGCGATGCTGAATAGCTGCGATGCGAAGCGGGCTGCGATACTGAATAGCTGCGATGCGAAGCGGGCTGCGATGCTGAATAGCTGCGATGCGCTCTGAAAAATAGGCTGCGATGCTGAATAGCTGCGATGCGCTCTGAAAAATAGGCTGCGATGCTGAATAGCTGCGATGCTGAAACAAAAAATAGCTGCGATGCTGAAACGAAAAATAGAAAATAGAAAACAGACAAAAACGGAAACGTAAACTAAAAATGCCGAAATGAACCTTAAATCAATAAAATAAACAAAAACCGGCGTCCTTGACCTTTTCAAACCTCAAAATTCAAAAAATTGGCGCAATTTGCAGTGGAGCGCACTAGCTTGTTTTCCAATTCAAACACGTGTATTCCGCGGATTTCTCCAATTTCTGCATTGTTTCGTCGCCGTGTTTGCACACACTTTTTTCATTCGAAAAAAAAAATTCCCGATTTTTCTTTTTTCTCGACTAGGCCACAGCGAAAAAAAATTATTTTTTCTGTTTCCGTGTGGTACGGTGCGCAAAACAGAAAGTGTTTGCACACACAAAGGAAAAAAACAAAAAACAAAAGAGGAGAACACACAAAAACCGTGCGCGCATGCAATAATATTGCAGAAAAACGCTGCCAGGGGTTGCGTGTGGAAAACTCCGCCTATTTTTTTTTTGAATTTCCGCAACGAATTTTTTGTGAACAAAAAAATAATTTTTTTTCGCTGTGGCTAGGGGACTGCACTTAATTGTTACTTTTTTCCGAAGTTTTCCAATGATAATTTAAACTATTATCAAATAGTGAGAGCGACATTTTTTTTTGACAATTCGATTGCAAATTCTTAACACTCATTAAAGTTAGGAAACAGTGTTTTGAGGAGAAAAATCCTCAACAATTTTCCCGAATCTCCAGATTTTCTCCCAATAGTTTCTCTTTTTTTTCAGAATGCTTTCTACTTCATCTATCTCATCAATTGTTTCACTCGCCTCACAGATCTTGCAATGAATTTGGGCGAAATGGGTGGATATGTTTTGCGTATTTCGGAACTTGTTGATGCTGCGAAATTGAAAAATGATGGTTGTGGAGGATGCGATAATCAAGCATTGGAAATTGCTGACAAACTAACAGGAAGAAATATTGAAAATCAAGAAACTACAAAGAATTTGTTGGAAGTTGAACATTTGTTGATTACACCGCCTACTAATCCACATGTTGCTATTATTAATAGTGAGTTTTTTGGGGAGCGGAAGATCTAAAATTTGTCAAAAATGACCGATAACTAGGTGACATTTAAAAAATTCACAAAATTTGTTTTGAAATTAGTTCAAAAAGTCTCTCTTGAATATTCAAGATCAACAATTAAATGTTATACAAGCCGGCTATATATCAAGTCATGGCTTAATTGAGTAACCCCAAGCCGGCTTACGTCAAGCCGGCTGATTTTTGGCTTGTGGTATTGTTTTCAATCCTGTCTTCGTTGGATGGTGCAATTGGTTTGATTGGTTAGTTTTTTCAATTCCATCAATTCATATCAGCCACCATGTTCACCAAACAGATTAATCCACCATCTAAACGAACACCAAAACCATACATGAAAAACCACCCACTCACAGCGAACTTTCTGTCAGCATGACTTGCAAACAAGCTGGCAAGCCAGGCTTGTACTTGCGAGCCACAAACGAAAAACCAGCCAGTGCTTTCCGGCTTGTCGAGTTTTTAATAATTTGTGGCGTGTTATCAAGTCGACTTTTATGAAATCTACTTGTTTGACTCAGTTTTTCGAGCCAGGCTTTTCTGAAAAAGCCGAAGGCTGCGTAGCAACAAGAATGAAGACAGGAGTTAGCAGGTCGTTTCATTCTTGTGTTAATGTAATTCTTGAAATTGTGAAAACTTTTAGAATGTAAATTGTTTTAGGATTTTACGAGGATTGCAAAAAAATTTCGAAAAGTTTTTCTGGAAGGAATCTTGAAACCAGATTTCTGAGTACAATATTCTGGAAAAATTAGTTTTCTAAAAAGATTTTCTAGAGATTTTCACAATATTCCATATTTTACAGCTCGAAAATCTACTCTAAAACCCCATCATTTTCCAGATCTCACCTTCGAACTTCCACTCAATCAATCTCTTCTAATCACTGGTGAATCAGGTGTCGGAAAAACGTCAATTCTTCGAGCAATTTCTGGACTTTGGCCACATCAAGGAATTTTACGAAAAGGCTTCGAGTCGGCCTATTTTCTACCTCAACGGCCATATTTTCCGGTTGGTCGATTAAGTTTGAAACAGCAACTTGTATTCCCGAACACTTTTACTAATACTTCGACAATTATTGATGAGCAAATTGTGAAATTATTGCATGAGTTGAAATTGGCACATTTATTGACTTTGGTTGGACATTTGGAGGATTCTGTTGATTTTGAATGGTGAGCGGAGATTTTGGAAAATATTTTTATTCAATACAAAAATTATGATATAGATTTATCAAAAATTATTAAAACAATGAAAATGTTTTAGAAAATCATCATTTTTCACTTCATAAATTCTGGATTTTTTCCAAATTAAAAAAATCGTATATCGAAAGTATATTTTCACTTATTCATTAGAGTTTCATGAAATTATTTTTAAAAAATTCCAAAATTGTTTCGTAATTTGGAAAATCAACTTGAAAAATATCAACATGAAAACGATTGAATTTATAGTTTTTATATTAATCAGAAATTTTTTGAAAGTATTTTTTTTTGACAGAAAATTTCAATTTCTGAAAATTGAAAAACAAATTTCAGGCAAGAAACCCTTTCGCCTGGTGAACAACAACGTCTCGTATTTGCTCGAATGATTTTATCGAATCCCTCAGTCGTATTTTTGGACGAAGCATCTTGTAATGTTGATGAACAGTTGGAGCAAAAAATGTTTGAGATTTTGCAAAGATCAAATATCAATTATATAACTGTTGGACATCGACAATCACTTCGATCTTATCATAATTATGAATTGAGAATTCCGTCGGCTAATTCTTTTGTTTTCCATCAAATTGCGCGAGTTTGAGAGATATTTTGTTAATTAGTCAAATTTTTTTTGAAATGAAATATAGAGCTTTTTTTGAAGGCGGAGAACAATAAATCAAAAATACGCGCAGAGCAATGATATTCAAAACTCATTTGTTTTTTTAATGAAAAGTTTACAATAGCTTCAAGTAAACCAGATGCGCAGAAAGCAGCTTTTGAGAATATTATTCTTCCATTTTGAAATGTCTTTTAAACCCAATTACCATCCAAATGGAAGTCCCTTGTTATTGGACAATTTCGAAACCAAAACCTTGTTTCAAATTTACATTTGATTGACCTTGAACACTTTACTTTTTCCGATTTTCCCAGGGGCTTTTTCAAAAAACCTATTGTTCCCGAATAAAATCGATATTTTGCTTTCTGCGTCTCTTGTAAATGACTCATGTTAGAAAAAAAAACAAATCAGTTTTTCTTGTCTTAACTTTTCCTCCTAACCTTTCATAATTGTTTTTATACAGAATGAGGCTCATTGTTCGGGTTATAATATTTCTTGCAATTCTCACTGCCTTGATCTCAGCTGCTTCGATTGATAACAAATTGAGAAAAATCGGCTGCAATGTTTGGGTATGTTTCATTTTTAAAGTGCAAAAAATTGCTTTAAGATTTTTTTAGACCTACAATTGCAAGTACAAATCAAACGATGCTAATAAAATTTTCTGCGAAATGACTTGTGATAAATCGAATATTGTTCCGTATCTCAGAATGTATTCAATTGGTTTCATAACTGTTTTTATCAAAGTGATTGTTTCGAATTGGACAGGTATGGTTAGATTGGAAATGATTGAGGAGTTGGAAGCGGAATTGGGATAAATATTCATGGTTTTGAAGATGTTGTTAGTTAGTTTTCATAAATCACTTCATTTTGGAAAACTTTTTTCATTTTTTTTGGAGAAAAACTGTGTTCAAAGGTAGTTTGATTAAATATGTGACACTCCCATTATATTCCAAAGTCTGAATCCTGAAGCCTAAACATGAATCTTCAAAGTTCAATTTTTGAGAGCTTCTTGGAGTAAAATGTTTGTGATCTAGTTGAAAAATTGTTTCTGAAGAGATTTGGAGTAGTGAATAAATGTTAAGCTTCAGAAGCTTTTCCTGGGCGTTTTGGAATCAGTAGAGTTCCAATTTTTCCCTAAATAAAACCCCCAGTTTTCAAAATTGTTCATTATTCAGTATCCCATAGTTTTCAAACAAAAAAGTCACAAGATTTTTCTATCTCTTTTTTTCGCCAAAAACAAATCTATAGAAATCGGCTTCTCTTTTATGATTCACAAAAGAGTAAATGAGAAAAAGCGGCGGAAAGTTGCACTTTTTAAATTGCGCAAGGGCTACTGTAGTTCCAGGAATAAAAATACAGTTTGTCAAATAACTACAAACTACTATTTCTTAAAAATAATCATGAAATCACCTTTTGATGACAATGATAAGGTTTCTCCAGTGCTATAAAAAAGACCAAACAATCAGAATAACTCAGCATTCACCTGATAATGCATCTTCTTCTATACCTCTCGATATTGTTCGTTGGGAGCACTTCAGCCGCTCCACAAGTGTTATATCTCAATAATTTCTATGCAGTGGCTACAAATACAATTTGGAATGTTGAGGATTATTCGGCATTGTATTTGCCCTGTTTTCCAGTCTTGACTATTTGGTGAATCGAAGAAACCCTGACGGCTCCCAAAAACCATTGAGCATTGGACAAAAACTCAGTTTCACAACAACAAACAACGATTTCATAACTCAAAAACTTTCTGGATTCGTCTACATCACATCCGCAAAACAAGCAGCTGATACTGATTTTTCGGTATTTGTGATTGGAACAGATCGCAAAATCAGTATCAATAAAAAATATTCAAAACTATCAAGAACTGTGATTTTGAACACACTTTACGATCAAAGTAGTAATTTCTATTCACCAATGAGAACTAGCTATGTGAATAATATTCAACAAGATAAATCGGCAAAACTGTGGCTGCATTCAGATATTCCGGATGACAGTTATTCGCAGAATCCATCCAAAGGTTCCATATTCAACAATCCAATAGTATTTGAAAACCTCGATAATAATAATAATGTATATCAAACAGAACAGTGAGTCATTATCGAAAAAATATTGATTAGGATTTTTTTTTAGATTCTTTGATAATATTGAACCACTTCAAATATCCTTTGATTATTGGTATATTTTATCGAATGGACAGATTAGTTTAACTATTGAGAAAAAATGGGGTGAGTTATGAAATATTTAACTTTCGCGAACTTTCAATAAAAAAATACGTTTCAAAAATTTCATAAACTATGAAATCACTTCAATTATTTTCTAATCTACTTTACAGACAACTCTCTGGTAACCAACACAACGAGCAAAACATCAACTGGTTTGATCATGAATCCAGTTCGTGGATCTTTTGCAAACACTCAAGTCAACTTTGATTACGATGCACAGAACCATAGAACAACTGGAATGTATTTCACATCATATATCAAATCTTCCATCGATGTTGAGTTATATTCTACAAAATCAATTTTCTATGAACACTTTGAGGGAGGTCAACCTGTAATAGGAATGCAAGTTTCGTCTCAAAACGATGCTACAACTCTTTTTGTTAATTCATCATCGGTGTTGCCTGGAATGTTTTCTCTTCAATATTTTGTTATCGATGGTGCAACGGTTTAACTCATTAATTTGAAACTAAAGAGCTAATTCTAAAAAATTTCCCTGTTGTAATTCATAAATATTTGAAATAATCCGTAAATTTTCTTTCTATAGGGTGGTGCAAATTTTTTTGTCTCACCCCTGCTCTCGCTCTACGGTCTCTCACTTTTGTCATCTCGAAAATAGCATTCTCATGTTGTTTGGGTCTCTTGGAATACACATGTTTGGCATATGGGAAGAAGTGGGCGGAGTTTTCAAGCGAATCAGGAACGTTCGCAAAAATGAAACACAAAATTTTGATAACTTTTTATTAACAAAAACATTTCAAAATTCGTGAAAAAACGAAAACTTGTAGAAACTTCAAGTGGTTAATTAACGGAAATGTTTGGGGGATGGGGGTTACGGTAGCGAAGGCGAAAAGGTTCTTAAGAAAATTCATGAAAACTTGGGGATTATTTTGGAAGGGAAAAAGAAAAAAATCACATCGATCCTCGAATCAATCCTCGCGCACGATGACCACTTTGGTCAAACGTGCTGTGGCAGAAATTGGAGCTCTGATGATGAGAACTGGAGTTCTCGGAAAACGAGGAGCAGCATTTCTGAAAAATGTGAATTGTCCTAGAAAAAAGTCAAAATTTCATACCTTCTGCGCAACATCTTCAAATTCCAGAGGAACACCAAAAGGAGCACAACAAGATAAGCAGTTGCGATCATCGCCAACGAATAGGAGGCATCAAGTTGTTGTTGTAGGAGCTGAAAAAAAAGATGAGTCATGATTGGAAGTACAGGCTTATCAAAAATTATTACCTCTTCCATGAAAAGAAGATCGGAATCGGATGTTGTGATATTTTGAGGAAGTTGGTAAACTGGCATTCTGTTAGAAAAAACTATTTGGTTGGATTGAAGAGGAGAGGAAAAAATATATGAGAGGAAGGCGCGGGCAGGGCAGGGCGAGGGAAGAAATGGCAAGAAAATGCGACAAGGAATGGGGCGGAGTTTGGGGAAAGACGGTGAGAGATACAGATTTCTATTGGAGAATTCGAGAAAACATGGGAATATAGCTGAATCTCTAGTCGAAATAAAGATGTCGAAATACACATGGGGAGTTGTTGAATCGGATCAATTTTCAGGCCTGGAAAAATCTGTGAGCCAAGTTATTCTTCACCAATATCAACACATAAGAGTTTGAAGAAGCTTTCTAACCGTAGTTTTTTTTCAGAAGAAAGTTGTTTATTTTTTCAGCAGAATCAGAGCTCTCTTAAATTTCCGTAGGGTCTTTAAAAAATTCAAAAATATGTTTGTTTAACGGGAAAAACAAAAAGGAAAAACATGAACAAATTTTCTGGTCTTGACTTTGAACTGAAAAAAGTCCCTCACGTTCAAAACTCCTAGTTCTTCATTATTCGGCTTCCTATTATTTTCAAACAAAAAAAGAATCACAAGAGTTTTTCGCCAAAAACTAATCTATAGAAATCGGCTTTTCTTTTATGATTCAAATAGGAGTCAATGAGAAAAAATCGGCAGAAAGTTGCACTTTTCAAATTGCGCAAGAAGCATGGACATTCAAACAATCACAATACATACTTCCTTCAATTTTTTAACGGTCCCCAAATAAATGTAAAAATCCATCTGGTTTATTACGAAATAACAAACCGATATTTGCACTTTTCTAGATCGTTTCTATTTTCTCATCTCATAAAAATGACTCATATCAGAAAAAACAACATAGCGTTCGTTTTTCCCATCATTTTTATTTCTTTTTCACACTGTTTCAAACTTTATTTTCTTACTTCTGTATTTTCGAGGGATTGAATTGTGGAAAATATAACAAAATCAGATGATTGAATATGAGTTATTGACAACAGACGCTGAGAAAACCGGCAATTATCGATTTTATTTGTGAACAAAAGGTTTTGAAAAAACCCATGGGAAATTGAAAAAAGTATAGTGTTCAAGGTTAATCGAGAATTGAAATTTTCCCCAAAACTATGTGGGATTCTACAGAACTTCCATAAGGTTTTAATAACCGAAGGCGCTGTCTTATAGAACTCCACTTGCTGATTACGTATCTGCTAAACTACGCTTCTCAGCGCCAATTCGTGTCGCGCAAATGAGTTCTGATGGATAAAATTTTTTTACATCTCTTCGATAGCAAAATTTGGAGCTCGTTCGCGTGGCTCGGACAATTTTTTGCTTTTTTAACTCGTTGTGATCTGTACGACTGCGCTACAATCATTTTTCAAACCCAGTTATCTTTCTAAATGTTATATGAGGTTCCTTAAAAGTGTTTTCATTTACCACGAAAAGCACACCTGCAGATACAGATGGTCAAATTTTTCTCTTGCCCCCTCTATTCACAATATCTCACTTTTTTCTTCTAAATTCGAGAATAATATTTCTCATATTGTCTGTGTCTCTTTTAGAACTACACTTGGGGAACAATTTGAGAGGAAAAGATAAAATGGGCGGAGTTTTCTAGCGAATCAGAGAAAAACCCACGTTTTTTTATTCTTACTTTTTATTAACACAAAGAAAACAGTTCCAGAAAAACAGAAAAACAAGGACACATGTGATAAAATTGGGGAATTTAATATTCGAAAAGGGAAACTACAAGGTAATGGGGTTAAGGTTTATTGTTAATTGAAAGAACTTCAAGCATCAGAATTTGGAGAAATTCTTTGGATATTCTGGGTTTCCCAAGTGTGCTCGGTTGAATGTTGGATTTCTGATAGTCAAAGGAATTTGGCCTCTTGGGCGAGCAGCATTTCTGAAAATGAGAAAAGGGTGAAGTTAGATGGGTTTTTGAAGCGCCTAGGAAAATTGAGAACTGTCGATCGATCAAGCGGGAACTGGGAATTGAAACAGGGATCCTGATCTACCTTGCCCATCCCAACTGCTAATTTCATACCTTCTTCTGCGAAGTTTGTTGTAGCAGCAACCCAATACGGTCAGACCAATATAAGCGAAACCCATGAATGCGGCCCCAAACAGAAAGTAGATCAAGTTCTCGGTCTCCTTCATTTGCAAAATTTTATTTTGGAATCTGATAGCCAAAAATCCTTACCTTTATCATGATTGGATGAGCAGAAGCAGAAGTTGCGAGAAAAGCAACGATTTGGATGGGAGAAAAAGTTCTCATTCTGTAAGAAAAAACGGATCGAGATAAGGGAAAAAAAACATGAGGAAGAATTACGCAGCTGTGACTGAATAAGGAGTGGAAAATGGGCGGAGTTTATTTGGAGGAAGGTGAGAGATTGGAGAATTTGAGAAACTTTTTCTGAAGTTGAAGAAATGAGACGACACTGTATCGAACATTCTCGATGAATGGAATCACGCAAAAAAATGCCCGGCTGATTCTTAAAAATTCTAAAAGATAAAAAAATTTATTTTTATTCGAGCGACAAATTTTTTAGGGAAAAATTACAAATTTCAATACAGAAAAGAAAATTATATATATATTTCAGAAATAAATTGAGAAAAAATACTTGGAAAAATCGGTGCTTCAATGAAATATATTGAATTATAAATATTAAATTAACCAGATCGGAGTTAAGGCACAATGGGAATATCACCAGCAATGGCAACATTCTGACCTCGGTACCAATTCATGATCATTTCGTGAGATGATCTTATCGTGTGTCGAGAAGGAATTCCATGTCTTGGAAAATGCATGGGAGGTCTAAAAATAAACTTTGCTGAATCTTGATTTTGAACATCCTAAATACATACCTTTGAACATCTCTGGTTTTGTAAAGAATAATCAATATGATAATCAGAAGAGCTAGTCCAAAAAGCAAAAAATATAATGTGGGAGAATGACTCGCCTCAATTTCATTCGCCTCAATTTCAACATCAGTCTTGTTGATAGGTGAAGCTGAAACTGAAACTGAAACAGCGAGGAGAATAATAAATATCTGAGCAATGGATCTCTTCATTCTAAAAAAATAAAAATTTCGAAAGATTTTTATGAAAATGAAAATTTATGGAGCGATTCAAAAAAATAATAAATAGATTTTTTAACGGGCGAAAATGAGAAAGGGCGGGGCATAAAATGTTGAGAAATCTATCTAGAAAAATGTATTACTCATGTTGTCTGCGTCTCTCGCTCGAAACCACATGGGATAACCGGGGAAAATTTTGAGAGAAAAGAGACCATACAAAAATGGGGCCAAGTGCAAAAATTCAAATCTATGGGAGATATATGAAGGTATTTGGAAAATGGGATAAATTGTAGAAAAATAAATTATCAAAATGCGGAATTGTTGGGTTAAAGGAAAAGGAAAAAGGAACATTAGAAAATCAGCAAGTAAAAAATTGAATAGAATTTTCACATAATTGTTTCGATGAATCTTCGATTTGGCATTGGAGTTCCGGGTCTTGGAAGTTGATGGATGTCTCGCCGGCGAGAGGCGGCATTTCTGAAGAAAAATCTAGTTTTTTTGAATGTCTTATTAATTTTTTACCTTATTGCAGTAATACAGCAGCACACATTAAAAACCATCACAAATGCCACGAAACATACGACAAAAACAAGCCAAAAAGCAACCAGATACAAGTAATCAACTTCTCTCTGCAGAAAAAAATGAAAATAATTATTGAATTTGTTCGAAGTTACATACCTGTTTCACGATTGGAGTAACAAAAGTTGAAGTTGTTGAAAGGGTAGCGATCTGATCAAGATACATTCTGAAAATGAATTATAAGCAAAAAAAGAGAAAAAAACAAAAATGATTTAAAAAAACTTCGCAGGTTGACTGAATGGGCATCAAGAAAATAATAGAAAAAGGGGTGGAGTTTAGGCAAGGTGAGGGAAGTCCAGATGTTCGTAGGTTTCGAAAACAAAATGTTATAAGTCTTTGATATCGGGGGAAATTTCACAAAAAGGGGTGGAGTTTTTGGAAAGAAAATAAAATAACATAGAGGTTTCAGAGCTCAGCAGAAAATTTTTGTTTAATTATTTTCAGCGCAAAACCTGTTATTACTCTGATAGAAAAATCTTGTAAAAAACAATTTTAATTGGATTGAAAATTATCAACGAATTGTAAAATTTATCATTGATTCATAGAAATCCTGAAATGGTAAGAAAATGAAAAAATAAATTGTCATCAATGTTTATTGGCACCACAGAGAAAAAGGAATACAGTGGAATAATGACAAAAGGATTTAACAGTTTCAAATTTGGTTAATTTTTTAAGAAACAAAAAGGTGCAATAAACGGAATATTTAGAAGAGCATATCTGATAAAAGAAACGTATAACTGATATAAGTATGAACCACACATTAGTTATTCAATGTTATTGAATCGAAGTATATAGTGTGCAGTTTCAAAGTCAACGAGAAAAGGCTGAATTGACGCTGATAATGAAGCAATCTTTTTTATTGGCTCCATACAAACTCCTGCAAAATACACCCGTTTTGAATACCAAAATTGAATCACAAAGTATTTACCCTGAAAATGTTCTCTTGGTGAAAAGAACCAAAAACAAAGTGACGAAAACATAAAGGGAAAGAGCCATGACGCACCAAACGATTGGGCACGAGAAATCAACCTTGCATTGTTGGCAATCAGAATTCATCTGAAAAATAAGATGATGAGCTAAACTGAATTTTATTATCCGTATCGACTAGGGGCTGTTAGCCCCCAGGCGTAACAGTCTTCTCATTTTTTCAGTTTCACTTTTTTTCTGTGATTATTTTCAATTTTCTGTGGAAAACAAATTCATGAAAAATTTCAAGTTTTTTTATCAAAAAATGACTCGTGGCAAAATCAGGAAGGCTTCCTAATTTTGCCATGAATGAAGTCATCAAACTATTTTTCATAAAACATAATTGAATCTCTTTTTTTATTTGCATAATTATAGACATGATCGTCTCCAAACAGAAATTTCGGTAATTTCATTTCTGGATGAAATTCTGAATTTTCTTGTTTTTAAAAATTGTCTCAGTGTTTATCAGTGTTAAAAATTTTCTTTCAATTTTTTTTAGCTTAAAAGTTGGTTCAGGGTGGCTTACTAAGCCTAAGCCTGAGAGGAAGTGTCATTTCTGTTACTTTTTTTGTTGACTGTATACACGAAAATAAAAATTTCAATTTTTGTCAGCTACCCGCTCAAATCGAAATTTTCATTTGGGCGGGTATTTTTAAAAAAAAAACTCGGGCCGATTTTTTTTTTGAAAAAACCTTTTTTTGAAAAACTCGTGCCGATTTTTTTGGAAAAACTCGGGCCGATTTTTTTTTGAAAAACTCGGGCCGATTTTTTTTTGAAAAACTCGGGCCGATTTTATTTTTTAAAAACTCGGGCCGATTTTTTTTTTAAAAACCCAGTTAAAAATTACCTTGTTAATAAATTGAGCTCTAAAGTTTTGAATAGTCTCAGCAATATTAGCAACCTATAAAAAGGTATAAGAATAAAGAAAAATGTGCAATGTTTTCAAATAAATAATGACAAAAGCTCAAAGTGATGAAAAGAAGGCGGAGTTGTTGAAAGGGAATATAGATACAGATGTTCCGCAAAAATTGTATGAAAAACATTGCATGCACATGTTTGACAGGAGGAAATTTGTGAGAAAACGTCAGGAGAAAACAAAAAGGTGGAATTGTTGAGGGAGCGAGAAAACCAAATTTTATGAAAAAATCGTTTTATTATAATACAAAAATTATACACAGAAAATTAAACAATTTCAGGTGACCGTTATGAGCGAAAAAACAATTATCAATCCAAGTTCAAACTTTAAAAATTTTCGAATCTAGATTTTTTAATTAGACAGAATCTGGAACTATAAATATTACTGGTGGGTAATGTGATTATTCGAAGATGGCTTTATAAGTCCGAAGAGAATTGGAATTTGTCAAAATTCAATTGGTGTGCATCGGTGGCCAACAATTTTGTCCATGCGTCCTTTGAGTCTGAAGTTTTGGTTACATTTTTGCTGCAAAAAGTCATATTTTTCTTCAAATTGAAAGATCACGTCCTTTTTACTTACATTGTGATTTCTATTCCAAAAGTTGGTGTGTAATGTAATTGTTCGGAGTGGTTTTATAAGTCCAAAGATAATTAGAAAAATCTTATTGGTTTGCGCAGGGACAATGAATATTTTTTCAAAAAAAAAAAATGTTGCGAAGCTGTTATTGGATTTTTTCCGGTATTAACTCTATCGTTCAAAAAATCGATATTTTCACTCTTCTTGTTCTCTCATAAAAATGACTCACAGCGTCCGTTTTTTTTCCTATCATTCATTTTATTTTCCTCATTTTTATTTATCATTGCTCATATTAAGAAAAATAATTTTCAGAATGTTATCGTACCCACAAATCACTCTTATCATAATCATTCACATATTCATTGTCCAAAAATTCAAATTTATTTCAATGGATGAGATTTTGGAAAAAAATGGCTGCCAAGTTCAGGTAATTTTTCAAGCATAATTTTTTTTGTAAAAAAGTCTGAATTATCCCAGGAAGTCAAATGCGATCAAGAAAAACGTGCTGGAAATTTGGTATTTTGCGAGATTGATTGTTTGGAAACTGAGAAAATGAAAGAGAAGGGAATATTTCCCGTTGATCTGGTTTCTGGAGAATGGAGCATTTTGTCTTTGATTCCAATCTACTTGTTGGTTAAACAGACCATAGTTATGCTGAATTTGATTGAAAGGGTTTGGAGAGCGAATCAGCGTAGAAATCGAGTTCGGGGTTGAAGTTCAGGGCCTATTATTTTTGAATTTGAAACTTGTTTATTAGAAGAAGAATCTTGAAGTTAAGCTACGCTTTTTTGATCAACAGTTCCAAATTTTCATTCCAAATCTTGTAATCCCAGAATTTATTGAACATTTTTTTTACTTAACTTTTCAAAATTAATTGCAGTTTAGAGTTTTTATATCAACGTATTCTATTACTTCAGTTTTCTGAGTTCCCATAACTCCCTTCGCTTTTTCTAATTTTTCGTCGCGACATCACCATTTTTTTGTCAAAAAAAAAATCAATAATCACATCAAATTATCATAACCGCATCGCATTATTCTTATTCTTATATTTTTTGCCTCTTTTTGTTGTGATATTTTTTGTGTCCATTTTTTCTTATTATGAATGAATATTCCAAATGTTGAAATTTTCTATTTTTTTTTTGATTTTCCGAGGAAAAAAAGTTTTTTAGAATATTGAAATGAAATAATTTATAGGTTTTTGACACGTCATAGCAATATTTTGAATGAAAAAGCATTGATTTTTTCTCCGATCTTTCCTCTTTCTTCTCTTTATCATTCATGTTAACATCGAAGATTTTCCAGGATGAAATCCATTGCTAAGATTGTACTCTTCGTTGTAACTCTGGCTTCTGCTCTTCCTCTCAATAAGGTACAATTTTTTTGATCTACCGAGTTTTCATTTCACAGTATACTTTTTTTTGAGACAGAAGAAGGTCAACCAAAAATTAAAGCTGAAACCGAAGGAAGTATTTTCGAATCGCAAATTTTTTGGTTCTTTGTAGTACTTTTTGTCATCATCTGTGCATTGGCTTCGGAATTGTATTGCTGGTTGAATGGAAAAAGACAGTGAGTTAAAATATTTTGAAATTTTTATAATTTTTCAAATGATTTTTAGAACTCCCTACTATCTTCCAAGACATGGAATCCCTCCACGTTTCATCTGATTTGAAAACAAAATGATAAAATCATCTCTGTAATTCTTTGTTTTTTTTTAAATTTGTTCATCTTGAAAATAATGTATTTTACATTAGAAGACGACTTGAATTCCAATAAATAATATTATAATGTTTGAGCAATTATTTCCAATTTTGTTTGATTGAAAAATTAAATAGTGTAGAAAAAATTAATCATCAGTGAGAGGCCAAATCATGAGTCCCAAAGAAATGAACGCTAAAATTGTATAAAAAAGAGATGAGCCATAAACCATACTACGAACAAACATCTTATAGAGCCACTCTTCTGAGCATCGGTATTCACACCATATTTGTTGATCAGCTTGTTGGTTGATTTCGCAAAAGAATTCCTGAAAATAAGATTATTACAAATTTTCAAGTTTTGTTTTTAAAAAATTCAAGATATTTGGGGTTGAAAATTTTTAACACTGTTAATTGAGGAAACCTGGTGCAATACTGATAAACAAAATTCGAACTCACCATAACATCGCAGAATTTTCCGAATTCGAGTTTTTTCAATTTTTGATGAACTGAATACAGATAAACAAAATAACCACAAATGTAGAGGACGACAAATACAATAATACATTTGAAGAAAGTTGTTTTCTTCATTCTGAAATCTATACTTTATGATATGAGCAATAAAAGTTCGGAGAAGTAAGAGGAGAAAAAATGAAGTTGAGGATAAAAGAAATATTGTTTTTCTAACATGAGTAATGTGACTTAAGTGCGAAAAGGGGAAGGAAAATGGAGAAATATACAGATGTATTTAGAAAGTGCAACTATTGATTTGTTAGGAGACAATGGAACTAACTTTTTTCTGACAATAACTTTAGATTTTAAGCTAATGTAAACAAAATTTGAGGTTTCAATTCTCAAGGTCAACGTAAGTCTGCAATGTAAGAATTTTCTCAATCCAATTTTCAAATAAGTTGAAGAAAAATGCATTTTGAAACATTGTGAGTTTTGGCATTTTTTAAACAAAACAATGGCACCAAAGTTTCCCATTTTCTTTACTCAATAAATCTTTTGACACCTGTTTGTATAATGTATGAATAGAGCGAGTTCGACAAAAAAAACATTTTTTCTAAATCAAGCGGGAAATTTTCAAGATATTCTAACAATAAGTTATTAGTGTTCTAATTTATAAGCCAGCCCTAAGTTTACCGAAAAACCTAAAAAAAAAAGTCAAATCTTGGTTTTTCAAAGCTTAGCTTAGTTTTTCAAAACTTGGCTGGATTTCTAGATTTATCTAAAATTAACAAACACAGTTTACTAGAAATCTGAAAAATTTTAATATGAATCTTCTCCAAACTTCACCTAATTTACACAAAATTGTTTTGACACAACATAATTTATTAGAAAAAAATTCTCAAATCCAATTTAAAAATCCACGTCTCCAAAACCACAAAACTCCAGAGATGACAGTGAAGAAAATGCCGAAACCAGCATATTCCGCGTACGAATACCAGAAATTGGATGAAGTTGAGCAAATGAATTCACACCACATTTTTCCCGATTTTACCTCGGTTTTACAGTCGTATTCCTAAAATTTAGTACAGTTCAGCTTAGAATTAGCAATGGTAAATCTAAATGAAACTAACCCAAACTGTGCATTCAAGTTTTTGCAATTCTTCATTCACTGAAGTAGTGAAGATGAGCGCACTGAACATCAAGAGCAATATCAATATCTGAGCAATGATCGTCATCCTGAAAAAAATAGCTTAGAATAAGAATTAAATATAAAAAAGAGAAAAAATGCAATGAGTCATTTTATCAGAAAAAGGGGAAGTGCAAATATCGATTAATTGTTTTAGAAACTTTTTTGTGTCCTATATAATCTTAGCAATGTTTCCCTAGTAGAATCTGCAGCTTGATGTTTTCCCTAAATTTTTGAAATATCTACTCTTCTTGCGCAATTTGAAACAGTGAATTTTTGCCGCTCTTTGCATTTGAATCATAAAAGAGAAGCCGATTTCTATAGAATGTTTTTAGCGAAAAAAATGGGATAGGAAAATCTTGTGATTTTTTTTGAGGTTAGATTTTGGAGAAAAGTTAGGGCAAGAAAAATAAGAAATTTGGTTTCGAAATTGAAGTTTCTAAGAGAAAAAAGCGACGCCAAAACTTTTCAACAAAAAAACCCATAAATTGTTGGACACCTGCTTGCGTAATTTATGAATAGAATTAATGAGTTACACCAAATTTTCTTAAAAAATCTTGCTCCAGTTTTGAGGTAATTATTTTCAAAACTTTGTATTCAGTTGTCATAATTTCGAATCAAGAATTGCTTTTTATCTTTTAATTTATATTTTCTTCAACCATTGCTCATATTATTTATTTTTTTCAGGATGACTCTCAACCAAGTCCTTTTCCTCCTTATTTTGGTTCTAATCAGTTTTGTATATTTCATCTCATATTATTCAATGGATAGCGAATTGGCTAAAGAGGGTTGCTCAATTCAGGTGGGTATTCTTTTCCATAGCGAAGTTTTATCAATTATTTCCAGCACGCTGTATGCGAAGATGAAATCAATGCTGACCACACAATTGCTTGCCAAATAACTTGCTCCAAAATTCCTGCAACAAAACAAAATTTTTTGGAACAAACATTACTTTATTTTATTCCCGGATTCATCTTTATTACTTTCATTTACCACTGCTTAATTTATGCTTCAATTTTTATTGTTGAAACTTGGAATATAGAAGAATAATTTGAAAGTTCAAAACAATTAATAAACCATGTTTTCCACGTGACCCAATTTTTCTGTTTTTTTTTCGCGGACCAAAAAAAAAATTCACTTTTTAACCCACTTAAAATTTGAAAAACTGTCATTTTTTAGTATGCAAAACTGGGTAAGTTGAGAATATTCTCAGGTACCTAGATCCAGATTTTTTGAATCGGACCAGAAGCCTTCCCGCTTCTCCTCTCCCTCTCTCAATCTAATATTCATTTTTTCAGTGCTAACATGTTAATTACCTTACTTCGTATCAGTATAATAACCTACATTTTGAATCAATGTGCAAAACGCGAAAAAAAGAAAGACAAATTGAAATCCGCCTCCTCAACTTCAGTTTCACAAGCGAGTCCAAGTCCAATCACACCAGCAGTTGACACCAAACATACACCGGATGCATTTCCAATGACTGCACACGGTGAAAATTCAGATGCTGATCTGAAAATCAATATAAATAAGAAGAAGGATAAAGGAGCTGGTGTTGATTTCGAAGATGATGATGATGAGGAGAATCCACTTGTCAAATTATCCATGAAAAAGGCGAAGAAGGAGGCAGAATTGAAGCGACAGAAGGAGAAAGAGCAAGCTCTTGCTCAGGCTCAAGGACAAAATCAGGGCAAAGATCAGGCACAGAAGAGCAGGAAATCTGAAATCAAGCCGATAGCTGGAAGCCCTGCTCCTCCTGGAAATGAAGAAATTAAAATGCAGACTTGTGAAGCTTCGGGAGGACAAAATGTGACGGTTTCTAAAGAAATGTCGAAGGAAATGGAAAAGGAGTTGTTTGCTGGAGCAAATGCGAAAGGAGCTTCGAGTTATGTGAGTTTGGAATTAAGGGTTTTATACTGAAACTCGATGCTCTGTGTGTCTCAGAATCATTAGAAAATTTCCAGCAATTTGTCGCCAAAAAACCCAAACCTGACAACAAAAGAAATGTGGTCAAAAAGTCAACAACTCTTGTAACACCATCTCCGCCAATTCCACCAAACACAAAATCCAATACACCAAATTCATCTGCCGGTTCTGGAGAAGAAAAAGGAAAAGAAAATGAGCAGTGTGTTACACAGAAGAGTTTCGTTGATACTGCACCAACTATGCCAACTGTTATGGTGACTGTTCCTAGAGGGTAAGCATTTTTGAAGGGATTTGAGAAGGGGGAACCTTTTTTTTCCTATTTTTTTCAAGATGTAGAATTTCAACCCCACAATTTTTCCAATTTTTTTCAGTGTCTCGAAAATGGAAGATGTTCACAAAACTCAAAAAGCGAATAGTTTGATGAAAAGATTGGATGATGTTAAATTGGTGGAAGTTGAAGAAAACAAGAAAAATGTGTCAGCTGAAAAAATGAAAAGCACATATAAATAACAACATTCAATAAATTTTATTCTTGAGTTTTCAAAGACAAATCAAATTTGTTGAAGTGATGGAGGTCCGTAGTTTGCGTAGCGACGTGGAATTCTGCAAGATTAATTTTTCATTTTTTTGGAGTGAACTTTTCTACAGACCTTCTCATTCCACGTGTCAAATAATGCAATTCGACGAAAAGTCCGAAGAGCATAAGACAAATTCCGAAAAGCAGAAGACATAGAGTGTTTTCAAAATCGTGCTTCTTGGCATCAAGAGCTGATTGAGAGATTTCTTGAAGGCAGTTGTGGCCCTGAGAAAAAATGGGAAATGTATTTTTGAAATTAGGCTACGCAAAAAATTACTTTGTAAAAATCATTTACTGTTTCAAAAATTGTATGGACTTATGTGATTTTCCAACTATTTCAATACAGCTTAGAACGAGAAATCAAAATTTAAAAAATAGAAACTGAAATCCTAGCACTTTAGTTTGAAATACATATGAAATTTCTGGAAAATGTACAAAATGTACAAAACAATTTATGCGAATTTTGCTCAATTTATCAATTTTTTGAAGCGTGCATTTTTCAGGATTTTTTTCAAATTGAATTTTTATAAATTTCTAAAAATTCTCCTTACCACGCAATCCATTTTATTGTCGTCAGCAAAAACTGATGGAAGAATTGTGAAAATTATCATAAAAAAGCACATTATTCTAATGCGCCACATCGATTTTTTCATGATTTGCATTATTTTTATCGATACGAAGAAAAAATGAGAAAATAACGATTTGGAATCGTTTTTTATGGAAGGAGAATTAGAGATACGACAGAGAAAAGAACAAAAAAGGGGGAGGGGGATTTTCAGAAAATGATACATTTTCAGTTACTACGAAAACGTGTGTATGCTCTGAAATTCCAAGTTCCAAAAGCCGGGTTTTTTGACATGTTTCACACCAAAATACGTTTATTTAAAAAAATTCAAAAATTACAAAAAAAATACAAACAAAATTTTTCGAAAAATCTTACATTTACAAAAATTGGTGAAAGTCGTTCGTGCGAAAAAAGGCCACTTTAATTTCAAAAGTCGCGCAAAAAATGTCTCGAATAATAATAATATCTGGAACCAACTATTTTTTTTATTCAAAAATAATTTCCAGACCAATCTCACCTTTTTCCAGCAGAATCCTCGTTGTTTCTTTTCGAAGACCATTCAGTGATAGCTGCGAATAGAAGGGCAAAGGCAAACCAGACCAACCAAACAATGAGCATGGTTGGATCTGATTGTTGTTCTGAATTCTGGAAAAGAGATTTATTGTAAGTCAGTGTCATCCCGCCAAAAAAATAAACATGACACTTGGCATGAGAGACGCAGGCAGCGAAAGAGCGCCTTTGGCCAACCGCCATTGGCAAGACACCTGTTTTTGTATTTGAGAGCGATCGAAACGCATACGCGTCGCGGGAAAAGGTGGAAATGATAATACAGGTGTTGGATTTGTTGTGGAAAAAACGTTACCTCGGGTATTGGAGTCGTTGGCATTGCAGCAACAAAAACTGAGCAAACAAGAATATGGTAAATCATAACCTGAGCAACGTTTTTGAGCATGGTTTCTGGAAAATATGGATTCGATAGTTTGTCGAAAGAATGAGGATACAGTGGAAATATATGAAACTTTTTTGCAATAATTATAAGATGAGATGAGATGATTAAATAAGTATAACATGAGTAATCTCAGAAAAATACAGTATTCTTCTGATGCTGAAAACTAATTGAAGGGCTTCGAGAACTGTCATCACATTTAAAAAAAACTTTCAAAAAATTTATTATGTATTAGCAATATTTCTGATAATTCTTGCCGCGTGTATCTAAAAATAAAATGAAATGATAAAAAATAAAATATCGTCGCTTCTTGGAAAATGTTGTTTTTTGATGAGTCACAAATGGGAACCGAAAAGGATTTTTGTGTAAAAAATTGATGTTGATTGCGAAATAATTTGTTCAAAAACATTTCTGTGAGAAAATGATAAGAACAGTTCTGATTGTTTGATTTATCAGGAGTATCTTGATTCAATAAGAAATATAACATGAGCAATAAAATCTATCTACCGTAACCTGGGGTAACATTTTTTAGTTTTTCTATGGTATTTTTAATGAACATTTTGGTGGAGAATTGCAAGGTATCAGGCAATACAGGTTTGAATTTCTAGAAAAATTATTTTCAGAGTTGCACCAACTCCACCAAGTTTTCCGATTAGCCAAGTTTGAAACTGTTTTATGGAAAAATATGAGCTAGGTTTGCACAATGATTGAAAAAACCCTTCTTGTTTCCACCAACAAAGTTTTCTTCCGCCAGCTTAAATCTCTCCTGAATCCTGGAGTTGTTAAAAATATCGAAACCACCACAAAACTTCCATGAATCTGCAGAATAAATTGAGAGCCTTGAACTATTCCAGGGTTAAACCAATCGATAAAATAAGTGGTTTGCTGAATATTTTGAGGAATTGTAAACATAAAGAAAAATATGAGAGTTTGAATTATCAGACTTCGCAAAAGCTTGCGCTGATTAGTAGATTTGTTTTGGAATTTTTTAAAAATTAGGGATACTGTGAATATTGGCAAGGTATAAAGAGTTGTCGTGTTGAGTAAGAAGATCAATAAAATAGCAATGTTATAAGTATAATCATCATCTTCTTTCATTTTTGAGATATAACAGTTATTCTGCCAGAAAATATCCGGAAACCCTGTCGAACCTTCAGCATACTTTATGCGATCATCGGAATTTCCCACCCCCATAATTACTTCTTGTGTATAAATTGTGAATCCAAAAATGTACCAGATCACCAATAACGCTGTACCATATCGATCTAGAATTTTATAAAAAGGACTAGGCCATATCGCACTTTTGAAACGATAAAAATATAAATGAATAATTGAAACTGGAAGCGCATGACTTAGGCCGAATTGAAAACTTTCCCAAATTACTGGATTCATTCCAAAATATTTAATATATCCTGTTGGACAGGCAATTTGTATTGGAACAAACCAAATCGTGGCAAGACCCGATGATAAGTTCTCAAATATAAAATTCCAAATTATTTTGGCTAACAAGATAAATCGGTAATTATTTTTGATGTGTCGGTTAGCACAAAAAATCATATAATAAATTGCATAACTATAAATTGGAAAACTGAGGATAACATCCATATGACTCAAAATTGTGTAAATTTTGAGAATTTGAAGATAAGGGGAATAATCATGGGGCATAATAGAAAAGGAAATAGAGAATTTTGGAAATCATTTTGAGTTTGATCATTTCACATGATTGAATAGTGATGTTAAAGTTAGTATTATTGGTTTTTTTCAGCACAAAGAACAAGTTTTTTTTTTGAAAAACTCAAACATTTTTCAAAATTACCACGTCATGCCACAGTGACACAGGTGATTTCGTATTCATTTTTTCCTCAACATTTTCTCATTTTCAAATGTTTTCTCTAGAGTCTATTCTATTTTACGCATTGTTTTTATTCAACGTTACTATGATTCTTATATATATTTCAAGTATTTTATTAATTTTTCCATTATTTTTATATTTTACGAAACTAAATAGGGAAAAAGATAAAGAATGCCCAATTTTTCAAATAACAAATCATCTCTACAAAATTACAATTATCTCACAATACATGATTATAATCCCTGTTTCATCAATAATTGTTTTTATTTTTGCTTTTCCTTATTTTGATAAAATAAAGGAAAACTTTTGGATTACTGCTATTATAGCAACTCCAATGATGCTTCTAGCAATTTTTTATGCTTTTAATCAAATAGTTGTTCCAATTCAAAATCTTCTAATATTCCTTTTGGCTTTTCAAAGATTCCTCCTTTATTTTTTTCCAAATTCTGAAAAGTATATCGTTCCCTCTGAAACGTCTTTTAACAAACTTATGAAATTTTTGTACTTCGTATCTTCGGGAAATTTTGTCTATTTTTTGTTTGGATGTATCAAAATGTATTATTTTGGAATAAACCGAGAACAATATTTTGTTTCGGACGCATGGAGTACAACTGCAGTAACTTATATAACATTGGATGTTTTTGTGATGTGTTCCTCAATTTTTTATATATTTATTTTGATAAGTGTTCGAAAAATAACAAGTATGGGTTCGAATTTTATGAAAACCCGCCCAGAAAAAGTTATAATTTATCAAACATTGGTTTTAATAATTGTTAAACTAATTGGGTTTCCAGCAATTTATTTTATGTTTTATTTTTGGCGTACTTTTGACAACTTGCATCAGATATTTATTTTAATCAAGGTTAGTTTTAAAAATTCAAGCTCAAAATTTTTTTTAGTTTTCAGATTGACTATCCTCTATTTTTCATTGATGTTTTAACAACTCCAATAGTATTCCAAGTCACTTATATATTTTGCAACAAAACTAATCTTGAAAAATTGTTGAAATTGAATTTTAGAATATTGAAAACCTGGAGATTTATTTGTTGTGGGGCGTCTTCAAATAACATCGAACCAGCTAAATTGCACAATTTGGGTGAGAATTCAGTTACATAATTTTTTCAAAAAATTGAAAGAATAGATGGTACTGAGATGACGTTTGTTGGTTTATTTTTGAATAAATTTTTTTTCTTAAAACTTGTCTGTGTTTTCGAGGAAAAACATGGGCTGAGTTGCTACTAGAATTTTTTTTTTAACTGGAACCTTTCAGGAGCACCTTATTGCTATCAATACAAAATTCTCTGACGGAACACCACCCCTTTAATGAGACATAGATTATTTAAAAAATAAATAAATTCAAAACAAACTGAAAATCGCGTGCATAAAACCATGAAAAAATTAATCTACCTATGAAATATTTCATGGTTTGTTTTTCAATAAAATGTGGAAGCTGATCCTATAGCTTCAAGTGTAATTCAAAGCTTCAATCATTTGAACATAGTAATATATTTTTCAATGAAGCTCAAATCTCACCTGTTAGTTTTGTCCCCCCCCCAAACCCCAAAATAAACTAACTTCACTGGCCCGTTCCGTTAAAAGATGTTGAGTTCTTTGAATGTTCTGTCCAAACGAACCATCTTCTTGTTCGGAAGCCTGAAACTTCTACATTCTTTTTCTCAAAATTTTCGCCTATTCTTAAACTTACATCAGAAAATGTCAATTATGGATTTTATGGGACCGCTGCATTCTGTGACGGTTGTGTCTGAAAAAAAATAAGAGAATTAAAAATCAAACCACCCCATTAATAACTTTTTCTGCGCTGAAAAAAAAACAACTCGAAAACTAGAAAAAAGCAAAAAATACAAATGTCGTGCAAAAAAAAATAAAACAAAAACAACGATACTCCGCGTGCACGTTGTTTAGCGTGTTTATTTTGTTGTTTCTTTACAGGGTAGACGAGAGAGTGTGGGAAATAGAGAGAGGGTTATAGAGAGGGAGAGAGAGAGAGAGATGTATGTTTTTTATTTGAATAGGAATTATTGATTGAACGTTTTTTTTCGAACTTAATCATTTTTCTGGTTTTTTTTCAGAGCAGAAAAAGTTATTAATGGGGTGGTTTGGTACATTTTTTAATTTTCTTATTTTTTTCAGAGACAACCGTCACAGAATGCAGAGGTCCCATAAAATCCACAATTATCATTGTCTGATGTAAGTTTAAGAATAGGCGAAAATTTTGAGAAAAAGAATGTAGAAGTTTCAGGCTTCCGAACAAGAAGACGTTTCGTTTGGACAGGAGATTCAAAGAAATCAACAACTTTTCACGGAACGGGCCAGTCAAGTTAGTTTGTTTTGAGGTTGGGGGGGGGAGGAACAAAACTAACAAGTGAGATTTAAGCTTCATTGAAAAATATTGGGTAAAGTTTTTTATTCAAAATTACTATTGATGTCATTCATGGAACCATTCCTAATTTAGCCACGAGTCATTTTTCGATCAAAAAACTTGAAATTTTTCATGAATCTGATTCTAAATTTCTATTTGTCATAAAAAACTTCTGACTAACTCAGATTATTTTTTATTTCAAAACAAATGTCTAATCAGACGCAACAAAATTTAAATTTAAAATCAAAAATTTATCACGTACAAACAGATGTCACATGTATAACTGATTCTTTCTTTCTGTAATCCTTCTTAACCATAATTTTTAAATCCTCTATAAGGTCTTTTTTGAATGCAGAAGTTGCAAAAAACATCGAAACTACCACAAAACTTCCATGAATTTGAACGATAATTTGACAAATTTGAACAATTGCTGGATTGAACCAGTTTATAAAAAATGAACTTTGATTGATTGTTGATGGAATTGTATACATCAAAAATGATATTGAAAATTGAACCAATAAACTATTCAAAAGGTTTCGCTGGAAGTTAGCGTTTCTCGAATTTTGCTTCTTGAACTTCTTTTGAATTATGATAATTGTTGCAATCGGCATAAAATATAATAACAAAGTTGTGACAGTAAAAACCAGCAAAAGTGGAAGATTATGAGATGCACCCGTAACATTTTTAACACTTGAAATATAACAGAAATCATCGTCTCTCCAAAAAACTTCTGGAAATCCTGTAAAGTTTTCTGCATATTCCAGACGATCTTGCGATGTTCCTTGATGAATAACTTCTTTGGTATAAAAAATGAATCCGATAACATATAAACTGTAGAAAAAAAGAGTTCCAAAACGATCATGGGGTTTATACCAAGAGCTGGGCCAGATGGAACTTTTTAAACGGTAGAAAAATAAATGACTTATCGAAACTGGAAGAGCGTGCGCTAAACAACCCAAAATACTTTGCCAAATCACTGATGGAATTCCAAAATATCCAATGAATCCTGTTGGGCACGCAATTTGTATTGGGGCGAACCAAATCGTGGCGAGACCAGATGTTACATTCTCAAAAAGACAGTTCCAAATAATTTTGGATAATAGGAAAAATCGATAATTATTTCGGATATGTCGATGTGCACGGTATAACATATAATAAATTGCATAACTATAAATTGGAAAAGAGAATATGAGGTCTAAATAACATAAGAATGTGAAGATTTTGAATAAGTTCAAATATGGTGCGTAATTATTCATCTTATGATTTGGAATGTGAAAAAGGTAAAAGAGTTGAAAATTTAAATTTTCATGGTTGAAAAGACATAAATAATTATGATGAAGTCTGGGAGTAATCGGGTAAAACACTATGTCAGCAGCTCAATACAAAAATTAATTGTTTGGGAGACGCAGACATTTAACACAGACAGAGATAACTAAAATAAGCAGACACAAAAATAAGCAGACACAAAAATAAGCAGACACAAAAATATGCAGACACAAAAATAAGCAGACACACAGATAAGCAGACACAAAAATATGCAGACACAAAAATAAGCAGACACAAAAAATAAGCAGACACAGAATATAAGCAGACACAAAAATAAGCAGACACAAAAATAAGCAGACACACACACACAAAACATAGCCTTTGGCCGTCCTGCTTTTTTGTCGAACACTGCGTTTATAGACCCCATCGGCATCGAAGCCTTTCGAACATTTCATTTTTTTTTGAATTCAGAAAGTGTGTTATTGTCTTGATAGATTTCACTTGAACTTTTGTAAATTGTATCTTCTATCCGAATTAAAAAAAAATCAAATTCTAAATTTTGTTTTTTTTTTCATTGACGTTGCAGGTTATCATGCTTTAATAAAAAAATCTTCATCATTCATGCAAAAAATCTGCTCATTTGTTTTTCATTTCTCTTTTTTGCACAAATTTTATTTCTATTCAAAACATGTCGCATGACTATTCACCTTATCTTCAAATTTTCAAAATTTACACAATTTTGAGTCATATGGATGTTATCCTTAGTTTTCCAATTTATAGTTATGCAATTTATTATATGATTTTTTGTGCTAACCGACACATCAAAAATAATTATCGATTTATCTTGTTAGCCAACATTACTTGGAATTTTCTATTTGAGTCCTTGTCATCGGGTCTTGCCACGATTTGGTTTTCACCTATACAAGTTCTCTGTCCAACAGGGTATATCAAATATTTTGGACTAAATCCAGTAATTTGGGAAAGTTTTCAATTTGGCCTAAGTCATGCACTTCCAGTTTCAATTATTCATTTATATTTTTATCGTTTAAAAAGTGCGATTTGGCCAAATCCTTGGTATCAGATACTGGACCGATATGGAATTATTTTTCTGATTTTTTGGTATATTTTAGGATGTTTTTTTTACACACAAGAAGTTGTTTTGGGCGCAGGAAATTCTGAAGATCGATACATGTATGCTGAAGGTTCAACGGGATTACCCGAAGTTTTTTGGAGGAATGATTGTTATATTTCAAATATGAAAACAGATGATAATTTCACCTATAACATTCCTATTTTTCTATTGTTCTTAGTCAACACAATAACTCTTTACACTTTGCCAATATTCACAGTATCCCTCATTTTCAAAAAATTCCAAAACAATTCTACAAATCAACGAAAGCTTCTGCGCAGTCTGATAATTCAAACTCTCATATTTTTCATCATGTTCACAATTCCTCATAATATACTACAAAGCACTTATTTTATCGATTGGTTCAATCCAAACATAACTCTAAGCTGTCAAATAATTCTACAATCTCATGGAAGTTTTGTGGTTATTGCGATATTTTTGACGACTCCGGGATTCAGAAAAGATTTAAGTTTAGGGAAGAAAAATGGATTTGTGGATCAGCAAGGAAGGAGGGTTTCTTCAATTTTTGTTCAAACATAGGAAAAACAATTTCCCAAAATAATCACATTTTACTGATAATATGCAACGATGTTGTAGTCATTTGTAAATTATGTCCCGATTCAGTTTTCGAATTTAATTTCAGCTTTCGTTGCAACTTTTTGATAAATAGTTTCACTGAAATATTAAGAGTAACGTTTTTCTCTCAAAAGATTACTCACAACTTCGTTTCAATTGCTTATTTGTTAACAACATTGCCAACGTCGAGAATGATCCGTGTTGATAAAAACAAATTGTCAAAAAATGCATAAAAATCTGCCATTTTTCCATCGACAGTCTCAACAAAAAAGCACCAAAAAATATTAAAAGAGGTGTGGCCAAAAAGAGTACATGCACACCGAGTTGGATGAATAAACTTCGAAGAAAACTTTTTTGGACTACTAGAGTTCGGCTGGAAAATATTGAGGAGTTGGAGGATATTGCATGAGAAGATGCAAAGGACATCAGATTTTGAGCGCTTGCGGCGATTGCGGTGGAAAATGTGGCGGAGATTGCGAAGAGTATAGTTTTGGATGAGTCGAGATTGAATACAATACAATTATCACAGAATATGAAGTTTGGGAGAGGTCCATCGGTCTGGAAATTATTTAGTCTGTTTTGAAGTTAGACTAAAAAAAGTAGACTTGTGTAAACAAAGGAATTCAGAACACAAAAATCACATTTTCAAATTTCCCTTGTAACTTTTTCATAGTATGTGAATTACAAAGCCTCGCTGAAAATCAATTACCTTATCAATTTTCAGTTTATAATCCCGTTGGTCTTCAAAATCCTCATACGAATAAATAAAACTGAAAAACACCAAAAGTTGAGTCAAACTATAAAAATAGTTCAGAGCTTTAGAAATCTTCAATGTTTTTTGTGGAATAAAAGAAGCTACAGATTTCATTCGATATTCTAGTAAAACTATAATTGTTTGTGCATTTGATAAAAGAAATACCAGAAAGAAACCAACAGACATAGCTGGATAATTAAACATTAAACCAAATCCACATAAACTCATCCAAGGTGGAGTTAGCATAAATTTCCAGATTATTGTTAGATAATTTTCGAAGAACATATTTGAAATTGTATGAATGAGCAATAATGTTTGATATTTTCGAAATGTTTCGGGACATTTCAATTTCAGTGCGAGAATTCCAATGATATAAATTGAATTTGATAAAACTGATGAGATTTTCAAAAGATCTAGAAAAATATCAAAGCCTATAAAACCTTGATGACAAGTTTCATTTGGCGAAAACATTCTGAAAAATATTCGAGAATGGTTGGGTTTTTGATTCAGTGTTTTGTTTTGTTTTGTTTTAGAGTCACATTGTCTAAATAATTAGAAATTTCTAAGAAATGTTAGAAAAATGTGTAAGCTCTGGTGATAACTTTGTTTTTGCTGTAAAATATATAACTTCTGACTGCCACGTCACAGCACAAGCATTCGAAAAACATCTGATCAACAGTAACCTCGAGCGCCTTTGGTGCAAGAATAAATCACACTTCAATCATTGAAAAACCCAGCCAAAACTTGAATAGGCGCAGTCTCAATCCTATTTGTGAATGATTTTTTAAAAATAATTATTTTATGAAAATCTTGTAATATTCTGAATCATCTGTTAGAATACAAAAAATGTGGAATTCATTTTCAAATTATTATACTGCAAAAATATTGCGGAGTTTATTATCTGCCTCAGTGTTTGATGACCAATTCAAACGTTGCCGGATTTTTCGGAAAAATTGAATCACTGAAAATTGAATTAAATTTCAAAATCTTTTTCAAAAATTCAATAAATTAACTCACAATTTCGTTTCAATTGTTTATTTGTTGACAACATTGCAATCGTAGAAAACGATCCGTGTTGAAAAAAACAAATTGTCAAAAAATGCATAAATATTTGCCATTTTTCCATCGACAGTCTCAACAAAAATGCAAAAAAGAAAAAGAGAATTGGAGCGGCTAGAAATAACATATGAACACCGATTTGGATGAATAAACTTTGGAGAAAACTTTTTTGAACAAGAATTGTTCGTTTCGAAAATATTGCGGAGTTTGAGGATAATGCGTAATACGAGGAAAATGCCATTAGAAGAATAGCGTTACCAGCGATTAGAACAGAAAATGTTGAGGATATTGCGAAGTTTATAGTGTTTTGAGAGTCAAGTTTGAAGACGAGACAGTTTTCACAATATATAAAATTTGGAATTGGGCCATCGGTCTGGAATTTTAAAGTTAAATTCGCAAATTTTGCTAAACAGGGATAAATTACATTTTTTGGAGATAAAGTCATGTTTTTCAATTAGAAACTCTTTGATTCGTTTTTTTTATTCTGAAAATAACGAAAGATAATCCAAAGGTGGTTTTCCGATTTTTTAAAGTAAAATTGTTGAAAAAAGTGAGAAACATCTTCAAAATTGAATCTTTCAAAACGCTCTTATTCAATATTTCTGGTAGCTAATTTTGATAGTTGTTATGTCACATCTCGGCCAATCCGTTGTGGACCAGAGTAGAATTTTTGAAAATATCTGAATTTGAGCATTTCAGAGGGGCAAAAACTGAAAATTTACAGTTTTTACATTGAAAAAATGTTAGCGTGCAATTTTGACTTTTGGAAACCACGATTTTGGCCGAGGTGTGTGTTATGTTGTAAAAATTTCAAAATAAATCATTTACTTCATTGAGTTGAAGTTTATAATCAGTTTGCTCTCGAAAATCCTCATAAGCAAGAAGAAAACAAAAAATAACCAAAAACTGCGTCACGGTATAAAAATATTTCATAAATCTCGCAATCCTCGCAATTTTCCGATGAATCAAAGAAATAACAGATCTCATTCGATGTTCTACTAAAATTATAATTGTTGTACCGTTTGCCAACAAAATTAAAATGAATGATCCAGAATCAATTGCTGCAAAATTATAAATAATTCCAAACCCACAAACACTCATCCAAGGTGGAGTTATTATAAATTTCCAAACACTTGACAAATAATTTTCGAATAACATGTTTGATAATGTATGAATAAGCAACAAATTTTGATATTTTCGAAAAGTATCAGGACATTTATATTTTAGTGCAAAAATTCCGGTGATATAAATAAGATTTGAGAAAACTGATGAGATTTTCAAAGATCTAGATAAATATCAAAACCGATGAGCCCTTCATGACAAGTTTCATTTGGCGAAAACATTGTAAAAAAATATTTTGAAAATAAAAATTCTTATGTTTTTTCTAGTCATGTGTCACTAATCAGCGTTTCACATTTGGTATGTTTGAAAATAATCAGAAATTTAGAAACTTATGATATACAGTTTTTGTTATTTTTTGTTAATAAAACCCCTTCCTAGAATTTATTTTTTACTGGAATTATAAGTTCAAAAGACACTTGTCAGTATTTTGAGTTCTTGAATTCTTTAGAAATGTTTTATAGTCGAAAAAATCGAAAAAATCATCTAGATAAGGAAAATCTGCTTATGCTTATCAGATTTTCTGACCAGGAAAAAAGCTTTAAAAAACAAAAAAAGTCCGGATTTGTCCTAATAGGTCTGAGCTTCTGATTATGTGCAACTTTATTATTACACGTCGTGCCAGAAAAATGGGAAAAGATAATTTCGTGGAGAGGCAGACATTTTGTGTGGTCTCGCAGCGATGCACCTGAGGGACCGGGGAGAGTACGGTTTGAAGCTTGGTCTCGCAGCGATTCACCTGAGGAACCGGGGAAAGTACGGTTTCTGCAATTGGTCTTGCAGCGATTCACCAGAACGACCGGGGAGGAGTACGGTGTCTTTTTTTCTCTGCGTCTCCTCGGATTTGTGTGGTGGCACGACGTGATTAGCCTAGCCACTCAAATTTGCTCACAATTCATAGATGAGAAAAAGTCAGAAAATATTTCAGACTCTCAGAGATTTTATCGAAAATGTGTAGCATATCTGCTGCAAAGGGTGTACCCAACTGCTGCAAAGGGTGTACGGTTTTTCGGTTTTTCCACGAAGTGCTACGACAATAAACATGGACTAGAATTAATGAAACTCCTTATTTCCACAGATTTGAACACACTGATCACGAATATGTAATCAGTTTTCAAAATGGTTCAGTAGTTTTTTGCATTTTGATGCATTCTGTCTCACACCCATTGCAGCTGTTTGTTCTTTAGTGGGTCGACGTGCATAAACTTGATTTTCAAAAAAAAATGCCGAAAAACCATCTTGATAAAGCTCGTGAAATCTGATTTTCTGACTATAAAAACTTTTTAAATCATCTCCGCCAAAAAACCTGTTAAATATATCTTATAAATATAATGCTACGGTCAATTTTTCCCGAAAAAATGTCGAAGAAGGGGCATCTTCAGGGAATTCGTGCGATTGCTATAATTTCAGTTCTAGCTTTTCATTTTTTCCCTAATTTTTTTCCCAATGGTTTTCTGGGAGTTGATCAGTGAGTTCTTATTGTTCTCTCCAAATTTGTTTTTTTTTTGATTTTTTTAAATTCAGATTTTTCGTGCTTTCTGGTTATTTGATGTGCTCAATTCTTTCCAGAAATGCTCAAAATAAAAATCAATCAATAACTTCAAAAATTCTGGATTTTTACCAACGGAGACTTTGTCGGATTCTTCCAAATTATTATTTTCTAATTTTAATCAATATTTTTCTATTGATTTTTTCTTCAATTTTTCCTGACACATTCATTGAAACAAATCAAAAATCAGCAAAACTATCAATATTTTTCATTTCAAATGATTTTTCGAATTTGGAAGATGATTATTATATTCTGCTGAAAATTGCTGAGAATCTTTTCACACATACTTGGTCACTTTGTGTTGAAATTCAATTTTATTTTATGATTCCTCTAGTTTTCTATGCATTGTCGTCTTTTGATGACTCACATGAGAAGAAATATCGATTATTTATGATTTACCTTCTTTTCTCAATAATCTCATTGATTTTTTATTTGATTTCACCAAGAAGCACAGCATTTTATAGTGTTTTCGCGAGAATTTGGCAATTTTTCGCGGGATTTTTAGTGTATTTTTGGTCTGAATTTGAGAGTGGAAATGGCGAAGATTCAGAAAAACTGTTAACTTCTGAGAAAAAAAGTTCTGAAGGTGAAAAAGAGAAAAAAAATTATGAGAGTTTACAAGCTTGGTTATTATTAGTTACAATTTTAATGCTTTTTGTTGGTTTTGAATATCCCGAAAGGATTGTAAGGTAAATGAAAGGCATATATTTCATTTTACAGGGATCACTAAAGTCTATCATTTAAATTAGTCTTTTTTTCACATTTTCAATTTTTCAGAATTGCTATGACAATAATAACCGCCTTGTTAATATTAATCGCTGAAAACAATTTAATATTATCAAATAAGTATATGATTTATATTGGAAATATTTCATATTCTCTATATTTAATTCATTGGCCAATTTATTGTTATTCAAAATTCTACGAGTTACCTCAACTCCCGTTTTTAATGCTATCCATTTTTTTGGGAATTTTAATCTATGAATTTTATGAGAAATGGTATACAACAAAAATCGATAGAAAATCACAAATGATATTATCAACGGTTTTATTGGTTTTTTGTGTTCTAGCAATATGGAGAAGAGAAATTCTGAATATTTATACGAAACAGGAGAAATCGAAAAGTTTTTGGGTTGGAGATTCCAAAAAATTGAGTTTGGACAAAATAATGGAATTGAATACAGAGTGGACTTCACGGGAAATGGAATTTCTAGAGTATGAAGAATGCGATTATAAAAATCAGGATTTGAAGCCATTTGGATTATGCCATTTCAAAGTGAGCTATGACGTGGAAATTATGAAAAACAGTTTAGACATGGATTCAGAACAAATTAATACCTTGGCATAGGCTTTAAATGTAAATTTAGATTTATCCAAAAGCTTATGCTTATTTGGTATCAAACAAACAAAGAGTTCCATACAGTAACTAAAGCCTGTTTGATAAAAAAATTCTAATTTTGCTTCTAAATTTTATAGTAATCTAGTAAAGAATGTCTTCTTTCCAGAATCTCTCTTCGACTGCTCCATTGAAAATTCTGATTATTGGAAATAGTTATGCAATGAACTTTGCGCCATTAATTTTGAAAGCATGCGGCCAAAAATCTAATCTTATTTGGCTTGCTTCAGAATCTAGTTGTGATTTTTTATATCCAGCCTATTCAGAAAGAAAATGCCAAAATATGTTCGAAAACCCGTATGAAACAATTCAAAAAATGCAATTCGATTATATTTTTTTGATTTCGAAATGTGGAAATTATTGTGAAAATGATAATTCGGAAAATGCGGGAATCGACATCAACTTAGAGTTTGCCAAATCACAAATTGCGAGAATTAAAAACTTTGTGAAGCGCAAAATTTTCATCATGAAAGCTGTGACAATTCCGGACGGAATTATAAATCTTAACAAGTTTTTGAAAAATGGATCAAGTTTTGATAAAATTGATGTGAGTTATGAAAACGAATGGGCCTGCGAAATCGGACTTTACTCAATTCCTGAGTCACCGAGCCAAAAATCCCACGATTCATTTTTTTCAGAAGTACTATTCAACTCGATTAAAACATCACAAAAAAATCGGCGATGTTCGCCATCAAAAACTTGCCGAATTTTGCGGCTCAAAATGTGAGCATTTCGACGCATTTGAAAATTTTGCTCGAAATCCCTATGCTCCGGAAATATTTCGATTTTTTGATGACCGTGGTTTGAGTTATATGGCTGGAGGTGGCCATTTTCCACCGTATTCTTGGCCAAAAATTCAGCCGATTTTTGATAGAATTTGTGAGAAAATGTAGAACTGAATGAATTTTTTTTTCAAATTTCAAATTATAAACAAAACCATTTCCCAGAAATACACACCGTAGGCCATAATGAAATAATATTCTGTGGAACTTTGATAATATAAGTAGATAGAATCTTTAAAAATAGAAAAACAAGTTACTGAATTTCGGTTTTTTGTGATCTAACACGTTTGATCTGATCAGCAATCTACGATAGCGTCACATTAAATCACATCAAGAAAAATTGGAAAATCTCCAACAAAACTACAAAAAACAGACTGTATTGTACTTAAAAATTTCTGCTAAAAAAACACTCAAAATTTCTTGGTCTGTGTTTTTTTCTGTATATATTTTCACACTGCAAAATAAAAATTTTCTGAATTTTCTTGCAAAAAGTGTTTGAATAAGTTTTCAACCTGAATTTTCACTTTATATTTTTTTTTAATTTCAAATTCAGAACTACAATTTGGAAATTCTGCAAGAAAAAAGTAATATTTTTTAAAATTTCGTGGTCTGTGTTTTTTTCTCGAATCTGTAAATATTTTCGTTTTTGCCCTTTTTGTTTTGATGACAAACAAAAACTAACCCGTATAAAAAACAAGATTTTTTTCTCATGTTCCCTAACTTTACTATTTTGCTTTAAAAATCTTCTCAAAGCCATCTAAAAATTCTGAAAAATGTCGAGATTTTCTGGAAAAGTTGTGATTGTTACTGGCTCTTCTAATGGGATTGGCAGAAGTGCGGCTATATTATTTGCAAAAGATGGTGCCAAAATCACAATTTCCGGAAGAAATGCGGAGAGACTCGAAGAAACCAAGAAATTAATTTTGTCTCAAGGAATCTGCCCCGAAAATATAAATTCCGTTTTGGGAGATATAACAAAATCTGAAGATCAAAAAATCTTGATTGATTCGACCCTCCAAAAATTCGGAGGAAAAATCGATATCCTGGTGAATAATGCGGGAGCCGCAATGCCGGATACAACTGGAGTTTCGGGTGTCGAAAGTGATATTTCGAATTTTGAGCGAAACTTGGCGGTTAATTTGAACAGTGTTATTGGATTGGTTCAGAAGGCAAAACCGTATTTGGAGAAGAGTAAAGGAGATATTGTAAATGTTTCGAGTATTGCTTCAGGACCGGCGGCCGTGAGTTTAGAAGGGGGAAAATTATACCGTGGCCTGAAAGCCAACAATTTTTTTTCGGATTTCAGACCATGGGCCTGAATTTAGTGGTCTAGAAAATGTGATTTTCTAGGTAATTCCATCAGGTCCCTCAATCTCTAATTTTTCCACTCCCAATTCAACCAAAAACGTACCTTCCATCTCCAAAGTGCAAAATGTTCAATTTCCTTTGTTCTTTCCGTTGAATTATTCATAACGTTTGCGCAAAATATGCTGAAATTTCCAAATTAAGCACATTTTCAGCATGTTGGTGCAATGTATTACTCAATGGCAAAAGCAGCACTCGATCAATTTACCCGAAATGTCGCAATTGAATTGATCGCATCGGGAGTTCGTGTAAATTGTGTTCGTCCTGGAGTTGTGACAACTGGTTTTATGCAAGCGATGGGCGCTACTGAACAAGCATCTGATGAATTTTATAAATTGTTTGGGTCGCGAAAGGATTGTGTTCCTGCTGGGCGTCTCGGAACCCCTGAAGATATTTCTCACCTTATCCTGTTCCTCGCTGATCGAAAATCATCATTTTACATCATTGGTCAAGTAATTACAATCGATGGTGGAAGTTCTTTAATGAATGTGCTCGCTAGTTCATTTGAAACATAAAAATAATTTGTCTATTTTCAAAATAAATTTTATTTCCGCGAAATTCGACACCAAACACGCCAAGCAAACACTGACGCATTTTGTGTGCATTTTGTGTGCAGGCTGCAGGTTTTTTAACTGTAGATTGACTAAAGATGCAAACGCGCTCTAGCGCACAACGCGAGGGTGTTTGAATTTATTTGTTTGTTCTCTGTGTTTTGTAAATCAATTTTTTTGGTGTTTTCGACTGTTTTTTCAGTTTTTTGAGTGATTTTAGCATTTTCTGGAAGAAATTTAGTCAGCCAGTGATGATTTTTCAGTGAAAAATATAGCCCGTCAGTAACTCGAGTACTGAGTACTGAGTATACTGAGTACTGAGTATTTGCAAAATACTCAGTACTCAGTATTTGCGAGTACTGAGTACTTGAAAATACTCAGTACTCAGTATACTCAGTATTTTGAGTACTGAGTATACTGAGTATACTCAGTAACTGAGTACTCGAAAATACTCAGTACTCAGTATTTTGGAAATACTCAGTACTGAGTACTGAGTATACTGAGTATGTCAGTACTCGGAATACTCGATTTTAAAGGCATGTTCCACCAAAAAAAAAATTTTTTTGAAAATGAGGTATTTGGGCACGGGGAACATTTTGGTGAGGTATACGGTCGGGAACAGACTTTTAAAGGCACATGCCAGGTTATTACAAATTTTCCGAGATAATTTTTTCAAACTATCATAACTTTTTTATTTTGGAAGCTTTTTTGAAAATTCGACAACCATTTTGACGGTCTTGAAGCGGGCTACATTTTTGGTGTTGACACCAACTACCGTACTTCGCTCCTAAGAGGTGAAAAATACATTTTTATTCATATTTGTGTCAAAAATCGACATTTTCGAGAGAAAAAGCGTGTTTTTCACCTCTTAGGAGCGAAGTACGGTAGTTGGTGTCAACACCAAAAATGTAGCCCGCTTCAAGACCGTCAAAATGGTTGTCGAATTTTCAAAAAAGCTTCCAAAATAAAAAAGTTATGATAGTTTGAAAAAATTATCTCGGAAAATTTGTAATAACCTGGCATGTGCCTTTAAAAGTCTGTTCCCGACCGTATACCTCACCAAAATGTTCCCCGTGCCCAAATACCTCATTTTCAAAAAATTTTTTTGGTGGAACATGCCTTTAAAATCGAGTATTCCGAGTACTGACATACTCAGTATACTCAGTACTCAGTACTGAGTATTTCCAAAATACTGAGTACTGAGTATTTTCGAGTACTCAGTTACTGAGTATACTCAGTATACTCAGTACTCAAAATACTGAGTATACTGAGTACTGAGTATTTTCAAGTACTCAGTACTCGCAAATACTGAGTACTGAGTATTTTGGAAATACTCAGTACTCAGTATACTCAGTACTCAGTACTCGAGTTACTGACGGGCTATAGTGAAAAACACACATTTCGAGGACGTTTTCGGATTTTCAGTCAATCTAACGTGGAGAATTTTTAGTCAATCTATTATTTGATTTTTTTTTCGAGTTTTTGGGCTGGAAAAATGGGTTGATAAATTGAATTTGAGATTTTCAGTCAATCTAACGTGGAGAATTTTTAGTCAATCTATTATTTGATTTTTTTTTCGAGTTTTTGGGCTGGAAAAATGGGTTGATAAATTGAATTTGAGATTTTCAGTCAATCTAACGTGGAGAATTTTTAGTCAATCTATTATTTGATTTTTTTTTCGAGTTTTTGGGCTGGAAAAATGGGTTGATAAATTGAATTTGAGATTTTCAGTCAATCTAACGTGGAGAATTTTTAGTCAATCTATTATTTGATTTTTTTTCGAGTTTTTGGGCTGGAAAAATGGGTTGAAAAAAAAATTATATTGAAATTATTGTTCTGGAAATGATTTTGAGTTCTTGAAATAGTTTTTATTCTTGAAATAGTTTTTGACGACTTCGAAGGAATTGAGTCTCGATTAAAAAACATACCGTAGTGAAAATGATGGAACAAACACTTTGGGAGAAGTTCGTGGTGAGATATTACTACAGTAATTTCTAACTCAAAATTGTGGAAAAAAACAAGTAAAACCGTTTTTATGTTTTTTTCCCCCTAATTGTCAAAATGATCTCTTGAAACACAATCAAAAACCACCAACTGCTGCACAAGTAATGCATCACATGGATAGAAAAGTAAACAACCTTTTTTTTCTTTTGTGTGATCTCATGTTTTTCAGAAAAAAAATCCAAGAAAAAGAAAATGTCCGGATGGTCCAATCGAAGTTTTGAAAAATAATGGAAATAATTGTTCAATCTGTACGCTTTGTCGTAATGTGATTCTCCCAACAGCAACACAAATTTGGAAATGCAATAGATGCAATTACAAAGTTCATGGAAAATGTGCTGAGGATAAAGTATCAGAAACTTGTGCAACATGTCGGAACGGAGAGTACGAAGAAATGGATTGATTATTTATTATTTCATTTGAACTTCTCAAGATTTTTCTCTTCTCAATTTTCTGATATTTTATTGTTGTTTTCGAGCAACATTCACGTCGTATTACTGTCAAATAATTTAGTCATTTTCTCGAAATTCTTATTTTTTATTTATTTTTAAAAGTATTACTGTCAAATAGTTCAATTGTTTCAGTCATCCTTTTATTTCTTTCAATATGTATTCTCATGTTAAATAATAATCTTAGAGAATAAAATTTTGTTTGCTTTTGGACAATTTAATTTTAACTAACAGAACAAATGCTGTCAAATGCGAAAGAAAATTTTTTCGAGCCCAAAAACTCGAAAAAAAATCAAATAATAAATTGACTAAAAATTCTCCACGTTAGATTGACTTAAAATCTCAAATTCAATTTATCAACCCATTTTTCCAGCCCAAAAACTCGAAAAAAAATCAAATAATAGATTGACTAAAAATTCTCCACGTTAGATTGACTGAAAATCTCAAATTCAATTTATCAACCCATTTTTCCAGCCCAAAAACTCGAAAAAAAATCAAATAATAGATTGACTAAAAATTCGCCACGTTAGATTGACTGAAAATCCGAAAACGTCCTCGAAATGTGTGTTTTTCACTGAAAAATCATCACTAGCTGACTAAATTTCTTCCAGAAAATGCTAAAATCACTCCAAAAACTGAAAAAACAGTCGAAAACACCAAAAAAATTGATTTACAAAACACAGAGAACAAACAAATAAATTCAAACACCCTCGCGTTGTGCGCTAGAGCGCGTTTGCATCTTTAGTCAATCTACGGTTAAAAAACCTGCAGCCTTTTGTGTGCATTTTTTTACTTTTGTTTTTTTTTTCGAAAAAAAATTCCTTTTTCCTTCTCTTCCAAAAAATATTATTTTTCTCACCACACCAAACGAAAAATGCCAAAGCATTAAAAAAATTGCTGCGCGAGGCAGAAAATCGATAGTTTTTCTCTCTTTTTTTCAAAAAAAAAAAAGACTGCACGAAAAGCAAAAACGAGCTCTATTTATGGCTCTTTTTCTTGTGTTTTTTGTGTTGTAGATTGGGCGAAAAAGGAAAACACAACGAGCGTGTCGTTGTTGAAGAATATTATTTATATTAGCTCATCATCATCAACATGTTTTTGTCGTGTTTCTATGGTTTTTTGAATCTGAAACGGATTCGTGGTTTGATTTTCTTAGTTTTCGTTTCGAAATAAATAAGCTGAAGATTAGCCTAATGAACTTTAGGCTAAATCGTCTTTAAGACGTGAGCTATGGCGTGGAAAATAAAAAAGCCATTTCATTTCATTTTTAAAATTCAAAACATGTAAAATTGAATTTGAACGTGGCTTATGAAATAGGCGTGATTTCCGAATGACACTTTTCATTTTTAGTTTTATTTCATTCTGAAAATGGTGAAGTCTTTTATTGCCGATCTAAAATGGTGAGCAGATCAATTTTTCCCAGAAAACTCCGAAAAATTGTACCTCGATTTGTTTTTTTCTCTTTTTCCCTGAAAATCTAGTTTTAATGGAATTTCCGGATCTCTGAAACTTTCCCGCTTTTCAAATCTTGATCAGATTAGATGTGAGATAGGATGTTTCTTCAGATTTTGAATCCAAAATATTTGGTTATTTTTTTATTCTGCCGCCAGCATAATCTTCTTTCAAAAAGTCTTTTTCAGAAACCTTTCCGAAAATTATATCATCAGCCTTATTTCGAAAAGGTTATTTTCCAGTTTTCTTCGTATCTGAAGTCTGTATCCGATTAAGCTAATTCGAAAATAATTAGAGGTTTCGTCACAACATAAGCCTTCAATCGTTTTTCCCCGAAATTGTTAGTCATTTTCTAGCCCGAGTTCTTTTAGTCATTGTCAGTCAGGAGATCGAGCTAAGAATAGATTTCTCTGTCGGCAACAATTACTAATGTCACCAACCTAATTTCGAAAAGGTCATTTGGTTGTTTTTTAGCATTTTCTAACTAGGAATCCTGATTTTGTTGATTTTTCGTCGCAGTTTTCAGATTTTTTACACTAGAAGTCAGAAGCTTCTAGAGTTTCGCCGTCACAAATATTTACCGTTAAGAATTTAGAGTGAGGAAGCTTGAAATAAACATAATTTGAACTAGGAAATCAATTTTAAATCGAATTCATTAAAAAATAACGAGTCTGGAAAATAAAAGTGGTAGACCCAGAATTTCTTAACCAATTCTCACTTTAACAATCTGAAAATATTTTCCAAAGGCCGAGATTCAAACCTAGAACCCCAGCCATTTTACTCATTTCCATCACAATTTCCATCTTATTTATTAGCAAGAAAAAAAAACAAGAAAACCCGCCGCAGGCTATTTTTCTCCTTTTGTCCTCGACGTCCTCCAGAACACAATAATCATCATTCAAATACGTATATGTATATTTACACACACCGACAACGACGCCGTCGCCAGCACCCAAAAATATACATACATATATATTCCAGCAGTAATCTTGCTTACTACTCTACTTCCATCCAGAATCGTCTTCTTTTTCTTTTTGGTCGCCGCTCGCTCGCGCGAATCTTCATCGATCGCTTCGCATGCGCCGCGTGCTCTTTTTGTCTCTCCGCTCTCTACTCTCTCACCCCCTTTTCGTGCTTCAGAATTCAGTGAGAATAAAAAAATGGAGAAGAAGGAGGCAGCAAAAAAGACGACTTTTTTGCCTAGTCTTCGCTTTTTTCAGTTTTTGTACTCTTTTTTCTTCTAGCTGCTGAGTCGAATGAATGATGTAAATTGATGTGGACGAAATGAAATAGGTTTTTTTCGAATTGAGAAAAAAATGAATTATATTTTTTTGCACTTTTTAATTAGGTATTTGTAGGGGATTTTGGAATTTTGTACTTTTCGGTTCTTTTGGGAATTCCGATTGCCTAATTAGTCTGGAATTCTGAAAAGTTCAAATTTGAAGTTCTGATTCAAAAGTTTCTAACCAAACCGAAGTTCCACAAATTTCTAAATGCGTTTGGAATTATGATACATAACTGTTTCTTCTGATTCAGAAATTCTTAATTTTTTCAGAAGTTTGAAATTAACATTTTGAAAATTTTATCATTTTCCACGTGACCTCATAGATTCAAAATTTCATTTCGAAAATTCCGATCATTTTCTTTGTTTTTCGATGGGAAAGTTTTCATGATTTTTCAGAAAAGTTCAGGCGTAAAGTTTAACTTGCGAAATTTGATCTTCGTCGAACTTTTCATGTGATTTTTGGCGTACATTTCGTAACGATGTTTTTTATGGGAAATTATGAAATTCCCCTAGTTTTCTAGAATTTTGAATTTATTATCTTCCGCGAACTCATATCAGAAATGTGGGAAAATTCTCAATCCGGAACGCATTGAATTCCGGATTAACTTTTCTTCTATAAGAACTTGAAATTCAAAGTTTTTTCTCACAAGGCGAAAAACGCCCAAATAAAACAGAACGAAAAAAAACAAAATGAAAAATAGAATAATTGATGTCTTCGCGGGTCCCCCGAAGTTTTATATTTTTTTGTTTTTGTTGTTGTCAGCAATTAGATTATACTAGTTGTTATTTTCATTTTTCCCTCATGCTTCCTAGTTTTTTCTGGCTTCAAATGTTCTTTTTTTGCTTCCGCAAGCCATGGTTAATCTATCTGTGTTAGTGTCTAATAGGAATTTCCTGAAAATGACATGCACTTTTCCGTAGGCGGTGGAATTGTGGAGTCTCGGTGCAAGTAACATTTTCTCGTTTTTAAAAAATAATAAGAGAAATGTTTATTTTATGATGGAAAACACTTGATTGTTTATTTTTGTCACAATTCCAGTTTTTAATTAGATACGAAACGAAAATGATACGATTTTTGGTTGTTTTTGTTCTGAATTTCAGCAGAAATAGTCAGTCTGACAGAGAATTTGAAAATTTCCGATTTGATTTTAGTATACAACAATATCCAGTGTTTCACTGAATCATATGGCATAGTTTTCGGACCCAAGCCAAAAGTTAGAATAAAATTTTTTGATAAATCTGACGTTTTTCATCTCCATTTTAGTCTTACACGAATCGTTAACGTTTACTTTTCACTACAAATTCATCTCTTCAAATCTAATCCACGTTTTCTCAATGGAGCGCACTTTCATTATCCAACCATATAACTTTTTTCTTTATTTCTTCCTTTCCGCCCCATTTCGTTCCGGAACCTTTTTTTCCCCAGTCAAAACAAAAACAGTTCGCCGTTCCCTTTTCTCTTTGTACCCTCCACTCTCTCGCGCGCCTTTCCCATGATTATCGATTTTTGTGACGATTTCGCAACGGGAAAAACATATTTTTGCTGTGTTTTTTACTGACTCACTTGTCGCCGGTCACATTTTCTTTTTCTTTTCGTCATTCTCGTCGTTTTTTTTTCCAATTTTGTGTATGAAAAATAGATTTTTTCAAGGGTTTCACCACCTCTTCACGCCCAAAACCAAACCAACAAAAATGGATGCTCAAGGAGGAGGAGATGCTCAAGGCGGAAGTCAAGGAGGACCAAAACCATCTAATAAACGACTTCAACAAACTCAGGCGCAAGTCGATGAAGTCGTCGGAATAATGAAGGTATGAGATTGCGGGAGGGGAGAAAAGTGGGATTTTGACTGAAATCTCGCAAAAAAGCGATTTTTCACATGAAAAATTTACAAAAGCTCAATAATCAATGTTTCATGTGAGGAAGAAACGATTTTGTCATCGATAAACTGGGAGATCGTGACGAGATCCTAGACGACACATCAAATTGAATATCAGTTTTAGAATTTTCCTTTAAAATTTCAAAAGCACAATGCACTTCCAAATTTCTATCAATTTGGACTCAAAATTCAAATTTTCTCTGAATTTATCGATCCGCCTGGAACACCGGAAGTATAATTTCGAAAAAAAACCGCTATTCAAAAATTTATAGCTTTTTGCATTCTCAATGAGTCAACTGAATATATTTCGAAATTCTATGTTGAATTTTGTCTAGAATTGGTTTTCCTCCGGAAATAGTGTTCTCTGAACACCGGAAATTTGCCATTTCACATTCCCATCGAAAAATTATCATTTATATTTTGTGTGAAGAAATTATGATACACTAATGATGGGACATCAAACTAGACACAAACACGAGATCAAGAGAAAAACTCTTATGAATATTCAGTGATGAATAATTCTATCGTTTTTTTCATGAAATTTGAGTTCTGAGTATGAGGGGTTTCTAATTGGAAATGTATCGGAATTTGACCGAAAAAAATAACTTCAAATTTTTTTCAGGTGAACGTCGAAAAGGTTTTGGAACGTGATCAAAAATTGTCGCAACTCGATGATCGAGCTGATGCTCTTCAGGTAATTTTTGGGCATTAAATTATAAGCTATAGTTCGGTGGGAAAATTTTTAAAATATTGAAAAATAACATTTCTTGAATTTAACCCTTCTTCTTATTTTTGAAATGAATTTCTAAATAATAAATACATAAATTCTAAGAAAACGAAATGTTATACGTTGCGTGGGTTTTTGAAAGAATCTTTGAAAATAAAAAATGTTATTATTGAATTAAAAACACGTGAGAAATAAAAAACTAGGTCAAGTGACGTGGATTTAAAAACAGTATAGGTAGCCATGTCGTCAGTCGCGATTCGTGTGAGCGACACGTTTTTAGAAATGAAAATTTGACAAATCCAATGGAAAATATCGAGGTCAACACGCTACGCAGGACCGCATCGCAATTGACGACATGGCTACCTATACTGTTTCTAAATCCACATCACTTGACCTAGTTTTTTATTTCTCACGTGTTTTTAATTCAACAATATGTGGTGAATAGCGATTTAAAAAATGTGTATCTGGATTTTTCGTTTCTTTTCTCCTCAGAAAAGCCCAGAATAATTCGAAAAATTAAAAATATCTCTGTAAATTTCCCCAATGGTTATATTTAATTTCAGGAAGGAGCATCACAATTCGAGAAATCGGCCGCCACACTCAAACGCAAATATTGGTGGAAGAACATCAAAATGATGATTATCATGTGCGCCATCGTCGTCATTCTCATCATTATTATTGTATTGTGGGCTGGAAAATAATTTCTGAAACTGAACATTTTCGTCCCACCCAAAAAATCAACCCCAAAAAAATTCATGTAGAAAAACAATTATTTATTTTTTTTGTCAAAAATTCCAACAACTTTCCTATTTTATCTTCTTATTTATATGATTTTCTAACCACTTCCCACGAAAAAATTCTGCCCCCGATTTGTAGCATAAAATCCCCCAGCCCCGGCCATTTTCTCCCACCCAAAACCATTTTTGGTGCTTTTTTGTCGTCGAGAAAATTTGAATTTTTCAATTTTGAACTTTACACACCAATTTTTTAGTCACCAAATAAAGTATGTTAAGATAACTCCATTTTTCCCCTGGTTTTGCTCTGACATTATTGATTTTTGTTTCATTTTTATCTGAAATTTTGGGCGATTTTCAGAAAAAAACAAGGGTTTTAGATGACTTTTCTGGTGGATCGAACTGATGGATTTCGAGAGGTGGCGAAGGAAATTGAAATGAAATATAAGTTGAGAGAAGTTGGAAAGCAGAAAGAGGGACAGAAAATGAAAAGTGGTGAGATTTTTGGAAAAGTTGAAACATTGGGCTTTGGACCTAGAATATTCATTTTCCACGTGGATTTTTTCGGGTCAACTTTTATAGTTGCAAAATTTGTGATTATGGGAATATTTTTGAAAAACTGGATTTTAAAATCGAAAAAAACCGTATCTTATCCGTCATGAGCGTTTGGCGTTACACATACATGAATAGGTGTCCCGAGCCTACTTTTTCAGTTAAGAAGCTTTCTTTTTTCTTTTTTTTTTAAGCTTTCTTTTTTAAAAATTTCCAAAGTTAAACCTCTGTCCTTTATGCGCAAAAAACTCATTTTCCACCAGGGCTGCCGGGAAGCTTGTGGGAAATCTATTCCGAAAATCCAAAAGATAAAACTCCCAATTACGTGTTGTCTTCTACAGGAATTTTGCCACGTCATCACGAATCAAACCGGCCATCCCAAACCTTCACCAACATTTCCACATCAATTTCGCCGTTGGCAAAAGAAATGTATAGTTTCCGCAAAATGTTGGACGAAAAAACGCAGGATTACGTTTTTGCCACGTGTTCGTATTCGAGCATGACAAATGAGGAACGAAAAGAGATGGATGAGACAATTACTATGGTAGGCGAGGTGTTTTTGCTGCGAAAAATCCTCATTTCTCTTTCAGTTTTTGACTCAATTTGGCTCCTTAATAAATCAATTAAATAATCGTATCAATTCGAATTCGGATGGTCTGAAAAATGCTGTGGAAAGAGTTCATCTAACCCGAGTTCACGAATTTTTGCAAAAATATTTGAAAGAAATGACGGATTATGTGACGGTTTTGAAGTGAGTTTTTAGATGGGCTGGGGACTTATGGTAGGGGTCTGAATTTAGACCGAGACTTAGGCTGAAAAAGTGAGATCTATCAAATTTTTCCAGACGAGAACATCTGAAACGTATCCAATCGAAAAATCGAACATTATCCGATCGAATCAAAGATGCTCAAAAAGATGGCTATGTTTTTGTGTATAATAAAAGCCTTGATGACGTGGCACAAAGTCCAAAACTAAATGTTTCAGGTTAATCTGAAAAAAGTGTTAGGCCCTCAATAAATCTCGAAATTTCCAGCCAAATTGGTTTCCAAGTTATTGGAACTCAAGGAAAAACACGCTTGTCTTCAATATTTGCCGCAAGATGAGAATAAAGAGGAATTGAGAGATTTTGATGTGATTTGTGAAGAGCCTGAAGAGATGGAAAATGGATGGGAAAATGAGGATGGATGGGATGAGATAAAGGAGGTGCCTGGAATTGAAATTGAAAAAACAAAAGCTGAAAATATTGTGGAGAATCGGAAGAATGAGGAAAATGGAGATTCGGGTGTCAGAAACCGTAAGAAAAATGCGGGATTTTTGATGGATGAAGAGCATGAGGATATTAGAAATAGTTTTGAAGGTACGGAGAGATTTTTGGGATGGGATTTTGAAAAAAATATAGATAAAAAATTGTTTCCAAAATAAAAAAAAGCCCCGTGAGAAATCCCCGAACATCGAAAAAAACGCCAAATTTATTGCGAAACCCCCCTTTTAATTTTGATAATTTTGTTTAAATAACATGAGAATTCATTTTTCTCTTAAAATTCACGATTTTTTTTTGGTGCAAATTTGGTAAAATCGATATAAACATATTATGTATCATCCTGTAAAACTGGAAAGTTTTCCAGTTTCACAAATCCTTCTTTTTCGAGCCAAAATTTTGTGATCAGGGCATTTTTGACGTGTTCGATCCACAGCCAAAGCATTTCTAATAGAAATAGCACCTGATTTTATAAAGAGTTCTTTGTTTCAAAAAATCTTCAATAAAGTTTCACTTCAAAAATCACAAATTTTTTTCAGCCTGGCGTGCCACACAAAAAGACGATTTTGCCCACCAATTTCAAGAACAAACCGAAATAATGCGAGAAGAATATTTGAAGAATGAAAAAGATGACGAAATTGAGAATTTGGAACAACAAATTTCCGAAATTCAATCACTGTCTTCGGTTTTTTCGGAAAAGGTAGGTTTTGGAGTGGTGGGGAGGGGGAGATAATAAACAAATAAAATGCAACCCTCAACTTTTTGAAAATTCGGAGAAAAATATGTTTTCAACTTTAAAAAATTATTTGTACCGCTTAAGCGGCCCAGTTATGCTAACTCCAGAAAATTTCATATTTTAGACTAAAACCACTTATTTCTCCAGATTATGGATCAAGAACGTGATATTGATATAATCAATGATTTGGCTCTTCATACAACAGAAAATCTAGTCGACGGAAATGAATGGATTCGAAAAGCAATAACAAATTCAGCATTGAGAAGAGTTATTCTTCTTTTTTGTATCATTGTGCTGACGTTTACTCTTTTGTTTTTGGATTGGTATAACCCCTAAAAATTTGCTTTAAGTTTTTCGGGCGGAAACTTCTTATGTATTTGTTAGATGTGTTTATTATGTGTGTGTGTGTTTTTTACGGTTTGATAAATTTTGGGATAATTTCCTCGATTTTCAATGTTGAATTTGACTGGTTCTTGAGATGAACGTGGTGATTGTGATGATGGTGAGATGTTGTGGAATTTTCGAATTGCAAAAGTCGAGCGACAGTCTCGTTTTCAGCCAGCCATGTTTTTAGAGCTTGACGGTATTCTGCAAAAAAAAAATTTGAATTCGAATTTTTTTGAAACAGTGGATTTTTAGGGTAAAGTGTGATTTTTTCGCAAAGAAATAAAAGGCGTTATTATATTCACTTTCTTCCTTTAAAACTCAGCATTTTTGAGAAACTGAGTTTTTTGATAAGTTTATTTCAATCATGTTCTCACAAAGAAACATTACCAATTTTTGAAAAAGAGAATGGAGCAAATTATTTCTTCCAAAAAATTCCAAATTTTAAAACAATTTTGAAACAGCAGATTGTTCCAAAGCCCAAATGCAAAAAACCCTCACCATCAATTGTCGCATTCTTTCCTTTGCTAAAATTCTTATCAATAAAATCAATTCCCTCTGGGCTCATAATTTCCGGATGTTTTTGATAATAGGCTCGAATTTCGGAACTCGTCAAAATCGAATCATGATCCAAATCTCTGGCCTAACATAAAAATATTAAGTTTTCAGCTTAAAAATCAACTCACTTTAAATCCCTGACTGATAACTTCATCCAATTTCTCTTCGGCAGTTTCATGTTTTTGTTTTTTCGAATTTCCCACCAAAAACACAGCGAAAAAAATCAATAAAACTTTCATTTTTTTTCACTTTGAAATGGAAATTGACGAAAAAAAATAAATAAAAGTTAGGCAGTTATCAAAACTTTACACTTTCTTTCATTAAATTTTTGATATGAGAAACAATGGAAAACCCGTGAGAAAATAAGAGAGATCACAGACAAAAAACAATTGAAAAATGACCTAAAACATAACAAAACGAAACAAAAATTGAATTATAGAAAAACTTCATTGTCACTTTCAGCATTGGTGATTCGAGAAGTGGTTATCTGAAAAAATCGTAGGGTTTTTTGAGAATTGAAAGAAATGTTGAAGATTGTAGAAGTGAAAAATAAGGGGTGTCAGAAAATTTTTGTCCGAGAGAACTATACAGCTCGGGAAAAATCCCGCAAGTGCCGGCAAGAATTGAAGTCGAGCCGCAATGGCTGCGGGTGAAGTCGCCGTTGTTGCGGGGGAAAGACAAGGGAAGTGTGAGAGAGCACAGACAGACAGACAAAAAGTAGCAAGCGTCTGCGTTCTCTCACATTCCCCTTGTCTTTCCCCCGCAACAACGGCGACTTCACCCGCAGCCATTGCGGCTCGACTTCAATTCTTGCCGGCACTTGCGGGATTTTTCCCGAGAGATTTCGAATATTTTGAAATGGAGATTTTTTCTTGGGATTTTCGCAGAATTTGAAATTTTATTGAAAAATACACGTGGCTTTGCACGCCCCCCCCCCTCCCAACCCAAAATTTCCATATTTCTAATCTCAATCCAAAACAAAAAACAATGCGAATCCATTAATCTCTCCGCGGTGTACTTCTCCCGGACAACCCGAGGAAAAATAGTCCGAGAGAAGTGCACTAATATTTCTGTACTTTCTATTTATTAAAAACATTTTTTTAAAAATAATTTGCTAATCGTTCAGATTTCTGAAAAATGAAGCTTTGCACTCTCTCAAAAAATTCTGACACCCCAAAGTTAGGAAAAATGCATCATGCTACACAGAATTACTAGAAAAATGAGCTAAAAATTACCAGAGAGAGTGGAGAGGCTGAAAATACTTATGTGTATGGTGAGCAAAAACGTTCAAATTTTTTCAAGAGAAACAACTCACAATTGCTGGTGTATTGTTTTTTGCCGGTTTTATATTACTGTACTGCCCGCTAACATCACATTTTGAAGTTGTTGGCGATTTATCGCAATTTAGGAATCGGCGAATCAATCGGATTTTGCTGGAAAAATTCAGAATTGTTAATTGAAAAACAACATCAGCACAAACAATATTCTTGTAACAATGTTCAAACAATGTCTATTTCAAAATGACATTTTTTGGGCTTACAATTAGAGTATCTTCAACAGATTTTGTTAGAAAAAACTGGATTAGGCTACTGGATTTTCTAAGTTATGTCTGATTTTTTGTATAATATTTTTTGACTAAAACATCCAGGATAATCTGATTTGGATTTTTTTGACTCATAAATCATAAAAATTGCTTCCTCAAAAAAATGTTCACAACACTTTTTTCGTCTAAAAATCTAGAATAATCTAAATTTGATTTCCGCGATTTCTCTGACTCATAAAATAATATCAATTTTTCAAAATTTTTTCTAACTTCCAGCTTAAAAATTTCGTTCGTCAAAAACTATTCAAGACGAGAACGCTTTGTCAATAAAAATCCAACGTTTTTAAAATTTTGAAACGTAATTGTTTTTCTGATTTTAGACTCTTAAACTCACTTCAAAGCATTTCTAATTTCATGATGTCGACAATTATAAAAAAAGAAGCTTGCACATCCATAACAATGATATCCAATTGTAATAATCGGTCCCCATTGCATAAAATGAACTTGTTGAATAATCATATCATATAAATAGAGCATACTTGGCAAAACATTGAACAATACAACCATTAGAATAACCATAACAGTTAGCGAATTGACTTGGTGGAAATTATCGCGGCACCGAGATTTTGTGTTGATTATTCGAGTTCCGCGAATTACAAACAACTTGCAAATGAAGAAGAAATAGGCGATTGAAAGTATTATTCCAAAAATTATTGTGGAGATTAAAAAATAGAAATGGAAGTATTTGGCAGAAGCGGCTGTTGTGACACAGTGCATTCGGACCTGGAAAATGCGATTTTTAGGAATACTGAAATCAGTATGAAAACTTTATTTTCAAAATTATTGGAAAATTTCCCAGGTTTTTTGGGAATCAAAAATCGTTTCAAAAATCCCCTCAAATCCAATTTCAATATAGTTTTTAAAAAACCAATTTGATTTTTGATGAATTAATTAGGATTTCTCGATAACATCAGCTACGACAAAAAATGATTTTTTTAGAACAATTTTCATTTCGGAATTGTTTTTTGAAATGTTTTATATCTACTTAAATTCAAAATTTAATGCATTGTTTTTTACTTTTCTCAAATCCATTATAGTTATGTAGGTGTCTATGACGCAGAACAATATTTTGCAAATTCCATATTTTTCCAAAAAAAAACAGAAGATTTTTCGAAGCCAAATTTTCACTCCAAAATGTTCCCATGACTCACAAAATTCGTACTCGCAATAACTCAAAATTTTTCAGAAAAAAACTGGAGTAAACAAACACAATTTCAGCTGTTCACACTCAAAAAGTTGCTAATTTTCAGGAGGGAAATGGGATTTTCTGAAAATTATGAGAACAATCAAAAAGTTCAAAATTTTTTGGAATTTAGAATTTGCACGTAGTGAAGGAGTAAAAAAATCTGGAAATTTTGATAATTGATGTGAATTTCTGCATTTCAGATTGGAAGTTTCAGAAAAAAATGGGGTTCAGATATTCAATCCAAAAACTTCTGAAACTATCCTAAGGATCAAAATTTAATATTTATTCTCTTTGTCTTCTTTTTTTGGGAAAAATCCTCCTGACGTCTCCCAAAAAAAGTACGTGTGTAATTCGAAATCATATAATCCTCCTAATCCTATGTAGTAATCCAAATCAACAACATACTTTAACTTCTAATTTTTATGCAAAATACTTTAGATTTTCCTTTAACTCGCCCTCAAATTCCAGGAACATCAGTTTTCAGTGTGAATTTTTTACTTCCCCTAACTCACCACAAACAGATTATCTTCAAAAATCAAGAAAATAGCATCAAAAACACCCCAAACAATCGAAATCAGGCAAACTTTGTAGGCGAAAATTCGATGATCCAAGAAAAAATAGTCGCCAGGTCGAAAGAGAGCATAAATTCGCTCGCCGGCGATGGAAAGAGTTATCAAATGTCGGATTTTGTCAAGGGCAATTTCGAAACCTGAAATTTAGAAACGGTTTTGAGATTTGAGAAAAGATGAGTTTCTCACTAAAAAAAAACTCACTAGCTCCAATCAAAATGGTCCATCTGGGACATTCCAAATTATTGTGCCAAAACAAGTTGACATAAGTCGGAATTGTGAAGAAACCTGTAAAAACAGAGAGGATTTTTTTATTTTCTAGTAGGAGGATTAGGCTGAAGATCAAGCTTTGTCATATTTTTTGCGATGATGAAGTTTTTCTGACTAATCTTTGAGCATTTCAAAACAGGAAGTCTCAAGATTTTGAAATGTTTTTCATTTTGTTGTGCTACTGATTTCTGATATTAAACTACATACTGTGGGTGTATTTTCAATAAAATTCTATATTTGAGAACATTCGAAATCCCTGGGCATAAATTTGTACTGAAAAATGGAAAACAAAGAATGACGAGAACTAGACTACAGTACTCTTCAAACTTTAGCGCCAAAAAACAAGAAAAATTTTTTGCCTACAAAGTACAGTACTGTAATTCAAAGTTCCGTGCTCTCTGCTCTGGAAAACCGGAAATTAATTTTTTTGTAATTAATCCTATGAAAAACAGTGCCAAAGTAATTACTCTGTTAAAAATTAATTTCCTCTTTTCTTGTGAAAATGGAAATCGGAGTGATTTTGTACTTTTCGGAAAAAATGGCTAGACAAGGAAAAAAAACTTGAAACTACAAACTACTGTAGCCGGAAGAGCAGCACGATAAGAAGGAAATTATGATGGGACAATTAGGTTCTTCGGGAGCTGATACTTGACAATTGAACTTTCTAGGTGCGGCTACTTCGTATAAAAAGGCTCGGATCCTTGCCAGTGTGGATCTCTAAAACTTTTGAAGCCACAGTATAAAGTTAGAGATATTCAATGGCTCTGAATTTCAATTTTTCTGTTCTGAACACAGTACTTTGTTGTCTCAGAATACGCGGGAAGATTTATCGGGTAGTCCCGCACCCGCCTTTCACCTACCCGTTAAAAAATTCGTGATCGCAAAAATATAAAACAAATGCAAATGATGTTTGGTGAGAAGTTGCGGGGACCTTCGAAATGCGATCCAAATCAGACCGTTCAGTGTGCAATTAACAGCACCCATTGAGATAGCGGCAACATGCACTAAGGTTACACCCTAGAAATTTTTCGGCTGCAGTTTTTCCGAGCTTGAGGAGTTACCTTATGTCCGTTTTGTAGTGTTGTTTCGTTCCACGAGGCGTCCAGCACCATGTTTTATATTTGTCCTGAAAATCACAAATAAAAATTTTAAGGCTATAATAAATTCAGAAATCTGAAAATGAATAATAATTTTTCATCGTCACAAAGCCAAGAGAAAATAGATAAGATTTCTAGGATTATTTATATTCTTATTTTTCCTAGGCTTTAGGCAGGTGAGAAAAACAAAAATACTAAGAATGAGGCATAGTTCGAAGTGATCAAAAGAAAAACAATTATTTTTCATGAACGCACTTTATAGGGACCTTTTTAGGACCAAAAACAAACAATTTTTCATGTTCACAATATGAATAAGAAACCTCAAAAAATTATGGAGATCTAGAAAAAATGGGCGTATTTTTTTCAATGAGCAAAAAATAGGCGGAGCAAGCAAATTTATGAGGAGAGAAAATAGGTCGAATTTTTTAGAGCAAAACACACAGGAATTAGGAATTTTTGAGAAAGTAAATGAGATTTGTAGTTTGAATTTTGGCCAAAAATATGTGAGATTCAATAAATCATTGAAACATGTGAATCCTCATTTTTTTCACATGACCAGTCTTTGAATTTTTGAGATTTCCTATTAAGTTAACCTGAACAATTCACCATTCCTGTATAAGTTCGGGATAATTTAAGTTAACGCAAGTAACTTCTGAAAAACAACAATTTACAAATATGAAACTCTGAATCTTTGGCGACAAATTCATCTCTTAAAATTTGAACACTCAATTTTTATGAATTCGAAAGCTTCATTTTCTTAGAGCCGGAGAAGGAAAATTGAAATTTTGGCTTCAAAATTTCCGAGAAATTAAATTTCGAAAAAATGTTTTCTTGGAATAAAATTAACTCCAAAACTGTTTAATTTTCTGACGAGAGAGAATAAAACTTTTTAAAATTTCATAGAATATTTGAAACAGCAATGATTTTTGCACTTCACAAAAATTTCTTCTGAAATGTTCATATAAAACTCTAGATTTCTCCCTTGCACAGCGAGAAAACACCGCAAAAATGTGCAAAATTGTGTTTAGACAACAATGGGATTTTTTGGGCGCCAAAAAACGAAAAATAAAAAATTGAACGAGAGAGAAGCTGAATAAAAAACAACTAAAAACTAATAAAGTCAGATCCGGAAATTATTTTTTTTGTGAAATAAATCTAGGTAATTTGCGGGCCAAATTTAACAAAATCGATTTTTGGAGCTCAAAATTACGTCAAAATTCAAAATTATTTCCGAAACATTCATGAGAATGATCAAAATTAAATAACTTGATACAAATTCCAGAGAGTTCAAAAAGTGAGTTACCATAATTTAGATAAAAAATTAGAAAAAAACTATTTTTGATACTAGAAAAACCTCTAGGGGAATTTCTGATTAAATTTGAAAAAATTATTTTCAAAGATAGTTCACAATTAGAACAAAACTCCACATACTTTACCAGAATAATCACCCATAGAGTTCAAAAACCGAGTTAGCCTAACTCCATGCCTAGATAGTTTGTTCCAGTAAATCCACCCTCCACAAATTCAAATGCTAAACAAAACTAATCCCATCCTATCATTATTATTTGTGATAAACACTAACAAGATTATTCTCTAATCTTTTCTAGGCTTCGCTTTTTTCTCCAGATTTTTCACAAGTAAAAAACGTGAGCCTAACTATAAATATAAATTTTCATAAATTATTCCTTCCAGCCAGCAGCAAAAAAGTTGTCTACGCAAATATTCTGAGTTTTCGATCTTTCAAAGTTTGCACGAATATGCAATTAGCTCTGCTCTGCTCATTTATTTTTTCAAAAAAAAAAGAAACTTTTCGGTTCGCATGTACAAAACGTTTCGAATTTCGAGCAAGAAATAATTGGGAATGACACTTTTTGATCTATCAACTTCTTATGTCTACGACAAAAAATAATTTGTTATTGTCAGTAGAAGACTGCGTAATTAGGGAGTGTTGTTCGTGGAAAAACAGGGACCAATTGAATACGACTGGAAAGAACGAACAAAATATGATTACGGGGAGAAGAGATAGATCAATGGTAGTTGTGGCCGCTGTAAATCTTAAGATCATGGGTTCGACCTCATATGTCAGCTAGTCTTTTCTTGTTGACAAGAAAAGGCTGCGTAATTATGGAGTGTCGTTCGTAGAAAAACCTGGGACCATTAGGACTCGTGAGCAAAATACTAATATTTTGAGCTCGCTGAGCAACAACAAAAAAATGCGTGCGAGTTGAAAGATAACATTTTCTTTTCACCTGCATGTACGAACATTATTTCAAGTTTTTTCATGAACAAGTTTCTATGTATAAATTTGGATTTGCAGAAGCTCTAAAAATACTTTCTGTTGAAAAAGACCAGGTGGAAATTTGCGAAATAACGAGAGATCATTCCCAAACCTATTCTTTTAAAATAAGTTAGACGTGGCTGAATTTATATTTTTATTTTAAATTAGGATTTTGGGTAGACCCAGACGCAAAAAAACGTGATTTTCAAAAAAGTGAACTAGTCTACTGTTCTTCCACGAAAATGAAGAGCGGCGGTGTTTGCACACTTTTCGCAGCTACCGTATACAAATTGGAGGGAGTTTAAAAACAATTTTTTTTCTTTTCTTTTTTTCAATTTTTTCGCGGATTTTGTTTGTTCGTAGTTTATGAGTCAGAACGCCAATTTCATCAGGATGTCTTGTGCTCATCTGAAAGCCCGTCTAAAACTGGTCATTTCGCTGTGAATAGATAGTCATGAAAATGAGAAACCGGCGAGGCACAGACGTCGAAAAGGAAAATGCACACAACGCGGCAAACACACATTTTCAAGTTGAGAATTGGCGTTTTTTTGGATCGATCGTTTTCAGCTCATTCTCAACCAATTTCATTGATCAATATATCAATAGAAGCAGAATTTCACAGAGAACAATCTAATATTTATGAATTTCAACATTTCGAATGCTTTCAACAATCTTTAGGGCTGAAATTCGGGTTTTCAGGATTTTTTGAGGGTTTTGGGAGATTTTTTCAAAATTTTCGATGAAATAAGTGCTGGAAATTGCTCTACAATATAGTTTAACCAAAATCGAACCATTCAATTCAATCTCCAACTCTGGAATACACAATTTTTGGCTGAAATTCGGGTTTTCAAGATTTTTGAGGGTTTTGGGGGATTTTTTTTCAGATTTTTTTCGGAATTTTCAGTCAATTCAGTTCTGGAAATTGCTCTACAATATAGTTTAACCAAAATCGAACCATCCAATTCAATCTCCAACTCTGGAACACACAATTTTTGGCTGAAATTCGGGTTTTCAAGATTTTGAGGGTTTTGGGGGATTTTTTCAGATTTTTTCGGAATTTTCAGTCAATTCAGTTCTGGAAGTCGCTCTACAATATAGTTTAACCAAAATCGAACCATCCAATTCAATCTCCAACTCTGGAATACACAATTTTTGGCTGAAATTCGGGTTTTCAAGATTTTTGAGGGTTTTGGGCGATTTTTTTTTAGATTTTTCAAAATTTTCAATGAAATAAGTGCTGGAAATTGCTCTACAATATAGTTTAACCAAAAATCGAACCATTCAATTCAATCTCCAACTCTGGAATACACAATTTTTGGCTGAAATTCGGGTTTTCAGGATTTTTGAGGGTTTTTGGGCGATTTTTTTTTTAGATTTTTTCAAAATTATATTATATTTTCACGAAAATCGACCATCCAATTCAATCTCAAACTCCGGATCACACGATTTTGGGCTGAAATTCGGGTTTTCAAGATTTTTGAGGGTTTTCTGAGATTTTTTTCCGATTTTTTCGGAATTTTCTGTCAATTCAGTTCTGGAAGTCGCTCTACAATATAGTTTAACCAAAATCGAACCATCCAATTCAATCTCCAACTCTGGAATACACAATTTTTGGCTGAAATTCGGGTTTTCAAGATTTTTGAGGGTTTTCTGAGATTTTTTTCCGATTTTTTTCGGAATTTTCTGTCAATTCAGTTCTGGAAGTCGCTCTACAATATAGTTTAACCAAAATCGAACCATCCAATTCAATCTCCAACTCTGGAATACACAATTTTTGGCTGAAATTCGGGTTTTCAAGATTTTTGAGGGTTTTGGGCGATTTTTTAGATTTTTTCAAAATTTTCAATGAAATAAGTGCTGGAAATTTCTCTACATTATAGTTCCACGAAAATCGACCATCCCATTCAATCTCAAACTCCGGATCACACGACTTTGGGCTGAAATTCGGGTTTTCAGGATTTTTGAGGGTTTTGGGCGATTTTTTTTTAGATTTTTTCAAAATTTTCAATGAAATAAGTGCTGGAAATTTCTCTACATTATAGTTCCACGAAAATCGACCATCCCATTCAATCTCAAACTCCGGATCACACGACTTTGGGCTGAAATTCTGTTTTTCTCAAATTTTTCGTGCAACCTGTCCTCTGCAATCCCACAAGTACACTGATTAACTGAATTTTTAATAATAAATTCAATCCTCTACAAAAAACTGCTATGCATGCGTGACTCAAGTATTTAATAATAACTAGATTCGATAAAAACGCAAAATTTATCATGAAACACTTGCGAGACGCAGAGAAAAAAGGAATGGCCTAATGGCCGAACACCTCAGAAACTTCGACCATCGAAATTTTTTTTGTTTTCAAGACGAAGATTATTTTTTCTTTTCAAAAGGATTTTATGAATTCTTAATAGTTTAGCAAATATTTTCTTGTGTGTCAATCATTTATCAAACTTCGTTCATTCAGATTTCGTTGATTTATTCAGATTATTAATGTGTTCAAGACAAAGTATAGTGAAATTTAATTTTAAAAAAAAACTTATCCTTCCTAGTCTGAATATAGTTTTTCATAATCCGATTCAGCATCGCCTAATAAACTGTCATCGAAACTATCATACACATTTTCTTCATCAATATATTCTTCATCATATTCTTCTACATTATCATCTTCTTCTACATTATAATCTTCTTCGTTCAAACCATCAACCCTTTCCTGATCGCGAATTCTTTCTCTATCTAATTCTTCCTGAATTTCTCTCTCATTGATTTTTTGCTCTTGTAGCCTCTTCCAATTCTTCGACGTGGCGAATACATGCTTGAGCTTCTTGCGGAGAATATGCTCGCATCCAATCCAAAGCTAATTGTCTTGTCTGAAAATCAATATTAACCAGTTATTTAGACATTGAAAATTCCACTATTTCTTTGTGTACTCAAAAATATTGGATTTTTCGCATCTTCACTCACATCTTTAAGAGTATCACCTTCTTCGTATTTTTGTCGCAAATATGTTTTCAAAGCAGCCCATGTTAGTTCGATTGGGTTATATTGACAATGGTAAGGAGGCAATCTTAAAATTTCGACTCCTAGTTTTTTGGCCTCCTCGTCAACAACATATTTTTTCATGGCTTGCCGTCCTCCATTTTGTCGCAAGAAATCTTCCAAAATAACAACTAAGTCCTTTTTAAGTGATTTTTGATCAAATGGAACATTATGTGTTTCCAAATATTCTTTAATTACTGTTTTTGAGCTCGATTTCGTTGGAATCTGCAAGAAAGTTTTCTTCTAATAATATTGACTTGAATACTCACCTTTTCTACTACTTCGCAGTGATAGGGCGCGTTGTCCACAACAAGCGCCGCGACCATGTCGCGTTTTCTAGCTTCTTCAGCCATCAACGGTAATACGAGTTCCATATATTCCATATAACTCTCAAAATTCATTTCTTTGTGGAAATCCATTAGTTGATCTTTTTCTTTGAGACCGGAAATAAGAATATTTTCAGATCCTTTTAAAATTCCCTCAGAAGTGAGAACTCCCAACACAATCGCCCTTCGCCCTTTGTCTTTTCCTTTGGGAGGTCCACTTCTTCTCTCCTCAATTCTAACTTCTCGCGCGAGCTTATACATGTTACTATCTTTGTGTTCCCATCCTTTCATAGTTGACATCCCTTCGAAAAACCAAGTCTCATCGAGATATCCAAAAAATACTTGTTTTCCTTCTCTTTTCAATAATTTCAATTTACGCTCTAGATAGCGTTTCCGGGCAACAATTAGATCAATTCGTTCTTGAATCAATGGTTGGCCAGATTTTTTTCTCCAAGTGAGACCCATGCCATGAAGCGCATCGTTTAAAAATGAACGCCCTAGTTGAAAATGAAAAACATTTTTTAGCCAATCAAGAAGGGTTGATACTGTGACGTGTTTATTTTTCTCCCAACAAGTATCTAGCCAATCACGAATAGCTTCTTTCATGAATTCAGGAATTTTTTCAGCTCTTTTTTTCCATCTGTTTTTACGACTGATCGCTCTTTTCTGAATTCCTTCTGGTGGATCATCTCTAATTTTCCTGATCGCCGTTTTGCCGACTCCGATCATATATTCTGTGAATTCAATAGGATTATCGAAAATTGTTCCTTTCGAATTTTCACCCAATTCCATTTCAATTCTCTGCTCCTGGCTAAACAATGTTGCAACAATTTAACTCCACTATGCTCTACACTTTGTCCACGCAATGACTGCATCGATCCTCTACCCGCTGCCATCGCCTTGACCGCTCTACCCAATGCAATCAACTCCCTTTCTTCCTGAAATTGTGAGTTTTTTATCGATAAGCTTTCTAAAAATAAATACCTTCTTTTTTGATCGCTTTCTGGTACTATCGCCAACTTTTCCTAAAAAAATAACATTTAATCATTTTTGTTCTAAAATATGAAACATTTCGTTGTTCCAATTATTTAAAAAAATCTCATTTCGAAATTTGTTAATAAGAAATATTTTCAAAAAACAAAAATTGATAATCTTAAGAAATTAGAAAAACAATTCCTGAAAATTTCCATGTTTCATCAAGCTTACCTTCTGGTAAAACTTCATATGTTACAGTTACTTCATCTTCCATTTCACTATCATCGCCAGAATCTGGTTCATCTGATTCAGTTACATCAATTTGTTGTGATTCGTGCGTTTTCGAGCTCATCCGATTCTTTGTTGTGAAATCAAAAGGAGATGGCTGTGTAGATGTTGATGTTGATGGTAAATCTTCCGGTTTTGTTTGAATTTCGGCTTCATCAGAGTCAACATCATTTGGATCTTGTAGTCTTCTCTTTTTTGATCTGCATAAACAAAAAATGTCCGTGAGTTTTTTTTAAATTTTACCTTGTCTTGCTGCTGGCTGAATAGGTCGAATATTTTTCATTTACCAAATCAAGACTGAACTTTCCTGAAATTTTGTCACGTCGTGTTTCAAGAATTGTATCAAAATACTCACTCTCTTGGGGGTTTTTGTTGAAACTTGAAACCAGCACAGAAATTTGCATAGTATGCAGAAGCGCTTCATAACAGTTCTTGTTTTTTCTCGGAATAGGGTGAAGCTGCCGTAGTGAAAACTTCTGAAAAAAAACTCAAAATCAGGAGAACGTAATTAATTTATTTACGTTGAGTTTGGCGGCGGGATTTCTCGATCTTACTGATCTCATATCATCAAAATGGAAAAATCCATCAAGTGGGATTTCATCGTTTAGTAAGATTTGAGCCGCTTCGTTCTTCTGAAAATATGTTATTTTTGTGAACTTCTTTCCTTTAATTTTTTAAAACTAACATATAAATCATTAATTCCTTCGCTGGTATCGGACATCAAAATAAAAATTACTTTTTCTGTATCTGAAAATAAACATCCCGCAACTGTCGAATCATGCAACGTCTGAATTATTTGTTATATTTTCATAATTATCGAATGAAAATACTCACATTTTTTCAAAACTTGACATTCATTTTTATCGGCTAATAAATATTTTGTGCCATCTTCCGCAAGCGATTTAAATACACGTACCATTTTGAACACAGAATGCGAAAATATTTGGAGCAACTCTTCCAACAAAACAAATGGAAATTTTCAGTACAGTAATCCTGGGTGCGACATTTTCGCTTCGAGAGTTCGAAGTAAAATTTCACCCAAAAATTGTGTGCTCCAGAGTTTAAAATCGAAGTGAATGGTTGAATTTGGGGAAGATAGATTGCAGAGCAATTTCCAGCACTTCATTCGTCGAAAATTTTGAAAAAAAATCCTGAAAACCCGAATTTCAGCCCAAAATTGTGTGCTCCAGAGTTCGAAATCAAATGGGATGGTCGAATTCCGTGAACTTGGATTGTCGGGCGTCTTCCAGAACTGAATTGACAGAAAATTCCGAAAAAATCGGAAAAAAATCTCAGAAAACCCTCAAAAATCTTGAAAACCCGAATTTCAGCCAAAAATTGTGTATTCCAGAGTTGGAGATTGAATTGGATGGTTCGATTTTGGTTAAACTATATTGTAGAGCGACTTCCAGAACTGAATTGACAGAAAATTCCGAAAAAATCGGAAAAAAATCTCAGAAAACCCTCAAAAATCTTGAAAACCCGAATTTCAGCCAAAAATTGTGTATTCCAGAGTTGGAGATTGAATTGGATGGTTCGATTTTGGTTAAACTATATTGTAGAGCGACTTCCAGAACTGAATTGACAGAAAATTCCGAAAAAATCGGAAAAAAATCTCAGAAAACCCTCAAAAATCTTGAAAACCCGAATTTCAGCCAAAAATTGTGTATTCCAGAGTTGGAGATTGAATTGGATGGTTCGATTTTGGTTAAACTATATTGTAGAGCGACTTCCAGAACTGAATTGACAGAAAATTCCGAAAAAATCGGAAAAAAATCTCAGAAAACCCTCAAAAATCTTGAAAACCCGAATTTCAGCCCAAAATCGTGTGATCCGGAGTTTGAGATTGAATTGGATGGTCGATTTTCGTGAAAATATAATATAATTTTGAAAAAATCTAAAAAAAAAAATCGCCCAAAACCCTCAAAAATCCTGAAAACCCGAATTTCAGCCAAAAATTGTGTATTCCAGAGTTGGAGATTGAATTGAATGGTTCGATTTTGGTTAAACTATATTGTAGAGCAATTTCCAGCACTTATTTCATTGAAAATTTTGAAAAAATCTAAAAAAAAATCGCCCAAAACCCTCAAAAATCTTGAAAACCCGAATTTCAGCCAAAAATTGTGTATTCCAGAGTTGGAGATTGAATTGGATGGTTCGATTTTGGTTAAACTATATTGTAGAGCGACTTCCAGAACTGAATTGACTGAAAATTCCGAAAAAAACTGAAAAAAATCCCCAAAACCCTCAAAAATCTTGAAAACCCGAATTTCAGCCAAAAATTGTGTGTTCCAGAGTTGGAGATTGAATTGGATGGTTCGATTTTGGTTAAACTATATTGTAGAGCAATTTCCAGAACTGAATTGACTGAAAATTCCGAAAAAATCTGAAAAAAATCCCCAAAACCCTCAAAAATCTTGAAAACCCGAATTTCAGCCAAAAATTGTGTATTCCAGAGTTGGAGATTGAATTGAATGGTTCGATTTTGGTTAAACTATATTGTAGAGCAATTTCCAGCACTTATTTCATCGAAAATTTTGAAAAAATCTCCCAAAACCCTCAAAAATCCTGAAAACCCGAATTTCAGCCCTAAAGATTGTTGAAAGCATTCGAAATGTTGAAATTCATAAATATTAGATTGTTCTCTGTGAAATTCTGCTTCTATTGATATATTGATCAATGAAATTGGTTGAGAATGAGCTGAAAACGATCGATCCAAAAAACGCCAATTCTCAACTTGAAAATGTGTGTTTGCCGCGTTGTGTGCATTTTCCTTTTCGACGTCTGTGCCTCGCCGGTTTCTCATTTTCATGACTATCTATTCACAGCGAAATGACCAGTTTTAGACGGGCTTTCAGATGAGCACAAGACATCCTGATGAAATTGGCGTTCTGACTCATAAACTACGAACAAACAAAATCCGCGAAAAAATTGAAAAAAAAGAAAAGAAAAAAAAATTGTTTTTAAACTCCCTCCAATTTGTATACGGTAGCTGCGAAAAGTGTGCAAACACCGCCGCTCTTCATTTTCGTGGAAGAACAGTACCTACGTTTCAAAATGTTTTTACTAAAATTTTCAGAATCCAGTTTTGTTATGAGTGCGGATCTGAACATCAAGGAAGATGTCAGAGCAAATTTTCAGAAAAGCTGATATTTTCCACGTCATAGCTCAAGTTTTAAAAACATCCAAAAATTCAAAGTGCAAAAATAAACTCCGAAATACATGAACTTCTGTCATCTAATCAATTATTTTTAGATCAGAACGGGAAAAAACTTGACATTTTCTTAAAAAAAAACAAAAGTTGAGAGATAAAATCAGTCTTTCACCTGTTGCCAGAACAATTTTTGTTTTGTTTTTTTTTAGTTGGAATATAAAAAAAAACAATTTTGATCTCAAAAAAGTGGAACACTCGGGGGAATTTCGTTCGAGATTTTTCATTTCTGCATAAAAATTTTCCATGAGTTTAAGACTAGGGGCTGTTAGCCCCCAGGCGTAACTGTCTTCTCATTTATTCCAGTTTCACTTTTTTCTGTGATTATTGCCCACAGAACATTGACTCACAATCAAATTTATAGAAAATTTCAAATTTTTTGATCAAAAAATTGGAAGGAGGAAGGCTTCCTAATTTTGCCATGGATGACGTCATCGATAAATTTTTCAAAAAAAAAACTTATTTATTGTTTTTTTTTAAATTAAGTGTACTCGTAAGAGGTAAATCACACGAATTACAATTGAATTCATGAAAAATTTCAAATTTTTTGATAAAAAAATGATTCGTGGCAAAATTAGGAAGGCTTCCTAATTTTGCCATGGATGAAGTTATCGATAAATTTTTCAAAAAAAACTTATTCAATATTTTTTTCGTATTGAATGTACTCGAAAGATGTCACGTTGGTTAGGAATTCTTGAACAATGCCAATGGCATCTGAAGAATCAGGCTTTTTCGTTCATGGGTCACGCAGGATATTCTCTCGATTTTCTCTTTTTATTGAGTTATTTTTATTCCATCTTCTTTTTTTTTTTTTTTTTTTTTTTTTTTTTGCCGCGTTGGAATGTCGAATTTTCGCAATCTCGGGGAGAAAGGAACAAAATTTCCGGAAATCTGCATTACTCGATATAGGGAAAAATTTTTCCCGAGTGGAACTCGAACCCACAAAAGAAGGAGGGTTGCCTGATTGGAAGGCATCGCTCTCCCCGCCTACACCACACGTGTAGGTAAGAAATGAAGCATTTTTGATAAATATATATTTATCAGAATTTCACGTGACCGGGAGAAATGAACATTTCTAAATAAATTTCACCTTACCGGATTTTAATGAGAGGGCGAATTCCATTCAAGCTCTGATATCGTCATTTTTAAACAATAAATTTGGAAAATGTCACAAAATGTATTCATAACTACATTTACGTGATCTTTTATAGAACATCACAAACATTTCTCATTTTTCAATGTTTTTTGTTTTGGAAAATACACCTAGAAACAGAATAGAAAATGCAGGAAAACCCTGGAAAACCCAAAACAAAAACAAGTAGCGAGGGAACCCTTACGAAAAAAGGAAATGAAGTGCGAATGAAAATCGAATTTCCGAATAGCAAAAAAACACAGACAAGAGATATACACGCGGAAAAAAACTTGTGTGTCATGGCGAAAAAATTGGATGAAAAAATAATTATTTGAGAAGAAGCTCTACTTTTTGGAACGAAAAACAAAACATGTGGAATCAAACTGTGGCTTTGTGAGTGAGATCGAATTATACGTAGCATTTCTTAGACGAAAAATTTTGGAAAAATCCATCGGGCATCAGACATGAACTTTTGTTTCGTGATTGAAAAATGAAAACTAAAATTCCACGACCTGCAACTCAAATCAGTGTGAAAAAATGCCTGCTAGAAACTAAAATTTCCAAAAAATCAAAAACAATTTCTGCCAAAAATCCTCGTCAGATAATTTTAACACCAAGCTTCTGACATTTTTCAATGTTTTTTCAAAACAAAACAAAAACATTGAATCTTTGATTTTTCGTCAATTATTTTCTCATTTCTTTTTTTCAACGCCTTTTTTATTTTCTATTTTTTGTTAACGAAGAATGTGCAGGAAAAAATAGAGAAAATTTTAATTACAGATCTGAAAATAACAATTAATTTATTTTTTCAGAGATAAATAAAAGTGCAAAATTTCATTTTACTGAAGTCGGAAGGTCCTGGATCAATTCCACTTCAATGAGGTAAAATTTGTTTTTCGAATTTATAAATATGTATACATCACCTCCGGATGTTTGGAATTTTTAATTTAAAATGATTGAATTCTGGCAAAAAATGGATCTTTGAAAAAAAAGAAATGTATCCCCAAAAAACATGGGCACATGCAAAAATAAATTATTCAAAATACGTATTAGTTTCATGAAAGCCGAAAAAAAAGGAAAAACAAGACAATTGTCTGAAAATAAGGAAAATCTGGAAATAAGACTAATTAACATCTTGTTTTAGTCGCTAATTAATTGAGATTACTAAGTTTTTTGCAGAAAAATGTATGAAAAAAGTATTATATTTATTTCAATTGGGCAAGAATTTCTTGCCCAATTATTTCATAAATCACGAGAGTGGATCAAAAAATGGGTGTCTGGTTACCAGAAAACGGAAATTTGCAGTTTGCTCCATTTTGCAATATTTTCTGGGTCTAGAAGGTGACAATTGGGAAATATTTTTGTTTAATACCACTTTTTAAAATTTTTGCGTCTAACATTAAGGGCGGTGCCCCTAGGCGAAACAGTCAGAAAATCCTTAAAAATTCTAAATTTTGAAGAAAACCCTATTTTTCGCAGCTAAGCTGACGTGAGAAAAAACAATTTCTTAAAAAAAAGTTACGCCTGGGAATACAACTTGTGAAGTTTAATGAGACATAGATTATAAAAGAGAAATAAATAAAAGAAAAAAAAATTCAAAACAAACTGGAAATCGCGTGCATAAAACTATGAAAAAATTAATCTACCTATGAAATAGTTCATAGTTTGTTTTTCAAAAAAATGTGGAAGCTGATCCTATAGCTTCAAGTGTAATTCAGAGCTCCATCTAAAAAACTTTCCTTTAACATCAATAGTAATTATGAATTAAAAACTTTACCCAATAGTTTTCAATGACGCTCAAATCTCACCTGTTAATTTTGTTCCACCCCCCCAAACCTCAAAATAAACTAACTTGACTTGCCCGTTCCGTGAAAAGTTGTTGATTTCTTTGAATTTCCTGTCCACACGAAACATCTTCTTGTTCGGAAGCCTGAAACTTCTACATTGTTTTTCTCAAAATTTTCGCCTATTCTAAAACTTACATCAGAAAATGACAATTGTCGATTTTATGGGACCGCTGCATTCTGTGACGGTTGTCTCTGAAAAAATAAGAAAATTAAAAAATGTACCAAATCACCCCATTAATAACTTTTTCTGCTCTGAAAAAACCAGAAAAATGATTCAGTTCGAAAAAAAACGTTCAATCAATAATGTCTTTTCAAATAAAAAACATATCTCTCTCTCTTACCCTCTCTCTATTTCCCACCCTCTCTCGTCTACCCTGCAAAAAAACAACAAAACAAACACGCTAAACAACGTGCACGCGGAGTATCGTTGTTTTTCTTACATTTTCTTTGCACGACATTATTATTTTTTTTCTGGTTTTTTGAGTGGTTTTTTTCAGCGCAGAAAATGTTATTAATGGGGTGATTTGGTACATTTTGTTAATTTTCTTATTTTTTTCAGAGACAACCGTCACAGAATGCAGCAGGGTCCCATAAAACTTGAAAAAACTCGGGCCGATTTTTTTTTGAAAAAACTCGGGCCGATTTTTTTGAAAAAACTCGGGCCGATTTGAAAAAACTCGGGCCGATTTTTTTTTGAAAAAACTCGGGCCGAGTTTTTTGGAAAAAAAAACTCGGGGCGATTTTTTTTTGAAAAAACTCGGGCCGAGTTTTTTCATCTTTTGTTTTTTTAACGTTAAAAACATTTTCAATGCATTAGCTCGAGAAAAAATTTTCAATAAAAAACCAAAAGCAACACTGGAAACACTGTGTTTCAAACACCATAACGCAACAGTGCACAGAAAAAAACATTTGGGCAGATTTCTAATTTTCCAACAAGTTTCAGCAAAATAGCTACGGAAAGCGCGATTTGAACCGGATTACCGACTAACCACATTATGATCATATTTATTGATAGCTTAATAGTTTCTATTTTTTATTTCTAGATCAAAAATAGCTGAAAAAACAGAAAAAAGAAAGAGGATGAATGAGATTCATCTTAATTTTCACCACATGAACTATGCTGGAACTTCTCAAATCCGTGAAAAGAGCCCCTTACGAGCCTATGTCCATGACTCTTTAAACCATTATTGTCAGTTTTGCAGAAAAAACGACTGCTGGAAGAACCATTTTCGACCTCGGGCAAGCTCATCCAGTGATCATTTTTTAAGAAACTGACAATACCATACCAAAATGTGACCATATTCAAGGAAATTGGTTCAGATTATGGGTTAGGAAAATGGTCTATAGTTTGTCTATAACTTTGACTCCGGACCCTCTTATATTGGACAGAGACAGTTAGTAAGTTTACAAGGGTTTCCATTTCCTATTTCTAAAACTAGAATTCTTAAAAAAACAGAAAAAAAGAAAGAGGATGAATTAGATTCATCTTAATTTCCACCACATGAACTATGCTCGAAGTTCTAAAATCACTAAAAACAGCCAGTTAGAAGCCTATGTTTTGGACTATGTCCCTGATAAGAAATATTACTAGATAATCCGTAATTTACCCGAAAAAACTTGAAAATAGGAAAACAAGAAAATAGTAACAAAAATAAATCCCGAAAGTTTATTGAAAAGCGCTTTCCCAACTGAAAGTCAATGGATCAATTCAAGCCGCAAGTTGCAGCCTGCGCCCCAGTGAAAATAAGCGTATTCGGGCTGAAAGCATGCGATTCGCAACAAGTTTCTACGTTTAGGCACCGAAATTGCCCGGTATTCATCTCTTTCTGGTAGAATTTAAGAATAAGTTCTCTCCTCGAACTCCTCATTCATTCCAGTTTTTACCGAGTTCCCCATCAGTATAACCGAAACTCACGGCAAAATCACCAATTCAGTTCAAAAAGCATAGCTTGATCATCATTTCTCATCTGAATTTTAAGTATAATGAATGAAAATCTCCACATATGTGGATTGTAATACAGTAGCAGTTCAACCCACCTTGTTTTTAATCAATTTTTCCTGCCGATTAGGACTAGAGCAAAATCGAGAAGTGACTGAACATTCTCAAATCTGACTGACGTGAAGACAGATTTGATCAAGATAAGAAAGGTGACCTCGTAAGTATTTATTTTTTGAATAACAACGTGAGTTTTTTTTTTGCTTGAATATTCACGGGAAAACTGTAATTTCAAAAAAAAAACGGAATATTAGTGTCTCTGTGGGAAAGAAATTTGAGGAGAATCCCATGAAAAACGTCTGAACACCAAAAAGAGGTGTTCCTTTTTGGAAAAATGAAACGACACACCGCTTGACGGCAGCCGCAGAATTTATTTGTTTGTTTTTCAAATAATTGAACCAAATCGCAATGTTTAAACTTATTCAATCACCATCATAATCATCAGTTCACTTGGTGCAGTGTGCACAGATGGGAAAAATATTCATTCAGATCAATATTTTTATTTATTAATTATTCAGATGGATTCTGCGTGCCAAGCCTCACCTTGACACCATAAGAACATTTATAAGAGGGTCCAGTGTATACTTTTTTTGTTTCAGAGAGCCAAGCCTCGTAATCTCTACGCCCGGGGTCTTTAATTGGCCATAGCGCAACAGTGCACACAAATACGTTTTAGCAGCTTTCTATTTTTCCAACCAGCTGCAGCAAAATAGCTTCGTTGAACAATCACTTTAACTCTTTCTTTTTCTTGAGAATAGATACAGAAAGCGGGACCGGATTACCGTTCATATTTGGCTAAAAAACAACAAAACACAAAATTAAAATTACCAAAATGTTGAATGATCCAGTCGCGGATTGTTTAGGCACCTAAATTACAGATAAAACCTTTTTCAGGGGTAAATTTTGGGAACTCAAGGAGTACATTTTTTAAATTTAAAAATATGTATACATCACCTCCGGAAGTTTGAAATTTTTAATTGAACATTTGATTGGATTCTGGTAAAAAGGGATCTTCGTAAAAAACAAGAAATGTATCCGCAAAACATGCGAAAAATTATTCAAAATACATATTAGTTTCATGAAAGCCAAAAAATAGGAAAAATCTTGAAATCAGAGAAATTTACATCTTGTTTTTTAGTCGCTAATTAATTGAGATTACTAATTTTTTTCAAAACAAATGTATGAAAAATGTGTGTAATTTATTTTAATTGGGCAAGTATTTCTGACTGAGTTCAGAAATGAAAATTTTGTTTGCAAAAAATATTGTTCAGAGGTTTGGGGGCTTGCAAAAAACTATAAAGTTTCAAAATTATGAGCCATCAAGTCTTTTTTAGTAGAAACTTCCGAAGCGAAGCAAAAATTATTTCAAAAATCACAAGAGTGGACCAAAAATGGGTGTCTAGTTACCAAAAAAACGGAAATTTGCAGATTTTTCTATTTTTGCGATACTTCCAGAAGATGAAAATTGGGGTGGGGAAATAGTTGTTTTTAAACTGAAAAAAAAACTCACCAAATTGTTTTCGATCAATAATTCCATCATCAATTTATCAAAAACTCGAAAAAGTTCATCCTTCGATTGAAAACCCTGAAAAAAATGTTATATTTCTCAATAAACCGAAAAAATATCAAACCTTCGAAGTTGATGCCAATTTCCATCATTTTCGAATGCTCCCCATCTGATTTCAGATCGATTTTCAGCTCCCAAGCCTTTTTTGACGTTTATAAGTCAATAAAAATCATAAAAATGCAATGAAAACAAACAAAAAACAAAAAGAAACAAATCGGGCGGAAAAAAATAAACAACAGGCAAGCGGAGTGTCGTTGCACGTAACGTGGATTGTTGTGTGCGAGAGTTTTGGGAAATTTGAAAGACGTAGAGGAAAAAGGAGCTTTTTACTGTGCTTTCGGCGAAAACGCAGAAATTTTTGCGAAATCTTTTCGCACAAATTTTAGATTTCCACCCAAATTTTCCAATAAAAAACAAACTTCGACTAAATAATTTATATAAGCATAAGCATTACAAAATAAATATGTTTTTTTTCAATTTCTGCATAATAACAGCGGGTTAATTGGTTAGTTATATTTTTCTCAATTAGCAGTTGGCTAAATTTGTTATTTAGATTGAATATGCGTTTGATTAATTAGGGGCGGGTAATTATGTAATTAATTGATAAATAATAACAAAATAAATAAATTAGCGAGATCCATAACTATGTAGATGTGAGATCAAAGCTGTAATATTTTAGGGTCAAGATTTTTAGCATGAATATGGATTTTCGGCGAGATTTTCAAGATTTTCTGGATTTTCAGCCAAAAGTGGTTCGCAATCTTGGAAGTTCAAGCTGTTCGGGCGATGAAGAGTTGGTCCCTGCAAAAATTGACAATGTCTTTGTTTTTTCGAAGACAAATCGATAAAAATTACAGTATTTTGGACGGCCAATTTGTTGAAGTCGATGATTGAAGATGGGGGAGTTTGATCTGAAAATATTGGAGTTTTCAGTTGATTTCATTCAATCTTTACCTGAAACAACATTCGAATTGTTAATCATTTGTGCATTTTCCTCATCTTCCAAACTGTTTGGCGAGAAAAGTTGGGCGATTTGAGTGTTGAAATGGAACATCGTATTTTGAGCCGATGTTTTGGCAAGTTCTTTGCGAAGCCCGTCAACGAATGAATCGGCCATTTCAGAGTTGTACGGTTTTTCTTGGATCAACATCAATTCGTGTACTGGAAATTGGAGGTTTGGAGATATTTTTAGAGGTTTGATTTTCATTTCAAATACTGCTCAAAGTGGTTTATAAAATTCTACTTTCCCACATGGAATCCTAGAGATAGAAATCCCTGAAAACTAAAACTTTACACGTGCATTTTTTAAGACTATAATAAAATTGTGAATTAAAAATTTCGCGATCGGAAAAATTGAAATAATTAAACATGTGTGAGAAATCTTTTTGAGTATGAGTCTTTTTAGTCAGTGTTTATTTGCCACGTGGCACATTGCAACTCTCAACGATTTGTTTACCATGTAGATTTTCAACGCCAAAATTCCGGGGGCTACTCAACTTTTCAAGAAGAACTTTGAAATTTTTAAACTCCAGAATTTCTAGAGGTCTTCAAAATTGTTGGTGTTTTAAATGTAATGTCTGTTCTGCTCCATGATTTATATTCAAAAATAAGATTTTCAAAAATATAAAAATGGGTCATTCTGGAAATTAATGAAGTGCTCGGTTGGATCAAAGAATCATTCATTTTGTTCCCAGAAAACAGAAAGAAGAAATTCAGCTAATTTCATCTATAATTTATTTGTCTCTTATGTTCTTTGCTTTTTTCAAGAAAAGACAGAAATAGGAGAGACTGAAAAAAATTTGAATTTTTCTGAGAAATCGGAATTGGGGGCATGATTTTTTTAAAGACTTTCAAATTTTCAATCAGATTTTTAGGCGCGGATACTAGAAGTTAGAATAACATTTGCATTCTTAGTAACAATTAACTTAACAAATATGTGATTTGCTAAAAGATACTTCTAAATTTGAATTTTGAAAAAAAAATCTGGAGATAAAATTGGAATCTAGATAATTTCACAATGGTTTTCAAAATTTTCAGACATTTTTTCAGCCTGACAAATCTTCTCAATCTCAAACTCACACTTAATCATATCATTCAAATCTTGTTGAGTTGGTGAGATTTTCAACGCATCTCCGCGATCCATAAAAATGCTGTTCATCGAGATTTCAGTGACTGCAGTTTGTGGAGTATCGCATGAATTTGGAAGATTTGATTGGGAATGGGCAAAAGAAGCACGGACAGCTGGATGGATTGGGAAAGCCATTTGAGAAACTGACGGGTCGGTTGATATGTCTTCGATGGTTTCGTTGATTTGAGTGAAACTTGGGCGATCGGCAGGGATGGTTTTCCAGCAATCTCTCATCAATTGGTAAATCTGTAATTTTTGGATTTGGCTTCGATTTCCGAAAATCCCCTTTGCTCCAAACTTTCAAAAAAAAAGTTCAGTGAACTCTTTTCCATTTCACCTATTTCTATTTCCGATCGGAAATGTAAAACATTTTAAATTTATATTAACTCAAAATAATGGTCTTTTCCGGAGTTCATAAAACAATTATCTATTTTCAGAGCCGAAATCTTTGGCTTCAAAACATCAATGTGATTTTGATTTCATTTGAAGTTTGATGTGTGTGGGAAATCATGAGGGCTTCTTTCCAGTTGAAAGATTGAGGATCAAATCAAAAACATTTAGGATGAGAGGCTGATTATGAGGTTAGATGATTTTTAAAATAAAAACTTTCCGGATTAACATTCTGAACTAAAGTTTATAAAGAAGTTCTAGTTTATTAAATTGGGTTCTAGTTTATAATTAGGATCGTTAAGCTTGACTTCAGAATCTGAAATTTTTGAGAAAATTTTGAAGAAGAATCTGAAAAATACGCTCGCAAAACATTCATGTTACTTTTATAAAAACTTTAATGAAGTGTGCAAGCTTAAGGTGAAGCTTGTATTCAGATCTCTGAATTTGAACTAAATTCAAAACATCAGAATTTGGGCCTTCCAATTTTTTCAGTTTATTTATTCTATTTGAACTCACTCTCATCGGAATTCCAAACGGATATTCCAATCTTCCACCCTCAGTCAACATCAGCATAACTTCCTCATTCTTCCGACTCGGATACGGTACAACACCCAACGAGAACACTTCCCAACACAATATTCCAAAACTCCAAACATCTGATTTTGCCGTGAACAATCCATCAATAAATGCTTCTGGAGGAGTCCATTTAATTGGTAACATAGCTCTTCCATGAACACGATAATATTCCGAACCAAGTGACATTTCTTTGGCCATTCCGAAATCGGCAATTTTTGCGACTCGACCATTTTGTTTGTTTGTGAGAAGAATATTACGAGCGGCAATGTCTCGATGAACATAACCGTAGTCTTCGAGACATTCACAACCAGCGGCAACATCCGAGACGATTTTTACCAAATCACACATTGTCATTTTGTAGGGATTCAAGTTGTACTGGAAATTATTAAAAATTTGGAGGGAGGAACTTCTGAAATCTTCTAAAATGTACATTTAATGTTAAATTTTCATTGTAAAATTTTGAAACGTAAATTTTCTGAGAATATTGTTTGAAAAAATTTGGAACAGTAAGTTAAATTTTCTGGGTAAAAAATTTTTTAAATTATTTTTTCGGTGAGATTTTTGATTACCCATTTTTGAAGTTACAAAAATCCATGTATCATTTGTTCCAGAACTCACCATACTCGGCCTAGCCTCTTTCACAAATGTCAACAAATCACCGCCTTCCATATATTCCGATGCAATCACATATGGCACATTTTCAAAATCCACTCCAATCAATCGAACAATATTTTCATGGATAAATGTTCCCATGCAAAGTGCTTCATTACAAAAATCAGCTTGAGCTGAGATTGAGGCCGAAAATGGTTTGGAAATTGTTTTGACTGCAACATCTGTTTCGTGATATTTTCCTAGTAACACTTCACCAAAATTTCCTTTTCCGAGAACTTTGCCAATTCTGAAAATTCCGGGGTTTAGGTATTAATGAGTAATCTTGCTTCATCTTGCTTTTTTTCCAGACGGTCGTTATGTTCAAGCGACGTAAAATGCACACCGAATTTGAAAGTTTGAATTTTGAATGTTTTTTGGGTACTGTAACTTGATGTGTATCTCATAAATTTGAATTAGACTAACTTAAAGCTTTCAGGGCCTCATTGGGTTACTGTAATTTCATTCAAATTAATGGATCTCATTTTTTCAGGTAATAATATTTCCCATTTGGTACTGTAATTTGATGAGCATCTCATAAAGTTTGAATTAGAACAACTAAAAGCTTTTTGGCAAATGGAACTCATTTCGGTTACTGTGGTTTTATTACTGCTTTCAAGTTAATGGAACTCATTTTCAAGCTCATAAAACTTCCCTACTAAAACTTCCATACCTAAAAACCTCTCATCATCTCATAAATTCTGAATTAGGCTAACTGAGAGCTTTAATGTTAATGGAACCCATGAGGTTACTGTAGTATGGAATTGGAAAACTAGTTGAATAGTTTTATGAGCAAAAAGCTTTAAAGCTAAAGAAATTACATAAAGTTCTGTATCTCAAAAAACACAGTAATCCAGAAAAAGCGGAAAAAGAAACTACAAAACTCACTGCAAAAATTTGCCATTTTCAAATATTCTGAAAACAAAGACTTCATGATTCTGGTTTTTGAAAATTTCAGTTATTCAAAAATTCAAAAGTTTGATTTTGAAAATTAGTATCGTGTAGAAAAACTTACAACAAAACTTCTCGATCAATGGCCGGCAATTTCTCCAGCGCATTTTGTCGTGTCTGTTTTCCAAAATAAATATCATCATACAAATATTCTTGAGTTCTCATCAGACTGAATTCAATCAATTCTCGCGCAACTTTCTCATTTCTTCTCTTGAAATATTTGACGAAAAGGAAAGCGATCAAAGAAACAATTACAACACTGATGAATAATAGAACAGCAAAGAGCCATGGGAGCGAAATATCTCCTGCAAAAATATATACGTTTCAACAATTTCAGATTATTTTTTAATGAGTGAATTTTCCATATTTCCCCATTAAGTCTTTCAAAATTTGCAACATGGCAACAATTTAGAATCAGAAAAAAAACTTAATTGAAAAAATGAGTTATTGGAAGTTTCTCCTCGAAAAAAATACGTTTAAAAATTTCGAGATAATTTTGTTATAAGGGTCATTTTTCCATGAATACTTGTGCCCCAACCTTTCCAGAAACTCACCACAAGCCATAAAACTAGTTCCAGTTTGATCCATTCCATTCGGACACATACAAAATTGTTCCATAGTGAAATTGCGGAATTGACAAGTTCCCGAATATGGGCAATATAAACTGCATTGACAGGAATCAGTGCTATTCATATATTCCGATCCATCTGGACATGCACAGAATTCCTTTTCCAAATTCTCTCCACCAAATCGACAAACCGAAGGCGATTCGCAAGATTTGGTGCACAATTTGAATGTGATTTTTCCATTTTCCAAAATTTCATTTTGATAAATTCGGAAATCCCTGCTAAACTTCTCATCGATATAATTCGTTCCACTTTTCTCTTCTTCACTATCTCCCAACGGATCACCTCCTTTCATTCCAGCTCCCCCGCCACCAATTGATGAGCAAGACGATGCTCCACCACCAAATCCACCCAAAACAGTAAGATCTTTCGGGTCCGGACATTTTCGTTGCATTGAGAATGAGAAAAACTTTTCGGGGGTTGTGGCATTGCAACGTGCTCCACATCTTGGATCGATTTTCAACTCCTCCATCGTTGCACCATATCCCGCACCAATATCTTCTATCTCGCTGGGTTTTCGACCTTGGCCAGCTCCACCGCCTAGAATGATTTTCCAGTGATCTGAATCGCGAACTGTTATCAGAGTAGCGCCTCCACCACCGCCGCCATTCTTTGGCGGTTTTTTGCCAACACCATTGAAAACTCGACAACTGAACGCTTCATATCGTGATTTTCGACAAGCCATTTCACCGTGTTGTCCAACCAACATTTGAAGCACTAAATCTTGATGTAAATGCACTTGGAAGGTTGCGCATTGACCGGGGATTCCATAAAGCCCTCCACCAGCTCCTCCACACCCTTCAACACGATAGAAACCGGTTTGATCTACAGTCCAATCCTGTGTGCCGTCTTTCTTCAAATAGAGCGAATTTTGTCCATCAAGATCTCGAACACGATCACAATTCAAAGGTGGGGTAGATCCAGTTGCACCACAAGTTGTGACTTTTGTGACAGCTTGTGATTTTTGAATATGTGTTCCTTGATCTGGTGGGGCGAAACATGTTTGACTTATTGTTAAATCATCAATCGCGAAGAAACCTTTGCTTGCACTATAATGATCAACAAAAATACCAATTCGATACGGATGATTTTGGCGAGGAATCAGAAGAGATTGTCTTGACCATTCTCCAGGTTGATAACCCCATGAGAACATTGTCGAATCTAAGAGCACTCTTCTTCCGCTTAAAAATGGATCATGTGCTCGACTGATCACTGCAATTTGCCATTTGAAATTCTGGAATCTGGCATTGATCCAGAAACGAAGTTTGCAAGATTGGAAGAACGGACTAGACGAGTTATAGGCTTGCGGATTGGTTGGCTCGAAAACCGGGGAAACCAGCGCTGACAATCTGACCGAGGTTGCGACGGTTTTTGGCATCTCTTGCGCTTCGTATGATAAAACACCACCAGATCCTGCAGTTCGTTCCGACTTCAAACCATATTTCTGACTTGGAATGCGATTTTCGAAAAGATACATCGCATTGCTATTCAAAGCTTTGGCTTTAGCAAGGGATTCTGTATCTAGAATATCACTTGAATCGTCGAAAACAAGTGTCTTTCGATCTTCCGTTGCATTTGTGTATTGTTTCCAGCCCGGACAAAATTCCTTATCATTGTTGAAATCACACATTGTTCCAGGTACAGCAGTTTCATAACAATTTTCTTCATCCGATCCATCTGAACAATCCATGTTGAGATCGCAAATTGAATCATAGGCACATACAGCGTGTCCGGGTTTTTCGCACAGTTTTTCAGAAGCATGGCTGCAAGTATCACTAGGATCTCCGATGTCTGGAAAAAACATGGGTTGAAACAAAAATAAAAAATACAACTAGGGGGCACCCGGATTTGAACCGGGGACCTCTTGATCTGCAATCAAATGCTCTGCCACTGAGCTATACCCCCAGACGACCAAAGAAAGATAAAAAGTCGACAAATAATCGCAAAACTGACCGTCGCAACCGCTAAAGTCAACATTGGCCAAAGAACACGCGAAATGGAACGGGTTTTCGACTTTTTTGAGAAAATTGGAAGTTGGTGTCTCGCCAGATTCGCAATTGATTGAAATACGGAAAGGACGAGAGAATGAGCCGATTGTGATTTTTTCTTCAACCCAGCTGAAAAATTGTTTTTTTTTTTGAAAATTTTGAAATATTTTTCGGAACCTTATTTCATTTTTTTTTGAAATTAAAAATGTTAGAAATTAAAAATTTGATTTTCCGAAATGAGTCACGTGAATCACGTATTTTTAATAAATTCTGATCTTCCGTATTTTTTGCAACAATACGGTATCTCAAGAAAAATATAGTTTTCCCATTAAACAAATGTTGTATAGTTTGTCTGTATTACGGTGGTCAATATTTTTTAGATTTTGTATTTGTCAAACTAGAAAATATTGTCTCCAGTACAGTAATCCAGACAAAATACGAAATAATGTTTTCAAAATATAATTTCAAAACTATAATTTTTGAGCTACCGTAGTTTTTGGAGAACTACAAATTTTTGCTACAACTCCATAATAAGTCAAAACAGAATCGGGAAATGAGTAAGAGGTACAACCATTTTTTCAACTACAATACTCCGCAATGCAAAGATCAAAAATTTTCAGATTTCGAAGAACTGTAACTCCTTCCATAACTTACAAAATACTTTTTCTCATAAAATATGCTGGTTCATATTTCCAAATCTCGAAACTCTCATTATTATCCATAAAATGTGCACGGACTGAAATTGTCGAATCCAAACTTTGTGGAGAAAAGTGATGCAGGAAATTCAAGTTGCACTGAAAATAAAGGCTTGGGGATTTCAGAAGAATATTTACGAAGGAAGGTCGCGGAAACAACAATCAAACCATTTCTGTAACCTCGGGAGTAGAAAGAACATTATCTCTTCCTGCCAGTTACAGAAAAAGTTTATCGATGCCTCCGCGACCTCCTTAGTTATATTTTGACTTACACGAAGTCCAGATTGTCTGAAAACTTGGCTGGTAATTGATGCGACACTGTTATTGAAAAAGGCGGTTTCAGATCCTGCTTGAATGAAATTCGCAATTTTTGTCGGTTTTTCCATGGGAAACTCATTGAAAACCAATTCAGGATCATTTGTTGACATTTTCCATTCTTCCGAATTCTCAAACTTTTTCCATAATTTTTCAGTTGTATTCAATTCTTTACAAGAGCATCCGGGATATAAAATGCGATCTGTGAACTTTGCAAAATCTCCCGATTTCTCTGGACATCGGTCGACTAAACATGAGCAATTTTTGGTCAACTCGAAAATCGGGGTTTCGATTGCCGAATGGCAGAAAGTGTCGTTTGGATTTTGGCAATGTTCGAGTTGTTCGATTTTACTATTTTTGGCATCGCATGCGATGAAACTTGCAAAAAGATCACGAGCGTCGTTTTCCTGGAAAAAAGCAAACGTAGAATATTTGATATGATTTTTGCTTTTGCAGGTTATTTTTGAAGTGTCAGAAACGTTTGACATGATTTTTGATGCGACAAAAAACTTTGGGAAAGTTTGACGTAAACTGTGAGAATTTTATCGTCAAATCTATTTCAGGATCCTGGGAATCTGCTGAATTTTGAAAAAAGGTCGAAAATGCGGTAAAAATCTTTAAAAAATCAAGTTTTGGCTGAATATTTCCCAAAAAATGCATTCCTGGGATAAAATTTGTGAAAAAATGTGATTGTTGCGTGAAAATCTTAAATTTTGCATAAAAATTCGCTGTTACATTTGAGCAGGAAAATCATTTTTTATTGAATTTTCCGTTTTATTTTTTTGAAAAGAAATAACACAAAAAAAACGGATAATCCTCCCAGAAAACAATACATCCCTTTCAAACCCTCTGTTTTTCTTGAAAAACTCATTTTCCTAAGTTCAAGCTCAATTACTTACCCAAGATTTTCGACCTTTAAACAAAAAAAGCTAGAAATATCGAAAAAAAAAAGAAATGAAAAAAACAGCAAAAAAATAAAAGTAAAACAACGATACTCCGTGATTGCGCTTGTTTCGCGTGTGCGCCAATTCAAATTATATATTTTTTCATTTTCCCCAAATAAACTCACATTATTACTTTTGACGAAGAATCTCTGACCATTTTCGATTTTCAAACGATTCTCGAAATATTTATCAATATCAAATGATTGCGAAGAAGCAAAGAACCACAATAGAATGAGCAATGATTTTTCCAACATTTTCCTAGTTTTCTTTTCAAGGATTTTTTAGATGATCATCTGCAAATTAGATTCATTAAGCCATGAAAAATGAAAAATTCCTTTTTTTCAAAAAAGAACTACGAACTAATAATTAATTCAACAACTATCTCTAATTCGCAACATTTTTTTATTCAAAAATAGAAAAAGGAGAAATTATATATCTGTTTTCTTCTTTTCACAAAATTATAGCAGCTAGAAAAATCTAAATAAGACGAAAAAGTGATGCGTTTTGGAGGCGGCGCCTCAAAAAGGAGCACACGGCTAAAAAGTAAGCGGCTCTCCGGGGCGCGCGCTCGCGATCCTCACTCTATCCTAATTATATTCTTCGCCTCATTCTCTAATGCTTGCTTACATATCAAAAAAGAGCAGCAAACAGATTTATTTATTTGAGTTTCACACTTTTTCAGAAATGGGCGGAGCTAGAGAGAAAAAAAGGAAAAAAATTTCGACCACGGCAGGACTCGAACCTGCAATCCCCAGATTCGAAGTCTGGTGCCTTATCCATTAGGCCACGCGGCCACATTTTTCAACAGTTCAAATGTTTGATAAGACAAACAAACAAACAAAGTTTTCGGAGAAAAATGAATGACAAAAAAAAAGAAAAAATTTTCAGAATTTTTTTCTCTTTCAGAAAAAGAAAAAAGCAGACAAAAACAAGTGGCGAGACGGAGAGGCGTAGAACGCTAGAAAAGTACAAATGTGAGTAAACAGCAATCGTCGCGAGACCCTCAAAGTGCACAAAGAGGTGCAAAAAAGTGCAAATTATTTAAAAAAAAAAGAGGACATTTTTTTGGAATATTGAATTCACTTCTTGAAGTCAAAAATGAAAAAAGCTGACATCATATTGTATAAAACCAAAATTATAGATTAGCGGATATTTAGCTGGAACTCAATATTTAATTATAGAGATAGAGATGAAGAGTGAAAAAATGTCTTAAAAGAGGTAGAGAGAGAGAGAGGGGAGGAGTCAGATTTGTTGCGATTTTTCATGAAATGTGGAAGTAAGAGTTCAGGGAATTAGGGAAAGGTCGAGATGAGCAAGAGGTTAGAGATCACAGAGAAGGGTAAGAGGCAGAGAATCTAAATCAACTAGAGATCATAGGTGACGGGCTAGAGACATAGAAACTAGAGAAATGTAGACACTGACAGTTTGAGGAGGTCCAGACAACTAATGCAGGTTAAAGAACGCAGACCATCAGAGACGCAGATATTCCAGAAAACGAGAGCAGAGTCTGAGAAAAATCTGAGAAGAGTGGGAGTTTCTAAATATTTGGAATAGAAGCCATGGCTAATCTCAATTTTAATGTAAAGGTTGCATTACAGTAATCCTGACCCTAAGCTTTTAATCCCCATTCTCGTAGTAAATGTTTGAAAAAAGCTTGTCTGTGCTAATAATATTCATAGGCTAGACAAAACTAGAAAATTCGAGATCACAAGACTAGAAAAAAATTGACATCAATCTTAGAACGCCTAGAAATTTGTGAGACTAGAAAATCTAGAAAGTTATGTGCCTACACAGACAGTTAGATTTGAAGTAGCCCTTTAGAAATCTAATAATTAGGCTACAGTAATCCAAGTGACCTCAAACTCTTACATTAACTCTAGACGTTATCTAGAACATGGAAAGTTTCCAGACGAGCTATTGGAAGGGAGGTTATCAGGAGAGTCAAGAATCTGTATACTACCATCACTGTCCCAGGATTTACAGTATCACTATACTTTTCCAGATAACTTACAATAATCTCTCTACATTCCTAGAATCTGTAGTACCTCCAAAGATCCACAGTACTGTCATGGACTTTAGATCCTACAATAATCCTTAAAGTTCATTTCCATCAAGTTCCCCCAACATATTTCGTTTCATTTCAGTCATTCCTCTCGCCCGTCTCTTCATTCTGCTGACATCACAAATCAATCTGCTCTAATCTAACACAAGCCACAAAAAATGGCAACATTTTTAGGCCTTCCTAGAAATTCTTATATAAAGTATATATATATTGCATCTGCTCTTCTTCTCTCACTTTTCAACAACACAGCAAAAAAGTTTGAGCAGAAAAAAGTTTGAGCAAAAAAAATCTAGTCTGAAAATGAAGAACCGAGAGAGGAGCCACTGATTTTTGCCAGAGCTCAGCTAAGAGTTTCCGTGGAAACCAAGTGAGCTCTCCATTTTTGATACATGTTAACACCTTCAGATTTTTTTTTGAGCCGCTGGCTGGCTTAAAATTGTATGCATGTGTGTGATTAGAGAAAATGAGGGATCGACTTCATTTGGCTTTGAAAAAATGCTCAAAAAATACCTCGTTATCCTTCCAGAATAAAATGAGCCACATGAGTGCTGTTCTGAAAAATTGAGAATTTTAAAATTTCAATCTGAAAATTATCCTACCATGTTCAAATTTCTTGGTGGATTTACACGGTGTGAACCAATTTGCGCATTGAAATCACGAATTTCGCCGCCAATTTGTTTGAGAGTTTTCTGGAAAAATTGAATTTGGGTTAGGTTACTGTAGACCCCCGGGTTTTTTTTTCCAAAGCAAAATGTTTATGTTTATAAGTTTTCTGATAAACATAAATATCATATATCAAAATTGTACTTTTCGGGAGAATTTAATTGGAAATATACAATTGAAAAAAAAGTTCTGGGAAGATCTGAAAAAAAATTTTTGAAACAGTTTTTTTCAATCAGCGAAACTGAAAAAACTACAACATTTTTAAACAAGAAACATGAACCAAATAAAACTAAATAGTTCTAAAACATCAGAAAACAAAAATGTCTGTTTCAGATATGAATAACAAATGAAGGCATTTTCATAATTTGTGTGAAATACTTTCATAAAGTTCTTGGGAATTTGGAAAAAATCTCATTTCTGTTTCGAAAAAACCACTGTTTCAATAAATTCAATAAAAACTTCTGACTCCAAGAAAATCTTCAAGGTTACATTGCAAAATGAAAACCACGTGGATCTTATAGACTACTGTAGATAAAGTATCCCCAAAACTCACCAAATGTTTTCCACTATTTGGAAAAACGGCTTCACTAACAAAATGCAAGCGTTGCAAATTCTCACAGGCCACCGAAATATTCTCAGCCGCGCGAGAAGCACAAACTTGTGCCTCGATAGTTCCGTAAAATGCTTGCGCTTGAAGTGGAGCTTGTGTTTGGCACATTGGTTTTCTGACGCAAGGTTCTGGCGCAGCTTCTTCCACCTGATTTTCATATTTGATAATCGAAATCTCATCATCACGAACTCGCGTCATTTGAACAGTTTTCTCGAGATGTTTGGAATTTGGAATTTTCCGGGATCCAGAATGTTCTGGGTTGAAGTCTAAGGTCAGATTCTGTTGCTGATATTGTTTCAATTGTCTTCTTTCCTCGATAATCCGATTTCGACAAACTTCACGATTTCGATTGCAAATCTCAAATTCGGGTTCAGGATTCGGAATTCTTGGACACAAAATTGGTGTTTCTCGAATTCTTGGTGCTTGGGATTGAGCTTGGATTTTGAGTTTTTTCGCCTTCATTCGATGCGCATAATCTTGAAAAGCATCGGAAGCTGCGCGGGAATCATACTGAAAAAATGAAATGATGAAAGTTTTTGTATTTACTGAAACTAGATTTTTCTATTAGAATTTGTTGGAAAATTAGAACATTTGAAATTACGAAAGTTTTAAATTAACCGCTAGCTATTTTTTTCAAATAATTGACTATAACCAAACTCACCATCATCAAATTATCACATGTCGGTGTATATTTCCAAGTTGGTAACATTTTTGGCTGTGGTGCATTTCTTCTTTCCTCATCAGTTGTCAAACATTGATTCAAAATTTTCGGCTCTTGAATTTGAGGAGCTTGATGAAATTGAGCACGGTTGGAAGCTCGTATTTGGGAAGGTGGGGCCAGAGCTGGTGGAGCACGAGATTTTCTAGATTTTTCAGCATTTTGCACCAAATAGTTTGGTCTCTCTTGAATAGGAGGAAAACGTTTTTGTTCTTGTCGAACTTCAATTTTTCGCTCCAATTCAGTGATTTCGAGAGATCTTCCAGAGTTCAAAGCGCTATTTGCGTTAGAATAAGTGACGAGAGAAGTTGAGGTATGTTGTTCTTGAGTTTTTCGAGATTTTGAGCATTTGGCTGGTGGTTTTTGGAGTTTTTGGAGCACGTTATCCCAGATGTGATTGTTATACTATAAAAAAATTGGTTAAACATAAAAATTTCAAAAGAATGAAAAAGACGTTCTCAAGTAGCCGCGCCTGAAGAACAGCGCTGTTTAGGACTCTTTACGATCTCTTACAGTACCCTCAATCTACAGTAACTCACTCCAGTTTGATCGATCATTTGAGAAGCTGACAATATTCGAGTAGTTAGAACTAGTGAAATGAGAGGCTCTCCCAAAAATTGTGCCACATTTTTTTGATTTCTGGAACACGTTTCACGTATTCCAAAAAAAATTTTTTTTGAAATTTTATTGTTTCGGGGAGAAGGAGAAAACTGGGACACGTTTACGAATTTTTTTACCTTTTTATCTCGATGGAAGCTGGATTTTTCAATGGGGTCACCCCTGTTCTCATTTTTTGGATGTCGAAATTTTGGACATTTTTGATTTTTCCCCTTTTCTCCGAAAATCAAGAACCTCAAAATAAACTAACTTGACTGGCCCGTTCCGTGAAACGTTGTTGATTTCTTTGAATATCCTGTCCGAACGAAATATCTTCTTGATCGGAAGCCTGAAACTTCTACATTCTTTTTCTCAAAATTTTCGCTTGTTCTTAAACTTACATCAGAAAATGATAATTGTGGATTTTGTGGGACCACTGCATTCTGTTACGGTTGTCTCTGAAAAAATAAGAAAATTAACAAAATTAATAACGTTTTCCGCGCTGAAAAAACCACACAAAAACCAGAAAAAAGCAAAAAATAAAAATGTCGTGCAAAAAATAAAAGAAAAACAACGATACTCCGCGTGCGCGTTGTTTAGCGTGTTTATTTTGTTGTTTTTTGCAGGGTAGATGAGAGAGGGTGGGAAATGGAGAGAGGGTTAGAGAGAGAGAGAGAGAGAGAGAGATATGTTTTTATTTGCAAACAATCTATTGATTGAACGTTTTTTTCTTTGAACCGAATCATTTTTCTGGTTTTTTCAGAGCATAAAAAGCTATTAATCGGGTAGTTTGGTACATTTTTTAATTTTCTTATTTTTTCAGAGACAACCGTCAAAGAATGCAGCGGGGTTCCATAGAATCCACAATTGTCATTGTCTGATGTAAGTTTTAGAATAGGCGAAAATTTTGAGAAAAATAATGTAGAAGTTTCAGGCTTTCGATAAAGAAGATGTTTCGTTTGGACAGGAGATTCAAAGAAATCAACTACTTTTCACGGAACGGGCCAGTCAAGTTAGTTTATTTTAGGGTTCGGGGGGGTGGGAGGGGGTGAACAAAACTAACAGGTGAGATTTGAGCTTCATTGAAAAATATTGGGTACTATAAGTTTATTAATGTTTTCATATTTTTATGCACGCGATTTCCAGTTTTTTTTAATTTATTTTTTTTTATAATCTATGTCTCGTTAAACTTCACAATTTTTATTCCCAGGCGTAACTTTTTTAAAAGAAATTTTTCATTCTCGCGTCAGCTTAGCTGCGAAAAATAGGGTTTTCTTCAAAATTTAGAATTTTTGAGGATTTTCTGACTGTTTCGCTTAAGGGCACCGCCCCTAGTAACACTAAAAAGTACAGAACATTCTTCTTGAAAGAGACGAAAAGATATTGAAATCCCGCGTGATCTACAGCGAATTGAATTTGCGGGTCTAGGATTTGTGAAATAAAGAAATAGGCTTGTCAGCTTGATTTTTGAGAATTAAATTTTCACTGTACCAAGTGAATATAAAAAGCAAGTCATCCATATATTCGAAGCATATCATTTTGTGTTTGTTGAATTTGTTTTGATTATTTAATTAATAATAATTAAATTCCATCTATGATAATGTGTGGTCTGCTATAAATGGTGGTGGAATGCCTTTTCTTTGATGATAAATGATATTTCAAAAAAATCAACAAATTTCCAATTTTTTAGTCTCAACATTCATGTGGCAATAATCTATTCAACAAATTTTTCAACACAATATTTTTGACCAAAGTTGAACAAAAATAATCGATAATGCCCAGCCGCTCCAATTTGTTTCAGTAGAGCAAACTTGCGATCTTCGATAATTTTTTGAATGAAATTTTTAAACATAATTTTGTGATCCGCAGATTTGGGCTTATGAACCTGTAACAGAAGGGGTTTTATGAAAGAATATTTGTATCTACTCACCTCCATATTAATTTGACATACGATAATCCCATTCCTCTCGAAATTTTTCTCAGATTTTTCCGCAAAATATGGAAAAATAGTGTATTCCGAATACTCGCCATCCATCCAAAGAAAATCGATTTTTGAAATTTTCAGTAATTTTTTCAGAAAATAATTAAGTTCCACGTGGAAAACTGACATTTGTTGGTATTTTTTGCGAAAAAGTACACTGGCTCCGAAAAATCCATCAGATCCACTAATTGCTAGCGGAAAATAAGTGCCTATTTTTGAGAAAATCTCGAAATTATCCATGAAATTCGGATCTGCTCCGTAGAATTTTAGCGGAATTGTGAGATTCTCAGCCAATCTTTGGACTTGACTTTCAGCTATGACATCTTTTCCGATTCCAATTGTCAAAAAATTTGAGAAATTTTCGGAACTTCTAGGAAAAATCAGATATTTATCCTCATCTTTGTTGTGGAATTTTTGAAGTTTCAACGCAATTTCAGATTTTATTTGAGAATCACAAAATCTGGTATGATGAATGCTAGATGTCCAGAACTGCAAAAATTAAATAGAGCCCATATGGCTTTTGGGGTACTGTAATTTCAGATTTTTCAGTTCTCAAAAAAAAACATACTCACCTTATCCGGATTTTCATTGAAATTAAATCGATTCCTCGCACATTCGTGCCATTTTTCAAAAATTTTCGGCATTTTTGCATCAAAATTAATTTCGACATAATTTTTAGAATAAACTAGGAAAAATGACTAGAAAAATAATAGTAGAAAAACATATTTTCACAGAAAACTTTAAATTTGGCATAGTTTTTTGTTGACAGGAAGAATCGGAAAAACAGGGAAATTGGGGCAAAAAATTACAACCGGGATTTTTATGAGCCAATTGTAAAATATTTTGTACAATTGTGTATTGTCCGAGTGAACTACACACCCACCAAAAATGATTTTTTCTCGATTGTTGTTTCTCGTCTGAATAGGGTTATTTAAAAATCTCAAAACATTTCAGACCAACATTTATTTTAAAAATAAAAATCACATCAAAAACTTTTTGATAACTTCATCAATCAAAATCTGTCGCTTAATTTGTAGATGGTCTCCATCGACAGCCAAAAAATGCAATCGACCACTTTCATTAAGTTTTCGGAGACCAATTCGATCCTGAAATTAGTTATTGGTCAGATTTCAACTTCCAGAAAAAATAATTCGAAACTAGGTTTTATAGGCGCTGACAAAAACTTTACCTACCTGAAGATACAAATCAGTTTCATTCATATTCTGAACTGTATCAATATCTCCCGGCTTATAAAATCCAAACCAAGAGGATTCTTTTGGAACAACCATGTGATCTTGGTTGAACTTTACTAGCATCAAATTTTTGAGCTTCAGAAGATTTTTCTTGTACCGTGGATTGTTGTTCTGAAATTTTCAAAAATGAAAGTCAGGCTGCTGAAAATTACAGCTCAACTCACATTTTCATTGTTGATATCGGCTAGGAAAATCGATCGTTTTTTATATTCTTCTTCCGCATTTGGATCGTGCCAATATTGAGCTTGAACAACTCTGAAATTATGTTTAAGTTCTCCAAGTCTAGAATCTCAAATTTGTCAATTTTTGGCGCCTACAGTAACCCTACTTTTATTGTAGGCGTTTGAAACTTAAATATGGACTTTTGGCGTAAAAATTCGTAACTACAGAACCCCTCACCTCTTTTGAACAAAGGAAGTATAAGCTCCCAAATCAATCATTTTCCTCATTGCATTACACAAAATATTATCACCAATACAAAAAGGCGCCCCAAAAACACCTTGATGTTGTCCACCAATCGATACCAAATTCTTCATTGGTGGATTTGGACATCTTTCAGCAACAGCTCTCAAAAATTGCCCGCCTTGTGAGAAACCGATAGCATTATAGCCTTGTGCAAGTTTCGGATCTTTTTGTATTTTTATACACGCCATGTAGACTAATTCATTTGTATTTGAAAAGAAGCCGTGTTCAATGTCTTTTGCAATTGAACCACCCAGTTGAAGACTATGAACATAGACATTGGGAACTTGTTCTTCGATGAGATTTTTGACTGATCCCATGGATAAAGGGTTACAGCAACAGTCACCTAGAAAATTTGGATTGTTTGAGGGGCAATGAAGATTAATTACTGTGATTTCGGTGAAGGTATTTGAGAAAATCTCCTAACATAAGACATAATTTTCCCGCCGAATTCCAAAAACTCACCCATTCCATGCCAAATCACAACAGGCACCGGCTCTCCTGTCACATTTCCCTGCGCCTTCGCCCCAATCGCCAAAAAACCCACAGCGAAAATCAAAAACATTGATTTTTCACAATGGACCACAATGAGTTCTCAAGAGCCACACATGATAAGATAAGAGAACTAGGTCATGTGTAATAAATAAAAGAGCCAAAAAAACTTTATCAATAGGAAAAAAAACAAAAAGTTTTCTGCAGGAAGTGGGATTCGAACCCACGCACCCATACGAGTACCAGAACACCCATGCGACCTCGAACTTGAGGCAAGCAAATAGCTTGAGTCTGGCGCCTTAGACCGCTCGGCCATCCCTGCATGTCTCTAGCCGTTAGAAATGTCCAATACGAACATTACGCAAAAAATTGAGCGAGGCGAGAGAGTGTACGGAAATTTTTTTTTGAAAGAAGACGCAGAGAAACAAACATTTATTTTTCATAGTATTTTGCCATATTTCAATGGATCGGCGTGTATCTTAATGCGAACTTCGACATCAACCAATAAACCATTTGAATCTAGGAATTTTTTCGAGATAACTTGATCAAAAATTTTGGCGGGGTTCGAGATTTGTTTCAGCAATTCTACACGATTTTCAGCGTTTTCTAGGTCAATCCAATGTTTTTTGTTATCCTTTTGCAACCAATTTTTGAATTTCTCATAAATTCCAAATTCCTTCTCAGCGAATATGATGAATCCAACTCCAGCTGGCACCAAAAATGCGATCGATAAATTTTTGAGCACCGAAAATGCATAACTTTTCAAATAACTTTCAGCTTTCTCTAGGCAAAAATCGATAATCCTATTTTTCTCATGATATTCGGCGGGTATTTCACACTAAAATTATATAATTTTAAAGAAAGTAGGTCCGAAGAAACTCACCAAAACCCAATCATCTTCTATTTCATTTTCAACCATGTTCCATTAAAAAATCATAATTTTTACTCAAAAATAAAATAATTTCTATGATAAGAAAAATTTCGCAATTTTCCCTTTTCACAAAATACAAACTGGTTTGTGTAGTTCTCTCGGAGAAGTATGATTAATCTTTGAGATTTTTGAAAAATAAAGAGGGGACCCTGTAATTATGTTATGATGTAATTAAAAATCATTTTTGAGGTTTGAGTTTTGAATTGTGCTTGGTTTTTGGGACTACTGTGGGTTATGGGGTGGAGCTTTGCGGTAACATTTTATTTTCAAAAAATATATGAAATTCAAAATTCAGAATTTTTAATTTTCTCATATTCCAGAAAAGTTTCATATTCATTTTTTTCAGCTCTAATGTTCAAATTTTTGATCTAGTAAAAAAGTTCTTTAAAGGGGTTGTCTTTCCACAAGGCAAGATCACAACATGTCAAAAAGCAATCGGTGAGGGTGAAAGAGGGAGAAAAGATATTGAAATCCCGCGTGATTTACAGAAATTTAAGTTTGTGGGTCTAGGATTTGTGGAATCTAGAAATAAGCTTCAGCATGATTTTTGAGAATTCATTTTTGAACTTTCTTTGCGAATAAAAGTCATCCTCAATTTTTTTCGAAGCAAAATATGTTGACCAAAAGCCATTTCAAAAATTATGGATTTTCAGACCCACAATTTTCAATGTACCTTTGATCTATTTTTCTCTAAGTCTCCTTCACTCTCACCGATTGCCATTTTTCATTGGGCTGACATGGTGTGAGATATGCTAAATTGCTTGGGCTAAGGTGCTTCTTAAACGTTCTGTCTTCAGAAAACTTTCTTGATCCGCGAATACGGATTTTTTGGTGAAAAACACAAGCCGCTAAAACCTTAAAACTAGGACAGAAAGTGCGCTCTATCGCACACATTATTTGTTTGTGTGTACTTCTCTCGGAGTTCAGACCCAAACATTTATTAATTGTAAGTCATTTGGGGTGTTCCAAGTCAAGTTAATGCTAGTTTATAGTTAGTTGAAAATAGTGACGGACAATTGCGGACTTGCTTTCTCACGTAGAAAGACAACGCCTTTAAAATTCTCAGTCATCGATCAACTCACAATCACCGATGAAAGTTCAGCATCTTCTTTTTTTGTTCTTAATTTCATCTCTGAATCTATCATTGTCCAGACCAAAAAAAGGCTCAACCGGTTTTCGATATCTTCGTCTTCTTTTTATCTTTCTCTTTTTCCTCTCCAAAAAGATCGGAAACGTACAATTTATCTGATATAGTTTGATCTCAAACACCGTGCATAAATTGATTGCGAATCGGGTTTAAAATGAAATGGGTGATACAAAACACAACACACAGAACGTGATTTCTGCAATGGGAAACATATTGATTCGCCTCGGAGAAAAAGTAGCAAGTCTGGCGACAAAAATAGACTTTTAGCCAGCTTGCGACCATTTTAGCAAGCTTGCTACATTTTTTCCCATTATAAAAATTGTAGCAAGCTTGCTAAAAATGGTCGCAAGCTGGCTAAAAGTCTATTTTTGTCGCCAGACTTGCTACTTTTTTCCCGAGGATCGATTAGCGTACGGTATGAGAATATTTCTTGTATATACTTTTACGCCAAAATGATGCAAAATTCGGAGATTTTTCTAGAAATGTTTTTTTGAAAAAAAACGCACCGCGGGTATAGGGGGAAATCAGAGATTATCGCAAATTGAAAATGTTTTTTCACGGGGTGACTCTCTTTTCAAACGGCCAATAAGCGTTTGTATTTTTCAGTTTCCTAATTTCATAGTTTTTAACACTTCAAAACTACAGCATTCTCTACATTAACTTAAACAAAACATATTTTCTAATTTATTTGGCAGAAAAACATGTGATTTTTTGAACTACGGTAATTTAAAACCTTATTCATTTCAAAACCTATAACATTGAAATTTATACTACAGTAGTCTTTCTAGATTCAAGTTCAAAATACAACATCTACAGTACATTGTATCTGAAGATATTGATAAAAAATTGTCTGCTTCAAAAATCTCAAGACCATCCAAAATTACTCTTAAAACAAGTTTTTTTTTGCAAAATATCCAAATCAAAAAACAAATCAAATCAAATTCGCCGAAAAAAAATAGCTCCTTGATCTGATTGTCTCAATTTTGCTAATTATCGGAAATGTTAGAGCGAGAGATGACAATTGGGAGAAGAGACGAGGAGAAGATGAGAGAAAAGTTCGCCGAATTGACAGATTAGAGATTTGACAATTGAGAAGAGACACAGATAAAGAGAGATGAAAATGAGTTTAATTCAAATTAGAGATTGAAGAAGATCTATTTATTGTCAAATGACTGACAATTAACCCGAAAAATAGTATATAAATACAATTTTTGAATGACAAAGTTTCATTTGAAAATCTTTTGGAGATAAATACTATTTTGTAACTTGATACTATCATCTTATATTGGTCTACAAAAATTTGAGGAGGTTGGTGTTTTTCTGATCAATGAGATATAGTTTATACTAGGGGCTGTTAGCCCCCAGGCGTAACAGTCTTCTCATTTATTTCAGTTTCACTTTTTCTGTGGGAAATTGACTTACAACTGTATTCATAAAAAATTTTGAAATTTTTGATCAAAAAATGACGCGTGGCAAAATCAGGAAGGCTTCCTAATTTTGCCATGGATGAAGTCATCGATAAATTTTTGAAAAAAAAAACTGTTTAATTATTTTTTTGAATTAAATGTATTTGTAAGATGTTAAACAAACGAATTACAATTGAATTTATAAAAAATTTTGAAATTTTTGATCAAAAAATGACTCGTGGCAAAATCAGGAAGGCTTCCTAATTTTGCCATGGATGAAGTCATCGATAAATTTTTACTCAATAAATACTTAACAAATGAATTTCAATCAATTTAAGCTTAAAATCTTGAAATTTGTCTCTATAATGATGGATTTGTGAAGCTTCCATGTAAAAATGAAGTCGATGAGTTTTTTTCAAAAATCTCGGGCCGATTTTTTTTTCAAAAATCTCGGGCCGATTTTTTTTTCAAAAATCTCGGGCCGATTTTTTTTTCAAAAATCTCGGGCCGATTTTTTTTTGAAAAATCTCGGGCCGATTTTTTTTCAAAAATCTCGGGCCGATTTTTTTTCAAAAATCTCGGGCCGATTTTTTTTCAAAAAATCTCGGGCCGATTTTTTTTTCAAAAATCTCGGGCCGATTTTTTTTTGAAAAATCTCGGGCCGATTTTTTTTTCAAAAATCTCGGGCCGATTTTTTTTCAAAAATCTCGGGCCGATTTTTTTTTCAAAAATCTCGGGCCGATTTTTTTTTCAAAAATCTCGGGCCGATTTTTTTTTCAAAAATCTCGGGCCGATTTTTTTTTCAAAAATCTCGGGCCGATTTTTTTTTCAAAAATCTCGGGCCGATTTTTTTTTCAAAAATCTCGGGCCGATTTTTTTTTCAAAAATCTCGGGCCGATTTTTTTTTTCAAAAATCTCGGGCCGATTTTTTTTTCAAAAATCTCGGGCCGATTTTTTTTTCAAAAATCTCGGGCCGATTTTTTTTTCAAAAATCTCGGGCCGATTTTTTTTCAAAAATCTCGGGCCGATTTTTTTTTCAAAAATCTCGGGCCGATTTTTTTTTCAAAAATCTCGGGCCGATTTTTTTTTCAAAAATCTCGGGCCGATTTTTTTTTCAAAAATCTCGGGCCGATTTTTTTTTCAAAAATCTCGGGCCGATTTTTTTTTCAAAAATCTCGGGCCGATTTTTTTTTCAAAAATCTCGGGCCGATTTTTTTTCAAAAATCTCGGGCCGATTTTTTTTCAAAAATCTCGGGCCGATTTTTTTTTGAGACCTGAGTAAGAAGTTACAGATTTGGATTAATCCAAAAATGTAAAAATAAAGTCGATGAGTTTTTTTCAAAAATCTTACAAATGAATTACAATTGATTTCATCAAAAATTTCAAATTTTTTGATCGAAAAATGACTCGTGGCAAAATTAGGAAAATTTCCTATTTTGCCATGGAAAATCATTTTTCTGTATTGAAAGTACTCGATAGGGGCTGTTAGCCCCCAGGCGGGGCAATATTTGATCAAAAAATAGAATGTTCTTTAGACAGTATTCAATAAATGCTCACTAAAATTTTTTCTGACAATAATTTTTTTCTGAAAAAAGACTATTTTTCTCACGTCAAAATTTTTCTTTGAGCATTTTTAAGCAAATTGATGGTCATTTCTTATGTCAGAAATGGTCAAGTGGTTAGATCACGTGTTTTTTGTTCAGAAGGTCCAGGATCGGATCCTTTTGGACGTTCGCGAAGGTATGATTTTCGGAAAAAATGGGAAATGTCGCAATTGCGACATTTCAAAAAAGAGAACAGGGGGGACCCCATTGAAAAAGCCTGCTTCCATCGAGACACCACCCAATCGGGATTTTATTAAAAAGGTAGATATATAAAAAATGAATGTGTTGGTTTTAAAATAAATGTTTGAAGTTCTGAAAAGAACACATGTTAAGATTAACAACTTATTGAGACATAGCTAGATGTTCAGATGTTTTTTAAGTCCCAGACAGTTCAAATAAAAACGTCCATTTTTAGGTACAACTTAGGGATGCCTAATTTAAAACGCATTAGGAATTTAACCATCTATTAGTTTCATATTTTGAATAAAATCCACTAACAAAATTGAAGCAATGAAATCCGATATTGTAAAATTAGGCACCTTTGTTGAATTGATCAAAATCATGATTATCATCAAAAACTGTATTCGATTTTCATCTTTTTCATAAGACTCTCGATTTTATTTGCAGTGATCTTTGAAAAATCTATCTTTAGATTTTGAAGCAGGTTTTTTGATCTACAGTATTCTAGATTTTTTCAGTTGGTCATGATCTTTTAACATCTCTATACTCTCTTATTTTCAAACATTCTCTGGTATATTTGTAGGAAACATAAATGGAAATCGAAAAATCAAAAGAAAAGGAATGTTTGGTTTGTCGAAAAACATCGAATGGAATGCATTTTGGAGCAATTTCATGTCGAGCGTGTGCTGCTTTTTTTCGGTGAGTTATTTCTGAAAACAATTTAGGCTAAGTCATACTTTCAGAAGAGCTACAGTATTGAACATTCAATATGAATGTAAAAAAGGAGATATGGATTGTAATATTGAGGGAAGAGGAAGATTTGTATGTAGATATTGCCGATTTTTGAAATGTCAACAAATTGGAATGAAACCTGATAGTTTGTGTATATCTTTCTTTCTGAAATTAAATTCAGTTTTGTTTCAGAAGTTCAATTAGATTATGATCCAACTTATTCAATAAAAGGGTTACTCAATGATGATTCTGGGAGTGAAGGTTCAAGAACAAATTCACCAAGTTGTTCAAAATCTGAAGAAGAAAGTGAGGATTCTGAAGATCAAAAATATAAAACAAAGATCAATCCAGATTTTTTGTTCAATTTTTCACCAAAACCTTCAAATAAGCCAATGGCAAAAATTGATTTTTCGGATTTATCACAAAAAATCGAATATTTATTTGATTGCAAAACAGAAGAAACTGAAAAAGATGATCTGGAAATATTAACAAATTCAATTTCGGATATTCCGAAAAATCCACAAATTCAAGAGATTCATCAAATGGAAATATTTGATATAATACATTTATTAAAAAATGAAACAATTTGGAAATGGGCAAAATGGATGAATTCAAGTCAATTATTGAAAACAATTGAAAAACAACAAAAAATGCAATTATTTCGAAATTCTTGGAATATTCTACATATTTTCGAAAGATTATATATGACATCAAAGAATTCGAGTGAACTTTTAACTTCGAATGGAATTCTGATTTCTGATGAGTTGTTATGGATTTGTGGAAAAAGTTATTATAATATTTCAAGTATTTCAGAAATTACTAATCAATATTTTTCCACGTGAGTTTTTTTTAAATTTATAAGTTAATTAATCATATTTTTTTAGATTATTTAATCCATATCTGCAAAGATTTATTGATCTAATTGGTAAACAATTATATAAAATGCAATTAACAAATCATGAATTAACATTTTGTTTAATTCAATTATTAGGATATGATACAACTGATTTAACACAAAACACTATTGAAATAATCGAAAATTTGAAACATCAAATTGCTGATCAAATGCACAATTATTATTCGAATTATTCAGATTTGACTAATTATTCATATCGATTAATTAAATTGATAAACATTGTTAAAAGTATGAAGGTAAGTTATATTTTTCTCACAAAATCAAAAAATAATCAATGAATTCCAGAAAATTTCCATCGAAAAGAACAAAGTCAAAGAATTATTCTACATTTTCGACATTTTTCATGCCGATATTTCAGATCCTTATTTTTTCGATATTTTTTAATTTATTTTTAAAATTCATGTTATTGATTATTTTCTGGGATGTTTGTGCCATTTATTTTAAAAGGGAAAACGAGTTCTTATTAAATTATTTATTTTTTCAAATTTGAAAGTTCAAAAAATCTCATTTTCATTCTCAACAATCGAAATATGGCTGCAATAAAAATCGAAAACTTGAAGTGACTCAGGTTATTTTCAACAGTTTTTGCTCGCAGAATGAAATTGTGCAGAATTAGAAACGATTCCTAATTTTCTATCAGAGGAGGTTATCAAACAATTTTTGAAAAAAATACAAAAAAAACTTCATGCTTTTACACATAGAAAATCCAAATATTCAAATCAAAAATTACTAGAAGTTCTATTACCCGAAATAGTAAATTGTGACAAAGGAATTGTATAATTAGAATTCCAATCTCTTTCGAAAACTTGAGTTATATCATTTACAAGTTTTGATTTACTAGTAGAATCATTTGCTCGAACAATTATCCCGATTCCTGCTGTATATTGCCAATAATCTGATGACCAATTTGATGTTCCGATATACGCAGCCGATTCAGTAACAAAATATTTATTATGATAAACACGAGCATATGGAACAGCTCCATATTGAAGAGATGGAACTTCTACAAATCGAACTTCAATTGATCCTTTTTTGGTGCATGTATCTAGAAAAAAAATAATGTTTTCAAAACTTTATCAGTTCAAAACTCACTATTTTTATCATATGCATGACATGGTAAATTCTGTGAAATATCTTGCAGTGAATATAATATTCCATAAACATCTTTATATGTATGTGGCCACAAAGAAACCATAAATCTAACTTTGACCCCTCTTTCGAAAGCAGCTCTTCTCATTGCATTATCAAGTTCTGGTTTCCATTTATTCGCATTTTTCATATAAAGTGTTGATGGAGAATAATCCATTACAGCTAAATTCAAATATTCTTGTGCTTCATCAATATTTTTAATCATTGCGGTTAAATCATCTTCTCTTCCACATGATTGAAAACCTGGAGGACTTGCAGAAATATAAATAGCTTCGGTTTCTTTTTGAGTTGTCGAGTAGACACTTAAGGGTTTTTCATGATTCGCAGAAGCTGCCAAGTTATCGTCCCATTTTTGTGGAATTGTTGCTCCTGGTGCTCCCATCCGCCAATAAATTTCCAAAAGATTTTTCAAATCTTCACCAACACAAGGGCAATTAAAAACTGCTAATCCCAATTCCTTAACCTGAGTCATTGATCGCCAATCAAAATTTGTTGATCCAATATACAAATGTTTTCCATCAACAGACCATGATTTGGTGTGAAGAATTCCTCCAGGATACCAGTTTGTAAATTTCAAACTTCTCACAGATATTTTACCATTCGAAAGATTTGTCAGATTTTGAGTTTCCGCTGATCCATCTTCATCATAGTTCTGTGCAATTCTAATTGATACTCCTTTTTTTGTTGCTGTCTCCAATATTTTATTATATATTTTCTCACCATCTCCACTCGTATTTGTTGTATCTACAGTATAATCTGGTTCAGTATCTTTTGCTAATAAACTCCAATAATAACTTCCCATTATAATTTCTTCTTGTGCAACATCCATTAATCTCATCCAACAATCTGTGGTAGAATTGAAATTTGGATATTTTGAATCGAATTGTAGACCAACTGGAATCGACTCACAGATCACAAATCTAAAAATATGAAACTGTGTTCAACAAAACAAAGAACAAGAATATTTGAAGCGGAAAAATGACTTACTCACACGTGTCACCACATTTCGGAGCATCCGACATTTCACAAGTTTCATCTTCTGGTACATTATTGTTGTTATTATTGTTATTGTTATAAGCAGGCTGGACACCAGCAAAAAAAGCCTAAAAACTTGGTTTACCTTTTTTTAAGCAGTGGAATAAAAAATCAAAGATGGATTATTGAAAATCCAAAGTTTTTGGCTCGTGAATTGAACTCTTGAATTTGATTATTTTTCCAACAAAAATGAATAATTTTATAATTTTCGAAACAATTTGATAAAAACCTCTTACCGTTAACCAAATAGCAGATGTCAATAAAACAGCCACAACCAAAACCAAAGAATGACTCCAAATTGCAGGAGTACTAAACTTTGCCATATTTGTCTAAAAATTGGTAAAAAGTTCAACCAAAATACAGTGTTTGAAATGAAACTGATAAAAAACATTTATTTGCACTACTGATAAAACATTTTTGAAATATGGGCAAAAAGTATATAAGTTGCGGATTATGAACTTTTTCTTTTTCAATGACTAAAGAAATTTCTGTACGATGATTCTTCGAAATTTTCCTCGGCCGCTTCAACTTCTTGACTCGGTTTATGTGCTTGAGATGATTGAGAAACTGTTGAGGCTGGTGTTGGGAATGGTTCAGGAACATCAACTTCTTCTGGATATGAAGCAGGTGCAGCTCCAGATTCTCCGTTTATCGATTCAGGATGCTAAAATTTTGAATGACAGCATTATTTTTTCCATGAAATGTGCACGTTTTCTTGTAATCAGGGGAAATAAAAATTGTTTATCAAGGAATACATGCACGTGGGCAACAAAAAATGTGTTTTTGATTTTTGAACTGATGTTGCAGTTTTGTTGCTTTTTTTTTAAATAACCTTTTTTTTCAAAGAACTTTGGAGCCTATTTTTCAGCGAAATGTTTATCAACATACCTGGGCATTAATTCCAATCTGACTTAAAATCGTATTAACTCCACAATCTGATGGACAATATGTTGCAGGAAGACCAGGTTCACCTGGTGCTCCAATACCTCCTTGCTCTCCAAACGCACCAAATTTACCAGTTGCCCCGATTGCTCCTTGTCCTCCAGCACGTCCTGGTGGACCACGAATATTTGATGATCTTCCATTTGTTCCAGGTGGTCCTTTTGGTCCTTGTGGCCCAGCCAAACCTGGAGGTCCCTTGATTCCTTCTCCAGCAACAATTGTGTCACCTGGTGGGCCTTTCAGTCCGTTTGCACCTGGTGTTCCAGCAGCTCCACGAGCCCCCGGTGCACCATGTCCTCCAGCTTGTCCCGGTCGACCAGATTGTCCAGACGGTCCTTTATGTCCTTGTGGCCCATTCAAACCACGTTCTCCTTGAGCTCCCCGAGGCCCTTGTGGCCCGGCTGGACAAATTGAACAAGGAAGTTCTTCTTGTGGTTCGAGTTCAACATCTGTGCCATCAAATCCTGGCGCACCCGGTTTTCCTGGAAGTCCTGGTTGTCCATCATTACCCGGAGCACCTTCGTGACCAATTGAACCTTGTGGGCAATGAAGACGGGTACATTCTATAAAAAACAGGTTATATTTTCAAAGTATTGTCTTGATAATACAAACTTACGACTGCATTGATGAAGAGTTCCTTTTTTTCAAAATATCCTCAACAGTTTGTCTCGGAACTCTTGTTTTTCTTCCAGTCTCAATTAACTCTCCCCAAATAACTTGACTCTTTGCTTTGAATGCCGCTTGTCGAACCACAATTTCTTCCTCAATCTCAGCAATATTCGATTGAATGTGAACAAAACTTGCAACACCAATCAAAATTGTCAAAATTGATGTGATTGAAATACATATTCCAGCAAGTCGAAAATAATCCAAACGATAAACACCCATATTCTTGAGAGGAAAATGGGGGAAAATAATGAATATTTAGGTCATTTAATTTCAGGTCAAAGGGGGCGGACAATTGACGGAGATAACATCTTTGCGGAATATTTTGTATAGTGATATGTAAATGGGATGAATGGGAGAGGGGTTGAATATATCATAAACCGAGCGAGGGGATTACTAGTCTGAAAATGAAAACAAAAAGGAATCAGGCCATCCTTGACTTTCACGAGAAAATATCTGAAACTCACAACTCAACCAAGTTTTTATTCTCAAAATGTGTGCTTCTTGATAATTACTCCGCTTCTTGATAATCAAAATTTTACCCTGAAATTCAAACCCAGTCCAATTCCTTCGATCCTACTCAATAATATTCCACTTTTGTTATAAATAAAGCAATCTGGTTACTGTAGTCATTTATTATTCCCATAAAAAACTCCATTAATCATTCAAATTGTTGCAAACTTCCCATCTTCTTCTTCGTTTTCCATTCAACAAAAACAAAAAACAATAACTCTCCGCCCCGAAAAACTAGAAGTACAAAAGAGGGTGAATTGCGCAATCCGCTTCATCAATTTTCCCACAGTCATTCAATCAATCGCGTTTCTCAAAATTAGTCAAAACCCGTCAACAAGTTTCCCTTCTCCTTCTTCTACAGCAAATTGGCTTGGCGCGCCTCAATTCGAGACCAGATCAAATCGTCCGAAGCCAAATAATAATAAAACTACGAATAGATTTAATAATGGTCATTTTTGGATGTGTGAGAGAAAGATGATGATCCAAATAACTAGATATTCTCATTTTCCATACGCGGTTTTTTTGGTTTCTGTTTCTGTTTCTGTTTGTGTGAACTATTTGAGTGTTTACTTTCAATGTACTTCTGGTTACTAGTTTGTTTTAGCCTTTTTTGGAACTTCCCTCCCTGTAATCTAATTCATTCATGGAATATTTTCTTTCAGAACAGTATGCAGGTCAGGGTAATTCAATGTTTCTCAATTTTCATATTTATTCAAACTAATCAGGGATTCTTCTTCCCAATGTTAGGTGGAGGTATGTTCCAGAAAATGTGTTGTAACTTTTCTATGAAAAATTTCTAGCATCAAATTGTCAATGTCAAATGTCGTGCAATTCCCCGCCACCACCAATGGGTTGTTTTTGTCCAATGAGAATGGCTGGTTGTAGTTCCGCAATTCCAGCAGCTCCAGTTCAACAGGTTTATGCACCGGCGGTTTATCAACGTTAGTTTTTGATTCAGGGGGATAAATGTGTACGTGAAATCATTTTCGTGCACTTTTTAATAATTAATTTTCCAGTCATCTCAACATTAAAATGATATGAGAGACTGACATTTGTGAATAATGTTGATGCATTGAACTTTTCTGTGGAACTCATTTTCCGAAACTTTGCTTTTTTGAAATAAAGAATCTATTTTCCAAAATCATGAAGAACGTTTCATACATTTCTACTTGAAACAATTCCAATCCTTCTTCCAATTTTAACATTCCAGAACCTCAAATTTCACAGTACCCAAGTTATGTGGCAGTTCCGTCGCAACCTCCACCAATTATTCAACAACCACAGAGAGTTGAACAACAACAGTTACCTCTACTGCCACCTCCTCCTCCTCCTGGACCTTTGGGTTATGGATCGTAAGTGTGAAAAATGTTTTATTCTTCCTTGTTTCTATTTCATAATTATCCCACATAACGGCAATTTTATAATTATTGAGAAGATCAAACTACATATTTTCAGCCAACAACAATATGTTCAATCACTTGCTCAAACTCAACAACAGGTGAATCTTCAACCTCCAACAGCTCTTCAAAATGAATATATGACTCAACTTTTAAAAGTTTTCGAATCATCAACAGCCACAACAACAAAAGTAAGTTCTACATCAAACTAAGCCAAAAAAAAGTTGTTTTGTCCCATATATTGTATATACCGTATGTAATTAATAATAGTGTCCAATTAAGCGCAACTAATTATTTTCCTCCCTTTTTCAATCTCTATATTTCTCGTTCATTGCAGGAATACGAACCGGTTAATGCAGCAAGGCCTTTGGCTACTACTACAAGCAAACCGATTAATTATAGACCGCAACCCTTGGCGGGAAAAGAGATACGAACCACAGAAATCAAGGTTTGACAATAATTTTTTATTTTGTTTGGAACAAAAAAATCAAAAAAGTTTTGCCCTCACGCAGGATTGAACTACGGACCTTTGGTTTACAAGACCAACGCTCTGCCACTGAGCTATAAGGGCGGACGTTTTTCGCTGATAAAAAATCGCTTATCAATTCGTTTTTCTTTCAGTTGATACAACACCCATATGATGAAAATTCGTCTAATTTGAACGTGCAAAGAATTCCAAGTACAACAACAACGCAAAGAGCACAAGTTGAGCCAAGTTTATATAGTCATGAAGCTCGTAAGTAATGAGAGGTGAAGGGTCCTTAAAATCATTGATTGATTCAGAACGAGGAGAAGGTCCAACTACAACAGAGATAAATGAATCGGGATATGATTATACTGGAACATCTTCTAGCCTATCGCCAATAACTCTTGAATATCTTCAAACTGTTCCAAGAGCACCGGAAACCGAAGTTGATGTATTTACCAAAGATGTTGATAAATATCATAGTAAGAAATTCCTTAAAATATTTATATTATTTAAAAATTATCGAAAATTTTTCAGAAAACAGTGTTACAGTACCCCTACCAACATCTACATCATACGGTGCTACAGTAGCTCCACCAACAGCTAATCACGCATCAGGTTATGCAAGAGATCCAAGACATTTAGAAGAAGAAGAAAGAGCAAATTCAGAAAATGAAATTTATGATGAGTTGACTAGAGAGGAGTTTGAGAATGGCAGTGAAAATAATTCTGAATCAGAAGTCGAGAAACCTTTGAAAATTAAACCAAAAGATCAAACGATTTCAAAATGTAATAATGCAAAATTGAAAGAGGCAATGCACAAGGTTTGATTAATTTTTTGCTGAAAATCATTACAATACCGCTTTGTTTTCAGAAAATGACTTTGTCTCCTGCAATTTCAAAACAAATGATTTATTCAGCAGCTGCTGATATGTTCCCAGGTCAAACTGTCAATGTTATTTGCTCCAAACATAGTTTCTCATATATTGTTGTAACTTCTCCAGTTTTCTGTGAACATCGAAAACGTCCACTGACATGTTTTGCATTTTTCCAACCGTAGACATTTTTTTTGGAAATTCATTTATTTATAAACTTCGGGTAAAAATAAATTTTTTCATAATATTTGTATGTTTTTTTCGAGAGAAGTCATGAATGAGGTAACCGTTTAAAGTTGGAATGATGAAAAAGTAGAACAAAATGAATTATTTGGTAAATATTATACCGTTGTAACAAGTGAAGTATCAGTTGAATAAATTGTATTATTATCAACACTTCGAGATGATGTACTGCTTCCTCCACTACAATTCAAAAGTTGACTGTATTCCAAAAGACGTGGATCCAATGAAAGCTAAAAAAATGAAAAAAAAAAACAAAACAAAACTCTTAATCTCTTATCGTTTTGAAGTACTTTGTCTAGTTAGAGTAAATATATCAACTCACTTTGCGATCAACGATGAACTTTGTGGTATCTATATATCGAGGATCAACTGATAGTCTACGAAGATTATGTTCAGGTTTTCGAGCAAAAATTGAACATTTCGTAATATCAAAACAGCAGATACAAATACATAAAAGTAGACTTAATATAGCGAATCCGAGAAATACAACCAAACCAATTGGATATTGACAATTACATGAATTTTCAGCTGATTTAGCAATATATGGAGCAATTGTTGACATCAACATACTCATCTTCAATGTGCTGCAAAAAAACACAAACTTGGTTAATGAGGGCACTTGTCGCACGCTTTTTGAAAAAAAGAACGAAACAACGAGTATTTATAAACATTTTGGTTGAGGATGAAGAAAAAGAAAAATAAACTTTGTGACGTAATGAGGGTCCCGGGATTAAACAGCAAAAAAAAACATTGTCCAAAGTTTAGTTTTTCTGGCCAAACAATATTGCTAGTGTTCGAATTTGTTGGGAATGAAAGCGTGAATAATTGACGAATTTCATAATAAACATGTTTCATAAGAACTTTTAGCAAATCTGACATGTTTTCTCACACGGAGATTTTTTGATGAGAACTTCAAAATAATAACAATGTTAATTGTAAGAAATCGAAGAACAACATTTTTTCAGAACTGAAAAAATATATTACAGAACTAAAAATGAAATGAAGAATATGTACCCAAACTGTTTAGTAACATAAATTTTACAAAAATCACAATCAAAAATAGAAAATGTGAAGCACGAGTGCGCGAAACTAAACAAATGATCAGGAAAGACTAGCTCTCGTTATCCCTCTTGTAGATCGATACTATTTGCGGATTAGATAGATAGGAAAAGAAAAAATGATATTATATAAATTGTGATATCATTTTAATTTGGTTTGAGGGTTTGGTACTTGATCGGCACCTGACCGTCTAAACATCCGATGAATCATAAATAAATTGTTTGTAGTTACTGGAATGCGCATCGAATCTCTATAAAACAAAAGCTTTGATACATCCTCCTGGTAGTTCAAAAACATTTTCTTGAAACTTTTTTTCGTTCTTCCAGTTCCACCGCCAAGAGTTTTCCAGATTTTGATAAATATGGAAAAATTCTGAATATTAAATGTACTTTACACTTTTCAAATTAGCAAGGCACGAATAATGTGTTCTCTATAATTTGATCATGGTTTTCTCTCATGATTTGTGCTCATAAGTAGAAGACAATGTGAGTATCAGGAGCTTTAACGAATATCGAAAAAAACAGAAAAAAGAAATAGCGCTCAGCATATGGTTTATGTTATCATCAAGATTGTTATGCCCCGAAAGATGGTAAATATTCATCGCGCCTCGCATGGGATACGAACCCGCGACTCGAAAACGTCGCCATTGCAACGAGACCACTAGGCCGTGCATGCAGTGGTGAAGAAATGAGAAAATGACAGAGAAAAGATGCGGTGAGGAAAAAAAAAGAGAGAGAGATAGGTTTTTCTTGTGTGTTGTTTTATTTTTAGTGTTTGAATAGCTGATTTTTTGTTGAGTTTAAACTTTGAAATTCCACTTGTATTATTTGTTAGATTCGAAAAATTTTTCAGAAATTTCAAGATTTTATTTCATCAGAAAAATTGAAAATGTTCCATCTTTGTACTTGTCAAAATAACAGAAACTCTTATTGAGAAAAAAGACAAACTTCCAAATATAAAAATAATCGAATATAAAAATAAACTGGATTTCACGTCGATTACGTTTTTAGGAATATGAAGCTTTAAATATAATGTATTGTGTTTTCTACAGTAATCCAATTCTCATCTCGAGATGTTTTTTCTGACTATGTTAAATTCCTGCGTCAGATAGAATTTGCTAGAATATAATTTTTCTACAGAATTGAGATTTGCTATAAAACAAAGTGTAGTTCGTACTTTCTTTTTGCAACACTTTTAAGCTCTTTTTTCGATAGCTGATAAAAATGTCTGCACATGTACATCACGATCAAAGCATTTGAAAATCAAAGAATACTTTGTATTATTTTTCATTACTTTTGTTTGACACGTTGTACGACACACTTTCTATAAACATTTTATTTTGGAATAGTTTGATCAAACAAACAGTTCGCCTCTTTCTCTCTCTCTCTCTCTCTCTCTCTCTCTCTCTTTTTCTTTTTTTTTTCAACACATATAACATTTATTCACTCTCAATAACTTTCTGTTTCTTTGATGCCAAATAACGACAAAACATACTCTTCTCTAATGTCATTTTCCTTCATCTTATCAATTTTTGATCTTTTTCTCCCCTATCAATTCATCATAGGGTTTTTGAAAATATTTATCGATTTTTTCATGTTAATATGAGTTTTGTTCTTTGCAGGATAGTAACATGATACTTTTCTACTTATGGTTAATATTTATGAGTTGTGCCGATTCAGGATTATTTTATATTATTGGGAAATTGTCATATTTTGCATCATTATCAGATACAATCGTTAACATTTTCTAGTATATATAAAAAATATCATGGGGTTTCTTTTTCATCTCATTGGTCTTTTTTCTCTTCAAAAATCGTAGTTTCTTATCTATTTTTGATCTTTTTTCATAGAAAAATGTGTAAAACTACGTCGACATCATCGACAAACTCATCAACATCTTCAACGTGTTCAGAGCTAAGTCCTGTGAATCACATTGAGAATACGAAATGTTTGGTTTGCTCAATGCCAGCAAAAGGAAATCATTTTGGTGTTTTTTCGTGTAGAGCGTGTGCCGCTTTTTTCAGGTATGTCATTTTTTAGATCCACCTTCCGGAATGAAATTTAGAAATTTAATTTCAGACGTTCTTATGTCCAGAAAAAAGAATATAAATGTAGATTGAAATCTGGAAATTGTGATGTGAGTGGAAATGATCGATATCAGTGTCGCGCTTGTCGACTTCAAAAATGTAAAGATCTTGGAATGACCCCGGATAATGTTCAATTTGAAGAATCTACATATGTTCATGACCCAATGAGTTATGTCCAATCTCACGAAACACCGTTTTCTCCGATGTATCGATCTTTAAGACAACCAAAGATATACATTGATGTGTCTCCAGCAATCAATAAAGTCAAAACTGTTCTCGCCTCATCTTCAGTTCCTCCAATTTTACATCCTGATTATTTTGGAATGGATGTTTTACATCGAATGCAATTTGCATTATGGAATTATCGAGCACATCGAAAATATGGAGATTTGAAGTTTGAGAGAAGTATTGTTTTTGAATTGCCAAATAAAAAATGGGAGAAAGAACTTGTTCGAGTTGCTGATTGGATGTGTCATTCGGATCAATATCGAGCATTGTCATTAGAGCAAAAAATGTTGATCTTTAGAAAAGTTTATGTGAGATGGAGAAAGTTTGAGAAATGGCTTATTTCTGTGGACACTTTTGGAGCAAGAGTTCATAAAGATCGAGTTATTGTATGTGTTAATTGCAACGCCGCTTCATTAGATTATGTACATTTTGATTATTCGCAAATCTCTGATAGAACTACAGAAGAATTAAGAAGGTAATTATCATAGCCTTTTTCATTTCTCAATTCCCAAATTAATTTATTCTAGTGTGTTTGGTCGAATTCTCAATCGAATGTTGCAAGAAGTTGCAAAACCAATGGCAGAAGTTCATCCATCTCCAATTGAAATGACATATATGTTATGTCAACTTGTTTGGAATGGATTAGAATCTGAGATTCCTGATTATCCAACTGATTACGGTGATTCATTTTTGAATGAACTTTCGAATTGTCTTCATGCGTATTATGCTGAACAGGGAATTTCAAACTATGTTCATCGTCTTCAAAAAATGATGAAAATTGTGAACTCTGTAAGAGAAATTGAGCGGCAAAGAGAGGAAATGATGTTTTTATGTTCACTTTTTGATGTTTTCAAGATTCGTTTATCAGATCATGAATTCTTTTATTGTTAATAAAATATTGTTTAAATAGACTATTTGAAAAAAATAGTTCTAGTATTTCTTAGAGTAAAACTGGTTAGACCCATCTAATATATTTTAAAACCCACTAAACTGAATATCAAATAACAATTCAGATGGATGAACCTTCGTCTTCGTCGTCCACCCAAGGAGTGTGCAAAGTATGTGCTTTGACTGCTCACGGATTACATTTTGGAGTTTTGTCTTGTCGAGCTTGTGCTGCTTTTTTTCGAAGAACAATTGTGATGAAAAGAGAGAAGAAATATCGATGTCGAGGTGGAAATGAAAAATGTGTTGTGGATACTGAAGAAAGATATCAATGTAGATTTTGCCGATATCAGAAGTGTGTTGCTCTTGGAATGACTGCAGAAAGTTAGTTGAAAATTTTTAAGTTATTGAAATTAATCGTATTTTAGATGTTCAATGGAATCGTGATTCGATTCCTTCAACGAGAAAAACAAAAAAGAAATCACAAGAAGAAATCCCATCTCTAATTGAAGAAAAAACTGTAACATCAACGGTCAGTCTAAAACCGAAAACAATAATGGATGTTACAATTTTAACAAAACGAGTCAAAGAATTCATCAATATACCCGAATGTCCAAGTTCCGATGATGTATACAAATCTATGAATACTCTACAAAAAATGGAATTTGCTTTGGGTATTTGGAGAGAAAAACAGAAACCAGAAAAAGAAATGGAAGTATTGAAACAAGCTACGCTGAGAGAAATTATGGTTATTTTTGAACAGCAAATGATGGTTGTTGCTCTCTGGTTGGTACATTTTGATAAATTCAGAGAGCTAAGCGAGGATAACAAATATAAGTTCTTTAAAATTGTTTGGAATGTTTGGAGACGTTTTGAAAGATATGAAATGTCAGTGAGGTTATTTGGTGATCGAGTAGCCAGTGAAGGAGTGAGTCAAACAGTTTTCAGCAATAATTGAATAATTTTTTTAGATGTTTGCATTTTCACATATGCACATAGCAAATTCCAAAGAATTTGCGATAGATTTCAGTAAAGTCAGTGATTTTTCAAATGAACGAATCAAACGTATGTTTCACGATTCCATATTTCGATTGGCCAATTTTGTTGCAAAACCATTAAAAGACCTCAAACCATCAACAACTGAGGTTGTATATATGTTATCACAATCTTGTTGGTATATTGCGGGTAAAACATTAGGCGGAGAAGTTGGAGAAAAAGCAGAACTTGTTCGGGATGAACTCGCAAACAATTTGCATCAATATTATATCGAAGTCGAAAAACGACCGAACTACGCTGAAAGATTAGTGAGAATGATGGGAATTGTTAATACAGTGGCCAAAATTCATATGGAGAGGAAGACAACGATGGAACTTGCGAGAATTTTTGATGTTTTCAAAGTCGATTTTTCTGAACCAGATATATTTGATTCTTAATAATATTAAACATGCATTTTAATATAAACATTTATTATTTCAAGTTTCACAGAATTTAGAAAGTCATCGAAAGTGCAAAACCAACACGTTTTTTACCGATATCGTGCACATTACAATATTGTCTCATAAATGGTCCACCAAGAATCCACGATGGTCCAAAACCAGCATAAGATTGTGGAATAACAGCAAAGAGACATTGATTATTGCCGATGTTCATAATGTAGTTACTAGCTCTGATAACGTAATTGAAGTTTCCGATTTTTAATTTGATCGGTCCTGCATCAGCATTACAATCAATATTAAAAACTTGATTCGAGTTATCCCACTGAAAAAAAGGTTTTTTTCGCAAATTTTTTGAATTTACCAACCGTAGCCCCGGCTGCTGCAGCTAAACTATCAACAGCAGCTTGTGGTCCACAAATGAATGAAGTAGCGGTGTCAGTAATTACTTCATAAGATGTTGTTGAAACATAAGATCCCAAAGAAAATCCAGATGCTTGGAATTGATAATGTCTAACATTTGTTAATGTGGCATACCCAATGACTGCACCACAATGAGTTGTGTCTAATGCACCATAAGTAAATGCACCTCCAGTTGCAGTTCCTGGTGTTCCCCGTTTATCAAACCATGTTGTAAAAATTGGTTGATCCAAAAGATTTTGGTTGATAGCGTTGATCAATGGTGGAGTAATATTATCAACTGCTAAAGCAGTGAATGCCAAACCAAAAACTCCTTCTTTCGGACTCCATTTGAAATCTGATCCAACAGTATCAGCAACTCCCAAATAAGAATTCGGAATAGCAAGTTGAGCTTCACCGGTGCCACCGATTTTCACAGTATCCATACCAAGAGTACCATATGCGTCTCCACTAGCATAATGAATTTCCCATGGACGATTAGTAGCAACATAGGTTGACGAAGCCTTCTCGTTAAATTTTCGCTTTGTTTCACAGTATGTTCTGTATAATTGAGCAGTTAAATTTTGAAATATTTTTCAAAAATTAAATAATAATAAATGTTTTCGATAAATAGAACTCACGTGCAATTTGTTCCCGGAATCAACAAATTAGCAGATCCTGTATCAAGAACAACAATGAAATTTTGATCCGGTGTTCCAACTGTAATATTTCCCATATATTCATAATAAACATAATCAGTTGTTGATTGAACAACAGTTGACAATTTCGATTGTCTTGCAAGATTCTCTTTGTATTCAAGATAAGCTGGATATTCTCCATTTCGAATCATTTCAATCATTCGAGATTCCCTCCATATTAATTTATGCTCGAGAACTGCAGCCGTCGAGAAAGAAAATAAAAGAAATAACAGTAACATTTCTTTGTTTCTTGAAAAAAAAATGAGTTATCAAACTAAACTCTTGATTTTTATCAGCTCAATTCATTATCGAAATTTGTCAATTACGCAACATCAGAAAATGATCTCTTTTATGAATTATTCAAACATGATAAGATTCAAGAACTGAACCTGGACTTTGATTTCTCGGGCTTGTTTGTCGTGTTGTATTTAAATCCGATGAATGAACGGCAATTTTTGGAGTGTGAGACAAAATCAAGAAAAAAACTGCCATGCTTGGAAATCCTAAGCCAGAGAATAATTTTTAGTGTTACAGAAAATTATTTCTGCGCAATTTTAAACTACTTTTAAAAAATTAACTGAAATTTTATTTGCATGAAGGAACTCAATTATCCGGGGTAATGCTTCTCGATTCCACTGTTTTTGGTTGTTCTTTCAAAATTGATTGACTGTGTTCTGTATTTTCACTAGTTAGCCAAAATGTTTCCATCACTCCTTTTCCTTTGATAATAACTTCACCTCTGGATTCAGTTTCAAATCCACCGACAACTTGAGTCAACATACGATTTGCTTCACCAGACAAATGAATTCTACCGGCTGAAAAACATTTCTAGAATTCAATAAATTCAGAACCTTACGTTTTCCATTGCTTTCCATTCGACTTGCAGTATTCACTGCATCTCCAAAAAGACAATATCTTGGCATTGTCAAACCAACAACACCTGCAACAACACTTCCACAATTGATTCCGATTCGAAGATTGATACGTTCAGATGGTAAATGAGGTATTCGGAAAAATTCGAGAGAACTTAGAAATCCTAGAGCCATTCTTGAAATATGTCGTATGTGATCATTTCCATTACGATGAGGAAGTCCAGAAACACAAAGATAACCATCACCAATTGTTTCAACCTACATAAAAATCCAAATTGATTTTTTAAGATCTCAAACACTCACCTTATACACGTCATTCTGCTCTATGATATTATCAAAAATTGTGTACAAATCATTCAAAAGAGTAACAACTTGAAATGGAGAACATTTAGCAGCGAGATTTGTGAATTTGACAACATCGGAAAAAAATATTGTGACTTGTTCAAAAGTTTCTGGTTCAACAGCTTGACCAAGTTTTAGTTTTTCGGCTACAGTTCTTGGTAACATTCGATAAAGCAAAACATCTGATTTCTTCTTCTCTTCAACTAATTCTTTTGTTCTTTCTGAAACTTCTTCTTCCAAAGTAGATGCATAAGTTTCGAGCATATTGAATACGTGATCCATTAGATTCGACTTTTTCCCATTGTTCATAGATTTCAATAACGATTTGATTTGTATAATTGTTGGTCTTTCAGAAGGCCTTTCAGTCCAACAATCTCGTACCAAATGTAATAATGCGGGATTCATTTCCATAGTTTCGTCAATATCCAAAGATGGTCTCATTGGATTCATTCCACCTTTTTTTACTTGATAAATAACTTCTTCTACTTTTTCTTTCCTATTTTCTATATCGAATGCCGATGTTCTTGTCATAAGCTCGGAACAAATAATAGCAAAACTGTAAATATCGGATTCTTGATTTGATTCCGCAAAATCACTCCGAAGTAATTCTGGAGCCATCCATAACATTTTTGATGACTTTTTATCATTTTCGAATCGTTTTATAAATTTCAAACCATAATCTGATACTTTAATCTGCCATCGATCATCAATTAAACAACATTGAGATGTCAAACAACCATGATGGTTCAAATGTGATCCGTGAATAAATCCAAGTGCATCTGCGATATCTCGAATAAGTGAAAAAATGAAGAAACTATCCATTTGCATCGAACTTTTCGCAATTACATCCGCAAGTGAACCTCTGAAACCCCCTTTTACTTTTTCATTTATAAAATTATATAAAAAACAAATGTGATGAGTGAGGCCACCACATTTTCCTTCTTACCTTGAACAGAATTTCCAAATTGATAATAATTGAGGTCCATCTAAACATAGGCCTATAAATCTGTTCAAATTAACATGATCTAATGATCGAAGTCTTCTTAGTTCGAATTTTTCTTCCACATTAAACTGAACTCTGATTTCATGTTTCATAGCAGCAACGGTTTCCAGCTACAATAAAAATTGTCCATTTTTCTCATTTATCTTTGAAAAAATCTACCTTGTAAGTATAAAATGCAAATCTTGTTGTCTCAACTCGACTTTCAACAGTAGCCTTCGTAGCTGTAGAAGGCCCACTCGCAAAAGATCTTTGACTGTAATCGGTATTCGATTTTTTCACTATTTTTTGCAATTCAACAAATGACACATGCCACATATGATCTTGTTTCTCTAATTCTTTTTTCCTTATCCAAAGAGTGTACAAAATTCCGAAAACAGCTGCTAAAATTGAGAGGAAAATTATCAGAGCCACAATAATTGTATAAACCAAATAATCTTGAATGAAATTCGTTGGACATTCATCGCCACTGAATCCACACAAAGGAACAGCAAGAGCTGGTGAATCACCTTCCCAAAAATCGTTGACACTTGCGTAATACGGTAGATATGTAGTACCAGATGATTCCACTGTTATTTTTGCATACGCTTGAGGAAGTTTTGTTTGATTTAAACACATTAAATAAATTTCACTCGTTCTTGATAAATCAGACCCAATAGTAACATCTCCACCACCAACACCAACAAATGTCATTCCAATATTATCAACAATCAAAGAACCATTGTTGAAACCGGCATCTGGATATCGAGCAAGAGTTTGATTCAAAGCTTTTGCATACGCATAAAAAGCATCCGCAAGTTGGCCAGCATAAGAAGAAACTGATTGAAAAGTCGAGTTCGCACAATCCGCAGTACAATTAAAAGGTGTATTTTTCATTTGTAGAATAACTTGTGAACTAAAATTTTTGAATTCATCAGTTACTTCCATCAACATTCCAGCGTTCTATAAAACACGAATAATATTTTTTTTAATTCTAATCACTTACATCTATCAAAAACCACACATTTTCAAACGCATCTCTTGCTTGATCAACAGTCCAATTACTTTGTATACCACTATTACCATCCCAAATATAATGCCATTCTCCTCCCAAATCATCAACTCGAAATCCTCGAGAATTGGTTTCAGCCATTATGTAAACATATTCGTTGTTGACTGCTTCTTCTAAATAAGCCGCTTGCATAAATGCCTTTTTCAAACCTTTGTTAGCAGCAAAACATGCTACAATTATTCTTCCACGTGTTTTTATAGATTGTATTGCTGTTCTCAATGAGCTCAAAGTTACTGTACCGATTTGATATAAATATGCAAGTTGCACATCGTTATAAACAGAAATAACAGTTTGCACATCATTTTTCAAACTCTCACATTTCTCTTCATCTCCGTCATTCGAATATACGAAAACAAATTGTGACCAACCAAACTGATTCATCAATTCATGAATTGATTCAGCAAGACTATAAGAATTTACTGAAAATGTAACTGTTGTAGGATATCTGTTTGTATCAGATAATTCTACAGCAGTAGTGAGGCCCCATACAAAAACAGGAATATTATAATAGGCACCAATGGCTGCAGTAGCTTGAGCTGCTGAAAAATTAGATTACTTCCAATGATAATTCATGTATTTACTTGATAACAACTCACGTCGATTACACGTTGGACCAAACAAAACATCAATATTGTTATTTTCAATCATTTCAACCATTTTTCCAGCGCCAAGAGATTCAGAACATTCGTCAAAAGCGTATGAATAGCTGAAAAACAGACAGAATTTATAAGCGGCTGGTAAAAATACATACTTGAATTTATAATTATCGAGAAGATGATCTTTACGAATTCGTTCTTCACCAATCAGTATAGCTGATGCTGATGTTCGATAACCAACAGCAACAAGATAATCAGTCAAATTCTGAAAACTTCGTTTGCAAAAAAGATGTATTGAAATAATAACAAACCTCAACGAACAACAGACCAACTTGGAGAGTATTCGTTTGACAAATAAATTTATCAATGAGAAAATTGCAAAAAATCCAAATCAGAATCATTTTTGGAAACGAATGAGTAACTTTGAGGAAAAACTTGAAGCCTAATCCCATATTTTGAGCTTTTTTATCATTCATTTTATTCGGATTGTAAGGCTTCCACCAACTTGTGCAAAGAATCCCAGTTCTTGTTTTTATTATCTTTTTTTGGAACTCTTACAAAATCAGAAAACCAAGAAGATATTTTTTGAGGACACATCTTTTGGAAGCATGATAAAAAACTTTTTGTGGAGAACCTAATTTTTTGAATAGAAAGAAAGAAAGAGGCCCAATCATTGTATTCAAATGTTCATTTTGAAAAACCCGTGAAATTCAATGTTGACAATTATTCGGACTCAAGAAAATCATGAAGTTTCTTACTGTCGTAGTTTTTGGTATTGTATTTATCAATAATATCGAAAATCTTGACAGGTTCAGGTTTTTCTGAAATCAAAAAAATGACATGATTAATAAAATTTGAAAACCAACCATAATTATTGTCTACACTTCGTTTTCCAATTCTCTTTCTTTCTTCTTCAAATTGATCATGTTCCACTTTAAATTTCATCAACTTCTCCGGTGACAATATTTGTGATAAATATTCATCCATACTTTCTTTTACCATTTCTTCATCAGCCCCAGAATTTCTAGCAGAAACAATAAGTTGATGTAATGTTTGCTGAATCAGACAGAATATTTCAAAACAAAAAATAAATAAAAATATTATCACCTGCTGTTCGTCACTTAAATATCTAGTCAGTGGAGACATTTTACACGGTGCTCCAATTGTTGAATCGTGGAATAAAATAAGAAAAACAAAAAAGTGAATCATTGGAAAATAAAAGTTGGAAAAATAAAGCTGACCAAACCAGATATTTGAAAAGCACTTTAGGCGGAAAAAGAGATAATTCAAAAAAGGATGGGCTCATAAGAGGTTTCGTGTTATGATGATGTTTGTTGTTTTCAAGGGTTGTGAGAAAAAAATGTTATGAACTTGTTGTATAGCGAAACAACAATTTTTAGCTTGTGAGAGTCAAACAAAGTTATATTTCAAAAAATGCGGGAAACTTAGAACACTGCGCGCAGCTGCGAGGCCTTTTTTTTAGAACACTGCGAGGCACTTTTGCAGACAGTAGGATTTGAACTTTTCAATTAATTCTATATCGAACATTTCCCACATTTAATTTTTTCCTGAATAAAGACATCCCTTGTTATAAGTTTCAAATGTTACCTTCGAAACAAACTGATCTCACTAATTGCAAATTAAAACCTATTTTTATAATATAAATTTTTGCAAAGATCCAAAAATCTAGTTATAACATTTGTTTTCTATTAAATATTTATCCATGTGATTACAAATCTATAAAAAACCATAAAACCCGATTTTTTTTAATCGAACTTTGTTTTCAAAACAAGATTGATCACGTTTTTTTCCAAAAAATTGAACCCTAAATGATCTACTAATTTTCTGGTTTGCAAATAAACACATTAAAAAATACATGAAGTTTCCTAGTTTTTTCATACATTTTTTGTTGAAGTAATTATCAAAATTGATATTCACATCAGATACAGATAAACAGGATCAGCATCCGTCATATTTTTGAGAAAGTTGTTTTTGTTTATAAAAATCGTGAAAAACCGAAAAAAATCAAAAGACGAAGTCGGCTAGACTCCAGATTACTATGTTCTTCCTTCGGTTTAGCTTTTAAAAATCTGGTAAGCTGATTTCCGAACTTTTCCAATCACGTAGATTTCTCAAGAGATCCAAGTTTCAGAGCACATGCGTAATTGTCGTTTTTAATTGGTTCTGGCGTAAATGATTTCTGTTAAGGGAGTTATGTATTTACCTCATGAAAATGACACATTACAGTATGCCTATGGTACAAACTTCAAAATATGCAGATAAAACCAGTGACGGCCGGATAAAATGGTGTTTTCTTGTTTTCAAAATTCAAAAACTCAAACATCAGATGCTGTTAGTCAGTTTTCGATGACTGTCACTGAAAATCATCATTTTAAAAATGTTTTTGCCGTCAATGAAATTTCATGATTTTTGAAATCATGACATTTTTTGAGTAAGCTACAATGAACCTTTAGAATGGCACGATGATTCTATAAATTTGAAATAGCTGTACAAGGTCAGCACACTCGGACAAAGTTCGAACGTTGAAATATCTTACGACCATATTACAACGATATAATTTCAATAATCATATTCACAGAATTCACGACTTTTCCTAGACTATTTTCTTATTGTGGGTGAGATTAGAATCCGATCGTTTTTGTTTTTTTTTTTGAGAAATCCACCCACAGGGATTAATCAAATGCGTATGTCGAAAAATGAATCAATCTATTCTTCACACTGAAGACTTCAGCTATATTTCTCGAAGAACTGATTGAGAATACCGATGACTGAGCTCCAATTTTAATCTGAACTTTTACTTCAATAAAAACACAGTGTCAAATAATATATTTTATTATTCAATGACAAGATGAAAAATAAATATGCTTTTCGAATATGTCAATGGGGATAGAAAAACAATAACAACAAGTAAATAAAATTAAGTTTGAGACCGGTCAAGTAAGTGTTTCAAATGTGACTTTTAATAAATACTAGACGAGATTCAATTTTGATGTGTGAGATCATTATCTGTAGTTAGTGTGGGCAAATGAAAAAAAGACAACAAGAGACGAATAAAGGACGTGGTTAATATATGTGACGACGTTAAATGTTGAAGAAAAATCCGAAACGAAGAGAAAAATATTCTCTAGAGAGTTGCCAATTTTGGTATCAGCTTCGAAAATAGATTAGATGTCGTAATAATATTAGAATTATTTTTTGTCATCGATGATTTTGAATTGAATAAATTTGATCTGATGTTGTGTGAAACTTTGGCTGATTTCACTGCTTGATTCATATCTGAAAATTGAATTAATGAAAATTTTGTTGGGAAATATAGATAGTTCAACTCACCAATTCTGTTCTCGATTGAATTTGACGAGAAAATCGAGCTTGATTCAACCAATTTAGGAACAGTCACACTGTGTCCAAACATTGGTGGAAGTTGATAAATTTGCGATTTATAGAAATCGGCATCAGTTGGAGGTAATGGAAACTCCGGAATCATTGTGTTTGTGTAAAAATTGGTGAAAGAGAGAGAACCAAAAAATGTTTTACAAATTTCTCCAAAAGCGATAGTTTTATATGATAAAAGGAAAAGGGGCGGAGTCATGAAAAAAACTACGAACGCCCCTTTTTTGTGTTATGAATCTGTGTTTGTGGCGTTTTTCTTGCGAAATTTGAGCGCTTCTTGTTGTTATTGTGGCTAATTTGAATTGTGGAGAACAATCAGAACAGTTTTCAAGTTCATTAAAAGTTCAAAACTTCGAAAAATTCAGAATGTATAGGCTTGAGAAGTAGATATGAAATAAAAATTCTTGGAAGAATTCTAACTTCGAGAATATTTTTCAGGCCAGGTCCAAAGGTCCATAACAAGTTCTAAAAAAACAATCAAAGAAACCTGATTTGTCAACTTCACTCGCTTAACTTCATTATTGTGACGTGACCCTAATAATCATGATGAGTTCGTTCTGTTCGACCCCCTCAACTCCATTTCCGGAAACAAAATAAACAAAACAACTTCCATAAAAATAATCTGACTCATACATACTTCAATGCTAATTGTAGTCCAGATATTTTTGTGTTCATTGGTAGACTCTAGCGATGGAACAAAAAATAATATCAAAACAAACACGATTATCTATCTTTCAATGTGACCGTCCAAGTACATGGTATAGTTAGTCAGTCAAATAAATATGTGCTGAAAATGTTCTGTCGTGGAAAAATGTGTATAAGGAATGTTCTCTTAATGTTGTTGTTTTCAATGTTTTTTTTTACATAATTTTTATTCTCTAAGATTTGATCGACTAAATAAATGGTCATATGATATTGAAAATAGAGCAATTTTCGAGAACATTCTGGAAGGATCTTTGGGAATTCAAAAAAACAAGAAAAATCACAGAACTCAAAACAATCTTTAAAGTTAAGTCCTACGAAAATGCGAAAATCAAAAACGTCATTTTTTCACTTTCTTTTTTTTTCAAATCAGCTGTATCGAAAAAATATAAAAATTGTTTGATGTTTGAAAATAACAAAGACCATAGTTCTGCGAAAACTAGAGTGGTCAGAACAAAAAATCAAATCTCATCAATTTTTCGAAAACTTTCACAATTTTTTAATTGTTCTATCTCTGACCTCAAAACAAACAAGCTACAAAATTGCATCATGTCATCATTGAAACCCAAAGAATGTCTAATAATTATCACTTCTTCCACCTCCACATCCACGTGTGTTTATTTTTCATCATACATACACACCCTTCCTTTGTGGGGTCGATGACTAACATTGACCACTCGTAAAAATTCCCGAAATATTTTTTCTTCAACTTAATATGTTTCTTATTTGTTTAGCAGTGGGTGAACTGATTCATCATTGATGGAACGGCAACAAATTTTGAGACAATTTTTACACTTCAATTTTTTAAGGAGGCTTTGTTCTTTTCACTTTTCAAATTCGCATTCGGCAAGACAGCGAATTTTTCAGCAGGGTGTGGTTGGTCATAGAATGTATTTGTAAGCAAGGTTAGAAGAAAAGTTGCGTAGGGGTCAAACGGGAAATATATTTTGTTTTTCAAAAATTGGGAGTAAACTTTTTCATCATCACATTTTTTTGTCATAAACCATAGTTAGAAATATTCACAATCAACAATTTTATGATGACGTTACAACGAATACTGTTTTCTTCCGTTCCCAAATCATAGAAGCAATCACAAACCACACAAAACAAAACTAGACTTTTAAAAGTTTTCGTGTACTTTTTTCTTCTCTAAAAATAGTACATAAATTAATACCTTTGATCTTTTGCACTGCATTTTTTTCCTTAATAAGCGGAAATGCAAACTTTGAGCAAAATTGATAAATAAGGAATTTTGAAGACGACATAAAACATTCTTTTTGAACTTATGACGTGATCGTATCAACAACCAATACATCCATCCTTATTTATTGGGTTCTAATCTTTGACTGAGTGATGGTTTCGCGCGCGCTGTTTTTCTTTGTTTTAGATTCTACATTATTCTTCGATAAGAAACACATGTATAAAATAAATGAACGAATTCCCTATGAAATTAAGAAGTGAGAGATGAAAAACCAGTTCGGGTGTGGTTGTTACAAAACAAACAAGCCATGCAAAAAAATAAATACATTTTAAATATTCATTAATTATGTGTCATTCTATCTTGCATCACTTGATTATTTCAGGACAAACCCGGAGGTCAAAGTTAAGAGTTTTCTGAGAAACCGGCGCAAATTCTTGATAAAAAATGTGCATTTACGATCAGTTTGACGTGTTATCAACTATTTCGAAAAGAAAAGAAAAGAAATCTAATCGAGAGAATACAAACGATGATTTGATGTTTAATAGGGAGATGGAGTTCCGTGTTTTTCAAAATTCATTTTTTTGAAAAACTTGAATATTGGAAACAATTATTATTTACAGTATTGTTGATGACAGAAATCTAATATGTAAAGATGATCGGATTCTGACGATGTGTAAGAGGATTTCCTGGACCAATTTTCAGCTATAAACTGACATTTTGATATGATTATTGGTATTTTGATTTGAAAGCTAACAGTATACATTTTATTACTCTAGATAGACAATCTCAAACTTCGGCTGCTATTAAATGTAAAATAAATTCTAACAATAAAACTTCGCTTTGAGTTTGATTTTTTCAATATCAGCCCCACCCAGAAAATTGTGGAAAGTCTTGAGAAATTCAAAATTTTAGAGTTGAAAAATACACAGTGTGAGCTGTCGTAGCTGGAATCATTCAGAACAGTTACCAAAACTTTGACGTGAGAAAATGTGAGCTATTTATTCCTGTAGAGTTCTTCAAAAGATATTGTCGAAGTTGAAAAATGTGGCAGCCGTAAAAAATGAAAAACAGTGCAGAGCTGAATGAATGACAAATTCATTATTTCGTCAGTCGCGTGCGGCTGTGCGTCGCGGTCGAAAAACAATCAATTATTTATTTTTTCCTTTGTTTTCCGACCGCGACGCACAGCCGCACGCGACTGACGAAATAATGACATTGTCGTTCATTCAGCTCTGCACTGTTTTTCATTTTTTACAGCTGCCACATTTTTCAAATTCGACAATATTTCACTGTTTACAGCCTTGGAGAGTCATGTCGTTAAAAATATGTGCATGTTACTTCTTTGATTCCGGATAATCCCAAATTGATCTTTAGTCAAAATTCTTTCATACATTATGCTGGTCATAATCTTTTTCTCAAAGATTATCTTCCTATTTTTATATAATTTCAAAAATTAAAGCAATTCTTCAAACTATTTGATCTTTGTGAGAATGTGAGGGAGTTAAGAATCAAAAACCATAACTAATACAAGTGCATTTTAGTAAATGCTGTTTTTCTCCCGCGTGGTTTGCTGACCTGAAAAAAACCACGAGGAGAGTAGAAAGATCATGTGCATTTGTATTTTAAGAGAAAAACAAGAACTGAACTTTTGAAAATGAATTTTAATCAAAAACTACATTCAAATATTTTTGAGAAAAACATGGGTTTGTACTCAAATTATTCTACAAATTGTGAGTACTACCGTTTTTGTGTTTTAATCAGTCTAGAAGACCAAAAAGGCGCCATGATGTAATTGAGGGGATTCCGGAAACCATAGAATCATAGATATGTACCTGTCAATTTCGAAACCTACATGAGTTCAAAACTATGACTAGACGCTACACAGAGTTCTTAATTTCAATTGAAAATATATAATTGAAAGTACACTCCAAAAACTTGCACATTGTTCCAAAACAAACAACATGTGTCATTTATAATTTGGAACCTCGATTAGAAAAATGATAAAAATTTTTGGAATTTTTCTAAAAATGTATAGTCTTTTTTGATTCGTATTCTCGATTTTTCTAATTATTTCCAAATTTTATTTGAACCCATTAAAAATCAAAATATCACATACAACTGATAATAGCGTAGGCGAGAGGATTATTGTTTCGTGGAAATGATAAAATATGAGTTTCTCCGAAAATATTGAATTATAATCATAGGTTCTGTGCTCAATACACATGTTCTTTACGTGCAAAATGGGGTGGTTAAGGGTTTCGTTGAAAATATACATGTTTAGGGTGGGCATGGTTCATTCTTTTCGACAGCAATAACAACAATTTTATGAGTTTTATAAGAAAAACCGTAATCTTGTGTGTCAATCGAATATTTTTATTTTATTTGCGTGTTAATGGAAAATGATATGAACTTCGAATGTCAGAGAACAAAAAAGTCCGGGTTTTATTATTTTCTAAATGGAAGTTCAGGGATGCAAAACCAGTTAGAAACACGTTTCATGAAATTACTTTATTTAAAAAAATGTCTTTCATAAGATTAATCGTTTTTAAAGAACTTTGTAAAGAAATTTTTTTAAATTCTTAATGAACTTGAAATTAGTGAACGATGAAGCTCGGAGTTTTTCGAAGTGGTCTGAGATATCCCCAAAATGTCATGTTTTATCTATCTCCTTGGGTCAAATTTTCACACAGCTAAGCCTATTTTTATACGTATTATTGTTTTTGAGTGAGAGATTCTTGGAAATTTGATTGCAAAATAAAATCCTGCCAGAATTTAGCAAATGTATGGTCGCAGTAAGTCGGATAGGATTTGTCCGATTTATAAATTTATTTCCTGCCTGCTAAATTTCAGATCTTGACTTGACTAGAATATATTTTTATGTAATAACACATTATTGTTTTCCCGAAAACTCCACACCAAAACACACGTAGCTGAAGCGCCCGTTGTATTCCTGCGATTTTACTCACAGGAATAACTACTTTAATCCATTTCAAATATTCTAAGGGTTTGAAGGCCCTTTTGATAACCGGTGAGCGAGCGCAATAAATAACATAATTTATTAGAAGAAAAAGAATAATAAACAAAAAATAGAAAACAGAAAAATGACCCAAATAGGTCTAAAACCTAAGTGGCCAAAACGGCCTTACATTCGTAGTCAGCCCGAGGCTGAGCTACCCGAAAACTCCACACCAAAACACACGTAGCTGAAGCGCCCGTGTTTGCTGGTATACGGTAAGCGTCGGTGTTTGCGGACTTGCGGCGCTTACAGTAATCCACACAACTAATTGTCTCAAGCGCGACGACTTCCATTCAGCAAATCTTCCTCATCACAACAATGTAATAACACATTATTGTTTTTTCGGACGATCAGTGTTTATTTACAAAAAGGGGTCTTCAGAAAAAAACTTATTTTTCTGGAAACTGTAAACAACGCTGAAATTGATATCATCTAATGTCTCACAAATCACGAATCAATTTTAAGAGGATTTCTTGAATAAAACTTGGCAAGTGACTAAGTTTTTTTGAAAGATTAACTTCGAACAAAAAACAACCGAGTTACACAGAGAATTGGCTGAAGAATAAGATCATCTCTATGTTTTCAACAAACCTCTCAGACTGCTCTAAAACTTCCAGATCCTTCTCGGAACTAGTTTAGAAAATTGAGATTTTCAACAATATTCTCAGAATTGTTTTGTTTTGATTCGTTTCAAAATGTCACTGAACAATGTTCAAATCCGGATTTCCTGGAAACTTCGATCTTTCTCTTTCAGATCAATTTTCCAGAGTGAAAACAGGAAGTGAACCAAAAAAATTTCAAGGTCCTAAAACCTATAATCAATCTAATCAAACGTCTATATCGGCGGTACAAACATTCCGGGGGAAGCCCTTTCGATGAAACGGTTCATTTTCGAATCATTTCGAAACTAATGATAATGTATTCAAAAGAGACGCAGATGATAAGTATCTTTCGATTCTCCAAGGGAAGAATCAGTATAGGGTATGACCAGTTTTTTCTTCTTATTTATTTTTCTGCGGACGATTTTGATTTATTTGATGACGATAGCCATGCATGTTGTGAAAGATATAGTTTATCATTGAGGGTTTTATGATCGTTTCCATGTGGAAAATGACACGTGGACAATGTGCGATCAAAGTGATCAACTGCAAATACAATCTTGTTTGGTCTTGTATTTTGATCCAAGGAATTGGAAAATATCTAACTTGAAGGGGTTTTCTACGATTATCGTGAAAATTCGAAATTTCAGATTGCTACAGTCAAAATCTCACAGACTAATTCTGAGTATGTTATTGCTTGAACTTTGATACCTGTCTGATAAAAATATCAATTTTAGACTATAAAAAACAAATTATCGAGTACAAAAGCTACAGTATAAGTACATATACAGATAGAAAACATTCAGTTTTGTTGTAATCTGGGAAAACAAAACAAATACAGTATTCATCCACCAATCATCGCAAATAGGATGGATAATTTCTAAAAAATTACATTTTTCCCGTCAAAAAAATATTTTCATGGAAAAATGACTCAAATCTACAGTAATCCATCTGATCTAGATCTTTGTAGCACAAATTAGATTGTTCGTACTTCAGACTTCAAATTCACATCTGATAGAACAAAATACATATATAACTACAAAAAATAATACCTATCAATCTAAAATTTTCGAAATAAAAACTGAAGGCGAAAAATCAAAAACTAACTACAGTATTCCCAAAAAATACATAAATAAAAAACTTGCAGAAAACGTGTTTCTCTATTTCTAGTTTGATCATCAAAACAAAAACAAAATTTCCGGATATTTCCGAAAATACAGAAGCCAATCACTTTCCATTTAAATAAGACAATAAATGATAACTATATATAGTATACTGTATACAGTACCCCAGAACTTTTCCAATCCAATCATAAATAAATATCAGCAAATCATAATACACTCTGATGTGCAAAAAAAATAAGAAAAACAAAATTCCCATAAAACTACAGTACTCTTTCAATTTCAAAACTTTGTCCCCATATTTTATCATGCACTTTATTGCGATTGCGAACAGGGAAAACATCAAAAAATGTTCAATTTTTCAAAATTATCACGTGAATTTTAGCATTTCAGGTACATTACCATTTTTGGGCTTTCAAATGGGGGAAATGAATAAAAAATGGTGGCCACTAAAAGCCTTATGACTCATACAGTTTTCAACGAAATCGTGACGTTGCAGGAAATAAGAAAGAATGCAAAAAAAAGATTTATGTACTAGACGTTTTCTGACGGGAAATTGGTACGGATGTAATGTTCAATAATTCGAGATTTGTCGTCACATTCAATGTTTGGCGAACGGTTTGTTTTAATTTCGATGATAGATTCGAGAAGCTAAAAAATATGTTTTAATTTATAAATTCTCGAGTTTAGTATTATTTACAATGACCCAGGGGTTTCAAAAACTTGTATTTCGATTACGAAACAATTTGAAAAATCTTTTTCGCATCGTCGAATTCATTGTCAAATATGTGAGAACTGGAAAACCATGAGCAGCTTCCCAAAAATGTTGAGCAACAATAACAGTAACTTCAGGAAGCTCGATGAAATTCATTGTAACATAAACAACAGATGAGAATTGATCTAATGCACAAATAACAAGGGCTTGATGAAGAATTGAATTTGCACGAAATGCACTCATCGAAGCAATATTTATTGTCTTCCATTCTGATAAAACCAAATAACCAACGTGAATATAAAGAAAACATGTGAATATTACAATTGCAAAGTTATTAAAACAATGAAATATATTCGAATACTTTGAAGATTTTCCAGGAAAAATAAACGGATCAAAAAACCAGGCATAATAATTAGATGTAAATAAGACAGGTTTTGTGAATAAAAAGAAGAATAAACCATAAAATATTGGAATAAGAAGAAGTATGAATGTTCGATTATCACTAAAAAACATTCTGGAAATCTTGACATTTCTCATATTTAAAACTCGATTGATCAAAAGAAGAAGATTTGCAAGACAAGAACAACACCAAAGACTTAGCACTGCTGATCCACAATAATAAATAAGATTAGGATAAGTGCAGAAGACTGCACCTTTGATTGCAAGCCATCCTGTTAGAATAGAACAAATGGCAAGTGCTAGAATATCAATGAATCCGACGAAAAACATGATTTTGTAACAAGACAATTTGAAGAGATCTCGTTTTGTCATAATGAACAAACATGGTATAAAAAATAAGATTGCAATTGTCCCATAAATCATACTTATGATTCCAACTATTGGACGAGATTTTCCGAAAGTCGCAGAATTTGTGCAATTATACAAAGGAATATTAGAAACACTTCCATATTCCAATATCAAGTTCATTTTCTTAGTTTATCTTACCAATTAGTAAGGGTTTTGAGAACAGAACACAGAAATAGAAAGATATGTTTGATAAGTATTTTTGGTTACCGATATTTATACAAGTTATTTTCATACTCCGCCTCTGTTTTTCATGAAAACAAGTACTAAAAACATATTAAGCGAAACCCTCTGAGAATTACTAACTAACCTGATTCTCGCAATCTTTCTTTTTCGAGTTAACACAAGCTTCATATCGAGTTGCCAATGCTCCAAAACTTGCTGGTTGATCCGCACATTTGTCTGTTAAACTTTCAAACAAGACTCCAAGTTCCGGATTATTATTAAAACTTCCAGAATCATGTTGATAGGGATTTGGATTTCCAGCAGCATTATATGATTCTTTTCCAGCTGTTTTTACGATCATGCAAGAAGTTTGAGAATATGATGAGCAAGTTTTGATTCTCTGAAAAAACAGGCTCTAATTGTTTTTTCAATAAATAATGGAAAACCTTATTGCATTCGCAAAACTGTTGATCACAAAACTTTTGTCCTTTTTTCGAATCATAGCAATCATCATGAATTCCACAACATAAATTATACTCCAATCGATCATTACAGTCAGACAATGCCAATTTCGCCAAATTGGTTGAAAATGGACCAGAACCACAATACCATTTTGAAACACTTCGTTTTGAACGAAAACTTTTTGTGAGATTTTCAATTTCCTGATCACATTCTGCATTTGGTTTTCGATGTTTCTTCGAATCGGTGACACACGTGGCAAAACTTGTGTGGCATTTTTTAGATGACTCTTTACGCATACACGTATCAAATCGGTAACCACAGCTTCTAAAAGTTACTGTAAAAACACTTGATTTGTGAGAAATTCTATTATTTTACTTACTCCATTGTGTATTGCATTTATCATAAATTTTTGGGAAAGTTTTCGCAAGTTCAGAATCTTTTTTTATTTGGTATTTTTCAAAATAATATTCCGGTTGTCTTTTATCAGCATACGCTTTTTTTCCGAATAATTCAACCATTGAACATGAGAACTCCGCAAATTCTCGACAAACTCCTTGATTTGCCACTTGTTGTGTGCATTCGCAAAATTGTTTATCGCAAAAAACTTGGCCTAGTGATTGACTATAACAATCGTCATGAATTGCGCAACAATGATTATAATCATCTGAAAAATTTCTTTGAAACTTGGAATATTCAAGAAACAAATAGAACTTACATTTCTCAGCACAACTGTTCAATGAAAGTTTGGCCATTTTTGTGAATGTATATCCGGATCCACAAAACCAATAACTATCGGGAATAGCATTGCAAAACAGAAGAAAGCTGTTCAAAATTATTAGGAAGCTCACAGTTTCTAATTTCATGATTCAAAGAAAATGGCAGATATATTTTTTGGAACACGTATCAACATTTCAGGTCACGTAAAAAATATTAATTAAATGTTTTATTTTAATTTTATTGTGAAATTTTCGAACTTTAAATTAATCTCTCGAAGCAATCATTTCACAAGTATCTTTAACATAAGCAACCCAATCAATATCTCCATTTGTTCGAATACTGACATGATTCAAAAATTGTTTGATTTCTTGAGCGCTCAGAGGTTCTCCAATTGATGTAAGAAGTTGAATCAATGTATCTTTTTGAACATAATTGTTATTTGTGATGACTTGGAATGCAGCATGGATTTGTTGTGGCGTTTCATCAATCCATTCATCATTTTGAATTGCTGAAACCACTCGAGGAAGTAAATCATCAAATGAAACTCGGCCACTCTTTTTGGCAGTTTGATCGATTACAAGTTGCAGTTCAGTTTGACTTGGATTCAGACCAAAGCTTCGGAGAACATGACCAACATCTTCAGTTTCAATAAGTCCATCGCAATCTTCATCAAACATTTTGAAAACATCAAAAAGCCGTCGCTTTATATCTTCTGAAATCACATTTTTATTTTCAAAAACGTTTCGAATACACTCACCAACTACAATACTATCGATCTCCTCTTTGTTTGTTTCTTCCTCAACTTCTTCAATAATCAAATCATCCACCAAATCCGTCAAGTCGGTCATTTTTATTTTGTATAAGTTACTTTTTGAAGAAAAAAAACTGGATTTTTAGTTTTACACTTCAATGAAAACTATTTCCGGATGTTTTCAAACAGCATTTCTTTTGGTCGAAATCACAGAAAATTCATTTACTCAAATTTAAAAGAACCCGAGAAAAAGTGAACTGGAATGTAAGGAATTTGGAACAAGCTTAGAATAAATCATAATTCTTTGAGTGGACTGGTTCTTAAAAATGAATTTTTGCTCAAAGAGCATTGACAAGAAACTGGTAAAAGAATCTGATCAACTTTCCAATCTTCGCAATTCGAATCACCGACGTTTCGAAGAACTTTGAAAGCGAGAGTTTGGACTCCGCATTGTCCGTGAGCTGAAAAACGAATATATTAGGTCAGAATACTGGGTGAATACGCTGTTGAGGCGAAAAGATGACGCGGTGGGTTCCGCGCGGAAACAAAAAATAATTCTTGACATTTGGCCGAGGAAACCAAACCGGGCAGCCAGACGGCCAGGCGCCGCCCACTTTTTTCATTTTTTCTGTTTTCGTTTTTTTGTTCACAAGGGTTCCTTTTGATGAAACATAGTAGAGCATTAACTCACGATTATTGTATGACTAAGAATGAGCTTTCAGTCAGCAAACCCATGCCCTAAGCAAAACTTGTCATTCTACAAGGTTTTCGAAAATTTCAACTGCGCAAATATCTATGAGTAGTTTTGTTTATTTTCATATTTCCGTCAATATTATCTACATTGAACGCATTTAGGGTGTCAAATTGCGATCTTACCTTAAAAAACGGAAAAGATAAACGATTTTCAAATGTGTACACCATGGCGCAACCGTGCACAGAAATTTTCTGGTGACTTGGCAAAATTTGTTAATTTTCTTTTTTTTTCTGGGGAACCCGGAATCCCAATGCCAATCCCGAATCCCAAACCTAAAGAAAGACGGTCAAATGTTACTAAATAAATCAGCGTAAATACACACGTTCGCGTGACCTCTAAATCGTCAATAAATTTTTATTTTCAGAAAAAGCTGCAGATCAATCATTTCTCACTCAAAATTATTTGGGAACTCACCCATGTCAGTAATCGAATCAAATATACAACCCATTTCTTGTGAATTACAATGAATGCTGTTGAAAATTTGAGGAAAACAATTGCTGCTCAATATGTACAGCCCACGGCATTCTGAAGTTCACATATCAAGTGAGTTTTTTTTTTTGAAAAAATATCTCACCCGAGCATAATGCTTCATGATCTCCATCCCCTGTAGGTTCTCCAAGTTCAGAACAATTTCCAACAGGCAAAAAGCTACCCAAAGAGCACGTAGTTTCAGTTGAATCATTCAACATAATTGAAACTGTTGAATTTTTTCGTTTCGAAAATTTCTTTCTGGTTGAGTTTCTTCTGGCAATTTCCAAATTCAATGTCGATTTCACCATTTGACATCCTTGATCACAAACAGGTTTTGAGACTCCTACTGCATCTTGCATTGGTTCATCAAACCCAGAATTTTTCGCGTAGAAGTCTCCAAAATTCATAGCTGCTTCATCAACAGAATCAGCCATCCAAAATTGATTTCGACCACCAGCTCTTTCTAATATCTTGTATTTCTCAGCTTCAGTGTATTGTTGACAATTTATAAGAGAAGAAGCAGCAGGTTTTAGTCTGAAATTGGAATAAGATGAACGCGGTTTTTGTTTGAGGAAAAAAATCAACTAACTTTTTCATCCGCATTTTTCTTTTTCTAGTAGTCAATATTTCAGGAGTCGGTGTAGTTGTAGTTGAAGGAGTTGTAATTTCAAAACTGGTTGTAGTTGTTTTTTCAACCTCGTCTTTCTTTTTTGGTTCCAAAATCAAAGTGTCGTTCTAAAAAAACATGTGTTTTATTACCTTTTTTTTTGAAAACTCACATCAAAATCTTCGATAATTTCAAATGTTGAATTTATCAAAATTGTAATTTCTGAATCGTTCAATGAAATGTGACCTGTTTGATAAGCGTAAGAGTTATCTAAAAACAATTTTTGGTTTTTATTTTGTTTTAAAAATCTTACCCAAAGATTCGGCGACACCAAAAATTATCAAAATCAAAACAATTTTCCGCATGTTTCTGAAAGAAAACCATGAAAGAAAATAACAATAATAAATAAAATAACAAGCAAAATCAGAAAAGTGCTCCGTAATACAGTCGTCACTTAGCAATGCGCGGAAGCGGATGTTTGTATTTACAAAAAAAAACAGAAAATAGTGTTAAAGAAAGAGAGACTCAGACATCTTTCATAAGTTGCGAGAGGTGATTTATGGTGGAAACGTGATGAAATTCGATATTTCCTCCGGTGAAAAATAGTATGTACTAGTTGGTACAAAAATTATTTGATCAATAATTTTCGTCAACTGAAAAGTCTTATCTGAAAATTGGTATGAGAAAAGCGAGCACGAAAAAACGTACAAAAGTGATAAAACAACAAATTCCAAAAAATGCATTCAAAACATTATTTTATTCATTCGATATTTGCGCACCTGAGCTATACAGAATTCCTTTTTGATTTTCTGCGCTAACAAGGAATGTAACTCAAATTACCCGGCTGATTAAAAATGGGACTATGTGGATTCTACCCAACCTGGTGGGGTAAGAAAAACCACCGAGGGATTTTGGACGCAAAAATTTCGAACTTGAGTTTTGGGGATTTTTAGTTTTGAAAATGCGAAAAAAATGGTCATTTTTCAAAAAATCGGTGTGACGTTCATTTTTAAGTAAAATCGATGGTTAAAAAAGCATTTTGCTCCAAATTTGCTCAATTTTTTAGTTCTGAATAGAACCCAGTAACAAAAAAATCATCTGATTTGGAGTGACTGCTAGAGGCGATAAAAAGATAAACTAGTAAAAACAGCGAATTTCGGAAAAATTGGTATTTGAAGATATGTGCATTTTTTGACAACAAAACTTGTTTTAAAAATTTTTTGAGCACAAATTGAACTGTTTTTACAATGTATAGTATGAAACTCGGTTGGAAAATGAAATACTTTCGAGTCTTCTTTCCACAACAACAAATATGATTTATCGTTCAGCTATTACACAATCCAATAAACTAATTAAAAGGAAATATAGGTAGGATGATTCTTCTCGGTGAGGAATTGAACCTATGACTTTTTTCTTCAAAAATCAACGCTTTACCCACTTTACCATGAAAAAATAGTGACGATAAGCGCGATTTTTCGGTCATTTTGGTCCATATTTTTTGTAATCGATATAAAATCGGTCTTATCCTCTGGGCAACCGATTTTGTTATCGGTCGTTTATACGTAATTTTTGATTTTGAAAAAGATGCGCTAGGTGTTGTTTTCGGGAAACGTGCGCATTTTAATGAAAAATATCAAAAATGACCATAAATTCAGATTTTCACTTGTATTAAATCAGATGATTTTTTTGTTACTGGGTTCTATTCAGAACTAAAAAATTGAGCAAATTTGGAGCAAAATGCTTTTTTAACCATCGATTTTACTTAAAAATGAACGTCACACCGATTTTTTGAAAAATGACCATTTTTTTCGCATTTTCAAAACTAAAAATCCCCAAAACTCAAGTTCGAAATTTTTGCGTCCAAAATCCCTCGGTGGTTTTTCTTACCCCACCAGGTTGGGTAGAATCCACATAGTCCCATTTTTAATCAGCCGGGTAATTTGAGTTACATTCCTTGTAAGAGCTCTTCTCACTTCAGAAACAAAAATCTTTTTTTTTTGATTTCCTGGAAAGTGTGGAAAAAAATAACTCGATTGATTGACAACAAACTTTTGGGAACAGTTTTACGGGCTTTTGGCATAGCGGCAATACTTTTGAAACGGATAATAGGGAGCATGGAAAAAACTTGTTTTGGGAACTTGGAGAAATAAAAATCTGAAAAGATTTTGGAAAAAATGGAATTAAAATCAGTTGAATAACAAAAGGAAAACTGAATTTGGTACCAGATTTCTACCATTTTTTCAAAATGGTTTTATTTTACCTAAAGAGGAACTCGTAGTTTTTTTACCCATAGACAGGGTTCCGAACCGGGCCGGTTTTTGGGCCAGGTTGGTTTTGGTTCAGCTGGGTTGGGCCCAAAACCGAATACAAAATATGGGTGAACCACCCGAACCCAGAACCGAAAAAACGGGCCTGGTTTGACCCGACTTAAACCCGAACCAACCCAGACCAAACCGAACCCGAACCCATTTTTTGGTTACCCAACCCAAACCCAAAAAAATGGGCTAAACCCGGGTCAGGCCCAAACCAAACCTTAACCCAAAAATACCCACCCAACCCAGCCCAGCCCAACTTGAACCCATTTTGACCCGGGCAACCCGGGTTCAAAACCATGGGTTACCCGAAAAATTGCGCCAAAATATAATTGTCGATAAGTTCACCAATTTCACAAGAATTTAAAGACCCAAGAAACACTGGAAAAAACAGATTTCCCGCATTTAATTTCAAATGACAATACCAACATATGCGCTCCAGCGCACACACGGTATGCAAACACTTTCGAAATTTCCTTCGACTAAGCTATTTCAAAAAAAAATTATTTTATTTTTTCACTTTTGCTCACACCCGCCCAAGCAACACAAAAATTAGCAAAATGCTGTTCAAAACGGTGCGCCATGTAGCTCAAAACCTAGATAAGGTTCATGAAAAACTAAATATAGCATGAAAATCAGCGCCTCGAGTTCTACCTGACTTGCTACTTTTCTTATTTTTTGAGGTCCTGCGAAGGTGTTTTGTGTCGAAAAGTGTTTGCACAGTTTTTTTCATTCGCAGATTTTTCGTTTTACAGTACACTCATTGCGTGGCTTGAACGGGTGTGTGCTGAAAATTTTTTTCTTGATTTTCGATAACTTTGAAACTCTTTCATGAACCTTTGAGTCGTGGAAGTTGTTCAGAATGGTCGATTAAGTGTTTGTAAAATTTTTTATCAAAAAGTTAGAAATTTTTTGATTTGGTTTTTTTAGTCGGGGTTTTTCTGATCAAATGGGCACCAAAAAACACAAAAAATAATTTTTTTCCATTTTCAAATGAACGGAACTTGAAAAATTTATGACGGTCAACATACGTAATTTGGGCCGTAGAATCCGAAAATCATAGTTTCGATTCACACAAACTTCTCCTTCACAACGAAATCGTTGATTTTCTATGAATTTTTCTTTCTTCTGAAAAATTCTTGTGAAATTGGTGAACTTATCGACAATTATATTTTGGCACAATTTTTCGGGTAACCCATGGTTTTGAACCCGGGTTGCCCGGGTCAAAATGGGTTCAAGTTGGGCTGGGCTGGGTTGGGTGGGTATTTTTGGGTTAAGGTTTGGTTTGGGCCTGACCCGGGTTTGGCCCATTTTTTTGGGTTTGGGTTGGTTAACCAAAAAATGGGTTCGGGTTCGGTTTGGTCTGGGTTGGTTCGGGTTTAAGTCGGGTCAAACCAGGCCCGTTTTTTCGGTTCTGGGTTCGGGTGGGTATTTTTACAAACTGGGTTTACATGGTTCGGTTTGGGTGGGTTTTTTCGGGTTTGTCCTGCCCCAAACCGGTGGTCCTAAACCGGTTCGGAACCCTGCCCATAGATCACGGTCACGTAAAGCTGAATTCCGAACATGAGTTATGGCGTGACGAAAGTCTGAAAATTATAGCTTTGAAATGACTTTTCTTAAACTACGTATAATAATAATAGCATATGGAAGTTACAGTGCAGATTTCAAATGTTTCCGGAAAATCTTCTACAGTTTAGATAACAAACTTCCAGAATTATTTAATCAATAGTGCTGAAACGCTACACTGTTAAATTATTACCAAAACCATTTCCCAAGCTAGTTACCACCTAAAATCACGATTTCTCGAAATTTCCAGTCTTTTCCACATCATTACTCATATTAGTAATTGAATTTTGCAGTTTTGCACAACGGGATCTTGATTCAAATGTTTCATTAAATTTCTGAACTAGTTTTTTTGATTTGCTGACAATGAAGGGCTGTAACAATTGAAATTTTTTCCCGAAACTCTGATTCTTCTCAAATTTTCAAAAAGTGTGTATTTTCGAGTTTTCGTAAACGTGACGTGAACTTTTTTTTCATTTTTGACAAAAAATATTTCCCATTCCATTTTTTTCAAAATCATTGGTAATCTTCCCGCCGAAATATTTTTCATAAATCAAAGAAAACCCGACTTATCAATCAGAGGACCAAAAAAATACTCTTTCGCTTCTTCCCAAATTGCTCATATCAAAAAATGCCGCATTTCGCACCTCCAATCATAATTGTGTTAAATCGGTATTTTCAAAGGCCACACTCAGGCCGAACCGGACCAAAAGCTGTCAATCAATTAGGCCACGCCCCCTTGGGTTACCTATAAAAGGGCGAACAGATTGATAAAAGTTACCATTCTTTTGAATTTACTGCTGTGCTGCTCTAAAATGGAAAATCATTCTTCCAATTGCTATCCAAGCTCTTCTGACTATTATTCTCCTCCTTCATCTAATTCTGGAGCATCTGTCTCGCCACAATATTCATTTCAATCTCCTCAAGATCAAAATGTCTATCATGGATCAGTACAGTATCCTCAAATGGCATATGATCAATATCAGGAATATTATCAACAGTGAGTTTCTCTTTAACTTTTTTATTTCAATGTTTTCCTAAAATTTCAAATAAAATATAAATATTGTTTTTTTTTCAGATATAATATGTGTTATCCAATGCAATACCAACAACCAATGCAAAATATGCAACCATTAGAAGAAAAGATCGTAACCCAAACTACAACTACAGTATGCCAAAAAATCTATGAACACGTGGAAAATCAACGAGCTCCTCGACGTGGAACATACACAAGTCAACAATTGGATGCACTTTCAAAACGATTCAAAATTTCGGATCGAATTCCAATATCAGAAAGAAGAGAACTTGCAAAATCAATCAATTTGACACCAGAACAAATCAAAGTTTGGTTCCAAAATCGAAGATATAAATTGAAGAAAATGAGAAATTCAAATTCTGTCGCACCAGTTGAGTCAAATGTTGCTGGTTATACTCCTTATTGATTCATTATAATAGGTGTGTTATTTTTTTTTCAACTATTTCATATTCTTTGCTTTTTTGTATTTTGTTATAATAATTTGAAAATAATAAAGCGGATGACCAAAAAAACTTGTGTTGTTTTTTGAGTGTAAAATTCTAGGCTTTCTAGGAAAAATAATACATAAACTAAATTTTTGAATTCTTTTTTTTTATTTAAATTTCACGTGATCCAGCTTCTTTGTTCTGAAAAAAACATATCGTGTTCCATTTCTGGAAATTTCTTTTTTATTTGGACCAAACATGATCTGGTGAGTTTGTAATTTTTCAGAATCTCGGGATAAGAAACTCCCTGTTGATAATATTTATACATTTTTTTCGGTTGCCAATTCATTCTCGAAATTTTTGTAGTTAGTACTATGTTTTTTCTTTCATGGATTGTTTTTTGTCTAGATAATCGGATTAATTTACCAACTGTTCAGTTTTTTAGTCATTACCGTACTTCTATTTCCATGAAAATATCAATTTTCAGAACCAAATAAAACAAAAAAAACATTAAAAATTATTTCCGAAAAAAATTGCCGGATCAATAACCATAACATAAATATTTTTTTCCACAAAAAAATCATAATAATTTTTGTGTTTATTCAGTTTGAACAAAAAAAAACTTGTTCCCCCACATTTTTCACTGTTTTATTTATTTTTGAATACTATTTATTCCTTCCGGAGATTTTCATTATCTGTTTTCTTTTTCGTCAATTTCATTTATTTTTTCCCGGATCGGCTATTTTTAGCCAGCGGCTATTTTGTTCCTCGTTTTTCTTTTTTCTGGAGCAATTCAAAGTGATGTCACAATTGTTTGTTTTTTTCGTAAATGAAACACACAATACTTTGTGTTGATGGTCCTGCAACGAATTGTGCAAAACAACTGTGTGCCTTTGATGAAAAGTACTGTGTTGTTAATTTTTTTTTTCGTTTCAAAAAGTTAGCTTTGTTAGTTCTCAAGTATTTCTATGTTTTCTGATGTGCCGAAAGAGTTATTCATGACGGGTATGTTACTTTTTGAAACTATTAAATTTCCTCTTTTAAAGTTTGAATGAAAATTTCGACCAAACGCTCAATCGGAAGTTGTTTTTGAGATGGTAAATGTTTCGATCCTCATTAAACTTTAATATATAACTTAGGAAGTCATCTCTGATTTATTTCAATTTGAATGGAGCTTTTTTCGAAAATTACTATCTAGTTTTACCACTAAAATTATCAGCGTTCAGCCGAAACATGAATCGATTCTTCACAAAAAAGTTAGTTTCACTTACCTAGGTTATCAAAAGTTAACATGAGAGTTGTCATTCTGGAGTATTCCTCAAGAAACACATCATTTTCACCCCTTTCATGAAAAAACTAAAGTCACACCTAAAATTCTTTCTTTCTAATTATTTATTCATTCACCCCACGCACACATACATAGTTAACATCATCACATCGTCAAATTACCAATTCAGAAATTTTTATTAAAATGAGAAAATGAGAAGGCAGAAAAACATTAATCCATCATCGAAACATTTTGTGGTCTCTTTTTTGCATCCAAAAGAGTGTCCGAAAAAACCCGAGAGAAAAAGGAATGTTTCTTTTTTCTTTCTTTAATCGATTCGGTTGCGGTCCAACGCCTTTAAAAAAAGGCTTCCAGCCACATAGCTGTTGGCTATCGATTTCCAAACTAACTTCTATTTCTCTCTTCTTTTTCTGTCGCCTGAAGCTTCAAGCCAAAAAAGGGACAAAATTTCGGAGGAGACGGAAAAGATGTGTATGTATATATATATACATATTCTTTTTTTTGCTCGCTGTGTCTCGGCTTCTTCTATTTTCGAGTTTTCTATATTTATTTCACTTTTATGGCTTTTTCTTGTATAATGGTCATTCCTAATTTCTCTCTTTGTTTTCTTTTTTTGCATTGCTTTGCTTTTTCTCTCTTCCAGTCTTTTTGATGGGGTATTTTATGAGGCGAGAAAGATTAACACGTTTACTACTGTAGGTCTGGATGAGTTCTTCGAACTTTTTTCTCGAGTTCTTTTTTTGGGGAATCCTCTGGGAATTTTGCACTTTCATTAACAAACTCTTTTTTTAGTTCTGATTGGAGTTATTTTGGGGTGTAGGAGTTCGTTTTTAGAGACTAATTGAGTGCCTCTAGAGCCCTCAATTTCGTATGAGTGCATGGATTTTAGAAACCCGATATCCTAATTTTCGATCATTTGTAATCTAATTTCTATGAGAACTCATCTTTTGTTCGAGAGATTTTGGAAAATAACTCGGAAAAGGCGGATCAGCCATCAAAATCGGATCATTTAAAGTTGTATTTCTGAATTAGAGCTTCTTTGTTTAAAAATTCAAATTTTCTGTGTTACTGAATTCGACTTTAAACAAATTGTTCTGATCCAGCAGAAATCGAACATCGTTGTTTTCAGTGGTCCTAATCCGATTGAGGAGTTCTTATGACGCTACTCGATTTCTCGCTTCCAATTTAAAATGTTCGCTTCTAACTTCGACATAGTTTGAGTGTTTTTTGGTTGAATATTACCGTATTCCATTTTTCGAATCTGCAAAACACCTTGTCACACGAAAATCTTAATCTCCAAAAGTGCATTTCTAACTACTAATTTCTTATTTTTCTCGAAAAGCCGTCTTCATGCCTGATTAGAATTGTACTTTTTAACTCCCCAAAAAACTTTTGATAAAAACAATTTCTCTTTTTCTCTTCAAGCTCAAGCCATTTTCTCGAAAAAAACGAAGCTAATCTGGAAATCCTCCGCTCATTATCGCACTCATCGTTTTTTTTTCAATTTCAGCAGCATCAAATCGAGAGGAGAAGATCCAGGAGCGAGTTTCTCCTCCTCCTTTTTCTTCGTCTTCTTCATTTTCATTTTCGCGTTTTTGGTCTGCGAATAAATGGAGAAAGACAAAAAGTTCGATGAACATGAACTTGTGCAAGAATGTGTTCACTGTTTTTGTAAGTTTTATTGTTTTCAAAGCATATTTCAAATAGGAAACTACTCATTCTTCATAATTTTTATTTAATTCCAGATTTAAATGCTCATGACGAATTTGATGATTTGGCCTTGGCTGATGCACTATTTTTGTCGCATCAATGGTTAATGGATAGTTTATCTCTGATCACTGATTTTGTCAACATTTATCAGGTATTCAAAGTTTTTAATTCAAAAAATTAAATGTGTCAGAAACACATCTCTGCCCTCGACAGATTCCTAGAAAAATCTAAATCTATTTATAAATACATATCATGTCTTTTTCAGGAAACCAGAGAAATCCAACATCGAGAAGCGGTGTGTCGCGCTGTCGCATATTGGATCGAAAAATTCCCAATGCATTTTGATGCTCAACCACAAGTTTGTGCTCAAGTTGTCAGATTAAAAACGATTGCAGAGGATGTGAATGAAACAATTCGAAATGGTTTGGATGTCAGCGCTTTGTACGTGGAAATTTGAACTTCTTAAATAAACTTCAGACAATCTCTCTTTTTCTTTCAGACCATCATTTGCTTGGCTACGAGCTGTTTCTGTGCGTAATCCGTTGGCAAAACAAACTGTTTTCACTCTTTCTTTTGTTCAAGCAACAGCAAGTGATATTTCAACATCTTTGTCACATATTGATTATCGAGTATTATCAAGAATATCGATCACTGAACTCAAACATTATGTCAAAGATGGGAATTTGAAAAGATGTCCAATGTTGGAAAGAAGTATCTCGGTCTTTAATGTTAGTTTGAAAGCTTCTAGAAAAATTAGAAAATTAAAAAATATCAAATTTGCAGAATCTTTCAAACTGGGTGCAATGTATGATTCTAAACAAAACCACACCAAAAGAGCGCGCTGAAATACTTGTAAAATTCGTTCATGTCGCAAAACATCTTAAAAAGATCAACAATTTCAACACATTGATGTCAGTTGTTGGTGGAATAACACATTCAACAATTGCGAGATTGGCTAAAACTCACGCAGTTTTATCAAACGACATCAAGCGAGATTTGAATAATTTAACGAATTTATTATCGGCTCAACACAATTTTTCAGAATATCGGAAAGCTTTAGAAGCTTGTAATCGAAAATTTCGGATACCAATTATGTAAGAATTTTTTATTTTGTTTAGATTTTTCCAACATATTCGAATTTTCAGTGGTGTACATTTGAAAGATCTGGTTGCTATCAATTGCTCAGGTGCAAACTTCGAGAAAACGCAAACAATCAGTGCTGAAAAATTAGAGAAACTCTCAACACTTCTTTTCGAATTTCCTGGTTTTCAACCAAAAACCACATAATCTTCCGGAAATGAATATGGATTTGATAAACACATTAAAAGTTTCACTTGACATTCGATTTAACGATGATGATATTTATGAATTATCATTGAGAAGGGAACCAAAAACTTTTATGAATGTAAGTTTCGACAAATTCAAGAATCTCAAAATATATTACCTTTTTTCCAGTTTGAACCATCTCGTGGTGTTGTATTTGCTGAATGGGCTTCTGGTATTACAGTAGCACCGGATTCAACAACAGTTTCAAAACATATTTCTGCAATGGTTGACGCGGTTTTCAAACATTATGATCATGATAGAGATGGTTTTATTTCTCAAGATGAATTTCTTCAAATATCTGGCAATTTTCCATTTATCGAATCATTTATTAATATAGATGTAGATCGAGATGGTCAAATATCTAAAGAAGAACTCAAAACATATTTTATGGCAGCAAATAAGGATTCAAAAGATTTGAGAAGAGGTTTCAAACACAATTTCCACGAAACCACATTTATTACCCCAACAACTTGTAGTCATTGTAACAAAGTGTTATGGGGATTTATTCGACAAGGATTCAAATGTAAAGATTGTGGATTGGCTGTACATGAATGTTGCAAACTAAATGCTGTGGCAGAATGTCGAAGAAAAAGTAGTAGTAATTTGACAAAAGCTGCAATTTGGTTGAGTTCTCCAAGAGGAAGTGTTCGACACAAATTATTTGCCACATGTAAAAGATCTTCGAGAAATCGAACTGTTTCTGCACTTGGACCAACAAGTCCATTAGGAGGTTCTGAACCAACTTCATCTTCTGCCAGATTACATCTTCCTTTGAGAGATTGTCGAACACAATCTGAAGGTGCAGATTGCTGGTAAGCCTTGGAATTCACAATCAGAAATTTGATTTTCAAAAATGTTATATATTTCAGCAATTTTGTTTGTGATGAAGCAGAAGGTGAAGAAGTTGGCCTTGTTAGCCTTGCTTGCGAAGAAGTTTTCGATGATGATTTAGCTGAAGTATCAGCAAGAACTACCTAACCCCGCCCCCTCTCCCACAAAATTTTTCAATATTTATATCTCACAGTATCTTATTTATATTTTTATTCATATTTACGTGTTCCTTACGAGTAACTCTTGAAACATATCGAAGATCTCACAAAAATTATTCAAAGCTTTAGTATTTCAGTCATTTTCTTTTCACACAAAAAGTCTCGAATGTTTTTCTCCACTAAAACAATGCGTGTTCATATTTTTCTTCGTGTCTTTTTTGTCTTTGTTTTCATAATAATATTAATAATAATAAATTCTTGTTTTTTGCTTCAAGTGCAGGTGTTAAAAATAAATAAGTTCTGTTTTTAGTTTGAAGCCTGAAAAAAAGAATTTCAGATGTTTTTTGTCATGTGAGCGAGATGTTTGCAGATGTTTTTGAAGTAGAAGTTTTTATGTTTGGAAAATGGGAAATATTAAAAGTGGACTAACTTTTAGCTGAAAATATTCAAAAGAAAACAATCTGAATTTGAATTACAAAAAGATCACAAAAATAATTTCGAAATTTGTGGTTTGTGTTTTCTGGGAAAATTCGGTAGTCTAGGAAATATAATGTTTTAAAAAATGATCAAAAAACATTAAACATCGGGATCAAGCTTAAACAGAAAATTATTTATGAGAAAAATTGGAAAATTTTTTTTTAAAAATACGGATTTATTTATGAATTTCATTACTTTTCGGAGAAATTTTTGTGCTAGTTTGTGAAAAATTATAGTGTTTCTGAGAGTTTCCAATTTCACGTCAATTGAAGTTTGGAATTTTTGGGTTACTGTCGTTTTTAGTGTCAAAAAGCAAATAAATTAGCAAAAACTTTTAACTTTGAGTTCTAGAATTTTTCAAATTACCTGAAAATGTCAATTTCTTTGAGAAATCTCTGGAATTTAGAATTGATGAATAAATGGCATTCTATGAGAAATCGGTTCCTGAACTGGACCACTTTGAAAATTCCCAACATTGTCAGATTATATCTGGATGTTGGGCTCGATCCACATTTTTTGTCGTTTTGAAAAAAAAATTTGATTTTTTAATTTTCAGCCTGATCAAGTCAAAAAATTGAAAAAGATTGTTTGAAACAAAATTTTTTCAAAAGCTCATTGAGCAAAAAATCAATAGCTTATCCGAATATAAAATAATTCTAGAAAACCAAAAATTCAAATTTCAGAAAAAACCCTGCCACGTGTTCTATCAAATTCAATTTCCTATTTTTCACAAAAATCTCTGTTTTTGCCCCCCTCCACAACTTATCTATCAGAAAATAAAGTTCATTTGCTCCTCCCCAAAGATTTTCTAATTAGCCATAACATATCTCCAATATTCTCACGCTTTTCTCAATCATTTTTACACATGACTAAATTGTCATGAGAACTTATTATCACTATACACATTTTTCAGCTGTCCAAAGTCTTGGCTATTTTTCAGTATTTCATAATAGTTCATTTGAGCTTCTAGAATTTCTGAGTCATATTAGATATTTCAGAGTTCGGAAACAAACGAGATCGGCACCAATTTGGCCAAATCTCCGCCCATTTTTTGTCTTGCCTAATAATAAATCCCTGGGCAACCACCCAAAAAGGGATTATATTTATTGCCTTGCTACTTTTGTTGCTCTCCGAGCACGTGGTGTTTCTCATTTCATTTGATCATAAAATTATATTTAATAAATACCCAACTGATTCTAATTATGCATCGATTTTCAATTCTTCTGCTCTTCGGAATTCTTTCAATTTTTGGAGTCAAAAGTGAGTACTGTATTTTATCTTTTTTTTTGTTGATTTGATTATACTAAATCTGAAAAATATGGCTTCTTTAGCTATTTTGAAGGGTTTCAATATATAATGTATACGAAAAATGTGACGTTTTTCAGAAGTTTCGGCAGTTGTTTGTTATCAATGCAGCGGTTGGAATGGTGAGAGTCCGTTGAGGTAAACTTGGAAAATAGAAAAAAAAAGATAGGGGAAAGAAATTTGAATTTTGAAGTATTTATTTTCTGAAGTGGAGTCTTGAATACATATCCTGGATTTTGTTCTTCTCAAAAGAAGTCATGGTTCAAAAATCGCAATCAAACATTTAAATCAACATTCGAAAAAAAAGTATTTCAAAACGTTTTACAACGTGAATTTCAGCCATTTGAAATCTCCAAAAAAACGAACCAAGAGTCAAATATTTTTTTGTAAGAATTTTTTGTTCCAACTAAAATAGCTCAATTTCATATACGTATAGTTTGTTAGTATGTCTAATAACTATTTTCAAAGGCTATTTTCTTTTTATTTTTAGTAGCCCATAATTAGTCACATTTCTCGTTTCCACCTGTTTCGAGATATCTTTTTCTCTTTTTGGTCGCATATTTTACCCAGGAAATTGTGTTCATTTCCGAATGTGAAATATCTCGATAAACCTAGTAATTAAAAAGAGAGAAAATGGATTATATCAGAAAATTTTGGGAGTTTTTAGAAAAAGAGCAGCTGAATGAAACTCGATGAAAAAGTGCAATTTTCAAAAGTTCAAAGAGACCGCGTTTTATTTCAGAAATGAAATGGAATTCAAAACTAAAGCAAGAAAATGTTTCAAAATATTTCCAGGCGGCGGTTTGCGCAATAAAAATTGAATATCATTTTCTATTTTTTTTTTTGAAAATATCATCAAAGGTTTTAGATAAAAGTACAAAAACATAAACAATAAGATGCAAATTATTTTCCGAAAAACAGTTCAAAAAATATATATTTAAATAATTATTATTTTATAATTGTGACAAATTTTTCACTGTTCTGTGCCATTTGATTTGACCAATGTGACTTACAATTAGACGGCTCTTCTACAATCATGTCCACAAATAAAAACAAATTTTAAATAACCAACTTTCTAACGATTCATTTTCTAACAAAACTATATAAATAAATCACTCCATGCAATTATTTTCAGATATTCCACAGAAAACACGTGCGATCACCGAAACAATCAATGTCAAGCAACAAAATGGTGTGTAAAAATCACAGATGCAATGAATCCAAGTGTCAGTTATTCAACATTCAAATCCGATTGTTCTGAAGCAACACAACTCCAAGTCACTCCAACAAATCTAACAAATATTGTTGCTGGACAATGTTATTCATATCAAGATGGTTCAACTCCAGTCAAAAAATACACTTATTGCTATTGCAATGATCGTGATTACTGTAATTCTGCAAATCTTCCGACAACTATACTATCAACTATTACAGTAGTTTTATTCTCTTTTTATGTTCTATAATCTCCTTTTTCTCCTTTTTTACTCTTTAACAGTATACATTTATATATACCTTTTTTACAAACAAAGTTACTCATCATTCACTGATAATTGTCTTTTCCTATGATAACCCATTTCATTTCATTTTGATTATAATAAAAAATGAGAAATACAACTGTTCTTCTATTCCTTGTTTTATTTGTTTTACATTTGAATGATGTCGATTCACAAAAATTAAAGCAGAGAAGTTGGAAATTTTGGAAATCTTCAGGTAGCAAAAAACCAGAAGTTCCGAAAGTCAAGGTGAAAGTATGTATTTATGATTGAGTAACAACATATATTTTCAGAGACCTTTTCAAATCTCCGTTCCGGAATTGACTTTCAACTTGCATTTTCCAAAAGCACATCGTGAAGCAGAATATGTTCAGAAACCAAAAACCGAATACATTTATTCAAATTCTGCAGGAATTTCTTTCGGAGCATTGTTGTTGATTGTTCCATTTTTGTAAATTTTACGAGATAAAGTTTTTTTTGTTTGAATCAGAAAACTTTTTTGAGGTCTGCAAAGTTTTGCTTCCAGAAAAATATTCATCATGAACATAACTTGTTTACAAAAATATTTGAAGTAAAAATACATCTGGCACAGTTTTCACACTGATCTACGTCAAACCGTGAACACTTTCCATTTTCTCAGAAAAAGTTCCCCTAATTACTATTTTCTTCTGTTTCTTTTTTTTGTTTCGAAAAAAAAACAAAGAAAATATTCTTTCGATTTCTCATTCAATATTTTTAAAAATTGTGCTCCGCTACCTTTCAAATTTTACTGACCAAATAAAAAATTATGGGAAAAGGCGCAGATATCTAATCGAGTTTTCTCACGAAAAAAACATTGATTTTCCCCTTTATTTTTCTCCTTATTTTTTTGCAATAACCAGGTATCTAACAAAAAATTATATATTTTTTATTCTTTTCTTGAAAAAAAGAGTGCTCGCCTCTAGATATTTTGTATTTCGTACTAATATCTACCGTAGTCAGATGTCTCCCGAAAAAAAAGACGAAGTAATTTGTACATGGATACAAATCCGGTTACCTAGCTTTTTTTATCTAATCCTCTGTCTATTATTCTTTCTATTCATCCAGAATATTTTTCATTTATTTTTCCTTTTTCCACTTTCCTGTTCTCGAAAAAAACACATAATTTCAGCTTTTTCCCAGTAAAATGCTCTAATTTTGAATCATTTAAATAAGAATGGGTTGTAATCAATCATCATCAAAAGTTGGTGATGTTCCTGGAAAATCGCCAGAAATTGTTGAACCGCCGCCTCCAGCTCCGGCTGTTGCACCCCCGCAAAATGCAAATAATGGAAATGCATTGACTGTTCCCCCGTCAACTGCACCATCACCAAAACCTTCTTTGTCTCGAATGTCAACACCAAATCACCCACCAAGTATACAAGCGAATTCAGATGATGGATATAATAATATTCGCTTATTATTATTAGGTTAGTTCTGTTTTTCATAGATCAGTTTCTCATGATTTTTTGCAACAAAAATGCAGACAAAATCTCCGATAATTAAATCAAAAGATCAATTTTGAATTTTTATTTCAAGAACGGAAATGTTTTCGGTAAAGATTAGGTTGACATCATCTTGGAAATAATTTTTTAATCCTCAAAAAGTCAGAAGGGGTACTGTAGTTGAAGAAAAATGATATCATCGTCCTACGTCTATTTAGGTATGTAGTGGTCTCAGAAATCGGACTACAAAATTATATTTCTCGTCTGGGTAATTTCTTAATATTCTGAAAATCCGAACAAAGATATCTGGTTCTAACAAGTGTTCTAAAAGGTTTACAAAATTGCACAAAAACTTCTCTTATAAATCACTTTTTTCTCGAACTAAATTTTTCTAGGCTCAGCTGAAAGTGGAAAAACAACACTTCTTCAACAAGTTCGACTTCTTTACAAACAACCATTCACAGAATCCGAAATATTCCATCGTCGAGCATTTATTTATTTCAACATTTTCAAATCGATAAAAAGTTTAGTGACTGCGATGAACACTTTTGAACAAGCATATGAAGATCCAATAAATGCAGGAAGAGCTCAAGCAATCACAGAAGATTATGATAGACATATGGGAATGTTTGCACCAGAAATGGTGAATCGAATTAAAACAATTTGGAAGGATAAAGGAATTCAAAAAATGTATGCAAGAAGGAGTTCGTTTAATTTGAATGATTCAGCCGGATAGTAAGTATAAAAAATGATGGAAGTTTTCAGACAACGTTCTAAACTGTAATTTTTCAGCTTTCTGGACAATATCGATAAAATCAATCAAGCAAATTATATGCCAAATGAAAAAGATCTAATAATGTCATATGTTCCAACAGTGGGAGTTCAAAATGTGATCTTCACCGCAAACAAGAACTCTTTTCAGTAAGTTTTTGAAACTATCTAGAATTCAATCATATTTTTCTAGATTATTTGATATTGGTGGACAACGAATTGATCGGCGAAAATGGGCGACTCAATATGATGGAATCGATGCGATATTTTTCTGTTTAGCAATATCGGAATATGATCAAGTTATGATGGAAGATTTAGAAACTGTAAGTTCTTGCGACTCAATTTCCGCTGATTTATTTTCTCTAGAATCGACTTGATGATGCTCTTCAACTTCTCAAAAAAATCAGTGATGAACCGAAATTTGAGAAAACTCCAATTTATCTATTTTTGAATGAGGTTGATGTGTTTCGAGAGAAACTCAGCGAAATTCCCTTGGAACAATTCAAACCAAAATTTCAAGGTGGAAATGAAGAAGATGCGCTGGAATTTATCGAAAGTTTAGCCATGGAAGCATTGGGATCACGCGAGAAAAATTTGTATCGGGTTTATAGAAGTATTGCAATTGATACAAAAATGATGTCCGAAATGTTAACAGCGGTTATTAAGGATATTATAAAGAAGAAAAAATGAAGAACTTTTCAAAATATGGTTTCTTTTCTCTTTTTAAAAAAGTATTACATTAATTTTAATAAATAATACAATTCGAAATTCAAGAAAAAAAACTAACTATGTTTTCCAATCACCTTGAAAGATTACGCCACATTTGGTTTGCAACTACAATTCCTCGTTGATTTGTTGTAAAGTTCTCATGCACGGCAAATCTCGAATATGGCATTTTTGGGGTGGAAACTTTTTTGCACCAATGCGAACTGATTCGCTGTGTTGATATTGGAAACCAGCATTTTTGATGACCCAAAAATCATCAACATTTTGCTCATTTTTGTCAATCGATATTTGTTCCAAATGAATATGTGTTGAATTGGCGACAGTCAAAATCGAATATCCATAATCATTATTTCTGACAGCACTCCAAGGCCAAGGTGTTTTTGTGAATTCAGCATCTGGAGTATGACAACCAGCTGAACCAGATATAAGATAAACTGGAGCTTTTGGATTAATATAAGCTGATGGCTGGAAAAATATAAATAAATAGAACATTTGGAAAAGTTTCAAACAAAAGATTTCGATTATTTGAATTTGGAACCTTACAACTTGAATCACAGTTTCATTTCGGCTGATTTCAAAAATATTTCCCTCTCAAAATAAAACAAACTCACGTCATTATAATAAGTTCGATCAGCAATTGGATAAAATCTTTCGTACGAATGTTCATGACCCCAAAAACCCATGTCAACTGAATTTTGGAGATACAAAGCTTCCAAACCAGGCATGTTCAACCAACCGGTACGAACCTGGAAAAAATACATATGAGAAGATTCTACAGTAATCCAGAAAATTTTTGAGGGTACTTAAAAGATTCTGAAAAACTCACAATTTTATTCTCAAAACTCTGACACTCTGCCGAATTCACATTACTACAGTAAAACGGTCTGTGTTGAAAGGTGAAAATCCATGGTCGAACAGCTCGATTTGCTGGTTTGTTAGCTTCGGTGAGATCAGCTTTAAGCCAATTATATTGAGTGAAAACAGGTTCCATTCCATATTGATAATAATATCCATAATTTTCAGTGCTGACACCAACCCAATGAACTGGTCCCAGGTTGAAACTAAATTATGATTTTTAATTTTTCCAACGAAAAATTTGAGAAAAACTAACCTATAGAATTGATTATCACCATATCCATTATTTGGCATCACAAATCGTTTTTGATAATTGGTGAAATTTTGATAATCATCTTCATGATTTCCAGCAATAACCATATAAGGCATAGTTGAAATCAGTGGTTCAAATTGATTCATATAATCATCTCCAACCTGTCCATTTTGTGAATGTAAATCATATGCAATATCTCCAAGATGAACAATAAAATCGAAATTTCCAGCAAGTCCATGTCGAATAATACTTTCTGTCGAATTTCCATGCCAATATCCGAGATCACCGAAAACACAAACACGGTATGAAGATGGATCCTTTGGAAGAGTTTTGAATGTGAAACTTCGAGATGCGATTGAGTAGTCTGAAAAAAATTACATCACTCAAATGAAAAAAAATGTTATCACTAGTGATGGAAAAATGGATTAAAATGCTCTATTTTTTGTTTACTGTCAAAACTGGCTCACAATAGTTCATATATCATTTTTTGATGACTGATTTAAAATTTTTGGACTAAATTTTATGATTGAAATTTGGGATTACAAGAACTTTAATATTAAGTAGGATTTTTTTATTGGAACTTCCATATTTTCAAAAAAACCTACCGTATTTTGCATCATAATCCAATCCAACCATAACAGCTTTATGTTTATATCGAATAATTCCATTATAAACCCATTGTTCTGAACTTCCTTTTGCTTGTTTTTGATCACTGCTTCCTTGTTTTGTATAACTAACATCTTGTGAAGCTGTAATTAAAAATTGTTCATTTTTCTCGAAGTTTTAAAAACTTTAAACTTACCATCTTCATAAGTGTTCCAAACAACAGCCATTTCGGTTAAATCACCGGTGAATGCAAGATGAACTTGATCAGGGACATTTCCTAGGCCTAAAATAGTAGGAGCCAGGAAATTCAAAAGAAAAAGGCAAGAAATTATCAACATTTGGAAAGGAATAAAAATGATTTATCGAATTGAACTGCAGAAGCGGATTATTTTTTCGATTGCATTTGATAAGAAGAAAAGAAAATATGCTAACTAACATCAGGGGTTTATCAAGATAATAGGTCCCAAAGGCAAAATGATGCCAGAACTTCAAACTAATAGTACAACGGCTCCGATTATTGTGTGGATAAGAATGGCGAAGGAAAAAGTGAAGATAATCGCTGGCATAAACAAATCTAGAGTTTTTCTGCAAAATGTTTCTATTCACCAAATTTAAAAATTCTTTGCAACCTTTTATCAACCATTGCCAACTTGACAGCAATCATTAGCGCTGTAGTTTTTCCTCGAGTTCCCATTGTTGTTTCTTCGCGCATAATTGACTGATTTTGATTATTGGGACGTTCAGTGAGAAACTGATCATTTCCATCGTCTTGGACGATGAGATCATCCATTTGGTCAGGCATTTTTAGAAATGGTTATTTCTCGAAATGAGGTATGAATTTTTCGAAATTTCTTTTCACGTTCGATCGACAGAAAAATTAATCCTACCAGATTTACCCACAACCTATTTTGTATCATCATTCGCTATGAAAGTTTTTATTTTTCTGGTTTTATTTTTTAAATGTGCTTTTGCAACATTCCCGTTTCAAAAACTGACAGAATGTGGAGTTTCCAACGAAACAATCAGCGGTATTCATGAAATAATTAATGAACACCAAGTTAGTTTGAAATTCACTAAATTGTTCAGCGTGGAATCTTGTTACAGAAACTTATCGATTTGGCGGCTAACAACAAACGTGCTAAAAATACCGAAGTTCAGTCGATGAAAGCAGCAATTGATCAATACGTGGAAAATAGCGCTCCAGAAGAGGATAAATCTATTTGGTTAACTTGTATGTCTTCGAATTAATAAACAACGATTTATTTATAACAAAAACCAAACTGCTTAAGCCTCAGTCTTTGGGGCCTTGGCCAATTGGGAGCGGACGTAGGCGGCAGCTCTTCTTTGGGCGAGCTGAAAGAAATTCATTTTTTCTGTAAAATTAAAACTCGATTTCTTACCTTGTTGAATCTGGCGAATCCGGAGTTCTTGGCGATGGCGCGGGTGGAAGCGATTGGGGTCTTTGAGACTGTGGCTGAGGCAACAGCCTTGGCTGGTTGTCCTCCGCGGGTGTTCTTGGTGGAGACGACGACTCCCTTTCCGGATGGAGCGGCGCTGACGTCGATGGCTCTTGAGTTGGCCAATCCACTGTATCTTGGGCTGTTGACCTTCTTCAAGTTGAATCGCTCGGTCGAGAAACGCTTGTTGATTCCTCGTTGAGTTCTCAAGAAGGCGTTGTTGTTGCGGACGATTTGCCAAACAAGTGCGTCAGACATTTTATACCTGAAAATATAATTATAATTCCGATGAACGAAAGAAGGAAATAAGCTAAATTGAAATATAAAACATCAAAATGAATGTAGATGAACAGGATAAAATAGTAAGACAAAAAGAATGAACAATGTGTCGACTTTAGAGAAATATAAAATTTGACAGCAATCTACTCAACGAAACATACTATACCTAGAATTACAGTTGCTGTTGTTCTTAGATTAAAAATACGAATTTTCAAAGTTCTTTTAGAGTTATCGTTCAAATACAACCCGAAAAACACTGAAAATCAATACTTAGAAACAAACTCAATTAAATTATCAACTCTTGACTAACTTGCACCAATCTGCAATGGTGAAAAGTCACCTGAAAACCCAAAAAAACGCGTGAAAAAAGAAAATGAGAATTCAGTTTGGCCTAAAAACAACGCATCAAGTGCGCTCCATAGCAAAACGTTCGAGCGGAGTATCGTTGTTGCCTGTAGTTTAGCGAACACAATTTTCTTTTTCTTTTTTCTTTTGTTTTTTCGCGTCTGTTTCGAAATCAAAAGTGACCGGTTTCCTGTTTGACATTGGGTGAATCATGTTTTCGAGACGGTTGATCATTCGGGCCGCCCAGTTTTCGACCAGTCAGTCAAAGAAAACAGAAAAGTTATGGGAGAATCCGTGGAAGCACGCACTGCACCAACAAGAACAACGTGAGTTTTTTGAAAATGCTGTCTTTATAGGCCGGCGAAAAATTAGTGTAAATTCAAAAATGCCAGAATTGATCAACCGAATTTAATATTTTTTTCAAAGCGTGACCTAGAAATACGTATAATTTTAATTACAAAACTTCTTGTTGCATTCTGAATTTTTATATCCTTATAAACTTATTTCACCCCAAGACAAGAAAACCACTTTACTTTGATACTTTGTTATATTTTCCTAAATATTCCATTCCATTTCAGCAAGAACAAGTGCCAAAGTATTGGAAGTTCCAATTGACTGGAGTTATGTTGAAAGACTTATGCCAATTGAAATAATTCCCGATGTTCCCAAACATGAAACATATCCAACTCCAAGCGGATGGACTCCACCAACAGAAGCCGCCAAAACGCATAGTTATTATGTTCGAAGACGGCGAGATCATATGCTTCCATTATATTTGGAAAGAAAACGAGATTTGTTGAATGAGAAAACCTTGGATTTTGATTATGTGGAACTTGTTGTGTTGCGAAATGTTGATGGAAATATTTTTGATTGTGAAAATGAACTCCGCCAATTTGTTGAAGCTCAATTAGATCACCCGATTGCTACACATGTTGATGAACTCAAAGGAAGAATTAAGATCAAAGGAGCACCAAGAAAAATTATTGAACAATTTTTGTATTCAAAAGGGTTTTAAAAATATTTTTCAAAGGAAAAATCAATAGTTAGGTTCTTATTGTTATAAATTTTGATTGTTTTTTTTTGTTGAAAGTGTTTCTTTGAATTTGAAAGGTTTTCACCTTTTTTATCTCTAATTATTTTTGAATCGAAAAAATTATTCGGAAATGTAGATGCCAGCTTCTGTGTGCTGTACAAATTGCCGAACCAAATACAGTCTTCTGAATCGAGAAGAAGGATGTTCCAGTTGTGCACTTTCATTTTGTAAAAAATGTGTGGCATATCGAGCACTTATTCCAAATCTATCGGATAAACCATTGACTGTTTGTTATGATTGCTATAAAAAGTTAGAAGAAAAGAAGATGAAAGAGCAGAGAAATAATGTGATTGTGAGTTTTTTTTTGAGACTATAAATCAAAAATTACTCGATTTTCAGATCACAAGTACACCACTTCCTCCTCCACAAAATATTCAATCAACATCACAAAATTGGTGGGGAGATGGCTTACCACCGCCGTCATTTCGAAGTTCTTATAATGCTCCAAGACCTGTTCCTCCATCTAGAAAAATTCGAGAAAATCAACCTCAGATAATCCCGGAAGATGTTGAACTCGAAGCTCGTCGTCGAGAACTCAATAAAGTTCCCGAACCTTTATCAATCGAACAAATTGAACAACGACTTGCCGAATTACGAGGATGTGATGTTGAAGTTATTCGAAACCCTCGAAGTTATTTCGAAAATCCGAAAATGGATTACGATGCGAAAAATCCAAGAGATCTGATGAAAATAGCCGAAGATAGAGCTAGAATTGAAGAAAAAGAAGAGGAAGCTGAGAGAAAAGATTTGGATGAACTCGAAGCACGAAGACGAAAAATATTTGATAAGGAAAATGAAGAGAATAATGATGATGAAGATGATGATGGAAATGGAAATGGGAATATTAGGGAGTCAGTGGCTAGCGAATTTAGTATGGCAACACAAGATCAAATGAGAGAAATTGATGAGTTAGTCATTTTCGGGGGTTTTTAGACGACTGGGAAAAATCTGTTTATTTTTGAACATGAACAACAGATACTCGATTTTATTCCAAAATTTATAACCGATATTTTCAAATAATCGGAACCTGAAGCATTTAACTTCTACCTTTTTAATAAAATCAGTTCATTTAAAAATGGATTTTCACGGTTCACGTCATAAAAATCGAAATTTTCGAAAATTTTATTTTTTTTGATTTTCAAAATTTTTGAATTTTATTTTTAATATTATTTTTACTGAAAATTGTTCGATTTCTTTGAATGAAATATATATTCTTGTCAGTATGCTCCAAGATGCTGAGAAAAAAGTGGCCGACACAAAAAAACAAGAAAATATCGATTCATCGGAACTTCGGGAACTTATGGCTATAACTCGACAAAAATCATTGGATGCAATGCAATGGAACAATAAAATAAGCAAAGAAATTGGTGGTTTTTGGGATCGACAAAACGATAAACTAAAAGTTGAAGAAGATGAAGATGATGAAAAATCGCTAGATGAAGAGACTTTTAAGAAAATTATGTATGAAGCTGAAAATACACCGGATTTGCCAGCGGAAACGAAACAAAAAGATAGTCAAGATGTTCAGGAATCGCCCAAAAAACGAGGATTTTTCAATAAGTTTTTCAAAAAATAGCTGTACTCACCAATGTTTACTAGTCGATAACCAAAACTGTGATGATAAATTATACGAGTTACTTTATGTAGATAAAAATCTTTTATTACAAAAAATTAAAAAAATAAATATTTATATCACATGAGCACATATTTTTGGAAAATAGTAAGGCACAATTTCAATTTTTGTAAAAAAAAATTCGAAAAAAATCAAGGAACCCGGAATTATTCAGATAATCGGAAAAATATGAAAAAATCTAACTAATAAATCAGAATCAATGTTGTAATTCTTGTTGAGCTTTTTGCAATTTTCGCCGCAACACAATAATCAACCGTTTCTGTTTGTCGATTTCACCTCGCAATCGCTGTAGATCTTCACAATCACTGAAATCAGCTTGAGTCCAATTTGTCATTGCTGACATATTGGAAATTGTACGAGTTGAGCGAGGTGGAGCAACTGGACCACCATTTGATTGAAGTCTGAAAATATGAATATAGATTTTTGTCTAAATCAAGCTATATATCAGTTTTACAGGCAAATTTACAGTAAACTTGAAATTATCTTTGAAATGGATAATTCACATCACTACAAAAAGCATGCAAAACTCAAAAAAAGAAAGCACCTCTCATAATCCGCTTTGACTTGTGACATTTCTTCTCGAATCATTTCCAATTGTTGTAAATCGTTGCCACGTCTAAAATTCATGGTTAGTCAAAAAACATGCACATGCCAACACTTTTTTTAGAAATATGTATAAAAGCCTTACCGTTTTTCAGCATTTTCCAATTGTGTTTTTTGTTCGTCGAGTTTAGTTTCGAGTTTTGCAACAGCAGCTTGATAGTCAGATGCTAGTCGGGTTTTTTCGAGCGACACACTAAATTGGTTATTGTCATTTAATTAATTAATTAATTAATTGAGGCTTATCTAGGTTGACTTACTTTTTGAGTCTTTCCTCGAATTGTTTCGTTACTTGTTCTCTTTCAGATTGTACAAGCTTCTCAGTTGTTGAATGTGATTTCAATAATTCACCAGCAAGTCTCGCATTTTCAGCTACAAGTTCAGCAGAACCACTTCCTTCTTTTCGAAGTTTGTCAAGATCTTCTTCCAATTTCTTATTTTCTTTTCTCAATTCTTCAACCCGATTTGTTTCATCTTTCAGAAGTTTTGTCATATCTTGCACATTATTAATCAGAGATTCATTGGTTTTGTTCACTTCAATTAACTTTGCATCGTGTGTTTTCTGAAGTTCGGCAAGTTTTGATTCTGAACTTCGAATTTGATCTTGCAATGCATCAGTTTCTTCACGATGTTTTACAAGTTCTTTTTGTTGATCTTCAATAACTTGCTCTAATGAATTTTGTTCAGTATTTGATTTTTTGATTTCTTCGCGTAAAATATCGGTCTCTTTTTTGTGATCTTCCAACATTTTATCAAACTTCTTTTTGTTTTCCTCTTGCAATTCTCCAATTTTACTTTCCATATTTCCACCAAATAAAATCTGCATTTCTTTCAAACGATGTAATTCTTCTTCTGCGAATTTGAGTTCTTCAGTTGCTTCATCGTATTTTGCTTGAAGTTCTTCTAATTTTTCTCTCAATTGTTTTGACAACTTTGTTAATTCTTCATTTTCTGCTGTCAATGATACATTCTTCGATTTCAATGATGCAAGTTCCAAACTCATTTCTTCTGATTTATCTTGTTGTTCTCTAACTTCTTTCAATAATTCAGATTTCATTTCATCTTGAGATCCGATAAATTTACATTGATCATCTTGAAGTTGTTCAATGCGTTTTTTCGAAAATTCCAATTCTCTATGAAGAGTTTCAATTTTTTCTTTGACTTCTTTGTTTTCTCTTTCAAGCGATATATTTGATTCCATAGTTTCAGATCGAAGTTTTGTGAGAGTTTCCATTGATTCTCGTTTTATTTCATCTTTTTCTTGTTTTGATTTTTCAATCAGATCTTCGAAATGTTTTTTCTCTGCTTCAAAGCGTTGTGAAATTGTATCTTGATTTGATTGAATAATTTCAACTCTTTTCACTTGATGCTCAATATCACTTTCAGCTTTTTCAGCTCTCTGTTTCCATTGTGCAGCATCATCTTGTTGAGTATATAATTCATCTCGTAGTTTTCTCATTTCACCTTGTAATGTTCTAACTTCTTCTTCATATTGGCTATTTTCTTGACGTACAGAGTTCAATGAGCTCATGAGAGTTGTGATTTCATCAGCGACCGACATTTTTGATGCTGAATCTTGTTTTCGAATATCTTCTCGAAGTTCTTCGACGGATGATTCAAGACTTTTGATTTTCTCTTTGTCAGCGGCAAGTTGAAGTTTCAAAGTGAGGCTGAAAAGTTCAAATTTAGAAATGTAACATTAAAAACCATTCAACTTACACTTGATCATTGAGTTCTGATTTTTCTTCATTTGCTTTTGAAATTTGTTCTTCTAACTCAGTTTTTTGTCCAATGTCAGCTCCCAATCTTTCATAAACTTGTTTCATTTCTCCATCTTTGTCTTTTAATTGACTCTCCATTTTTTGCAATCTCACTTGAGCCAACTGATATCTTTCTTCTGATTTTGCTAGTTCAATTTTCAACAACTCGATTTGTTCATTCGAATCTCCTCTTGCTGCAAGCTGTGCTTCCAATTGTTGTTCTTTTCTTTCTGCTGTCTGTGCTCGATTTTCCATTGCTTTCAGATCTGATTCAGCTTGTTGTGCTCTCGATTCTGCTGACAAAACTTCAACTCTGATTTTCTAAAAAAAAAATTTACTTGAAAGTTTTTATCCATCCATGTTTAATTTGAACTTACATCAATTTTAGCATCTTTATCTTTCAACGTTGCTTCCAATATCCGATTTTTCTCTTTTTCTTCATCTAGTTCTTTGCTACTACTTGCTTCACTTGTTTCTTTCAATGTTTGGAGTTGTGTATTTTGAGTTCGAAGTGTAATTGCATCTTCTTCAAATTCTCCGATTTTTGATTTAAGTCGACTCAGCGCTTCTTCGGATGTATGAAGAGCACTTTTTAGTTCTTCAGTTTGAGACATGATCCGATCTTTTTGTGATTTTTCATCTTGCAAAAGTTTTTCAACTGTTTCAAGTCTTTGTTGAACTTGTTCAAGTTTTTGTTTTGTAACTTCATTCACCGATGATGCATCTTTCAATCTCATAATTTCTGATTGTTTTTCAACAATATCACTCGTAGAATTAGCCAACTTCTTTCTTAATTCATCATTCTCATTTCTCACTCTTTCAAGATCTTCATTAACACTTTTACTCGAATCAGATTTGGCCAACATAAGTGATTGTATTGAAGCTGATTTGATATCAACTTGTCTTTGAAGATTTTCGATCTCTTCCTCCATTTTCTCTTTATCCTTGTCACCAGTTTCCATATCTCTTTTAATTTTTGACACTTCCGACATTAATCTTGATGATTCGGCAGAACTCGAAATTTTTTCCGCCTCCAATTCTCTTTTCAACGATGAAACTTCTAATTTCAATCGATCAACTTCTTGCTGATCTCCAGCATCAGCTAATTGTGCAATCATTGAATTGATTTGCATAAATAGTTCTTGTTTTTCAGATTGTTCTCTATCAAGTTGACGACGAAGTTCTTGTTTTTCAGCTTGAAGAGTAAGAACATCTTGAGGTGTTTTTGACATCCACATTGCGCTGTAATATTCAACTATAATCCCTCTTATAAAACACGAAATCACTGAATCTCTCAAAACTTGAAAATCCAAAAAATACTATAACCCCAATTTGAACTAAACTAGAAAAAGTTATCAAAAATTATAAAATGAGAGTTTATCGCGTGTCATCACGCTATCTAACACACCGGATATTTGTGAGTCTTTTCGATTAAAAGCTTTTACACATGAATATTTTTATTTATTATTTTTTCGTAGAATTTTCTTTCAGACACACATTTCCGATTTTTTCCATTTATTCATTTTTTCTAGTTTCTAGTAATTGAAGAAAAACTAAACTAACCGATCACTATCTGCTTTCGCTGTTTGTTTTCTTAATTGCTCGACTTCATTAACCCGCTCCTTGAGTTGTTTCTGCAAAAAAACACAAATATTTTTCTTGACCTTCTAAATATTGTTTTTTGTTACATCATCTGCCGACGTCGACGGTTCGACAACCGAATTGAAAAACGAAGTTAGTGTGTTAATTTTGATGCAATCCGGCTTAGAATTTGCACAAGTTTGTTAGTACTGTAATTGTGGGAAAATGTATTTATAAATACTACAAAGTTCATGAAATGAATATGATGATAATATATAAAATGAAAATAACAGAGATAGAAAACCGGTTATTTATTTACTTTTCTGAAAAAATACAGATTGAAATGAATGATAGATAGGTCATGTGTTTTCAGAAAACTTGGACGATTTTTTGGGGATTTGTTTAGAACTTTGAGATGCTTCAAAACTATTTCTAACAAGATTTTTATTTTTGGAATTCAATTTTTAAACTAAAATTTGAGAGACGAACTCTAATTTTGAAATCCCTACTCTGAAATATTAAAAAATATATTTTTCAAAAGTCCTGAAAATTTTGAAATGTGTATTTCAAAATTATTTCGAAATGAAAAATAAGTCACGTTTTCCTACTCACAATTAATTCTGGATTAGGAAATTTTTATTATTTTGAAACTAGTAGGTCAAAAAATCCTCTTCATCTTCTTTTTTTTCTCAAGAGATCTCGAAGCAGATAAATCTTTCTTTGAAAAAAAGATGAGGGTGGATTATGTTAATTTTTCATGAATTTAGAATTTGAGAATTTTTGGAAACGACACAAACTTTGAGAAAAGTAAATAGAAGTCAACAACTTTTCCAAACACAAGTAGGAATAAGTAGATTGATCAACAAAAAAGTACAGAATTGTATGTATTAGTAACATTCAGAAAAAAAGAAAGAAATTCAAAAAAGGCAAAAATTATGAGTCATGTCATGTGGAGAACAGAACATTTTTCAAAAATGTCATAGAAATAGCAAAAATTCTCCCCCATTCCATTAAAAATGACAAAAAATCTCTCGGACAACCGGCTGCACGGTATTCTAAAAAGAAAAGGAGAGGGAAAAATCGAGGGAAAAGACAAATAAGAGAGAAAGAGAAAGAGAGAGGGAATAAAGAAAATCAATACCAGGTGAGGGAGACGCAAAATCTCGCGCACCTCCTTTTTTAGTGTATTTATGTATGTGACCTGTTCCTTTTTTTCCGGAACATCTAGACTCATTCTTTCTCTTTTCCTTTTATTCATCTAATAAGTGGATGCTCTTGACAACGACTCTAACATAGAAAAATAGAAAAAACAAAACAAGGAAACATGCATACACATTTTCAGATTTTTGTGTGACACAAATATTGCAAAACAAAAAAATGTATATAGTTTTTGGAGAAAGGGTGTACTTTTATGTAAATGTGTGTTGGAAATGAATCGATAAGCGAGACAGTGATAACAACAGCAATAACACAAAAATTTTGAGAATGGAACGGGGAGGGAAAGAGGAGTACTGTAGATAAATTATTTTTAAAAAACTAGACGTTTTGAGATTCCAATTCACGATGGTTACAGTAATCCTAAGAGTTCTGAGAATATTCAATAAGATATTCACATTCTGAACTATCAAGAGTTATTCAGCATTCCTATTTTTACCCACCTTTTTCTATTTTTCGAGTTCCGAATATTATTTATCAATAACAATAAAAATGAATGTTTATAGAAATCAGCATGGAAGGTGGAAAAATGTACGAAGAGTATCGAATTAGCGAAGTTTGTTTATATTTTTCAATTAATAATAAATTGTATCAAATTTCAGTTAGTAAATGAAACCTTGACCAAAGTGATCGACAAAGCCCAGCACAATCATGAACGTTTATCATCAATAAAAAGTAGGAACCAAGTTCCTTTTGAAGTTTCAAACAGTTTTTTTGTAGAACTACAATCGATAGAAGAAGTACACGAATATGAACAATTGTCAAAAGATTTAGAAGAGGAATATCGAAAAAGTGTGCAAGTTATTGAAGATACTTTTGAACCTGCTAGAACTCATTGGATTCAATTACAAAAATCGAATAAACAAGGATTGGCAATAAGAAGTTGTTTTTTGTTAATGTTGGAAAAATATCCACATGTTAGACCAATTTGGGGATTTGGGAAAACTATCGATGATGGAAAAGATGATGCTTGGAAACCTGAATTGGTTGAAGATTTTTATTTTCGGTGAGTTTTTTCTATTCCGTAATTAAAATCAAATCTCATTATTTTTAGTCATCACTGCGCCTCATTACAAGCCGCAATGAATATGATAATTAAAAATAAGGACGATCGGAATGGTCTTCGTCGAATGTTAAATGAGATGGGAGGCCATCATTTTTTCTATGATGCGTGCGAACCTCATTTTGAGATTTTTCGAGAATGTTTTTTGGCTGGGATGAAAATGGTTTTGAATGGTGGTGATGCTTTAGATGAGGAAATTGAACAATCTTGGATTATGGTAAAATATACAAATTTTAGAAAATACTATAGTTGTTTTGTAGCTTTTGGAAACAATTCGAACTCATATGAGTGAAGGAATTGAGATTCAACGTCTCAATTATCTTTCTCAAACAATTATTCCAGCTGAAATGGATGAGGTAAAAGAACATTGGAAACGTGTTAGAGAGTTTGGACTGGAAAAAGCTGGAATAATTCTATGTGACGTGGCATGTAAGAAATATAAAGAGCTAATTCGAAGTCACAATCTTCGAATGAAATTGCCAAGCGGAGCAGAAAAGGGGTCAACAAGTTATAAATTATTGGCATCACAAATTGTTCAAGCATTTGATCAAACTATTGAATCGTATCGAGTTGAAGATGGATTTTGTGGATTAGTTGAAAATATTCGAGATTTTGTTGTAACATTTTTAGTGGTTGATGTTTCTCCTCCTCTTATGCGACGTGCAATCATCGAAGGTATGTTTTTTTTGTTGAAAAACTATTTTTTTTCTAAATTTCAGGACTTGTATTCATGCTATCTCAAGTTCTTCGTATTAGTCACGTTAAAGAAGATTTTGTGCATATTTGGAATAAAATCTATCGAGTTATGGAACAAGCTATGATTGCAAATATTATCGATTATTAAATTGACATGAGTATATAAAAATGTATAAACTATTTGTATATAAATTTAACTAACCTTGGTTTCTGTCAGCTCTTTTTTTATCGCCTGATTTCCACTGTTTGCTAGAATTTTGAGCTGTTGATTTAGACGATGATTCTGAAAATGACTTAGATTTTCATTTATTAATTCAAAAGGTTGGAATAATATTGAGCCATCAATCTGATCTTCTTCCATGAAACGTTGAGAAAACATACACAAGATTGTGCTTCGGTCAATTCTCTTTCCAATCGAACAACTAATGCTGTTTCCCTTTCCGCCATAATAGAATCTTCTACACTTTGTGATTTCCTCACCGAACTCGGATTATTGTTACTATTATATCTAACAATTTGTTCAGACATTGACATAATTTGCGAACTGTCACTTGCCACACTTCCATGATCATCGGATGTTCGTCTTGACGATCCAAGACTTATATTATCCAGAGCCATGTGCTAAAAAAAAAGAACATATTTTAGAATTACTGTTGAACAGCTGATCGATTATTTTCCAACGATGATGAGAAAAAAAACATTTGATTGAACAAATAAAAACAAGCCAAAAAAGATGGGATAAATGAATGATTGATATATGAATTATCAATTGAGAAGAGAGACAGAGGAAAAATACAAAAATTCTAGTTTTTCTTTTTTTTTCTCATCGGAGGCAAAAAATCGAATCGAATGAATGATAAAATAATTTGTAAGTGACTGCGCAAAGGTATAGTAGTAGAATAATTAAGTTAGTGAATCACATTACACTCACAATGAAGTTCGTTTTTTTTGTATTTTTCGTATAGTTGTTATATGATAATTATTTTTGACTTGGCTTGGGATTTTTTTTTGAAAACTGGTTTATCAAATAGAAAGTTGATAGACAAGTAATTTATGGTTTCTAAAAGATTTCGAAACTTACCCTGTCATTTTCAATATTCTCCATTCTTCTCGCTTCTCTTAATGTTGGTGTTCTCGAACTTTCGAAATATTTCCAATCAGTTTTACAAGACCAACTTTCGTTTGAAATTGATGATGGAGGAAAAACTAAAAACAATTCCCATGAATCATAAAATTATCAAATATAATCGAATTATACCTTTTTGTCGGCTGCTCACATTAATTGTTAATGATGGAGAATATCGATCGAATCGAGTTATCAAATGTGTTTTCGGTGTTTTTTGAATTGGATTTGATTCTTCTGGTGGACCAGAATTTATCCAAATCGGACGTGGACTTATTTTGACAGCTTTCGCATAACTTGGAGGAGGTAGAACTCTAACCCGAGGAACTTCTTGAAGTGTAACTCGCCGAATTGAATGTATACTATCATCTGAACTTGTTGTTGGAGTTTCGAAAATGTGCAGATTTTTTCTGGGGTTATAGTGATTCTCATCAGGAGTGGTGTCTACAAAAATTTGTCGGCGTTTTCGAACAATTCCGTTTGGAATGTTTTCATCTGGCGAAGTTGAGGGATTGAAATAAGAAAACATGTTCGATGGTTGTGCCCAATTAAAGGTTGTTCCAATCATTTTATTGGAAGTCTGCAAAAAAGAATGAAAAATTAACAAAACATGGTACAAAATTGATACACGTTTAAAGGGTTTGTAAGACCACAAAAAATATTTACAAGTTTTTTTGGAGGTATCGTGCACTATGTACACAAATGATATTCATATTTATATTTATGTATGTATTTGTATGTGCATTCAAATATTTATTACTATTTTTTGTGTCTTTCTACATACATTTATGTGAGAATAAAAACAGTGACAAACAAAAAAATTTGGAAGAAAAAGTGCCTCTTTTGCAAAAATTTTAGTTGTGAGAAAATAGACAATAGGATTGCGCAACACACAGACATGTTTTTTTCGGCTTTTTGAGGCGCCGTTAGGGAGAAAAATGCATTTGTTATGTATTTACTCATTAGTGATAAAATTTTGGAGTGATAGAGGAAACAAGGAAAAATAGTGTGGTATGAGTAGGGAAAACAGAGAAGAATAAGGTCAATTTTGGAACTTTAGTAAATGGAAAAATCTAGATTGAAAAGTTGTGAACTGGACCTGAATTGTCAGACATCCAAAATTGTTCCTCTTGAATGATTCAGAGCTTGAAAATGTTGCATTATGATAAACGATTTTTGAAATCGTCGGAGAGAAACGTCAGAAGAAATACATTGAATTTCGAAAAAAAAAAAAAAAACATTTTCTCCAAAATCAAAGAGTGAAGAATGTCAGAGTTTGACGAACTGATTTCGATGGAAAAATAATAACAGTGAATTTGAAATTTTTCTAATTTCATTCGATCCACGGACAATCAAATTCGAGTTAGACACCATGTATCAATGATTAAAAGTTTCTGAAAATTCTAGAGAATCCTAGAAATTTTCAAAAATCAATTTTGCAAAAAAAATAAATCAAATCAAAACAAAAAATTCGGGGTCCTATCCATACAGCCAAACACAATGCTTTTTCTCGCCATACAAATGCAATTTCTTTGCTCACCTTGCCCTCCAAAAATGAATCGTCTACATCTCTCGATCCCACACACTCTCTCCTCGCGCTTCTGTCGGTCTCTATTTTTGATCGTCATTCTGATCATGATGCATACATACTTTTTGGGCGCTAGCAAAAAAAGGAATTTTTTGAATGCAAATGGTGTGAATTTTTTGACGGAAAGAAAAAAGTGTTGATTTTATTTTATTCTCTTTAGAAAAAAGTGGATCAGTGTTGATTTATTTTCCAATTAGATTTATTTCTTGTACTTTTCAATTCAATAAGGGTGTGGTCTCGAAATGTTTTTTTCCCGAGAAAAAGCGAAACTTTTTTGAAATTATTTACTTGTAAGATTAACTTGTTGTAGACTCCGACAAAACACTGTTAAACATAAAGTTTTGTTATCATTTCGGGGGTCACTTTTCACATATATATTTGTCGGTGTTGTTATCATTTTATGGTTTTCAAAAGATAGGAGATATATTATTGTAAATATTTTAAATATTTATTGATGGAGAAATTGAATTTTTTAGAAAAAGGTTAGTTGGATTAACAATTTCTATTGATTTTCATCCAATTTCAGAAAAAATAGAGCATAGCGATGATCTTCTTCGAATGGGAAAATATGCTATTCTTGTTTGTATTTTTACTGAAATTGCAATGCTTTCACAACTTTCGAATACAATGTTTATGATTTATGCTGGTTCAACTCCACAGATTCTATCATGTCACTCTGGAAATCTAACATTCTCTTCAAATTTAGAAGCCTGTCAAGAAGAAAACTGGAAAATTTGTCAGAATCACAGTTCACAGATTACTTTTGATCGACAGTTTTATGGTATCACTGAACAATTTTTGTTATTTTGTGATGATGCAAAATTGGAAAAATTAGGAATTTCAATTCAAATGTTTGGTTTAATGTTGGGATGTTTGGTTTTTGGACAAATTGCGGATTCATATGGCAGGAGAATTGTAATGCAACATTTCGAAATAATTTAAACAAATTTAAAACATACATTTTCAGCCAATGCTAATTTGTCTGATAATGTGTACAATTTTTGGAATCTTATCAGCTTTTGCTAATAATTTTTGGATATTCACAGCTCTTCGAACAATTCTTTCTTTTTTCAATGGTGGACAGTGCACGTAAGATTTTTCATTTTTTTTTCTTCAAATAAACAGACAATTTCAGAGTTTCAGTAGTATATATGATTGAAAATGTTCCAAAAAAGTCACGAATGTATTTGTCTACATTGATTAGTTTTTCACCAAATGTCATTTTGCTTGGAATTTTGGCTTGGTTTTTCCAAAAATGGGATCATCTCGCAATTGTTATATCTGTGCTCATATTGCCTTCTGTTATTATTATAAGTGGGTAAGTAAATCAAAAAAGTGGAAACTTCAGTTGACTTGTTCCTAGTAGTCGAAAAATGTTCCAGATTTCTTCACGAAAGTCCACGTTGGCTCATGCAGAAAGGGAAAATCGATGAAGCTCAAAAAACAATTTTAAAAATCAATAAGTTCGATGGCTCAAAATCTAGAAAATTAGATCCTGTAGCCTTATCTGAAATACTGAAAAATGAGCATGCACAGTTTTCCGAAAATAGCTCGAAAACACAACATAGTTTTAAAGATCTTGTGAGCACAAAACAGACTGCGATTGGAACTTTTGTGATAGGATTTACATTGTGAGTTTTTGAAAACCTGATGAAGATAAAACTTCAATGTGAAACTTGAACTATTTTTTCAGTTTTTCCACAACTTTTATAAATTATGCAAACATGTTTAATCTTGGTTCAATATCAGGCTCAATTTATATGAACTCAATAATGATTGGTTCACTTCGATATTCAGTTAGTATATTTTGCGGATTTCTGGATTTCAAATATTTGTGCTTCAATCGAAAAATATCACATGGTTTGTGCAGTTTAATGACAATTTGTGCAATTTTAGTGACTATTTTGATAAAAGTTTCTGGAGAATCAGAAGCTTTTGGGATAATTGTACGATTCTGTGTGTTACTGTCATGCACAATGACATCACAGGTGAGATTACTGTTGTTTTTTATCAGTGAGAAGATTTTCCAGGCTATAATAGTTGCAAGTGTGACATGCAATGAACTAATGCCAACTGCAATTCGATCTCTTGCTTATTCAGTTGCTCAACTTTCATCAAGATTCGGAATTGTTTTATCTCCTCATTTATTCTTTTTACATCTTTATATAGGAGATGGTCTTGATATTCTACCATATTTGATTGCTTTACTTTTTGCAGTGGCTGATTTGATTTTCTTTAAGGTTGGTTTGAGGCTAACTTCAAATAATTACACTTTTTTACAGTACCTCATACCGGAGACGAAAAATAAACCACTGGAGGATCATATTAGAAAATGATTGAATCTGAAGGAAGAATTAAATTTTAGAGAAAAATATATCAATGAAGCGTTTATTTTTCGGAGAAAAAACATTTATCTATTTTCCGAACATGTATCCTCCCCATCCCCACGATCTTCTGAATCCACCATATCCGAATGGTCCTAGAATTAGCTTGATATTATGGAGATCCAAAACAAAAACACTTACTATAACCATATCCATAGCCACCGTATCCACCATAACCGCCCCACCATTGGGAACTAACGATTGAAACCAAACAGAGGATGACCAACAAAACAAGAAGAACGGTTGATTGGAACATTTTTAAAGGTTGTGTTGAGAACATGATGATTTTGCGCGCTTTTTATACTATCTGAAATTGTGAAGTTTGTTCCGATGGTTTAAGTGAGACGAGTATTTTTTCTTTACAATTTCCTGGGGTCAGAGAAACAATATTTATAACAGAAGGTCGTGAAATTATGACTTTAACATAAATTTCAATTACTTTAATAAACTTACATTCAGAATTAACTTATGCGGTTGTTGAAACTCGAAATAACAAAAAAAACACTGATTTACCTCAAAATCTTCTCTCTGAAATCGACGAAATTCAAGAAATGTAAGATTTTTTGTTTTTTCTGTATTTCTAGCACACTAGACTACTTACAACAAAAAGCTATAATTATACACTTCTCTTCTCAGAATCAGCATAAACAGAAAGATCATAATCGTGTTTTTCCATCTCAAAATCAAACTCTCATAAATTTTTCCATATGTCAACTGATACTGAAATTTATATTTTGGATCATTATGAAATTGAAAATCTTCTATCATTATCGCTTTTATCTGTTAGTTTATCAACAATCATAAATATGATGGGTTTTCACATGTTATTTTTTTATTCGAAAAAAGAAAATAAATCCTATAGAATCAATGTTTTTATTTCCCAAATTTCATTATATTTTTCACAAGTTTTTTGGGGAACTTGCCAGTGTACAATTCCACTCTTACCTTTTCCTGGTTTTATTTCTCTTGGATTTTTGAAAAATATTTTTTCAACAATGATTTTATGTTTGATTTGGGCTCCATTTTTTGGAATATATACTCTTTCAATAATTTTAACACTTTTGGTTCGATTGAGTATCATTGAAAATTATAATAACAGAAATCAAATACATACATATTTTTACATTTTCATAATTTTTCTAATCGGATTTTTTGCGATGTTTGCAATATTCATTTGTATTTATTTGAATGACAATGATGTGATGGAATTCATGAAGAAAAACTATCCGAAAAATATAGAAATTGTGAAAATTCCCGGGATTTATATTATCGCCAACAATACCATAATTGCTGTATGTTGTTTATCAGCAGTCGGAGTGTTCATCGCTATAATAATTGTAAGTTCCGATGTTTTTGTTTCGTTGTCGTATGTTTTTTCCACAATACAAAATTAGTGATTCACAGCTTTACATATCAATTTGCTATCGTATTTTCGATCAAGTTAGATCACAACAAAACAAGATGAGCAGAATTCAAAAAAATCACCAAAGAAAAGTTTTGATAGAATTATCAATTCAAACGATTATAAAACTTCTATCAGTTGGAATTTACGCATTTTGGTGGGCATTTTTATTCGTTTTCCGTCCAAACGGTAATCTAAACTGTGAGTCTGATGAAAGCATATAGCGATGTATATAAGAGTGTTACAGTTTTCACGCTTATTTCTCACACAACTTTCGTTGCTGCTCCAATTCCTGGAACACTTTTCATGTTATTCAAACACCCGACATATTTTCGAAGATCAAAAATAAAATCGATCACTTCTACAATAATGTTCATGAGATCTTCAGTTGTTCATCATCAATAAACATTTTCAAAAAGAAGAAACAATTTATTATAGTTGAAGAAAAAAACAATATATACAGGGTTTTGTTTTGGGTTGATTATCGTCCCCACATTCCCATACCTCCCATTCCTCCCATTCCTCCGTATCCTCCTCTCATTCCATACATTCCCATCCCACGCCCATATCCGCCACCGTATCCACCTGAAAAATACATTTGTTAACAAATACAAGTAGATAAAATAAAATGTTACTTACCGTATCTTCTGCCATATCCACCCATACCGTATCCTCTCATTCCATATCCGCCCCATTGAGCATCAGCAACTCCGAAAGCACAAACCAAAACGATCAAAAGAATAAGGAAATTGGTTGATGAAGACATATTTGTTTCGAATCTGACACTTATTTGGACAGGTCACACTTTTATATCAACCCGTTTTTCGGTTGACCTTCTTCGAAACATAACTTCAACGCCTACTTTTTCTCTTTAAAAATTACCAGTTCGTCAAAGTTGGGATGACGTATCTTATCAGAAAATTGAAAACGGTCGAGAAAAATAATAATTAATGTTGATGAAACATCAAAACCCAGTGACGATCAAGAGATCGTTTTCAGATGACCTTCAAATCCAGGAAACCAATTTTGAAAATGGCCTTGAAATTTTCACAGTGGGGCAAATGTATGAAGATTGGAAATTTGTTATGGGAACACATAATGCTGTAAAGAGTTAACGCTTAAAAATTGGAGTACATATTGTATTATTTTCAAAAATGTTTAGGAAATTTGGTTAACATTTTTAGGAAAAAATTCAATATATTTACTGAACCAGGCAATATCAATATTATTTCGGGTCCCCAACTCAAATTTTTGTATCTTTTCAAATATCTCTTTAAAAATTTTATGATTTTTAAATATTTTTAAAAGTGAATTGGAACGACCAATAATCAAACTTTTATTACAGCAGCTTCAAACTGTGTATAAAAAATACAGATAATTCATTTCCTAAACAATTTTAAAATCCCATAAACGTGTTTCGATAAAATCTTGCATAAAATATAAAAGACATCGGCAATGTTGAGTCGAATAATAAATAATCTTCAACAATCTTCTCTTCGTGTTCTTATTTTTCGAAAAAATAGAATAACTTTTTAGTATGGAAAAAAGACGAAAAAGAGATCAGTTTCCACGAAAAAACGGTCAAAACTTTTTGTATTCATGCGTTTTATTCACTTTTTATTACTTGTGGGTTTTGTGCTTTTTCTAATTATCAATGTTATTTTGACTATTTATTCCATGTTTCATTGTGTGAGTTTGAATTTTGAAAATGCTTCATTTTTGCTGAAACATTATTCACGTGAACTTTGACGTGGTAGCTAGATCGTTTCTAGAAACATTATTTCGAAAATAATGTTATTAAAAAATTGTCAGGAGATTTTCAATGTGCCTGATTCTCTTGACTAAAAAATCGAAAAGTAAACAATATTTTTCAGACCGTTGACATCGATGAAAATATTGATGAAGATCTTGCGAAATATTTTTGCCGAGTTGATTTATGCCTTCGCAATTCTTTCGAATATGATCTTTATGATCCATTCGATATCTTCTGGCGAAAACTACCGTATACTTTAAATTTATGTGGAACAAATGCTCAAATGAGTTTGGTCAAAATAGAAATGAAAAATGAATTGACAATTTATAAAGTTAATAATATGTTAGAACGAAAAAATCGAAAAGAAAAATGTGATGGAATGATCGTAAATATAGGAAAAAATAAAGAGGAATTGAATATTGGAAACTGTGCTATGAATTATTACGATTATTCAACTCATGAAACACTTGCTGGAATTTTACAGTCACACAACAAAAATCTAGATTTTCTTGTTATTTATCAAGCCGATTCTTTATCGTCTTCATATATTTTGTTTCAACATATCATCTCGAATTTCGATAATATTTGCCAAATCAATTTTGTCTATTCACTTCCCAAATATTCTGAAGAAAACGGGTTCCGCGAATCACTTCAAAAACTTCGAAAAGACTCCAAATTTCTACTTCTTGCCGGTTCAAAAGATCGCTTAAATATGCATCTCAATTTATTTTTTGTGAACATGAAGAATCGATATTGTAGGGAACGCTATCTTCGATATTTCACTTATTTTTAACTTTTAATAAATATTTATTTTTATTTTGACTTTGATTTTGAAAGTTTTTTCGTTGTTGGCTTCGGAAGTTTTTTGAATGCTTTGTGTTTATTTTTTTCAGCTTCTCGTTCGTCGCGAGCTTGCTTGATTTCATCTTCAAGATGCCATTTTGTATAGAGATCGTTCTGAAAATCTGATATAAGTTAGGATATAAAAAGTTGTTTTTAAAAACTCACAATTTGTCTTGCTGCACCATGTCCAATCGAATTTTTGTAATTCAAATAAGCCAACAACAAAAATGATCCAATTGCGATAATCACAAAGCCACCTGAAAGCAAAGTTATTTTTTGACTCCAATCAAAGTGAATATCTCACATTCTGAAACCAGTGTCCAATCGGTGTCAGTTTTTCTGACATAATGAAAACTAATTTGATATTTTTCCATTGTAATTTATATTTTGAAAATAAAAAAGAAATGATTACATTTGGGGGTTCTGAAATCAACATAGATCAATTTTGGGTCACGTAAAAAATTTAAAAATTTAAATCCATACTTCAAGTCCGATTAACACTAACAAGTCAATTTTTTCCCAACATGCCAATCGAATCTTGATTCTGATTCAAGTCAGTTTTTGAAACATTTTTGGACAACGTTGTTCAATGATTTTCTATCTTTCAACATCAATTCAATTTTTCTTCCTGTTTCGAACTTGTTTCATTCATTCATTTTTGTTTCCAGTGCGCCTCGCCCAGAACAGAATCAATATCACGATAATTTTGATTTTAATCCAGTCAAGGTCATTGATTGATCAAAATCGAAACGAACAACAACCCCAGCGGCGATTTTTCAGTTTTCTAAACTTTTTTTTCTCAAAATGATTAACCAACCGGTCTTTTATCACTTGTTGTACAACCTTTTCTATTTTTGTTGATTTTTTTTATTTTCGAAAAATGTGTTCTTTTTTTTTGAAAGTTGAAATAGAAATTGGGGTTGCAATTTTAATTTTGAAAATGGAAAGCGCGGATTTGTGACCAAATCCACGTGGATTTTAGGAGATTTCGGAGTTAATGCAAAAGCGAAGATAATTTATTACACTTTTTGGAACTTTTCAATATTCAAAACATCTACGGATATGATTTTCACTGAAGTCAGGGTAACATTTCTTTACTTTTCTTTCAAAATATTTTTCGAAGAAATCTTTAGTGGCCAAATTTCAATGGACTTCTAGATTTTGGTAATTTTTGGCTCTATTTTTGTGAAACCCGATTCAGAATTTTCTCAAAAAAGAAATCATAAAAAGGTTATGTTCAAAAAGCAACAATTGTTTTCTAGATTTGAAAACTATATTTTCAAATTAAAGTTGAGTACGCCTTGATTAAATTAGTACGTATTGATTAAGTGAGTACACCTTGATTAAACTCATTATAAGAACGTATTTCGGTGAATCATCTCACTTTACAACATCGAAAGACAACAAAAAAAACTAGGTTCAAAAACCGAAAATCGTTCAAAATTCTCCGCTTCGCTGAAATTTCCTCCACCCTCTTTCAAATTCTAATATTTTAATACCTATCTGACCCTGACTGACTATCCTATTTTTCATCCTCCAAAGAAACACGGGATGATTTCATTCATCTTTTTTCTCCACTTTTTTGTTGTTAACACCAAAAACCGAACATTGACTTCCGACTTTTGTCGGTTTCTGTTCGTTTTTCATCAGAAGACAAGAAAAAACAGATGAACTACGGTAGTATCTCCATTTTTTTGCCCACCCACCCACAATCTTTTCTCCTGTCCGAAAAAAAATAGATTAGTAAGACAATATTATTGTTGTTGTTATTGTTTTGTGATTATCTTACTGTATTACGTATTTTGATGCCGCCTGTTAGTCCAACGGTAAGACATTGAGTTGGAATAGTTAGACTTGAGACCAAAATAAATCTCACAATGAATATGAAAATGAGGTTGATTTTGTTGATCTATTTGTGAGAAATCAGGAAAAGTTATTTTGAATTTGGAATAATTTTAAAACCCCGGAGGATGTCAAATTGAACGAAAAATTTGAAAAAAAGAATGTATCGCCTAAAGAAGAAGCTCATAAAGGTATAGTTTGACCGAACCTCTGGTCATTCAAAATTATTTAAAGAGTTTGTACCAGTCGCCCTGAGTATGAGAAATTCTTCGAGTATTAGCAAAAAATATACTTATTATTCAAAATTCCTAAAAATTTCTAACCTTTCCCCCCAAACAACTTAAAAATGTGTGGACTAGCAAAAAATTCCGAAAAAAAATTCAAGAAAGTTATTTGAACTGTATTTCTGAAAATCTCAAATCCATTTCCTAAATTGATCCTACTCTTTAAACTCATAGAACACCCAAAATCCAATTTCAAAACTTTTAATTCATATTTCTCTCACTTCTTTCTCCCCCGTTTAAAAACCATAGTCCAAAGCGCGAAAACGTCGAACTATCAGATGGATATCAAAACACTTTATCAACGACCTACTTTTTCTCTTTTTTCATCCCTCCAAAAAACTGTTTTTGCAGGTAAACATGGAAGACGTCGACTTGGGAAAAGATCGAACCAATCTCATTGATTTTATTTATGGGGTTCGTACCAAAAATCCTATTGTTTCATTTAAAAAGTTTTGTTTTTCAGAAACGTGACCCGGCAGAATCAGTATCACCATCTGTAAACACGCCAGCTTTAAGTGTAAACTCGGAAAAACCAATTAGTCCAAAAAAGATCAAAGAAAGAAAAGAGAAAAAACCATCGAGTCGAGTCAGTTGTTCAACATGTGCTTGTTTTGTATTATTGTTGTTAACGATTGCTGCAATTTTATTCGCCGCATTTTTGGGACATCATTTAACAAAACAAAATAATGAAATGATGGCTGTTGGAAATGAAACTGCTCCTCTTGTGGCTTGTAAAAATATGTTAGTTGATATAATTTATTTTAAAAATACTCATGTATATCAAATATTTAGCACTCGAACTCATACAAAACAATATCGTCCAATAATTCATGAAGAAGATAATGATGAACAAGATGCAATTAATGAACCAACTGTCGAACAACTTGCTCTTCCAAAATCAATTCAACCACTTTCATATCAAGTTTCAATGTCACCAAATGGAACTGGAATTGCTACAGTAACTATGAATATCACCGAAGATACTAATACAATTGTTTTGAATTCAAAAGATATTCAAATTTCGGAAGGAATACAATTGTTGAAACCAATATCAAATCGAGTTAGAAGAGATGTTGAATCTGGAAGTGGTGAAGAACCAGAAGAGGAAGTAGCAGAAGAGAAAGAAGAGGATTCTGGAATCAAAGTGAAATCTGTTAATATCGATGAAAATCTTGAGAAAGTCACACTTGTTCTTGATGGAACTTTGAAAGCTGGCTCTCAAATTGTTGCGAAAATTCCATTTGCATCAAAAGGTTCCTCGAATACAAATGGTCTTCGCGAATACAAAATGAATAACAAAAGTATTTTCACAACTCAACCAAGTTATGCTTATATGAGACATGTTTTCCCTAGTTTTGATCAAGAATCATTCAAAGCTCCAGCTGGATTAACATTGACACATCAAAATGGAACTGTTGTTGTAGCAAATACTGAAGTTAAAACTCATATGGATGGGTGAGTTATTGAAAAATTGAAATTCTAAAGTTATCTTGAAGTTTTAAGAGATCAATTGGTTTCGACTCTTGATAAAACAATTGATCCAGATTTTGTTATTGGAGATTTGGTTTCAGCTGAAACAAATACATCTAGTGGAGTGACTGTAAGTTATTCATGATAAACTTTATCAAAATTATTTTTTATATTTCAAGATTCGTGTTTGGACTCGTCCTGAAGTACAACAAAATGCTCATCTTGTTCTCGAGTATGCCGACAAAGCTCTCGATGAATTGGAACATATTCTTCAATCTCGCCTTGAAACTCAAAAACTTGACATCATCGGAGTTCCGAATTTCCAACCAGGGAATCGTGTCAGCCGTGGATTCATTGTTCTACCAGAAGAAGATATTTTGTACAATGACAAGTCCAATTCGGTAACCCAAAAAGTCCGACTCGTTCGAACTTTGGCTAACAAAATAGCTGGACAATGGTTTGGTGGAATCACAAATCCAGAAGAATATGGAACATTTTGGTTGAATGATGCACTTCCAAGATTTTTAGAAATCGAAGCTGTCGAAAGAGTTCTCAACATTCCATCGGATGATTTGTGGACTCTTGAATTGGAAGAGGTTTTGGAAAAAGATGCAGCGAGCACAGCAAGACCACTTCGAGTCAAAAAAGTTCATTCATCAGCAGGAATCGCTTCGATTGATCATGAATTCCTTGGAGAAAAAGGAGCTGTTCTTTTGAGAATGATTGAAAAATCAATTGGAATGAATGATTTCATCAAAGGAATCAGAGTTAGTTTTTTTTCAAAAAAAAATGGTAAAGTTTGATAGACAAGTCTTTTTAGAACTTCGTGAGCTCTTATCGATCAAGTTATCCAAATGATGATGGATTATTGAAGTCACTTGAAAAAGCAATCAACAAAAAAATTGTTGGATGGGATGATGAGCCATTAGACATTTCAAAAGTTGTCAAAACTTGGGTTGATCAAATTGGATTCCCATTGGTTTCAGTCTCAAAATTGGATGAAGAAAATTTGGAGATCTCACAAAATAAATTTTACAATGATAATGAAACACCAGGAGATGTTGAATTCAAAAATGCGAAGTATTGGTTCAACTGGGAGGTTCCTTTGTTTATTGCACCAGAAGATAAAAATGTTAGCTGGTTGCATGAAAGTGAGTTGAATGAAAAATTGATATTGGAAATTGATTATGATTTTTTCAGCCATTCGTTTCCCACTCAATCAATCGGACACAATTCTTCTCAATTCTGAATCCAGTGGAATCTATCGTGTGAATTATGAACAAACCCGTTGGAACAAACTTGCTGAGCAACTGTCGGACAATTTTGCTCAATTCAAACCAGAAGGACGTGCTCGACTTTTATCAGATAGTTTTGCTTTGGCGAATTCTGGAATCATTCCATTTGAGGTCGCTTTGAATCTCACTACATATATTTCGAAAGAAACACACAATTTGCCATGGATTATTGCGGCTCGAAATTTTGCAGATTTGGTTAGAAAATTGGAAGATTCGCCACTTCAAGATAAACTTAACGTGAGTCCCTATTTTTAAAAACAAAATTAGAATGAAAAATTGTTTTAGGCTTGGATATACTCAAAAGTATCTGATAAATTTGAAAAACTTTCTGCCGATTCTGATGATTATTTGAGTTCACTTTTGTATGAGCAACTTATCGAATTATTATCATCAATCAAACCATTGAAATCCAATCATCAGCTGAACCAAATCTTCCAATCAAAATTCTTGGAGCCATGCCAAAACTCGAGCTACAGTAGTCAATGCTCAACAGTTCCAGCTCATCTTCGTGATGAAGTTTATTGTAATGGTGTTGAATTTGGAGATGATGATATTCTTGAACAAATCACACAATTCGCAGATGCTGAAATTGATGGACAAGAGAAAGATTCACTTGTTGATAGTTTGGCATGTTTCAGAGATCCAAGAGTTCTTCGAAGAATTATTCAACAAAATTTGAATAGTACAAGTAGAACTGTTCAATTGTTGAGAAACATGAATACAAGACCTGTTGGAAGAGAAGTTGCAACAAATTGGATTTTGGATAACTGGAGAGATTTGAAGAAGAAATTCAAGGATGATCCAGAATCTTTGAATCAAATTGTTGATGCTGGAATTGCTGTAGACAATGAGAGGGAAAGAAGTACAGTAAGTCTAGTTTCATTTGATGAGGAAAATCTTCCTAACCGTTTTTTAGCTTGAAACCTTCATCAATCAACATCACAAGAGTACACATCCATTGATTTCTAAACTTGATCGTAAGATTGAAGGAGCAACTTCGGATATTTATTGGAGAAAATCGAGAAATTCTGAAATTTCCGATTATTTGAATGGAAAATTCAAAGGGCCAGAGAAAGAACAAGTGAAAGATGAAGATAGTGAAGAAATGTAAATTTTTGAGGAAAAATCATTATTTTTTATTTTATTAAAGTGAATAAATAATTTAAATTAAATTAAACATGAAACGTGAAATTTATTCATTTTTAGAAAAATAGAAAATAGAAAATGAGAATATTTATCTATGTATATTTTTTATCACTAATCTTGATTGGAGTTTGTCATAAAGGTCATGATCACAATCAAAGAAACCACACACGACATGGAACGGTGGAAATAAGAGTTATAAAAGGTGGGAATTTCAATCTTTTTTATAGTTATGCAAAAAAGAATTCCAGAAGGCAAAATTTGGAAAGACGAAGATAAAAAATGTAATGAATTGTGTCCACCAATGTACAAATGCGTGAAAGTAGGTAACAAATATAAATGCGTTTATTGTAAGTTTGAGTAACTTTCTGGAGGCTACAAAAAATATAAAAATTTCTTGAAGTTCCGAGCTGTGCTGGTATGAAATGTGAGGCTGGTGAGGAATGTTACGAAACAGCTATTGAATGTGCACTAAATCCATGTCCAGTCGAAGCAAAATGTCGACCTTGGACATTACCTCCAACACCTGATTATCAACTTCCAGATGAAATTTATAGATGGATTGAGGAGTAATTGAGGATTTTTATGAATAAACTCGTTTTTTGACTAGACCAAAAAGAAAATTCGGAAATACTGAAAAACAAACTTATTTTTTCAACTTTGAAAAATTACTATTTGAAGCTTTTTCTGGATAAAATTCAAATGAATTTTCATTCTTAAATTCAAAAGTGTCACGTTTCAAATATTTTTGAATGAATGTAATTTTTCTCAAGTCGGAAAAATTAATTCTGAAGGTTTCAAACTTCAAAAAAGTTTCGGATATTTATTAAATTAATAAAAAAATCTATTATAAATTACATCGAATCGGCGAAATTATTTTCGACAGCATTGTCCATTTCCACACGGTGTGTAGTTCTGTTGACAAGTGCAAGTTTGGCTCGTGGCACTTTGTTCTTGGCATGGCATTTGTTGTTGATATTGAGTTTGAGTTTGAGTTTGAGATTGTTGATCACAAGCTCGTTGACAAGTATTCGAACAAGCTGATGAGCATTGCTGAGTTGGCTGATTTTGTTGAACACATTGCTGTTCGCAAGTTGATTGACATTGATTGTTACAATCCGAAGCTTGATTCAATGTTGTTTGCAATAAAATTGTGACGATTTTTGGAGCTGGAGCTTGTGTCGTGGTTGTAACTGGGATATAAGTTGGTTGATTTTCTTGACATTGATTTGTGCATTTCTGGCATTGTTGGCTTGCAGTTTGACATTGATTCGAGCATTGTGCTTGACATTTTGTGCAAGCTGTTGTGCACATTTGATTACATTCTGGTTGAGTTCCGCATTGATCTTGACATTGTTTTTGACAAGTTGCGCTAACTGCGATGTTCAATGTGATAATTTGAGTCACTGGGGCTTGTGTAGTACTTGTAGTCGTGGTTGTTGGGTTGCATTGAACATCACATTGATTATTGCAAGATATTTGTTGCTGTTGACAAGCACATTGGTTTTGGCAACTTTGAGATGTTCCACATTGCTGATTGCATTGAGTTGTGCATTGCTGATTTTGTTGCGAACATTGATCTTGGCATTTCTGGCTACAACTGATTTTTAAATTCAATGTGATAAGAGTTGGTGATTGTGTGGTTGTAGCTGGTTGTGTAAAACTTTGGACACACGAAGTTGTACAAGCTGATTGACAAGATTGCTGACATTGGTTAGTATACTGTGGCTGAGCCGAACACTGTTTTTGGCAAGATTGTTGACAAGCTGGTGCACATTGAGATGATTGAACTTGGATAGTTTGTTGGCTTTGGCTTTGATAATTGTTTTGATTTTGATTTTGATTTCCACACGAGCAAGAGGATGTTTTTTGAACTGGCGCAGAGTTTTGGCAAGAACACGAGAATTTTTGAGGTTGAGTGTAGGCGATTCTTTTGCATGAACAGGTTGGTTGAGCGGATTGAGATGAAGCGCATGAACATTGACGCTTTTCGCGAGCAATCTGAAGACACCATTTGTTTATTTTGAGGATTGTTTGTTTTTGTTAATTAGTGATGTGATGAGTGAAATGATTTTTGAGATGTCAATCAGCAACATGTGTTTGCTAGATAGATCAAGTGAACAATTCCGGAATGTATTTTTTGGTGAATTTTAGATTTTTTGTGGTTTTCAATAGATGCTTAGATTTGGAATAAAACATAACTCAACAATTTGGAAACTAATTTCAAAAGTTCATTCATGATTTTCTAGTAACACTTTTTAATTTCCGAGTATCGAGGTTGTTTAGAGAGACACAATTTTGAGAACTTATTAGAGACAGCCGAACTATGAACACTTATTTTAACCAACCAACTGTGAACTAATTTTTTCAAATACGGAAAAGTACATTTTCGAAGTTCTAACTAAAAAATTTGAAAAAATCAGAACAAGGTAATAAACAATTAACTGTTGATGTGAATAATTTTTTCTAACTCACCTCTCCACTTCCATTTTCTTCCTCAATCTCATCAATCTGATCCTTTTCCGCCAACACAGCCACCGCAACAAACAAAAGCCCAAAGATCAGAGCAGAACGCATAGTAATAATCTAAACAATAACAATAAGAAAAAGGAAGAAACGGGCGAATCTATTATCTAACTATGCGCATCCTCAACATTTATATAGTGAAACTCATACCGGAATGCAAAAAAAATGAAACTCGAACACTTATCAACATTCGGCATGCCGCAGGAAAAAAAGAGGGCGGCTCTTTGCGCAAACAAAAACATCGCGGACTGCGCACAGATTTTTTGCCTCGTCTTCCTGGTTGGAAAAATTATGAAGCTGAAGCTGAAACTCAAACAAAAAATATTGAAATGAATAGATGAATAGAAACATTTGTACCTGATGTTAATAACAAAAATGAAAACACATCGAAAAAAAAAAACACTGAAATAGATTTTTTTTTCGAACGTGAAAATATTCACGTGTTCCACATTTCAATGTTATTTAAAGCTAAAAATAGTGATTTTGGTCATTTTCTATGAGTGAAAAGGGTTTGGGTGCCTGATAAAAATTCCAATCGCAATTGAAACTTTTATTATAAAATAGGCATCAGTGTTATCCAATGAAGAAGAAGAACTTTTTCACGATTCAAACTCTTTGTTTGGCTCTTCTTGTTTTCAAGTTATGCTTTTATTATACAGGTATGTCCTTACAATAATTCTTCATAAAATCTCAATATTTTTCAGTAATACAAGAGCAAGTTTCTTCATTGATTCGAAATGATCATCCAATGATTTATTCTACAAATGATGTATATCTATTTGATCTTTGTTATACTACAGTAACTTGTATTTCCTGTCTTTGTACAATGGTTTTGGTGGCTCTTATAGCTTTGAAAAACTTGACATTTCGAAAATCATTTTTGATTTTTTCACTTGCTTTCAAGCTTTGCTTTGTTTTACCCGTAAATTTGTCTGGTTAGTTTTCTTTCGTTTAATTTTGATCTCATGGAAATATTACAGGTTTGTATATTGCATTTGAATCAAATGAATTGACTACAAGTGATAGGATTCAAAATGAATTCCAAAATGGAAATAGTTCAGTACTTGCAAATACAATTCGTTCCACATTTTGCTGTTGTGATTTACAGTCTGTTGTATTTGTTAATCGAACTGAAATAAACAATGAGAACAGTACTTATTTCGAGGATAACCCAGATGTTTGCATTCTCAAAAAGTGTCCAAAAAAGGATTATTTTTCTCCGTGCGATGAAAAGATTTTCAGTATGTTCAGACGAAAAACATTGGTAAGATTCAAACACAAATCAAAAAAATATAAATCGTATTTTTTAAAAAGATATTTTCGATCATTGGTGTGGTTTGCTCATTGATTTTCATTATTGTTGCTCCACTTTTATATTCTCGATATGAAAAAGATCGTCGTGTTGCAAGATCTTTGTATATTCGAGAATGGAGATCGAAACTGGGGAGACGTATTAATGGAAAACTGAATGTTATTGAAGAAACTACGCCACTGTTGTCTTCTTCATCAAAACATAAGAAAGTCACTGCTTCGCCAAGCACAGCAGATTCAACAAAATCAAAAAATGAGGATAGCAAAAAATGAATCGTTTATTTTTATTGTGTTTTGTTTCAAATTCAAAAATGTTGCCTTGAATGTTCAGTCATTGTGTTGTTTTTCACTGATACAACTGTTGACTCATATTTCCTCCAAAACTTTGTTCTTGCACGTAACTTCTTGTCAACAATCAGCAAAATTATAGGCCCACTATTTAAAAAAAATATGATGTCTTAAAATTATGTGAAAAATCATCTCACCTGACCATGTGAAAATCAGTTGCAAAAATATAAAAAACAGAATAGATTTCAGAAAACGTGGGATTTTCATCAAAAAATTGCTGGTCAAAAATGAATGAACCAACAGTGGGAACAAGAGATAATAAAAATCCCATAGATATAAAACTTGTCGAAATTGTCATTGATCTTTCAACACTTTTCATGTTTTTTGGTAATTTTTTAATAATTAAAAAATTTGTCAAAATAACAAATATAATTGAGGGAACAAGAAGAATTATACGAAAAGTTGAAGATCGAAGATATGGAATAAAATGAGTATAATTCATAGTTCCTTTTCCATCACGAAAAATTACATAAGCTGGTCCAGTTATTGTTGGAAATGAGAAAAATGCAGAAATAATTATTAAAAGTATAAGAATATGGGCGAAATATTGTTTCCAAAACTTTAGAAAAAACTTGAAATTAGGAATTATCTATTGACCTACAAAACTATGATTTACTGGGGTCATTACTGATGTGAATCTATTGGCACATAATGTGAAAGTCGATAGAATTTTCATATATTGGAAAAATATGTAAAAATAAAAATATGGACTAAAAATCCAAGAAGGTGTTGAAAATAAATTCATGATCAAATTACAATAGGGTGTGATATAATTTATCATTCTGATCAAACTATATATAATTAAAATATATATCACACTCTGAAAATTTTGGTAATTATTTATAATGAAATTGTTTATTACACTCACAACTATTCCATCCAGCCGATAAATTTTGTAGAATGAGTCACTGTACGTCGATGAAGATTTTTTAGTCAATGTTATCAAAATTTTAGCATAAATAAAAAGAAGAGGTATGATAATTAATAGTTGGGCTCCAAGTTGTAACAACTTTTCAGTTTCTGAAGATGAAGAACAAGTATTATTCATTTTTTTGTTGTGAATGAAAAAATATAGAAAGATGATTAGTAATGGTAGAATAGGTTAATTAATTCTTTGGTTTTTTTCAAAAGATAGACAACTTTATTATGCATAAGTTACAGACAAAAAAACTGGTTGAGATGTTGAACTGAAAATTATAAAATTCAACTCACGGAAGAATTGTTCAACCAATTCTGATCAATTTTTTAGGTCACCCAATTTTTTCAAAAAATTTTGTGTGAACGTTTATTAAATAATAAGGTCGTAATTTGCAATTATACTTCAAATAATTGTTAGACATACCTTTTTATACTTATTTACTAGTGTTTAGCACGAATCAATGCCCATTTAGTGGTTTCAGGAGAAAAAAATTTGTCAAAATACCTGAAAATTGAAGAAAATGTTGGTTTTCAACATACGGAGGGGGGATAGAAGAAAGGAAACGCCACCAAATTGACCAGAGTTGTTATATGTCTTATCTACGAGAGTTAAACTATATTTGAAACAAGTTTTATCGCGCTTAGTAACGATTAGACGCTATATTTATATGAAAATTCAAAAAAATTGCCCAAATATGCTTAAAAATGCTCATTCTAATTCTAGGAAGGGGGGTTACTTGAAAGAAACCACAATAAATTGAAACAAGATGATGTAAAATTGAATAAACAATAGTTTTACTGCATTTTGAACACATATCACCTTCTTGGCATCTGAAAATTTGGAAAAAAAAATGAAAAAAAAAATTTTTTTTCTAATTTTTTTCCTAATTTTTTTCTTCAATTTATTTTTGAAAAGTTAAGGCCCCCCCCCACAAAAATTTTTCAAAAGTTAACCCCCTTCCCTCCGGTTTCGGAGAGGTAGTTCATGTATGGTTTATTTTTTGAAATTTCATGAATTTTGATTTTTTAAATCCAAATTTTCCGATTTTCAAAACCAAAAAATCTGAAAATATTTTCGAAGTTTTCAATTTCGGATTTCAGCACTAAATTGGCTATAAGACTTTTTTATCTGGAATTCGTTCTTGAAGATTTAACGGTCTGCAACTTAACTTTGCATGCGGGGTTTTGAGTTAAAAAGCAGACCACCGTGGTCTGCAAATTAACTTTGCAAGGTACGTTGAGTTAAAAAGCAGACCACCGTGGTCTGCAAATTAACTTTGCAAGGTACGTTGAGTTAAAAAGCAGACCACCGTGGTCTGCAAATTAACTTTGCAAGATACGTTGAGTTAAAAAGCAGACCACCGTGGTCTGCAAATTAACTTTGCAAGGTACGTTGAGTTAAAAAGCAGACCACCGTGGTCTGCAAATTAACTTTGCAAGATACGTTGAGTTAAAAAGCAGACCACCGTGGTCTGCAAATTAACTTTGCAAGGTACGTTGAGTTAAAAAGCAGACCACCGTGGTCTGCAAATTAACTTTGCAAGGTACGTTGAGTTAAAAAGCAGACCACCGTGGTCTGCAAATTAACTTTGCATGAGGGGTTTTGACTAAATTAGTAGATAGTAGACAGTAGATAGATTTTATATCAAAATTTCTAGGATTTATTTAGACATTTTATGGTTTTTTTCAATATGAAAAGAAATAGGTTAGTAAATTAGTTTTCTGTTTTGCAGAAACATGGAGTTTTCTATAACAATATTCTTTGAAAATTCTTTTCTACATGGCTCGATCTTTTGAATTTCATTTCCAAATTGTTGAGTTCTTTCTAGTTTTGACAAAACACTTCAACATAATTCAATTATTTATTCTGGAATTTGTTTGTTTTTGCACCCAAATCATATTCGAGTCCACTTTTTTCCATGTCGTTGTTCGTTTTCGTAATTTTTTGTCAACAACCAATAAGACTATAGGGCCGCTAGAAAACATCTATTTCAAAAGATTTTTGACTCATAGTTAAATTACCTAATCATGTAGAAATCAGTGCAGAATAAGTATACGATTGAATAAATTGCAGAGAATGTGGGATTTTCATTCAAATAATTTTGATCTATCAAATAAATTCCAAAAACTGGAACTAGATTCAAAATAAATCCAAAAGATATGAAAAGTGTAGAAATAGACATAGAATTTTCAACATGTCTCATGTTTTTTGGTAATTTTTTGATTATCAAAATATTTGTTGCCATAACAAAAACAATCGAAGGAAGAAGAAGTGTTATTCGTAATGTATTCGGACCAATAAATGAAAAATTACGAACAATAGTCATAGTTCCTTTTCCATCTCGAAAAATAATATAAGCTGGACCTTGTAAAATGGGAAAAGAGCAAACTACAGAAATCAATATTTGAAGGAACAAAATATGCCAAAAATATGTTTTCCAAAACTGAAAAATGATCCATTCTACGCTTCAAGCTAATTGATATCAATACTTACATAAGTGTGTTTGACTGGAATTGTAACTGATGTTAATCGATTAGCACAAATAGTAACTGTTGATAAAACTTTCATGAATTGAAAAAACAAATAAAAGAAAAAATATGATGTCAGTAACCACGATGGAGTTGAAAACATGTCCATAATAAAATTACAATATGGGGTTATATAAATAATCAATCTGATCAAACTATAACTTATCAAGTTATATGACACGCTCTGAAATAACTACGTATAAAAACGTATTTTTTAGTTTTGAAACCAACCACAACTCCATCAATTCGATAAATTGAATAAAATGAATCAGTATAAATGGATGTTGATTTTCTAGTCATGACCATAAGAATTCGAATATAGATAAATGTTAGTGGTAAGACTAAAATAGCCAGAAACCCATATCTGGCAAACTTTTCTCCTTCAGAAAGTAATGAACATGTATTATTAGTCATCTCAAAATGTCTATAAATTCAGAAATAACTGAACAATCACATAGATGCATTAATGAGATTAATTAAAATGTTAACGCTATGACATCAAAAACAAGACAAAAAAGACAGAATTCTTATGATAGAAAAGCGAGCTTGATTTTTTCAAGTTTACACTTTCAGTCAGACATGAAAAATCAGGTGAAATTTTTACGTCAACAGGAATACAATTTTTTGGTTGGGTAAACTGAAAAACAAGTCAAAATCAGGTGTTTTAATATTAGAATTATCAGGAAAACTGATTTTCAAACGTATTCAGATGGAATGATCTCTTACAAATAAAAAAAAATGATTTTTATGAATAGCTGAAACTTGTAAGTTTGGTTTCAGACAATTCAAGAATTCAGATTATAATTTACAAACCTTCAAAAAAAATTGCTAGTCTTTGTATTTGCTATGATTCATTAAAAAATATATGCACATATCAAAATTAGTTGTCTAAAGAGTTGTTGATGCTGGTTCTGTTGGTCTCGAAGTTGTGGTTGTTGTCACACTTTTTGGATCAAAACTACAAGCAAAAACATGTTTATCAGATTCATCCAATGTCATCCATCTTCCATTCAATGTGCTTACGGCAACTTGATTGTATTTAGTTCCTGGATATCCGATATTCCAAAATGTCCAATGCATTGAACTTCCATCGGCCCAATAGAATTTTGATGTATTGGTTTCTCTTTGTAGTCCAATCCAGAAAGCACCATTGTTGACTCCAGTTTCAGCGTTCACAAGAGCTATCAATATAATTTTTTTTCAGCGTTGAATTAAGTTTAACTCACTAGCTAAGTAACTTCCTTGCATTCCATTATGCAAAATAGCCAATGGTCTATTCATATCATAACAAGTTTGTTGAGCTTGAGTATAATTTTCTGGTGTTGTGAAAACTCGATAACAAACATCATAAATATAAACATCAAATAAATCATTGCATGGGTTTTGAGCATTAACTGTAGAAATCGAGAAGATCGACAGAAGAATAATAGAAAAGTTCATTTTTCTTGGTTTGGTGATGAATACTTTTCCAACTCTCCTTTTGTACTCATTTTTTCGAAGATCTGTGATATTTGTGTGAAGCGCTGATTAGGTTTTTCGTGTTTTATTCAAAAGAAAAAGAAAAAAACAGAACGATGTGTGAGTATTGCTCGGCTTGTTATCAAAATGTTTTATTTGCACTGTGTTATTTTTTCCTTGAAAGTTTGAACGTGAATTGGAAAATCACGTGAAAGAAACGGCTGACAAATTTGACATCAGTGTTCACATTTTTAGTGAAACTTGGCTTTCAAGGTAAAAAGTTTTACTCCTGATTCCGTGTTCAAAGTTGTATGCAAACACACGTACGAATTTACAAAAACAAGTTGTGCGCTGGAGCGCATTTACTTGTTTTATTTCCTAGGTTTTAACTCGTCTGTGGTTTCGAGGAAAAACATGGGCTGATTGTGAGTTACTACTAGAATTTTCCAAGCAAGATTCTCTGTCGGAACACCAACCCTTTAATGAGATATAGATTATAAAACAAAAAAAAATTCAAAACAAAACGGAAATCGCGTGCATAAAACTATGAAAAAATTAATCTTCCTATGAAATATTTCATAGTTTGTTTTTCAATAAAATGTGGAAGCTGATCCTTTAGCTTCAAGTGTAATTCAAAGCTTCATCTAATCATTTAAAGATAGTAATTTATATACAACTTTTCTTTAACATCAATAGTAATTATTAATAAAAAACTTTACCCAATATTTTTCAATGAAGCTCAAATCTCACCTGTTAGTTTTTCCCCCCCCCCAAACCTCAAAATAAACTAACTTGACTTGCCCGTTCCGTGAAAAGTTGTTGATTTCTTTGAATGTCCTGTCTAAACGAACCATCTTCTTGTTCGGAAGCCTGAAACTTCTACATTATTTTTCTCAAAATTTTCGCTAATCTTAAACTTACATCAGAAAATGATAATTGTGGATTTTAAGGGACCGCTGCATTCTCTGACGGTTGTCTCTGAAAAAATAAGAAAATTAACAAAATTAATAACTTTTTCTGCGCTGAAAAAAACCACTCAAAAACCAGAAAAAAAGCAAAAAACAAAAATGTCGTGCAAAAAAATAAAAGAAAAACAACGATATTCCGCGTGCGCGTTGTTTAGCGTGTTTATTGTGTTGTCTTCTGCAGGGTAGATGAGAGAGTGTGGGAAACAGAGAGAGGGTTAGAGAGAAAGAGAGAGAGAGAGGTATGTTTTTTATTTGAAAAGACATTATTGATTGAACGTTTTTTTTCAAACTGAATCGTTTTTCTCTCTATTAATGGGGTGATTTGGTACATTTTTTAATTTTCTTATTTTTTTCAGAGACAACCGTCAAAGAATGCAGCGGGGTTCCATAGAATCCACAATTGTCATTGTCTGATGTAAGTTTTAGAATAGGCGAAAATTTTGAGAAAAAGAATGTAGAAGTTTCAGACTTCCGATCAAGAAGATGTTTCGTTTCGACAGGACATTCAAAATCAACAACTTTTCACGGAACGGGCCAGTGAAGTTAGTTTATTTTGAGGTTTGAGGGGGGGGGGGTGAGAAACAAAACGAGCAGGTGAGATTTGAGCTTTAGTTTTATGCACGCGATTTCCAGTTTGTTTTGATTTTTTTTTCTTTTTCTTTTTTTCTTTCTCATGAAACTTCACAATTTGTATTCCCAGGCGTAACTTTTTTAAAAGAAATCTTTTTTTTTCTCACGTCAGCTTAGCTGCGAAAAATAGGGTTTTCTACAAAATTTAGAATTTTTGAGGATTTCTGAATGTTTCGCCTAGGGGCATTGCCCCTAGTCTCAACTAAAAAAAAGAATCTGTCCAGGACAGGATAGGTAGCCAGGTTTTCACTTGGACCTGTCATGGCTTATGTGCCACCAAAGCCAACATGAGACCAACGTGAGGCCAGGTTCTATCTGAAAGTTTATTGAAATAGGCTTGTTGTATTTGAAAAACAGAAGAGATAGATTTTCAATAATACAACATTTTTCACTGGAAGCATTATGCGTTGAAATTTATTACTAGAAAAAAAACGTTGAGCAGCAAACAATAAAAATATGTACAGATAAATTGAAAGACATAAATAAAAAAAATCATCATAAATATGGGAAAATTTAATAAGAATAAGAATAATTAGTATCCAGGTCCACCATAAGAAGAATAAGCACCTCCGCCGCCAACCTGAGAAGCTGCATAACCTCCCGCATTATTATTATATTCCATTGCTTCGCGCTCTTCTTTTCGCTCGCGATTTTTCGATCTTTGATAACAGCAAATCATAAGACATGTTCCAACTACAAAAACAAGAAGAACAAATGCGAGAAGAACATAGACGCCAGCCATCCAATGTTGATCTTTTGGACAACAACCATGTTCGCAACATTCTTGATCTCGCTCGCATCTGAAAATTATAGGGGATAGATGTGCGCAGAGTTCTAGAAGATACTTGAACTTACACTAAAGTAACTGTATTGTTATTCGTCCTTTTTGCTTCGTAGATGCATCTGACAAAGGATGAGAAACCTCCTTTAAAAATTCAGTATTGGAGAAGAAATTTGAATATTTGAACACTTTTTTTTGTTTAAAAGTTAAAAAAAAAGTTGTTCACCTTCTAATTCCATCCGGATAAATTTTCCAATAGTACCATGCTGAAAAACCTCATCAGGTCCAGTTCCAGCAACTTGTCCCATTTGCTGCAACTGTGCTACCGTATTACTAGCAATATTATTCGACGACATTTCGGGTCCTAAAGCAGCGTTTTGCCTGAAAAATTTATTTATTTTTCCATGGCAGTTGTTTGAAAAAATATTTCGAAAACGAAAGATTAAAAAAACAAACGCGAAAATTGTGGGATTTGAATTTGATGGCAAACCATCCCACCGGTTGCCACGTGCTCCAAATTGGACCGAAATTTTGAAGAGAAAAAATTGATGTTGGAAAGAACTACTGTACTGTAAAAGAGGGGGATGATGGAGGAAATATGATTATGAAGTCACTTTTTTGACATGTTGATTTCTGGGTAAACAAATCAAGGTGCGGTCACGGCTGGTTGTCTTTTTTTATTTGGTTGATCAGAATACCAGTTACATACCTTTAAGTTTAGAAAACAGATTATTGAGCAAAAGTATGCACAAAATTGATCAAGAAGAATATTTTTCAAAACATTCTAAAAATGTTATGTTTCACACTGAAAATCGGAAAACGAAAATTCTACGAATAACACTTTTCACAACATTGTGACTAAAAGTTATTTCAAATTTTCAAACATGAACCATTTTTTGGAAAAACTGGAAAAGTTTTTCAATTATATTTTAAACAAAGTCTAGAAAAAAGTTGCATAATTTCTGCCAAATACATACAAAAATCGATAAATACAATGCGAAAATATGTATGCGCAAGCTTCAACAACGCAAGTTAGAGAGAGAAATAGAGAGAGAGTCTTGGCGAGAGCACACCCGCCGCGGAAAGCTCAAGTGCTGCTACAAACAAAGAAAATATGCGAAAAACGACGAAGAACGGTTGGATTCGGCAGAAAAAAGAGAATGAAAGGCAACATGAATATTTTCTGATTTGCACCTAATCTTTTTTGTCCACACTTTTTTGTGCAAATTGCGAATTGTTATTCAATTTTTGTGGATTGAAAATTAAATGCAAAATTGGGCCTCGTGTGAATTTTTGTTTGAAAAATTGTGAAACAAAAAAGTTGGAACCTTGAAAATAAAAAAAAACTTCTCGAAATTTGTGATTTCTACCTTTTTAATAATCGAGAAAATATAAAATGAACGAATCCTATTAAAAAACTCGAAGTGGAAAATAGACATCGATATTTTAAACAGTAGAAAACTCAACAATTAGACTAAATCTACGTTTAGGTCCAAATCTAAGGAAAAGTGTGAAAGTTTAGTCACTAATTGAGTAGCAAATATCGTTGGGACTAGAAAATTAAAAACATCACAGTTCACATAGTCACTATCTCAATACTTAACTGAACGCGAGAATGAAACGCATAGTTACTTAGCGCCCCCGTGTGCTCGAAACATACAAAAAAAAATGCAAAAATCGTGTGTAATGATTCATTTCGCATATGTTTGCTCTTGAACAAACATTCCTTCTCCACGAAATTTTCTCTTTTTTCTCTTCTATCAGAAACCAGTTATTTATGAGCTCAAAAAGTGTCACACACAAATGAGCAAGTTTCTTTTTTCTATTCAGTTTTCGTAGATTTTGCAAATGTTGAAAAAAATCATTTTCTTTAAAAAAGTTTTTCTATATGTTCCAGAAACCAACATGTCATTTCAAATTTAGTAAAAACTCACGTTTTTCAGTTAAACGGAGAATAGTAGAAACTCCAGATAGTTGAATAAATCTGTAAAAATCAATAAAAATTGGATAAAAAGATACCATAAAATCATAAAAAGGTGATAAAGATGAGTACTTGAAAACTCGTGATCAAATAACTTTTCAAAAAAAAATGTTTCTCACTCACAGAAATTGAATCAATTGATTTGATTTAAAAAATGAGTACCGGAAATGTTTTATGGAAAAATGACAGAAACGGATTGGGTTAGGAGAAGCAAAAGAAAAAGGAGGAGGATAAACAAAACCCGAAAAATTGGAACAAAAAAGAAAAACAGGTGAAGTTCTTTTGGGTGCAATTATTAGAAATTGTTAATGAGAGGTCAAGTGTGTTTCATTGCTAAACTTTGTTTTGACTTGAGAAAGAGCTGGTAAAGTGTTGTGAGAAAAAATGAGAACTTCTGAGAGTCGAGGCTTTTCTCAGAATACAATTTTCTGAGTAAATCTGGTAACTTCATATTTAAAAAATTAAGATCTTTGTAAATTAATGTTAAAAATAGGCAGAAACAACTACTTTTCGAAAATGAAAATGAACAAATGAGAGGAAGTGAAGAGTTGTTCGAAACAACCTAAAAGAACTCATAATCTGTGTTAAGTATGTCACGGTTTTTGACACACTTCTAAACAACACAAAAAAAAAACAACAAATTTGTCGACCACACACAAATGACAACAAAAAACGGAAATGACCAACAGTCAAATGTTGACTTTTTAGATTGAATCAGATCTTGATGGACGACGACACACAAAATAGAAAGAGAAAAAATACACGAACGAGCAAAATGATACAGTGCAATGTGCAATGAATCAGTTGTATTTATTTTTGAACAAACGTGAATAGTTTATTTCGAAAAACATAACAGTTCAAAAATATAGAGAAAAAATGACATGGATCAAAATAAATCGGGAAAAGCAAATAAATAAAAAGGCTGGTATAGCTGCATAAACAAACAAATTATCGTTTTTTATTGATTGATTGGAGGATTTGAAACATTACGAGTTAATTCAACTTCAGAACTTGTTTTGGATTTGTGGGAAAGCTTCTATAATACTTTTGATTGATTTTCTGATAGCATTTCGATAATCAGAAATGCAACACATTACAATAATTGCATCAACAGCTGGGTATAATGTGAATGCACATAATAATATACCAGTTGGTAAACTAACTTCAATATCAAGAAATGGGACAAAACAAAAAATGAAAATTGGAATGAAAAGAAACAAAGTTGGACCGCTGATTTGAAGGATTAAAGTCAAGAAGAATTGTTTGTGAAGTTTCCGAAGACTTGGAGAATATTTTTGTAATTTCTCATTCATTTCCATTTTCATCAATGTTCCACAATAAATTATAATGGCATATTGAACTGTCTGAAAAATCGAAACACATTCAGAAAATTCATAGAGTGGGAACCTACGTTTATTCCACTCATTATAAACAAATGTATGATATTTTTCCATCTTGGAAAAATATTTTTCGGGTCACTGTTGTCCTCCAGAAGACAACTTGTTTAAATTATTTCAAGATTTGGAAAACTTACATAAATAACCACTGCAAAGCATGGTACCTCGGTTATTGATACATGATAAATTTGTGTCATTTCTTGTCTCATGTAATTTATTGAAAAATCATCGAGTGAAGTCAAAAAATAGCAAGAAAGTCCCCAAAAACTACCAAAAGTCAGAGCATAGAGAATCCACAGAACGAATCGACACCCTTTGAACCATTTGAGTTTTGGAGCACTTTAATTTAGTATGTGCTCTTGTTTTCTAAATAATTTTTAAAAAACTCACTCAAAAACTGCCCAATATCTGTACAGAAATTGAACAGCTAAAAGAGAAATTGTGGCGGCAAATATCATGGTATACAAAGATGCTGCAACTTCCATGACACTTTTCGGTGCACCAAATGGTCTGGATGCAAAGAAAAATATATAACCAGCGTTGTATGCATGACAAGTCTGAAATAATAAATCTATTAGAGTTATATCAACTCTCTTCTCACCGGGTAGATCAAATATTCGAGTGTGGCGAAAACCATTCCAAGTCCCGTGAACACCATCATCAAATATTTGTACATCCCAAAACTTCGTTTTACTCCAAAATAAGTTAGACACATTAATGTTGTTCCAAAAAATGTTGTTGTATAATATCCCACTTGGGCTATTATGTGGGTTACAGTAATCCAATCGTACATAGTTCTGATTTGTAAATAATCTGAAGCTAATGAAAAATAAAACGCTATTCTTGGAATATTTTTTATTATTTTCGAAACTGTCGGAAATTAATTTTTGAGTACATGAATAACGAATAATGTGTGGGTAGAATGTTATGAGTACTTTTATTGATAACAGTTAAAAATAAATCAAGAAAATTCCAAATTGGCGTTGATATCCACAGAAGTTTCTAAATTGATGCGTCCCAGTTGTGTGTAAATTTCTTCTTCAAGAACGCGCAATCTATATATTCTTCGCTCCAGTCTCAAATAATTGACAATACTTAAATTTGGTTGATTGTTTGGTAGAAGCATTGCAACACATTTTGCATGAAGTTTTCGGAATTCTTCGCGAAGATAATAAATGAAACTAGTTATACCACCATCTGGCAGTTCAACTGGTTTTTCTGATCTTTGTTGATATTGGTTTGTGATGGAAGAAAGGCACGCAATGAATGACTGTTTCGTAAAAACCTTCAAAAACAAAAAAAAACCGCACTTGCCAAATGAAACAATTAACCTACGTTAGCCATTTTGAAATCAGACGAAATAAAAACTAGAAATATTTCAAGCGAGAATATTTGTATTAGAAATTATAGTTAATTAAAGTTTGCATGTATTATGAGAAGCGGATTAGTAACTATGAAAAAAGGGTGCCAAAAAATCGGCTTATTAGAATTTTTAATATTGAATGTCACATTTGAGTATTTTACATGGATACAATTTTTATATCCGGACTACAACATTCAGGACACTTTTTATTTCACCCTGCTTTACTTTTTTTCGATGATTTTTTACACATTTATATCTTGGTTGAACATGAAAAAGAACTGTACAAATTCAAATTAACATTCATGGTAAAGACAAAATAAAGATTACACAATTATTTTCCTATTATGCGCACATTGATCATTCGAGAATCATCATCACATAAACCACAAAACGAACAAACAGAAACAAACGAACATTTGCACAATACGATGACAATTAGAACTTGTGAATTTGGTAGATGTTTCAATGTAGTTTGGGTAGCTTCAAATTATTTCATATTTATATTCATTTTCAATTTTATTATAAATAAAAATTTCCCTATGAAAATAGATAGAAAAATTACTTTTGAAGAGATGGTGCGAATCCCAATCTTTGTTGTCCCAAATCATGGATGTTACAGTATTGTCTGATGAATGGATCTCCAAGAATCCAGGCTGGTCCGAATCCAAAGTTGTTGAAAGCAAAGGCAGCGAAGACACAAGTCTGTCCGGTTCCATCAACGTCAACAATATAGTTGACTGGTTGAATAGCATAAGTGTTAGCCCCAATGACAACATTCAATGGTCCAGCGCTGGCTTTGCAGTCAATGTAATAAGTTTGGTCAGCAGCGTTGTACTAAAATTATAATTAAAAATTATCGAATAGTGTTTTCACTTTACTTACAGTAGCTCCAGCGGCGGCAGCCAATTTGCTGATAACAGCACTTGGTCCTCCGATGAATGAGGTACCAGTGTCAGAGATAACTTGATAGTTCTTAGTGATTGTGTAACTTCCCAAAGAGAATCCAGAAGCTTGGAATTGGTAATAAGTGGCAGATGACAATGGTTGATAAGCGATAACATCTCCACAGTTGGTGGTATCCAAACCTCCGTAAGTGAAAACTCCTCCTCCAACATCGATTTGTGCTCCCTTATGTTCAAGCCAGACGGTGAAGATTGGTTGATCAAGAAGTCCTTGGTTGATAGCGTTGATGAGTGGTGGAACAACATGATCAACAGCAAGAGAAGTGAAAGCGAGTCCAAGGATACCTTCAGCGGCGTCGTTCTTGAAGTCGGCTGAAATGTGTGTGGCAATACCGAAAGTGGTTTTTGGAACAGCGAGTTGAGTGGTATCAGCTGCTCCGAAAGCAACTGTGTCGACTCCAAGAATTCCCTTAGCACTTCCTGATCCGTATTGAATAGTCCAGGTTTGTCCGTTTGATTGAGATGTTGAAGATGCGGCAGCGTTGTAGGTTCTCTTTCCAGCGCATGATCCGCTAAAATATACATATGAAATTGCTTCTGGTTTGAAGTTATCATTCAAAACTCACTCGCAATTTGGTCCTGGAACCCACAAATTGGCTGATCCGGTATCCAAAACAACAAGGAAGGGTTGTCCTGGAGTTCCAATTGTGATATTTCCCAAATATTCATAATCTCCGAAATCGTTAACATTTTGAGCAACTGTTGCGTATTCGGATGGATTGGCATCTCTCAAAGCAGCCTTGTATTTGACATATTCGGCCCATTCTCCTCTACGGATCATAGCGATTTTTTGAGATTCACGGTGGATCAATTTTTGTTGGTGGACAGCCGCCGAGACGAGCCCGATAAGGGCTAACAAGATGAAGGTTCTCATACCTGAAAATATGAAAAAAAAAATTATTTTCAAAAAAAAACTTGGTTGAGTAAAAAAAAGTTTTTGGTTTGGTTTTAAAAATTAGAGAAAAGGACAATATTGATAAGAGTCTGGGGTTTTTATTCGGGATTTTGCACCTTATCAAAAAATGATGATAATTATTGGTTTTTTAATTCTTTTTTTATGGGGTAAAGTGTACTATGTGAATTCTAAATATATCAAAAATCAATTTCGAAAGGACCAAATTATAAAAAATTTCAAATTTTCAAATAAAAATTCAGAATTTGATCTAAATTTCAAACGAAGTTCCAACTGGTACTTTACTCGATTGTTATCTGTTTACCCAACTATTTATACCCGTTTTATGAGCGTTCATACCTTTGATCTGATAATTCTAGGCAACTGACGTAATACATTTATTTCTGATAAAATAACCCGTGAGCTACATTCCGAGTTCCGGCTCCTCTTATCAGTTTACCCAAGTTTTGGTGTTGATCTCTGAATAACTTAACTTTGCTCTTAATTTATGTTGTTCTTAACTAGCAGTAAAAACATAATGGGATGATGTTTTATTTACCGTGTTGATATTATGAGTGATATCACTGTGTTAGTTTTGTTACTCAGCATTTATAGTTAATGATTCCGGTTAAAAATCAAAAAATAATTGATAAGAATTGCTCCGCAAAAAATCAAAGATAGAATCGCTATAAAAGACCAGCAGAAGCCATTATTAACTATCTTTTTTTAATTATGAAGACGATCATTTTATTGGCCTTATTTGGCCTTTCTTTGGCTGCAGTCCATCAACATTCGCTTGTATGGAGAGAATCCAAAAAGGTTCAGATGATCAGAAATGGCGAATATAAAGCATATTTGGAATATTTGAATCATTTGAGAGCTGCTTCTCCAAGCGAATTCGCTAGTTTGCCACAAAATGTTAATGATTTTGGAGATTATGAATATTTGGGAAATATCACAGTTGGAACTCCAGATCAAAAATTCGTTGTTGTTTTGGATACAGGATCTGCTAATTTGTGGGTTCCAGGACCATCGTGTAGAACTTATTGTTCAGCTAAGAACAAGTATCAATCTGGACAATCAAGCACATATGTTAAGAATGGACAAAGTTGGAGCATTCAATACGGATCTGGAAGTGCCAAGGGTATTCTTGCTCAAGACACAGTTAGAGTGAGTGTTGATTTGATTCATCGAAAAGTATTTTTTTTATTTGACATTTTTTTTAGTTCGGAGATGTTGGACAATCACAATTGGCTGTTCCAACAACAACATTCGGAGTTGCCAGCCAAATCTCATCCGATTTCAATAATGATGCCGCTGATGGTATTCTTGGACTCGCTTTCACTTCTCTTGCTGTCGACGGTGTTGTTCCACCACTCATCAATGCTATCAACCAAGGACTTCTTGATCAACCATTGTTCACAGTTTGGCTTGAGCACAGAGGTATGCTCAACAACGTTGGTGGGGGTGTTTTCACTTATGGAGCTGTTGATACAACAAACTGTGGAAGTGTTATCGGATATCAACCACTCTCATCTGCCACTTATTATCAATTCAAAGTTGCTGGATTCGCCCTTGGAAGTTATAGCAGTAACTCAGCTGTTGATGTTATTTCTGACACTGGTACCTCATTCCTTGGTGGACCACAAACTGTTGTTGATGGTTTGGCAACTGCTGCTGGTGCAACATATGACTCTAGTTATGAATTGTATTTCATTGATTGCGATGCTACTCCAGGATCTCTTGATATCACAATTGGATCAACCAAATATTCAATTCAACCAGTCAACTACATTGTCAAAGTCGATGAAAACCTTTGCGTATTCGGTGCCTTTGCATTTGATTTCGGAGGTTATGGACCATCCTGGATTCTTGGAGATCCATTCATCCGACAATATTGTAACATCTACGATATCGGAAATCAACGTATGGGATTCGCACCATCTCTCCAAAAATAAACACTATGCACTGATTTTTTGTCATAATTTATTTTCAAATAAAATGTATTTTAATATCTCGCGTGAACTTGTAACAAAAAAAGTGGGAACAGAAAATGAATAACTATTTTTATAAAAAAGATTGAAAGTAAATGCCTGATATCGAATAATAATAATTCAACAATTATGTATCTATTTATTATTATCATTTTATTATTATCGTTTATAACAACATTAATTGTTGAATGCACTGTTCGAAATAAAGAGTGTAAAACTAGTACTAAATATCAGAATAATAAACAAAAACAAATACTGAAAGAAGGATCGGAATCTGAATTTGAGAAAATGGAATTAGATGATCAATTATCAACAGTTGAATTATATGCACCTTGTGTAACTGGAGGCTGTAATGATTTAAATGCTACAGATGAAGCTCGAATCCGACACGATACAAATGCATATATACCAAAGCTTGAAATTCAGAAAAAAAGGATTGTGAATGAAACACTTGTTGATGAAATCAAACAGATGATTGCTGATCTACCAAAACATCCAGCACCTCAAACCAAGGCTGATAATACCAAAATTACTGTAGATACAAGACGAGAAAAATGGAAAAAGTGAGACTGTCCCGATTTTCATGAATAATGTTGTTTTTTTTCAGTGAACATGTTTCTTGGCACAAAACTGGGATTGTATTTTTGGTTCGAAGCAGCGATGCTTGTAGATCAAATGATGCAGGTTGCGTTGACACTGTAGATTTGTTGGAAGAGACTCCAGAAGCACAAAAAACTGACAAACAAAACTCCGAAATGACAGCATCTACAAAGAAGGGACCAACACCAAGAAGAGGGAAATCTGATCGGGGAGATTTGCGAGCAAAGGAAAAAGAAACACAAACTGATTCTGCTGCAATGTCCAAGAAAATTGGGGCTGTAAAAACTCCGAGAGAAAAAAGAAATTCGATTCGATTTCAATAAAATTGTTATTTTATTGTCATTGAGCACAAAGTTCAATCGTCACATGCAATTAAATAAAAAAGTGTGTCCTGTTCAAACAGAAGCTTACTGATAAAGACTACATTGATACAAAAAGACGCTTGATTACGATTTCATTTCATTTTCGATTTTAATCATGAAAAGACCAATTAACTGACCGTACTTTTGTCATCATTCCATTATCTTGTGACTCTATGATCTATCAATATTTTTTTTTCAGGTATGAGATCTCTCATCCTTCTAGCCCTTGTTGGGCTCATTTCGGCCGCTGTCCATCAGCAAAAATTGGTTTGGAAAGAATCCGATCGTATTAAAATGATCCGAAATGGACAATGGAGTGCCTATTTGGAACACAAAAGAGAAATGAGAGCTGTTGCTCCAAATGTGTTCGGATCATTGACACAAAATGTTAACGATTTCGAAGATTTGGAATATTTAGGAAACATCACCATCGGAACCCCAGATCAACAATTCGTTGTTGTTTTGGATACCGGATCATCAAACTTGTGGGTTCCAGGACCATCATGTAAGACTTATTGCTCGGCCAAGCATAAGTATCAATCTGGACAATCAAGCACATATGTTAAGAACGGACAAAGTTGGACAATCCAATATGGATCTGGAGATGCTTCGGGTATTCTTGCTCAAGATACAGTTAAAGTAAGAACAGTTAGATTGAGAATTATTTTCACAGTTTGAAATTTATTTCAGTTCGGAGCTACCGGAGGAAGCCAACTCGCTGTTCCAAAAACAACATTCGGAGTTGCCAGCCACATTTCTTCCGACTTCAAAAACGACGCCACCGATGGTATTCTTGGACTCGCTTTCACTTCTCTTGCTGTCGACGGTGTTGTACCTCCACTCATCAATGCTATCAACCAAGGACTTCTTGATCAACCAATCTTCACCGTCTGGCTTGAACACAGAGGTTTCCTTGACAACGTTGCTGGAGGAGTTTTCACTTATGGTGCTTTGGATGCAACCAACTGTGGACCAATCATTGCTTATCAACCACTCTCATCTGCCACTTATTATCAATTCAAAGTAGCTGGATTCGCTTTGGGAACTTATTCACATGCTAAATCTGCTGAAGTTATCTCCGATACTGGTACCTCATTCCTCGGAGGACCAACCAGTGTTGTCGCTGGATTGGCCAAGGCTGCCGGAGCTACAGTAAGTCTTTTCAATGAAATGAATGTTCTCTAATGTGAATTTTCAGTACCACGCTGCCGATGAGACCTACTACATTGACTGTAATGCCACTCCATCTCCACTTCAAATCACAATTGGATCAAACGTTTATTCAATTCAAGCCGTTAACTTGATTGTTCCAATTTCAAAGACCAAATGTGCCTTCGCTGCTTTCCCATTCGATTTTGGAGGTTTCGGACCATCTTGGATTCTTGGAGATCCATTCATTCGTCAATATTGTAATACTTATGATATTGGAAACAAGAGAATGGGATTCTCTCAATCACTTCAAAAATAATTATTTCCTAATTCCAATTATGAACTGATTTGAATTGATTTTATGTTCCAAATTGTTCGATAAACGCATTTTTTCTCTTATGATGTAATTTTTATCAGGAAAAAATAATTTGAAAGAATAAGATAAGGGTTTCATATACCAATTTTACGATTTTTAATGAAACTATTGCTAAATTTCATATTTTTATTGTTTTCTGATTGCATTGTCATTAAACATAATTTGGTATGGAAAGAATCAAAACGATTTCAAATGATTAGAGAGGGAACTTATGGAGCATATAAAGAACGAATAAGAACTGAACAACTTGGAAGTATTAGTCAGAATGTGCATGATTTTTCGGATTTCGAATATTTGGGAAATATAACAATTGGAACACCAGATCAATCATTTCAAGTTGTTTTGGATACTGGAAGTGCCAATTTATGGATTCCTGGAACAAATTGTATAACAAATTGTGATAAAAAACGGAAATTCAACTCGAGTGCTTCTGAAACTTTTGTGAAGAATGGTCAAAATTGGCAAATTCAATATGGAAGTGGAAGTGCGTCTGGAATTCTTGGAAAAGATACTGTAAAAATTGGGGCGACTGGTGAACAACAACTCGCAATTCCGAAAACAACATTTGGAATTGCTGATAAAGTATCTGCTGATTTCAAATCTGATGTTTCTGAAGGTATTTTCGGTTTAGCTTTCACAACATTGTCTGTCAATGGAATCACGCCGCCACTAATCAATGCGATAAATCAAAATTTGTTAGATCAACCATTATTCAGTGTGTTCTTAGAAAAACGTGGAAATCTTCAAGATGTCGGAGGAGGTGTTTTTACTTATGGAGCTGTTGATAACACCAATTGTGGAGATATTATTGCATATCAACCGCTTTCTTCTGCCACATATTTTCAATTCAAAGCAACGAGATTCCGATTAGGAAAATATTTGAATGCTAAAGTTGTTGATGTTATTTCTGATACTGGAACTTCTTTATTGGGTGGACCACCACCAGTTATTCAAGAAATGGCAATACAAGCAAAAGCTGAGGTGAGAGTTTTCGAATTTTTAATCAAATTATTCTTGTAAATGTTTTTTATTCAGTACGATTTCATCGATGGAGTTTATTTAATTGATTGTGATGCAAATCCAGGACCATTGGGATTAACGATTGGTTCACATGCGTATGAAATTGATATTTCAAATTATATATTAGATGCCGGAAACGGCAATTGTATTCTCGGTATTTTCGCTTTTGATTTTGGTGGATTTGGACCTGCATGGATTTTGGGTGACCCATTTATTCGACAATATTGCAATATTTATGACCTTGGAAATTTAAGAATTGGTTTTGCTCCATCATTACAAAAAACATAAAATTATTTTATTTTTATTACGTGCTCTATTTTTTAAAAATTTATAACACCAGCAAATGTGCACATAATGCCATTTCTAGAAATGAATTGTTTGAATCTGTATAATCTGCTCGTGTTTTTATTAATTGCTAGACTTGGATTACTTGAATGCCGCCTTTTGAATGACATAGCTGATGAGAATGAGAGAATTCGAAGCCTTGAAAAATTGATTGCTAAACATGACTTGAGACAATTAGCATTTTATAATCCAGGAAGAGTGAGTTCTATTTGGGAAAAATGAGATATAAACAATATTTTTGTTACAGATGATAAAAGCCGAAGTTATTGAAACCGATTTCAATCCAAGTGTAGATATCAAAACAATGTTGAAGGCTGCATTGGATAAGAGAGCTAAAGAGGTTCAAGAGGAATTTAATAAGAAACAATAAAAATGTTCTTTCGGGTTCGATTTTTGAAAAAATCAATCACTTCATTCAGTTTTCCAATGTTCATTTATTTGAGCTTGGACATCATTCAAAATTATTTTCAAACATTTCTAACCTTCTGGTAATCACAATATGTGAAAACTAATAGTTCTAAAATTTTCATCAAAAAGCAAAACATTAAATGAAAGTGTTTATTTTTATTCAGAATTTTTTTTAAAGACAACCGGTCTCCGTAATTTTCAACAAAACATATTCCGAATTTCTCAATCCAAGAACATATCTGGAATAAATGGTTTCCTCATCGGATTTTTTCAATTCACCTTCATAAACAATATTTCCATCTACAACTTGTTCTCTTAAAACTTTAGATTGACTAACTTTTTCAGGGTAATTGAAGAGGAAATTTATAAATTCATCTCGCTTTATAGGATATCCACAAGAATTCATAGTGTAACTTTCATCGATGAGATTCTGGATTTGACCAAAATCTCTAGAATGTACAGCATTGACAATTCTTGTATTGAATGTTTCAGCAATGACTTTTGGATCTTGAGTCAAACTAAATGTTTGAGAAACAAGAAGGACAACAATAGATATAATGAAGAATTTCATGATTTTCTGAAAACAAGTTTCAATCTTGGCTTATATGTGTATTTTATTAGTCTAGACATATGAGATTTTTTTGTTTGAAAAAATGGATTTTATGTTTTTGTAAACGTGTACTAGCAAGTATGATTACAAAACATAACCCAAAAAAATGTTTTTCTGCTTATAATCAAAAACATCTAGAGGTTCATCATGTCGTTTTAGAAACTACAACAAAAATCGAGAATCAAGGCAACTTTTCTGTCATTTTCTATTTTCTGACTTCTATGAAGTTTATATTACGCTCTGTCATTATTCATGTGTCTGTCTGACATTTTAAAAGATCAAACTTATTTGAAGATCGCTAAAAAACCATCAGAATACATTTAAAATATCAGAAATCTGAAAAAGGAAGAGTTTAATTTTTCAGCTGCATTCTGATAATTCAGATATGCAAAATTGTGGTGTGGAACAAGATCTATCACAAAAATTTATGTGATTTATGAATAGAAAGAATGTTATTTCCTGGAAAAACGGAAAATATGGGTTTCACAAATATTTTTATTCAGAAATGGCAACAAAAAATTTTTTGCAAATTATTTATACTTGATTCTCATTGACAAATCCGTCGTTTTCAAGAACATCAGCATTAATAATCATGATCAAAAGAGCCAAGATTAGACATTTAAAATAGTTCAGCATTCTGAATAGTTTCTTAATTTTTCATCAAAAGAGAAAATCTTTTATAATAGTTCAAAACGTCAATTATCATAATTATTTATTCATTTATGTTGATTAAAAATGTGAGAACTGATTATTTATTCATTGTTTAAAACATTATTGAAACTTGAAGAATCATAATCGTTGAAACCTCGAGTTTTGCGCCAAAGACGTTGACGCCAAGCAGGACCATAATTGGCTAAAAAAACACACAGGTTTGGATAAATTATGAATAAAATAAATAACTAACCCATCATTCGATATTGCGCTTCAACAATGATCAAAACCAACAACAAAACAAATAAAAAACGAAGTGACATTCTGAAAATGATGAGAATATAATTGAATGACTAAAAATTGAGTGCGAAAAAAGTTTCAAGAAGCAACTTTCATCAGAAAGTAATTAAATTTAGCGAGTAAAAGTCATGGGTAGAACTTTTTTATGTTTTCTCTCGACGTTTAAATATCCAGATGACATGCACTTTTCAGAACATCATAACAAATATTTCAAACTTTCCTGAAAAAGGAATGATTAATGGGTTTTCTAAAAAAAATTTCGAAAATATATTTGGAGAGGAAGTAATAATGAAAAATGAAATAGACAAGCATCTTTTATAGTTTTCAAGACCTTCGTCATTTTCACCTGTTCTCAAAATGATCTACTATGATATCATTTCACCTGGACCAGGTCAGCTGAATTATTTATTTATTTTTGAAATTAATTTTTGCAGCTGCCCAAAAAGTATAGGTAAAAGGTCTTACAGTAACCCAAAACCCAATTTACTTAACTCCAATAAATGAGAAGAAAGAATGAGAAAAATAAACGAATTTGAGAAACAAAACAATACGGTCACACTATTTTTTCTCGACTACTTTCATTAATCCATTAAGTACTCGAATATAAAAGGAAGTATGTGTTTTTGGTTTTATTTTATTTGTTTTGCTGTTTATTTCACTTTCAGAAGAATAATGGCCAGCTTTATATTTGTTGAGTTATTCATTTTGGCTGCACTTTTGTGTCGAGTGACTTTGGCTCGAGGAAGATATGAATTTATCGAAGAAGCTGATCTACCCGCATTTTATTCGTGAGTAAAGAACATTCAAAGCGATATAGGAAGTGTTTTAATTTTTTTTTTTGACAAACAGCAATTCCAAAAATACCCATACTATAATTAAAATAATTATGGCATTGAAACTATATAGAAAAGTCGGCGAGAAAAAACATTGAAAAAACTCAAAAAGAAAATTCAGAGTTGTTTTCCAAGTCGTAAAAATGTCTAGTTTTTTTCAACACCCAAATTTAAACCCTGGACTTTTCCTACTCCACCTACATAAAAACGTGATTTCCGGTGAGATTTCGAGAAAAAAATGCTGGAATGGGGAATGATGAGAAATAAAATTCGAATAAAAAACAACTAAATCCTGTTTGAATAATTCATTGTATTCGTTCAAATACAAATAGGCTCAAAAAAAGAAAAACGTCACGAAAATACCCGATTTTATAGAATCTCGAAATCTTTTCACACAAAGCTTATTTTTTGAAGAAAATGTGATTTGTTGCTCAAGGTTCAAAAATTTTTTGATTCATATAATAATGCAAGTTTTTTCCCAGAATGCGATCTGCACAGATGGCTCAAAAAGCACAACTATCTCCAGCTCAATTGATCCAAGCTGATTACAATCCATATCTTCCTTATCATTTCTATACACCAGAAGCCGCTTCACCAGCAATTCCAGCCCCAAATCCTTATCAACCAATGGCTCTTTATTATCGTCCAACTCATCAACAAGCTCCTCCTCAACCAGCTCAACAATTTGCAGCAACTCGAGCATCACCTGTTCAATATCATCCACTAGCATATTTTCATGGAAATCCAGCTCAAATGGTACCAAATAGTTCGACACCTTTAAAAAAGAAAACAGTCTAAAATATATTAATATGATGAGTATTTATGTGTACATTTTGATGAACCAATGAAGTATTTTAAACAAAATTATTAGCAGTTAACACGATTGTGATAAATGATATCATCTTTGAATGATCCACCATCCGTGAGTTTTTTCGACGCCAAAACACAAAGTTCGCGAGAACTGAAATAATAAAAATATTTTTGTGTTCAAAAAGGAAGTGATGAAGTTCAAAAAACCTACATGTCAAACGCGACTGCTTGACATTTTTTCTGTCGAACCAAACATTTTGTGCAAATTCTACACATATCCGTGCATTGTTCCAATGAATATGATTTGACAACACGAAGAGCTTCCATTTTCCCAATTGGTCGAACTTCTCTGAAAAAATGTTTTGTGCTCTGTATGTTGTGTTTTCGTGTTGTCTTGTGATATTGCAAGTGTGTATAATGTCAGGTTTATATCGAATAAATAGAGATCTATAATTTCCGAGTTACTCACCTAAAACAAGACTTGATTCTTGTATCACGTAGCCGTCTTCCATATTCTGCTTTTTCATTATTAACCACGTTATAACTATCAATAATTTTAGCATTAACTGGTTTTGGTGTAGTTGTTGTAGTTGTAGTTGTAGTTGTGGTTGTTGGTGGAGCTGTCAAAATATCTTCTTGATGTTCATTGTTAACACTTTCTGATGGTCCATCATATCCCGAAAATTCAACAGAAGGTGCACCAGTTGATGTAGTGCTTTGGAGAATTGTGCTCAATGTTGGTGGAGCTGGTGACTTGGCAGAGCCGAAAAGTTCCACTTCCTCATCTTCCCCGCCAAATTTGGAAGAAGCTTTGAAAACATCCGATGGTTTGACAACAACTTTTTGTTCCTCGTCAACACTGTCCAAACATTTATTCTCAAGATAAACTGCTTTTTCATCATCAATATACAAATCAGGAATATCTGATTTTGATTGTGAAGCAAGAATACATTCCTTATCTTTTTCGTAAAACATTGCACTTTTACAAGTGATTTCAAACTTGGAAGAAGCAGAAGAGCAATGTTGTTGACAATCTTCAACACTTTTTACATCTCTAACCAATTGATCAACAATTCCAATCAAAACTTTTCCACGAACTGTTGTGAAACAAGCAGATTCAACAGCTGCAGCATCTCTTCGAACTGCAGAAGAAGGTTTATCAAAACATGTTCGATGATAATAATCTGACATTGGATTTTTCACAATTTTCACTTCAGATTTGGATTTGCCGTTGAGTTGACAAACTTGAGTTTTTCGGGAATATGTTATTGATCTGTAAAAGTTTATCCCACAATTAGTGTTTTTTCAATTAAATAATCAAACTTTGAATGATAAAATACGCTTCAAAAATTTCTTTCAAAGTTCATCCAATTTGTCTGTTTTTTTTTAATGTAAGATACTCAGAATTTCGAAATGTGAAATGTTGCGAACAAATCTAATTATATAAATCTTTTGTCGAGAATCTTTCTTTGAGATGATATTTGTCAAATAATATGTTTAGACCTTTTTTTACAGAATTTTTAATTTAGAAATTTGGTTTTCGGCCGGTTCAAAACACGAATTAGGCATAAATGTTAGATGAGCATTCATGGCAACATTTTTCATCTTTTTGAAAATTTTCAATTTATTCACCAAAAAAACTCACTTGCAAGCCATTCTTGGCATTTCCAAGCACGCAGTGAAACATTTTGATTGAGTCAATCCACGAAGTGATAAAAGTGGTCGAGCAAAAAGTGATTTATTTGGCGATTTGTCAAAACACAATCTCGCCGCTTTCAGACACCCGAGAAATAAAAAAATACATAACAAATATTTGGACATTTTTGTATTGGGTTTCACTTCAGAATTTCTTCTCAAGTTTTTTCTCACTTAAATTAAACCAGGTTTTTATATACACAGTTTGTTGCAGTAGTGACCTCCACTTATTTCTAGTTTCTTTCTTCGTTTCTTCCGATTTTGAGAGTTTTCTTAACCTTGAGATTCTTCGTTTTTCTGAAGTTGTGAGTAAAAATGCAAAAAAAAAACACAAAATTCATCAATGATGATTGTTGTTTACTCGTGGTCTCAATGCATTCGATAAATTGTGCAATTCGATTGAACAAAATATAAATTATGGTCTTTGTATTTTTTTTTCAAGTTTTTTTGAGAAAATATGAATTCTGAGAAGTACAATATACATTTAAATTATCTTGTTTTTCTTTATTTGTTTATTGAAAAAAATCAGAAAAACATATAGTCATCCCAAAGGTATAAATAAAATAATTGGTAGACATAAAAATATTTTTAGGACTTTAGTATCTTTTGATTGGCTTCGTTTCTTTGTTTGTTAGGAAATACTTTCAAGAGGTTCAGAGTTCCAAATTTGAGCAATACAGAAAAAAACCGGAAGTTTTTGAAACTATTAAAGTTCTCATATTTATTATTCAGTCGGGTATTCATCTGCATCCGCCCTTTTGATCCCAGACCATGTTTTTTTTTCATTTTTGAAAAAAAATGTGATCCAAAGGTGACTGAAAATTTTATGAGAGTTCTGGTTCTATGGAAGTAATTTAAAAATATGATCCAATTCCAATTATTGCGCAAAATTAATTCGTTTAATGAAATTCCGGAGACTCTAAGATGTTGGATTAGAACAAAAGGGCATTGCGACAAAATTTGTATTCAGTTTTTTGACGTCTTCTCTTTTTTTTACTTGAATGACTTAACTGAATTTCAAGAATGGGCCAAAGATTCACTTGCCTTATTATTAATTTGATATGTGATGTTTTAAATTTTCAACATCAAAATTAAACATTTCCATGAATTATTGATGATATAAATTGAATGTATTTTTTGTTTGTGACGTATAAAACCTAACAATTATTTAGTATTTTTTCATCCATCTTTTATTTTGCAGTAGATTTGATTAATACTAATTAAGATGTTTTGTATTTTTGCAAATCTAGTATTTTTAAGAATCTCTAGTTAAAGGAAAGTCGTTTTCTTGAAAATTATAAATTAGTATGAAGATCAGTTCTGGAATAAAATTTTGCTAATTTATTGTCTTTGATAAATATTTCTCCAAAACTACAAAAAATGCAATTTTCGTCAGAACAAATCTAATTTTTTCTTGTGATCGAAATGGTTTTCTTTCTAGATAACACACGCCCATTTTAATCACACTTCTTAACTCAAAAAATTCATAAAAGGTGAGTTTTTTGTGAAAATGATGTTTGGTTTTTGACGAACATCATTTTTTCGACAGAAAAACAGAAACAGACTTTAGAAAATTACCCTCGTTTCAACAAATACTCGAAAATAAACATTAAAACTCCGCCTCAAGCGATCTACGGCACAAAAAAGTTTCACACCAGATTTTTTTCTTCTCTGTTCATTTCCACCAACTTCAATTCCGTGTGCATTTATTTTTTCCTCATTTAGTTTGTGGGTTGGAAAAAATAAGTCTGCATTTGACATTGCTTGCAATTATTTATTCGTTTTTCTCACCATCACGTATGATTTTTTGAATTGTGTTTTTTTTTAGATTCTGATGGATCAAATAATCAAATATGGTGGAATTGATAATATTCCGTTATATAATTGCAGGTGAGAACTTTTTTGAATACGGCTCTTTTTTGGAATGACTTGTTCTATTCTACAACAAGAGCTGAACAATAATTTTATTATCAAAAAAATTCAATCCCGAATACCCTCCTAACTTCCTTTTGAATACATTAAATAAATTATAGTTCTATGACCCCTGAAGAATGGCTAATTCGAGACGGAAAACATCAACCAGTTCTTGGAACAATAAGTCTTGCTTATGGAATTCTCATTGATCTTCTATTTATTCCAACATTGATTGCGATGATGTCAAGAGACTTAATAAAACTGCCATGTTATAAACTTATGTTTTTTATTGGAGTCGTGGATATTTTTGCAATAGGTTAGCAAACTTTCCTAAAATTTTTTAAATTCTATATTTTACAGGGGTCAACTCAATAATCACTGGTTACCTAGCAATTGAAGGAGCTGTTTATTGTACTCATCCTCATTTGATATACATTTCTGGAATGGCTGGTCTTGGTCTTTGGTGTTGTTCATGTCTCGCAAATATTATGCTTCTTGTCAACAGAATTCTCCATTTAAAAAATGCGCGACTTTCGAATCTTATTTTTCGCGGAAATCGGACTTTTTTCATTATTTGTATTCCAGTGATTTATGGTTTATTCTTCGTTTTTTTTACACCGACTTGTGTTTTTTCTTCGAAATTGTATGCGTGGTTTTACGATCCAAATATATTTGCGAATCGTACTGCGGAATATACAAATTATGGACATGGATTCAATAATGTTATGATCATTGTTGTTATTTGTGTTTTGAACATTTATATTGTTTTCGATTTGATGAAAACTTCAAAAGGAGCAACGAAGAAGAATTGGAAGGTTTGTAGATGCTTTAAAAAAATGAACGATATATCCGAAATATTCCTAAATTCAGACTCACTCAATTCTCTACCAAGCTATTTTGATTTGTGTAATCAATCAAATTTCCTCTGGAATTTACGTGGTGATGAACTTTGTCGAAATGCCCCCTTGGGTAACAATATTTGCGCATTATTTATGGCAACTCGATCATAGTTGCCCACTCATTATCTACCTTACTCTAAACCCTACAATGCGGCGAAGATTCTGGAATACACTTCGAAAAAATTCGGTTGGAACTATGCCAAGTAGAGAAAGACGAACAGTCGGAGACTACAGTGTTGGATGAAAATATACATGTTTTTAAATAATTTATTTGTTTCGGCAGATCACAAAATAAAAACGATTCGAAAAAAAATCAATTCTTATGAGGAAATTGTTGATTTTGTCCAACTTTTAATGACAAATGTTTTCAAAGTAGTTCGGAAATCTTTGATTATATAAATTACCCCAAATTGGTCAAATGGTGGATAGATTGCCAAACAGCACATTGAAATATTAGCCAGGGGACCCAATCCTAACTTGAAAACAGGAGAAATGAAAAGCAGTTCTGCTGGTATATAAATGAGTAGGCTTGGAATGGTTGCTTGAATCATCAGAGCAATCAATAATTGTTTCTGGAGATATCTCGTTTTCTCACTCATTGTAAACATCGTTTTGCGATGTTTAAGTTTGATGTAGGACATTATTCCAAAGAATAACATTGATGTATAGCACGTCATCATTCCGAACATTAATATCCCAATTGTTACCCAAACACCAATTGGTTTCTTATTTTCTAATCCTTGGTAGAAAATCGGACCATTATATACAACTTCTTCCATTCTCAAACCATAAGATTTTGCAAAATCGTATCGTAGATGTTCAGTGAGATAGTCGTTTTCTCCAAGAAATGTGTATTTGAGAACAACAATCGAAAAACCAAAGAAAACAGCCAATGCGATCCATAAATACAAACGTTTTCTATCGAACCAATGAAGCTTGGAAGTGCTTAAAAATCTGATATTTGGTCCGGGTTAATGAGTACAGTGAAGATTCGTACTTAAAATACGCTTTGCTCCTTTTTCTAATTTCCGGTAGTTTGTATTATTTCTAAAAAGTACTTTCAGTATAAAAATAATAAATTTTTTAATTTCAAAGTTCATCATCCAAGCGTAAAATAACTTACTGCCACAAAGAGATGTATCGATAGAAAAAATGAATGCAAAGAATCGCAATCTGAGTTGTATACATCCAACAAAATTGTACTGAAAAATTACTATCCCATCTCAAAATGAACTATAATTTCAAATAAAACAACTCACATAGAAGAAAAGGAGCAAACTTCCGATTTGAACCCTTATATTCACGAAATAGCACGTAGGATGCATTTGTACTATGTGCTCGCTAGACAAAACATTTAATTATTAAAAAACATTCTTCGAAACTTACCATGTGTGACGAAAAATTTGTTGTTGAATAAATCATTTGAACAAAACAACAACTTATCATTAGATATTTGTAAGTTCCAAGTTTGTTGTGTTTATAGGATAACAACAAAGTAAGAAGAATGGAATTTGTTATTAATGAGAGTATTGCACCGATTGTTTCTGAAACTGCCACAAAATCCAAGAAAAACGCCATTTTTTCCTGAAAAACAGATTTGGAAAGTGAAAACTTTTAAAAAAGAAACATTAAAACAAACAAAAATATAAATTCCAAATACATATATTAAAAATCTTTTCATCGCATTCACTGAAAAAATTGTCAGAAACAGGACGTTATATTTCCTCTGAATTCAAAAATGTTTTCTGAATATAATTGAAATTTATTCAGAAAAAAATCAAAACACAGCAAAAATTCTTTAAAAAATAATTCTAAGATTATATAAGGCAATGATCATTGCCAATGTGTGTTCTTTTCTAATACACTTTTTAGATGTAAATGAAGCATTTTTGAGAAGGAAATGAATTTTTATACGTTTTTTTTCATGCTTAAATATTTGAAAACAAAACAAAAATAATGAACTGAACTAATAACATCAAGAATTTATTTTATATGCAATTTTAAAATCTCAAGAGAAATTTAGAAATTTGGTCGGTGATATTTTAAAATTGAACTGTCTGAGCAAGTTTTGAAACTACTACAAAGATACATTTTTTGTAAACTATGTCATTTTCCCAGAATTTTGATGATTTTGCAAACTTTGTATGGTCAGCATATTTTTACCATGATTACCTTGTCTGTTTTTACCTTGTCTGAACAGTCTAACAAAGAACACATATTGCTCTTGATTTGTACACCCTAGGGCCTAAAGCGATATTTTGGAAAATAATTTTTTCGTCTTTTGAATTTAGTTCTGAATTCAAAAAATCAGAAAATTAAATTCGAAAAAAACACACACATGTTGTATAAATTATGAAGAACTCCCTTAAGAACATACGAATGAAAAATGAGAAACAGTTTTTGTTAAAATCATGTCACCCCTATCAAAAATTTCCACTCGAAAAATTTATCGGAAGATTATTTCTCACACAAAATATTCAATCAATGTTCTCTTGAAGTACTATTACCAAATGCACTTATTATTGTGAGAAAGTTTATGAGAAGTTCCTTATTTCATTTTGTCTGGTCAAAAAATGATAAACTTGGAGCCTGTTCGTTGGCCAACTTATATTTGGTATGGAATGTCAATCATCACTATTCCCATTTATCTTTTAGTAGTAATTTGCTTACTGAGATTACGTATGATTTCAAAAATCTATAAAACCACGTTTTACACTTTACTATTACAACATGTGAGTTTTTAATCGATTGTTACATTTTCAAAAAAATATATATAAATATCCAGAGTCTAGCTGATCTTCTAACAATGTTCTTCTATTTCATTCTAATGGTATTACGAGAATTTCAACCAATTCGTCAATTTTATTTCGATTATCAAGAATATTATATCGCCTCGGCATCTTATAATTTCACCTATTATTTTTTATATATTCGATGTTCTGGAATTATACTACTAACAATTCAAAGATTCATTATCATCAATTCGTCAGGGTCAAGATTTAGTCATGTTAGTGAAACTTTTGAAAAAACATCATCAAATATCTTAAAATTGCAGAAAGAAAACTAAATTGAAAAATATTAAATAGATGTGCAGAATAAAATTAAAATATAATTATTTTCAGGCTGTTCAGTCTACAAGCACTTGGAAAATTATATTAATTTTGTGGTCTTTTCCAACAATCATCAGTTTGGTAGTTTTGAAAGATACTGAAATAAGATACAACAATGTTGAAGATATGGCTCTCATTGTTGATAGATCTCTAACTATGGTGAGAAAAAATGATAAATTCTTGTTGAAATTTATAAGTTCAGCGAAACACAACTATGGGATTGTGCATAACAAGTATGACATGTTTTATATGCAGTGCACTCTATGTTTCAATTGCTTATTCGATCAGAAAAAGAACATCACTCACAAACAATAGTCGTTCTCTTCGAAGAGAACTTCTAGTTGCCATTCAAATATTCATTCTTGTGATTGCTTTCTTCGGAGTATTTCTCTATTGTGGTTTTCAAAATTATTTTACTAGAAACCGTGATGTTCTTGGAACCGGTCCTATTTATTTTATGCGCTCTGTTTATCCATTAGCCAGTGGAATATTATCCTATCTAAATCCATTTTGTATTCTATTTCTCAATAAAGAATTTTCAAATCAAGTTAGACAGATGGTTATTTGCAAAAAACTTGTTGTGGTAAGTGCACCTATGTCAAAATATGTTGTTCAATGTTATCCGAACAGATTTCTACAATATCTACAGTACCTTCAATGTCAAATCGAACATCACCAAATCTCAAATTCTAAAGAAGTGTACAAATCAGAATCAAAACATAACGTTGTGTTGTTTTTTTTGCTGTGAAGTCACGAGATCAGTGCTACTCATAATATTCAAGTTACAAAGACCTTCAAATGATGTCTGATCAGTTCTATATTTTTTAAATGTTAGAAGTTCAATTTATTTATTTTTGTATAAAAGATGTTTCGGAATAATATTGCCTACATTTCATAGATTTTTTGTCATAATAGCCTGGGTCGAAAAATATACATTTTTGTAGAAAAATACTATTATGGAACTACACATCTCTAGCTTCATATTCATTTTGTGTACTACAGCATATATGTACACAAAATGAATGCAAAGATTCTCAATACCTAATCGATCTTTGAAAAAAACCAATACTCAATGAGAAAATTTGTTCCATTGATCAAAACTGATCTAAATGATTTTTCAACTTCCTGTTGTTGATTTGAAAAACAAATTCACACACTTGCTATTATTATAAACAATATATGCAATTGTTTAACACAATGATTTAGATTTTGTTAGCTCTCGTATTCAATAAAACAACTCGAACTTACTAAAAATGTTTTTTTTTCAAAAATTGAATCAATATTTCAAATACTGAAAAATATTGCTACTCCAATTTCAGTAGCCTCCTTTGAAAAAATATGAGTTAAACTACTGTAGTCAATCTCATGATATAAAAATCATTGTTAGTACAACTACATAAAATCAGTGACTGTGTGAACAAAAAGTTTGAATGTACTTTTACGTTCTGAGATAGCCGTTTTTATTCTTTCATTCAAAGATTTTTAACATGACTCAATTGACGTATAATGTTGTGATGTGTGAATAAACTCAAGTTCATAAAGTATTTTCTTTCAGTGTTTCATATTTTGAAATGATTACGGAATATCTTTATGCAGTTCGCTGGCCAACTTATATTTGGTATGGAATGTCAATTATTAGTGTACCAATTTATCTGATAGTTGTCATTTGTCTTGTGAAACTTCGTCGAGTACAAAAAAATTATAACACAACATTCTATACATTATTGCTACAACATGTCAGTTTTTTATATTTCAAAGATTTCAAAATAATTCTTTCAGAGTATAGCCGATCTTTTCACCATGTTTTTCTATTTTGTTTTAATGTCACTTCGAGAGGTTCAGATAATTCGTCAATTTTATTTTGATTACCAAGAATATTACATTGCCCCAGCTACTTATACTACAACTTATTTATTTATTTATATACGATGTTTTGGTATCATACTTCTTACATTTCAGCGTTTTGTGATAATAACAGCTTCATCGTCGGATTTCGCTCATGTAAGTTAAACAAATGAATAGGACAGTGTTTTGATACTATAACCTTTCTTCAGTTTGAATTTTAAAAGATTTTTAGGCAATTCAAGAAGCTAGTACGTGGAAAATTGTTCTGGTATATTGGTCTGTGCCATGTTTAGTCAGTCTAGTGGCTTTAAAACATATAGAAATAAGATTTGATAGTCCGATTGAAATGAATCTCATTATTGATAAATCGACGATAATGGTGAATTTTTTAAAGTGTTAACTTGTCGAAACTGTTATATTTGTAGAAAAATACAGTGATGGGATTATGTGTTACAAGTTTTACATTTTTCACGTGTACCGCGGTTTATATTTTGATTGCTCATTCAATAAGAAAAAAATTATCAAGTTCACCAAACAGTCGATCTCTTCGAAGAGAAACTCTTGTTGCTCTTCAAATATTCATTTTGCTTGTCGCATTCTTCGGAGTATTTCTATATTGTGGGTTTTTGAATTATTTTTCAATGAATCGAGAAGAATTTGGTTATGGCCCGGTTTATTTCATGCGATCTATTTATCCGGTTGCCAGTGGAATGCTTTCATATGTCAACCCATTTTGTATTTTATTTTTAAACAAAGAATTCTCCACGCAAGTTCGAAGAATGATAACTTGCAAAGAACTTGTTGTAGTAAGCGAAACTAACAAGAAAAAATAAACTTGAATGATATTTGCAGACAAAAACATCAACAACTTTATCAATTGCTAATCGAGGATTAACAAATGTAGCTACTTATTAAAACGATTTTTTTAATAAAAAAGTTTTCGATTTTTAGAACTTTTATTATTATAAAAGAAAAGGAAGCTATTCTCCTTTTTTCTATGATTCAGCTGATTTTAAAAGTGACTCATTTTACCAATTCATGTGATAGAGATAACCTAATGACTCGGTGATTTTTGCATTTTGAAATCATGAGTTATTGAACTTTTGTTCATAGAAAAAAATGAATTTCAATTTCTGAAAAGAAAATGGAACAGTTCTAACGATACCGATTGTTATCAAAAGTCTGACAGACTCGAAAACAGAGTTACTTATGATTGCGGAAAAAACAGAATTTACTCAATAAAAACAAATGTAATAAATTTACATATGACTTTGCACCACATTTTTGTTATTAGTTATAGATTTAGTTAAATGGTTACCAGCAAATGTTATTCAAATACATAATATTTTCTTTGAAAAAAGGTGTTCTTTGAGAAAAAACCAAAACATGATAGAGTTGAATGCAGTTACATGGCCAACTCATATTTGGTACGGTATGTCAATTATAAGTGTTCCAATATATATTATTGTTGTAATTTGTCTAATAAAACTTCGATACGTTTCTAGAACATACACTACAACATTTTACACTCTACTTCTACAGCATGTAAGTATAAAAACTTTTATATATATACATTTATTGAATCAAACGACTACATATAATAATAGTAAGAGGAAGAGAAGAGAGAATGACAAATTTTTCACACGTAGTGGTTATATTTCAAAAACTACTCCAGAGTTTTGCGGATTTATCTACCACTTTCTTCTACTTTGTTCTTTTCATTCTTCGAAAAATCCAAATAATTCGTCAATTTTATTTTGATAATCAAAATTATCTCATTGCCGCGGCAACTTATTACTGCACTTATATTTTTCTCTATCTTAGATGTTCTGGTATTATTTTGCTTACATTTCAGAGATTTATAACTATTGTATTTCCATCTTCAAGATTCACACATGTAAGAAAAATCAGGATAAAAAACATAACATCTTTCAATATTTCTAGGCGTTTCAAGAAGCCAAATCATGGCAAACAATATCATTATATTGGAGCATCCCAATTATATTCGAGATTTTAATTTTAAAAAGTGCCGATGCCAAGTTTGATGGATTACAAGATATGGCAATTGTTGTGGACAAATCAGTTATAAATGTGAGTTTTCCATTCAAAGTTAATTTATGATTCAAATTATTCAGTACAATACAACATTGGCTCTTATTGTGAGCAGTTTTACATGCTTACTTTGTGCAACATTTTATGTTCTAATCGCAGTATCAATCAAGAAAAAAACCGGAATTTCAACTAAAAAATTTCAAAAAGAGAAAATAATCGCAATCCAGATTCTGATTCTTCTAGTTGCTTTTCTAGGTGTTTTCGTTTATTTTGGTTTTCAGAATTATTTTTCGAGAACTGGAAATGTATGACGAATTCAATAATCTAATTATAAATGCTAACACATCTGTTTTTTAGACTGGTCCTGTGTTTTTCATGAGATCCATTTATCCTTTACCAAGTGGTGTTCTATCGTATATCAATCCATTTTGCATACTTATTTTGAATAGAGACTTTACAACTCATGTTGCAAGAATTATAACTTGCAATACACTGAAAAAGGTCGGATTCATTTTCAATATTAAAAAAACTATTATTTTTAGCTCGATACAACAGTTTCAACAGTTCAATCAACGTCTTTTAAAGGAATTAAAAGAGTGAAATTTTGATCGATCTCTGCAAACAAAAACTAATTAATTTTTTAGTTTTCCCACACAAAAATTCCTTGTTTTCATCTAGTCTCCTTCCTCATTTTTCTAATATGTGATTTGACGATTTTGTGTTCTCATTACGTCTCGTGTACAAGTTCATTAATGCTTGAATAAATTTTTACCAAATATGAAATTGTTCAATAATTTTCAGTTCCGATTTAATGGAAAACTTGCGAGCTGTAAATTGGCCAACATATGTTTGGTATGGAATGTCAATTGTCAGTGTTCCAACATACATCGTAGTTTTGATAAGTTTGATAAAACTTCGAAAATTTTCAAAAGCATATCGAACTACATTCTACACACTCCTCATACAGCATGTCAGTTCTTTCATTTTCTAATTATTCGAAAAATAGATTTTCAGGGTTTTGCTGATTTATCAACAATGTTTTTCTATTTTCTACTTTTCACACTTCGCAAAATTCAAACAATCCGTCAATTATATTTTGATTATCAGGAATATTTTGTAGCCGAAGGAACTTATAACTTCACATATTATTTTCTAGCTGTAAGATGTTTTGGTATCAATCTTTTGACTTTTCAAAGATTTATAATAATTGCGGCTCCATCTTCAAAAATCACACATGTGAGTGAATAAAGTTCATCTAGTCTGAATTCAATTGTTTGTTTTAAGATAATTCAAGAAGCTAGTACTCCATCAATTGCATTTTTCTATTGGTCATTTCCAACTATATTTAGTGTATTATTTTTGAGTGGAGCTCACCCAACTTTTGATAGTGTGGAAGATATGGCAATTGTTGTAGATAAATGGGTTATTACAGTAATAATTTCATAATGGTAAAACAAAACTAAACATGTCAATCCTTTTTTCAGCGGAATACTACAATGGCATTAGCAATAAGTACTTTCACGTGTTTGGCTTGCACAACAATTTATATTTTGATAGCTTGTTCAATTCAAAAACGAACTGGAAATTCCTCAAGTCAGAGTTTTCAAAAAGAAAAACTCATTGCTATTCAAATTTATATTCTTGTTATCGCGTTTTTCGGAATATTTTTCTATTTTGCATTTCAAAACTATTTTTCAAGAATAGGAAATGTTAGTTATATCTTCATTTGAGATAAAGATCTCGATTTTTCAGTCTGGTCCCGTGTTCTTCATGAGATCCTTGTATCCTCTTCCAAGTGGTGTACTTTCTTATATCAACCCATTTTGTACATTATTTTTGAATCGCGAATTCACAACACAAGTGAAAAAGATTATAACGTTTAGAAATATTACCGTGGTAAATCAAAAAAAATATGAAAGATCTGCTTATTTTCATATATTGAATTACAGAACAATACAACTGTCTCGGTTCTATATTCGTCAACAAGAAAAATAACAAAAATAGGAGTGCGATAAAAATAAATGAAAAATAACATTTCATAGATTATTTTTTCGGGAAGTTCTAATTGTATGTTTGATTGTGAATAAAATTTGGGGGTTGTGATCGAAGTTATTTTTTTCGTGGCACACATTTTTGATTTCTTAATAAAATGGAAAACTGGAGAATAATTTTATGGCCAATTCATATTTGGTACGGAATGTCGATTATTAGTATTCCAGTTTATATTACAGTAGTTATATGTTTATTGCGACTGCGATATACTAGTAAAGATTATAATTCAACATTTTACACACTACTTTTACAGCATGTAAAGTTTGAAAAATCAAGATAAAGAGAATAAAGTTATACTTTATAGAGCTTCGCAGATTTATTCACAATGTTTTTCTACTTCATACTTTTTACACTTCGAAAAATTGAAGTTATCCGTCAGTTTTATTACGATTATCAAAGCTATTATATTGCTCCAGCAACATATAATTTTACGTATTATTTTTTGTACATAAGATGTTCTGGTATTATACTTCTGACACTTCAACGAGTAGTTTTTATAACTGTGTCATTTTCAAAAGTAGCAAACGTGAGTTCTTAAATTTAAATTGAATTAACTTTTTTATATCAAGTGGATGAGAGAAATGAACAAATGGAAAGTGGTCCTAATTTATTGGTTGACTCCAACAATTATAAGTATTGTAGTTCTAAAAGATGTTGATATTGTTTTTGACGATATCAATAATATGGATGTTATTGTGGATAAAGAAATAATAATGGTGAGATAAAAAGCTTTACAAAGTCAGAAAAACTTCAACTTTTGATTACAGAGAAATACTACAATGACACTAATTATGACAAGTATAACTTGTTTCACTTGCTCATTTTTATATGTGTATCTGATAACTTTCTTACGAAAAAAATCTTCTCAATCAAATTAATCGAAGAGAAAAACTAATTGCAGTACAAGTTTTTATTCTTATTCTAGGACTTTTTGGAGTTTTCATTTACAGCGCATTTCAAAATTATTTTTCAAGAACGGAAAACGTGAAAAACTCGAAACGTTTTTAAATAAAAACAAAAGATAATTTTCAGGATGGCCCTGTCTTTTTCATGAGATCAATATATCCGATTCCAAATGGTGTTTTATCTTATCTCAAAGGGTTGGTCCTCCGCCAAGGAATCTTGCTTGGTTTAGATAAGAATAAGGTGCTCCTGGAAGGTTCCAGTTTTAGAAAAAATTCTAGTATCAATTCAGCCCATGTTTTTCCTCAAAAACACAAGCGAGTTAAAACCTACGAAATAAAGCATGTAAATGCGCTCTAGCGCACAACTTGTTTTTGAATTTTTGTGTGTGTGTTTGCACACAACTTTGAAAATAACACGGTGACGCCTTTTTGCAGACGATTTTTTCACCAGGAAAGCACCAACCCTTCAACCCATTTTGTATTTTATTTTTAAATAGAGAGTTTCGGAAAGAATTTATAAAATTTATTGGATGCAATAGGATTTTATTAGTAAGTTTGAACTGAGTTTCGATCTTACTATACTAACCATTTCAGAGATCTAGATCGAAAATTGTACCAAACTCCACTTGATGATTTTTTAAATTACCCAACAAAAAACTCACAGCACATTGATTCCATTCAATCGATCACATTGTCTCCATTTTGTTTTTCTCCGCATGATCGTTTATAAACCAATTCGATGAATTCGTTCTAAATAAAAAAAAAGAATTATGAAAAAAAAACATTTTTCCAAACTCACCAAATCATATTATATCAAATACGAAAATGAAACATGCATTTCTGCAATTCTTTCCCGATAATACACGTACACTTCTAGTTCACGCTGTACAAATATTTTTGTCAAAAGTAATTAGAAAGTATTATTGCGAAAAATAACGCTATTCAAAAAATGCAAATTATTTAGATCGCTGCCAATCGATATAGGCAAAACTAAAAGATATTGAAATCCCGCCTGCTCTACAAGCAGTTGAACTTTGTGGGTCTAGGACACATTAATTTCAAAAATCTGTAGTTAATGAAGGCCAGTTGTTTTATATTTAAAATTGTTTTAAAAAATAAACATGCCACGGTATCCCGAACGCGTATTGCGCCAGCACTGCACACGCCACACACTCTCTCGTTTTCCCTCTATCTCTCATCGGTCTCTTCAGCAAATCGCACTCTCTCATATTTTTTGCGCTTATGTTTCTTTGCTGAAAAAATGCTGGAAATGCAATTTTTGTAACTGAATCGAGAATTGAGAAGACAGAGAACGCAAAATTGAAGATATTCCAAGTTGTTTTATAAAAAATGGTGGAGAATGAAAAATCGTCAAAAAAACATAATTTTTCGACCTATGAAAGCTGATTGAATGCACCAAAAATGAGCACAACTTTTCTCTAGAGAGCTCTGGCTACTAGTTGCGGGCACCGTGAAACAGGAGAGCTGAGCTGAGCTCTCTTCTAGCTGAGAGCGAAAAAAAGAAAAATTTTAAAAATCGAAGAAGGCAATTGCGCTCTTCCGCAAATATTTTCTTTTCTCTCTCATTGAACACACACTGTTTTGCAAAAATCTTTTTTTTTTCGAAAAACACGTTTCTTACATGAACCATATATTTTGCAACGTGGAATTTTATCGTTTCATTTCTGAAAACTAGGCGAAATTGAAACATTATTTTGACCTAGCAATAATTCAGTATTGTTTGCAATCATTCGACGCAAAACGTTCCGAGGTATTTTTTTCTTCGTTTCGTCTGTTTTTAGTGTTTCATTATTTTTTTATTTCACATTCTCCATTGTTAATTTGACTCATTAAGCTGTACAATACATATTTCAGAGCAAATATTCGATGAGGAAACTGAACATTGGCGGTAAATGGCGGAAGTCGCCAAAACAGACTTGGAGGAATTTCGGGAATTGAGAAATTGTATAAACCATGTAAGTATTTTATTAAAACCATCTGGAAAACGTATACGTTTGGCTAACGCAAAAATTGAACTACTGAATAAACTTGGAAATTAAATTTTTGAATTTTTGAATTTTTTGGTGGCACGATCGTTCAGGTCCTAAATTTTTTTGACGTTACATCTTCGGGGTGTGTATTTATCCTCTATTTCTAACATTTTCAGCCAACTCATCGAATATTGCACCTCACACATCAAAACCATGATCGGCAATGGAAGTTTCACAGAACTTCAGTCAATGTTCCAAGACAGAAATGAAATCGAGCACATCAGCACAAAATATCAAGAAATAACTGCAAATTTACCAAACGAGGAAGATACCTAACTGCAGATCATTACGGTTAGAGTTCTTTCGAAAAATCTATCGATTAGTCGAATTCGAACAAACTGATCTATTTTCTTAGATGAATGCAAGACAAAAGATTCAATTAGCTGAAATGATGAAAGATAGTGGAGCAAGTTTATGAAAAAATGTATGAAATTTTAAATCAGACAAAAGGAGAAGCGAGAGAAGAAGCTGATGAGATTATTACTTTGGGTTGTAGGCAATTTATTGGAAATAATTTGGGAGATGAAATTGCTGAAGAAATTGAGGATATGAGATGGTCCAGAAATGTTTCATCGCAATATAGCAAAACCTTCGAGTTTGGAATGTGAAACATATATCATCAATGTGAAAGTTGTGCTAAAGATTTCGAGATGATACATTTAAGAGTTCAAAGAGTTGTCGATTTTTCAAGAATGTAATCATAATACGACTGGGGAACAATGTGTTATAGGTCCTGAGAGATTTGAAATATATGTTTGATTTCAAATTTAATAAATTGTTCATTCTGCTCAATTGATCAGCGGCGGAACGAGGAAAATTTTTTTTCAAAAAATATGTTCTCGAAAACTGGCGGTCATCGCTGGTCAGAGAGATTGTCCGATCTAATTTTAAAAATATTATCACTAGAGCGTACAATCCCTCTGACTATCGATGACCGCCAGCTTTCGTGAATTAATTTTTTGAAAAAACATTTATCCTTATTCCGCCGCTGATTAATTCAGCAGAATTTACAATAAAACAATTCATTTATTCAAAAACATATTTAAATATCAATTTTGGGTTCTATTTGATTTGATGTAGTCTGGCGAGTTACTTTGATATTTCTCAACCGAATATAATGATATATTGCAAATAAGAAAAGGAATACAAAAGAAAGTAGAATAGTAATTATGAATGGGATAATATCTCCGTTCATTATTCAATGGATTTTTCGAGAATGACTCTGTGAGTAATTTTGAAATCAGTATAAGTTCATATTAATAATTTTTTTAAGTTTATCGAAATCATATGAAGGTATGTATGATTACAATTAAGATCTCGACTGAATTATTTTTTTTCCTTTTGACAGTTCAAGAATTTAGAAAAGGAAGTTTTTATTTATTTGAAAATCTCCAAGATATTTTCCAAAACAAGTTTTTTCTTATTTCCCCACCATTTTCCTCAAATCTCAAATTCGTTTTATTTCCCAATTCGCAACAAATTTCCTCTCCAATGACCTTTGACAACAACAAGTGAGAAAAAGAAATGAGCCTGTGTTGTTATTTTTTTCGAGGATAAAAATCGATTTGGCCAGAAAAGGCCAAGAGTGTGGCAGACATGAAAAGCGCTCTATTTTAAAAGAGGTTTTTTGCGGTTTTTGTTGTCTTGTTTTTTCTCTTTTTTTGCTTTTTTTTCTGGCATTAAAATTTATATTCTTCACAAACAATAATTCATTTATCTTTTAAAATGAAAAATAAATCATTTATAATTGGATGACTTCTTGATCAACTTCTTGAGCTTCTCCTACACTTTGAAGAACCGCATTATTTTCAAGTTTCGAATCAACATGAAGTTGATTGGCTTCGCATAGAATATTAGAGAAAATTAGGGCAAATATGAACAGGAAAATCGATGAAAATTTCATTTTATTGTGATTTTCTCAGCAGTCAAAAGCACCTTTTATGCATGCTCTGACCAATTTTTATTATGGCAAATTTGATGATTCGTTCGGGAAAATTAAATCGAGAATATTTATTCTCAAGGCATTTCAAAAAAGGAAATGAAGGATTGAACAAAACAATTTGAAAATATTCTACTGCAGAACTTCAATAAATCCTCCATCGTTGGAATTTATTCGAAAACTTGGGATTACTGAAGATTTTCCAATATCTCCTATGCTTTGAAGTTTTTCATGTCCTTTGATTGATCTTTCAATATTATAACCAGATTCTTGGGAATAAGATTGAAAGACAAAAAATATTAGAAATAATAAGAAATACCTCATTGGAAATAGTTCTTCTACTTATACATACATTATATATCGGGTTCCATAGCTATTTATATACAAGTATTACCCAAGTTGAAACCGAATTATGTTTAGGAAATAAACTAGGGTTCCAAATGAATCAAATTAGATTGCATAAATCAAGCAAATTTGATTAATCTTTTACCCTCCAACCAAAATCAGATGTCAGCAGAAAGTTCGTTTTCTCTTGTTATTTTTCTCGCGCACTTTTGCAACAACAAACTTTCGATTTTCATTATTCTTATGCAACACATTTATTTATTCACATGTTATTGAAAAACCTCTCCAATTTACCTTTTTTCTCTATATTCTCTCACTCTCGTATTCTTTTTTTGAACTTATTGGATTTTTGGACTTTTTCAGTGATTTATGGATCAAAAATAGAACAGTTTGACCTTTTTTGATATCAGTTACAAAATGATCTTGTAATTTGATATTTTTGCACTGATTTTACTGTTTATTGATTTCTTGTGGAGGAGTATTATATAAAGAAGTAACCGTTTCACTGTTATATATATTTTTAGAATCAGCTCGATTTTATTTGAAAATATTTTCAATAAGAAATAATTTGATTTACCTCTCCAGAGACTTACATATTTTTTTCGAATGACGTTCAAATTTTTTTCTAAATTTAATCGCAAAAAAGTTCTCCGTTTCAAAAAAATAAAACTGGTTCCTGAATCAAAAAATCATTTTCTCTCCTCTCATATTCCACATTTTCTGAATATAAATATTCGGAGTTCATTTCGAAATGACCAATGTGCACATACATATGTGACCAACTTGATTCAATTTGTCCTAACTCCGCCCCAAATTTTCCCTCATCCGAGACCTCAAAATTGTTCCCAGAAACAGCTGTTTCTCCCCGCTTGAGCCGCGTGGTTTTTTCTCGTTTTCATAAGATAGTTTATTGCTCTCATGACTGAACTTATTTCTTTTGTTTAAAAATTTCAAAATCGATGAGTAAGTGTCTGTTTTTTTTGTCAAAAAAACACTGATATTTACATAAACTTTTATCAGCTGAAAAACAAGATTGTTCTGGTTTTTTCAGGTATTTTTATCAACAACTAAAAAAATTCTTCGAAAAACTGCATTGAGCCAGTTTTGTTTACCCATTGTCATTTCCTTTTTTGTGAGCAAGTGAAGTAATTTAGAATCAGCTGTATAGTTAGTTAGAAAACTTTTTCCTTGTTTTCCCGAGTCTCACCTCAATTTTTGGGGGGAAAAACAGCTTCGTGACATAATAAAAAATTAATTGGGGTACTTCAAAATGTTCATGTGATTTCACTTGTAAATGAAATGAAAAATAACGGCGAAATTTCAGCGTGTCTTTCTGATTAGTCGCTGATGACCAATAGAAGTATCTATCGTTTGAACCAAATTGAAAAGTTTACAACACCTTTTTGAATATAAAAAAAACTTCCACACCACTTGAAATATTCAGAATCCGCTATCAAATTTCCAATTATTTCCAGGTAACCCAGAATAATTTATTTTCGGTAAGCTCAAATTTTCTCAGTTTTTCCCATGTTAGACACATATCTCATTTATCATTTTTTTTTTCAAACGACGCTCATAACTTCTTCTTCTTGAGGATAGAAAAATTTTGAAACTCATCGATCAAAAAATGTCACGGCATGTTTATATATAAACATATGGCCAGCAATGAACTTTCTCAAGTAGAAAAAAATTTTATTCGGTAAAATGCATCTCAAAAAAAATGAAAATCCAGATTTTTATCTCTTCAAGAATCTTACTAGCTTTGGTTTTCTTTAGTTAGTTTATTGAAAACTTTATTATTCATTTTATGTAGCTTTATTACGGTAGATGTACGGATTCCTTGTAAGTTTTTGGCTTCATATAATCTTTTTGTTTTTCTCAAAATGTATTTATGAAATGAAATGCGCTAGAAAAAATTTCGAAATTTTGGAGAAAAATAGATTTTTGGTGTCAAATTTTTTGAGCCGTTGCCAAAAAGCTCAAAATAGGAATGGTTGTTTTCTTTGTTATCTCATTATTGTTTTTTTGTTGGCAAAAAATAATTGTTCGCCATAGTAACCAAATCTGAAATTCATACGACAACATAGTTTTTGTCTGTTTTTTTTCCCAACATTATTCTTTTATTTTGTCTCTTTGGCCCCATTGTCACAAAAAATAGGATAGGCAAGAAAAATAATAGTATGTTATGATAATAAAAGTTGTATGTTGTCGAATGGTGAGTATCGTATTTCTTCTTGTTTTTGTTCGGTTTTATTCTAATGAATAACATTCGTGTGAAAACTATTTTTTTGTGTTTCAGAAGAACAAAAAACGAATAATGGTTCAATGTATGACATTTCTTTGCAAAGTCAATGAAAATTATAATATTTATAACGAAGAATGGGATCAACAGAAAATATCGAAGAAACGGAAAAATCTTTGTTGTATTTTGGCTGCTATATTATTTGGAACATTAGCTTTGATTATTATATTGAATTGTTTATTCTCGCCAAAAACTCCGAAAGCATCTTATGATCGAAAAAATGATTTCACGTTAATGGATAAGATTTATATATCTGATGCAGCTCAGAAGTTACCCAAAAAAGGAAAATTGTTTTGTTGGGTTCAAACGTCAAAGATTTATCATGATACAAGAGTTTGTTTCTTTTATTAAATATTTTTTCCATTCTCTAAAAAATTTTTTAACCTACAATTTTTAGTCTCTTGCAATCAACGAAACTTGGATTCACCGATGTGATCATGGGCAACTATTTACATCAGAAAAATTCAATGATTCTCGGATTCCGTATTCTACAGTATTTGCTGGGATCCCTGATGATTATTACAATTTGTTTTTCAAGAGTCGTTTCGCATTTCATTATATTCATAATCACATTTCTGCAGACTTTGACTGGTATTTGAAAGTGAGTCAATGAAAATTTTCATTTTTTTTTCAATTCCAAATTGTATTTTTTCAGGCCGATGATGATACATTTGTAATCGTGGAAAACCTTCAAAAATATCTTGCTCATCTGAATCCCGATGAACCTCATTATTTAGGATATGTTTTAAAACCATATTTGAAAAATGGATATAATGCGGGAGGAGCTGGATATGTATTATCACGAGCCGCACTCAAATTATTTGCTGAACATTTGTATTATAATGAAAGTGCATGTCCAGATGATATTTATGAAGATGTTGGAATTGCGAGGTTGGTTTGAATATTATTTTAGAAAACTTGTTAAAAAAATCTTATCAGTTTCTTTTCAGATGCCTTGCAAGTGCTGGAATATATCCTGAAGACACACGGAATTCCAAAGGTCAAAATCGATTCAACACATTTTCACCGTCAAACACTTTTCATCAACTGAAAGCAAATATTGAATGGGTTAAATACAAAGAAAATATGGTGAGCTTTCTTTCTTATTGCCAAAATTAAAATTCAAAATCAAAATTGTTTCAGGGTTATGATGCATTCGCCAATGATTTGATCTCATTCCATCATTTAACACCAGATGAAATTCGTTTATTTGATATTTTACTTTATAGAACAAAAATTGCATAGATTTTGATAATTCAACGTTTAGATTTTCATTTAGCTCTTTTCTTGTTCATCTCTGTGATACGATTTATATGATCATTTTTCAAAATTACGTGTACATTTGACATATCAAAAACTTTAATAAATTATTTTTTGTTAATTTTTCAGGTGAAATTATAAATTTTTAAATGGTTTTTATAATAATGTTTTTTTATTTATTTTATTTTACTTCGAAAATTATTTCTCTCACTGCAAAAAAACACACATTTCTCCACATAAAATTTAGGCTCCGCCCACAACACACATTGAAGATAGCAAACCACACAGCTCGTTTTTCGTCGGCCGCTTGAAAGATAGAAAAGAAGCGGGAGGCAAAAGACGAGTGAGGGAATGATGATGTTCTGTTGTAGGAATCTCAATGATGGGGCTATTCATGTTATTTTTCAACGCTGAGAAAACGGGAGAAAAGCGGAGAAAACCTATTCAGGTAGGCTGAGAAAATACGAAAAAAGCGGAGAAAATGTATTTCCTCCGCATTTCTCCTGTTTTCTCAACATGCTGAGAAAATACATGAATAGCCCCATGAATGAATGTGATCTAAAAACGCAGTAAATTCACTGACCCTAATCTGGAAACAATACAAATTTTGAGAATCAAGTTGTCTGGAATACTAATCTTGAAAAAATATTTTTGTGATGACATATAGTAATACACCGCTGATTTTTGGAAATTTCGTTTTTACGACAACGGAAGTTTATATTGTCTGCTAACGTGGAACTCTCTATCCAAACCAATTGGAGTGTCTCAACAGCTTTTGAAAAATCGTATCTTGAAATAAAAAATGAAATTGTTTTGTAAACTTAATGGTATTTTTATGTTATGTTAATTGCAATTTGTTTTAAGTGTTTTTTCAAATAAAAAACGTCAATCAATATTTTCTCGATGCCGAACGTTTTTGTAAAATAAGACCCACTCCTTTTCTGTAATTTTGATAATAATTTAATATTTCTCTTCTTTTGTTAAAAAGTTTAATTTCGAGTCTCTAATTAGACAGTTAAGGTATCTAAAAAGAAGATGAAAATCAGAAACTTTCACTCGGTCAAAACTATACTTTATTATAATTCTGAACTCCCAGAAAAAATATGTACTGTGAAACATTTGAAAATTTCAATAATGCGACTTAAAGTTATTGTATTCTAGACAAATTTTCCCTCGCAAATGGAGCGAAGAAAATTTATTCAAAAAAATGAGCTCAGAAAAATTTCTATGACTACTTTTTCCGACATCAACACCAATATTTTCTCATTCATTGGCAGCTGAACAATAGTTTTGACTGACTGCTTTGAGTTCTTGGTGTTTCGATGTTTTTTCGTGGGAATTCGTGAAACACGGTTTTAAAAAAAATATATATTGTTAACACGGTACAGAATCAATTATTCATTTTTAATATTGTCCATTCACAATCAGTAAATGTGTCTGTATATTTGTTTTGTGAAATTCAGAAAGTTTTTTCCAATATTTTTTTTTAAATTCACGAACAAAAATTTGACACCCCTTTCCCAAAACTCCAATAAAACAAAATGTGTAATTCCAAAAAACAGTAATCTCGTTTTAATTCGGATGTTGTTGAAAAGAATTGAAAGCCAGCCAACTGTTTAAATAAAAAACCTTGACATTCAATTCATATATTTTTCCAATCATTGTTTCTATTTTCGATTTTGTTTCTGGTCATCTTATTATATTCAATTTTCAGTGTCTGTCTCCAATTAACAGAAAAATAAATAAGAAATGCGTCGTGCCAAATATGAAATTTTGTTTCATGTCAAGACAAAAAGAAATTGCCGGGATATGTTTTTATTAATGTTGGGTGTCACATTTTCGACTTTTTTATTTTCAATTATAGTTTTCGATAAAAGGTTGAATTCTCAAGACACATTGGATTTATCAGACGAAGAAGCTTATCCAAAATGTTATTGCGAGTCAAAATCGAATCCCGAATTGGTTCATAATTTTTGCTACGTTGATCCTCACAATCATTCATCAGTTGGTAGAAAATTTGATTGTTCTAGTTTGTCGATTTTGGAAAACTTAGGTTAGTTGTTTTCCTATCCATTGTTCGTTTTCTGTTTTGTTTTTCTCGATCTGTTCAAATATTTATTTTAGTCTCTGACTAGACATTTATTTCATTCAGGAACATTCAATTTCACTCAATCATTTGTGGATACAACAAAATCATTTCGAGATCCTAAAGATGTTATTTTTCTATCAGCTTGTTCAGATGATCATTTAAAAGCTGTTGAACAAACGGTGAAATACATATAACTTTAAAACCAAAAACAATAATTTTTTTTAATTCCAGATAACCTCAGTTCAAAAATTTTATCCAAATCAGAAATATATTTTATACGACATTGGAATATCTGAAGGAAATCGAAAAATGTTATTGAGCAAATTTAAAAATGTTGAGATAAGAGAATTCAAATTCTCGAAGTATCCTGACTTTGTAAAACAATTAATGACATATCGTTGGAAACCTTTGATTATTGCGGTGAGTTCAAAGGGATTATTTGTGAATCATTTTTGAATGATCGGGATCGAAAAAAGCTAGTCTAGTTTTTTTTTGCGTGATGTTGATCATTGTATTTTTAGGAAGTTCTTCAAGAATATCCGAATATTTGGTGGATGGATGCTCATATCAGGCTTGTTGGAGGAAACTTCACTGATATCACATATCAGGAAAGATCTACTGAATTGGTGAACTCGGATATTGTATTTTTTGTGCATTCTAGTCACAGTAATTTTGCAACTCTCTTCCCAAGTAAATATCTATGATTCTATTGTAGAGTGACTAATTAATATTTTCTCAGAACTTTTGGAATATATTCCGTCTGGTTCGATTTCCCTTTTACAAAGCGAAGAACTTGGGGCTCAACTTGGTGCAAATATTTTCTACGTTTCAAGAACACGCCAAACCCTTTCATTTTTCAAATGGTGGCTTCTTTGTGCTTTGGACGAAACTTGTATGAATCCTCCAGGAGCTCAAGTCTATTGTCGATTTGGACCAAATCGATTTGATTCTTTTGCGAATTGTTTCCGGTTTGATCAATCGGTCATCAATCTTCTTCTTCTAAATCAATTCCAAGATTATCATAAATATACGGGAAGTGTAGGATATCAATTTGTACGATAGTGTTTATCTGGAATATGTAACTTTAATTTTGTCGGGTATTTTTAGATAAATGGTTATTTCTTACTGTAAATCTTTTCTTGGAATTTTCGCTTTCACGATAACAAAAGTTCATGTTTTCTGTTAACGTCGAATTCTCTTGTGGTCTGAAGTTCCTACTACTGTTATGAAATTTTCATTTTATCTCAAAAATCAAAGTCGAATTTGAAAAAAATGAAATGGGAATCTTTTATAAATTTTCTTGAAAAATCATCAGTTTCTGTATCAATATTTCTCAATACATTTCTGACTATTTTAATTCTGTACAAATCTCCAAAAAATCTTGGATCCTATAAATATTTGATGATATTCATTTCAATATTTGAAATATTATATTCGGTTATCAGTATAATAGTAGCTCCAATTATATTTTCGTATGGTTCCATTTTCATTGTTATTTCACATCCAAAAGTAAACTTGTTTTCGAAAATTGGGAAGCTTATTTTGGATGCAGCTTGGTGTGGAATGTTTGGATGTTTTATGGCAATCTTTTCTTTGAATTTTTTGTACAGATTTTTTGTGGCTTCCGGGTGAGTATAAAAAAACGTTGAAAAACAGTTGGAAATCCGATGTTTTCTAATTCACACTCACATGAAATTTAAATAGTAAAATTCACTTTTGTAAGTTTCATTGTGAAATAATCTCTTACAGATCGAAATATCTCAAGACATTTCAAGACTCTCGTTTTTTATTATGGATATCCATTCCAATATTGTTTGGCACAACTTGGGGAACTATTGCATTTTTCATTGGATCCCCTGATGAAATGAATGATGCTTTAAGAAGTGAAGTTTTATTGACATTTGATTGGAAAATAGAAAACATAACTTATGTCGGACCATACATTTACCAAAAGAAAATTGATGGAACTTATGAAACAGATTTCAATGCAGTCATTATGATCATGGTTTTATTTCTAATAATCTTTTCATCAATATTAACAATGTTAATCAGTGGAATCAAGTGTTTCTACAGAATTAATAAATTAATAAATGTTAGAGATATGCAATCGGTCTATAACAATAAACTCCAATCTCAATTATTCTACGCATTGATCACTCAAACAATGATTCCTGTTATTTTGATGCATTTTCCAGTCACAGTACTGTTTATTTCTGTTTTGGTTGATCTTAATTTGGGTACTTTGAGTGATATTATAAGAATAACAATCACATTATTCCCAGCGTTGGATCCTATTCCCACAATGTTTATTATTAAAAGCTATCGGATTGCAATCAAAAGTATGATAAAAGTTGTATTTGTAAGACCGAAAAATACAAGTATCAATTAGATTATCTAAATGTTTTATTGAAAACGTTTTCTCGAAATGCTAACAACAATAAATGGTATGTTTACAAGTCCGTATAATATATCAAAACCTGCTCAACCTGTCTCGAAAAACTTTGACGTATATCATAATTTATAAGTAGGACATGTCATTAAAAAACCGATCAAATACAACATTTGATGATATTTTATATTCAAGTCAATTCAATTGATTAGACAAAGACGCAGACGAAAAAGATACGGAAACAATCATATCTTTTTTCATTCAATGTACAATTCTTCATGCTTTCTATAATATTTTAAATGAACTTATCACTAACCTATTTTTTATTTTCTTTGTTTGTTTTGAATTTGGTCAATAAATTTGATGTTTTTTCGGCAACTGTTTTTTCGAGTTCTTTGAAAACTTGTCAATCTCAATGTGAAGAGCGAAATTTGGTAACTCAAAAAAAATCTGTTGAATTTCATTGATAAATTCTCTTAGGCTTACCCTTTGCCATCTGGTCAATTGAAATGGATCAATATAGATAAACACAATTACACAGAATCAGTTGGATCTTGTCGACATGGATGTGAAGATGTTGATGAAAGAGAATCAAAATGCGATGAGAAATGTTCGGAAGAAAATGTTGTGTCGGAAAGTTGCCAACAAGGATGTCGAGCAGTTCTTGTCGCATTTTTAGCTCAAGCTCAAGGTAAGACTGTTCATTGCTGATAATTCGAAAAGTTTTCTAAAAAAAAGTTTCAACATAGTTTCAAAAATATTTAGAAATTAAAGTTATTTTAAAAAATTCCAGCAATGCTTATAAAAACACGCGTAAATATGGAAGTTCATGACACTGGAATGAAACTAAAATGGGAATTCCCGGAAGAAGTTATTGAAGATCTCAAAGAGCTCGCGACTGCTGATATTTTTTGGTTTGCTCAAACTCGTCCACTGAATGGAAACATTGGCTGGAGATGGACTTCGTTGACTCAAGGAGCGTTTAGAAATTCAACGCTGTCTACAGAAATTACAGTACCTTTTGAAGAAGCTGAACAAGTTGAAGTTAGATTGGCAATGAGTTATAGGAACCAGGTTTTGGTATCAAGAACAACGCAATATGATTTGCCGTTAAGTAAAAGTGGAACACATTTGGAAATTGTTGGACAATTACAGTTATCTGATGATAGAGTTGCTATTTGTTATAAAACTAATCAACCAACTCCAAAATTCAAATTAACAATTTCAACACTTGATGGAAATCCAATAAATACTGAAGAATCTATATCAAGATGTCATATGTTTTCAAATTTACCAATTGATAATTGTTGCAAAGCAAATATTGCTGCAATTGATGAAAATGGAATTATCACTGCAAGTCTCGAAGTTAAACTTGATTTTTTTGTGAATAAGGTTGAAGCAGAATTAATTGCAATGTCCCAAACAAGACTTATTTTCACAAATGGCACTCATTTATTGGATTTGGAAGATTCGGATAACACAAATCTATCCGAAAGTTCAAATATTATTCCATTTCCACTTCCAGCTGATGATTCAATTACCGGTAGGATATATTAATATTTTCAATAAAAAAATTATTTTTCTAGCAATCGTTGGAATATCTGAAAATACGATTGCTATTGGAAGTGAAAAAGGATCACTATGGACATTTCAAATGTCTAATTCTGAAATGAATCAAACATTTGAAGAAGGGTCGGGTGAGAAAATTTCATCGGAAGTTATTCAATTAAAGACAGTTGGAGAAATGGATACAAAAATTATGCAAATTGAGGTGGATCATATTCAAAAAATGATTTATGCTGTTCAACACGATAAAGGAATTTTGAGGTAGGAGAGTTTGAGAAACTTAATTTGAAACACTTTTTTAGAACACTATTACATTTTTTCAGGTGCAAACTTCGAACTTTGCAATCTGAAGAACCAACATCGTCATGTGTTTTAATTGTGAACAACGATCCTTTAAACCCTCCAAAAGAAATCACATTGGACCCGGTTAATGGGTATCTTTTTTCCACTTTTTGACTCAATTCTATGATTTTTTTCAGATTTATCTATACACTCAACGCCGATGCCAAAGTCTACAAAACCGAAATGATTGCATTTAATGCAAGTGGAATTGAAAGTATTCAGAACTTTCAACTTCTAAAAGATCTGAGCCCCTCAAATGGAATATTTTATGATTGGCAGAAATTTGTGATTTATTCCGCACTTCAAAATGGTTCACTACTTTCTATGAATCCAATAAATGATCAAGTTCATATTTTTCGAGATGGTGATTTTGCAAACTTCAGAGTCAAATCGGATAAAATTTTTTGGAGTCGATCAAAATGCGGAGAATCCACAGCAGATACAATGTGTATTTTCAGCGAAAATCTGAAACGCGGTGAAGATGATCTACCGAATAAGTCAGTTTTTTGAAAAAAAAATGTTCCAAACGAAAAAAAATTGAGCGAAAATTTTTTTGCCTATTTCTCTGTGGTCTCTCTTGTTCCCTTTATCTATTTCATTATTTACTCTGTGTTGAATGTTATAACAGAGAAAGAGAGGCACTATGCTATCCCTTCAAATAATGCTATTCTAAGAGGTTTTCTCGCGGTGAGATGGCCGAGTGGTCTAAGGCGCTGGTTTTAGGCACCAGTCCCTCCGGGGGCGTGGGTTCGAACCCCACTCTCATCAACTTTTTTTGATTTTTTTTGAAGATAAAAATGAATAGTCCAACTTAAAATTTTTATCAACTTCTATTATGCTTCCAAATTATTCTATAAATAATCTAGACGAAAATTATTACCAAATTAATGATATTTTTCAGATTCACTTATGACAGTGCTCTTTTGGATTATACATTTTTGGAAGAAATTTTTGTGAAGCCTCGAGTTGCTGCAATTAGCCAAATCTCAATGTTAGTTTCTGATAAATCTGCGAAAATAGCTTGGAGTCGTCAACAAAATCTACCGTTCCAAGCACAAGGATTATTTTGGAGAAATATGTCATATTTTCTGAAAATCACGACACCAGAAAATGATCCACAAGAAGTTTATCTTGAAACTAATTCCTATTCAATCGATATAAAATCTGGGAAAACATACACTGCTCAAATTCAAGCATGTAGTGATGATTTTTGTTCGACACCTCGAGAAACAGAAAACACAGCAATGAGAGACTTCAAAGAAAGTAAGCCAATAATCTAATTCTGGTAGGAAAACATTATTTTTACAGTAACACCGTATGTGTTCACAAAGAAGCATCAAGATGGAATAGAAGTATTTGATGGATTAGGAAATATTGTAGAAGCTGATGAAACATTGCGAAATTTAGACAAAATGGGGTCACCGCATGCTTTGGATAATACTACAAAAACAGTTTATTTAGCAGGAGATCATTCGATGGGAATATACAAAAAAGAATTGACAGATCTAACAGGAACTCCAAAACCATTCAAAGATGGATTATTTGTTGAAATGATGTCGGTCATACCATCAAAATCAATGATTGTTATTGGATCTTCTTATAAAATAACATCTTATCGACTTCCAACAACTTTTGATTATGAATATTATACTTGTGAAGAGCCATTAGAAGATTGTGCTGAAGTTATGGGAATTTCAGCAGATGATACGACTGGAAAAGTATTCTTCATTACTCAACATCGTAATGGAACTGTTAGTTTATGGGAATCAACACTAACTGGAAATCGGCAACCAGTTCAAATTTCATCAACTGATTCGATCAGACCATTTAGAAAGTTTTTAGTTGTTCAAGATAAAATTATAATGCTCACAAAATCAGGGCATATAATTCAAACGGATACAAGTCTGGAAACTGTAAATGAATGGAGAGAAGGACCAAGAGTCGAAACAATTGTTCCAATTCGATATGCACAACAAATACATAAAATTGAATTTATTGGTTGGTAAGCACAAAAATCAAATAACAATTGAACAAAAAATTTATAGATGATATCAAATTTGTGGAGGGAAGTAAAACTGATCTTATTTGGAATGTTACTCCACCAATGGATAATGTCATATTCAAAGTTTCAATTTATCGTGAGAAAATGGGAATGGATAATCCGATAATGAATATGCAAACTGAAACAAATTATACAATTCAACAAAATATATTAGATCAATGGATGAGCGCACAACGATTTGATGTTTCTGTGCAAGCAATAACTCCGTGGTTGACTGTTACACAAAACAAAACTGGATTAACTGCGCCAGTAAAACCACCAACTCCTCCCACACAACTTCGAATTTACGCAACTCAACAAAAAACTGTTGATGGACCACGTGCTCTTATATCATTTTTTTGGTCTCCACCATTAGAATGGAATGGCACACCATATCAATTCATTGTAAATTGCACAAAAGATGATGGAAGTTGGATTGGTGGACCAGTTACATCATCTCAATCGCATTATTCATTTGCAGTAAAAAGTGGAAAAGTATCGTGTCAGGTTGCTGCTGCAAATGAGCCAACAAATATTGGTGGATTTTCTGATGTTATATCAATTGACAGTTCAGAGATAAAGCCACTTGTGAAACTATTTGCTATTGATTCAACAAATTCGCTTGTTTCAATAAATGATTTAGCTCACGAAGAACCAAGTAGAGAAACAAGACAAGTTTCTCAACCAGCAAAAGTGAGTTCGAATATTTTTACAACAAAATCAACATTATTATTTTTAGTTGGAATATCAAGCTCTCGCATTTATCGGAGAAGATCTTTACGCTGTGCGAAAAGAAGGCGATTCAGCTCAACCTGTTTTGGTTAAAATTGATACAAATCATTATGAAAATACAGTGCACAAAGTGTCGATTGGAGGAGATGTGACAAGAATAGATGCGATGACTTCAGATTGGGTTGGACATCGATTATTATTTGTGGCTGGTACTGTACTCTATCAACTTCCATTGGAACCGTTTTTATCAACATCGTTATTGAATCCACATAAAGTTATGCAAATTTCATCAGCTGCAACAGATGCCAAACAATTGACGTATGACCCATTCAAAAAGTGAGGCAGATAAATATTTTCCCACAAAAAAACAAAATTTTCAGTACTGCCTATCTTCTTACAAAAAATGGAAGTTTATTCGCATTAGATTTGAATTCTAAAACCGAATCAAATCTTGCTCTCACAATTTCATGTTTGGCTGCTCAAACAATAACATGGATGCAAACAGAATTCACTTGGAATCGAGCTGTTTCTCCAAAAATATATGCTCTAACCTGGAATGGATTACTGTATGTTGATTTGGCTGAAGATTATCAATGTAATGAAGTTCGAATTGATTGGACAAAGTTTGGTGAAAAAGGAATCAAGGCAATATCTTCATTTGCCATTTCTGACAAACTTTTTGCATTTGTCACTTCTTCGGAAATGTTGATTTATGGGCGAGATATGATAACTCCAATTCCAATCACAAATCCACCGCTGAAACAAATCCTAGCAGCAAGTCAAAGTAGTCAACCATATCCGGGTTAGTTTTTATTCTTAGACGTGAAATTTCTTGTTGCTGAAACTATTTTTTGACAAATTGTAGATCGTTCCTGTTTTGAACTCCCGTCATCAAAAGGAATTGTATTCAGCATAGTAAATGAGGGCAAAACTGGTGCATTTCTTGAAGTCACAAAATCAACTTTGCCATCTGCTTGCACTGATGTTAGTATGCCACAAACACAATATGAAATATATTTCACTAGAAAAAATACGGATAAGGTGAAACATATTCGAAGTTTTTCGGATAAGATTCACATCGAAAATGCGATTCTTGACAAAGAAACTGATTATGATGTTACTGTAACTTGGTTGAATCGATATTCTCCAGCAAGTGGAGTTTCACCATCAAAACCATTCAGAACTGGATTTGGATATCCTTCGGCACCAAGAGATCCACACGCGATTCCAGTTTCTCCTGATACAGTATACCTTTATTGGAATCTTCCAGAAACATTGAATGCTCCAATATCGGAAATAAAATATAAAATCAGTCAACAAGCAGCCGGTTTAACATCTCCAACTTCTATTGCTGTTATTCCACTTTCAGAAGTTGTTTCAACAAATATTTCATCAGATACAACTGCGTGTCTTATTAATCCATGTCGAGTCAAAATAGCTAATCTTAGACCATCGAATGAATATAAATTCTGGGTAACAGCAACTCACACATCTCATCTTTATTCAACTTTTATGAAAGATGATGAAGCTGTATCAATTGAATCAACCGCTCGAACATTAGATGTTCCTGGAACACTTCGACCTGAAAATGTAACGGGATCATCAATTATATTGCGATGGAATGGATTAGAGCCAGAGACTTTGCCAAATAGTTTAAGTGTTCAATATCGAGAAGTTGGACATAATGATTGGGAAGAACCAGTTAATGCAACTATTCTTGAACCAAATGTAGCTACTGAAATTATACCTGTAAATACTTTGCTGTCAGCAACAACTTATGATTATCGATTTGTAGCTACTTATACAGGAACTTATACAATTGATGGAAAAGTTCTTGCGTATAAAGAAGATTATTTCCAACTAACACAACAAGCAAGAACGAAGGGTAACGAAAAAACCATTCTCCAAAAAATTGCAAAAAAATGAATTTTCAGCGGGTGTTCCAACAATGCCACAAAATGTTGAATCTCGAATTGATGAAGAAGGTTGGATTGTAACATGGAAAGAACCAATGAGTGATGGTGGATCACCAATAACAAGTTATGCTGTGGAAACTCGGATAAATAAAACAGCTGAATGGGAAATTGCTGAACGTGGACTTGATGGATGGAAAATGTGGTGGAGACCTGGAAAATCAGAGACTAATCAACTTGATGTAAGTTTTTCAGAAAACATTCAAGAAAGAAATATGAATTTATGATTTCTAGCTTGAGTTTCGTATTCGAGCGGCAAATATTGAAGGTTTTGGTGGATATGCTTATACTGAAGAAAGAAAAGAGATTCCAGAAGAAAAAGAGAATGTTATACTTCCCTACTTTCTGTTCTTATTGATAGTTTTACTTATTCTTGCGCTACTTTTTGTTCTATGGTTTTGGTGTAAGTTTTTGAAAAAAAATTTGACATCAGAAAATCGAAAAAAAAGAAAAAAATCGAATATCATAATTTTTCAGTGAAAAGTCGGCGAGCACAATTCGTTAAAAAACGAGAAGCTCAAGATGAGAGAAATTGTATAAGTTTGGATGTGGTTACCAATCTCACATTGTCACCAACTCAATCATTGCCGCCTGAGATAAACAATGAGTTGAAAAGTGGGTTTTTGAAAACTTTTGGATCACATTTTAATGGTCTCAAAAGTTCGAAAACAAAGCTGAAATTGTTTTCCAGATCTTCCACATGTTAATAAAGAAGATGTGAAAATTGGTGCAATGATTGCTCATGGAACTTATGGTCACGTTCATGAAGGAGTTGCTGCCGAAGTACCGCTCAGTTGGGAGAAAAATGTCAAAGTGGCAATAAAAACATTAGAAAATTATGATAACTATGAGAATAAAGTGATGTTTATGAAAGAAGCAATTTTGTTGAAGTGAGTTATTTTTTGAACATTTTGAAAAAAAACAATTGTTTCAGCAATGTCGATCATCCAAATATAGTTAAAGAACTTGGAGTTTGTCTAACTCAACGGTCTGAATTTTTGCTTCTCGAATTTATGGAAGGAGGAAATCTTTTGGAGTATTTGAGAATGTCGTAAGTGAAAAAAAAATTGTTTTTTTCTCAAAAAATTAGTTAATGTTCAGAGTTCCAACAGAAAATCAAGCTTCTGAACTTTGTTTGCGGGATTTGCTGGGAATTGCAGTTGATGTTGCGAGAGGAATGAATTATTTGGAAAGGTTAGTAAATGGTTTTCAAAAAACTAATTGAACAATGTTTTTTCCAGACTTCCTCATGTTCATAAAGATCTTTGTGCCAAACGTTGTCTCCTAGCTTCAAAATCTGGCGGTCCAACAAAACTCGAACTAACATCTTTTCCAATTACGAATAAATTCAAAATCGAGTCATCTGACAGAATTAGATGGATGTCTCCAGAAATCCTCAGAGACTTCCAATTCACCTCAAAATCCGATGTTTGGGCATTCGGAGTTCTACTTTTTGAGATCTTCTCACTTGGAGAACATCCACATGGAACAGAAAAAGAAAATCGAAAAATTGCAACAGATGTGAGAAATGGAGTTGTTTTACCAAAACCTGTCTATTGTCCTGATAGATTATATAAATTAATGCAACAATGTTGGGCTTTTGATCCAACAAAACGTCCAAACTTTGCAACAATTCTCAAAATTTTCGAATCTTTCCGCGAACGCCTTGAATTCCAAGATGATAAACCACTTCAAGCGCAAGACGGTCATTATAATGTTAATTTTGATGTATCACATGATAGTACATCCAGTGAGAGAGGAGATTCAAGAGAACCACCATCGCCATCACATTTGAACAAAAGTTTTGGTGGATTTGAAAACCATGCATTCGGTGAGTTTGGATAATAAATCTTTTTTATTTCAAAAACTCTTTTTAGAAAAAAATACGCTTGGAAGTATAGTGAATGCAAGAAAATCATCGAAATCCGCAGCTGGAAGATCTCTCCGAAAAGAAAAAGTGAAATCAAGAAAAGGAGTACCTCAAGAATCATTCGAATCCACCAGTCGACCATTGAGTGTTCATTCAGCTGACACAATTTCAACAGAATTTAGCGGAGAGCGAGGTAAACACAAAAAATGAGAGATAGGCTCCGCCCACTTTCCCTGCAAAACATGCCAGCACGCTCTACGCGTCTGGTGTCGGTTGCTGCGTTTAATGGGGAGAAAGAGGGAGAGAGAAATGACAAGGCCTATGAAGAAAAGAATTACCGTCTGATTTCTACTGACGTTAACTTTGGCTGTATTTACCAGAGGCTGAACATTTTTTTTTTGGAATTCATGAGAATTTGAAAGGAAAGAAGAGCACTGGAAGCAAATTTGTAAAATAATATTTATATTTCAGGATTGAATTCACCTGGTTCATCAGGAATGCAATATTTAGCGCCGTACGATGCCGTGAAATCTCGAATGAGTGCTGCACCAGCTCTTGGAATTGTAAACGATGGATTTGAAGGGAGCAATCCATCAAGCTTAAATCTCAGTCGAAGTTGGACTGCTTTAAGCGAAGCTCCGAGACCTGCGGTCCGAAGTCGAGCCCCAACGTATGAACAACAACAAAATAATAGGCGTAATCGTGTTAGTCAGGTATAATTGTTAACTAATAAATACATTTTTCGTTGTAAAATACAATTTGTTATATAAAAACTGTGATCAAGGTCCTTTTTTTCTGTTTTTCCGAATAAAGATTCATCTATTAGGTTTCCATGACAACCGAATCTCCTCCGAAAAGGTTTGTTTGCCTGGTTTCGCAATTTTTTATTATTTTTTTAAAATTAATTCTGATTTTTCTTTGTTTTTAGAAAAATGGGCAAAAAAGGCACTGTTTTGGAAGAAAGTCTGCCGGAAAATAGTTTATATTTGTTTCAGGTAAGACATGTTTTTCAAATAATTAAAGATGATTAATTCATTGAAAAACATGTTTTTCCAGGATGAAACTCTTTCTCCAATTTTCTGCAAATCAAAATTGATCCCGCTGAAAACAATTACAATGCAAAAACTTGAAAAAATGCAGCAAGAAATGATGGAAAAACTGAAGTTTCCTGAAAAACCGGAAGAAATTCACCATGAAGAAGGAGAATATGTGGAAGAAGGAACAAGTTCGGAAAGAGATCCAATTCAAAATGAAGACGAAGAAAAGAAATCAACTGATGTTTGGACCGCAGATGATTAAATTTTAAAAATCAATTGAAAAATATTTTATCACATAAAGTTGCTATTATAATTATTTGTATTGTTGTTATTTTGAAAGTTCAGATCTTGTGGAACTGGAGTCTCGTATGGAATTGGATACCAATCAGTTGATGAAGTTTGTGGAGAAGACACTGAAAGAATTACTTTAGAAATTCAACTGTCAAAAAAGTTCAGGTGCTAAATGCTCACCTGGTTGTTTATTTTTGTTGCGTAGAATCCGGCTGATACTACTGACAGATGGCAAATTTGCTCGATCACAAATCTGATCAGTTATCAATCTATCTCGAATTTCCCATGCAAAAATGCCAGGATCCAATCGTTTCAAAGATTTGATATATTCAACAACTTTCGGAGTTGTTACTCTTGGTCGACTTCCTCCGATTGTTCCAGGTAGAATAGTTCCATTTTCCGAATAGCGAGTCAGAATTTTGGAAACACAACCATGACTGATTTTGAGTTGTCGAGAAATATCACATGGTCGGATACCTTGATTTGCAAGTTCGACTATTTTATAGCGAAGAGAAATTGGAAGAGGGCGACCGTTTACAAAAACACCGCCAAGTTGATTGACTTCAGCAGTTTTCGAAGTTGTTTGACTAACTGAAAAAAAACAACAACTATTTTTCAAAAAAAAATAACCCACCAAAATCTTCATTTGAACTCTCAGCTCCAAGAACGCCTCCAACATCGCAAGATCCTTGATTTTGTTGAAGTTCCAAATTTTGATGATGATGTTGATGATTTTGAAAAATATGCCACGTGACTTCTTGATTTTCTTCAAAACACCACGGTTGATTTGAGGTAGTACAATTCATGGTCGATGAGCACAAATGAGCCGCGAAGTAAAAGACGATTCGATTAACTGTTCCAACACATTTGCTCCGCCCATTTTTGTTGCTACAGTAGTTTGCTTACTTAGCCTGCCGAACATATTCACAAATAAAACAATAACTTATTTGGTACTCTAGATTACATTACTGTAGATTGACGCTTGGGGATTTTCAGATGTTTTAGGGTAATACATTATTTTTTGTTCAAAATTGAATATTAAATGTGACCAGATACAGTAACCTTTTTTGTAGATTTTTAGTAATCTATAAAACAAACAAAAAGAGCCTGACTAAACAGATTTACTGTTAAAGTTAATATATGCATAAGGACGAAAGTTTGTCAGGAAAACACAGAGGTTACTTGTAAATAACAATAATAAATGGGAATGTATGCGGGAAAATAAACTTTTTTAATATTCGAAAATGATGTATTTAGTATGGAGATCAAAATTGCACAAAAAACTTCGGATCAAAAGAAAAAGGGTTCTAAGTTTAAATATTCATCATCATATAGTTTTTCTGATTTCTCTGTCTTGAGTGAACGGAAAAATAAAAACTTGGGAAATCTTGAAGTTTCATTGTAGCTAGTGATTGCACATCTCTCAAAAATCTAAATGTCATGCGACTTTTACAAATACTAGTATTTTTAATTTGATTATCAAGAAATTATGAAAACCAATAGAATAATCTTTGTCCGATAGAAGTTGAAGAGCTAGTAGAAAACAAATCGGAATGAGGAATATGAGGTCAATCGGACCAATTAAATAAGGAATGACTAGTGAGCAATAACTACTCAGGGGTTTGAAAATGTTAATCGGCGGACAAAATACTTGTCAGCGATTAAAATGGGATGAAAATATTCATCGCCAATTAATCGTTTGAAGAAACAACGAAACTCCGCCGAACGATTAATCGGCGGACAACTTTTTCATCGCGGCCACGGCCAAAACCTATTCTAGATTCTAGTTACTTTATCACCAGCATTTGATGCAACTCTAGAAAAGCGCCTCTGGTTAAGTGGTAAAGTGTCAGGCTGCCGCCTGTGAGACCTGGGTTCGATTTCACGACCATACAAGGCGCCCGTTGAGTCAGACGAGAGACGACGAGAGTATTTTGCAAAAATATCTCGAAAATGAATTTCGCTTCGAGATATTTTCAATAAAACATGTGTTCCTTGAAACAAAATACCGTATCTTGTTTCAAGGAACACATATTTTCTCAAAAATATCTCAAAGCGATGTCGTTCTCTGTCTTAGATGACGTCATCAGACCCCCGTCGTCTCTCGTCTGACCCGAGGGGCAATTTTCTATTGGAGTAAATGGTCGTGATTTTACCCCAGCGCGAAGTTTTTTTTTCCTAGAAGGACACAGGTGGTGGGCTGGCAACCCGTCTCAGACCTGTGCCGCACCAGTGTTCCGAAAACCGGAACCGACCGGTCTCGCACCAGTATGACACCCGTCAGAGTTCCTGATCAGGGGTCAACAAGGGGAACTTGAAAATGAAAAAATCTATATGTAGAGGACCAATGTCCCCAGAAACCAAAAATATAGACTTTGTAGTCATGTCCAATACGGACTAGAACAGCTTTTCATAGAACCTCTGATTCGAAAAAGCAAGCAACACTCGCTTCTCTTAAACAATCTGACTCGCAGACAGTTGGCTGTTTGTGCGTCTCGCTATGTTTTGTGTGGGGGATGGTCGAGCAGTATGCGACCCGTGACGCGCCAGTTTTAGGCGACCCGTGACAGGTCTGCACCCGTCTGACACCAGTAACAGACCTGTGAATGGTCAATTTCACTGACTGGTGCGCTACAGGTCTGAGACGGATTGCCAGCCCACCACCTGTGGATGTTTCTTGTGAAATCGAGCAAATTCGCTCTACCGCACACCAAGCGATTAAAACGCGATTGAAACGAGATTAATCTCAAGTTGTCCGCTGAGTTCCTCGCCGATTAACATTTTCAAAACCCTGAGTAGGAATAGAAAGAAAAAATATAATAGATTATGCGATATAATAATATGAAAAAAAATTAAATTTAAAAAAAAAAACTAAAAAAAAAATAATAGAAAAAATGAAAAAATAACATTTTAAGGGATTTTCCTCTTTTTGCACAAGTTCTGGCTTGTGAGCAACTGAGAGTGCATATCTCGTATTTTATACGTCATTATACAACTATATCCCAAAAAAACTTACCTGATACAATTTAACACAAATTACTGTGTTCTTTCACCCAAAACCAAACCCAAAACCCATTAAACTGACTTGACATTAGTTGCAGTTGTATCCTCAAACCAAATCCTCAAATTCTTCATTTTGTTTTCATCATTGCAATCGGAGTGCGAAACCAACATCAATTCCGAATTCTCAAGCGATCTGGAATTTCTTTGATTCATAAAAAGAAAAATAAATTCCCTCTTACCGTGACTTGAAATCTCTCATTGAAGACAGGCCGAATACCGAATAAAATATTTCAAGCAATGAGCGTCCAACCTGAAAGAAAAGAGATTTAGCGTGATTTTTTCGAATATTTATTCTTAAAAATAATAAAGTGAAAACTTTTTCGAAAAAATAAAAATTTTTTGTGTGGGCTGCCAATCGATATATGTAGAACAACGAAAAATTGTTGAAATCCCGCGTGATCTACACTATTCACATTTGCGGGTCTAGGATTTATGAATTTCAAAATCAGGTTTCAGCTTGATTTTTGAGAAGAAAGGAAAACAATAATTTTGAAACCCAATATTCTAGCCGCCTAAATCCGCACCTCAAATAAGTGTTCCGCTCCTTTGCTTCTTATAAAAAAGGGAGAAAAAAGTAGCATGTTGTGTAAATAAAAAAAAGAATTAACACAACTTGTTAACTCGTTTTGTTTTTTGTCGGCTTCTTCTTATATGGTATTAACCTTTTGTCTTCCCGTTTCCGGTGTGGGAAAATATTGTGTTTGTTTCCAAATAAAAAAAAATGAAAAATAAAATATTCAAATTGTCTCTGTTGTTCGTTGGAGCGCGTTTGTTGCAAGAAGGACGTTTTGAATTTTTGTTTTTGTTTTTTTCGCGCGCATCACGTATTTTTTTGGCACTCGGTTCGCGGTTGGTATACTGTATTGACTTGTGCAAACACGGTGACGCACAAATGCACAAAAATGTCTCGCGTCTCTCCATTTTGCGCGCTATTTTTCGAAATTGGTCTCGCCACGAACCCCGAAACGCTAAAACGGCACCCGTTCGCTCTACCAAAGCTTATTTCCATGCAGTTTTTCACGGCGATAAAGATGGTGTACTCAGATTTTGATTTGATGCAGCCGTTCTTGAGATTTCGGTGGAAAATTAAAGCATGTCCCTTTAAACAGCGAACCGAGATTTTTTGTTCAGCAACAAAATACGTGGCATAAAACTATTTCTGTCAAAACTAAGTATAATTATTTCAGGGATTATGAATCCACTCAAGGAAAAAATTGAATCTACGATCAACAAGGATATTCTGAAAGACAAGGAGAATCTAGAAATTGTGGAATATCTGGCAGAAATCAGTAAAGATGTGAAGATTGATGCGCATTTTGAGAGAAAAGTTAGCAAGAAACTAGAAATGCGAGATATTCAGCTGACACGAGAATATTTGAAAGAATTCGAGAAGGTCAATGAAGTAGTTCAGAAGTTTGATGAAATTGCCCATCGAATGAATAGTATGTGTATAAATCTGTATCAAAATATTGAAAAAGTTCGAATTCAAAATGCATCAATGGTGAAGAAAAGCGCATCACTTCAAGAAAGAAAAATTGAAGTTGAAGAGAAGTTCAAGAAAATCGATGATTTCTTAGAAACTTATTCATTGAAACAAGATGAATTGCGACTTTTTGAAGAATGTCAAGAAACCGGAAGACTATCTGATTCGTTTTTCCGAGTTTTAGAAAGAGCCGAAAGTATTCGAGAAGAATGTAGAATTCTAGTTCAAGATCATTCGAATGTTGCTGCTTTTGAAATTTTCGAGCAAATGCAAGATTTCCTTGATTTGGGAATTAACATTATCAGCGCAAACTTGAAAAGAGAATTTATGAATGTGAACAATGATGCTCTTCAAAAAAAACTGATTATCTCGAAATCTTTTCAAGTTCTTCAACAAAATCGAGAACTTTTGAAAGTTATGCTCGAAACATATTCGAAAACAAAAGCCAATACCAATTTGCATCAGTTCACCGAACTCAACAAAACTCCAGCTAATATGTGCAATGATCCAATACGAAATGTAACAGATATGTTGACTTATATTCATAGTCTCATTGAAAATGAGCAAGAACTTATCGAATGTTTATTATCACTTTGCGAAAAACAAGTTTTGGCTGATTATAAGGATGAGATTCTGGATCATTCACTGAAATCACTATGTGTTCCGTTTAAGGTGAGTTTCAACGTCTCGAAATAAAAAAGCTTTCATTATATTCAGGTCCGTGTTGAAAAGCTATTGTCGGTCGAAAAAGATCCAATAATAATCTGCAAACTTGGAAATATTCTCGATTTTTATGGCAAAAAGTTTCCTTCTGGTTTCATTTCTAAAATGATCAGTGATATTTCTTCCACAATTCGACAAATTGCCAAAGCTGGAGTTCGATTTTCTGTTAATTCATTGATGTCAAAAATGTCACTTCCGAACACGAATGAACTTTTGCCTGTCCCAGAAGTTAGAAGTTGTTTGGTTTTGTATGAAGGATTGATTCAAACCAAGTTTTTTGATGAAGAATCTATTTTTGAAATGGTTGTTGGTCAATTGATACAGACTGTGCAAATGAGTGCGACTAGATTGAAAAAATGTGAAGGTGAGAATGAAAATTCATTGTTTTTTCGCAAATTGTTTTTTTTTCCAGATATATCAATTTTCATAATCAATTGTCTTACTCTTATCAAATCTTCTATCCATTCGAAAAACGAAAAAATCGAAGCGATGATTGAAAGTAATGAAGATGTTTTGGTATCTGAAACTCTTTCAAAATCCCTCAATACTTCTGGAATTCTCGAAATCTATCAAAAAATGCAAGAATATTCGTCTATTCCACCATCAGAATCAGGAAAAACTCCAGTTTCTCAACTTTCGGGTTTGGAAGCAGACAAAATTCAATCAAGTCTTCAAAAATTTGCTGATTTTCTGCATAACAATGGAGAAAGTTCTGGAACCCCAGAATGTCTTGAAAAAATCTTGGAAACTTCGGAAAGATTGCGAATTCGTCAAAGAATTGCTGCCGAATTCTTGAATGTCTATAAATATGTAATTGAAAATCTCGAATTGGCCGAGAATAAATTTGCCGTTTTTCATTATTTACCAGTTGATCAAGTAGAGCTTTTTGTTTTGATTTGAATATTTGAATAGTTTACGGTTTTTAGGTAACTCGGGTTATTTTTTACTTATAGTTTACGGTTTGAAATTTAATAATAAATGGGTCATTTTTTTTATTTGAATTTTTTCGTTTAAAAACTGGTTTTATTAAAACCCATTTTTATTTGAATGAATGAAATAAATATTTTAGGTCATGTAAAATATATTCAGGTTTAAAAATGGCACAGTTTCTGCGCCTGAAAATTAGAGGAATTCGAAGTGTTGGAGATGATGAAAGAAATGCACATTTTATTGAATTCTTATCGCCATGCACATTAATCAATGGACCAAATGGAACTGGAAAAACAGTCAGTTAATTTTTTTTTGAGAAATACGATTTTTCAAAATTAAACCAAAACAACGTGATTTCAATTTAGACCACTATCGAAGCTTTGAATTATATTACAACCGGCGCACTACCATCTGGAAAAATGAATGCATTTATTCACAGTATTGCAATGGCTAAAAAATCTCGAGTTGATGCTTCGGTTACACTAGAATTTCTTGATGTAAAGAAACGATTATGTACAGCAACAAGAAGAATGACTTGTTCACTAAAGGGAGGAAAAGAGAAAAAAATGAAGTGTCAATCGGAAGAATTCAATTTGGTTATCAAATATCCGGATGGAACAACCAGTTCGATTTCGAGTAAAGTTGCCGATTTTGAGAGAGCGGTGAGAATTCAGATTTTATTCAAAAAATGTTGGATTTTTGTTTAGATTCTTCATCATCTTGGAGTGCCTAAATCAATTTTCAATCTTGTGATTTTCTGTCATCAAGAAGATTCAACATGGCCACTCAGCGAGCCAAAAGAACTCAAACTCAAATTTGATCAGATTTTTCAGCTCACGAAATTCGTTAAAGCACAAGATCAGATGAAAAAATTGAAAAAAGAATATGTGAGTTTCACTTCTTTTTTTCGAAAACGGTCAAAACACACGACAAGTTTAGGATTCGGAATTGAAGATGTTGGTTGAAAGAGAGATGCGATGTTTGGATCAACTGAAAATCAAAATTGAAAATACGAAAATCCGTGATAAATGTTTGAAAAAGAAAGAAGAGCGAGGTTCACAATTGGAAGAAATCAAAGAGAAGAAAACTGAATTAATGGGAGAAAAAGCTGATATTGAAAAACGATTGGGACATGTTGAAAAATGTTTGAGAGATGCTGGTTAGTAGACAAAGCTTTTTTATTCAAAAAATTGTATGATTTTTAGAACGGAAAGAAATCGAGCTTCGAAATTTGGCTGAACAAATCAAAATTCTTCGAGTTGAGCCATATTCTGGAACAGAACAACAACTTAGAGATGAAATTCGTGAACTTGACAATGAAAATTCGAGTTTTGAAAGTGAAAAACATTCAATTGCAATCAAACTCAGAGAAGTGTCTCGTGAAATCGAATCTTATTCAAAAATCAAACGAGAACTTGAAAATGAAATAGCAAATTTGAATGCATATGTAATTCATCGAGAAAACATTGTTAGAGAACTTGGAGAACTCGAAGAATCGCTGAAATTCGAATTGGATGTTGAAACTGAGAATCAAGATGAATTTTTGAATGCTTTGGATGATCGAATTAGAGAGAAAAGGGATAAAATTGAAGAAAGTGCGAGAATTGGAGTGGATGAAATTGATGAAATACAAAGAAATGTTGATGAAGCACAAAAAAATGTGACTAAAAATGAGGTTGAATTGAAAAATTGTGAGAAAGATGGAGCCAAAATTGAAGATGAAATTGAAGCAATTGAAAGAAAGTTGAAATCAATTGATGGATCATCTACAAAGTGAGAAAAAAAGCATCTCACGAAAAATATTTGTTTTTTTTCAGAATCGAAAAACTCACTCTTCAAAAAGATAAAATTGAAGCACAACTTCAATCGTTGCCAGAATTCGATGAGAATTCTTTGAGTGATTTGATTCATCGAAGAAATGAAACACAAAAAGAATTGGATATTCTTCAGAAAAAATGCAAAGAAGCTGAACAATTTGCAGAAGCTGAAAAGGAAATAAGAAAGAAATCGGAAGAATTGCAAAATTCGAAAGACAAACTTGAGAAATTTTCGAGAAAACATGAAAAAAATTGGGATGTTTTATATGGAGAAGCTAAAAAACCTGAGGCGCCATGGAGTAGTATTGTTAAAGGTTTGAATCATTTTCAGAAATGGTATTTTTAAATAGCCACGTTTTAGTTCACGTATTCACTGTAAAAATAATATTTATCAACTTGAAATATTCAGTTCTCAATTTTTGTTTTTAGAAACTTCAAAAGAAATTCGCAAGGGTCTTGTAAATGTCGAAGAACAACTCAAAAACAATCAACTTGCTGCAAATCGTTGTTCTACAATTATTCAACAAGCAAAAAACGAGGAAGAGAAGATTAGCTTCAAAGTGGAATTACTCGAAGAGCAAATTTCGGAAAGTTGTGGTTGTTCACCGGAAGAAGTTTCTGAAAAATTGAAAGATGTTCGAACAAAATTGAAATTATTGAGAAAAGAATTGGCACCAATTGATGCAAAAATTGTAAGTTTTTATTGAAAAATTGTTCAATTTTCGTCTTTTCTTTCAGGTTCTCTACGATTCTTGGATCGAGGAATCCAATACGAAATCTTGTTGTCCACTTTGTGATCGAAAATTCACCACGAAATCTGCAACCACTTCATTTTCTCAAAAACTTCAAGATGTCTCTTTCAATTTTCCAAATGATAAAGAAGATCTTGAAAAAAAAGTTATTTTTGCGGAAGAAGAAGAGCAAAAATATTCGATTGCTGAAACAAATGCAAATGAACTTTCGAAATTGAAAAGTGAATTGGCGGAAAAACGAAGAATCTTGAAGAAATTCGAAGAAGAACTCAAAGAGCATGAAAATAGTGTTGAAGAAACCAAAGAAGGTCAACATGAATGCAATAACAATTTGAAATGTATTATGGAAATACAAAATGATGTTGGAATGATGGATTCGATTTATGCCCAAATTCAAAAACTCACAGGCGAAATTCAAACACTTCAAAAATCATTTTCCAGTTCTGAACATTCAGAAAGCTATTTAGAACTCAAAGAAAAATGTGCTGAAAAAGAGGAACTATATAGAGAAATTGTGAGAAAAGGAGACACTTTGCAGAATTCAGCAAATCGCAGAAATAATTTAGAAGCTGAATTGAATAAAATTCGAGAAGAACGAGTTTCGTTGGGTGAAACTGCCACGCAAGCAGCACATTTCAGAGATCAGGGAAGTATATATTTTGTAGTTTGAAAATACGTAGCATTGTGTTATTTTTAGTTGTCCACGAAAAAAGCTGAATTGAAAGAATGCGAAGAAAAATACGATCGTCTAAAACGCGAACTTCCTTCAATCAAAAGACAATATGAGAATGTTTGTATGGAGAGAAATCAAAGAAATGATGAAAGAAGACAAGCAGAAGCTGTACATCTTCGAACTATTAATGGTATGTTTTCTAACAAGTGGATTCTTTGATAAGTCCGCGGTTTTTTTTCAGAATTGAAAACAAAAAAAGCGAAGTTTGTAGAATTGGCAGAAAAGGCTGACAGAACTACCCAAAGTTCAATTCAATTAGAAGAGCGGAAAAATGAGTTTATGAGAGTTTCAAATGATTTAGAAATTCAGCAAAAAAGAAAAATGACTTTGGAATTGGATATTAATAATTTGAATGGAAATGTAAGTTTTCTATTCAAATCAAAATAATACAATTGTATTTTAGAATACTAGACGTCGAACTCTTGAAGATCAAATGTCACGAATGAATGTAGAAAAGAAAGCAAGTCAACTTGAACAGGAAATTGAAACTTTGAAAAAATTAGGAGCTGATCGGAAGAATGCTGAACAAATGAGAGAAAAGCTTCGAAATATTTCGAGTGAATTCCAAACAATTTGTCAAAATGAAATTCGATTGACAGCGTATTTAGAGGAAAATGAAGTGACTTTGAAGCAAGCAAATGGAAAATTGGCTGTTTCAGATGTTAGAAATGCACCGGATAATTATAGAAATGTTGTATTAGATGTTGCGTTAGTCAAGGAAACTGTTCAGGTTAGGGAATTTCAAAAAAAAATTGAAAATAAAATGATGTTTCAGGATCTCACAAAATATATGCAATGCCTTGATAAATCACTCATCAAATTCCACGCTGAAAAAATGTCAGCAGTCAATGAAATAGTTGATGAATTATGGAGAAAGGTGTATAATTCAACAGATATTGAAACTATTCGAATTCGCTCGAATTCCGCCGAAACATCTTCATCAAGTTCAAAAACTCGTGCATATGATTATATGGTTGTGATGGTAACAGAAGGTGGATTGGAAACTGAAATGAGAGGAAGATGTAGTGCTGGACAGAAAATGTTGGCATCTTTGATTATTCGATTGGCTTTGGCTGAAGTTTTTGGAGGATTGTGTTCGATGATTGCATTGGATGAACCAACTACTAATTTGGATGATTCAAAGGTTTGTTTTTCGTGAATTTTTGGAAAATCCGGAATTGGGCCGAGTTATCAGAATCGGCTCAAAATCATGCTATTAAAAATGTTCTCAAGCCAAAATCGCAACTTCAAAACATTTGAAAATTACAGTCGTATTCCTGTTAACATTTGACTCCAAAAATCATCTCTCATAAAACCCGCCATTTTCTAGGTCGAAGGGATGGCTGAAGTTTTAAATGAATTGATTGTATGCCGTGAAGGATTTGATGAAAATGGACGTCGTCGTGGAAGACAAATGCAAATGGTTGTTATCACTCACGATGAAAGATTGGTCAATCTATTGACATTGGGTTGTAGACCAGAATATATTTATTGTCTTGGAAAAAATGAAAATGGATTGAGTAACTTGAAGAAAAGATATCCAGACGGGTTAGTTTTTGGGTCAAAGATTTTTAGTTACCGGAAGTTCTAGAAATATCACGCGATTTTTCAATGTCTTTTGATAACACTTTTTTTTTGAAAAAAAAAAAGAATCGCTCTGAAAAATGATAAGCCCTAGAAAATGTTTTTTTTTTCAGACGCGAAGTTTTCGTCACCAAAAAATAATTGTTTTCTCCCCTCAATTTTATTTTGTTATCTTGTAAATATTATGTTTTATTGCCTCAAGTTATTATAATCTCCAAATTTTACCGGTTTTCTCTTTGGAATGTTTTTCTCCGATTCTCGAAATATGAATTTTTCAGGTTTTTTTTGTGTTTTGTGTATTTTTGAGTTCTCTTTCATCGAAGAGACGCAGACAGTGAGAGAGAAAAAAGGGAAAATCGATTTTTTCTCCTTATTTTTTTGTGAATCATCCTGAGCATTCAGGTTTTTGATGATTTTGATATTTTTGGCCAACTGACGCATTTTTTGACCGCTGTACGTTTTTTATAACTTCGAACAATTATATAAAAATCGAAAACCGGATAAAAAATGTAATAAACTTTCTAGAACTTGAAATTTTGAATAATTTTTCGAGAAAAAACTGATATCAATCATGATTCAAAAAATATCTCAAAACTCTTTCTAATTTTGAACATCACAGCTTTCTTTTTGACCGTTGTACGAATATCGATGTCGTCTTTCTCTATTACACTTATGAGAATTTATCCGAAATCTCGATTTAACATTTATCAAAACGAAATTTCCCAACATTTTGTTCCCGCTAGTTTTTCTTTCACTTTCCCATAAAGGTTCTATTCAGAAAGTACAATTTTTCAAAGGCCCTTTTGTCAGCTGTTTACCACATGTATATATTGAAAAGAAAAGTACATTTTTATCTTAAGACTCGTCTCACATTTTATTTTATTTTCATTCATATATTTTTTATTTTCCGAATTTCCCCCAAAAAACTCCATAGATTTCAGGCGAAAAATGAATGAACTTCTGGCAATTATCGTAATTGTAATCGTTTGTTGCTTGATGTTTTTCGCATGGCTTTTATCGATGGCTGTTTGTCCGGATGCAATGGTTAATATTATGGCTGGAAGAAAGGAAAAATATAGTAGTTCGACTGATTCGAAAGAACTTATTGCAAGATGTGAAGAGGCTAATATTAGTCATGTAAGAGAATTTCTAATGCATCTATTCATTTGCGAAAAAAACCGAAAAAAATGTATTTTTTTTACAATATTTTTCTATTCACCAAAATGCACGAAATAAATGTCAATCGTGACGAGACCCACACACATTTCAAGGAGAAAAACATGCGAGAAAAAAAAAACAAGAAATGAAATTTTCGAAAGCATGCATTTTTCACACTCGTTGCCTTGAAATGAGTGTGGGTCTCGTCACGATTGCATGTATTTCGCGACAATTTGTAATTTTGGTGAATAGAAAAATATTGTAAAAAAATACATTTTTTTTCGTGCTTTTTTGCAAATGAATAGATGCATAAATTTTTTGAATGAAATCTGGAATAATCAATTCAAAATTTCCAGGAATTCTTGAAAAACGTGGTTTCTGCCGAAAAAATGCCACAACCTTTGTCGACAAGAAGATCGAGTGATAAGAAATTGAGTGTTGTTCCAGAAGCTGATGAACAGGTAACTTTAATTTATTGTAGAAAAATCAGGCAAGGTCTACTCGAGAGAAATAATTTTTTTTTCGAGAAAAACGGTTTTGAAAAATCGGGTGCAAATTCTACAGTAACGCAAAGTTTTACGAAAAAAAGTAGAAAAGAAAAATTATTTTTAACAAAATAGTAATATTAGAACTTATTGTTAGTAATTCAAACATTAATAAACATAGATTCAAAGATATTTTTCAGAATTAGAATTTTCAAATTTTGTTTTTTTTTCATTTAATTTTTTCCAGTCAACAGTTCAATCAACAATTCACTCAATTCGTCCAACAATTCTTCGCAATCCGTCAGTTCCAGTCAAACTCGAAGAAGAAGATTCGACTGAAATCGCTTGACTCACCTAATTTTTTCATCTATCCTGTACATATTTTCCTATCACTGTCTATCAGCTGAAAAACGCTAGGCTTCTTCAAAACACTTTCTTACTTACGTATTTTATCAAGAAAAATGAATTTTTTCCACACCCACACTAATCATTTTTTGTTAAAAAGTTTCAGAGACTTCTAGCCTATTTTTCTATTTGATTTTTTTTTTCAAAAAAGCTAAGCTTCTCATTTGATTGGCCGAAAAAAACATAAAAGAGAGAAGAATTTCCTGTTTTTTTTTATTTTCTGAGAAAAATGGAGTCAAAAAGATGTATTTTTTCTCAGTCCGCGCGAGGTTTCTCTAACCGTCTGAACCTCTCAAAAATATTTGTGTTCTCTGGTTTTTCTTTTGAGAATAACCTCGAGTTAGGAAGTGTTTTTCCACTAATCGTTTTTTTGCTTCATAAAATCCCAAGTTGTTTCGAAAAATAATTATTTTTCTAACAAGGAAACCTTTTTTACTCAACACTTCAAATCATGATGAAATTTTGTCCATAGACAGCTTTTGGGGCCATAAGAACTCCCTAAAAATTTTAGTCTCCCAATGGACCTTTGAGCCAAGTTCTGGGCTCTCAAAAGTTCGAAAATTGCCAAAATTGGCTCATAAAACACGTCATAACTCAATTCTCATTCAATTTTATGAAAAACTGAGTAGTGGATGATGATCAGCGTGGTCGATTTACCCAAAAAGCATAATAAAATCGAATTTTCAGAAAAATTTCTGATTTTGAAAAAAAGAATGAGCAGAGGCACATATGAATTTTCATGAATTTTCAGCCCAAAAATAAAAAACTTCAAAATTTTTCGAAATAAAGTTTTTTATTGATGTACTTTTAGGTAATCGACCATGCTGATCAATATCTGAAACTTCATTTCTCCCAAAAAAAATTTTGAAATGGAGCTATGATGACTTTAATGATCATTTTTAGGCCTTTTTTGAGTTTTTGAGAGCCCAGAACTTGGCTCAGAGGTCGATTGGGAGACTAAAATTTTTAGGGTGTTCTTATGACCCCAAAAGCTGTCTATGGACAAAATTTCATCATGATTTGAAGTGTTGAGTAAAAAAGTTTCCCTTGTAAATAATGTTTTGCAAATTTGATTGCATAGATACTGTAACTTGATGTTTTGGGAATTCTGCCCACTACATACCAAAATTAAATTGAAAACAACAGTGCAGAGTAATTATTATTTCCTAATTTCATTTTTCTAGATATCAGAATATTTTGGGTCTGTTAGAAAATTGAAAATTTTCAGAAATTTAAACTTTCACAGAACATTTTTTATAAAATAACTCGATCTGAATGAAAATGATGGTCCCATTCAGTTTCCAAGAGTCTCTCGAGAATTTGAAATTTCAAATTTTGGCAGTCAAAAAAACGGAAGTATTTGGATTCCCCCCAGAAATTTTTTCTCGAATTTTGTTTATTTCAAAAATCATTTTTTTTCTGACACCAGCTTTTCTTCCACGAAAACTTTTGTTATTTATTTATCAAACCGAGAAAAATATAATATTTTTGATAAGTAAGCGTAAATGAGAAGAACCAAGCAAGCGAAGCCGAGCCAAAAAATAAAACCCTAATCCAGTTTCTATTGATAAAATGATGAAAATAGTAGGATAATTATATGGTTGAATAGGTTAGAATCTGACAAAAAAGAAAGATGAAGAAAAAGGTATTATTTTGCATCACCCATTATTACTTGAGCTCTTCGCACTTTTTTCGGCTCATTTTTTTCTAACAAACTTACTTGCTCGTTAATATTAATCATCAAAATATATTCTGACGTTTTGCTTATTTCTATCCAATTATTTTTCGAGAAAAAATGTACTCCGTGTAAGTTTCAAACCAATTTCATTTGCTTTCGAAAAATAACTTTGTTCAATGACAAATACAAATTCTTTCCAGCGGAAAATATTTTTTGAAAGTTTCCATGCGGAAAATCGCAAAACCCTACTTCACTGGTCCTGGGAGTTTGACCAAAAATTGACCAATTTTTGGTCAAAAAATTTTGAACAAAAATTGACCAAAAATGCACCGAAAAATTTTTCACTATTTTTTGGTCAAATTTTCAACTTTTTCCCACCAATTTTTGGTCAATTTTACAACTTTTTCCCACCAATTTTTCACAATTTTTTGATCATTTTCCAGCTTTGTTTATCATTGGGGAAAACTTTTTTCGACTAACTTTTCAAGTTTTAAACTTCATTTCAACAAAAAACAAAAAAACGAACAATTTAACAATTTAACAATACCACAGGGGTAATCTATGAAAAACAAAAAATAAATCAAAACTCATCCGGTTCACCCATAACAGTTCGTCGTTTTCTCAATCTATCCATCTTTTTTTTCCCGGCAGCTTCTCCTTTCACACTAATCAACATCTCATCAATTTCTCTCTGCTTTTCTTTATCCTTTTCAATCGCATCATCTCGTTTTTTATGACTGGAAATATTTGAAGGTGAATTTTGAAACATTTCAACTAATGTAACTTTTTTTCAAAGTATGATTTTCGAATGTTTTGCACTTTTGGAGTTTGGAAGTATCATTTAAAAAATTTGATTAATACTGACCCAAAAAACTCACTAATACGATGAAGTGAACGTGTTTACAGCAATTTTTATTTCATCCCGATGTTGTTTCTTTTCTTCTTCTGAAGAGAATCTACAGGGACAAGCATCCAAAAATACTTCTGAAAACACATTTCATTTTGTGAGAAAATATTTTCAAAAATAATTACCGGTCATTGTATTCGTATAATCATTTGCATATGGACAATATGTTGCTGTTGATTCGTGAACAACCGGTCCAGTAAAAATAAGATGATAATCATCATGTTGGTCAACCTGAAATAATGTGTCCAGTTTTCGTTTGAAATAAATTGAAGTTTACCTCATCCAAAATATCATAAATGACATCTTTTTGAAGTTTTGTGAACTTTGATGCAAAATAATTGTCCCATTTCTTGTGAACAAGGACAGGAAAAATATTGACAGCGATTTTCATAACCGGTGTCACCACAATCACTTCATCATTTCCGGTATACATAAATGTATACTTGGCCTGCGATTCAAAAAAGTTAATTTTTGATTGAAAAATTCGAAAATTTGAAAAAGTAATCAAAAACTTAGTTTTCTGATTCTTTTTTTTTTAAATAAAAATGTTACATTAATTTTTAGATCCTATAAATATTATATTTTTAAAAGAATTTTTCAATTTTTTGATTTCATAGTTTGAAAATTTGAAATATAAATTAGGAATTAATTTTCTGATTCTTTTTTTAAAAAAAAATGTTTGATTAATTTTTAGATCCTATAAATATTATATTTTTAAAAGAATTTTTCAATTTTTTGATTTCATAGTTTGAAAATTTGAAAAATTAATCAAAAAATTAATTTTCTCATTCTTTTTTTTTTAAATGTTTGATTAATTTTTAGATCCTATAAATATTATATTTTCAAAAGAATTGTTCAATTTTTTGATTGAAAAATTCGAAATTTTGAAAAATTAATCAAAAAATTCATTTTCTCATTCTTTGTTCTATGGAAATTTTTGATTAATTTTTAGATCCTATAAATATTATATTTTTAAAAGAATTTTTCAATTTTTTGATTTCATAGTTTGAAAATTTGAAATATAAATTAGGAATTAATTTTCTGATTCTTTTTTTTAAAAAAAAATGTTTGATTAATTTTTAGATCCTATAAATATTATATTTTTAAAAGAATTTTTCAATTTTTTGATTTCATAGTTTGAAAATTTGAAATATAAATTAGGAATTAATTTTCTGATTCTTTTTTTAAAAAAAAATGTTTGATTAATTTTTAGATCCTATAAATATTATATTTTTAAAAGAATTTTTCAATTTTTTGATTTCATAGTTTGAAAATTTGAAAAATTAATCAAAAAATTAATTTTCTCATTCTTTTTTTTAAATGTTTGATTAATTTTTAGATCCTATAAATATTATATTTTTAAAAGAATTTTTCAATTTTTTGATTGAAAAATTCGAAATTTTGAAAAATTAATCAAAAAATTAATTTTCTCATTCTTTTTTTTTTAAATGTTTGATTAATTTTTAGATCCTATAAATATTATATTTTTAAAAGAATTTTTCAATTTTTTGATTGAAAAATTCGAAATTTTGAAAAATTAATCAAAAAATTAATTTTCTCATTCTTTTTTTTTTTAAATGTTTGATTAATTTTTAGATCCTATAAATATTATATTTTTAAAAGAATTTTTCAATTTTTTGATTGAAAAATTCGAAATTTTGAAAAATTAATCAAAAAATTCATTTTCTCATTCTTTGTTCTATGAAAATTTTTGATTAATTTTTAGATCCTATAAATATTATATTTTCAAAAGAATTGTTCAATTTTTTGATTGAAAAATTCGAAATTTTGAAAAATTAATCAAAAAATTCATTTTCTCATTCTTTGTTCTATGATAATTTTTGATTAATTTTTAGATCCTATAAATATTATATTTTCAAAAGAATTGTTCAATTTTTTGATTGAAAAATTCGAAATTTTGAAAAATTAATCAAAAAATTCATTTTCTCATTCTTTGTTCTATGGAAATTTTTGATTAATTTTTAGATCCTATAAATATTATATTTTCAAAAGAATTGTTCAATTTTTTGATTGAAAAATTCGAAATTTTGAAAAATTAATCAAAAAATTCATTTTCTCATTCTTTGTTCTATGATAATTTTTGATTAATTTTTAGATCCTATAAATATTATATTTTCAAAAGAATTGTTCAATTTTTTGATTGAAAAATTCGAAATTTTGAAAAATTAATCAAAAAATTCATTTTCTCATTCTTTGTTCTATGGAAATTTTTGATTAATTTTTAGATCCTATAAATATTATATTTTCAAAAGAATTGTTCAATTTTTTGTTTTAGGAATTAATTTTCTCATTCTTAATTTTCTATGAAAATTTGTGAATAATTTTTAGATCCTATAAATATTATATTTTTAAACGAATTTTTCAGTTTTTTGATTGAAAAATTCGGATGCGCTTTCGCGTAGGCTTCTTTTTCGCTTGGACGGTATCTTAGACCTATGCTCTAATCCCCAAAACACTCTCACCTGCTTCATTTTCGTACTTCTAGGAGTTGACCCTGTTGCGATTTGTCGGTTGCGATGTACGGTGTAGTTGAACTGAAAATATGCTTTAGGGTTTATGATATTGAACTTATATTGATGGCTACCAGAGCTGTTTGAAAAGCAAATTGTTTATAAATATTTTTCATAGGCTTTTCAGTCTCAGCATCAGCCATTTCCAAATATTGTTCGACGCTGATAGGTTTCATATGATTCGTCACCTTTTTGAAATTATTCTGCAAGAAATTAGTTTTTTATCTCTCTTCAGGATTTAAACAGAATTGTTAATCACCTCATATTCATCTCGCATCAAAGGTTTATCATTTTCAACATCCCAAAACACTGCATTCGTTAATTGTACTGGAAGATACTCGCCGTTTTTAGACACCAAAGTTTTCGAAGAACTTGACTCGCTACAATCTTCAACAACTTCATTTTCATTATTTGCAAATTGTACTTCTTCCGCTTGTTTATCTTCTTCAATCAAAACTCTTGCGGGCAAAATATCATCATTTTCAACAATTTTCTCCTCATCTTCCTCAATATGTTCATTTCTTCTTTCTTTCACGTCCAATATTTCAATTCCAGCTTTTGAATACTTCAAGTTTGCTTTCGCGTTTCTTTTCAAGGGAATCTGCAAAAAAATGTTCATTTTTGATTCAAAAATCGGAAATTTGAAAAATTAATCAAAAAATTAATTTTCTGATTCTTTTTTTCTATGAAAATTTTGAATAATTTATAGATCTTATAAATATTATAATTTGTTGCGAATTTTTCAATTTTTTGATTTCAAAAATCGGAAATTTGAAAAATTAATCAAAAAATTAATTTTCTGATTCTTTTTTCTATGAAAATTTTTGAATAATTTTTAGATCTTATAAATATTACAATTTTTTGCGAATTTTTCAATTTTTTGAGTGAAAAACAAACTAACTCTCATAGGCGTAAATTGGGAGTTGGAAGTTTCGGCTTTGGCGGCGGCACCCTCGATTTCCATTCGATTTTGAACATCATTTTCGACTTTTTTCTGAAAACAAATGCATATGGTAATCGGAATTGTGGAGTGATTTTGAAATAGTTTACCTTTTTTGTTTCGGCCCAAGATTTAATAGCAGGCATGCTAGAAAAAGTGCTGTAATGATTACATTTATGATTGAAATATAATAGTGAGGGGTAAAAACTCAATCTATACGTATAAAAAAATCTGATAATCACATATTTATTATAAAAAATATCCAACAAACAAAAACATTCACAAAAACTTGAGCGGAGTTAACTGAATTATTTATGAACTGGGACGCCATTGAGTTGCAGGCATATTATATCTTCATCGCTCTTAAAATAGCAGCCTATTCCTAAGATTTCTTCAACTTCAACAAGATCTCTACCACCGGACCACTTGCCTTCAACAATTCCTCGATATCCTTTCAATTGTTTCAACATTTTCCTCGCATTTTGTCTCAATCCAATATCAGCTATTTCATCGATTTCTTTTTTCAAATTCTCAAAATGCTGACTTCGTAGCTTTTCGGACAAGGGTTCGACTACTATATAATGATCGTCGGATTGGGTGGCGGCTAGCACAAATCTTCCAACTTTCATTACATCCTTCTGGTAAAACACAATTCCATTTCTGAAGCTTCCATTTTTTGAATTGTATTTGTGCGATTTTAGGGTCGAATATGTGAAAGTTATCGACGAAAAATATTTAACATCACTTCCGATCACAACATCAATTCCATCCACAATGTTTCTATCAATCACATCGAAGGAGTTGATGGTTCGATTTTTCCAAGCCGGTTTTTCCTTCAATAAGCCTTTCAATGTATCTGATAAACAATCGGCTTCACTTCTAATTCTGACTTCTTCTCTCATGAATATGTTGACCACAAATCTACAATGAAAACGGTTTTTTTATCGAAAAATGAAACCAAAGCTGACAAACCTCGAAGACGCGATTCGCACGAAATTTTTCGTGATCGATGCGTGGAAATCGGAGAGCAAATATCGATACAATGTTTCGAACCCAGATGTTGAAACCAATGCTGGATTCCCAAATAACAAAATACAGTGTGGAAGATGGAAAAGTAGTTCCTGAAACAAAAAAAGTAGTATTCGAAGCGATGCGAAGAAAACTTGCATGTAATTTGCTAACAATATACTGTTCGTAATTATTTTGGAACAATTCTTGCATCATCTGACAAAGTTCAGCGATCATATCTCCATCGTGTTCACAATCCGTCAACAAGTAATTCGAAATCATTCCAAAACAAACAATAACGAGTCGGGCAGTACATTTGAAGGATTTATCATAAATCGCATTCAAAAAAAAGCAAATTCGAAAATACTGAAAAACTTATTTCATAATTCGACCTTTTCCTTCCAAACTCACATCGAGTTTACTTGTCCCATTTCGCACGCCTTGTACATTTTGATATTCGGTTGGAAGATGGATTTTTTGAGCAAATTGATCGAAGAGTTGTTTTGTACAAGTAAAAATATCCGATTTCGGTTTGAATCTTGGTTTAGGAAATGATTCTAAAAACAAGAAGCGAAGGGTCATCATGAATTTAATGCGTGAAACATGCCTTTGATTACCGTAACACAAAAACCCTCATTGAGGTCGTGAAAAATATCGAGAAGAACTTGCCAAGGGAGGATCCATCTAAGAATCACTGGAAAAACACCATCAATGAACCCGAAAAGTCCATACCGGGCATCTTGAGGAGTTTGTATTATTCCGCGAAATACTTCTCTGCCTAAACAACAAACATTTGTAGAAAATAGGTGAGAATGTTACAAACTTGGTGCTGAACATTTGTGAAGAGTGTCACCGCAAATGCAGTAGAAGCAAGAAAATGCTGAATTGACCGATTTGAGACCAAACAAAGCCCGCTTTGCCTAAAAATCAGAGATTGGCATGTTTTTTTGACAAATGAAGTTACCGGTTGATCGGCAACAGCGGTGACAACACGAAATATCACATTTCGACCTCTGATATTCAATTTGAATCGCTCAAGAACTGGCATAACTTCATTTATAATTGTGTTGAAAACTTTCGTATTTGGATTGCATGGACCTTTATAAACACCGAATAATAACAAATTTGTGGCTATCGAAAAGTGTCCCAATTTTAAGTCTACTGACATAGCAGTCATTGGCCATAGGTGCTGACTGAAAAACAGAAAAACGCAATGATAATTAGACTTTATAAGTCTTACTTTGAATGCCCATGTGGACAAACTCCATCGACTGAGAGCACAAGGGATATATTCAAATCATGATCATCATGCTCCAAACAACTTTTGAAGAACTCAGAAGAAAGCGTGTGATTCGGCAATTTCCCATCGCGAAGAAGTTTTCGAACTTCCAAGATTTCGTCGATATTTTTATTAACGAAATGGGTTAATTGATCCACTAGCGGTGATTGTACAAATGTTCCGACCGGAGCACAGCTAAGGAAAACAGTAATTCAAATATTGAGAGACAGAAAAACTACCATATTGATTTATCGACTAATTTTTCCCCGCATTGTGAGCAAATCCGAACGTCTTTGAAAAGTCGAATAGCATATTCAAAAATATCTTCAACTTCTTTTTTAACAGTTGCCGCAACTGTTAGTAAACGAAGCCGAAGATCAGTTTGTGAATCTCTGCCAATTATTGAAGATGCCAAGGTAACAAGTCCGGGATCGGAAAGGTGCAGAATTTTATCCGCCAACGAATCTGCAAGTCGGAACTGTCAATCGCACGTTGAACTTTCCAGAATAATCGTCACACGTTCAGTGGAGGTGAGCACCTCCGCCCCCACACCTGGCGATAGTTTTCCAAAATTTTTGTGCAGCGTGGAAATTTTTGAAAAAAAAAATTGTGCAGCGTGAAATTTTGAATTTTTTGTAAAATTGTCATAAAAAACCGATGAAAATGAATGAAAACTACACTTTTTACTGAAAAAATGTACAGTGTGGCTTTTGAAAATTGTTGTACAGTGTCCCTTTTGGACACGTATCGTCAGGTGTGCCAACCCCCCCCCCTCTTGCCCGCCCTCTTTCTTTTATCCCAGTTACAGTCCCAACTTTTTCCCATCCTTATACTTTTTCAACAAACTTTGGATCCTCAACAAGAATGTTATTTACTCAACGCTGAAAAAAACGAAGAAAGCCTATTCAGGTCGGCTGAGAAAATACGAAAAAAGTGAAGAAAATACATTTTCTCCGCATTCCTCCTGTTTTCTCACTGAAGAAAATACATTTTCTCCGCATTCCTCCTGTTTTCTCAGCGTAATGAGAAAATACTTGAAGTAAAAACATTCGACATCTCAGAGCATAATATTTTCTAAACCCATATATTCTTCGAAACCCCCTATTTTTGTAAAATTTTTTTCCACTTTCTGCAATTCTAAAAAGTTTGAATATTGAAAAGTTTCACCATCATTCCATGTTATGTTTTTGAAAATATGATAAATTTAGAACAAAATCATGTTTCGAAAAATTTCATAATTTGGATCTGGTTCAAACTTCACAAATTTAGCAACGAAAATATTTTTCGAAAAAATTCACAAAATTCTCCCACCCCTCATTGTAATAAAGCCATACCTTCCACCCAACCTGGATCCGCATCATTGTTTCGATAATAATCTTCGACATCTTCGCCTTCGGAATCATCAGCAAAAGGAGCCATGTAAATATCATCATCGTCCTCATAATCCTCGGCCACATTCAATTCTTCACGTTCCAACATTAAATCAGACTCTCCTTCGATATCTGAAAGCGAACCATCTCCATTTCTCCCATCATTATGATCATCTGCAGGAACTTGTGGGAATATTTCATTAAATCCTGAAAATATATATTTTGAATATTATGAATAAAAATTAACGAAAAGAAACCCACCTGTATCTGGAATTCTACGGTTTTGCTGTCGACGATCGGCAACAACGGGGACTCGGCAAACTTTGGGCACAACTGTAGATATATTGAAAATTGTGCTAACGTAGAAATACCGGAAATACTTGCAGCCATGTCTTAGCTTTTCGTAAATTTCTTATGAAGTCAGAAATGTCAATATGAAGTCAGAAATGTCAATAAATTATTATTAATGATCATGTTGCCCGAAAAAAGGAACAACTGAGGGAAACATAATGCCACGTAAAGAAATGTTCATTGAAAAGTAGGCTACGACATCAGCGTTAGTATTTCCGCTATTTATATATTCATGAATATCGGTATTTTTCGTTACTTACAATTTTCGAGTTGTTGGAACTTCGGGAGCCGCTTTCGTCCCATCTGCAAATATGAAAACAATAGAAGAAGAAAATGGACGATAATAATTGGAGAACATATAACGGATTGAGACAGAAACACGAAAAAATGGCGAAAAAATCAACTAAACACCAAAATCTGACCATTTTGCCCCAATTTAGACGCGTGAAGAGAGTTTCCAATGCCCCACTAAAATATCTCGCTCGTCAATACTATGGGAAAGCTTTTTCTATTCACTTAACTTCTCATAAGTTACTCAAACCCCTTCAAAAACAGAAAAAAAACGAAAAAACAGAAAAAAAAGAAATTTTCGAAATGCACACAAACGCAACAGCGCGCTGCGAGACCAACTGAAACAAATATGTGCGCCTTTAATCTATTGTTTTCGCGCACAAATTAGTGGTGTTTGATGTTAAATAGTTTACACCATTCGATTCAAAATTTCACGCTGAGTAAAATGATATAAAAATCATATATATCTGTGAAAGTTTTTGAGTTCACGTTTTTGGGAACAAATGCACGATTTTTGAGACACTGGTGTCATTTTTTTCGAAGCTGATGGCTGTCACAACAATATTCTTTCAAAAAATAATGGAAATTATTGCCCTTGAACCCAATACTTCTGATTTCTATGAGCCCTTGTTGTTGATAAATCAAGGATCAATCAATACAACTGATAGATTCGAGATAGGTCTCTGCTTGGTAAAAATAGCTCCAAGATAAGTCAAAACTGATTTTAGTTGAAGATTTGGGGCTGAAATTTGCGCCAATGGTGAAATTGGTGTGAGTGGCGCCAAAATTCACCAAACGAAGTATTTTACTCCTATTTATTGATTCACCAGTAGAAAAACAACGAAATTCATCAACCTAACTTCACCAAAAGCCGCAAAAAAACATGTCTGCCCAACAACATTAAGATTTTCGAAATTTTTCACAATTAAAATTTTCACTGATTTTTGGCCAAATTTCGACCAATTTTTTGGCCAATTTCTGACCATATTTTGGCCAATAAATATTTTTGATCAATTTTTGGTCAAAATTCGACCAATTTTCGTTTTTGGTCAAAATTTGGTCAATTTTTGGTCAACCTCCCAGGACCAGTGTTTCAAAAACCCATAAATAATTTTTCTGTTTTAATTATCTCGGCTCCCGTGCGAGTTTTTCATAAAAATATTCTAGTTTTTTGTTTTCTGCAAAATTTTTTGTTATGATATTTTTCTAATTATAACAATTTCCCCATGCTCCTCACACAATTCTGTTTATTTCTATATCGAGCAAAATAATTTTTGAGACCTTATTTTTTTATGATGTTACTATTTACAATGTTATATTCTCAAATATCCTGAAACCGGCCAAGATCCAAATTTTTTTCAAAACCTAACATCTGTAATTTTATCTATTTTCCAAGCTAAAAAACAAAAATAAAACCTAAGATCTGAAAATCACATGTTTTCTGTCTATTTTTCCTCATTTTATTCGAAAAGACACAAGAAATTGTCCTCTTGAGAATTCATCAAAAGCACTTTTTTTCTGAATACACCCCCATTTTTGAGCTGAGCCAAACACACAAACACAAAAAATTTGAAGAGCGAAAAAGATTCAAAGACTATGAGAATTTTCGAATTTATTATTCGCTTTTTTGTTTTTGTTGGGTGAGTTGAGTTGGGTTGTTTTTGAACATTTCTTTCTAAAAAGTTCACGGTCTTGAAAAAAACAGGATGTTTTTCTCAACATATACAATTAAATTCGAATTCTTGAAAATTATTTGCAATGATGGAAAAATTATTCTCTTCTCTCTTTTTTTCAATTTATTTTTCTCAAATTCACAACAAAAATACATTATTCATGAAAAAACACATTCTCGTATCGATTTTACAAGTTTTTTTCCGATCGTCACATTTTTTGATGGAAACAAAAAATTACTGTTCTGATAAGACAGATTATTTTTGTACTCATAAAGTTTATTAAATTTTTCCGAAACATATTTTCTTGAAGGTGGTTATCACAGTGTATGGAGGCATCGAAGAAACGAATTGATCCGTATGCTGAAAATGAGTTGTGGGATAGTTTGAAAGAATCGAGAATTCAGAATGTGATCGAGAAAAATGAGAATGGGTAAGACACATTTTTTTAGTTTAAGTTAAACACTGGAAATGATTTTTCCAGCGAAATAAATACTCCACCAACCGATGGTCGCCCATATTTGAAAGTGGTTTGTATTTCCGATACACATGAACAACTCGACAAAGTTGAGGTAATCAAATGGTTTTTCTATATTTCAATTACATATCAATTTCAATTTTAGGTTCCCGATGGTGATGTTTTGATTCATGCTGGCGACTTTACAAATTCCGGAAAACGTGATGAATTAATCCGATTCAACAATGAGATGGCAGCTTTTCCTCACAAATATAAATTAGTTGTGGCTGGTAATCATGAATTGGGCTTTGACAAAAAAGAAAATAAATCGCAAAGGTTCGTGGCATATTTCATTTATTTTTTTAAAACCCAAATCAAACATTTTTTTCAGAAATGCTAATGATCAAGGTCAAGGAACTGATGATGGATATGAACTTCTTACAAATGTCACATATCTTCAAGATCAATCGATTACTGTAAGATTAGTTCTTTATTCGAAATTAAATATAATTTTTTCCAGATCGAAGGTGTTCACTTCTTTGGATCCTCCTATCATCCTTTATATGGTTTTCCATTTTATCGCGATCGACGCACAGAAATGCCAAATTGCTGGAAAGCAGTTCCAAATGATACGGATGTTTTGATCACTCATACACCACCTCTTGGTAAGATCTCTCTAATGCTTCCAAGTATTTAAAACACCATAAAATATTTTAGGATATTTGGATCAATTTGGCGAAGAACGTTGGGGATGTAAAGATTTATTGTATACTGTCGAACGAATTCAACCAGCTTTTCATATTTTTGGACATGTTCATGAAAGACACGGAATTCTATCCAATAATCAAACTGTAAGCAATTTTCTATGATCTTTTTCTATTATAACACCCGTGTATTTCAGACCTTTATCAATGCAGCCCAATGTTCTAGAAATAACTTGATTCAAACTCGACCTATCGTTTTCTACATTCCTACAAAGGTATCGCTTTAAAAATTTTCAGCTTTTTTGTATCAAAAAAAAATGTATTTATGTATTCTATAATAAAGTAACGAAAAATTACCGATTAACATTTTCCAATATTATCCACAAGTTTTGTTTTGTATTCGGGGAGAAGTTCAAGCGATGTTTCATTGATATATTTCAAAGGAACACGCCAGTCACAAGTTGTTATGAATAAGGAGCTATTTGTAGCTTCGGAACCTTTAAAATTTTGATCTTAAGAAAAACAACAAAAAAAAATGGTTGCAAAACTAACCTGCAAAAATGTATTCCTTATTGAGTTTGAAACCAGTCTGACCGCAAGCTGATTCTTGTGTAGAAGTTGTCAAAACTTCAGGAAGTTGAAGATGTTCAGGATTTTTTATTATTTTTATATGAGCCACTTTGTATACCATCAAAAGTCCAAGAGGATCAGTTTCTTTTGCAATGACTTTGACTTTTGAAACTGAAAAAAACAACTTTGACGTTGCACAAATAAAATAATTATTTCTCGTTCGTGAACACGTGGAATTTCAATTAGCATTTCTTGAAAATAACTCACTCCATGGTGATGAACAATAACCTTCTTTTTCACTTCCAAAAATTTTACAGCTGCAATTTTCAGAACTCGGCAGGAAACTGAGAATTATCACCAGAAAAATCGATAGAAACATAATATTTTATGAAATATTTTTTCCGCTAAAAAAAACAAAATCAGAAAAGGACACTTTGTTACACAAAAAATAAGAAGTGAATTGAAGGAAGAAAATGAGATAACAAAAAATGAAGTAACCGTAGGTTGATAAATAAATAAAAAGAAACAACATCAAGAAGTTGGAAAAATACGGTAGATCAAATTACGATCAGCGGTTAAAATATCATGATAATATTGATATGGTGGTCTGTAGGGACGAAGAAGTTGTTGTTGAAGTTTTTTAGCTAGTCACAATTCGGTATGTCTGAATGTTGCCTTTGAAGCTGGAAGTCGTTTTTTCAATAAATCTGCTGGAATAATTTTTGCGATTTCATTTTGCCAAAGATTATAAGCATCTAATCGATATTCTTGTTCCATTTTTGAATCAGCGTTGAGCAAAAAGTTTTGGAATGGTTTTGATTTTGAAGTTGGTTTCCAATCACCTCCTGGTTTTCCAGTTTTCACAAAATTGTTGATTGCTGATACAAAAGTTTGCTGGAATTGCTTATCTTCTTCATTCAATGGAATATTTTCTTGACCGAAGAAATTGAAAAGAAAACGGAGTTCTGAAGCATGGAAAGGTCCACGAATTGGATGAGAAGGATCACGTGTTGTTTCACTGTCATAATCACTAACATAAAAATATGTTGGCCAACTATTTTTAGTTTTCATTTCGATTTCATGGAGTGTTGGAATATTGTATTGAAGATCACTCAGAAGCTGGAAAATTTGAATTTGGAAAAAATAATATTTTTGGAAAAATTGTTTACTTACCAATGCATACGCATTCAAATAAAAGCTAGAATTCCCAGTCATTGGACCGTTCAAATAAAAATTCTCCAAAAGTTCAGCAAACTTTGAAGCAGCCGATCCAAATTCACGATCACCAGCAATTTTATCGCGAATAAAATCAACCAAGTTATCTTTACCATAAGTGGCCCAAGATTCTTTAGGAACTCCAAGCAATTTTGAAAGTTTTACAGGATACAACACTGAAAAAATATATGTGAATCAAAAAAAGGAATATAAAAAAACAAACTAACCGCTTCCACCAGATTCAAGTGTCAAAACTCCTTGCATTGTTGGTTTTTTGGGCGCTTTCTTTGACATTTTTTCGATCTGAAAAATGACAAATTAAATTTGTTTTCTTAGAAATTACAATGAACTTACGTCGTATGGAAAGAAATCTTTATCAAACAATGGATGGAATTTCTTATTTCTTGGACCTGGCAATAATTCTCCAACTTGTTCCATCGCATCTAACAATTCATCCATTGTTCTTTCCTCCATACATTCTCGTAATTCTTTTGTATTTTCTTGTTTACAACCAGCTGCATTTGCAAGAGCTCGACTATCTTCAATCACATTTTCATTCAAATTATTTTCAGCGAAAATTGAGCCAGATAATTGAATCGCTTGTGAGAAGAGGTCTGCAACGTTTTTATTTGAACTCTCATGATTAGAAAAAACTCACGATCAGATTGGGGAGAATATAAAAGTGCTGAAACACTTGCAGCTCCAGCAGAATGTCCAGAAAGTGTGATTCGATCAATATCTCCACCAAAACTTGGCAAAACTTCGTGTAAAAATTGCAAAGCCATAGTTTGATCCCATAATCCCATATTTCCTGGAATTTCAGAATCTCCAGTTGTGAAGAAACCCAATGGTCCCAATCGATATTGAATTGAAACGAAAATAATATCTTGAGATACAAAATGATCCGCAGCTTTTTCATATCCGATATCAGACGAATCACCAAATTGAAAACCTCCACCATGAATAAAAACTAAGACTGGAAGTTTTTTAGAGGCAGCATTTTTTGGAGTGATGATATTCAAGAAAAGACAATCTTCAGAATAATTAACATGTTCTTCAAGTTCAGATCGAAGTGAAGGAATACAAGATGCTCGAAAATGTGTTGCATCATGTTGTAAATGAATCCATTTATCAACTGGCTCAGGTTTTTGGAATCTATAAATATGATCTGGCGGATTGGCATAACGAATCCCTAGAAAAACATCATAAGCATTTCCAGTTTCACTCGATTTATGTTCAAATCCAACAATTGGCCCATAACTTGTATTGATTTGTGGTTTCTTTGCTCCATCACATAAAATTGATTGAAATAATAAAAATACCAAGAATATAAGACGCATCTGAAGAAAATGATGGAGGTAGGTATTTTTTGTGAGTCACTAGGTAAAAGAAGCGTTGAGCAAATAAAAAAGATGCAGACAAATAAGAAAAAGAACAGGTACAAGAGGTCATATTTGAATATTTGGAAATAGTGAAAGAGAGGGAAAATACTCGAAAATGACACTTGGTAAATCGTCATATTTGGAAGTTTATTTAAAATTAGGGTTTTTCGGAATTCATAATATTTGGAACACTACTTTTCCAGGAAAATTAAAACAATCAAATATTTACACGAAAACGTTTTGAGAAAAAACAATTTTTTTCAAATTTCGATGTATTTTCGAGCACTTGTGAACTCTTGAAACGTGAGCAAGAAAACATGATTTTTCAAAAAATTCTATAAAAATTTAAGCTTATAAAAATATTTTTTGTTAGCAATACATTGTTCCTAGTAACAAATGATCAGAAAAACAGCAAAATCACAAACAAAACAGAAATCTTAAGCTAACCATTTGCAAATATGTGCTTGGTGTTAACAAAGGTCAGCCGGTCGAAAACACACATAAAAATATGAGAGAAAGCAATCTCAAGACGCAGAAAGGAACGCAATCACTATACAAATAAATACTAAAAAATACTATGAGACGCAGAGAAATTATTGAATTTGTGTTGTTTAGTCGGGGTTTTTTGGATGTAAATAATGAATAAATAAAATTATGGTTCCAAATTTAAAAAAACAAAAAAATTTCAAAATATTAATGCGTTAGTCACAAAGAAAAACAATTACAGTAAGACATTATTGCAGGTGATTTTAACATGTGAAAAATGTTTTACGAATGCATTTTTTAAATCATAAGTCATTCATGTTTCAAATGGAACAGTATTTTTTGTTGAATTATTCCTTAAATTGCCAACCTGAAAGTTTTTCATTTTTCCAAAGTGAAATATATTATCGAATATTTCTACATAGTTTTTTCATACTTTCTACACCTTTGGCAATTTTTTGTGTTTTTCTATTGATGAATTTGAGACTGAAGAAAGTGAAAAAAATACGATGGATTTTGTTGAATTTCCAGATTTGGTATCATTTTATTTAAAAAAAAATGGGATTGAAGTTAAATTTTTTTACGCGTATCAGCAACATGTAATAAAATCAGCTGTCAGAATAAAAAATCTAATAGATTAAGAATTGAAGAATGTACCATCTACAATAATAGTTGGAAAATTCAACTCACAACTTCAAAGTTCTCACTTAAATAAATATTTTCCAGGACTATTCTAACTGATCTATCTTTCACTGTTTTCACAATGCCCTATGTTTTTCTAACCTCAGGAACAATAAGTTTTCTTGGTCTTTTCGAATATTTCGATATTCCATCAAAATTTCAAATGTTTTTTGTTCAAATGATGTTTGGAGTTCTCTCAATGTCGATTATTGCAATTTTTGAGAATCGACATAGTGCAATTTCAACAATCACATTTACAGTTCCAAAAGGATTTCGAAAAGTGCTTTTCTATTTCTTCAATTTGGTTTTTCAGGCGATTTCATTTTCTAGTTATTTATTAACTGATTATGATACAGAATATTATAAAATTATCATTCTGAAAACAATATCTCCATGCCCAGATCCATTATTTTTCAAAAAATCAACTCATATAATTTCAATGAAACCAATTATTGTTGCACTTGCTGTGTTGATTTGTCTTTTAGTTCTTGCTTTGCAAACTGGATTTTTTATACTTCACTCAATTTATCATTTGGTTTATGCTTTCAATATTTCAATATCTCGAAATACTAGACAACTTCAGAAAAAGTTTATAATCAGTCTTTTGATACAAGTGACAATTCCATTTGCAATTGTTGGTTTTCCGTTGGGTCTCAGTATATTGACAACATTTTTTGGAATTCAAAGTCAAGTTCTTGCTTGTCAAACATTCTTAGCTCTTGGTATGCATGGGTTCATTGCATCGATTTCTTTTATAATTTCACATAAAGAAATTCGAGATTATACAATGGGTTTATTTTGGAAAGCAGTACGAGTTAATAAAAAAATGTCGAATGTTATCGATACAAGTTTTGTGATATGATTTTGGATTTTTTGATTTGTTGAAATAAAATTATTGAAAAGTTCAGCTTTCATTAGAATTTAAATGTATTAAAAAATAATTTTATGTTACTATTCAACTCCATCGCCCTCTCATCAAAATCCCGTAAGGTGAAATTTATTTAGAAATGTTCGGCTCTATCGCAATATATGGGTCCCATGGAAATATATGGGTCCGTAAAAACATATAAGGGTCCCTCAGAAATATAAGGGTCCGTGAATTTTTTTATGGGTCCCAAAAAAATATAAGGGTCCGTTATTTTTTTTGAAGGTCCATAAAAAAAAGTATTTTTTCTAATTTTAATTATTTGTTTTTGATGATTTTTTTAAAATTTTTTCACATTTTTTTAGCCAGTCATTATTTTTCTAGGGGGTTTACTAAGCCTAAGCCTAAAATAATAGAGAAATTTTGAATCCTCTGGTAACTCTATTTTCGGCTTTTCAGCTTCATAATTAGGCTTAGGCTTAGTAAACCCCCCGAAAATACAAAGAATCGTCAAAAAATCAAGAAAAATATAACAAAACAATTGAAAATTCAAAAAATCACACATTTTTTCCTCCAAAAATCAAAAAAATCAGACCTATAAAAAAAAATCACGGACCCTTTTATTTTTTTGAGACCCATAAAAAAATTCACGGACCCTCATATTTTTTTGGGACCCTCATATGTTTTTACGGACCCCTATATTTTTTACGGACCCATATATTTCCATGGGACCCATATATTGCGATAGAGCCAAATGTTCATTTCTCCCGGTCACGTGAAATTCTGATAAATATATATTCATCAAAAATGCTTCATTTCTTACCTACACGTGTGGTGTAGGCGGGGAGAGCTCTGCCTTCTAATCAGACAGCCCTCCTCATTTTGTGGGTTCGAGCCCCACTCGGGAAATCCAGTAATGCAGATTTTTGGAAATTTTGTTCCTTTCTCCCCAAAATTGCGAAAATTTGACAATCCAACGCGGCAAAAAAGAAAAAAGAAGATGGAATAAAAAGAGCTCAATAAAAAGAGAAAATCGAGAGAATAATATCATACGTGACCCATGAACGAAAAAGGCTGATTCTTCAGATGCCATTAAATTTATCGATGACTTCATCCATGGCAAAATTAGGAAGCCTTCCTGACTAGGGGCTGTTAGCCCCCAGGCGTAACAGTCTTCTCATTTTTTTCAGTTTCACTTTTTTCTGTGATTATTTTCAATTTTCTGTGGAAAACAAATTCATGAAAAATTTCAAGTTTTTTGATCAAAAAATGATTCGTGGCAAAATCAGGAAGGCTTCCTAATTTTGCCATGGATAAAGTCATCAAACTATTTTTCATAAAACATAATTGAATCTCTTTTTTTATTTGCATAATTATAGACATTACCGTCTCCAAACAGAAATTTCGGTTTGGAGACAATAATTTCATTTCTGGATGAAATTCTAAATTTTCTCGTTTTTTTAACAGTGTTAAAAATTTTCTTTCAATTTTTTTAGCTTCAAAGTTGGTTCTGAGTTGTTTACTAAGCCTAAGCCTAAGAGGAAGTGTCATTTAGGTCGCAACTCATCGATTTCATGTTTACATTTTTGGATTATTCCAAATCTGTTACTTTTTTTTGTTGACTGTATACACGAAAATAAAAACTTCAATTTTTGTCAGCTACCCGCTCAAATCGAAATTTTCATTTGGGCGGGTATTTTTGTCAAACAAAACTCGGGCCGATTTTTTTTCACTTAAAAAAAAACTCGGGTCGATTTTTTTTTGGAAAAACTCGGGCCGATTTTTTTGGAAAAACTCGGGCCGATTTAAAAAAAAAAACTCGGGCCGATTTGTTTTCACTTAAAAAAAAACTCGGGTCGATTTTTTTTTGGAAAAACTCGGGCCGATTTTTTTTTGAAAAAACTCGGGCCGATTTTTTTTCGGTTGATTCAAAAAATTATAAAGCACACGAATTACAATTGAATTCATGAAAAATTTTAAAATTTTTGATCAAAAAATGATTCGTGGCAAAATTAGGAAGGCTTCCTAATTTTGCCATGGATGACGTCATCAATAAATTTTTCGAAAAAAAACTTATTTAATTATTTTTTTGAATTAAATTTACTCGTAAGAGGTAAATCATACGAATTACAATTGAATTCATGAAAAATCTTGAAATTTTTGATCAAAAAATGATTCGTGGCAAAATTAGGAAGGCTTCCTAATTTTGCCATGGATGACGTCATCAATAAATTTTTCGAAAAAAAACTTATTTAATTATTTTTTTGAATTAAATTTACTCGTAAGAGGTAAATCACACGAATTACAATTGAATTTATAGAAAATTTCAAATTTTTTGATCAAAAAATGATTCGTGGCAAAATTAGGAAGGCTTCCTAATTTTGCCATGGATGACGTCATCCACCAATTTTTCAAAAAAAAAACTTATTTAACCTTTTTTTCGTATTGAAGACTCGAATAACATTCTTGGCCCGTTAGGAATTTGGAATTCTTGAACAATGCCAACAGCATCTGAAGAATCAGCCTTTTTCATTCATGGGTCACGCATGATATTTTCTTGATTTTCTCATTATTTTTGAGCTCTTTTTATTCCATCTTCTTTTTTCTTTTTTGCCGCGTTGGAATGTCGAATTTTCGCAATCTCGGGGAGAAAGGAACAAAATTTCCGAAAATCTGCATTACTCGATATAGGGAAAAATTTTTTCCGAGTGGGGCTCGAACCCACAAAAGAAGGCGGGTTGCCTGATTGGAAGGCATCGCTCTCCCCGCATACACCACACGTGTAGGTAAGAAATGAAGCATTTTTGATAAATATATATTTATCAGAATTTCACGTGACCGGGAGAAATGAACATTTCTAAATAAATTTCACCTTACGGGATTTTAATGAGAGGGCGATTTTGCCACGAGTCATTTTTTGATCAAAAAACTTGAAATTTTTCATGAATTCAATTGTAATTTGTGTGATTTACCTCTTACGAGTACATTTAATTCCAAAAAAATAATTAAATAAGTTTTTTTTCGAAAAATTTATCGATGACTTCATCCATGGCAAAATTAGGAAGCCTTCCTGATTTTGCCACGAGTCATTTTTCGATCAAAAAATTTGAAATTTTATAGGGAAACATTTTTCGAGCGGGAATCAAGCCCACAAAAGGAGAAGGGATGTCTCATTCGAAATCAGATATTTATAAATATTGTTCATAAAAATTTCAATTGACCTAGATAAGCAGAAATTTCATTAAAAATGGAACTATGTTCTGCCTGGGATACACGCTCAACTAGGGGCACAGCCCCTAGTCTAGATCAACTAGGGGCACAGCCCCTAGTCTACCATTCAATAAAATCGCACAGTGTACAATTCGTATAGAAATATTTTTTCCGGATTTTTGCGAAAACGGCGGATATTTTTTCTGAAAATATGCGTTACCGGATATAGGGACAAAACATCGGGCCGTGGGACTCGAACCCACAAAATTAAGCGGGTTGAATAGAACACAGAGATCTTCCCCACTATACCACGCGTGTATATAAGAAATGAGGCACTTTTGGTAAATATATATTTATCAGAATTTCACGTGACCCAGATAATCTGGAATTGAAAAAAAATCTTTATACCTATGAAACAGTTCATAGTTTGTTTTTCAATAAAATCTGGAAGCTGATCCTATAGCTTCAAGTGTAATTCAAAGCTTCATCTAATCATTTAAACATAGAATTGGATAAACAACTTTTCTTTAACATCAATAGTAATTACGAATAAAAAACTTTACCCAATATTTTTCAATGAAGCTCAAATCTCACCTGTTAGTTTTGTTCCACCCCCCCCCCCCCCCTCCCCAAACCTCAAAATAAACTAACTTGACTGGCCCGTTCCGTGAAAAGTTGTTGATATCTTCGAATGTCCTGTTCAAACGAAACATCATCTTGTTCGGAAGCCTGAAACTTCGACATTCTTTTTCTTAAAATTTTCGCCTATTCTCAAACTTACATCAGAAAATGACAATTGTCGATTTTATGGGACCGCTGCATTCTGTGACTGTTGTCTCTAAAAAAATAAGAAAATTAACAAAATGTACCAAATCACCCCATTAATAACTTTTTCTGCGCTGAAAAAAACCACTCAAAAACGAGAAAAAAATCAAAAAATAAAAATGGCGTGCAAAAAAATAAAAGAAAAACAACGATACTCCGCGTGCACGTTGTTTAGCGTGTTTGTTTTGTTGTTTTTTTGCAGTGTAGACGAGAGAGTGTGGGAAATGGAGAGAGAGTTAGAGAGAGAGAGATATATATATATATGTTTTTTATTTGAAAAGACATTATTGATTGAACGTTTTTTTCTCGAACTGAATCATTTTTCTGGGTTTTTTTCAGAGCAGTAAATGTTTATTAATGGGGTGATTTGGTACATTTTGTTAATTTTCTTATTTGTTCAGAGACAACCGTCAAAGAATGCAGCGGGGTCCCATAAAATCCACAATTCACTTCGTTTTAGGGCGAACAAATAGAGATAGAGAGAGTGTGTAGAGTGCGAAAGAAAAAACCGCAAAACTGAAAAACCCGCGAAATTTAATAAGGCTGGCAACCAGCCAACTGTTGGGTCCTGAAGCGATGGTCCATGAATTTTCATTTTCAAAAATTTTTTGGGGTTTTTTGTGTCTGCGTCGCGTTTTCTCTATTTGTTCGTCCCAACACAGGGCTGAAACGAAGTGAATTATCTTTTTCTGATGTAAGTTTAAGAATAGGCGAAAATTTTGAGAAAAATAATATAGAAATTTCAGGCTTCCAATCAAGAAGATGTTTCGTTTGGACAGGAAATTCAAAGAGATCAACAACTATTCACGGAACGGGCCAGTCAAGTTAGTTTATTTTAAAGTTGGGGAGGGGGGAGCAAAACTAACAGGTGAGATTTGAGCTTCATTGAAAAATATTGGGTAAAGTTTTTAATTCATAATTACTATTGATGTTAAAGAAAAGTTGTTTATCCAATTATATGTTTAAATGATTAGATCAAGCTTTGAATTACACTTGAAGCTATAGGATCAGCTTCCAGATTTTATTGAAAAAACAAACTATGAAATGTTTCATAGGTAGATTAATTTTTTCATAGTTTTATGCCAGCGATTTCCAGTTTGTTTTGAATTTATTTTTTTCTTTCATTTATTTTTCTTTTATAATCTATGTCTCATTAAACTTTATAATTTGTATTCTTTTTTCTAAATCCTGTGTTCTGAAAAATCAATACTTCACATTGTTTGAACTTGTCAGCAGATGTTTTTCATAGCTCACACAAAACAAAAAAAGCATATGAACAATCACTAGACTCCAAATTTCTAATAATGGAAGATTATTATTCCACATTTTATGTTCACTGTGCTCCTCAATCATTTTTTCAAAGTGAAAGTTATTTTAAAACAGTTCTTCGGATAATTTCGATAATTTCACTTCCGATAACAATTTATGGGATTATTTTGATTGTTAAAAAAAGTTCGAAGAAAATGAAATATGTTAAACTAGTTTTGCTCCAATTTCAAATATGGATTTTATTCAGTGATATTTTTTATAATTTATTGATCACTCCATATCTTTTTTCACCTTCAGGAGCTATTAGTTTTTTGGGAGTTTTTGAATGTTTCAAAGTTTCCGCCAATATTCAGATGCTTGGATTGGAATCTATTTTTGGCGTTTTATCAATTTTACTTCTGTGTATTTTCGAAAACCGTCACAATGCTATGACTTCAATTTCTTTCCGTTTTCAAACTAAATTCCAAAAATGCGTTTTTTACCTGGCCAATTTTATTTTTCAAATAACTTTGTTTGTTTTGAATTTGCCAACTGATATCGACACTGAGAAAAATAAACTGGATATTTTGAAAAATATTATCAACTGCCCTGATCCGTTATTTTTCAAATCGTCAACTCATTTGATAACTCTGCAACCTTTTCAAGTTGCTGCTGCAATTCTTATATGTTTGATGGTTATTGGTATTCAAGGAACTTTTTTCGTTTTACATTCCGTTTATCATCTCATATTTTTCATTGATACAAGAGTATCTAAACAAACAAGATCTCTTCAAAAAATATTCATTCGGAAGTGAGTTTAATTTTCTTTCATCGAGCTTAGAATTTAGAGTTCACACCTTTAAAATTTTCAGCCTTTTGATTCAAGTGATAACACCTTTAACAATTGTTGGAATCCCGTTATTTATTACAATTGCCTGTACATTTCTCGGATATCAAAGTCAAGTTTTAGCTTGTCATACATTTTTAGCACTTGGAACGCATGGAACAATCGGATCATTGGCTCTCATTTTCTCACATTATGATTATCGGCAATACACTTTGAAACTTTTTCGATGTTCATCAAAAGTTCACTTGAAGCCAACTATTGAAACTAGTTTTGTGATTTAATAAAAAACATTTGGAGCGTTGAATAAAACCCAAAATAACATCTGATCGGATTTTCAGCTGATAAAACCATACACATTCTGAGTGTATGAGTGACGTAGAATTAAACCTACATCACAACTTAATCTTATTAAACAAGCAAGATATTCTTAATTCTGAGTAATCTTGTTGTTTATTATTAACTGAATATTAGTGCAACTACAATGATTCATTGATACAAAGACATCGTTGTCTGATTGTCTAACATCCTACATTATAGTTGGGTTTAATCTTTCGGTCTTTGTGTTTTATTCTGATTTGCTTTATAAGCACAGTTTTTCTCCTTGATTCATAATTTTCCAAAGGGAAAAAATCGTGAGAAATGCTTTATCTCAAAATTTTCCAAACTGCTGGTTTCCTTGGTGCACAGTTTACAAATGGTTTCTTATTGTTTTTGATACAATTAAAAGGTGTCAAGTTATTTGGATCATACCGCTATGTCATTTCAAGTTTCACATTATACACTTTTCTTTATACATGGATTGAAATATTAACTCAACCAGTTATGCATATTTATGGACCAATATTTGTAGTTTATATGGACAGTGCTTTAAAATATGAAAAGTCTATTGGCGAATTTATTGTTTGCCTCTATTGTGCTTCTTTTGCTTTATGTATTTCCTTATTGGCCACTCAATTTTATACACGTTATTTGGCAATTTGCAGGTATGAATTCTCAATTTGTGTCATGTTTCAGAACTTAAATTGTTGCAGACCTGAAAGGTTCAAAATTTTCAATGGCCCCCAACTTTGCTTGCTTTTCATTCCAAGTTTGATTTGTTTCATTCTATGGTTTTCATTTGTTTGGTTCGGAATGCAAAATACAAAAGTAAAACAAGAATATCTACGAGAAGTACTTTTGAGCAATTATAATGAGTCTTCAAATGATGTATCTTTTATTGCTCCAATGTATTGGAAACCAGATGAAAACAATGTAAAAAGATATGATTTTTATGAAATATCTGCTTCTGCTGGATGTGTCTTGATTATTGTATCTTGTCTCTCGACAATTATATTTTGTATAATTCGAATTTATAACAGACTACATCAGAAAACAGCAACTATGAGTAATAGAACAAAAGACATTAATAAACAAATTTTAAAAACGTTATGCTTACAGGTTTGTTCTAAGTTTTCAGGAATACATTTCGAAATCTTCAATTTTCAGACCATTCTCCCGATAATAATGATGTATACACCTGTTGGATTGTTTATTGTTTTTCCATTATTTGAAATTGGTGTTGGAAAGTTTGCAAACATTGTTGGAGCATCATTAGGAGTCTATCCTAGTCTTGAACCACTTTTCCCGTTAATCTGTATACGAGAGTTCCGCCGAACTATTCTTTGTTGGTTTTCTCGTCCTACTGAAGTCCATACAAAAGTCTCAACCTCTGTCAAAACATTATAATTAATTAAACTTCAAAACTTCATTTTTCTATTCAAGTTTTGTGTTTTTCTTGAATGAAATCATTTTGACAATAAACAATAAATTTTTCAAAATATAAAATCCTAGAATAAATAACCCGATTACAATTACAGACAAAATTAAAAATATATCAATCATAAAATATGAAAAATAAGACATATTTCGACTATAAGGATCTAATGATGGTAGTTCACCAAATTCGGCTGCAAATTCACAATGTTTCAGAAGTAACTGTTTCGGTTTTATTGGTTGCTTTTCTAATCTTCTTGCAAGTCCAAGCGCATTTTCAGCATATTTGGGATTGTATAAAACTTCTTTCAACACAGTCTCTAATTTTTCAGAATTGTCCAAATTGAATTTCGAAAACTCAACTGCTCCTTCATGTCTCGATAACATTTTTGCATTTCTCATCTGATCAGCGAATATCGGACACTGAAATGTTTCAATTCTCAATTTTCCTCCATTATTTTTACTTACCAAAATTGCAGGTTTTCCACTATAGCTAACTTCATTAACACTTCCAAGACCGGCGTGTGTGAAAAATACGTTAACTCTGGAATCCACGAGTAATGCTCTTTGTGGAATCCATTTTCGGAAAATGATATTTGGCAAGTCTCGATTGAATTTATTGTAGTCATCAGCTTCATATTTCCAAATGAATGTTACGTTTGGTAATTTCGAGCATGCTTCGATAATTGCAGCTCTGAAAATAAAAAAAGTTAAATTAAATTTTTATAATTTTTGCGTGAACCTTTGAAAAAATGGTGAATTGATATAAAATTTTTTATCATTATTCAGTTTTTAAAAATTTCACAATGCCACTAACAATTTCAACTCAAATTAATTTCGTGGATTATAAAAACCCGGTTATTACCGTAACCTATTTACTGTAAGTTATTGCGAGCAGTGTTTGGTGTATACAGATTTCACAATATTTTTTTGCAATTTGAATGAGACGCAGAGAAAAAGGAAATCGTATTGTTTCCTGTCGTTCAAGTGAATCGCTGCGAGATCACACAAAATGTCTGCGTCTCTCAGGAATCACAGTGTGTAGTTTACTACCCAAAGTCGCTAGACCTCAAAAATTTTCAAAAATTTTTCTGGTAGATCAAAAATTTTTTTCTCTAAATCTCTCACTTTATAGTCTCAAAAAAATAATTTTGACTGGTATTGCAGCGCAGTGTTTTTATTGTCAGTTCTTTCTGTTTTTTTCTGTTTTTCTCGGTGTCTCGTCAAATTTGCAATTTTTGCTTGTTTTTGTGTGATTTTTCTCTTAAAAAAGCATGTTTTTTTACAGATTGTTTGCACATTTGTTCAATTCGATTTTTTGGAAAGAGTTCGTTTTTGGTTTGGTTTCGATTGGTCAATTTGCGATCAGGTTAGTTAAATTGACTAGGTATATTTTATAAGCCGGGTGATGGGTTATAAATCAAGAAAAAGTGTAGAATTTTGTTTAGGTGTTAACAAAAGTTATATTCTTATTGCTCAAGTTTAAACTCACTTGTAAGAACTAGGCATAAATTGAGATTGTTGAACAGTTCCAAATGATATTAAAACATTAATTTCTCTAATATTCAAAATATCATTCCATTCTTGATCGACTTTAACATCTCTCATTATTCCCATATCAACAGATATTCCTCCAATTTGAACTGTTTTTGTGATAGTTGGTCGAGGAAAATCCATATAAGGATTCGAATTTATCAGTAAAAATGTAGATTTTGGTATCATTTTCATGTAATCTAATGGTTTTCCTGGTTGAGTGAATGAATAATAAGTTGGCCAACCGATGAAAGTTTTGATAATCGGACTTGCTAGTGAATTAATCGTCCTTTCTATCAAAGTCATTCTATCTCCGAACGGTGCCATTGTATCAGCAACTGCACTTGTCATAATAGTTTCACCGATTACTCTTGCTGTATCAATATCATGAGTCATTGAAATTGCAGGGATTTGTGTCTTGATTCCAAGATAATCGATTATAGCTGTAAAAACCAATATAATTTGGGAAATTGATTTGTTGAAACTCACGATAAGCTACAAGAACAAAAGTTTCATAAATTATCGCATCAAATTTTTTGTTTTTCAACTCGTCTAGCACTCCAATGTTATCAAATATGTTATCACTTTGAACTAGAAACATTTTTTGAAACAATTCGATTGTCTAAAAAATAATTACGCATGCTTTGAAAATAATCTTTAGTATGAACTAACTGGTAGAATTTCTGAAATAGTAGATTCACGATACCAAAAATTCGAAATATCATTTGATTCGAGTCGCACTCCAAGTTGATTTAACTCTTCAGAAGCTTTCAATTTAACAACGTGCTTTGTTGATTTAACATAACTCATGTTCTCATATTTTTCCACTATTGTCGGAGTGAAAAACGTCTAAAAATTCAAAATTTGTCAAAGTTTTCTTACTTCGATATTTTTAAAAATAACTAACCACATTATGTCCAGCATCACTCAAAGTGTCAGCGATTTGAGCAAAAAATGTTGTATGTGAATGTCCGAATAATGGACAAAACACCAGATAATTATATGAATTTACAAAATTTAGCGATAATAGTAGAAAAACTACAAATTTTATCATTACTATAGGTCAATTTTTTTCCTATTTATCAGCAAATATAAGTTGTCTAGCCACTTAAATAGAGTGAGTATGACAAAATGAAGAACAGAAAGTTGTTATACTCCACCCTATTTATTTCGATTTGAATGAATGATCGCCTGGGAAATTTGAGTGTTTTGTCATATTTCAATCTTTCGGTGTTTTTGAATGACCGATGTTGTATGTTTTATTGATAAATCTACGCAAACCACAGAGTTGAAACCGGTTTTGTCAGATCAATTTGAACATTTTTTGAGTGGTTTGATCATGGTAGAGAGTAGTCTGGTTGTTTTCTCTCCAATTTTTTTTGAGAAACAAACTTTTAGATAGAACTTTTTCTAGAGCAAATGAATAACAAATAATAAGTAGATATACTCATATTTTTGTTTATTTTCTCAATTTCTAATAGGTTACAACTTATTAAAGCTAATTTATACACGTAATTAATTGAATTATTGATAACATCCGATTTGGTCAGACCACGTAATATCTGTAGCATAATGAAAACTGAATGGTTTCATTTTTGGACCTGATTTATAATTTGCATCAGAATGTATACACGGATATTCTTGTCGTTGTGGAAGATAACATTCATCAGCATTCGGGCATGTTCCAAAATTATCACTTTGTTGTTTCGCATCAAAAGCCCAAGAATAAAATCTATCATAATAACATTTGAAAACAATTGGAAGATAAAAATCAGAATCTGGTAATCTATGTTGCATCTCTTGAATAACTTCTGAATCGTTTTTTCTCCTGAAAGTTTCAATGTTGAGCATTTGATATCGAGATATTATTATCTCACATTAAAAAATCGAGTTGTAATGCTAAAACGTCCATTTCTCTAATAGTTTCATTGAGTTGATCAAATGTCATTTTCCATAAGTCTTTTATTGTATCATTTCCGTTTTGTTGTTTTGGTCTTTGAACGTGGACCAAATGAGGTGACCGAATTTCAAATCTATGAAAAAAAAAATTAATTTTCTCAACACTATAGTTCCTTTCTTACCTGCTTCTTTTTGAATGGTTTTGACTGAAATGAATCCATGTTGAATTGTATTTTTCTGGCTGAATAACAACTTTTCCCGATTTCAAACTTGGTGAAGATCTCAAACTTCCAACTATTTCAATAAAGTTGAATTTGTCTAATGTTGATGGTTTCAAAAACTCATGTTCTCTTCTTTTATAATACAAAGATGAGGAAGCTGGTCTCAAACTGTACATATAATTGAATTCTTCCCAATAACTTGTAGCATATTTTGGGAATAGAAGATCATCAATATCAAAAAATGCGATATAATCAACAGCTTCTTTATATTGTAAAAGACAATCAGTTTGTGCTCCAGCTTGATTTCTCCATTCAACATGTGGATTTGGATCAAAATAATCTGATTTTGGATCAATAAATTTCATACGAATCCATTGTTGAATAGTTACATAACCAGCTTTTTCATATTCTAACATAATTTTAAAATAAGATTCAATTATTGATGTTATATAAATATGCATATGAGCTCCAAAATGTCTAGAAATATGAACATGCATTATAAATAATTGCCATTGTTCAGCAGCAAATTGAGGAGATATACAAATCATTACTTTACTTGGAGCTGTTGTTTTTGCATGTTTAAAAGGTATCTGTAAAATATAGAAACAATATTTGTTGTCTGAAAATATTTCAAAATTTAACTAACACTCATAATTTCTCCATTTCTTGACTGAATTTCTAAACTTTCCGGATTCTCTACAGTATTTGTTAATGCAACAGTTGTTATATATCGACAAGTTGTTACACCATCCCTTGAAAAAAGAAAAATATAGATTTTCAAAATTTCAAAATAAAAAACTTACATTTGGCTCCTCGTTGTAGATTTCACTTTTGAAGTTTCATTTTTACCAATTATTGTTAATGGAATCTCAGTCATATTGTGACTCCATTGATCTGTTACCATCACAATAGCCACTGCATTTTTTCCAAGTCTTGAAGTATTTAATTAAAATGAAAATATTAGGAAAAAACTTACGATTTGGAATTTTTATAATAATATACATTATTAATAAAACTGTGCGATATTCTCAATCTATCCATATTAGTTCTTTTAGTATCAATAATTTCTGAATTTCCATCTGGTTCTGGATAAAATACAACATACACAATTACAAAAATAGCTAGTAATTTAAATATTGTCTTCAAGCTAAAAGACGGATTCATGTTTGAGACAATGACGGAATGGTGAGTTCCGAGTCGGCTTTAAACGATTTTTTGGTTATCTTTCCGATTATCCGATCCAATGTGAGAGAAACGTTTTTTTCCGTTACAATGCTGCCGAACTCTTCATTCCGTCGGTGTACTATCGCACAAATAATCTTTAATTGCTTGTTCATTTATAAGTTTCGTTCCGATCTGGCATTAAAGATATCGAAAATTTTCGATAATATAAAAGTGTGTGAGGGGTTTTAAGTATGATAATTATTTTAACTCTGATACTTTGAAACGGTACAAGTTGTGAATTGGTTGTTATTAATGGAGAAGATTTGAACTTTGAAAATTTCTAGATTTTCTGAAATTTTATGGTTTCGGATTTTTCACTTGTTGAAATCAGTTTTTACTAGTTTCTTGCCATATTTAGATAATTGTCTCACCAGGTTTTCATGCCACCATCGAGTTTTGAGCAAAAAAAATTTTATGGGAAGTTTTAGCCATCCCAATAGACATATAAAAAAATAAGCTGCCGAACAGCACACTGGACCAAGTTTCTGGTGCTCCATTATTACCAGCTGAATTATGATTTATATGGAGACCTAATTTTTGATAATATGAAAAAGTATTTCACTCCAGTCTGAAATGATATTGTGATGATAAGTTTAACAGAACCGTAATCGTTTCCAAAAAATGGGATAATCATTAGAGTTGCACAATCCTGACTTCATTTGTGAAACAGACATATGTCATATTTTTATTTGTTCATTCATCGAGTTCCAATACGCTCATTACGTAAAAGGCATGTTATTTGAAAAGTCGATAAATTTTAATTCGATGTTTAATTAAGAATGAAATCGGACGAATAAAAATAGAAGCACGGTCTCTGAATCCCTATTTGTGTTGGCAATTTGAAGTTTTCCATGAAATCAATCTGGTTCTTTTTATTTTGCATAATTTAATTCAAAAACAAAAAAAATACCTAATAATGACAAAGCAGTACCTGGGAATTTATTCCGGCTTTTCAAATCCAGATATAAACGACACAAAACAATTCAAGATGTTTCTTAAGATAACGGAGAGATCGTGAAACGAAGAGTTCGCTAAGTTTTTTAGGAATGAATCACGTTGAATCGGATAAAAGCGAAGATAAACTAAATATTCAGAATAACACGTTAATGTTTACTTTTTCAATAAAAAAACAATCGGGAAGTGTGAAAGGATTTTCGTCGCCAAAAAAATTAAAAACAATCAAATATAATCGGCAAATCTCAGTTTGCATCTAATCAATGATCCATTAATTTCTGTGTTGCTAACAATGTGATACTTTCGAGTTCAGATTTACACGAGATGTGCAATGAATCTAGAATCTTGATAACATGAAATGAAAAACATGTTCCATTCTACATAATATTTCATCTCAAGATCATTCATTTGAAACAGTTTCTCATTAAGAACTGTTCAATTTTTAGTCCATGTCTGATTTTAAATGTTTTTCAGTTTGATTTATAAAAATTTGACTCATTAAAAATCTGATTAATTGAACTTTCCTGAACCTTTTATATCAATTTTTATTTCAATATGTGATGTATTTAGATTTTGTACATAAATATATATAACCCCTCAAAAAAGCAAAGCGCTTTGCAGAAAGTATTAGTAGATATACGCAAAGCACCGTTTTTCCAAACCTAGGTCAATTTCACTGAATTATCTCAGATATTATCTTTCAGCTCATTTCATTCATTGAATAAAGAGGTCAATACATTTTGTTTCAATGAACAAACTCTAGAATGAATGATCATCAAAACATTCCTTGTTTTCATCAGTGTCAATCCATTTTTTATCACTTGAGCGATTCGAAATCAGGTCCATTTTAAAAATATTTTGAATTTTCAAAAACTATTTATTTTTGTTTGATATACGGGAACAAGATCTAGCGTATCAACCATACCTTCTAATGTAAAAAATTTTTCAACCACGATTTCTCGATTAAACATATTTTTACTATTCTACAAATGAAAATCAAATTATTGTTAACATCCAATTTTGTCAGACCACGTAATATCTGTAGCATAATGAAAACTGAATGGGATCATTTTCGGACCTGATTTATAATTTGCATCAGAATGTATACAGGGATATTCTTGTCGTTGTGGAAGATAACATTCATCAGCATTCGGGCATGTTCCAAAATTATTACTTTTCTGATTTTTGCTTGAATTTAGAGATTGATAACATTTTTCAATAATTGGAAAATAGAAATCAGCATCGGGTAGAACTGTTGATTTTATGGCCATGTTTTTCTTGATTCTGAAAAATGTTCTGTCGGTTTAGAAAAAATATGTTTTTTTTCACTCGCTTCAAAAAATCTTCTTGTATTACCGAAGCAACCATTTCCTTCAATTTTCCATCCATTCTATCAAATGTAATTTTTAACGAGTTTTTGATTGTGTCATTTGAATCCTGTTGCTTTTGATTTTGAACATGAATTAAATGTGGAGAATCTACTTCAACTCTGAACAGAAAACCGATAATTTTTATTTCAATTTCAATTTTAACCTGCTGTCTTGTGGAAGTCTACCACTAAACTCAATCCATGTTGTATTATAATATTCTGGTCGAATAACGAATTTTCCTGGTTTTATGAACCATGCAGGTTTCATACTTCTCATGATTTCTAGGAAATTTAATTGATCTACCGTTTTTGGTTTTATGAATTCATATTCGTGTCTTTCATAATATAAATATGATGCATTTGGTCTTGAACTAAATCTAAAATTAATTTCGTCCCAATAACTTGTAGCATATTTTGGGAATAAAAGATCATCAATATCAAAAAATGCGATATAATCAACAGCTTCTTTATATTGTAAAAGACAATCAGTTTGTGCTCCAGCTTGATTTCTCCATTCAACATGTGGATTTGGATCAAAATAATCTGATTTTGGATCAATAAATTTCATACGAATCCATTTTTGAATAGTTACATAACCAGCTTTTTCATATTCTAACATAATTTTAAAATAAGATTCAATTATTGATGTTATATAAATATGCATATGAGCTCCAAAATGTCTAGAAATATGAACATGCATTATAAATAATTGCCATTGTTCAGCAGCAAATTGAGGAGATATACAAATCATTACTTTACTTGGAGCTGTTGTTTTGGCGTGTTTAAAAGGTATCTGTAAAATATTGAAACAATATTTGTTGTCTGAAAATATTTCAAAATTTAACTAACACTCATAATTTCTCCATTTCTTGACTGAATTTCTAAACTTTCCGGATTCTCTACAGTATTTGTTAATGCAACAGTTGTGATATATCGACAAGTTGTTACACCATCCCTAAATATTATCATTATTCAAATTTACATCTAATTTTGAAAACTGACATTTGATTCCTAGTTTCCGATATTTCTCGTGAAGTTCCATTCTTACCAATTATTGTTATTGGAGTTTCAGTAATATTATTAATCCATTGATCTGTTACCATTACAATAGCCACTGCATTATTTCCAAGTCTTGAAATATTTTGTTCAAAAGAAAACATTGAGAAAAAACTTACGATTTGGAATTTTTGTAATAATATACATTATAAATAAAACTGTGGGAAATATTCAGTTCACTCTTATTAATTTTGTTTTTATCAACAATTTCGAAATTTCTATTTGATGATTTTGATGGGTAAAAAAATACATATGACAATACAATAATAGTTAATAAAATAAATAATCGTTTGAAACTATATAATGGTTTCATTTTCGGACAATTTGACAAATTAATGATTTTGCTTTTTGGAATGTCCTCATATGAAGTTTCAGTTTTTGTTCATTTGCCTGCCTTTTTTCAATTTTACGCGAGAAAGAGTTTTCGGGACAATTAGCTGATTTCACCTCATATCTTATATAATATCTCGAATAATTAGCAATTGACTCTTAGCTTTTCTGTTCTGTGTCCTAAACAAGAAGAAGTCAGATAGTGTTTCAACGAACCGCACAGGACAGAATAAACCCTTATTATAAAAACCCTTTATATAAAAATGTTTGGGAATTTAAAAAGGGTCTTTTTGATGATAAAAAACTGGAAGGTGTTTATGACTGTTTCTGTTGAAATTTTTTCTTGGTTCTACTAAGAGTTTACTAATTTTGAACTTATTTATTTCATAGAAATTTCGAAATATGTACAAAAAAAACAAATGCAGTTTGTGTGAAGTTTGGCAAGACAATTGCAATAAATCATGTCTATGATAATTATCAAAATATATAATTAATAAATTAATGAATACTCTGTTTTCTCTTATAAAATTCCCAATTTTTTGAGTTCCTCTCTCTGTCGATCTAATTCAGCGTCATTTGCCATAAGTCGATCTCGTTTTTCTCGTGTAAGTGTTCCATATCTGAAAATAATCTTGATACATTTTTTCTTTCAAATACTTTTTTTACCTATCCTCTTTTTGTGGTGTTGTTGTTGATGTCACAATTTTTGAACTTGTTGGCAGTGGAATTCCGGAATGCACAGTTGGCGGTGATGATAATTCTCGAGTTTTTCTTAATTGTCCTTTTTTCTCTTGATACAACCTCGACCAAACATTATCATTTTTATCAGCACTGTGACTTCGTTGAGTTACACTTTTTGGTAGAGCTGGTAATTTTCGTTCAACAACTGGTGTTTTTATACTATCTGATCGTTTTGGTATTCTAGAAACACGAGCTTCAGTTATTTCTGGTCCTTTTGGTGTTATTTCCTCTTCCACAATTTTTGAAGGTGTTGCTGGCGGCGGAGTTGGTGGTCTGATTGGAATTGATGGGGCTTGTGTTTGTGTTTCATTTTCTTTTCTAACTGGAATTGAACTGATTGGTGGTGGTGTTGGTGGATCTGTTTGAGTTGGTTTTGTATCAGCGCGGAGCTTGGAGGTTTGAGTTGTTGAATCTTCTTGTCGTAAAGGTTTGATTGGTGAAGTTGCTCGGTTCATTTTTGGTGATGGTGGAGGTTTGTGTTTTGGAGACGGTGACTGAAAATGATAAAGTCAAACCCCAATATTTCTCACTATTTTCAAGAACTCACTCGTGACACAACTTTTTTGACTTTTGGTGGCAATTCTGTACATTGTTCCAATTTTCTATGTGGCGGTGGTGTTGGAGACGAAACTTTATCAAAAATAATATCAGTGATCTCTATTCGATCACTTAAAGTCTTTTGAGTTCCATCACTTGCTGTGCTTTCACGACATTCTGATGTTCCATCACTTCCATAATCACTACTCTCTAAACGACTACTAGAATCCTCACGAATTGAAGATTCGTCGACGATTGTAGAATCGGGTTCAGCAATAAGAACAGGTTCTGAAAATAATTATATATATATATATATATAGATGTACATATAGTTATTATTTTGAACTAACCTTTCTTTGGCAAAGCATGTTTCTGATTAGAATTAGCTGATGCACATCTTTGTGGTTTTGGTGAACTTGAAACTGATCCCAAAGGATTGAAATGAACATGAGTTAAAGTATTCGATCGGAAAAGTGGATGATATCTAGCATCTTTATCCTCATCACTATCACTTGTATTTCCATTATCAGCGAGTTTTCTTTCGAGTTCAAGTTTTACTTTATAAGGTGAGGCATAACTCAAAATAGTGATAGCATCCTGATAAACCATATTTTCAAAACAAATGGTCAAACTTTTGATTTTGTCTCCAACTAAAATATTTCCAGATTGTTCAGCAATACCTTTTGCTATAATCTCTTTAACAAATATTCCCTCATTCATATTTCCTTGAATATTAAATCCCAATCCACTAACATCTTCAGCTCGAAGTTGTACACCAACTTTTCCCTCAACTTCGTTTATATATTCCATTGAATATGCTTTTTGAGTTCCAATGTCTTCACATTTTTTCCGAAGTTTGAAAGAGTCAATCATTGTCATTTTGTCTTTATTTGTTGTTTTTTTAGTGGCATCAACTGCTTTGTCTTCGACATCACACGCATCATTAGCATACGCAGATTTATTATCGGTTTCTTTGATCTCAGCTGAAAAATAGTCTAGCTGAGTCTTCAGATTTATGATCAGAAAGTGTTCTTGAAATTTGTAGATCATCATTGGAAAAAATTAATATACTTGAAAGGTCATTGATTCCCATGATTAATTTTGAGTTTATCAATTTACGTTTTAAAATCTTGGAGTTTCAAATTTACAGTAATTTTTTATCCTTTGAAAAACTTACAATTTTTACGGAAGCAAATATACATCAAAATAGCCAAAGTACCAGCAATCAAAAAAGCTGCAGCCACTGATCCAAAAATCACACCAAAAAGTTGAGGTTGACTCAAACAAGTTTCAGCCGCCATCACTTCTCCAATTATCGAAATTGTGACAAGAAGAAAAATTGGAGGACCCATAGTTTTATAATTGAGGTAGATCAAGGATCTAGAAAAAATAGGAGAAAAATCTACAAGACAAAAAAATGAGGGTAGAAACCGCGAGATTAAAATCAAAGTAGGGTTGGTATATTTCGACAAAAAAAGGAAAAAAGACACGGCCAATGATTTATCGGGAAAAGGCGAAAAGAAGTAGAAAAAGAAGGAGAAATGGAAAATTGAAATAGGATGAATGAATGAATGAAAAAAACGGTTGAAAACGAAACGATTATCATAATCTTCTTCGTCTTCTTTGTTTACTTTTTGTGTTTCGTTACACTTCTTATTTCTGATTCGATTGATTTGCTAATAATAATAACAATCGTTTTTGTTTTAACGATAAAAATAAATTAATAATGAGGCATAAAAGTTGCTGACCAGAAATAAGATATCTCAAAATTTGAAGTAGTTGGGCTACACCACCAAATATTTCTCGAAGATCCTAGCCAAGATTTTCACCAAGAAAGCTTTTCAAAATTGGTCTAGCCCTTTTAGAACTATAGAATTTCTGAATTTTTCAAGAACTAGTAACTATAAAATATTCCCTCGTGGCTTTTGTTGATTGGGAAAATGATATTTCAAAAATAAACGGAATTTCACAAAATGATAAAATTGAAAGAAGGAATATTCGGAAAAGGTGAAAGTAAAGGGCGATAAACAATATGAACAACGAAAACAGTTTATCACTGTTATCATCTTTGCGCAACAAATTTCGAAAAATGTCAAAACAAAGAGGATTTAATTTAAATTGGAACACATTTTCATAGTATGTGTCGTTGCGTAAGAATTGTAGAAAAATATTTTGGATCAAATTTTGCAGAAAAAAATTGACCTTGAAATCCGCAGAACTATCTAATAGTTAGAACAAAGATAGATAGGTTACAAGAAAACAATATATATTTTTCGAAACTTTCCTTTTTCCTCGGAAAAATTATTACGTAAAAGACACCCCGCTGGTTGTCCGAATCATAGTAATCCTGACCCAAATTTATTGCCTCAATCAAATTAAAATGATCTATGTAAAGGTGTTTCCATAAATCACTAATCGGTTATAGTTTTATATAGGAAGATCAAAAAGTTCATCGACAAAGTGCAAAAATGATATTATAACGAAAAAGAAAGAACTGGCTGAGATTCTCTTCTAGAAACACAAAAAAACTGAATGTGGTTTTAGGGTGGGAGAAATGGGCGAGGAAATGATAACAAAAAGTCGAAAAAAGATTATGAAGAAACTTGTTGCGATATATTATGATGGCTGTTACATGTTCTGATAAATACAATTTTTTGTATACAAAACCAAGATTTTAGCATTTACTGTCTGGGGATTACTGTGGACCTTGCAATAGAAACAAGTCCAGAATTGAAAACGAAATTGGAATAAAAAATTACAATCAATATTTGATTTCTTCGATTTCTCATAGTTTATTGGCTAGTAAACAATGATGAGAAACTAGCTCAAAAAACAAAAAAAATGACTAACATATTTCTGCACATAGTGTCTCAAGTACTTTTCTGGTTACGTACACCCACAAAAACATATCATTAATGACACCCGGTTATTGTATAATTACGGTACCTTTCCTCTTATCATCAATAATATAAAACAATAAATCTACCAAAAAAGCTACCCAAAAATCCAATTAAAACCCGGTTAATCTTATGATTTATTAATTTCACAGTCATTTTTTCTCATATCTGAGGGTAGTAATAGCAAAAAGGGCAATGACAGACAAAAAAACTTGAAAAATGTTGCGTTTCATCATTTATCTTCATTTGAACGCTAAATATTACTACTGTGACGCGGAAAAAGAACAGGAAAAAATTGAGAAAAGCCAAAAAATTAGTCGAGTTCAAAAAGAGCTTTGCATGATGTTAACATGAGATTTTCTGTGTCTCTTTTATTTTTTCAATCTCTTCTGCAGAGCGAACAGTTCTCAAGTGCTCATTCTCAAAATCATATGCAAAGTCTGCGTCTCTTTCTCTTCCACACTGTTTTTTCATAAGCGAAAAATGAAAACGAGCAAGTGCGCGCTGACGAGAATTGTGTGTATTTCTCGTGAAGAAGATTTGAATTTTTGTTTTTTTTGTCCTGCATGCAAGTTTCACTAATTTCTCGCGAAAATGGAACATGAGGCGCTACCTGACATTCTAGCAATGTTTTTGAAGTTCGATGAAACATATTTTGACGGGCAGTTGAAGAAGGATTGTTATGTTGAATGGAGTTCACGAATGTTTGTGTGAGTTCTCGAATATTCATATTTTTATTAGAACAATAACAATTTATGCTTGTTTCAGATGTGCTGGTATTTGCAGTCATGGAAGTGGTGATACGTTCTGTACAATTCGTCTCAGCAAACCACTTCTGAAACTTCGCCCAAGAACTGATTTGGTCGAAACTTTGTTGCATGAAATGATTCATGCGTTCTTAGGCGATGATGCAGATTAGTTTCTCCCCCGAGCTAATTGAGGAGAAAGAGGAGAAATGTGTTGCAGGTGGAGGCGAAACAATGTATTTTTCGAATTTCGCCCCATTTCTCCTCATTTCTCCTCGGAGGAGAAATTCATCTGCAACATCGCCTTATTCATTAAAGAAAACAATTATGACAGAGATGGTCATGGTCCACAATTCCACTCACATATGCATCGAATCAATAAAAAGGGTGGCTATAACATCTCAGTTTATCATGAATTTCACAACGAAGTTAATAGCTTCAAAACTCACGTTTGGAGATGCAAAGGAATCTGTCAAAATAAATATCCTTATTTTGGATATGTCAAAAGAACAGCCAATCGTCCACCAGGTCCAAATGATTTATGGTGGCCAAAACATCAATTGACATGTTGTGGTGAATTCGTCAAAATTCAAGAACCCGAGGGTTATGAACCAAAGAAAAAGAAGACGTACAACGAGAAGCCGAAAGATCTCAAAATTCCGAAAATCACTCAATTCTTCTCAAAGCAAAAATCCGTTGGAGTTCAGAAACAAGAAAAGGTTTTGAAGGCTGTCACTAAATCTAAGAAACCACCACCCAAAGTTACTCTTGATGATTTTTTCAAAACCAAATCCAATACTTGTAAATAAAGTGAATACCGTTGAGATTTTTTGCATTTTGTGTATTTTTTTTGAGTGTTGATTTCACAACATTTTATTTGCATATATTTTAATAATCACTGAAGATCAATAAACTTTGACGATCAGCATCCTTGGAATGCCCAGCTTGGTTGATCCATCTTATGAACTTATTGATCCATGTCCCGATATTCACGCGCTTTTTGTTCAATTCGACACTAGGTAAAACTTTTAATTTTTAATAACTTGCAAAAAACCAACCTGATTTTTTCAGATTCTTTGGTTCTTCTCTTCAATGTTGTGAAGTAAAATGGAGTCCAAGGATGTACTCGTGAGTTTTTATTTTTCAGCATATTACAATTTCTGAAAATAAAAAAGAATGAAAAATAGGATAGCGTCGAGTTGCTATGGTCAACCGGCTTTTGTTATTTAAAATTCTGAAGTTTTATTTTTTAAAGGTGCGCTGGAATATGCTCGTATGAAGTGAGAGGTGGGAGAGGTGGTCTTTGTTCGATTCGACTTAGCCAGCCATTATTGAAATTAAGACCTAGAAAGGATTTAGTCGAGACTCTTTTGGTAAGATAAATTTATTTCGATGAGAAGAAGTTTTTTTTTTTAAATAAAACTCTTGAAAGTCACACAAACTATTTATAGAAAAAAAAATATATGTCTAGAACGCTATTCAGATAATTACTCCAATTATTCTAACTCTTTTTTCAGCACGAAATGATCCATGCTTATTTATTTGTAAAGGAAAGAAATCGAGATCGTGATGGGCATGGTCCCCAATTCCAGGCGCATATGAATAGAATCAATTCAGAAAGTGGTACTAATATTACTATTTATCATACATTTCATGATGAAGTTGCACTTTATAAACAACATGTTTGGAGGTTTGTTGGGAAATTTTCTATTTTTACGAATCTTGTTTTCACACTTTCTGAAGGAAGAAACTAAGCTAGGAAAATTGACTTACATTGCTAGTTTTGAACATAAAATCTGTTATGCCAATTTTAGAAATCTTTAAATTTTTTCTCATGAATTTTTTCCAAACGTGAGCTTTAGTTTTTTCATGTGGAAAATTATTGAAAAACAGAACCCATTTATTTCATTTTCAGATGCGAAGGTTCATGTCGAAATCGTCGTCCATTTTTTGGTTATGTAAAGCGATCTTCTAATCGTGCACCAGGTCCAAATGATCGTTGGTGGAGTCAACATCAAGCGAATTGTGGTGGACAATTTATAAAGATAAAAGAACCTGAAGGGTATGGACAGAAAAGAGGAAGAAAGAAAAAAGAAAATGAGACGAAGACTGATGATAGGAAGAAAACGCCGAATTTAGATGATTATTTTGGAAATAAAGATGTCAAAGAAAAGAAGAGTGGAGGAGTTCCTGTTGAAAGTATTGTGCCATTTAGTGGCACTGGACAAATGTTAGGAGGAGGATCAACCAGTTTTCCTGGAAGCGGACAACGACTTGGTGGAAATACTCAGAGATCAAGTATCCAGATGCCACAGATTTCTCAAAAACCATCAAGTTCGACGAAACCTATTGAAGTTATAGTTCTTGATGATAGCGACGAAGAAGATGATTATTTAGAAGCTTCATTTGTTGTTGTTGATAATTCGAATTCGAAAACGACGACAAGAGTTATTTGCCCATCGTGTAATGAAAATGTTTTAGAAATTTTGATTCATGATCATCTTGATCATTGTTTAGGATAATATTCTAACTTGTAAATAAATTTTTGTGCTCGATTTTGTGAAAATGTATTTTTTGTTCAGTAGAAGAAGTGTAATTACTTTTACGTAAAATTAACTTTCCTAACTGTTTTTCAAGTTTTCAAAAATAAACGTCCAAAGCTTGCCTTTGTGAGCAATCTTGCCATGTTGACAATTACTGAATACGGTAATTTATTTGGCCACAGGATGCACAATTGTTTTTCAAACATGTCGGTTTCTAGGCCAGCGTCTGTTTTTCGAAAAAAATGTTTTTCCTCGTGAAAAAATAATTGTTTTCTTTTTTAGCTGGAACAATGCGCATCGCTGATGAAATATCAAATGAAGAAGATGAAATTTGGGATTTTGTGTATAAGTAAGTTCATTATTTAAAGAAAACCTAAAAAAACCATTATATGTTTAGAAAAATAGTTCAAGAGCAGGAATTCTCCAAAATCTGCGACAAGTTATGGGATGAATATATTAAACAAAACGGAAAATCATGGAGCCCTGAAGATATCCGAAAGCAGTGAGTTTTTCGTTCATTCTTCGGTATTTTCAATCTGTAATGGTTCCAGCTACTATGGTGAAATGGAGAAAAATTTGCACAACTCATTCATTGACGATCACAAAATATTAGCACTTTTCAAAGTTTTAAAACTTAATTTCGACGACAATTTGTCCAAATTTTTTGTCAATCGTACTAGTGCCAAGCTAAAAGTTCGAAATGGAATTTTAATCGATTATCGACTTCCAAACAATATTGTAGCTGCAGTTCCTGTTTCTATTCCTCCACCAAGAAGTGTTACACCACAAAGAAAAACAAGATCTATCACACCACCATCGCCACAACCTGTTCGACAAGATACATCCAAAGTTACTCCCAAAAAACAAAAAGAAACTGAAAAGGGAATTGAAATCACAAGAAAAACAGAAGATGCGATGTGGAAGTTCATAGAACAAAATTTCGGAAAAGTTCCGAACAACGAATTCACTCTTCTATCATTTTGGGTCAAATTTACGGAGATTGAAGGATTGCCGCCATCAAGTGGTTATGATATCGCCAAACACTTCAGAATATTGTTCAAAGATATTTGGTCGAAAGATGTGGATTTGGAAATGAAAATGGGTTTGATGCAAGATTTGAAATTCGAAATTACTGACATTGTTAAAAAGGCACTTATGAGTGTTCATAATGTGAAGATCGACGTTGATGAAAATGGATTCATCAAGAAGTGGAATATTATGAGAACAAATCAGGAAGAAGAAGGTTGTAGTGGTAATTCGAATAGAAATGCAATAGAATCTCGTCATCAGAGAAAAACAAGAGCTCAGAATGTTCTTGATATTAGCGATGATGAGGAGGATGCGCAAAGAGGTGCCTAATTTTTTAAAACATTTTTTTCAAAATTTATCATAAATTTTTCGCCATTTGACTTTTTTCATTTTCAGTTTTTCTACCTCGTCCCAGATCATCTACTCCAAATGAATATTCAAATCGACTTCGATCAGTTTCACCTGTTTTTGAAAGAAAAAATATCCAAAAACCCCAAATATCAATTGTCAAACTTGAAGATGTAAAAGTTGAAAAAAGAGTTCAATTCACCGAAGCAATTCATCTAGAAATGGCCAAATTTCTTTTGTCAAAGCTATTTGATGAAGACGGCGAACTGCAAGATATACAACCTAAAGGAATAGCAATTTGGAGAGAATTTCAAAGCACTGGAAAAACGAACAGAACTGCTGTAAATTTATCGTCAAAGTAAGCTGGCATATTTTAGTTTATTTACAGAACTTTTTTCTTTCAGCTATCGAAAAAGTTTTCAAAAAATCCTGTACACGCTGCCTCTATCTCGAGTACACATTTTCAGACTTTATAGAGGTTTGAAAATTTATATTGATGAAGATACTGAAAAGAAGTAAGAGCGTTGAATGACGAGTAACTCATATAGATACAACATTTTTTCAGAATGCGAAAACGATTCAACGCAAAACTCCAACTGGTAGAAGGATTTTTACATTCTTGGAAATTTGTTGAAAATACCCCTGAATTGCCAGAGAAAAAACGAAGAAAAGTTGAAAATAGTGATGAACCAATTGAAGTTGAAGTTAGGAAGAATAATGAGAATCCAGTTGATTCGCAACGAAATGAAATTGATGATAATCGAAAAGTTGAACAAGTTGAAGGAACAAACGCTTTAGAAGAGTTGATCAGAGAAGTAGAAATGGAAACTCAAGAAACTACTCAACATGACGAACAAGCAATTGAGATGGAACAATATCCAGAAGATGAAGAAGAAGACGTTCATCCATTACAAGAATCGAGTATTGACGAAGGAATTTATGAAGAAAGAGAATCTGAGGCGGAACCTGAACCTGTACAAGAACAAGAGCAAGAAGTCGCAGATCAACAACAAGAAAGCGATGCGTCTGTTGAAACAAAACCCTCTCTTGAAAATCTTGCAAGTACGGCTAGTTTGAAGAGCGGAACAAGTGAGGAACTCAATGAAACTCTTCCAATTGAAAATAAAAGAGAGCTTCTTTGTATTGAAAAACCGGAGAGACTTCGAAGAAGTAAAAGAACAAGAAATAATTCACACTTATTGAATGTTACTTCACCCAATGAAGAAGACGAGATTCCGAAGGTTGCACAAATTGCATCTTCTATAAATGAAGTTACTGAAAATGTTGAAAATTTAGGAGAACTTCAAGAAGAACAAGAAGATCCAAATAAAAAAGAAACAACATCCGAAATCCCAGAAGAATTACTAAAAATAGCTCGAGAAGTTTTGGTTGACGATGAGAAATGTGGAATTCCGCTTACTGTTCAACTTCATTTCAAACAAGAAATCGACAAAATTTTGGAGAGATGTAGCTTTTATTCGAAAGGAAATCAAGAAAAGTTCATGAAAATCGTTAATAATGTGAAACCCGATTTCCAAAAGAAAATCATACATCTTTCGAAATCTAAATAATCTTTTTATTGAATTCTTTTATTTTTATTTTTTTATATCCTCTTGTAAATATATATGCTTTTTGTATTCATATTGCGAACAAGAATAAAATATTTTATATTTTTTGAATTTCCGCGAAGAACGGCGCAGACACACAAATATTGGAAATATCTCGAGGCGAAGAGATGAATTATTTCGCAGCTGTTTGCCCGCGAAACAATTTCGAATGGCGCGCGCGCCAAACATTTCCTTTTGTTTGGTTTTTTTTGAGGAGAACGGTCAGTTGGTGGCCAAAAGTTGATTTTCTTTCTGCTTATAGAAGGCATTGTTCACGTTTCTCATTAGATTGTTGTTATCAGTGTTTTTTTGGATTCTATTTCCAATGCTTGAAAGTTTCAGCATTGTCATCACAAAAAATCGGTGTTTTAATGCTAATCCATATATGGAAGTATGAAAAGAATGCTCACTATATTCTCATTTGTAGAGTTCAAATAGTATCATTCAATCAGCCCGTGAATATTGAATCCGATTAGAAATCTTTTGATTATTTCTCGTCGATCGTATTTCGCAATATGTATTAAGATATGTGCTTATTTCAGAAACTACTAACCCAGAAAGAATGACTGCTGCTCTTGCCGACACTACCAACACAATGACCGGAGAAACCACTGTTCCAGTTGAAAATGTCAAGACCACCACTACTGAAGAAGCAATCCCAACTACTGCTGAAACTTCCACTACTGTCGCTACAGAACTCACTGCCGAGGAAAAGTCCGTTTTTTCTCAACAATCTTAATCAAAGTTAGTTTTTTCCAGGGCTACACAATTGAAGAACAACTTGACATCTGGAAAGCGTCTTTTGTTGACAAGCGAATTCAGCAAGGCTGCTGATCTCTTGAGTTTGGCTTCTCAACTTGCGTGAGTTTTTGGAATATTCCTATCTTTTGAATATTTTTATGCTTATTTTAGTGGTGAACTCTTCGGAGACGACAGCGAACAATCATTTGATCCTTACTTCTACTATGGACAAGCCCTTTTGGAACTCGGTAAACTTGAGGATCAAGTTTTCTCAAATGCTATGACCAATATGCCAACCGTAGAAGAAGGGAATGCCAACAACGATTCAATCGACGAGGAACAATACGGTAATCCGGATAAGTTGTCAGAAGAAGAACGTGAGCAAATCAAGGAACAAGTTGACACTGCTCTTTCTGCTGGGGCAGAGAAAGCAGATGGATTAGTCGAACCTGAAGCGGAAACCGAGAAAGAAGCTGATGCCGAAGCGGAAGCTGAACAAGTAGAGGGCGAAACTGAAGAAGGTGATGAAGAGATGAATACTGAAGCCGACGCTGAAGCTCAAGGTGAAGCAACAACTGAAGCCGCTGCAACTGGAGGTTTGTTCTTTGAATTCTATAGAAATTGTTGCGGAAACCGAAAACAAGTTATATTTTCAGATGTTGCCATGGCAGAAGGAGATGCTGAGGCTGAAGGTGAAGGTGAAGAAGAGGAGGAAGATGAGGACGATAGCTCGATGAAACTTGCTTGGGAGATTTTCGAGACAACTCGCAGAATTTGCGATAAAAAACTTGAAAGTCTTGCTGAAGAACAATTGGAGGATATCAAGAAGTGGACCTTGCACAAGGCTGATGTTCTCAGCTTTTTGGGAGAACACGGAATCGCTGACGGAAAACCTGATCAAGCTATTAAGGATCTTGAAGCTGCTCTTGAGCTCCAAACAACTCATCTTGGAGAAACCTCGCGTGTTTTGGCTCAAACAAATCATCTTCTCGCCAAAGCGTTCCGCATGGATGGTGGATTCAATGAAGCGGCCAAATTCTTCAGTGATTCTAAGAAGGTTTTGGTTGCCAAAACTGAAGAGTTGAAGGCGTCGTTGGAAAATGCAATGGAAGAATCCAAAAAAGAAATTGAAGATGAGTTGAAAGAGTTGGCTGAATTGATTCCAGAGATGGATGTGTATATCGATGATTCGAAGGCTTCGGCTGAGCAAGCGGAGAAAATCAAAGAAACTGTCAAAGAAGAATTGGAGTCTGCAGCTCAAGTTTTGAAGAATCTCACATCTTCATCTGGAGATGCCTCGAACACCGAAGCTAATGACATTTCTGGAATGGTTAGTTTTTTTCTTTAAAAAAAAACTCCTTTAAAAAGTTTGGTTGTGAATGTAATTTTTCAGATCCGCCGCCCAGCCAAACGTCCAGCTTCAGCTCAAGACAATGCAGAAGAAGACGTCGCCAAAAAAACTAAATCTGACGAAACTTCGGAAGCGACATCCACCACTGAAAACTCTGCATAATTTTCGCACCCTCTCCGGTTTTTACATATTTTGTACCATATTTGAATTTATGAACCAAATCACCGGTTCCCACCTCTTCAAATGCATCTCATTAACTTATTTTGTATTATTGTTTTTCCATAAATTTAATCTATCCCCCCAAAAATGGAATGTTCTACGATTCGCGAGTTATTTTTTCTCGTGTTTGAATATTTTAGCAATAGAGCGCGCTTGGTTGTGTGCATTTTTATATGTTATGTTCAAACAGAAAAAATTGCAGATTTGACTTGTATGACGCATATTGTCGATGAAAATAAGCTGATGATCAAACCAACGTATAGAAATGACGTCAAAATTGACGAAGCTTCGACATCAACTGATACTTTGATTTGTTCGCATACTGATTCGTCAGGAGCAATTTCTTATGTTATTGCAAATTATAAAAAGTTGACAGTTTTTGATGGAAATTCACCAACGCCAACCAAGAAATTGGAATTCACTTTGGAGTTTGAAATCAAGAAAATCTTCTATCACAGTCTAGCATCAGCTAAACATATTGAAAAATCGAAGAAAGATAAAGAAACATCGAAAACGGATAATATTTGGAAAGATACTTCAACCAAAAAACGCGATTATTTGGTGGTTTGTGGTGAACATAGATTATTATTCATTGCTAAACAAGATTCGCACTTTTATCATTATGAAATTCCATTCAAACTTCGAAATGTTTTCAGTTTCAATGGTGGTGTTTTAGTTGAACGATTTTACGACGCAACGGTGAGTTTTTATTCACTCACAATCAGTTTTTTTCTCTAGAAATGAATATTGAATTCCACGACGTGAAATTTCCACGTTGTAGATTCACGTCAAAATTCAAAATTGAAAAAAAATGTTCATTACTGAAAACAAATTGCAGAGTAAATCAATTCATTATCACGACACATTCCATCTTTATTCATTGTCTGGACCTTTTGGCGAACTTCTTCCAGTAATCTACAAAACATTTGGAAAAGCTCCATGTTGGAAGTTTTGCTGGCAATCTCAACAAGATGATTCTGAAATGGTTGCAACCGACAGAAATTATGTTGTGGTTTTCGATCAGACTGAGAAAATTCACCGTGTATATATTGCTCGAGATACTCAAGAGAAAGAAGTGCAGGCTGCTGTGAAATTTGTGGAAATTCAACGAAGATCTCATATGGAATCAACATTGTTTGCTGGTGGATCGATTCGAACACCGCAACAACATTATGATGTTAATAGAGGATCTCATCATCATAGTGGAATGTCTCCAGCAAGTGAGTTTTTAAAATTGGAATCTGCCAACAAATTTGATTTTTAGTGGCTGCTTTATCTGAAGTTATTAATAGTGATATTGATGGACGTTCCCCTCATATCACTCGAAATCGTACTGGATTTGGACATTCAACACCGAATACTTATCAACAACATCCATATTCATCACACCCACTTCCAACTCCAAACTTTGATAACGAATCGGATCTTTTTTCACCAACTGGTGGAACTCCTAAAATTGGTGGAAGAGCAAATGGTGGAAATAATTTGGAACGAAATATTCATACGAGATCAATTGTTCGAATGTCAGAAAATAGAGGATCAGGTGAAAAGCGGACAAATCAACTACATAAATCAAGATTTGGACAAAGTCATACTACACCAACAATTCCAAAACAAAAATGGAAAAGAACATTGGAAAATGCGGAATTATTGAGAGAGTTCACTCGAATGATTCGAGATACTCCAAAACATTCTTCGTCCAAAAAATCATCACTCGATTTTGGAGATTTAGAAAGAGATCCGGATCTTGATTTACTTTTATCCAAAGTTTGTCTTGAATGCGTTTATGTTGAACAAGATCGAAAATTGGAATCTGCGATTCGAGCAGATAAAATATTTGTATCGCATTGTCTCTCACAATTTTATTTGAATTTTGTGAAATTTGATAAAGATGTTACGATATTACCAATTTATGAAGATAGAAGAAGTGAGTTTGAAAACAATTTCTGAAAAAAAAAATCGAAATTACAGAAATGGGAGAAGGAAAACAAGTGATTTCCTGTAAAGATGCTTGTGTGATCGAGAAAACTGGTTTGACTGTCATTTTTGATTTGGAAAACTCTTTGAGTTTATATGGTGGATCTCGAAAAATTTCATTGATTTATATTAGTGATCAACCAACTGGAAATGTTCGATTATCTTCATTTGCTCCAAATGTTTTCTCAATTTTTGTTGGTGGAACTTTAACGAAATTGGAAATCCCACCAGCTTTTTCATCTGAAGCGGTTCATGAAATGATGAAGACTTGTTTCACATTTTTACCCAGTGATGTTTCTCAAAATATTCTCTGCGAATGGAGAGCAATTTCGGGAAAAAATGCGGAAGTTGAACACGAATTGGAAATTGTTCTACAATTTGTGATGTCACATTTTGGAGTCGAGTTTGAAGAAAAAGATGATCGAGAAGTTAGGTCGAGTACACCAGAAGCTGGCGGAAAACATATGAGACCACATAGAACATCAACTGAAATGATGGACAAAATTGGAAGATTTATTGATTCTTGTGAAGTTCATGTAAATTATGAACAATTAGAAGATAGTGATGATGATGATCTAGAGACAAAGGAATATATGGTTACGCTGGATCCAAAATCGAAAAATATTGAATTTTTAAGAACTCTATTTCTCTCATTACATGCTGTTTTCGAAGAATGGACACTTCAAACATTCAGACAAGTTCATTTACCAAGTTTGGCAATTCATCTATTTGCATTAGCCAGGTATATCAATTATAAAGAAAATAAGTTTTTAAAATAGTTATGTTTTTTTCAGAATTATCAATGAACCATATTATATGGATTATTATGAGGATTTATTCGAAACTGTTCTCGAAAATGTTGAATATCGCTACAGTTCACGCCTTCCCGACACAAATGATACCATTTTAGAGCCATTTTCAATTCTAAAAACGATTCGTGAAATCAGTGGTTTTCAAAGAATCCCTACTCTTCCGGAAATTATCAATTCAAAATGCATGAAAATTTTGGCAATTGTTTTTGCTGGAAGTGGAATGTTGAATTCGCCATCAGACGCTGATGAATGGAGAGATCGACTTGAATTATCAGATCGTGCACAAAACGTTTTTGATGGAATTTTGCGACGAAAATCAAGAAATTCTGAAAAAGCAACGAGTCTCATTCGATTCTTCAAATTTAAAAGAACTGACATTGAAAAATTGACAATGGGACTACGAATCCTATTTTTAAAATATGAATCGGAAGCGTTTTCTGGAGTCAAGTCATTGGAACCAAAAGAATGTGTTTATGCATCTGAAGATGAACAAAATGTGATTGCACAATTGAGATGGAAACATGATATTCGAATGAAAAATGTTGAAGCTATGTTAGATTCATCGAAACAAGCATTGGTCTGCACAAATATTTTGTGAGTTTTCATTGATTTAATTTTTCCTGGGATCTGTAATATTTCACATTTTCAGAATGTCGGATGAAAATGCAAATATGAAAGAGATAAATGATCAATTTTTATCACAAACTTCAATTCGATATTTTGCCCAATCATTTGGTAGAGCATTTTTCGAGTTTCGCGGAGAAGTTCCATCTCTTTTACAACCTTTGGAGTTTTCAAGAATTGCTTTGAATGGTTTTCAATATCCAGCCAGAGTTGCTTGTGAATTACCAAGTAGTGATGTAAGTTTCTGACGAGATTTGTTGTTCTAAATAAATTTGAAAAATATTTGCAGATATTCCGACATCATTACGAATGGGCACAATTCTATAATTGTGTCGCTTCAACTCTCAAAATTGGCTCAAATGATATGGTAAAAATCGATCCAGAATGGATGTCGATGACCAGAAAAGCCTGTAAATCAATTCCATCGAGTTCCGGTCTAATTTATGGTCTTGGATTAAATGGACATTTAGCCAATATCAATATGTATGATGCACATCAACTTTTATCGAAAATTGAACGCTTTCAATCAATTGCACTTCTTTTGGGATTGGCTGCTTCGAAATATAAATCGTGTGATAATCAAGTTTATAAAATTCTTGCCACACATTTGAAGTTTTTGATGGGACCAACATTGCTTGAAATTCGTATGGATTGCAATATTCAAACTGCCGCTGTTTGTGCTTTGGGATTAGTTTTTGCTGATTCTGGACATATGAATATTGCAAAACAACTTGTGAATGAAATTGGAAAATCACCAAATACAGAAGATGAACCAGTTGCTGAAAGAGTTGCATATAAATTAGGATGTGGTATTGCATTAGGATTAATTATGCTTGGAAAAGGTAATGGTGTTGCATCGTGCGAAGTTCCATTCAAACAAGCGATTCCATCAATATCAAATCGATTATTATGTATGATGAGAGGAGGTTTGAAAAATCAATGTGTATTTTTACCACAAACTGCTACACCAACTCAAGCTGAAGGTGTTACTTGTTTGCCATTTGGATTATTAACGCAAAATGGAAATGGTCCAACTAATGTTTGTAATCAGATTCCAAATCATGTTCAAGAAGGTAATTCAATCAATATTCATTTATCATCACAAGCTGCAACTCTTGCATTGGGTTTGATGTTTATGAGAACGAACAACAAAGTTATTGCTGATCGATTGGCTTTGCCTTCTTCAGTTACGGAATTGGAGAAAATTCGACCAGATTTTGTAAGTTTTCTAAAAATTTGATTATGAAATGAACTGTTTTTTTTAAAGATTTATCTGCGAGTTCTCTGCTATTGTATAATTATGTGGGATTCAATTGAAATTCACGATGATTGGGTGAATAATCGAGTTCCGGAAATTATTCAACGCTTCATGCTTGCCAGTTTGAGTTATGGAGAAGACACTGATTCCGATATGACACAAGAAGAACATGAATATTGGGATGATATTGTCGATCGACATACTCTTGCACAAGTCTATTTATATGCTATTGCTGGTGCTTGTACTGCAATTGCATTAAAATATACGGGATCGCCAGAAAAATTCGGATAACAATTCAATGAGAGCGATGAAAATGTTTGAAAGATTCGCCTCAATTGTATTGCCGGAAGAAGAAATTGAAAAACGAAAAGATTACGCGAGATTGTGTAAATATGCTGGAGAGACTGCTGTTTCGTGTTGCTTTTCATCGTTGGTTTTGGCAATGGGAATTGTGATGGCTGGAACTGGAGATAAAACAGTTATAAGATATGCGAGATTTTTGAGAATGTCGGAAAAATTGGTAAAAGATTCGTGGCTAATATCGGGACGGAAACATTATGAACAAATGGTTGCACATCAAACACTTGGAATGTTATTTATGGGAAATGGAAGATATGCAATTAAAAAGGATAATGTTTCGATTGCCCTTTTGATTACATCATTTTTACCTGTTATTCCGACAAGTGTCAGCGATAATACGTTAGTTTTTTTTTGAAGAAGGAAAGGAGGGAGGTCTCGAAATTTAAAAATATTTTTTTGGCAGATAAAAATTAATTACTTTAAAAATTACACAGAAAAAGTTCACATCGTAGTTCTTTTCAAAATTCAAAAATTTCAGACATTATCACCAACCACTTCGATTTATGTGGACTCTCGCAGCCGAACCTCGACTTATTGTTCCGGTTGATAACAATGAAAGTACAGTAGTCGAGTGTGATTGTTTGATTAGTTTGAAAACGAAATCAAATGAGACACAAAATCGATATTTCGTAAGAGCTCCATGTCTTCTTCCACCTTTGGAAACTATCGAATTTCTCGAAATCGGCGGCGGATGTTATGAACTTGTTCGAATCAATCTAAACACTTCGGAGGAAATCAAATCAATGAAGCAAATATTGAGTGTTGGGCAAGGTCGAATCAGACTTCAAAGATTTGTTTCAAATAGCACTGAGGCTCCGAATAGCTTAATTAGTGACTTATATTCGCCAGAAGCATCACCCAGACGTTTTGATTTGAACGAACTTTTGATGGTTGAAGATATGTCTTGGCCAATCAGCGACATGGATTTCAATCTACAAGAGAACTATTTGAAAAAAGAGCTGAGATTGAATGGAGCCGACAAATATCCACAAATTCAAGCGCATTTGAATACATTCCGCGATGAAATTGATCGAACAACAAAACAAATGGCTGGATTGCAAATATCGAATGTTGAATTAGCACAAACAGTCGTCGACGGGTTAGTTTTCAGAATTTTCATTTTGAATCAAAATCCAAATGTTTTCATTTTTGCAGGTGGAGCAACGAGGTGAATGTGGCAATGAAGCTGGACGAAATTGCTCGCAATATGCGCAGATAACTTGTGTTGTTATCTATGCAATTTTATTGAATGTTCATGTCAAATAGCATTATTTTCACATAAAAAATTGTTTCTCTAATGCTCATATCAAACTTTATTCACTACGAAAAAGTACAAGAAAAGATTGTGAATCTCCTTAACACAAACTGCAAGATTTGGCACAATAGAGTTTTCTTTGGGCATCGGTGTAGAATGAGTTGGTACAATATCCATTTGCAACCCACGAAGAACATGCCGAAGCGGAATCTGTGCAAGAAGTGGCTGTTGTTGTAGTGGTTGCAGAAGCAGCTGTTGTATCACTTGAATCATCAGATGAATCAGAACTATCAGTAGAATCACTTGAAGATGCGGTTGTAGATGTGCAAAGGTTGCAAGTTTTGGCACAATATTGAGTTCGGACAGCTACAGTGTAGAATGAATTGGTACAGAAACCATTTGCAGCCCATGAAGTACAACTGAAAAGGTATTGACAATTAATTAAATTGCTCAGATCTGATTGAAATCTTACGCAGATTGAGCATCAGTACAGGATGAAGATGATGAAGAAGCTGTTGTTGTTGCACTGCTGCTACACAATCCACAAGATGTTCCACAATAAGATGTCTTTTGGGCGGTTGTGTAGAATGTTGAGGAGCAGAAACCATTTTTGACCCAACTTGAACAAGATGAAGAAGAATCGCCACAAGCATTGGCGAATACAAAAAGTGTTGTAGAAATAAGAGCTGATAAGAACATCATGGCTGTTCGGATATCTCGAGAACCAAATCGAGAAATGAATATTTTCTGACACCTCGGCATTCCTTTTATACCAAAAAATTGTCTAGTCTTGGATTTTGAACTTGATGTGCTTCGGTCTTAGCACAGAACTCACTAAAACACTATTTCGGAAAGCTTGTTTGAACAGCGGCATAATTTTGATACATCACAAAAAACTTTATAATTTTTCGCCTCTGCTTTTTTGGTGTTGATCTTGCAAAGTTTACTGTAGCTTTTAGTTTTGGTTTTAGTGCTGGATGTTTGATATGAATGATGGATTTGTTTGAATCGCAGGATGTTTCATCGGGATTTACTCGAACTCAAAAAATTCGAAATTCAGAACTGTAAAAATCAACTAAAAAACTAGTGTTCAATCAAATTCCATCAATACCGACCAAGAGTTCTGAGTTCTGAGGAAACATCGAACATAAAATATTGTCTCTCGGAATGATCTTCGTGATATTTTTCTTTAAAAGTTCAATTAGTTTCTATTGACTCCTAAAGAATCAAACATTTCAATGCAATTTTTTCAAACTGCAACTTATTTTTAGGTTCTGGTTTGACGATAACAAAATTTTTGTTTACCGTCTGATTAATATAAACTGTAATTATCTTTATTTTTCTAGTAGAGATAATAAACAAATTATTTGTTGAAACGTTTTTTGTGAAAAAACATACAGTATTTTGGTTTGTAATCACGGTAATTTTTTCCACATGAACTTGTTGTCACGAGAACATAGACTGTCTTTAGAGTGCATACCGTACCCGAAAAATTGTATTTGAATTTTTCCCCTTTAGCTTCATTTGCGTGTCCTGAGGTTTTTCTAAAATTTGTAGTTTTCTTCGTTGCTAGGCACTTTCTCAAAACAGTCCTACAATATATAAATTCTCATAAATTAAAAAATAAAAATAATAAATTTTCTGAAGCTCAATGGCATCTTTAAAATTTTTCGAAGTGGCAAGAGAACTTGGAACAATTTGCTTCGGAGCAACTGTGATTTTCAATTCATGTGTTATTTATTTGACATCTTTTCATACCAAACGAATTGTTGGAACCTATAAACACATGATTATAATATTCGCCTTTTTTGGATTATTATTTTCATTTATGGAATTGCTTGTTCATCCATTTTTTCATTCTTTCAATGGAAGTTTTGCATATTTCAGTATCGAAAAATGTTTCGGAGCATCGTGGGAAATTCGAAGTATTTTATTGGCTATTTATTCTGGTGTTTATTCAACAGTTATTTCTTTCATGGCTGTTCAGTTTATGTTTCGATATTTGACATTAATAAATGATCCAAAGATTTCATATTTTCAAGGTTGGAAATTATTATATTGGGTTGGTTATGCACTTTTCTTCGGAACTCTTTGGGGAAGTTTCGCACATTATTTTGGATACCCTGATGAATATTCTCAAAGTTATTTACGCGAAGTTATGTTTGATAACTACAATGCTGATATTGAAGATATTCCTGGATATTTAATTGTTGCATTTGTAAATTTCAAATTCATTATTTTTCAGAACATGAAGAATATTTTTTTCAGCATCCAAGAATCAATGATAATTCTCCAAAATTTGTGAGATGGATGAATTTCACTTGCATCAGTGGTTTGATTACAATTCTTGTTATTCAATATTGTATAGTAATCTTTTGTGGGGTTCAAATCTATTTGAACATGCACGAAAGAATGAAACAATATTCAGCAACGCATAGACGATTACATGAACAATTTTTTAGAGCATTGGTTTATCAGGTATGATCAATCCAAGAATTCATAAATAGTTTCAAGATTTCAGATTTCTGCACCCTCGTTGACTGTTCATTTTCCAATTGTTCCAGTCTTATGTGCTCCATTTTTCGATCTTAAAATGAATCTACCAAGTGGGCTTATTGTTACATCATTCAGCACATATCCACCAATTGATAGTTTGATTCTAATGCTCGTTGTTTCAGAATATCGTGAAGCATTCAGAAGTAAGATAACCTTCAAAAACGTTTTTGAAATATATTTTTTCAGAATTGTCAAAGAAATATCTTCCACAACCAAAAGTTATAATGAATAATTCGGAAAGAATGTTTCAAATAATAATACCTCACAAAAATGTTGGAGAAAATCATCGAGAAAATAATGCGGATCCTACAGATTTCAGTGACGTTGTTATAAGTGCAACAAACAACACTAGAAACGAACAATCTTTTTTTGTCCCCGGATAATAATTTTGAATAAATATAAATACTTTGTTAGATGTTTTTTATATGTAGCACAACGCAACATTTAAAAAATGAAATTTTTCTTAAAAGTAGTCCGATTCAAAATTCTACCACTGGACTAATATGTTCCAGTTTTTAATTTATCATACAAACCAATCTACCGGAATAAAAGTTATGAGGAAACGAATCTGTATTTGGTTCAGCATGAAGATGGTTCAATTCATTGCAAAATCAAAAATCAAAGTAGATTTTTTCTTCGAATATCAAATATAAAATTCCTGAAAATCTAGATACTCAGGAAAATTGGAAAAAAATAATATTGTAGCAGTCCAATCAGATTATTTTTATTTGTCGATCGTAAAAATTATAATCATAATAAAATATATTTATGAAAAAAATCTAATTAAAAACTCATATGAAAATATTTTACGCTTACTTCATTCAATCATTGGTTATTGGATTTGGCGTTGTTCTCCTTATTTTCAGCTGCAATAATTTTTTTAAAATAAACATCAAACAATGCCAACTTCATTGCGTATTTACAATATATCCGAAATTGTATCATTTCATGTGTTTTTCTTCACATTGCTTATAAATTCAATTTTAATATATCTCACTATTTTTAAAATAAAAAGAATATCGGAAGCTTATAAAAAATGTTTGATAATTGTAGCGGTTCTTGGAATGTTGTTTTCGTTTTCTGATATTTCAGTACATGCATTTTTTCACAGTTATAATCAATGTTTCATTTATTTTACTTTGCCTAGCGGATATTCAAAAGAACTCTCAAAAGTTTTACTAGTTTTTTATGCAATGGGTTATTCGACTGTAACATCATTTGTTGCAGTTCAATTTTTATATCGCTATTGGATTATGATGAGGTACAGTTTCATTCAAACATCTGATTCAGATTTTAACGTTTTCAGCGATTGGAAAACGAAACTTTTTGATGGTTGGAGAATTATTTTCAGTTTGATATATTCTTTTGGTTGTGGTGCAGTTTATGGATCAGCAATTTATTGGTTATATCCAATGGATGAAGAACAGAAACAATATTTGAGAAAAGAAATGTTCGAAAACTATAACGCATCGATTGAAAATATTCCGGGCTTTGTTGTGGTTGGCTATGAAACTGAAAATAATCAACAAGCTAGAAAAGAGGGAATGAAATGTATTTCTATTTTATTGACAGTTATGGTTGTTCAATATTCTATTATGGTGTATTCTGGAATTCAAATGCATTTAAAATTGAAATGCCAAATTAGATCATTGTCAATTCCTGATAAACATCTTCAAAAGCAACTTTTAAAAGCATTAATCATACAGGTAAATACTGAAGATTAATTCTTAAATTTTAAAACAAAATTCCAGATAACTTCTCCGTCTCTACTGTGTTGTATTCCTTTAGTTCCAATATTAGCCGGACCTTTCTTTTTCAAAAATATTTCATTTCCAAGTGGAATATTTGTAACACCGTTCACCATATTTCCTTCATTAGATAGCCTAATTTTAATGATTGTTGTGACCGAATATCGCGATTATATTTCATCAATTTGGAGAAAAAGAAGTCTTGAAATAACATATACACACAGTGTTTCATGGGGAGGATTAACAAATTGAAAAAAAATGAATTTTTATTCTATCTATTGAAATCTAAGTGGAATGAAAAAAACAAAACACATCGAGATTCAAAAAATAGTATAAATTTCTGAAATATTATGAAAATAATAATAATAATTCTAAATGTCTCAAAATAATCTACTATTTTTGGTGTTATTGTTAACTTCACTTGTTTTAATAATAACTTTGCAATATTTTAAGAAAAATCCAAATGAAAGAAAATCTTTTTTTGGGAAATATTATTGATAATCATGGCGAGCAGAACTCGGTTGATTATTTTCTTGCTGTTCAACCGTTTGCACATGTTTTGAATGGAACTTCAGATCAAATACACAAAGAGGATTATTATGACTCGTGAGTTTCCGGTAATTAGAAAGAAAATCTGAATTGTATAATTTTTAGCAAAATATGTCAGATTCAAGATTGGAATCAAATTGAAACTAATATTATCCCAAATCAACTTTATCACAATTTATTAATGAATATCAGTGTTGAGAAAAAAGATATATTGTTTAACAAAACACCAAGTCCTTTTTCAGCTTTTGCATATTCTGATCATATTGTTGTTACATTAACATCCGAAAGAAATTATTCGTAAGTTTTGTTTTTGGAAAACTTCCGTACTTGAAGATTTTGTGTTTCATGAAACACGAAACACAAAATCAGTCTGTAATTTTTCAGTGATGTTGTTTTGTGTCGTTATTATGATTGCAAGATGAGAGAATTAATCGGAAAACATTTTTTATCTAAACATTTTCCACAATCCACAGTTTTTTGTAGTCGTCGAAAAGGTGCGGAATATATTTCGATTACAGAAAAATTAGAGGATGAAGCAGAATCTCCTATTAGAATAATTAGAAGAGATGCTAAAAGTAGGCTTGAATCTTGAAAACATTAAATTTCAAATTTTTTCAGAACCTCCACATTTTTTTACTGTATGTTTGGCACCACTTTATGGAGATGAGCCAAAATTTTTACAAATAGTTGATTTCGTTGAATATTATAAACTTCAAGGTGCCACATTTTTCCATATTTATGTGAGAAATGTTTCAAATTATGATAGAATTCTTCTCGATGATTATGTTAGAACTGGTGAAGTTGAATTAATTCAAATTCATGATCATTACTGCATTTGTGGACATTGATGAAAGAATTGAAATGAAAAAATATCCCGAACTACGAATTGTTGATCTTCTTGAGTTAGTTGAACTTATCAAAAACAAACATATAAGTTCTAATTTTAGCCAAACAACTCCAAATGTTTCCACACTTCATTTTTCTGTCGATTGGATTATAAAAGATCAACTTTCTCCACAAAAATATATAAATGACAGTCAGTTAAAGGAAGAAATGATTTTCCGAAAATTCACAAATTCATCTACAAAAACTGATACCTATATACAACCAAAATGTATAATTCGATCAGAAAAAATTGCATTAATGTCAATTCATCATCCACCAGCAGTTTATGATGAATCAAAAATATCCATTGTAAATTATCGAATTGCGGCTATTCGACATTATCGAAACACTTTTCACAAACTTTTTCATGAACAAGTCCCAAGAATGATGAAATATGGTCCATATATTAAAACTTCTATTGCACCATGGATTTCTAGAAACTTGACGCGAAATATTTTGAAACGGATAAAGTATTTATATGATATTGAGATTCCTTCAATTGATGCACAAGAAAATTATTATTCGATGGAAGGAAGTAAAAAAGCTTTAGAAAAAATAAAAACATGATTTGATTAATTGCTTGTATAGTTTTAATTACCAAAGTATAAACAATTGAAACATGTAAAGTTGGTCTTACACTTTTTATGAACAAATTTTATCTATTGAAATCTAATCTGGATGGAAAGAATGAAGCACATCAAGATTAGCAAAATAATTTGGATAATTTTACAGAAATTCTCAGAAAAGCTAACATAAGTTCAAACCTATTATTATTCTTATTATATAATCGACAAAGAAAAAAACGGAGGAAACCAATCAAGAAAAGAACGTCAAAAACATACTCTAGCAACCAAAAATATAACTGATTTTTCTTGACGTAAATTATTTTTATATAAAGTTTTTTGTCCAATCTTTTGTCAACAATAGGAAAAGTGCCTTTTCCTATTTTTTTACCAAAAAAATGCTCAATGGAAATAGTTGTTTTTTTTTTGGTTCGCTTGATGCACCAGTGTTTTCCAATTTTTAATTAAATTCTGTTTTTCCTTGTCTAAATAGTTTTTTCTCTCACACACGTAAAAATAAAAAATAAAAATTTATATTTATCAGGTTATGCTCACTTCTTTGGAAATCTACAATATCTCAGAGATTATTTCATTCCACGTGTTTTTCTTAACTCTACTCACAAACTCGATATTAATTTATCTCACAGTTTTTAAAATCAAAAGAATCTCTAAAGTTTATAAAAAATGTATTATAATTGTTGCTGTTATGGGAATATTCTTCTCTTTATCCGATATTTTAATTCATCCATTTTTTCATTCTTACAATCAATCTTTTATTTATTTCACTTTGTCAAATATGAATTCGAAAAAAGTTTCGGAACTCTTATTAGTTGTTTATGCAATGGGATATTCATCAATGATTGCATTTATTGCGGTTCAATTTTTATATCGATATTGGATTATGACAAAGTTAGTTTATTTTTCTCATTTATCAAGTCAATTTCCTAACCTAATTCGTTTTTGTACTTTGGAGTACTGTAACTGTTAAGTTAGTGATCAATAATATTTTCAGTAATCGTAAAGCTAAACTATTTGAGGGATGGAAAATAGTTTTAAGCGTGATATACTCTCTGGGATGTGGATTTATTTATGCGTCATCGATTTATATATTAGGACCAGTTGATGAATCTATGAAAAGTTATTTGAGAGAGGAAATGTTGAAAAATTACAATGCTTCTATTGATGATATTTCTGGATTCGCAGTTATTGGATATCTGACTGAAAATAATAGTAAAACTCTACTTCATGGAAAAATATGTGTTGCAACATTGCTCGGAATTATGAGTACACAATATACAATTATGATATATTCTGGTCTTCAAATGCATATCAAATTGAAAACACAAGTAGATTCATTGTCGATTTCTGATAAAACTTTGCAGAGGCAGTTATTAAAAGCATTAATTATTCAGGTATACAAACCAATTTGTTTCCATTTCATTAAAAAAAACATTTTAGATAGCTTCTCCCTCATTGTTTTGCTGTATTCCAATTATTCCTATTTTGATTGGTCCATTTATTTTTACAAATCTCTCATTTCCAAGTGGTATTTTTGTTTCACCGTTCACAATATTTCCATCATTAGACAGTATTATTTTAATGATTGTTGTCACTGAATATCGCGAATGTTTGAAGAATATATGGAATATGAATTTTTATTCAACGTATGCTCCAAGTATCTCAGCAAGAAATGCTCTTTCGAAATAAATGTGCTAGTATATAATTATTTTATGCTCAGAATTTTGAGTATTATAACCTTTAATTAATTTATACATTTTGTCAGTTTGTATTCACCCGTTGTCCTGGAGATTTCGTACGTTTCTCATTTCCCAATCGAAAGTTTATTTCGAAAGAAATGATTCAAAATCAGCCAATGGAGGTTAGTTTTAACTAAAAAATTATCAAAATTTTCTGAAATTCATAAATTCAGCGGGCTAATTCTCAAAAAAAAAAACAATTTTCTATTAACAGGTGTTTTTTGATATTCAGAAATCACTTGTTTAATTTGCCCCTAATGTTTTTTTCATAATTCCAGCCTCAGATTGATGCTAACCAAGTGGAAAGAGGTTTCTTCTTATCCACGATTTTTGTTATGGGTTATCAATTGATCGTGTTCACAACAATCAGCACGGATTCTTGGATGAAACTCGGTTTCTTATTCTTCGAATGGATTTCATTCAAATGCTTGCTTGCAGATAATTTAACGTTCCTCAAACGTTACAGTGTTTTATATATCCTTCTCATTTTCAAAAGTATCATGCTAATGCACTTGGCACACAAACTTATTGTTCCAACATTCGACATCTTGGCTGTTAATCAAAACGAGACAAATATTGCAATCGAAGCGTTTTTGGATGCCCTCTTTCAACATACTTTCAAAACAAAGTTTGGATTGGCAAGCTTCTTCGTAGTAATTCATACCTTCTGTAAGTTTTTAACATTTTTTAATCAAGTAAATTGATTATATTTTACAGATCTGTGCTCGCGTGCTGCTTGGTTTGCCCACCTTGCTTCTCGTTGATTCAAAAAATTGGAACCCGTTTAACATAATCGTATAAATATTTTGCATATAAACACTCATTTATCTCATCGATTTCACGCACATCCACTCAATAACTATTTAAACAGCTATCTTTGTATGTGTAAATAGGGATAGGTTATGAAGTGGCGAGGTGTCTTCTTCTTCTTCTTCTTTTTTCTCCCATTTTCGTATATATTCCTTGCTTGCTACCATATTAATCTTCAATGCAAATAAATGTTTTTTGTTTTGTTTTGTTTTTGTTTTTTTTTTCCTCGTGTGTTCACACTTTTCGTCGATGTTCGAACAAAAACTTTGAATGTTTTCTAGACAAGAAATTTATTGGATGGATGATGAAAAGAATGATAGAAGAGATGATTCTAGGAGTCGATTGTGAGTTTATTTTCGGTTGTTTTGGAGTTTTCTGGCTTTACCTACAGTAACCATAGACATGAAATGAATTCCAAAATGACGGAGAAAAAAACGTATTCTATTTCTTCATGGCCTTAAGTTTTTTTTTAGTAAATTCGATGTTACTTGGATAATCGTTCTTGTTCAATTCATCGTCATATTATTTTTGATAATTGCACTTTTTGCTTATATACTTTCTCGACCAATTGAATTTCAAACAACAAATTCAAAAACAGTGAAAAATCATGAACTTCGAACACTTCCTGATTTTACAACAATAACATTTCGGAGGAGATTCAAAACAAGCACATCAACAGCAGCAACAACTACAAGTTCGGCAAAAGTTGATTTTAGTGAGGATGTCAATCCACAATCGGGTACGTTGATTTTCAAATTATTCGATCTACAAAAACTGAATTTCCAGAATCATCTGAAAATCTTGACAGTTTTCATGCGGCAGTTCTTTCGGAATCAAATATTTGCTCAGAGATTGGAAGATCAATTCTAGTTCGAGGTGGAAATGCAATCGATTCTGCTATCTCAACTAGTTTTTGTTTGATGATGGCATTTCCAAACAAAGCAAGTCTTGGCGGTGGAATGTTGTTATTAGTTAAAGAATCAAATGGAACTATGAAAACAATTATGGCAAGAGAAACTGCACCAATGAATACTGATGTTAATGAACTTAAAAAATCACCACAATTATCGATTTCTGGTGAAAAATCGATTGGGGTTCCTGGAATGCTTAATGGATTATTTAGAGCGTATGAGAAGTTTTCAAGTGGAAGATTATCGTGGAAACAACTCATTATTCCAGTGTTACAACAATGTGTTAAAGTAAGTGAAAATCTATAACTTGAGATGTTTTCTGGAAAACATGGCTCGAATTTTTTAGTTTCCGTGTACTTTACACAAATTCCATGCAATACTGAGCTGATTAATCATCAATGTTCACATGCGAAATTCTCACGATCAAACAAATGATTCAATTTTTGCAGGGTTTCGAGTATAATCAATCTATCAAAAACGAAGTAAAAATGTTGGCAAAGAACAATCCAAATGCAACAAATATTCTTGATTGTAGCACACTTGCGATGACTCTTTCTGATTTAATCGATTATGAAAATCCATTTGATAGTGTTCTGTATGAGAAAATGTCTCAATATGGTTATCTCAGTCCTGCAGATTTTGAAGATTATGAAAGTGATTTGAATAATGCAAGATGTACAACAATTGATAATGATATAAAAGTTTGCGGACCCGGACCGCCATCTTTGTTCTCAGTTTTAGTCAATTCTTATTCATTAACAAAAAGTTAGTTTTTTCCGTCTTTAAAATATATTACAAATTTTTTTTGAACTTCAGATATGTCTAACATTGAGAAAGTCAACGAAGTTGTTAAGTCCAACATTAATTCTGCTTATAAAATTGCTGATCCAATTTTCTATCAACTCTCACGAAAATTTGCTGATGATTTGATGAGAAGTTCTAAAAAATCGGAATATCAAAAAGATTTGAATGTGAGTTGTGATGTTGTTCGAATTTCTAGATATAGAACATTTTTCAGGTGAATTTTCGGGAAGATGGCTCAACAATGATAACAGTTATAGATGAAAATAACATGACTGTTAGTCTCATTTTGTCGCTTGGAGATAATTTTGGAAGTGAAGTGTTGACAAGTTCTGGATTTTTCATGAATAATAAACTGCGATATTTCGACTTGAAAAGTGAAAATCAACCTCTCTCTCTACAACCTGGAAAAGTACCAACAACAATGATATCCCCTTTCATAGTTCTCAAAAATGAGCAAGTTCTAGCAATTAGCGGAGGATCAGATATTATTAGTATGGTACATCTTTTACGTGATTTAACGCATCGGAACTACGATGCTTCAATAGCAACACCAGCTTTATATTTATCAAACTCTGCAATTTTATTAAAGTCACATCCAAACAATCAGTACTCAATCACAGGTTATTAAGAAAATTCAACAGTATTATTTTTGTTTGTATAAAAAAATGTTCAATAAATTATTTATTACATTCTTTATAAATCACATTATTTTCCTTGGATTGAATTGATATTGAATATTTACATGAGTATACCAGTTATGCGTGAGAAATCATAAAAACTTTTTTGCTCATATGATCAGACCGTGTTCTATCATTATTGGATATTGTAACTTCGCCAGAGTGCAAATGACAAATCCGTAAAATATAACGACGATACGGTAGAACACATCGCATTGTTATTATTGGATCAATCACACATCCTATTAACAAACATGGAACAATAAAATAACTGTAGACGTATGGTTCAACAGCGCCAGTTTGAGCAAGGCAATAAAATATTGAAGCAGGGAATACAGAAATAACAGGAACCAACGATTGGATGGTCAAAGCCTGAAAAGTTTTAACTTGAATTATTATATTAATAATTTGTAAAAACTTACATTAACTAAACGTTTCACATTATCTTTGGTCGTATTACTTTGAATTGCACTTGTCTGCTTCAATTTTATATAAATTTTATGTCGACACCAATACATGACTCCGTAAATTGGAATTAGTCCAATTGATACCAATGCAATAAAAATCAAAAGTGCAGGTTGATCATGTATGTTTGTTGCAACAACCATTTTATAATAAGATAAATTATCAACAAAACTTCCAATTAGTTCATAATTCAAATTTGGATCTCTTGATGTTTGAATTGTTGAACAGCTCATCTGGAAAATTTTTGTTTAAGTATACGAAAATTTTTGATTGAACTTACATAACTGATAAAAGGTATCATATATCCCAAAACACATATTGAAATACTAGTTCGTGCTGTGAAACGATGAGCATTTATAGAAAAATATCTATAGATCATCGAGAGCATTATAGAGATGAATGAATTCAAAGATAAATGAACTGAAAAATATTCGAACCAAATTAACAGTCTAAAAATGTCTACATTTTCACTTACTCATTCCCATATATGACATTGCTGACAACCATTCTCCAAAATACTGTGTTGGTCCCAAATAAATCACAATTGTATATGTTTTCACAGAAAGCACTCTTGGTTGACTGAACACCGTGAAAATAGCAAAAATGAATTGGGTAATAGTTGTGTTCGCCAAAAATATACGGTATGGTGTGAGACTATCGGGACTTTTGAAAAATATCAGATACAGTAGGAGAAGATTAAGAAATAATCCTATTAATGCAAGGATTGAAACAATAATCACAAATATTGAATCGAATTGATTCATGTAGGTAGCTGCAATAAAAATGAAGTTATTCCCTTTATATTTGCAAAAAATAAACGGGGAAATTGAATAATAAAGGAAAACGAATAACGAAAAAGTTAATTATGTTTAAATATGTATTCTATGGTAAAGACTCCAAAAGAGCAAACTTTTTCGGAAACAAAATGAGTTAAAACATTTGTTTCCTTCTAATATACATATAAGGTTCTGAAAAGAGCAAAGCACGAATCTCGTCCCTCAATAAAAATGTAAATGTGACTGAACAAGAAAAATGTGTTTTTATTCTTTTCGATCCTTCCAGCTAATATGGGTGGAGCAAAAACAAAACTTACCGGAACAAAAGGGGGAGATTATGCCAGCAATTGTTCTTAATAAGGTGATATTTGACATGAATCTGCAATAATTGTATTAGGATTTGTGTGTTATGAGAAGCTAGAGTGTAGTTTTGAGGGAGAGAAAAATGCGTAGAAACTAGAGCAAAGTTTAGGATCCAGAAAAATATTTTTCTTTATAATAGCAAGTCTTATTAGTCCGAAATTAAAAATAAAAGAAAAGAAATGACGAAATATGAAACCAACAGCACAAAGAATATTCAGAATTTCGCTGAAGCGAATGAAAAATACGACAAGTGTGGGCTGAAATAAAAAAATTCTTTAAAAAACAACAAGACCACAAAATTAGCAGAATTTACGACCTAATCAGTTGAAAATGTCCAGGAAGAAAGTGTATTTGTAATTAGATGCTTATTAGAGTGCTCTAAAAAAGGAAGCTTAATGGAGCTCAAAAAAACAAAGGAGCAAGAATCTGTTGAAATTGTAGTTCCTGGAATTAATGGGAAGATGAACAATGATTCAAGGAATCTCACGTTCACAGAAAATTTATATCAAGAATCTGTCAAAATTTCGAGGAAAAAAAAACTAAAATGCTAGGAAACATATTTTAACTTCAAAATTGAATTTCGTGTTTAGAATGCAAATTTGTATAGAAGTTTTTTTTCAGAATATATATTATGACACATTTTTGAAAAATATTCGATGAAACAAACACATTTCAAAAATTTAAATTTCCTCCAGGACAGCATGCAACGATACTCCGCACACAACGATACTCCGCGTGCGTACTGTTTATTTTTTATAATTTTCAAAAGTTTATTTTTTGTTTTTGTTTTGTGTCTTTTCAACCTTTTGAAAGAAGATATTCAATGATATTCAATGATTTTCAGGATATTCAATGCCGAACTCAAAGTTTTTTCGTGATGCTGTGAAAAACGTGTTTATGTGGATAATGGTTGTCGGATGATTTGACTTTTCAAAAACAAGGAAACAAAAGGTGAGTTATTTTTGCTTGAAAAAAATTACTAATTCAAAAAACATAATAAAAAACGTTGACTTTCTAATTGTAAGTTTTTTCTCGTGAAAAATGTTCTCATTTGGAAATATTGAATTTCAAAAAAGGGAAAAATATAATAAGAATATTGAAACTTGGATTTCGCAAAATCCTTCAATTTTCAATCTGAAATGAATGGGCAAATAAATAAAATCCAATCCAACATCATTCTAGGAAGTAATTCATCCAATAAATTCATTTCTATAGCGTGTAGGTTTTCCCATGAATAACAGAATAACAGACAAAATTGTCAATCAAAACGAAAATTCTTGAAGAAGAAAACACCGTGTTTAATAGTCGCACTTTGTGTTAGTTTATTTACCACAAAATACATAGAGTTATTTGTTATTTATATTTATAGACAAGGATATTTGGCGTAACGTAATAAAAATTGTGATGAATTGAGGCGAAAAGTAATAAAAACAAAATAAAAACGAATTATTTCGGTCAGACTCTTGTTTTGGTGTGCGTGCGGTTGATTTGATTATTTCGGGACATGAGGTATGAAAATACATATTTTGATCCTATGAATATGTTTTCAATAAGCTTTGTGGTGTTGTTTTTCGGAAATGTGACTATGGCTCTATTTATTTTCATGACCTCACAAAACTTTCTAATTTCCTTTTAATCAAGAAAAATGACAATAATTTCAATTTGAGCTTAAATCGAAATGAAAAAAAAAGAATAAAATAAAACTCATATAAATAAGATTGCATTTATTTCTGAGTGGGTGTTTTTATTTTGCCAAAAATGTAATTTATTTGCTGCAAAGTGGAATAAGGTATAAATAATGTGGTGAATAAAATTATAAGTAATTCATACGAAAGCAGCATTCCTCATCATAAGTGTACTATTAGATCGAGAACGATATGAATGTGAACGATCAGAAAATGCAGGACGAGGGTCCGAAAGTAGATCTATTATATATTTTCGATATGGTTGAACATAGTAAATTGTTACTAATGGATCAATAGTCGAACCTGAAACTGTTCGAGCTTAGAAAAAAACTTTCGGAAATTAACTTACTCAAACTTATTAATGAGATGATGATATAGCCAAATTTACAAGTTTCAATAACATGAAACTGTGTGCAAACAAAAATAATCGACGCTGGAAATAGTGTTACAGAAGGAATTATTGATTGAACTGTCAATGCCTGCAAAACGAATAACATTTATTTATCAGATCTGTGTACTCTCATACTTTTACTAGTTTTCTTATTTGTAAAGTTGTCGATGTGTTGAAAAGATAACCCGGTCTTTCAAGCATTTTCAAAATTCTTGATCGGCAATAATACATCACAATATAAATTGGTGTAAAAAGAACTGATACACAGAATGAGATCCATAGTGTTGATTTTTGAGATACATCAGCACCAACAACTGTATTATATTTGTCAAGATTATCGATTTGCCAAAGGGTGTAAACTTGATTGATTGTGAAATTTGAAGTGAATTCCATATCTCGGCTACTTATAACCATACTGAGTGGAATTAAATAAGCCAGGCTACACATCAAAATAGCCGCAGATGTTGGAAATCTTAGTGTTTGCAGAGAAATACATCGAAATATCATTGACAACATAATTGATAAAAATGAATTGACAACAAAGTGCACTGAAATAATTTCTTATTGAGAAAATATCAAGAACTCGCAACTTACACATTGTCACAAAAATCATATAACTCCACCAATGCCCGAAAAATTGTGATATTCCCAAATAAATTACAACAACTCTTAATTTTATTGTCAAAACTCTTGGAATTGTCAAAAGATAACAGATTGAATAGAATAATTGAGTGACAGATGTGTTTGCCAAAAACACCGTGTAGGGAGTTAGACATGATGGACTTTTGAATAATATTAGAAATATTAGAAATAAGTTGAGAAAAATTCCGAGACTCGCAAAAACAGCCGAATATGAAATATATAGTTGGTCAAAGATGTCTATGTACATTTTTATTTTTCTTCGGAAGAAGAATGAAGACAAAAATCCCAATATTGGCTCATTTTTGTTTGTCAACGTTGTTTGAGTGCATTGCAATTGATGGGCTGAAATGACCACGTGCTTAAAATTGTTTTTTTTTTCATTTCATTTCATTTTGTTTTTTTCGTGACCTCAAAATTATTTGAAGAGGAAAAAAATGGACAAAGATCATCATTTTTAATTTATACACATTTTATAAAAAGTCAATATGAACGGGGATGAAAATAAAGGTTTTGTTTTTCATGTAGGTTTTGAATCTTTTAAGAATATACGAAATGTGAGTGATTTTTTGTAGATAGGTTATGAGTTACCTGGTCGAGCTCAAGTTGGAATGAAGTTCGCGAATCTTCGATTGCATGCTTGGGGTGTTTTCAGTAATGTGTATCGTGGAACCCTTCTGAGTCCAGCACCAGAACAAGAAGTTGCTATCAAAAAAACATGGCCGAGTTAGTTTAAAATCCTAAACGAAGCAACAACAATATTATTTTCTAGAAACTTCTGAGAAGAACTTTGAACTACTATTCCTATCCGGTATCGGAAGAGCTTCTCATAAAAATATAGTTCAAATGCTTTTCGCGTTTTCTCGAAGTACTCCAAGCACTCAACATCCAGAATTAGAACCTTCGACATGTGAGAGTTATGTTTTCTCGTTTTTTCCCGAAACATTGGCGACAGTTTTGAAAGCATCAAGATTGGATGACGTAGATATTAAAATTTACACGTGGCAATTATTTGAAGGGTTACGATATCTACAAGCAGTGAGTTAATTGATTTTCATATCACATATAACCTATTTTTTTCCAGCACATGATAGTTCACAGAGATATCAAACCAGTTAATCTTCTTGTTGATCCAGGAAAAGGTATTCTGAAAATAGGTGATTTTGGAAATGCGAAAGTTGTCAAACGAGGAAGTCTCTCTACACCTTACCAAGTTACAAGATTCTACCGAGCTCCTGAATTACTTCTTGATTGCAAAGATTATTATTGGTTTGTTGATGTTTGGTCAGCTGGTTGTTGTGTGGGTGAAATGATGACTGGTACAATATTATTTCCTGGAGAATCCACAAGAAAAATGTTGAAACTTATTGTTCGAGTACTGGGTTTTCCATCCCCAAAAGATCATGATTATATGAAAACAACAAAAATTTTGGTTGAAGACGGGAACAGCATGAAAAATCCAGTTGGAATGAAAGGTTTACTAGGCAATGTAAATCAAGCGTGGTGTTCTTTTCTAGCAGAAATTCTTTGTTATCGGCCAAGAGAAAGATTGCATGGTCCAAAGTTGCTCAATCATGCATTTTTTGATGAGATTTTCACGTAAGTTTTGAGAAAACTAGACTATAGGAATACAAGTTTGTTTTAGTGGTAAATGTGTGAGGTTTAATGGTGTTAATGTTGCCGACATCATAACACCCTCGGAATTTGAAACTGCTCTTCGTGATGATTACACAGCTGGCCGCCGTTATGCTTCTCAAGTTTCGAAGGGGGAAGTCAAGTTTTCCCTACGTCCTGAGACACCAACTACAGTTCCGAATGCATTAAAAGCTTCTGATGTTTCACCATTAAACACAAAAAGAATTTGTTGAATGAGACATGGAAATATTTGATATTTACGTCAGCCTTTGAAATTGAAAATAATAAATTATCACTGATTACACGATTTTTTAGACACAAATTAGCATGATAAGAACATTAAATAATTTTTTGATTTCTTTTCCACGAGGAATGTTGCTCCTATTCCTCACATTTTTTGGAGCTGTTACTGCAGCAAATGAGTGTCTTCCTGGATGGATTTTTCATCCGGAAACAACTGAATGTTACTATATTTCGAAAATTCTGTACAAATTTGATGACAGTGTGAGTTATTGTGATTCAATAGGAGGAAAATCAGCGAGTGTCAGTAGTTCAATCGAGTTATCTGCTTTTACATGTAAGTGGAGATTTTTGCTATTGAAATTTTTAAATTTCTTTTTAGCGATTTTCAATTCATCAATTCTCCAACCATGGATCGGTTCTCGTCGAAATACAACAAATAACAAATTCTATAATCTTGATAACTCATATTTTTCGACTTATTTTTGGGCAACAAATGAGCCAAGCGTGAATGGTGATTGTGTTACCTATCGGGGAATTGGTTCGGTTGGGTTACAAGTGTCACAATGTTATCAATTACAACCAGCGTTTTGCAAACAAACTCCAGCATTGTAAGTTGAACTTTCAAGATAATATCTATGTATAGTTTGGAAGTTTAGGTGTAACAGTGGAAATTTTACTGGTACTTCGGGAACTATTTTGTCACCAGGATATCCAACACAATATTATAACAATTTGAAGTGCACTTATCTTATCACATGTTAGTTACAACTCAACTTTACAGATAGAAATAAATTATATTTCAGCTCCTGACAACACTTATATTACACTCAATTTTCAACCATTTTTGATTGAAGAATGGTATGATTCGGTTAAAGTTTATGAAGGAAATAGTTCAGTTTTTGCAAATTTCATCGGACAGTTAGTAATAAATTATAATTCATTAATAATACATAATCATGAAAATATTCCAGAGTTTCGCAATATTATCCATATACTTTTGAAACGAAAGCAAATCAAGCTCTTGTTCTATTCACCACAGATTATCGTTATACTGAAAGAGGTTGGCAACTTAACTGGAGTTCGAAAAAAGTTCAGCCTCCAATTAGTCAATCCGGAACCAATGGAACATTGAGTTCTCCAAATTATCCATCAAATTACAATACTTACGACGAACAAATCTATTATATTTCAACATCTTTCGGAACTCAAGTCAATCTTACAATTGATGATTTTTGGACTGAGAGTAATCGTGATTTCTTAGAAATTTATAACAGCTCCACATTATCAAATAGCACTTTAGTTGCAAAGTTGAGCGGAAAAAATATTGCGCCATATAATATTATCAGCCCGAGAAGTTATTTGAGCTTGCGATTTACATCTGACGGATCTTTGCAATATAAAGGATTTCACGCATTTTGGAATATGTTCTAAATATTTTGAAGTAGAGAAAAAATAATAAAACATTGTTGAAAGCGTTATTGTTGAGTGCCATGTGAACGCATTGAACTCGACGTGTGTATTCTTCGACCTTTGTTATATAGAACACAAATAAAAAAATGCAAAATGATAAGTGAAACTCAATATTGAAAACTGTATTGTTTTAATATACTTATGATTTTCATTATATTTTCATTATTCGCGTTAACATCTGCCGGTAAATTTTTTAATATTTCACAAATAAGTTTTTTTAATATTTAGCAAATGAATGTCCAGATGGATGGATTTTCAATCATGATTTAGCCGAATGTTTTTATGTTTCTGAAATTTTGTATAGTTTCGACGAAAGTATAAAAATATGTGATTCAATTGGTGGAAGTACTGTAACAGTTAGGAACTCGTTAGACAATTCTGCTTTCATTGGTAAGTTCAAAGTTTCTTTTTAAAAACGCAAAAATGTTATCATAAATTTTGCGCAGCTATGTTTAACACGTCTGTTTTACAACCCTGGATTGGAACTCGTCGAAATACTACATCAAACACATTCTACAATATCGATCAATCATATTTTACTCCATCTCTGTGGGCTGTGAATGAACCAAGTGTAAATGGAGATTGTGTTACATTTCGTGGAGTTCAATCTACGGGTCTTCAAATCACTCAATGTTATAGTCTTCAACCAGCATTTTGCAAACAAGTTCCTGCATTATGTAATAGTGGAACTTTTGGCGGAGCTTACACAATGTCGGGTGTTGTCACATCTCCTGGTTATCCAACTCAATACTACAATAATTTGAAGTGTAGTTATCTCATAAATTGTAGGTTTTGTTTTATTATTTCCATCAAAAGTTTTTGAATTCCAGCTCCGAATAATACTTACATTACATTGAATTTTGATCCTTACCTAGTGGAAGCATGGAACGATAATGTGAAAATTTATGAGGGGAATCAATCAGTCTATCAAAATTCTATTGGAACGTAAGCCATTTTTCCACAGTTGACTGTGAAAGTTAAAAATATTTCAGAGTACTGTCATACATGACTAGTTTTGAATCTCAAGCAAATCAAGTTTTGATCACATTTGAAACAAATTATCGAATAACACAAAGAGGGTGGAACCTATCATGGAAAGCAAAAACAATTCAACCAACAATTTATTTGAGTGGAATGAGTGGCAATTTTTCATCACCAAATTATCCTGCTGATTATAACAAGTTTGACGAACAAGTTTATATTATTTCGGCACCTTATGGAACTCAAATCAATTTGACAATTGATGATTTTGTCACAGAGAAAAATCATGACTACTTGGATATTTACACTGAATTAATGTCAATGAAAAATGAAACTTACGCCGCTCGATTATCTGGAAACAGTATTGCACCATACAATTTTATAAGTAATGATTATTTCCTGGGGTTCAGGTTTGTCTCTGATGGATCTTTGAATTATCGCGGATTTCATGCCTATTATAATGTTTTTTGAAAGAATATATAAATTTATTATTTACTGTAAACATCCAATTTTTGTAGAGAAAAATGGTTGTGTTGCATAATGATAAGTTATTGGTATCATAAAAGGTCCGGATGTATAATTTGCATCCGAATGAATACAAGGTAGATCATCTCTTTGTGGTATTTCACAATCGTACGCATTTATACAAACAAAATGTTGACTCAACTTTCCAATATCTCTCGCATGATAAAATGATTCGTTATAACATTTGAAAATTATTGGACCATAGAAATCTTCGGTTGGAAGAGATTTGATTATTTTTTGAATTTTTGGCATTTCCATATGTTTTTTCAAATCATCTTCAATCGAGTTCAACGATTCCATGCTGATCAAAAGTTCCTCATTTCCAGGATTTATTGGAATTTTACCAGATCCAGTAAAATTTCCCGTGTTAATTTTTCTCAAATGAAAAATACCATTTGACGTGAGTTTCTCAAGATGTGTTTTATATTTATTTCCATCTGCGTCATATTGGGTTACTGTATCAGCAACTCTACTCCAATGAGCCCACGTTGAATTATATCTTTCGGATCGAACAAATGATTTTCCACTATCAGTTGAATTTAGTGGTTCTGCACTTTTGATCAATTCCTTTATTGAAACAGTCTTCGAAACTTCGAAATCATTTTTATTGTAGTTCAGAGCACTAATGAATCTATTTCCATCATAAAATTTTTCGAATTCTTCATAATATGAAGAATGTGATTGCAACGGGATCAAAAGATCATCCATATCAATACTTCCAATAAATGTAGCAGCTTCTTTATACATCAAAAGACAATCTGTATGAGCTGCAGTTTGTGCACGAAGTTCAACATTTCTATTTGGTTCCATAACAGGTGTATTAACTTTTGAAAATTTAATAGTTAACCATGGTTCAATAGAAATAAGCCCCTAAAAATATATTGTTTGGACTCATTAATCTACACCGAAACTAACCAATTTTTGATATTCAAGTAGTAGATTGAAATATGCTTCAATCATACTAACAACATAAATATGCAAATGTGCTCCATAAAACTTAGAAATATGAACCTGCGCAAGAAAAACTTGCCACTGTTCAGCTGCAAATTGCGGAGAAACACAGAATACAACTTGTTTTGGTGCAGTTTTCAAAGGTTGTTTGACAGGAATCTGAATGTCTTTTTCATTTTCCATCGAATTCAAAGTTACTTACTTGAACAGTTTCTCCTAACGATTCAATCTCCAGTTTTGTCAAATTATTCAATGTATTTGCCTGAATCAGTATCATTGAATAATCACATCGATCTTCCAATCGATGTTCGGTTGTAAGATTAGCTTGGGTTTTCATAATTACTGAGCTATTTGATGCAACAATTCTTATGGGTAAATCGAGAATTCGATTAGCAGTTCTTTTATTCATTGTAGTAACAATTGCTATCGCGTTTTTTCCAAGCCTAATTTTTTTTTGTTTGCTATAAAATTCGAAAAAATCTTGATCGAACTTACGATTTTGAATTCTCAAAATAATATGCAGAATGAATAAAAGTATGAGAATTCTGTAAAATTTCAAAAGGCTCCATTTCCTTCTGTCGTAAGAAGTGAAGAAACCCAAAGAATATAAATAAAAAGAAAAACAACCGAAAGTGAAGTGTAGACATTTAATGTTTGAAGTCAATCGTCTCCACCTATTAAGTATTTTTTCAAATTTAGATTTAATCTGCATAAAATATTTCATTTCGATGTTGATAAATGAAAGTTTGAAAGAGAAAATAATCATAATAAATAATGTCACTTTTCTCTTAAAATGCAAACCAACTTGCATGCCAACCTCTGAATTCTGTGACAACGTTCGAAGTGAATTTCAACTTCATATATTGTAAAGTACTTGTATAACTGAATGGTGTTGAGAGTAAACCAGACAAGCTAAAAAAAATTTAAAAATATCATTAGAAATTACATTTCTATCTAACTTACTTTGCTATCAACACAAATTCGCTTCGTTGAACATCATAAATTTCGAGATAATCATAATTAGCTTGAGTATAGAAATCGTCAAATGTTATATTGATTCTAGAACCAACATTTGTTTCAATAGTGTATAATTGATTTTCATATGATTGATAATTGTTCGGATAATTCGATGAGGTCATTGTTCCATTTGTTCCATTTTGAACAATTATTGGTTGATAAAGTTGAGCTATCCAATCAAGAGACCAACCAATATCTGTTTTCGCATAATTACTTGAGAAAATCAATAACATTTGATTAGTAGTACTCGCGAATTGTGTATTGTAAGGTGAAGCTCTAAAAAATTTAGTTGTTTTCCAATTTTCAAAAAAAATGGTTCCAACGCACACTCCCAACTGTTTTGATGTTGCGTTTGAGAAACCATCAAAAACTGTGACTCGATCAAACATTGTGTCTAATTGGTATGTAGTGAAATTAACAACAATTTGAGTTCCATTTGGAGCTGTAATTAATAACACCTTATCTCTAATATTCATAGTGATAAACTCACAGCTTATATAATAATAACACTTCATATTATTATAATATTGAATTGGATAATTTGGTGATTGTATTGATCCCTTTCTCGAATACGGCCCACCAAAATTCCCACCATTACATAAGTCGGGAAGATATTTACACATTGCTGGCTGAGAATTGTAACATTGAGTGACTTGTTCACCAATAAGACCTAATCCTCGATAAGTGACACAATCCCCGTTTTGATCTTTTGGTTCGTCCGGAGCCCAGTAAACTTTTTGCAAAATTGATCCATCGATGAGGTAAAATTTTCCATCGCTAACATTTCTTCGAGCTCCGATCCAAGGTTGAACCATTGTTATATTTGTTAATTCGATTGTTGCAGATTTTTCAGCCATTGATGTTAACATCATTGGAACTGAATTATTCATACTGTAACAGAACTTCATAGCTTCGTCAAAATGATAAAATCTTTCTGATATATAAAAACATTTGGCAGTTTCCGGATTGAATATCCACCCATCTCTACACTCATTTGCAGCTAAAAAAAACATTGATTTAGTCCAGATAACATTTTTAAAGAGTTTCTTCTCGTAATTTGATCTCACCTTTAGATATTCCAACTAGAAAAATAAAAAGAAATACCTTCATTTTTGGACCCAAAGAATTGAACTTCTCTTATCATTCTGCCGAAAAACGTGCTAAAATTGTTTATGATGAGCTTAACTTTTTATCATTGAAACAATTTTAAGTGTCAAAAGAACACTTGGACCGAACGGTCTCTAGATTTTAAACTATAAGGTGAAATAAATGTAAGTTCAAAACCGTTTCATTGATTTTTGGTAAATAATTCCATCCTGAAGTTGATTGGTGCTCAAAATCTCAAATTTTAAAAAATTGTCAACTTTCCGTATATAATTCTATCAACGCTAAGAAATGTTTAGTTAGTTGAACTGCTAAGTTACAAAACTTAGTTTACTAGGCCAGTTTTCCAAAAATCAATTAAAAAATTTTGAATCACAAAATGTTTTATGAATTTGTACAGATTTGAGAAGAATTTTCGCTTAGAAAGTGAGTGCTGATAAGAGAAATGCAAGAATTATTAACACATAAGACCATCGATTAAGCATTTATTTTTTAAAGAGGTTTTCCTTAAAAAATTGATACAAAGAAAACACGATAAAAAGAATTCTGATGTGAGATTTCGAATTTTTAAACATCCGGAATTACAATTGAGAATGTTTTTTTTTTCATACAATATGCAATTAATATGAAAATGTCACTTGATTGGTTAATGTTCTTTTTTTCATCGATAATAGTTCAACTACCAATTCTCCTGTAGCTAATTAAAATAAAGTTGTGTTTTATCATGATCATCAAAAAGTCGTTAAATTATTCCGTTACGTATATATTTTTAATTATGCGACGATAAGCGCACATTTTTTGCTTCAAAATGTGGTTTCTTCTTATATTCAGTATTACTTTCACAAATCTAATTCCTCAATCGTCAGCCAATGACAGTTTTTGCCCATCTGGCTGGAGTTTTTCATTAAATACATCATATTGCTACACAGTTTCAAGTGATTCATATACTTGGAGTGAAGCTGTTAATTATTGCCAAAGTATTGGTGGACAATTAGTAAATGTTCGATCTGGTCGAGAATATGTTTTTCTAACACAATTGACATCTCAAAACTTACTTCAACCATGGCTTGGTTATTCGAGAAAATCTGATGGAAACTTTTACGATTTAACTGGATATTCTGCATATTATGCATACTGGGCTCAAGGTTTTCCATTTTTCTTGATCAATTTGTAGCCACAAATTATTTCAATTTTAGGCGAACCAAGTGGAAATGGTGATTGTGTCACATTCCAAGGTCAAAATAACACCGGACTTCGTGTAACTCCTTGTTATAATATTCAACCAGCTCTTTGCAAACAAATGCCTGCTCTTTGCCCAAATACAACCCAATATGGAGGAACTTATACGAGATCTGGAGTTATCACATCTCCCGGCTATCCTGATCAATATTATAATAATTTAGATTGTCTATATTATATTACATGTAAGTTTCTAAAACAACTTCAAAAAAAATAAAAAATAGTTTTTAGCTCCTCCTGGAACTTATATCACAATTGAATTCAGTCCATGGGTTGTCGAATATTGGTATGATTATGTTTTTTTGTTTGATGGTCCAGACTTCACGTATCCATATATTGGAGAGCCACTCGGATTGTATGGCAAAAATTCATTTGAAAGTTCTAACAATTCATTGACCTTCTTTTTCTACACTGATTCAATTATCACAGACAAAGGATGGCAAGCAACTTGGACAGCAAAGTTTGTGATTTTGAAAAAGTTATTTGAAAAAACGAGGTTACTTTTTCAGAGCCAACACTCCTCCAATTTCCCAATCAGGTCTTAATGGCTCTTTGACATCTGATAATTATCCAAATGATTATGATTCTTACACCGAAAGAATTTATTACATCTCCACGAGCTTTGGATTCAAAATCAATCTTACTATTACCGATTTTATCACCGAAGCAAATTATGATGTTTTGAGAGTATATAACAGTTCTACAGTTAACGATAATTATTTAGTTGCTAATTTGTCTGGATCAAGTGTTGCCCCATGGAACTATTTATCACCATCAAATTATTTGACTTTGAAGTTTACTTCAGATGGATCTGTTCAGAAACAGGGATGGTCGTTGTTCTGGTTTATGCAATAAACTTTTTGATTCTTTTGCTTTTTTTAATGAAAAACCAAAAACGAAAAAATAACTTTTATGGTTATGGTTGTAAATTTTTCTCGGACTGATAAATTGTTTGATTTTTATTAGTTGATCATGTTCTGTGCTCTAATTTATTTGATTATAGGACTAGCTTCTGGTAAGGGAATATCCTTTAGATGTTTAATCGCCTTGGATAAGTTTCAGCTGCTAATCTCTGTCCAAATGGTTGGATTTTCTCGACACAAACTTCATATTGTTATTATATATCCAACCTAACAATGACTTGGGATCAAGCTTCAACATATTGTGATGGAATTGGTGGAACATTTCTGACAATTAATACCTACACAGAATACACTTACCTGAAAAATTTCACCGCAACAAGTATGCTACAACCATGGTTAGGTTATCATCGAAATCTTACGACTGGAAAGTTTTATGACCTGTCAGGTTCTCAAGCATGGGCATATTGGGGAACAAGTAAGCTTAGAGTTAGAACAACTCGCTAGTTGGTAAAATATTTTAATCAGATGAACCCAGTATCAACGGTGATTGTGTGAGTTTCCGCGGAAATGATGGAATGCAAGCTACTCCGTGTTATAATATTCAACCAGTTTCCTGCAAACAACAACCATCTTTGTGTCCAAATCAAACTCAATATGGTGGAAGTTACACAAGAAGTGGAACCATAACTTCACCAGGATATCCGGAAGCATATTATAATAATTTAGATTGTCTCTATACTATTACTTGTAAGTAAAAATCAGTTTTTTCGTAAAACTTGTTTTTTTCAGCTCCGAATGGAACCTTCATTACAATAACTTTCAGTCCCTATGAAGTTGAAAGTATTTATGATTATATCAGCATATATGATGGCCCAAACGCTACTAATTATCTCGGACAGTAAGATTTTATTTTAACCTACAAGTTTATAACATTTTTTCAGACCCTACACATATGGCCGAAACTATTATGAAAGTTCTAGTAATGTTATTTTCTTCAAATTCCACACTGATTCATTGATTGTTAAAAAAGGATGGATGGCAACATGGGCAGCAAAGTATTTTTTGGAATACACATACATTAGAAATGAAATTCATTTAATGTATTGATTTTTCAGACCAAATACTCCTCCAATTCGTCAAAATGGAACTAATGGAACTTTAACTTCGGATAACTATCCAAGCAACTACAATTCATATACCGAACAACTTTATTATATTTCTGTGGATTATGGTTTCCAAATCAATTTGACGATCACTGATTTTGTAACCGAAGCTAATTATGATATTTTGCAAGTCTATAACTCATCTGTTGTTTCGAACAGTTACCTAATTGCCAAGTAAGATTTTTTTCAAAATTTATTTTTTAAAACTTTGTTTTCAGTCTCTCTGGAAGTTCAGTGGCTCCTTGGAACATTTTATCTCCTTCAAATTATTTAACTCTCAAGTTCACTTCCGATTCGATGGTTCAAAAGAAAGGATGGTCATTATATTGGTTCATACAATAAATTAGTTATCAGTAGTTTCTGAATAGCATCAAAGATTTTTTTTTTTTGTATGATAGATTTTTAATTATGTTTTTTAATCAAAAACTGTTTGATTTTTGACCTAAATAAATGTGTGTTGAACGTGACACATATTTTTTCTCGCTATATAATTTCAAAAATATCATTTCTTATTACTTTGGAAATATAAAATGAAACAGAAACATATAAGATTAGCAGCATTTGGAATCATTTTAACAAGTGCAACAATTGGAATTTATTTATGGTGGAGAAAAAACAAAAAGAAATCATCGGAAAATGCTAAAACTGAAGGTGATATGACAAAACCAAGCATTGTGAAAACTGTAGATCTCAGTGGCGAATTAGCAGTAAGTTCGGATAGCAAATATAGAATCAAACCCAAGAAATCGGGCCAGGTCCGATTAGGTTAGAAAATCAAATCCGCTTGAATTGAGTCTATCTCAAAAACTTCCAGTTCTGATACCAGTTAATTCAGAAAAATGTATTTTTCAGGCAATGCCAGTTGGTTCGGGCGAAATGCCAAATCCAACAAAAACCAGAGTCAAAAAACGAAAGCGTAACTCACGAGAACGATCTCGACCACATCGAACCAAAAAAGCGATTCACCAATCAAGCAGTGTTTCCACAGAAGACTAATTTCCGTTTCCGGTCGCCTCCTCACTTTTTCCAAAACTTTCACAAAATGTAGTATTTGATGCGTCACCCGTTTGTATGCATGTATGTGTATGTAAATATCGTTCCCGATAAGCAAAAAAAATTGAAGTGCAAATAAAAACATTGATTTTTCATATGATAAGTGATTCATTCTTTCTTTCATTTGTTTTTTCGTCTACTTTCTTCTAATGCTTTGGTCTCTTCTTTTTGTCGGAACTGTTTTGAGTAACGGTTTTCCTGATTATACACCATATTCCTATCCGGATTCAAGAACACAATCTGAATTATGCGGGCAACAGCGACCTTCGTTTTTTTGTGATCCGAATAATGTTGTTTGGCGAGGTGCAGAAAATCAGACAGAAGGTTAGAGATTATTTGAATTCGAAATATTTTATTGATTAGAAATTTCAGCATCAGAACTTCTTAACGAATTAGAATCTATACGAGTTGAAACAAATTGTTCATGTAAATACATCAATCAATGCTATCAAATTCATCGAGGATACACAGTTTCGATTGCTGTTGTCGAAAAAATGCATCTAGATCAAAATGAAACATCTAGAGAAGTTGTACTTGAAGCAGCAAGAATTTTCGCTGACACAATTCGAGATCGACAAAATCGAGCACAATGCGATGATGATGTTTTGATCTTTTTATCCGTTAGAGATGAAGTTGTTTGGACATCAATTGGTGAAGGAGTTGCAATTGATGATAGCGATGTTAGAAGAATTGCAGAACAAGGTGAAATATTATTTAGAAAAATGAAATATAAAGAAGGTCTTACTTGGATGGTTCAACAATATAAACATGTTTTGAAACAGGAAAAGTTAGATAGATGTGAGTTTTATTTTTTGAAGAATTTCCAAGAGAAACATTCTAATAAATTACAGTTTGGTCTTGGCCTCTTCCAAAATGGGCAATGATCACAATTGGAATAGTTATCCTCGTCATTTTGTCAACTCTAATAATTACCGCAATTTACGTGGCAATTAGTTGTTGCCGCAAATCTCACAAAGATATTTATTCAGTTATTGATCAACATCAACTATAATTATGATTTTATGTTTTCTAATTTATTATTATTATTTATCACTACTTTTTTCAAAATCAACTCGAAATTCGATCTCAAATAAATTCTTGTCAGTGAGTAATATACTTATAAATCATCTTGCACTTATTCTGGTTTGATCTTCAAGATGATGTGGTTCAATACAAGAATCAGAAAGACTTCGAGCAGTCACAAGATGATGACGAATATGATTGTCATCTTTTGGAAAACCATCAACACGGGCTGTCGTGATGCTAGATGTTGGAAGTTCCATTGAACTTGTTGTTGCTGGAACAGAATTTTGAATTTTTGCTCTAAAAAATTTAGATTTTTGTTTTATTTACTCATTTAGCTCAGTGTTTTACTCAAGTCATATATTCTAAACAATTAAAAAAGGAGTTTTCATTTTTCTTTTAATCTGACCTGTTCCCTTGGGTATTATTTCAAATCCCCCACACCCTTTTAAAACTGGTGCTCAAAAAATAAGTAAAACAGCAACAACGAAAAAACACATAACTTTTGGAAAGAGTGCGAGACATTCAATTTTTATCAATGGGGCGCACTTCCATTCTTACTTTTATTTTCTTGTTTTTGTTTTTCGGAAATTTTTCATTCTCGTATTTTTTGTTGTTTTATCCATAAATTTTAATGAAACTTGTTGTAAAATTCATATTTATATATTTTTCTAGTACAAGTAACACAGTTTAATTGATTTTCAATAGTTTCATACTAAAACTGGTGCTCAAAAAGTAATTTTACGAAAAAATATACATTCTTGAATTTTTCTTTCGTTTAAAGTACTTATTTAAATTTAATTCATTTCTAATTTACAGGAAAAACGTCAACAAAATGATGGAAATATCGAAACAAATTATGAAACGGATTTTGGTTGAATGATTTTCAAAAACGAGGAAAACTGGAGGAAAAGTGAGTTTTTCAAGATTGTTTTAACATTTTTTCAAAAGCAAAACTTGCTACTTTTTCCCCGAGACGTGATTAAGCGCTGGCAAGCGAGTTTGCAAGTTTGAGGTCACTCTTTTATTAAAGAACGCATGTTCGTCCTATTGAAACATGTTTTTCTCTAACCGCTCAGAGAAAGCCGGCGACTAATCGGCGACGAATTTACGACGAATCGAGATCAGGCAACTAATCATAAGTTACTTGTTCGTCGCCGATTAATCGCCGGATTTCTTTGAGCGTCTCTCAAATATTTCGTAGTTGTCGTTGCGGAAGTGTGTGGATCCCCTCCCCCACAAATGACTCACAATTTGTAGTTTCTGGAGTTTCGTAATTTGCGGATGCTTTTATTGTGTCCTCATAAGTTGGTGGTTGTGAAATATGAATAAGTGAACTTGGATCCAACACATATCCTGAAATCAAAACAATTTTCTACATTTTCCGAACAAAAACAATCTGAAAAGGGATGAGATAAACCGGAAGAAAAGTTTTGAATTTCAAACTCCTCCGTAGGGAATCAAACTACACAACTTTTACACAGTATTTACTTTTTCTATAAAAACATTCAGAATAACCCATTCGGCAAAACCAAAAAAGTCTAATATGTTCCTCTTCGTCCACATCTCTTTTTTCTGCATTTTTCCAATGTCTTTTGCAAAATGAAATACATTTTTTTGGACGCAGCCACACAAAAACAAGGATATTTTGCGACATATGTGAATGTGATGCTCTTTATTCCCACCGGACAACCAATTTCATAAAAAGTAGAAAACAAAACCAACGCTCGCTAGCAGCACTAATGTTTTATTCACCTTGACTCGTCCTAACTCTTTTGGTGTCGTCCTGTTTTTCCGCTCTTTTCTCTGTTTTTTCGTCTCTTATTATGTGTTCCACTGACACCAGGGAAACACTCGAATTCTTAATGAATCTTGTCAATTTTTCAAAACTTCTTCATTCTATGTTATTTATGTTTTTGGGAAATGAATGAATAGTAATTGGAATGAGCTAATTTGAGCAATTAACCCGTTTCTTCTTCTTTTTTCTTGTTCTATTTCTTTTGTGCTTTAGTTTCTTCTTTGGCTGCTCATTTCTTCTTTTTTTCGAACAACCTTCTTCTTCTTCGCATTTTACTCATTCTATTGTTTTCATACTTTTTATCCATATTTTGAAGTGTTTGGTGGCTCGTGGGAAAAAATGAGTTATGTATTCGGAATCGAATATTCGTACTTTCTTATGTTCGCTGAGAAAATTTCAAGATTTTCCAGATTTTTGCTCATTACTTACTGTAGTTAAAAACTTTTGTTTCAAAAGAATCTTACGGTATTGTGAATAAATATTCAAAATTTTGATATTAAATTGTTACTTTCAGAATTTTTACAATCTACTATATACTAATTGGGAAAATTTTTTTGGCAAGAGTCTGTCCGCGATCCGTTCTCAAAACTGTGCGCATAAAAATTGATGATCAAAAAAAGAAAAAGTTTCTAAATGTTGGCACAATGATGCGCGTTTCAAAAATTCTCCCTCAAAATGTATGTGAGTGCGCGGAGAGTGAAAAGTTTGAAAATTCCAATGTATTTTTGGATTTTAAAATGTGTCGCTCGACTTTTCTTAATTTCCAGAAGACCATTTTTGATGGGACCTTCACTATTCTATCATAAATTCTTTCCCATCGGTGCGCTAATATTCCATTTTTCAAAAAATGCGCGAGTTTTCACGTGAAAAATCAAAACTTTTTTCATGTAAAAAAGAATGATCACGTTTTTATTCCAAAAAAATTAAAGGACACGTTTCTTATCTGATCGTACTATTCTCTGAAAAAGTCAACAATTTTTAGCCATTTCTCAATGTTTCTCTTTCCCTAACCGGAAAATTAATCAGAAAAAGTAAGTCAAACTACTGTAGATGGCGTTAGCCAGCGAAGCCCTTCTAGTGTTTATCTAATATTAAATTTTCTATGATTCCGAAAAGGTCTATGTAGTTCTTGAAAGGTCATTTTTTTCAAAATGTTACCAAAATTTTCAATTTCCCTTCAAAAGTTCAGCTCCTATTTTTCAAAATTCCCTTCATAATTTTCTCAATACATTTCTTCCCAAAAACAAAAAATATCCAATTTATCCAAAAGCACAAAAACTTTTTCCCCTCCAGTTTTCAGGCAAATACCGAATGGGTTCGCGAAATGCCTCCGAAGGCATTTTCGAATGCCTCCGCAAAATGCCTTCGCGCTACCAAATCAAAAAGCCTCCGCGAATTCCAAATGACTCCGCGTTCGATATTTCAAAAATGTCGAAATGCCTCCGGGGCTTCAAAATGACTCCGCGCTATCAAATCAAAATGCCTCCGCGAATTCTAAATGACTCCGCGGTAAAACTTTCAAGAATGTCAAAATGACTTCGCGAACAAGGTTTACTTTTCAACACATTTTTGGCCAAAAAGTTGATTTTCAATGAGAATTATCATTTTCAAGGCGTTCATTAAGCCTAAGCCTAGAAACTTAGACGATAGTTTGGTTATACAAGTTCGGATATTAGGCTTAGGCTTAGTTAAACGCCCAGAAAGGTGCAGGAAACATTCAAAACCACATTTAAATACGTTAACTAAGCCTAGGCCTAAAGTTGGAACCACACCTCGGCCAAAATCGTGGTTTCCACAATAAAAAATTGTACGCTAACTTTTTACAGTACAAAAATTGTGAATTTTTCAATTTTTGTCCTCTAAAAACTGAAATTCAGATTTTTCCAAAAATTGTACTCTGGCCAGCCACGGCTTGGCCGAGGTGTGGTTGGAACTTGAAAAATCAAAATATTGAAAAAAAATTTCTCCTTTTTTAAGACATTAAAAAAATCTGGAAAATAACAATTGAAATTTGTAGCTCAAAACGTGTTGAAAGGCCTTGTTTCGCGGACCCATTTTGACAGTCTCAAAATATTCACCGCGAAGTCATTTAGAATTTGCGGAGGCATTTTGATTCGGTGGCGCGAAGTCATTTTGAAACCCCGGAGGCATTTCGACATTTTTGGAATATGAACCGCGGAGTCATTTTGAATTCGCGGAGGCTTTTCGATTTGGTACCGCGAAGGCATTTTGCGGAGGCATTCGAAAATGCCTTCGGAGGCATTTTGCGAACCCATTCGGTATTTGCCAGTTTTCAGCACACGTTTTTTTTTCAGAATATTGTTATTTATCTCACCAGAAAGTACAACTTTGCGCACTTTTTTCTCTTTTTTTTTCATTCTTTCTTATTTTATTTTTTTTTCCGAAACCTCGTCTTCTTCTTATTTTTCTACCAAATAAATAACCCATCTCTCGTTTTTCTTCTCTTTGTCAATTCTCCTTCAGAATAATTAAAATTCAACGAAGACATATTCAAATTAAATGCACATCTTCTTTCGAACAACAACAAATTTTATATTTTTGATGAATTTTGTGTCCGTATTTGCACATAAAATGAATAATAATTATTATTTATGCATGTATGTTGGTTAGAAAAAATGAATGCTCAACGCCTTTTTTTCAGCAGGAAAAAGTGTATTTCTTTTTTTTCTCGACCAATTTCCTTTCTTTCCTTTATTGCGTAACTATGAACTTTTTCTTCAGTTACCGTATCTCATTTTTAATTAGCCCAAAATAAAATGTCATCTTTGTACTACTATTCAATGATTTCGTAAATACTTCGTTAGCTATTTCGAAACGAAAAAAATCTGCCCTTTTTTGTCATTTTTCTGAATAGATTTATAATTATTATAATAATAATATTCCTTCGAAAATATTTTTTGTATCTATAGCTAATATAAAAAAGGTGCGGTTAGCCGAGGTGTGTTTATAAAATTCATAGTTATATACACACTAGTTATTTTTATGACTCTTCTATATTTATGTTTGCATTTTTGTTTTTTGCAAGTTTGATCTATCGCGTCATGAAGTGTAAATTAGAAACCATTGACAACTATTTATTTAAAAAAAAGAATAAGGTTGCTATGCTTGATATTTTCAAAAGCTATTATTAAAAATAGCTAATATGTGCAAATTCTCTCACAAATGTTGTCTAGAAAGTTAGTGGCCAATTAAAAATGTTTAGTTTTTCAAATTTCCTTCTATTAGAGTATCATTACCGTATTTATTCTGACACCAAACTCAAGAAAAAGCAAAAACATTCTATATAATTTTTTCCGCTAAATAATCGCGATCTACTTATTAGGCGTAGAACCTTGATTTAATCTAGATATTTTCATTCGGCGATAAAATCAGACACTTTGTTAGCTGCAGCGCAGATGTTTTATTTCAGGTTGACCAATATATTTCGGCAACAATTTTTAAAATTGCTTCCCGAAAATGAAATTATATAGCTGATTTGAGTTAGTAGAAAAGTTTTTAGTAACTTCTGATTCAAAATCTTAAGGGCTATGAGTTCAAAGGGGTTCAAGAAATTTTTATATTGTTTTTATATTGAATTTTTATATTGTCTACTTAACATTTTTGTCCATTGGAAGAGAACCGATATAGTCTAGAAACCGAGAATTTTCTCTTCCAATCCAAAAGATTGAAGAAGCCGTGCTCTGAAAGCGGATTCACAGTGAAAATTCTGGAATCCCAAAGTTCTAACGAACTTTTAACCCCTATCCTGATTTTGTTTCATTTCTGTGAGAAAATTGTTCCCGTAAAATGTTCTGTCCTATTTTTTATGTTGTATCATCTGGTCATTTATATTTGTGTTGCTCACCATTTTCTTATTCGACACATCTTCAACCAGCCACCCAACCCACCAAAATGCAATCTCAATCCAATTCAACCATATGTTGTTGTTTTGCACTCCGCGCAGCCTCTCAGTTATTGTCTAACACTTTTATTATTTAGTCAACCCCAATATATATTATTTCCATTATTCTATTCCAATTTTTGCATTTATCCATCCTTTTTCCTTTCTTCCTTCCTTACTTCCTTTTTATTTTATCTCAATAATCTTTTGCTTGGTCAGCAGCTCTGTTTATTTTTGTTAATTACCTAGGTACCTAGTACCCATCTACCAACCAAAAAAATAGATACATATTTTCCAAAATTCTTCTAACTTATTTTTATCAAAATAACTTTCAGAGTAAACAATAATATTTACCTTCTTTTGTGATCATTTTCAGTGAGATTTTTGTCACAAAAAATAACTTGCCTCATAGAATAAGTTACTTTTTGTCCTTGACTTTGACTATGATTCGAAACCGAGAAAATGCCAAGTGAAATAGTATAAGAGACGAAAAGACGCAGAAATCTATTGTTTTGTTTGCATAGTGCGCGAACTTTTTTGCCTGCATCTTCAAAGCGGTAAAAAAAGCCTGATTCTTTCCGCGCGTTCATTTTTTCAGGTCATATAGAAATTGAATGATAGAAAGGAAACGAAGTAGTTTTGCAGGTGTTTGAGGATTACAATTGTGGATATACAAATAAATACGTAGCCACGGTGAAAATGAAAAGGAAAAAAGGGAAATGGGATTATGTAGATTTGGACTACCCCACTACTCATTAGACATTCACTTCTTTTTCTTTGTTCACACCAAAAAGAGCTTATTATTTGCGTCTTTTTTGGAAATATTTTATTATATGATCCCCATTAGATTTTATTACCCTTTTTGTTAGGTTTCTCATTCCGAATTTGATTCCGAATGAGAATTCTAGAGTATTTACTTAAGTTCTCTTCTGATAACAATGATTTCTCGTAATTGATATTTGTCTTCAAGTTCTCATATGCTGCAAAAAAAAGTTTGCGAATTACAATTTCTTATTTCTCCATGCTCGAAAGTTCATAAGTTTTCTCAACCACCAAAACACAACTTTCATTGAATTTCCGAAAACTTCATTCTGCACATTATGTTGTTGAATCTTTTCATAAAAACCCCGATCTCTTTTTTTTTTCGTCGTCGTCGTCGAAATTTTGATATTTATTTGCTCAGAACATATGTGCCACACTTGCTATTTGTCAGTTTGTTTATTATAACTATTGACCTCTTCTCGAGTTGCGTAAGCCTCAATTCACTATTCTATTTTTCTAATTGTATCTGTCCCTTGGAAAAATTTTCTAGGATTTTAAATTTCGGATGAAATTTCAATGAGCTCCTCCTATGCACATTTTCAAGTTTATACGTACGTAAATTCGAAAAAAAAAGTTGGAAACAAAAAATCCTTGAACACCCGTAGACCAGTTCTTTTTCATCTTCTTCTTCTTCTTCGATTCAATTTTTCTCTCTCGTCCTTTCGGCGAAACACAAACAAAAAAATGTTGTATACATACATATTTGTACAACCATTCAATACTTATTCATTTCCCAATTTAACACAACAACACCATTTCATTTATTATTTTTTGAATGAATGCATGTGTAACAGTTTGGTACTTTTCTACTTTTTCGAAAAGTTTTTGTGTATTGCCGAAATTCTTCAAGGTTAGATTTGGATCTTCTAGTCAAAATGAGGAGGTTATATAGATGTTAGTTTTATTTTTGAGATTTTTCTAGGATACAACAATTTGCTCGAGTCTTAAATTTAGTTGAATAGATCTAGAACCAAATGCTCATTAAATTAAGGTAGATAAATCTAATTTTAGGGCCCTTCTAGATCCACATCAAAAATTATATGAAATTTGGAAATGTTTCAAGCTTTTTTTACCTGCTCAAAAAATTGTGTGCTTCAAAAAAATTCAGGCTCAAATTCATTCTCAAAACAACCAAAATTTGATCTAGCACATTTATCTCAAAAGTCACATTTTGCTCTTCTCGAAACAACAAATACAAATAATAAACAAAATAAATTAAACACAACCATATGCCACTTTGTTTTTTCCTGCTTTTTACCACTTTATTTTCTTTTTTTTCCATTCTTCCACCAGTTCAACATTTTTATATTGTTGTCATATAAATTATAATATCTATCTTGTATTTAAAAAGGAGGAAAAAAGGCCGCGCACTCTCTTCTCATAACGATCTAGTGAAAGCTAACAGGCAAAAATTTGTATGTGTGCGTGTGTTCAACTTTTTTGACACATTTTGAGAACGGATAGTTTTTTTCTGTTATAATTATGATTTTTGATGATTGCAAAATGTTTGCAAAGCATATGAAGGTTAACAAAAAGTTTCAAAAAAACCTTGACAAAAGTTTACTTTCAATACTTTTTGTCATTTCTTATTTTCTGTTATTCATACGTTTCAACCTCGAAAAACTTATTTGTTTCTTGTGTTCCCAAAGTACAACACCTGGCACCCGATTCTAGAACCCAACTTTTTTCGGTTTTCTGTGCCTATTCACCTACTATAGCAGTGCATTAAAAATTGTGTATGTTTGGAGAAAAATAAATCAAACTAGAAAGTTGGACTGGTTATTTTAGAAAAGATTTTGGGAACTTTTAAGCATTTTCTTTGAAAGATTACAGATTTTTCTGAATTCCGAACTCATCGTCTCAGAGTTTTTTGAACTTTGAGAAACACTTCTAAAGAAGTCAATTTCTAATTCTGAAAATGAAGTGATGAGCAGGTGAAATTGTATCATGTATACAAAATTCAATTTTTGTTAGGTCCTCTCCAAATTCTCTAGATTCTATGTGATTCGAGGCTGTGCTCATTTCCACCCTTTCCACCTATTCAAATAAGATCAAACAAGAGAGCAGTTAGATAACAACTATACCACATCATGTAATTAGTCGACAAACTCTTATTCATCATAATGACCTCTCCTTATTCATTCCATTTTTTATCCCACTATTTTTGTCCTCTTTTCTTCCCACCCATTCATTTTTCTATCGTTCTAAACTAGATCATCATCTCATCTCATTTTCTATGCATGTGGTTGTATGTGTGTCTTCTTTCTGTGTTTCCACCCAACCAAAAAAAGGCAAGCCTCCTTCTGTCCAGTCAAAACTAACTACAATACATGTATTTATTATTTTTATTAATAGTGCGCAGATGAACGGGGAGAATGAGACGAAGAAGTAGGGAAACGAAGAGGTCGGTCACCATAGCCACACCCTTTGTATTGGTGAACAGCATGTATTATTTGAGAGTGTCTCCTATTTATGTGCTGATGATGATGACGACGATGATTGTGGTATTGGGCACAATTTTTTTTATAATTGTACTTACACATTTTTCTTCTCACTTATTACGCTAATTTTATTTTCTAGATCTCGAATTCCAACCAACTCTAGATACGCTGTAGATCTCGATTTAAGCTCCAGTTCTACTAAATTTTTGAAGCTTCTAAAATCTAGATCTCTATTTTCTTTATAAAAATGGCTTTTGAGCTCTATGAATACATTTTTTTTTCTCGGAATCTTGAACGTTTAGATCTTCTAAAAATAAATCTGAGCTATTCGGAAAATCTGAACTTTTTGAGTTCTCAGAACTCTTTAGTATGAAAACTACACATATTTTCTTGGAAATGTGGTTTCTTTAGTTCAAAATATTTATCACACAATTTTGAATACAATTTTCGTTCAAAGTATTATTTGTGTGACTCAGGCTTCTTCTAGATTTTTCCAAAAAACGGTGATATTCAATTATGAAAATGTCAAATCAAAAAATTTTCAAAATGAATCATCATAACAATGATTTCATACATTCTGATTCAGTATCAATCGAAACCAACTACAAAAAAAACTTTCTTCTTCTTTATATATTCTTCTCATTGACAAAACTCTCGCCTATCTAAACATCTGAACGATTGTGTATGTATTTATTATTTGTGCACTTTTGTTTGACCAGACCGGAATATTTTTCAATCATCATCTTCTCGATTTTATACACTTTTCATTTTTTATAATTATTATCAAGAACATTTTATTTTCTAGAAAAAAGTCAAAAAAAAAGTTCCCAATAAAAATGATTTTTTCCCATAAAATATTTATGCCCAGCTGCCCGTTTCTCACCAAAATTGGTGTTGTTATGAATGGGTCAGCCAAAAATCACACATGTCTTCTTTTTTTTCATCATATAAATCATCAAGGTCGCCTGTTCTACTTACCAGTTTACTATTTATATTCCTAACTAGTGAAACAACTCTTACTTTTTTTGAAGTTAGGTGTGGAAAAAAAGTATTTTTTCTTACACTGTTTTTTTTTTTGGGTTATAATACATTATAACCTGTATCACATCTTTTTCTCTATTATAATTTATTCATTTTTTTCTCTTCCAACAATCATCAAAGAAAAGCCATCGGGAAGACGGAGAATGAAAAAAGTGAAACTTTTTTTCGCGCACGCCCGCAAAATTTTGCCTTCTCTTCGTTTTCTTGTAATATTATTATTAATATTATGTATTTGATTGTTATTTATTATTCTTATTATTTATGATTAGCTTCGGGTATGACGGTTTTAGTGACTTTTTCGAAGTCTTGTGAGGATTCGTTGCCTAGGTTATGCTAAATTTTCGATTTGCGATTTTCACTGGTTTCGATGATCGAATGAAAATAATAAATAAATATTAGTCAATTTTCAAAGTCTAAGTTTCATAAATCCAAAGGAAGCCGGATTATCATTTACGAAATTTTTCCAAAAAAAAAAATAACATTCGAACAAATAATTATTGCAGAAAGACTTTCTTGTTCTAAAGTGGTCAGTTTTTTTTAAATTTGTGCCTGTTCTTGATCTGGTTCTCAAAAAAAACTGCCGCCGCCACATAATGATGACTAACTAACATGTTTTTGACGCCTTTGTTGGATGATTCTAAGAATTTGAAAGGTATTGCTCATTTTGGATGACTTAAAAAGTGCATCATGGCTTGACTGCAGAAAAATCTAGAATTACAAATTTTATAATCAAACCGAGAGTCACATGAGAAATTTGTCACCATCCATATTTTCACTTTTTTCCAAAAGTCACAGAGCGCGGTAAAATTCAAAAGTTTATTTTAAATATCGCACACTTCTTTCTTACACAAATAGTTTCCCAAAAATCAGTTGTTCTACCGTAATCACCAGACTTTTTCTTTCGCACCACAATTATGACTAACACCTTCTTCTCTTTCTTCGTTCACCTTCTGTTTCATTCCTTTTTTTTCCACCCGCTGCTGATTCGATATTCCAAACATTTTTTGCCTCCCCCAAAAAAAAATAACATACTTTTGCTTGCCCCGTTTCTGCCCCTATCTTATCAAAATGTGTGACGAAAAAAAAAGAAGATGAAGAACAGAATTTTTGTATTTATTCATTTATTGTTATTATTATTATGTATAATTTGTCTCGACTTCTTTTTTCTCGAAACTACATACTTTATCCAAAATATGTACATTCTTTACAACAAATTACTTTCAGATAAAAATGAAGTCAACTCCTTCAACATCTTCTTCTTTTTCTACACATCCAATTCGTCTTCGACCTATTATTTTACCATCTCCTCCTGTGAAATTGGCGAGTGGAAGCAGTTTCAAAATGGTGAGTTTGAGTAACTAACTTTTTATGATTTCCAAAATATGATATTGAAAACTAAGAATATCATAGCAATTTTTAAATGAAACCTGAAAACTTTCTAAGAATCCTTTGGCACGTTTTTTTCTAGTTTGATCTATTGATAAGATCTCAAGAAATCCGGTAAGAGATAATGATCGACAGAATTTTCCAAATGACATTATAAAATTGTCTTTTCGTTTTCAGAAATCTGCTCCAAGACAAGCTAAACGTCTCTCTCCAAAACAACCACTTCCATCAATCTCCACACTTTTCGATTTCACATCAACTTCAAATTATTCAACATCAGCCTCAAGTTCAGCAACATCATCATATGGTTCATACTGTCAATTTTCACCAGAAGGAACTTATACAATGTACAGTATGCCGACAGAACAATCTAATTTTGCATCTGCTGTTACTACACAAACCACTAATAACTTATTTGATCCACAAGAAAATGTTGAAGTGCACAAACCAGTGAATCAACCACTTTTTATTCAAATATGTTCGGATTATCAACCAATTTCATATCCAACAAATTCAACAATTAATGCCAGCCAACTTTTGCTGCGCCCAGTGCCAAATTGTTAAACTTTGCAATTTACTTATCCTGTTCCTTCCCGTGTTATCTTTTTTCAATCCTGGTTAATCAAAAGCTTTACTCCCTTTCCCAAATACTAGTATTTCTTAGCATCTGCCCTTAAGTACAAGTCACCCAAAATAATATTTCTAAGCGGGTTTCATTTTTGACCTCCCTCTTCCAACCCTTTCCCCAAACATATTCCCATCTCCCAAAAATCGGGTTCTATTTTCCCGGATATTCATTTTTTTGACGTTGTTTGTTTTTCATTTTTGAAATAAAATATTTTGTTCTAATCACATTTACAGTAATATTTCTTCCTCTTTTCATTCGTTTTCAATGCCCTTTTCTTTGAAAAGTTCAGAATAGAATAGAAAGTTTTTTGAATGCACCCTTTGAACTAACCGACAATTGGTGTGACGGAAGAATTTGGTGCGATTCGAGTAATTGTGACACTTCTCACATTTTGCGATTCATCAACATATATTCGACTGTCTGAAATAAAACACCACCGAAATGTGTAATAAATGTTAGTAATCGCGGTTTCTTGATGAGTAAGACACTTTTGTGGTTGATGACGTAATTTGGTTTTTTTTTTGGTGTAAATATATGAGAGAGTTATTCTTAGGTCAGACACCGACTTTTTTTGAATAGAACAAGGAAAGAAACGAAACAATTGTTTTTGAGGGATTCTTAATTTTTAATACAAAAATATTTGGAAAACAAAAATCGGCACATTTGAAATCAGAGCTGTAGGATTGGGTAAGGTCTTATTGATATTCTACATATATTTTCGATTATAAATAATTGGAATGTTTTTAGACTCATTTTCAGGAAAATTATCGTTACTCACCAGAAAAAAAGATATCCGTGTCATTTGTAAGTCTAAAATTTTCGAAATGAAATTCTAAAAATGTGGAAAAATTGAAACGTCAAATGAGGCCACGTAAATATTTTTGGAATTTTTTTTATTTTGAAAGGAATTTTGGAAGTTATTTTTATCAAAAACCCAAAAATTCCAAAAAATCAAAGTCATATATTTCCTTGTTTTTCAATCATATGAACTCTTTGTCCAATTTTTATTATCCAATTCCGAAAATCTCATTTATTTATCAAAGTTCTTGTTAAAAATACCGATAAAAACAGCTTGGTTGGTATGTTGTTTTTTGTTATCAGTTTTCGAGTTCACTGATTAGAATATTTGAACCAAAATGTTTGTTTTTTGATAGACATCTCATCGAAATTTCATTCTACGTTTCATAAAAAAAAACTCACATGTATGTTGTGTATTTGAAACAAATACTCGATGTCCAGAATCAAGTTGTTGTTCTTGTTGTTGAGAAGTTGGACTAACTTTTCTCACACAAACCAATTTTAGAAGTAGACGAAATGTACAAAAGGCACAAAATGTTGTCAAGAAAATCAATGCCAAAATAGTTAGCAAATCCATACTCAATAAAAACTGACGGAAAAAAAAAGATTTGCGAGTGAGTGTGTGGATGTGGATATTATCCGGTTTAGAAAAAATTGAGGATAAAAATTTCATAAATTTGAAAAATAAAACAACGATGTGATAGAAAAATTATTAAATATTTTGTACATTTGTCAATCCACCTCTAGATCTACTTGAGAAGTGAGAAGAAGCTCGGGTAAACATTGAATGCTCGATTTGATGATGAGGTTTTGATCTGAAAAATATATTGGAAATGACTATAAAATAAAAGAAAATTATTCACCCTAAACCCAATAAATGTAAAAGTTGAAGTCGTAGTTCTTTCCGGAATTTGAACGCAATTATTGTGTTAACAATTGAGAGACATCTGAAAACCATTGAATTCTATTTTAGTTCTCACATGCTTATACTAACCCTGGCATTGCATAAGTTATCGCAACTTGAATATCACCCCAATCTTTAATATCCCATCGAATTGTTAACATCACAATAGCCGGTGACGCTAAAAGTAATATTGATGTGCCAGACATTGCTAAAATCATTCCCAAATGATTATCTTGTGAGCCATATTTTGACTTTGCCAAATTCTGTAAACAAATTGGAATAAATACAAAATAGAGAATAGTTTTCAAATAACCTTCCATACCCTTTGGGTTGACCAAACAGTAAGTGTTGAAACAAATGAAACAATCGGAGAAGCAACAATAAATATAAAATGAAATGTTGCATAATATTTTCCTGTACTTGTTATAATTGCACAATGTTGAGTTCCAACAACTCTTTCTCCAGCTTCACCAGAAACTGAAAGTCCCGCAGCGATTATTGTCAAGATTCCAAATACAGGAACCATTGAAATTAAGGAATATTTGAAATTTTGTGTACATCCTCTTTTATACAACGCCGGTTTTGTGACAGCCAAAATTCTTTCAAATGATAGAAAAAGTGTGCAAATTGAGGGAAGTTCAGTGCCAAGAATTAATAAATGCGGCCAATATTTTGTATAAAAACAATCATGAACTGTAATTTTCGTTCCAATGAAACCAGCAATCAAACCATAACCTCGACCAATTCCAAGTAAAACATAACTCACAGCTAAAAAAATAATTCGAGAAGGATTAACAAATTTTTCGGAAGAACGAAAACAACAAACCATCTAAAAATTCACAAAAATCAAGAACCACATAAAATATATATTTCTTTCTCAATTCTCGACTCGATAAATACAGAGTGATTGTTGTTAAACTGCAAAGCATCGAAATTGAACCTGTAACATTTTCTTTGCGGCTACGGTATTTTGAGAAATCTATATTTATTTTCAAAGTGTTGTTGTTTTCTTGTTTTCCAAAAATAAAGTTTGAACACAGTGCAACTCTGGGTTCTTGTTATCAAGTTTTTCAGTGGGAAAGTTTGACGTTGCAACTTCAAAAATAGATGAATAGAAATTGATTGAGAAAGTTTCAATAGAAACATGAATATCTTTGAAAATTCATTGAATTTAATCACGTTGTTGAATAAAAATAAATGTGCTTAGATTTGAAAGTACTTTGGTTTTAAACTAGACAAAGTTTGTGCTAGACTGGAAAACTATAAATTGGTAAAATTGAAACTCGAAGTATACAATCTGAATAATCAGAATGAAGATGATCAAAAAATAATTAAAAACTCAGTGTTGATTGTTTTTTGTTTTCTTGTTTTCTAAAGAAATAGAGAAAGAAAATCTGAACACAGTGGATTTTTGTATTCGAGTAAATTCTGTACAAAATCTAAAAACCATTTTGTGTAAATGAATAGAGATTCATTAAAATACATGTTCTTTGGTAACAACCTAAACGAAGTTCATACTATTCAGTTTCTGAAAATTTTTACTACGGTGTTCTAATCTTTTGAAAAACAAACCAATATTATTTTTAACGTGAAATTTAAAAAATCCGATTAATTTTTTTTTCATTTTTGAAAATTATCTCGTTCTCAAACTAACCTATAACAATATACAGTATACACATAAAAAGTGTCTGTCCATAATCAACTTGAAAATCGCCCATATGTGCCGAAGAAGTCAAGTCTGAATCCGAATAAAATAGCGACATAATCGGGGCGTAAGATAATCAAAACCAGGTGAGTTTTTTTTCGGAAGGGGAGTTATTCAATTTATTATTTTCTTTTGGAAAAACCTTTGCCACGCCCATTTTTATTCACTTTGTTAGTCTTGCCTTATGACTGGCTAGTCGGGTTAATTGCGAGTACAACGTCTAGAATTAGATTTTTACGAGGGGTTCTAGAATTGTAGAATTCTAGAAAGGGCATGACAAAATCAAAGAACATCAGAATTTCTTGTCATAAAAAAGTATCATAGATTTTTGCACTTTAAAAATAGAATGATACAAATCTTTGAGTTGTCATTAGAACTCAAAAATTGTCAACTAGATTACACATGGAATGATTTCATTAGATTTGCATATCTATGTTGATATAAAAAATAAAAGTCGAAAAAATAGATTGAAGTTTCTGAATGAAAGGTAACGGAAAATTATTGGAAAATAAAATCTGAATCAAACCAGCTTTCCAAATCTTAAAAATAATTTCAAAAAGTGGTAATTTTTTTTTAAATTTGAATGTTGCTGAAAAAACAAAATCAAAGTTGGAATTCTCACAGTAACCCAAATATTATTGCCCTACCTGTAACCATTGCAAATTCTGCGTGAACAAAATCAGTTGACATATTCATGAGACTCAAAACTTCAGATACTCTTTTTATAACTAATAAAAGTGTGATAAGCAAGTGAGGTAAAATGGGCGTGGCTCTCAAAAATCTATCTGCCTCCCTCAATCCCTATCCTCAAATTATTATTATTCTCATTAGTGTAACCAAACTTATTTTTAAAAATTAGAAATCCATGATCAAAAATCTTTGTCGAGAATTCCCTAAATGAAAAGAAACTGAAAACAAAAACAGACATAGATACCACTTATTTATAAGTTTTCTTGTTTTTTTCTCAGTCTACGGTGGTTTGGGAAATAATTTAACGTAAGTGAAAAAGAGAACAACCAAAGATCCTGTGAAACATTATTGAAAATTGAAGTGGTGAGGAAAATGAGAAGGAAATCAATGGAATTCAGTTAAAAAGCGAAAAAAAAGATTAATGTTCAATATAGACAAAATTAGGTTAGTAGTCAGGAATCAAAGAATAAATGCGAAAATTGGATCTTAATTTCAGAAACATTGATATTTCTTTTTGTTAGAAGAGAATTTCGGAAATTCTCGATTTCTGATTCTCAAGACACAAATTTTGATTAATGGATTAGGAAAATCTCAAATGTTTAGGATGCCTGGTTCAATTCAAAAACTTCCACCAACTTATCCTTTAGGGAAACTAAAAAAAACACGAGGTATTTTTTCACGATAATTTTTTCCCATGTAATTTCGAAGAAACAACAAATGATGTTTATTAACGAATAAGATAGAATATTGTTGGATTTCCGAAAACTTTTGGTGTTTGATGTTATTTTCAGACAGTATAATTTAAAGTAGAACTTTATGTTCCCTACGGAGTCATTATTCAAAAGTCCAAGACTTCACACAGTTGGTTCTCAGAAAAATACCGTATTTTCCCAGTGTCGCCTGATTCCTATTTTTAAAAATAGTTGTTATTTTCTCGAGTGCCCAGAAGTTCTTCGTAAATCACACGGTTCCTTTGAAAAACACTAATTTTCTTGTGGATGAAGTTGACAAAGTCAGTTGTTTGATCAACGAACTCGTAATTCTCAAAACATTTAAAATTCGGGTAACGTTTGAATTTTTGATCTTACTTTCGCTCTTAATTTCCACACCTTATTACATATATAAATAACTAATAAATAGCTTTGAATTAATCTTTTCCAATTGATAAATAGTTTTCGTGATCTTAGGATTACGATGGTTAAATAGGTCTCTAACTTTTTATTATTTTTGAACAAAACAAAACATATCCTATTTCTGATAACCATAACCAATTTCGGAAACTTCTGGAAATGTGATTTTGCATTTTGGAAGAGAAATTTTGAGTTGACGAATGAATCCTTGACGATGTGAAACATACGGTAGAAAATAAAAATGAGCTCTAATAATTGCAAAATTATATTTTAAAATCAAAGAACAGCTCACCTCTTCAATGCTTTCATTTTCTGCAACCAATAAACAGCTCCATCAGTCATACATGGATTTAGCACAATTTCCAAATCATTCAAACTAGCTGCAGGTCGACCTTGTGCGAGAAATTTCAAAGCTTCATCGCCAAAATAATCGCAAAAATTTAATTTTAGTTTTTGAATCCGTCGAACATCTCTGAGATATGTGAAACCTTCATTAGCAACTGCAGAATCACTCGCATCAACCTGCAAAAATTCGTGGGAATTTTTGAATTACAAAATAAAAATCACTTTGGAACTTACATTAACAATATAAGGGACTGGAGCATTTGGCCATTGTTTTTCATATGCCAAATCACCAGTTTGTATAGGCGGCTTTTCAAAAGAATCCTGAAACATGTGATCTTATTGTTATGCTCGTTTGATCTCATTCTTTGTACTCATTCCTTTCAATCGCCCACATTTATATTTACAATCAGTCTATTCAATTCTCTTATAACTTTATTACTCATAATATTCAGTAATAAAATTTTCTTGTTTCCTTTTTTGCAAATAAATAGCCTTTGATTAATCTCATTCGCCTAACTCAATTTTTTCTAAATAATCTTGAGGTGAGGGACATTATTTTTTATATTTTTTAAGGCTTGGATGGAGGCTAGAAATTAGATATATGGGATAATAGAAACAAGGATTATAATCTTTAGTTGTCACAGCAGCTGGGAGGTTTAAGAACGGTTGATTAACGGTTTATAAACCAACTTTAATGAAATTTAATCAACGAAGTACCAATATTTGATCCACGGTTGATCCCCGTTGATTAACCGTGGATTAAACCATAAAAATTTTCAAAATTTTTGAAAACACTTAACACCCAAAAAAGTAGCCGGGAACCTATTTTCATCGATTTGGGTAATATTCAAAATTTAAAAATTGGTTAATCCGCGGTTCATTAACGGTGGGTTAAGCGTTGGTACTCCATTGATTAAAAGCAGTTTTTATCAACCGTTAATCAACCGTTTTTATACTTCCCAGCTGCAGTGGTAGTGGTTTTTGAGAACAATGAGACCAAAAGAAAAGGCTTATGATTATTTTTTTTTCCTGCGCAGTTCTTTGAGTGATTTTGTTGGTTTTGCAACAGAAAACATAGGATAGACTTTTTTCTCACAAGAAATCAGGAAAACTGGACCGTGGAGTGGAAATTCAGAATCATTTATTTCTAATCTTTGACAAACTTATGGGGTGATTCAGGTCGAAAAAAAACTAAAAAAAAACGTTTTTTTACAAAAAAATTCGATTCAGCAAGTGTCAAAAAACTATATTTTTTTCCTATTTTTCGACATTGTTTGACATTTTTTTTCATTGAAACATTTTCGCTGCGAGATATCTCTCATTTTTGTGTGGAAAAAATAGAGTTTTTTGACATTTGCTGAATCGAATTTTTTTGTAAAAAAAACGTTTTTTTTTTAGTTTTTTTTTCGACCTGAATCACCCCATTAAATTCCCATCGAAAAATTCCGGAACTTTTTTCCGTTATCCAAAAATAGAAAATCATTCCTACTTAAAAATATCCCCTATTACGCTCATAATTCATTTTATATCAATATATTACCATATTACCATAAAAAAAAGATCAAAAAGTGTCAAAATCAAACCTTATTCTCAACAACATGTTTCAAATATTCTTTCATTTCTCTAATTCTTGTTATATTTTGTCCATCAGACATTTCAACATTTGTTGCTCCACATTCCATCAACCATTCTAAACACGCCAAATCCGGACCGATTTCTTCAACTCGTTTTGCATCGTATCTGGAAAAATGTGTTGAAAAAGATCACTGTATTTGAAATTACTTACTTATTCGATAATTTCTCAGCTATCCTCCGTCTAAAACTATAAAGTTTTAGAGATGGTAAACTAGCAACATGACGTGATTGATAAATCTGAAAAAATTGGGTTTTTGAATGAACACTTCAAATTTGCAACAAAAAAACTCACAATAGCACAACTTTGACTACAAGAAGGAATAATTGAAAGACACCGGGGAATCATCTGAACAGATTGTGATTGGTTCAGGGAAAATGGATTTTCAGATATCAAAAAACAGCGTGGAATAAACGCTTGAACAAACAAAATAAATTATAAGAATAACAAGAAGTTTATAACAAAAACAATAAATAAATAACAAATTATTCCTCAATTTTTGACTTTTTCGGAATTGGTTCCTGTTCATTCTCATTTTTTAGTTCGGCTGTGAGATACGAATATGGAATTTCAAGGTGTACACAAAACATTTCTTTGCGCGAAGACACAGTTCGAATCTGAAAAATAAACATATCGCAGCAGTTTTTTTTTTGAAAAAAAAACTCACATTATGACAACTTTTGACCATGGATTCTTCCCAATCTATAATATCATCACACATTCTTCTAGCTTCTTTTTCAAACCAATCATCTGGAACATCAATAGAACTCTGAAAATAAAATCAATTATATTTTCTCTAATTTATGTATTTTCGCCAAACTCACTTTTGCAAATAAATAACAGTAAACATTCCATTTGTACCTTCTTTGCTCACTTATTTCTTCAATATTTTTATTTCTCAGAATTCCGCGGAAACTTGGCAAGAAATTAGTGGCATAGGCTGGTAAATTCATAACAATGTGAATTTCGGATTTTTCAGAATTTTCAAAGTCTTCTTGTTTCATCAATCGAATCGCGTCATCAGGAATTATTGTTTTGATCATTTCATGTCCATCAATATTATAAACTTCAATGGCATCAGATTTGATCTGAAAGTTTCGGAACTCAGAAAATTTAAAAAAAAATTGAAAATCTCACCTTATTAATCTCAATATTTTTCCTCAACCATTTCACACTATCCGGATTCAAATCATTTGCCAAAATTCTTCTCGGTTTTTTCTTTCTCCAAGCTGGTAATACAAATGGTCCAATTCCACAACAAATATCATAAACAATTGAAAATTGATCGAATTTCGAACTTAATCTCGAATGTTCTTGACTCAAACGAGAATTCCAATAAACTTTACTAAAATCCAATTTGAATCTCAATCCATCTTCTTTCAATTCAGTTATATAATCTTCTTCTCCGGCTAACAAAACAAGATCCAAATTTCGATAAATATTTGTGATTGATGAACCTTTTTGCACAACAGTTCGACATTGTTTCACTTTGTTCAATAAAATATCAGCTAAAATAAATCGATATGGAAGAATATTATCAGCAAAATTGCAATGTACAATATGTCCAGTTTGAGTATAACTACTATAATCCAAATTTTCCGGAAGGATCGATTTAATTAGACTTTTTTGATCCCAATTATCAAATGTCAAAACTTTTCGCATTTCTGACCATTCCAAATTGTTCACTTTCTCTTCTCCAAGCTCATTTTGAAGTAATGCCAGAATTTCTGACTTAGTTTCTTGATTCTCAACTTTTTCTGGATGGAATACTAGAAACTTTTCTGACTCAATACTTGAATTCATGATATTTTTCAATTCCTTGAATTTATGTCCAATTAGATATTTTTCCAATCGAACTCTTCTTGTGATTAAAGAAATATCTTCTGTTGCAATTCTCAAAGTTGGAAAATCGATTGATGTTTCAAATTTTGATTTTTCCAGTTTCATCATTCCACGAACACATTCAGGTGGCCTCAAAACTCGTTTCATCTGAACATAAATGTTTTTAATCTGAACTTCGTATTTTTCAAATAAAATGAGGGATTTCAAACCCTTTGAATGTTTTTTTTGAATAAAAATAAAAATTACTAACAAAACACTTTATCAAACTCGCTTTTTTCAAGATTTAATTTATGAGAAGCGAAAAAACTTTTGAGAACATTTGAAGCATTCAAAACCCGACATGTTGTTGGAATCGAGAAATATGAATCGATTAATTGGAAAGACGATGTCAAATCGGATCTGCAATTGTTCAAGTTCGATTTTTCGGAAAACTGGATATTTTGAACCAGTCCCAATATTTCAGTCCGAATTGCCGCAAAAAGCCCACTTTTTCATAATCAGAATCGGCCTTCAAAATTTCCCGAAAAAAAGTGACTCACCTTTCTAGCAAGTTTCCGCGTGTATCTATGGCACATTTGTTAAAATCAATCTGCGAAAAATAGTCGATCATCTGTACAATAACTTCCCCAAAGTTTAGCTCATTTGGAATTTCATTTGAAGGAATATACAAAGAACCCTGAAAAACTAATTTTTTTTTAAATTTCATCTAAAAAAAATTTTTTCAAACATTTTTTTACCTGTTTTCCAAGAACTTGAACAGCATTCCAATATTTACAACTTTTATCGAGCCAAGGGGAAAGTTTGATAATATCGGGTAAAATAGGATAGGGCATTGTCTAAAAGAAATAAGTTTTTCTCAATTATTGAAAATCCATATTCACTTACCTGGAGAAAATGCAAAACGAGAGAATTGACATGATACTTTGAGAAAAACCCATTTTTACTGTCAAGAATACCGACATCCAGAAATTTTTGAGTCATCCATAAAATAATTGGCCGAACTCGCTCATCAAACTGGAAATTATTGAATAGTTATAATTTTACTTGAAAATTGGAATATCCTCCTTTACCTCAACACAAGTTCTAACAAACAACGAACTTCGAATTGGCTCGATATTTCCGAATTGAATATCAACATGAATTCCATTTTTTGCTTGAAACATAACTAATGGAACTTTTGCATTTCGAATCGAAGATATTGCGCTTTTTGATATTTTATTACGTTTTATTATATCTCGAACATCATTCATGTAACTTCTGAATAAAAAAGGAATATAAGACGTATTTTTGAAGATATCTACAACTCACGTTCTGAAAAACTCATTTTTGTTGAATCTTTCTAAAAACTTTTTGCATTTTTCCGTATCCTTTGAAGGTAGAAGAACCTAAAAATGTATTTATTTCTGAATGAATTTAAATTGAAAAAAAATAAAAATGAAAACTCATGTCGCTACGTCTAAACTTAAAAAATATTTCACGTGTTTTGTTTTATTTCATTTCTGATTTTTCTGGTTTTATTAACAACGTTTCAAAAACTAAGAATTTCGAAAAAAAATTACCACATCTAAATCCGAATTCGAACTCAATAATTGATTTGAAGCACTTCCAATTGGTACAAGAATCATTCCATTATTTTGAAAACTACGTTCTAACATTCTTCTGGTGCTATAAATCATTTGTTTCTTTTCGCTCAAAAGTTTCCCATCTTCAAATATTGTGCTCATAAATTTCATCGATTTGTTTACAATTTCATTGTTATTTTTCCTCAAAATTTCATCGGAAAATGAATAATCTATGTACATTTTCGAAGTGCTTGGCACGGCATGCGAGAATCTTCGAAGAATTATTGTGGAAATCATCTGTGATAAAGTAACTTTCTAAAATTCTTTCTAATGAAAAATAAAGCAGTAGGAACTTGAATTGACTACATTTACATTCTGGGAAAATATGATCAACTTGTGAATAAATTATTTATTGAGGTATTTTAAGATAGAAAATATATTATGGGCTCTGAGAAAATTGTTTGAAATTTACAATTCGAAACAATCCATACATTGAGAACCTCTGAAGCTTAAGCAATCCTTGCATCGACGGAGGAAACTCTGAAACTCATTTTGAAATTTTCAATGTTTCAAATGAAAATGTTGGATAACTAACCGCTCCTTTGATCGAATCGCAATACCAATGACATTCAGACATCCATTCCTTGCACAATGTTTGAAAGCATTGTCGAATTACAGTGTCAACCTGAAATCAAAAAAAATTGGAATGAGAAAATTTTAGAAATTTATCCAACCTGTGAACTTTGAATGCCATTTGGTGGAACATTGTAGGCAAATGTTGAGATTACCAGGAAAAGAATCCAAAAATATTTCATTTTTGATGATGATTATTATTATAATAAAAATAATAAACCTGCTGTAGTATTATATAATATAAAAATCCTGTCCCGCGCATAATTTTTATCACCGAGAGAGGAAAAAGATGAGATAAGGTGTTTTCGACAAATTTATTCTTTTACACATACCCCAAAAACAAAGAAATTTCTGGATGAATCTGATAAACTATTTAAGAAAAACAGTAAAAATTCGCGCTAAATGAGAAAACGGGGGCCGGGTAAAAACATTGAAAAACGAACGTGTTTTCATGATTTAGTGGTGTCCGACTTCGATTTCTCCGGCTTTCTTGAGTGGGTTGTATTTCTTGAAGTATTCCTTGTCAGCCAACTTTTGGCGGATTCCGTACCAGTGTTCGACTTCGTGGTGGTGATGGTCTTCCTTTCCTTTGGTGTATTGGATCATGTGACGTGGCTTGACTAAAACAAAAATATTATAAGTGAAATGAGATATTCAAAAATTATAACCCATGAAGATTATGTTGGTCATTAGAGGGGAACCATATTTTTGATAGTTGTTTAAATTTTTTAGGCTTGAATTTGTGAAGTAAAAATGACTATGACCTTTGAACTGATTAACTAAAATAAATTTTAAATACTTTATATTTATACAAAAAACTCACTTGGAAGAACGAATTTGTAAACTCCATAGAGGATAACTCCGGAATAAATGTAGAAACGGAAAACTGGAAGATATTTCCAGTTATGGCGCCACGACCACATTCTCAAGTATTCTTGTGCGCTCCATGGTCGAGCTGGCATACGTGGGTGCAAGTCGGTGGCTGGGATGGCAGCGTTTGGTGAAGCGGCAGCGACAACTGTTCCGCGAACAGTTTCAGCTGTCCATTTGGCGGCTTCAAGCGCTTTAGCAATCACCATATTTAATACCTCAAAAAAAATTGATGAAAAAATCAATTATGCTTGTGAAAAAAAATCCGGTATAAAGCAACGTTCTCTGATTGTTCAAATAGTTCAAAAACACTATAAAAATCAATATTTAACTTTTAAAAAATATTCAAATATCTGAAAACCTGGAAAAAGGTTGAAAAACCAAAAATTTAGGGTCGCTCTGAACGGGCGGCACACAAGCTCCGCCCACTTCTGTGCAGATGGCAAGCGCCGCACACACTTTCTGCAAACATTGCCTTCAACTTTCAAAGCGTCGCTTTTTTTCCCGCACAGCGTTGTTTTTTGTTTTCACTTGCCGTTCTCCTTTTCTTTGATTTGTTATTGCATTTTTTATTCTCAAAACAAACTCAATTGTTGATTATTTTAGATTAAAGCGAAATGGAATCAAACGGACCAGTTCAAGAACATGGAAAGCGAAGAGTCGCATATTATTACGATTGTAAGTCTTTTTCTTTGTATACAATTTTTATCACGGAAATTCAAACTTTTCAGCCAACATTGGAAATTATTATTATGGACAAGGTCACGTCATGAAACCACATCGTATTCGTATGACTCATCATTTAGTTCTAAACTATGGACTTTATCGAAACTTGGAAATCTATGTGAGTTTTTAATTAAAAAAAGAAATGTTTATGACGAAATACTTATTATCATTGTTTTTCAGAGACCATTCCCAGCATCGTTCGACGATATGACTCGTTTCCACACTGACGAATATATGACTTTTTTGAAAAGTGCAACACCAGACAACATTAAATCATTCAACAAGCAAATGTTGAAATTCAATGTTGGAGAAGATTGTCCACTTTTTGATGGTCTCTACGAATTTTGCCAATTGTCCAGCGGAGGCTCACTTGCGGCTGCAACAAAGCTTAATCGCAAAAAAGTTGATATTGCGATCAACTGGATGGGTGGTCTTCACCACGCGAAGAAAAGTGAAGCAAGTGGTTTTTGCTATACAAATGATATAGTTCTTGGTATTCTGGAATTACTCAAATATCACAAACGTGTTCTTTACGTTGATATTGATGTTCATCATGGTGATGGAGTCGAAGAAGCATTCTATACAACAGATCGTGTTATGACAGTGTCATTCCATAAATATGGAGACTTCTTCCCAGGAACTGGAGATTTGAAAGATATTGGAGCTGGAAAGGGTAAACTCTATTCTGTAAATGTTCCACTTCGTGATGGAATCACTGATGTTTCATATCAAAGTATTTTCAAACCAGTTATGACAAAAGTTATGGAAAGATTTGATCCAAGTGCAGTTGTCTTGCAATGCGGTGCCGATTCTTTGAACGGTGATCGATTGGGTCCATTCAATTTGACGTTGAAAGGACATGGAGAATGTGCCAGATTCTTCCGTAGTTATAATGTTCCTCTGATGATGGTTGGTGGAGGTGGATATACACCAAGAAATGTGGCGAGATGTTGGACTTATGAAACTTCAATTGCTGTCAATAAGGAAGTACCTGATGGTGATTAACTAGAAAAAATTAGATTGAATTTCAAAATATTTTTTCAGAGCTTCCATACAATGATTATTTCGAGTATTTCGGACCAAACTACAGACTTCATATTGAACCATCAAATGCGACAAACGAGAACAATTCGGAAAGCTTGAATGCTCTTCAGTAAGTGTTCAATAAATATACATTTTCTGTAGATAAAAATCCTGATTTTCAGATTGTCTGTGATTCAAAATTTGGAAAAACTTTGTTTTGTGCCCAGTGTTCAAATGAGACGTAAGTTATTTTCTTTTGAAACATTTGAATCATTGAAAAACTGTTGCAGCAATTCCGGAAGACGCTTTTAAATGTCTCAACGATGATTCACTTTTGAAGGATGCTGCTGATCCAGAAAGAAGATTACATCGTAAGTTTTTCTTTGGAAAAAAATTATATGATTTTTGTAAAATCTTCTCAATTTTTCAGCATCAATAATGGATTCGCATGTCGAAGATGCTGGAGAATTTTATGATGGCGAACAAGAAGGAGATGATAGAAGCGATGAAAATGATGCAAAACGAGCTGCTGAAAGATCATCCGATGGAGAACCTTCGGATAAAAAAGCTAGAGTTGAGGTAAGCATTTTTCCTCTTTCCAAAAAACAACCTAGAAATTTGATATTCGAAAAACAACAATTCACTTGAACATTTTTCAGACCATAAATTTCATGTTTTTCATTTCTTAAATTTCGTTTATCATAAAAATTTATTTCTTTTTCAGTAATCAATTGTGTCGGATAACGAGCTTGCAAATGTGTATTTATATTATATCGTTCTCCCTTTACATTTTTCTTGAAAAACTAATTTTCCTGGTTTTTTTCAAACCAAAAATTATATTTTATCTTGTTTTTTTTTGTAAAAAACCGATCTCCTTTTCTATCTTTCCACAATCCCCATTCTCCCCCCCAGTTTTCCATTTTTTTGTTCTCGAAAAAATATTTGCGGGAAATTCAATTTGGTCGATTTTATTTCTTTTCTTACCTTTTTACCAATTTTTACTTCTCTCCTTACTTTTTCTTCTATTTTTTGATTACATTCATTCACAAATTTATATTTATATATCTTGAAAGATAATTGAATAAATTTTCAGTTGGGAAAACTCTTTTGTTAACTATTTTTCTGTCTGCAATTTTTTGTGTGTTTTTTTTTGTAAGGAACTCGTTATATTTTATTGTGTATTAGAATATTCAACTGATATTCCCCAACGGGGAATTTTTGAGTCATTTTGATGTACTATAGAGTCATTTTGATGTACATCAACACCGGTACGAAGAAATGGAAGCCTTTTCTTTTTTTCCCTTTTTTTTGAAATAAGAAAAAACCGGAAAACGAACGCTTTTCCGATGTGCATTAGCATCATTTTCATTTATTTTCTTGCACTTCTTTCGTTTTTAGGTGCTTTTTTCTAGATTGCAGTGAAGTTTTCATTAAAATTAATGAAAAATCCTTATTTTCTGATCAATAAACTTTAAAAAATAATAATGCGAATTATTCCCATTTTTTTCACAGACAAAAAAATTCCCGAAAAAATCGCTGCAAACATTTTCCAAAAAGTTCCGAAAAAACAAAGATCGACAAAATGTTTTTCTTCCAAAAAACTCTTATTTCCGCTTGAATAGCAGGAAATCTATCTAACTACTGACATCAAGTTTCCATTTTGCAAAAACTCCTTTTTTTCATAATTTCTCACGAATAAGGCAATAAATTTTTTGGGCACGGAAAAAGTAATCCTCGTGTATGTTTTTTTGGTGAAAAAAATGAGCGAAAAATGATTTATTCGTTCGAATTCCAATATTTTCTTGCTCGCCGTGCAGTTTTCTTTGCATTTTCAAATTGACGGAAAAAATGTCAATCTCGCGAAAAATTGTTGTGGAGAAAACGAAAAAAAAAAAGAATATGAATCTATTGTTTCTGATCGTTCAGCCGATTTTATTTTCCTCTAACAAGTGCGGCCCCAACAAATTACATGTATTTGCTGTTTCCAGAGTTTTTCCAAGAAGTAGTGAGATTTTTTGTAGATACAAATATTTTGCGTGGTTGCGGGCGCAAAAAACTAAACTAGTTTTGTGCTCCGGATATTTATACTTTTTTCAGCCGATTCATTTCCGATAGGGAATAAATTTGGTGTTTCAAAACTCACACTTTTTATAACTTGCAAATTGATATTATGATCTTTTATCTTGAATATTTGAAAAATCTAAAGTTTTGGAGAACAATTCTGGATCAGACCATCTATGTATTGAAGTGGTTCAGATATCCACAAGTACATTTTTTCGAGAATCTCAGCTTTCCGATTCGGATAAAAGATCTGATCATCCTGGAAACCCGGTCCCCATTTATCAAAAAAAAGCTCGGTCTGATTCAAAATTTTCTAAAGTAAGTGTTTTTCAGCCTTTTTTCCATTTTGTATGACCTAATATTTATTTTTATTCAATGTTTCGGACAGATGAAAATTAAATCAAGATTTGATGTTTGAGGTCGATAATTTTTATCAAACTATAATAAAGTTCCCATGAAAGTTCTCACATACACATACTTAAAAATATACAAAATTGAACTCTCGAACTCTTTTAGTCCCTTTCTTCCAGAAATGCAAAAAAATGACGTTTTTCTTTCAATAAAATTCAATTTCCTTTGAACCCATCAAAAATTCATGAAAATGTAAAATTTCGTGTATGTCAATCACTTTGTCAGTTTTTCTCCTTGTTTTCTTCTAATGAAAAAAATTCCGAAAATGTTGCCAAAATTGAAATTATCCCCTTCCATAACACATGGGTAACTAAAATAAAATAATTTGTCAACTTTTTTCCAATTTCCTTTTTGTCGCAATTTTTTGGAAACCTGAAAAAATTATTTATGTTCTATTTATCTACCTCTTATTTTATTTCCAAGAAACCTTCAAACCTTGGACTTTTTTTCAGAAAAAAGTATGAAAACCGCGAAAAAATTTTAAATTGAAAAAAAAAAGGTCCCAATGGGATTTTCCGTCTGTCTGTTCAATTTAATGGAATTTTATTTTGTTTTTTTTTTTCGTTACACGGTGTGACGTGTTTTATTTATTTATTTTTTTTAGCAGCAAAAGCATGGCTGGAGTGAGAACTGGGGCTTTAGGCCTCGGAAAACAGGCCCGATTTGTCATGTACTCTTCGAACAGAGGTTAGTTTTTTTTATCTATTTCGAAAAAAAAATATTCGGGATTTTGAATTAAAATTTAATGTGAGAAAAAAATCTACTTACATCTTCAAAAAAAAATCTTGTTTTTTTTCGCAAAAACATTTTTCAAAATCTCAAAAATTATGAAAGGTAAGAAAATCTATCTTCCTGAGAAATTTGCCTCGTAAGATTTTTTATTTCTGAAAAAAAAGAAAAAGAGAATTTTCTAGTAACATGCAATATTTTTTTATTCGAGGTAAGTTTCGATTTTCTCACCATGTGAAAGAATATTTAATCAAAAATGGCTAGGTTATTTTCCAGTTAGCCAGTCGTTTTCTTTTTATTTTGTTGTTATGACTTTTTCTGAAAAACAGAAAAAAAAAGTTCCAAGAAATGAACCATTAGAAATGTGTCCCAGAAAATTATAATAGTTCGAAAAAAATAGAATGGGTCCTAATTGTTTTCATGGGTTCATCAACAAAAATTTTCAGAATGACCGTAATGTTGTTGTATAGCCAGATTCACCTTGAAAATCTTGAAAACATATACGGTAAAAGATACCCTACATTTTTACAGCCTCATTCAGACCCTCAAAACTCGGCCTGTGATTTTATAGCCCGATTTAGAACCTTTCATATTATTATTGGACCCTTGTATTGGCATTTAGCTAAAATCTGGGACGTATCTGAAAAATCCAAATATTTTTTGTCCAAAAAAATTTGCAAATTTCCAAGTCTCTCTCTTCTGAAGACAAATTGATGGGTGTCATGAACTCGTCAACACTTGAACACTCCATTTTATTTTCTCTAGTTTTTTTTTATTCTTCACATTTTTTTTGTTTCTCAACATCATCGGATTATAGTTCCTCTCTAAAGATTATCTGAAAATAAAATGAAAAAAAAAAAGGATTGAAGAGCAGCTGAATTATTTTGTGAGACCAGATGAAAAAATGAAAGAAATCGGATACTCGTGCGATTTTTTGGCGTGAAATTTGACGAGCTCATTTCGTTTTGTCTATTTTATCCTATTTTTGCACACGATTTCAATTTTAAATCGAAATTAAGTGTTTTATTCATCGACAAAAAGTCATAAATTTTCCAAATAACCCATTAAAATGTTCATCTAATTTTCATTACTTTTTTATTTTGATTCACTCATTTATTCAGATTGGGAATCAACTCGTGAAGAAAATCGAGAACCAAGAAAAGTATCACAATACGGTAAAAGATACGGTGTGGCTATGAGTAATGCAGAAACTGTGAGACAAAAGTGGAAAATGAGAAGGAAATTGTCTGATGTTAAAGTTAAGGTAAGTCGTAGTATTTTTTGACAACTCGGAATTACTGTATAGTTTTTGAGAAAGAGCAAATGATTCGGATTACTGTATTTCACGGAAATAAATACAGCTTTTGAGTGAGAGATAAATCATTCTGCGGTACTGTAGTTCAAAAAATAACTCTAGAGTACTGTACTAATAAAAATTCTGCAAAAATTGACTATGGGTTACTGTAGTTTTTACATTTAAATGTTTGGAAATTCCTGAGAAATGTGTCACTCGAAAAATGGCGAAAGAATGTTTCCGGAGTTTTTAGAAATTGGAGATTTTCGAGAATCATTTCTCAACTCCAATCAATTCTTCCTAACAATAAAATTAAAATTTTCAGCTATGTGATATAACATTAGTAATGGCTCTCGCTGGTTTGATTCTTGCAATAATCGATCTCGAAATCTGTGCAACAGGCGTTTTTCTAAAATTCATGTCAGTATCCGAAATCTCATTTATTCTTCGATCTTCTTGTATTGCCAGCACTGTTCTTCTAATAATCCTTCTTCTAATGTATCATTATATCGATATTCAAATTCAAATGGTTGAAACTGGAACAACAACTTGGCGAGTTGGTTTAACAAAACAACGAGCATTACAAATATTATTAGAAGTATCGATTTGTGCAATTTGTCCAATTCCTGAGACTGGAATTTTGCATTGGCCTCAATTATCAAATATTCCCGCAAAAACAAAACTTCTTGTTCCGATTCCTGTTAGTGTTCTTTTAACACTTCCAATGTTTTTAAGATTTTTCATTGCATGTCGATATATGGTTTTACACAGTCAACAACATCAGGTAAAATATTATTATACTTTGAGAAATTTGAAAAAAAAAGGAATTTCAGGATACCGCAACTCGAACAATCGCATCATTAAATCATATCGCTGTCGATTTCAGATTTGTTTTGAAATCTGAAATGTATGAACGACCATTATATGTTCTATCAATTGCCTCAATTATGTTTTGGTGTGTTGTTTCATGGATGTTAACACAGTGTGAAAGGTTTGTAATCCAATTTTTCCGACAATTCAAATGTTTCTTCAAGATATGCTTATCCAACAGTTGGTGGATTTCAAAACTTCTTAGATTATCTGTGGTTTGAGATAATTGTAAGTTACAATCTAATGTTATTTCGAAAGTTCCACAATTTTTAGACATTCTTTTCCATTGGATATGGTGATGTCCAAGTGAATACATTTTGTGGGCGTGGTTTGGCAATGCTCACTGCAATTGTTGGCACACTTTTCTCCTCAACATTAATCGCATTAATTAGTCGGAAATTAATTTTAACAACAAGCGAAAAACGTGTAAATCACATCATTGCTGAAAACGAAATCACCAAAAAGTAGGTTTTTTTTAATGATTTCTGAAAGAACACCTGATTTTTTAAACTATGTATGTTTTTCAGACATAAAAATGCAGCAGCATGTGTTCTTCAAAATACGTGGCGAACTGTTCTTCGAACCCGAGAATATTCAGAAAAAAATTCGAAAACATATCAAATGCGAGTTGCTGCTGCACAAAGAGCGTTGCTCATATCAATATTAGCATTTCGAAAAACACGTTGGCGACTTCGAATGCAATTAGAAGAGGAGGATGATTTCTTCACTGCGAGACGAGCTTTTAATGAAACCGAAGACCGACTTCAAAAAGTTCGACAACGACAATCACAACTTGATTATAAAATATCCAAACTTTTTGAAACTGTTGAATTGTTAACCCAAACTGTGATATGTAGCTAAATGTTCTTCGATTATAAAATATGCGGGATTTATTTTATTGTGTTGAAAAAACTTGTTTCAGAAAAAAGCAAAAATAAAACGAAACAAAAAAATTATGTTTGAATTTTCACACAAGACAAATAAATTTTGGGAAAAATGGTATTGGAAAAAAATAAAACGGGCAAATAAATGAACAAAATTTGAAAAAAAAGAACTTTTCTTGAAAGACGGTCAAAAAATAAAACCTTTGAAAAATAGTGAACCATCTTTCAGTTGGAGGAAACTGCATTCGGATTCGCATTCGGATTAGTATTCGAATTGGAATTCGTATTTGATAATTGTGCGACACATGGAATAATTTCCCATGTTTTATCTTTCACGTTATATCGTTCAACTTCCGCAATCAAACTCCAATTGTCAGCACATCCACGAATCGCATAAACTGCTTCTTGTGTTGCGTGAAGTTGAAAATATTTACGATCACGATTCATCGCTGTTTCATCACGCCATTTTCTTGTCATTGGATCATAACTTCGACAATCTTTGAGAGTATTATTTGCATTACTCCATCCGCCAGCCACATAAATTCTTTCCCCATGGACACAAGCTCCAAAACCAGCACGACTTCCATTCATTTCACCGTGTACCACAAATGCATTCAGAGATTCATCAAGAATTTCGATTTTCTCTTCATATTCTTTACCATTATAACCACCAAGAACTGAAAAAGAAGTGTTTGTGTGAATTTTTAGAAAAAAAACTTACTGTACAGCACACCGGAACATGAAACAATAGCACAATCAGCTCTTGGTCTTTGCAAATCTGGTCCAACTTTCCATTCTTTTGTTTCTGGATCGAAAACCTCAACACTATTCATGTAGTGACCATCATAACCTCCACAGACATACAATTTTCCATTATGAAAAGCAGCTGATGTACGAGTTCTTCCATTTGCCATTGGCAAACAATCACGTCGCAAATTCTTGTCTCTATCATACATTTCCAAACTTGACAACCATGCTCCATTAAACATTCCACCAACTATGTAAATTGTTGTTTGATAAGTTGCGACTGCATAATTAGATTTTGGATTTGGCATTCTACCAACACTCAACCATGTCTTTTCGCGTGGATTGAAAACTCCAATAAGAAGAGGATCTTTCACATTCTGTTTTCGATCAGCGATCAAAACTGGATCCGAATTTGCAAATACGATTGCCTTTTTTGATAGAACTTTTCCAGTTTCCTCGATATGTTGAATTTGTTTATTCACATCTTCCAGATTTTGATCAATTCGATAATTTGTATCGTGTATTGTCTCTATCACATTTGAATATGATTGTATAACAAGTGCCAAATTTGCCGTATGCGGTTTTCGATCTTCTTGTTTCAAAGTATTAAATTTTTCCGCCAATTTCAACGATTGCTAAAAATAACAGTTATTGTTCTAAATCACTTGCCGTTGTTTAAATAAATTATTTATAAGCTTCAGCTTTCCCACTTTTGATCTTTTTCTGAGTTTTCAAAATCAACAGAAAACGTCTAAAGTGTGAAAACTGAAAAAAAAAACAATTTTCATCTTTAGGAAATAGAAATCAATAGACAAAATGATAATGAGGTGTTTTTGATGAAACCATCTTTTATATGTAACTTTTTATCATTTCGTTTCAAAAATTACGTACACCGACTCATTTTTCTGAGTCACTTCATTATCAGTATTACAATTGGTGTTGATTATTGATACTTTGTGTCAAAAAACGAAAAGCACAAGCCCAACCTACTTTTTTCATTTTGATAATTCTAGTCTTCATTGAAAATTCAAATATTTTTGTTTTTTTTTAAATTAATTCTCACCTTTTGATACTCGTTCAGTTTTTTGTTCAATTTTTTCGATTGAATTTGAGCGTCATTATACAAATCTTGTATTCGTTGCACAATACTATCTTGAATCATACAATTTAATTCATCCTTCAAATCCGAAAACATTTTTGTGTCATGAGTTCTGTGATGTTCCAGAACACAATCACTACAAATAGCAAACTTTCTGGCACCGTTGAAAGCATTCTCCTGACTTCCTTCAATAACTAAACTAATTGCTCCTTTTTCTGCACGTTTCAGAATTCCACTTGTCACACCACAATCTATACATATTCTAAGCTTTTTACTATGTGATCCACAACCGGAACATACATCATCGGATATCTGAAACAAAGACAACTTGATGGAAGTTTAATGAATCCAACTCTCACCTCTGATTTTCCACTTGTCTGTTCGTTACTAGAACCAGCAATATTTGAACTATGTATACATTTCATAACATCTAAAATTTGATAGTTTATTGTTGTAATCGCAAAAGCGTCTTCACGATTACATTGCGGACATTTTGCGTTGCTAAAAAAACAAAAACAATTGATAAACGATGACTTTTTTAAGATAAACTTACTTCATTTGATGCTTACAAATTTCACAAATTGAATGTCCGCATGTTCCAATGCACGGTCGACGATTCGTCGAATTGTATTCGCCGTAGCATATGATGCATTCAAATGCAAATCTTGACGAATTCATAAAAATGTCAAGTTTGGGTGAACTTATTGAAATATTTTCTTCTCCTGAAATATTATTGAATTTTTTCGGTTGATTATAATTTAAAAACTTTGGATGTCAGATCTTTTTCGCTGCATTTAATGAATCGAAAGATAATCAGCGCAGAAACAGATAAAATTGATTGAAGGTATGTTTAAAATAAAACAATGAGAAAGCGAGACGCGAATTCCAAACCCTGCATGTGGAAACTGGAAATGGTTTAATTATATCCCGCGCGCGGTCCCGTGAGGACACAATCTGTCGGAGGTACTGTCACAAGATTTTCAGCTGTGTTTTTTTTTCACAGAAAAACAAAAAAAAATATGTATAAGCAATGAACATGGCCTAACTTCCGCATTGTTTTCTAGGCCAGAGTAAAACGCCAACTGTTTTGTTTGTACAACAATTGTTAGTCTGCAAAAAAGAGCTCTTCTCTAGAGATGCTACAAAATATTTTTGAGTATACAAAAATCACCAAATTATCTAGACTGATTGTAAGTTAAAACAAAACTCGCCGTGATGCAACAGTTCTAGAAATAACCGAAATGAAAAGCCCGAATACAGTTTACGTAAAAGATTCCTGATTGCAATTTTTAAACCCACGGCAGTTTACAAACTACGTATTTTTTATGAGTTCAACATTTTTTTTCAAATTCATAGTGTCTTTAGCTGGTTTTTTGTTCCAATAGTGTGCTGAAATATGGATTGTGAGTCACTTACTTTCTCTTTATATTGTATGCCGTCTTTTTCATAAGACGAATTCCATAAATTCCTAATAGATCGTGTTGCCAAATCAGATTGAAATATTGAAAATCGTGTCCTCTGTTCCCTCACACAATGTCAGAGGCTACAAACAATTTCCTGCAGAAAAGAAAAGATTGATGCAAAAAGATATTTTTATACAAAGATAAGGCAAGGAATATTTCGCAATATTTGATGTGGCAGTCGCGTGTTTTGTTTAAAGCAACGTTAATAATGAGCAATAAAGCAGAAATGTAAAGAAATTGATAAAAGTTGATGTCTTCTTGAAATTTGTGACTTGACATTTAACCAGAAAAGAAACGGGTTGGAATGAGATTTTTGGGTCATTTGAAGTGTGGTTCTGAACCGGTTAACATTTTTGGGTTGGGGCCACGTAGGCTGGAAACCCGCACAAATTGACAAAAACCGCTGGGTTGAGAAAGTGTAGAGAGGGTTTGGTTCTGGCAACCATATCTAAACAAATTTCGGAATGAATATTTTTGTTGATTCGCTTTCTTTTTATACCAAAGGATAGGAATATTTCAATAATTTGTTCAGACGCGCTTAATCTAAGACTAAACAAAAATGTACAATTTTACGAAACATCAACAATCACAGGGAACCAAGTGTCCATCCAGATTCTCATAGTTAACATGAAATGTCAAAAATCAACATTTATTCTAAGCAATTGATACTGACTGTAGAAGTAAAGTAAATGTGAGTACCTCAACACAATATTTCAAGAAACTTATGTAAAACTAATCCACAGTAGCTACACAAACTTTGAAGCCACTTAAAATTAGATGCTCATCTGACAATTTAGAAATTCAATTATCTCTTTCTAATTTTTGTAAATTTTACTAGAATAATTAATACAGACAGACTACGGTGCTCATTGCTAAGTTTTTTTTAAATATAAAATATAGAACTAATCTAAAACTAAAATTAGAATTGAAATGATGATTGTATCAAAAGAATTGGCATTTATATATAAGAAGTGGCAATGATCTAGAACATTCGAGGTCATATGAGTCATTATCCAAGAAATCCTAATTGAAAAATATCCAAATTAATTTTACTAACGTTTCGAAAAAATCAAAACATGAAACCAACCAAAAACGAAGCAGTAGATTGAAAACAAGAAAGAGAGAAAATGTTCAAATTTCTCAAAAAAATACAAATGAAAACTTTCAAAATGTATTATTTTACCTGGATGACAATGATTTTATCTAACATAAAAACACGTGACATACGTCATCAAAAAGCCTTACTCACTCATATTATCTATGTGTTATGAAATATTTCCCAAGAAAAACCCCGCCCTATTTATTGGCAAATAAACGAACAAATGTGTCACAAATATTTTTGATGCTCCCAAACTGTTTCGAATATGAATTGTGAGTTTTTTCTCGAACTTGTCAAATAATTTTATCTGGAAATTTCAGACAAAAATCCAGAGAAAAAGTGAATCATAAAATCAATTGGAAACAAAAATATGTGACTATAAGAGCTGGAGAACAAAAATGTCTTGTCAAATTTCGACATGTGGAAGAATTTGAAAACGAACCAGCTGGTTGTCAGGTGAGGAGATAAATTATTTGAAATTAAAGTAATCAAAAAAAATTAGAACAAGTGATTGCTTTATAGGCAGACTTTGAAACTTCGGTGATCTACTCATTCAACAAAGATCGAAGATGGGAATTTTTGGAAAATCTTGGTGTTCGAATTCTTGAAGAGCTTCAAGAGCTCAACGATCTCGAAGTTATTGTTGTTGAAAGAATTTTTGATGGAGTATGTGGATCGCAATGGACAAAATATGTTCATAGACCCTCGGAACATTTTTATAGTTCCAGAGTCAAAAATATTCATTTCATCGAACCCGAATATTCGAAAAAGATTTTAAGAGGAACCGGAGTGAAGGTAATTATGAATCAATTTTGATAAATAATCTGATTTTGAAAATTTCAGAGATACGCTTTCGAAAGAAATACCAACGTAGTTAGCTATAACATTTTCACACCTCCCAAAAACTATGATAAACTTTACGAAAATCAATTGGATTATTGTGAGTTCATTGATTTTTATTGAAAGTTAGATTAATTTTTCAAATCAATTTTCAGGTTGTAATGGTTGTCATACTTATCCAACTAGAGAAAACCCAACATTTTCAACCTTTCGGGCAATGAGAGAATATTGGAAAGATCAATTAGATATGGAAGATTACGAGTACGATGATTGGGATGACGAGACTATAATTGATAATGAGGGGATTCAAAAATATTATAATTTTGAGGAACATTTCGTTAAAAAACCGAAAAGAAAAATTACGCGCAAATACTACGGGTTTCTTATTATTGAATAAAGTTGTACATATATTGAAAAATTGTTTGATTGATAAAAAAACCGCAAAATACGTCGATAACACAGATCAAAAAATGATCGTATGATTATGTCTGTCACACAAATCTATTTTTTAAGTTCAAAGGACAACTCGGCACAATTTTTAGATAATAATTCTATGAAGTCGAATATTTAGAATCCATTTTTGTAGAAAATGATTCAGAAAGCTCATAAACTAAAACAATTTTGAAATACGTCACTAGATTGCGAAATCATTGTAAATAAATATCTTTGACACACGAGAAAAATTTTCATTCACAGAAAAAAATGATAGAAAATTCTAGTTTTGATTATGAATTGTAAGTTTATTTTTTTAAAAGCAATTTTTGAGCCAATTTCCATTTGATTTTTTGGAAGGAAACTTTGAATCAATTCCAAAAAATCAGACAACTTTCGAAAATTAGATACAGTGTTTCATCTTTGGATCGGACCATTTCAAATAAACATTCTTTTATGAGTTAGTATATTTTTTCAGAAGAAAATCTGATAGATCAAGATTGTACAAACCACACAGACGACAAAAAAGATTTATGAGAAGTTCGGATAAACAAAAAAGTTTGATAAAGATTTTCCATTCTTTGGAAAATGAATGCGATGTGAGTTTGAATACAGTTGCATCTATTATTTATATATGTTTAGAACGATTTTCAAAACTGTGTGATCTACTCGCTTAACAAAAACAAACGGTGGAAACTTTTGGAAAATATTGGAAGTGATTTATTGAAAGATTTTCAAGATATTAACAACGGGTCAGAAATTATAATTATTGAACGAGTTTTTGATGGATTATGTGGATCAGAATGGACGAAATCAATTCACGCATTCCAAGATCATTTGACATATTCTAGAGTTAAAAAGATTCATCTCTCAAGCCCTCAATATATTTCCGAGAACAGAGGTAGCCGAGGAACTAAGGTGAGACACTTACAATCTACCTAATTTTAATCTTTGATCGTTTTCAAGGTAGTCAACATTACTGCTTCTCCCGAAATCATCAGCTACAATATTTTTGAAACACCAAAAAATTATGGCAAATTATATGAAAACGAAATGGCTGAGACATGTGAGTTACCTTTCTGAATTATTTTTATTCATCTAAATGTCAAAAAATTGCAGGGTGTACTGGAGAACTCAATTATCCCGAAAAAATAAAATGGAAGTTTAACACAAAAAATGCTTTGCGAGAGTTTCACTGTATTTTTTTTTGCAATTCGAGGGAGACGCAGACTTTAACGTGTGCAGACAAATCTCTCGCCGAAAAAGGGAGAGAAATAGTGTGTGGCAGACACACATCGTGTCGAGACCAGCCTCTTTCTCTCACTGTCTGCGTCTCCTCGGAATTGCATTTTTCTATTAGGAAAAAACACAGTGGTTTTTGGATGAACAAAGCTCTACACATACAGACAAAAATCAAATATTTGAGAACCCTTAAGTATTTCTGTTGTTATCAAGTACAGATGTCGCGACATGTTTTTTTTTCAAATTTTAATTGTAGAGCATTTTTACAATTGAAAAAAAAAACATTAGTAAAACAATATTGTGAAAACATTACAAATTTTTGTTCATTTTTTTCCAATTTTCATAAAATGACACAACAATTGACATCATGTGTATTTTTAATCTCAAACTAATAAAAAACTGACGATTGCGAAATATTTCACAAAGTCATGAGTAAATATATTATAAAATCATGTGGTTTTCTCATTTTCCTATCATTCAACTTTTATTTCAGCAACAAATATGAATTTTTCAAACGATTTTGAATACCAGCTGTGAGTTTTAAGTTTATTTTTAGTTCATTTTTTTTCTAAATTTTCCAGACAAAAAGCTGGAACATCTTCAATGTTCCAAGGAACCAAAAAACCACATAGAAGAATGAAACAATTTATAAAAAACTATGGAAATACCACTGGACTCATAAAATTGGTGCACAACGAAGATGTTTATCAAAAAACACGAGATGATTTTGAGCCATTTGTTGTTTATTCATTAAATCGAAAAAATCGATGGAAATTATCAACTGAAATGTCACCAAAAACTCTTGAAAACCTTCAAGAAAATAATGTTATTGTGGTTGTAATTGAGAGACAATTCTCTGGAATTTATGGAGCAATGTGTGCCAGTTATGTGCATACATATTTAAATCATATTAACATGTCAAAAGTAAAAAGCATCTATCAATTGAATCCTGAGTTTTCTGTCAAGTCTAGCAGAGGAAAGGGAAGAAAAATGGCAGAAGTTGAAGGATTTCCAGATGTTAGTTATAATATTGTCACATTACCAGATAACTATGAAAAACTTTATGCAAACAAAGTTCAATCAAGTGAGTTTCAATTAAAATTATTCTATTATTTTTATTTTTGAATAATATTTTCAGCTTGTACTCATCAACATCAATCCAGAAAATATTATAAATTATTCAAAGACGAAGTACGAGATATTATGGAAAATGGAGATTATAATAACATAGAACATGAAAATTTTGAAGACGATTCAGAAAACACATACGGTTTACAAGAGAAGTTCTACAACCTTATGGAATATGTTGTTTCAAAACCAGCACGCAAAAACTTGAGAAAATATTATGGTTTTATCATTGTTTAAGCCTATGCACTTTTCATTGTTCATTATTTTATTTATTTATTTAAGTTTCTAAACTTTTTATCTTTCATTGCCTTGTTTTCAATAAAAATAATTCTGTCAAAATTGCGGAATATTTTGTGTTACTAACATGTAAATTCGATTATTAGAAAATTGAAATTTTTGTATAAAAACCGATTATGCGTCAAGCCGTTAGGAACAACAAAAATGAACATTTTTTCGTTGATTTTAATTTTGATGGGGTACTGTAGCCTATGTCAAGGACAAAGTATATCGATAAATGCAAGAAAAATGGCACTTTTGCCGAGAAAAGAAATAAAGACGCTTGAGGAACCAATTTCGATAAAGAGTGGGTTTTTTTCTGAACACATAGAAAAAAATAAAACATTTTTCTTTTTCACGTGAAATTGCGGACTCATTGTTCTGACCGCGTGAAGACACACGACTCCGCCCTCTTTTATTTTCAAAATTTGCAATTTTGCGGCGCACTCTCCAAATTTCAATGGAAAAAATAACGAAATTTCTTTGACACGTGGAAAAACGTGAAAACAAAACGGGCTTTTTTCGAGTCTGCAAACACCGGACAGCAGCAAAAATTGTTCTATTTTTTTCTATGTGTCTGAATGAGACTTTTATTATGAAAATTGATAAACTTTTCAGATCAGACTGATGGTTTCAAAAGTTTGAGTTTGTCTGACCCAACTACAGTAACACCAAGTGAGTAATAGAACTAAATTTTAAATGCTTTTTTCGAGACCGAAATTAAAAATTCTCAACAGAATATTTCACATTCCATTAATCATTGGGTTTACTATATAGCTTTAATTTGAAATTATAAAAAATTTCAGAAAACACAAACTCAACCAAACCTGTGCAAAACTTGGCAATTTTTGACAAATCATTGACTGGTCTCCCAGAATCTGCAACTGTCAAAAATCTCATCGAATCGGCAAAAAGCACAGAACACATTGTGGAATCGACAACCAGTTCAAATTTGGCGGATCGGAAAAGCGTTGATACATCTGAAGTTCTTCCTGGATCGATCAAATTAGAACAACTTTCCCAAAGTTAGTTATTTTTCTCAAAAAAAAATAGATCACTAAAAAATCTTCAGATGTTGAGCAATTTGCAACAACTGAACATGTTTCGGAGCCAACTATCAATTTGGTAGATCAGAAAAATGTGGAATTAGAAAATTCTACAATCTCAGAACTGACAACTTCAAAATCACTAATCCAATCGGAAAAACAGAGAAATAGTGAAACAATTGAAACATCAACGATTTTTATACCAGTAAAAGATATTATTGATCGAAATGGTAAGAAATATTTTATATTAGAATAACATAATATTCTGCAGATGATAGTATTCTTTCATCAACACCATCAAATGAACAATCAACTGCTCATCAAAGTTTGGTTAACAAAATCGGTTCAGAGAATCTTCTTGAAGTAACAACGACAGGAAATATCAGTAAATCTTCAGAAGGTTTGTTTTTGTTATAAAAACATCAAATTATTATATTTTTTATAGATCTTGAAAATGTTTCCTCCTCTGTGAATCCAATCGAATCCTCTACTCTTCAAAGCTTGATCAATCAAAAATCAGACATTGAAACAGATTCATCAATTTCCCAACTTATCACATCAACCACTCTTCAAAATTTAGTAGATCAAAAACCAAATGCAAGAAAAACTTCGGTATCTGAGATCAATATTGGAGCAAAGAACACACTGACAGAAATCGAAACAAAACTGAGAAGCTATGAAGAGAAACTACTGGAAAAACTTAGAAAAGCTGAGATAAACGCCGAAAATGAACTAAAAGCAGAAAAAGTTGAGGCTCTCGAAGAAATAACAGACGCCAAAGAAAAGTTGAAATTAGAAGTAGCGAATGCTGTTAAAAATATCAAAGAAGTTGGAAAAAAAGGCAGAAGCTCAATTGAAAAAAGAGGAATCTCGCATCTTATCAAGTCTTACAAAAGTTGAAATAAAGCTGAAGTCAGAAAAAACCGAATCGATGGCAACAACTAATGAAGGTGTCAAAACACTAATTCCAATTATCAATGAAAAGGTCAATCAGAAGAATGAAACACAGAGAAAATCTGTGGTCGTCGATGTTTCAAATTCAACAAATGTTGCTCAAAATATCACCGTGAATGGGACAAAATTAGAAAATCTTGTAGATTTGGGAAAAAACGCTACTACCTCAGCTCCTGTGACCGAAAAACCCGATAAGAAACATGATCCTCAAAGAAATTCTTCAGTCCTCGAATTTTCGAATTCTACAGTTGTCTCTCAAAATATCACAGAGAATGGAACAAAAACGGAAAATCATTTGAAGAAAGTTTTGGATAATCTTGTGGATTTGGGAAAAAACGCTACAACCTCAGCTCCGGTGACAACAGAAAAACCCAATAGTAAAAGTGAGACGAGAAAATCTACAGTCGTCGATGTTTCGAACTCAACGAATGTTCCTCTGAACATCACAGCGAATGGAACAAAAACAGAAAATCAATTGAAAAAAGAGAACTCTTCAGTTTTGGCAAATCTTGTAGGTTTGGGAGTAAACGCAACAACTTCAATCACAGTCACAACAGAAAAACCAAACAGAAAAAATGAGACACAGAGAACATCTTCAGTAGTCGCTGTTTCAAATGGAACAAATATTTCTCAAAATATCACTGGAAATGGAACAAAAGCAGAAAATCAATTGAAAAAAGAAAAACCTTCAGTTCAGAAAAATCTTGCAGATTTGCTGAAAAACTCAACAACCGCAGCCCCAGTTTCAACGACAGAAAAACCAAACAGAAGAAGTGAGGCGCAGAGAAAATCATTAGTTATTGTAGTTCCGGACACAGTAAACTCTCATGAAAATGAGAAAAAGTCGTTGGAAAATGATTCAAAAAAGGATGAGGAAATTAAAAGAATTGAGAAAGTTGCCGAAAAACTTGAATTAACAGCCGAATCACTTGCAAAAACTCAAGAGAAACTAAAACCACAACCAAGATATATAAATTCAAAAGATCTTTTGAAAACCGTTGCTCGTGCTGGTAGATTTTCAAAAGTTTATCCAGCAATTGTTGTCGATAATGGAAATGGTGAAAAAGATATTTTGATCGAAGACGAACTTGGTGTCAGAGCTTCTGTTTTTCTCAAATCTGATCTTGCGGTAAGTTCAGACAGATATTTCTCGATTATAAAAGTAATTTTACAGAAGCTTATCGCAGACAAACAAATTTCGAAGATTTTAGACCACGAAAAGAAAAACAACGACGGGCTCTACTAATTCATTTTTTCTAACTCAGAAATAAAATTTTTGTTAATAAATTCTTTTCAATTTTTCCACCCCCTCACTTTTTACCAAAAATAATTCTCTATTTAGAATACGTTTCACAAAAAAACCACATACCATAAAAACGAATTAATAAAATGCCAATTAACATTTTCGTTATTTAAACGAGCCATCTTCCCACATAATTTTATCAATCACAAAAATGATTCGTTTTCTCTCACTTTTCCTTCTTCTTAATGTCATCCAAGTGGCTGATTCAAATCCAGCACCACTTGTGGATACAGAAACAGCATTGAAACATCAAGCTGCGGCACGACTCAAAATTCTCAATTCTGATGATTCGGGAGAAGACTATTTGGAAAATTCGGAAAGTTCAGAAGATGATAACTCGGAAGAGAAAAGCCGCGCAAGAAGATTAACCGGTGGTACAAAACAAGGAAAACTCGACGAATTTGAAGATCTTCTCAAAGAACCAGATACTGAAGTATTCCCTGCATTAGTTATTCGTGATTCAGAAAAGAACAATATTTTATTCATCGAAGAGGCCGGAGGACAAACTTATGACGAATTCGACAATTCAGATTTGGGTAAATTGTTTTTGGCGAAAATTCGAGAAGTTGCTGCTGAATCGGAAGATGAAAAAGAGAAAATATCGGATAAAAGCGAAGAGGAAAATGATGAAGACGAATAATTTTTAACTTATTATTGTCTTATTATTTATCATAAATGTTTCATTTCGCGTTTATCAAACAAAATTTATAAAAAATCTCATTTCAAAAATGAACATTACAAAGCTTTTTCGTTTTGGAGAATTGAGAAAATTTTTTTGAAAGTGAAAAAAACTAGAAACCGTGCAAATAAGAGAAGGTTGAATTTTTCAATTAAAAAAATGAATTTTACAAAGTCGAAATCGTTAATTTCTAGCATAAATTTCAGTTAAAAATAAAAATCTTTTGGAATAACGCTGCCCATATTTTCTCGAAAAAATTAGATCAACTTCAGTATCACTTAAAAATTCTCTAATTGATTTGAATAAAAACAGTTTTCCGTAGATTCAGGTTTCAGATGGAAAGAATAAGACATGAAAAATCGATAATAGCATTTATGCATAATTAATGGTATTGGTTTCATCGCTCAAAACCAAACGTTCATATTTATTTGTCAACTTCAGAGAATTTATTTTCTTTCTTGTCTCATAATGTTACAATACATTATTTTTTTATTATATTGTGTAGATGCTCTGATTCCACCTGCAACACTTTCACCAATAAGCAATATCGATGTAAGAGTGACACCATTGTTGAATACCAAAAAGCCGATAAATCTAACCGAGATTAAAGAACCTGAAATTTTTGGGACAACAGCTACATTACCCCAAAAAGTAACATATTTGCAAACTGGAGAAGACTATGTTGAAGAAGGAATGACAGACCCAATCAAGAGTAAGTACGCTATAATTTTATCGTTATTAATCATATTCATTTCAGCAACACTCATTCCACTGTACACTGTGCAATTCGTTACAAAAACAACTCAAAATTCAGCAACAACGTTGAAACCAATAAAAACTGATAGTTCAGGTAAAGTTCAGAAGTATTAGTAAAATATTAGAGGATTGTTTCAGGTCCAACTACACTAAAAAGTGACACATCAACAAACTTACCTGCTGTCACTTCAATAACAGGAACTGGTGGATCAAACATTTCAACTACAAAACCTAATAATTCATCGAATGTCACATCGGTTACGAAACATGGCAATTCTTCTTTTCCGAACCAATCTTCAAAATCTCCTGGAGCCGGACCAACCGCTTTCACCTCAGTCACAAAATCTTCTAAGCCAAGTGTTGCTACTTCAAAAAGTTCTCCTAGAATCACTTCTGTGACAATTTCTGGTGGTATCAATAACTCATCTTCCAAACCAACAGTTGTTACTTCATCAAACGGGTCTGGTGTCACATCGATTACAAAACCTGGCGAATCAAATGGTCAACAAACTTCAAAACCACCTGGTTCACCTCTCGTTTTTTCGTCAAATACCCCAAGGGTAACTTCGATTACAAAATCTGGAGAATCATCTCAAACCCCGAAACCACCTACTGTCACCTCAGCACCAAAATCTAGCGGATCACATCAATCTTCGAGTTCCTCTGGCGTTACTAAAATTGGAAGCTCTGATAACTCATCTCGATCCTCAAAACCAACTCGAGTCCCGTCAGTTACAAAATCTAGCGGATCAGGAAGTTCTTTTCTGCCGAATAAGTCCTCAAAACCTCCTGGAGCAGGCTCATCCATCTCCACTCCGGTCACAAAGTCTGGAGCCGGAGCCAGTTCCAAAAGTCAATCTTCGAACTCGCATGCAGTAACTTCGTCCGCTGGTGTCACAAAACCTGGCAGTTCGGGTTCTAGTTCTGATCGAACACCGTCTTCAAAACCTACAGGTGTTACTTCATCACACGGATCTGGTCAACAAACTTCAAAACAACCTGCTTCGCCTCGTGTTTCTTCGTCAAATTCCCCCAGGGTAACTTCGATTACAAAATCTGGAGGATCGTCTCAAACCCCGAAACCACCTGCTGTTGCTTCGGTAACAAAATCTAGCGGGTCAGGAAGTTCTTCCCTTCCCAATAAATCAACAAAACCTCCCGGAGCAGGCTCAACGGGTTCGGTTCCAAAACCTGGAGGATCTGGTGGATCAGGTGGTTCAAATGACCAAAATCAATCTTCGAATTCTTCTGGAGTAACTTTGCCAAATGGCGCTAATGTAACTACAGTTACAAGATCTGGCGGATCGAGTACCAGTTCTGTATCTTCAAATGGCGAAAAACCATTTGATTGGGACAATTACACCAACGCGCCCCACTCATCAAACATTGAAATCACACATGGTAAAACATGAAAGCCTAACTATCAAAAAAATCGAATAAATTTCAGAAACTCACACCGATTCGTTTGCCAGAATTCTAAAGAATCTTCACCGTTCTGGAAGATATCGCAATGTTCTTGTGATTCCGGCGCTTGTTGTTCGAGACCAGAACAATGACAATATTTTGTTCATGGACGAATCGGAAGCTGTTACTGGTTATGAGTTTCTGGAGTCGAAGTACGGGGTGAGTTTTGATAGACATAAATAGATTGAAAGAGAAGATTGATAAAATTTGAAACTTACAGAAAGCACTTCTACGAAAACTGATAAAAAGCAAGGGATACTAATTTATGAGATGGGTTTAAATGAAGATGTTATTAAGTATTATGTGAGAAACATTTTTATACCAAAGTACTGTACGAGTGCAACACAGCCTCTAGCGCAAAACTCAATTACTCTTTTCCATTTATAAAATTTCAACGTACTCTGACGAAAAGACGTACCTCAAACATCGATTAAAATTGAATTATTCTTCCTTGAACTCAAAAGGCAGACACTTTTATTCAATACAAACTCTCTACATTCCTCTTGGTGCTGCACTTCCCTTCTTCTTTCTTCTTCCAGTTTTCGAAGTTATGACATTGGCTTGATGTTCAGCCATAACTTGAGCTTGAATCGCAGCAAAATTTGGGCGAACAACTCCAGTAAACTTTTGCAACATTGTGCAAATTTCCGGCATTCCATAACGATCATTCGGATTCTCGCTCCAGCATTTTATATTGATGAGATTTTGAATTTCCGGACTGACATTCGGTGGAAGTTGCATACGATATCCTTCGCGAACTTGTTGATTTACTTCAGCAACAGTCATTCCAGGATATGGTTCAACGCCATTGTTGTAGATCTCCCAACACATAATCCCTGAAAAATTTGAACTTACTTCAGAGTTTGAACTTGGAAAATAAATTTACCGTAACTCCAAACATCAGTTTTTTGGGTATAAATTTGCTGTTTGAGTGTTTCAATAGCAAGCCAACGAATCGGAACTTTTCTCGATGGATCCATTTGATAAATAGTTCCATGACGAGTCAAACCGAAATCCGATATCTTAACTTTTCCATCACCATACAAACAATTTCTAGCCGCAATATCTCGATGTAAAACTGGTTTTGAATGAAGATATTCGAGACCCCAGGCTGCTTGAAGTATCATTTCGTTTCGTTTATCCATTGGCATTTCTGGATTCTTTGTGAGATAACTATCAAGTGCCCCATTTGATGCCAATTCCATAACCATATATAATGGTTCAGTTCCAGCAGCAACACCGAAAAATCGAACAACATGTGGATGATTGAATTGACGCATCAAACGAGCTTCCGACATAAACTCTTTGATTTGTTCTTTGGTAACTTTTTCAAGTTTCGCTTGTTTGATGGCAACTTGATAAACTTTGTTCAATTTTTTGTTTTTCAATTGTCCCATGCTAACTTCTCCAAATGCTCCTTCACCCAATTTCTTCATAACTGTGATATTTTCATGATCAAGTTCCCAATATTGACGAATAATTGGTTTGATAATCAAAACATCATCAGCTACTTTGATACTTTCTTTCGATTTTACGTGATGTTCAATCATTTGTTGGATACTGTCGAATGAATATTTTTCAATCATATATTTTCCACCAGCAAATTTGATAACGAAATGTTTGATAGCAATTGCCTCATCTAATTGGTTATTATGCATTACAGAGAGGATAAATGAACGAGGTTCGCCTTTTTTCGGCTCCGACATGCGAAGCAAGAATTCACCGTTTTTAACGAGCATCGTTTTGACATCTTCGCGGGGTAACAATCCATGATAATACAATTCTTGTTCAATTGGTCTTTCAGCAACAGAACTCATTTCGCTAAAATTCAAAATTTATATTTATTTCGGGAAAGATAAAACTCACATGTTATTTTGCTATGCACTTCCCACGAGGTATATAAATTTCAATATTTAGTATATGAGTAAATACAAAGAATAAATTCGTTTTGCTTAAAAACACGATTGTCTGTACACGTTCAATAAAAGTTCACGTGAATAAATATTTTTTTTGTGTTTTTTTCTAAATTTCGGTCTGAAGCCTTCTGCTTTTCAAACCACGGGGAACCAAAAACTACAGTATGTATTCAAAACCAGCATTGACGTAATGCGCTTTGAACTTTTCTTTAAAATATTGTCAATAACAAGTTATTTCTAGAACTAATTGGGTATATAAAAATCCCTGGGGATTGTCAATTATAATCCCTCCACTCCCACAATGATATTAACTCAAATCATTGTATTTTATTCTCAATACTACGAGTATCTCAACCTGAAAATAATGGGAAAAACTTGGACTGTTGTTCAACATCAATTTCAAATATTTTCCACATTGTTTGCCGTTCCTCTAAATATTTTCCTAATTTTTCTAATCATCAAAAAATCTCCAAAAGCTCTTGGGTCTTACAAATATTTGTTGGCTTACACTTCATTTTTCGAAATTGTTTATTCAATTGTTAATTTGATTGGAGCTCCGGTGAGATTTCCAGAAAAAAACTTGATTTTCAAATTTTTTTTTCAGTGTTTCTATTCTCATGGATCTGCAATCATAATGTTCATTGAAACCGAAAATTCAATTTTCAGTCCTTTAATTCTGAATATTTTCAATAGTTTGTATTGTGGGACATTTGGAACTGTTTTAGGATTATTTTCAATTCAATTCATTTATCGATACTTAGTTTCTATCAGGTTTGTAATATAAACTGGAGAAAAAAATGAAAAATAATCTTTAAGAAGTGAATGGCTTATATCATTTCGCCCATCAAGAATATACATTTGGTTTTCTTTTCCTCTTTTATCAGGCCTAACTTGGAGTTTTACAACATATTTTTTAGCCACACAAAGTGACTTGAAAACAAAATATTTAGAAACTCATGTACTTCATGATTTGGATGTAAATATCCATAAAACTGTTTATCTGGGATTACTGCTATTTCCGAAAAATTCGAATGGTACACGATATATTCATGTTGAATCTGTAATTGTGAATTCAATCGAGAATTTATCTCTTTCAATTTCATGGTTTGTAATTCTATATTTCGGAATCAAATGTTATTTGGAAATGCGCAAAAGTATGGATCAATCTTTAGCGCATCGGAAGTTGCAGAGACAACTTTTTATAGCTCTTGTCATACAAACTATGATACCCTTGGTGTTATTACATATTCCTGTTTTCTTTTATTATTTATTGGCCATAATTGAAATTAATTGCGGTATATTCGGTGGAATTATCACAATTACAATAGCACTTTACCCAGCTATCGATCCACTTCCAAATTTTTTCATTATTAAAAACTACAGACTTGCAATCAAACAATATTTCTGTTTGACTAAAAGATCCGAAACTTTTCAAATCAGAACTATCCGTTCTCGAAGTGGTTCTGGGTTGGACAGAAAAGCAACGCTAACGTCATCCATCAATGCAATATCGAGGACAAACTTCTGATTGGGGGCCATAATTATTTCAACTACAGTGCGTTTCATAATGATAGGTTCACCCCCAAAATTTCTGAAATCAGCCGAGGTGTGAGTTGTAATAACAATCCGAGTTAAAAATAAAAAAGAGCACACAAAATTAGCTAAGAAAACTCAATTTTATCTGAAACTACCAAATAATAAAAAAATAAATGACCGGAGTTCAAAAATTTCAAAAATTTAGCGTTTCAAAACGATAGGTTCACCTAATCCAGAATTCCCATTGGAGACATATAATCGAAAATCAATACTTAGTTGGACCTCCATGTTTAGAAATGACATCATAGAGACGATTTGGCATCGAGTCAACAAGTCTCTTGAGGTAGTTCTTATCGATTTTATTCCATTCCGTCTCGATGGCATCTTTGAGTTGGTCCACAGTATCATATTTTTTTCCTTGAGCATAAACTCGGCGAACGAGCTCCCCCCATACGTTTTCCATCGGATTAAGATCAGGAGAACACGCTGGCCAATCCAAAACTTTGATTTTGTGGCTTTTGAACCAATCTTTTGATGATTGGCTGACGTGGATGGCAGCATTATCCTGTTGAAAAGTGAACTTTCTGGTCCGGAACCGCCTCAAATATGGCAAAAGATAGTCATGGAGGGTTTTTTGGTAATCTAACGAATCCATCTTGAATGAAACAAAAGCTATTTTTAACGTTCCAGCTGCAGAAAATGCGCCCCAACACATAACCCGTCCTCCTCCAAAATTTCTCTTTGGGAAGCGAAGTTGATCCTTTCTGATATCATGCCAGTATGAGTTGTAACCATCCGGACCATCAAGATTAAACTTTTTTTCGTCAGAAAAAATTATCTGAACAAGAAAACATCAATATTTGATGTTTTTAGAAAAATTACTTACCTTATCCCAATCTGTGGCCATGTTGGCTTTTGCGAAAGTAAGACGGTTGTCTTTGTGGCGAAGTGTGAGACGCGGAGCTGGCACCAATTTGGCTCGAACGATTTCTGGGGATTGGTCTATGGCTCTCCAAACTGTAGTCTTACTGATATTCAAACCCAGCTCGTTTTTGATGTCATTACACGATTTCATTGTGTTCGAAGCCAACCTAACAATCCCTCGTTTATCTCTCTCCGTGAGTTTTTTGGGAGCTCCAGTGTTTTTCATTCGCTCATAGTGATCCGGATTGTTGACAAATTGATTAATACAGTTGAGAGATCGTTTCAATTTTGACGAAATCATTCTATTGGACCATCCGGCGATTTTGAATGCTCTAATTTGAGCTTGTTCCTCTTTTGTAAGATGACTTCCCCGCGACATTGATGAATGACGTGAAAAAACGAGAACAAAAACAGAAACACGTTAAAATAATCAAATATCACTCGTATTTTCCAGAATATTCGATAAAACTCCTACCACGAAACATAACTACAGTACTACTGCGGGTGAACCTATCGTTTTGAAACGCTAAATTTTTGAAATTTTTGAACTCCGGTCATTTATTTTTTTATTATTTGGTAGTTTCAGATAAAATTGAGTTTTCTTAGCTAATTTTGTGTGCTCTTTTTTATTTTTAACTCGGATTGTTATTACAACTCACACCTCGGCTGATTTCAGAAATTTTGGGGGTGAACCTATCATTATGAAACGCACTGTACATATTGTTTTAAATAATTTTCGTCAAGTTTTTTTTGTTTTTATCAAAACTTTTTTATATGAAAATGAAACAAACAAAAACTCAACAAAAATCAATGAAAACAGGGGGAATTAAAAATTTGAAAAAAAAACCTCAAAACTTGTTCAAATAACTCGACTTCCTTTCGTAACCTCTTTAACAGATCGTTTCTCAACAAACTTTCGTTTCAAACTCTTCTTCAATTTCTTAGTTTTGTCTCCTCCAATTGGCAAAATATTTCTTCTTTGCAAACTTTTCATTCTATCATCCAAAATATGTCCTTGCGGTTTCATTTGTCGAAGTGACGATGACAATTCTTCTTGAAGTAAGAAAGGTTCTTCAGCTTCTTCGAATTTTCCTCTTCCAAGTCTTTGTCGTTTTGTCATTTTTGTCATCACCTTTTTCCGTTTTCTATCAGCCAACTTCTTATCTTGTTCAGCATCTTCTTCATCCAATTCTTTGTTGATTTGTTTAGTTCTGAAAAAATATGAGAATTATAGAAATTAAAAACAAAAGATTTCTGACCTGTAAACGTTATGTGAATCGATATCCTTAGCTTTTGCTGCCAATCTTCTTTTTTCATCCAATTCAATTTCAGCAGCTCGTGTCTTCTTCTTTTTCTGCTCTTTTGTCAAACGCTCACAAGTTACTGGTGTAACGGTTACTTCTGGAAAATGTTTTATATAGAAAGTCATGTCGAGGTTGAGAAAATGTGTAATGAATTTTTTGGCGAAAAAATACAATTTTTCTAGTTCACGCTGAAAATATAATAACGTTCTTGAATTCGAGTAATTCTAGTTTTTGAAATTGCAGACGGGAGTTATCTACATTTGGGATTTTTTGTAGTCCACGGATTCCAGATAAACGATTTTTTGAACATAGAAAAATCTAGATTCCTAGGCGAGGTATGCATGGATTTCAAAATTTCGAGATTTCATGAAACCCTGTTTTATTTTTAGTAAAACATTCCCTATCTTAAAAACCTACTTTCTCCTTCTTCTTCTTCTTCCTCGTCAACATTTTGTTTCTTTTCTTTTTTAACATCTTCTTCATCTTCTTTTCCATATTTTGGATGCATATGCAATCCTTCAGTATTTTCCAAATATTTCTCTCTTTCAGTTACAATTGTTTCCCATTGTGGTTCAATTCCTTTTCTTGTTCTTTCTTCTCGATCAATCAATTTCTGCTCATCTTTCACCATTTTTCCAATATATTCCATATATTCTTCAGCATCTGGATTATAAGATGCTCCAGCTTCTGCAATTTGAACCGCAGGCAATAAACTTGTGACTGATTTGAGTGGAGCATTCGGTTGCTTCTTTTTAGTATATCGAAGGTAGTGTTCGGCTGCTTCTGGAATTGCCAATTTCTCAACTTTTGGTGTCAAATCAGCAGTCCAAACATCGAAGTTTTTCGATTTTTGAGTTGTAGCAGGTTTGGCAGATTGGACTTTTTTGACAGACGCATTTCCTCTGGGAAGTTTTGCAATTTTTCCCGATGGTTTTTTGGGGAATGGCAAAGCCGTCATCTCTTTGCTGAAAATTTTCGAATTTTCACTTCGAAAAATAAAAATATAGAAAAACTCACTCGACATGTCGTCCAATTTTATCAAGAGCTGCTTGTTGTTTTTTGGTGAATTTTATTTTTTCCGAATTTGTTTCACGATCAACAACAAATAAATCCGAATCTTTCAATTCATCGATTTTTCCACCAGTCGCTTTTTCACGCCCTTCTTTGTCTGAAAATTATTCATTTTTTCAAATGTTTTTTCGGGGTTTCAAACTTACGAATCGAATCAATGATATCTTCAACATTTGTTCCTTTTCTCATATACTTTTTTGTATGTCGAGAGCCTAAAAATCATATTTTAGGTAATTAGAAATTAGTCAACTTTTTGAAACTAACCCTTTGCAGCTCCAGTACGTTTGCCAGCGACCATCTGTAACCAGGATTTTTTAACAATAAAAAATAATTTTGAGATATTTCAAAGTTCACGATGAACTTTTTTTAAAAATAAAAGTGAAAGCGAAGAGAAATATTTAAAAAAGAAAACAATTTATTTGAAAAAAATCTACAATGTTCTACAGTTGTCCTATCGTTTCAATAATCTCATAAATCTAACAATATTCACTTTTAAAGCTGGCCATATAAGCGCCAAATTTCGAGTGTACCATTCTCTGAAATATTATTTTAAAATAAATGTTCTATAAAATGTTCACTCACTTATTATAACTCATCAATGCCGAATGCCGTTCATTCAAAAAATCCCGATAAAAATCACTCAAATCATTTGCAGAAACATGTTCTAATGGTCCAAGTTCCTTTTTTCGTTTTTCCACATAATGTATTTTTTGAGTATCGAAAAGCGTGTTGTGATTTGCCCAAAAATCCGAATTCCATTGATTCAATTCTTCTCTGGCTATTCGATACTGTTTTTCGAGTTCGGATTCATTATCAACACGTCGAAGCCTAAAACAATTTGATATTGTAAAAAAATAGTTGATAGAAAATTTTTTCTGCTCTTGAAAGTTCGCTCTACTGAGAATTGTGAGAACATTGTCTAGATCAGCTGATAAACTCAAAAAACTGATTATTCAAAATTCTGTCGTCTTGATGCATTATTCAAAATTAAACTCAGAAAAAAACAAATAAACTCACATGATCTTTCTAATTTTCGAAACTGAATCCGGTGGTCCAACCCAATCAAATCTCCTATCCATTCGAACATTTGTATTCGATTGTGAATATGACATCTGAAAACAAATGTTAAAAAATTAATACTCGGAGAATTCAAAAGTAATGAAATGTTTCAAACATTTTCCAATCAAAGTTGGTTCATAAAAATATCAGGAATGTAACGAAATTCATAAATAAACAACAACAACAACAAATCAACGATAAAGCTTCGGAAAAAATAAATTAACAAGAAACAACTAAAAAAATGAGATTAACATTGAATAATCACAAATCTTCTGAAGTTGATATGGAATTACGAATCAATTTGAACATCCGATCAAATTCGGTCATATTGTGACTGAAAAAAAATGAAAATATTTCCTGAAAACGTATTAAAAAAACTTACATGACTAACAAAATACTGGCTAATAATTCATGAGTATTCACTAAATGTTGTAAATAACCTTTTGTGTAATTTCGACACGTATAACATTGACAATTATCGAAAGGTTTTGTGAAATCATCGGCGAATTTCTCGTTATTGAAATCTAATATTTCATATCTTGAACAATTCAAACTTGATGCAAAATCATCCGAAAGACAAAATGCTTTTCCTTCTTCAGCAATTGAAACAGGCCAAGATGAATCAAATAAATCAACTCCTAATTTGACAAGTGAAAGAATAATTGGAGGCGAAAATGGTCCAGAAATAATTCGAAGTTTTGCCGGAGGAAGGGCTGTTATAACACTTTTCACTAATTCTTCCATTTCATTAACATCAATTTCGCCTTTCCAAAAATCATGAAACTCAATATTGAATCCATCTGTTTTCTCAAATCCTCCTAAATCATTTGCTGCCTTTTCTCGATGGAATTTGCTAAATCCTCCTCCAATTGTTATAATCCTTTCACCCTCAACTTTTTCATCATTTTCGAATAATTGTTCATAAAAATGTCTCGTTCTTTCAGATGTTTTTGTCAATCTTTTCGATCCAGCATCTTTTGGACAATCATAATCTACCAAACTTTCAAATGACGTACAACCAAATGAATTAATAATATTTCGATATTTTGCAACATCTAGTGATACTTTTCCATTTTTTGTCCAAATTGCAATTGATTTCATATCATTATAACCACCAGGAAGTTTTCCAAGAGGATCGAAAGGTGACAAATGGACAGCAGATTTATCAGGAATTGCACAAAACTTTACAACACCCTTTCCAAATTTTTTGATTGTTTCAGCACTTGCTACTCTGCAACACACTTTTAATTTTGAAGTTCGGGTTGAAAAAAACTTACAAACTAGGCAAAGTTAATTGAAAAATATGTTTTTGACTCAATTCCAATTGTTTTCCAGCCACATCCCAAGTTAAATGTGGAATATGTCCACCTCTCAAATAAGTCAAAAACGAAGGAGTCGAATTTTGAACTTCCACAGGTCCCCAGCTCTCAATCTTCCCTAATCTTCCAAAGATCGTCTTCTTTTCTACACCAAACTTTACCATCTAAAAATGAATTATCTTAAACTAAAATGAAGAGAATTCAAGTAGATATTATAAAAGGTTGAGTTGTACCCTTTGAAAATGAAATAAAGAAGCAAATCGGTACAAAAATAAATTATGTATTATTTCAAGCTGAACTAGATGAGTTGACTTTATAATTACAATATTCCGGCTTCAACGACCACAAACTTTTGTGTGGTGGAGATGGATTGTAAACCGCGATCTCTTGCAAAACATCCTTCACATAACTGATTGGTTGTTGAGTAAGTTGTTGAAGATCATGCAGTCTGGAAAATACAGAGATGCAAAGTTGAAAATGATCACATTTTTATTAAAAATAAATTCAGTTCACGTGCCTTATCTGATTGTTTTTGTTTCCATTTAATGAGATTATTACGGGCATTTCTAGATGTTACGTTATTCCTAATACGCTTGAGGACTATTGCCAAATTTTGTTTGCTCGAATTGTAAGTAAAACGATGTGAATGGTACGTGTTTGATTGAAATACCTTGGGCCAGTGTTTTTTTTTCAAAAAAAAAAAGAGGTTTGGGGTAGTAAATTACACATTGTGATTGAATGGTTGAATTTTTGTTTTTCGATTTTGTTTTATATTTTAAAATTACAAAAAAATCTAACCTGTAATAACTGTGTTTTTCGAAAGCATTGAAAAGTGCACCACGAAGAACATCTCGATCTGCTCGATATGTTTTGGCACCTTCTTTTTTGGCTTTTTGTCGAGCCAAATCTTCGGGATGAATTGAAACTGGCTTGAATTTGACGGCAGCCTACAAACATTTCGATTTATTTGACTTCATTCATGAATTCAATAGAATTATATATTTACAAACCTTTTCCAATAGTTTAACTTGCTTTTTGGGTTGTGTATTCTTCACAATATGTTCTTGTTTCATTTTCAAATATTTCAAAGTTGCCGGTGGTCGACATTCGGCTTTTTTCACAATTCTTCCCTCGATCGCCAATTTTCCAGTTTTCACATTCATATCACTATCTAAACCCTTTTTATCTTCACTTAAAACTGTCATTGTTTGATTTTTGATGTCATGAAGAAGAAATGAATATTCTGTTGGAATTTCTGAGACAGAACTCTTCGAACTTGAAGGTCCTTCATTTGGTCGAGTTGGTTGCTGAAGACCTTGTTGAACATGAAATTTGACTTGTTCTCCAATTTTCAGTTTTCCAACAACATTTCCTTCATTCGCTTCCCATAATTCGGATAAATATCTCGGAACCTTTACCAACCAAACTCCTCTTTTTGCCAATTCCGTTTCGACTTCATTTGACAGTCGTTTCGTCATTTATCTGTAATACAAATACTTTAGCCATTTTCGCTGAGCATTTTGCTTATAAGTAATTTGAGACGATTTTCGAAAAATAACGTCAATGAATGAATAAAAAAATATTTCAGAAAAATCCATGAATAGTTTTATATTCTAGTTTTTATAAAATCTAACAATTTTGAATCATCCACATTTTCCCATCCTGGAGGCGTTGGAAGTGTAAAATTCGTCATTGCTTTGGATATTTGTGATAACTTTTCGTCGTCCAGCAAGATCGAATCAAAATTAGGAATATTTTTTTCTGTCGGTGATTCATCAAGTTTGATTACAAAGTTATGTGATAAACCACTGTTATGAGAGTTCATCTGTTCAGATCCTCCCTGGCCTACATTTATTGCTTGATAACCATTTGATGTTGTCGGTTTTTCAGAATCAAGTACATTTCTCGGTGTTGTGATATGAATGCGCTTCGTTCCACTGAAAACGAGATTTGAATATTAAAAAAATTCGGAAATTCATGAAAGTATTCATTACCTCACTTCCAATTTCTCAAAAACCTGCTTAACTCCTTCGGAACTATGAAGTGTTATCGAAACTGGAGTCAATTCTTTGGTTGAATGAATACAATCTCCATATGTATATAACAATTGACCATCTTCGCCACTTTCTTCGCTATCTGATTTCCGTGCTTCGTCTTCAGATGGTGGATCACTGCTGAAACCACTGCTTTCTCCACCAACTGCTTCTTGAACAGCTTCTGCAATTTCTTCCTCTTCCTCACTTTCAGAATTTACGCATCCGTTTGACATTCCAACTCCATTATAATGCACATTGTATCCAACATACCAACCATCTTCGAGGCTTGTTTCAGAATTAAATGTGAACGATTGGACACTTTCAATGCCAGTTTCCGAAACATTTTGGGATGATAAATCGTCCATGGTTAAACCTTGTCTGCCTAATACGTCTTTCAACGATTTCAAATCACGCTTGTTCATTCTAAAAATATTTTCGAAATGTCTCAAGTTTATGTTTTCGCAGTAACCACTTCAAAAAACACAAGTTTGGAGTTCTTTTTCGAAAACGAAGAAAAAAAAACGAAAAAGAAAGAAAATAAAAAAGATGCAAGTTTTTCCCTATAAATTGACTACACATATGAAGTGTGCTCTAATGTACAACAGTAGAGCGCACTTACCCAATTGAGTGAAACTTCAGTGTTCCGTGAAAAAATTTTTTTTTGTCAATCCAAACACGTCAATCTCATTTGCTAGCCCGCGAACACCTTCAAAATTTATTTTTCCGGTTTTTTGACACTTCTGACAACAAAACGACAGCTATTGATCGTGAAAAAGTATGCCAGATGAGCGACCTCAATATTTCGCCAATGGAGATTTTGATCGAGTCGCCAACGATATAATTAGCAGTCCAAGGCGAGGGAAGCCAGAGAATTTCGATTTTCTGTTCAAAATCAACGAGAAACAACAGGAATACTATACAAAATGCTTCAAACATCTTATAAAAACTACACAGGTATGAAATTTCGAAAAATATTTTAAAATTATCATTTTCAAAAGTTTTTTAGGGAGGAAAAATTGATATGAATGGTGCTCTTTGTGGTGCAGATGAAAGGATTGTTGCTTTCTTCAAAAGGAGTTCATTAGATGTCGGAAGTTTATCAAAAATATGGTCATTAGCAGATGTTAATGAAGATGGCTGGCTTGAGTTAGCTGAATTTTCAATTGCTATGCATTTAGTGGTTCTGAAAGTGAAAGGAGAAGTTCCAATCCCGGATGTCTTGCCAGATTTTTGTAGACCCGCCATGACGCCACAAAGAGGAAGTGAACCACCTTTTGTTCATTCAAGTTGGGCTCCTTCACCATCACCTCTACCCGATAAACCGATTATAAAACAGTTTTCTGATACGCCTCCATTGTTAGTTGATAGTCGACCAACAGCAATAAAACACTGTGAGTTTCAACACAATATCATCGGGAGATAATCTAAGTTTTCAGCTGCATTAATGGCATTAAAAAGTCCATCTGGACCTCCTCCAGCTCCTCCACATAGACCACAATCAAAAGGACATGGAAGAAGTGCTAGTCTTGATTTGAAAATGATTGCTTTCAACAATGGAATCAGACCATTCCCACCTTCATCTTTAGCTTTATGGTCAACAACAGCAAATTCAGAAGTTGCAGAAGATCAAGAAATTTCATCGAATATAGCAACAACCTCAACAAATTTCGCCTCATTTCCCGGAACACCTGATAGTCTTCTAACAGTTCCTCCACCTATTCCTCAACGAACTTCACCTTCCCCCCTTCTAAAAAAATCGCCTGTCAGTGGAATATCGGTTGGAACTCAAACTGAATTAAAAATATATGATGAAGAAGAAGTTCGTCAATTCATTACGGGAATGGATGGGAAAATGGAACATTTGATTGGCGAAGAATTAGAAGCACAAGAAGGAAAAGGCGTTGAAAGATGGAGTAAAAGGTGTGAAGCATTACGACAACAAAACGCTGAGCTTGAATTAGAGAGGGCCAGATTGGCGCAAGTTCGAATTCAGCTCGAAATACGGATTCAAGAATTTCAAGATCGTCTCAAAATGTCGTCGGTTTAATTGTGAATAATATTTTTTCTAGTCTTTTTCTGACATAATAGCCTTACATTGTGATATGCTTGATTTTCTCGAAAGGGTATGAATATTTTGATTCATAAATATTAACTAATAAGCCCCAAAAACTTTAAAACGTTTTTTCAGATCCGCAACTTTTTTTCGAAAATTTCATTGGAGCGCTATTGCGCGATCAAAACTGTGCCCGCGCGCGCACACTTTCTCGATCGCCCGCCAAACAATTTTTTCAAATATTTTTTTCTCGAGGCCAAAAAATTTAGTTGTCCGATTTCTCGAGTAAAATGAACCGCCTTCGCCCAGATGATGAACGAATTCAACAATTGAGAGCGGTAAGATTGGGTTTAGCCATGTCCGACACAAAATAATCTTGTTTTTTGTTAAAGATTGAAGCTGAACTTCTACGATCATCTTCACCGGTTCCGCAAGATCCGGTTCAATCGCATTTCCAGTTTGGATACGTTCGTGCTGCTTCAATAAAGAAATCTAATGGGTTAGTTTTGGGTGATTTGTTAAAATCCTAAAATTCTGTTTTCAGGCGACGCGCTCCTTTGGCACCTATTCATAATCCAGTATTTCGTCAACATGAAAACGATAATGAGGAAGAAGAAGCACCAATAGAACCACAAAGACATCAACCTCGACGTCGTTCACTCCGACTTCGAAATGCTGCTGCTGGTGTTCAACTTCAACCTCCTCCACCCCCAGGACAACGTGGAATTCGTCGACAACTTGGAGATGATGAAATAAATCAACACGAGCCGATGCGACTTCGACGAAGACCTGAAAATCGCGTTGAAGAAGAGCGAAGAAATATTAATGAAGATGGAATGAGGAATAGACGAGAAGATGAAGAGGAAAGCAATGAGGAAGAGGTAATCACAATTAATGAAAAATACTGATAGACCGCTATAATTAAACTTATTTTCAGGAAATTCGTCGACCATTATCACCGACAGAACTTCCTGGTGTTCGAGCAATTCCAAAAGAATACAATCGAATGTTTCGAGGACTTTTAACACCAGGGGAATACTTTGCCAAATCTCATTCTCGATATTTGGGACCATTTGATAATATGCCAACTCTTGCAGACCTTCCAGCTCAGGATAATTACATAATTCTTCAAAGAATGGGTCGTCTTCCAGAGAGTGGAAAATCAATTTTCCGTCAAGTTGGAACACTTCTTACCTGACTGTTTTTCCCTTTCCTTCTTGTGTTATTCAATCTGCTCTTTTCTACTTAATTTTACGGGATTTTTAGTTTCCTCGTGTTTTATATCTTATCTAATGTTGACCTAAATATTTGCATATTATTATTGATTGAAGCTAATAACTTGACCCTTTTTTTAATATAGAAGTTTTTCAATTTGTTTTATTCTCATCATAGTTTGTTTATTATTCTTGTTAAGTAGAAGATCACCAAGATACTACACTTTTTTAACCTTATACAATAAACTGTTATGGTGCAAGTTTGAAAAATCAACAATTTATCTCATCTCACTAAAAACAACAAAAATCTAAATATCAGAGACCTTGAAATTCTCAAGCCCTGATTCCTAATAAACTCTTGATTTGTCTACTATATTCCCGTGTACTTTCAACAGTTTCCTCCGAATTTCGATAAGTTTTCCACATTTTTCCGAATTCGTCAATTTTTTCTTGAGTAATTTGGGAGTTTGGCGATGTTTCAATGAGATCGACGAGTTTTTGACGGACTTGCGAAGTTTCGAAATTGACTTTCAGATTGTCTGCGCGTTCTTCGAGATTTTCCCATGATTCGAGTTTCTGTAAAAAAACGTTGGAGGAATTTTTGAAAATGATTATTTAGAAAAAAGATGTGGCACAAAAAGTCACGTTTTTCCAAAAATTGCAGGTCAGAAGAAACAAATACTTAAATTTCCCAAAAGTTCTTACGTTTGATTCGTGGAAAAGAACAGTCAACAAATAATACGCATATTCCAAATTCTGTTTTCTTGTATGACATCTATCTGTAATAATTGTCAACAATCCACTCTTTTCATCATATCGATCCTTTGCCAATCTAACCAATTTATTATAAGAACTTTCAGATAGTTTCAACGAATTCACATCGATTGTCATTGTTATTACACGACTTCTGATATCTCGAATATTTGTTCCTTGATGAATATATGTATTATATTGAACGGTAATTGGTAATTCGGATTGTTGAAGTGATGAATCAGCAAGAAGTTCTGGTGGAAATGGTGTGCAGAATTCTAGAAAAAACAACGAAATTATTTAATCTATTCTTTTGAAAATCAAAATAGCTTACTTTTGATCGCATTGCAATGTTTTTCAATTGCTGCTGGTGTTAAATGCAAAAAGTTTGGAATTTTAACCAATTCCAAATTTCCTTCTTTTTTAAATGGAGCACGTTTATCAACATTTGGTCGAGTTCCCATTCTAACTGGCAAAGGAACAACACTAGATGCAAATGATCTTGCAGCCGGCCAAACATTTGACCATTCTTGATCTGGATTCATCTCTTCACTTCTAGGTTGTCTTACAGCCAATCTATCATTTATATCCATTCGACTGCGTTGTTTTACTTCAGCTCGACCTGTTGCTTGTTCGAGTTGAAGTTGACCACGAAGTTTACGTTTTGGCATTGTGTATAACTCTCGAAAATCTTCGCCTCCGTCATCTTTAACTGTCAAACTCCCCAAAACTGCTTGTTTTGATTTATCGGATCCAGTGACTGCTGCTCTCAATTTATCAGCAAGCGTCGATTTTTGTCGCAAAGATATTGATGATATGCGATGCATAATGATGAAAAAGAATAAATACCTAAAATTAATTTTGATTAAGAATTTAACTTTTAACGACAAAAAAAATGAAAAACCCCAACTCTCCCAAAAGAAATACAAAGCAAACATTTGGTTTTCTCTTCCACGTCCTCATCAAAAAATGGCGGAAAAATGGAACTTATTCGAAATACTAAAGGAAACCTTCAAAAAAGGACTTCAAAACCCAGAAGAAATCGGAGATCTTGTTCCATTTGATGTTCTTGCCACTGGATTACAATTATCGGAAACAAACTCAGTTATTGAGATCAAAAATTCCACAGGAAATTCGAAGAAACAGAGGGTTTTTGAGAATTTCGTAGAAAATGAAACAAAGAATGTTGTGTTGAAATCCGAAGCGAAAAGTTATGCGATGTTTATTGAAGTTGAGAATACAAAAACTGGCGAAGCTTCAGAATTTCAATTTCCTGGTGTACATTTTTGCTCTTGTGATTATTTCAAGGTAATTTTTTTCAAAATTATGAGGATTTTTATGACTTTAATTTTTTTAAAGCTCTTGAAAATTTTTTTCAGCAGTCAGTTCTGGAAAATTCGGAAGATTGGACATGTTGTCATCTGATTGCTTCAAATGTAACGAAAACTTTTAAGACATCAAATTGTGATTCGGAAATAATTTCGACTGTTGTTAAAAAACTAATCGTCAAACCTTTTGTAGAAAATCATAAATAAATGAATAAATATTTATCTGGTAATATTATAAAACCATTCACCGAAAATAGATTTTTGGAGATACGTATCTAAAGTCTTCATTGAAACGAAGTATAATACACAAGAAAATGAAACATAAAAATGGAGAGATCAAAAGTAAATGTAACCTAGTAGTTATTGGTGTTGAAAGTATGCGCCAACTTCAAAAAATGCTCATTTCTACCCCATTCAAGAGCTTGTTGATATGATTTTGTCGTTGGATCTGGTTTTGTTGTACTTGTGTTCAACACTGATTCGGAGACAGATCTTGGTAGTTGATTTTGTGGAACAGAATCACCGGCTCCGACGTTTGAGACATCTGAAATTTTCAAATTATCAGAGAATGAGGGAATGGGAAATTGAACTACCTAGCATTGTTTTTGCGCGTTGGAAGATGATTTCATTATGATGCACAGTTTCGGAAATTTTCGACGAATTGTGACCCATACTTTTGTTGCTTTTGATGAACAAATTAGAAGAGCATGGTTCTGTAAACATCATTTATTTATTTAATTAAGGTAATCAACTATCAAAGATTTCCTAAAAATAGAAACTATCACATGATAAACCGATCTTGCAAGTTTTAGAGAGAAACACGTGGTGCTCCTGATTAATGATTTATCAAATCAAAATCATTTTATATTTACAACCAATGTCATTTATATAAAGAGAACCATAAAACCTACAATCAACAAGATCCACGAAAAACTAGAAAAACAAACAAAAAACAAACAAAATTTCGAAAATAAAAGTAAAAAATTATTGTGCAAACACGGTCACGCATAATTACACACGTAAATTTTGTGGGATTTCAAAATTTTTTGTTTCGAAGTACAGTACTTATGTACTTTCTGTTTCACATGCTTTTCATTCTCCCATACAAAGATTATTCAAATTAACGGGTCCATTAATTATCAGTGGCTGGCTACCGAGGCTTATCAAATTCAAATTGAATAAAAAATCAGTCTGTCATGGAAACTCCGCCCATTTTCACTTGAAATATAATGGCTCTGGAACCAAAATTCTTTTTCTTTTTGTTCTGTTCAATTTATCAGTTTGATAAGAAAATTTGTATGTTTTTTTAAGAAGACTTTTTTGTTGCACTTTTTACTCTTCTCGTTTTTCTTTTGATAAACTTTCATAATTTAATGAAATCAGACACTTGAAGTAGGAGTTGTAAAAAAACAAAACTATGAAAATTTTACGACTTTTTTTGAAAGTGCGTGCACTTTTCTTTGGTTTGCTCCAAAATCTTTTGGTATAAAATAGGTTGCCTCACTTCAAATGTTTTTTTTTCAGAAATGAAAGGCCGACTATTGCTATCTACTCTGATTCATGCAATTTTCGCCCAATATGGTGAAATTATGGCGGCTTGTTTGAATTTGATGAATGTTCCGATAAAATCATTTTTTCGCAAAAGTTTGAAAGATCATTATGGCGTAGAAAATGAAGAAAGTTTCGAAACGATTTTCTCAGCATGTGCTTCTTTTATGTTTATTGGTTTGATGGTTGCATTCATATTCTTGGGGAAACTTATGGATGGTTTAGGAAGAAAAGAAACAATCATGTTAAGGTGAGAATTGAGAAAAGAGCACACTTCATTACTTTTTTTCCAAAGTAATTATTTCCAATTTTCCAAAAATAGTTATCTCCAAAAACTGATAAGAAATTTCAAAAAAAGACGCCCAGTGTTTTTTTTTTCAAAATTTCTCCGATCTTTCAGAAGTTTTCTTGGAATTGTTGGTTCAATATGTATGATCTCTTCTCAACTTTTGGATCGATTTGAATTATATGTCATTGGCCATTTTATTGCTGGTGTTTTATCCGGTCTGAGAGTTGTTCTAATTATTTGGATGGCTGAGTGTAGTCCAGATTCCAAACGTGGTCTCACTTCACTTTTCATCAATTCCGGAGGTGTTATAATGGTTTTAGCTGTGACACCTTTATGTCTTCCTACAATTTTTGGAACAGATGGGTTATGGTCAGTTTGAAATTCCCCTGGAAAGTTTTAGCTTCATCCCATATTTTGCAGGTTCCTTCTTCCTTGTATCACAGGACTATTGGCAACAATTCATTTGATTCTTATTGTATTTCTTCCACAAAGTCCGAAACAATTATTCATTCAACAACAAGATGAATCAGCTGCTCGAAAATCACTTCGATTTTATTATGGAAGTGAAAGTAAAGAAATTGACGATGCAATTCAAGAAATGATTAGTGAAAATAAACAAGCTAAAAAGAAGAAGTCAATTCTCGATATTTTACAAAACAATTCACACCGTCTTTCATTTTTTGTAGTTTTTATGTGCTCTTTGGTTCCAGTATTTTCTGCTTTCAATATCAAAAGTCAATATTTGGTTGATATTTTAATATCTTATGGATTAACACAATCAGATGCAACACTTGCAATGATGGCAATATCAATCATATCTCTACCAATGTCATTTATTTCTCCACTTATGATTGAAAAATATGGAAGACGACCTGTATTTGTTGGTCTCACTTGGCTTTGTGCATTAGAATGGATTGGTTTGGCAATATCTGAAGGATTAATTGATTTGGGATTGTCATCTTACTGGATTTGGACAATTGCTTGTATTTCTGTTATTTTCGGTCAAGTTGCATTTAATATGGGTATTTTGGTGATGGCACCAATTATGATTTCTGAACTTTGTCCTCATAATATTCGCGCAATTGTTTCTCAATACACTCAAGTTCCCCCAGTTGGTATTGCAGTTCTTGAAGTATTCATGTTCCCAACACTTCGACAACATTTCGGAGCGCCAATGTTTTTATTCTTGGCATCTTGTTGTGCTGCACTGGCTGTTGTTCTTCATTCACAGGTGAGAAAATATTATTGATTTCTCGGAAAATCAAATTTGATTGACACCCGATGAAAAAATTTGTTAAAATAACACAAGTTCGCAACATCCATCATTTCTGTCAGATAATATTTTGTGGTTACTGTAGTTTTTATAACCAAATCAGGTTCAGAAGAAACAACTAAATATCACAAACTATTACAGTTGATAAAACTAGGTTGATCACTTTTGAAAGAGAAAAAAGGAAAAGAAAAGAAGAACATTGATCTGATAAAAAGATCGGGTTCAATTGTAATTTTTAGTAGTCAAATAAAAAAAACAATTCAAATGTTTTGCAGATGCTTGAAACTGCTGGTCTCGCAGTTGATGAAATTGTTAGCCGACTTGGCGGTGATCATCGAACTCTTCATCGATCAAACACTTCCGTCGGTTGGATCCATTATGGTAGTCTTTGGGAGGCGGAACCCGACGACTATCGAAAACCCACGCAAGTCATCTAATCACACATGTCTTCTAAATTTCACATTTATCTATTTATATTCCTTTTTTTTTATTTATTTCCATTTATTTTCAATCTTAATCGGGTCCTATTGAATCTCTCCCATTTTCCGCAATAAACCTTGAACACTGTTCCAAAGAAAATTTGAATTTCAAAACTAAATGTCCTAAGTACAACATCAGCTGTCTTCGAAAAAACCATATATAAATAGAGGAGAACAATGAGGACTATCTAGTGTACATAGTACTGTAGTTTTTTTTTGAAATTCACAAAAAAAACTTGTTCTGCTTGTGGCCCTTTCTTAGAATTATCATCATATGTTAGATGCATTTCATTAACTACAAAATATATTCGCCGAACTGTTTTCCAATCTCTTTTTTTTGTAGCATAAGTTCCCTTTTATGACCAAACGTCTCGTTTCGTCACTGAATAAAAATGTGTTTGTTTGTGTTAATTTGTGACAGTTTGATTTTTTTCTTCGCCCTCTTGTAATGTTCGGCTAACAGAAAAAAAGAGAAGAAGGTGATTCGATTATGGATGAGATGAGATGAATTTGAAGTTTTGACTTTGGTAAATAGCTGTCATTTTGAGGCAAAATAAATTTCGGAAATGATTTTAACAATTGGCAAGGGATGGTCGCGGGGGGCACTAAACATCGAGTTTTTCCAAAAATAAATAAAATATTATGACTTGATATATTGCTGAAAAACTCTGTGAATCAAATATATGCCTTTTGAACTGATTACAGCACTGAAAAAGGCATCACTTTTTCCTGACAGTGTCGAAAAATTCCGAATCATAGAAAATCAGACTTTAGTGTATTTACTCGTATTTCCGATTGAGGCCAAATTTTCATTGTCAATAAAAAATGTTCAATCTACAACCAAAAATCACTTTTCAAATTAATTACCTGTTTTTTTTTCCAATTCCAAGTTGAAAACAAAACACAACTTTTTGACCGTAAGGTTGATTTTCTGATTTTTTTGATCAGAAAAAAATAATGAGAATTCCTGACGTCACATCCATGGATTCTTCTTCGCCGAAAAAATAGAGATCCGCCCCCAAGTCTAGCCAGCCACGTGAGATGAAGTCAACATTCATAAAAACCGTTTTTTTTTCAAATCACTTAATTGAACAATCTGTTGCCTTGACAGTATTTTCGAAAAACACTAGGCGATCAACTGTGACTAAATCTGTTTCCTTTCAAAATTGAAAATTATACAACTATTTTATAACCTTGTACTTTGCCTGATTTTGTTCTGATTTATCAAAACTTGTCTCTATATATATATTTATACAAACTCTAATCGAAGTCAGTCATTTTCAGAATGCGTCTCCCAACTTCGAAATTTCAAAAATATATGCAAAGGTTTTTCTATCGGCTTGGATTATCAATTGGAAATCATCCGAAGCTATATATTGTCTCATTACTTGTTTTCACAATTTTCGCTTGTTCAGGATTCTTGCGATTTCATCAGGTGACTTTGATAACTTTGTTAAAAAAACAACATGTAGATAAGACATTTTTCTGATAATTTTTTGAATATCAGCAAATTACAGAGAAATTTGTTGATTAAACAGACAACTATGTAGTTTATGATGAAAAAACAAAAAATAAAATCAAAATTTAATTTCTTAATTTTTAGATCAACAATGCTCGTGTAACATTCACCGCTCACGATTCTCCAAGTCATTTGGAGTCTGCGATGTTTTCAAAATTTCTGAAACAAAATGGATCACTTCATATGATTGAAGTTATTGTCTCAGCAAATGATAATGGAAATCTTTTACGTGGAGCATGGAGAAATCAACTCAAAAATTTGACAAATGAAATTATAAATGATGTCAAAACAAATGAATCTGAACTATATTTCGGCGATTTATGTGAACCATATTGTGAGAAAAACGATGCTTTATACGCAGTTTTGGATATTTTTGATGATCGGAATACTAGTGAACCAGATAGTTTTGAATTAAAATACCCGAGTTCAATTCTTCTTGGACATCAAGTATTTCTTGGAAATAGTTTGTATGGTGTGACAATTGAAGCAAGCACCGGAAAAATTATAAGCTTCAATACAGTACTCTTGAGATATTATTTGACTCATAGAGAATTGGCACCAATGGTAGATTTTGAAAATCAGGTAAAACTCTCGAGGTTATTTTTATGTAATTTTTAAAAAATTCAGCTAATGGATCTTATTTATAATACTTCAAAATATCCGCTTCTCAATGCTCAGCTGGGATCAGATGTCCAAGTTGCAAAAGAAGTCAAAAAACTTGGGACATCATCAGCTCCATATCTCGGATTATCTTTAATTTTCTTGATATTTTTCCTATCAATTTGCTCTTTGCGATATTATTGGAGTGAATCAAAACCAATTGAAGCTTGTCTTGGAGCTTTTATTCCAGTTCTTTCTGGTTTAACCACAATTGGATTGGTATCAGCAACTGGTCTCGCATTTCAAAGTATTGTTGTTTCAACACTTTTTCTTGTTTTGGCAATTGGAATTGATGATGTTTTTATTATATTGGCTGCGTGGCATCGAACTGATAGATCATTGACTATTCCTGTCAGAATCGCTCGAACTGTTGAAGAAGCTGGATGTTCAATGACAGTAACAACAGTAACAAATTTAATATCGTTTGGAAATGGAGTTTTTTCGACAACACCAATTTTGCAGGTGAGTAATATCTATATTTTCAAAAGTTAAACAAAAATCCGAGATCTTGAAAATAATTGTATTCCAGACATTTGCAATTTATTCATCGGCTGCTTCTGTTATTTGTTTTATCTATCAACTTATTATTTTTCCCGCAATAATTGCAATAACTGCACCAAAAGAATATAATAATTCGAAAAATGAACGAACAATTAAAATAATCAAAAAAGGATCTGAATTTGGAGATAAAGTATGGATTTGGTTAGCAGAAAAGATCGAAAAATCATGGATGAAATTATTTGTGATTTTGATTTTGTGCATTTATTGGTTTATTGCAGCTGAAGGAATTATTAGTATGAAAACAGATTTATCGATTCAAAAAATGGGTGACAAAAACTCTTTAATTGTGAAATTCAAAGATACACTTGATGCAATTTCAAGAGAAATGCAATCAGTTGCAATTCTTGTTAATTCACCAGGAGATCTTAGAAATGCATCAAATATGGAGCAAATTCAAAAAATGGTTGAGGAATTCGAAAGAGCTACTTATAGTTATGGAAGTGATTCAACAGTTTGCTGGATTTCTCAATATTTGAAATTTTTGGAATTTTATGAAGAAGAAAGTTCCGAATTCAGTTATCAATCTTTTGGAGCTTTTCTGAAAGTTGAACCACAATTCAAACCAATGATTCGATATAACTTGGAAAAATGTGAGAAAAATGATCCAAAATGTATTGAATCTTTTATATTTACAACTGGTTTTACATCAGTGGCAAAGTGAGTCATATTTTGTTTTTCTTGTTTTCTCAAAAAAAAAACCTGAAACATTTTTTCAGATATCACGAAATGTTCCCCTTACTTCAAGAATGGCGTCGAATTGCTTCAAATTATCCACAATTCCAAATTTATCCATACACTGAACGCAGTAATTTTGCTGATCAAACAAATGATATGGTATCAAATATTTGGCAAACTGTTTTATCTGAAGTTGTTTGTATGGCAATTTCATTCATCTTATTCGTACCAGATATTAGTTCAATCTTCTCTGCGGTTTTCAGTTTATTATCCGTAAATCTCGGTGTATTCGGATTTTTATCAATTTGGGGAGTTGGAATGGATCCAATATCTTTGGCAGCATTGCTCATGTCAATTGGATTTTCTGTTGATATAACTGCACATATAAGTTATCATTATTATCAAGTCGAAGAAAAAAGTTCTCGAAAGAAACTCGAACATGTTTATCAAAATATTGGATGGCCAACAATGCAAGGTGGAATTTCAACAATGTTAGCTATGTTACCAATAATCATAAGTCCAAGTTATCTTGGAATGGTATTTTTGAAGACTGTTGTTTTGGTATCAACTTTCGGACTAATTCATGGATTAATTGTACTTCCCGTTTTCTTGTCAATAATGACTAGAAAATCAGAGAATACCAAGATGTAATTTTATTTGTTTTACTGGATTTTTTACGGGTTTATAACGCTTGCTCATAATAATATATCTACCTTTTTAATAAAATCCCGATTGGGTGGTGTCTCGATGAAATCTGGATTTTCAATGGGCCCCTGTTCTCATTTTTTGTATGTCGAAATTTTGGACATTTTTGATTTTTGCCCCTTTTTTCTGAAAATCATACCTTCAAGAACGTTCAAAAGGATTCGATCCTGGACGTTGTGAACAAAAAACACGTGATCTTACCACTTGACCATTTCTGACACAAGAAACTTTACCCAATATTTTTCAATGAAGCTCAAATCTCACCTGTTAGTTTTGTTCTACCCCCCTCCCCCAAACCTCAAAATAAACTAACTTGACTGGCCTGTTCCGTGAAAAGGTGTAAATTTCTTTGAATGTCCTGCCCAAACGAAATATCTTCTTGATCGGAAGCCTGAAATTTCTACATTCTTTTTCTCAAAATCTTCGCCTTTTGTTAAACTTACATCAGATAATGGCAATTGTGGATTTGATGGGATCCCTGCATTCTGTGACGGTTGTCTCTGAAAAATAAGACAATTAAAAAATGTACCAAATCAGCCCATTAATAATACTTTCTGCGCAGAAAAAAACCAAAAAAAAAATGATTCAATTCGAAAAAAACGTTCAATAAATAGTTTCTTTTCAAATAAAAAGCATATATATATATATATATATAATATATAAATCTCTAACCATCTCTCTATTTCCCACACTCTCTCATCTACCCTGCAAAAAAAAACAAAATAAACACGCTAAACAACGCGCACGCTGAGTATCGTTGTTTTTCTTTTATTTTTTTCACGACATTTTTATTTTTTGATTTTTTTTCTCGTTTTTGAGTGGTTTTTTTCAGCGCGGAAAGTGTTATTAATTGGGTGATTTGGTACATTTTTTTAATTTTCTTATTTTTTTCAGAGACAACAGTCACAGAATGCAGTGGTTTCATCAAATCCACAATTGTCATTTTCTGATGTAAGTTTAAGAATAGGAAAAAAATTTTGAGAAAAAGAATGTAGAAGTTTCAGGCTTTCGAAAAAGATGTTTCGTTTGGACAGGACATTCAAAGATATTGACAACTTTTCACGGAAAGGGCAAGTCAAGTTAGTTTATTTTGAGGTTTGAGGGGGGGGGGGAACAAAACTAACAGGTGAGATTTGAGCTTCATTGAAAAATATTGGGTAAAGTTTTTTATTCATAATCACTATTGTTAAAGGAAAGTTGTTTATAAACTACTATGTTTAAATCATTAGATGAAGCTTTGGATTACACTTGATGGTATAGGATTAGCTTCCAGATTTCATTGAAAAACAAACTATGAAATATTTCATAGGTAGATTAATTTTTTCATAGTTTTATGCACGCGATTTCCATCTTTGTTTTGAATTTATTTTTTTTCTTTTATAGTCTATGTCTCATTAAACTTCACAATTTGTATTTCCAGGCGTAACTTTTTTAAAAGAAATCTTTTTTTCTTACGTCAGCTTAGCTGCGAAAAATAGGTTTTTCTTCTAAATTTAAATTTAGAATGTTTGAGGATTTTCTGACTGTTTCGCCTAGGGGCACCGCCCCTAGTAAATATCATAATTTCATGTTGTTCAAAAATTCAAAAAAATACAAAAATATAGGATCTTTATTTCATCAAGAAGTAAAACTTATACGAGATCTGGTGTACTAAAAGTGTATAGGTGTTAGTGAATTTCCAAAAAATAATTGTATAATTATGCTATGATCGGTGAATATTCTCCAAATTCTCGTCTTCTAAACATCAATTCATTTCCAAACATTGGTCTAATAATCAATTCAGCAGCAACTCTCATTTGATCCGTCCTTAGTTTTGCTTTTACTTTCAATTTTTTCAAAATCATTGCTAATATACATTTTTCTTCCATCATAGCAAATCTCATTCCAATACAATTTCGACTTCCAGCCGAAAATGGAATATAAGCATACGGATGTTTTAAAACTCCAGAAATAAATCTTTCCGGATCAAAAACTTCTGGATCGTCCCAATATTTTGGATCTTTATGAACCATTGATGGAACCATTACAACAGCAGTTCCAGCGGGTAATGTGTTCCCTCGAATTGTGATATCTTCAACACATTGTCGAGCAATCAAAGGAACTGATGGATACAGTCTCAAAGTTTCCTTGAAACATGCTTCTAAATATTTTAATTTTCCAAGATCCTCATAAGTTATCGGTCGATCAGCTTCTCCCAAAACATCATCGATTTCTTGTTGAACTTTTGATTGAATATGTGGATTTGCACCCATTAAATGAAGGAACCAATTCATTGCAGCAGATGTTGTATCATGCCCTATATAATATTTCATTTTGAAATCCTAATAGAATAATTAACTTACCTTCAAACGTGAAAGTGTCAACTTCTTCACAAATTCCTTCCATCGGCAATTCTCCTTTTGAATTCATATCCAACATCAAATCCAAAAATGCCATTCTTCTTCTTCCTTCAGCAGTTTCTTGAGCTAATAATTGTTCAACTCCTCCCGCGGCATCAACTTTTGCTTTTCTTTCATAAATCGCTTTGCTTGTGAATTCATGAAGAATTTTAACACATTCATTGTGCTCTTTTCCAGGACCAAGAATATTGAAAAGTGTATCGGAATAATAATGTGGACGAATCAAACGATCAAATACAATCTCTTTCATTCTATAAAAAGATTCGACATTTCTAATTTAACTTGAAAAAATCTCACCTGAAAACTGCATCTAAATATGGAGAATGTGGATTCTTTTGTGCATTTATAGATGTTCCCAACGCTGCTTCACAAATAACATCCAAAGTGCAAAGTGTTATTGTATGGAAAATATCAGTGTATTCATCTGGTTTTTTATCAGCAAGAGCTTCGAATTTTGAGAGAAGAGTTGAACCGTGACGATTGTAAACCTGCAAAAATCAGAGTTCAAAAAACTTTGACAAATTGAATTCACCTCCACAAAATCTTTCAAAATATCGTAGTGAAAAGTTGGTGTCAATAGTTTTCGACGAGGTCGCCATTTGTCAGGTTTTCTGAAATTTTCAGGAAATTTATATCGAAGTTTTTCAGATTTTTAGATAGAAACTTACGCAATTAACAATCCTTGTCCAATCCACGCACTCAAAAATTGATACAAAAATGGTTTATTAAGCATTTTCGGACTTCCTAAAACTGCTTCAACTTCTTCAGCTCCATATAAAATAACAAATGGTAATCCAGATAACCAAATTCTAGTCATTCTAGTGTCTCCTCTTCTCATCATATATGAAATACCTTGAGCTTGTTCGAAAAATTGATCAGGAGCAAAATGGAATTGATGGAAATTTCCAAGAAATGGAAGAGCCGCGGGCCCTTGGAATACCGTAAGCTTGTCATAAATGAATTTGATTTTTCGGAAAGCAAAAGATATGAGATAAGTTATTGTCAGCACAATTAATGTGGCTGTAATAACACCCATTTTGACCCTGAAAAAATGAATATTCGAGGTTTTTGAAGGTAAAATTGGAAAAATAAAAAACGGTCAAAAAAAGGAAAAACACCTAATAAAATGGGTCATTTAGCAATGTTTGTTTTTTCTTTTTAGTCGGATTCTATAAAAAAATAAAACTACTAAAGTAAGTAAGTAACTGGTTCATGTTCGATTGATTTGATTAAGAGGAAAAGGAAGAGGAGAAAAAGAAACTGCGAGATTTTTATGGATTTTTTGGTTGCGAAGATAAAAGCAAATGAAACTGGGTCTGGGTTTGAAGATCTTTGAGTTTAAACAGTTAGGAAGTAAAAAATGAAGTGATATTCAAAACAATTATTATTTTTGCGTGATCTCTCAAATAGAAATTTAAAACCTCATTTCCAGAAATGTTGCAATTACAGTAAGCTGACAATCAAATCATCAAACCAGAACACATCAACAACTATTTTAACCTGCAACATTTCTCTAAAACCATCAAAAATCTTTGAGATCTTATCAGAAAATTTTCATGAAAAAAATGCATTGAAAAAAATTCGGAAAAGGCATAGACGATTTTTCGGCGACAATAATCAATCAAAACACGGATTGAAAAGATGAATGCAAGAAACTTTTATGAATTATCATCGCCGATAAAATAAATATTATGGAAAAGTGGTACCAAAACATGACCTTGTAATTGTAACAACAAGACTTGGGATCATCTTGTTCTTTTTCTTTTTTCTCTTTTTTATCCATGTCTTCGTTTCTTTTCACAGATATATCAAAGAGGTCACTTTCGATTCGCTTGTTTCACATTACATCTATTAAAAAGTAACAAAAAACTGTGTGTAGACTTTTGGAAAAGATTAATTTTTATTTAAAAAGGAAGTACTTGTTTTGCCCTTTTGGTCAATGATTTTCTGACCAACATCACATTTGATTTTTTAATTGTTAAAATTTGGAAATATCGCGGAGAAATATGAGGAAGTTTTGGATAATAGAGACTACATCTGATATAATGTAGCCTCCATCAGTTTGAAACCTAAAATGTACTGGGCGGTCATCAATCAGACAATACAAAACAGGTTCTGTTTGAAATTCTGAAAAAGGTACTGTAGATATGAAACATTTTTTTAATGGAAAAGATGAGCTGATACTCATTGCAAATTTTTCAAGTGTCCGAGATTCGAAAAATCAGAACTGAAAAAAAGTTATACCGTGGCAGTGCTGTCGGTTATCCCAAAATCGGACGGAGAAACACTATTACTGGTTTACATTTCAAGAGGATCTATTTTCATGAATTTCATAAGTTTCAAAAAACTTAGGTTTGAAAAACAATTTTCAATCTGTGAAAGAAATTCAATATTTGAAATACTCGGTTTCGCTGCCATGTGATTTTTGTTTTACTGTTAGAAGTCTGTGATACTAAAATTATAAATTCAAAAATTAACGTAGGAAGGAATAAAAAGTAAACTTTTGGAAAATTCTTGAAATAATAAATTTTGTTGAAAAATGAGTGGCTTAAAATACAAAATACTTCAAAACTCTGAAAAGATGCCAATCATCAGTTGAAAAATAAATAACGTTGAAAACTGAACAAAAATCAAAAATGAATACATATAGATCAAGGAAAAAGTTGGAGGAAAAAATGTATGTCAGTTTTTGGAGTGAAGAGAAAATAGGATGGATCGTCTAGATGGTTATCTTGGTATCCTCTCCTTATTCTTCTTCTTCTTCTTCTTCTTCTTCTTTTCATTATTCTTTTCTTATTCAATTCTGTTATCGGATTCGAACCAGATTCCATTTTGGCGATAGAAAGAATCCGAGTTATTTTGTTGACGATTCGAATCGGCACGTTTTGTAATGATTTGAGGGTAATTCAAGGGTTGTGGTGTATGTATGTATGAGAAATTTTGCCTGAGTAGAATCAGAAGCTTATGTTGTTTACAAGATTTAGTATGATTTACTACTTCTCAAAAGTTGATTTACGAGTTGACAAGTTTCTTTTGAACTCTATTCCTCATTTTTTTGTGAGTATTTTGAGTCAGTCTTCCCAACAAAAACCAAGTCAAATAATTTTGTTTCACCAGACTTTGCGCTGATTTTATTGACGTAACTGAACTACGTAAACAAGAGAGTTAACACAATTACCTTTTCAGTTTTTTTCACATTCTAAAAACTCGTTAGTGTTTTTTCTTGGAACCCAATTATCAACACCAAACTAGAATGTATTTATTAAATAGCTCAATTACTTCTTTGAAAAACTTACAATAAAGTTCAGAAAAATAGAGAAAAAACACTTTGAGAGAAAAATGAGTGAAAGAAAATGTTAAAAGAAGACGTTTTTTTTGTAAATTTTAGGGGAAATTGAGAATATTGGCACCAAAAATTTTGAAATAAATATATTACTAGACAGTTTCTACAGATGGTCCAAAAAGTGCATAATTTAATTTGTTAATGAAAAAATAGAAAAATTATTTATTGTGCTGGTGGAACACTTCCATCAGTTGGTCCTTGTGCAGCTTGTGCAGCAGCAACAGCGGCATTTGGATCCGATTCTTGATTTGCTCCTGGGATTATTTTACCGATTGCCTGTTGAGCTTGGCTCGCATATCCTTTGGTTGCGTCAGCTGAAAATATATATTTCTAAAGGATTTTCTCGACAAAAAATATGAGAAAAGAAAACAAAAACAAACCGGCTGTCGAGAGCACATCTTTGGTTTTGTCGAAAATTGAGCTCAACGCGTTTTTCTGGAAAAATGGAAATTTTCTTCTTTTTTCATATATTATGGAAAGGGGGGTTAGAAGAGCAGCGAAGAGCACTTTTCGCTTTTCATTTTTACTTTTTTTGGATGAAAAAAAAAAGGAAAAAGGAAAAAGAAAGACGAGGTGGATTGACTGACTATATAAACGTCGGAAGTTGTGAGAAGACAGAAAACATTTCAGATGATGAACATTTTTGGAAACCAAAATAGTTTCACAAGAAAATTCTAGGAAGTTGTTTTTTCATGATTCTTAGGGGCTTCCATTTGTTTCAAAATGTATTTATTTATTTCAGTATCAGAAAGCTTTGAAGTATTTAAATCATTCAAATTTTCAGGGACATTCCGAGAGTATAGAAATTTGCTATTTTTAATTTTCTATCTCTAATTAGCCCACAAAGTCCAGAGCCTTATGAGAAGTGCAAATTCATAGATCTAACTAGAATCTGCAATCTTGAAATTCCCATACTCCCCGCGCAAAAATATCTTACCGCAGCATCAGCCATTTTGTAGTAGTAGTGGTGTTGTGTTGTTTTTGTGTATGTGTGCACAAAAGAGCAGAAGAAGAAAAAGAAGAAGCTCAAAAAAGGAGGTGGAGCTCTCTCGGTGTCTCTATCGATTTTCGACTGACGAAAAAGGGCCCCGGAGCTCTGCTCGAATGTGCTCTCTATATGTGTTTTTTTCTTTTTTTTTCCTCTTCTTCGTTTTCGCCTCAAAAAGGAGCACAGAAAAGGAAGAGCCAAAAACACATCGGATGGGATAATGACATTAAGTTAGACATCCATACATTCATAGATAGAGAAAGGATAGGATGAGCATATATATATATATTCGTATGTATGTGACTGGCTAAAAAACATAGAAGAGCTGAGCATTTGATGAGCACAAAAAAATGTGGGTCTTTAATTATACATACAAATTTTGTTGACTATTTTTGGAGAGGGCTTGGGAAACAATCCAATTTTTTCGAGGGATGCTATGAGAACCTTGATGTTCAAAATCACAAATTTCCGATCGTATCAAAACAAGTTTCACTCTCCAATATCACATGTTCCATCTAGCTCTTGAAAAAACATGGATATTTTTTGAGAAAATATATCTCCCTTGAGGATATTTAAACAATTTTCAGAAGTAAGTAAATTCTACAGATCACACAGTTTTAATAATATGGAATTCTTCCTGGGGTTTAACTATCGCTAAAAATATTCAAAAGTACATTAGCAAACTAGGAAAAAAAACACAAATCCTAATACAAATCCTTATTTTCGAAAAAAAATAGAAGAATGATAGGAGTTGAGACAATTAATCTTATCTGGAAAAATAATGTTGATCTTCGTCGACTTATATTTTTGGGAAAGAAACTACACTATAGTCACCGGATCTGTTTAGTCACTCAGTTTTTCTGATGAGGACGGAATCTGAACTTTTTGTTGAAACAGAGAAAAAAGAAAGATCAACAATCATGGAAGACCAAAGGCACAAATAATTCAATTTGTCTAAATTCATGTCAAACGTTCAGCTTTGAAAAAAACCATTTTTGAAAAATTCAAATTAAAATTCCCTATGAGCGGACCAAATGTATGGATTCAATTTATCAATTTTCTCAACTAGTCATTGACATCTCAGGAAAAATATCAGTGGCGGTGCACTTTTCTTATGTTTGGACTAATATTGAAAAAACTTGTCAGAATTTCGGTGTTTCGGAGTTTTTGAACTGTCACTGGACACACTTTGCTTTGGTATTGTACGGCTATTGTTTCGCTCTACAACGTCGCGGATCCTCAATCAAAATTTAGGACAATCTGGAGCAATTCGAAAGCTTTTAGCATTTTCTAAATTGAAGTCTATTTACTTTTTTATGAAGAAAATTCTGATTGTGAATGTGACTTTAATTAACTCTAACTTTTTTTTTTACTGAATATCTATTAAACACAAATAATTTCATGAAAAGTTTTTGCTCAATCTTTGCTCTTTCTCATCTGAAATTTGATTCCGTCTCCATTTTTCCTCATTTTTCACGAACAACTTTTTTTTGAATAAAGTTTATTATTTATCATCTATTTTCAACCAATAATCGAAAAATTGTAATACTCAAGAAAAAAGAAATACGGAAATTGTACAACAAGTGATGATACAAAAAAATAATTAGAATCTACTGAAAAATATGGCAATCTGGGTCGTTGTGAATTGTGGAACAAGACAAAATCAAATGTACTACGTAAAGGGGAGGATAGGGTTTGAATGGAAAAATTATAACAAGGGAAAAAAGGATATAAGATTGGTAAGATTTAAAAGTACGCAGTTTTAGACGAAAAATCGGAAAATCGAAAAAAACATGCACCCATTTTTTGTTTCCGATGTTTTATAAAAAATCATATGTTTCGGAAAAAAATGTCAGAAAAGTGCCACTTTTATGATATAATTTACGATCGAACATAGCGCTTATAAAATTGTTATTTTTTCATTATTCCCATTGATTTTAATTCAAACCTAATGATTTGATCCCGGCACAAAACGATGTTTTTGAAAAAAAATGAAAAAATTATTTTAATTTTCAAAAAACGTGACCTATTTTGAAAATCTGACAAATTGATTCCGGCTCAAATCGTTAGATTTCGAAAATCCAACCGAAAATTTTCTGTACATGTATTTAGCATGCAATAAACACATGATAAGTTTTCAAAACGCGTTTTATTTATCGCCCAAAACCACACTGAAGTAATTTTGAGACATTTTCTCCAACAAAAAAACGGCGAGATAAATATATTTCAAAAAGAGAAATGACGAAATCCAACAAAAATACGTAAAAAGATAATACGTGTCACACGTTTTCTGGTTGGTTTTCGTCATTTCTTCCTTTTTAGCTGACTCATGTCGTTGTCTATTCTGAGACGAGATGTGTTAAAATGGTTTCTGATGATTTTCTGAGAATAGAGAGCAAACAAAAAGTTTTTTTTCTGAAAACTTATCATGCAATGAATTGCAAAACAAATGAAAACGATTTTTTGTCGGATTTTCCGAATCTAACGTTTTGAGCCAGGATCGAATCGTTATATTTTCATTATTTTGAGGTCACGTTTTTTTCTTCAAAATTTTGTCTTTGTTAAAAAAAATAACGATTGGTTCGGGATTAAATCGTTAGATTCAGACAATAAATATAAGGATTTCATTTTTAATAAGATACATCAGAAAATTTGTTTGTTTTTCATCATAAAACAACAAGATTTACCAAATAAATATTTTCATTGATTTTTAAATTTGAATCTAATGTTTTTTTCCATTTTCCGATTTTTCGTCTAAAACTGCGTACTTTTCAAATCTTACCAATCTTATATCACTGTGAAATTTTGAAAAAAAAACGGGGGAAACATCGGGGAAGAAACGATACTCCATTAGAAGTTCTGCTGTTGTTGTTGTTGCTCTTGCCAATACTGATCAAATTGGGCAAATGTCAAATTTTGTGTAGGATAATTGAAATCACTAATTGGCATTTGACGTTTTGCTGGTGGGGACATACGCTGAAAAATGAAAGATCAATAAGATAAAAAAAAAAACAACTTCTATACAAACCTCTACAGTAACAGGTCTGGCAGCTGGCATCAATGGTTGAGTTGGTTGAAAATCTGGGAGATCATAAAGAGCTGCCAAATAATCATCGCATTGAAGGAATGGTGTTTGAAGAGAACCATCGCCAATTTGAAGCATATCACCAGTATCAACATATGGAGCATAGTTATCAGAGAAATCGGGAGCTTCGAATGGAATATCGTCTGAAAAATTGGATATTGAATGAGATCTATGTATAGGGAGAAGTTCTGAGGGAATCTCTAAAAAATCTGAATTGGACCCGAATACTTATGGCTTTAGTCGTAATTCTCAGGTGTGATTCAAAGTTTTCAATTCCTAAATTGTATCTGAAACTCACCACAAATAGCATCTTGATAATTTATTTGCGCAGTTTGTGCTGCTGGCCGAATGCTTTGTTGGGTATTGTCAGTGTTGGTAGCAGGCATAGTGGTGAACAAATCGGTTTGCGGCGATTTAGCACATCCCAACCCAGCGGACGGCACATCGAGATGATCTGATGGCGAAATGGCGGAAAAGCGTCGTGTCGAATTATCCGCGACATTTGTGCCACCGACGACATTTCCAATGTCGCCGTATGCGCATCTGCCAGTTTGGACACTCGTGGGACTTCCCAATCCGCACTGTGACAATCCTTCGGCAAGCGGTGAATAGTGTCGAGCGTTGCTCGAGTTGCTCGAACTTTGCGCTCTTCTTGTTGGATAGTTGCTCGGCGATGGTGTTGTTGTTGAGGAGGCGGAAGTCGACGCTGGTGTGAAATCGTAGGATGAGAGTGTGTGATGTTGGGATCTTGATCGTGGATTGGAGCGAGACGATGAATCCATGAAAAGGGCTGACGAGAGAGCGGGATCGTTTGTTTGCGGTGCTGTTGTTGGCACCCGTCTTGATGATCGTTGAATCGGTGCCGGGCTGCTTGGCTGGTCGCGAAAAAGCCATTGTAGAACGTCATCGAAGCTACTCTTACGCGGTCCTGAAAATATTGATTGATTGTTTGAAATTATGATAAAGGAAATCAAATAGAGTTCTATTAATTGGTCTTATTTTCAAGACTGAACCGGCTCAAATAAAAAAATAAATTTATTTAAGAAGGTGCAAACAAAGATGTGAGAAGAAGACGGACTTACTTGATATTGACAAGGTCAAGGAGACACTAGGTTCATGTTTTTTATTTCACAAAATTCACCTCCTCAACCTCATCAACATCAGAATCCATGTTATCAATTTCTTCCTCTTCTTCTCCTTCTTCTTCCATCATTTGCTCATATTTTTGTTCATCAAAAGGTTCAAGATCTCTCCACTCTAACTCTTCCGAACTCTCACTTGATAAATCATCATCAACTTCCATACGCATACATTTTCCATAAACCCGTTGTTCATACTCATCAGTTACCGAGTAAATGCCTAGATGTATTATTTTCTACTCTCAGTTCTTTTCTGTTTCTCTTCAAGTTTCTATACCGTACTTACCCATATCTGATTTATCTGAAAATGCTGGCACAGGTTCCAATGGGCACATCTCAAATGGCTCATCTCCAATCAATGGTGTAAAATCAACACATTCCACAATTTCAGGTTGTCTTCCGATATAATCACGTGTATCATCAATTTCTTTCTTGATATCAACTTGTACTCCAGCAGGCATTGCATCAGTTGAAACAACAAGTGATTCTTCGGCCCCTTGGATTCTGCAAAAATGTAAGGTTTCTGTTGATAATTTATCAACTTTCTCAATTTGAATCCAATTGTACGATTACAACACGTCAGATTCAATAACAGTTTAATGTAAACTGTTGTTGACACAACGCCCACAATGCTCGCTATAAAAGAGCTCAACTTTATTGTTTTTTATCTTTCTTTCTATTTAAAATGTAGCTAATAAATCTATTGTTATTTCAATCGTGGTGTATAATATTTTACATGGTGCATCGACCTAATTGGTGGTCGATTTCGAGAAGAAGACCCGCGTGGCAGGACGAAAAACACCAACGAGTAGAAGTAACGTCGAATGAAAACGAGATTGGAGAGTGAAAAGTCATTATCGAGGACACAAGGAAATGATTGAACACCGAGGCTTCAATATTCCACTCAATAATGAACCAAGCAAGCCGTCACTAAACGATTCGAGTCGAGTTCGATATGTAGTTATTGGTCTACGAAGAAGATCCCTCAGTTCAGATAATTCGAATCTGGATGAGGTAAAACAATGTCAATTTCTCTCTTTGTGGTGGGGAGGGTTGACTCAACATCAACTTCATGATATGTGGCAGCTCAACAAAACTGCACATAATGCAAAGTCCTACACTTGGGTAGGCAATCTGGACATAAACGATTTATGGCCGAACACATCGAGTGGTATTCCGATCAAAGGAAACGAATATCACAAATCCTCAAACGACAATATGGTCAAGCACAGAACCTGTCGTACATCAACAAAGTGGCAAACCAGATCACTAGTATTGGTTCCACTCAACTCAACCACATCAAATCGATCAACTCAACCAACTATTCAATTTTGTGAGGCGGGAATGTTGATAATTTATCAACTTTCTCAATTTGAATCCAATTGTACGATTACAACACGTCAGATTCAATAACAGTTTAATGTAAACTGTTGTTGACACAACGCCCACAATGCTCGCTATAAAAGAGCTCAACTTTATTGTTTTTTATCTTTCTTTCTATTTAAAATGTAGCTAATAAATCTATTGTTATTTCAATCGTGGTGTATAATATTTTACAGTTTCAGAAAAATCTTCGAACTCTTGAAATGTGTCAACAACAAAATCCGATTAAAGATTAACATGAAACTAATCAAGCATGAAAAGTGGATTAGCCGAGTCAGCTTTTTTAAAAATAGATCTTTGTGATTCTTTGAACTTACCCCAACACAAAATGCACACAAATGACATATTGTCCTTTTTGCCCTTTAGTTGTATGTGAGATTGTAGTTGCTTCAGTTTGAACCCAAGCAAGGGTATTATTTGCAGCAATTAAACGATAATAAGGTGTTCGAGTGTGCCCTTTTTCGAATAATTCTTTCATTGATTTTGAAACAATAACCATATCTGCTGGATGCACCAAATCATAAAAACTTGTTCCCATCAAAGATTTCAACTCGCTTCGAAGAATATAATTGAAACGATCCGAAACAAATGAGATTCTCATATCACAAGTATGTCGAGTCATAAATGCTCCATTTGGTGTATCAGAAAACTGAAAAAATGTTTTTTTTGTTGCTTTTTTCTTTCAAAAAATGATATGTTTTTTTCTGTGTTTCTAATTTTGAACTTGAAAATTGGAAATCCCTTTTCGACCAAGGTTCAACACTTGTTTCATAGAATAAGATGAGGGAAAAAGTTTCATCTTCTTCTTTTTTCTGACGAGAGCAGCAGGCGCCTCAATCAATTCGTCTTGCACTTTTCTCTTCTCTTTTTCCATACTTCGTAAGGAATTGAATTGTGAGAAAACGAGAGAAGAAGTTCAAAAGATCACCTTTGTAACGGATGAAGCATTTGCATTTATAGAACCCTGTCCAGCAGGAATAGTAACACCTTGCATTATGAAAACATGACCACCGGCTGATTGTTTTGAATGGATGAGGAATGAAACCGGCTAAAAATATGAGCTATTTGAGTTTTCAGAAAAATCTAAACTCACTTTAAAAAGTGCGCTTTTCAAATTCAAACATCTTCCTCTTGGACTTATCACAGTTTTCATACGAAAAACCGCATTTGCTCCTTCTTCCGGACAATTTGTTATTTTCAAAAGTTCATCATAATCTGCAGGATGCAAAAATTCTTTCAAAGTTCGACCAGTCAAATCGGTTTGAGTTAATCCAAGATAAATCGCAACACTTTCAGTGACATATAAAATAGTTGAATCACTATCCGCAATCATCACAAATCCATCCAAACATTCACTGATAACATCTTCATTCCAAACATCTCCTATTTTTTCAGCTTCAAGAGTTGTTTCCAAAACATTCGATGCTGTTTTTCTCAATCGACATACAGTTGCAGCAACTCGAAGCAATGCAATTCTATCAAGATGAGTAACAGTTCCTTCTTCTACAATTGGAACAACTTCACGTAAATCTCCAAAAATATCAGCTTCTTTTCCACGTCGATCTCTTGCCGCATATCTCGAAGTTTCTCTTCGACGTTCCATATTTCTGAAAAAAAATAATAATTGGCCATTAAAAATTCAATCATGACGTTTTCCAGCAATTATATATCTTTTTGAAACTAAAGATCAGAAAAACGAACCTTTCTAAAATTGGATTAGGGTAATTATCATCAAGTTAGAAAATGATGATTGGAATTAGATAAAAATGATGTTCGACCTACAGAATGATTTCAAGTGATTTTTGAAACTGGTTTTCTGAATTAGTTAACTACCGTAGTTTCTTTCGTCAACCGAGATTTTATGATTGGATCATTTTTAACAGACCATTTTTAATAAATGCTTTTTCTTCAAAAGAAACACTTTTGAAAAAAATTGGTACACGTTAACGGAAAAAAAATCATTTTCAAAAAAAGTGAAATTATAAAAACTCCTTAAAAAACTACAGTAATTTGAAAACTTCAGCAATGACGCAATAATTCATAATCCACAGTATTCTCTAATTTCATAAATCTAAACCCCCTAATGTTTTTCGATCTCATCATTTTCTGTTAAAATTCATTAGCAATTCTACCGTAATCTTATTTTTTCAAGCAATCGGAAATTTGAATTTCCTCACCTCTTCCGATTGTCTTCCATTGTAGATGTTGTTGAGTCAGGAGCCCCTTCCAGGGACTATTCGCAATAAATTCTGAAAAAAAGAACAATGTAGTTTGTAGTGAAAAAGAGTCACATGACATGAAAAAACGACAGTTGTTATTGTTTGTCAGTGCACTTCGGAAGATGCAACATTTTTCGACAATCAAAAACAAAATACAAAAATCGAGGAGAACAGAAAAATAATTCAGTGAAAATTTTCAGAGCGGGAAAAAATCAAGGTCAATTAATATTGAAAATCCCTATAAAATCAATATAATTATCGGTATCTAGAAAATGGGCAAAACGAGAAAAAGAAGACACAACATCAGATGAAAAATGATAAGAAAAAGAAGAAAATGAGAGAGAAGGAGGATGAGAGACGCAGACATGTCTCTGTTTCGCTCTCCTTTTATAGAACAAAAAAAATGAATGTGTTATGCTGTTGAAAAAATGCAATGTTTTAACAAGATTTTTTTCAAGAAGAGTGAAAAAAGAGCATCAAAAAAGGAGGAGAAAAGGAGGAGGAGGAGGAGGAGCAAACGAGTATCACATATTTTTTAATTGGATGAGAATGTATTTGGTCAGCGAAATACTCTGAAAAATAATGAGGGGTTTCTAGATTGATCTTTGTAAACCTGATTTTTAAATGCAAAATAATTACTACTTAAAATGTATAATTTTGAAAAATTACTTATTTCAGAAAATTTTAATATAGACGATTTACAGACTAATTTTTGGACCTAGAGAACTTGATGTTATTTTTTAAAGGAATAGCTGGTCCCGTATCATATATATTAAAATTCAAACATCCCAGAGACATAACTCAAAAGCCTAAAATTGGATCAATTTTTCGAAAATGCGAAACTTATGAATGTCTTTTTTTACGGGTTCGGATGACTTCAAAAAAGGCCGAATTTTGGGGTTCGATACAAAGTGTGGACTTACTCATTCAAAGCTGGCTTCATCTACTATAATAGTCTAAGTCTTAGATTAACCCATATCAACTGAAAAAAACAAATAATATGAGTTGAGGTCTTTAATTTTTGAGAAGTTTCAAACATATTTGGAAGTTAGGGCCCTACAGTGATATATGTGGACTGCATTTTGCCACGGAATTTTTGATAGAACATTCACAGATTTTTTGATTTCTGAAGTGTGTTTTTATTCAAGAATCAGATGCTACGTATTAAAATAGTCTGGTGTGATTTTGTGAAACCAAATAAAAAATCGCTAAAAAATTTTGTTTTTATTTGTTTCGAAGTAATTAACAACTTGTAAGTATATATTCATTGGTCAAATTCTCAAAAACTTTACAATTTTTTTTGAGCAAAATAATTGGCAGTTTCTCGCAAAAATTCCAACTCTAATTACATATACATTTGCCGCATTTTTCCAACATGGCAAAAAAGACGAAGGGAACTAATTTTTAATCGCAACATCATATATTTTTCAAATGGATTCTAAGAATTTTCAATTAGGAGCGCAAGCGGATTACAAAATCAAAAGGGGATTAGTGCAACAAAAATGGCGAATCATAAATTTATGACACAGAGAACGTTTCGATTTTTTGTGTGTTGTTTGAGGAAAAAATCGATCGAGGAAAAATATGTTTTCAAAGAAAAAAGAATAAAGAAATAGGAGAAAAATATAATTTTATTGTATTTTTTGTCTTGTTCGATTCTGGTTTTTCTCTCAATTTTTATTTGAGAAAAAGATGAATTGCAAATTATTGATTCATTCAATTTAAGACGATTTTTTTTAGAAAAGAAGAAAGCACTAAAAAATATTTTGTTCCTTATTTTTCCGATGCAGTGTACTTTTTGTTTACGGCGGCAGAAATAAGAAATATGCTATGACGTTTTTTGGGGGCGCGCGAGAAACAAGGAAAAATAGACATGAGGAATTGGGATTCATGATAAAAATAAATAACTGACAAAAATAATGATGAATTGTAGTCTTCAGATTGTAATCAAAACAATTTGGGATTAAAATTTTTCAGAAGTACATTTAATATTTTAGACGGAAAAAAAAAGATTACAAGAAATCGGATCACGTGCCTCGATGTGAACACAAACCCAAGAAAAAAAATCGATAGCAACCTTTTTCTTCAATCAACAAAGTAAGTAACCAGAAAAAAAGAGAACAGAAAAAAACCTCTGTCAGTAGAAAAAGTACACACCAGGCGATTGAGAGACAAGTGACGCAGAGAAAAAAAAATGATGGACGGGCGGTTTATGTGTATGTTGTTGTTTGGATGTATTTCTGTGTGAATGAATGGGCGAAAAGAAAGATGGGTTAGAGTGCAACCAACTCTCGAGATGCAAAAAAAATGACGACTGGAAAATTATGGACAGTGAAACAGGGGTTTATGAATGTATGTATGCATTTTGGAGAAAAAAACGAAAGAGAAACATTTTTTCTCTTCGAAAAAATTGAGGACAAAAAAGTGTTCTTTGGAGTTTGATTATAGATGAAAAGTTGAAGTCTGAAGTTGCGACAAGTTTTAATTACATGTTTCAGAATTTTGAACTTTTTCAGAATCAAAATTGTATGTTTGAAAAATAAAAATTCTGAAAATCTTTCAGTTGCTAAAGAAACATGTTTTGAAACGGGCATAATGGGACCACAACTATTTTCAAAAAACATATTTCTAATTTTTAAGATCAAATTTCACTCGAAATTAATGTGACTTCAAATTTTCGGATTCTAGATTGAACCCGAAAAATTCTAACTCAGCAAAAATGTTGTATGATTATAAAACGTATGAAAAAAGTTCTACGAAATCAAAAAAAAAGATCAATGTCAACAACTCCAGGTGTTCATTACTTTGTTATTTTCGCAATTATGATTTATTTGAATATGTAATCAGTGTAGAGTTCTTGACTACGGCAATAACAATTTCTTATTTCCTAACCTCATTAGCTTTATTCACATAAATATTATTCAAAAGGGAAAAAAACTCGATAAACTTTACACTTTTTGTCGAATGTTCTAAAAACAAAAATGTCCTACGCAAAAAAAAAATATTTTTGACAAATAAAATAAACTTCCCGGTTGTTATTGACCTTTTGTTTTTCTGAAATCTCAAAATCGACATCTCGAATGACACAATTTAATGGTTTATTTATGATTTTGTTCTAAATGCGGCCGTAGATCAAATTTTCGATTCAACAAAAACGAGGGAAAAAAAAAAAGAAAACCGCTCCCCCGTAAATAGAACCAACCGTTTCTCGTTGACTCCAGCACCAACCATTTCTCGTTGACTTTCACAGGGGTGCCGCAACTCCTCCAATTTTTTTTTCTGAATCAAAACGATTAATTTCACTGGAAATGCTGAAAATCTTTGAAAAGGCGAAAAACAGAAAAAAAAAATGATGAAACACAATTGTGTGCCGCACTTGCAAAACCATGTGCGGCGCTTGCAACATTTGAATTTTTTGTTTCCCGCTTCCATTTCGATTACGGTAGCTCGCAAAGTACGTAATTTTTCAATGATAGTTTTTTACACCCTGGGAAAATGAGAACCAATAAAAATCAAAGAAATTGTAATAAGTCTGAAAAAGAAGAGGGAAATTGAATGACGAATTACTAAAACTTATTTATTTGGCTAATAAAGAAAAGAAAAAAAAAATAAATCAAATCAATAGAAATAAATGAGATGATAGGAATAATTTGGCATAAAGCCTGTCTTTTTTGTTTCCTACTATCTAAACTTCTTCTCTTTCTTCTTGTTTTAAAATGATACACTTGAATTATATGATGATGTTGGTTTTTTGGTTTGTGATGATTTGTCTGATCAGATTTTCGGTGAGTTGGGAGTGGAACATTTGGTAGAGTTAAATAAAAACTCGAAAAGTTATTTTTCAAAAAAACTGTGTTATTACTTGTCAATAAAACTTTAACCGTATTTCAGTCCGCTGCAAATCCCCCATCTCTTACTGAAATCAAAAATTTACAAAATCGCGAACTCGACGAAATCTTCGAATCTACAAAAACTGCAAATACACCAGAACCAGATCCAATTCCTTCAAACCTTGCAAATTCTGTTGGAAACTCTAATGGTAGATATAATCGACCGGCAAGTGGTCCGAGAGAAGTTCCTATAAATCATGGACATGCTTTAGCTCCGGAACCTGTTCCGATGATGCCAGATGGATTTTCAGATCTTGCACAACAAGGCGCAAATGTTTTTGCAAATGGCGCCACGGCTTTTTATAGGTGAGTAAAAAAAAACAAATTTCCATGTTGATGTAAAACAATGGGTTGCAGAGGTGCTGCCACAGTTGGTCAAGCATTCGGAATTCCACAAGGAAATTATCAGATGCCATTTTTATCACAGGCTGCACAAATTTTTGGAAGATGATGTAAGTAATATGAACACTTTTTCTTTTCACCTTGTTGCTCATAAATTATTCATCTGAAAATATAATTTTTTTCTGCAGATGTAAAAGAACTTTGGGGTGCGAATCAAAATACACATTTTATCTAAAATCTTTGTTATATGAGGGATTTCTCAGAGAATGTGAAAATTGAAGAAAAACTGTAAAAAGATTTCGGTACTGTTCTATCTGTAAACTCCTTTATAGTAACAAAATTTACAAAAGAACCGTTTATTGAATTGACATGTGAAAGACAGAGAAATTGTGATATGGGAACCGTAAATGATTGAATCGTATTGCTCATTTTAGTAGAACTTAGATTCTGAAGAATTTGGCCATTTTCGCTTTTGATGGATAAGCTCCACCACCTCCTCCAGCAGCTCCTCCGGCATATCCTTCACCTCCTGCGGCAGCTGGAGCTGGAGCAGCTTCAGCGGCAGGTGCAGCAGCTGCAGCTCCAGCATCTCCTCCATATGAACCACCAGAAGCAGCTCCAGCATCAGCAGCTGGTGCAGGTGCAGCTTCGGCAGCTGGAGCTGGAGCTGCTTCTGGTGCTGGTGCAGCAGCCGCAGCATCTCCTCCACCTCCAGAATATCCACCTGCTCCACCTGCAGCTCCACCAGCAGCTGCACCTCCTCCAGAATATCCACCTGCTCCACCTGCAGCTCCTCCAGCAGCTGCACCTCCTCCTGCATAATCACCACAATAGACAGAAACTGCCAAAATGCAAACAGAGAGAATCAAGAATTTCATGGCTGAAAAATCAGAAATTTAGAGTGAAAATTTTATTGGGAGGTATGATTACCTGTAGAAGTTTTTGTTCGAAAACAGTTGATGATTCTGAATGGTCAACACTGGGTTTTTATAGGAGTGAAAAATAATAGTTGAACTTGTTTTGGTTGGTTGTTAGGGTGAGAAAGGTGTGTAACAGTAGTATTTTTGTTGTAAAAAAGAACAAACAATCATTATTTTAAAATGTGTTTTGATTCCAATCTTTGATGTGGAAACAAATAAGAAAATGGTGGAAAACTTAATTACAAAGCTCTAGGAAGAATTACAGTAGTTGATCGGAAAATGTTAAAAAATTTTCTCTTCGCGAGTTTTCAGAAGACTTTGAAATTAAATTCCAACATCCCCTCGGAAATCTGATACAGATACATGTTTCCCTGTAATTGTTCAAAAACAAATTAAATTTTTTCTCAAAATTTCGCTCTGACAATTGGCTTTCGAAAAAATCTTCGACCTGGAGTTTCCAATTGAAAATTGGTTTAAATTTTCCGTATTTGGAATAGAAAGTCAGAAAAATTTCATGAGAACAAAATACATTTGCTAAAAAAATAATTTTTGATGGAACTGATCATTCAGTTTGATTATTCAGAACTTCTCAGAATTTTTAGGGATTCTCACAATAATAGTTAAATTTAAACCATCTCGAGAAATATACTTGACTTCAAATCAATTTTTGATTTATTTATCTTCAGATATTTGTTTTCGACATAATTGTTCAGAATTGCAATTGTCTATACTTCACACATTTGACACCCATAGAAGTCTTTTCAATATTCGCGATGTTCGTAGGTATTCGTGTTTGTTTGTGTTATTTTGTAATCATTGTTACAGTCACCTTGTTTTGTTCCAACTTGACTCTTCATTTTCACTTTTATTTCATTTTTTTAAAACAAAATACCAATACCAGTTTTCTAACACCTATAAAAATGCAGCGTTGACCATTCAGAATCATCAACTGTTTTCGAACAAAAACTTCTACAGGTAATCATACCCCCAAAAAGTTTTAACTCTAAATTTCTAATTTTTCAGCCATGAAATTCTTGATTCTCTCTGTTTGCATTTTGGCAGTTTCTGTCTATTGTGGGGATTATGCTGGAGGAGGTGCAGCTGCAGGTGGATATTCTGGAGGTGGAGGAGATGCTGCGGCTGCTGCACCAGCCCCAGCCGCTGAAGCTGCTCCAGCTCCAGCTGCCGAAGCTGCACCTGCACCAGCTGCTGATGCTGGAGCTGCTTCTGGTGGTTCATATGGGGGAGATGCTGGAGCTGCAGCTGCTGCACCAGCACCTGAAGCTGCTCCAGCTCCGGCTGCCGCAGGAGGTGAAGGATATGCCGGAGGAGCTGCTGGAGGAGGTGGTGGAGCTTATCCATCAAAAGCGAAAATGGCCAAATTCTTCAGAATCTAAGCTCTACTAATATGAGCAATACGATTCAATCATTTACGGTTCCCATTTCACAATTTCTCTGTCTTTCACATGTCAATTCAATAAACGGTTCTTTTGTAAATTTTGTTTCTATAAAGACGATTCAAGAGTTTACAGAGTGAACAGTACCGAAATTTTCAGATATTCCGTTATTCATTATTCCGGTACACATTTATTTCGAAAACTGCCTTTCTTATGAAGTCTCGTTTTTTACTTGGACAAGTTGTTACCTTAAACTTCTGAGAAATTCTGAAACGAGTTGTGATCCAGAACATAAATACTGAAGAACGACACTCTTAGATATTGACTGTTCTTTGCTTGACTTCTGGAATTTCGATCTTGCCTGCTGGAAAAAATCTCAAATTCATAAAGAAGTAACTGGATATTCTTTTAGTAATAAATAATAAAAATATTGTTCTCCTAGTTTTTTTCTTATTTTTTTTCTCGAAAACGAAGAAAAGCAAAAACAATATTCAAACGAATGAACCGACCGACAGAATAAGAAGAGCAGCCAAGTAATAAATAAAACATTTGACAAAAATATTTATTTTTATATCCGAAAACTCTCTTCTATTTTTTTCTCTTTACATTTTTTTCGTGTGCGCGAGAATCCTCTCCTAATCAAATTGCTGGACACATCTTCTTCTTCTTCTTTTTTTTGCTCCATTTTTCTTTCTACACACACATAGCAGAATCATCATCATCCACCCCATTCGATTTTTCTTCTTCTTCTCGTCTTCTTCTTTTACTAGTTTTTGAATTTTTTGCGGTTTGTTTGTTTATTTTTTTCTTCTACTTTTCCTTCCTTTTTTGGGGCTCTCTTCATTTGAGACTTTACTTTCTTTTTTTCATATGTTCTGTTCCTTTTCTTAAAAATACATAATGTTCACCATTAATTTTTATGTGTGTTTTTGAAGTAAGAAAAATAATAATGATAAAATCTCGAAAACATAACAAAAGATAGAGATATATATTTTTTTATAATTATAGATTTTCAGAGTCAGATGTTTTTTGAGACCAGATTTTTTCAGCTTTTTGAGATTTTTTTAGAGCTGTATCTTTTTTTACTAACTCGAAAAAACCTATAATTAATTCTAAAACATTGTTACTCTCGAAAACTTCTCATTTCAAACTTTAAATTTTTTTCGAATTTCTATAACTCTTCTAAATCTCATTGTTCGTTTTTAAAGAAAAAAAAGTTTCTTTTTGAAATAAATGTTTTCTGTAATTTACTTTTGAATACTAACAAATTTTAATTCGTAAAATTTTTTTCAAGATTCAAAAATTCCCTCTTCCACGCCTAATTTTTCGTTTTTTCTCATTTTTTCGAACTCAAAAAAATTTAGATGCAAATTATTTTTAAAAAATCTTTTGTTCTCAAAAAATCAGAACTTTTTTCTCAACTTCTCCAACTTTTAAAATCTTTCGTCGTTTTTCCAATTTTAAAATACCACTTGAAAATCTCATAACTCATTTTCAAATTTTTTGCATGCTCCAAAATCGCGTCTCCAAAAACTTTTTTTTTATTTTCCCGCCAAATTTTCTCTTTCTTTCTTCGTGTGTGCACAACATTTTTGCTCACAGCTTCTTCTTCTTCCGAAATCAATGAAAACAATTCTCTTGAGAATTGACCTCCTTTTTGTCTAGCAAAGTGTACCAAAAATATTTCCTGGAACAAGAGAACCCCTTTTTATCCGATTTGAAGGGATCCCACAATCCTTCTCTGCGTCTCTCACACTCTCACACTTTTTCTTATTTTTTTCAGACCGATTTTCTAAATAGAATATCTATCTATCTAGCCAAGCGAGCTGAAAAAAATCCACATAAATTAACCCGTCGTATTTTTCTTTTTTTTCTGTGTTCAGCTTCTCGAGCTTCTTGAAGAAAAAAGGATGTGTTCCATTTTTTTGTCTCGTTTGTCTGCCCAAATTCATTTTCGACTCGAATTTCGTTTTTTTTTTCAATTTCTATTTTCATTTTGAATTGGGTCCCCTCCAAATTCTTTTCGTATTTAATTGAACATTTTTTCGGCACTCGCTGTTTTTTCTTCTTTATTTTTGTTGGACAAAATGACATTTCGTGACCTTTTTTCGAGAAAATTTCTATTTTCAATTTTTTTCTCACTGAAATTTAATTTTCAATTTCATCCTTTTTTCATTTTCAATTGTTTTCTGACACCTAGTTCTTCTCAAAATAATTAAGTTTTAGTTAAGCCGATTCATTAAAACTTTTTCTTGAAATTACTTTAAAAAAATTATGGAATCATTTTTGGAAAATAAGTGGGAATTTTTAACTGGGAGTTTCTGAATCGGAAAAATCGGAAATACTACAATCATACCACAAAAAAATAATCGAACAAGGCCTAATTCAGGCAAAAAATAGCCTTTAAATGTTTCTCAAAAAATCGTATCTGGTCGAATTCATTTTTGGTTATCTGATTTCTACTGAAAAAATGGTTATCTTGGTCCAATTAAATCATCGTAAAAATTGAATCCGATTCAAAATTTGCCAAATTTACTGCCCTATAATTTCCTACTGTAAAAATTTGATTCGAAAAAAATTGTCTTGAGATATTGTTGACTTTCATAAAAAGTTATTATGAACAGCTGAAACATGTTGTTTTTTCACTTTTCTCGAGAAAGATTTCCCGAAAAAACTCAAATTCATAACGTTACTTCAGTTATATATGATAATGCAATCTAAATTCTAAAAAAACATAATTTTCTTTCTAGATTTTGAATTTTTTATTTTTCGAAAGAATTTTAAATATGTGTTTTTTTTTTCAAAAGATTTGATATATTTTTTATGAAACGGACTTTAGAACAACTGTTTTCTTATTGTTCTAATCAATTCATTTATGTCATTTAAATAGGATGCTAGTCCAAAATGTATATTTATTGGAAATTACCGTATTTACCAAAACTTGTGGGTATTTTAAAATATAAAAACTCTTTAAAATTTAGAATAAACTTCTTGTATAGCTTTCAACCATATTTTCCTAATTAATAGTAGTGAAATTCAAAACCCGGGTAATTCGGAGAAGAATTTTAAAATTTTAATTGAAAGCGGAAGATGTTTCAGTTTCACTAAAAATAGTTTTTTTTGGAAAAGCCGGAAACTCTCAGAAATTGAAAAAATACAAATAATTGGTGATTAATATAATTAATCAGGTGAGAATGATTCATTTATACATATCAGGTCACTAAGATTTTTAGACCACAAAAAATGTTTCCCGGTAAAATAAGTTTAGTAAGAAGTTTCATTGTAAGAATCAGTTTCACAATATTTATTTTGTCTTATTTCACGTGAATGACTAGACTGATTACAAGAACGAACGAGAAGAAAAACAGATAGCCAGTGAAAATAATCATGGAAATAACCGGTTTCAAATAAAAAAAGCATTCTTGTTCAACAAAATATTTTCTTATTTCCTCCAGTATGTTCTTTAGTTTCAAGGTGGAACCGTTTCTATATAAATATCGGGTCATAACATTAAAAAACACTCAAATGTCGTCTAATAACCTAATTATTTTTACAAGTATGATGCTTTGTGCAGTTCTACAAATAACTATATTCTATCCTTCGAGTTCTGAAGCTGTTAGTGCAGAAATAAAAGGACGGCGGAAAAATATGAAGAAAATTCGAGGTGTCGAGGGACTTCTTTGATTTATCTTGTTAAATAATTATCTTGAATAATAAAATATTTCTCGGGAAAAAAATAGATTTTTTTATGAAAATGACGCGCCGGATTACGGCACCTTTTTAGCACCGGCGCGGCCAAAATTTCTCGACAATCTGTGGTGCTAAAAAGGTGAAACTTTAAGAGACGTTTTTTGCAAAAAGGCAAATAGGGTCGGACAACAAAAAAGGGTGAAATTTTAGAATCGGCTCAAATTTTTTTTATTGATACATGGATGGATGGTGAACATTTTCCACCATATTTTTTTTCATAAAATCGATGCACCAATTTGGTGGGGGGTGATGAATGCGAAAAAGGGCATTTTTTCAAAAAATCAGAACTCAGCTCAAACTTCATTATTTTTGATGATCAAAAAAGGATTTTGTAGCTCTTGAGACGCTCTTTACTCCTGAATTTACTAGAATTGCCGAAATCCAAAAATAAATTTTCAAAATTGATGGAAAAATTTTGACGCTAATTTTCCCCCCTTAAACGCCATTTCCGCAATTTCTAACTCGATCCATTCGATCCGCCTTGCAATTTTACGTCGGATTAGTCGAAAAAAACGGAAAAAAGGGGGGGCCTCAAAAAAGTTTGATTCCAATTTCTAATTTCCATTCTGACGCGCGCAACACACATGTGTGTATTTTGTGTGCGCGTGCTCCCACATATGTGTGTTGTGTGTTAGAAGCTTGAAATATACAAGGGTACTGTAGTGTGTGTAATTTTTTTTGTATTTTATTTGTAGATTTAGCATCTAGGGAGGTAAGAAAAACCCCGAAAGATTTTTACATGCAAAAATGTTTTTCCTGGGGGTAGACCTTTTTGAGATTTTTTTTGGTTCTGAATTTTGAAAAATTGTAACTTTACTTATAGTGGACGAAAAAAATCGAACATAAAAGCTAAACAAAGCTTACATTTCGCTCTATTAACTCAGCTCATGGACAGTTCTATGGACTGGAAAAATTATTGTAACAAAAATGGCGTTTAAGGGGGGAAAATCAGCGTCAAAATTTTTCCATCAATTTTGAAAATTTACAATTTTCCAAGCGTAACTCCTTGCCAGATTTTTCCTTTTCAAACTTGCTCTTTAGGCGTGGCTTCTTGTCAGAGCTGCTTACTAGGAGCAGTACCTAGAGATATTGGATCTTTTTTGAAGGCGCAACGACTTGACATAAAAACTAATCAAGAGGCCGTACCAAGTGAAAGTTCTTTGAAAAATTCAAAAAAATTCTTTCCGTGACTTATCAACCCAAAATTTGATTTCTGGGATGAATTAGTGTCCCATTTTCCCATATTTTTCAAAAACAAACATTTTCTGAAAACTTTATTTCTTTCGATTTTTTGAAAATTTTGTGGGTGAGGCTATACTTTTGTGGAGCAGTGTATTTCCGTATTGTTTTGAAAATATTGAAATCGATAGGTTTCCGGGTTCCCCGAAGTTCTGAACATCGATTTTATGCTTTTCTCTTAGTGTGTGTGTTTTCTGCAGGCTGCAATTTTAAGTAAAGTTAAAAACGTAAAAAAAGTTTACTGGATCGATTTTTTCACAGCATGAAAAATGTTATCTAAAAAAATAATTTTTGGGAAAAGTTTCAGGGAATCGAAAATGAAGTGTATGCGATTTCTATCAGCACCAGAAGAGCTGCTATGTCTAGCAACGTTGCGTGAAGAACTTTCACTTGGTACGGCCTCTTGATTAGTTTTTATGTCAAGTCGTTGCGCCTTCAAAAAAGATCCAATATCTCTAGGTACTGCTCCTAGTAAGCAGCTCTGACAAGAAGCCACGCCTAAAGAGCAAGTTTGAAAAGGAAAAATCTGGCAAGGAGTTACGCTTGGAAAATTGTAAATTTTCAAAATTGATGGAAACATTTTGACGCTGATTTTCCCCCCTTAAACGTCATTTTTGTTACAATAATTTTTCCAGTCCATAGAACTGTCCATGAGCTGAGTTAATAGAGCGAAATGTAAGCTTTGTTTAGCTTTTATGTTCGATTTTTTCGTCCACTATAAGTAAAGTTACAATTTTTCAAAATTCAGAACCAAAAAATCTCAAAAAGGTCTACCCCCAGGAAAAACATTTTTGCATGTAAAAATCTTTCGGGGTTTTTCTTACCTCCCTAGCTAAATCTACAAATAAAATACAAAAAAAATTACACACACTACAGTACCCTTGTATATTTCAAGCTTCTAACACACAACACACATATGTGGGAGCACGCGCACACAAAATACACACATGTGTGTTGCGCGCGTCAGAATGGAAATTAGAAATTGGAATCAAACTTTTTTGAGGCCCCCCCTTTTTTCCGTTTTTTTCGACTAATCCGACGTAAAATTGCAAGGCGGATCGAATGGATCGAGTTAGAAATTGCGGAAATGGCGTTTAAGGGGGAAAATTAGCGTCAAAATTTTTCCATCAATTTTGAAAATTTATTTTTGGATTTCGGCAATTCTAGTAAATTCAGGAGTAAAGAGCGTCTCAAGAGCTACAAAATCCTTTTTTGATCATCAAAAATAATGAAGTTTGAGCTGAGTTCTGATTTTTTGAAAAAATGCCCTTTTTCGCATTCATCACCCCCCACCAAATTGGTGCATCGATTTTATGAAAAAAATATGGTGGAAAATGTTCACCATCCATCCATGTATCAATAAAAAAAATTTGAGCCGATTCTAAAATTACACCCTTTTTTGTTGTCCGAGCTCCTTCATTAAAATTCACCTTTTTGCAAAAAACGTCTCTTAAGTATTTCTGGCGTTTTGATTCTATTCTATATAAACATTTTTCATTTAAAAAAAACATGTTCAAAGTTTTTTAAAAATTATTTTCAAAAACATTCACTAGCAGTCTTATTCGAATAGTTTTACTCTGAAAAATTTAATTTCTTTTTTTTGCAAATATATCAAAAGTGAACATTCTAAAAAAATCCAGATGTTTTTTAAACTAACATTTTTTGATGTTCAAAAAAATTGTTTATGAATTAAATTTCTGAAGATACACTTTTTAAGAAAAAAATAAACTTACAAGCAAGCGATGAAAATCACTAGAGAAATTCCAATTTTGAATCTCACTATTTCATTTTGAAAAGTGTACAAACACATAAATAGAATAGAATTCAATGAAAATGGGATTGATGTAATAGTACATTTTTGGGAAATGAAAAAAAAACAATAATTGAATGAGATTTTTTGTAGAATGAGAAATGGAATGAATTTATAAATCCCAAATGGGTTTTTTTTTGGAAATCGGAAGAAAAATCTTGGAATCGCATAAATTACTTGACCACATAAAAATGGATGAACTAATATCATTCAAAAGTTTGAATTTGATGGGTTAAAAGTTTTTAAGAGAAAAAAGAGAATATTCATATGGAATAACAGTGTAAAACATTGAGTAATCAACAAAATTTGAAAATTCTGAATCACTAATACTAAGAATCTCAAAAACAGAATTAGCATGAAAAAATCAGCCATCATTACCCGCGCCAATAATTATTCTTATTTTCCTTCTATTTTTTCTTCTTCTTCGATTCCATTGAGCATTTTCCCCTTTTCTCTTCTATTTTTTTGCGCTTCTGTTAAGCGCTTCTAGTCAAAGAGTCCCAAGCCAATTGCTCTATTTTCCATATACATATTTTCGAGCCAACAAGTGTTGCTCTTCCCCTACTGCTCTTTTTTCTTCTTTCTTCTCTTTTTTGCTACACACACAAAAAAAACGAGAAGCCACACCCCCAATCAATTAGACCACGCCCATTTTTCTGTGAAGCTTGAGCTTCAGCTGGTCTGGAAGAAGAAAAATTGGTCTGTTATTATTATTATTCATCATCATCTTCTTCATATTGTTGCTTTTTCAATATTCTTCTAGCCTTTATTTTAAAAAATATATATTATGATATTATTATAATGTGATATTGGGTCTTTGGTCAAATTGGAAAATAAAAATGCATGTACGGTATTTACAGCACGAACATACAGGCACTGTACAGCTTTTGCTGATGCCGCTTTCCACCGCGGCATCATTCAAGAGTAATCGAGTGTAAGTTTTTTTTTTCCGAATTTTCAAAAATTATTCCCAAAGTAAATTTTCTCTCAAGTTTTTTTTTTCTTTCGAAAAATCTTTCATGTTCACAATATACACACACACAAAACATTCTATCCTATCCAAAACGATCATTTTCGGCGCATTCCTATATTTTTCTCACACAACTATCACATTTCATTCATTCTACACTCATTTTTCCATGAAAAAATCCAACCAATATAAAATAAAAAAAGAAATGTGGCAAGAGAAAAACATTTCGACGAACCGGAAATTTGAAGCCTGCCAGAGTGTGAATAATTTTTATCTTCTTCTTCTGCGTTTTGTGTCCTTTTACTGGGTTGAACTTTGACACGATGAAAAAGAAAAACAGACATGAAGAGTTTAAAGGAAGACACTGAAAATCGAAGCAGGTCGATCAGTTTTTTTAGTCGGAATCAAACTAGTACAAAACTTTTGAACTTAGGGTGCCTATTTTAATAAGACTCGAAAAAAAATATTTTTTCGAAACTGCTCAATTTGGAAATTCAAAAATTTTCAAGACTAACATACACATTTTTTCAGGACCGCTGAAGATGGAGAGGAAGATTGTGATTCAGTGCCACTTCCAATTCAAACATTTCTTTGGCGACAAACAAAGTAAGTCAACTCACAAGCAAAACATAAAGAAAACAACAACAACAAAATAAGGGTCATAAAACTTTTATGAGATGATTTTTTGCAGCCCATTCCTTGGAGCGAAAATCGGAAAACTACACGAGGCTTCATGTGTTGTAAGTTTTTTCTAGATACTTTTCATGTTCCGAAAATAAATACGGAAAAAAGAGGATTAGTACCTGCCTAAATTGTAGTAGAAAAGCCCAATTTGTTTTCCCACACACAAAGACTCATCAAATCTTTCCCTTGGGGGGCATTTTGCAAATCAATGTTTTTCTGTGTTTCGTTGTTCTTTTTTAGTAGTCTGGTGAAAGGAGGAAGAATTTATGGGAATTGAAGAAAAAACTGGAAAAAAACAATGATTTGTGTATGGAAATGAGAAAAAAACGGCTATTCGAATGGGGCCTTCTTAAATTTTTTCAAAAATCAAAGTCTTGCAGACATTCGAACGTGTAGTCGTACAAAATATCCTCCACGGTTTATCACCGTCTCTGAGTGATGCACTTGCAAGTGTCTCCCGTTGGAAATTAATTCGAGCTGCTCTTCCACATGTTATTCAATGTTGTGGAAGTCTTCTTTCCGCAACTCAAGGCGAGAAAAAACTTCCACCATCCCTACAAAAAATCCTTTACATTCTACACTGGATGTTGATTGATTCAGCATCAGAATGTGCCGAGAGTTCGAGTACAACTCAAAAAGAAGAATTTCGAAATCAACAGGGATTATTCAATATATCAACTATTCAATTATTTATTTATCTAATTGCTCCGCTGGCGGATATAATAACTGAAGAAGAAATAACTGATAGTATTCGACTTGAGAGCGGACTTAAAATATGGCAGGCAATATGGCAGGTTTGTACTTTTCTCATCTATTTTTTTCCAAAATAAAAAAAATACACAAAAAAGTTTTGCATAAATAACAAATTGAGTTTCGTGCTTTCTTGGAGTATGAAAAAAAAGAAAAATAGAAGAAGTTGTTGTTTACCTTTTGACTAAAGTAATTTCTCGTAGATTTTCCGACAACTTCAGCATAAAAAACAACAACAAAAACAAAGATTAGAATAACTATAGAACAAGTAAATTTTGTTGCAGTTCCGACAACCGGATGTGTGGTGTTTTTCGGCGCCAGTCAAACAGCGTCGCGACGAACTTCCGATGATCACATTCGTCAAAAGACAAAATCCGCAGGCGGCTGTTGGACAAACAAATCAGGGAATATATTTAGGAGAGGATGAGAAACCTCGAAGACCTTCGATAATGGTGCCACCACCAAAACCACCAAGAACAGATGCGAATGTATTGAATGATAAAAAACGAAAAGAGGAAGAGGAAAAAAGAAAACAGACTAAAGATCATGTTGAAATTGAGATTGATTCAACTGAAAGACCTGGTGATCTATTGATTGATGTGACACCACCAACAACTTCGAAGAGTTTTGATAGAAATAGTTCAATTGTTCGTAGTGTTAGTGAATACAAAACAACTAGTTTCATACAACAACGACCTTACATTTCGAAAAGTCAAACATCCGATGCTTTTGATATCAGTCCAAGTACGTTTTATCAGTAAAAAATAAAAAATAAATACATTTCAGCCTCTGAAACATCAGCAAAAATGATCCAAGAAGTTGAAGAAGTTAAATTTGTTGATAACGAGAATTGTTCACTTTCTGGTGTATTTTATTGTGCTGATCAAGCGCCTCTTGTCAATCTTTCTGATATTTGCAGTGGTTTTTCTTTTGAACCATCAACAGATGTTCTTCCCTCAAAGACATGCCTTAATTGTGGATCTGTCTATAATATTGGTAGCTGTCCAACTTGTGCAAAACACCTATTTTTATCCGATGCTCCACCAGTCGTTTTAACGAGAGCATCAACAACTGAAGAAACTGGAAGTTCGTGTAGTCAACAAACAATGATTCCATCGGCTCAACCAACTGTGATACCAAGTTTAGAAAAATCGACTATTTTGAAAAACAATACACTTGAACCGAAACCGCCAAGTCTTCACAAAAGTCAGAGTTCAGAAGAAGAACAAGAAGAATCTCAATCAACAAATCCAACAGTTGCATCATATCTTGATGTTGCTGTAATTCGAGCACTTCTAATAACTCATTGGCACGAACAAGGTGTTCATTGGGCTTTGAGATATTTGTTGAATAGATTGGAAGAAATTCAAATATATGTGATGATTCGAGATGGACCAAGACAACGAAGTAATTCATTACCAGGTGGAGAGAGAAGACCATCTGTTTTGGCTGAACAGTTTCCAAATCCAACATGGGATGATTTGAAATTAGATGATAAAGATGATGGAAAAAGTCTCCATGTTGCATTTAACGATACAGCTGGAAGAAGAAAATCGTCAGATAATTGTAGATTGGATGCACCAAAACCATCATCAAGAAGAGGAAGTTTGAATACTTTGACTAGAAATCGCTCGAATCCATCACTAAATAATTCAATTGAAGTATTATCAATTCGAGAAGATATTGATGATAATGTTTCAAATGTTTCATCAAAATCAATTGAAAAAGAGAATACAAAATTGAATGCGGTGTATTTTCCTGAAGCACTTGGAAGCACAAATTTTATCGAGAAAGATGGAAAAATGTCTGCAACTGTTATAGTTCAAACTGTTAATCAAGTTATGGATCGTTGTACTGGAGTTCGTCAATGTGAATTAGCATTGAATATTGCCGATGTTCTTCTTCGAACACCTCTTGAACAAACAGAAACATTTTTTGTGCAATTGAATATTATGGTATTCAAGTAAGTGTTTTTCTTTGAGTAATTGAAAAATGATTGATTTTTTTCAGAATCTACCTATGCTTAGGATGTCCACATGGATGCAACGAAGGTGTAAAAAGTCAACACGGTGACTTTCTCCGCGCTAAAGCAAAATCAATTCTCGCTCACTTGGAAAGAGTTCAACCCGAAAAGTTCAAGACGATTCTGAATGACTATGTAGAAACATACGGAACTCAACAAGTTATCGATCTTCTTCATTCAATAACCGCATTCTGTAGATCAGAAATATCACAATCTGAAAATCGAAGGTGTTCGGAAAGTCGACTTCCGAGTTATCGAAATCGATTCAATGAAAAGGAAAAAGGAATAGAAGGAAGTATCATAAATGCAACATACAAAACACTAATATCCAAAATTTCAATGATGACAGCTGAATTGACACTTCCAGAAAATATGGTAACCATTTTCAAAAAAATTATTTAACATCAAGAAATGATTATTTCAGAGTCTTCAACAAGATGTTCGAATGTTGGTCAATTTTGTTCAAGAACATCATGGAAATCCATTCAGACGAGTTGGATTGTCAGCATTGATTGATGCAATAAGTAAACCAGTTGTCGAGTTAGTTTCTTTTTCTACTTTTTTCTTCAAAACTTCTATCAAGTGTGTGTGATTTTCTATTCGGTAGCTTCTAGCTATTTCTTGTAAAACTTTATAGTATTTCATCTTCTCCTATTTCTTCTACACCTATCGCTTCTTCTTCTTCTTCGTCATACAAAATCAAAAAACCAGCAGTGAGATCACAATCATCAAAAAATCCCAAAAGAGTACGATTGAGGATTCCTCATATTGCTTCATTCAATGAGTAAACACAAATGCAACTTTTTTTTTCCACGCAACTATCAACTTTTCTGTTCGCATGATTTCAGTTCCAATACCCCAACCTCAAAAAAAATTCCATCGGAAAACTTTCATTTTTCAGAGAACCTCGAAAAGACGAAAGCAAAATCAGTCCAAAATCTGGAAGTGGAACAGATCAAGCATCATTGAGACGTGGATTATTCAAGAAAAAGGATAGAAGTGGCGGAACAACAAATGATGAATCAGAAGGTGATAGTTCACCATCAACACCAAGAACAGTTTCATCAATGGATGGAGATGGAGTGTCAAACAGTGCATATAACAAGAAAAGAAGTGCACCAAAATTACATTTCGCTTTCAATATTTTGAAAAATGTTCGGCCTGATAATATGGATGAAGAAAATTCAGACAGTGAGTTCAACGAGGAAGGTCAAGATGAACCAAGTACATCAGCTAAAAAACAAGTATCCAAAAAATCTCCAAGAACGAGGCTTCCAGTTGACTGTGAGTTGCTAGAACAATTTTTGTTTTAAAAATAAATCCAACTATTTTTTTCAGCAAAAGGCGGTATTCGACTTTGGGGTGCCTATATTCCTCCACCAATGTTTGTAGATATCAAGAAAATCTTTGATGGTGCAAAACGATTTGCATTTCTTTTGGAAACTGCTAAACCTGGAACATTTCCTGATGCTCCTTTAATCGCTGCTCTTTTACATTTGAAATCTCCGGTTTTAGCGAGAGCTGCACTCTTATTAGAATGTTGTAATTTTGTATCTCGATGCAATCGCGGTCAATGGCCAGAATGGATTCGATCATCACATCATCGAACATTTAGTTTAGGAGGACCATTAGCTAATCGAGGAACACCATCAGCAACTCGACGAATGCACAGTCTACAAAGAATGGCTGGCAGGTTCTTCTATCAATGGGCTGTTCAAATAGGTGAACAATTGGCGAAAATGATTGAACAAAGCGAGAAGAAAACTAGAAAAACAATTTTAATGGAAGATACAATGGAAGACTTTTTTGATGATGGATTAGTTAATGATTCATCTGGTGAAAAATGCCCAATCGCAGTTCAATTTATTGCTATTATGTTACTTCAAGAAATCACAGCGTTTCTTCGAGAAACGTTCAAAACTATTCCACGATCAAAAAATTCAAAACCACCAATGGGGAATTCTGGTTGGGATAAATTATTATCACATCGAAGATGGAGTATACTTTCGAATACTTTCAACGCACAACAAACAGGATCAGTCAATAGTATTACTGATATTAATTCATCAATTCATCGTGAGTTATTTTCCAGAGTAAACTTTCTCAAATGAAAAACTGAAACTATTTTTGAAATATTTCAGTAAATGACAAAGAAAGAAGGATAAGTTTATCGGCAGCCGAAGAAGATTCGCCACGTGGTTCAAAAGATGCAATTGATGAAATAAATGCTGTGGACAAAAAAGGTATTCTAATTTTCTTATTAACATTTTTCAAATAACCTTGGTCCAGTCTGCCATGTCCCTTATCTGCTTTTTTACAACATAATATATATCTCAAAGTTTAGAAAAGTAACGTAACCCAGCCCAGTCCATTCCATTCCAGCTTCAGGTGCAACTCCCTCACTTCCATCTCCTTTGCCTCCATCTGGTGCTGCAGCTCGTGCGCCTTCTCTTTCCGCCCGATTATTTTCACGTCAATCGACGCATGATGAATCGGGCGGTTCGGCGCACGGTTCAACAAAATCGACAACATACGTCCCTGATCCAGGTCTAGATTCATATGTATATGTAATAATCACACTATCTCACACTTCTGCACGTCAATCTTATATGTTCTTTCTCTCTTTCTATATTATTTTCTATGTTTGTTTGTGTGTTAATGTGACTGACTTCTATATGAGTTCTAATTTTCCCCTATCCAAATACGTGTTTAGCATCACGTCATAGCACACATTTCAGTTTTCTTACACATACAAACACAAGCACTTCGAAGTGTTGATATTTTTTCGAAAAAATTTGAAATATTTTCAGGTCGTCGAATTGCAACTGGTCGACAACGTTTACTAAAACGTGGAACACCAATGGCACCCGGAAGTCAACCATCTCTTGAATCAAGTCACAAACGAAAATCGATTAGGAATCGTAAACCTTCGAAACAAAATCATGAAGCACAGCAAACAACAGAAGATGAAAAATCAGATGGAAGTGAGTTTCTTTTTTAAATCTCTCAGATCTTCCGGTCAGCTGCCTAGATCCTTCGAATATTTAAATAAAAATAAATTTCGCGTGTAAAGGTACTAGCCTGGCATCGCTGTCACCAATTATTCAACGAGTTCGCGCACAAAGTATGCGCTCATCAAATTTGCTCGTTATGTTTCAACATGCTATTCCGGAAATTGGGACGTTCCTTGAAGAGGGTAAAACCTTAACCCAAAGTGTACCGTTAACCCTAATAATCCCCCTTATTTTATTACCATTATAATTGTGATAACTCAATCCTAATATAAACCTACTGATATTAAAAAAAAGAATGAAATGCAAATGATATGTTTTCAGCTGGATCAACAATTCCCCATCCACAACAATTAGCTGCTCGAGAATCATTGAAACCAACAGATGATGGATTACAAAGTCCTGTGGAACCTATTCATCCAGTCGTAGTTCCACAATCAAATCCGGGAAGTTCACATAGTCAACAGCAACATACTGGAATGATGACAAAAGTATCGATGGACGACGAAGAACAACAAATGTTGACAAATCTACCGTGGATAAAAGTTCTGATAAAATTTACCAATTCTCTTGATCTAAACTGTCAACATGATGGATTTTGTACTCAAAGATGTTTTCAACGTGTACATCGACAATGTTATCGACTTATCGAAGGATTATCGACACTTTATGGTTCACCGAAAAATGGAAAAACAAGAGTTGATCGAAGAAAGATGTTAGCCGAAAATTGGCAATCAAAACAACAAGCATTGCGTCGAGTAAGTGTATATTTAAAGTCTTGGCTATGAAAATCTTTAGCAAACCGAGTCAAAACCATCTGTTCCGGTAAGTCTCACAATATCATACATATTACCTAGAAATGTCACTTATTGTAAAAATGTTTCCTGATCCTATAACATCCACTTCTAATATATACATATCGTATTTGATCACGAGTGCTTTTGAAAATAGTATGCAGACTATTGATTTGAAATCTTGACTTTTTCAGAGTATTCATACCCGACAATCTGCTGCAGTTCCACGACGAGAAAGTGCAATGGTTGGACAACCAGAATTTGCGAGCAAAGCAATAAAAGCTCTTCTTATGGAAAAAATGATGCAGGAAAAAGAAAAGGAAAAAGAAAAAGAGAAGGAAGAGAAGGATGCACTCAAAAAACAATCAGTGGAAGCGGATAGACATTCAGAAGATACAGAAGAAGATGAACAAATCCCAGAGAAAAACAAACAAATGTTACAGTATCTACGATCTTTAGTTCTAAAATTGGTGCACACTCCGATGTCAGCGGTTTTGAAATCGTGCCTTTTATTGAATATTGAACAACATAAACAGATGATCGAAATTTCATGGAAATTATTGATTCATGAAGATCCACACGTTGTTGCAAGTGCCGCTTCGATGTTTATTGTTGCAAGTGTTCGAAGATCCGAAGATGCATTGAGTATCATGAAAGCTGCTTTCGAATCAGAAATTGCAACAGTTCGAACAAGTGCAATTCAAAGATTCTACACACTTTGGAGAAATCGTTTTCATGCTTGGTTGAAAATGGAAGACGGTGCACAAACATCATTCAAAGTTCCACCACCTGGAATCGATTTCACACTACCTTCCCCAGCTATCGGTCAAAGTCAACTTCCAGTCGTTGATCCACCATGGATGCCTCATCTCAAAACAAAAATTGAGGAATTATCATTGAAAGAAGAAGAACAAGCAACATCTCAAACAATTATGACAATGACAAGAACAAGAAGAAAACAAAAACAAGAAATGGTGAAAAGAGCAGTTCGAGAAGCTGAAGAACGACAATGTGAACAGAGACAGCTATTCAGGCTTCGAAGTTCTGCTATTGTTTCATTAGCTGCTTATGAACCGGCTCTTTTCCATCATCAACAAGAGAACAGCGAAGGTAATTTTTTTTAAATTCTCACAATCAGGCAGAAAAAAATTAATCTTGATTATTTGCAGAATCTGAAACAAGTCATCAACATACTCGTCATATGATGCCAGTTGCTCAACCATTATTCCCATCTTCACTACTTTCTGTAGTTCCAATGATAATTGAAATGCTCGATGATCCACAAGTTGATAAAAATGGTGTATCAGTTGGTGACACTGCTAAGAAAGTTATCTGGACATGTATTGTTGAAGATCCATCTTTATTTCTTCGCCACTTTTTAGAAAAACTGACAAATCGAGATAGACAAGTTTTGATAAATGAGTTTTCGCCAACTCCAGCTTATGTGAGTTTGAAAACAAAACTATACCGAAAAATCGAAAAATTATTTGCAGGAACAACTGATGTCTCAACTTCGTAAATTAGTTCTGCGATTCCATCCTCTTCCGAGTCAAGCAGCACATTCTCTATTAAACTATTTATTTGGATTCGTAATGCATTATGTTCGAGCACAATGTGAAGGATCAGAAAAAGCAATTGGTATGGCTTTATCAATCTGCTGGTTGCTTTCTCCAAATATTCATGGGCTTTATTTCAAAGACCTCAAACAGACCTTGAAAAAAGAACAATGTGATCAAGCTTTAATGATAACAGCAAATGTTCCATCGGCTAAGAAAATCATTGTTCATGGTCTTGATAGCAGTGCTGGTGGAATTCCAAGTCAATTTCCAGTTCATGAAGATACACAATTCCAACAAATTCTCAGTGATTCTCTTGAATTTTTCAACATCGAAGAAGACGAAGTCAACAACTATTTTCTTACTGATACAAAAACCGGCGTGATTCATTTGCCTTCAGCTTTTGTTCGAGATTTCTACTTTTTCCATCGATCATTTTATCCACAATTAACTTTGGTCAAAATTCCTGCCGAGCAAGCATATAAAAAGATGCGCGAGACAACTTTCAATCAGCGTTTCATCGAAGTAGGAAAAGTTCTGCTGACTCACAACATTCTCAAATACAGTCCTCAACATGTGGTGAGAACAATTTCACTAAATTCTTTTTAAAAATTATTTCCTAGTATTTTTAGATTGCCCAACGTGTATTTTTCTTACATGACGAGTTCACACATCTTCCATCATTTCCAAGAAAAAGTTTGGAAACGTGTTTTGGAATGTATTATGGACCACTTGGTGATCAACTCAAAGCAATGGAATCAATGCATAAATTCGTTTGGGCCAAATTAATGTCAGATATGTTTGAGAAAATGGAAAATGCGTTTATGTTTGCGGATTTGCATCTTTTCATAAATGTTATCAATGGAATTATGATAATGCATTGTGAAGATGTTTTAATTCTTCGAAGATGTGCAGCTACTTACATCTCAATTTCGATTCATTTCAACACATTATTTGCAAGTCAAGGCTTTTTTCTAATAATGCCTACATTGCTTCGATGTTATAGTCAACGACAAACAAATCGAATTTTCTGTCAAGTCATCGAATTTATTTGTCGTCAATTTTATACTTTACATCGAAAACCATTTTTATTACAAATGTGTGGAGCAATTGCAAATATAATTGATAACAACAGTAATGATTTCGAGATTAATCCAATGAGAGTAAAAGCAAAATATTGGTTCAATCTTATAAAGAAAATGGAAGATATGACTGATGAAGATCCATTAGATATTCTTGGTTTGGTGCCATACGATAAACCACTAAAAGCACTTGATCTTTGTTATCGAGATGATCCAAACACTTTTTGTGTTTTGACAGATGCAATGGCAAGTTGCATTTGTGTTTGTGCATTTGCTCCAGAAAGTAAACGAAGTCATCATATGCTGGTTAGTTCACTAAAAACGGATAAGAATACCCATGTTCATTTTTTCAGCTTATTATGCACGCAATGTTACCTCATATGATGCGCCGACTTGAAGAAGACACCCATGTCGCTGGAAATTCCCCAGCCTCTGTGAAACACGAGATTTCACAATGGATAACAATGGCAGTTGAAATGAAAGCTTTGATCAACAGTTGTGAAAGTTTGGCGCGTGGTCCACAAAGAGCTTTCGATTTGGTGAATACGGTAGCCGAAAGAGGGAAAAGTTTTGTTGCGGATTCACCACAATTTTTCGATCCACCAACTACTAATGATGATGAGAATACAAGACCGTATCATGTGTAAGTTTTTTTTTCAAATAGAATTTGGTATCTCAATAACTGTTTGCTTTCAGAAAAGAAAAGAGAAGTGTAGCTGTTGGTTGGGAAGCTGCTGAAGTAGAAGAACAACAAAAAGAAGCCTACAGAAGACCAAGAGATATTCTCTTACAATTAGCTGCTGTATACATCGAAACATCATCAGTTCGTTTAAAAGAACTAACAAAACTTGGAGCAAATTTGGAACATGCAAAAATACCAGATGTTCTTGATCATAAATGTTATGTCAAACTGGGCGAAGTGGCACTTGCATTACTCAAAATTGCACCATATGATTTAACAACAATGACATGTGTTGGACTACAAAAATATTTCCAAGCAATTCTTCCTGTCACAGATTGGTCAATCGAATCAAATCGAAGTGCTCTAAATATAATTTTGCGAAGACTTGACAAAACTCTTGCAAAAATCGCGAAACGTCAAAGTTTCCGGCGAAGAGTGAATTGGACTGCACTATCATCTTGGATAAGTGGTATTTGTGATACTTTGAATGCTTTTCCATATATTGCTCATCTTCATCCATTGAAAACAATCACTCAACTTTGTCTTCGTATAATGGTTGGAGATCCATGTTTAGATGATGGTGCTTCATCAACAGCACTTCATCCATCAACAGTTCTTCATCCAACAACTCCACCGCAAGTTTTCGCAAACTGCGTTTTGCGACTAACGACAATTTTGATGCAAGCTTTAGGACAGGTTAGTGAGAATATCAGAACAAATAATAATTTCAACAATTTCAGTTTGCATTTTCCTTGGACTTTGTTACATCAACCGAAGGAATGGGAGTATCATCTGAACGTCTTGAAGCAGTTCTATGTCATGTTCTTATCCCATTGTTTTTACGAGTTCACAATCATCCAAAAGAACAATCAATTTTCCAAGCAAAAGATCTTGCACAATGTCTTTCAATTATGCAAAATGCAATATCTCCGCCATTGGTAAAACAAAGTGCTCCACCATTAATTAGTACATCAACATTGACAACAAGTTTTATTCGTGGTGCACAAGATGTAACCGGAAGACAAGGAAGTGTATCAGTAACTGATCGAGGACATTCAGCAACTGTTTCAACACATCGGATTGTTCGAGAAAGTGTTTGTCAATCAATTTATTTAGCACTCAAAGTTTTGATGTTAACCTTTGGAAAATTGTTGACAACAATGTGGCCAAGGGTATCGAGAATAGTCAAAGATTTACTTGCAAAGAAACCAGGAGCAGCAAGTGCAGTTGCATTTGTCGATTTCTTACTCAATTCAAATCTACCAATTGCTCTTTTTATTCTTCCACAAATTCAAAACAAGATGAAACAAAAACCAGGAAATGAACAAGAAGCTGCATGGCAAGCTGAAATACTTGAAAAAATGGAGGCAAACTCACATATTATTGTGCCAATTCCAGTTTTAATTATGAAAACACATCAAGAATTACAACAACTAAAAGAGGAATTATCAACAAAGGCAATGGAAATGACAAGAAGTTATACACCAACAATGGCAGATCCACATTCAGATTCTTCTGCTGCTTCAACTGCTCCACGTGGTGCAGCTTCTCGTCAATCAATTGATCGTCGTGCAAGTATTCATACAAAGAAACATTTACCAACAATGAAAGAGGACAATGTTATTCCAGAAGATGTTGAAGATGAAACAGTAACCGCTGAATCACCAATAAACAGTCGAGTTATCAAAAGTCCAAGTGTTCCATTCAATAAATTGCCACATTCCTCTTCTCGAACTCGTTCGGTTAGCGGTTTTGGAATGTGGCGAAGTGTTCGACGAAAATCGAAACATCAAAATTCACAAGATGAATCATCTGATGAAAGAGGATCAATGGAACTACACGATTTATCATCATCTAGAATAACAGAGATTCAGAAAACTCCAAATCGAAGATCGACAGAAGCATTGGTTTTACCTCTTCATGAGAGTATTGATACAAATCGTCATAGATGTGAGTTACTTTTTGAAAATTTAGATAATTGAAAAATCAAACTCTCGTTAATTACAACTAGTTAACTTTTGTTTTTTTTTTTGAAACTTTAGTTCCTCTTTTAAAACAAGCTAATCAGTAAGAACGAGTTTCCCAAAAATGGCTTCTTCAGACTAGTTTAGTTTCTATCCAAAGTTCCCTTCAAATAATATATGTATGTCTTGGCATGTTTTTATAATTTCCCAAAGAATCCCTTCATTCCCCTCCCCCCAGACTTCAACCCCAACCCAAAAACCTGACCTGATCCAAATCCAACTCCAATCATTTTCCAGTTGTTTCATTCTCCACACCAAAAAAATCCATCAACGGCGACAACAACAGCGACGACGTTTTTCAAATAACCGAACAGCATCAATTAGTATAATACGGGTGTAACTGAATAGGTATTGTAGAATAAAAATATCAAAATATTTAGTTGTTTGTATGATCAACTTGTTCCCACTTACAATTAAATTTATAAATAAAAATATCATTTTTTTTCTCGGGCAAAACACAAACTCAACAAAAACAACAAGAATAATAATAACAAATAAAACAATCATTCAATAATTTCTTCTTTTATATCCTCATCCACGTATCGACGTTTTTTTCCACGTTGTTTCTTTTTTTCGTCGATTTTCATCTTTTTCTTTGGTTCCGGAATTTCTTCAATATCAGAATCAGAATCATGACGTTTTCGCGAATTTTTAGCAGCAGATACTTTTCGTTTTTTAGTTGCTGGTTCTTCGTCTTCTTCTTCCTCATCATCATTTTCAGATTCCTGTTCAGAGTTTGAATCTTCTCCAGCTTCTCCAGTTTTCATATCATCCCACAAATTTTCATCATCATTATCTGAAACGTCTTCCTCTTTATATCCATTTGAGTTCATTCGACCATATTCTTCTTCGTCTTCATTGATTTCTTTTTTGGCAACATTTTTATTGTTAAGAATTGAGAGATCATTTCGAAGAAGAACACGATTGCATTTGGTTTTGAGATATATCTGAAAACATAATATTGGTGTTAGGATTTGAGAAAATGGGTGAATCGTAGAACAGGCCCCCACCAATGTCATTTTAAGCCCCCACTAGTCAGACATATTATAGGTCCCCACCTTATTATGGTAAGAAATCTTATTGGTGGGGACCTAAAATTAAGTTGACACGTGGGGGCTCAAAATGATAGTGGTGGGGACCTTTTTTCCGAAATACCCTATGATCGAAATAAAAGCCCCCAACTCTATTAAAATTATGTGAAAATAGGCCCCCACATACAAATATAAGTCCCACCCCAATATAGGTCCCCATCCAAAAATAAGTCCCCACTTAATCATTTTAGGTCCCCATTTCCATTGAGTGGGGACTCGGTGGGGACTTTTACTTGTTGGCGGGGGCTTACTTTGAGGTGGGGGCTATTCTGCGATTCACCCGAGAAAATATCTGAAGAAAAATAACCTTATGAATAAGTTTTTTCGTTTGTAAATCATGAATTCGGAGGAATCGATCAATTCCAACCGAAGCACAAAGTGGAACAGTTGGATGTCCTTCAATACTTCGAATTGAACCAGCTTGTCCTTTGAATTTGCAGACTGGATGAATTTTACTACGCAAATCGAATAAGCCCATTTCTCCAATTGAATTTGCAGCCAACACATAATTTTCACGGAATGTTAAACCGGTTGACATAATTGGATTTTCCATGAATTTCATTTGTTTCACTGGTCTTCGTTGAGCTCGAGGGTCATACAGCCTCATTTCATGAAGTTTTGTAGCTTCTAGAATTGTGTTTTGACCAGGGATGAATCGAACATCAGTGCACATTATTGGGATTTCCAGTCCGAGCATATCATTTTGCACATTCCTCGCAGACCATGTTTGTTTGTTTGTAGTAAGATCCCAGGTTTTGACAAGATTCTTGGTTCCACCAGTAACCACTTGGTTTTCATTTCCACGCATCATTGAAACTCCTGGACCAGCTTTGAATTCAGATAATTGTTCACCTTCTTCGTTCCAAGTTTTAACTTCACCACTTTCAACGCAGGTGACATATTTATCACTGGAAAACGATTTTTCAATTTTTGAAGAACCTCCATTACTTACTCATATCTAAATAATCCCTTTATGGCACCACTTCCACCTTCAACACTGAACAAATCAATTTTTTCTCCTTCATCCACGCTGAACAAATTCAATTGTCGATTCATCCTAGCGATCAAAACTTCTGTTTGCAATTCATCATTCCAAATCATCGAGGTTACTTCATCTCTTTTAGGCTCCAGTGATTTAATTTCACACAAATTTTGAAACGAATTCTCCTTCAAAATGGCGCCTTTGAAGGCACCTGTGGTAGCGCCAATGTAACAGTCCATTACTCTGTAAATTATTAATAGAAGAGAGGGGTTGTAAAAAACGATTGTGAAGTTTTTAAGAGGAAAATAAGGGCGAAAACTATTTTTCCCACGTAAAAAAAACGAAAAAAAAATAGAAAATGCAGTGTCATTTGATGGAATGTCGTTGGCAGTGAAGCAAATGCGCTCTATCTAATACACACTTTTGAATTTTTATTTTTTTCAGTTTTTTTCACGGGCGAAAAAAAGAAACAAATTTTGTGATTGCGGACCGTTGACACGTCAGTAAAACGTGTCACTCATTTCGAAAAAATACCGATTTCACCCATCCTAGCCAATCACGTAATTACACGTAGCTAAAAGGTACATGACACGCCCCTTTTTTTCTGCCAAGTCCGCAGTGAGAAAAGTGTACACGTTTTGTTTCATTTTTTCGCCCGTGTTTTTTCAGTCTTTCGTAGAGAACGGATAGAAGAAAGTAGTGTGATGTTATTTTCGAAATTCCTAATTGTAGAACAAACAATAATTTATTCAGTTCATAGAATAATAATTTAAAATCCGTTTAGCTTCTCTTAATCCCGATTCAGCTGCTCCAACTGTTGTTTGATACATTTGTGGAGAAGTGTGCTCGCCGGCAAAACAAACTAGAGGGCTGAAAAATCATTCGAGCTTAGAAGTAAAATTAATTAAAGTGGAATATTCATACCGATTTTCATCAGAAGTGATTGGCGCCGTAAGATTTTCAATAGTATTTTGTTGATATGTGTCAGACTTGAGATATGAATAACTACCCAATGCAAATTCATCGTAAATCCAACTGTGGCGAAATACCCGAATTGCTTTGCTGATAGAAGGAAACTCGCTTTTTAGATTTTCTTGGAGGAAATCATTGATTGCATCTAGAAGTTCTTGATTTTTCATAATTCCAACTTCACTCGGCCCATTGTCAGCAATCCAAGCTATAAGAATATTTGAAGCCCACGAACTTGGTTGGAAAACCATCAAATTCTCAGTCAATTTTGAAAATCTATCAGGATATTTCGATTTTGGGGCGATCTGAATTGTTGAAACATTTTCTGGCCACCATGGATTCTTATACTCCAAGAATATTTTCATATTTGATCCAAATCCCATATTTTGAATAGCTTGTTGTTTATCAAAAGGAAGTTCAGGCGAGAACATTTTTCTTGAGAATTGTTTTAGATAACCAAGAGAACTTGTGACAATAACATGATCATAAAACAGATCAGTGTTATTCTCAAGACGAACACGAATTTTTGAATCGTTTTCTGACAAACAATAGTTGATATTCAATACTTTCGAATTCAACAACACGTTTTTCATTGACACTTCACTTTTGAATTTCTCTAGAATTTTTTGAAATCCAAATTTATTCAAAACAAGTGAATCTTCATCATCAGTTCCATCGTCCCATAAAGTTATATTTTCCAAAGCTAACTGTAAAACACATCCATTTCAATTTCAATTGAGAAAGTTCACCTCTCCAACTGGCGAAGACCATTCTGTTTGGAAGAAGTTGCAAAACATGAGTTTGAGTTTTTTGAAAATTTCCGCATTCTCTCGAGCAATATTTGTTTTCTCTAGAAAAGCTTCAAAATGCTCATTTATTCTCAAAAGAACAGATCGAGTTTTGAGTTTCTCGCAAGATTCAGCCTCTCGAAATAATGTCTCATTGAGCGAATCAATGAACAAATTCCAAATCGAGTTTATTCCACTGTTAAATTTAGAAAATCATTTGCATTAAAATAAACAATAAGTTTACCTGCTAACAACTTTTCCATCCACAAAAGTTATGACATTTTCATCCAGCATAAATAAATCGGGAACTCTTTCTTGTCCCAACTCATTTTTCTGCACAATATCAAAAATTTCATTATCAATTCCATTCAAATATTCGGCGCCGTGTTGAAGATAACCATTTTCTGAAAAAAAAACATACTTCAAATTTTTTGAAAATGAAAACAGTGCTACCATATTCAAAAGGATATACACGTCCTCCTATTCTATCAGATCCTTCTAAAATTGTATATCGAATCGAGTTCTCTTCAAAAAACCGCGCGGCTCTCAAACCAGCCAAACCAGCACCAACAATTCCAACATGGATGTCACGAGGATCTGATTTCTGAAATGAACAATTTTGAAAATATTAAAAGGCAGATTAAAAAAATTCCAACTCATGGTCCACGTTGAAATAAATTGCATTTGCATTACATTTTTTTCAAAAAAAAAAAAACAAACTCACTTCGTAATTTTCTAAACGCATAAAATAATCTCAAAACTTGGAGAAAAATGAGGAGAAAAACAAGAGAGTGCAAAAATAGGGCAAAATGAGAAGAGAGAGCAGTTGGTTAGAATAATTGGTTCAGTGAGTGAGTCATATGAACTAGTTGAACTTTGAGACTTTTCGAGGATTTTTTTTCAAAAACAAGGAAATGTTGATACAAATTTTTATCATATAAAAATAGATATTTTTACAACATGTCCTTTCTCATCAAAAATCAACCCAAAATAACAAACAAACAAACCTTTTGAGATGAAGAAGAAGAAGAAGACAAAAACACCGAAATTTGAAGAACAGGAGGCATGAATGATAACGAAAAAATCACCAAAAATGTTTATTTTCATGTTTATTTTTGATAAGAAGCCGTGTATTTTGTAACCCTCTTTGTGAATTTGAATTTGAAATTTAAAAGAGAAACAACTTCCCTCCTTTTTTAATCTGCCTTTTTTCGTTAAATTCTCATTCCAATTTTTTCAAATTCTCTAATTATAGAACAAAAAACCGGTTATATGAGAATTTCTAAATAACACATTGATTTTTTAGAATACATATTTTACAATGGTGGTAAAATCAAAGTTAGCCGATATTCAAATTCCTAACAAAACTTTTCATGATTTTTTATTTGATGAGTGGAAACAATTTGAGAACGATGTGGCAATTGTGAGTTTGAATTTGAAAACCAAGTTTTGATCTTTTTCATAAAGAGAACAACTACAGATTGACAATGAAACTAAAATTCAATACACATATCAAGAAATAATGGATAAAGCAAAGTATATTGCAAAAGCTTTGATATTTTTGAATGTGGAAAAATCAGAGATTGTTCTTCTTGCAATGGATTGGTCACCAGAAGCAGTTTATATTGCTCTTGGTGTAAGTATGGCTGGTGCAGCATTTCTTATTGTTAGCCCAAAACTTCAATCATGGGAAATGCATTTCACTGTCGGAGAAAGTGAAAGTCGTTTTGTATTTTCTGATCCACTTGGATTACGGGAAGTCGACAAATTAATGAAACAATTACAAAGAGAATATCGAGTGATTTGCACGGGATCTCGAGAATTTGCATGTGGACATCCAATTATTTCCGATCTATCATTTGCAGCATCTCAAAATCTTCCATTTCCAAAAATTGATCCTGAATTGGATATTGTTTATTTGCCATATTCAAGTGGTATTCATGGAAAAAGAAAAGGGATTTTGACAACTCATAAAATTATGGTGGCAAAAACATTGGCAATATGGAAGTGAGTAAAGTATTTTCATGATTTACCCAAAATAAAGTTCATTTTTTCAGTAAAGAAAATCATAATGAGTTTCAAAATCAAGGTAAAATAACAATGACAATGATACCATTTCACAAACAACTGGGACTTGATGCAGTTTTATGTGCTCTACTCAATGGTCTTACTGTAGTTGTTGAAAGAACATTTTGTGTTCATACATTTTTAACTTGTATTCAAAGATATCGTATAAAATCAATTCATTTGACACCGTATATGATGAATTTAATGATTTATGAAACAGAAAATCATGATTATCAAATTGAAGATCTTGAATGGATTGTAACTGGAGCAGATGCTGTTACTCAAAATTTATATGAAGAGTTTATCGAAACATTTCCATCTGTCAAATACGTTACTCAAAGTGAGTTCTTGAAATTTTATTTATCAAAAAATATTTTTCTATTCCAGAAAAGAACATTTTTGTGTTTTTAACTAATTGTAAGTTCAATACATTTCCAATTTTTTCCAGCATATGGTATGACTGAAATAGGCCTGATTGCTCGAAACTATGAAAACAAGTTTAAAAATTCATGTGGACAACTTGCTGCAAATCTCGAACTTAAAATTGTTGATATTTTAACTGGCGTTGAACTTGGACCTAAACAAAAAGGACAAATTTGTATCAAAGGAATTGCTGCAAATTCGCCATATTTGAATAATCCAGAAGCAACTTTTGAACATTTTATTGAAGGTTGGAGAAAAACTGGAGATATTGGTTATGTTGATGAAGATGGTGATATTCATATTGTTGACAAATTAAAAGAGATGATAAAAGTATTTGGGTATCAAGTAACACCAAAAGAAATCGAGACATTACTTCAAACTCATTCAGCTGTTGAAGAAGCTGCTGTTGTTGCAATTAATAATGATGTATCAGGTGAAAGGCCCGTTGCTTTTGTTGTTCTCAAAAAAGGGCGAATTGCAACAGAGGAAGATATATTAGATTACGTCAATCGTAAGCGTTTTTTCTTTATAATTTAATTACTTTGGAATCATTATAAAATTTCGAAATCCATAACAAATCAGAGAAAAAAGGCATATTTACAGATCGCGTCATCCGTTATAAACATCTAATTGGTGTTAATTTTGTCAAATTTCTTCCGAGATCACCTTGTGGAACTCTTCTTCGTCGACTTTTAGCAGAAGCTGCAGTTTTATCAGTTGCCTCAATTAGCGAAGTTGAAAAAGAACTTCTGAGCCCAACTACTAAAGTGTAATTTTTTCTGAATAACATATTTGATCTCGATTTCAATCTGATAAAAGTTCCAACGCTAATTAACTTGATTTCTTTTTTTAATGTCATCACTTCGCTTTTCTGTGGTTTAAAGCAAAATAAATTTTTCTGAATTCTCTTGATAATTATAGTGTCATTTCTGAAAAAAAAAACTTAGCAGCGTCAGAAAGCTAGCTTTTATTTTCGAAATGCTGTGGCAAGTTATTATCTTTTTTCATTTTTTAGTACTTTTTATTGGGGTTACGGTTCAAAGTGTATTTTTTCAATTTGTTGTCATTTCTCGTGTTTATGATGGCAACACAAGAATACTTTGTGGTATTTTGGGATCTTCACAAGTTTCATTGTGTTTTTCCTATTTTTTCGCAATTTCACGATGTTGGGCAATGGGATTTCTTTTTGAGAATGACATGTGTAATCAATCAGGTATGATTTTAAAAAGTTTGTAGTTACACAATATTCAAATTTTCAGTCTGGAACACTGTGTTTCGATATCTTCACAGATATGGTGAATTTGGTGTGGTGTTCTCGATTTTTACTTTGTCTTTGGGTTTGTAGATCAAATTTTGTTCTTTCTAATTTATTCTTCCAAAGTTTCAGATCGGCTCATTTCGGTAGTTTATATAAACTTACATAGTTCAAAACTTTATAAGCTTATTTTCACATTATTTCTAATTGTCAAGTGTCCATTATTTATGATTTATGTGTATGGTTTGAATACAAAAAACAATGGAGATATAGTTATTCTATTTATGTTAGTATTCACTTTGTTTTTATCAATTACGTTGGTGGTTAGTTTCTCTTTTCTCCAAACGTAACATGTCAAATGACCTATAATTATCGATAATTTGAGGTTAAAAATAACTTTTTGCAGCTCGTGATCATGCTGAAATGTCTTTCTAAACATATTTATTACAAAACACAAGGCACATTGCCACTTAACCAACGATTCCAACTCTCTCAAAACTACGAACTTTCCAAAAATTTAATTAGACCCATTTTCATTAGTCTAATCATCAAAATCACTCTTCTCCTCAGTTTTTGGCTTCTATATTTCAGAATTATTCCATTAGATTTACAATATCATTTTTTCTCAATTTGGAACCTGATATTCAATTTTGATACAATGCTTTTCCCTATTTTATTTTTATGTTCTGATAGAATTTTCGGAAAAATGGTGAGTATTCATATTGTGATGAAAGACAATCAATTTTTCATACAGGTCCGAAAATTTGTTTGGCGAAAAAATAAAGTGATGGGAATTCAAACGTTGAGTGGACTAAATATTCAAAAAACTGACAATCAATGCTCTCATTTTGGATCATTGAATAATGAATGGAATGCTTGAGAAAATGATTTTCGAAGCTGTTACTAAGAATAACCTCTGAAAATTCCCCCTCGAAAAGCTAATTTCTTTACCTCAAAACCAATCACATAACAACAAAAAAAAGAAAAATTGAATTTTCCCATAAATTATCTTTCAATAACAGTAAATAAACACGTCAAAACCAATTTTCTGATAAATTTAATTTTCTTTTTTGTAAACAACTGTATTAGGCAATGAAGCTATTTTTGTAACTTTTTTGAAAAAATGATGTTATAAATTAAATCTTCTGCTTTCCAAAGACTGACGGACAAACTCCCACAAAAACACCTGTTTTTTGCGCAGCTGATTTTTTCTTTGGGTTTCAGTCAACATTTTTCTCATATTCATTTCTGAAAAATGGGAAATTATACTAATGAAATTGTTGTTCTTGTGTTTCAAGTTGTGATAACTTTGATCGGCCTATTTTTTGCAATTTTTGCACCAAAATGTATATTTTCGGTACCTCGTCATTTTTTTGTTGGACATCAATTGTTTTTTATGATTTATGTTCTAACATTCTTGAACCCTTTCATGTTCCAATTTCTAACAACTTCTGAATTTATTATGAATACTGTAACTTTCGAATTTTTCTCAACTGGATTTATAAATGGTATTTATGTTATGTTCATTCATCGATCATTGTGTTCTATTGGTTTACATATTTTGGGTCTCAGCTCATTTTTAGTTGTTGCACTCGTTCTTTTTATAGCTATGAATATTTGTGAATGGGTTGGAGAGGTAAGATTTTTCGGAAAATTTAGAAATTTTAGTTTTCGACAGAAAACAGGTGATTTTGAAACTGCTGATTCTGATAACAAGAATGAGTTTTTTAGATCGAAAAAAGTGCGTGGGAAGAATTTCAGAAATAAAACCCTAAAAATAATTTATTGTTTCAGGAATTATTGGAGCAGAACATTTGCAAGTTCTATTCTTATGAACTACTTCATGGTGAGTCGAAACCCACATTAATTTTTACGATGGGTTTTGTGAACAGACTAATTAATATTTCAATAGTTCATTTTTTTTCAGTTATTTTGATCGTTTTGGCTAGTCTTGTTCATAGCTATACAATGTGGAAAATCGAGAAACATGCGATCAAAAGTTTCATTTTTCATGTGATTCTCACTGTAAGTTTTCAACAACAAAAAACAGAACAAAAACTTTTTGCGTTTCAGTTGCTCGTGTACCTTGGTTTTTCGCAAGGTCTAAAAATTGCCTCCGTGTTTGCTATTCATCAGGTCAATGTAAAATTTTTGTTACATTTGGTACCAACTCTCAATGTCGCGTGGATTGTATTATTCAACTGTCAACATCCAAAAGAACGCCGTGAAATGCGCATTTTTGGAGCAAAGTTGATGCGAGGTGGAAGAACTGGGCCAGTTCCAAGAATATCCGTGGAAGAATCTGGACATGTTCAGAGTCATATTGCACTAAACTTGATGCGAAATCCATTGAACTCGTTCACCAAATTACAAAGAAGATATGAAGAAATTTTGGTAAAGTCAATGGCAAGTGGAGAAAGTTCTTCAGAGTAAGTTGAAAACAATGGAAACAGGTGATTTTCTCTAACTTCCTTGTTTGCAAAAAAATCTAATTAGTTTTTTTCCTCCTAAACTTTGTCCTCTTCTAAAAAATTCTTTCAATAATTTTCAGCGGTCAATCCAGTTCAGCTTCTCAAAACAATAACAACATCATCAATTGTTCTTCTCAAAACAATGGATTTTTGGAAATCCCAAAGGAAACAAATCCAAGTTTGGAAGCTCCACCACAACCAACACTATCACCAAGATCACAAAATCCCAGAATTCCAAAAATGTTGCAAAGAGCTTCACTTGCAAATATAACTTTCAGAAAAAAATTCAAAAATTGAAAGAAGAGATTCAATGGATGATTGTGGATGTAGCCCACCTTCAATGAGAGATTTAGAATATGAAGATGAGGGAACATCAGACACTTATAGGGAGCCATTGGAATTGAATCCAATCGAACTAATGAGATTTCATTCTGAACTTGCATTGAGTGGATTCAAAAATCAAGAAAGCTCCAGTGCACCTGCTCACAAAGAAGAAAAAAATCTTCTTAAAAACACAACAAATCAATCAGAAGAAGCAATGACTTTCAATCCTCTAGAATTACTCAGAGAATTTGATACTGATATAAAACGACCTTCAGAATCACCTGAACATTCCAAAACTTTGGAAAACTCAAATAATATTCCAATCCTTCCCAATCAAATATTCAAACATGTTATTGTCGAAACACTACAACCAAAACACGAAAAACTATCTTGCCATATTGCTCGAGTACTCTCAAAAGAATTATCGCAAACTAAATTTTAGGTGTACTTTTTGTGTTTTTCCTATTTTTTCCCAATAATAATAAATGAACTTGTGTTGTTTTTGTGACGATTTTCAAAATATGTAATTCGATTTTTTTCGTGACTTGAAATACTGGAGTTGACCTATTTCGAGCAGAAATTGAGTTATGATGTGTATAATTGACGTTTAAATGAATTGAATTTTTTCTAAAAATACCTTGCTTATGTTATTGGAATTCGGGTCTCTCAAAAGTTATGAGATTCAAATAATTTTTCAAAATTCGTGGGGGATCAGAACCCTTTTTTGTGGATTGGTTCCAATTATAAATTTCCGATGCAAACATCCAGAAAATAATTATCTTACCTGGTCAAGTTTCGAAGGTTCTATTAAATATTTACCAGAAGTTCCGTTTCAAAATTAGTTGGTTTATGATTTCCTAAAGAGAAAAATCTATGATGTAAAAAGTTTTTTGTTTTATTGCAAATCCTCTGCCCTTCACTTGCGTCAAAAAGAGCCAAAAATAAGAAATTCTATTCATCACCTTGACATTATCTCAGTTTACATACATACTTTTTCCTCTAAACAAATACCAAATCTTTTCATATTTCCAGGTAATCCGTATCATAATCTTATTAGACTCGTATCAATAATAATGATAAATCCTCCCTCAAAAAAAATGATAATCTCGTTTTTCGACCGATGAAAGCAAAAAAAACGGAAAAAAGGCGTGGCTTTGTGGGTGAAGGGGCGGAGCACATTTGGCTCATTTTTGTTCCTTTTACTATTATTATTATTTTTTCTGGTTCGTCGAGTTCGGGAAAAAAGAAACTGGAAATGCGATTCTTGATTGTATTGGTAAGTTTTTTTTTTGAAAAAAATGATTTATTCTCGAGAAATTTGAAAGGTTACTGTAGTTTTGCTATTGATTTGAAGGAATTTTTGGAAAACTCTGAATTCTTAAACACATAAAATATGTCTTTGAAAATCTGAGAGCCTTCACGGAGTTGTAACATTTTTGGGGTTCCACCCCTTGACATGAAACAATTTTTATCTAGTTTTTAGATTATTTTTTCTTTGATCATCAAAAGTCCATAAAAATGAGAAATTAATTTGTCATCTACTTTTGCATCACATCATCGTTTTTTAATTATTTTTCTACTTCCATAAAAAAATGTTCTGAGCTCAATTCCACTCTGACCTTTTCCGTCTTTTTTTGATTTATGAAATCTTCTCCTTCAAGTACCATTATTCTTTTTTTGATGTCATCGTAAATGTATAGAAATCCATTAGGGTTTGCCTTTTTCCATTGAAAATTGAAAAAATACGACTACTATAAGATTTTGTCTTCTGTTTTGCTGTTGAAGCAAGAAATACAAATCCAAAAAAGATGCTGCGAGTTGGGAAAAAGGTGGAGATTCGATTTGACTAATTCGAATTAAAAATTAAAAATTCAGTGAGGGAGTCAGTCTCGTGAGAATCTAGTCTTGTATAAAAGCAACATTAATGACAACATGTAAATTGATATTTATTCGAAATATGTTAGTCTCTGTGGGTGGTGTTTTTTGGTTATTCGATCTGTTGGTCAAAGTTAACTTCCCTTGGGGTTTCTTATCTATCTTCACTTCAAAAATAAAGAAAAACCACCAGAAAAGAACAAAATATATTTCTAACATTTTTAGATATCCTTCATCTTTCTCATAATCTCATCAACATTTGCGCAAGTTTCGGATGATGATTCTTACTTTATGAGATTACGTAAGTTGGCTATTTTCATAGCATCATTCCAAAATGTTGTTTTTTCAGAAAAATCAAGTAATCCAATGATGAAATTCGTGAACCCATTCCCATATCACAATCCATCATTCCATCTTAGAGAAGAAAACAGAAGAAAATTCTCACCGTTCTGAGCAACACTAAATAACCGTATAATAATGTATGCGCATCGATAAAATCATCAATAAATATTTCTGTGTTTGAATTGTACATTTTAGTTTAGAAGTTACAGGAATGATTGGCTAAAAGTACAATTGTTCTATTTGTGAGAAAGTTTGAAATGTGAACGTGGGTATTGTGTGAGAAAAACTTGGAGTATTTTAGAGTATCTTAACAAAAACAAATAATTGCAAATATGTTTTTAGGTTGCGAATTTTGCAAGATGGTAGAAATAAGGGGTTAACAACATCTGATATTCTGTGTAGTTGTAAATGTGAAAATACTAGTTTCAACCCAATTATGAAGTTTTGTGCTTGTTTTTATTTTGATCTCTGAAAAATTCAGATTTTTCGAAAAATTATCTGATTACAGTAGTTTCTGATTTGGCTTCACACATATATTTTTGTAGAAAGATTTCTGACGTTTTTCTAAAAACGATTATGAGTCAATTTTTCCAAGTTGATATAGAAACCTGACTAAAATGTGATGATATCAGCGTTTCAAGTCGGAAATAACACAATTCTCATCCCACATTATCATGAATAATTTACCGAAATAAATTGTTCTCACTCATCTCTTGAAAAATAAATGAGACATAATATTTCAATTCTGCAGACGCAAACTTGATCAGATACGAATAACTAAATAGTGCGACACGTTTTTCTTTAATTTAACTTCCAAATTTTAATTTAAAAATTATTCTAGAATCACACATCAAATCAACAAAGCCAGAAAAAACAGATCAAGTTCCATTATTACAGGTTTCTTTTTCAGAGAGATTAGAAAAAGATTATTTTTTCATGACACAAACAAATATTAAAAATAGGGATATTTTTTGTCATTTCTACATAAAATCTATTCAATCATGCGGTTTTCTTCAAAGGATTCTTCTTGTTAATTGATGATGTGATACGAAAATATTCGGAAATAAGTCAAGCATTTAAGTTTGTAATATTTTCACGGGATTGAAAGAAAAACTCTAAATTACAATGTCATTTCTATCATAAAACAATCAAGTTATGATTCAAAACAATAAAACTCGATTATATTTTTTTCCAATTTCTGAAGTTCTAAATTATATTTATTTTAAAAATTCAAGAATGTTCAATTTTTGAAGGATGCGCTTTACAGCTCGGTTTCTAATATCTTACTTGATTCACACATAGACACAACAAGTTCAATCAAAAGTGGTACACAAAACCCACAATGTGCTCTAAAACATAACTTCCCAAAAATCCCAAACACGCACAAAACTAGAAACATTCACTTTTTTTGGTTTTTCTTTCTTTTTCTTAAAGAAAAAATGAGCCTAACTGGTTTGACAGAATTTGTTCTTCACGAAATATTTTTGTATCTTGAAGCTGAAGATTTATATTCCCTTCAAAAAATACATCCGAAATTCTACTTTTTGATTAAAAAATATCGTCATTGGTATAGGTGAGTAAATTTCGATCAAGTTTTTTTTCTAAACATTTTTGATTTTTTTGACGGTGAAATTTTAAGTTTTCTTGCTGAAAATTCACAGGTCAAATTTTTTTCAAAAAAATCTTTAATTTTTTGTTATTTTCTCGAACTTCAAGAATTTTTGAAGAAAATATAATGCTCAAACACTTACAATCAATAAAAATGGCGAAAACTCAACAAGATTAGAAATCGACGGTTATTCAGCTCTCGATCAGGTGATTTTATTTCTAAATCAATTTTTGATAAATTTTCAAGATCAACTTTTGTAGGAAGGACAAGTTGTTCGAAAACACTCGAATCGTATTATTCATGGTTCAATCAAAGATATATTAAATCAAATCAGCCCTGTTTGGTTGATAACAGATGAGAATGAAGAATTATGTGAAATGCATCAAAAATGGTGGAAAAATCCAAAAAAGATACACATTCATCATATATTAAACTATGAAAAATATCTCCAGCATTTTCAAAACTGTTCAACTCTTATTCTAAAAGATGTTCCAACAATCCAACTATCAACCATTTTGAATCATATGGTTACTGTAGCGCATTTAGAGTAAGTATTTACAAATGTCAAGAAAAAATCAATTAAATTTTCAGTTTGAAAGGAAATGTTGATTGCACAGAAGAAGATTTTGATAATTTGATTGCAAAGACAACAAAATTGAAATATTTGTCGATTGATGTATCAAATACAACAAGAATCACCAACCAAACAATTACAAAACTTATCAAGGTAAATCATTTTTTTTTTTGCAATTTTTCAGTAGTTGTTTTTTCAGCATACAAAATTCAAACCAGGTCGAGCAGTTATAAATTTTACCAAAATTTATTCAACTTTTCAACAACTCATGGATACTTTCAACCAAATCAATATTATTGATTTGTACAATTTTCATCAACAATGTGTTTTGATTCGTTTTCCAGACAATAATGAGCTTGTTTTGTGCTACGATGAGCTTGTTCCACGATAACTTATTGTTACTTTTTGAAAACTGTTTTTTTGTTAAAAATTTTTCATATTTTTACGTGATCTATGTCTAAACTTTCAACCGTATACCTAATCCTCTAAACAATAAACAATGCTGATATTTGCTATTGTTCTTTATAAACATATATTGCTCTTAAAATAAAGAGGAAATGATTAATCTCGCTCAGCTTATGCTTAAGTTTTAAATATTCATGAATAGTACAAAAAGTGTATATAGTGATAACTTATGATCTTTGCAAATAACACGGTTGAAAGATTCTCCACCCCATTGAAACGAAAATATGACTCAAAATATCGTTGAAACAATATGCTTCCTCTTTATAAAACAAGAATGAACTCAATTTTAAAATATGGCAGTGTTCAAGGAATAATGATATTCTTGCATAGTTTCTCTTGAAAATGTAGGAATTCCAGAAAAAGAAAGATCTCTTTTAGGGCATAAGAAATAGAACCATTGATTCGTGAAAGATTTGTAGATTTTTTGTGTTCTGATTTTGTATTTATTGTTCTAATAATAACAATCATAAAGCTTCACATTTCAAGTTTTGTTATGATTATGGAAAAAACAGAATTGGCCCTAATGATCTATGGAAAATATATTGTCACCGAGTTGATTAAGATATTTTTTCAATTTTAAAGCATAGACCAGAAAGAAACGTATACCTCACTCATTATTTTTTCGCATCACAAAATATTTTCATACTTGATTGAATAGAGAATTACGAACAATCTTTCTTTGTGCCTCCCAGAAATTATGTTCTGGCAAAAACAGAAACCACACTTCGTGTTTTCAAAATAACGTTTCAGACTGTATGCACTTTATTCGGTATTTGTACTCAGAACTACTGTACACAACAACCGTTGATTTTATTGTTGGAAAAAAAAACAACGCGACGACAAGTTTCGCTGATAACCACCACTAAAAAAGGTATCGAAAAATGTGGCGTTCAAACAAAATGAAAACGATTTCTCCCATTTTTTTTTCTGGTTTTTGATCCAATAGTTTTGCAACAATGAAGTCTGGAACCAACAACAAACAAAATCTAGCACAATTCAACTAATTCCTGATTTTCCAATGTATAAACAAAATCATAAACAGGTTCATAGATTTTGTCAGAGCAAACATTATGTTCCTTGTCTATAGATATGTGATATAAAGCAGATTAATTTTTCGAACCTATACACATTTGAACCTAAGTCTGATAACTTGAAGATGCTTTGTCATAAATTTCTTAGACGAACAATAGACCAACTGAAGCACCGCCCATTACATAACTCCGTATATAAATAACTCTACAAAAATCTTTGAAAGTATAATCTGTTAAAATGAATTCCTTATTTAAATACGGTAGTGTTCAAGAAAACCCTTTATATTCTTGTTCAGTTCCATTTGAAGAATTGTCAATTCCGGGAACAAAAAGAGTTTTATTAGGATATGCATTGATAATATTCGGAATTTTTGTCGAAATTATTTATATACCATCATTGATTGCAATGATTAAGAAAAAGTTATTGAGATTTTCGTGTTACAAAATAATGTTCTGTTTGGGTTTGGTTGATATGTATACAACTTGTAAGTTGATTTCAAGTGGGAAAATTAAATTGTACTACTGTAATGTTAACTTTTTCAAAAAAAACGTTGCAGTGATTTGCACTATTTTAAGTGGATACTTATTTATCGAAGGAGCTGTTTACTGTAGTTATCCAACGCTGATTTACATAACTGGTTGTTTTGCATTGGGCGGTTGGATAATGTCTTGTGGATTCACTTTACTTCTTGTAATCAACAGAGTTACCGACATTGTATGTCCGAATTTCTCTGAAATTGTTTTCAACAACAATCGAGCTTGGTTAACTTGTGTAATTCCTTTGGTTTATGGTTTATATTGTATTTTCTTTACCCCGGCAATTATTTTCAATTCCACAATTATGGCTTGGATTGGTGATCCGGGAATAACTGCTGGACATTCTGGAGATTATTACAATTATGTTCAAGTCTACAATAATTTTGTGTTCATTTTCTCAACAATTGCTCTTTACAGTTTATACTGTGTTTTTATGCAAAAGAAACAGAATGGAATAAAAGTTTCAAGTGGGAAACAAGTTTTTATTCAATCATCAATTATTTGCTCGATTAATTGTTCTTCTGCAAGTGTTTATACTTTATTGATGTTCATAAAACCAAATCCAATAATTGTAATTATTGGCGAATTGGCTTGGTCAATGGTACATGGATTTCCAGCAATTATTTATTTGACAATGAATAGAACAATTCGAAATGAAGTCTTGGGATGGTTCAAAAAATCAGATAATCGAGTTGGAGAAATATCGAACTCAAGACAACGAACCCTTGAATCAATCTGATATTTTCTAAATTTTTGATTTTCTGACTTTTTCTAATTTTATTTTTTCATAACTAACATATCTTTGAGCTTCATGAATGTCTTCATGATTTTTTGTATTTGCACTACACATAAAGTTTTTAGTAATTTGAAAATATCTTCCTGGTTTGGTTTTGGTTTTCATTCTCGTCCATTTCGGACATTTTTTCGAGAATTGAAGATTATCAAATTGTTCTTCGAATGACGCGCGCCATAACGTCATTTTGGAAAAACCAACTCAAAAAAAGCACAGTATGCACAGAATAGTTTAGAAATGATTTAACATGATCAAATACACAGTCCTTGTGTTTTATGGTCCAATAAACAATGAAATTAAGAATTTATTGTAAGTTTTTGCCTTTGATTTTTATCTTGAGCATGAAAACAAAAAAACAATTATGAATGTTTCATTAATTGTGTTAAATACACAAAAAAATGAGATCAGAAGAAAATATGAAAAACCCTAGTAGGTAAAAATAACTATTGAAAACATCCTATATTCCTACTGAAAAATGGCTTTGTTGCAAAATGATAAGTGATTGGATCCATTCGTTCGCCAGAATGATAAAATGCATCAGAATGTATACAAGGTAGATTATCTTGTTGTGGAAGATCACAATCATACGCATTTATACAAAGTATACTTTGATCCAATACTCCCTGATCTCTTACGTGATAAAATGTTTCATTGTAACATTTGAAAATTATTGGCATATAAAAATCTTCTTTTGGTAGAGAAGATGCAAGTTTTTTTATTTGTGGTAATTTGAGGTGGCTGAAAAACATGTTTTTTTCTGAAAAAAATTGAATAATTCTAATACCTTTTTAAATCTTTCTCAATTAAATTCAAATTTTCTTCATTTATTATTTTTGTTTTATTATCGTATGGATTAATTGGAATTCGACTACCATCTAACTTTTTCACATTTTTAATTAATTTTTGTTTTTTCAAGTGAAATATTCCAATATTCAAATATTTTAATGATGTAAAATAGGGTTGTTTATTTTCATCGAATTGTGGAAGAAAATCAGCATTTCTACTCCAATGAGCCCATGTCGAATTATATCTTTCTGACAGAACAAATGATTTTCCAGTATCATTTGTAAAAAGAGGAACGGCATGTTTTACCATTTGTAATATTGATGTTTCTTCAAGATTTGATGATTTAATAGTTTCAAAATCATGTTTCAAATAATTCAATGCGCTGAACAATCGATTTCCGTTATATTGTTTTTCAAACTCCTCATAATAAGAGTTTGAGTTGACTGGAATCAATAAATCGTCCATATCAAGACTTCCAATAAATTTGGCAGCTTCTTTGTACATCAAAAGACAATCTGTATGAGCTGCAGTTTGTGCACGAAGTTCAACATTTCTATTTGGTTCCATAACAGGTGTATCAACTTTTGAAAATTTTATGGTAAGCCAAGGTTCAATTGACAGATAACCCTGAAATTGTTTATTTCGCTTTCGTAAAAACCAAAAATAAACTAACCAACTTTTCATATTCTCTTATTAACTTGAAATATGATTCAACCATGCTCAAAACATAAATATGCAAGTATGCTCCATAAAATTTGGAAATATGAACCTGTGCTAGAAAAGTTTGCCATTGTTCAGCTGCAAATTGTGGAGAAACACAAAACACGACTGGTTTCGGAGAAGTTTTCAAAGGATGTTTGATTGGAATCTTTCAAAAATAAAAGTTCAGAATTTGTAAATTAGGAATGTGGACTTACCGATATGAGTTTTCCTTCAGATTCAATTTCAAGTTTTGACATATTGAAAATAGTATTTGTTTGAATGAGAATCATTGCATAATCACAACGATCAGATAGTAAATGCTCACTAAAAATAGTCAATTGAGTTTAGATTACATGTATTTTTCAACTTACGTTGTTAATTTTGCTTGCGAAATATGTCTTACCATTGAATAATTTGTGGCAACAATATTTACTTTCATATCCAAAATACTATCCGCAGTTCTTTTATTCATTGTTGTCACGATTGCCACCGCATATTTTCCCAACGATTTAGATTCCGGAAAATAGTAAGCCGAATGAATAAAAGTGTGCGTATGTAAAAGATATTTTGCGCGGACACGTTTTGTAGAAAGAATATTATCAAAACTAGAAATTAAAAAAATAATAATCAGAAAAAAAGCTACAATAAATCTGAAATATTTTCCAGTAAGATGTTTTATGTCACGAAACATTTGGACTAGATGCTAAATTTAATGCAATATTTATAAGTGTAGCAGTCTCAATCTCAGCTTCAATCAAAAGGTGGGTCATTAGTTGAGATACTTATCAGAAATGTTTTATTAGTCTGCATAAACAATGAGGAAATAGGTTGTAAATCATACCCATATTTTATCTTATTCTTTTTATATGGAAAAACGCGCAGACAAGAAATTTGAAAATAAATAAATAATGATCAGCATTATTATAATCTTTGGAAAAATTTAAAAAAATCGCAGGAATAATTTTAATATCCCATTTGCAAAATGTAATACTTAATATAAAATGTTAACCTATTTTATTAAAAATTATCAAATACAAAGTTCGAATTTTCAGTTTCCGTTCTTTCAAAAAATAACTTCTAATGTGAATCCTATTTTTAATTTTTTTGTCTTTTCGGTGAAAATCGTGAAACTTCCTGATTTCTCGAAAAATTAAAAAAAACCAAATTGAAGAAATAAACGAGAGTGTGCCCTGATGAACGAAATCGGTTACTGTTTTTTTTTCTCTTTTGTTGTTTCAAAATTGAATGACTTCATTACGAACCCGTCTTAAAATTTTCAATTAAAATTAGACTATTTCTTCGATTTTTTGTGTGATTTAACAAGTGTTTTGACATCTTTTCTATGAAGAATTGAATCTTTTGTAAGTGCTTCAATAGCTGCTGTTGCAACTGCTTCTTGACGTCGTTGTTGAAGAGCTTCGCGATATTGCACTGAAAACGGAAGTCAAAGATCGTTTTTCATATTGAAATAGATCTGATTCAAAAGTACGTATGACGTGGAAACTTTACGAGATTGAAATCAGTTTCAATCATGCGTAAGATGATTTATGATTGAGTTTTTCTTCCCTTTGTCTCATCTTATGAAAACCAAATAAAGGGAATTTTGAACTCACTTGAGTGAATAATGAGTAAACCACCCCATGCAATAGACCAAAACCACCCAACAAATAGAAATGTGATTGTAAAAAATTGACTGATTCCAACCTGAATTATTTAAGCGAATAGTGATTTATATAGAAGATGAGAATCAAAACCTACAAGTATGTTTACAACAAGTGTGACAAGTTTCCGACCTTCTTTCATGTTTATTCTTGGTTGACCCATACAAAGCGCGCCAAATCCGGAAATAATAGTTCCTGGAAGTTTGGAAAACCTACTAAAGTTATTCAAGTTTCCCGACTACCTGATCCTGGTATAAAAATATTCAAAATTAAACAAGTGATAGCCACAGGAACTGGTAGAAAAGGAATTGCTTCATGCATCATCGTTATATCATTTGTTGGTAAATTAACTTTATCACCAGATCTTGGCTCTTTTTGAGTTTGAGCTTCTTCTTGAGCAGCTTGTACTACTCCCGTTATATTAAATGCATTACTTTGCGGAACATTTACTTGTAAAATACCTTCACTTCTACCGTATTCTGTGATTCTTGGTAGATTTTTCTGAACCATTTTCCATCCACGAACTTTTGACGCATCAGCTATAAAAATGTTATTTTTCAAAAATTATGAAAATAGTTTTTTTCTAAAAAAACTCACAAGATTGCAAAATATTCGCCACTCCATCCGTTACATTTTGAATCATTTTTGTTTTTTATTGTTTCAAAAAGAATAATAATAAAATAAAATATATAAAGTAACCCAAGTAGTCAGAAAAAAAATAAAAGAAAAAGCAAAGGTCCGGAAGCTATTATACATAGGACTTTTTTTTTTATTTTCGATCAATTTTTGTTTTGGTCATGTTTTTATTTTTTCTGGTTTTTCTCTCAAGTTCAGAATAAAAAAACATTAGTTTTGTCGAGATCTTTATCGGTTCTTTCACAAGTTGGATATTTATTGATTCTTGTTATTAAAATAATTGATTTTATGAATGAAGGTTGGCTCGGTAAGATTCGAGAAGAAATAATATGTCTTTTTTTTCCCAATTAGGGCCTTATGAAAATTCTTACAGATTTTCAAATATTTCCTATGCATTATTGTAATATGTTTGGTCATTTCTTTGATTTACAAAGTGCCTGCTCTTTTAAAAAATGAAGATTTGAATGTTTTTGTGCACTCCGCTTACTACTTTAAAAAATCTCACTCGTAAGTATTCACATAATGTCCCAAAAAACGAAAAATTCAGACTAGGGAATAATGCAATTGCAATTCTTATGACAATGGAAAGATCAGCGGCTGAAAAAATTGAGAACAGTGGAATGAGTATTGTTGAAATCGATGATCAAATGTATGATCAAACCAATATCATTAACTTCGATATGTCAGTTAAGTTTGCAATCATATGCCTTAAGACATTTTTTTTTAGTGAACCTCTACATCTTACCAAATCTGATCTTGTAACAGTTCTTGCTAAATCAAATATTCATTCAAAACCAATTCAGACAGAACTAAGAATCAACGATGGTACAATTCAAATTCCAATCAAAAAATTGAGAAAAGAAGTATTTTCTCCTGTAGTGTTCTGTTTTTCTCCTCTGATTATGTTGAATCAATGGCAAAAATTGATGTTGCAAGTTCTAATTTCAAACAAGTATGCCATTTTTTCTTATATTTGAAGATTATGCTGATTTGATTTCAGATATCAAGGTCATGTGCATTTATATATTTCAAGATTGACAAAAATTTACATTGATGTTATAAAATATTACTCAAAAAACAAACTGTTGTCATATGAAATCTGGCCTGATACATCATTTGCTCCAGAAGATGAACCACTTTTTCATTTTGAAATGCGAACGAAAAAAGCGACAAATACTGATTGCCTTTTGCAATTCAAAAATATTGCACAATTCATTAGTTTTCCAGATTTAGAAGATCTTCTTATTCCAAACAGTGGTCTAACGTATTCAGAAGAATTTTCAAAGTATTTTGAAAGCTCAACCAATTTATTATTTTACCAGAAAATCAATTTCGAATTTATGTTGAATGAGAATCGATGGTTAACAGATTCTATCATTCGACTTGTAGATGGTAGTTATACTGGAAATACTATCATTCAGCCAAAGTATTACAATTCAACATGGTCACATTTACTAAACGAAGATGAGAAAATTCCAATCACGGAAAAAGCAAAAAATTACATTTTACACATCAAGAAAATCGATTGGATTGATGTCACAAAATCCAAAAAATTCAATAATATTTTTATGAATTCCAATATCTCTGAAGAAATTGATGAGCAAATTAGAATGTTTTCTGTAAATTTACCGAGAACTGATCAATATGCACAGAAAAACTGGGATTGCTATAAAAGTCGCTTTTACATCATTCACAATTCGGATATTTTCAAAAATTCAAGAAATTGTACAAGAGATAGTTTAAGAAGTTTCGAAGGAGATGGATCTTGTTTGAGAGCTGATACAATAACCAAAACTGGACCGAAATTAGGAAGTTTTAATATTTTTTACCCAACCTTTACATTTTTAACAGAAACTTCACTTTGTTTCTGAAAAAAAAACAGGTATACAAATTTATGATTACAACAATGAATAAACTAATTTCTAATTATGTACAATTAGGAGTAGCAAAGTTATTATTGATAACATCCTATACTTCTAGTAAAATATGAATCTGTGGTATAATGATAAGTGATTGGATCCATTCTTGGTCCTGAATGATACATTGCATCTGAATGAACACAAGAATAATCATGTCGTTGAGGAATATCACAACTATAAGCGTTTATACAAATAGCTGCTTGACTGAATCTTCCAATATCTCTTGCATGATAAAATGCATCAGTATAACATTTCAAAATTATTGGCATATAAAAATCTTCCTTGGGAAGATATGGAGCGAGTTTCTGAATTTGTGGTAGGGCAAGATGACTGAAAATTCCTCTATTCAACAAGTTAGAAAATCGAATTACTCTCACCGTTGCAAATCATCTTCAATTGCTTGTAAATTCTCTTCACTTATTATTGTTGTTTTATTATTAACTGGGTTTAAAGGAATTTGCCCTTCTCCGAGATTAGCTAACTGCAAGCCAGTTTTCGAAATTTGTCTTTTCAAATGGAACATTCCAGTGGTATTCATTTCTCTACGAGTCATTAAAAATGGTTTTTCTTCCGATTCTCCAAAAAACTGTGGAACTAAATCAGCAACTCTACTCCAATGAGCCCATGTTGAATTATATCTTTCTGCTCGAACAAATGATTTTCCGCTGTCCGTTGTATTCATATACTTTGCTTGTTTCACCATTTGTAAAATTGAAGTTTCATCGAGGTATGGAGATTTAATTGTTTGGAAATCATATTTAGTGTAATGTAGCGAACTAATTAACCAATTACCATTGTAATCTCTTTCAAATTCTTCATAATATGATGCCGAATTCACAGGTATTAACAAGTCATCCATGTCAACGAATCCAATAAATGTGGCAGCTTCTTTGTACATCAACAGGCAATCTGTATGGGCTGCAGTTTGTGCACGAAGTTCTACATTTCTATTTGGTTCAATAACAGGTTCATCAACTTTTGAAAATTTAATTGTAAGCCAAGGTTCAATTGACAGATAACCCTGAAGTTATCGGTTTTTTTATAAAACTAGAAAAACATCTATAAAAATTACCAATTTTTCATACTCTTGCAGAAGTTGAAAATATGACTCAACCATACTGACAACATACATTTGCAAATGTGCTCCGTAAAATTTAGAAATATGAACTTGAGCCAAAAATGTTTGCCATTGTTCAGCTGCAAATTGTGGAGCAACACAGAACATAACCGGTTTTGGAGCAACAGCTTTTGGTTTTTTGAAAGGTATAGAAGCTGTTATACCATCTGCTTCAATTTCTAGCACATTCATATTTTCTAATGTGTTTGCTTGAGCGAGTAACATCAAATAATCACAACGATCAGTTAAACGATGTTCGCTTAAAATTAAAAAAAAATTCTACTCTGATTCTTGTAACTACGTATTTCACGACTCACGTTGTTACCGTAGCTGCGGTGTTTATAATTCCAGTGTCATTCGAAGCGACTAAATTTATTTTCATTTTCAAAATCTGTTTTACAGTTCGTTTATTGGTTGTAGTCACGATTGCGATGGCATTTTTACCGAGCCTTAATTTTTTAATTTTTTTTCAAAATGAAAAACTGGTTTTATTTTGAATCTACTCAAGTGAAAAAATAGACAAAAACTGTTTAGATTTTAATCACACAAGTTTTCTTACGATTTAGATTCCGGATAATAATAAGCGGAATGAATAAACGTGTGCGTATGTTGCAAATATCCCAAAGTATCTCTAATTGGAGCTGATTTTTGTTCAATGACAGGTTTTGGAGCAGAATATTGAGAAACAGTAATGAGAGCAATAAAATTTAGTAATAGTAGAGCTTTGAAATTGCGTTTAATAAAGTGTCGTATTTGGGTTAACATCCACGTAAAATATCGTGTATATATGTGCATTTAAATATAAACACTTTATAAATAGAGGAACACAAATAATATTGAGTACTTAGATTTAATCTCCTGGAACAATGTGGAAGGAGGTCCTGATTCACGTTGTGGGTGGAGATTACCGATTTTTCGAAAGATTTTCGGAAAGATTAAGTTTTTTGAACATCAAATTCCAGCTAAACACACCTATCAAATTTTAAATATTAGTATTAAAATACCACAAAGAAAGGGGGCTTTATTGTTTCTAAAATTAGAGTACAATCTGCATAGGTAAATCACAAATTTAGTTACAACAAGTCCGCGATTTTACGTGAAAAAATTATGTTTTTGCTATGTGCCAATTGTTCCACACGAACAAAGTGAAGATTTTTTCAAAAGAAATAAATGATCGTTTTTAAAACATCGGATAAATTCAAGAACCATCACAAGTTGAATCATTTTTTAATCTTGGACTGGAATTTAATTAAAAAGTTTGTGCTAGGACGAGGGAATACATATGCGATCGAAATCTTCGAAGTATTGCAGCTTTATTTTCGATTCCACTTTGGGTTTTTTTTTCATTTTGACCGTTGTTTCAAAGATTATAATCTGAGTACATTTTTCAATAACAAACAATGCAACGGGTATATATTCTAGTTTCACAGTCCTGAAATTCAGAATATTTCAAGTTCAAAATTTCAAGTATCATGTTGTTTTTCACATATACATATCTAATAATAATTTCATTGCTCCCAAGTGTATATCACTAATTAATATAAAACATAGAATGATGTCGCCTAAAATTGTATTTTGATAAGTGTTTTGAAAAAAACAATTTGAAAAACTATAGTTAATATTGGCAAATTTTCATAAGTTTCCGGAAAGGACCAAAATATGGAAGATCGAGTTTTGGAATTCAAAGTTGGACCTAGAGTCGTAGAAGATATCTCAAGCTATTTTTCCTAAACATACACGGTTTGAAAAATTTCATGCTTAACTTAAGTTTGATATAAACCTTGGGAACCATAGGCAATCTGTATTTCATTATTAGAGTTATTTCGGAGTATTTTTTCATAATTAATAAAAACGAAGAATACTGTAATACTCATGAGATAGTCAAGTTAAAAACAAATCGGAGAATTCATTTGTACAAAATTAATATGAAAAAATGGATTGATATCATTCAGAGTATTGCAGCAATTTTCTCAATATTATTGAACGTTGTTCTAATAATTCTTATCATCAAGAAATCTCCAAAAGAACTTGGAACTTATAAATATTTACTGCTTTTCATTGCATGGTTTGAAATTTTCTACTCACTTTTGGATGTTATTCTATCTCCAATTGCATTTTCACATGATTCCATATTTCTTATGATTGTTTCAGTCAAAAATTCAATATTCTCTAAAGATGTTCTATTTCTCCTAGATTCTATATTTTGTGCATTTTTTGGAGTTTCAATGGGAATGTTTGCAGTTAACTTTATATATAGATTTTTTGTTGCAACTGGATCAGAAAGATTGAAATCTTTCAAAGGAGCATGGATAATTTGTTGGCTGATGATTCCTTGTATATATGGAGGTATTTGGGGTTTATTATGTTACTCTGTTTTAGGACCAACTGTTGAAATAAACGAACAAATCAGAACAGATATACTTTTGATATTTGATTGGTCGGTTGAAGATATCACATATCTCGGACCGTATGTTTATCAAAAACAACATAATGGATCATATATTATTGATATAAATTCAATTATTGCTATTTTCATCGCTTTTGGAATAATTGTTTCATCATTGATTGCAATATTTTATTGTGGAATCAAATGTTATATGAATCTTGAAATACTGATGCCAGATAATAAATCGAATCGTTTCAAAAATTTACAGTCTCAATTATTTTTTGCTCTTGTAACGCAAACTCTTATTCCAGTTATTCTTCTACATCTTCCAATATCATTGATTTTCATTTTCACTTTGATGGAAAAAAATTTAGGATCTTTGAGCGCCATTGTTTCAGTAACTATTGCCTTATTTCCAATGTTAGATCCTCTTCCAACTATTTTCATTGTTAAAAGTTATCGCGAAGCTATTTTCAGTGAGTGGAAAATTAAAAGTAAAGAACATAAAAATAAACATTAATTTTTATAGGTTTCTTTCGAAATGTTTTTTGTTTTTGGAAAATACCATCTTACAATTAGAAAATTCGGAATAATCATTCTTCTTCAAAAAACCGTAGAATAGAAAACCAATACAATGTAATTATATTTATAAGTAAAAGTAGTGTAACCTATTGATTTAGCCTAAATTGAATTATGCCTTCTATATCATGATTGAATAATGAAAGGAATTCTAGTTTTCAATTGTTGTTTTCTGTTTTTATCTTTAAGTTTTTGAAAAATGGTTCAGTCATCCTCAAGAGGATGTGAATGCACCACAAATGCGCCATGATGTAAAAGATTGACGTATTTCATCTGCGTGCGCCTTTCGTGTGTGTGTAATATGACAAAAAAAAAATAAAAATAATAGAAAAAATGAAAAAAATAACATTTTAAAGGATTTTCCTCTTTTTGCACAAGTTCTGGCTTGTGAGCAACTGAGAGTGCATATCTCCTCTCAAATCATACATTATACAACTATACCGCAAAAAAAACTTACCTGATATAATTTAACACAAATCACTGTGTTTTTTCACCCAAAACCAAACCCAAAACCCATTAAACTGACTTGACATTAGTTGCAGTTGTATCCTCAAACCAAATCCTCAAATTCATGTTGTTTTAATCATTGAAATCGAAGTGCGAAACGAAACCAACATCAATTCCGATATCTCAAGCAATCTGGAATTTCTTTGGTTCATAAAAAGAAAAATAAATTCCCTCTTACCGTTAATTGAGAGCTCCCATTGAAGACAGGCCGAATACCAAATAAAGTATTTCGAGCAATGAGCGTCCAACCTGAAAAAAAGAGATTTAGCGTGATTTTTTTCGAATATTTATTCTTAAAATAAAATAACGTGAACACTTTTTTCGACAAAATCTTCCCTATAAAAAAACGCTCAAAAAAATGATTCTTCGCTGTCCGCAATACACCATGACGCATAACAAAAAATAATTTCAAAAATGTTTTTCTTGAAATGTTCGCCTGGGCTGCCAATCGATATAGAACAACGAAAAATTGTTGAAATCCCGCGTGATCTACACTATTCACATTTGCGGGTCTAGGATTTATGAATTTCAAAATCAGGTTTCAGCTTGATTTTTGAGAATCTTGGAAATTTCATTGTGGAAAAAAAATAAACTCATTCCTAATTAGCTAAAAATCAAAGACAACGTTTCAATTCTGAACAAAAATGACACAGGTGAGAGTTTTTCTTTTTGGAGAGCGCAGAGAAACCAAAAAAGAAAGTGTGCTCTATCGAACTGTTCGCACTAGTTTTTTTCATTTTCAAAATTCATTTTTTGTTTTTTTTCGACTAGTCGCTTCCAAAACAAAAAAAGGACAAAAAAATAAAAGTAAAACAACGACACTCGACGGCTTGCCTGTTGTTTAATTTTCACAAACTGTTCGAGCGGAGTGTCGTTATTCTATTTTTACAAGATTGCGCGTAGGATTTGGTGTTTGCGGGCAGTCGGTGTTGGCACACACTCTTATTTTTTCGTTCTTTCTCTAGGTTTTGGATTTGGATTTGGCCGAAATATAAAGTTTTGGCCTGAAATCTGTGTTTTTTTGTTGTTTTGCCTTGCAAGTGGTTTACATCCACTACCATCTTTGAAGTCGACCTCCTTGCAACATAAAACAAAGGGAGGTGCAACTGTTCCGTACAAACAATAAACATTTTATAAATATATACAAACATCTAAATATAATTTTACAATAAACACCCGATACTTTTTGTAAAAAATGAATCTGTGGTATAATGATAAGTAATTGGATCCATTCTTGGTCCTGAATGATACATTGCATCTGAATGAACACAAGAATAATCGTGTTGTTGAGGAATATCACAACTGTATGCATTCACACAAATTTCATCTTGACTGAATTTCCCAAGATCTCTTATATGATAAAACGCATCAGTATAACATTTCAAAATTATTGGCATATAAAAATCGTCTTTTGGAAGATGTGGGGCAAGTTTTTGAATTTGTGGTAGAGCAAGATGACTGAAAAAATTGGTATGATTTACATAAAAGCCTAAGGACAAATAAAATCCACAAAAGTTGAACTTTTTCTGAGAAATTTGAGATACTTACCGCTGCAAATCATCTTCGATTGCTTGTAAATCTTCTTCACTTATTATAAGAGATTCATTATTTCGTGGATTCAATGGAATTGTTCCTTCTCCAAGTTTTGCCAACTCCTTGCGACTTTTGTTAATTTGTCTTTTGAAATGGAACATCCCCGTATTTCTCATTTGCTTGCGATACATATAAAATGGTTTCGGTTTGATTTCCCCGAAAAATTGTGGTACCGAATCCGCAACTCTACTCCAATGAGCCCATGTTGAATTATATCTTTCTGATCGAACAAATGATTTTCCACTATCTATTGTATTTAGGTATCTTGCTTGTTTTACCATTGCCATAATTGAAGTTTCATCAAGATGTGGAGATTTTATTGTTTCATAATCGTATTTTGTATAGTGCAATGCACTTACCCGCCAGTTTCCATTATAATCTCTTTCAAACATTTCATAATATGAACTTGAATTTACTGGAATTAATAAATCATCCATATCAAGACTTCCAATAAATTCAGCAGCTTCTTTATACATCAAAAGACAATCTGTATGAGCTGCAGTTTGTGCACGAAGTTCAACATTTCTATTCGGTTCCATAACAGGTTCATCAACTTTTGAAAATTTAATTGTAAGCCAAGGTTCAATCGAGAGATAACCCTACAAAAAACGATATTTTTTGGATTTTATATTTCTTTGTCAATTTCTTACCAATTTTTCATACTCTTGCAAAAGTTGAAAATATGACTCAACCATACTGACAACATACATTTGCAAATGTGCTCCGTAAAATTTAGAAATATGTACTTGAGCCAAAAATGTTTGCCATTGTTCAGCTGCAAATTGTGGAGCAACACAGAATACAACTGGCTTTGGTGCAACTTTTTTCGGTATTTTGTACGGTATAGAAAGGCTCACTCCATCTGCCTCGATTTCTAGCACATTCATATTATCTAATGTGTTTGCTTGAGCGAGTAACATCAAATAATCACAACGATCTTCCAATCGATGTTCACTTGAAAAAAACATTTTCAATGAAAAATAATCAAACTTATTTTTTCTAGACTTACGTTGTAACTGTTGCTTCTGTTTTCATAATTCCTGTGTCATTCGATGCAACTATATTTATTTTCATATTTAGAATTTCGTTTACGGTCCGTTTATTAGTGGTCGTTACAATTGCGATAGCATTTTTTCCAAGGCTAAAATTTTAACATTTTAAAAAATTCAGATTTATGAAAAATCGAAATCGGATGTTCAAATATTCATAAAACTAGATGACTCACGATTTAGAATCAGGATAATAATAAGCAGAATGAATAAATGTGTGTGTATGCTGAAGATACAATAATTCGTTGTTTATTGTAATATTTTCAGTTTGTTTTGAGCCGGAAAATTGGGAAACAGTAATAACAGCAATAAAATTGAAAACTAGAAAAGCTTTTAAGTTCCGTCGTAAAAAATATCGGGTTTTATTCATAAACCACATATTATATTGATTGAATATATGAGATGATTATATTACAAATAGAGGAAAACAATTGAGAGTTGGTTAGATTTAATCTTCTGGAAAATGACCAGAAAGTCCTGTTTCAAGTTGGGGGTGGAGAACACCGAGTCCTAAAGATTTGTGAAAAAGATATGTCTTTTTGATCCTCGACATTCCGGCATTTAGTAGAATGACTTTCATGAAAACTCATAAAATTCATCATCACTGAATAAAAAAGTTCTAAATTTCATATTTTTAGTTGTACTGAATTGATGGGCTGAGTAATGCATTTAAACTTCCGTGTTGGTCTCTTCAGTTCTAGATATAATTTCCCTGCATAGAAAGGGATAAAGTCAACACATTTCCAAATTGTGATTCCGCAAAGAGAGGAAGTGCAGAGAAATCTGTGACGTGAAACTCTAGATCCTGATGCTCTTCCTCTTTGTTGAAATAGCGTTAAAATTTCGAATTACTACAAAAATGAGATTTCAGAGAGATTCAGATTTGATTTTTTTCATGATCGTGTTTGAGAGAAGTAACAATTTTAAATTCTTCAAAAACTGGATGCAGAAGATCTTGTGAACGTTTTTCAAGTTCGATTCACGATTAAATGAAAAATGAGATTAGGTACTGAGATTCCATCAAAAAACGTGTTCCAACGAAGTTTTCTGGATTTTCGTTCCGATCAAGAACGTAATACAAAAAAGGTGTTTATCTGATTTTAATTTCGAAAAAATACTTCGAAGATCGTGTGCTTGATTGGAATCATCTCGCCGCAATATCTTTCCGGTTCTCCTTTTTCGCATGGGAGAACTTTGAACATCAAGAAAAAAGGTATTTTTTAATATTCTAAACAAATTGTTTTTTCCAAACCAAATTTCCCAAGAATATCAACAAAAAGTTCTCGAATAGTTTTTATTGATGGTAAAAAAAGAAATGACAACTGTCTTCTCCTGAAAATTTTTGTGTGTTGTGTTTTCTTTTTTCATCATCTGCTAATAAGTTACCAAAATCGTTAAATTTCAGAAAATGTTATACACTGTGTTCATTTTGAAAGCGATAAACGCAATTCCACCACGGAATGTCAAAAAAAACGTCGTATCTGAAAAATGAGAATAAAAACAACAATGCTCCGCGTGACACCACACATTTTTTAGAAACGTCATTTTTCAAATTTGAAAATCATTGTTTATTATTTTTCAGCCAATAAATAGTTGTTTACTATTCTATTAATTCACTTTATCTGGATGGAATCAGTCACACAAAGCTCAAAAGAAGAAAATAATGTTTGTCCCTATACGCTGTGGGATAATTGTGTTGTTTTCAATGGAAAATGGATTCAAGCAAGACAAGTTCGATTCAAAACAAAAAATAATGGACAAGAAGGCGTGAGTTTATATGAAAATATATAATTTTTAGAATATAATTCCTATTGATTTAGGTATGGCAATCAGTTCATCGTAATACAAAACCAGTGGGTGCTCCAGCTGATGGTGTTAGTATTATCGCAAAAGTCACAAAAAATGGTATCAATTATATGGTTCTCGTCAAACAATATCGTATTCCAACCGGTAAAATGTGTTTGGAACTTCCAGCTGGTTTGATAGATAATGGTGAAACTGCTGAACAAGCTGCTATTCGAGAATTGAGAGAAGAAACTGGATACACTTGCTCAAAAGTTATTTCGCAATCTGTCGAATGTTTTTTGGATCCTGGATTGACTGATGATTCGCAATGTTTTGTAATCTGTGAAATTGATGGAGATGCAAAAGAAAATCAGAATCCAAAACAACATTTAGATAGTACAGAAGCAATTGAAGTTGTGCTGGTTGAACATTCAAAATTGTTAGATTATCTCAGGTTTGTGTTTGAAATTTGAAAAAAAAAACGGTTTAGCATAACATTTTCCCATCCAACCCAAATCACTGATTTATTTCAGAAACATGGACAAATCGATAGCTGTCGAAGCCGGTCTTTATGCCTATGCTTACGGAGCCCATTTTGCCAAAATATTTGGAAAATAAATAAATCATATTCTCAACCCAATTTTTTTCCTGATACTCCTTTATTTTAATCTGTTGCTCGAAAAAAGGTGTGATAAGAATTGTGACTGTTTTTTCGAATGTATTTCAAAATTTCGAGAAGATTTTCCGGGTTACATTTTTTCATTCTATTTATTGTAAACAACATTTTGTCAATAATAAAAATTTGAATTTTGTTCTGTTTTTTTAAAATTAGGCTAAACTTTTGATTTTGAAATTTCTTGCAATTAACCCGGAAATTATCAAGTAAGGCGCTTAGAAGTTTTGCATCAAAAATTCAAAGAATGTGTAAATATTTAGTCAGCTTGATATTAAAGAGTTCACACCATTTTTCATATATTTATTTTTGAACTCATCCCACTCTAAAATCAGATTTTCATTCGAAAATAAATCACATATTATTCAGGATGTCAACCCTCATCATTCTTGCGTCATTTTTCCAGTTATGTATTGCACAACTGAACTTTGAGGGTTCTACAGGTATACTGTACTCTCCAAATTATCCTGATAATTATTCGAATAATGCAAATGTGGTTTATACGGTAACTGTTCCAGTTGGAAATTATATTCATTTAACATTTTTGGATTTTGAAACTGAAAATCCATATGATTTTTTGAATATTTTGCAAGGTGGAGGTGATGACGATGAGTTGGTTTCTTTGAAAAAGTAAGTTCTTATCGGAAAGTGATTAATTATCACAGTTTTAAAAGTCAGATGATTTCGTAAAGTGTTCATGATTAAGATGTTTGAATTAAATCATGCAAAGAGCAAAAACTGCCTAGAGATTAAAATAGAAAATAACTTGCAGACTAAAGAAGAAATACAAAAATTAAAATTCCAGATCAATGAACTAAATAACTTATTTTAGTGTATCTGGAGAACAAACTGGAACTTCTATGGACATTTCCGATTCTCAATCTACTCTAATTTTCAAAAGTGATTTGACTACAACCTATCGTGGATTTGCCATTAGATTCGATGCAGTCAAAGCTGGAACCCTTTTCAGTCCAACCAATTCCTGTCCAAGCCCTCTTCATGCTTCTTCTTTCGGAATTGTTACCACACCAAGCTTTCCATATAACTATCCAAATAATATTTCATGTTCGTATTTATTGCTTGCACCAGCTGCACACACGTAAGTTATATTTTTCCGATATTCTTTCGAAAATTCCAACTTTTCAGAATAATTTTGCAATTTGTTGCTTTCAACACTGAAGATGGATATGATATTGTTTGGATTTATGATGGATCTAATAACTCCTTCCCATTGATTGGTAAATATTCTGGAAACAAAATACCACCAATCATAAATTCTTCTGGAAATGCTCTCTATTTATATTTCCGATCTGATCTTGTTAACAATTTCCAAGGATTTTCTGGAATATACAATAGTGTTAGTGGCGTTCAACCAGTCACAGATCCAAGCACAAAATCGAAGAAAAATCTTCTTAATTGGCTGAAAGGAAAGATTGGTAATTCTTCCAACTAAATGTTATTATGTGAATAAATAAATAAATATTTATCCTTTGCAAAACCTGTATTCGCGCCCCAAATATGCAGATATTTTTTTGTGTAAATTATTTATCTTTTTCTTCTTATCCCACTGTTATTCAACTAAATAATCTAATTATCAAAACGTTGAATATGTGGACTTTCAATCGAGCGACTACACCACCACCTGATAAATTGGTATGTTCAAAAATTTCAGAGTATTTCCGGCTAAATCATATCGCAATTTTGAGAAGGGAAATGACCTGATTTTTCCGCGCATCGACAATTTTCATAATAAAAAAATCCGTCACTTACCTTTATCAAAAAAAAATGAGGTGATTCGAGATATCTCGAGAGTGTAGTCGAAAAAAAGATTTTTTTACGAAAAAAACCGGAAAATGGCCGAGGGACTAGAAACGCAAAGGATTTCTAGGCTACATATTTATTATTTTCTTTTTTTTTGGTTTTTTGACATTTTTCTTCCTTCCTCACATCTCACATCGATAGACAATTGCAACTTAAAATGGCTGATAATAATCGAAAAAGAAAACATCAGCGATGGAATCCGAAGTAAGTCGTCTCTCGTTGTTTTTATAATCAAGTTATAATGAATTAATTTATAGAACCAAACAAAAGTCTGTGGAACCTGGTGTAGTTGGATTATTCTTCACTTGCGAAGGACATGAAAAACAAGCGGTTCAAGAAGCATACAGTATTATAGAAGAGTTGTTAGAAAAATCAGAAAATTCAACAGAAGAAGTGAAAGAAGATGAAAATGTGGATTCTGATGAAGATATAGCTGATGCTTTGAAAAAAGCTTGTCATGAAACAAAAGATGGAGAAAAAAATAAAAAAGAAAGTAGACGATTCATTCAGCGTCCGACCGGAGTCAAGAATTGTATTTTCGTTAGTGTTAAAAACGCGAATATTAGCAAACTCGCTGAAGAAATGGTGGATTTAGCACAAAAGTCTGCAAGATGTCGGTTTTTACAAAGAGTCATTCCAGTAGAGCAAACGCTTGCTGTTGATTTGAGTAAACTTAACGATGCAGTTATGAAAGTCGTGTCTGAAAATTTGAAGCCCAAAGAAAATGGGAATTATCCATCATATTCAGTCGAATTCAAGGCGCGCAACAACGATTCGATAACAAAAAGTAATGTTTTGGAAATGATAAATGATGCTATAACAGTTTTCGCTCCAACTGCTCGGGCAAATTTAAATCGTATGTTTTTGGCGTGTTTTTTTCAGTTTACAGTTTACTACTTCTCTGGAAATCGCAAAAATCATTCCAAAAATTTTTTAGACGCCGAAGTCACCTTCTTTATTCAAGTTTCCCGTACAACAGCAATGGTTGGCGTTTGCCGTGATTTTTACACTCGTCGAAAATATAGCATGCGTCCAACTGCCGCAACAGTGTAAAAATACACAACATTTTTATCGAACATTTTGTCTTGTTTCTCTCGTCGCCTTATTGGCTCAGTGGCAGAGCGTCTGTCTAGTAAACAGAAGGTCGCTGGTTCGATTCCAGCATAAGGCACCGATATTTTTGTTTTTTTGTTCGTTGTTAACTATTTATTTTTGTTACGAAATTTCTCATCATAAATTGTTATTATCTATCTCGTCATCTCTTTCTCTTCCTCAACCAATTATTTAACAGGTCTTTTTTCCCTTTCACTCTTTTCATTTTCAATGTCAATTGCATAATATTCCGCTCGATAAAAACGAAACAAAAACAAAAGGCTTCTTCTTTTTCACAGCTCAACGACAAATTTGATTGTTTTTCATTTATTCTGTTTTTTAGCTGTTTTGTTTTTTTCCAGCGGGCGTTTTTTCTGATATTTTTGTTTTTCGGGTTTTCCAAATAGGATTACTGTAGAATTTTGAAAACATCAGACACTAGTTTTGCTTATAAATGTATTTTTCCAACAACAACAAAAAATCGGCAGATAATGTAATTTTTATTAATTTCTATTTTTCCTGATTGTTCTATTGTGGTTTTTTGGCCGCCTCAACTTCAATGAATTTGATCAAATCAGCACGTTCGTCAGCTTTTTTCAATCCAGCAAAGACCATCTGCAAAATACTTTGATGTGCTCATATTTTTTCTAGATCTCACCTTAGTTCCTGGAATATATTTCTTTGGGTCAGCCAAATATTCGAACAATGTATTGCGATCCCAAACAACTCCTTTACTCTTATTCGCTTGTGAATAATCGAAACCAGCAACTTCACCAGATTTTCTGCCAATCACACCATTCAAAGTTGGACCAGTTTTGGTTTGCAATGAATTGACAACATGACATTGTTCACAACGTTGTTTGAAGATTTTCTTTCCTTTTTCATAATCACCTTCTGGAATCGAACCACCTCCTCCTTTTTCTGATTTGCTTTCCTTCTTCTTCGCCATTGTTGCTTGTTGTTAGACTGATACTCAAAAACTGTTTGAGTAAAATGATTCCAACTCATCTTGCCAGCATTTTATAGGGATTTTTGGCAACGTGGCAAATATTCAGGACACGTCGATAATAATTTTTGTTTCAATTGTTTTTCTTTTTTCTTTCGACGCGAGAAACAAATAAATAATTTTGTTTTTATTTTCTTTCTCTTCCTCTCCTACCCCTTGACAATTATCAGCTGTATTTATTTTTATTTTTTTCCTCACTCTTCATTTTCTAGCCTAGGTTGTTCCACTGATTTGAACACATGTGTTTCTTCATGAAAAGTAGTATTAGTAGCAGCTTTTCTTGTGTTTATTCTTCCATTTTTTGTGTGTCTGTGTCCCTTTGCGCGCACTTGACACATGCATGTCGACAGGTTTTAGGCGCGCGCGAGATTTTTTGCGCCTGCGCGCAACGTAGCGAAACATCATGTCAAGTCGGGTGGTGTCAGTTTACTTCTTGATTGAGTTGAAAAGTCTCCGGGAATGAAAAATTATGAGGTTTCAAAGTTTTCTCTTTTTGAGGTGTGAGTGTTTTACTTCAAAAGTTGTTGATATAGTTTTTGTATTCTATTATCCCGTACTTTCTGAATTTTCAAAAAACAATTCAATTTGTTCTAGATGCAAGTTCAAAAGTTACCAGAAAATCGAAACTAAAACCAGTCTGACACATGACAGTTTTTTGTTTTAAAAATTCCTAGGAATTCACGACCTTAACAATTAGACGTAGATCTTCTAACCTGAGGTTGGTAACCTCTATTTTTCTGAAAACTCAGAAAAATTTGCAAAAAGTTCAAATTGAAAAAATCTCAAGAGCCCTTATTTTTATATCTCATTATTTTCATCGATTTTTTTTGATATCAAATAGATATTTTTCACACGAATTTGCTGTCGCTTGTAAGTTTTTTTTTTCTCAAAAAAAAACAAGAAGAATTTTTGCCAAAGCAAAAAGAAGCTAGAAAAATTGAACGTGGTCTTTGTTTTTTCGTACTAATCCCAAGAGGTCAACCAAAAAGCGATAAAGTAATTTTTGCATTTTCCTTCTTTTTACTCCAAACCCAACTCAATTTCCTAATTCCTTTGAACTCAATCCACCCCAATTTCTCTCTCTTTTTATATATGTTTCTCTCTTTTTCGCTCTCTTCCTTTTTCCAAAAAAATGTGCATAAAAATATATTGAGCGCGGGCTCCAAAACAAATTCTTCCTTCTCTTTTTTCGTTTTTTTCCACTTGGTTTTTTTTTTGCGACACTCACTCATTCTTTTTAGACATAGAAAGAGAGTACCTTATTAGTCAACAAATAGGGGAAAAAATAATTCAAGGTTATTCAATACTTTTTCCCAAACAAAAATGCTTATTTTTCCCTTTCTTTCTTATTTTTATCAAAAAAAAAAAGTTTTTTTTCAGACGCGGAAAAAATCGGCGGTTTATGCTAGAGCAATTTTTGGTGAATTTGCGGTTTTGGAAAAACGTCGAAACATTTTTCAATTTCCGGTAAAAGTTATGGATAATGAAGCTCCGTGTTGCTCTAATGTTTTGAACAAAAAGTCGATTTTCGAAGAATTCGAAAGTGATTTCTTTTTTTTTCTTTTTTTTTCCAAAAATAGAATGCCAAAAAAATTCTCAATTTCCAGTTGCTTCTGGAAGTTGTGATCATACTGTAGAATTTCGAAACGATGAACAACCCATCGAAATCATGAAATTTATGAAAAACTTCAGAGATGACGATAATCTTTGTGATGTCGAGTTAGAGGTTAGTTGGGTTACTGTAGCTTCCAGAAGGTAGACATAAGTATATATTATTGAGATACGAATAAATAATTTTGGGAAAAGAGTAACCCTCTAATTTGTGTCGTCATAGCGACAGAATTATGGCGCCAATTTTTTTGAGAACAGGAAAATAAAAAAATAATTTGAAAGTCGAAAAAATGTATGCAATAAAAGCACACAAAAAAATATTCCAAAAAATCCTTTTTTTTTAGATCGATGGTGATGTGATTCGTGCTCATCGATATATTTTAGCTGCTGCTAGTCCATATTTTAGAGCAATGTTCACAAACGGAATGTTGGAAATGACAAAATCTAGAATTAAGCTTAATGTAAGTTCTAATTTGTTTTTTTTTTCATGAAAAATTCTAGTTTTTGCAGGATATTTCGAAAGACTCAATGGAAGAATTGATTCAGTTCATCTATTCGAATGAGATCACAATTCGTGGATCAAATGTTCAATCTCTTCTCTTCGCTGCTTCGATTTTACAAATGGATAATATTGCGACAGCTTGTCAACAATTCCTAACAAAAACAATCACAGTTCAAAATTGTATTGGACTTCATCAATTTGCTGAAACATATAACTGCACACATCTTTTATCAGCAACGGATAATTTCGCAGTTGACAATTTCCAATTTATTCGAGGTCGAGCAGATTTCAGCAAGATTCCTGCTAACCATTTACGTGGTCTTTTAATGAGATCCGATTTGAATGTAAATAATGAGGCTGAAGTATTTGAAACTATCATAGATTGGATTACTGTAGATGTTAAAGAACGAGAAAGATATCTTCCTGAACTTTTTGATACAGTAAGACTTCCACTACTTGGTTGGAATTATTTAATTCGAATTGTTAATCAACATCCACTTGTCAAACAAAATGCAATATGTCGAGAAAGAGTTGCTGATTCACTTTTCCACACTCTTGCTCCAAACAAACAAGGAACATCTAGTTCAAACTTGGATATCCCTGAATCTGGTCAATATGGATCAATGACAAATTCAACACTTTCAATTCAATCTCCTATTGTTTCTGCGGTTACACTTCATAAAATGAGACCACGAAAATCAGTGGCAGGTATTATTTTCTGTGCTGGAGGTCGAGGAACTCTTGGTGATCCATTTAGAAGTGTTGAAGCATATGATTGGAGAAAAAATCAATGGTTTTCGATTGCTGATATGACTGTACAAAGAAGACATGTTGGTGTTGTTAGTGCATTAGGAGATTTGTGAGTTTTTTTTTAATTGACAATTAGTATGAAATAATTTCGAGTTTAAAATTTCAGATATGCAATTGGTGGACATGATGGCGTCACTCATTTATGTTCTGCTGAAATGTTCAGTCCAGCAGAAGGAGTTTGGCGAAGAATAAGTTCAATGTCAACAGCGCGAAGAGGAATAGCTGTTGCCACTCTTGATGCTGCAATTTATGCTGTTGGCGGTCTTGATGATTCAACATGTTTCAAAACTGTTGAGAGATATGATATCGAATTGGATAAATGGTCTACAGTTGCTGATATGACAATTCAAAGAGGAGGAGTTGGTGTATCAGCACTTGGAAAATATTTATTCGCAATTGGAGGAAATGATGGAACATCTTCACTTGATACTTGTGAACGATTTGATCCTTTATTAGATAGATGGAAGATTATTGCCAGAATGCAGAATCGAAGGTTAGTTTTTTTGGTGAAGAAAACAAGAATGGTCCGAATCGACTTCTGGGAAGTTCAAAATTAACTACAGTAACCTTTTTTCGGAAATACTTTCGAAATGTTCGCTATTCCAAACCAGCCTTTAATCAAACATTTAGAAAACATTCATTAATTATCATTTCCTGTTCTATGATCTTTGTTCTGATTGGCTTACTCGAAATTTTGAAATATTTCGTAACCATTTTTTTTTCAATTCCACGTGAACTATTTTTTTTTCTGAAAAATAATCATTATTTGGAAATTGAGAAGCATTTCTAATTGGTTCAGAGCTGGAGCCGGAGTAGCTGTTCTTGATGGTCATCTTTATGCAATCGGTGGTTTTGATGACAATGCGCCTCTCGCAACTTGCGAAAAATATGATGTACTATCCGATATTTGGCACCCAATTGCAAATATGAATAGTCCACGTGGCGGAGTTGGTGTAGCTTCGATGGGTGGAAAAGTATATGCAATTGGTGGACACGATGGAAGTCGATACTTGAATACTGTAGAATCTTATGATCCATTAACAAATATATGGACGGCTGTTGCTGATATCAAAGAATGTCGAGCTGGTGCTGGAGTTTCTTGGGCGGATTGTCGTGTTGATCAACTATTATCGGCTAGACCACATTTTGGAGAAAGTGGTTGTGCTCCATCAACCGGATCTTCTCAATGTATATAATTCTCAGGTTTTCACTTTTTTGTCCCCGGTGATATTTTTTTGAATAAACCTAATGATTTATCAATTTATTTTTTGGAAACCGTACATTATGGCAAAATTATCAATGACCAAAAATCTACATCTAATCTATTTACAAATTGAATCTTGAAACTGCCTCATTCGTAATCATTTTAGCAATTGCTAAAGAACTTGTTGCTGCTGGCGACGGAGCATTTCGAACATGCAAAATTCTTGGTGATAATTTTCCAGTTCCACTGTCAAATACAAAATCATCAACCAAATTTCCTTCACTATCAAGTGCTTGTGCCCGAACTCCAGATGGACCACGAACAACATCGCTGAGTTTTAATTCAGGAATAAATCGTTGTAATTGTTTGACTTGAGCTGCAATCCAAACTCCACGATAAAATTCTTTGATTCCAAAAGTGAAATGTTTTCTGACCAATTTTTGCATTCCGCTGAAGCTCAACGAATCCCAAAGATCACTTGGAGAAATACTAAAATATGAATATCCTTCTCGTTTATAAGCTAGAACCGCATTTGGACCAAGCCAAACATCTCCATTCATTCGAGGAGTGAAATGAACACCAAGGAATGGGAATCGTGGATCAGGAACTGGATAAATATTTGTGTTCACCAAATATCGTTTTTCTGGTTTGAGCAATAAATATTCGCCACGGAATGGAACAATTTTTGGAACAGATGAACCACCGGATAATTGTGATACTCTATCAGATTGAAGACCAGCACAAGTTATCACATTTTTTGTCTCAATTTTCGCGTAACTTGAATCGCTTACCACTTTGATTGGATAATTTGGATCTGTATTGTCCTCGAGGTTTTGAAGTGGATAACTTGTGAATATTTTTCCACCACGTTTTTCAAAGTCTTCTCCAAACTTTTTGGTGACAAATCCCCAGTCGACAATTCCAGTGTGTGGACTCCAAAGAGCTTTAAGACCCTTACAATGAGGTTCGATTTCTTTGATTTTGTCACCGGAGATGAATTCGATATCACGGCAACCATTTTGTTTTGCTCGCTCATAGAGAGCCTGTAATTATGCACTTTAAATTCCACTCTCGACAAAATTTTAGATCACAAAAAAATTTGAAAAAAAACATACATCTAATCGTGGAATTTCTTCTGGTTCAACAGCAACAATCAATTTACCAGTTTTCTTGTATGGAATTTTTTCCTCATCGAAAAATTTATACGATAAATCGAGTCCTTCAACACAAAGTTTAGCTTTCAAACTTCCTGGTGTATAATATATTCCAGCATGAATAACTCCACTATTATGACCACTTTGATGAACAGCTAATTCACTTTCTTTTTCAATCAATGCAATTTTCAAATTTGGTTTTTCGATGAGAAGTTGTCGAGCTGTTGCGCACCCAACAATACCGCCTCCTACAATTACCAGGTCATATTTCGGTAATTCTGTTGATTTCGAAGGTGGACCAGAAATCGATCGAACTGCGCATTTGAGAGGATTGCTGAGTTGTCGACTCAACATTTTTTTCAACTGGAAAAATACTAAACTGTTCAATGGAAAATCAAACAGTTCAAACAAAACAAGAAAAATAGATAGAAAGAAGAAAATAATGATAAGATCTTCAAATAAATAGATGAAAAATGGAGGAATGAGAGAAGTGAAAAATTGAGAAAACAAAAAAGGAGAAGAAGGATTTACTTGTTTGAAAACATTTATTTTGCACTTGCAAGGAAACGTGCAATTTTCAAAATAAATTGAAAGTCAAACATGTGGGTATTTGTGAGCAAAGATGAACGCGTTTTTAATATTGGAGAGGGAATATCGAAAAAATAAATTCAAATTTAAAAAAGTCTAAATTTAGTGGAATGATAATCTTTTCGAGGTTCTAATGGATTGTGAATAAAAATTGGAAAATCTTAAAAACATAGATTATTTCACCATGAGTTGAACACATCAGACCAAAAACATGAAAAACATACGATTCAAAGATCGTCTACATGGTAGCTAAATATTTGCTATTAAAAATGACGTTTTTTTCTCATTTCTCCCCTTAAAAACTTTTTTTCTAAAAAAAATAAAATTTTTTTGTTAAATTGACGTACGGTAGCGAGAAATGTGTGCAACAAACATTGCGGACAAAACAGCAGATTTTGGTGTGCGACCGAACGCCCTTCCACGATTTTTCTTTTTTTGTTGGTTTTCTATAGTTTTGTAACTTTTCATTAAAACTGACTATTTTAGTATTGCTCAGTATAAAATAACGAATCGTTTGATATCAAAAATTCATTAAAAATCCAAAAAATAACGTCAAAATTGATTTCAGAACAAAATGGGACTTTGCAAGTGCCCGAAACGAAAGGTTACCAATTTATTTTGCTATGAACATCGAGTAAATGTATGCGAATTTTGCTTAGTTGATAACCATCCTAATGTGAGTTTTTTTCTCGTTGAAAATTGAAATTAGGAAAAAGGTAATTTTTAGTGCGTTGTTCAAAGTTACCTTGCATGGTTAACCGATTCCGATTACGATCCAAATTGTGCACTTTGTCAAACACCATTGAATTCTGGCGAAACTATACGTCTGAACTGTCTTCGTAAGTTCGATAATTTTTCAAGTTAAAAATATCCTAAATTTTCCCAGATCTTCTTCACTGGAAATGTTTCGATGATTGGGCTGCAGCATTTCCAAATACAACAGCTCCAGCAGGTTATCGTTGTCCATGTTGTAGTAAAGAAGTATTTCCACCACTCAATGAAGTTTCTCCACTCGTTGAAAAACTTCGAGAGCAGTTGAAATTATCAAATTGGGCTCGAGCAGCTTTAGGTCTTCCAGTTTTACCGGAATTGAATCGTCCAATCACAAAAACTTTTGATAAACCGATTCCTCCACCAATTGTGAATAAACCAGTGGAAAATGTTGGAGCTGTTGCTCATCAAACTCAACGATCAATAACTCCCGCAACACATTTAGATATGGAAGATTCTGCATCTTTTTCTGTTTCTTCAAGTGATGTTACTTTTTGTAAGTTTACTTGTAAACATTCATTCTGATGTTTATTTATAAATTTTAGCACGTAAAAAGAATTTGGGAGATACTCGTCCATTGTTACAAAATGATAATCGCGATGCAGACAATGAAGCAAATAAATATAAACGTAGACCAGCTGGAGAATGGATTCGTGGATTGTGGAGAGCAAAATATGGTCCTGGAGTACCAGAAGATGGTTTGAGTGGAAGAAAGAAATTGGTTTTTGTAGTTTTCATTGCATTTGTTTCATTGGTTACTGTGAGTTTATTCTAGAATTCTTTAATTAATTTCTTCGGTAAATTGAAAAAAAAACAAATATAAAACCTTCTAAATTTTTGTAGATTTATCTTGTTCTCAAACGACTTGGTGTAAATAATGACAACGATCCAATGTTTGACCCATTATCAAATCCAAACATCAGAGTTGCTTCGAACAATGAATAAAATTCGAATTTACTAATAATCCCCCTGAAAAATCATTCCTTTATTCAAATTATTTATTGCTTACAACTATTTATGTATTAAAATCAATTTGGTGTTGTTTTGTGGAAAATGTGCATATCTTTTTGCTTTTTTGGTGATAGTCATTTTTTAGTTTTTTTTTAAATTCTTTCTTTTGGTTTTCTGTACTACTAAACACGGACGGGAAATATAATTTATTTGCATTTATCTTTTTTTATTTTTCAATTCTCGAATCGGTCTTTGAAAACCGTTAAAATATATATCTTCAGTGACTTTCGTACAAAATATCTGAAATTTGAATTTTTTAGGGTATTTTACCATCATGCAGCGGATTGTGCGTGGTGTGGCGACAAAAGCGCAACAACAGCGCCAATTGTCGGCTGCTGCAAATGCGCCGAAAAAAGTTGAGGTTTTCATTGATGGAAAGAAGATTTTGGTCGATCCAGGAATGACAATTTTGCAAGCTTGTGCTCTTGTTGGAGTTGATATTCCACGTTTTTGTTATCACGATCGATTGTCGATTGCTGGAAATTGTCGAATGTGTTTGGTTGAAGTTGAAAAAAGTGTTAAGGTTAGATTTTGAATTCATTCAAAAAAAATAAGTGTCATAAAAATAATAATTTCAGCCAGTCGCCTCTTGTGCTATGCCAGTTATGAATGGTATGAAAGTCAAAACGAATTCGGATTTTGTTCGCAAAGCTCGTGAAGGAGTAATGGAATTCATGCTCAACAATCATCCTTTGGATTGTCCAATTTGTGATCAAGGAGGAGAATGTGATCTTCAAGATCAAGCTGTTGCTTTTGGTTCTGATCGTGGACGTCTTCAATCAAGACTTGATGGTAAACGTGCTGTCGAAGACAAAGATATCGGACCACTTGTTAAGACTGTTATGACACGTTGTATTCAATGTACTCGATGTGTTCGTTTCGCGAATGAAGTTGCTGCTTTCCCTGATTTTGGAACAACTGGAAGAGGACAAGATTTGCAAATTGGAACTTATGTTGAAAAGTTCTTCGCTTCTGAAATGTCTGGAAATATCATTGATATTTGTCCAGTTGGAGCTTTGACCAGCAAACAATACGCGTAAGTTTTTAAATCTGGACTTAATTTTTGGATTTTCAACGAAATGACGACTTTTTCAAAGTTTTTAGCGAATCTTAAAAATTAACTAACTAAGTTTTAATCAATTTTTTTAACAGTTTCGTCGCTCGTCCATGGGAAACTCGCAAAACCGAAAGTGTTGATGTTTTGGATGCAACTGGTTCGAATATTGTTCTCACTCATAGAACTGGAGAACTTCTTCGCGTTATTCCAAAAATCAATGATGTAAGTTGTTTTCACCACAAAAAATTAAAGTTTATTAGATAATTTGCAGGATATCAACGAAGAATGGATTGGAGATCAATCGCGTTTCGCAGTCGATGGTCTCAAAGTTCAACGTCTTTTGACTCCAATGATTCGCGGAGCCGATGGACAATTGAAACCGGCCAGTTGGGAAGAGGCTCTTTTCACCGTTGCTGCTAAACTGAGAGAAACAAGTGCTGAACAAAAAGCGGCGGTTGTTGGTGGTTTGAATGATGTTGGTCAGTTTTTTATCTAATTTAATTATTCCCAGATTTTTAATTAAAAATAATCACCGAATATTATTTTTTTTCAGAATCTTTGGTTGCGTTGAAAGATTTGTTCAACCGTTTCAACAGCGAAAATGTTATGACTGAAGAAGAGTTCCCTGAAACTAGCGGTGGTTCCGATATTCGTGCCAACTACATTTTCAACGATGGAATTGCTAATGTTGAAAATGCTGATGCTATTTTGTTGGTCGGAACAAATCCAAGATTCGAGGCGCCAACTTTGAACGCGAGAATTAGAAAATCGTGAGTTTTTTGGAAACTATGTATATATTATGGGGAAAATGAATGTTAATTTTTGTAGAAAAATATGCAGAATTTTTTTTCAAAACATTTCTTCAATCAGAACTTTAACTCCTCTATTATTGAAAATTTTTTAAACATATTCAATTTTTGTTTTAAGTATATTAATTTTCTAGATTCCTCTACTCTGATGTTCAAATCGGAGTTATTGGATCTGAAAGCGAACTTAACTACGACTACGATTATCTTGGTGCATCTGCAAAAGCAATCGATGATGTTTTGAGCGGAAAAGGAGAATTCGCAAAAACATTTGCCAATGCTAAACAACCATTGATTATTGTTGGAGCACAAGCATTGAAAGGTGAAGCTGGAGCTGCGATTCTTGGAAAACTTCAACAATTGGCTGATAAATTGTCAGCTGGTAAAAATGTTCAAGTTTTGAATGTTCTTCAAAGATGGGCTGGACAAACTGGAGCTCTTGATGTCGGATATAAAGCTGGAACAGCTGCACTTCGTAAAACACCAGTCAAATTTTTGTATTTGTTGGGTGCTGATGAAGGAAAAGTTAACAAGTCGAATTTGGATCCACAAGCTTTTATTGTTTATCAAGGACATCATGGAGATGCTGGAGCACAAATTGCTGATGTTATCTTCCCAGGAGCTGCTTATACTGAAAAAGATGGAACTTATGTTAATACCGAAGGAAGATCACAAAGGTAGGATTTTATTTGAAGAAAAAACTAGCTGGAGTTTTCTAAACATATGAAATTAGAAATGAAATCAAATTTTCACGTGTTTCTCAGCGTGAAATTATTTACGTGGCAAATGATATTTTATTTCTTTTTTTTTCAGAGGATATCCAGCTGTTTCACCACCAGGAGAAGCTCGTGTTGATTGGAAAATTATTCGCGCCGTTTCGGAAGTCGCTGGAAAATCATTGCCATATAATGATTTGAAAGAAATCAGACAAAGACTTAACGAAGTTAGTTTTTATGAAACTAATCATATAAATTTCTAAAAATTCTATTTGAGATCGCTCCACATTTGGCAAGATATCGTGATATTGAACCATCTCCATTCATCAAACAAGCTCTTCAACTCGCCCAAACATCTGGCTCAATCGATGTTGATGTTTCGCCAGCTCTTCGTGAACTCGCTGATTATTATCAAACAAATGTTATTTCACGGAATTCTCGTAGTATGGCTCAAGCGAAAAAGGCTGCATTGGAAAATAAGGAGAATCCATATGCTGAAGCACCAATTCATGCACGTTTGTAGATCAATTTTATTCCGTTTTGTTTTCCACTGAAATAGTCTAAATAGAAGGTAACGTCACGTTTAATTCAATCATTATTTTTCGCACGAGATAAATTTAAAAAACTTACAAGATTTTCTGATGAATTATTTCAGTGAAATTTTAGAAAAATTTCAGATCTTGAAGAGTTTTTATTTTTTTTTTGTTTTAATTAGAATTATTTTGTTTTTAATGCAAATCAGTACCGACCGTGTGATTTTTGTTATTACTTTTTCTCCTGGGTCTTGTTATTTTCAAGTTCTGAATTGTTTTTCGAAAATGCACTTATCAACTCAAAATAGAATTTACATTAATTTCCTGAAAATCTCTGAATTGATTCTAGATGGATCTTACAAAAAAGACGAATGAAATTATATATTTGAACACTACAATTTTGAATGAATTTAACAAAACACTTTTGAACACATTTTTTGTTGAAGCCAAACTGCCGAATTTTGCTTGTTTGAGTATGTGTTGACACAATTCGAACCAGCGAAGTTTGTTAAATCGGATGTTGCTGCCTTTGCTCCCCATTGAACAGCCAATGGTGATACTTGATATTTTGATTTGAGAGTTTGCATTGTTGAAATTGGACTGACATCCCAAGCTGTTGTTGATGTGAAATAAACAAGAATCTTGTTTTGGGTAGAATAATTGAGAGAAAGATAACTTTGAGCAGCATAAAGTGCTCTGCAAGAATAAAGGAGGTTGTAAATGTTTTCCTCTATTCACTTACGTGTTCAAAGTTTGTCCAGATGTTGTATCTTGAAGAAGATTACTGACGGCATTGATGATATCAGATCTGAATACATTTTGAGATGTCTCATTTTCAATGTTTTCAGTTATACCTGGATTGTCCTTTATGGAATGCAGTGTAATAAAGTTCGGAATCCATTCCTGTTGTAACAAGAGCAAATTGGGTCTTACCATCAGCTACTGGGAAAGGAGCAATAAAATCGAGAACTGCCGATTTCATCTGAAGAATAGTTTGCACTATGTCCTGTACTTCATACTTACCGCTGCAAAATCGGCCGCTGAAGCTGCATTTGAAACATCTAAGATCAAGTAAACGTCGTAATTCAAACTTCCCAATGGACAACTGACGGATGGGGATTGTGAAGGAAGCGGAGTTGATGGTGGTGCGATTGTTGAAGATGGAGTTCCGGAACATGAGTTAGAAGCAATCCACGCGGAAATATACGCAAGTTGATCAAGCGATGCTGCGAAGAAAGTGTTTCCTGTTACACCTGGGAGATTGATAAGATCAGAAGCTTGGTCTGTGATTGAGTTAGATCCAACACCAACAGAAAGAATGTTATAAGTTTGTTGAAGTTGTGTAAGAATGGAGCTGCCGATAACTTGATTGCCAGTCCATTTTTCTCCAGAAATTACAACTAAAATTTTCTTGTAATCAGCATTACGGAGACCGCTATTGGTTGTAACTTCAGCTGAGACTTTGGCAAGAGCTCTGAAAATCAAATAAATTCTTAAAACACATTTGAGAAGGAATATACTGGAATAAGTTCTTTTCCAATGATCCTTGGTATTTCAATGTTGAGTTGATGGCTCCGAGCAATTGGGAAATTTGTGATCCACCAGTCAAACTGATAACGGACTGAGCAGATGTTCCATAGGCATATATCGCAACTTGTGAATCGATTGGTGAAATTGTTAATGTGTTAACAAACTTATAAATGAATGCTCGAATTTGTTCGAAAACTACTTGGGAAAAAGCATTTGATGAATCAACCACTAATACAATATCTGCTTCGACGTTCTAAAAACAAAATCGTTGAAAATAGACCTTCAAAACTTTTCTTTGGTTCTAGGTTCTGTTGATTTGAAACACGATTTGATATCTTTTATGAATTTGAAAATAGCCAATCTATAGTTTTTTATTATAAACATTGTTGGCAATGGATCTAATGCAGGGAAAAGAGCAATTGTAATAGATACAATTCCACCGAATTTTCCGATATCTCGATTTAGAAGTGTAAACAAGAATATGGAGGATACTGGGAAATGCATCAAAATTACGGGAATCGTCGTTTGGGCTACTAATGCGTAAAATAATTGAGCTTGCAAGTTTCCAAAACGTTGTGAAATGCTCTTATTGTTTGTTATTCGAGTGTTTATTCTCATATAACATTTTACTGCGAAAACTAGCATGAAAATCAACGAAAACACAAGAATCAACCAAACAGCTGCAATTCCGACAACTGAATCAATGAAATATTCGATCGATCCATCGGTTTCATTGATCTCGAAAAAGTAGGGACCAATATAAGTTATATCTTCGATGTTCCAATCGAAAACATCTAACAAAGTATTTCTCATCTTATTATCTATCATTGATGTTTGTGGAATGAAATAGTAACAAATCATTCCCCAGGATGTTCCAGTTGCAAACGGTATCAACATCCAATATACTAATTTAAAACCTTTGAACAATACCAAATGTTTAGAACCTATGGCAACTAAGTATCGATAGACAAATTGGATCGAAAATATACCCATTGATGTTCCAAAAAAGCCAGCCCAAACACAATCAAGAATCATAAGCACATTCTTTGGAAAAATCGAATCTTTTGCCAGAACTATTACCATGTAAAGAGAACCCGAGGAATATATAATGGGACATACAATAACATCAATAAAAGAGTAAACTATCTCGAACCAAGATATGTACAACATTAGATATTTATAGGCCCCAAGATGTTTTGGAGATTTATTGACAATTAATAAAGTTAGAAGTGAATTAAGAAGAAATGATATTATTGCAGCGCAAATCTGAATCGTTTTTATGAGAGTTATCCACATCATTTTTATGATGCTCAAAGAATTTAAAAATAACATTTTCAATTCGGTTGAAAATGTTCCCATAGGACCTCATGACGGGATTGTTTTTGTTACTACCCTGTATCGCAGTTGAACTTTTGGAAATCAAAAAACTTACAAAACTCGAACAAGGCGAATCTAAACAAATATGGCTAGCCGAAGAAAAACCAACAAAAATAGCAAAAATTATAAAAACATTCATGTTCAATGCAAACCAAACAATTATTCTTTTTATCGAAGCTTCAACTGTTATCAGAGCACATGGCCAAAAAAGACACGTGGAAAATGGTCGGTTTTCGGTGAGAATAGTGTAGTTTGTTCAATGATTATTGTTCTCAAATGATGATCTGATGATACTCGATACAAATAAACGATTGTTTGCAACTCTTCCGATTAAACCTTTTCGAACATTTTCATCAAAAATAATCAAAATGTAAGGCAAAGCTAGTGTCATCTGAAAATATCGAGATGTTTCACCTGTTTTCAAATAGTTTATATATACCAAATCAGAAGCTGTGACCATGAAAACATTGTTGATCTGAGTATATGGAGCAGGTAAAAATCTTATAAATGGTTCCAGGCCCATGATTATCTGAATGATACGAACTATTCAATCAAGACAAGTATTCTATTTCAAAAATTCCGTATTTCACTCACGTTGTAAAATAGAATTCCACTTATTATAAAACAATAAGTTATTGCAATTCTTGTGATACGCTTTGCAATTTCACGATCATTGATTTGAACACGCCGAAGTTGTTTTGTTAAGCTAACAGCTGTACAAATTCCCAAAACCAAAATAATTAGAAAATATATGATAGCTGCTATTGCATTACTAATTCGTAAAAAGGCAACTTGATCCATATCATAAATTTTGTAAAGAGTTCCATTAGGATTGACAACACTGACAGCATGTCCATTTATGAAATACGGGATCATCAAAACACTACTATAAACAAATCCCAAAATTCCGAAAAAATAATACCTTTTGGCCCAGAATTTATCAACATTCGTAGTAGAACTAACGGCTGAAAGTCGATGAACACAAAGCAAACCGGCTGACCAGACTTGCATATGAAAAAACCAAGTGGCAAAAAATTTGCAAATGGTCATGAAATTAGGGATATGGTGTTCGACATAATCAAGAAATTCAACACTCGCATATTCGTTTTCAAGTCGAATTGCCAGCCAAGTGTTTATATAACAAAAAATATTCTGCAATATGGAAGTAAGTATATTATTTCACGTGGAACTCAGAACTTTATCTTATTGCAGAGATTTACTTACCACAAGCAAATCTAACTGTACGAGACGATAAAACGAATTGACATAGCTTTTCGAAATACCCAGATAAAACAAGAAAAACAGCATAAATAGTAATGAAGGAATACCATAGATTAATTGAACTGATGTTAAAATCTGTACAGTTTTATCCTGTCTTGGGACATTGAATTTTATTATTGTGAGGTTAGCCATTTTTTGGAAACTAACGTTTTTCTGATAGGAAGGAAGACAGGTGGAAACGTGCTGTGTGACTATATTAGAGATATGTGCTTTATTCAGTTAGCATTTTCAGATTCAAGTGTTTTTGCAGGTGGAAGTTTCACAAATAACCTTGAATTCCAACTACTTGGAATGTCTTGCTCTTTCACTCTTTCATCAAGACGAAGTTGAATCGGAGATGGTTTTGATGCACCTCTGAATGATAACATTACTTTTGAGATATTGAATAAAATTTACTTACGCTCCAGATTTTTCCTGTTTTTCACACTGAAAAATTGGTTTAGGTTCGATCATTTTTCTCAAAACAGCAATCCCTTCAGCGCAATAAATTTTGACATCTCCAGGAATCGGATTCACTTTATTTGTGTCTTTCAACGACGCTGCGATTTTATTTCGAATCGCATTTTTCAGCAAATCAGTGGTTGGTATTTCAACACAAACCAATGCATAATTCCGAATTTCTAATGATTTTTTCAAACGTTCTTGAAATACAACAACACTCGAAACTTTTTCACCATCAATGTCAATAATAGCTTCGCCCAATGAGAATGTGATATCAGCTATTGAATTTTCGGTGATATTTGTTACCATCAGTTTTCCCTCGATATCTCTTAAATCCAATCCAAGATGCAATATTCCTTTCATATTATAAATTATGGATGTTTCATAAGAATATCCTTCTTGTGGGTGAATTGGTGGAAAAGTCGGAGGTCTCGGTATTTTACGTTTTAGTCGCATGAATTTGATTGTCATTGGTGTTAGAGATTGTTTTTTGATCAATACTTGGATATTTTTGACAAAAACTCTTGGATCTTGAGTAAAAACACCGTTTACAGCTATAAGACAATCACCAATTTTGAGTTGGCCCTGAAAGTTTATATGATATCAATTTCAATAGATATTATCAACTCACAATAAACTGACACGTATATGTCATTGAAACAATGAATGAATTCCGGAATTCAATTCCTAACCCATCTTCTCGTTTGACAGACGCTGTCACTTCACCAAATTCGAGTAAATCCTTGCAGAAATTTTTGCCAAAAAGCATCTCGCATTTTTTCAAGATATGTTGTTCCATTTGAAATATTTAAAATACAAATCTTATTGAGATGATTAGAAAAATGAGAAACTGTGCAAATATAGGGGTTTATATATACCATTTGTGGGTCACGCGACTCACGTTTCAAATTATTTTCAGTGCAGGGGCTTGAAATCTATTTTTTTCTTTTTTGAAGCTTTTTTTCATGATGTCTGTTCTTGGTACAATTGATATGTCAATTATTGTTTTCTCAATTATCAGTGGTTTTTTTTTTCATCGAATGAGCGTTTTCTGTTCATTCTCTAATTTTTTAAACATTATATTCAATCGTTCTTAGTTTATGGTTATCTTGTTCCTCTTGGAAATCGTTTCTTGTTATCAATCGTATTCTCGATATTCTTTATCCAGATATCTAATTTTTGGTCACAACTCTTTTGCACATTCCAGAACATTGTTATATCACAAAAAAACAAGATAAAGAATTGTTTGACCTTGGAACCTTATCAACCAGAAAAATCAGCAAAACAAACAATTCATTTTTATTTAGTGAAAAAATGTTTTTCAAAATACTCACATGGGTTTTTCTAGGTCTTGTTCTTCAATATTTGTTCAAAATTGTGTAAGTGAATTGATCCTCGTATTTCATTAAAACGATATATCACAGATTATTTCTTGATTTGAATAAACGTGTATACAATCATCGACCTGGTACATGTCGAGAAGTTAAAGGTCCAATCCATGGATCGGAAGATCTAGAAATTATCGAAACAAAGAATATTGCATTCATCACATCTGGAGTTGTTTATCTTCCTGAGAATCCAAACAATATTACTTGGAAAGGACAAATTTTCAAATATGATTTATCGAACAAGGATTATGTAGCTGAACCAGTGAAAGTAGTTGATTTAGAAGACGAAGAAGGATTTTATCCACATGGAATTTCTCATTGGATTTTAGAAGATGGAACTATTCGCCTTTTCCTTGTAACTCACACAAAACATTTCAGCCACGCAATTGTGATTTTGGATTATAATGAAAGTCAAAATGTTCTTCGACATGTAAAAACTATTCGCAACGAGAAAATTTATCGGCCAAATGATATTGCAGCAACCGGTGCAAATAGTTTCTTTGTTTCAAACGATGGTTCAGCTCAGAATGCATTGCTGAGTGTTTTGGAAGTTTTATCTGGACTTGATGGAGGATCAGTCGTGTATTATGATGGAACAAAGACAAAATACTTGATTGAGAGAACAAGTGCAAATGGTATTAGTATTTCGAAAGACCTCACAACACTTTTTGTATCTCACATAAATGAAGAAATTATCGGAGTCTACACATGGAATAAGGACACACTGAAAGAGGTTTCTAAGATCTCAACTCTTTCGGCATGTGATAATTTCTATATTGATGGGAGAAATCTGTGGACAGTGAGTTCTTTCTATTCTCCTTTCGACACCCGAATGGTTTTTTTCAGGGGTGTCATCCAGTATTAAAAGATGCTGCGGAACATCTTGCCAACCCGATTGATCATCGTCACAATGCACCAAGTCAAGTTCTTCTCGCTAAATTTTCCGAAGATTTTAAGACTGCCCAAATTATCGAACTTCTTGCAGATGATGGAAATTTCATCTCTGCCAGTTCTATCGCCGCACCTTTTGATTTAAACAGACAATTGCTAATTGGAACTGTTGGTAGAAAATTTTATCATTGTGATATCAATGTTCCAATTGATTTCTAATCTTTGTATTTTTTTCGAGTGTGTATAAATGGCGTTTTTCTATAGAAATAAGTCTATAGACTTTGACTAACTAAAATTAAGCTTCATTAAAATATGCACTTCGAAAAAGTTCACATAATCAACGATGATAATAATACTACGAAATATACGAATACGGAAATTATACCAGAGCTTATGAAAAATATCATTAACCACGCGATTGCTCAAATTTACTAGATGACGGAAGTACAAATTATGTTTCATGCAAAAAAGTATAGTTTCTCTCAACCCCAGTTATTACGCAATTCTTCAAAATATTCGTTTTGAGTTTGTGTCAAATTCATATTCAATCCGGATAATGTTTGAATATTTGTAACTTTGAGAGATGATTTGGGAAAACAATATGAACGAATCTGAAAATTATATATTATTGACAGAAACATTGGAAAGATCTACCTTGTTGTGATATGTTTTATGAGAATATAAAAACGAAATTGGCGATAAGAAAAGCTCAATGTTCACTATCAAATTCCAGTATAAAAAGAATTGCATGTTGTACTGTTTTTTGAAAATGAAATCGAAATATAACATCCACATTCCAACAACTAGCATTAACTTTGCAATAGAAGCACAAATCATATATCGCGAGAAAAGATTTTATCATTTCGTATGACTGAGAAATTCTAAATCTCAAATTCAGAGGTAAAACACCTTGAGTTTTATAGTATTTCCGCTTTGCTAGGTTTATCAGAACACATGCAATCTGAAATGTTTTGAATTGTTTCTCAACATTTTTTCGAACTTACAATGCTTGATAAAAATATGGATGTGGACCAATAAATCATTCTTAATTTCAATATTAATAATGTTTGGGGAACAAAGTGTAAATTGAAGTACACAATGAAAAAACCAAAATAAAGCGACATAATTCCACAGAAAGTTATTGTATATTTTTTCGATTCGTGAAAAGTTATCCACAGAATTACTATCAATTTATCAATTGAAATAATGAATGGGATACTAACAGATGCAAATTCACCATAAGCTTGAAAATATTTAACATTGGTGTTCCAATCTTAACAAAAAAATAAGTTATCAAAAAGTTATGAAGTAATGCATAAAAACCTGATATTGTGCAATTATCGTGTTCTCCATAATAACCCATAAATAAACATCGACTCAATCGAAAACAATAAGATATAAAAATTGAAATTTGCGAAGCGCTCAATAATAATGATAAAATTCTCGTATAAATATCATGAGCATTTGAGAATACCATCAATCGAATTAGAACTATTTGGAAACAATGATCCGAAAAATATTACAAGGTAATGTGAAACAATCGGGAATATAACAAAAAACATTTTGGTTTTGTAAATCAATCAGACCAAATCTTGGCAAGTAAATATTTTTGATTTTCTGGAATATTATAACACAGACAAGACGTGGCCAGATTCAAAACAATGTGCTCAGATTCAAAACAATAAATTATTAGAGTGTCCAGAGGGAAATTTGAATCATTTTAGTCAGCTAACAACCAAATCATAGCTTACAATTAGCAAACTAGAAATATTCGAGGTTGTTGAGTAACACGTGACAATTAAGAATATCATTATTTTTGAAAACTTTTCTGCCATATGTCGAGAAATTGTATAGTTTGACTCACATACAGATGAAAGTTATGCAATTGTTAACAAGATAATTCTTCTTCTTTCAATCTTCTCCAAAATCAATACACGATGAAATCAAACGAATTTATTAATTAAGAAAGTTAGAGCCGATTCCATTCATCTTGTAGCTTTTTGAAGTAATCATTCTGCGTCTGCTTGAACATCATATTTGATCCTGCAAGAGTTTGAACTTTTGTTGTCCCAGGTCCAGATTTGAATTTAGCGATGACTCGTATCTAGAAAAACATTTTTGGAAACTGAGATCTTCAATTTCCTAACCTTATCATTAAAAGTTTTGTGAGAATAGAGAAAACAAATAGGTGATGCTAAGGTTTCAAAGTTCTGCAACAAATTCCAATACACAAAAAATTCACCAGGGTTTTGAGTAAAAATAATATCAAAATAAAGTAACCACAGCCCGATTGATAAAATAAATTTCGAAATGAGAACATAAATAATAAATCTCGAAAAACTTTTGATTATTTGATAAGATTGTGATATCTTAAAACGAAGATGAAGACATAAAACACCTTGAGTTTTGTAGAAAAATTTCTCAGCATGCTTAATTAGAACTGCAGATAACTGAAAAAAAAGATTGTTTATAGGTTAGTAGATAAAACTATTTTCTAATACCAATGTGGAAATTGCAATCAATATTGTCCAATACGTTATTCTGATTTTCTTAATTAACATTGTTTGTGGAAGAAATTGTAGATTTACATACACAATACATAAAACAAAAAGTATCAATATTGTCATTCCAAATGTTACCGAATATTTTTTAGATTCATGAAACTTCAACCAGAAAATTGAAACAAATTTGTCGAGAACAATAAGAAAAGGAATGGTTATTGTCATGAATTCTCCAGAAGAATGTAAATATCTCATAATTATATTCCAATCTAGATTTAAATTTATCAAATTAGAACAGCTTATTTGATTGAAAAAACATTACCGGAATCAGTACAATCTTCAGTCTCAATAAATGAGTTTAATAATAAGCATTTACTGAATATAAAACAATATGAAGAAATTATTAAAATCTGTGAAAAGGATAAGAAAAACGAACAAATTCTTGTATAAATATCAAGAACATTTGTTAGAACTGCGAATCGTATAAATATTGATTGAAATAAAATTCCAAGAAGAATCACAATATATTGTGAAACTGCTATAAAATTAGAAATCAACATTTGAATGAATTTATTGAAGCAAAAAAGTTTAGCGTAATTAGATGTCCTTTTATAACTGGAATGTAACAACTTCAGTTCCGTGGAGTTATAATTATTGGGTTTGGAATTCAAAATGTCAAGTTTGCTTTCCATTTAAATAATGTTTGCAACAAATCACAGAAGAGCTCGGGAAAAATACGGCGCCAAGGCGACATCCTGGGGCGCTAAGGCGACATTCTGGGGCGCCAAGGCGGGAAGTGCTCTCGCCTCGGCGCTAAAAAGGTGCGCAGAGAGAACGCACCGGCGCTAAAACGGCGCGCGAAGTGACGCACCGGCGCTAAAATGGTGCGCCAGTGAGACGAAAAAAATAAAAAAAGATGCGGGAAAGGGGCATCGAACTTGGGTCAAAACAATGACAACCCATCCTCTTATCCACTAGGACACGCTTGCTACATTTTTAGTGCGGAAAATTTCGATGAAAAGAGAACAAGAGTCATTTGTATGGTAAAATAATGGATTTTTCATGAAAATGTCGCCTTGGCGCTAAAAAGGTGCCGTAATTTCGGCACCTTTTTAGCACCGGGGCGGCCAAAATTCCTTGACAATTTTTGTCGCCTCGGTGCTAAAAAGGTGCCGTATTTTTCCCGAGAGATTTGTGCGTGATTGGATTCGAATGACTCGCCCACTCAAAATTCGAACATCTACAACATCTTCAATTTTATGCCCATGAACTTTTGAACTGATCAAAATATATTGCACCCATTTCTTCATTCGTTTTTTCTTGCACTTTGACTGTTGCGATTTTCTTTTTTGAAAATGGAATAACATTGAAAAATGCTTTTTTATATTCAACGACACTATGCAGAACACTTGGAACAGTGAGAAGTGGAGTCCTAAAAGTTTGAATTTTGTGGAAAAAAATAAGAATTCTCGGTTTGAAAATTGCTATGATAATTGAATTTCTAAATTGTGTGATAATTTTTTGATTGCACATTGTTCTCTGTTTTTTTCCAACATAATATTTTCAAGACTAACAAAGATCCTGTCAATTTAACCCAAAGATATGCGATTCTTTGGTCAATAATATCCAAATAATCCAATATGAGAATAACAATTAATGCAACAACAAGAAAAAATATTATGAATGCAACATTTGTAGCCATCTGAAAAATAGAAGAACTGATTTTCAGATTTTTCAATATTTCTTCTTGCCTCCATAAATCGTATATTCTCATCAAGTTGAAACTTTGATGTCAAATTCATTTTATATTTTGCATTCTTTCGCAATTTTAGATTATAGTATTTCAGAAGTAAAAAAATCTGAAGTATTTACAAATTTGTTTTCAAAATTGTTAAACAACTAACCGTTCCAGCTGAAGGTACTCCTATACACGATAATATCAATACAGTAGAAAGTGATATTAAATAGAATGCAAAAAAACATGTCGCTATGAAAGTGATAATTATTAATCCTGATATAAGAAGACATGGAAGCCAAGTTTTTGTATTTTTCTCATAATTCCTGAACCAAAATGTTGCAATTGATCGTTCGACGAGAAAAAGAAAACAACTAAGACAAAATTGACAAATAGAAATCCATATGAATATTGAACCAATAATCAGAGGATAAGTTCTATAATTTATTTCAATCAGAAGATTTTCATCGGTAATAAGTCCTTCAATCATTTTTTCGGTTCCTTTCAATGAAAAAAAAAATAAATGTTATAATATAGGGCACATTCTCACTCACCATCAAGTTTTTGAATTCCCAACTCATATGGCAGAGTTATTATAGTTCCGAAAAATACGAAATACCAACTGAAAAAGAAAAACGTACAAACCAAACGAATATTGAAATGAAATTTTTGGATTTTCCACATCAAATAAATCATAAAACTAATCAAAAATGAGCAAATCGATAAAAGAATCAAATAGAAAATTGTGCATATTTGAACTGGTATTGTAAATAATTGATCATTGTTCAGAGATTGCAAGGGAACCCAAAAATGAAGCCGATAATTGTGAAAAAGTCGAATAATCATTAGAAATATCACAATGAATGTTTGAGAAAAAACACAAAAACAATTGAAAAATAAGTTGATTTATCAAGAATATTTCATTTATTCTGATATTAAAAACTCCAATCTTTTTTTCTTGTTTTCTGGATCAGGAAATATAATCATATACAAACAATTCACTTCAGAGTAATTCGATTTCGAGTAAAAATATTTAAAAATATTTTATTATTAAAACAAAATTATGACAATTTTTCATTTATCCCCATACTTTTCTGAGTTCTCCAAAATGATCGTGATTTCTTTCTTGATTTCCCCAATTCTCGATTTCGATCGATTTTTTCCATAATAATATTCTAATTTTCTTAACAAAATGTTGATTTGAAAGTAAAAAGAACCAAGGAAAAACAGCACAATCAATGTTCCATAATCCATTTATGAGAAAATAAAACATTCCATCATTTTCGGAATTTGTTATTATTTTATCTTTCAATCCATGACATGAAAATATAACAATTTTGCAAAACAGATCAAAACTTGAAGCTGGTAAAAAACTGCGAATAAATCTATTAGATTTTGTGATTTCTAAACGTTCATTCAAAGTTTTGCGACCTAATGTTGTTTGGTATACTTTACCAGAATAAATATAAAGTGAAAATTCAAATACGATATTGATAGAACTTATTAATAATGCAAAAGAAACAGCTATTGCTGAATGAAATGAATCACCTGTAAACGTTGAATGTAAAAAGTTCAAAATTGTGGTTACCTGTTATGGTTACAACAAAAATCCAACTCAAAAAAATAGAAGAAACAAAACTCAAAATAGTTATTAAAATATTGGACTTCAACTTTGAATGAGTTAAAAATAACAATCTATCAATATTAAAATAAAATTGAAGAATTGTAACTTGACATTCAGCAAATACATGAATAAATACGAACACTGTTCGATCATCTTTACATTGATCAATCTCTAAAATAGATCCATATCTCAGGCATACAACTTCCATTCCAAAAAATGATAAAACCATTATAATATAGAACATAGAGACAACAATAAGTTTAATTCTTCCAAGTACACTCATTCCAGTTTCATGTATCACTATTTTGTTCATCAGAAAATGAGAAATAATTGCTATTGAACATATTAAGATTTGAATAGCTAAAAGAAAATATTGAATATTCATTCCAAAATGAATAATATGACTTGTTATATTACATTATTTTTACTAATTAGAGTTCAATGCGCAAATGTTAAATCTCAGTCTTCACGCGTTGCTGACTTTCGTCATTATGTCTTTATTTGAATCTTGATCATGTGGGGTTTTTGAGAAAAAAATAACACAAAAATAATAATAACTATCTCCAAGCTTGTTTCAATTGTTCAAAATGTTCGGATTGATTCGGAACATGAATCATTGACCGACCATCGAAATCCAAAAAACTGACAACCGAATTTCGAGATTTCTAGAAAACAATAATTTTGGAACTTTTGGAACATTTTTTTGGAACATTTTTTGAAACTCACAAATTTCCGTCTCACAGATTTGTGAAAAAACGAGACAACCCATGGAAATATCATTAAATGTATATTATAAATAAAGTTGTCAATAAATAGGTTCTTATAATTTTGATCGGGCGGAAAGAAAAATCCCAAATATTGAAGAGTGACAAGAAGCATAATTGTTAGATCAAAAGTTACAGTAAGAGCCGAAGAATAGACAAAACAATTAGCAATCTCGTGAGTTTTGTATAGCTGAAATTCAAAACAACGTCTTTGTTTTTTTTCTGATTTTGAAAAAAAATTAATTAATATCAAAATATGATTTTTCCATTTTCTTACATCATATTTTTGATTCAATTTGTATTCTGAATGATAAAAAAGTGAAGAAATTCTTTTAATATAAATAACGAGTGCAAAATTTAATAATACAATTAATTGAATAAGTAATAACCAGAATTCCATTGATCCCGTTGCTAAAAACATTATAAAGAAAAACTCGTATATTTTTCATCTAACTTACGTCGAACTACAGTATGATACATATAAATCATTGCACAAAACTGTCCAAAGAATATGGCAAAAGATAAATTAACCACTGAATTTATTTGTTGATGATGAAAATCACGGAATTTGATCATAATTATTTTTTCAATTGCAAAAACTAATTGAGAAATAAATTGCAACATTTCGCCATATCTATGGATTGCTACAGCAAATTTATTGAGACTCAATGTTTCATAATCTTTATCAGCAAAAATATTTTGAGAATTATATTTATAGCTGACAAAATGTTGAAAACCACAACTGAATAACATAAGAATTTGTGCAAATGATAAAAGAGTTAAACTTATTCTTGAAAATTTATCGAAACAATTTGTGAAAATCACAAACTTCAAAAATAAGAGATGAGATAATATTCCAATAATTTGAATAATATATTGCAAGACAAAAATAAGAAACCACATTTTTGTTGTCGGATATTTGTTTGTTTTTCAAAATCTGCTGTTTTTCAGTTGTTTGAAATTTTTTAATTAAAATTTCAGCAACCAAGAACACTAGCGCTTGTTTTTGGCGTCACAACTTGATTTCTTCTTGGTTTTTTATGGTTTATCTGACGAAATTGATTTATTGTGTAATCTCGATAAGGTTTGTGTAGAATGATCAATGCGAGACTAGACAATAAACCATGACTTGAAAACACTACCATAAGATTGTTATTGACACCTGAAAAATCGTTGTTACTAAGAAAAAAAGACGGTCTGATTTTCTCAAGAAATCAGGAAAAATCAAAAATTATTGTCTGGTGTTTACACGTTTTGATTACTCTCTAATTTTTCCAAAATGTTTCAAACAAAGTTCAAACCTTGATGATATCCTCCAACAAATAGTATTGATAAAATACCAGTGACTGGAATAATTAAAACCAGAAATGGGATTGATACTTGAATGAAAAATATAATCAGAATATATAATTGTAATTTTCTTGTTCTAATAGAAATTGAAGACGGCGCATTTGACAAATGATAAGCGCTATGCAACACAAAAAATGCATTATTTAATATAACATTAGTGCATTCGAAACCGACAAGTGAACTGACTAACATATTACGTTCTGTTAAAACTTCAGTTCTTGAACTAAAAAATTCTGGAACAGGACATGGGATATAAGTTAGAATTTTGAGCTTCTGAACTTCGTTATCAACAACATCGAAAAAATAGACAAAAAGACAGAAAACACCAAAAGTATAATGGATTGCATAATAAATGAAGATTGTATATTTATTTGTCATTTTTGGATAAATTGTTGTGATACAACTATGACGATTTTGAAAAAGAGTAAGAATTGACATGCCAAAAACTGAAATTCATCAAATTATTGAAAGTAGAGGACGGAATGAAAAACTTTAATTTTTACACAGAATATTATTTTTGTTGTCTAGGGAAACTCACAGAAAAGAGATTCTTGTGCAATGTAGATTAACGGTTTAAAACCAACACCAATATCATATAAATAACCAACAACATTAATCGCAAGTGACGGTAGAAATAACATTGGTGAAACTAAAACATTGAAAACAATATCCATTATAAAAGTACAAACATGCAGATACATCATACAATTTTGATTATTTTTCATTTTTGGCGGAGTTTGATATAAGATCAGATATCCGCCATAAATTCCAAGTGGAATTGAAAAAAACGAGAAAATATGCAAACTTATTTGTAGATATTTCGAACTTGCCAAAAATGTGAAATCTTGAGAACATTGACTGTAATTTGTATCAAAATATTGGTTCATTTCGATAACCTAAGATTTCTGATACAGTGACGAATATGTTTTGAACAGGTGGAAATGGAATGATAAAAACAATTGTTATTGATGAAGCGGAAGGCTGATTTTTATTTTTTTCATAGAAAGATTAGTTCAATCAACTGCGAACTTTCCTTCTTTGTAGGCAAAAATAAACGTCAACTGCAATTGAATAGAATATACTTTGAATTGAATTAGTGTTGAAAATTGCAGCTGATATTTTTTGAAAAACAAACAAAAAAGTGTTTAGGGAGCAGCTAACATTCAGGAAACCTATAATTTTCTGAACGCAAATGACACATCGCTAGCATTAAAAAAAACAAAATATGTTTATTAACAATGTGTAAGCTTTGATCAAAAATATAGTTTAAAGGGGGGGGGGGGTTAGACGACAAAATTTTATTTGCTCAACGAATCGGGCTCCCTTTGAATAGTGAAAGCCCCAGGGGATTTTTTTCTCGAGAGGCCAAAAAAGGTCCGAAAAAAATATTCCATGAACTTTTTTCAACGTATACGTTGTCCGAAAGTTTATGGAATAATTTCAACGTATACGTGGTACCTAGTTTATGGAACATTTTTTCTGGGCGTTTCCAGAAAAAATCCCTTGGAGAATTTTACTACTTTTGGGCAGCCTTTAACTTTGCGACAAAAAAAATTTGTCGTCTTACCCCCCCCCCCTTTAATTTCCTGTTTTCTCGAATTGGAAATCTAGTTTTGATACACACATACAATAAATCCTTCAATTAGAGCCTTACCTAATCACCAATTTCATTATTGTTCAAAACAGAGATGATCTATGTTTTCTGAAACCCCTCAATTTGAAAACTTCCTTAAAATGGCAGATAATATAATCACCTGTTTGAAATAATGTTTTGAAAATAATACTTTCCGATCAAAAATTCACTTACATCATCTGTCAAATTTTTAAAAGCTATTTTCCAGAGGAAAAACGCTAATTTGCAGATTTGTTGCTGTTTGATCTTGTGTCTGATAAAAAAAGAGGAATCAAATTATATTTCTAAAATAACATATAATTATGTGATCGCTATTTCCACTGATTTCTTGATTCTATTTATGGAAATGTCGAGTTGTGAATTTGCTTCAATAAATAACAACAATCATTCTCTACAATGGATACTTAATTTTATGACAAATATTATATCAACACCTTTGAGTTTTCTAACATTTTATCTAATTATTTTCAAAAGTCAGCGGGAATTTGCTAAATTTAAAAATGCTCTATTTCTTTCTCAATTTTCATATTGGCTATCTTCAATATTTCTTGGAACACTATTTGGATGTGTTGTTTTATATCCATTTCCTGGAATGTATAGTCAAGGATTATTGAGAAATTATATCGATTCATATTTTCTTTGGGTAGTTTGTGTAAACTGTGATATTTTAATCAGAAGTAATTCAGATAATTTGGGTTTTCTTGTTCGCAACCTATATTTTTGGTACATTCCTAGTTACATTGATACGTATCCAACTTGTTGCAAGACCTTCAAAAACTTTTGATTTTCGAAAATCGACATATAGAATAATTCATTTCATCCTTTTTGTTTATGTTTATTTCCCAGTTTCATGTTTCATGATTGTAGCTTATTCATCACCTCATCAGATCAAATATTTCATTTTAACTAATTATCCAAATTGTGAAAAAGTATTAGAAAATAATGGAATTTTCGTGACAACAAAAGATTTGAATGTAGTTGGAACTATATCTTGTGTGGTATATCTTGTGTCGGGTTTGATGGTGAGATGAATAAATATTTCGTGAATTACAAAAAAATATTTCCAGATAATTGTGTCGAGTTTATGTATTGTTCGATACGAAGTACGACAAACTGCCAAAAACATGTTCAATCAAAAAACAATAAAAGAACGGGGTCATGTATTAAATATTCTGGTAGTCCAGGTTGTAAAAAAAAGTGCCAATGTTTGTCACAAAAAAAACTTTTACAGAGTGTCATAATAGCTACAATATTGTTCATAAGTGCATTACTTATAGTGAAAACTAACTATTACGATCCAGAAGAAGATTCAAGTTGTAAGTTTAAAGTAGGTTGCTACTAATAATGTTATTGTTTCAGTAATCACTGCGATAGCATTTACTGGTTTATGTGGAGCCTCAATTCCTAATCAAATATTCATCATATCTCGGAATTCCGCATACCGTAGTTTTTTGTTCAAATCCAATCGAGTCAGACAAAATTCCGTATCAAATGCTGCTTGAAAAAAACCAATAATTATAGACACATGGTATTTCCGTTTTTCTTTATTTTTCTCCGAATTTGTTTCTAGATTTTTGCTTAATAATGAATGATTTTTTAAATTCTATTTTTAAAAACTTTTATCATTTGTTCTTGTCCAAAAATTGAAACGTTCAATGGCAATAATTTATTCATGGTTTTATTCACATGAAAATATGTGATAGAAAAAAATAGATTTGAGTATTCCCTTTAGAATGAATACTTTTTCCGATTTTTCCAAACGACAAAAATAACGTTTACGCGAAGAAAAACTTGATAAACTCAAAAACAGCTGTAAATCGTCATCAAATGCCTTTAGGAAAAAAGGTCTCAAGAATTTAGTGTTACTTTTCAGGACTAGATATTTTCTTCATTTACCTCATGTTAGAAACACAAAGACGCCTTCATTTCCTTGATTTCTGATCTAACACAAGTTATCATAATCACATTTATTGTTCTAAATGCATTCAACATTAGTACTTCAAAAATACATAAATGTTTGAAACTAAAAAACGCCTTTTTTTACGTTGATACTTTGATCTCGTTCAAAAACCAATAAGCACATACATAATTTCAACTTTTTTTCCAGCCAATTCAATTTAGCTGTTCAAATAACACTTTTAAGCATCTGCACTTTTGATGTTTTTTGATTTGACCAAATGTTTTGTGAAGAAAATCACACGTATTATTGGAGTGGAGATTATCTTCGAAACTGTTATCATATAACTGCACTTTTCTCTGTTCCAATGTCTGTTTTACTGTTTTATTGTATTTTCTATAAAACACCAAAAAGAATGGAATCAATGAAACCAGCTTTGATAAATTTACAATTTTGGTGATTTTCACGAGTTCAACAAACATTTTTTGAATAAAAATCATATTTTAGGACAACAAATTTGGACTTTGTTCTCACAATATTTTCCTGCCCATATATATTTTTTCCAAGTGCATCAGGTAGACCGCTTGGAATATTATCGGATTATATCAGTGTTAAATGGCAATCGTACTACGGTCAATTGTCTGTTATGTGTATGTTTAGTTTCGAGAATGAAATAGTTTTGTTTTAAATGAACTCTGCAGATATTGGTGTTGCTCTAATTATGTTATATGAAAATAGGCAAAGTCAAATAATGACAATAACTTTCAAGTTGAGTAAGAAGAGAACAAGGATAATATATTATGCTGCAAATTATATTGCATTATCAATTATAGTTCTACCGTTCTATATGACCGAGACAAATCAATCAGAATTAATTGAGATGGTTCTGGATAGAATACCGTGTCCTTCTGTTGAATTTTTCGATAATTCAACCTATGTTTTGCTTCGAGGAGATGAAAAAATCCCATTTTTCTCAATTACAATATCTACAAGTCTTGTTGTTTTTCAAACATTATTTTTTGTTCTACATTCTTTGTATCATCTAACAATGATCAAAAATCACAAAGTTTCTAAAAATACAAAAGAAATGCAGAAGAAGTATTTAGTTTGTGTAACAACTCAATTTTCAATTCCATTACTAGTTATTATTTTTCCAATATGTTATTCCTTATATTCTGATCGTTTCAATTATTATAATCAAGGTTTTTTTTCAACAATTTGAATTTTTAATTCTCCAAATATTTTTCAGCATATAATAACAATGCAATGTTAATGATGGCAACACATGGCTTTTTCTCATCATTTTCAGCTCTTTACATATATAAACACTATAGAGATTTTTGTTTGCAACTTATTTTTAGAAAGAAAAATAGACGAATATCAGTAACCACTACGAATAGAATGAGTTTGGCGAGTATAACAGGATAGATCAAATTATAAGTTTTATTTTTGAACAATAAAAGTTGATTAATTAGCAAATCAAAAACTTGTTCTCTAGTTTTACACGTATTAATTGAACACTTCTAAATTTAAAATAATACTATGCAATATCAATAGTCTTTGTTGTTGAATTTCTCAATTCGAATTCGAGTTTTGCAGCTTCTAATTCCATTGTGAGCTTTCTTTTTGCAGCAGCTTCAAGTTCCATTGTGATCTTACGTTCCATAATTTTTGTTCGTTTGGCTTCACGGAAAAAGAAAATTCCAGAAAACACACAAAGAAGTGGAAGTCCAATTGTATAATGATAAATGTTAAGCCATGGACTGATGAAGAAAATAACACAGGTTCCTAAAGATTGATAAATCTTCGAAACAGAGAAAGCTTGTGCTCTTCGTGATGGCATTGCAATTGCACAAATCATTGATCGAACACTACAGAAACAACAATCACTGATTCCAGCAATCAAACCAACAATAAATACGAATATTCTTGTTGGTTGACATAAAAGAGGTTCAATTGTAGTTGGAGTAGTTGTTGCATTATATGGAGTTGTTAAAAGAGCAAGAATACAATACATAATTGTAGTACAGCAACCAATCAACATTGTTGGACGAAGGCCGAAATCTTCGATACGTTTGCTCATTGTGGAAATGACAACACCCACTAGAAAAATATCAAGTTATCCTATCTCTCTACATAGTTAACTTACTCAATGTTTCACCAAGTCCGACTGCAAAACAGTATATTGCTGGAAGATAGATCATTGAAGCATTATGGGTGTTGAACATCAACGATGTTGGATAAACAGAAAGCCAAAACGATGTATGGATACCGCAAAGCAAAAAAGATGGAGCAAGGCGGAACATTTTTGGTGACATCAATGCTTTTTTCATCAATCTCATTCCTTCCATAAATTCAACTTGTTTCTCACTACTTTCAATACAATTTGAAACATCTTTTGATGGCATCAATATGAAAGTAAAGACAGCAACCATTGAAGCTGCAGCAAAAGAAGAGAACAGAAGATAACTGGAAAAATTATTTGTGAACAGCTAATTGGAAAAATAATGATCACAGTACATTTCAGAATCACTGAAATTTCTTTGAACATGATGAGAAGCAACTACAGCTACTTCTGTTTCATTAGCAGTTAAAGATGTAATAACAGCCATTATAATTGATCCAATCATCATACAACAACATCCAAAACCCCAAGACATTGATACATTTGAGCCAATTGTTTGTCTTGTTGAATGTGAAGTCATATATCCACCATTTCCAGTATAATACAGAGCAAATCCTACTCCTAGAACAGCACTCGAGAAATAGTAATAATATGAATTGGTGAACAAGAATCCAATTGGGAATGAAGTGAAACAAATTGCCGAGATTAGAAGAGTTGTTTTGGCACTGGTTGCGTAAAGAAAAGACGGTGATACAAAACAAGTAAGAACATATGTCAAATAGCACACTGCTTGTCTGAAATATTTTGTATAAATGTATTAGCACTAGTTTGTTTTTCATCTCACCCATAATATCCTGCATGCACGCTGATTTTTTCAGGTTCTCTTTCGTGAATCGAATGAATAACTGATTCGAGGATGAATGATTGAGAATCATATCCAGTCATTATACAAAGTTGGCCGAAGCTCAGCATGAATACGCATAACAATTCGAATCTTCTTGTAGTTGCACCCTCTTCCATCTCGATTATTTGTTAAACAAAACACGTACTGACTTTCAAGAGTCGAAACGTTGAAAATATAAAAGTGGAGTACTCGGTGCTTTTTGTTTCATTTTATAGTGGATCATTTTGAACTTATGCAAATTTAGATGATGATGGCAATCGGATTGGTTTCATGAGGGGTTTCCCCAACTCCGAAGAACACACATTCCGTTACATGATTTTTTCATGGAAATTTCGGATCATTTTTCATCATTTATTGAAACTATTTATCGTATTTTATTGAACATTGATATTTCACAAAATGATTTTATTTCGTGTTTCGTTGAAAAGTGCACTCACAAAACATTAATAAAAATTTCAATTCATAAATTTGTTAATGATACAGGAAAAACTAGTGAGTTGAATGCGGTTCAAATTATGTCCATGTCAAAAAACACCCGTTATTTTGATCGAGCAGTTCATAAAAAAATACAAGTTATTCAAGTGTCTCATAAAGACTAGTCCGTTTTCTTTGTGCAGCTTGATCAAGTTCCATTGTCATATTTTGTTCCATCAAATTGATTCGTCTCGCTTCATGGTAAAAACAAACTGCGGCAATTATGCAAAGAATTGGAATTCCAAAAGTGTAGTAATAAATGTTGAGGAAAGGACTGATGAAGAATATCACACATGTTCCAATAGATTGATAAAATTTTGATACAGAATATGCTTGATCTCGTCGATTTGGCATTGCGATTGCACAAATAACTGATCTCACACTACACAAACAACAATCACTCATACCACCAATCAATGCAATTATAAAAACCAAAATTCGTGTTGGTTGGAATAGCCAAGGTAGATCATTGGTTGGAGCCATTGGTGCATCAGCTGGTGTACTCAAAACAATAAGTAAACAATACAAACTTGTCAAGAAACATCCAATCAACAAAGTTGGTAACATTCCAAAATTTTTGACTCGTTTGCTCATAAAAGATATAAACATTCCCACTGAAAAACAGATTTTTAAAAGAAAAAATAAACTAGATCACAACATACTGATTGTCTCTCCTAATCCAACTCCTAAACTGTAAATAGCTGGAAGATAAATCATGCTCGATAAATAAGAATTGAATGTGAGAGTTGTTGGATAAATCGAAACCCAGAATGAAGTATGAACACCAGTCAAGATAAACATCGGAATAAGAATAAACATTTTGGGTGATATCATTGCTCGACCCATCAACTCTGTAAGCCGATTATTTTCTTTTATAAGTTTGTCTGTAAGTAATCCTTACTAATTCCATCTCTGAATGCAACTGTCTTTTTGCTACTTTCAATACAATTATCAATATCTGACGAAGGCAAAAGAAGAAATGTCAGATTTCCGATTCCTGAGATCACAGCAAATACAGAGAACAGAAGATAACTGAAACAAAGCTATTTTTCAGTTTTGGCTTTGAATGTTTCGAAATTAAAAAAACTAACATTTCGGTATCGCTGAATCTTCTCTCAAATGGAGCTGAAACTGTCGTCAGATTTCCAACAACCTCAACAACATCTGTTGTGATATTCTGTTTTCCAGCTGTAAAATATGTTATCAATGCAATGATAGCCGACCCAACAATCATGCAACTGGATCCAATTGCCCATGAAATCGAAACATTTGCTTCGAGAGTTTTACGAGTTGAGTGAGAGGTCAGATATCCACCATTACCCGTATAATATACTGTAATATATTTGTAATAATGATTTAAAATTTGAGGATATAGCTCACATGCGAATCCGACTCCATTCAAAGCTGCACTAAAAAAATAGTAGTATTGGTTGGTATATAAAAATCCTAGAGGAAACGAAGTGAAGCACACCGAGGCGATAAATAATGTTGTTTTTGCACTTGTTGCATAGAGGAATGTTGGTGAAAGAAGACACGTGAGTACAAAAGCAAGGTAGCAAGTGGCTTGCCTAAAAATTGTATTATATTCATTGTTTATTGCTCGATTGTTCAAACACAACACATCAACCTTCATGATTTCTGCTGTAGTCTATCTATCATATAATTAAACTATTTTTTACATTTTCTCTAATAAGTTGATAAGGCATCATACCACCGTCATCATATAGTTAAAGCTTTTTGTATTTTATAGTTTTTTACAGCCTTATATGTGTACTTTAATGAATTATCATCATTATGTGTATTGCGAATTTTACACTCGTGTTATTATTTACCCATAATATCCAGCATGTGAATTGATTGTAGATGGATCTCTTTCGTGAATCGAATGTATCACAGATTCCAAAATAAATGCTTGTGAATCACATCCAGTCATAATACACAAATGCCCGAACCCAAGCATTACGACACAAACGAGCTCAAAGTTCCGAGCTGATAACTTTTCGGCAAACATGCTTCTGCTATCTGGAAAAACGACAGTTAATAATAAAACATATAAAAATGCACATGTTTTATAAGATAAGAAGTTTATTTGGCTCACAAAATGATCGGTGGACTTTTTGGACTGTTCTCAATACTTCTAATACCATATGTTGCTGGAAAGGATAAAGATCCGGAAATGCATATGACAACACCACAAATTGCAATGAGATGGGGTTATCCAGCAATGATTTATACTGTAGAAACAGAAGATGGATATATTTTGGAGATGCATCGAATTCCTTATGGCAGAAGTGAGTTTTGCCAAAAGGTTTCACAACAAACAGAAAATAAATAAATGTATTATTATTAGCTTGACTTATATCTAAAACTTCAGCTAATGTCACATGGCCAAATGGAAAACGCCCAGTTATTTTTATGCAACACGGATTACTTGCTTGCAGTAGTGATTGGGTTATGAATTTGCCTGATCAAAGTGCCGCATTTATTTTTGCCGATGCTGGATTTGATGTTTGGATGGGAAATATGCGTGGAAACACATACAGTATGAAACATAAAGATTTGAAACCATCACATTCAGCATTTTGGAAATGGAGTTGGGATGAAATGGTACAATATGATTTGGATGCGATGATAAATCATGTTTTACAAGTTACCGGACAAGAAAATCTCTATTATATGGGACATTCACAAGGAACTCTTACTATGTTCTCTCATTTGTCCAAAGATACTGATGGAAGCTTTGTAAAGAAAGTAAAAAAGTTTTTCGCATTGGCGCCTGTTGGATCAGTCAAACATATCAAAGGTTTCCTATCATTTTTCGCTCATTACTTCGATCTTGAATTCGATGGCTGGTTTGATATTTTCGGAGCTGGCGAGTTTCTTCCAAATAGTTGGGCTATCAAATTAGCAGCAAAAGATATTTGTGGTGGACTGAAAATCGAATCAGATCTTTGTGACAACATTCTTTTCCTTATCGCAGGCCCAGAAAGTAATCAATGGAATACGGTACATTTCAACAAAAATTAAGAATAGAAAGAGAAAAATGATATTACAGACAAGAATGCCGATTTATATCGCTCATGATCCAGCAGCAACATCAACACAGAATATTGTTCACTGGATGCAAATGGTCAATCATGGCGGAGTGCCCGCCTATAATTGGGGAACGAAAGAGAATAAGAAAAAGTACGGTCAAGTGAGTGATAGAAATAAGAAAATTGTAATTAATCATTATGTTGTACTATGAGTAGGCCAATCCACCGGAATACGATTTCACAGCCATCAAAAAGCCAGCGCAAATTTATTTGTATTGGAGTGATGCTGATTGGTTGGCTGACAAAGAGGATGTAACAAATTATTTGTTGACCAGATTGGATCCAAGTGTTGTTGTGGTAAAATGAAAAGGTTGTTAGGCACTTTCTAAAAATAATACTTCAGCAAAACGTCCATCTACCTGAATACAATCATCTTGATTTTACTTGGGGACTTCGCGCGCCAAACGATATCTACCATCCAATCGTCGAAATTTGTACAAAAGATTATCTCGGCGAAACATAAAAAAATATAAAAAAGAAAAATTGTGGGGGAATACCTGATAAATCAAGTTTTATATTATGATTTTTTCTAGACAGACAAAACAAATGACCTTTACACAAAAAACTATCGAAAATTTCGAAACTTCTAAGCGTTTGATCTGGGTGTTATGATGCAATGTGTATCGAGAATTGTAGTCTCATTGGAAACTGAAATTTTGGGGGGATCAAAATACTTTTCATACTGTAACATTTTACGATAAATTCTCACACGTGAGAACCCTATCATTGGACTTTTTCTAGGTCGAATGACGAACGATTTTTGTTCGAGATTGATAAGAAAATTCAAACTTCGATAGATCACAAAAAATATTCAATGTTTCAAAAAAAATTACAAAACAAAACAAAAACAAAAAAAAATAATTTTAAAAAAATTTATGAAATATTTCGCCACCGCCACTATTCTTCCCTCTCCTCGGCTAGGCTGGCGGTCCCAAATTTTCAGAATTATACGCTAAATTCTAAGCTCTTTCAACGTGTTCAACTTATACATAATCTTACGTTGTGTCTGAGTTTATATATTTTTTAATTGGTTTCGAGTGAAATTTGGTTTTTTAATGATTGTATTTTGTACCTTTTAAAAATTCAAAAAAAATCGAGTAAAAATTACGTTTCAAAAATCCCATGTTATGTTTTACTAGGCCAAACCCGATTTGAACATCGGTAAATTCAGGCAAACTTGGCCTAGTTTTTGAATCCAGTTCGAATATCTTGAATTCAAATTATAGGTTGAACTTATTCAGAAATAAAAACTTTGAAACTCCTTGAAAGTTCCAATTTTTGAAGTTTTCAGTTTATTCAGATTCATTTCCTATTTTCTCTTGGTAATAGGATTCTGACCCCTCCCTCCCTTCCCTTCCCCAACTCACTGTATTTTGCTCTCATTGCGCCTCCCAAAGCTGCTGAGTTTTCCACATGAAGTGCAATGTTTTTGAAGCACCGTCAGTAAAAAAAAGGCGATTATCTGAAACATATCCGATATTTTTGATTTTAGGAATCGAATCGAACGTACCTTTATTTGAAACCAAACCCATTTTCTTGGTGCACAATAGTTTGAGATAGCACTGACTCTCGGAAATTGCTCGGCAAGTTATCTGAATACATTACGTAATTTTCTTCTGTATTTTGAAAGTCTTTTCAAAAATCTTACCAAATTGTCAAACCTTTCAACCGTTTCTCCATTTTCATTGAATAAATAATCACCTTTTCTAACATTTGGTGCAATTTCACCCGAATAGAAGAAAAATCCAATTTTTCCCTGATTTCCAGCAGGAGTTTGGGGGAGAATTTTATCGAAAATTGACAAATCTTGACATTGAGAGTTTTGAGAGTGTGTTTGTCAACACCGACCGCAAACACCAAATCCTACGCGCAATCATGTAAATATAAAATAACGACACTCCGCTCAAACAATATTTGAAAATTAAACAACAGGCAAGCGAGTGTCGTTGTTTAATTTTAATTTTTTTTTTGGTTTGGAATACTTGAAATTCCTGCGGTTTCTTAGCCAAGTAATAACTGTTAAGGTTAGAAAAACTCAATCCGGGTTCCCAAGAAAAAAAAAATTAAAATGAGTGTGCATGCAACAGAGGCGAATCTGTGCACTTGGCAAGTCGCCAGTGTGTATGGTTAGTCGGTGTTGACATACACTCTTATTTTTTTGTTCTTTCTTTGGGTTTTGGATTTTCGATTTGTATGAAATTTATCTAATTTTCGGCATAAGTTATCCCTTTTCTGAATTTAAAAAAAATTTGAAGGTATTTCCCGAACTTGTATCATTTCAATGTATCATGATATCATGTCACCTTGATTCTATTTTTTGTTCTGTTGTACAAAAGCTTATGTCTATGTTATCTTTCGAATTCATTTTGTTCTTTCATCTTTTGCTGGTTTGGCAGGTTTTTACGAGGTTTTGCAAACCGTTTGGATATCTGTCGACGGAAAAGAAGTACATTGTATGGATGATATTAGAAAAACAAAACAGGACAATATTAATAGAATGGCAAAGGGAAATTTTAGATAATAGTGGAAGTATTTAGTTGAAAAGAATTGAGAATCTGTAATTCCAGCCACTCATAAGTCGTCAAATGTCAAAAACTAATCAAGATTGTTGTGTTCTAGTTTCTCAATTTTTTGAAACCATTAATCCCAACATAAAAGTAAATGTTCTGTTTTTCTTTCTTGCAAAATGAAAATGAAAATAGATGAAGAGATCAGAATGTGTCGGATTATAATCGAATTAGTCACATAGTTACTCTAATCTAATCTCTAAAGAGGTTTCTATAGACTTTTGACCCACATATTTATATTTCAAAATTAACTGGTTTTTGTAAAAAAAAACAAAAAAGGAGAAATATACTTCGAGCATCAGGATATTCTCAAGATTTTAATATTACGAACGCATAATTCGAGAAAAACATGCACGTGGTAATCGATCACTACAGTAACCCAAGAGTTGATAGTAAACAAAACAAACTTTCTCCTCACTAATTATCACATTGTTTTCTGACTAAATTAGGGTCATTTGAGTGATGAGGAAAATCTAACACATATATAACCAACCTCAAAAGGTAACCATCCTCCTAGAAATGTTAAATTAGGTCCAAAATGTTACTCTATATTTTCCTATTTCTAACTATTTGGATTCCACAAAGTTTTCCTGAACGAACTCCTTTACCTAAATTTCCATGGAGTGATAATGTTCCAACACTTGAATTCTCGACTTCGAAACCAAATATTAATCTAACAAGAAGTGTTTTGGTGGATGAAGTGAAAAGAGGAAGAATTCCGAAAGAATTAACACCATATTTGAATATGACAATGGTTGATGAATTGAAAAAAGAGAATAATGAAACTTTGGATTTTGTAATAACTGATGAAGATGTTGCTGATATTCCAGATGATGAAGAAGATCCAATAAAGAAATTGAATACTATAACACACGATGGAAATAAGACTATTATTACAATTTCAGATGATGCAAAACATGATTTATATAAACATTGGTTGGATCAATCCTTATCTGGATTAATGGGTGCTGTTGTTACGAATGTGTAAGTTCTATAGGATGAAAATATTCTAAATTTATCAGAAATTTTCAGAATCAATAAACGAAAAATGACAAAGAAAGAAAAACATGCTCATTATAACTGTACACAAGCTGCTAAAAATGTTACCGCACATGCAAAATGTGTTGTAGCTGTATATGAACTTGTCAAAAAACGAAATGAGAAGCTGAAAATGTATAGCACTTTATCGAAAAGAACTCATATTCAAAGAAAAGATAAAGACGAATCATGGAAACATCCATTAAACGGATATGATAAGTTTGTGAAATCTGGAGCTGAAGAATTTCGTGTCAAAAGAGCTATTAATTTTGGATTATTTGATGAATATGAAAAACAGAAAAAGATTCAAGTCAAAACTCAGAAATCATATAAACTTCGAGAAGCGAAGAATCTGTCACCGATGGCGTTGATTGCAAGAAGATTGACGGAAATTGTTCGAGCTGCAAAAAATACAACTGAACCACCAAAAAGGTGGCAACAAATAATTGCTGAAATTAAAGAAGAAACTGGAAAAATTAAGAAGAAAAAGAGGAATAAGGAAAGAATGAAGAGGAAATTCTCGAAATTTGTTGATACAATGAAAGGAACTGGTTTGAATCCCAATAAAGCTCTGAAAACAATGGTGAGTCAGAAAATTATGAAAATCTTGAAATCTTGTTTTTGTAGGGAATGGAAGATTTGTTCGAAGATGATCCAATTTTATCTGAAAAAGAACAAGACAGAAGAGATCAGGAAGATATGTTAGCCACAATGAAACCTGAGGATAAAATGCTTCATGAACCAATAAAACTTATTCGAGAAGGTATAAAATTGGGAATGATGTTTGGTGGACAAAATGTGACAGATTTTGATGACAAAAAGATTGCATTTCTATCACCACAATTTATGAGTATTTTACCAGATGAAGTTGCAAATGATACAGTATCTCTATTATCTCCTTCAATTCTTGCACTTCATGGCGAAGGAACTGAATTAGAAAGACAAATGTCTTTAACGAGAGCATTAAAATTAATGGAAGATACTGGACAAGATGAATGGATGAATTTTGTATTAGAAGCTTCTGGAGTTACTGAAACTATCGATAAAATTAGAGAAGCTGAAAGGAAAGAAGAAATCGAAGAAATGCGAAAAGATTATGTTGGAAAAGATGGTGAACCATTATATTTCACTCGAGAAAATATCACTGAAATGTATGGAGAAGAAGAAGCGTCAAAATTGGATTTTTTCGATAGATTCTATAAAACTATGACAGATGAGCAAATGAAAGATATGAATACAACTGGCTATTCGATAATGTCAAATGAACAACTTGAGGGAATGTATGGTAAAAAATCACCTTATCGAAATGATGAAGCATTGGAGAGATTGAGTAAAATTGATCATCGAGATATGCCTGAAATGATTGAACATACTATTCGAGGATTAGCTAAAGAAGGTTACAAATTCGAAGTTTCTCGAAAGGTTAGTTCAAAAAATAATTCGACACAATAAATTCAAACAAGATCCCCACTATCATTTTTGGCCCCACACTTGAACCTAATTTTAATTCCCATAAAATTAATAACTCTGAAAATAATTGCAACTTGAACTATATATATTTTCAGAAAGATGTGGTTCTTAGCCCATTTGTTCTTGCATCAATCGTATTGGATCCAGCAGCAGCTTCACAATCACTCATTTTATCACCAATTGTCCTAACTCCCCTTGTGCTCTCTCCTTCAATTTATGGAAATGTCATTCTTTCTCCATGGGTATTTGTTCCTGTCATTGTAGCTCCTCGTATTCTTGGAGCTGTTGTTCTTTCACCAGTTATTTTCTCACCAATTGTTCTCACTCCACTTTGTCTTGTTCCAGTTATTCTTTCCCCAGTTGTTGGTCTACCATTAATTCTTTCACCATTCGTTTTATCACCGTTTATTCTCTCACCAACTGTTATGGCTCCATTGGTTCTCTCCCCATTTTGTTTATCTCCATTTATCGGAATTCCAAATGTTCTAACACCTCTTATTTTATCCCCATTTGTTTTATCTCCCTTAATTCTTTCACCTCCTTTTGTTTCCGCTTTTGTTTTGTCACCATATGCTTTGAGTCCCCCTGTTTTATCAAATGGTGCACTTTTTACAGCAGTTTTATCGCCAAGTTGGTTGAGTACGTTATAATTTATCTTGTATCTAATAATAATAATATTAATAAAAGCAATAAATCATCAAACCAAACAAAAAATCGAAAGTTGTTTTGTGATCAACCAGTTAGCTTTGTTTAATCCAATCAGAAACAACAAATTAGGGTCGAGTAAGTTAGCTTGGGAGGATGAAGCTTGATATTATTTCTTCTCAATATTCTACAAATCAAAAATGACACGGTTATTCAAATTTATAGTTATTTTGTATTATTTTATTGGTATGTTATTTTCCTAGTTATTTTTTGTATTTTCGAATGTTTAGGCTTAACATCGCACGAAACTATTTCGAGAGAGATAATAAAAAAGTCAGTGAAAAATGGATCGATTCCAAAATTATTGCTGCCATTCGTTAATATTTCAGCAATCGAAGAAGGAAAGAATAAACATAATGGGGTAATTTGTAGATTCCAAAGTTTTCAAAAATCCGATAATTTCTAGAGTCTGGATTTCGTGATACGCGATGAAGATGTTGCTGATATTCCAGATGATGAAGATTCACAAGATCTTCGAATCAATGAAATATATGATGATGGAAATAAAACAATAATTCGCATATCAGATGATGCGGCTCTTCAACTTTTCCAAAAATGGGTAGATCAAGCAGCATCTGGATTGATGGCAGCATTGGTTACGAAAAAGATAAATGATGGAAAACTATCAAAATTTGATAAAAAAGTTCATGGAAAATGTACTGATTTAGCTAAAAATCTGAATTCTCATGCTAAATGTGTTGTTTCGATTTTCAAAAAGATCGAAGCTAGAAAACGGAAATTATGGAGATATAAAAAGCGAAGACATCGAAGAAGAGTTCGAAGAGGAATTTTGGATGCTGATGAAAGTGATTTTAAGATTGCCGTGAAACAGAAAAAACGATATCGTCTCAAAGAGAAAAAAGATAATATGTCACCATTTTCAACAATTGCCAAAGGTTTAGTGAAAATGATGATGGAGAAAAAAGGAAAACCAGGAGAGAAGCCGAAAAAATGGATGAAAGTGATAAGAGAAATTCGAGATGAAGCAAATCGAATTAGAGAAAAGAAAAAAAGTAATGCCGAGTTTCGAAAAAAGTTCCGAAAATATTCGAGAGTTATGAAAGATATTGGAATAAATCCGAATGAAGCATTTCAAAAAATGGGAATGACTAATTTTCTTGAAGATGAGGAAACTCTGGATTCTGAAATAGAAAAACCTTTGAGTCAAGAAGAAATTGCAACTAGAAAATCAATGTTGATGATAAGAGAAGGTGTGAAACTTGGAATGATGATGGCTGGAAAAAATGTGTCAAATTTTGATGATCGAAAAATTTCGATATTTTCACCTCAATTTATGAGTGTATTTCCGGATGAACAAGCAAATGATACTGTAAGTCGAGTATTTTCCGAATTTCGAAACAATTCTTTTTTGTAGATCAGTCTGTTTTCTCCTTCAGTTCTCGCTCTTCATGAACAAGGAAATGATTTTGATAACAATATTTCACTGTCTCGAGCATTACGATTTCTTTCTGATACTGGTCAAGAATCATGGATGAATTTTGTTTTAGAAGCCTCTGGAGTAACAGAAGCTGTTGAGCAAATGAGAGAACAAGAAAAACGAGAAGAATTGAATGAATGGAGAAAACAATTCACAAATGAAAGAGGGCAGCCAATGTATTTTACAAAAGAAAATGTGACTGAAATGTATGGAGATTATGAAGCAACTAAAATTAATAAAATGCAAAAATTACATCGAAGTATGACTTCGGAACAAATGAAAGAAATGAATCAAACCGGATATTCTGTGATGTCGAAAGATCAAATTGACGAATTTTATGGTCCCGGATCACCTTATAATGATTCATATGCTCATAAATTATATTCAAATATTTCACGAGATATGGTCAGTGATTTACTCGAATTAAATGTGAAGAAATTGGCTACTGAAGAAATTGCATTCAAAGTTTCAAGAAAAGTATGTTTACTTTTGAATATGAAAACCACAGAATAACAATTCTTATTTCAGAAAGATATAGTGCTCACCCCAGTTTTCTTCAGCTCACTTGTTCTTGTTCCCGAAACCGTGTCTCAAAGTATAATCCTCTCTCCTCTCGTATTTTCTCCTCTCATTTTATCACCATCAGCTCTCGGCCCATTAATTCTCTCTCCATGGATTTTCACTCCATTAATTGTTTCACCAAGAGTATTAGGTCCCATAATCCTTTCTCCAACAATTTTCAGTCCTTTAATTCTTTCTCCAATGTGTCTTGGTCCACTTATAATATCTCCAGCAGTTGCAGTTCCATTAATCTTATCTCCATTTGTTTTGAATCCATTTATTCTAACTCCAGTAGTAATGGTTCCATTTATCCTAAATCCATTTTGTTTATCTCCATTAATCGGAGTTCCAAATACACTATCCCCATTTATTCTTTCTCCATTTGTTTTATCTCCTCTTATTTTGACCCCTCCAATAGTCAATGCATTTGTTTTATCACCCTATGCATTATCACCGGTTATTTGGTCTGATGGAAAATATTTCACAGCGATTTTATCGCCAAGTTGGCTAAGTTCAGTTTAGTGTTTCGAAATATTAATAAAGTTAATAATTATAATAACTCGAACCAAATAAAAGTGTGAATTTCAAAATCAACAACTTCATTATAATTATTAGAGAAAACAGAAACAACAACAAAACAAACACTAAAAATTTCTTTAAAATCCATATCCTTCGAATGGCGGCCTGGATTTTTTGAGTTTTCCCGCTTCCTTTTTTGATTTCCTGAAAAAAAATTCATCACAACTTTTTTCGAAAAAATGGCACAAACTTTTCCAAATATTTATCCAATTTGTTATCCTTTTTGAGACTTTCAAACTTCTTTTCCATATCAATTTTTCGAACAGCCGCTTTTGTTTTGAAAATCGGTGCTTCTCCGCGTAACATTCTCTCGATGTTTTCATCATGCAATTCTTTTCGAGTCTCAGTTTGGCGGCGTTTTTCAGCTCGAGTTTTTTCGCGAGTTTCCATTTTTTGAAGAGTCTGCAAATATTGTTGTAGATAAGTTAGAAAACTCAGGTGACTTTTTGAATTTTTATTTAGAAATTTCTGAATTGTTTTCTGTAAACTTTTATTTTCTGGATCTATTTCTAATTTTTTATGAGGCTCAAAAAATTAGACCAAAAGTTTCCGTGTCAGCTTAGAAAAAACTAAAACTCCATTAAAACTCATTGTCAGATTTGCATTTCTAATTTTATAGAAACATGGCTTTTCAGATGATCAATCTTAAAAATCTTTTAAATGGGACATAAAAAACTCACATTTTTGACTCGATTTGCTGTGTGTTCGTCTCCTTCAGCTCTGGCTTCATTATATTGTTGACGAAGTTCCTGAAAATTTTTTAAATTTCTTCCATGAAAAAATAATGTAAAATCTTCTCACCTCAATTTCGTCTTTTCTAATTTCATCCAAAAATTGATAATTATTTTCAAAGCAAACTTCTTTATAATTTCCAGCTCTTTCATCAAATCTTGGATCCCATTTCTTCACTTTCGCTGATTTTTCATGATCTCCATAAATATTTCTAAATGAAGAAACTGGCCTTTTGGATGACATTTCTTTTGGTCGATGTTGTCCTTTTGAACTGTCCTCTTCTTTTTTCTTTTCTTTTTTCGCTAATTTTGATTGTTCACTTTCTCCAAAATAAGTTTTATTGAATAATTTAATTCCCAATTTTTCTTTCATTTCTCGAACTTTGCCAATAGGCATATTTGCCATTTCTTCTCGAAATTTCAATCGTTCCTCTTCGTCTTCATCTTCTGATTCTTCTGATTCTCCACCTTCTTCTTGTTTCATTTCAATATCTCCATCATCTGCTTCTTCCTGTTCATCTTCAGATTCAGGTTTCACAAACTTCGGAGCTTTACTTTTCTGCGATTTTTGAGCAACAGTTTTCTTTGCTGATGATGTATTTATAAGTGGAATTTCACCATCTAACATATCATCAACATCTGGAATTCCATCATCACTTTCATCCGAATTCGCCAATTGTGCATAGTCAGTGGATGTCCCTTTAACAGCTGGATTTTTCTGCGACTTTTTATCAAACTTTGGACGTTTTCTCTCCCATGGTTTCGGATTGGATCCCGGCTGCAAAAATCATTTTAAATTGGGGATTTTATTCCTTATTGTTCGTTTTCCCAATTCTTCAATATTTCCAATAGAAAATTCAACTGTTTTCTCGTACGAAAAAAAAACAATATTTCGATCAACAAAAATTTACAATATTTAACAAAGTGTACAGTGAATGGTTTTTAATTAAAAATTATTAGGTTTTCTTAGCCTTCTTGAACTGTCCATTCTTTTTACGTTGAAGCGGAACATTATGCGCCGTATTCTTGGATTCTACGAGAATATTCGCGGAATTCTTGAATTCTACAAGAGCTTTGTCATTTTTTGTGACCCTTCTACCTCGAATAAATTTTCCATTACGTTTTCTCGGTGGAAGCGGGTGAAGCTGGAAAATTCGGGAAGCTCGAACGTTGAAAAATTAAATTTATATTTTTTTAAGTTAAGATTTGTGAGATAAAAGTTATATGCTTCAAAAAAAAATTTCAACGATTTCCAAAACTTTTCTATGAGAGCGCAACGACAATGTTTGAAACTAACATAATTTTCCATAAATTCTGACCCCAAAACAATCATACCTTTTTCAATTGTCCATTGTGATCAAATTCTTGCCCTTCTTCTTTTCTTCTAAATTCTCTTCCTTGTGGTTTGTTTCTATTTTCTGGAAATCCTTCTTTTTCCTGATTTCTGTTGAAATTCGCTTTTCTTTGGAATCGATTTCCGGGTTCTGGTGCGGTTTCTTCTTTTGGTGCAAACTTTGGCTTGAAATTTCGATTTTTGTTGAAATCGTTTCTTCTCGGTGGCCCGTTATTCTTTTTTGGAAAAGTTCCAACCATCTAAAAAAGAAACTCTCTAATTTGTTTCTGAAAATGAAAAAAATAAAATAAAAATATTTCTGCGAATTTTCAAAAACACATCGATGAGCAAATAAAGGGAAAACATGAATAAGTGAAAATATTCATACAAACAAAATTATTTACAACGTAGGTACAAAAAAAGCAGCTTGTTAGATATGAGAACTAGTATGTTTCAAATAATTGCTAAAAACTTTTGAGCTTTTTTGAATGAAAAAAATTAAAAAGGTAAAAGGGAAACACGTATAATATTTACAAGATACAAGAACATTAAAAATTTGTTATAAAAATTATGCAGGTTTTAAATACATTAGCTACTAAATGAAACTGGTGGAGCATAATCATCATCTTCTTCTTCTTCTTCTTGATCTTCTTCATTTTCTTCACGATGAAGAACAAGTTGACTTCTTTGTGGAGATTCAGAAGATCTTTCGAGTTCTTCTGGAATATTCAAATCAGTCAAACCATTCGAATTAATTGTTGATTGAAATGGCGGAGCTGATTGAAGATGATGCATTGTAGAAGTTGATGGACCAGTTTCAACATCAATCAGAGAATCTTCTGCAAAATATTAATTATATTTTATGTTGTTTTGAAATAAAACAAACCTTTTCTAGTCATTCCTGGCATTGCAAATACACTTTGCATATTTAATGGTGTCATACTTGTCCCTCCATAATGTCCTCCAGCTCTTAATAATCTTCCAGCTTCCACAGTTGATCTCAAGAATAATGTGCTCAATCTCATTTCATTTGCTGCAATATCTCCTGGCAAACCATTCGCTCTTAAACTGTTACTCAATGATTCTGCAGCTTTTGGTTGTTCTCTACACAAACTGGTCAGTAATCCATTATTGTTACCATTTCCGTGAGCCATTATACTGTCTAATGGTCCATCGATTCGATGAACACCTTGTCCAAAAACAGGATGTGGATCTAAACCAATTCCCATTCCACCATCTGGTATAAGAACTTGTAAAGATTCCATCAAATTATTTCTTTCCGTATTTGCAGCTAAACCAAGTGGTGTTATCATTGATACTTCTTGACCTAACCGGCTTCTGAATCTCTTCAAAAATCTTTCTGATGCTTTCGGTGGTTGCCATTCAGGATTTAATGCTTTGAAATGCATCACAGATAACTCAGTTTTTCCTGACATTGCACGATTTTCTTTCTTGACTGGTTTTTGAACTTGTTCCTCTTCAAGATTCCATTCTGGATCTCCATGTTTTGCAACATCCATTAATGCAAAACTACAAACATCTCCCATTCCTTCCAAATGTTCAGTATATTCTCGGAAAAAGTTGATAAATTCTCCGCATCTTGGTCGCAACCAAAAAAGTAGAACAAATGGTGTGAAAATGGGACTTGTGATTTCCAAAAGGAAAAACATCCATTTCATTTGGAATAATTGATCAAATTCATGTTGAACTTGAGCAGTATGTGCTTTTCCTTTCCATTCAATTGGCAAATATGGAATTTCACTCGAAACTCGTGTCATCAAAATTTCCGGTTGCCAAACAAGATTTTCATCAGGAATCATTCCACTACAACCAATTATTATAAATGTGCAAACAGTCATAACTGTCAAAACATGTTCGATTTGTAAAACATCTTCATCCCAAGCTGATAAAATGGCAAGTATTCCAACAATTGCAGCAGCAATAAATGCAATATTTTTCGCGATAATTTCAACAATTGGCGAGAAAAATTGATTCATATATTGTGTTGCGTGTTTATAGGAACGTTTGAGCCGAGCAGCAAGTTCATGATCGAGTTCATTGAAATGACGGACAAGATATCTAGAAAATAAAAGCGTTTTCTAGTGTCATTATATAATTTTTCAAAACGTTTTTTCTTCTGAAAATGTTCAAACACTTACCTTCCATAATTACTATATCTTCTTTTTCCCAATCCATCTTTATTTCTTTTAATCAAATCAGTCAACGAGAAAAACGATTCCATAACTTGAAATGGTAACATAAGTGGCATCAAAACGAGCGAAACATATCCATAAAATTTGCAATCATCTTTCAATTTCTTCGTCAAAAAATCGGTCATTTCAGTAGATTTGTAGTCATCTCGAAGATTTGGACCACTCCATGGAGCTGTTGAACTCGAAAAGAAAATACGTTCAATTTCATGCTTCAGGTTGTTTGGCAAATATGCGATTTTCCCAAGGAAAGGCACATCGAAAACTGGATTGAGGACTTTCTAAAAAAAACATTTTTTGTTTTCTGAATATTTCAAAAATAAAAAATCTGTATTAACTAACCTGATTTACCATAGCAATCATAAAATTTCGATATCTCAAAATTCTGTGATAAATATGAAGACTTGTTATTCTATCATTATGAATACTCAATCTAACTTTCTTTTGTGCTTCACAAATTCTTGTAACAATTGCATGCCACGTCAAATTCAATAATTGATCATCAGTTATCTTCAATTCCAATTCGTAAAATTGTTGAATTTCTTTCATTTTCAGCAAATAATGTGTTTGTTTGATAACACGAGTTATCCAATAAACAATAGCTGCGAGAATGGCAAAAATTACCCAAATACTCAAATGACTTGGACAACTTTCAATAATTGCATCCGAGAAATGCCGTTTTCCAATATTAACATTTCCGTGAGTTGTAACATTTGAATTAGCAAAAAGAAATTGATAATCAATACATTGTGTGAAGAATGTTGAAAAAGACATGATAAATATGAATTGAATGAGACCGAAAATTTTTTGAACCGCTATACACATAAAACCACCATGTTGATGATATTCGTAAACATTTGTGAAGAACTGAAAATGTTGAGCTGTTATAGATAAAAACTTGTCTAAATTGAATGATAATTGCGAACCTCATCAAGATTTTCAATATGATCCCATCTTCTGGCTCCTAATTGTGAAGAAGATGCCATTGTCGGTGGTCCCTGCATTGTGAAATTTTCATATTGTTCTGTTTGTGGAGGTTGTCTTGTAGGAGAATCGTGATAAGAGTGATTTGCGCCAATCATTCTGAAAAATTATTTAATAAAAAAATAAATATTGAATATAAACTCACAATGACTGATTTTCTTCATTAATTGTTCCACCACCAAATAAAACAGATCGTGTATTATCGAGAATTCTTGAAGTGCATGTGCTGTTCCTCAACGGTTCATCCTCGTAATCATCATCAATTGGCTGATATGCTCGTTTTTTGTTCGAGTTGAACATACACCTTAAAATTACCTTGTATTCAATCAAGAAAATGAAAGTTTTTTACAACGAAAAAGTGAAAATTATAATAATGAAAAGGAAAGAAAAGCGTGAGTCAGTAAGTGTGCCCTAACGCACATCACATGTTTGTTGTATTTTTTGAGAGCGAGTGACAGATGGTGCTGCGGGAAGCTATTATTACGCAGATTATATTTAACCTGGATAGAATATTTGTATTTGAGAACCTTTTTTAATTAATTAAAGGTCGGCTAAATTTCATCCGATATATGAAATTAATCTCAAAATTTAGTTCTACAAAACAGCTGACATTTTCGAATCATATGACAAGTACATTATTGATTTCAATTATTTTAGATTGTAAAGCGATTTTCTCGAGACAAAATTGCATAGATATTATCTGCTATTTTTTCGCAGTCGAAAAATGAACTGTTATGTTTTGAAAAAAAAAGTAAAACCCTGTCTCTACTTTGCTACCAGTATTCAAGATTGATATAGACGTTATTTTCTTATCTTTCAGCGTGAATTGGAACAAGGATCTGTGGTAAAAATGAAAACGTTCAAAAAACCAAAAAAAAAGGAAAAAAAAGGTGTAATTTCTCGTGACTGTGTTTGCACAAATTACGCAATTGTTCGTGGCATACAGTAACCCGACGCCATGATTTTTTTCACTTTTCAGTCTTTGACACACTCAGGAAGAAGGATGTAGACTAGCAGCGCAGTGAAATGCGAAAATGCGGGATTCCGCTATCGGACAGCGAGTCGCATGAAAAAATGCTAGGTAGCAGCGCGGTTAAATGAAATTTGCGATTTTCTTGCGAAGTATAGTCAGGTAGCAGCGCGGTTTTTCAAAAATGCTATGTAGCAGCGAACGTATGACCACTAGCAGCAGAGTTTTTGCGAAGTAGCAGCAGATATAGCGCAAAATTCGATTCAGCAAATGTCAAAAAACCCCTATTTTTTTCCACACAAAAATGAGAGATATCTCACAGCGAAAAATCGAAATTTTTTGTAAAAAAACGTTTTTTTTTAAATTTTTTTTTGACCTGAATCACCCCATTAGCAAAATAACCAAATATACCAAAAAATTTTCGGAATCCCAAACCCCGTCAAAACTCACGACCAGAAATTAAGATATTTATTTCTTGTCAAATTAATTCAATATCTGAAAAGTTTAACAATTATCTACAGTAGTTCGCAAACGTTTGACTTACATTTCTGTTTCAAATTATTTGCCGATTAGGAAAAAGGTAAAATTGAGAAATGACCTATGAATAAGAAAATAAAACGGCAAAAAAACGTGAATTTTCAAATTTTTGAATATTTTTAAATTAAAATAACGTGGACATTCTTTTTTAGTTATAAATTTTCACGTATCGTGCACGAATTGTGTGAGTAGATTTTTATTTTATAAAACTCAAATATGAAACAGCAATTGTTCAGCAAAATGCTTATTTCATCTCTGCAAAATAAAAATATGAATGAAACTGGAAAAATAAAGCATAAATTGTCTTCTTTGTGAAATAAAAAAAGGTCTGTCGAAAAATACATAAATAAATCTCTAAGGCACTATTTTCAGTGCCAAACACTACAACAACTCGTGAAGGGGCGCAAAAATCTTTAAGAAATAAACGGTGATAAAAATATCGGGGTCAGAAGAAACACAGAAGAAAAAAAATATGCATAAATCTCGAATATACACGCAAAAATTGGGGTTGGCACAGTTTCAACCAAGCTTATTGTGAGCTTAGAGTTCGGAAAAATGCGAAACGACTTGTTGAAGTCCAAGCTCAATTTTGGATTGTTCACGAATCTCGAATTTCTTGACTTTTCCGGTTACGGTAAGCGGAAATTCGTGTTCTTTTTTGAAGAGAATATAACGAGGAATTTTGAAGTGCGCAATTTTTCCTTTGCACCAGGCCTTAATATCATCTTCAGTAGTTTTTCCTTCGCAAGATTCGTGTAATCGAATCCAAGCACAAACTACTTCACCAAATCGTTCATCTGGTACTCCAACAATCTATAATGATAATTGAATTAGTCCCAAACTTATTAATAGTGAAAAATTCAACTAACATGAACATCTTCAACAGAAGAATGCTTGAAGAGAAATTGTTCAACTTCAGTTGGATAAATATTTTCTCCACCTCTGACAATCATATCTTTTGATCTTCCAACAATTGAAATAGTTCCATTATCATGCATGACTGCAATATCTCCAGTATGATACCATCTATCTTGAGTTATCTCTTTTTTAGTTTGTTCTTCACTATTCCAATAACATCTCATAACAGAATATCCTCGAACAATAACTTCTCCTTTCACACCACGTGGTACAATACAACCTCTTTTATCAACAATTGCAGCTTCTAAATGATCCATAATATGTCCAACTGATTTGATTCGTTGTTCTGGTGGATCATCACGTGTTGACATAAATGAAACTGGTGAAGTTTCAGTTGTACCGTAACATACTTGCATATCAGTCATATGCATTTCTTGAACAAGACGACGACAAAGTGTAATTGGACAAGGTGCTCCTGCGATGAAACCAGATCTAATTGAATCATAATTATAATTTGAATATTCTGCGTGATTAATCATATCAATAAACATTGTTGGAGTTCCATAAAGCGCAGTACATCTAAAAAATCTCAAATTTCAAAAAACCTTTGTCAATAAAAAATCTCACTTTTCTTCATGAACTGATTGTAAAGCTGCCAACGCATCAAAAGATGGTGCTGGGAAAACACAAGTTTGTAAATGTGTCAATGCAGCTAAAACACCCATTACACATCCGAAACAATGATAAAGAGGATTTGGAATACAAATAATAGTTTTTTTCTCACTATATCCAGCTCTCAAACCAACAAAATAAGCATTATTCATAACATTATGATGAGTTAAAGTAGCACCTTTTGGTTGTCCAGTTGTTCCACTTGTATATTGAATATTAATTGGATCATCTGGTTGAGTTTCTCTTTCAATTTGTGATAAAAGTAATTGATCTTCTTCTGTTCCCATTTTCATAACATCTGTATATCTCCAAGCTCCTGGATATAATTTATCTTCTTCATCAAACATAATAAGATGCTTAAACATTGGAAAGTTTCTTGAATTGATATCAGATTTTCCAGGTTCTCGAAGTGTAACTTCCGGAAGAATATCTTTGATGCTTTGATAATAATTCGATTTTTTGAAACCTGGTGGTGTTATCAATGCTTTGATTCCAACTTTATCAATTGCATATCTCAATTCTTCAGATTGATATGATGGATTTATATTGACTAGAACCATTCCACCCAGAGCAGTTGCAAATTGTGTTGTTGTCCATTCATAAGTATTTGGACCCCAAATACCAACCCGATCGCCTTTTGAAATTCCCAAATGAAGAAGACCAAGGCAAAGATCTTCAGCCTAAATTATTTCACATTTGAAAAACCAATATAAATTTCCAGAATTCTTACATCTCTAGCAACTTGTGAATATGTTTTTCGGATACCTTCTTTGCGGAAAATAAGAAATTCCTTATCAGGTACTTGATCTACAGCCGATCTCAATCGTTCACCGACTGTTTCGAAGAGAAGTGGATGGGTTGAACAGCCGTGAACATACGATTTACGGCTTGGTGCAACCATTATTTCGTTGGCTGACAGAGCTGCCTCTTCGAGAGAAATCGGCTCTTCTGTAAATTTGAATTTAAGAAATGTAATTTTAGAATAAAAAAGGGGAGGCTTCATCTGAAAGAATCAAAGTCAATTTATCAAGCTTAAAAATTGGACCAGAAAATTTGAACAATGTTATTTAAGTGGTCCGACTTAGGCATCCATTAATTTTAATCATTTTCAAACTCTAAAACGTATTTTGAAAAAGTACAGTAACCTTCACTAAATTTTTTGATCAATTTCATAAATAATAACTACAGTAACCCACCACCAACGTTTTCCATTGACATAAGATTTTTTTTGAAAATGAGGCAAAAAAAATAATTGAGGATCGTTTATATCAAAACCTCAAACTCGATAAAACATTTCCGGTCTCAAAAAACATTTTGCGCGTGTTTTTTTGCTCGTCATGGTGGTGGTTGTTAGAAGAAAAAAGTAAGTAAGTAATGGTGAAGTGGATGGGATTGGATAATCAGATTCGGTTTTTTTTTTGAGAAAAGAAGAGAGGAGAAGAAAAATGGGCAAACCGGTGATTCGAAGATTATGCAAGAGTGAGTTTGATGGTTAACAAAACAAAAAGAAATTATGACATCAATGACTATAATATTTTCGAAATTTATGATTTGTTTTGCCATGGGAATGTATCGAAAGAATCAATTTGAAGGGAAAAACCAGATTTTTGGTATCAAAAATGTTGCACTTTATCTCTGAATTTTTAAAACAAAAAAATCCACCAACAGCGATTTGATAAGAGATTTTTGTGTGGGATGTAGGAGACAAAACATTTTTTGCTCTAAAGTGTTTTCGGAAAGCAAAAAAAGTTTCAGCAAAATTCGATTTTCAGAAAAAAAGGAGGAGGGATCATAATTGTGTTAGTTGGTAGATTTTAAATTCGAGCAAAAAAAACATTTTTTGTACCCCACAGTTTCCAAAAAAAAACTCACCATATAACATTTTTGCTCTGTCTTCTTCCAACTTTGCAGTATCGAACTGAAAAAAATATGTTTTTGTGGAAAAAAGTGAAAGGAATTCAAAAAGTTTCATTCTTCAGGAATTCTTCTCTGATTGAGAAAAAGGGCAGCGAGATAAAATCTTTCGCCACGTAAGTTGACTTATTTTATTTTTTTATTTCGAAGAAAAACCATTTTTTTTCAAAAAATGTTAGGGAGGCGATGAATAATTGGGTGTCCCAATCTTATTTTTTACATGACATGATGACATGAAAAAAAATGAATTTTGAAAAAAAATAATTGAAAAACAAGTTCAGACATCAGACATCAATGAAAAACACGAAAGAAATTGTAGTCAAGGTTAGAAGAAAAAAGGTTTCAAAAATTATTTTGTGTCAAAACCCGCATCCGAAAAAATCATATGTAGGTTTCTGGTATCTGATGAATTTTTGCTGGTATCTGATTATTAATATTATTTATGACCGTGACTACATTAGGAAGAAGGAAAAAAGAAGAAAGGAAAACTTTTACAGTTGTTTAAATATGCAAAAAAAACAGAGATACATATAGAGAAAGAGAAGAGAAATTTGAGGAACACCGGTGGAATTTCAGAGAACATCTTATTAATTCCGACGACGAAGAAGAAAAGTGGAGTTCGTTTTCGTTTTTGGTGCATCAGAGATGAATAGAAAATTGAGAAGTGGAAGAGATTTTGAGTTTCGAAGAAAATTTTGAATAGAAAAATAAAGTTTCAGATTTTATCGTTCTTTTATATGAGAAAACACCACTGGAGAGGAATGAAATAATTTTAAAATATTTACAAGATTTTTTGAAGCATGCGACTGCTCACATGACAAATTCTATCAAACTCTAAAATATTGGTAGATATAACAGATTATCTGAAACTTGACACAGCCTTGGGACAAAAATCGACAAGCTCAATGGAAAACTGTAAGATTTTGAGAAAAATATTTAGGATTGAGTCCAAAAAGTTCTGAACATTTTGAGTAAAAACCTCTGAAACCAAAGCATAAATTTGTCTACTCTATTTCACTATTCTTATCAAATCTTCCCAAGAAAAAAGATCAAAGAATTATAATCAGTTCCACTTCTTCCAAATATGTAGAACCCTCCTCCCATTTTTTAGAGAAACGGTGACTCAGAAATTTCAGGTCAGAAAAAAACAACAATTTTTTCAAAAAAAAAAACAATAGAAGGGGGCTTCGAAGGAAGGTGTTCTTTCTTCATCATGTTCAGATGACAATCTTCCGAAGCGAAGACGAAGAAAATCAGAGATAGAGAGACTTAGAGAAAAGACAATAAATAGAATTTTTGATTCGATCTCTTTTCCTTCTTCTTCATTTTTTGCTTGTCTTCTTTTTCTTCTGGCGATATATCGTTCCATACAATCATATTATATTATTAATAAAAATAATAACAATCACTCGTTTTCTTTTTCCTCTCTTCCTCTCATCATACTTTTTCAATCTATTCTGATCCTTTCGAGACCTCCGGTCATTTTCATTTAATTCTTCTCTATTTCGTCTTCTTGAATCATCAAACCTGTTTTCAATCACTAGATACCTAGATACTAATTTTCTTGCATTTTTTTTTATTTATTTGCAAAACTAACTGAAACCTTGAGTGGAGAAAAAAAAAAGAAGAAAGATATTGATATTTTGGGAATGCACAAGAGAACCAAGAAAACACACAATCTCGACGATGTAGATACACATAATTATGTCAAGATTAATTTGACCACAAAAAATAATTGGATTTTTTGAAATAAGCAAGATGTGAATTATTAAAGAAGAGGAAGAAAATAAAATATTTTTATTTTTGGAATACTGAATAAAAATGTTGTGAATTTAGAAATAGACCCGGAGAATCATGTTGGATCTTGATTTCTAATAATTTTCAGAATTTCTGAAAAATGTTCAATGTGAATTGGATCTTAAATTTGAAGTGAATAATTTTCTGAAAGAGTCAAATTTAATAAGTGTATTGCTAGAAATATGTAAAAAAAAATAGAGTTCTGGATTTAAAAATATTAAATGAAGATGGGCCTTAATCTGGAATTGGATCAAGCTTATTTTTTCGTGGTCGATTCCAGAGTTCCCCAAAATTCTTGCTCCAAAATATTCGCTACAACACTCGAAGCATTTCACAAATCATTGTTCACAATTTCTCTTCAACGACTTCTTATCTAACCAGGAAATGGTCAAACCCCCAAAAACCAATTTTATCAGCAATTGCAAAAAAAAACGTCAATCAAAAACTCTGTTTTGGCTGGAAAAATTTCGAAACCGACAGAAAAACAAAAAAGTGGTATTTTCGTGTTGCATAATACCTTAAGAGATACATAAATTGAATTTTGTGAAGTAGAAGAAGAAGAAGACGCTAGGTGGGCGGGGAGAAAAACACACTTAGCGGAAATCTTCTAAAAATATCCGGGAGTGGTCGGATTTGGTTGAAAGATTTCACGTCATTTTGGGAATACTTTCTATCTATCAAAAAAAAAGTTCGAACTTTGCTCATTTTTTTCGCAAAAAAAAACAACTAGAAAATTAGCAAAATTTGGAACGCCTACTCAAAAAAATGGTCTGATCGAAAAAAAAGAGAAAAGGAAAGTATCTAACTTCAAAATCTAAACTTTTCAATTAGTCTGGCTCAAATGGCTCATAAAATAAAAATTCGAGAAAATGAAGTACGCTTTTTTGGACCTCGTGGTTTGGAAGCTCTCAAAAGTGTAGTCTAAAATTTTTTTTGGAAATTGTGAAATCAAAAAATAGTTTGAGACTGATCTTCCCGCCCATAAAGAAACTCACATTTCGATTCAAATGCAATTCAACAACATCAACAGTCATTTTTGTTTATGTTTACTAATAATGATAGAAATATTTTCTGTTTGTTGAGTAAGCTACAGTACCCCCAAAAAATTGTGGAGTGAGAAGGAGCAAAGAAGAACAAAAAGTATTGTTATCAGGTAAAATGTTGTATAGGTTTTGGGTTTTTATCGCTGCCGGGAATGAAGAGGGACACCTTATTTTTTCCGCGTTAGATAAGAGATTTTGCTGTTACGATGAGGTGTTTGAACATGTGAAAATCATCATAGGTAATAGAACAAATACCTAGAAAACATTTTGAGAAATTCTGGAACTTAATCTCATAGAACCTAGCTTTTTATAGAACTTTCCGAGAAAAATTCAAATTAAAAATTCATCACAAAAAATTTAAAATAATCGTGAGAAGTTCAAAAATTCCGGAAATATACTTTCTCTTCCATAGACATAGACACATCATTTTTGTTTATTTACAAAAATCTTTTGGACACCATAATCTCTGAATTTTCATGTTGAAAGAGAAAAAAAACAAATTCTGAACTTTTCATGCTAATTTTTTGAGTGTTCAAAGAACTTTCAGTAGTTGTGCAAACTCATCAAAAATTAGAAAATCGGGCCATTTTTTATTTATTTTTCTGAGGAAAGCAAACGTTTCCTGGAACTGATAAGATAACATTGGCTACATTTTGAAATGAGGAAACCAAGAAAAACGAAACCCAGGAATTTGTTCTTTTTTCACTTTGCAAAAACCACGTTGCAAACTACATTTAGAGCAAGTATTATTTTACTCGAAATAAACCGTGAGAAAAAACTGATTTCATTTCATTTCATTTCGAGAAAAAACAGAAATATTTAAAATAGAATGATTGAAAGGAAATATTTTCTGGTTTTATAGGATTCAATATTAGTATAATTATGACAAAAAAGTTGAAAATTGGAGAAAAAACAACCAAAAAAAGACGAAGTGCAACAAAATTATACTGGTTTCATTTTATATTGTTCTACAGCAACTTGTCGAATTTTCTGAAAAAAAGAAGTTACAGGATTTTCAAAAAAAAAATACAGTAACCCGACCTCTCTTAATCTTTGAACTTCTTTTTCTAATTGCTCAAAAGGAATCGTAGCCAATAAAACTTGCAAATCGAACCATAAAGCATTCGCAATATTCGAATCACGTCTTTCAAAACCAATAGATTTCAATTTGTAATCAGATCGATCTTTTGTAACTGGTGTTTTGGTTGTAGTTTGTATAAAACGTATAGGCGGTGGACAAATTATTTCGAAGAAAAATAACGAGAAAATGAGTAGGCACAGTAATTTCATAATCGTCGATAAATATGAAATGATTTTCGAAAATTCAAAATAAATTCCAACGGGGATTTTTCAGTTCACGTCAAATAATTTTCATTTTTTGAAAAAATATTTATTCATAAAATTGCAAATCAAAAATTAGTATGGTCCTCTGAATCGTCCACCAAATGGCCCTGGGCCTCCAAATGGTGGAGGTGGCGGGGGACCACCATAACCTGGCCCTCCGAATGGCGGAGGTGGTGGGGGGCCACCATAACCTGGTCCTCCATATGCTCCTGGTCCACCGTATCTGCCGAATCTTGGTCCACCAAATCGTGGACCACCACCAAATCTGCCACCTCCTGGTGGATAACCAACTCCTACTCCACCTATTCCTGGTCCATATGTATTGACAACTCCTGTATCAGTTGAACCATAAGATCCGAATGTTCCGAGTCCTGTTGATGTTTGGGTTGACCAAGCTGAAAAATGTGGAATTTCGAAATCGAAAAAAAAATAATTCAAAAAACTTTTGAAAATTAAACTAACTTGTTCCACAATAAATCGACGAAACGAGAGAGAAAAGTAGAAAGACGCGCATTTTTGCACAAAAATGATGATTGTTTGGTGTATAATACACCACTATCTATACACCGCCTCTTTTTGAACTGGGTCAAATATACAGAGCTCTTTTATGTGGTTTGTGACAGGTGAAATAAATGAATAGCTTGCATGGGAAGTGAGAACAACACGAGCAAAATGATCTATGGGCAGAAAAGTTGAGCGCGCGCGCGGGATTGTTCGCCAGATGTTTTGACGACAAAAGTTACAAAATTGAGCAAGCTGCCATTTTGATTAATTTTTCCAAACTTTTCCGTTTTGTCCGACTTTATTACGCATAGAATTTCAAAAAGAAACTGTAACTCGAGTTTGTTAAATAAAATATCATGATGCTGGAACATGATTTAAAAAGATTGAATGAGAATTTTGATAGAAAATTTTCTCGGCTTTGGAATCTTTTTTATATACTTTTTTGAAACAATGAAAATAGAAAAAAAGAATGTCTCTTTTCTCATTCATTCAAATACCTAAACCTTCGGCTGGTGTGATTCACCTATTCTTGTTTGCTTATCCTTTTTTTCCAAAATTGTTTTACTTTTTCACATGAAAATTTTATAAAATACCAGCTGTAGGCACACACCTTTAAATTTGTGTTCTCTCTTCACACGAAAGGGATACGGTAACACAAGTTTGAGATGTGTGAATTGAAGGATTTTCTTTTCTTTTTTTGCGAAAAAGTTTCTCTTGAAGTCAAAGTCGATAAGCATGTTTTTCAGATGGAGAACATTGAGGAGTTAAAACCTGCTATATTATCGATGGAACCATCTCCATCATCAACTTCTAATACCAATAATAATAATGGAACCCGCCAAGAAAACTCATTGCACGTGACAACTCAAAAGTTTATGCTTCTTCGGGAACACACCAAAGATAAAGTGATTTTAAAATATTTTTTGCCAGTAGAATAATCTTTATTTTTCTCGGAAAGATTTTGAATCTGAATGAAGCCGCCGAATTCCTTCAAGTTCCCAAGCGACGCCTCTACGATATAACCAACGTGTTGGAAGGAATTGGATTTGTTCAAAAAATCGGTAAAAATGCAATTCGTTGGATGTAAGTTTTTCAAGGAAAATTTAGCTGGAAATATGAACATTTTTCAGTGAACAGATTCCTGATGTTACTCTGCAACAAAAATATGAGGAGCATGTTGAAGTTTTGAAAAAACAAGAAGATGATTTAGATATGTTGCTACACGACGTTAAATGTTTATATAACATTGCTAAAACAGACAGTTCAAACCAGGAATTCGCATATATTACAAAAAATGATATGAAACCGAAAGATATGACAACAATTGCTTTGCAAGATTTATCAAAAAATAATAGTTTGCAAATTCAAGTTGCAGACCCAACTTCAACTTGTTCTTATGCAATGATAGCAAAGGGAACAAACATAAGAGCTCTTTTATGTTCTCAATACGAAGGAGCTACAAAATTTGATGTTATCCAATCGATTATTGGATCTGAAATCGAACCAAAAGAAGAGCCGATTGATGAATATTTCATTCAAAGGAGTGAAGTATCTTCTTCAACACCAGAAGTCAAAGAAGAACCATTTGATTTCTATGCAGATTCAATAGATTCATCATCATTTATAACAATGGATCCACCGCAACCAGCCGATTATCTCCGTCCATGGAATGCGTTGGCATCTCCACCAAATCTTTTCGATCTTTTTCCAAGTGACTAAAATTTTCATGTTTCATTTTGTTTACAGCTTCCCCGTTTTATCATAGTTTATAAAGATTGTACATTGTTATTTTTTTCGCAAATTGTTTTTTTTTCATAACACCCGTTTGAAAATTCGGTGAAATTTCTACGTGATTTTTTGCGCAAAACATGTTGTTTGCAACTTTTTTCTCTTCATGTCCCTCTTTTTCTCTCCTATTTTTCTAGTGGCCAGTTTACACAACACATTTTGCCACGAGAAAAGTTTTCGGACCCTTTTTGTTGAGAATTTCACGTTGTTTTCTGATTGAGACTTATTTTCCTCTGGTCGATTTTTACGGTAAAAGACTATTGCAAAAAATATGATGGGAGATTTTTCCAAATTTATATAGCCTAGAAATTCAGTGAAAACTTCAAAAATTTTTTGTTTTTTTTTGCCACGATAACCATCTTCAAGTACAAAACTCAAATCAACATCAATCTTTCAACTTTCATTAACTCGAGCAGAGTACTTATATTTGCACATTTCACGTGTTCGTGGAAATGGTTTTTGGCCCTTTAAAAACCCTTGCTGCATTTTCGGGCGCCTCCTCTTCCTCTACTCTCTCTAACCAATATTTTCTCTTTTCTCTTCAAGGTCAGTCGAGACGAGCAGACATTTTTGTTGTTATTTTATTCGTTCGTTTTATTTTGCCACTCTACTTTGATAAGATAGGCAACTCTTTTTTTGTTTTGTGTCATTTCATGATAAACAATAATTTTTTCATTGTTTCATATATTTTTTCACAACAAAATATTTTATAGAATGTCTGCCCCACTTCGTGTTTTGGTCACCGGAGCCGCCGGTCAAATCGGTTATTCAATTGTTATCCGAATTGCTGATGGAACAGTCTTCGGAAAAGATCAAGCTGTTCAATTGGTTTTGTTGGATGTTCCACAATGTGCTACAGTTTTGGAAGGAGTCGTTTTCGAACTTCAAGATTGCGCTTTGCCAACACTTCATAGCGTTGAAGCTGTCACTGATGTTCAACAAGCTTTCACTGGTGTCGATTATGCTTTCTTAGTTGGAGCTATGCCAAGAAGAGAAGGAATGGAACGCAAAGATCTTTTGGCTGCCAATGTTCGTATTTTCAAGGCTCAAGGAAAAGCTTTGGCCGATTTCGCCAAGCCAACCACCAAGGTAAGATAATTTTTGGGGTCAATTTCGAGAAATTCAAAATTTCAAAAACACGTGACAATGTTTTTTCATCTCAATTGATAAAATCAGAACTTTGTAGTCTTTCTATCTCTCACTACTTTAAAAAAAAAAAAAAAAAAGTTTGCTGTGTGAAAACTGATGTCAGATATTTGAACTGGAATTTTTCTCTCTTTGAAACCAATAAAAATTGAAAGAAAAATCAAGGTTGTTCGATTTTTCTCGAAAAAAACTGTTATTTTGATTTCACCTTGTCCATCAAAAATTTCTAGGTCATCGTTGTCGGAAACCCAGCCAACACCAATGCTTTCATTGCCGCCAAATATGCTGCTGGAAAAGTTCCAGCCAGAAACTTCTCAGCCATGACTCGCCTCGATCACAATCGCGCTCTCGGACAATTGGCTCTTAAAACCGGAACAACCATCGGAGATGTTAAGAATGTTATCATTTGGGGAAATCATTCAAGCACCCAATTCCCAGATGTTACTCACGCAACAATCAAAAATCAACCAGCTGCAACTGTTGTAAATGACAATGCTTTCCTTCAAGGAGCATTCATTTCAACTGTTCAAAAGAGAGGAGCTGTTATTATTGAGAAGAGAAAGTTGTCATCGGCAATGTCGGCTGCTAAAGCTGCTTGTGATCATATTCATGATTGGCATTTTGGAACCAAGGCTGTAAGTTGATTTAGGTTTGAATTAACACGCGGAAATCTAGTATGGCTCTAGAACAGTGTAAGGGTAACTCTAGGGTATTTTTAGCAGTCACCCTGAGATCTTTAACCTCAGAAACCCTGGGAAACTCACGAACTTCACTTTGAGGCGAAATATAGTAATTTTTGGAATACGTTTATTTTTTTTCAGAATCGGAAAAGTCTACATGATCTTTTTTCGAAATAAATAAATACATTTCCAAAAATTTTTTCTAAACATCCACGTTTTAGTTCACGTTCAAAAAATCCTCTCAAAAAAAAAATTACATTTTCAAAATTTTGCAGGGAGAATTTGTTTCAATGGCTGTTCCATCTGATGGTTCTTACGGAATCCCACAAGGACTCGTTTTCTCATTCCCAGTCACAATCGATGCCGCCACAAAAGAATGGAAAATTGTCCAAGGATTGACTTTTGATGATTTCGCCAAGGGAAAAATTGCCGCCACAACCAAAGAATTGGAAGAAGAACGCGATGATGCTCTCAAGGCTTGCGATGATGCTAGCATCTAAATTTAAATGTAAAAAAATGATCGTAAATTTTCAAAGTATTTTATGTTATTAGTAGTGAACAATGAATATATTTGCACCTGAAATTTCAAGATTCTTTTGGTTTATGTCAGCTTTTCATTAACATTCAATATATTTTGCCAAGTTTTTTGTATACTAATAATTTCTAAAAACTATTCCCTCGTTTTCGAATTGCAAAACTACTTTATTTATCTACCCACTTCGAAGTTCATTTCACAATTTCAGCCAACCAAAAAAACTGGTTTTTTTTTCAATTTCTAATCAAAACGATCATTTAAAAGTTTATCTGGATTGAAAAACAAAAACAATAATTATTGAAATCTTGATTCTATTTTTGAAATTTCTAATTTTGTTCTGTAACTACAGAAAAAAATAGTTCACATAATGACCATCTCAAAAAAAACGAATAATAACAGAAAATTCCACTCTAGATGTTTCCAATCAATTATAAGCAAATTCTTTCATCTTCTTTTTTTTCGTAGATTTTCTGAAAGAGGAAGCAAAATCGAACTGGTTTTATTTTCGTTTTCTGTTGCGCGCGCGTAAAAAAGGAAGAAGAAGAAGAAGACGAAAGATTTTTCGGGTGAATACTTGAAGCTGCTTGATTTGCAAAGAAGATGAGAAGGAAAAAGAAAATGTTTTTATTCTTGTATAAACTTCCGTATATTTATATTTTTCCTTGCTGGACGCGCCTTGTTTTTCTTGGTTTTTTTTCGTGTGTAGAATATTGTTGTTTTTGTTTGCTTTTTCGAATTGCGAAATAGTTTTTTTTCACATTTTTTGTTACTTTCTTCAACTTTAAAATATCAATAGAGATTTTAAATTCAGATTTTGAATCAGATTCTGAATTGGGCCAAGTAACACAGGTTTCCGAAAACCAGGATCGGACTATGTTTCATTTTTTGAAACAATTTTTAGTCGTCCTTGACCAATAATTTTTAAAGATAATCAAATTTTTTCGGAACTGTTTCTATGGATCGTAAAGTCATTATTCAAATTTTGAAATGAAAAGTTAGCCAATTTTTTTGAGAAAAATAAGAATGTGGCCACGTCAGATTAATTGGACCTAATGGTCATGGCGACTAATTCCGAGTAGTAAGTAGACCAAATTTTCTAGTCTCAATAAGATAAAGGTTAACCTTTTGAGACTTACTGAAAAACGTTTCTAATATTTCGAATTTTAATTTGCTTCGAAATGTCATACTCAAGATGTCTAATTTTGTTATCCAATCTAATGAAATCTGTAAATATGATCTTCCGAACTTTCTAAGAATATTTTTTATCATTTTTTCGATATTTGCATACGTGTGAAAAAGTTTTTTTTTTTCTATCGCTGCTGCAAAAGATGTTATCCGAACCAAAGAAGATCCTAATCATTTCATCGGTTATTTCGATTATTGATCATCTTCATTCCCAAAAAAAGCTTGCTTTGTGGTTTTTTATCTTTTCGTTTATTTGATTGAGATAAAAAGATATCCGACCCAAATTCGGCTCAATCGATTCATCGAAGATAAAGAATAACTATCCATCTAAAAGTATTACATATTCTTGATGAGCGAAAAGAGAGATTAGAGTGTATTAGATTTGAAGAGAGCGCAGACAGATATATCCTTGACCCTGAAGAAAAAGGAATGTCCACCTTTTTAGTTGTGGTCAAATCCACAGTTTTCTTTTTTTTTTCGATGTTTTTTATCGAAAGATTAATTTTATATGTTCTTTAAATCCTGATATTTTCTTTGCTCAAAGTTTTCCAAATCTTTTCCATCTCTTCTTTATCTGTTATATTTCTGTTTTGATCTGGCTTATCATAGTAAACGTGGCTTTAGTCGAGAGAAACCGGTATTTTCTCCGAACTGCAAAAAGAAGAACCCTTCGACACAACACATACTCTTCCCTTTTGATAACCCAAAATCATTCTCATAAATATTATTATCTTATAGAATGCTTCTTCGATTGGTTTTCCTTGTTGGATTTGTTGCGGCAGCGGCGACAAGATCGTCGAAATTGGTATTTTTGAATGAGGAAAATTGGACAGATATTATGAAAGGGGAATGGATGATTGAATTGTGAGTTGATTTTGTTTTTGATAAAAGGAAAGCTCAGGAGAGATGGATGAAGATCACAACATTTCAACAATCGTATCTGATCTTTGACAAGAGTACAAAAATGGCAGGCCACTTTGATTTTGGAGAACACTTTTCGGCCGTGTAGATTTTATAATTCAAAAAAATGCTGATTTTCTAAAGCATGATTCCGATCTACAACTTCAGAAATTCAAAATAATAAAATTACACAAAAAGGTTACAGTAAAACTTCAAACTTCCAAAGTCCGGAATCTAAAGTAATTCAAATGAAGGTCCGGCAAGTAACTAGACACATGTGGAACTTTTTTCTTCGGATTTTTGAAAGGAAAAAAAAGTCCACCTAGGTATTTTTACGTTATTTTCGGCAACTCTAAATTCTAAAAATCGAAGCTTTTTCCCCCAACTTTCTCAAACCCCTTTTTCTGATTGAATTCAATGAGATCAATTAAGTAAATTGTCAAAAGAAATTATTTCATCCGGTCATCAGATGTTTTCTTTCGGTTTTTTCCACAATAACAAAAAGTATACACATCCCCAGCTAATACAATAAGTACATCGGAATTCTTCACATTTTTGATGAATGTACTTTTTCTAACGAAAATAAATGAATACATCTTTTTTTTTCAGCCACGCACCTTGGTGCCCAGCATGTAAAGATTTGCAAAAATCATGGAACTCATTTGCTGACTGGTCTGATGATTTGGGAATCAAAGTTGGAGAAGTTGATGTGACTGTTAATCCAGGACTTTCTGGAAGATTCTTGGTTACCGCTTTGCCAACAATTTATCAGTAAGTTTTCATGAAATTTCGGAAAATCAAAAATTGAAAATGGAACATTTTCAGCGTGAAAGATGGTGTTTTCCGTCAATACAGCGGTGCTCGTGATAAGAATGACTTCATTTCATTCGTCGAAGACAAGAAATACCGTGTTATCGATCCAGTTCCAGACTACAAACATCCAAACTCCAAACAAATGGCTGTTGTCGCCGTTTTCTTCAAACTTTCAATGGCTGTTCGTGATTTCCACAATCACTTGGTTGAAGAAAAAGGTGTCCCATCATGGGCAAGTTATGGTCTTTTTGCTGGTGTTACTTTGGCTCTTGGATGTGTTTTGGGATTCTTTATTGTAATTATTATTGACCAAGTATTCCCAACTGGACCTAAAAAGGGACAACAACAGAAACAAACAGCAGCAAAGAAGACTGAAAATAAGAAAAGTGGTTAGTTTTTAGAGGAATACGATATTACTTCCTCAATATGGCCTAGAAAACCAATTATATTTTATTTCAGAATCACCAGATGCCAAGAAAAATGGAAATAACAACAACGCCAAGGAAAACAAAAAACAGAAATAAATTCCATTTCTAGCCTACCGATTTCATTTTTTATCATGTTTAAGTCACTTGTTCCTATGGGTTCTTTTTTATTTTTTACGCCTTCATCTAACAATTTTTTCGTCGACTTTTGCCTAATTAAAATGTGCCCAGAAAAAGAGTATTGATCTGCGCTTCTTTGTCGACAGCGCCAGGCACAAGCCCCGCCCACTTCTTCTGGTTTTGTTTTTTATGATAGCATACCCAAAAGCCTCTCACTCTTTTTTTTTATTTTTTGCTCTAAAAAAGCGTTGTTTATTTATTTTTTTATTTATATGTAATAAATTTTCTGAAAATAGAATTTGACTTCAGGTGAAAATGACTACTTGGACTCCTTTGGAATCAAACCCAAATGTTATCAATCCGGTAGGAGCTATTGAATTTTTTGGAAAAGTTAATTTTTGGGATTTTAGATGATTCAAAAAATCGGAGTCAGCGGATTAAAAGCCGTCGATGTTTTGTTTTTCGACGATGAAACTATCGAAAAACCACAATTTGCAGTTTTGCTCTGCTTCCCAGAATATAAGAAAGTTGATGAAATAATGAAGCCGATTTACGAATCAGCAAAACCTGCGAATGATTCAATCTTTTTCATGAAACAGGTAAGACCAATCACTTTTTTCCCACAAAAAAGGGTTTTTAGAAAATCGCGAATGCTTGCGGCACTTTTGCCTTGTTCCATGCTTTGGCGAATTCGGAAGATCAAATCAATATTGGTGAGTTTTGAATAGGCAAAGTTGAAAAAAAAATCGACAAAATTTTAAAAATTATAAAACCAATTAAACGCGCTCCAGCGCACATCTTTTTCGTGTAGTTCTCTCGGAGAAGGTGATATGAAAAAATCAAAAAATTTATTTCTGAAACAAGTTGCGTTTCCTAGGTGATGGCACTTTCGGAAAATGGTTGAAGGAAGCGAAAAATGTTGGAGTTGAAGAGCGCTCTGGATTACTTGAAGCAGGTAATTGATTTTTATCAAAAACATTTGAGATAATCCTCTTTGATATTTAGACAAACATTTGTCTGAAATCCATGCGAGTGCTGCTCAAAGCGGACAATCTACTCAAGTCGATGATGTAAATCATCATTTCATTTGCTTTGTTGCAAAAAATGGCGTTTTGTTCGAGATTGATTCGCGTCGCGGATTCGCCAGAGAAGTTGGCCCAACAAGCGACGAAACTCTTGTAAAAGATTCTGGCGAAGCTTGCAAACATCTCATTGAAAAGCTCAACAATGTTAGCTTTTCAGCAATTGCATTGGTGAAAAATTAAATTTACATATCGAACATTGCTTCTTTTTACCCGAACATAATAAATTATTTCTGCTTTCGAAATCCGGAGAAATTAGAATTTGAAATGAAATGTGTCCTTTATTTTCACATCTATCTTTGTGTTCTATTCTTTTCTTTTCTTTCATTCTTTTATCAATTAAATTGTTTCTGTCAGAAAAAATGTCAGCTCGTGAAGGCGGTGGTGGATGGCAAGCTCTCGAATCAAACCCCGAAACAATCAATCCATTTCTCAAGAAAATTGGAATCGGAGGAGTTGAATGTGTTGATGTATTTTCATTCGACGATGAAATGCTTGAATTCATCCCAAAACCTCAACTTGCAATGATTCTTTGTTTTCCAAGTAGCGAAGCTCGTGAATTTCTTCAAACTCAATACGATGAAGTTGAGAAAAACGGGCAAAAACCTGCAGATGTTTTCTTTATGAATCAAAGTGCTGACATTGGAAATGCTTGCGGAACATTTGCTTTATTCCATTCGTTAGCAAATCTCGAAAATCGAATCAATATCGGCGATGGAAAATTCAAAAATTGGTTTGAAAAAGCAAAATTGGTAGGAGAAGATGAACGATCTGATTTGTTATCCGAAGATACTGAATTGGCTGAAGCACACGAAGAAACTGCTGAAGAAGGAGAAACTGAACAACCAGATAATGTTGAATATCATTTTATCACCTATGTGAATAAAGATGGAAAATTATATGAAATTGGTGAGTTATTTTTTATTTAAAAAAAAACTCCCCCAAAGTTTTCAAAACATTTTCTAGTAGTTCAAAAATATTTTTCTCTCACTTTTTTGAATTTTGTGAAAAATAAATATATTCTCCATGTCAGATTCATGTGCTCCATTCCCACGTCCACTCGGAAACACAACTGATGAAACTTTGGTCAAAGATGCTTCAGTTGCTGTGAAACAACTTATGGATAATGTTCAACAACTTAGCTTTTCGGCAATGGCTCTTGTTGGAAAACAAGAATAATCAACCCTTCTTCATCGTTTCCCTGTTTCCATCCAATTCCCATTCTATTGCCACGTTGAGAATATATTTGTAGAACGAAAACCGGTATGTTTTTGTTTTTATTTATTTATTTTTCCATTGTTTCTGTTTTCTTTTTTTTTTCATAAAATTGAAAATTGACGAATGTAAGTATTACGTATTACAACATGAATGAATGATGGAAAAATTCATCGGACACACAAAACTAATCAAAAACTACAGTAGACTAACATAAATCCTTGTTTTAAAAATAGCAGTGCGATTGTTCTAAAAATAGTTATATCTTTTTTGACTGTTGAGGAGGAGAAAGTCTAAAAGATGTTTGAAAACTTTTTTTTCGTCAAGTTCGAACCTTATCAATCAAAGGTATGTATTTCTCTTCCCTCATATCAATTTCAATGATTTTCTTTTTTTGAAAATGGAAGTGATACTAGCCACCTCCGCGCCTTTTTTTTCTGTCAAGTTTGTATGTTTTTAGGCGCCGAATAGGTTGGCGCCTTGATTGATAATTTTTTTGATTCGGAGGGAGGTGGATAAATGAATGAATGAAAAACATAATATCTAATGTTTTTAGTCCTTGATCTAATGATGAGAAGTGGTCAAAACTAGGAAACTTTTTGATGGTGAACTTTGGGTGAATGAAAAAATATATAAAATTCCCGTATTAATGCAGAACTTTTTTTTTAAATTTCACAAAAGCGTTTTTCAAATATCGGTTGAAAAATCATTAGTTTTAACTAATTTTGTTGTATAAATAAATCTATGGGAAAATTTAAAGCTCAAAAAACCATCCTTGGAACTAAATTTTCTTACATTGAAGAAAACGCTGGATGAAAAATTCAGATTTCGAAACTTGGCTAAAAAGATTTCATAACTTCGAAAGTTCAGAAGAATCTTTTTGGGAGATCTGACCTCACAGAATTTTTCCAGGATGAAAAATTAACAATTATCATCCTTATTTTTTTGTTGAAAAATTGTTTAAAACATCTTATTGAGAATTTCATTCTGATCTAATTCTAACTTTATCATCAGGCATGTTTATGTAATTTTTCACAAAATTGTCTACATTTTTGCATATCCAGTTCCTTCCCTCGTTTTTTCTTATCACACGGCATTTTGATCATATGATTCGTTGATTTATGACGATTTAAAAAAAAAAACAAAAAAGTTCAAACTATCACTAAACTCCGCCCATTTTTGCCTGGGGGTGGGTTTCAAAATCAAGAAGATAAAATAATTTCCTTTTTAATTTTCAACTTTATTTCACTTTGATTTATTTGAAAAATAAAACAAAAATGCGACGTGGTTCTCTGACAAGTATGCTAAGCGAGTTTGTTGGATTTCAACGAACTCCAGATTTTCGATTGAGTTGGACAAGTAATTTGGAATTGAATGAAGCTGTGAAAGTCGAGAAACGAACATTCAAGGTAACTAATTTTTCAAAAAATTTGGAGACTAAATTTATTTTCTTTGCAGGAAGCAACTCCGCCGAATCCAAAACCAAGACAACGTTATTTGTCAGAAGGTGATATTCGAGTTTGCTCGCATCCAAATGGAGAAGTTTCTCAAAATCCAAGAGAATTCAAAAGAGCTTTGAGTGAAAAACCACAAGTGGTTAGTTTTTTTTTCAATAGATTAATTGATTATGAAAATACATAGACTTTTCAGGTTCGTGTATCTTCAAATACTTGTGGTGGAGATGTCAAAGTGATAATGAGAGTCAATAAAAATCAAGAAAAGAAACGAGATCGACCAACAAGTTTGATTGAAAGAATTCGAAGGAAGATAAGTTATACAAAAACTGGAGCAATTTATGAATCTGATGAAGAGAAAGAAGAAATCCCAACACAATGCAATTTTCCACGAAGAAGAGATTCGACAAGATCTGAGAAGTTATTTATTCCAATCACTGAAATACATCCATCAGCTGTTCCTATTCGAATTGTTCAGGTCTCAAATTGATTTTTTTTCATTTTCATTCGATTTTATTGTTTATTTTTTTTCTACTTTTGATTAGATGTTAGATTATGTACATTTTTGTTTTTGTATATACCTGATCTCTTTTGGTGCCATTCTTCCTAATAAACTTGATTTTTTAAAAACAATTTTTGTTTGAAGATTTGAGTAGAAATATAAGCATAGGAGGTTTGAAAACCTAATATTTTATGATGAATTTCTGTCATGTTTCTAAAATTGTGAGATTGACTCGAGCTAGTAAAAACATGTTCTGAATCAAGAATTTCGGCATTTAAGCCGCCGAGGCCCAATTTTTTATAAACAATTCTGAAATCAGTCCTCTTTTTGAAAAATTCCCAATGTTAACCTTGAAATTTGGTCCCTTTCCAAAATCGACACAATTTTTGAGAGAATTAACTCGAAAAATCATACCGTATTATTGAATTTGTTTACCCTGTTTTGAGAATTTTCGCTGAACTACAGTACCCAACCTCATTTCACAAAAAAATATTGGAATGTACATTATTCCCAAGTTTAAAATCCTATTCCTTATTTTTTTCAATCTTCAACCTGATCTATTTTCCTTCTTCCTTGTCCCCAAAACAGACCCATAATTATCTATGAAATATAAACAAATAAAAAACCTTTGTCTTGATTTTCAGACTCTTCTCTTTGATGAAAGTGGCGATTGTAACAGGTTAGTTGTTCTGTTTTCGAATTCACTCTTTGATCGTACTTGATCTAATCAAAATGAATGAAGAACGGATGTACTTGATGAAAAGAAATTGAGAGAATAATTGCAAAGTTTGATAGGATAAGATAGCTGCTAGGTTTTGAATTCACACCGAATAGTCTGGAGGTCAGATTTTTATGGGATGTCATTAAATAAGATCAGCACTATTTAATCTAGTTTCAAAGTATCAATTTCCTTTCTGACGATAAAATTCCAAAATTTTACAGTCAGTGATTCTTGCGTTGCTGGAACTCGTATTGATCAAAGTGGTCCGCAACTTCAAAATCTCGTGACATCTTCGACAAAGTGAGTTTTATTTTGGAGAAAATGAGTGAATCACTCATGTTTTGATCACGTGAAACTTTAGAAAAAGTTTGTTATGTTTTTATTTTATTTCGCCGATTGATAAGATCAGTCTCAGCCTGATTGATTGATTGATTTGTTGATTTTTCAACGCATATCTTCTACAGATTTCAAATCGAAAATGCTGTTGAGATCAGTTTAGTTATTGATGATGTCGATGAAATTACAAAGGTTCTTCGAAAATTGAAAAATTCGGGAATGGATGTGATCATAACAACTGGTGGAACTGGATTTGCGAAAAGAGATGTGACTCCAGAAGCAACTTTGAATGTGATTAATCGAAGATGTTCTGGTCTTGAAATTGCAATTCATACACATTCCCTTAAATCTACACCAATGGCAGCACTTTCAAGATCAATTTGTGGAATTGCTGATGAAACTTTAATTATAAATCTACCGGGAAGTGTGAAAGCTGTCAAAGAATGTTGGGAAGTCATTGAACCAGTTTTGAAGCATGCTGTTGATTTGTTGAAAGATTCAGACGATGGAAATATTCACAAAAGTCTAACTAACAAATAATTTGTTTGGAAAAGTTATACATAAAAGATTGAGATTAGTTCAAACCCCTTGAATGCCCATTGATAAACCCACCTCGCTAACGATCGCATTTGTCTCGAGTTTTCGCCAAGTTCTTCTCGTATAGCATTACAAAAGGAAAAAATCATTTTCTATATAGATTAGAAAACAGAAATGACATAAAACAGAAATCTCGTGGCTTTCAGATTTATTCCATAATTTAGTACACGTTGACATTCTTATTTTTTATTGTGAAGTTAGTTCACGTTCATTTTTTTTAAAGAATATTCTCTCTAATGATTTTGAAAAAAATCAAAACATTGGGATAATTGAAAAAAATCTTTATAAAAGTGCAGCTATAATTAATTCGGAAAAATTATACATAAAAATTAAATAATATTTAACTGATTACAAATCATTAACAAATTCAAACACCGATTCTGCAAGTGGTTTCGGTGCTTCGAAAGCCGCAAAATGTCCCATATCAATTTCCTTGTAATGTGTGATATTATAGAGTTGTCTTGATATTTCAACTGGTGTACGATCGTAGATTTCTTTAAGTCCGCTGGCATGTGCAGTTGGAATTGGAACGTATTGTCTGGAATTGAAATAATTTCAGTGATAGAGTAGGAATTTCAAAATATTCAACTTCACGATAAAAAAAAAATAATTTCTAGAGTTTCGTTTGGAATTAACCAATAGTTTTCCAAAAATATCAATTTTTCAACATTGAAAATCTACAGTAAGAGCACTATATTTCATTACTGTAGAGCTTGTTAGAATAATTTCAAATTTCGAAAATATTCAACTACCATAACCCTATTAAAAACCTACTTCAAAAGTGCTTCGGCAGTTTTATCCAAGAAAAATTCACGATAGAATCTTTGCGACGAGACAATATTTCCATTAACCCAATAAATCATTACAATCGTCAATAATTCATCATTTGTGAATTTTTTGTTCAATCCACCATCTTGAAGTGCACGATATTCATAAGATGTCCAAGTTGAGAACTTTTCGATTATATAAGCAGCGAGGCCAATTGGAGAATCATTCAAACTTGTGCCTAGAAAAATGAATAAAATTTCAGTAGATTAGGTTTTTTTTTTCAATTTACTAACCAACAGTGTCTGGTTTGGTTGCTTGAATATGCATATATCCAGTTTCGAGGAGCAAAGTTTTGGCTTTTAAAATAAAACTATAGTCTTTCGAAAGATTTGGTGATGATAGAATCTAAAAATAAAACAAATTCAATATTCAGGCTCCAAAACTACAGTACCTGTGGGAATACCGTCGAAGCAAATTCGTATACAGTTGCCAAAAAGCTTGTTCCTGGTTGAATTGCTAACATATTCAAATGAAGAGCAATCACACTGCAAAAATTAATGAAAATTAAATTTTATTCTAATAGAATCACTCACTTATCTGGCCAAGCTCTAGCTAATAATGAAGTGATAACAGATCCCCAATCACCTCCTTGAAGATAGAATTTTCCGAAACCTAAACGAAGCATAAGTTTACGGAAAACTCTAGCGCATGCCAATTGAGAAAATCCAGTCTTCTTTGGTTGATCTGACCATCCATATCCTGGAATTGAAGGAGCGACAACTTCGAATGCAAAATCAGAAGAAATTCCAAATTTCTTTGGATCTGTCAACATTGGAATGAATTTATAGAATTCGAAAACATTTCCTGGCCATCCATGAGCAATCAAAAGTGGTTTCACAGTTTTATATTTTCCTTGTGGTGGTTTAACTCTCAAGAAATGAATATTGAGTCCTTCGATTTCAGTAATAAATTGTGGAAACTCGTTAAGAATTGCTTCATATTTTCTCCAATCATATTTTGTTTGCCAATAATCTCGAAGTTTCTAAAAAACTTTTTTTGTAAAAAAAAAGAGTTCAAAGAAAAATAGAACTTACGAGCAAATGTTTTGAGTTGAAACCATAATAAAAGTCATCTGAATCTTCAAGAGAATTGTGTGAAATTCGAGAATTTTTGAGGCGAAGTTTGAGATCATCAATAATTTGTTGATCAATGTTGACTTTGAATGGCTTGATGATTGTGTTGTCTTTTTTAACCGGACCACTTCCAAAATATCCAGTTTGTGGAACATCAATCTAAGAAAAATTGATTATTTATTTGAAAAAAATTGTTTTTTTCCCGAAAAGTTCTCAAAAATTTAGTTTTAGAATTATTAGAAAAATGTATTCAACATTTGATCTCTTGAAACCAATCTGTTTGAAACTATTTTACATAAAAAATAGGTTCAGTTGAACTTTAGAGAAACATTATTTCCGAAAAAAATTGCAAATATCTAGTATTTGTGTCAGAATCTACAGTAATCTTCAAGCGCCAAAAAATTGTCCAAAAATCAAATCGTCAAATTTTCAGTTTTTCTAAAATAAAGAAAAGTTCCGATATTTTCTCACGGAAATTTTCTCAATCGATTTTTCAAAAAACTTCAATTTTCATGAAAACTCACATTTGTTGGATTTAGTGTTGAATACAAATGAAATCCACCAATTGCAACCAAAGTCGGTAGAAATAAATGTTTGAAAAAGCCCATGTTTTCTTTCTGAAAAGTAAATGTGTTTTGAAGAAATATCTTTTATTTATACCAAAAAAATGCAAAATAAATTGATAAGAAGGGTACAAACGGTCACATAGACTACACTAATTTTGTTGATCAGAAAAAATGAACTGAATGTGGTTTGTAGTCTGGCAACTCTTTAAAAAAAGAATGGCTAGAGTTTTTTGTTTACAACAAAAAATGTGAAAAAGTAAACAACTGGTGAGAGGTCAGAGAAAAAAGGAAACATTCAAAAAAAAAAGAAACAGAAACATTTATTTGATGGTCAAATGAACATTTTTTGGAATCTTATGCAATTTTTTGTGTTTTTCGAACAATTCAATTAATTTTTCACAGTATTTCGAATGAAGTTGATCAATTTGTTCTTGGGATGGATTATTGCATTGAGTTACCCTGAAAATGAATTCCGAATGTTTGATTACTCTAATTGTAAAGAAAATTACCTTATAGCTTTTCCTACTACTGTTGTAATTGGTTTTGCTTTTGGAACAATACTCAAAAAATATAATCCGAAAATTGGAACTCCTCGATAAATTGGTGCACTAAAACCAATCAAATCAATCATTTTCATTTGCCAATATCTAATCCATGAATCTTCTCTTGTTTCATATTTTTCATAAACTTCATTTTCTCCAAAATTATAAACTGGCACTAAATCTGCGCCAAATTCCAAAGCATATTTACAAAATCCTTTTCGATTTTTCAAAATTAAAGTGTATGCTGGTTCTAATGATTCTTCGGCTCCACCAATTACAATACAACATGCAGTTGATGTTTTGGATAATAAATATTTTAATGATTTTTTAGTTGAATCTACAACATTGAAAGATGCCACTAAATCTCGTCGAATTGGAAAATAAAATTGTGAACTTAGGGTCATTACAAAAGGTCGAATCCCTGGAAATAGTTTATCGAATCCTGTGGCATTTGTTGCAAAATTAGTGAAGACTCCAATAGATAATAAATCATGTGGATGACAACCAAAAATATATTTACGATTTGTTGGAAGTTTGCAAGTTTTCACCAAATTAACTGGAAAATAGGAGGCGAAACCTTTGAAGAACTCATTTTCAGTTATAAGTTTCTGAAAAATGTAGCAGTTTTTCAAAAAACTTATCAAGTCTCAATTACCTTTGGCCTTGCACCTCTTTTTTCAATTTCAAAATCTAACCAAAACCATGCAAGATACAGTAATCCGGCAGGCCAAAAATCTGAGAAAAACAAGATCCAAAGACTGAATCCAATACTCAAAAATGGTCCTAAAATCCAAATAACAGCAAAAACTGTGGCACAAAATATTGGAAAGGGTTTAGAGATCATTTTCATTCTTTTGTTGTCTATTTAGAATCAGACTTCGAATTGAATTAGTTTATTTTTTATACGTGGGAATTAATTTGCATTCCAATTAGTGAAAAATAAAAAAGAAACAAAAAAAACATGTGAAAATCACGAAGATTAAAAATTACATATAGGCATTATAATTTGGTGGTGGTGGAGCAAAAGATGGTTGGAAACCAGATGGTCCAGTTCCATAAGTGGCTGTGTATCCACCGTAAGATGCACCGTGTCCAATTGGTTGACCTTGCCATGGGGTACGGAAATGGAAACCTTCGAAGTGAACTTTGTCAACATGAACATCTCCTTTAAGTCCGATTGCTTGAACTGATTGGAATGGATAACGATGTGGGAAATCAGCCAAATGATGGTTGTTTACAGAAATCTAAAAAATTTGGATTAATTGCGCGGAAAAATTTTCACGATTTCAACTTTTACAGTTTTTTTTTTCTTAGAAATTCGAAGACTATTCAAGACTCTCAACTTTTAAGTTTAAAAACACGAAAAAAATTCAGAAATTCTAAAAAAAATACTCCAACTTGTAGATCCCGAAATTTCTGTAAGTCTCCGGTTTTCTTATCAAGTTCCTGATTCTTGACAAAAATTCCAATCAATATTATTCGCTAACAAAAAAAAAGTTTTAAAAAAAACTAACGTGATAATAACCATGATGAACTTTGATATGCAAATGGAAATGTTCGGAATGATGCAACGGATTTCTGTGTCTAATTTCAGGTCCCCACATATTTCCGAATTCCGAATTCATAACAACAACATGTTCATGATGGAATCGGAAATTGACGTGAAGAACAATGTTTGGTCCGGACAAAAGTTCGACGGCAAAATTTTTGTGATGTCCGTGTTTGACGTGTCCGTGGACTGAGATTGTGACACCATCTTGAAGTGGTTCGTAAATGGCCAAAGCAGTTGGGACACTCTGCAAAATATTTATTCAATGATTTTGACTATTTCAGAAATATTCTGCATTCGACTATTTTTTCGAATTTTGAAGTTACAGAATCCTGGTCCAATTCAAAACTCAAACCAGAAGAAAAATAAACTCACTGGGTGATGATAATCGTGCATGTTTCGAGAAGGCAAAAACCGAATGATTTTTTCGAAATGTTTGCTCTCCTTTTATTGCTCTTTCAAACTCTTATCACATACGATAAGCCCTGACATCATGGAAAAAAAAAGAAATTTTCATTTTTCGTAGTGAGTCACCAGAAATAGCACAAGAAGACGTAAATACAAGAATAGCTTAGTTGGTTAGTTTTTTTTCAAAAAAATGTTGGTTAGTCAAAAAGTGCAGAAAGTGAGTGGAATGCTTCTTTGAGACGATTTGCAAAACGGGTCGAATCGGTTTTGTCAGATGAATGATAACTTGAAATATTGGCAAGGATTGAATGATTTCCACCAAAACGATAACAAACACCTGCAAAAAATTCATTTTGGTAATTTTTGTTGGAAAATTCTTATTTGATTTGAGTTTGGTTCGATAATCCAAACGGTCTAAAACCTATTTTTTCAAATAATTTTAGTTTCACATAACAATTTTATGAAACTTCCAATAGAAATAATAGAATTTTTTAGATAATGAATGCCAGAAAAATTTCAGGATTTTGTTTTAATTTTGAATTAACCAAGAAATGAGTTTCTTAATTTGTTTTCAAATTTTGTCGAAATTTGCATTGATATTGTACTCACACCCGATTAAAATCTGATTCAAAAGCATTTTTCTCCTGATTTCTCATAACTCCACAATGATCGAAAAAAAGGATTTCTGATTTTTGTTTCGATTTGTCATCGTTTTTCTTTGTGTTGCGCACATTTTCTTATCATAAAAATTGTTTGTGATAAAATTATTTGATCAATGCATATCAAATAGGCAACGTTTTAGGTACTGTTTAACAAGACATTTTTAAACCGATCAAACTTAAAAGAGCTCAATTTTTGTATTAGATCAGAAATCAAAAAATCACTCACCATATCCATCAGCTGCAACAGCTCCAAAACATGCTCCAAGCCAAGTCATATTTTTGTCTGTATCCTCATCGTTTTGACCAGTCACGTTTGGAACCTAAAATCACTCTGATTCACTGAAATTTTTTTGAATATTCAATGAAAACTAACATGTGAGGTGGAAAGTATCCATTTCTGGCTTCCATACGTGTCAAGGAATGGACTTGAAATTCCAATAGCTTTCGATAAAACATAAAGAACAAATAAGTGTCGATCAATTCCTTTTCCAACCATGCAAGCCTTCAAAATTTGATTTTATACATTTTTGAAAGTAAAAATATTTGGTTACCTTATTTCGTTGAACATGAGTTTCACAGGCACGGCGGAGAAGTTCGATTTTCTTCTCTTTCTGGAAAGTTATTTGAAAATGTAATGTCGTTGATTTTTTCAAAAAAAACATACGGATTCGTTTTCATTAACCATTGCAATAACAAATTCACAAGAATGATCATTAACAGTTCTCAAAGTTTCAGTTCTCGAATTCGCATAAAATCGACTCGAAGCTGGTTCATAAGTCAACACAAATTTTCCTTGATCCAAGTACGCGGCTAATTGAATTGCCATTTGAACAAAACCATCCGGACTAACTCCACACTTCTTTATTCTTCCTTTTCCAAAATCACGGAATAAAACTGGATACATATCTACATCATTTTTAGCTTCTTGATGTAAATTGTAACATCTTTCAATTTCAGCCAACATTTCTTCATCGGCTATTTTTATTTTCAATTCATCAGCAAATTTGAGAGATTTTCTATCAGAATCACTAATGATTTCCATCTTTTTCTGTTCTTCAATAGTTGGATAACCAATTACATCATAATCCGTATATACATAATTTTCGAAAATATGATCAAACTCAGCTCCATCAGCAATTGAATGTTCAGTAGTACCACCAGCCTGAAATAAAAATTTTAATAAAAATTTTAGATGTAGAATTGTCGGTATAAACCGAATTAGTTTCATTCTGAAACTTTTAGAGTTTTACCATAACAAAAATGTAGATAACATACTCGTGAATTTTTGGAAACAGTATAATTGAGTGATTTGTCGACCCATCGATTTGTTCCATCACCGGCCAACATATTTGTCAAGAAATGTCCCATTGTTTCAGGTTTTTCCTATAAAAATGCAAAATCATAATATTTTTGAACTTAGAATTATTCTTAAAACTAACCCAATCGTTGAAATATTCGGTTTCATCCAATGATAAAAATACAATAGCGGATTCAATTTCATTCAAAATTTTTGAATTTTCAGCATTCTTTAAGAAAAATCTTTCTCTATTTTTCTGCCAGCCATCTCGTCGATCATGTGTCAATGCAGCAACTTTTCCAATCATTCCATTTTCCCAATTATTTCTTTCCAATAATTCAGTGAATATTTTTGTTAGTTGTTCAATATTGAACATATTGTTTTTCTCATCACAAACAGATAATTTATATAATTTTCCACGAAGTTGAACAACAATATGTTTTGATATTCCATAATTAACCAAAGTATCAACAGTTTCACCAGGTACACGTGTTCCAGCATACATTTTTTGATAATGTCGAGTACAAACAACACCATCTCCTAATGGTTTATATTGTTGTCTATCACAAGCAAGATGTGACATAACTTCAACATAAATAACTCGTGCAGCTCGATGTGCTCGCGTTGCATCACAATTTTTGAATAAATCACAATGTGCAACACTGCTATTAATTAAAAGAGGATAACGACCATAAAGATAAGCATATTTTTCCCAAAATGGTGTCACATAATTATCAGCAAAAAGTGAATATGCGACTGCGTATCTTTGCAATCTTTTTCCTTCGTTTTTCTTGAAATTTTCAGCTTGTTCCCAGACAATTTTAAATTCCTCATCAGTCAAAATATGCTTCATTGATGAAAGATATTCAGTAATTGAATGATCCAAAGATGGAACTGGCATATTTGGAAGAAGAGCATCGCATGATTCGAGAATTGGTTTTGAAAATGACAACAAATAACGGACAGTCTGAAACAATTTATTGCATAGTTTAATTTTAATTAATTTCTGCGCTAAACTACAAAATAATTCAGTATAAAGTGCAAAGATGCATTCCAAACTTCTTATCAGAAAATAACAAATCAAAAAATAACTTACACCCCAAATTTTTGTCGTCAAAGATGGTTTTTTTGGATTCTCGAACAAAAATCCTTTGTAAGAGAAGTAGAACCATTTGAGAAGTTTGCGCAAAATGAAAACAGGAATATATGTGAAAAATGAGACGATTGAAACTTTGGCAATGTGCTGGAAATAAATCAATTTATATTCATAGATTAGTGACTTCAAAAAAAAATTTACCTCGACAACTTTATTGCCGATTTCTGGTAAATATTGGAAAATATATTGGTCCGGATTTCTATATTGTATTCCAGCTGCAATTGCAATAGCTCCAGCAAATGGAAGAGGTCTGACAGGCCAGAGTAAATTATCAAACCAGTTCTGAAATAATTCGTTTTTTTTTCTGAATAGAACTCTGACCGAAAAAAACTCACATATGTTCTATAAACCCGGCGCTCGAAGTTGGTGGGAAATTTTTTGACGAGTGGATAAATTGGCGGCTTCCCTCCGGAGGACATCTGGAAACACAGAAAACGTGTTGTTTTCGATAAAATACACTAGAGAAAGTAACGAGAAGTTTATTTACAATAACAAAAAGAGACAAAGTGCAAATGATAAAATGAACGAACGAAGGAAAAACCGGAGAAAAAATGAAAGAAAAAGATAAAGGATGGGTGGCCTACTTTGCCTTTTACTTTTGGTTTTCTTTTTTTCTTATTTATATTTATCAAGGTCTGTGAGGAGAAGAACGAGGAAAACACGACACATTTTTGCTAACGGGAGGAGAAATGAAAATAAAGTTAGGAAAAGTCGCGACTACAATGTAGCCTACGCTTGGTGGAGTGAGAGGTTGGCTACACTTTAAAATGAACTTTTGTTCGTATTTTTTTCTAGAAAAGTCTTTTGGAACGAAAAGAAATCTTCGATTTTCTTTAAACTATAAACGTAAAACTTCGAAAAATATCAATATATCTCGGAAAAGGCTTCACAAATTCTAGATCCCTTCCTTCTGAAAAATTACGACTTGAAACATTTGACAAAAATGTTTTTAAACGAAAAAACAAAGCGAAATTTACCTTTGTTCTCAGCAATCCGCCCCGTAATTACATTGTAAATTGGAGTGAGTTGTGATTACACTGATGCTACAATGTAATTACAGAGTTCAATTTTGCAAAATTGTAATCACATTGTATTTCCACTCTCTTTACAATTTTGGGTGGAAACTGTAATTACATCGAACACATTTTGTAATTTCTTTGTAACGTGGGTCTCGTTGAGAAGACGCTCAAGCGACGCGCTGCTGTTCATTTCGAAACAATTTTCTTGTTTTTTTTCCAAGTTTTTCCCTATTTCAGTGATTTATGATCAATTTTCAGATCAAATTCGATTTATTGAGGGTCATGCAATCGATATACCATTGGAAAAGTGTAAGGGTGAGTGAACTATAACAGATTTTTGTGTTTTTTCTGATGAATCCTAATTTTTGAAATTTTAGATTCGCCGGAACTTGAATTTTGATCGAGTTGGATCAATCGCATATGCAATCACCAAGTGATCGATAAAACACTGGACACAATTATGGTTAGTGATTTAGTGATTCAAATTCTATTCAAACAAGAAAATATTTGTTTTCAGATTTCGCAGAACATCAAATATCAAATCTCGTTTGGAAATTGGAATTTCGCTCACGGAGACTAGTCCATGTTTGAAAGTAAGTTGTTTTTTGGGTAAAATTTCCATAAATGGGACTTTTCAAGTTAATTTTTCAACAGTGGGAAGGTGGAGAAACCCTATTCAGAAAGACTGACAAAATAGTATCGCTGTCCAAAAAATGCGTGTTCTCTAGGTTTATTCTACTTTCTCTCAATTTTGAGAAAATCGCGCATTATCCTTTGCTATTTTATACTTAAATTGAGACATTTCAGGTCACCAAAAATCTACAACAACATCTGCCAACCATTCGAACACTTCACCTCCCCAACAACAACAACAACAATATCCGATAATGAGCTAAAATCGTTATGAGGACGGTCAATTTGTCAAGGAAGATTAATTTTATATAAACTCTTTTTTTCTGATGAATAAATTATTGATTAATTCGAAACGTTTCGAAAATCATGGGAGAGGGAAGGGAAAACTGTAATCACATTGTAAGGTCCACGCTCGCGACACACACAAAACTGTAATTACATTGTAAAAGCGCTGCTCGCGAAAAACACGAAATTGTAATTACATTGATGAAGAACTGTGTTTACACTGGAACCCTAGTCTCGTTACAGAAACGCAACAATGTGATTACAGAAATCGTACAATGTAATTACGGGGCGGATTGCTGAGTTGTCCGCTTCTCGAAAAAAACTTGAGAAAAAAAATCGCTAAAAAAATAAAATGAACACAGTACCCCGCACTAAAGGCGCATCTAAATTTTGGCGACGAACAGATGTACACATCCAAAAATTCGCGCGAAATTTTTTTAAAAATATTTTTTAAAATTCATTTTGCAAATACTCAGAGATTCGCTGGCCAGCTCGCCACCAGGTGAGGAGGCTGGCTGACCTGGGAACCACATGGAAACCATGTCGCCCGGTTTTTTCGCTGGCAAGGTGGCCAGGCTCTGGCTAGGTCACGGCCACATGGCTACCATGTGGTGGCCACTTCGCCACGTCAAAATGAATTTTCCTAAAAATGTCTGAAAAACTTGTGAATTGAGGCATTTTCGAAAAATTTGGCTCATTTTCTGTTTTTTCGCAGCACTTGAAACCTTAGGAAGTGAAAAAAACAGTAGAAAATGCAGTGTTTTGAGTACAAACCACTGTCTTGCCAGCTTTCCAGAATTTCAAACACACAGGCCACGTCGCCGGAAAACTCGAGGCGACCTGGCGGCCATGCGGTTTCCAGGTGGCCGCAGCGATCTGGTGGCGAGCTGGCCAGCGAATCTCTGAGTAATTTGGTTTTTGCGAAATTTACGTCATTATTATTTCGTGCAATTGAAATTGCACAATTTGCTGAACATCGATCAATTTATTTTACTATCACTGGTTTAAGAAGGTAAGTTCGATTCATGTTTTACCAAAAAAAAAAAGACTTTTATAACCGGAAAGTCTATAAATTTTAGTACGATAATTTTTTTTTAAATTCTGACAAGTTTTATTTCTGAAAATCGTTTTCTATATTCGATTTTTACATCAAAACTCATGATATTCCATGTTTACAAGTTACAAAAATTTTGAAAAAATGAAAATTTCATTTCAAAATCATAAACAGACTTGCTCATCCAAGATATTGACTTTGTTCCATCTTGGTATCATACAACTTTCCATTATTTGTTGTTGTTGTATTGTAACGACTTGCATTTTTATTAGGAATTGGTGTTGGAGCTGTCGGAATAGACACAGATAGAGGTGGATAACATGCAGTTTTCTGAAAATACAATATTTTTTCATTCTTCTATCATTTTGTTCCACTGAAAACTAACCACTTCTCCCATTTTACTAGGATTTTCAGCAACAACAACATCTTTTGAATGAGCAGGTGTGATATTTTCTTTGGTTCCTATTGTTTCATCGGTTTTTTTATCATCAAGAATTACCATTTGTGTTGGTTGAACCTTTTCCTCTTTTTCTTCGTCTTCCGATTCATCCTTCTTTTCCTTATCTTTTTCATTCTCCTTTTCTTTCTCTTTTTCTTTATGAGCTTCTTTATTTTTCACTGGAGCACGAGTTTGTACAAACTGTGTTATATTCCAAGTTAGAAATTCAATTCGATCATCAAGATCGGAATCATCCCAGAATCCATTATCTTTACCATAATTCAAAAGAAGTTGAATAAGAGTCATATATTGAACATCAACTTGAACACTACCCAATCGACTATCTGCAAATTATTCATAATAATACTAGAACTTCAAAATAAATTATAGACTAACTTCTCAATGCTTTGATTGTTGCAATCAAATCAAGCTCTTTTTCATCAGTCAAAGTTTGTAGACAAGCTTCGATTGCCACAAATGTGCCAGTTCTTCCAATTCCAGCAGAACAATGGACACAAACAGGTCCAGTACTGCTTCGAACTATATAGAGCATTCGAAGAAGTGCCAAAAATGAATTTGGAACAAATTTATCTGGCCTGAAAAATATTTCAAATTCTGAAAGTTTTCAAAAAAGAAGAAAAAACTAACCATGATTTCGTGTGCAAATGTCTGAGTGTATGCTCTTCTCCTGATTTGTTTTTGACTGTCAAAACTGATTTGATAACATGTTCATCTTTATCTTCTGCATTTTTACAACTTATTGTAAATTCTCCAACAGTTACAGAATTACCAGGTTTATCCGGCCAATATTGATTACATTTTGGTTTTCCATCTTCCATAACTTCACATAACATAACAATATATGATGTTTTTGTATGAACAATCATTCTCCAAAAATCAACAACAGTTCGATCCAAAGGGCCTTGTGTTAAAATAAATGGAGAATTCAAACCATTTACCCAATTTGCATGTATATAATCACCTAAACTATCCTCTTTTCCATCATTTATTGCAACTCTTGTTATATCATTACAAATTACATCTTTATATCGATTCTTTGTTGAATGTGCATCAAATATTTCTCGTTTCATTGGTTGTCCAACGTATGGTTTTACTTTTGTCATGAAATCGATTGATAATTCCATTGGTCCACGTTTCACATTTTCTTGAGCGAATTTATGAAACACTGATTTTTGAAGATCTGTCATTTTTTCGCCTTTCAATGGAATTGTTCCATGTGGTTTTTGGAAAACAAAATGCACTTTTGTATCGCGTGTAGCTGTAGAAGAACGACGAATTATTCGAGCACTTGCTTTTGCTTTCTTCTTTTTCTTTTTTTGTGTACTTCCTTGTTCGGATTTGTCATTTGCAAGAACTGAAAATGGAAGCTTCTATGAAAAAGTTTTCAAGATAAATTGTATTCTGGATCATATGAGGTCAACTTACCAAATCCAAATCGTCTCAATACTCCTCCATTTTGCTGTTGCTGTTGTTGTTGTTGTTGCTTTTTATCCTTTTCTTTGGCAGCTTTTTCCTTATCTTTTTCATTTTTTCTCTTTTCGATTTGTTCCTTCATCGGTTGCTCCATTTGCACCTCTTCCCGCAATCGGTTTTCGTTTTTGCATTCTTTTTTTCTTCTTATTTATTTCAGATTTATTTTTGTTTCTATAGAAAATACACGCAATTCTCGTGTTTTCTTTTAGTACGCAAAGTTGAGAATTTTATTGAATTGAGCTTCTTCGAATCGAATTATTTGCAATTTTGTGATGATTTTGTGATTTTTCAATCACCGACCATACACTTGAATTGAATTATATAAAACTGATTTGTTTTGAGATTTCTAGTGAGATATTTTTATTTGATTTTAGGTCACGTTTTCTTTTCCATTTTTTATACATTTTGTCAGATGAAAAATCAAGATTTCATTTTTTCAACACATGTGTGTTGAAATATTATCCCTATAATTAAGTACCGCCTTAATTGAATGTTCCAAAAAATCTGTGTTTAGTTCACTTTATATCACTTCTGTCTTGTTAACAGCAAAAATGAATAATTCCGACGAAGAAGTGATAATTTATGATTCTACAGATTCATTAACTATTTCAGCTGCCATGCTAATTTTTGCTGTGAGTTTGATATTTCACAGAACTTCAGAGAAGTTATAAAACTAAATTTCTATAAAGTTCTCACTTATTCTTTTTTTTTTTACTTCACGGAACCTACTTGAGGTTATTTTTTATGCTTACGATTTAACAAAGCGATAGAATACTCATTGTTAATTTTACTTCCAAATTAAATCAAACATCGCAATAGACTTTTTTGACAAAATAAATATAATTGATAGTTTTTGAAAATACCTACCGTATACTTTTTGGTCTTATTGATATATGGAAACAAATAACATTATTTTATTATAGAACGGTGTTTTCGGTGTTGTTTGCAATTTTCTAGTATTAAACAATTTCCTTAAAAATCGGAAAGAAAGGAATTCTTTCAATTTGATATGCGTTTTCCGAGCCTATACAAATCTTCACGTTCTGATAACTTTATTCCTTGCAATATTTTTACCTATAACCCTAATTGGTACTTCTTTCTATAATCCAGCAATTGAATCATCTCTTATATCTTTTGGAATAACTCTTTATTTTGTTAATGAATATGGAGCTGTTGTTATTGCTCTCAACAGATTATTTGCATTATATTTTCCCTTATCTTATTCAAAAGTTTTCGGTTTGGTACCCACACTTTGCTATATTCTTCTCTTGAACTTCTACCGAATTTTTAGAATTATTCAAGAGTTGATTTATTACATTCGTAAGTTTGAACAGGAATTTCCCGTGAACCCTTTTTTCAGCTCTGAAATGTTTTCTATATTATGATGCCTCTCAACTTACTTGGTCTCCAACTTTGGAAGATCGATGTATTGATTATAATGATAATAGCCTTTTCTATCAATTTGGTGGAATTTTCATTGCAATTGCAATTTGCAATATTTGCTCTCTTTCGAAAATTTGTATTTTCTACACCACAGAAACGAAAGAATCAAGACAGAAAATTAAGAAAAATATCCAACTTTTTGTTCAAACTTGTTTCCAAGATTCACTTTTTCTGGTTGATATTTTATTTACTTTCAAGTTGGCGTAAGTCTGATTGTTTCTAGATTTCTAGATTTCTGATTTATTTTAAGTGCTCTCTCAACTTCTCGTTTTTGGACATTTTTTAGTGGAACAGTTATTTGGCAATGTCTTCACTCTCTTGATGGTTTCATAATGATGATGTTCAACGAAAAAATTCATTTTCGAAACAAAAAAACTATTGTTACTGTGGTTACTGTAACACGAACTTCATACAACAACGCCACAATTTGATAACTTATGTTAGAGGCAAAAAATAGAATAATTTTTGGGGTTATTACATTATTTTGAGACCAATAATAATTTTCGGTTCTTTTTGATTTGTCAGTTTTTAGATGATTCCACGTTTGCGTTGTTCATCGATTGAATAGCAGTAAAGTTCGCATTCCTGAAAATTGAGATTTGATAAAAACCACGAAAAAAGTTTACGAAATTTTTTACACACCTGTTTTGTTCTTGGTGATCTCCACAAATTGAAATCAAGTTCTGGACAATATGGGAAAATGTATGGTTCACATTGATCAGTATTTGTGAATCGATTAACTCGTCTGAACCATCGATGAACTTTTTGAGCTGGATCACGGCTATTCAAAGTAACATTTGGGCAACCATTAACAATCAAATCGTGCCAAAGAATGAATGGCATTGGATCGCAACCACGGGATGGAGAACCAATTGGGCACGCACACAACTGAAACTCATTTTTGGAATTAAATTCAAAAATCTGATGTTATTTGTTTGGAATTTGATTTTTTGAATCACACGTTCAGCGCGTTGTTCCACCGGTCTACAATTTACGTATTCAAAATATTTGTTCATCCTGGATTCTCAAGTACTTATTTATTCTGTTTTTTCGAAATTTCAATCGAAAAACACTTGAAAGTGGAACGAAAAAAGTACTGTAATTGTTATTACGATTTGGATTTTGCTTATTTATTATTACAAAATAGTTCACTGATAAAAAGTGCTAGTTTAGTGAAATCAGAAAGTGAAAAGTGTAAAGAAAAATTATCTAGATTCGATAGATTTTTTGAATGTTGAAAGGAATTTTGGAAAAAGGAGTTTTTGTCAGAAAACAAAATTTTTATATATCCTAAATGCACTATTAATTTTTTCCAAATGTGCCTTTGAAGTGACCGAATATTAGTGCAGATTCAGATTCTCCACTTCAAAACTTTACCAACCTGACATCCATTTCTTTCAGTAACAACAGCACAATCCAATCCAGTACATAACATGGGTGGACAGTTGTCAACAATCAATTTTCCCAAATCGGCAATTACAGATTGTTGCGATCCTTAAAAATTCAGATACCTTTTTAAAGAAATTGGAGAAAAATGGAAACTTACGTTGAGCGATAACATAAGCACATAAAACGGCTGAAATTACCGTTAGTATCGCGAGGATTTTCATCTGGAAATAAAGTATTTTAAGAATTGAAGTTGAAAAACAGAAAATGAAGCTCAAAAAATATATGTATCATAAAAAAAGGAGGCCTGAAATCCAAATACCATTTTTTGCAAGTACAGTAAAGTTTAGGTTAGGTTGGCTTCAGAAATTTGGGAATTTCTATCTACAGTAACACAAAAAATGCGACTTTCATAAACTTCAGAGGCTCTGAAAGACTGCAAGAAATCTGGATATCATTTACCATGGCGCTAATGAAAATTCAAATCTTCATGAAACAAAATCGAAATTTCCTCGTGCTTCAAGGACATCTTCATTTTCTAATTTTTCTAGATCTTATATCAGATCTAATTTCAAGATTACAACCCGAAACAAAATCGACGCGCAATATTTTCAACATCGCCAAAACGGAAATAAAATAATGATTTTTCCAAAATGCGAAAATAAAACGAGAAGTTTTGGTGGTGACCACAAAAAATGAATAAGAAGAAGAAGTCTCCAAATCAGGTTCGATAGCGGATATAAAATCGGGCAAAAAAATTGATGAGATAGTACAAGTTGTAAAAGAGACATAGACAAAGATTAGAAACAGAAACTTGTCTTCGTTTTTTTTTCTTTAACAAGAAGACATTATTATCATATATACCCAAGAAAAAAAGCGCGAAGATAAAAAAAAACACTTTTTTGCTGATTTTCGAGAAAAGGAATCAAAAATGAATAAAACTGCAAATTGAATAGGGAACGGAAAGAAAAAGAAAAATGAAACAAAAATTTTGGATTGAAAAATGGGCGGAGATTTCGAAAAAGCGAAAACAATACTTTTGTAAACGTGTTTTGCACTTTGATTTTACCAAAACGTGTCAACAAATATTTCTGAAGCGAACTTTGAATTCAAGAATAAATATCTGATTTTTTTTTGAAATTGTGAGTTTCAGTCGAACAAAGAATTTTGACAATAACAATTCAAATAAAAAATAGGATAAATAAAAATTAGGTTAAATTTCTATAAGGGCCTCAACTTTGAAGAAAAAATCTGATATTTGTTGAGAAAAATTTAGGTAGAATTTTGAATCTGACCTCAGAATTTAAGGCAAGTCGAATAAATTAGGATTTATATAATTTAGGACCGAATTCAGAGTATCTGAAACGGGCCCGTGAATTTGGTTAGCCTAATTCAAACCCTGGCTCGTGATTTTCCTAATCCTGAAAATAGGTCCGAAAAACTCAGATCAAGCTCTAATTTTCTAAAAAAAAAATGTCTGACCAGTCCAATTTATTCCAAAATCCAAACCGCTTTCACTTCTACAAAAAACGCCAAAACCAAACTTTGATTTTTCCCATTTTCTTTCCAAATTACTCAATCAAGCTAGGCTAAAAACGATTATCCCAATTATTCAGCAACCAAGCAGCCAGTCAGAAAAAAAAACAAAACTTTCGCCTTTTTTGTAGAATATAAATCTAGTTTCACTTGACCCATAAATACAAACATTCATTAAATTACAAAAATACACCAAAAATTTCATCACAAGTCCTAGGAAAAAATAATAATAAGCAGAAAACGAAGAACATCACAATTCACAATCTACAGTAACCAGTCGAAATAAATTATTTTGCAATTTTTGAAACACGAGAAAAAACACGGAGGCTAAAAAGGGGATGGGAATGAGCTGGATGGCTGGATTGGGCAAAAAATTGAGGCTTATGACATTTTCTTGTAGAATAAAATATATGCAGCGCGATTCTGCAAGAAAATAATTGTTGATGAAAAACATCAGAAAAAAACTCACATCAATTTGCGAAACATCAGTTGATGAAACACTTTCATCATCAAATTTCAGCCATTTATCACTTTTTAAATGTGAAGCCATTGCTGTATAATGTCCAGAATTCAATCGTCCACTATGATTCTGCAAGGAAAAATATTTTATGATTCCAATATTTGCCTGGAATTTTTTACAATACTTACCGTAACTCCGTATAATCGATATGTACTTTTTTGATCTCTTGGCGCATTTTGATGCAAACAACAAGATGGATCAAAACGTGAAATATCAAATTGTACCGGTTGCGTATTTTTAACATATTCACCATTTGAAAGACTAAATCGTTTTAAATGAATAACTAATACTGAAGGAAGAGTCCATAAACGAGTTCGTCGAATTGCAGCTTGAGCTGATTTACATTTCGGACAATTCCAACGACTATCACCATCAAGTTTCTGAAATTTATTTATTTTCATTCTCTCGAACCATTTAGAAGAATGTATACACTTACCGTGTCCGAAAAATGCGATTTCAAACAAGTATCCAAACTAAAACTACCCGATGCATTTTGTTGTGTTAATTCAACAGAAATCAACGTGTTATCTTCGAATGTAGCCGATGACACGTGGCAATTACAGCATGTTAATTCGGAAACTTGTAAAACGCTGAATATTTTATTGACGGGGGAATAGGCGAATTGTCGATTTCGATTGATAAAATCAGAAGCGTCAGAGGCAATATTTGTTCCTCCTTTATAATTTTGTTCGAATGAAATCCGATTAACAACCTGGAATTTATCCGAATGGGAAAAAAGGTTTCAATAAAATTTTTAAATTCAGAAAACCTCGAATGAATGGTCTCAAACTAGATTTTAATACCTTCATGAAGTTCCCTTTTTTGTTACAAACAAAGTCAGAAAATCTGGCCAGAGTGATTTTAAACAGAAATATAGTGAAAACAGGAAAAACGTAGACATTTCTAATTTCCTGAATTCTTACCTGATTTGTGTCCTCATGAAGTGCATCCAACAAGAAAAGCTGGAATTCGCTTGCATCGTGTTGTTGTCCATCGGCCAGTGAAGCATTCACTTCTTCAGCGAATAATTGCTGAAAAAATTAAGAAATGATTTTTTTCATAGTTCACGTTTTGATTTTTCTCACAAAAAAAATAAAATAAAAATCTCACTAAAAATCGTTGCGGTCGAATCGCTTGAAAATGTCCACCCCAAATACAATCAACAAGCGCCGAAAACACAGAGGATATAACTCCTTTGGTTCCCATTTTATTTTTTGGATTGATATTTGAGACAAAATGATTTAGAGTGAAAACATCGACAAGTCCAGGTGTTTGGAAAAGGCATTGAAGAGTGGCTGACATGAAACAGGTATTTCCCATATTGTATAGGCCAGTTATTCCAGGAGCCTGTAAAAAGATCGAAAAATAAGATGTTTTTCAGAGAGAAGCGGGATAATAGTTTGAAATTTGTTTTAAAAAGTTATTACGTGGAAAAATTCCCAATCAATACTTTTCAAGTAAATTTTTAAATTATATCAAAATTTGATTTTCAGAATTCAAAAATCGCTGAAACATCGTTCAAATTAATATTAAAGTACCCAAAATTCCTAGTTTACCACGTTATAACTTTTTTAGCGACTTCTACACCCTAGGATTTATCGGCGTTCTTTCAACTCTACATCGTCTACTTTTTGATTTACAAATTCACTCGGTTCCCTTTTTAAAAAAATCACCAACCGGATCACTTCTTTTTGTTCCTCCATTCGCAATAGTTAACAGCATTTTGTTATAAATCGTTCGGAATGCATTCTCGCTTTCAGGTCTGAAAAATAAACATTTCGATGGATTAAACAATATTTTAATATCAACGGCTTCTTATTCCACCACCAATCAAACATCGAGTAAAATTAATATTATAAAAATGAGATGAGAATAGAAATTTTGAAAAGAGATTAAATTAAAAAATGGCACACGTTTCACGAAGAAAAAAACGAAATTTGTTTCTTTTTACATTTTTCAAAATTGAATTGAATCAAAAACTCACGTGACTAGCGAAGGTTTCGATGATCTGTCAAGTTGCGGTGGCTTTCTGGAACAAATTAACTATACAAAATCATTGAAGAAAAATCCAAACCTGATAGTATTTCCAATCGATGCTGAATTCGGCCTACTTTTCATGTCTCCATAATTTGGCAAAGAGCCAAAATCATGTTTACCACCCACGATAATTGCATTTGATGATGGTTTTATAGATCGATCAGGAATCGAAGGCGGAATATTTGGAATTTGAGGATGAACTGGTTGACCGGGCCTTTGTGGAATTTTTGGAGCTGGTCCAAAGATTGGACCACCTGGTCTTTCAAGTGGAATTGATGGTGGGATTTGAGTTGTGGATGAAGGAGGCGGTTGAAATGGTTCTGAAAATAAATATACTTGATCTTTCAACTAAACAATAGAAAATACTCACTCTGAACTCCAGTCAATGGAATTCCGATTCCAGGTCTCGCTACAATTGTATCACCTTTTCCATTTTCACGATTTTCTCGAATATTTGTAGAATCTTTCAATAACTTCTTCTTATGTTCATCTTCCAAATTAGAATTCGAAGTTGTCGATGGTTTTGGTGGAATTGCAGATAAATCAACATAACTAATATCGGAAAGGGAATTAATATCATTATTTCGATAATTCTGAATAACATCATCCAATTCATCTCGATGAAAAGAAAATCTCGGACTTGGTGTTATTTCGCTTATTGTATATGTTGGATATTGTAATTTCCATTTTCGGAATCCACCTTCCATAAATATTGGTGTTTCTTTTGTTCGAAAATCGCTTCCAATATACTGAAAACAATTATTTGATTCATGAAAAAATATACTTCAAACCTAACCTCAGTCAATGCTTTCATCATAATGCTTGCTTTTGTTCCTGCAATTGGTTGACCATTTTTCAATTCTGGAGTTTCGTCTTCCATCAAAACAACATAATCATAATTAGGAAGTCGTTGAAGAAGAGAACGTTGTCCAACATCCAAAGATTGTCGCATTTTTGTAAAAATCATACTATTGTCAATGATTTCATAAGGAATTTGAATAACTGTTATAAGATTTTCATTTCCATAAAGTATACGTTCACTTTTATCCTCTCGATAATCAAAAATAATGGCACTTTTTTTCACTGAATCGGTTTCCATCATTCGAATTAAGCTTATAGGTGATATTGTGAAAGTGATTTTCCTCACATTATTTTCTGTTGGAACCGAATTTTCTGATGAATTTGCTCGACCAATTGTATCTTTCCGTAATTTGATAGCATCATATTTTCGAATTAGTAGAGTTTGTAATTCTGACATATTTTTCACGCATTCTTGAAAATCCGCATAAAACATCAGTTTTGTCGCGTTTTCGCTGATAAAAGTTTGAAACTTTTTGTTCTTCCGGATTATTTCAGCTAACTCAGCCGCTTTCATATAATCTTTATACTGTTTCTCTTGTTCACCTCGCGAACTTTGTGCACTTTTAATAAACTTTTTCATCGAACTATATACACTGAAACAAAACGATTTTTATGACAGGAATACGTATTTTTTTCAAAATAAACATGACTCACTATTCACATGATTGTCGTTCGAGTTTCGTACTCAATTCGCGTGGAATCGAGCATTTGCTCTGAAGCTCTTCTATCGAACTGCAATCCAATCCGCTACTATCCATCGCATCTGTTAAAACTGACTAATATGAACCGGTTTTTTGAGAAGACAAAGAAGAATTAAATAAAATAAAATTTTTGTGTGTAGTTGCGCGTCAGATAAAATGTTTCGAATGAATAACGACGAACAACTGCAGACAACAATTTTGCAAATTCTGCTTTTTCGGGCCAAAATTCTTGATAACAGTCTGAAATTGGTATCATTTTATATGTTGAGTATTTATTGATTACTGTATTCAAATTATATTAATTTTTGGATCAACTTTTTTGAGTGAAAATTTGTAAAACTGGAAAGTTTTACAAATCCTTCTTTTTTCGAGCCAGAATTCATGATATTATTAAACATTTTTGTTCGTGGGATTAGATGGAATTTCAATCTATTTACCTGGATATATTTTTGAATTATCGAGTTATTTCAAGATTCTTGCCGAAAATCTGATAGATAGATATAGATCGCGTAACAATTACAGTAATCCAAAATTTTTTTTTCTTTCAGTTTACTGACGCCATTTCCAGATTTTTGCAGTGTTTTTACAAATTCTTCTAATATGTATTTATTTCTTAAAAAGAATATAAAGAAAATAATTATTTCTCCTGAAAACAAAGAACACAAATCGAATCGTTGAAAAGTAAAATACACGTTTAAAATTTATCAATATTTGTATTGCGTTTACCGGCATAACTTGCACTATGTGGCGCCATTTTTGCAGATGGTTGTGAACTTGCAATTGTTGTTGCAGTTTGACTTCGATTTGCTCGATGAATTGTTGAATTTGCGCGAAGAGTGTCACTACTCGAACTATTATACGCTGGATCACGGTTATCTCCAACTTTTCGTTGAATTCCAAAGATTTCAAATAATCCTCGACGAATCTGAATTTTTAGCATAGTTACTAGATAACATTTGAAAAATGAAAGAAATTACCTGAAAATCTGTGAAAAACGCCAAAATCGGATCAACAATACATCTGATGACCAAACTTGTTCTTACAAATCCCAAAATTCTCATCATCTCCGAATAATTTCTTTGGAAGAAACAAGGATTATGAACAAGATAAATTAAGCAAAGACACCAAATAACATAAGGAACATTGAGAACAGCAAAAGTTCCAACGTTCAAAGCCAATTTCCACAATGGAAATCTAACCATACGAATTCGTCCACCATCTTCTGGTCTGAAATTGTTTTCTTCAATTTAGAGAAGAAACTGATACAGTAACTGACTTTTTCTTAAATGAGTTACTAAAACTCTGCGCTTTTCTGATGAAAAATACAGTCACAAAAAATACGGACAATGTGAAAAAATAAGTTGAGGCGGTAAGAACATTTCGAGATCTGAAAATTTTAATTTTCTTCTCCAGTTCAAATTCTTTAAAAAAAACTGACCTGTACATGTTTTTGAGACAAGTCTCAGCTTTACATCCAGACCAGGCACTTAGTTCTGGAATCTTTACAAGTGCTGATATTCCCAAAGTATAGCTGATCATCAAAACAAAAATCACCCAACTGAAAATAGAATTATTTATTACGCTTGAAATCTCACGATTCTCACCTAATAATCATCAAATTAACACATCTTTTCATTGTAAACCATTTTCTATAATGAAAAGGTTTCCAAACCGCAAATAATTTCAACATTGAAAGTGAGCAATACGAAACGAGAGCACTCCAAAATGATCCAATCAAAAAACTTTCAAAAACAGTAACCATATCTCGACTGAAATTAAAAGAGTGTTAGGACAAAAATGTGTAATAACTTACTTGATATCATGCCAAGATAAAGTGTAAGAACAACAAGCGAGAGCTGATAAACATGTCAATAAATCGCCGATTGCTCGATTCATCAAAAGAGCATAACATTTTCGGGATACTCTTCGAGATTTAATTGCCTAAAATTATGAAAATACCGTAGATTAAGGTTTTATATAAACTGGGATTTAATATTTTACGTTAATACTATTTGGATTTTCGAGAATTCAGAAAAATCTTGATTCATTTAATTATGTTCTAATTAAAAATTTGCGGTTAGCGCTTTTTTTTGAAAGTTCACAACTACAGTATTTATCGAGAATTAACTTTGGGCCAGTCTCAATTGCAGCTGACAATCAGAACAAGCCACAGTAACCCGATAAATTTCCAAATTTTCTGAATTTTTCCGAATGAGAGGAGTAGATTACAGTATTACTTTTTACCTCCTCAGATCTTTTTTCGAGGTAAAAAAGTATACACATATTTTGCACACACACATACAAATGAGTTTGAGTGTAATATTTGACAGAAGGGTGTAATTACTGTAGGTGTACTGTAGTACTGTAGTTCACAAATGTTTAACAATAATTACTGTACTTTCAAAAAAAAAATTTTTTTTTAATTTTCAAAATTCAAATTTTTTTTTTTTTGCAAAACTGTCAAAGCGGTTCTTCAGTAAAAATCAATTTTTTCTCTTCAAACCATTCTAATATATTTTTAGAGAAAATAAAATAGAAATTATTTTTCATAATGTTTTTTTTCCATTTTTTCAAACTATTCTGTTTTACTTCAAAAAAAAATTGAAATATTGTAACTTTTCTTATTTTTTTCATTTAGAAAAAAAAAACAAAACTATACCGAACAGTCTATGTTCATAGCACTAAAATGTGGTGGCGGTCAAAAAAAGTTTAATTTTTCCAAATATTGACAATGGTTGATGTTGTGTTTTTATCAATGACATGAAAAAACTGTAATTGTGATAGAATTGAAAAGTATGAAATTCCAAAAAAAAAAATGGATCGAAAAAATCTAAGAGAGAAAATAGAAACACACACACCAACATGGTGAATAAAAAAATAATGATCATGACAGAAATTTTTGTAAGTTCTGTAACCCCGCCCCCTTTTGAGGTAAAAAAATCCTGTTCACAGAATGAAACAAATGAAAAATCTCCACATATCAACAACTTCATTAACCCCCCATGTTTGATGATTCATTTTGGTAGAATGTATTAATACAGATTTTAAAATTTTTCATGAACAACTTCCACAGATTGAAGACATTTTAAAACTTAAGGGAGCCTATGTAAATTTCAAAAAATAACAAATTTCCGCAAAATAAAATTTTATTTTTATTTTTCCACTCAACATTCAAGATTTCTCTGGCTGAAATCGATTGGTTTTTAATTAACTTTTCTCGATTTCAAAGATTTCAATGCAAATCCAATTTCAATTCCTGTTGTGTTGCTGTTATTTTTATTTCACACTCCTTTTGTATTTTAATAACACCACCAAAAAATTATTTTGTTAAATATTTTCTCTCCCCACCCTAAGAAAAAAGTTTTTTCCTGTGTAACACATCTCAGTGATATGTTACAAGCAACATCTTATTGAGCAACAGCTTAGTGCGAGGTCAGACTGTGTAAAAACAAACAGAAGAAGGTGAAGAAAACATACTTACACCAACAACCAATAACTTTTTTGTTTTTGTTTTAGTTTTTTTTTTGTAGCTGTTTTTCTATTTTTTTATTTTCAAGGCTTTATGGACTCTGGATCTATTCAAGTCCACCCCAACGGAGATATTGCCATAATCACCGACACCGGAACACAATTATTATGTGTTGGATCTCATGAGCATGCGGCACTCAAAAATGTTCTGGTAGGTTTTGCTGAAAATTAGATAATAATTAAAAAAAATTAAATTATCGAAACCAAACTACTGATCCTGAAAAATAATATTATTTAAACATTATCAGGAACTGGCAAACAAAGGACAACAGGGTGGTGGTGAAAAAGGAAAAATCCTGACGAACCAGATGCGGAGACTGGAGAAAAGAAAAAGAAAACTACATACAAGTTTGTAACAGGTATATTTCGTTAATAGAGACATTTGTTGAATTTTTCTACTTTCAGATTCGGAATTGGCGGAACTAGATAACTACATGTATGAAGCTAATATGGATGTGGTGCGCAAGAACCCAGGTCGTTTGGCCATTCCCAACATCAAAATGAAATTTCGCAATCTATCTGTTAAAGGAGTAACCCCGATGGAAATTATGGAAAAATGTTTTGATATAATAATACGTAAAGGGATTTCAATCGCTGATGGGAATCTGGAGACTACAAAAATTGTGGTTGGGTAAGTTTAGGAAGCTCCTATTTTTCAAAAATCTTTATCAACAAAGAAAAACTTCAGATTATCACATCCGCAACTCATGGAGAAATCATTTTGGATGTGTAATAGAACTTATCAAATGATTAATGGGTTTACTTTACATAACGAGATTGCCCGAATTATGCAAAGTAATAAAGAACTTGTTATAGATGAACATTTTGAGATGGATATGCATATATTGAAAAATCAAAACAATCATGTTGGTGGTTGTAGATCAAAATGTAAAAAAGTCAATAACTCTGTGAGTTGATAATTAATTGATACGTTTTCTGTACTTTTGTATGATTTAATAAAATTTATTCCCCCAACACATATCATAGTGTCTATTTTTTCTTTTAATTTCAGAATGATAAACTTTTCCCAATAAATTACAGCTGTATGCAGACCAACGATGTGGTGCGAAAGCTTTTGTTCTTGGCGAAGGTCAGTGCCTGCTGAAAGCTGTTGCTATTGCAATGGCTAATCATAACTACCAGAACGGTGGAATTGCAGATAAAAAATATTGGAGATCGATTACCCGCTATGTGAGCTTTACACTGGTGAAATTTTTCTCATGAGCATAATTTCAGCCAATAATACAAAAAGATGCTGCTCGTGTTATTGAGGAAACATCAGGTCTAGAACACAAACAAGAGCACTCTATAGAAGATTTGAAACAGATTGCCGAATGTTATCCTGATTGGAATTTTTTACTATTTGAGAGAAATTCATTCAGCTCAACAGCAACAAAAATTGAAGAGATGAACCCCGGAAAAACGAAATATGTTACTCTATTGTACTTCGATAACCACTATGACTTTGTTAAAAAATCAAAAAGTGTAATCAATTCTCGGTATGTTGATGCAAGTTTCAAAATGTATTTCTTGAGAATGAGTTTTCAGATTTTGTAAACGTTGCGGTTCTCTACATGAAGATTTAAACCATTACCGTAAATGTAAAGCTTTATGTCATAGATGTGGTCATAGTTCATGTTTTAATGAGATTGAAGTCAAACCGAAATTACAATGCAACAAATGTGGGAGACATTTTCCCAATAAAAAATGCTTTGAAGACCATAAAAAATATAAAAAAAATTCCAAAATCAACATGTGTGAAAGATTTAAATGGTAACCGTAGGAATGATAGAAAATCCTATTTTAAATGATTATTACTTTACAGCTGTCCTGATTGTAATAAAATAATCGAACTGGTCTACTATGTCGACACACCCCATATTTGTGGAAACTCAAAGTTTTGTCGAAAATGTCGTAATTTTGTCAGCAATGAGCACAATTGTTGTTTTAACCCACCTCAAAAAAAAGAGCGAGAAAATTCTTTGAAAAAACAAGAAAAGTTTCTAAAAGTTGTTTATGATGTAGAAACAATAACGATAGAGGAAAAAGAAGGTAATTGACACAATTTATTAATTTGAAGATTACAATTTGAATAAATTTTCAAAAATTCAGGAAAATTTGTTCCACTGCCTGCACACATTGTCAACACAATATGTTGGGAGACATGGTGCCACGATTGTGTGGAGGGTGAAAAATGCAAATCATGCCCTGGAAGTGGATCAATAAACCATTATGATGTCTCTGGAAGAGAAACTGTGATCAGTAAATTCACCGACATGTTGTTGCACAATGAAAAATTCAATAAAGCAATAGTTTTAGCTCATAATGGCGGGTGGTGAGTATTTTCATTGTAATAACAAACAAACAAAACACAAAAAGGAGAAATGTTCAGCTATGATCACTATTTTGTCATCGGTGAGATGATCTTCCAACATGGACGATTCCCTCAGCTCACCCGAAAAGGAAGAAAAATTATTGTTGCCCATCTTCCTGGAGAAAATCCAAAATTTGGTGGTGAAAGGTGTAATCAATTGACATTCAAGGATTCGCTGAACTTTCTACCAATGGCTCTATCAAAACTTCCAGCAGCTTTTGGAATTAAAGAAATGGCCAAAGGATTTTACCCACACTTTTTTAATACACCAGAAAACTATGGAAAAGTTTTGAATGAGCTACCACCTTTGGAATATTACAATGTTCTCAGTATGCAAAACCCTGAGGGACTTATCAAGTTTCATGAAAAAAATAGAATGCAAAAATTTGACTGCGATGGTGAACGATTGAAATATTGCCAGTCCGATGTTCAAATAACAATGGCTGCCTTAAAAAAATTTTGCGAGGTTTGTGAGCAGATTTTTGGGAAAGGGTTCACAAATTTAAAGAGTGAAGGAGGAAATATTTCAGATTTGTAAAAAAGAACTTGGCGGTTGGGACCCAATTGTTTCCGCAGCTACAATTCCGAGTTTTGTCATGCATCTGATGAAATTCGAACATATCAAATCAGGGGAAATTGGATACATTCCTGAAAATGGATTTCCAAAACGAACACAATCAAAATTGGCAATCAAATACTTGTTCTGGTTATCAAAGATGACTGGTCAAAAGATTCAACATTTGAGATGTGGTGGAGAAAAACGGATTATAGTAGAAAGTAAAACGTTTTACGTTGATGGTTATGACGAAAAGAATAATGAAATCATAGAGATTTATGGTTGTTGTGTTCATGGCTGCCTGAAATGTAACCAACCAGATGCACGCAACCCTTTAGACACCATAAAGACTAATGGCGAGATACTTGAAGAAACCATAAAACGTCAAGCAATTCTTGAAAAAGCTGGATATGTTGTGAAAGTTGTCTGGGAGCATGAAATCAGAGAACAAATGGCGTCAAATAGAAACATGAAACAGTTTTTTGCCCAGGTGAGTTTGTTAAAATATTTTGCAGTAACACCATTTTTAGTGTCGGCACACAAGCTGTCTTCGTCCAAGAGATGCCATGTATGGCGGACGCACTCAACCTTTCAAATATATTTTAATTGCGGACAAATGTGAAAATATAAGATATCTGGACTTTTGTTCCCTCTACCCATTTGTTAACATGACAGCCGCATACCCAACAGGGCAACCCGAAATAATCACAGAGAATTTTGATTATGCATCTGGATCTCTACAGTACCGAGGTTAATAAAATTAGTTAGTGTCTAAAAAATTTTAAAAAAAAAACATTTAGGGTTAGTATACTGTGATGTGAACCCATCGAAAAATCTTGAACTACCAATTCTACCTTATCGAGCAGGAGGAAAGTTGTTATTTCCCTTGTGTAGATCTTGCGCGGAAAATATGGATGCTTCAAGTGAGTGTACACACAGGAATGTACAACAGAGATATCTAACTGGAACTTGGTACTCTGAAGAACTAAAATTAGCTCTAGAAAATGGATATGAGCTTCTTCGTATTCATGAAGTATGGCATTGGGATGATTCGAAATGGCAGACAGGTGGATTTTGCGCGATACTTGAAGCCATTACTGAAGATGAAACACGAAGCCTCAGGGTGGCCCAGTGGTGTAGTGACTGAAGAGGAGAGACTCAAACACATTCAGGATATTGAAAATACAGATGGTGTGAAGCTGACTTATGAAAAGATTGAGAAAAACCCGGCATTGAGATCTATGGCTAAATTATTTTTGAATTCCGCATGGGGTAAGTTTGATTTTTATTTTATAAAAAAGGGGATTTTATTAAAAAGGTAGATAGAGATACTTTTAGGAAAATATTGCGAAAATCCGGCACAAGAAGAAACCAAAATTTTCAAAACACTTGATCATATAGCTCAAGCAAATTTCATAAATCACTCAGAGTATGAGATGACTAGTTTGGATGATATTCAACACGACATAACCATGATCTCCAGAATGAAACTTGATGATTACTTGGATACAAAAAAATATGCCAATGTTGTTTTTGGTTGGTGATGAGTTCCATTTTGGGGCTGATTATATTAAATTTTCAGGTGTTATCACAACCGCAGTAGCCAGACTAATTTTGTATGGCGCCATGAAAATGGTAGGACATGAACGCCTCGGCTATTGTGGTAAGTTTATCAAAAATTTTAAAAAAACCGAAAACTTTTTGTGTTTTCAGACACTGATTCAATTGTATTCATAGAAAAAGATGGTGAAAACTTGTGTGGAGATCTAGTAGGAACAGGATTGGGGAAACTTGAATCAGAAGTTCCAGAAGGTCTGAAAATAGCAAAGTTCGTAGCAGTTGCACCAAAATGTTATTGTTATGAATTGACCAAAATGGATGGCACACATGTGAAATTTGTGATCAAGGCGAAAGGAGTGACCCTCGATGCGGCAAACTCAAACATTGTCACATTTGGAGAGATGGAGAGAATGGTTAGTTAACGTGTTGATGAAACCAGTTGAATTTTCATGTTTTCAGGCCAAAGAGTTGATAGCAGAACAACATATTGAACCGATTCACGCAAAGGTGCGAGGGATGAAAAAGAAAATGCTAGTCTCAATCACAAACTACGAAACTCGGAAAATTGTTCAACCTGTTGTAGACAAATTACGACTTTGTAAAGATGGTACAACACTGCCACATGGCTACAACAACAACGAAATAATCAGGGATTATTTGTTCGAATAATGAGAAACATTTTTTAAAATATTTATGCATGTATTTTTGTTTCTATGAAAATGAACTGTGTGTTGTTTGTGTAGAGTGAGATCATTTGAACTTGTTCATAGCGAATCAAGAATAATTACAGTCGCGCATACACCTGAACTTTCACGATGATTTACCACATTAGTGAATAAAAGTTGGAATTTTTATGTGTTTCAATATTAGTTTTTGTGGAATTTCACAAAAACTTCCTCAAGATTAACAATGTTAAAAATAATCTCGAAAATTTTCCAGTCAAATCACAAACACAACCAAAAACTTCATTCACAGCTGATGAATTTTCAACCAAGTTTTCAAATAAATTTAGGAAAAAAGTTGCGAACTTGGTTGTAAAAGCTGAAAATTTATGAAATAGCTGTATTGAGTTGGAAAACTTTAGGGGAAAATATTATCCATGGTGAAAACAAAATGTGAAAATGTTTATATTTTGGCGTAGTAATTTAAATGAGTTACTCCTCTTTCAAAATATTGAGATTTTGGTTTAAACATTTCGAGATGTAAATACACCCGTAGAAATATTTTTAAACTTTGTTGCCAAAATTTTACAAAGTTTTGAAATTTGTTGACAAAGTTTTGTAATGTTTTTAATTTTGTTGAGAAATTTTTACAAAGTTTTAGATTTTTTTGATTGGTTGAACAAAATTACAGAAAATTAGCGACTCTTAACAAAAAATTTGAATTTTTTCTAAATTTTGAATTGTTTTACTACTTTTTTAAAATAAAATATCTATTTTATGCACAAGCTTCAAAATATTTAGGCGATTAGTTTACATACTCGGCCAAAAAACGACATAGCTCGGGGCGACTCGCTACACAATTTTCGAGACTCGTTTTGTAGCGAGTTGCCCCAAACGCGCCTCAAAAGTGGCGAGTGCCGGGCAACTCGCTACAAAACGAGTCTCGAAAATTGTGTAAACTTGGTTGAAAATTCATCAGCTGTGAATGAAGTTTTTGGTTGTGTTTGTGATTTGACTGGAAAATTTTCGAGATTATTTTTAACATTGTTAATCTTGAGGAAGTTTTTGTGAAATTCCACAAAAACTAATATTGAAACACATAAAAATTCCAACTTTTATTCACTAATGTGGTAAATCATCGTGAAAGTTCAGGTGTATGCGCGACTGTAATTATTCTTGATTCGCTATGAACAAGTTCAAATGATCTCACTCTACACAAACAACACACAGTTCATTTTCATAGAAACAAAAATACATGCATAAATATTTTAAAAAATGTTTCTCATTATTCGAACAAATAATCCCTGATTATTTCGTTGTTGTTGTAGCCATGTGGCAGTGTTGTACCATCTTTACAAAGTCGTAATTTGTCTACAACAGGTTGAACAATTTTCCGAGTTTCGTAGTTTGTGATTGAGACTAGCATTTTCTTTTTCATCCCTCGCACCTTTGCGTGAATCGGTTCAATATGTTGTTCTGCTATCAACTCTTTGGCCTGAAAACATGAAAATTCAACTGGTTTCATCAACACGTTAACTAACCATTCTCTCCATCTCTCCAAATGTGACAATGTTTGAGTTTGCCGCATCGAGGGTCACTCCTTTCGCCTTGATCACAAATTTCACATGTGTGCCATCCATTTTGGTCAATTCATAACAATAACATTTTGGTGCAACTGCTACGAACTTTGCTATTTTCAGACCTTCTGGAACTTCTGATTCAAGTTTCCCCAATCCTGTTCCTACTAGATCTCCACACAAGTTTTCACCATCTTTTTCTATGAATACAATTGAATCAGTGTCTGAAAACACAAAAAGTTTTCGGTTTTTTTTTTTAAATTTTTGATAAACTTACCACAATAGCCGAGGCGTTCATGTCCTACCATTTTCATGGCGCCATACAAAATTAGTCTGGCTACTGCGGTTGTGATAACACCTGAAAATTTAATATAATCAGCCCCAAAATGGAACTCATCACCAACCAAAAACAACATTGGCATATTTTTTTGTATCCAAGTAATCATCAAGTTTCATTCTGGAGATCATGGTTATGTCGTGTTGAATATCATCCAAACTAGTCATCTCATACTCTGAGTGATTTATGAAATTTGCTTGAGCTATATGATCAAGTGTTTTGAAAATTTTGGTTTCTTCTTGTGCCGGATTTTCGCAATATTTTCCTAAAAGTATCTCTATCTACCTTTTTAATAAAATCCCCTTTTTTATAAAATAAAAATCAAACTTACCCCATGCGGAATTCAAAAATAATTTAGCCATAGATCTCAATGCCGGGTTTTTCTCAATCTTTTCATAAGTCAGCTTCACACCATCTGTATTTTCAATATCCTGAATGTGTTTGAGTCTCTCCTCTTCAGTCACTACACCACTGGGCCACCCTGAGGCTTCGTGTTTCATCTTCAGTAATGGCTTCAAGTATCGCGCAAAAAATCCACCTGTCTGCCATTTCGAATCATCCCAATGCCATACTTCATGAATACGAAGAAGCTCATATCCATTTTCTAGAGCTAATTTTAGTTCTTCAGAGTACCAAGTTCCAGTTAGATATCTCTGTTGTACATTCCTGTGTGTACACTCACTTGAAGCATCCATATTTTCCGCGCAAGATCTACACAAGGGAAATAACAACTTTCCTCCTGCTCGATAAGGTAGAATTGGTAGTTCAAGATTTTTCGATGGGTTCACATCACAGTATACTAACCCTAAATGTTTTTTTTTTAAATTTTTTAGACACTAACTAATTTTATTAACCTCGGTACTGTAGAGATCCAGATGCATAATCAAAATTCTCTGTGATTATTTCGGGTTGCCCTGTTGGGTATGCGGCTGTCATGTTAACAAATGGGTAGAGGGAACAAAAGTCCAGATATCTTATATTTTCACATTTGTCCGCAATTAAAATATATTTGAAAGGTTGAGTGCGTCCGCCATACATGGCATCTCTTGGACGAAGACAGCTTGTGTGCCGACACTAAAAATGGTGTTACTGCAAAATATTTTAACAAACTCACCTGGGCAAAAAACTGTTTCATGTTTCTATTTGACGCCATTTGTTCTCTGATTTCATGCTCCCAGACAACTTTCACAACATATCCAGCTTTTTCAAGAATTGCTTGACGTTTTATGGTTTCTTCAAGTATCTCGCCATTAGTCTTTATGGTGTCTAAAGGGTTGCGTGCATCTGGTTGGTTACATTTCAGGCAGCCATGAACACAACAACCATAAATCTCTATGATTTCATTATTCTTTTCGTCATAACCATCAACGTAAAACGTTTTACTTTCTACTATAATCCGTTTTTCTCCACCACATCTCAAATGTTGAATCTTTTGACCAGTCATCTTTGATAACCAGAACAAGTATTTGATTGCCAATTTTGATTGTGTTCGTTTTGGAAATCCATTTTCAGGAATGTATCCAATTTCCCTGATTTGATATGTTCGAATTTCATCAGATGCATGACAAAACTCGGAATTGTAGCTGCGGAAACAATTGGGTCCCAACCGCCAAGTTCTTTTTTACAAATCTGAAATATTTCCTCCTTCACTCTTTAAATTTGTGAACCCTTTCCCAAAAATCTGCTCACAAACCTCGCAAAATTTTTTTAAGGCAGCCATTGTTATTTGAACATCGGACTGGCAATATTTCAATCGTTCACCATCGCAGTCAAATTTTTGCATTCTATTTTTTTCATGAAACTTGATAAGTCCCTCAGGGTTTTGCATACTGAGAACATTGTAATATTCCAAAGGTGGTAGCTCATTCAAAACTTTTCCATAGTTTTCTGGTGTATTAAAAAAGTGTGGGTAAAATCCTTTGGCCATTTCTTTAATTCCAAAAGCTGCTGGAAGTTTTGATAGAGCCATTGGTAGAAAGTTCAGCGAATCCTTGAATGTCAATTGATTACACCTTTCACCACCAAATTTTGGATTTTCTCCAGGAAGATGGGCAACAATAATTTTTCTTCCTTTTCGGGTGAGCTGAGGGAATCGTCCATGTTGGAAGATCATCTCACCGATGACAAAATAGTGATCATAGCTGAACATTTCTCCTTTTTGTGTTTTGTTTGTTTGTTATTACAATGAAAATACTCACCACCCGCCATTATGAGCTAAAACTATTGCTTTATTGAATTTTTCATTGTGCAACAACATGTCGGTGAATTTACTGATCACAGTTTCTCTTCCAGAGACATCATAATGGTTTATTGATCCACTTCCAGGGCATGATTTGCATTTTTCACCCTCCACACAATCGTGGCACCATGTCTCCCAACATATTGTGTTGACAATGTGTGCAGGCAGTGGAACAAATTTTCCTGAATTTTTGAAAATTTATTCAAATTGTAATCTTCAAATTAATAAATTGTGTCAATTACCTTCTTTTCCTCTATCGTTATTGTTTCTACATCATAAACAACTTTTAGAAACTTTTCTTGTTTTTTCAAAGAATTTTCTCGCTCTTTTTTTGAGGTGGGTTAAAACAACAATTGTGCTCATTGCTGACAAAATTACGACATTTTCGACAAAACTTTGAGTTTCCACAAATATGGGGTGTGTCGACATAGTAGACCAGTTCGATTATTTTATTACAATCAGGACAGCTGTAAAGTAATAATCATTTAAAATAGGATTTTCTATCATTCCTACGGTTACCATTTAAATCTTTCACACATGTTGATTTTGGAATTTTTTTTATATTTTTTATGGTCTTCAAAGCATTTTTTATTGGGAAAATGTCTCCCACATTTGTTGCATTGTAATTTCGGTTTGACTTCAATCTCATTAAAACATGAACTATGACCACATCTATGACATAAAGCTTTACATTTACGGTAATGGTTTAAATCTTCATGTAGAGAACCGCAACGTTTACAAAATCTGAAAACTCATTCTCAAGAAATACATTTTGAAACTTGCATCAACATACCGAGAATTGATTACACTTTTTGATTTTTTAACAAAGTCATAGTGGTTATCGAAGTACAATAGAGTAACATATTTCGTTTTTCCGGGGTTCATCTCTTCAATTTTTGTTGCTGTTGAGCTGAATGAATTTCTCTCAAATAGTAAAAAATTCCAATCAGGATAACATTCGGCAATCTGTTTCAAATCTTCTATAGAGTGCTCTTGTTTGTGTTCTAGACCTGATGTTTCCTCAATAACACGAGCAGCATCTTTTTGTATTATTGGCTGAAATTATGCTCATGAGAAAAATTTCACCAGTGTAAAGCTCACATAGCGGGTAATCGATCTCCAATATTTTTTATCTGCAATTCCACCGTTCTGGTAGTTATGATTAGCCATTGCAATAGCAACAGCTTTCAGCAGGCACTGACCTTCGCCAAGAACAAAAGCTTTCGCACCACATCGTTGGTCTGCATACAGCTGTAATTTATTGGGAAAAGTTTATCATTCTGAAATCAAAAGAAAAAATAGACACTATGATATGTGTTGGGGGAATAAATTTTATTAAATCATACAAAAGTACAGAAAACGTATCAATTAATTATCAACTCACAGAGTTATTGACTTTTTTACATTTTGATCTACAACCACCAACATGATTGTTTTGATTTTTCAATATATGCATATCCATCTCAAAATGTTCATCTATAACAAGTTCTTTATTACTTTGCATAATTCGGGCAATCTCGTTATGTAAAGTAAACCCATTAATCATTTGATAAGTTCTATTACACATCCAAAATGATTTCTCCATGAGTTGCGGATGTGATAATCTGAAGTTTTTCTTTGTTGATAAAGATTTTTGAAAAATAGGAGCTTCCTAAACTTACCCAACCACAATTTTTGTAGTCTCCAGATTCCCATCAGCGATTGAAATCCCTTTACGTATTATTATATCAAAACATTTTTCCATAATTTCCATCGGGGTTACTCCTTTAACAGATAGATTGCGAAATTTCATTTTGATGTTGGGAATGGCCAAACGACCTGGGTTCTTGCGCACCACATCCATATTAGCTTCATACATGTAGTTATCTAGTTCCGCCAATTCCGAATCTGAAAGTAGAAAAATTCAACAAATGTCTCTATTAACGAAATATACCTGTTACAAACTTGTATGTAGTTTTCTTTTTCTTTTCTCCAGTCTCCGCATCTGGTTCGTCAGGATTTTTCCTTTTTTCACCACCACCCTGTTGTCCTTTGTTTGCCAGTTCCTGATAATGTTTAAATAATATTATTTTTCAGGATCAGTAGTTTGGTTTCGATAATTTAATTTTTTTTAATTATTATCTAATTTTCAGCAAAACCTACCAGAACATTTTTGAGTGCCGCATGCTCATGAGATCCAACACATAATAATTGTGTTCCGGTGTCGGTGATTATGGCAATATCTCCGTTGGGGTGGACTTGAATAGATCCAGAGTCCATAAAGCCTTGAAAATAAAAAAATAGAAAAACAGCTACAAAAAAAAACTAAAACAAAAACAAAAAAGTTATTGGTTGTTGGTGTAAGTATGTTTTCTTCACCTTCTTCTGTTTGTTTTTACACAGTCTGACCTCGCACTAAGCTGTTGCTCAATAAGATGTTGCTTGTAACATATCACTGAGATGTGTTACACAGGAAAAAACTTTTTTTCTTAGGGTGGGGAGAGAAAATATTTAACAAAATAATTTTTTGGTGGTGTTATTAAAATACAAAAGGAGTGTGAAATAAAAATAACAGCAACACAACAGGAATTGAAATTGGATTTGCATTGAAATCTTTGAAATCGAGAAAAGTTAATTAAAAACCAATCGATTTCAGCCAGAGAAATCTTGAATGTTGAGTGGAAAAATAAAAATAAAATTTTATTTTGCGGAAATTTGTTATTTTTTGAAATTTACATAGGCTCCCTTAAGTTTTAAAATGTCTTCAATCTGTGGAAGTTGTTCATGAAAAATTTTAAAATCTGTATTAATACATTCTACCAAAATGAATCATCAAACATGGGGGGTTAATGAAGTTGTTGATATGTGGAGATTTTTCATTTGTTTCATTCTGTGAACAGGATTTTTTTTTACCTCAAAAGGGGGCGGGGTTACAGAACTTACAAAAATTTCTGTCATGATCATTATTTTTTTTTATTCACCATGTTGGTGTGTGTGTTTCTATTTTCTCTCTTAGATTTTTTCGATCCATTTTTTTTTTTGGAATTTCATACTTTTCAATTCTATCACAATTACAGTTTTTTCATGTCATTGATAAAAACACAACATCAACCATTGTCAATATTTGGAAAAATTAAACTTTTTTTGACCGCCACCACATTTTAGTGCTATGAACATAGACTGTTCGGTATAGTTTTGTTTTTTTTTTCTAAATGAAAAAAATAAGAAAAGTTACAATATTTCAATTTTTTTTTGAAGTAAAACAGAATAGTTTGAAAAAATGGAAAAAAAAACATTATGAAAAATAATTTCTATTTTATTTTCTCTAAAAATATATTAGAATGGTTTGAAGAGAAAAAATTGATTTTTACTGAAGAACCGCTTTGACAGTTTTGCAAAAAAAAAATTTGAATTTTGAAAATTAAAAAAAAATTTTTTTTTTGAAAGTACAGTAATTATTGTTAAACATTTGTGAACTACAGTACTACAGTACACCTACAGTAATTACACCCTTCTGTCAAATATTACACTCAAACTCATTTGTATGTGTGTGTGCAAAATATGTGTATACTTTTTTACCTCGAAAAAAAGATCTGAGGAGGTAAAAAGTAATACTGTAATCTACTGAGAGGAGAAGTCTTCAAGCAAAAAATGCTGAGAATGAAGTCTACAGTAAAAAGAGAACATTTGAAATTCCAAAATTTTAATTTAAAAACCAGGCTTACTTTATATGTGGAGACAATAAACAATCCGGTGCAAAAAAATCCGATCAAAGCCAATGGCAACATAACCCAACCATAATATGTTCGAAATACATTTTCGACACGAAGAGCTTGTCGACGCTGAAAATACATGCTTCTTGTTTCAAATTACAAACCCCCCCCCCCTATTGCTCATATTAAACTCACTCGAAAAAGATCAATTCGTTCCGGAGTTGTCAAATTGAAAAAACAATCCGTTCTCTGATTTGCACTCATCTCACCTTTATTCTCATTTCAGAACTTTTGTTCTTCAAAATCTGAAAATTTAACAAGTGGCAGTTAAACACGTGATTTGTCAAGTTCGAGTTTAAGTGTGGGAAAATTCGGCAAATTTTTTTGGAAGTAAAAAAACGAAAACAAAAACAAAATTGAGAGAACAAAGAGGAAAAATTAATTTCCTGGAGAGCTTTTCGAATATTCTTTTCTTGAAATAAGATATAAAAAGTTCATTATTAATTCAGTCCTGAATTTATTACAGATACTTCTAGAAATAGATTATGACGTAATATTTTTGTAACTGGAAGAAGGCTGAACAGAACTTCGTTGTTGGGTCCTCAACAACTATTTTGGAAAATATCCAGAAAATTATTTGCCAATTTGAAACATTTGATCTACTTTTGTTAATCGATATATTTTTTCTGACATGAAACAAGTTTCTGAAATGTTACCTTCACAAAAAAACCGTGAAAAACAAAAAGTCAATATTTAAAATGATTCCTAAATATTTGTTATATGTTGTACAAAAACAAGAGGACAAATACTTCGCCAAATTTTTTTCGAAAAAAAAGAAGTTTCATAATTTGTTATCTTCCTGGTCAATCTTGTTCTTACATTAAATCATGTCTCAAATCAATCAATAATTTTGGAAAATCACAAATCACACCTGTACAAGAAAAAAAGAATGAGAAGGTTAAATATCGACAAAAATGAGAGAAGACGTCAAGAAAAAAACGAGTTTTTTTTCTGATTTTTTTCTCTCTAGTCGTTCGCGTCACGCTGAATGAATAAATAAAAGAAATAAGTATTATGACGATTTGAGAATACAGATTAGTATTGAATAAAGAAAGAACAGAAACATTGATGTTCAGAAGATCAAAGAATTATAAGGGTACTGTACTTTGTTGGATTTTTTTGGATTTCCAGAATTTTCCAGAAAAACATTGATGAAATTTGGCATTGTCCAATTTGATTCGATAAAGCAGACAAAGTAGACCGAACCCGATTTTCAGTTTAACTTCGAAATTTTCTAATCGATTTTCACACTGAAAGACTATTTTAAATGTGATCTCTGAAAAAATAGAAAGCCATTTTTTCTAGAAAAAGCTAGCCCGGGAAAAATACAAAATAACCATTTAAAATAAAATCCAAACGTGAACGTCTTACGAAAAACATTGTTTTTCATTCTCAAAAAATCACATCTGGAACTTATAAGCAAAAAAAACGTTCAATCGAAAACACACAACAATCCTGAAATGTTTCCTGACCTTTGTTTTTAATTCAAAAATCCACTCTACAAATTTGTTTAAAATTACATAAAATCTAATTTTTGATCACTAGAAATCTACTAAATAAGTTTATTTCAGTCAAGCGAATATGACAATAATCAATAATTTAAATACTCGAAAGCGAGAAATAATCTGGGGGCAATAAATAATCAGAGAGAAAATACCAAACGCTGAAAATGCTAACACAAATATCACAATGACAGATCGGGGGAAAAATAAGAAATATGAATAGATCAAAATTTTTGGGAGACAATTGGATGATACTGTAATATACAGTAATCCTTAAGACAACTAGATTTTTGGGAAAACAAATGAAAAAAAGGGACGCGAGTATAAAATGACTTTGGTTAAAAATGAAGGGGCGGATATCCAAGAAAAAAATATATAAATTTTTGGATAAAAACAAACTACACAGCCAATTTTTCGATTCGTGAAATCTCAGCAAGCTGAAAAAAGGATATTGGGATAAATATAAAAAGATTGTGAAACTTACCAAATTTTGAATAACACCTCGATAATAACCAGCATCTTCAGGTTTTGTTTGAATTGGCTTGTTGTTATTTTCGACGATGACTTGAGGTTGAGGTTGAGATTCGGGCCGTTTCTGTGCAGCAGCTAATTGTTTTTCAACATGTGCCACTGAATCTTGAAGCCATTTTGAGTAAGCCTGAAAAATATGAAGATATATTTGGTGATTTACAATGGCTTTGAGAAAGTTTCAAATGAAAACAACACTGTATTTTTGAACATGATTGTTCAGATTTGAATATTTTCGGGAAAAATAAAACCAACCTTATTATCTTTCAATTTATCAAACTTCTTTGCTGCCAATTTTCCAACAGTTTCAACAACCTGTTTTCTTTCTCCTTCGATATCAAACTCGGGCTGTGGTTTTGATTCTGTTGTTGGTTTCTTCGATTTCTTTTCAGCTTCTTCAACTTTCTCAAGAATAGCAATGTTTCGGGCGCGAAGTTCCTACAAAATCATGGTTTTTGAAATCCGAAAAAAAAAGAAAAATCATCATTAAAATTGTCAATTATTTTAGCCAATTCGACCTTATAGGTTAGACTTTTCGAAAAAGTTGGTAAATTCTATATTTTTTCCTGAAAAGTTGATAACCAGAATCACAAAATAGTTCAACCAACCTCAACCTTAGCTTGCAATTTCTCTTTTTCTTCCTTGATTTTATTGAATTCTTCATCGTTTTTACTTGAAGAAGGTGTGGCTGCCAAGTCAACTGTGGTCTTTTTCAATTCAAAAATCTCTTCTTGGACTTGTGGTGGTGGTGGCGAATTTCGTGGAATTTCAACAATTCTTGACGCTTCTTCTTGTTTGTATTTTTCGAATTCTTGCTCTTTCAAGCGGAGTTCTCCAATCACTTTTTCTTGTTGTTCTTTGCTGCAAAAATCAAATTTCATTTTGAATGAAACAATGAAAACTTACAAGGCAACAAATTGATGAATTTCACCATTCAATGATTTGACCATATTTGATACATTGAAGTATTCTTGTTTCAATGCTTTCTCTTTTTTCAACCATTCTTGTTTTTCTCCTTCAAATTCAGCCAATTTCGAATCTCTCTTTGCCAAATCTTGCACCAATTGATCAATAATTTCTTTCTTTTTCAAAATATCAGCTTTTAATTCATTCGAAACTTTTTCGAAGTTACCGAATTGTGCTTTAAGATTAGTTACATCAGCCTCATTTACTTGCATTGCAGCTGTTCGAACTTCTTTTGCAAGTTTTTGATTGGCAGATCGAACTGCAACAAGTTCTTTTTCTTGTTCCAAAAATCGTGATTTGATGGCTGATAAATCTTGTGAAAGTGTTGTTTCATTTCGTTGATAAGTTGCAGAAAGAGTTGTCTGGAAACAAGAGATTTTAATGAGATTTTCCGAGATAAAAAACAAACCAATTGTTGTTTCAAAATTTGTTCAGATTGTGCCAATTGTTGAACTTTTGCCGCCAAATTTGCACTTTTCAATTGTTCCTCTCGTTGTTTATTTTCCAATGAACCTTTTTCTTTTTGCAATTTGTCAAGTTTTTGGGCGTGGTCGTTCATTTTCTTGGTAACGGCTTTGACTTCGTTGGATAAATTGGTTTTCTGAAAATTATTTGATGATAATTTTTCTAGCGAAAAGTACAAGATTTTGAAGTTCAAATAATATTTTGTTACCTGTGTATCAACATCCTTCAAATATCCAGTCAAAAATTGAACATATTCTGGTTCCAAATTTTCCGTGTTATTCAATTTTGCCAACAATTTCTTAGCATCCAAATCTTTCAAATTCACAACTTTCGGGCTCTTCTTCTTTGGTGCAACATTTTCACTCAAAACTGGCACACTTTCAACTTTCTTGGCAATTTCTGGCTCTACTACTTTAACTTGAACTTTGACTTCCTCAACTTTTGGTGCAACAACTTTTGGTGGAGGAGTTACAGTAACTTTTGGTGATTCAGTTGTTGGTGTGGTTTGTGGAGTTGGTGTGGCTGCTTCCTCTTTTTTCACCTTCTTCTTTTCGCCTTTCGCTTTTGGTGGATTTTGTTGTTGTTTTTTCTCTTTTTTACCATTTTCGCTCAATAATTTGAGAGCATTTCCGTTGTGTTCTTGGAATTTCTAAAAAAAACATGATTTTTTCTTTCAAAAAAGCTATGTATTACTCAATACATTTCATAATCTAGGAAATTCTAGAAACAACAATTTTAGGTACAATTTCACAAGGATAATTTTGAAGTAAACAAGATAGGAGAATTATTTTCTGAAACTTCTCTCTAGATAGAAAAAGTTTACTCGAATCCTCTCTCAAAAAATCAATAAACGTCTTTAAAAAGCATACCTTTTCGAAATCCGATTCATCTTTCGATGAGAAAAAGTAACCCAAAACGGCAACCAATCCGACAACAATAACACCAACAACACCGAGCATTAGTGGATCAATCATTATTGTGTCTTATTTGAAATTGTAACCCTGCAAAAACTAGACAATTCTATAGAATTTAATAAATTCACCGGAAACGAAAAATTTCAGAACAACAACACAGGAAAAAACAATTTCAGAACGAAAGGACAAAAAATATTTTAATCCGATTTCATTTTCGAAATTTCCCAGCAAAAAATGATGAAACGTGATGAAAGGGAATGAAACCAAAATTTTGTAAACAAATATTTATCTACTTTCGCAAAACAGAACAAAATGTACTTTTCTGACACAAGGAAGTTGAAAATTTCCAAATTCTAGAAAATTCTTACAAGATATTTTGTGGAACCGGTTTCTTTTTAGGATTCAAAAAAAAACATACCAAATATTTCGAAAAAACAGAAGAGAGACAAACAAACAAAAAAGATGATGACAAAACTAATTTTTTTGATAGCAAGAAGAAATGAAACGTGGAAATATTTATGAGTCATTTGCCACATGTACAAAAAAGGTCACGCGATAAATTAATTATCTTTTTTTGGTTTTGTTTGCTCCCAAAATTTAATACATCTTCAATAGTGCAATCTATTCTTGAAAACCGGAAAGAAGGAAAATTAGGATATTCGTATTCATATTCTAAAAATAAAATTCCAATTAAAGCCAAATATCTGGGGAAAGAAAAAAACACAAAACATCAGAGATTAAATAACTCAATAAGTTTTTTCTCGTTTTTCACACACATTATTTTTCTGAACAATTTTCTGTGACCTTCAGTTTTTTCTCCCCATTTTCGTCATCTCAATTTAACCTCGACCTGATTAAATATCACACTGAAAAATGAAATTGAAATAAAAAAACACATGAACATTTCATTTCATTTTTCGAACATTCTGAGAAAAGGTCAAAGGAGACATTGGAAAAAAAGAAAAAAAATAGAAGAAGAGCGTCGAACCGCATCGCATTGAAAAAGTGAGGAGAAAAAAACAGAAAACGGACAGACAAAAAAAATGGACAAATTCTTCCCCTTTTTTCTCTGTGCACTCTTTTTTGAAATGTGTATTTGTTCAATAGAGCAAACTTTGTATCTTTAATTAGGTTTGTCGGAACCTCATTAAACTTGGTGTCGGAAAACTGAATGACAAATATAATCTACAGTAACTCTCATAAAATCGTCTTTCCAGATAATTTATTCACTGTTTGCACAAAATTATGATTCGATTTTATTTGTTTCGTGGGAACATGCATAAACCACTTTTTCGTTTTCAAAAGAAACGCCCGAAAAAAACATACCCTTTGCTCACAAAACCCAGAAGAATGAAAAGAAAAGTTGCGACTTTTCAAGATAAAATTCAAACAAAAAAATAGATGATAAAAGTGTCAAGAACATGTCATCGATCATTAGAATAGAAGAAAAAAAGATAAAATTCTGGTGAAAATGAAAACACCATAGAATGAAAATAATACAACTTTTAACAAAATCATACATTTCTAGTATTTCGATAAACAAACAAAAAATAAAAAGGTACCCGAAAACTCAAAAATTTCGAAAAAATGATGATAATTCATTCAACATTCGGTTCCTCAACAATCAAATTATCAGCTTCAGTGGATGGTGAAAAATCAGCCTGAAAATAGGAATGAATTACAAAATAAAAATGAATAATAATATAAACCTCATCTGCTGTTTTGATTGATTCATCATTCAAATTCGGACATGTGTAACGCTTATTTCCATTTCCTTGATAATCGTCTCTCGATCCTAGAAAATCTCAAACATTTATAATTTTTCAAATTCTGATAATTTTTGGTTTCCTTTTGGACATTTTCACAGAAGATTACAATACAAAACAATTTTTTGTTGAATTATGAGACGTGAACCTTGTCGTAAACATTAAACGTCACTTTGTTCAAAAATCATTATTTCTCAAGAAAATAATAACCTGAATCTGCATATTTCGGTCTTCTTTTTCCTCTTGGTTCTTTTTCAAAGAATGAAACAATATTCGCTTGTGTTAACATTGATTTCCAATGTACAATATTCGTCTTATATAATGTTTCCTTGCAAACTTCCAATACTCTAAAAAAGCAAAAGTCCATATTTTTATATGAAATTCTTCGAACTAACCTTCGCTGCGTACTTTTTTCATCAGTGTTATCAACATTTCTCAAAACTCCATTCATTTGATCAATTTTCACATTAATTTCACCACTTTCAATCAATTCAATTACGATTTTTTCAATCTAAAATACGAGCTCCGTATAAATATATTAAACACAAAAAAATCGAGAAAAACTAACCTCTTTTACAGTATATCCCAAAGATTTTGACATTGTATCTAATCTGATTGTTGAATATGGTTTCAAATATTGAACAACACATTTTTGTCGAATTTTTGAATATAATTCGTTTATATGTTGAGATATGAATGGATCAAGAAGAAGGCGTTGTTGGACACTTGTCAGAAGTTCAAAACATTTTCCAAAATTTGATGAAATGTAAGATGTTAGAATTTCAAAGAATTGCGGTTCCGATTCAAGAAGTTTTCTAAAAAAAAATCATTATTCAGAAATCCATACTAACTACATTCAATTCTAGAAAATTCATACCTGAATGTTCCCTTTTCCATAACTTTCTTCAATTCTGTTCGACTAAATGTTGCCAAACAACATAACAATGCATAAATTCCTAAATCAGCAGGAGTTACAAACCATTTCGCTTCCAAATTATCCATCGAAATTTCCAATACTTTTTCAGCCGCCTGTTTGAATTCTTTCGCTCGAACTTTGTTGATTGCTTGAACAGCGAGCACTTTTGCCAATGCGGACTCAACTAAAATTCTATTAGATTGCTGATTGTTTGCGTGAACAATAGCATCTCTCTCAATCATAAAGATTGCATTTTCATTTCTTTGTGATGAAGAAGAATTTGCTCTTTCAGCTTTTTCAGCATCTCTGATTGTTTTAGCAGCTTGATTAGACATTAGTTCAATTTTCGAATAATCACCAACAACAATTGAAATTTCGAGCCAATTTGTCCACATCTATAATTTGTTCAAATGAATCCCCGTTTTTATTCTCACAAATAAACTTACATTAATTGAATGTTTGAATTGAGTGCAATAATCTCTAATTCCTCTTGCATACAATCTCAAACAATCTTCAAATTGTCCAGCTTTCATATAATGTTGAAATAATTCTTCCATTGCTCTTCTAGTTGATTCTTTAACTCCTTCATCTTTTTGTCGTTTATATTCTCCTTGTAATCCATCAAATCTTGATGATAAAATAAGCGATGTTTCATCAATCCATTTGCTATCAAATTTTGGCATTGGTAGAGCATTCGATTTTCCTTTACCTTGTTTGGAAGCATCATCGTCTTCAAGATCTTTGAAAAGTTGAGTGTATTTTGAAATATTCTGTGTTTCATCTCGAATATAATCAATCAATGCTAGAATAGCTTCACGACGAATTGGTGGACAATGATCGATAAGGAATTCAAGACGTAATTGTAATGCTATCGATCCATAGTTTGCTAGAATTGTTTCAATATCTACTGCTTCTGTGTTTACTTGCAAATCATAAACATGCGAAATATCTTCATCTCTTCTATCTGCATTTCCACAACCTCCCAAACTTTCTTGATTTTTAACTGTTTCTGCAACTGGTGTTACACTTCTTTCTTCTAATAAAACCATATCATCAAGTTGTTGAGAATCATCATTCTGAGCGGTATCCATATCAACCTGTAAATAACTCATTCGAAGACTAGAATCAGAAGAAACACAGTTCACTTACCCCAGCATTTTCTCGCTGTACATCCATCGGATCATCGACAATCTCCCCAGACATTTTTATTCCTTGATTTCGTCGAACTCACTGTGTTTTTTTCTAATAGAAAAATGCAATTTCGAGGAGACGCAGACACTCGCTGGTCTCGACACGCTGTGTGTCTGCCACACACTATTTCTCTCCCTTTTTCGACGAGAGATTCGTCTGCACACGTTAAAGTCTGCGTCTCCCTCGAATTGCAAAAAAAAATACAGTGAACTGAAACTTCAAGACTTTCAAAACGGAGAAAATAACAATTCAAGTGACATTTGCCATAGAGCGCGCTTGCACTCTTTTTCTCTGCACTCTCTCGTTTTCGTAGGCTGTTTCGAAGTTGATTTCAAATTTTCGTATTCTTTTTTTCTTTTTTTCAAAGCTCGCGCAGCTGATGCTTTCCAAAGAACAGGTAAGGGTTTTAGCTTATATTAACTCAATCGAAAATAATTCTAGACTGTAATAGAATGCGTCTGGAAATCAGAAACTGGAGATTTTGATCCACCGGATTTGGATGGATGTGATTTGGAAAAAGTGTCGGATCAATTGGTTTTTGCAGCAACTTTAACATCAAAATTCCAACAAAGATTTTTGGATTTTCTTCATCTTCTAGCAACTAATCAACTTATTACGTGGTGCCAGGCTTTGAAAAGCATCAAAAAGTTTGATGATTTTCAAAATTTCAATTCATTAATTGGTCTATCGAAAAATCTTGGAGATATAATTCCTCAAATTCAATCACATTCATTTCACGATACAGACGCAATTCAAAATTTTGTTGATACAATTTGTCAAACATTCACATGGCTTCTTGAAGCATCGAAAATTGCACTTCTTGAAACAAATTGGAATGAAGAAGATTCTCCTCCATATTTACATACTTTATCAGCTACTCACAAAATGGTTCATGATAAATTTTGTGGCAAATTAATTGGAATTAAAGAGAATTCTGTAGATTCGAAGTTACTTCGAGAAATTGATGAAATTTATAATGAAAATAAAGAAAGTGGATATGGAGATGATAGCGAAGTTATTGGACTTTTATTTCAACAAATAAAAGATAAATATCAAATGAACTTCATTACTGAAAAGTTCAAGAATTTAGATTGTAATCTGGATCTTTTCAAAATGGTAATTTTACTTTCTTTTTTTTTTACTTACTGATAATTTTTAATTTCAGCGGAATCCATCAATTCGAGTTCTCACAACTATTTTTTCTTGTTTTCGAGTTCTAGTTCCAGTTGAAGAAATTGCTGATATTTACTATGTTTATTCGCAACTTATGAAAATTTCTTTTGAAGACTTGGTATTCGATATGACTCATGCAATTCTTTTGATTCGTTCCGAAGAACATATCGATCTCGAATTTCTGCCAAAAAATCGTCGAACTGATTATAAATGGTATCTTGGAGTTTTCTTCTATATGAAAATGTCAAAAATTTGGTTAATGTTAGTAAAGAAATATGAACAACCGAAAGAAGACATTGTAAAAGCATTTCATCGAATTTTGAAAATGAAAATGGTGAGAAAAACAACAATTATATGAAAAAAAACAATATTTTCAGACTTTGGATATTGTTGATTTGGCTTGGCGAGATTGTTCAATTCGAAGTCTTGTGTCACAATTAATGACTGATCATCTTGTAGATGGAATTGATGCGAAAGGTCTTATTGAAACACGTCTTAGTCAAATGAAAACCAATCCAGATTTGGACAAACTTATCAGAGCTTCTGAATTACCAAAGAGTGATACAGACAGAACACCTTCTGATTATAGTGTTTTGAAAACAGCAGGCGAAACAGTATACTCTCTGCAAAGACCTCAAAATGTAAGTAATAATAATATTTTATTTAAAAAAAAAGAATGGGCCGAACCGGGGATTGAACCCGGGACCTCTCGCACCCAAAGCGAGAATCATACCACTAGACCATTCGGCCACGTTTCTTCGTATGTCAATTGCTAAAGATTATTCATTTACACAGTGTGAAATCAAGCTTTTCCGCGCGCGCGGAAAATTGTGTGTTTTTCTGCTAGCGTAAAGAGAAAAAGGAGAGAAACATGTGTGGTGTGAGAACTGTTTCAAATAAATTATTGAATTGTTTTAAAAAAATCGAATTCTTCGTGAATTACCAGAAAAAAACATATATTTTTTTAGTTACTACAAGAGAAGGTGATGGTTACTCTTCATTCGATGGTTGAAGCTGGTACTGCATTTGATGCAATAATTGCAAATCTGACAATTGACAACAAAATGACTGATTATACACATTTAATAGCAAATATCAATTTGAAAGCACAATCACCAAATATAAATATGGTGGATCGAGTTCAAACATTTGATTTTTCGTTTTTATTGTTGACAAGAATATCGATCAGATGGCCAAGTGTTGTGAGTTTTTTCAACTATTTTTTTGACAAGGATCTAGTGAATTTTTTTTTTTCTTAAATTGTTATTTTTAGTTTTTTTTAAAAAGAAAACATTCCAATATCGCTTCTTGAAATTTGTATTTCTAGAATTAAGTAAAAAAATAACCATGCATAAAAGTTTTGCAGTATTTAACTACAATACTCATAAAAATTACTGTTTATTTTTTACTTTTGGCACAAAATTTTATGCTGAAAAATCTGTAATCGGCAAAAAGAATGGGCCGAACCGGAGATTGAACCCGGGACCTCTCGCACCCAAAGCGAGAATCATACCACTAGACCATTCGGCCACAAGTTTCGCTATCTCGTTTTTCAAACACTATTTCGTAGCTTTTCAATCTTTCCGCGCGGAAAAATAAATAAAACTGGAAAATAAAACGTCTTGCGCGAACTGGATGCCTTCTGCGCAGAAAATGGTAAACATAGAAATTCCTCCCCTCTCTCTCTCTCCTTTTACCTTGTTTTTTTCCGCGCGCGCGGAAAGACGAAGCTTGCGAAAAAATAGTGTTTGAAGAATGAGATAGCGAAACTCGTGGCCGAATGGTCTAGTGGTATGATTCTCGCTTTGGGTGCGAGAGGTCCCGGGTTCAATCCCCGGTTCGGCCCATTCTTTTTTCTGATTTTTTTTTACAAATTTCAACAAAAAAATTTAATTCGATAAAATAGAATTCAGAATTACATACATTGTTTATTTTGTACAAATTCTATTATCATGTTACAACTAGAATATCTCCAGGTCCGTAATAATTTTTCGAAGTTTTCTATTCTCACATTTTTTCAGCCAATAAAATTGTTGGTGAATTCGACAGCAACAACAACAGAAGCAGAAACTGAAGGAATTTTTTATCAATGGGCCACGAGATTTATGAAAAGAGTTCGAAAGGTGAAAACAAAGACGAGCGACGAGAAAAACGAGGAGAAAAATGAAGAGGAGGATAAGAAAGAAGAAGAAAATGTTGAGATAAAACAGGAGGAGGAAAAAAATGAAAGTGAAAAGAAAAAAGAGGATGAGGAAAAGGAGAAAGAAATTGATGATAAGATAGGAGGATTAGAAAATAAAGAGGAAGAAACAGTTGGAGAACAGAAAAATGAGGAAAATATGGAAATTGGCGAAAAGAAAGAAGAAAAGGAAGAGAAAACTGAGGAAGCAGAAAAAACCGAAAATTTAGAAGAGAAAAAAGAGGAGGAAATCAAGATGGAAGAAGAGACAAAACCAAAGGAGGAAAAAGAAGAGGATAAAATCGAAGGAATAGAAAATATCGAATCAAATGAAAATGAAGTGATGAAAGAAAATGAAGAAACTAAAAAAGAAGAAAAAAATGAAACAAAAAAAGAAGAAAAAAATGAAACAGAAAAAGAAAAAGTAATTGAAGAAGGCGAAGAAGAAAAAGTACAAGAAACTGATCCACCATTGCCATTTGTTGATAAAGAAACTGCTTTGAAATATCTCGCAAAACTTAAAGAAAGAGAGCCAATCAGTGATAATAGTGATAACTTGTTAGATATTCCTCCTCTCATTCATGCAATTCCAGTTATTGGAGAAATATTGTTGGAAGAATTTGGTGGGAAACGAGTTGATAAAGAGAATTCAGTTGAAAATATTGTCAATATTTTATTTGCATTGCAAGAATTATCGTGTCTGTTTATTTGTCTTGTTCAGTGGTTGGATTGTCAAAAAGATTCGGGAGCCAGAAGAAGTTTGGCATCTGCAATGCTTCAAGCTTTGGAAAAATGTGCAGATGATAAAACAACTAAATGGGTTTATATTCTTGATATTCTTCGACAAACAATGATTGAGATGTCGGAGAAAAATCCAGTTTATCCAGAAGTAACATGCACTGCATTTAGCACATCACGTCGATATTGTCCAGGAATATTGAGAGATGAAGTTCCGGATTTGGTTAAAATGAAAAGTGCTTGGTATTATATGCAAAATCATGGATGGGCAACACCGCATGCATTAAGAATATTGGAACAATCAAATAATGCTGGAGAATATAATTTATGGATACATTTATATATGAATAAAACAATTAAAATGGGATGTGGCGATGAAATGATGAAATGTGTTGATATGATTGCTGCATTTTTAATATTGGATCCATTTAATTGTTTAATCAGAATGCATGAGGTGAGATCATTCGGGAGAAAATATTAACGCGGATTTTTAAGAGTTTTTTTTTTCACAAAAATGGAATAACTCAGAGAAACAGGCTGGAGAACTGGCGGAGAAAACGACATGTCGGCGAACTCTAGGACAACCGGCGGAGTGTCTCACCTACACTATTTCGCCGAAACTTTTGTCCACCGGTTGTCCGAAAGTTCGCCGACAGGTCGTATTCTCCGCCGGTTCTCCAGCCCATTTCTCTGAGTAATCCTGCGTTTTCCCCATATACATACATAATGGTAAAATTATTTGTTTTTTTTAAAGATTAACCGTCGGAGGTACTAAAATGCCTCCCTCCCGGTGTTTCTCATATATCTACAATATCTATAAAAACACGACCTCAAAAAACCATAAAAATTTCCAGAATCTTTACGAATTTTGGTTCTCTGAAGAAGCGAGCAAAACAAATGATGATCGATTTGATCCAGCCTCACTTATGCCAATTATTCGAATTATGACAAATGTTATGATGTTATCAGTTTGGGCTTTGGAACAACAACAGAAAAAGTGCGGTGAAAATGAAGAACCGCCGGCCAAAAAATCGGCGCTTGATGAACAAATTTCGACACCCGAAATGGATGATCCAGATTCGCCAAGAAAATGGGCACATTTATTAGATGGTTTGATTGATGTTACTATTAATCGATTCAGGAAAACGTTGAGAGAAGGTTGGATTTTTTTCTGTTTTTTTTTTTGGGGGGGGGGGGGTAACTGTAGCTTTAACAAAAAATAACCAAAATAGTTTCAAGATTCATAAGTAGAATTTTCCCAAACTGGGCTTATTTTTGGGAGACGGAAAATCATTTCAAAAAATTATTTACGCATTTGAAAATTTTAGGAGTTCTTTCTCCTGCTGTTTGTGCAATCAGTCATCTTATGAACTCAATTGCTGGTGCTCCAGAATGTCGTGCAAAAGAACTTCTTGTAAAAAGAATTGACCCGATACTGGTTAGTTCAGCCAGAATCATCACTTTTCAATAAATCAATTTGTTTTCCAGATTTTTGAACTTGCTTATATTGATCCATGTTGTGTGACTTATGAAATGCTCCAAGAGTTTTGCGATCCTCAAAATGAGCAACACAATCGGGAAAAGTTACGGTTTCTATGTGCGCAGAGAAGAAGAAATGTTATTTGAATGTACAAAGACAATTTATTATTTATTTTGCATTATTTATGAAAATATTAAGAAAATGAGAACAACCCGCAAAATCACAAATAATAATTAGATAGGAAGCAAATTGGAAAAAAAGGATAGTTATGGATTGCAGAGATCATTTCAATTTTCAGAGAAAACCTGCACCAAATTTGAATTCGAAAGAAAAAAAAAACAGTTGGTTTCTTTTTAAACTTCAGGTTTTTGCACAGTTTTTGTTGCATCTGTGGATTCTTGTGAAGTGACTGATGCTTTTTTCGATTTTGCCCACCATTGAACTTCAGTCGAACCCCAAATATTGAAAATTACGATTGGGAAAACAGCGATTACTGTAGAAATATAGAACACAAGATTCCATTCAGCAGCTGTCCGATCCTAAAAAAACATTATTTGGATATTGTTATTTGAAATTTGAAATTTCTAGCCATATTCAAGATAAAAACTCACTCTAACAATCATTTTGGTGATAATTGGATGAATAATTCCGGAAACAGCGACAAAGAAGAACGTGAAACCAGTAACAGCTCCAGAATAAGCTGGAGCAACTGAAACCAAAGCCAATTGACATCCAGGTGTATGAAGACCAGCTGAAGCCATTGAAAGACAAAGGAAAAGAACAGCCATCCAAGCATGTGATTTATCCAAGAAAGTTGCGGCAAGTAAGAAGACTCCAAGACCAATTGATCCGATTGAGTTGAGAACCTAAAATGTTCCATTTTTTGAATACTCTGACCAGATCTGGACTTCATTTAACTAACCTTGCAAATTGTATCTTTTTTCCATGTGGTATTCTTTTGCAACCAAGTATTCAAATAACTTGATCCAATTTTTGCGAACCACAATGAAACAGTTGGCAAAGCACTCAAAATACCATTTTCAGTTGAATGATAATGATGAACATCGTGCAGATATGAAGGAAGGAACATAATAAGTGTCATAAGTGGAAATTCATGACAAACTAGAGAAATAACAGAAGCCCAAACTGCTCCAGATTTCAAAATATTCTTCCACGGAACACTTCTTTCAGTTCGTTTTTTACCAACATCTTCAGATTGATTTGAAATTGTGATAAATTTGAGTTCATTATCCGAAATACAACTTTGTTTTGATGGTTTATCAGCACCAAGGAAAATATAAGAAGCGATGAAAAGAACACCAATAAATCCAGATAAATAAAAGATTGATGGCCATCCTCCAAATATTTCAGTTTGTGAACAAAGTGCTCCGGCAGCTGGAATAATAATAAGTGTTCCAATTTGTCTTCCTCCAGTCGCAAGTCCTAATGCATAACTTCTTTCACTTGTTGGAAACCATCTTGTGATCAATGAATTCATCGCTGGTTGCAATAATGCGTCAGCAAAACCAACTAAAAATCGACTGAAAATTGCCCAATAAACACTGATTGGAGCAAGCATTGGTAGGAATATATTAGCAATTGAGGCAATAAAAACGGAGACAAGGATCATATATTTGGCATTGAATTTATCAGCCATTCCACCAGTAAAAAGCATAACAAGAAGACCAGCATTGAAAGCTGAGAATATATATCCTTGTTCATCAGAAGACCAATCAAGAAGTGGAGCCGCATCAGATGGATAAGTTTCATTATCATATGTTACTGATGAATTAACCATACATACAATTGCCATTCCCATATTACTATTCATCAAATGAACACTGAAAAAATAAAGAGATTGTTTTCAGATATCAGGGATGGTTTCTCAAATTATTGTTTAAAAAAGACCAATGCAGCCAAAAATTATTCGATCTACCATTTCTATGATCCAGCTGAATTTCAAGAATCTTCTGATTTTGTTTAACTTACCATCCAAAACAAAAACAGAGCATAATCGATGTCATAAACCTCCAAGATGGAAACCATCTATGAGTAATTGGTCTTGAAAGTGGAATACCAGATGGAAGTCCATCGCTGATCGGATGAACCGATGACATTGAACGAAGTAATTGATCTGAAATATCAAAAATATATTTATGAAAAAACCCCAGAAGTTTTTCGATTTTCTTTGGGGAAACTACAAAAAGAGGAATTGAGTTAACATGAACTACTACTAGTAAATTTCAACTGATTTTATAGTGCTCATCTTTTTCTCTATTTCTCTTGCACACTTTCTTCCGCGCACCTTCTTTTTCCTCCAAACAAACATATATTTACACCCGGAAAACCGGATCACATCAAGTATAAGTATATCAGTATACTTTTACCCGGTAAGCAGCAAAAGAACAAAAAAAACTGACAAGATGATAAAAAGTTCAATGGGAAAATTTTTGCAAGTTACTGGTTTTGGTTCATTGTTGAACTTCTTGTAACTTTTATATGAGTTGAAGTAAGTTAGAGTAAAATTAGAATTGATGTCACTTTCAAGTTTTGTTTTTTGAAATTTTTAACTTTGAATCACAATTTCTCGAGAGAACCTGATTTCTTGTTTAAAAATTTATTTTTGTATCAATATTGTGCCAACAATATTGTAAGCTGATTTATTTTTCAAGTTTGAGAGTTTTGGGAATTTAGAACTTTTGTGGATGTTTTTTATTTCAATTTTTGAGTTCTCAACATTTCTGAAATCCAGATTTTTTCGAATTCGAAATTGAGTTTCTTTCTGAGTCTTGCCCTAAATAATTTTTAGAAATGAACATTTTTACGGAATTTTCCGAATTAAAATATTTTTAGAGTTTATATTCTGGAATCTGGAATTGTTCAGATTCCATCAGGGTTACAATTATTTTTGCTCAAAAAATTAAATTTTGGAACATTTCAAGCTAAATTTCACACTAACTATGAAGCTTTAACAGCAAAAAAATTCAGAATCAGAACCAAAAACAAAAATGAGTTGGGAACATCTAAAATCAAATCTAACTGTCAAATGACTTGTGTGCTTAAGCGCGCTCGCGTCAAAAAAAAAAGTATTTCGTGCATTTTTCCGGAAATTAACCGCGCCTGCCAATAACATGATCAAGGACCAGATTTCTACTTAATTAATTAATCTCTATAATATTTTCATTGACGTTGAAACTTTTTCAAATGGAACTTACCAGGATTATCAGATTTGAAGTCTGTCGACTTTAGCGAATCCGATATTTTGACAACTAAACTAGGTGTAATTACAACCATCTAGAAAATCGAATAAGAAGTGAATCGAATCGAATCGAGCAAAAAATACTACGAATCACTTAACAAGACTCTCATTTATATACAAATGATCATCAGTATTGTTTGCTTGTTTTTGGGATCCAAAATGTATCGTGAGGTTGTTGTTTTTGTTGACAAAACGAGGAAAATTGAGAAGAAATAAGAGAGGAAAAGGAAGAAGAGCAAGAGTCGAAATTGATACCATTTTTGATAAATAAAAAGTATACGGAAACATGTTGATAGACGATTACATTAATCGCAATGGTTATTTTGAGTTGGTCACGTTTTGCGTTTGTTGCGAACTTTTTTTGTGATCTAGAACTTTTGATTAGTTTTCGGAACAACTTTGAAGTCATGTTTGCTATCGGAAACATTTCCTATTTTTATTTTATATTTATGAAAAATCTTTGAATTTTGAAACTCATCTTTTGAAAAGATAAAACGAATTTCATAATGTTAACATTTTTAAGTGGAGAACTCGAAAATCACAAAATCATTTCATTTTTCATATATTCTCGCCGAAAAAACTTTGAATCTGCTTATCTTCAGACTCGCAAAATAATCCAAAATCCATATTAAATTTTATCTTCAATTTCATTTTTTTTGAGACACGTTTGTTATATTGGAGCCCATTAAAAATCTCATTTAACAACTTTGAACTTTCTTCGAAGATTCGTCAGGTGTTCAAAATAATTATTTTTTTGGAGATTTTTTGAATGGACGTTACTTCAAAAAATGAGAAGATCAATTTTTCTGAACTCTGAGAGAGTGATTATTTTGAATGGACTTCTTCAAATTCAGCAAAATTAAATTCAAAATGAAACTGTTTCAACTAAAATGAAGCAAAAATTTGACGCCAAAACTTGCTTAGCGTTAGAAATAAAAAATTATTATTGTCTACAGTAATCAAAAATTTCGAAATTATTATTTTTATGATTTTTTTAGATGTTTTAAAATCAAATATCTCCTAATCTATAATTTTTTATAGAACTCGAGAGAACAATTAGAAAGCAAGTTCAAAAAAAATCCATAAACGCTTTATTTTCCAAACGGCTCGCAACTTTTTTTTCAAAAATTACTTGGTTTTATTGCTTCAGTTGACTCTGTCTCACGTCAGAATTGAGATTCTTCGTATTTTTTGAAAATTTCATTTATCAAACTCATAAACTACCGTACCCATTACAAATTTTCCCTATTCCACTTTTGGTCATACAAATTGTCATGCTCATCATCTTATTCCACGCTTCATTTTTTGCTCCTGATGATGATGCGTTTTTCTACGTAATCTACATACACAAATGACGTATAATTCTCAAAATCTCTTCATTTTCCATAATATTCTCATCTTAATTTTTCTTTCCGTATACGGAATGTGTGTTGGAATGATTGTTTAGTGCGCACGGCACCGAACAGTCTATTGTTTTGTTGATTTTCGAGAAGGAGAACATGATGAAAAAGAAGATTCTTGTTATGTTTTAAGTACTTTTTGTGTGTGACGATAACTGACCACATGATGAAATCCGAACGAACATATGTAAAAAATTGGAAATGAAAAAAAAATACTTTGGAGCAGATCTGACTCGATGTATAGTTTTGTCCTCGTGTACTTTAGATAAATATTTCCCCATTAAATTAGTGTGATTTATCCCTTCTCATCTTGTTCAGAAGTGTAAATATTAGTTAGGTGAATGCGAAAAAAATTGTGTTTGGAAGAAGATGAATGAAAAAATGCAGAAGCAGAAAGAATCAAGTATAAAAACAAATATTTTTCAAATAATATTTTGTTGCTTTTTGACAGTTATTTGTTTGTAAAAACAATGAGAAAACAACAGAATAAATAGGAAAATAAAGGTGACTTTTGATTGGAACTTTTTAAACAAGTTATCTAGCAATTCTGGTCTGGAAATCAAATATTTTGAGATAAATTTCAGATGGTCTCTAATTTTTGAAAAATAAAAATTCAAACGAGAATCTTAATAAGTTTTTTTGGAATTCATTTTGAAAATGAAGATCGAACACAGTTCGTAATGAATTATGAAATATGAAGTTTTCCAATTTTCAGAATTCCAACATTTTTACATCTTACTGTAAATTTTTAATAGAATAAGTTACGAGTCATCGATTAATTTCATGGCGAAATTTTCATCTGATCATGAATTTAAAACATTTCGCTTCGTTTTAAAATTAAACAGAATCAGATGAAAACCGGAAATTATGTTCCCAATATTTACAATGAAAATTTGAAAATTTTGAGAAAAAAATATTTTTAAAATTCAACAAATTTTTGGTAGCTTAAATTAATATCACGAATATTCAATTTTTCAGAAAAAACTCAAATTTTTATCAAATCCTTTTGCACAAACTGTTTTCCGAATTTTATACGGAAATAGTTTCCAAATCAATTTCCACCTTGAATTTTTTCTAATTTTTTTGCGTTCTAGGAAATCATAAATAAAAAATTTGCAACAGTAGAATAAAAATATTCTCTCAATTATCTTAGATTTTATTTCTCCTGTTCTAAACTAAAATTTCCGAAACTATTTATATTATCTATTTATCGCAACTTCAAAGTTCCACCCCCTAAAATTACCAAAACTCTCAACTTTCTTACATCATCTTTTTTTCACGAAAGTACTAATCTAAATAAAATAATCAACTTTTTCGTTTTTTTTCCGCTGCGCAACGCTCCCGCGTGACACTTCACGTCCGGTTTATCAAGTCAAGTCGGCTGCTTCGACAGAAAATATGCAAATATAACCGCTTACCTGTATCTTTATGCATACTGTATCTGATAATCAAGTTTTCAAAATCAATTTGAACCGAAACTTCAAGAAAGATCTAGTTATAAATAACAATATAAAAATAATAACAAAAATACGAATATGTTATGTTATGTGCAAAAGTTATCGCAGCTTTTGCCCAGCTCCGCCCATTCCCACATTTTCCAAAATATGTATGTGAAAGGGGGGTCGACTCCACCCTTTCGAACAACTCTGCGTCTCGGGAATGGATGTTTTTTTGTGTGTGTGTGCGTGTTTGTGCTTCTCCCGTAACTTTTTCCTGCTTCCTGCCTTTTCTTGCCTGCCATGGGTCATCGTCATTATCGTTATGATGATGATGATGATGATTGTGATATGTAGAAAAAAACGAGAGAGAAAGATTGTGAGAGATGAGAGAGAGTCACAGAGAAAGACTGGTCTTGTGCTCGCGTTGGCTGCGCATCTCAGTTTTGCCGCGCACCTCATTTATAAGCCATACGCTTCGCCTCATTCCGTCGACTTCTTCATCTCATTTTCGTATTAGTTTTTCTTGTTCCGCGCGCGCGATTTCATGCACTTTTCATTGGTAGATACTGTAGTTTTTTCTAGGTTTAGGTTTTGAACTTGATAGAACGCAGTATTTCTGAATTTCAAAATCAAACTAGATTACTGTAGTATTCTGAATTTTCAATTTTTGAATCAAAATTTCACTGTTTTTCATCACGTTTTTAAAAACTTGCTCCAGGTATAGATTCTTAATTTTGAAAAAATCGCATTTTTTTAAGTTTCATGGTTTTTTTAGAACTATCTAGAACTTTTTAGAACTATCAAACTTTAACTGAAAACTATTGTCGAATATTATTTATCTCGTTTCTATTCGCTAACTCTTTTTTATTTTTGCAGGTATGTGTGGAATATGGGCGATAATCGGAGAACAACCAACCGCCCAACAACAAGATGCTTTTATGAAAATCGTTGGCCGCGGGCCTGATTTGACGGTTTTAGAAGAAGTTCAACCAAATGTCAATTTAGGATTTCATAGACTCGCAATTGTTATGGTGAGTAATTGAGCGTCCAAAGATAAGATCATAAGATGATATAAGTTTCAAACTTTGTAAACTAAAACCTTTGATCTGACAGCTATCACTTCAGCAAAAGAACATTATGTGACACGATTAATAGCCAGTCGTAATTGGTTTTTTTTCAAATCTTTCTTACAACACCGTTTGGATATTACACAGCATGATAATAAAAATTGAGAGTTTTCGGAAAAATTAAGTTTTTTTTGTAGCCTGGTGATACGCCAAGTGCTCAACCAATTGTTGGTGGTGGTTTATCGGTGGTTTGCAATGGCGAGATTTATAATCACAAAAGTCTTAAGGTATGGATTTTCAGAGAATTTGAGCAGTTGGGAAACATTTTTTTGTAGATCGACTGTCCTTATACTTTGAAGAACGGCGGTAGTGATTGTGCTGCTATCATTACATCATTCATCAAGCATGGTAAGATCAGAACTCTGAAAAAACAATTAAACTGATTTAAAATAAGATCCAGACGCATTTTTTGTTAAAATAAAGTTTGAAAATTTGGAATCACTTCACTTTTTTTCATGAAATTTCCGAGAATTGTTTTTTTATTCCTTCAATTTTAAACTTTTCCAGATCAAGATCTTAAAGAGACTTGCGCTTCTCTTGATGGAGTTTTTGCATTTATTATGGCTGACTCAAAAAATGTTTACATTGGAAGAGATCCAATTGGAGTTCGCCCACTTTTCTATGGCTACAATTCAAGAAATTCGCTAATTATCGGATCTGAAGTCAAATGTGTTGAAGAACTTTGTGAACGTGTTGAATATTTTCCACCAGGATGTTGTGCAACAATCAATCTTCAAAATTGGTCCAAACCAATTCAACCTCAACAATATTATTCGGTTCCGAGCACTGCTGATAGATTTTTATCAATGGAAAGCACTCAAACTTTGGTTCGAGATATTTTGGTGAAATCGGTTGAGAAAAGACTCATGGGAAATCGTAATTTTGGATTTATGTTATCTGGTGGATTGGATTCATCATTAATTGCTTCGATTGCAACAAAGTTTTTGAAACAGAAACCAATTGCATTTTCTGTTGGATTTGAAGATTCACCTGATTTGGAAAACGCGAGAAAAGTTGCTGATTATTTAAAAATTCCACATGAAGTTTTGGTTATCACACCAAAACAATGTATTGATATTATCCCAGGTAAAAAATGTTTTGAGAGACACTTTCACTAATAATTTATTTTTTCAGAAGTTGTATATGCTCTCGAAACTTTTGATCCTCTGATTATTCGATGTGGAATTGCTCATTATCTTCTTTGTCAACATATCTCAAAAAGTTCTGATGTCAAAGTTTTATTATCTGGAGAAGGAGCTGATGAATTATTTGGAAGTTATGCTTATATGCAAAAAGCTCCAAATGCTCTTCATCTTCACAAAGAAATTCTTCGACGAATGCATTATTTACATCAATACGATGTTTTGAGATGTGATAGATCAACTTCTTGTCATGGATTAGAAATTCGAGTTCCATTTTTGGATAAGAGGTTGGCTCAGAAACCCTGACTCTCAAGACATTTATTGATTTTTTTCAGATTTATCGATCTCGTTTCTCGACTTCCACCAACCTATAAATTAATTCCAATGAAACTTGAAAAACATATTTTAAGATCAGCTTTCGAAGGTTGGCTTCCAGAAGAAGTTTTATGGAGAAGTAAAGAAGGATTCGCTGAAGCATTAGGAAAAACAGATCTTGGAGATATTCTTATTGATTACTGTAATAATATGATTGACAAAGATTTATATGCAAAACGAGCTGAAAGATTCCCTGACAGAACACCAGAAACAACAGAAGAATATTGGTATAGACAGATTTTTGAGGATACTTTTTCATTCGATAAAATGGGTCACTTGGTACACACAAAAGTTTACAGGTTGGTAGAGTTATTAGAAGCTGAATTAAAATTTTTTTTTTCAGAACTGCTGCCTGGCATTTGCCAACAACTGAAGAGAAAGAAAATGAAGAAGAAACTCAAGAATATCTCAATCTTCCAAGAACTTCGAGTATTTCAACTGGTGTTGCCTAATCTCTCTTATTCTTTTGTCCAATGTTTTTTTTTCATAATTCAAACTGTATTTCATTTCTTATTTTTTTTCTGAATCAATCTTCCCCGTGCCTTTCCTTTCTAGTCCCGGTTTTCTTTTCAATTAGTCATCGATTAGTCTCAACTTTTTCAATTGGAACATAATTAATATTTATTTTTAATATATATTATTTATGGTTGTTTGTATGTATATTTTTTCATGTTTATAGGTTCGATTTCATTTTTTCTTCTTCAGTGTTGTGACAAATGTTTTTATTTTTCATAATTTTTTCTAACTGGCTATAACATTCAAATAAACAATAATAATAATAATATACTTATCAAAAACCGGCTCATAATTCAATTCTGTACATGAGAGCAAAAAATGAGAGGGAGAGAGAGAGAGAGTTCCGGATAAATATATCAAGTCGAATCAAATCAAACAATCTACTAATATTGTTGATTTTGACGTATAAAGGCCAATGTGAGATTTTTATAAATGATAGTTTTTTCGAGTAGCAGACATTTAGGCGCGCGGGCGAACGATAAAGTACAATTTCATAATAAATTTTGTGTGTGTGGGAGATGGATAAAATGGAATGTTGAGAGCATTACGAGATTAGAAAAAAGAAAGGGGGAGATAAATTCTTTGGTTTTTTCGAGAGCCTAACTAAATTTTTGCACGTTTGTATGTAGAAAACTTTAGAGTTTTCAGGAAATAAGGGTTTGAAAACATAGAGACAAGAATTCTACAGTACCCAATACATAATAGTATACTTTAGCTAGGCTTCTGATTGATTGGGTTACTGTAGCCGCGGAAGTTCTGGAACTGTTTTTGTAGTATTATGAGTCTTTACAAATATTGCTCATTTCAGTATTTCAAAACTCTATAGCCGTAAGAATATTTCAAAATTCACTCAAAAGTAAACAAAACATTATATTTATTTTCTTAGCTTTTCTTTATTAGTCAACCTCGATTGAGATCCTAAAGTCCAAAATGATCACGAAATTTTTTTTTGGGAATTATAAATTTCAGGGACTTTTTGTTTTTCGAAACACGAAAAAAACAATAATATTTGTGTTTTAACATGGCAGGTGTGCAAATTTTTCGGAACTTCTATAAATTCCAGATTTTTCTATTTTTTATTAGAAAAAAACAAACTATGAAATCCTCTGCTTTTTTGGTTCTTGCAGCTATGAATGTTCTTGTAGATTCTGAAATAAATTCGAATTTGAAGTGAGTTGAACATATTTGAAATCACTGAAAGATGTTTTTAGATGTGTAGATGTTTCAATGGAATGCGAATATCGTGCTAGATATTGTTATAATCCAAATTACACCGGATTGATGTTTAAAATGTGTAGAAGTACTTGTGATTGGTGCCATACTTCTTTAGATGGAGCGTTGAAAAGAGTTCGAAGACAAGTGAAAGATCAGAGTTTGGAATTTGAAGATATAGGCGATTCACAAAATTCATCAGTGACTCCAACGGGTAAGTTTGTCATCAAATATTTTCGGAGTGTTTGTACCCAAGGAAATGATCAAACTAATTTTACGTTTCACTTCATTTTTTAATTCAATAAAATTCAGGCACATGCATGGATCATTCTCAAAAATGTGAAGCTACAGCTGCACTTTGCACTTCGTCGAATTATCAATCAATAATGGCAATAAAATGCCCAAAAACTTGTGGAGTCTGTTAACTAATTTATTTATTAACCTTCGTTTTTTGAGCTATAAACTTTATTTGAACTCAATAACATCTCCCTTATTTCTCGGCAAGGCTATTTTCAATTTTAATGTACAATAAAGAGCTTTTATGTTAATTAAGGGTGTCAGGCAGCTTCGTGAACTTCGACTTTTGGGATTTTATGATGTCCGTGTTGTTTTGGAGAATACGTTACTTTCCAAATTTCAGCTAAACATGCTGAGCTATGAAATCGGTAGAATACGACAAGAGGAGAAGAAACATATAAAAGCACTGAATAATTTGAGGAAAGATTTGTTGGAAATCCGAAACTTGATTCGATTGCTGCAAAAATTGAGATGTTTTTGGATACGTTTCTTTTCAAATTCTTACTTTCATAAGTGTGGAATAAAAATAGAGTCAAATTACAAATGAGCATGAAAGTGATTGTTTGTTTACCAGGTTGTGCCAGAACACTTGATTTGTTTAAACAGCGAAGTCTGCAAAAAACCAAATAATTAAAGTTACTGTAGGCAACAAACCTTGAGGATATAAGAATGAATACTGATTGAATAATTACTTGAATAATACGAACAGTAAACACAATAACAACTAAACAAGGTGGACTTTCACTATTTCTCTTTTCATGAATATAAACATCTAATCCAGTACAGCAATATATAACTTCTCCAGCTAAACCAACAATAAGAAGAATTTCATCAATAACTTCACCGTGTGAATGAAGACGATATTGGAGGCGACGCATTCTATAGAAATAAAAACATGTTGAGAGTACTGTATGTAGGCTGTGTCAATTATTTACCTGAAGAGCGCAAATATAACTGCTAGACCTGTTATGATAAACATAACTAATTGACCATATCCAATAACATCATCAGCTGATTGCCCTTGTGAATCTTTGTTGAAAATGATTGTCATTGCAATACAAACCAAAGATGCGATAAATATCAGCAAACCGGCGAATATTCCTATTGTTGTTCTTTTACAATCAAATCGAATCATTTTCTTTCTTCCTTCTCGATGTGTTTCATCTCCTTTATATTTCCAAATAATGAAACAAACTGCAGCTGCAATCAGCGAGAATTCGACCTGAGTTGTGAGCAGAAAATTAGCAGCACTTCCCAATTTTGTGAGTACACGCATTTCTTGTTCATCATTCTGAATCAGGAATTGGAAATCGTTTTTTCTTGTTTGAAAACTCACTCTGAAGGTAGCACTGGCTAAACTTTTTTCAGTTGTTGCATCATAATAATAAGAATCATATGCATTTGTTGTATAATTTGAAGTATAATTTGTCGATTTCTTAGCTTTTTTCAAAACTTTATAATTAGTTTTAGCCATACACAAACTAATCCAAGACCATAAATTGACTGCAATACAATGCATCATACCAAAACTTGCCAAGAAATCGGTTTTCTTCAATTTAATTTTTGAATTACAAAATAAGAAGTGAATTTGGATAAATGTAAAAATAACTGCCAAAATATATCGAGCAATCCACGAAGCATTCCGTTTTTGATCATAAAAACATAGAAATATTTCAGTTCCATAAAGAACACTTCCAAAAAGACCAAAAAGAAGAGCACCGAGTCGGAGATAAAGAGTTCCAGCACCTTCGCCATCGTGTTTCGGTTGTTCAAATGTACGGATCTGAAAGAAAAATTTGCGAGGATTTTAAAGGCTACAGAAAGTAGATTACCTTGATTTCAAATCTTGCCGTGAATTTCTCAATCAGATAATTGAGAGCTTGCGGATAAATAATGAAAAGATACAAGTGAATGAAAAATGCAATTGAGATACTGTACATGAGAATACAGAACGCCTGTAAAAAATTTCAAATTCTATGCTCATTTAATTAATTGATTACCGTATAACAATTAGACATTCCTCTTGATTGCCACGTCGATGATAATTCAATAACCAATGAAACAATAACCAAAACAAATGCATACATTGCACTGATTACATTAAAACAAAAAACTCTGCAAAAAATGGTTTACAAATATCTAAGCCCAAGGTATTGTTTTCCTACTTTGCTCGATTATTTTTATACCATTCAGGATGTTGTATATCATCTTCGAATTCAGAAGATGTTGTCGAAAGCATCGAATCAATCGATGTTTTAACACCCAATCTTTCTAAAAAAAAAAACATAAGTTGAAGAGCTATAATTTATGCAAGAAAACTCACCATGCGGCATCTTTTCGTTTTACAAAAATGTTGAAATTTTGTCGAGTTAACTTAACTCAAATAATGTAAGTAGTTCAGGTACAAACTGTTTGAACTCCTCCCTGTCGAGAAAAAAACATAACATACAAAAAAAGTTCAAAGGTGAAAAAAATTCAGTAAATATTTGAGAGCTGCGTGTGAACACAGAAATATTTCGAGTATGTATGTATGTTGGACAGACGAAGAAACTCAGAATCTAATGTCAGATGCCATTTTTGGATCTCTGAACTATTGAACTAATAAATGTTTGTAATTTTTAATAGTCATGTGATCTTTGAAAAAAGGAGAGTTATTACAGTTTTCAATTCAAAAGTTATTAATTCATGAGTATTTGCTCAATCAAGGTTGTTCTCTAATGTTGACCGACACGTGCCCCCTCAACAAAAAAATGAAGGAAAAGAAATATACTGTAACAAGAAAATATTAGGCATAGTTCAGAACACAATAAAGAAATTAAGGTGAATCGTAGAACAGGCCCTCGCCGATAATATTAGCTTACGTAAAAATAATTGAAAAAAAGAGCCCCGAAAAATGTAGGAACCCAATTTTCTTAATTTTTATCATCAAAAGCTTAGTTTTCTCAAAAATGGTACGTATTCGAAATTTTCAACTTCAGAATAACATTAGGAAAGCCTGGCATATTATTTTTGGAGAAGTGTTTCACTTTCCGAAAAATTAGTCAGAACCATCAAATACAATCAGTCAAAAATCAGTTCATCAAAAGTTTCATTTATTGTTTTCATATAATTCTGTGTCTAGCCAAGTATTTATACTTTTCCTTAACACAAAATTGTGGGTTGGATACTTCTTTCATTTGTTTGTGAAGATGTTTGTTCCCCCCACACATCATTTCAAACTTTTTTCTTGAAAAATAAAGCGCAAAGTTTATCGGAACATCATGTCTAAATTTTTGCAGACAATTAGTAAATTGCAGAGCCCACTAACAACTTAAAAAATAAAAACGCGGAAAAAATACAAACTTTATCAAGTCAACCAACTTGTTCTAACATTGTCCGAATTTTTGACTTTTTTATTTATACCCGATCCAAAACGCCTCTCATTTTAAATCTAAAATAAAATAAACAAGTATAACATCATCGTCAAAATTCATTTCAATTTCTACAAAAATCAAATATATTATTTACTGATCGAATTAACTTTTTGTATCAATAAATCGTAGTTGTTTTCATTTTGTAGATTTTCCACAATTTTTCGGATTTTCTTGAACTCTTCCTCATTTTCCTTGTTTCCTTTTTGCATATACATCCAAGCTGTGATCATTTCAATCAAATATCCATTATTTTTTCCAATATTTCGACCATTTCGACAATTTTCAATCACATTTTTTGGAAATATTGGAATCTCTTTGATAGGAATTGAAAGCGTTGAATGTGGTTGGAAATCTCGCTGAAAAACACAATTTTGATTTGAAAAGATCAAACAATTTAGAAACTCACAGCAAATCGAATATTTTCTCTCCAATCAGGATTTGATTGCCATCTTTTACGACATCTCGCACTCCAAGGATAATAGCATTTCTTATAAATGATCTTCATTTTTTCTAATGATATCCATATTTTACAAGCTGGACAAATAATATGATCAATTCCTTCGCAAGGCATTTTCACAGTAATAATTCCTTTTCGACATTGACAAACCATTTTAAGAAGAGTTTCAGTTCCATTTCCTTGCGCATTTTCAAACTCCAATCTTGCCTCCCATTTTTTGTTCCATTCTTCGAATTCTGAACATTTCATAGGCCAATGAGGTTTTTGAATTCGACACTTCGAACAATAATTTGTTCCACAATTTCCACATTTATGATCATCCCATTTTTTTTCTTCCGAAAATGTCAAAAGAGTCATACAATTTGGACATTTTTCAGCCGGTTGGAATTCTTCAAAAAGTTGTGTTGTATAAAGATTCAAAATTGGAAGTGGAATAATTCGTTGAAGAACATTATAAGGAATTTGTGATGGAATATTGTGAGAACTGAATTCGTGGAAAAATCTGGATGATAAACAATTTGAACATGTTGAAGAATATAATCCAGAATATGATTGTTGATTGCAAATATCACACATTCCACATGTTGAAAATTCGAAGTTTTGATTTGGTGAATGAACCATTGAACAAATAAATGACCAATCAATTGGAGTTCCATTTTCTCGAGTAAATTCACAATTTGGAATTGTTTCTTCTTCTTTTTTATATAAATCATCAACAATCAAACCTTCTTCAATAATTTTTGCATTTTCAACTCGAATTCGATTTGATAATACAATTTCACTGATTGATCGAAGTGCCTCATATAAATTAACAGAACTTGTTATTTTTGATCGAATAGATTCAGAACTTTCTCTAACATCAATTGTTGAACTGATAATGAAAGTACAAATCCTGCGATTGAAATGACTTATTCCAACTAACAATTCACTTTGTCCTTGAACTTTTACATATGGATTGATCCATTTTGAGATATCCACTATAATATCATTTTCAGTAATCGTTTCAACCACCACATTTTTTTCTAGCAAATCTTTAACTTCACTTTGAAGTTGCAAATTTTTTGTGGAAATTTTGGTGAAATGAATTGGAAGAGTGATCAAAGTATAAGGATGATCTCGAAGATATTGTGAGAAATCCGAAACTTCTGGAAACTCTCTGGGAATAATTTCAAAATCTGATGTTGAACTTTCAGATGTTTGTTGAATTTTAGTCTTCTTTTGTTTCGTTTTCTTCTCTTCATCAAGACATAATGAATATTCCAAATGTTCTCTTACTTCTTCAGTTTTTTCATCGCTTTCCGAATATTCTGATTCTTCTTCTGAATATACAATTTCATTCATCAAATTTTCATTTTTCCTTGCTTTTCTTGGTTTTCTTCCTTTTGGTGCTGATAATTCAATCATTTCTTTGCTTTTATGAGCTCGATAAATATTATAGATTACTGTAGGTTTGATTTCGGGTTCTTCTACATTATTCAACTTATTTTTGGAACCACGTTTCTTCTCGCTAAGTTCACGAGATTCAGGAAGGAAATTCGAAAAATCTTGTCCAGATCCTGAAGTGAAACAACTTCGAACATCAAAATCATCAGGATCTTCACCATTTCGAATTTTTGAATGAACAGCAAAAGTTCCAGCATCTTCTGAAAAGAATATCAATGATACAAAATTCCCCTTTTCAATAATTTTTTTCTACCCACCTCTCATAATATTTTTTTCAACAACATGAACTTCCATTGATTCTGGTGCCATTTTCAGCATTTCAACTGGATTTTCAGCCAATTCCCAGCGTTGTTTTTTGTTCAGCGAATATTTTACATCAGGTTCAAAGTTGTCAGAAGATTCTTGGTTTTTAACTTGACCTTCGACAGTTTTTTCCAAATGTTTTTCAGTTCGCAAAATATTGAACATGTGATCTTTTCCTTTGTGGTGTGGTTTTCCCAAATAACGACGACCGCCTTTTGGTCTAAAAAAATAAATAAATGAATTTAAAAATAATTTTAAAAAACAAACTTTTCAAACAAGTATTCTTCTTGACCCGTAGCTTCTTCCATATTTACAGAATTTACAGACAGAATAATTATAGATATTTTTTCTAAACAGAATAAATAAATACTTGTGATTTTCTCATTTCCCTTATATACTTTCCTTTTTTTCTCTGCGTCTCTTTTGTGAAATATTGCACAACATTGAGCGAACCAATTCTCTAATCTCTCTTCTATTTACACACTCTCTAAAAACGTTGTTCAAAATTTCGTAATTTTTGGTAACTTGTTGCTAGGTGAATAATAATTATGTGGGCACAAAAAATATCTGAATAATCAAAAATCAAAAAAAAACAAACATTTATTTACAACACTATTAATTTCCTGAATTCGTTGAATTCAAAGATGGAAGTGCAGAAGTTGTGCCGTTTCCCATCACCAAACTCTGCAAAACTGAACCAACCTGAAAAATTGCTAGGATTACTGCATGTATTGTAAAATCCTTCTATTAAAATACCTGCACCCGACATTCACAATTTATCCCGGCTGCTACCGAAACAGGAACTAATGTTCCACTATCATTTCGAAGAACATTCAATTGTTGAGTTCCCGTGTGACACGTGGCATATCCTGAAAAGTTTGGGATCGACATGGGATAAGTGAAAATATGAACACTGCAAATAAAAATAGCGAAATGATGATGACAATCGGAGATAGAGTGCGTCGCTTGGGGGTATAGCTCAGTGGTAGAGCGCTCCCTTAGCATGGGAGAGGGCTGGGGTTCAATTCCCCATACCTCCATAAAATTTTTATTTATTTTTTTGGTAAAATATCTTACCACTCAAGCAACCTTGATCAGCATTATCACATACAACTTCATTGAGATAAGCTGGATAATAATTACTCGGAAGTCTTCGCCAAACCCAACATGTTGAACACAGAGATACAGTATTCAAACCGTCAGGAGTTACACCACGAGTAGTGCATGCAATTGGAAACCTGACACCAATAACACCAGTTATATTCATTGCTGTTGAATTTGGTGAAACTGTTGTCGTTTCAGAAACATCTCGAATTTTTCGACGAAATTTGTTACCTTTATTCATATCAAAAGGATCATAATCGGTTTCTAAAAAAACTTTCTTGAAAAATATATGGAAATTTTTGGAATCTCTAAATACCGTAATCCTCATCGTCATCCCAATCATAATGTTTAGCCTTATTCTTCTTCTCATAAACTCCTTGATCTTTCCGACTGAATCTGTATTTTTCACATTTCGAAAAGTTTGATTGATTCTCAAAAACTTGTTTAATTGTAGCTGGTAAAAGTCCAACTTTTGCTAATTGAGCTTTCAAAAGTTTATAGCAGCTTTTGCATTGTTTTGTTTTACAAGACATCAGATTTGAGGTCTGGAAAGTTGTTGAAATCGATGGTATAGGGAAATCTACAGTACCTCGGATAATGTGCTTGATTTTTCTTGTTGAGTAATTGTTAAATCGGGAAATGCAACAATTGCTTCTTCTAAATTTGTAGCTTGAAGTCGAGAATCATAAGGAACACAACTTGAATTTGAAGTTTGAGATACGCATTGACACTAAATGTTGTGTATATAGAAATTTCGGAGTTCTCGATCGAAAAACTAACTTTTTGTGGAGCCGGTGTTGTTGATGTCGAAATTAAATAATTAAACAAATCAATTCTTCTCGGTCGATCATAGCGATTGTCCAAAAAACTGGCACGAATGTATAAAAGAAGTATTTGGAAAACTATTCCACAAAACTTCATGACCCATCGGTTCAAAAAATGAAACAAAAAAAATAACAGAAAACGATCAATTTCCACAGCAAAAATAATAGTGGAAGATTATAACGCGCAGGTTCTCATAATGTTTTTATTTTATTTTTTAATTTTTTATTTTCAATTCGATGAAAAATTGGTTGGGTAAGTGCAATTTTGTGTTAATCTTCTGATCGTTTGTTCAACCGTTCATCGACAAAATTTTCGAATTTGTTCAGAGGTTAATGGACTGATAGATTCCAAAAAATCGATAGATTTCGAAGAATTTTCAGATCGATAAGCATCGATGCATTTCATAAGTGCAGAATGACATGCACCAGCTGACATTATAAATGGAGGCTCACCGATTCCCTTAAATTTTTATATTCGGAAGTGGAGAAAATGTTTCCAAAAAGTGAATTTTCTCGGAATCAATTGATGTAAAAAACTATAAAGTGAGGAATTTGCATTTGAAACCAATTAAAATTTAGGACTTTAATAATATTTTCCTAATTTCTCTAAAATTAACAAATAGTCCCCGATAAACTATTTTTTTTAAACTGCATTTTGGGCTAAAACTGCTAGATTCGTGCATTCGGCACAATTTTCACCAGATTTTGTGTATAAATTTTTCAACCTTTTCTAAAAATCCCACAATGCAACACATTTCTCCCGATATTCACTCCTCTCCCCCTTTTCTCTGCCTCCTTCTTTCATAACTTGACAATACGCGCATTGTTTTATGTCTGCATCCTTAGCGCAGTCGGGTAGGGGATGGACTGCCAAGCAATGTGTGTGGTCATTTTGGTGGGTTCGAGTCCCACCGCAAGCTGTTTTCGTTCCTATATCCTCCACAGCGTTTTCGCACACAATAAGAAAACGGGTGGTTTACGGGTCGACCACCCGTTTAGGGGTACTAACGCACTACTATTCGACCACTATTGCACTACTACTGCGAAAGTGGGTTGAGTGGTGTTGATAGTGGTGGAATAGTGTTGTGAAAAAATCAGATTTTATAGATTGGTATATGTTCAGGAATACTTATATTGATATTAGATCACTTTTCGCTGGCGAAAAGTTGATAGGAAACCAAAAAATCAGGCTCCTCGTTTTTTGGTAATAGTGGTACGGTAGTGGTCCAAAACGGGTGTGAAAGTTTTAAACCACAGAAGGCAGAATAGTATCAAAAAACACCACAGATTGGTTAATAATTACATTTTGCCAACCGATTTCCGCTTTGCAGCCAATAAACTCATAAAAACTTCTATTTTTGCCTTAGTGGTGGTTTAGTGGTCAAAAACGGGTGGTTCTTCCCACAGAGAAATTCAATAAGAAGAAAAAAGTATGAAACTAGGATAATGATACTCGAGGTTAAAATACAAACTTTGTTGATATGGAAATACAAACTTTGTTGATAGAAAGCACTTCAGGTACCAATTTCAAACACTTAGATATATTTTTCATTATACCCACTTTGAGTATCTCGCTGAATTTGCCAGAGTTGGATGTATGTAAATTAATTATTTTGTACAGATGTTGTATATCATTTTGTTCGCCTTTCAATTTACAACTCAACTGCGTTTTCAGTTTTTAATTTGGAGTCCATTGAGAAAAAAAGTGTTCTGTGTAGATTTACGCGGAGACGCTAGTGTGTGGTCTCGCGGCGAAATACACAGTTTGTGTGTTTTCATTTTTTCTTTTTTTTCGTTTTTTTTTTCGTTTTTTTTTCGTTTTGCTGTGGTTTTGTGTTGTTTTTAGAGTTAGGAGTATAGGTTTTTGTGCTAAAAGTATAGGAAATTACTTTCCTAGAAGGAAAACTGAAAATTTCCACCAAAAACGATTGAAAATCGTCAATTTCCGATGATTTTAGGCCTATCAAAAAAAAATTTCACTTTTTCATCAGAAATATGTTTGGGAATAGTCTCAAATATGAATGAATAACTGAGTTCGAATTATTGGTGCTTGAACAATAAAAGCCATCTTATTTTCAGACGTTTCTTGACCTTTTCGTGTAGAATTAAAGAAAAATTTCAACGCATTGAAATGGAAAAATGTAGGAAACCAGCTGATAATTTTAATTTCTCTCTGTAGGTTCATAACAATGTTTTTCTTATCTCATTTAGTTTCCTTTACTTTATATTTATCCGTGTATAAATGTTTGTAATGGTACGTTTTCAGCTGCGTTGCTCATCGAGGCGTTGCTCCAACGATAAGATCGTCAAAAAATGAATGGTTAGTTCCTCAGATAACCAACCTTGAAAAACAAATGATTTGCTTTTAGGTCAGCTCTTCATGCAACATCACATTCAACAACATCGACACAATGGCGTGAGATGAAGAAAGGAGTCGAAAAACTTTGAGGTAAGTCTTTATATATCAAAACTGTTGTGGCCGGACGTGAAAACGGGGTTTTTCCTAAAGCAGCTCGATAATTTATTCTATGACACAATTCACAAACAATTTATTATCACATGACTGATTTTGAAGTTAAAGAAACTGTTTCGGAACAAAATACGCTAAAATTTCTGCAGCTAGTGTGATTTTTAACTTGAAAAAGTAAAAATTTGACAATTTTCAATTGAAAATCATAGAAATTTGGCCTCAATCTGAACTTTTCGCAGTGATAGGATAAATTAAAATAGGAAATGTGTCATGGGATAAATTATAGACCCTAAAACAACTGAAGTAGCCGCTAGAGTTTTGAAAAGTTACGCCATAATGTCACACACCCAAAGAAAAATAGCATGATCTAAGAAAAATCTATTAAAATTTCAGATTCAACATGCTACCACCAGGAACTCCCATTCACCGTCAACAACACCAAGTCTCCCACCATCCACCGACAACAACACCAAGTCTCCCAACGTCAACACTTGGTCAACCACCGACATCAGGACAACGACTAATTATAATTACTGTTCGCTATATTTTTGAGATAAAATTTTTTTATACATAACAAGTGTAAAATATATGAAAACCTAGGAAAACAAGAATCGACCACTAAAGCAGCTGTTTCCCAGTACTATTTTTTTGCGCGTAGTAGCTGTAAACGTGTACCCGTCGGTGTACTCGCGCACGAGGGGTTGAGTACTCGTAAACGGGTGGAAAACGGCCCGTAATGCACCTGTATGCGAAAACGCTGTGCTCTAATGTAATTTTCGATCGAAAATCTTCATTCGAAAATGTCCCAAAAAAGCGTCAACATTTCTGTTGAAAAGAGAGAGGGCGCAGAGAAAGATTGAAGGCAGAGAAAAACGGAAAAGAGATTGGGAAAAGGTATTTTTTGCTAATTTGTGCTGTAATTAACATCATATTGTACAGAATTTTGTGAGGATTTTTATAAGAATGTTTCCAATTCAAAGGAGACCGTTACGCCTGGGAGCTAACAGCTCCTATCATTAAACATAAGAAACTGTTTTGATGATTCAGTGTGATCAACTAAATTTGAGCTTTTCTGTGGATGGAGACGAAAGTTCGAAGCTAGCACGGCTAATTTTCGAAAATTTAGCCAGGAAGCTTAAATTCAGGGCTTTATTTCATGAGTAACGATTACTTTTTAAAAAAAAAACGCGTAATTTTCAAAAAATCGTTATTCATCTCAAAGTTGACGAAAATACTCGATCAAAAAATGATTTTCTAGCTAGAAACATCAATTTTTCAATTAAATTCGAATTTCATTAAAAAATTGAAGTTTTCAGCTACAAAATCATTTTTTGATCGAGTATTTTCGTCAACTTTGAGATGAATAACGATTTTTTGAAAAGTACGTGCTTTTTTTAATCGAAAAGTTATGGTAAATAATTTTTGTTTACGAAGAAAAATTTGGTGTACCAAAAATTGCTTATTTTTTGATAGAAAGGGCTTTATTTCATGAGTTACGATAACTTTTTTCAAAAATTCGTTATTCATCTCAAAGTTCACGAAAATAATCGATCAAAAAATGATTTTCTAGCTGAAAACTTCAATTTTTTAATGAAATTCGATTTTTTGCTAAAACTGCTAGATTCGTGCATTCGGCACAATTTTCACCAGATTTTGTGTATAAATTTTTCCGATTCTAAAAAATAAGAAAACTCACTTTTGATGAATAAACCTGCGCATTATTCGCTTTATTTGTTCCCAATAATTTAACTCGAAAATCTTTCGGAATCATTGTCGATCTTGGTATTTTATATTTTCCAGCTTGTGCTTGTTCCAATTTTCCAGTTGATTTATCAAAAGTCAATTTCTCACAAGTAACATAACCATATGCTTGCATAAAAGCTCCTTCAATCTGTCCAATATCAATTGCAGGATTGATACTTTCCCCAACATCCATAACAATATCAACTCGAATTAATCTGTTGAACCCCGTCAGAATATCAACTTCAACTTCAACACAACAAGCACCAGTTGTAAAATATGGATTGTCGTTTTCCGAAACACCGAATTGTTCTCGATTTACACTTAAATATTTCGAAAATCATAGTTTTTCAATTAAAATAAACCTACATTCCATATTCTGTACATTGAAGTGGCACAAAACTATTGAACGCTTCTTTAACACTTTTCATCCAATCTCCATTATTTTTCTCCAATATTTTTTCCAAACCACTTTTCAATATTCTATCACAACAAGCAATCACAGCCAATCCATTTGTATCCGTATTTTGACTTCCTCCAGTTTCAGGAGCATTTGTTATTTTATCGGTGCTTGTATCAATTATTGTTATTGTTTCAATTGGTCTATTCAATTTTTCGCTGGCGATTTGCAACATTTTCGTGTTGAGACCTTGTCCCATTTCAGTTCCACCAATTGTTAATTGAATTGATCCATCAAGATTTATCAAAATTGATGCGATACCCTGAAATTTCGAATTAAGAAGAGAATTTTATTCAAAATTCTAAACTCACATGCGCCGTTGATCCAGGATGTGGTAATCCAAACTTCACACCTGACAAAGCAATTCCTCTTTTCAAATTTCGATGTTCTTTGTTGAAAACTTCAATATATTCCTGACGATTTTCAAAATCAGCCAATTCTTTACAATTTTCCCAACATTCTCGAAGTTTAAAACTATGCAAAACATTTCCCAAAAATGTTTTTCCACCCTCATTCATCATATTAATTTCTTGAACTTCTTCCAAACTTTTTCCCAATTCCCACGCAATTCTTCTAATTATTCCATCATTGATTAATTTAGCTTGAGGAGTTCCATATCCACGAAAAGCAGTATTACTACACGTGTTTGTTTTGACAGGAAATCCATCGAATCGAACTTTTCCCATATTATAAACATCATCAATTTTAATTCCCATAACAAAAAGAACCATTTCAGTATGATCAATTGACCATCCACCATTTAACCAAACTTTATAATGACACCATTCAATTCGCCCATTTTTATCAATTCCAACTCGATATTTCGCAAATGCTTCATGTCGTTTTCCAGTTATTTGGATATCTTCAGATCTTGATAAATTTGCATAAACTGGAGATTTGAAATATTTCGAAGCAAGTGCTGCAATACAAGCAATCCATGCCGAATTGCTCACTTTTCCACCAAATGCTCCACCAAGTCTTTTTGTTTTCACAATTATTTTATTTGCAGGGATATCGAGAAATTTGGAAATCATTAATTGAGTGAAACTTGTGGCTTGAGTAGAACAATGAACAACACTGCAAATATTCGAACAATTTTTTTGAAATTACTGTAGAACAACTCACATCTCCCCGGCTTCTCCAGCAATTGCCAAACTACTTTGAGTTTCCAAATAATAATGTTCCTGTCCTCCCAAATGAATTTCTCCTTCAAAAATTGATTCAGAACTAATGGCTTCAAATTCTCTTTCTTCACATCCAAAAATCAGCGGCTTTCCTAACAATAAATTTTGTTTGATAGCTTCTTTGAAATCAACAATACTTGGCAGATTTTCATATTCAATTTTCACTAATTTCGCTGCTCGACGAGCTAATACAACATCACAAGCACCGATAACTCCAATAATTTGTCCAACAGATTCAACTTTTCCATCCGCAAATATTTTAGTATCATCAGGAATATCATCGGAACTCAAACCAGGTTGATTATCTCCGCGAACATCTCGAATATCCAAATATCCATAAACACCTTCAATTTTTGTTGCTTCCGAAATATCAATATTAATTATTTTAGCATGGGGTACTGTAGATATAACAAATCCCAAATGAACAGCATTTTTGAAACTTCCAGTATCATTTACAAAATTCGCATCGCCTGACACAGTTCTTTCATTATAAACATTTGCAATTGGTCTGCCAACTGATTCGAGTTTCGACGGTCCAAATATTTGTGTTGAATTCAATGCTTTCGAAAAATTCAATGGCTTGGGTGATCTCAATAATTCTCGCTCAGAAGGAAAGTCTTTTGATGTTCCCCCCTGAAATAAAAATGAGACTAGGTGGAATCAACTACATATTGATAGGTAAGAAAAAGCCCAACGGGATTAAGGAAATAAAAATCTATTTCAGGAGTTACGGTAACTCCTCAAATTTTTGAGACACAAAAGCCTATGATTTCAAAAAATCGTAGTTTGGCTCAACGTTAACGAAAATGATCGGTCAAAAATGCATTTTGATGCTAAAGTGCTCAATTTTTTAGTTAAATGGCGCTCGTAATCTCAAAAAATTTTTCAAAATGAAAATTTTTCAAAAAATGACCCCTTTCTTAAAATGTTGAAATTTCACCTCTAAAACGCTACGAGGGAAGAACGACGTCCGACGCACCGTGTTCTACGTCAAAAATTACGTATATTGACATATTTAAATATAATACCTACCGACCTTTTAACCTGGGAAAAAAATAATTTCAAAAATTTTCACACAAAAAATCATGTTTTCTCAGAATAAAATCATATTTTTGAAACAGTAATCATTATTTCTTTGTTATTTTTTCTCAAAACATATTTTCTAATTGTTTTTCACCTTTTTGTATGATTTCTGAAAAATTAAAAAATTTCAGATTTTATATCATCGATTTTGGAATCACTTCGAAAATTAAAAATCAATTATAGCTCGATGATAGAAGTTAAGGACTTTTTTGGAAGTTCTAACGTATCACATCTTTTTTTGCAACTGGGAAAAAACACTTCCAATTATACATCTGAACTTCCAATTCCCAGATGAAAATAATCATCTTGAGAAAAAATGGCAAGAATTATTTAATGAAACTTTTATCGATAATTTTTTCGAAGGTCTCTAAAATTGTCCGTTGACAGATATAGTATTAAAAGTGTTTTTTCCCAGTTGCAAAAAAAGATGTGATACGTTAGAACTTCCAAAAAAGTCCTTAACTTCTATCATCGAGCTATAATTGATTTTTAATTTTCGAAGTGATTCCAAAATCGATGATATAAAATCTGAAATTTTTTAATTTTTCAGAAATCATACAAAAAGGTGAAAAACAATTAGAAAATATGTTTTGAGAAAAAAATAACAAAGAAATAATGATTACTGTTTCAAAAATATGATTTTATTCTGAGAAAACATGATTTTTTGTGTGAAAATTTTTGAAATTATTTTTTTCCCAGGTTAAAAGGTCGGTAGGTATTATATTTAAATATGTCAATATACGTAATTTTTGACGTAGAACACGGTGCGTCGGACGTCGTTCTTCCCTCGTAGCGTTTTAGAGGTGAAATTTCAACATTTTAAGAAAGGGGTCATTTTTTGAAAAATTTTCATTTTGAAAAATTTTTTGAGATTACGAGCGCCATTTAACTAAAAAATTGAGCACTTTAGCATCAAAATGCATTTTTGACCGATCATTTTCGTTAACGTTGAGCCAAACTACGATTTTTTGAAATCATAGGCTTTTGTGTCTCAAAATTTGAGGAGTTACCGTAACTCCTGAAATAGATTTTTATTTCCTTAATCCCGTTGGGCTTTTTCTTACCTATCAATATGTAGTTGATTCCACCTAGTCTCATTTTATTTCAGGGGGGAACATCAAAAGACTTTCCTTCTCAATAATATCTTTGAATTGAATACCATCCCATGGTTTTGGAATCCCTCCCAAACCAATGAAAATCGAATCATCGAGTGCCGAAAAATTGAAAATTGTAGAATCATTTTCGGCAGATTCTCCAAGTTTGAGAAGTTTCAAATTTCCATGGATGTTTCTATTGATTCGAATGTTTTTGACAACTTTATCATTTGAATTATAGAGCAAATCATTCAATAATATTTTTGTTCCACTGATCAACTCGAATTCTGGTTTAAGAACCATCAGAAGAATCAGCAAATCGCTGACTGAAGATTTAGATTTTGCACCCATTAATATTGAACCAATCCAAGACTGAAAATAAAATAATTTCAAAATTATAAAAAATTTCATGAAAAACTCACAGCAAAATTGAAAACTTGTGGAGATGAATAATTCTCAAAAAATCTTCCAATTTCTACTCGAATAGTTTCTTCGTTCATATTTTCAATCAATAAATCTACCAAGATTTTTAATGAATTTCCAGAGCCTACAGTAATCCAATCATCACTTATTTCAATTTTATTGAACTCTTCCACATTTTTAATTGATATCCACGTATCTTTTCGAAACCCTTGTGATGAGATAAGGCGAGTTATCATTGCAGATGAAACTATTTTCGAATTTGGATTCTGATTTATTATTTGGAGAAGTGCTTCAATATTTTGAGGAAGATATAATTCAATATTTCTCCCTTTGAAATGAATGATTTGCTGTTTTTCTTGATAAACAATCAGCGACGGTGGAAAGATCAATTCCTGAGTTGGATCGAAATTTGGGAAATCAGAAAAATCCGAAAGTTTTTGACTGGACTCCTCATCTTTGCAGCATTTCCCGTTGATCTGAAATATTATAATGAGTAAATGATTTAAAAAATTTTGAAAATGAAAATCTTTTTTCTCGCTTCAAAACTAGAGGCTAAAAAACTCACTTTTCCACCACAACATCCTTGGTTCATAAAACTTTGCAATGCTTCCAAAATTGGCCGATATCCAGTGCATCGACATAAATTTGCTGAAATAGCTCGATTAATCTGAGCAATCGTTGGATTTTTTGCTGTTCGAAGTAATGCATAAGCTGACATTACAAAACCAGGCGAACAAAATCCACATTGAGCAGCGTGGCCTCGAGCCATTCTCTCTTTTATAACATTTCCTGGTGGAACACCTTCAATTGTTATTATAAAACATCGATGACAATGAAAAAGAGGAACAAGGCAGGCATTGACAGCATTGAAAATTGGCCGGTTTTTTGAATGGTCCCATGTGGAAAGGACTACTGTACACGAACCACACACACCTTCCTCACAACCGAGTTTTGTTCCTCGAAGATTCACTCAAAATATTTTTTAGTTTAAAAAAAAGAGACAAATAAAAATCTTCTAGACTCACATGTATTTCTCAAATAATATCCCAAAGTAAGTTCTGGATCAACATTTGATTCTTGAATATCTTTTCCATTTACATTAAAAAATATGATAGACATTCTCGTTTACTTTTAGGCAAAAGAACATATGAAATAACTTTTGTATGTATTTTTGTTTTCTGATAAGAACGAGTGATAAGAATATTGTCATCATTGATGATCGAATTAAATGCACGCTTGATCAAATTTCAAGTTTGGCTGGAATACAATTATGTGAGAAGTGGGAAGCCAAAATTTTGATAGAATGAGAACAGATTTTTTGAAAAGAGTTTAAAATGGCTCCTCTTGTAAGTTTGGTAAATACCCAAAATTTTGGTTCGGACATGGAAAAAATGCATTTTTTGTCAAAGCCATGGATGGATCTAACAATTTTTGTTATCCGAAATTCTCCAAACTCTAAAAATCCAACGCCTACATTTTGCTTCTTTATCCCATCCATAAGCCTATTATTTGCCAACCCACATTTTTTTCTGTTGAGTGCATTGCATTATGTAAATCTTTGAAGATACAAACACAAATACTCTTGAAAAAGAAACAGCAATTTTTTGCACCACTTCCGCATTTTTATTTTATCAAGAACTATTATGAAAATGAAAAGTTCAAAATGGTTATTCTTTTCATTTTTTCTAACTCAAATCTATATTTCTGGAACTTTTATGAGTCCAACATCAATTGATTGGTGTCGATATTTTCAACGTTTGCATATTTATAAACCAGAATGCAAGTTTTATGATGGTCAAATTGTTGAAACTGGTTAGTTTGAAGAAATCTAACTTCTCAAATATCAAATGATAACTTCACTAATCCAATAAAAACCCTCAAACTCGACATTGAAATTTTATAAAAATGACCAACCTCCTCAAAACCCAAAAATACTCACTCAATTATAATATTTTCCAGCAATCCAAGCTCCAAAAGCATATCCATTAGCTCGAATTAATATTCCTCAATGTTCAGCTCATTATATGTATTGCACAACAAACAATCAATGCGGTCCAGGATATTTGGTATAAAGTTTTCCGCGTGAAAATGGGATATTTTCTTTGGGTTACTGTAGATATTGTTTCAGCGCTGCATTGACATGACAAAATATCGCGAATGTTGTGCACCATTCAAAAGACAATGTCCACCAATTGATTATTTGAGCTTCAGGTAAAAAATAACTTCTAGACAATCCGAATAATCATAACACTTCCAGATGTGTGGTTCGTGATCCAAATGGTTGGTGTTCAAAAGATTCAGATTGTTCATCAACTTCAAATAAGTTATGTTGTCCAACTGGTTGTAATTATAATATTTGCGTTTGAAGAAACAAATGAGCATAAACAAACACATAATTATTATCATAACAAAGAATCTCATTAAAAAAAACAAATAAATAAATAAATTATCATCATAAAACTAAAGCGTTTTGATTTCAAGTAACAGGTTGCATTTTTGCTGAAAAAATCTCGTTTTTTTTGAGGAAGAGGAAGAAGAAGAAAATGCTCACCTCCATTTTGTGCATTTCTATCAGGTGATTCTGAACTTCTCAACCATTCATCAACAGCATCATCTCCATCTTCCTCAACTTCGGTGTCAGAATGTCTGAATATATTTTTTTGCATGTCAGGAATAAACTTTATTCAAAAATGCTCACCTTTTGCTCTTCTTACTCTTCTTGCTCTTATGTTTCTTTTCCTTCTTTTTTTCTTTCTTCTCTTTTTTCTCCTTCTTTTCTTTTTTTCAATTTTTGCGGACTTGGACTTGGAGTTGGTGCTTTGATTCGTGGTCTTTTTGGAGGTTCAGCTACTTCTTCAGGTTTTTCGGGGTTCTTTTCCGAATTTCTTGTTGTTTTAGGTGTTCTGCTACGGGATTGTCTAGTGTTGTCAATTTTCTGGCGGGTTGATGATTCTCGAGATCTTTTCAAATCATCTTTTTTCGATTCCTCGTGATAACTTCTAGATTCTTTGCCTCTATATTTCTCAGAATTCCTCTCTTCTTTCAAATCTCTTTTCGATTCTTCATGATGAGTTCTTGATTCCTTCTCTCTATTCTTTTCTGAGTATTTTTCTTCTCTTGAATCTTTTTTCTTGGTTTCCGAATCTCTAACTCTCTTTCTTTCTTCATCATGTCTCTTGTTATTTTCATTACTTCTTCCACTTGTTTCAGAATCTCGATGTCTTCTTGGTTGTTTTTCCACTTCAGAATGTCTTCTCGAAGCATCAGTTTTTCGATCAACATCCTTATGTTTTTCGGATCTCGACTCATCTTGCTTTCTCTTTTCTGGTTTCACCGAATCTCGATTTCTCCTAACATCTTCACTTTTTCTCTCATATTTCTTGTGATCATGATTTGATTCAGAATCTTGTCGTTTCCGAGGTTTCTCATCTTCTCGATGTTTTTGTTGCGAATATGTTTCTCGTCTCGAATCCTCGTTATATTTGCGGGTTTTCCCGTAAACATTATCAGATTCTGAAGGATCTCGTCGTCTTTTATTTTCCTCTCTTCTTTTCGAATCTCCATAATTTCTATCCTCGTGATGACTTTTGCTAACTTCTCTATCCGATTTTCTATATTCATTTTTCTCTGCATATTTCGCTGGTGTTTCAGATCTTCTCTTTTTATCCGATCTTTCTTCCGATCTTCTAGATTCCTTCTTTCCACTATTTTCTCGAATTGGACTCATAACAATATTTCTATTGAATTGATTATGATGATGATGATAATGATTATTTTGATAGTTTTGCGATCTTCTATTACGTTATACGCCGCGACCCCTCTAGCTTAGCTAGAGGAGGTCGGGCATATATTATATTGATTTCCCTAAAGTTATTCCTAAAGTTATAAGATTAAACCACGAGTTCTTTTATTTGAGCATAGTTTATTATAGATAAGGATAAAGATAATTACAATGATTAGATATAAAGATAAAATATTGTACTAATGAAACTTAATCAGAAAAGGGACCTATGGTCCCCTTCACCTAGCCATCTCCTCAACCCAACTGTCCTCCTCTTCTTCTCCATCACCAACGCGCGAGGGGGCGTGGCCTGATGGTGACCGTAACATCCCCCCTTCCTATGAGTCGAGCGCCCTCGCTCGAAATAACTTGCTTCGACCACTGTTGCTTGATTGAATGTTGTTGATTGATTGAGCGTTGTTGATGAATTCGCTCCTTTATAGTGATGTCGATTCCTTGATGTTCCAAAAATTGTGCCAGATATTTTCAATGTTGGCATGTCCATGATGAGTTCCGGAAAAAAAAATGTGTCCGCTTGTTTGAATTAGTGGTGTTGTTGTGTGCATCATGAATGGTGTGCATCTTTTCGAGGGCTGTTTTGCTGTCCCATTGAGAGGAATGGTTCCAGCGTGCGTTGGGTGTTTTCTCTTTTCTTTTCGGGCAGTTGGTTCAAAAATCTGATTCGGCGAAGAGTTCCATAGGAGTCCTTGATACTGAAAAATAAAGTATAGTGGAATAAATAAATAATTGGGTGGGTTTTCCTAACCTACTACTACAGCAGATTCAGACTCAAAAAATTTGATATTAAAACGTAAAGCTTAGAAAAAAAAATTGAAAGAAAATTTTGATTTAACTTAGAAATTAGGATAATTGAAATTTGGAATTGAGTTAATTATATTTGAAAGTTATTGTTGAAATATTACTAGCTTAATTAATTGAGTATAATGATTTTCGAGAATTATTTTTAAGAGAATTTGACTAAAATAAAAAGGGTAAAATAACAAAAAAAAAAAACAAATCCATCATTCCATATGTTTGGCACGTAGTCTTTGTGATCTTCTGGGTTGTGTTATGTTGGGCTGCTTCTCCACTATCTCTTGATCAACGTCTTCCACCAGCTGCTCCTCTTCCGATTCTTCCGACTCATTTCTTGCAAGCCATGTGTGGACTGATCTTGGTGATAGCATGTGGTGTTGAGTTGATTGCGAAGATTATGAAAGGCAACTTTTCATCCCAATCGGATTGAGACGAGTTTACAAATGAAGTTAGTGGTTGATAGGATTGTTATTGGTTATCGTTTCCATTCCGATCATAGTCCCAATCATCATTGGGTCGATTGTTGTCCCCATTGAACCGATTATTCGATCTATTGGACCAATTGTTACCATTTGAACGATCGTTGTTGTTGCGATTTTTGTTGGGACGGTTGTTGTTGTAATTACCGTTTCCTTGATTATCGCTAGTATCGTTTCCCCAATGGTTGGTGCTTGTGAAGTTGACTTCCTCTTGCTTTGCTGCAAGGCTGTCAATTCTTGCCGAAAAATTGTTAATGGCTTCAGCAACGTTCTCCGGAGATTCCAGCGACTGAATCGCCTCTTCTCGTCTCGCAGCTTTGAAAGCATCTTCAGCACTTGTTGGTTGAGATCTTTGGACATGTAGTCGAATTTCAGCTTTGAGACCATTGATGAAGCTGGATGTTATCATCGCTTCTTTGATTTGACGATTAGCCTCGCCTGGCCAAGCTTGGTTGCCCAATTCTTTGCATTGTTTGAAAAATTCCTCGACTGTTCGACCTCCTTGTTTGATAAGACCCAATTCGGTTCGAGCAATGAGTTGGCGATCTTCTGTGTGAATTTCGTCGCACAGGCGATCCATCATAGCATTCCATGGGCCTTCACGCACTTCGGGAGTAAGATTTTCGAAGGCGTCTCTCGCTCTTCCGTCTAGAAGAGAAGGAAGAAGTCTTCTTCCCTGCTCCTCGTCGAGCAGATTCGCGTTTAAAAAATCATTGAGCTTACGAACGAATGATGAGAATGCTCCTTTGCCAGTGAATTTTGGTGTCTCCAAGAAGATAGTTCTTCCCAGAAATGGTTGAGCTGGTTGTTGAGCGTGTTCACCCATTCTTTGTCGAGGTGCTTGGTTGTTTCTTGGAGCTTCCTCGTCGTCCTCCTGATCCTCTATTCTGTCCTGCAGATGTCGCAACTGTCTGATTTGACGATCTTGCTGCTGCTGGCGTTGTTGGTTTTGGAGGAGGAGTAGATTTCGTCTGTGGGCTCGTTCGTGCCGGGCTAAGGCTTCTTCTTGCTGGCGATCAATGGTTTTCTGAAATGAAAACAGTCTTAGTAACGTATGAAAATTACGGTACATGCGGTGAAAATTGAGATTGAGTGGGGTGAAGTGTGGCTTAGGGTTGGGGGACACATGCAAGAATGAACTTCGGTAAAATGTGCCTCGGTAGGCGTGAGAAAAAAATTAAATAAAATTGCCAATTGAGAAAACCAGAAACCGGGCATCTCTGAACTACCCTCCATCTTGTGGTACGTCTACCAACAAATGAATTGTTTCTGATAGCACTGGTACCTATTGCTCCGCCCACATGGGTGTCGCAGACTATTCATCTCTTGTGGCCCTTTCCATTGTTTGAATTGTTACCCTATTGAGCAATAAAATAATCCGATGACCTGATTGCGCAATTCGATGAATGCGATTGTGATATATTTATTACACTTATCTGTTGACATTGACCCTCTTGCGCAATCCTTTTGACCCTTTTATTTGCATCTGCTCGGCAGATACGTTTTTGAGGTCAGATTACGGCATTTGGGCTGATGTGTCATAAATATTCAAATTGTGCTTTTTGGGTTAACTATTCGTTTCATGCTAAAAATAGTTAGTGTGAGAGGGTGTATACGTGCAACAAAAAAATATTACATCCGGATGTGGACGCCTGCCTTGCGGGCTTACCTTTTGTACACTTGTTGGAAACAAGCTGCCGCGCGTCAGAATAAGGGGAAAAAAACATATAATCATGCGACCAGAGGTTTTAAAAAATACGAGACAACGTGTGGATTCAACCCAACACGTTTAAACTTACCATAAGTTCCATTTCTTCACTTTCCTGTTTATAAAAATCTGAAATTGTTTTGCGCGCGAATTTTGAAGTAACCTACTGCAGAAAAAGCGAAAAATTGTCAACTAATGGATAAGCGGGCGATAGCTATCTAATGTCTCAAAATAAAACCAACCAAGAGTTAAAAAGCCCAGATTCTCACGGATAAATCCGCTCTCTCAGAGAATCCCTCAGGAGTAAAAAAAAAAAAAAATCCCAAAAACTCACGTAACCTGCACACTGGGCGAGCTTCAGCGTGCGCAGGACCTCTGTCGTTGGCTTCAGTTCCCATTGTACCTCTTCTATTTGGCAGTAGATGGAATAGAGATAGAATACTAGTACAATAGTCGGTTGCTTGTGGCTTCCGCAAACCTAACCTACTCCTACACGTATACATTATACACTACTAATTTGAAAAAAAAATTAAAATTTACGGTTAAATAAAACTTAAAATAAAGAAATTGAAATTAAAGAAAAAAAACTACCTATCGGGGAGTACCTCGAAGAAGTATCCCCTCAAGGTGGAACCTCCACGTTATACGCCGCGACCCCTCTAGCTTAGCTAGAGGAGGTCGGGCATATATTATATTGATTTCCCTAAAGTTATTCCTAAAGTTATAAGATTAAACCACGAGTTCTTTTATTTGAGCATAGTTTATTATAGATAAGGATAAAGATAATTACAATGATTAGATATAAAGATAAAATATTGTACTAATGAAACTTAATCAGAAAAGGGACCTATGGTCCCCTTCACCTAGCCATCTCCTCAACCCAACTGTCCTCCTCTTCTTCTCCATCACCAACGCGCGAGGGGGCGTGGCCTGATGGTGACCGTAACAATTATAATCATTCTTCGGTTTTTCGATTTCCACAATCATTCTATTCGGACTTTCACTTTCTGATCTTCGATTTCTATTTGTTCTTTTCGGTGGACTTCTACTTCTAGTTTTACTCTTACTTCTTCTTTTTCTATCTCTACTATTCGATCTCGATGTCTTTTTCTTTTTTCCAAACATTTTCGGACTTTCTGATCTTGTTCGACTTTTTGAAGAAGCAGATGAAGAGGAAGATGACGATGAAGAATGTCTTCGTTTTCTTTGTTCCTTTGCTTGTGATTCTCTAGATTCTCTCGCTCTTCTTTCCTGAATTGCAAGAAATAGTCTCGATTGAGCTGGACTTCGACCGCGAATTCGACTCGGGCTTTTCATCATTCTTGGACTTCTGGTTCGTCTAGGACTTCTAGATTGTCTTCTGTATTTTTGAGGACTTCTTGATCTTCTTGGACTTCGTGCCGGACTTTTTGATACTCTTAATCTATTTGGTTCGGATTCATTTGAAGAAGATGAAGAATCACTTGAAGATGAGCTAACAGCCATTCTTTTTCTCTTCGCAATTCTTGCAAAATCACAAATAAGTGGCGGACTCGAACAATCCAAACTTTCTTCATTTTCTTGATCAATTTTTGGTGGTCTTCCCCATTCTGGAATCAATACCAATCCTTCATCGTCTAATTCCGAATGCAAACTTTTGAATGGTCGTTCTATAGCTCTTGCAAATTGTTGATTCGCGCGATCTTTGTATATCAAATCAAGTTTTCTCGTTACACGAATTTGATAACCGTCAATCTTTTTCATAAGTTTCTCAATCTCCCGACGTTCTTCTCTAAAATTTTGAAATCAATTTTCAAAAAAAAATGTAATTTGAATAGAAAACATACCTATATTCTTCATTATTCCATAATTCTTCTCTAACTTGATCCAAAATCTGTCCAAGCTTATTTAGTCCATTCATATTTTCTGGAATATAATATTCAGCTTCTTCTAAATCACGACCTGCAAAATGTTTTAGTTTGTTTTGAAAATATTTAAAAAAAAAAAACTGACCAATTCCCCAATATTTATCATATGGACTACATTCCAATAATTGAGATCCATTTGAAACAAAAAGAAAAAATCGGCAATGAGCATTTTGTTGATATTTTTCACGAGATCCTTTAAGCATTACTTCGTCTTTTCGAGAAGCCCATCTAAATATTTTTCAGTTTGAAATGTGTTGTTCACTTTCTCGAAAACTCACAATTTCTCATTATAACCCGTTATTTCAAAAGCACTGGCAAGTTTTTTCATAAATTTCGGATTTTTTGATTTCAGAACATCCGACATTTTTTTATTGTCATTGAAAAACGTCGCTTTATTGTACCTGCAAATTTTGAAAATGAGCAAAATGTCACGCAATTTTTTGTTGAATTGATTTTGAAACAAAATTGGTGATTTCCGTGGGCCTTTATTAATTTTTTGGAAAGAAAACTCACATATAAAATTGTTCAGTACAATTAAAATTGATCATCTTAGCTTTTTCACTTGTTTCAGGTTGTTCTTGAAAAATCGCCTGATCGCTTGAAAATTGACAAGGAAAATGATTTGAGAATGGGCTAACCTTTCGGAAAAACAATGTGAATTCAGAATTCACTTCATTTTTCCGAATTCTTATTGTTCCCATCTGAAACGTTCGAGTTGTTTTCTGACAAAATTAAAAAAAATGCCAAATATTTATCAAAGCAGAATTGTAAACTTCTGTGAAAGTCCCAATCCCAAAAGAAGTCCCATAAATATACTTTATTCAAATAATAATATTTTTGTTTCGCGACAGACAGAAAAGAAAAACTCGACGAGTTGATGGAAAAATTAAGATGGATAGATGGACGAATAGAGTAAAAGCATAGAAGAAGTTTCCAAGAAAAATAAAAGCAAATCTAAATATTTTCAATATCGAAGTCATCGTCATCTTCTTCGGCTGCTCCAGCATTGCCATTGGTTTTTGGAGCAGCAGCAGCGGCGGCGGCTTTGCGAGCAGCATCTTCACGTTGTTTGCGAAGAAGTTCACTTTCTTTGTTTTCTTCGCCGAACTGAAAAATTAATTTAAGTTCATTCTTATTCAACCTAAAACTAACCGCAATATCGTCATCACTTTCATCTTCACTTTCTTCTTCCGCTTCTTTCAACCAAGTTAATACAGGCGCAGCTTGTTCAATGATCTTACGTGCAAAAGATTTAGAGACATATTTTGATGATGGCTTATCTCCCCACGATAATAATGCTTCTTCAGTGCAAACATCCGAATCATAGAGCTCTTTGATAATATGAGCAGATTTGGCCAACAAAACATTTTCATGTTTTTGAATGACTTGTTCGATTCCGCCCATCAAATATCTTTGAGCTTTCTTATCATTCAAAGTGAAACGAAGGAAAAGATTACGATTGTTTGAGATTTGCTTATCAGCCAACAGATTCTCATCGAACAAAACCAATGTCAACAACAACGAGGCTTTGGTTTTCAATTCCAATCTTTCAGCTTCATCCAACAATGCTTTTTGATCCTTGGATTCGGTGATCTTTCCAGCAGCTTTTGCATTCACAAAGAAATTATGAAGCATATCAAGGCGTTCTTCTTCGCTCTTATCTAAATCCTTGTCCAACACCAATTTTCCCATTCCAGTTGACAATGCGCCATTTGGTGCAAGTGGTTCCGGTTCCCAATCATCGTCTTCATCGTTGGAACTATTTTTATCAGCAGTTCCATTGGTTTCGACGACTTCAGCGGTTCCGTTTTCAGTTGCACTTGATGTCTTTTTTCCGTTTGTTTCTGCTTTCGAGAAATCAATATCAATTTTCGGTGGATTTTTTATAATGAACGCCGACAATTTGAAACGTGGATCAATGACGAAAGCATGTCCGCAAGCTTTGCATTTGCTGTGAATCGAGTTTTTTCGAACCAACAATGCAGTTTCCGGATTATCGCATTCTGGACACAAAACAAATCGTTTGATGAAACCATCAAGAATATCTTGCAATTTGTTTGCGTCGTGTTCACCATTGACAATGTAGCGTTCATTTTTCGCGTCGAAATTGGTTTGAGTTCCGAGTTCACAACCAAAGTACTTTGTTGGGTCTGAAAATACAAATGTTTTATATTCAGTTACAAAGTTGATAACTTACACATTGGTGGTCTCTCAAGAGCTTTAGCAATTTCAGACATGTTGGAAATCACCGTTTTGATTCCGTTTCCTCGTCCTTCGACTTTGGCCAACAATCTCGGCATTTTGTAACGGTAGAATGGGTCGGAGACCGAACGATTTACGTTGAGAGCCATGATTTACTTTGTTGCTTTTGTTTGGATGGTTTTCTGAAAAAATGAACATAGTTTCTTATCTCTATCAGATAAATTGATTCAAAACATACAAAAATTGGATATCACGAGTGCGATGATGGATGTGTGGATTTGACGAATTGCATACAATGTCGTAGTCGATGGTGACTTCAGTGGCGTCGAGAAAAGACGACGCTATCGATTCGCTAATCTTCAGTTTCTTTCTCTTTCTGGACAACCTCCCTGTAAGAAAAACTAATTTTAAAACGGGTTCTCATTTACTCAATCTCAAGTTTGTCTCCCTGATAAAAACTGCATAGTACAAACAATAGGAACATTTGCCAAACAAATAATCCGATTAAAAATTCGATTTTTTTGAAAAATGATCCAAAAGAAAGGAAAACAATCATTAAAAAGAAATCACATAATGTGTTTTTCATATTATGTGATTTTGCTTAACCAAAAATCGATTTGGAATTAAATATTTCCCCCACACATTTCAAACCTCCTGTCGAATCACAATTTTTCATAAACGTGCTGATTTCGTAGAGAAAATGATTTGAAATGAGGTGCCAACAGAATTATATACTGTCACACGTAATTTTCCCACGTTTTATTGTTATTTAAATAAATTTCTATTTCTTTTTTCTCACCTTCTTGAGGGTTGTCGATCATAAAATGATGAATGGAATCGAAGTTGTTTGGGCACAAGAACATGCACAACTGGACTCCCAGCTATAGATTGTGGTCAGACCAAGTTGAAGAAGTTGTTCTAAAATAAAATATTTTAGGGAGATAAAAAACACATGAATTGGGACAATCAAATGAAAAGAAGTAGAAGAAAAAAGAAGAGGGGGAAGCAACAACGCACAACAAAATGAAGAGGAAAGGGAAGGCTGCCCGAGGGCGGCCGCTGCTGCAGAGGCGGCGCGGTCGTTAATCTGCGTCTCTCACACTTTGCTGATATTTTGCATGGTTCTCTCAAATTGTCGTACTGTTTTTTGACAACTTTTCCTGACTGATGAAGACTAGAAAAACCACGTTTCACACGAATCAAGAACAAAAATGAACACATTAATAATTCAAATGATAATGATATACCAATGAATCAATCAATGGTGACTATAACACAAGTATACAACATCACTTTGGAAAAAAACTGGTTTCATATTTCGCAATCGATTCAATATTGATATTCATTATTTTTATTATAGATGTAAAACAGAACAAACACTCAAAATATTGCTTTGTTTTGTTTTTGTAGCGATATGAGAAAATAACACACGGACCGTGTATTGTTTGGGTAAACCAAAAAACTAGTGCAACGAGGTTGACATGTTAAACGGATCCAGAAGATTGACTTTTCTGATTGTGAGATTAAAGCCGAGATTTTATGTTCAATTAGTCGTGGAACGAAATGAAATATACAGAGTAAAACTAGCACTTCGAAACACCGATGTTAATTCAACATAGCCCTATCAAGTGATGGAAATATTACTGAAAAGATCTACATCATTTGATGTTCTCTGCTAATAACAACACAGTCTCCCTATAATTTTCAACAATTCATCTAAAACTCAGGCTCTCGTAATTTCAGTCACAAAACTTGATAATTTTGTTCTTTACGTATAATTATTTCAGGCCGCCCTAACACGAAAACTTTGTAAATAACATACACAACAAACTAAAACTGTTATGAAGGGAGAACAAGCTTGAAAACAGGCAAAACGCACAAACTTTGTGCGCGAAAAAATGGAAAAAATAAAAGGCGGAAAGAAATCGCGACGAGACCCAAACAAATAAATCGGTGCGCCTTTACTCAAGCAACGCGGGTTTTCAAACATTTGTGTTTTCTCTTCTCTTTTTGAGACTTTTTCTCACTTTGTCTAAAGTTATGACAAGCTACTCACATCGCTCACAATTCCCAATCAATGTTATACTTATTCAACCATATTACGACCATGAAACATTCCCAAGTTTGTCTGATTTGGTAAGAAAATTCATTTCGAAGAGAGTATCATTTGAAATTTTTTAGGTGGATTTCGAATCAACAAGTAAACATCGTCAGTTTCCAATCCACGTTAAAGATAAAGTATTCTACATTGACGCAGAGCTTTTTGCCAAACATTCAGACTATTTTAAAACGATGTTTGAGAATAAGTATTTCAAAGAGAGCTCACAAGGAAAACTCGAAATTTTTGACGAAACACCAGAAGATATTCACCAACTAATAACTGCAATTTCACCAAATTATCTCGGATTATATCCGGATGATGTGACAGAGCAAAATGTATGCACACTTTTACGGCTTTGTGATAAATATCTTGTATCAAACCTCAAGCAATGTTCTATGGATTTTCTCAATGATTATGAGTTAGTTACTATCTACCCTTGTTTTTTAAATAGCTTTAATTATTATTTTCAGCGCTTCTAAACGCCCATTGGATCTTGTTCTTCGACTTTTGCATCAACTATGTTTTTCCCTTCAGGCTTGTTATGATCATGATGAGATTTTGAAAGAAAATGCAAACTTGGCTATGTATTCTTGTCTAAATGAATTGATGAAACCGGCAAATTCTAAAGAATTTTTCAAACTTCGTGCTGAAATGTCGAATGAAGATAAGAATTTGCAAAAAATTTTCGATGCGATTATAAGAAGGTAAATAAAAAAGAATTGTGTAGATAAATATATTGAATAACTTGAATTGATGAGGTTGAATAGGCTGGGATTAAGAAAATAATGAGATATCAATGAATAAGTTATGTGATGTTATTCAAATTATAAGTTTTTTTCAAACAAAATTCGAAGAGTCCTAAAAAATATATATAACAATGTCTCATAAATAAAATAACCGAAACAAATTAATCTGAAATTTTTATTGTGTCGCGTGAACTATGACTAAGCATTTCATTTATTTTTTCAATTTAAAATGATATTCTCTCATTTCTTAAAAATAAAAATCTAATCTAAAGTTCCATATTTTTGCAGCAATGCCATTTTCGAACATCGCCTTTCATATGATGAAGAAGTTCAAGGTTTAGGATGTCATCAATGTTCAAAACGAACTCGAGTAACAAGATTCAATCACGGAAAATCACTAATGCTCAGCCTTTGTAAATGTTGTAATCAAGAAGTTTGCATGCAATGCAGAAGAAAACCATGTTCACGATTGTTTGAGGATTGGATTCGAGAATTAGGATCTAATTAAATTAAGAATATTAAGAACCCCCTAATAACATTTTCTAATAAGTTCCCAATAATATGTATATTTATGTTTTGTTAGTTTCATATTTATTATGTATTTATTTATTTATTTTGTATATCTATGTATTTATGTTAGAAAACGTATGAGTGTAAGTCAGCTGAGCGTCCTCTCGCTCACACAAAGAAAAAACTCACAAAACACTCACAGTCGATTTTTCCACTCGTTTCGCCCTCGTATTTTTGTTCCTTCCATGTTTTTTTCTCTCAAACAAATGAACAAAATTCTAACTTTTTCTTCTTTTTTTCTTGGAAAAGTTTCATCGGTTTTGAAATATTCCGAAGTCTTGATTACCTCTCAAATGAATTTCTCGTTGAATTTAAAAAATCAATTTTTTCAGGTAATTCCGCAACATCTGAACAATTTACTAGATTATTTTTCAATTTACGGGTATTTTAATTTTACACGTGAGTTTTTTCCGCAAACTACTTTTTTTTTCATTTCAAATTCACAGATGTTTGATCCTTTTGAGAAAACACTCACGAATGAATAAAAAAAACTCAAATTTGAGTGTTTTCTTTTCTCTCGCAAATAGAATGGAAAAATTATCCCAATGAACTTTGTTTCTCAGAGAATTTGGAAAATGAAGAAAACAGAAAAATATAATCTTTCTAAAAGCAATTTATCCCAACCAAAGCAGTCATCATAGTACATTTCAAGTTTTTGTGAACTTTCCCTAAAAGTATTAAGATTTATTTTATTTTTAGGAAAAAATTATTCATATTTTCCCTTGCTAATAATTAAAAAGTGGGTGTAATTTTCGTGAGAAAATTTTTAATTGATTTATTTTTCATTTTTCAAAAACAGAAAATCGAAAGTTTTTTCATTTTGTTTCAAATCCAATCTTTTTGCAGTTATTGGAACCTCAAATCTACTAAAAAAAGACCAATAACAACAAAAGATAACAAAAAATGTCGGATATAATCCGGTCCGCTTCACACGCTGGTTCATGGTATAATGGAAATCAGCGAGATCTTGATAGACAACTTGGAAAATGGTTGGATTCAGCTGGAGAAAGAGTCGGACAAGCACGTGCTTTGATATCGCCACATGCTGGATATTCATATTGTGGAGAAACAGCCGCTTATGCATTCAAACAAATTGTGCCAGATAGTGTGTAAGTTTTCCATCTCGGGAAAAAAGTAGCAAGTCTGGCGACAAAAAATAGACTTTTAGCCAGCTTGCGACCATTTTTAGCAAGCTTGCTACAATTTTTATAATGGGAAAAAATGTAGCAAGCTTGCTAAAAATGGTCGCAAGCTGGCTAAAAGTTTATTTTTGTCGCGAGACTTGCTACTTTTTCTCCGAGATCTCCTGGTGTTTCTTGGACCGGTCTGATTCAGATTTCAAAAATTCTGTAATCCTAATCTGATTCGAAAACTCCCAAGTTTCTGTATTTTCTTTCAGGGACCGTATATTCGTGCTAGGACCATCTCATGTTGTTTCGTTGAATGGATGCGCCTTGACAACTTGCACTAAATATCGTACTCCACTCGGTGATATGAATGTTGATTTGGCTGGTAAGAAACAATCGGTTTAAAAAACATTTTACTTAAAAAGTCATCTTTTAGTGAATGACGAACTTCGACAAACTCGTCAATTTGATCAAATGGAACGTCGTGATGAAGAAGCCGAACACAGTATTGAAATGCAATTGCCATTTCTGGCCAAAGTTATGGCAAACAGAAGATTCACAATTGTTCCAGTTCTTGTTGGTTCATTGCCAGGAACTCGCCAACAAACTTATGGTAACATTTTTGCACATTATATGGAAAATCCGAGAAATCTCTTTGTTATATCATCGGATTTCTGTCATTGGGGAGATCGCTTCAGTTTTTCACCATTTGATAGATCTAGCGGAGTTCCGATTTTTGAACAAATAACAAATATGGATAGAGCTGGAATGAATGCAATCGAAACATTGAATCCAACAGTGTTCAATGATTATTTGAAGAAAACACAAAATACAATATGCGGAAGAAATCCAATATTAATTATGCTTCAAGCAGCCGAACATTTCCGACAAATCAACAATCATACACACGAATTCCAATTTTTGAATTATTCACAATCCAACAAGGTCAGATCACCTCAAGACTCATCTGTTTCCTATGCCGCTGGTGTGCTTTTTGTTCATCCAAAATAGTTTTTTTCAATACCAAATGTCTTTTTACCTATGTGTGTAAATACTAATTTTCTTTCTTTTTTATTTTATTTTTCTGGAGTCAATAACCAAACTCCTTTTTCCCCACCATTTTTTATTTATATAATATGAAACAAAAAAACTGTGAATAAAACTCTGTACTTATAGGCATTTTGTGTGAATAAGAATAAGAAGAAGTGCTATTTAATGGGACCATAGACAATATAAGTTGGTTTTGTACCATTTGCCCCTTCTAAATCCACATCTGCAGCACCAGAGAAGAACGAATTCGCATCCACAATATTGACATCTTGTTCACCAACTGGTGTCGCATACGCCATTATGAATTTTCCGTCGATCTCGATTTTACAATTCAAATCTCCCGCAAAATTGATTTTGGCAACGAAATCCGCGTGTGCTGCAACCGATTCGAAAGTTGTCCCGAATTTTTTCTCGGCTTTCTGAAAAAATGATTTATGGTCCAAAGAAGTTGGTTTCGGCTTTGGAAAATTTTTACAGTAACTCGATGAAAAATATTTGTGTTTTCTGTAGTTAATTTTTTGTGTCCCAAGATAGTCCGATAAAAAACATGAATTTCTGAGAAAACAGAAAAAATTGGAACTTCAGAATTTGTTTAAAACTAGATTTTGGGAAAAACTTCCGGAAAATTCTACAGTAACCTATTTTTTACCTCTTGTACAGCTGACGCCATTTTCTGAACATTACAAGTCGAAACACCTTCAGCTTTTGCTTGAATATAAGCTTCTTCCATCGTTTTTTCCAACGTCACATTACAACACAAAAATCCCGAGGGATTTGTGAAACATTTTGGACCTGGTGGAGGTGGCGGAGGAGGTGGAATAACAACAGGAACTGGCACAATATATCCGCCATTATTAGCACCGCCACCAAGGAAAAGTGAAAGTGGATTGAAACCACCTTTTCCACCCAAAATACTTTGATAGAATTGACCTCCACCAAGAGCTGTATAAGTATTGGCTTTCAGTTGATGTTGTTTCTCTTGTGAAAGTCCACCAAATTTATTATTCACTGATTGTGCAACTCCACCAATACTAAAAAAAATTTGGAAAAGTTTTAAATTTTTGAAAATTATTGTACTTACTCTCCTTTTTTCAATCCCATAGTTGCAGCTGTTGTCATTTGTGTTCCTTCTCCTGAATCTGTTACAGTTTCAACAATCATAGCCGTTGTTGTCATTTCAACTGGTGTTTCTGGTGAATTTCCTCCAACTTCTGGCGGTGCTTCAACATATGGATTATCAGATGCACTTTGTGGTGCTGTAATTGTTGATGTCTCCATCGCTTTTTTATAATCCGTATAAGACATTCCGTGTGGTTTTTGTTGTGTTCCTTCATTTTCATTTGGTGTTATATAACGAGGTGGAGAATGAAGAATTTGATGAGATGGTGGGGGAGCAAACTATAAATTATATGAAGTTAACAATTGTTTGAAAATCATATTTTCTATTCAATTTATTTTTATCTGAACAAGAGTCGATTTAAAAATTCTCAAAAAATCACGCGGCTACAGTAACTTTTAAATTCTCAAAACTTTTTTCATCAATATATCTACAAAGTTTGCTACAGTAATCCATCTAAAAGCACTACTGTGCCAATTTTCCGAAAAATCAAAAAATTCTCACCGTTGCAGCTACATAAGTATCTCTCTGGAAATTCGAAGCAGCATCAGCTGGAAATGTATAGCCACTAGGTAATCTCACAAATTTTTGTTTTCTTCGATGCCTTGGAGCTTGAGCAAATATCATTGCAAAAAATAGAAAGAGGTATAGACATTTCATAATTCTTTGGATTCTAAATAAAATTGTGATTCGATTCACACATCATTTATTAACTTTGTGTATTAGAAGAATAGTAATTATAAATAAAAGAAAAAAGTGGTTGAGTAATAATAAATAAATAAATAAATAAGTGAAACATAAGAAAATTGAGAATCAGAAAAACAAGACAATTATTGATGCTTTTGCGAAGATTGTTTACATGTTCGACAACAGAAATTGCCATATCGCTTTTTGGAACATAATCCATTTTTGACGACCAAATTACAAGTTGCTGCACTTCCAGCATCATAACATGAACCTGGTGGTGGTACTGTAGAGGTTGTTGTGGTTGTCGATGTTATGATTGGTCGCATTGCAGTTGTGATTCGACGACGAATTGTTGTACTTGTGGTGGTAGATCCTCTTCTGATCACCACTTCAACCCCTTCGCTCATTTTTGATTCTTCTCCAGCAATACAAGAATAAACACCAGCATCAGATGTCAAAGCATCAACAAATTCCAAAGTATCATCATTTTCTTCGGTGATTCTTGAGCCGAATTGCAGTAAACCTCCATTTTTGTACCAAGTAATTGGAAGAACTCCATAACTATTACACCGAATTCTGAATGTGTTTCCAGTGAAAATAGTTGTCTTATCGATCAAATAAATGACTGGAGTTGAAGAATCAGAGAGTTGAGGAAGTTGAGGAAGTTCGGAAGAGGAAGATTTGACACTTGAACAAAGACGGTAACAATCAAGTTCACTTTCAAAACTGAAAAATATAATTTATGATGAAATTGAACTCCAAAAAACCTACCGATTTTCATTTCCTTCACATCCTCCATAATGGAATTGTTGGCAAGTTTGAGTATAAGGATCATAAAAATATTTCTTGATATTTCCAATTCTACAAGGACCAGTTGCAAACGGTAATCGACAAATATCCTCTTTACTTTTTGGAATTCCCGAACATCTTTGTTGACATTGTGATTTTGTAACAAATCGATTTTCATTTCCTCTACATCCACCATAAGTAAATTGAAGACAATCTCCGACTGTTTTATCGAAATACCACATTGAGATAGAATCAGTGCATGGTCCAGAAGATCGTGGAAGTTCACAAATATTCTCAGGATTTGTTAATGACCAATTAACTTCTTCTCTACACAATGTTTCACAATCAGCTTTTGATGTAAAACTATTCCCATTTCCACCACATCCAGACCACATCATTAATTTACATTCACCAAATTGTTTATCGAAATACCATTTTGGCACCGCTAATTGACAATTTCCAATTGATTTTTCGAGGTTACATACTTGTGTATTTCTCCATTTTCCACATGATCGTTCGCATGTTTCCTAAAAAAAATATTCGAAATGAGATGGGAAAAAGCTGAATAAATAAAAGTTGGTTTTCATTCATGTATATTTTTTTCGAATTTTTTTATTGCGTCGAGTTTTTTTTGTGATTGCAAAACGAGAAGAACATAAATATTTTATAGCTATTCACACTTTTGGTCATACTGACGTTTTGTTTTGAACTCATGATTTTTCGTATGAAAATCAATTTTTTCATTTTTTTTTCTTTTTCTATTTTTCTAAATAAAAAAGGTTACCCGAACATTTTCGGCTCCGATGTTTGTTTAACAAATGGCTGCCAACAACTACCCTACAAACCTTGCTAGATACTTTTATACTTTTTCTATTTTTGCTACAACTTTACTTTCAGCCCGAAAATGCTCAAACTAATTTTGCTGACAACAGTTTTCATGGGCTCCGTAACAGCTCAATCTGGTAATATGACTTGGGACGACAAAACGAATTATTGTAAATTGACCTCGAACGATATAAATACATGTGAGTCATGTATTGGAAAAGGATCGGTGAGTGATACATAAGTACCGTAATTATGAAAACTAATATTGATTTTTTGCAGAATTGTTTTTGGTGTGGTGGAAGTACAAAACAATGTATGCCATTTGATTGGTATTATCCAGGATGTAATATAAAACATGTGAAATATAATGTTTGTTGGGGTATGTAACAACATTTTCTATGTATGTAATTAATTTGTTTTCAAATTAATAATTTTTAGTTAGTACATCTGCTGCTGCAATAATTATTGCAATTTGTGCTGGAATTATTGTTGTTCTTCTCATTTCATGCGTTTGTTATTGTTGTTGTAAATGGAGAAACTATAACCGGATTCACAAATTGGCAAAAGCCGAAAAATGGGCGAAAAAACAAGAGACGAAAAAAAGCGAATTGGAGAAAAAACATAGCGAGAGAAGTGATGCCAGAAAAGCTGAAATGGATGTTTATAGACAGAAATATGGACTTGAGAAATCAGATGGATTTGGAACAACTTCAACTTCTACATCAAGCAATTATAAAGTTTAATTTGACCAATTTGTATTCCACTTTTATTTTGAAATCATTCGGGTTATGAATAAATTAGTTGCGCAGTTTAGAAAATTTGAAACAAAAAAAATCAAGTCACATTGAAAAAAAAATCAGGTCACGAAACAAAATTAATTATTTTCCACTATTTTTAAAATTAAATGAGTTTCAATTTAAAAATATGCCATTGTTTGGACAAATTTGATTCATTTTTGTTCTGGAAGACTTCACGATAACATGTTACAATTTCTAGACACGCATTTTTTCAAAGCTCTGAGAAATCTAAAAATGAATTGATAAACTATTGTTCCAATTTATTCAAGTTCACCTATTCTTAAAAATTGAGTTTTTTCTCCGTATCAAAGAAATTAATGTTTTAGAAAAGTCCAAGAAATAAAAATCAAGATCAATCTAAAAACTCTTCGCAATAACAAACATCGGAAACCTGATTTCATTTCACTTAGCGAAATGACTCATCTTGTTTTCTTTTCACAATAGCTGCTACTATTCTTATGCCAGATACATAAATTAGTCATCCAAAAAGTCAGGTGCGCGTTAATTTTCAGCGATGAAAAAAACAGAGAAGATTGTAAATCAAATATTTGTTTTTACTCAAAGAAAACAAATTGGGTATAAATAAGACGGTCTAGGAGAGATTTGCTGAATTTTTGAACTTTTGTCTCACAAAAAATTAACCCTTCTCAAAATTTTAAACGAAGATCGAAGTGAGTCATTTTATTTCCGCTGTTTAGTTTATTTTGATCATAAATTTTTGACCAAAACAAGTTTCTTTGTCTTTTCTTATCATATTGACGAAGGTCATTTTACTATTTATAAATATCACAGTTTTTTCCTATCTTCAGATCTCTTTTACACCATGAATTTCACACTTCTATCAATCGCATTATTTTGTGCTCTAATTGCTCCAACATTTTCTGTATTCACTCAATCAACTGGTGTCAAAGGAACTTTGATGTGTGGTGATAAACCATTGGCAAATGCTAAAGTTAAATTATATGATGATGATACTGGACCAGATCTTGATGATTTGTTAGCTGAAGGAACAACTGATTCTTTGGGACAATTTTTATTACAAGGACATACTTCGGAAGTTATGACAATTGATCCAAAATTGAATATTTATCATGATTGCGACGATGGAATTAAAGTTAGTTTTTCACATATTAAAAAAAATTTTCTTTAGAGTTTCAGAATACTTATTTCTCACGTCAGAACTAATCCAATTATTTTCAGCCTTGCCAACGTAAAGTAACTTTCAACATTCCAAAATCATTTGTGTCAAATGGCGAAACACCAAAACAATTCTTCAATATCGGACAAATCAATATGCAAATCGAATTTGAATCCGAATCAAGAGATTGTGTTCATTAATTTTAATATCACAGAAAAACTGTTTTAGAAAATAAATAAAACAAATTAACCTTTGTCTGCGTCTCTCATTCTATCTTCTACTCGGGTATCATTCACAGTCTCAAAACAATCGATCACTAAATTAGTTTCACAAATGTTATTATTTATTTTACTTTTCGGAATTCTTTCTTCAATATCGGAATGTTCGGATATAGATTTTGAGATTTTAAAAGATGTTCATCGAATTCTTCAAAAACGCGATATTGCAAGTAACATCGCATTAGATGATTCATCATCAAAATGTCGAAATGGGGGAATTCTAGCAGGAAATATGTGTCATTGTATTCATCCACATATTGGACCAACGTGTCAACATTTTGCTTGTGGTAAGTTGAGTTTGGTCAAAGAAATCAGAATTGATTTCACTCAGATTCTGATTCTTGAACTTCCGTGTCACTTCCAAAAATCCTAACCTATCCCTTTTAAACATTTTTAATTTGAAGTTCATGGAACATCAGTCGGACCACGCTATGATCCAAAATCCCTAATTTTTGGAGTGCCTTGTATTTGTGATTCTGATTGGAAAGGAGAATTGTGTGATTTCAAACCAGATGATCAATGTGGAAATAAAGGAGAATGGAAAAATGATCATTGTGATTGTATTGGTTATTATTTTGGAAGTGAATGTCAGTATACTTCAAGGTGTATTGAAGGAAAAATCAAACATGGAAGATGTATTTGTAACGATGGTTTTGATGGAGATTATTGTGATCAAATTTCATGTAAATATGGAACATCGAGTGAGTGACTTTGCAGGATTTTTTATCAAAAAAAGATTTTTCGTTCAGATGCAACAGATCGTTCTTTATCCTGTGTATGTACTACTAAAAAATACAAAGGTCGTCATTGCGATGAATGCACAAATACAGGAATTGGCTGGCAACCATATCCAATTTGTAACAAGAATTTCAAAATGATTCAGAATATGCAACACGCTCAAAAGATTCGAGAAGAACGTCGACAAATGAAAAGAAAACAGATTGTGATTATTTCAATGTGTATTTTTGCTTTAGTTTCAGCTGGTTTTATGATTGGATGTGTTCATTTATTACATCGAAAAGCAATCAAAGCTGAAGATGATCGTGGACAACAAATGAAAGAAGAACGACATATACTTCTAACAAATCAAGTCAGATTACAAAAACTGTATGTTTTTTCTCTTATTGTCAAATCCTAAATTATCACTTACAATAATTCAGAGAAGAAGAAGTGGCTCGCGAAAGTAAGGAAAGTTTAGCAGCTGATAATTTAGAGAGGAAAAAACGTCGAAAAAGTGAGCCGGCTATAAATCATTCAGAACTCTCCCTAATAATAACACCACGTATCAAAACATCAGTGGCTATTCCAAAATAAGTGTTTTCTTTTTATCCAAGTATTTGCATAAATAATTTCCCGTTGGAACTAACCTGACTTGTGAAATGATTTGCATTTGCATTACATCCAGAATATTGGAATGATCTACACTCGGATTTTTCCGAATCATATCTCCAGCGCAAAATTTTATCATAACAATTTCCGCGTTGTTCAGGAAGCAAACAAAGTTCTGGCAAAGCTTGACTGTCAATACTAACAACATGTCCTTCATCTTCAACTTCTTCTAACTCATCAATAGGTTCAATTAATCTCACATCATTGTTTGGATCATAATTCGAGCTTTGACTTGGTGAAGACATGCAGACTCCTTCACAATCTTCTTTGCTTTCAAATCGGTTGGTATTTCCAGCACATCCACCGTAGTAAAATTGACGACATGTATTGAATTCGGCAGAAAAATGCCAAACTAAACGATAGTCTCCACAAGATCCTGGATCAGGAACAGCATAACAATCAGCAGCAATATTCGGATCTTGATAGTTAACTGATCTTTCCGAAATGCTATTGAAATTATGAGCAAATGAATGTCTGAATTATATCAAATCATGCAAGAATAAGTCAAGATTACTGTAGGATCTCACCTCAACGAAAGTGCTGCAGCTGGTGTTACTAATTCATCATCTTCAACAATTTCCAAAATCAAATTTTCACTTTTCGAGATTTGTTCATTTTTTGATACCTCTTCAACTCCAACTTGACCATTTTTTTGTTCTGAAAATTTCACAGCAAACTTAAAATCAGCAAACATGCACAGAACTTAGAAAAACTCAGAAAACGGTTAGAAATTAAAGTCACACTCACACTAAATTCAAATTCTATCTTATTTCTTCAACAAACTTTATTTTCGAAAGTGGTATATCATAAATAGGAATAAAGTTATTATTAATTGGAAAATGTGATCAAATATTATTAAAATAAAAGGCAGTTTTTGTGTCAATTTCAGAATATTTTCAGATATAAAGAAAGTTGTTTTGGGTGTGTGTTTTTCAAGTAAAAAGTGATAATCCAGTAGAGAGATTCGGACAAAAAAAAAAGAAAACAGGAAAATATCATAGATAAACGTGGGGGCAAGAAATATCACGTGAAACAAACAAAAGGGAGGGCGAAAACATTGGAATAAATGTTTACTTACTTGGACAACTGCTTTGACATTCAGTCAAACTGCTGAAACGGTTAGTGTTTCCAAGACATCCTCCTGAAATTATTCAATGTTTTATATGATTCACGTCTAGTTTCCAAAAAAAACTTACCATAAACAAACTCCTCACAAGCTTGAGTAGCTGGGTTGAAATAATAGAAGGTGTGTTTTCCAGAACATGGTCCTTCAACTTTTGGAAGTGTACACCGATCAGAGAAGTTTTGGCAAGCAGATTTACATTGAAGTTCGCTGTCGAATCTGTTGGTGTTTCCTTGACATCCTCCATAATGGAATCGGTTACATGTTCCATCAGCCTTGTTATACCACCATTTTGTGGTGAATTTTTCACACGGTCCGGTGTCCTTGGATTCAGCGCATGGGGATGAAACTGGGGCTGTAATTATTAATGGTTTCTCTCAAAACTTTGGTATAAGGTTCCAAAGACTCTCCTAATGTCTAAAAAAATTGTGAATTTTTTTCTTGATCTTTGAATTTTTGAAACAAAATAAACTCTAACAAAACATCTAACACAATCATCATCATCAAGTTCAAATCACACCTATTCATATTTCAAACAAACCTCCTTGAGAAGATAACAATGCTCCTCCAGCTGGAGATTGTTCATCTGGTTGAGCTGGTCCAGTACAAGTGGCATCACATAGACTTTTGTTGGAGAAACGATTTTGATTTCCACCACATCCAGTGTATTTGAAAGTGGTACATTGTCCGGTGGCAACTTCGTAGTAATACATTTGGAATTGTCCGTTGCAGTTCTTGGTTCCAGCATCAACATTGAGGAAGCAAATATCACGAGATTTGGCTAAAATGGGATCAGAATAGACATGCTAGGGAGAATCAGTTTATCAAACTTTTACATTTAAAAGAAGTTTTATGGTTTTTTTTTTTTTGAAGTCGGGGATTGTACAACTACTGTAAATTTTTTTTTCGAAAAAAATGTCTTCGTAGAGTTATGTTCAAAATAATAACAGTATTTTCAAGGTGCGTAGGTATTTCGAAAATCGTTATGGTACCTTGGTATTTTACAATGTGCATCTCAGAAAAGTTGTTTCATACAGTATTCCTCGAAACTTTTTGAATTTTTTCTCACTCATGCTGAAACTCTCAAATTTTCAAAACTGATAAATCAATATTCACCGTGCATCAACTTAATTTTGTTCTAACACTCTTCCCCGAGGCAAACTCACATTGAACTCTTCCAGCTGGTTGTTGAGCAACTTGTGGTGGCGAAACAATAGAATATCCTGGATATTGTGCTGGTTGCTGTTGTTGAGCTGGTTGTTGATATGGTTGAACAGCTGGTTGAGCTGGTTGTTGTTGTTGTTGTTGAGATGTTGGAGTTCCACCGTGAACAAAGAAACATCTGATCTCACATTCATCTCTTGTCGAGAATCTGTTTCTGTTTCCACCACATCCACCATAAGTGAACAATTCACATTTCTTGGAGAAGGCATTGTAGAAGTATTGATCGGAATATGATTCACATTGTCCAGCGTCTTGTCGAGAACGGCAAATATCTTCCATAGTTTCTGAAAGTATTCATTGATAATTTAATAAACTTGGAGAATCGAGAGAATTTCTAAAAAATCTACTTACGTGGTCTTTGTTGTGGTTGTGGTTGTCTTTGAATTTCCAAACTTCTTTGATCAGTTTCAATACTGATTTGTGGTTCAGGAGTAGCTGGATACTGAACTTGTGGAGCGACTGGAGCAGCTGGTGCTTGTGTAACTGGGGCATCTTCTTCGATTGGTCCAACATTCTTACAGAATGTACTGCATTCTTCCCATGTTCCGAAGTTGTTGGCATTTCCCAAACATCCCTTCCACCAGAAAGCCTTACATTGTTTAGTGTTTGTATCATAATAATATCTTGGGATCAATTCTTTGCAACTTCCATCAACCTTTGGCAAATAGCATCTTCCAATACCTGGTGGTTCAACACAAACAGTGTCGCACATTTCCTTGGTGGCAAAGTTATTCTCATTTCCGTCACATCCTCCATACCAGAATTGTGTGCATTCTCCTTTTTCATTGTTATAATGCCAAGCCAATCGATATCCACTTCCACAAACTGTTCCCATAACTTGTGGTTGACTACAAGCGGCAATCTTTCTTGGTGCAACAGTTCCTCCCATCAAGAATGGTGCAACTGTAGTTGTTGGGCATCCGGCATAGTTTGGTCCAAGAGCTTTGGTAAGATTATCTGTGCAACATCCATGTTTAGCATATCGGCAGTTATCACAACCATCGTTCTTTGGTCCCAAAGCAGTTGTTTCACCATCTGGACAACATCCATATCTGGTATATTGACATGGGCATCCTTCTTTGTTTTGTCCACGAGCACGAGTTTTTCCATCTGGGCAGCAACCATAGGTTGATTGAGCACAGCTTTCTGGGCAACCGTAGAATCCATTTCCTTTAGCAACTGATTTTCCATCTGGACAACATCCGTATTGCGAGAATTCGCAACCGCATCCTTCATTGTTCAATCCCTTTGAGGTGGTCTTTCCATCTGGACAGCAACCGAATTTGGAAATCAAACAGTTTTCACCACATCCAGTTCCATTTTTGCCAAGAGCAGCAGTTTCACCATCTGGACAACATCCGAAGTCAGAAAGTTCACATGGGAACGAACTACGTTCACATCCAGCATAGTGTGGTCCGAAAGCAATCGTCTTACGATCTTTACAACATCCGTAAAGTGATGCAGCACACGATGGTTCACCACATCCTTCAAGATTTGCTCCGCGAGCCAAAGTAACTTCATCGTGACAACATCCGAATTGTGTTTCGTTACAGCTTCCTGAAAAAATGTGTTCAACTAGAATTAAACTTTTTTCTCGAAAACTTACCAAGAATGAATTTCTCACATCCTTCATTTCCTTTTCCAGTAGCTGGTGTGAACCAATCTGGACAACATCCGAATTCAGTCTTTGAGCAATGAATTGTAGCATTTTCAGCTTCTTCCAACAAAACTTCTTCAGTAGAGTTGCTCAAGCTTGGCAAAATGGTGCTGCATTCAACTGAAGCTTCTTCTCCATCAGCATTTGTCACATTGCAGACTGAATTTTCAGCAGTTTCCAAGATAGCTTCAGCAGCAGATCCTTCAACATCAGCTTCAGCTTCAGCAGCAGCTTCGGTTGTCTCAGCATCAGCTTCTGGAGCATCAGAAGCCAAAAGTTCAAGTGGAGCCTCGACGAATTCTTCACATCCCAAGCTGTTGGCTCCAGTGGCAACAGTAACATTATCAGCGCAACATCCGAATTCAGTTGTAGAGCAGTTTGAACATCCGAAATTAAATTCTCCAGTTGCAAAAGTTGAGTTGTCTGGGCAACATCCAAATTCAGAATCTCCACAAGTTGGACAAGCTTCAACATTACACTCTTGTTGTTCTTTTGGTTTGATTGCTTCATCACACCATTCTGGCACTGGTTTCTTATCGTAATTCAAGCAAACAGCAACACGTTCTTGTTCACCACCTCCACATTCAGCAGTACATGGAGTCCAGGAAGATGTATACCAGGTTCCGGTACACTTTTCTTCATTGGTACAATTTGTTTTTCCTTCTGGTTTTTCAGCTTGACAATGTGATTCATCAACAACTTCGAGTCCATTGTTTTGATGAATAGCACAGATAACTCTACGAGTTTTGTGTCCATGTCCACATTCAGTTGAACATTTTGACCATTCACTAACAGTCCATTCGTAGTTGCACGGTGGTTGAGTGGCGCAAGTTCTGAAAAATTTAATTTTCAGATGAGATTTCTGAAAATTCAATGAGCTCTGAAAATTACCTGGTATCAATTGGAGCATCAGTTTCATTGGTCAAACATTTTTCCAATGGATAAGCGCGTCCTTGAGTGTCTTTGCAGGTAACTTCACGAGTTTCTTCGGTATCGTTACAACGAGTACACAAATTCCATTCTCCGGTGACAAAAGAGAGTCCTTCACATGGTCCCAAGTTGCAAGTTCTTTCAGTCTCGAATATGTCTTTTTGTTCAGCTGGACAAGCATCGGCAGCCAAAAGTTTTCCTTCTTCTCCTTCTTTTTCGGATCGGCAGGTTACTGAACGATATTGGAAGGCATCTCCACATTTTTCAGAACAAGCTGACCATGGACCAGCTTGCCATTCTGGGCACGCAAATCTAAAAGGGAAATATATATTAACTTTGGCTCAAAAACCCCTCTCCCATTTTTTTGCAAAATCCCCAATCTCACCCCCTCACAAAAGTATATATAAACAAAATTTGTTTATTATTCGCTTTTTCTTTTTTCACTCAATTAATCTTTTTGTTTGTTTATTGGAATTTGAGATGAGATAAATCAAAATGAGCAGATCTGCTGTCTGCATTAGGAATGCGAAAGCCATACACAGAGAAGTTCCGAGTTCTCCAAAACCCCAAGGCTCTACATTATTACTCACTATAAACACTTTGAAAAAGGGTCGCTCGGGGTGTCATTTTTTAGCCCCAGACTGCATCCTCACCTATTACAAGTTTGTTTAACTGGTGGTCTTTCAGAAGTACAATTTCCATCATCCACAGTAACACGTTTACCATTGGCAAAAACTTGATGACAATAAACAACTCGATATTGTTGTCCTTGATCTCCGCATGTTGAACTACATGGTTCCCATTCTCCTTGGAACCATTCAGCAGCACAATCAACGGTTTCGCAAGATTTCTCGAATTCTGGTTTTGTTGCATTGTTTTCCTCGCAAAGTCCATCTTCGACACGTCCTTTATTTTTTCCATCAACACAGAAAAGATTTCTGGTTTGTTCTCCTTTTCCGCAAGTTACTGAACATGGAGTCCAATCATCGAATTTGTAGAAATAAGCGACTTCTTCTTCAAGTGGAATTGAGAATTCATAAGTGATCTTACTGTCACGAGATCCTGCACGGATCAACAAAGAAACAGAAACTTCCTGAAAAAGATTGATTGTAGGGTTTTTTTTTATGAATTTGATTATTTCAAATACCTCTGTAAGTGGTCCTTGAGCAACAAGTGATTCTGGTTCTTCTTCATAGACGAAAACAGTTCCAGCAACATCAACATCCTTTTCAACTTGAATCAAACCATTTCCATTCAAATAAAAATGATCAGATCCATTCTTCAAAGCCAAAGTGTTGGCAGATTTACGAAGTTCCTTGATCTTGATACTAGTGGCACCTTCTGGCAATTTAATAATATCATGATATCCTGGAGCAAGGTTCTTCTCATCAAAAACTCCTTCAATAGTTTTACATGTTGATCCATCTCCATCACACTTTCCACATTTGTCCAATTGAAGTTTTGATCCGAGTTTACCATCGCATCCAACTGGAACACATTCTCCATCAACGCAAATATCTTGGGATTTCGAATCGCATTTTGTTCCATCAACAACTTTCTCAGCCCATTTGAAGTAGAAGTTTCCGGTTTCTGGAGCACAGATCAATTCACACCTGCAAAAATTATTGATTTTGAAAAATGTTTTATCAGATCAAGAAGAATCAACTCACTTGTTCTTTCCTTTGTATGGTTTCCATTGATGATAATTTCCATCAAGTGGATCATCGTTGTGTTTAGAACATTGTTCAGCACGGAAATCGGTATTATCAGCACATGGTTCCAAATTACACGATGTGTAACGAACTGATGAACCAGTACAATCTCCATTACATTGGCGTTTTTCGGATTGAACACCGCCTCCGCAAGTGCGAGAACATTGTTGATCTGGTGTCCAAGGTCCCCATGGTCCGCTTTCTTTTTTTCCAGATTTGTCAACAGTTGCCGGAATATCTCCTTCAGCGTAGACCTGAAATTAGAAATGTTTTGAGAAATGATACTATTACACGTTTTGAAGGATTAATTTTAAATTTGATTTTTTTTATCTCGGGAATCATTTCATGTTTTTTAATAACTCACTTCATATGCTTGACGTTTTGATCTTGATTCGCGTTCTGGTGGTGACAATGGATGAAGATGCATTTCCTAGAAAAACGCTGATTATTAGTTACTGTAGATCATAATTTCCAAAATATCATACCTTATTATTTTCACTATTCCATAATGAAGAAAGTGAGAAGGCCCATGTTGGGACGGAGCAACAACACAAAAAGAAGCAGACGAGGGCTGCAGTTAGACCCAGCAACCTCATTGTTCTTTGTGAGAAGAGTTCGACGTCTAGAATCGATTGACTTGTTTAGATGTTATGTGTCAAGCGAGAGGTTCTACAAAAAATGTTAGTTCGAGTGAAACACAAAAAAAGCAAAAAATGTTAGAGCAAATTGACTGTATTTTAGATGTTGGAAGAGAAAATAATTGGCTGAAATTTTGAAACACTATTTAGAAAATAATCGGGGGAGAGGGAAAAGGGAAAAGGGCACCCAATCATCAATTGGTTGCATTTTTGAGGGAGCATTTATTGGTGTTGTAAAGTAGGTCAACTTAGTTCAAAATGATTTGTGTATGTATGCAAAAAAATGTTTTGATGTGAGGGAAAGAAAAAAGAAAAAGATGAGGAGATATAAGATGACCTGTGAACTTTGTTTAGAAAAAGTATCAAATCACAAAAATTTAGATGGCAAGATATTTCCAATAGAAAGGTCCGATTAGAAGATACTGGAACATTTGAACTCTAGAGAAAAAAAAACAAATTGTTAGGTTCTGAAATCTTCGGACATTAAAATTCGAGAAAATGAGTTCAGATCTTGATTTCAAAAAAAACACAGGTCATTTGGAAAATTGCATTCCAATGTTTTTTTGATTTGGAAGATAATCAGAATTCAATCATCCCCCATTCAAAAAACAAAATCGCAACAAAATTTTAGGCCACGTTTCTTTTTCTAGAACTAAAGTATTTCGGGCGGTGATTGGGAGCAAATGTCAAGCAAATGTTACAACGTGTAGACACACTTGTTCTCAAAACATTTTGAAACATTTCTCAAATTCAGACATCTTATAAAAATTTTCTGATTTTTAAAGAACACCTCAGAACTTTGGGAGTAGACAAAAAAGAGCAGAAAAAACAATGGATCACTACGTCACATGAATTTCTTTGTGATAACAAACACCATTGCGCAATTGGTGGGTCCACCAAAAAAAATGAGAAAAATGGTGATAAGAAAATAGAGAAACTATGATCGAAGGAAACCATTTGTGAAACTAAATGGAATGATTGAGAAAGTGCAGAAAAATTTGGTTTCCTGGAGGCCCCTCCTCTTTCCTCCCTCAACGCCTTAAGCTCCGCCCATTCTGTTGGCGGTGGTTGGAGCGAACGAGTACTGTAGTTTTTTCGTCAAGGAGCCGCTGCAAAGATTTATGCGAGGTCAAATGCTGAGAGATAGAGAGACAACAAGATAATATTACACGTGGATTTGATGGAAAATATTGCTCATGTTAATGAAAAAGTTGGGATATTCGATGATGACATAATTGTTGCGAAAATGATTGAGTGTGAATTTGAAAAAATTGAGAATAAAAGTATTTTTGGAACACAGAAAAATATCTATTAGAGAAAATAATTCAAAAAATTCAAAAAAATCTATTATGGAAATCATAAAAAGCAAATGAGAGACACAAATAAGAGACACAGAGAAGAAAAGAAATCCAACTGCAAATGTTTTTCGCGCTGCAATCACCAGTCAAAAATTTATTCATTTTCGATTTTTTGTTACTTTTTCTTACGGTTTTTCTTCTCTGTTTTTGATCTGTTTTTGCGCGCGACAAACAGAAAAAGGCAGGAGAACCAGCCAAAAAATAAAAATAGATGGAAAAATTCTGAAGAGTCGACGAAAGATATTGTTCATGTCAAAATAAAAATATGTTAGTCTACCTTTCTGAAGAAAATGATGAGTGGTTTTTCAAGTTTTTGGGATTCCTGGAGTAATTCAACAAAACTATTTTCAAATCTGACTCGCTACTTGTGAGCAAAAAATATTGAATGTTTACAGTCTGCAAAATTGACCCATTCTGATCACTGCTCATAAATCAATCATTAAAAAATTCACCGACAAAAATCAAAAAAGTGCAATAAATAAATATGAAAATAGTTTTGAAATTTGAGATTTTTAGGGTGCTGTGCTGTGCTCTCTTTTATTATATCAGAAATTTGATCATCAACACAACACTTTTTTGATACAAAGGTCATAGTTATTTATGTGCTATATTTATTTCTATATCACAAAAAGTTCAATGTGTAATAATTGATAGGGAGGATTTCAGACACCTGGAATAAAAATAATTAATTAGGTATTGAGTGAGATTGAGTCTCGTATCAATTTTTTTTTTGATTTTCAGATTCTACTGTAGATGATGCACATTTTAAATAAATATAACATTTGATATTAAAAAATGAAAAGTGAAAAGTGTAAACTGCGATACGATTTTGATTTTTTCGTACAGAAAGTGCATCAAAAATAAATATTTTTAGAAAAAAAGAATTTTTTTTTATAAAAAAAAAGATCAAGATCGACATCGACATCTTCAAAAAATAATTTTTCACCAAAACTTTTTGTTTTACACAAACAATTAATTATCAACACATTTTTTAGCAAAAAAAGAAGAAGAAGAGAGAACTCGATTCATCAGTTTGTCGCTGACTCATTTCATTGGAAGAGCAAAAGAATCTGGGGTCAGATCGTTAAAAAATCCGATAAAAATTTGTTGTTTGGGGGGTCAATATTTTTTCCAGGAGATTCTCGGAGAACTTTTTTTTTATTTTTGACACGAGGAAAACGTTTGAATCCAGAACATTTTCTAATGAGCTTCAGCAGATGCAGTTTTCAAACAAAATTTTCGCGGTTCTCATAAATCAAGTCGTCGAAGTTAGAAACAGAATCGAGATAATTAATTATTTCTAATTCAAATATTTTGGAGTACTGTAGTTAATTATTGCTCGCGCGCGCGCGAAATAAAATTTATGTCTCGACAGAAAAAAAAATGAACTTCGAACTTTAGTAGACACTTTTGGCCAAATTTATCGGAAGCGATTGTCTAGATGTCTACGGATCATGTCAGATGTTTTGATTGTGAGAGGAATTTTGAATTGGAACTTTGAAATTGTCAAATTTCCGAGAATCGCGGCAGTGACGAAATTTTTAAGATATCAATTTGTATTTTTTTCAGAAAAAACCAAGACTTTATGGTTTTTTCATGGCGGTCCGATTTGAATGGAAAACAAGGCCCGATTCGAAAGGCCTGAAGATTGTCCGCCCAAATAATTTCACACGTTCAAAATTACTCAAACGATATCATTCCAAATTCTGTAGACTTAGAAAACCTTCAAACCGATACAAACTTCATAAGTTCCGTGAAAAAGTTCATGTACTTCTTTCGCCCTCCCTGTTTTTCCTCATTTTTTGTTGCAACGTGTGGTGTTTTTATTATCGTTCATTTTATAAGCCTAGCTAGGCTATAAAAATAAGACACATACACACAAAAAAAGAGCCGAGAGAGCAGCCATCTGACATTTGGCAACTTGCCAGATGCCCTCGTAGTAAACTTTTTGCGCTTTTTTTCTTTGTTTATATATTACCAATATATTATATATTTTGTTAAAACAAAAACCTAAATGGATGAGAAAAGTTGAAAGAAGGATACTGTAGTTGTCCAGATGTGCGCGAAATGATTTATTTTTATTGCAAAAAATATAGTGGTTTTACATTGTATATAGTTGCAGCTGGATCGCACGTGTTCAATTTGGTTTACGAAAAAATATACTTATTGTTAATGATCGCAGGTGGTTCGGAATACTGTAGATTTGTTATTTCTCTATCTGATTCATCACTCATCTAATGATAAATCAAGTGAGGAACGCTTTAAAGCGAAAAAAGATACGAAAAATATCTTGGCAAAAAGATAATGCGATTTCACGTGGGGGTATAGCTCAGTGGTAGAGCGCTCCCTTAGCATGGGAGAGGGCTGGGGTTCAATTCCCCATACCTCCAAGAAATTTTTTTCTCGAAAAAATTTATCTTCAAGAATATCTCTCATGTCAATTATGTTTTCGCATTTGTTTGAAAGCCAAAGTTCTATCGACATCAACTACAATATATTCGACATCTGAAGGTGTTGGAGATCTTGTGTTTGAGAATTCCAGATTTTCAGTGGATGGTTCAAAATAATCAAAGTTCCGACGTTTTGATTCAGTTTTCTAGAAAAAATTAATTGATTTTTGGATACAAAAAAGAAAATATTACCGTAGTTCTTGAATAGCTGTAGTGATTTTCGACGTTTTTAGAGATACTAAAAAATAATGTGATATGTTTGTATTATGAGAAAAGAATAAATGTCTTACTTTCGATATCTTCGATCATCTTCTTGCCGTAGATTTTTGGGTTTGTTGGATCGATCAACTGGCGGAGGAGCACGTCTTCTAAAAGATTTATTTTTTCAGAATCTAGTTTTCTCACCAACCTTCCACTATTATTTCTCCTGTGTGGATTTGGATTTTCTTCAGTTTGAACTTGTTCATCTCTGAAAAATTGAGAACATCAAAATTTTTCAATTCCCTTTCAATAAAGAAAACTAACACATTTTTCAAAGTCTCTCCACTACTATCATTATCATCTTGAGAAATTGGACCCATTGAAGTGCTTGCTGGAATTTGATTCAGTTTTTGAACAACAGATGTGGCTTTCTTCTGATTTTGATAATGTCGAATTCTTGGTGGTGGAATTGGAACTGTATTCGATGCAACACTTCGACTATCATCTTCTGTTGTCAACGTTGAAGTTGTCGCATTTTTTCGAGATGAACAAAGTGAAGAAGTATCCGAACATGTCTCCATTTTATCTAAAAATATGTATGGTTTTGAAATACTTTTGAAAAAAATCGTACTCAATAACCAATTTTATTTTGACAAAAAAATACAAACCTGACAAGTTTGAATAAGTCTGATCCCTTGGTAAACTTCTATTCGAAACCACCGATCTTTTTTCATTTGTCATTTGATTTTTCCTTTTCGGATTCTTTCCAAAGTTAAACATTTGCATCCGATTTTCATTTGGCTGGAAATTATTATTTGTTTTCTTCAATTTCCCACTGGTTTAGAAAAATAAACTCACAACAGTAACTTGACTTCCCCCATCATTATAATTTTGTAGAAGAATATCAGAATTCGTTTCGAGAGTTTGTGAAGAAATTGATCTTCCAGAAATTGATGTTGTAGCAAGTTCAATGTCTAAATTGTTTTTTTTGAAAAATGAACCTTTTTTGCTTAAAAATTACCTTCAGTTGGATGGAAATTATTGAAATTCTCATATGGATCTTCGAATTGACGTTGAAGTTTGCAAACTTGGCAGACTTCACGGATCCATTTATTCATTTCCTGGAAAAAATTTATTTTTTTTGTTCATGTGACGCGTGCTTTCTCATTTCTATTTTTTTTTTGAATAAAGTCAAAAATCTAACCTCATCATTTGCTGCAACCAAATATAAATCTTTCTGAACTCCTTGAAATCTGAAACCGATCGAGAAAATCCAGTTTAAAGCTGGACTTCCAGAAGAACATGAAATTGTGTGATCAGCCAAACATAAATTGGATTCCACCTAAAATATAAGATAACGTAATTTTTTTGAAATATAATTTTGAAAAAGTAACCAACCCTATTGACAAATTCAAGTTTGAAACTTTTTTTGAGTTGTTTTTTTCGTTGATTTTTATATTCATCGATTGAATAAAGATTTCGAGAAGAATCTCGACAATACATTACGAAATAGTGTTCGACCCATTTTGTCTGAAAAATTTAAAAAAAAATTAATATTTTTCAAACAAAAAAATTGTATCCAAAATTAACTCACCCTAAAAAGTGTATATTTTTTGAGCCTTCTCAAGTTTCCTTCAAGCACAACTTCCATCTGGAATTTTTTTTAGGAAAATGAAAAAAAAAACAAAAAAAAAACGTCGAAATTTGTCTTTTGATTTTTGATAAGATAAGACTATCGATTTTGTCAGATTTTTTTAATTGGATCAAAACTTTCTCAATATTTTTTTCTTTTTTTATAAAATAGATAATCGAAAAAAAATTTCGAGACGAGGAAAAACAAAAAGTGCATGTAGACTTTGGAAAGTAAAATGAATAGAAAATTGCATTTTTAAGCTTTTTTTTTGGGAGCGAGCGAATTTTCAGAGAAAATGTATTAGACGAAAAAAGGAGAAGACACAATAATAAAAGTGATGTGTGTGTGAAGAAAAAACGAAGATGAAGAAAAATAATAAGTTATATTTAGATAGATTAGGTCAAAAAATGATTTTCGATCTTCTCTTGATTTTTCAGCAGAAGAAAAAATGAAAAAAACATTTCAAGATTTCCTCAAAGTTTACAAAAAAAAAAATAAATAAGGCGATTTATATCATGCGATATGATTTATCAAATATAGAACATTTATTGACAGTTTTTTTGTAAGTGAGTGGGTGAGTCGGTGAGTATAAAAAATGTAAAACACAATTTCCTATTGTAGCTAATCCAAAAAAAAATGAATTTAGAATGGTTTTTGTGCCAAGAAAAGATTCCAATTATGATTATCATCAGCAATATATCCCAATTTATCAGTCCATCCTCGAACCAATGAATCGTATTCTTTTTGTGAGAATTTCGACAAGAATTCTTCCATGTTGTTTTCGACGCGAGATCTTTCTTCACCGAGGATTTCTTTGAAGCGGGGAGTCAAGTTTTCGGTGTAAATGTTGGTGAATCCTGTTGATTGAGCGATCTGGAAATTTGAGTTGGATTCAGGCCTGCAGGCTTTGTTATCAAAAAAAAAAATGCTGAAATTCTGAACTCAACAATTTCAACAATTTTTCAATTCCAAATTTACCTGTTCGATTTGTTTCAAATTCTTCAAGAAATAATGTCTTTGAGACACGTATGACTTGAATTTCTCAGACAATTCTCCGTATCCAGCTCCATACATTGTGATCAACACTTTTCCACCTGGTTTCAAAGTGTCCTGAAATTAAAATTTGAATTTCCAAACCAAAAATAAAATAAAACACTCTGTATAAAAATGTCTCACATAAATTCTCTTGAACAAATTTTCAGTTCCAGCAATGTGTTGAATACAATCTCTTGAGAAAACATAGTCAAATGAATTTGGAGCGAAATTGTTGACCAAAGCATCAGTGATGGAATAACGAACGCGAGCATCCTGAAAATATTAGTGTTCTAATTGTAAGGAGTATGCAAATTTATCTAGTGTACCTTCTCTTTTTCAATTCTTTCCAAAGCAACAGCGAGCATATTTGATGAAAGGTCGATTCCGTGAACTTGAACTCCGAATTCCTGAAAAAATTCTTTCAAAAAACATAACAAAAATTGAACTTCTTACATCGGCAACTTGTCTAGCTCCTCCACCAATTCCAACACCAATATCCAACATAGTTTGCCCGGCTTTCAAATCTCCGAATCTCTTAATAATTCTCAAATTCTCCTCATAACCTCCTGGAGAAATGAAGTTATCTCCGAAAATCCATTCATACGCATAAATTCCAGTATTTGTATATTGAGTTTTGTCCAAAAAATCGCGGAAAGTGACAGTTTCATCAGTTGAGGCGGCAAACTCTTTTTTGGTGAAAACCCAGAAAAAGTCGAGATAGTTTTGACGAGTGTAAATTGAGTTTTCAACTTGATCAACTGTATAAAGTTCGAGGCCAGAGTTTTTCGAATCAACAGTGGCTCGGAAAACATCGAAATAATCAGTGAGGCGAGCAACGTGTTTTGGGTCAGTGTGAGATTCTAAATATTTAAAAAAATTAGGATTACATTCAGAAAAATTCAAAAACTCACGTAAATCCTCCCGAATTACAACAACTCCTCCGAAACTTGTAGCTGTTAACACATTTTTCAAGAATGTATCCAATTCTTCGGCATGGTCAACAATCTAAAAAATGATAAGGTTATCATTACATGGAAATAAAAAACATTCTAATAAAAAAACACTATTTTCGCTGATAAGTCTTGTTCATTTTTCACGTTTTGATCTTGATAAAAGTTACATCAGTCGAGAAAAAAAGATAAAAGACCTACCGATCCCAAAACCTTGTTAATCACAATAACATCAGCATTTCGAATTGTTGAAAGTTGTTCGAGTGAAGTGTGAGAGCTGACTTTTGAATTCACAAACAATTCAGGGAAGACAGTTTCGAATCTTGAACTGGAAAAATATATTTCTTGCTGAGAAAATAATTTGGGAAGACTACGGTGGAAAATGCTGTGTGTGAAAGTTCGTGAGTGTGTTTGCACATTTTCTGAGTCTCTTTGTTTAGCGTGATCTCTTTTTTAAATCAAAAACTCAGAAATTTCCTACAATTCAGCAGAAAAGCGTGATTCTGCAACTCTGGCACACAAACTGAACACAAGGAAAGTATGCCAGGGTTGCAGAATTCATAAAATGTTCCCATGTTTCAAACTCACGCAGCATTTGTGCATTTTGTGACAATTTGCACATTCCGAATAGTTTCTGGTTGGAAATGGGCGGAGCCAATGAGAGCATTTTGGACAGAGTGAGTGATTTGACGTTGAATTGAAAGAGACATGGCTGAAAAATATCGATAAAGATTTGAGAATTCAAACAATCAAGAAAAGAAAAATGCGGTAGCCGCCGTAAAAAAAACAGTAGAAGTGATTAGAATCTTCCGATCTAATATAATAATACAACGACCTTTCCTTTTATCATCACACCATTTTCTCTAACCGTCTCTTGTTCTCTCGCTTCTTTCATAAAAAAATATACTTCGAACTTTTTCGCGGTGTAGCAAAAGATACAATTTGTATTTATTTCGAGATCAATCGACACAACTTTATTGAATAACAAGAATTCAGAAAAAAAAAACAATGTAAAACAAAACTTTTCACACACACACAAATTATAAAAACAAACAAAAATAATTATTCAAGCCAATGAGATTGATGCTGGGTCAACTAATCCACTTTCTTTTGGTGATGGTTGTGGTGTTGAAGGTTTTGATGGTGGTCCGCGAGAAACGGAAAGTCCGCCAGCAAAACGAGATTGTGGAATAACAGATGGGCGAAGTGAGGAGGAATGTGAAGAAGGAGTTATTCCTGTTCCAGAAAGGGTTTGAGATCGATAACGAAGATCGCCACGTTCAATTGTGGTATTTGAATCAGATGAGAGTCGCTGTGGAAGTATTTCCGGAACTTGAACTCTACAAAAAAAGAGTTAGCGGGAAAATTAGATTATTTTGAGTATAGTAGAGACCACCCACAACGTTTTTATTTTTAAATTTAATATATATTTTTACGCAACTAACCTTTTCATCAAAGTTTCTTTGAACTTGAGTCGAGCATCAACCGAAGGAGAATTTGTTGATCCAGTCAATTGCGAATAATCGCTGAAACATTTTTTCGTTGAAAAAAAATCTAAAATTATAATGTGTTTGAAATTCCTTGAAATCAATACAAAATTTCCTGGATTTTATATCAGCAAATTTTCAACATTTTGTTTTTCATATTTTTCAATTAAACATGACAAATCCAAGTTTACATTCAAAATACAAAACAAACAATTTCGGTTTGTTTTTTCAAACTCACATTTTTCTTTTTTTCGGCAAAATTGGTTGAGCCATTTGTCTTGGAAAATCATCAACTCCAACAGCAACAGTCGCTCTTCTCGCAGCCGCTAAAATAGGCGCTGCTCCTTGTGCCATTGCCAAATGTGCAGGTGAAGGTGTCAAAAGTGTCGAAGGTGACGGACTCGGAATCAACGCCGTCTTTTCACCTCCTTTGCAAATAACCGGATCAATTCTCAGAACATTATTCAAATCCATCGGGAATAGTTTAGTTCTCTCCCAATGTGTATCATCCAATTCAAGGAATTTGATAATTTTCTCAAAAATCAAGCGGAACACAACTTTTTGAGTGATTCCAAGTTTCGAGAGAATATTTGCAGGAACAATGAGTTCATCATTCGCATGACCAACAACAACAAGTCCACTTGTATCTGAAATAAAAAATATGAAACCTTGTTGAAATAAATTAAATTATCTATTAACTTACTCAACATAGACGATCTCAAATCTTTCATTGCCACATTATTAAAATGTTCGCCTTCGGCACCAACAACAAAAAGAGTTGGACAATAATTCAACAAAATATCATCATCAGCACCTCCACGTCTTCCAAATTTACCGACAACTGGAAAACCAAGTGAAATAATCGCCGAAATTCCATTGACATTATTTGCAGCAAAATGAGCGGCAAAAGTTGTCCAACCATATCCAACAAGAACAATTCGGCAATTTGAATTCGCTTGATATTTTTGACGAACCTATCAAATTTCAGAAATATTATTAATTTTTCTTTGAAAAAAACAACCTTTTCACATATAACATCAACCAGATTATCGCAAGTATATTCAGCAATTGTAGCCGAATCATCATTATTTTCATCATTTGGTTTGATAAATTCTGAATCGGGATGTCCAATTAATTTGAGCCATCGGAATAGATATTCAAATGCTCTTGGCTTATTGTAGAAATCCCCGACTGACATCACCGGGGTCACAAGCAGAAAAACCACATCTGATTGACAATTGCGAATAATAGTTCGATCGATTGGATCTGCTTCTGGATCAAAACTTTTTGTAGAAACATGATTCAAAATAATTTTTGAGACTTGTTTCCAAGTTGGTGAATCTTTATATTTATCTTTAACAACAAATCCAATGTAGGAGGAAGTCTGAAAACAAAAATAATACCCCTATGCTTTTGCTCTTTGAAAAACTAACCATCGATTTAGCATGTTTCAACAAAACCAAATAAGGCGCCAAAAAGTGAACTGGTAAATGTTCGACCAAAAATGCATGAACCCAACAAACCGCATCTCTTTGTGGAACATCAAACATAACAAATGCATTTTTGAGTTTCTGTGCATTGAAATTTGTCGAATTGAAAATTGAAGATTCTCTGGAAATAAAAAATAATTTAATTTAATTTAAAACCTAATTTTTTTACATGTTATATTTTTTCACACTTGGCGTAGTTTCGAGAAGATATTGTGATTTGATGACATCAACAACAGCAATAAGAATCCGCATTATTCTTTCAGGTTGTTCGCTGGCAGCTCTGAAAATGAAAACTTTGTGATTCAAATCCACAACTTCCGTGCGCATTTTAAATCTATTTTTGGAAATGTTCACAAACCTCTCAATAACATTTGCCAATTTATAATCAGTTCCATCAGAATTCGTTGGTCTTGACATGATTTTTTCAATAGCATCAGCGGCTGCCAACGAATCACCGTGACATTTCAACATTATATTAACATGTTCTTCCAATAATTGTGCACTGTTCAAACATTCTGGTCCTCCAATATCAATTTCTTCATCACTTTCCGCATTTTCTTGACCAACTTCCATTGTTGTTGCAGCTGATGATGTGGTTCTAAAATCAAACTTTCAATACTCATTAATGTTTTTTCACACTTACGGATAATCAGATAACAATTCATAAAAAAATACATCATCTGAATCGGTTGCAACATTCTTATTTGTTTCATCGTCCATCAATTTGATTCCACATTCAGGACGATTTTTGACATCTCGTTGAATCATATAATCATCGAGTGACTGTAATAAAGAAAGATAAATATGATTTTTTTCAGAGAATAGAATAATGGTTACCAAAAAGTTTTCTGACCTTTTTTTATTTAGATTCAAGAATGCAAAATGATGCACGTTTGCAAATATTACACGTATACGGTGTTTTTAGGTCACGCTGAAATATGTTTTGTCAAAAATCAACGAGCTTTTCATAAAACAGTGAATTCGATCATTTCCAATTTTAAAAAATATTGAAAAACGTGAGTTGTATTCGGGATGGTCAACGGCAATTTTTTTCCCCCAAAACCTAATTTATGAAATGAAATGAATATCTTACCAATGGTAATTTAGTCTTCTTTTCACTTTTTTCTTTTTCCGTAGCTGACATTTTAACTCGTTCTTCAGTCATCAATTGTTCCATTTCCATATCAAATTCACGTGCCAAAAAATCGCGGCCATCTTGTATTTTCTTCTCATCAAAACCTTCACTAACAGTTTCTTTCGGTGTTTTTGGTTGTGATCCATAAGATGAACCATACAAATAATCATCACTTGTCACTTTTGGAATTCTCTTTCTTTTCGTGCTGTTTTCCTCATTTTCATATGGTATATAATTTGAAGAAGATGGTAAATTGAGTGGTTTTGACTTCGGAGTTCGCATGTCAATTTCAAGACGTTTTGCTTCAATTATTTTCCGTTTTTCAAAATTATCTTCTCGTCTTCCAGCTTTTGTCTTTTTATAATCTGTTGCAATGAAGGCATGTTTAGCAACGCCATCTGCACAAACATCCAACATCAATTTATCCAACACATCATTAATAATATCATTAACAATTACTTCTTTACCTTAAAAAGGGGCAAGTCTTTGAAAATATGTTAATTCAAACACTCACCATCTTCAAAAACTGTTCCCGAGATGAATTCTTTTTTACTCGGTCTATATCCTCTCAAACATCCAAATCTGATAGTTGGTGGTCTTGCTACAACAGGTTTAGGTGTGGGTGTTGGAATAACTTGTTGAGATTTGGCAAAATCTTCTACATCCACTTTTGGCTCAACTTCAGCACTTTTTCGATTCATTGTCGATTCCAATACTTTTTTAATACTTGGATCCATATCGAAATCATCACCATAAATACGATTTGGTTTTGATCGGCGATTTGAAGATCGAACTATAAAAAACGAATTTATAAAGATTAAAGAAATGAAACCGCTGAAATTACCTGGTTGAACAACAGCTGGAACAATTGGAACTGTTTTCTTTTTTGGTACAATTGGAATTGGAACCGGTGTCGGTTCTTGAGGGGCATTAGATGATGTTGGAATATCAGCTTCAATGTGTTTTTCTTCTAAAACAACTGGAGGTTCAACAATTTCCGGCTCTTTTACTTCTTCTTCAATTATTTCCACTTTTTTATCTTCTAATTTCAAATCTTCTTCCTCTTCTGCAACAACATCAGCAGCCGGTGATTCTGTTGTCCTTTTTCGAGCCAAACTTCTTCTTTCACTGCTTTTCGAAATTCCCATCCTTCTTTTTATTGCAAGAGCCGAGTTTGGATTCGGGCTGGATACTTCTGGCTTTTTTGAAAGATTCGGAGTAGACGAAGATTCTTTGGCTTTAATAGTGGGAACCTTCCGAATAGATCTATAAAGTAATCGTTTTATTAGACTTTTTTAAATTCTATAAATATTATGAGCTCACCTTGAAGCACTTGGTTTACTTTGTTTTACTACTGGTTCAACATGTGGAATTTCCTCTTTCTTTTTTTCCTTTTCAACTGTCTTCACTTGTTTTTCATCCTTTTTCTCTTCTTTTTCATTCCCAGCTTTGTTCTTCACCTCTTCCTTTTCTTCTTCTTTTTCCTTTTCTTCGATTTTCTCCTTTTCATCAATCGCACTTTTTCTTCGAATTCTTCTATTATTTCTTGCTGTGTTTTCGCTATTCACAACATTTTCAGTTTTTTCCAAAACCGAGCTTTTTCGTGAATCTTCTTTATTTGTTTCTTTTTTCGATGATTCCTCTGCATCTTCTTGATTTTTCTCCTTTTTTTCCTCAACCACAACTGGATCTACAACACTTTTTCGATTTCTTCCAGTTTTCTTATTCGGCGTCTCTTCTTTTGCCTCGTTATTTTCAGCAGAAACACTTTTTTGGACAGATTGTTTTTCCGGTTCGACGACAGATTTTGGTGTAGATTTTGTAGGGGTTTTCTTTTTCAAATCCACGACTGTGACTTTTTCAACTTTCTGGAAAATATTGATCAATTTTAAATATTTCAAAAGTTATTCATTTTAACTAACCTCTTTAGTTTTCGAAAGTTTCGCGACAACAGAAGGAGAAGCAAGTGGAGTTGATGATGATTGCTTCTGAAAATTGAAAAATAAAATTAGAAAACGGTTTGAAAAATTTACATTTTGCTTCGGCGTTGAATTACGTTGAGCAGATTGAGTAGGCGTTTTGATTGCGCTTTCTATAAAAACAAGTTAATTTTTAATGTATAATTCAAATAACTCACTTCGAGTAACTTTTTTGTTAGCATTTTGAGAATCAAAAAAGTCAGCTGGGAGTACAAATTCGCAGCGAGCTTTCGGTATATAATTCAATAAGTCGGAAAGATTACAACGTTTCACTACTCTGCCTCGTCCAGCAGTAGAAACACCTGTTGAAGATCTGGACTTCTTGGTTGGTTCTGGAGATGGTGAATATCTTCGTGCTGTTTTTACTCTTTGTCGTTTTGAGGAGCCAGCATCTTCTTGCTCAGCAGTTTTGTTTGGTGTAGAAACTTTATTCGGGGTTGCTGAAGCAGCAGTAGATGTTCGTTTGCTTCTTGTTGATGCGGTAGAACTGCTCGGCCCTACCGAACTGAGATCAATTTTCAGGTCTAACAAGTCCATTTTCTGCAAAAAAAATAATGTTTTTCGAAAATATCAACGGAAGAAAGTAATTTTTATGTTAGATTTTCATCACAAAAGTGTTGTGAAACGTCGGAAAACAATAGAAAATGAAATTAACATTTATATTTCATGATAAACACACAAACAGCAGGCGCGAAAAGAAGAAAAAAACGAAAAAAAAACTGCGAATGCGTCAGCTTACACAAAACACGCCAACAAATCAAAAAATGCGTCAGTTTTGAATGAGAGCGCTTAGTTTGAATTGAAGTTTTTCTTTTTGTTTTTGTCACTGTTTGTGTTTCTTCGTTTTTTTTATCAGACTCGTCTCAACAGAATAAATATTGACTTTTGCTCGTGCAAAAAGTATTGACTTCTATCCTATAATATTTCAGATGTATTCACCTGACCCAATACTAGATAATATTCGAAAAATTGAGAACCCTCTAGATCGGGCAAAAATGAAAACTAGTTTTTTGAAAAATAACGAGTCTCTGCTGATACCGAAGTTTGTAACAAATAAAAAACCAATGGGGTGAGTATGTTCTACTCAATAAACAAAAAAAAATTGAATAAAATTTCAGTCGTCGAATATGTGCACTTCTGTTTATGAGCACATCATTTGGTTTCATATCTGCCTGGTTTGGCGCTACAACTTTTGATCATATAAATATGAAAATAGATAACTTTCGTGATTCATATCAGCTGTAATTTTTGACTAGCGCATTGTACATTTTTGTTAAGTTTGAAATAAAAATTGAACATCGTATGATTAATTTTGAAGACAAATATTTATTGAACGTGATAATTTTCTTCGACGTGAGAAGATTCATTTCTTGGTTTTGTTAATAAGGATTTTTGCTGGACTCTGTTTTTGTATGTAGTTTACGGCGATTTGCCAATATTTTCTGCCAAATGCATTGTTTTAAGTATGACTGAACTCCTTTGTTTAGTTGAAAAATATATTCAAAATACATTTCTGGAATATTCCATTTTTCAGGCCGATAGCTTTGCATTTGTCATCATCGGATAATGGCTACGCATCACGTGGGACGAACCAGAGCAGATGTAATAGAAAAACTGGAAAATCGGCACCGACAAAGAAAGATTAGAAACATATCGAAAACTTTGGATTTTGAAGCAACAGAAAGGAAAATATTGGAAAGTAATGATTTGCAACCAATTCATTATGTTTTTGAGTCTTCCAGTCTCTCAAATGATATTCATCAACACTTCTCTAAATTATCGACATTCTTGAATGCATCACTTGATTCTGAGCACAAACATCCAGAACTTGAAATCAATCATGAATCGAAAGACATGAATGCGATATTCAGAAAAATTCGTAGTCTTATGAAATTTGAACATAAAACTGACACTTCAACTCATTTTGAAAAAGAAATCAAAGGTCTTCGAAAACTTCTCTCTGATTCGAAATTGGATGAAAAAATTGAAAATTTGTTATCAAAACGATTGGTTATGTGCAAATCAGATTTCTGTATCAATGTGAATATTGGTAAGTGAAAATAATTTTGCGAAAGTTTCGACCAAACTATTTTGCAGGTCTTCAAAATGTTCTTCTTCATATTTTATTGTCATTTCATCAAACACGGTTACTTATTGGATTAGAAGCTATTTTCAAAAAGAAAATCGATAATGTTATTCATTTTATTGTTAACAATGTATTCAAAACAACTTCGAAAAAACCTGCAAATATCCATTTTTTATCAACAATCATCAAATTATTATTTTTGATCGGAAAATCAGTGGAACTCAATTTAATTCCAACATTGACAAGAATGTTCAATAAATCATCGGAATATAGAGAATTTGATGGTATTTTGAATGATTTGAGTAAAGAAATATTGGCAGGAAGTTCGATAACATTCAAAAAGGCTCTTGTTCGTCTTGGATTCGATTTCAATTTCATTCAATCTTTTATTGATGATTACGATTATACAATAAGTGGATTTCGAAGTTTTTCAAATGGTCTCGTTTTTGCTAGACTTGTTGAACAATTCAAGAAAGGAACAATCAAATGGTATGCAATTCAACAACCAAAAACTCGATTGAGAAAGTTGAAAAACGTTGAAATCGTATTGGAAAGTCTTGAAAATTTGAACTTCAAATATGATGCCGTGAAAATTGTACAAGGTGATGAAAAAACCATTTTGCGAACAATTTGGAAAATTTTGAATATTCAAGAGGTATGTTTTTGGGCTTTAACTATGATGACAGAATAATTTTTCAGGTCTACACTGAAACCCCTCAAAATCTTCGCCATTATTTGTCATTTGATGAACAAATGTTACGAAAATGTCAATTTTATGGTGAAAAATTAAATGTGGATGTTCCAAGTTTGGAGAGTTTATTGGATGGCGAATTATTTGCCAAAGCATGGAAAACAATGGCTTTCACACATCATACAATCGAGTTTTCAACAGTTCCAATTGATCGATTTATTGAGATTATTTTATTGGTGAGTTTTTTAAATTCATTTTCTAAACATCTAAAAACAAATATTATTTTGGGCTGAGAAATATCTCGGAATCGATCGAAAGCTAGCCATTTATATTGGCTTATTTATTCAAGCATATTTTGGGAAACTCGAAATTCTAAATGAATTGCAAAAACATGTAAATAAAAACTGAATCCCTCGTATATTTATATATTGTTCCGATCTCTGTCAAATAGTCACAAAATAAAAGTTTCATTATTTTAAACCGTATTAAAAATATAGATAACCCGGAAAATTTTCGGAATTTCAAAAAAAAAATTGAATAATTTCCAAGTGTCACAATTGGTGTTCTTGATAACTTGTTTGATTTTCTGATACATCAAAACTATCATATTCACCGCCACGTGGTATTTCTGGTTCTGTTGCCAGAGGTGTGTAACTTTGCCGTCTGGAAACAATGAATAATTGATTGAAATTCTACATAGGAGGGGGGAGGAGTGATAAATATTTGCACATATATCAATAATAACACACTCAAAGGGGCACACTACGAAAAAATAGGAAAAAATCTCGAATTATTTGAGATTTATTTTTCTTTCCGATTTTTCAATTCAACACGCCATAACATGCATTTTAAGTTCAACCACGCGCAAACATTTCAATTCTATTTGGGAATCAATCAAATCAACCAATACTCATTTTAAACCTTTTTTTAGTGTTAGAACTCAAAGTTGTTCTCGTTGAAGTTGTTGAAGTGTTAGTGAGTCGGAATGTGGAATTCCGATGAACAGAAGGTCAAAGAGCGCTTCTCTGAACATAATATGAAAGCGAAAATAATGCAAAAGTTATTTTGAACTTAAAAACATCTTTCTGACAGTTCAAATTGTCTTACCTTCCCATTCGAATACTGTTATTTGCATTGTTTACTTGTGAAACATTACTTGGAGTTGTACCACGTTGTTTTGACCACATTCTGAATTTTAACATTTTTATTTTTTAAAGTCAATTTTGGACTCACGAATATGCTCTTGTTGGAATAATAACTTCCCAGAAAGTTTGTCGATATCGGGAAGACATTACACAATATAATACAAAATTAACACATGAATTGAGAAGTGAAAGAAGATCCAAAATATCACCAACATAAAAATAGACATATTTGTGAACATCCGTAGTGAAAATAGCGCAAAGAATTGAAATAATACCTTGTGGTAGTTCTGTTATTAGAAAAACTACGAGAATTGCAACCAACATCAAAGTTGTTCGATCTGGTGTACTATTCTTTTTCTTGAATGGTTTTGTATCTGCAGATGCATTTGATGCAACACTTGTTAATTTTCTTCGATGTCTTTCTGCATCACGAATTTTTCGAACTAATCCGATCGATAAGAATACTAATAAAATACAAGGAATCACTTTGAATAATATACCAATCATCCAAATATTCCATTTAAACAATCGACAATTGTTTCGTTGTGCAACTTCACTAACCGTAAATGTATAAATTGGTTGTGAATAATTGGCACTAAATCGACTAACACATTGTCCTTCTGGTCGCCAAGGTGGAATATCTGGTATTCGTAAGATTTCGTGAACCAGAATATTGGGAACACATAATATGAAAACAACCAAATAAATTACAAAGCATAATTTCCAAGCAAATTTCGGTTGTTGCCATTTACTATTGAGAGCAGCTACACGAAGTGTCATTCTTCGAATAAATGCCATTGCAACTGCTAACCAAAGTGATGTTGTATGAAGTGCAATACTCAATACAACATGCCACAGAAGAAATTGTAGCCAAGCATGTGTGAAAGTTGGAGCGCTAAAAAAGAAATGTTTTTCAACATCTGAAAAACAGCAAGGTCTACATTTGTTTTGTTTTCCTTTTCACTACTTCACAAAAAATATTTTACCATTTTCTATCTCTTTGCAATACAAAATGTACAATATAAACGAAGTATGATCCCATTGTTCCAATATCACAAACAGCCACAGCAGTCAAAATACAATTAACTGCCGAATTTCTCATATTTGGTCTTGATAGAACTGCAACATGAACGAGGTTTGTAAGTATTCCGAACATACAAATAACAACACAAACATATCCATGAATCGGGGAATACCATCTGAAAACAAAATATATATATATGTATATTTTTTTTGGATCTGGAAGCCCAAAAAGATTTCATGACATCATTCATAGGGGAATTTCAAACCCACGTCACAAATTGTCAAAGGATTTTTTTTCTCGAAAAAACGACTGGTATCTTGATTTCATTGTTATTAGAATTTTGGCAAAATAGAAAACATGGTTTTTCCTGAATTTATTTAGATTCGTGTGAAAAATGCTCTTTTGATATTTTATATTGAGCTCTCATAAATTAAACAGGCGTCATACTTATTTTTGTGAATAATAAGTTTTGTATAATGAGTTCTTCGAGCGAATAATCATTCACATGTTTGGTTTTTGATACATTGTGTTCAAATTAGAGGGGTTACTTGAAAATGGGTGGGATGGCTCATTTTCAAGCGGAAAGTGCGTTTTTATTTTTGTTGAACTTACTTTTGAAAATCGGCAAACATTTTCAAAATCAACCGTGTTCCATTATTATTATCATCAAATAGTCTGGCATCTTCGGGACATTCCATAATATTCCCCCAAAAAATATTATTTGGTTATTATAGAATTCTCTTCACACTGAGGCACAACACTCTATTCAAAAACACAGAAACAACATAATTTAATTGACGAGTAGTTGTGCTGTCTTCAGCCTATTTTTGGTTTTTTCGCTGAAAATCATCATTTTAATCATGAAAAGAATACAAATTAGAAAGAAAAAGTTGAGAAAAAGAGCAACAATTCAAGTGAAATACGAATAAAACTTGAAAAAAAGTATATGTTTGAGCACATCAACACAACATCATCAATATAAATATATCAAAGATGAACATGTGTCAATCGAAATAAGATAGTGTGTAATTTGAAGAAACAAAAAGAAGATTTTCGGACTTTGAGACACAGGCAAAAATTGGAGAATAAAAAAAAAGTGGAAAAAGTGGTGGAGGTTGAATCACATGGAATCCCCACGGGACAATTCGCTAAAAATCGAAACTTTTTTTGTTGTTTTTTTTCAACCAATTCATTTTTTTGCTAAAGCTAAAAGATGAAAAATGTTTATCTTGGAATATGAAATCACCTATGAATATTTATTAGGCGGAAGCAATTTCTGAAAGAGACTCATTAGAAAATCTGAAACTGAACTTTTTTTCTGCTTTGAGGTCAAACTATTATTTCATTTACAAATCTGCGATTTTGTATGTATTTTGGGAAACTGTGTGTAATGTTTCATATTTTGTGAAACTACCGTAGTTCGGCCAAAAAACAACATAACAAAGCGCGATAAAATGCTCTAACAAGTTGAAGAACGTACTCGACAACATAACCATCATAAACATACACAGAGCCGCAAAGAGAGATTTTCTTTTTTTCGTGCTCAATTTGATTGTCAAAAGCAGAGCGTTTCCCCCCTTCAACGAATAAATATATGCAAAAAATGTGTTGAAAAAACAAAATGATCAGAAATCTGTGGGGGTTGGAAGAGCGTAAAGAAAAAACATAATTATATGTCTTTATGAAGATACTGTGGGCTGAAGGAAGTTTATTTTTAATATCATGAATCAAAGATTTTGATAACGCTAATGACACCTATTGAAATGGCGTGTTAGAAAGAAACATGAAAAACTCAAGATTCATCAAGTGGAAAGATTTGATTCGGGTTGTTCTATGATTTTTATCGAAATACTTTTTTTCGTGGCAGTTATTTGAAAGTTCGTTTTCAAAGGTGACGAACTTCAGAAAACTCTTGGAATTTTCTTAAACAATTATGAATCGCATGAAGTTCAAGCTGTTCTCAGAATTTCTAGATTTTTCAAGAAAACCTACTTGACATTCTACTACTTCGAAGGTTGTCCTAACTTTTAAGCTTTTCTTTGGAAAAAGTCTCAAAAGTTTGGTCACCGTTAGGTATAGTAATCGAAAAGTGAATTAATACCGAAAAGCTAGAAAAATCGCAATAAAAAACGTATCCTAACAAAATTGTCCTTTCTGTATATAAAAATAATTAACACAACCTGGATGAGAAAAATACACATACACATTGAAAAAAAGACTAAACCCAATGAGCTCGAAAAATGGAGCACATCTGACAATATGCTAAGCAAATGCAAATCGAATTGGCCAACCCAAAAAAAATGTTTTTTTTTCTGCTGGCACTAACGCCTTTAGAATAGAAAAAAAAGATCCTTGGCTAATTTTTCTTTATTAAATCGCCTTATGAAAATAAATAGTTCACGAGAAAAAAGTGGGTGAATGAGACAAGGAAAAACGGTGTGGAATTTTTAAGTATTTTGTGTTCAACTCCAACCAAAAGTATCGAATTTCGTGTGGAAAAAAAAGAAGAAAGTTGTTTTCGGGAAAAAAATTCGTCGACTAGAAATAATAATATGTAATTTTTTTTGATATTTCATTAACGCTAGGGGTGGGCCGGCCACATACGAAAAACAAGGAAAAAATGGAATTCGTCGAACAAAAAAAGGAAGATACACCGAAAAGGAAGATACACCACACACCAAAAAAACAAAAACATACTCTAAAAAATTGGCAACAAAAAGGATTCAGGCTGACTGGCCAGGTCGTGGGAAATCCCCGGATTTTTTTTGGATGAGCAAAAGAGGGAGGGTTTGATTAATGAAAGTTTCCAGGAAGTCTGGTGGGAAAAATATTTTAGCGTGTGTCAAAGAAATTATGCTAAAAGTCACGTTTTGTCGCGAAGTAAACTTTCATAATAGCTTACTTTTTCAATTTGAAAGCGTCCAGATTTTGATATAAAAAGGCTTTTCTGGTCTACTAAACAATGCTTCCAGACGACAAATGAACACAATTGAATACGGCTGAAAACCCAAATTCTTGAAATTCAAAAAAAAGAAAAAAATAATTGGCACATTGAAAACTTATCATAACAACAAACACTCGAATCGAATATCAAAACACATTTTTTGTGTTCAAAGCTATAGATAAACAATTCTCTATAATGAATCTTTTGAATTGTTTCATTAAAAATTTCTAGTTTCAATAGAAAATATCCATGGCTTTTTAATTAAAAAATGAAACATTTTTTCGCGAAAACTTTGAACTCGAATAGAGCTTGCAATGAAAAAAAGCACAAAAAATCCTATCTTCACATGTCGAGAGGAAACTAATTGAATAAAACAAACTAATTTGATTGTCAATCTTTGAGAACTTTGAAACTTCAACTACAAGTGAAAAAAACAAAATAAAGACAAAGCAAATTCAATTGACTCTTCTTTTCTCGCCTATAAAAATATCCAAATGACATCATTTTTATGTTCTACGAAAATTGACATTTATTGCAAACACTCTTTAAAAGTGCGAAAATTATGGTAGAGAATTATGTGAGAAAATGGGCCTTGCTAATTAGATTGAAATCTGAAAAGATTCTACCAATTACCGCTCAAACCAAAATTCCAACCATGTTCTGAAAAACAGATGAAATCCAAAAAATGCAACAAAACAACACGCGAATAAAAGCAATTGAAAAAATAAGAAAAAATGGGATGAGGACGAGCAAAATAGAGAAAAGAAACGGAAGAAAAATGAGAAGTTTTTTTCTTTTTTTGGATTTTTTGGGTGTAATGAATTGAGTGTGGTGGATGGACTACTTGTCATATAATGAAAAAAAACCAGGAAGTAGCTTGGTTTTGAGAAAAATATGTGATTTTGGTGGTTCGAAATCTCGGGGGATTATAATTATAATTATACGAAATGATAAATAGGAATAACTAAAATTGTCTAGTCTAAAAAATTAGAAATTGTCTGAAATCCGATTCAGACATCTCGAAACCCGGGTCCAATTCAGACACTTCTGAAAATAAAAGGTCCGTTTTTAGAATAATCATCCGCCGGAAATAAATGTTGCGAAAAATAAAAAAAACACACACGTGTGAGTCACAGCCTGCGGCAAAAGCCATCTTTTTTTTATTTTCCAGTAGAATGATCAACGGATTTTTCACATTTTCACTACAGTATCCTTATGGATATATGCCATTTTCATTCATGTTTTTGATATATTCTCATTTTTTTTTCTAACTGGAATTGACAGAAGTTCCCGGTAGAAAAAGAAAAACGGAAATTTGCATAGACATGGGAAATAATTTGTTTTGAATGGAACGAATGAATTGAATAAATCAGAAAGAAATCTAAATTGTTCTGTTTTTTTTCAATACGCATTTGATTAGGTTCCAATTTGGATTATACGGATTTAGAAAAAATGCAAATAAATATTTTTTTTTCACAACCGAGAGGCCAGTAAAATTAGATGGAGAAAAAATGTGGGTTGAAAAAATGAAAAATCCAAAAATCTTCTTGCACTTTTTTCTGTGGCTAGACAATGCAACGAATAATTACAAAGAAGAAAAAAGTGCACATATAAAAATTTTTTCTCGTGGCTAAAGAACCTATAAAATTTTTTGAAGAAACTTACAATTAGAGGAGAACTGAGTTTTTCTTACATCAACCTGAAACTTTTCGGAATGATTTTAGAAATTTCAAAAAAATTTCACATTTTTACACGGCGTAGCTCCATTATGGTATTGTCATTCCGAAAAAATAAGAACTTGGAAGAGAACCGAAATGGCCTAGGACACCAAGACTACAGTAGACTTCGCAAAATTTTGGAGTCTATTTGAAAAATAAAATGCGAAATTTACACGTTGGCTATTTGCCAACCAGTTTGATGTGCATGTGTCACGTCATCTTTAGTCTACTGTACGTGAGCGCCAATTCAAACGGGGGTTCTTTTATTTTTGGAATGACAATAATTTTTAGAGCTATATTTATTTCTCTTCTTTAGAAACACCTGAAAATAGTTCTTTGTAAGAAAAAAAGAATGAAACTCATGTGTGATTTTTGATGAGCAAATATATCTGAATGGGAAAATATAAGAATATAAAAAAACTATATCAATTTCTAATGAGTTGGTGGTTTTTATTGTTTTTTTATATCCAATGTGGGAATTATTTTTTGAGCAAGAATACTGAAGTTCTAAAGTTCAATTTTTTGTCTGGCAGAAAACAAAGAAAAATCGAATTTGCACTAATAACTCAATTTCATCCCGTTTCTCTTATTCGAGATTCTAAAGAATTCCAAATTCAAAAAGAAATATGAAGAATGACTGAAATTCGAGCCCGAATTTGAAACTTTTCCAATTTTCCATTGAAACAAAATGCGATTGACGTTTTGCTTTTTGTCTGACATTTCTAATTCGCAGCAAATTTCATCTTTTGTTTTTTTCGGAAAGAATCAATCGGAATTTGTTGAAAGAATGAAAAGGCGTGGAAACAGAATAATTAATTAGAAAAAGCGAACGCGCAAAAGACGAAAAAAAGAAGAAAAAAGAAAAAATGACGAAACAAATGATCTATCATAATGAATATGTATTTTGTTGAACAAGGAACATTGAGGGATTATTTGAAATTAAATTATTTGAGAAAAAAAAACTGTTTTAGGAAGGTCTGAACTAACTATAATATTCATGTCAAGTTATTTGATTTCAATTTATAGTTTATGAACA